GCGGGTGCTGCGTTCGCTAAACTGGTAATCAAGACTTCACATGATAGGTATGAGATGTGATGAGATATGGGGGACCCTGCCTGGGACCTACATACATACTATTGTACTACACAGTAGGTAGTAGTAATAATAACTGAACCATTTATCCACGTGCATGTAATTTGATATCCCCGTAGCACGGCTTACCCGTACGTGGTAAAGCTCGCGGGAGGGCAATATGGACACGAGCGGATCTGTTTATTATCAACTGCCACCTTTCGTGCCTCGCCCCGTCATGGTCGAAGGGTCGAAGATGACGAGTTAGTGCCATCTAAGCATGCATGCATACCTGGACTAGCTGACTAGGTAGACTAGGTAATAAGGTGGTACCTTAGATCTTCAACTTCAACAATGTACCTACTTGAGCTGTTAGGGTAGGGATTCGACGTGAGTTCAGTGTCGGCCACGTGTTTAACCCAGGCGAACGGAGATACATTCCCATAAGTGTATCCATAATTTGTTGATCCGGGCAAAGGCGGCTATGATAGTGTCGTGATGGCGCCTTGATGGCGTCTTGATTCGCATGGAACCGCTGGGCCGGATCAAGGTCGAAGGTGTGAAATGGCTTCCCGGTGGCTTGTAATGATCGATTTTGAATGTTCTACTATTATACATAGTTAGTAGTAAATTCATTCCAGTAAAACACCGAATGTTTGCCCGGGAGACGCTATGTCAAGGTGTATGGCTTTTCCACCATCTACCTACCTAGGTCCTTAGGTAGTATCTAAGTACCTGAGCAGCTATGTACATATGTAGGGATTTGAGGCATTCAAGCTTAAACCGCGATGGATTCAAACGCCGTTGACTAAGCCTTGTTTTAGCCCTAGGGAATTCTATCTGGCCTATGACGTTGTGCAGACCTATAATTGCCGTTTTATTTGGGCTGTTCATTTAAGCAGTACTATGTAATTTAAAAAAAAATTGCGCAACTACTTCAATACTTTCGTAGATTGCATTTGTCCTTTTTTTCTTTGCATAGTAGAACCCCCATAGGGAAGGCCGGGTAGGGTACTATCCCTGACCAGGATTATGTAGCATACATGCCATACCGTCCAGGGATCCATACATCTGCATATATACATAGGTACGTATTATCTGTATGTCTTTAATGTTGTATGTATTGTACAATAGTTATAACTATACCTGGAGTATGTATCTCTTCGGAGCCTTGAGCCTTCAGAGTTCGAAGCCCTCAATTCGTGAATTGGGAAAGAAAGTGTGGCTGCATGTATGCATCACTTCTAGATAGGACCTGAGAAATTACTTATTATACCTGCAGGTAAAAGGTGAGGTTATAACTAAACATTCTTCCAGCTGTCAAGGAAACGAAGAGGAGATTTCTCGAACAGCAGGAACATTTGAATGGTCTCAGGGTCCTCGTCTATCCGCTCCAATGTCCATAGTGTATGTAAGTACAAGGACGTACCTGGTATATATTTTGGCCCATGGGTGTTGATATTGATGTGGTCATGGCTCAATCTTTCACCCACTGAGAAGTGCTTAATTGTGTCATTCGCATCTTGTGGAGGCGTTTGAGGGCTAGCTTGCGCTGTATTTCCCGCTAACTTTAGTCCGACCAATCAGAAACTCTTCGCATTAAGCATCTCAAATCCTCCTTCCGATATTTTCAACGACTATGACGATACCCCTGTCATCGCCAAGAGATTCCCTTCAAAGTCCTTTTCCTTCTGGAGCAAGGCATAAACGTAGACAAATTCCACAAATGATTACCTGGTAGTGTAGATATTTCGTACAGGTAACCCCTATGTCGGACAATACTTAATATTAACCTGTATCGATATAAAATTGTATCAAATATTAAAATATCCATGGATTAACCTGAAAATCTGGAGTACCTTACCGATGAGCTATGTAGTCTGGCGTTCGCTTGTAGGGCTAGAGAGATGACGTTGTACCACCATTGATACTTACTTTATTTACTATGTACCTATTACTATATGCACATAGCTCTAGGTATGTATGTAGTATACATACTATCATATGCAAGTCTATAAAAGTGCAAAAAAAAAAAAAAAAATACTGGTATAAATACTATGGTATGGCCTATGCCCACCTTCATAGTCGCTTACCGCATCGTTGTTGGGTTGGTAGATTGAGCCCCAGAAGCCCCTCTCTATTATAGACGTGTAAGTTGACAGGAATCAAGGCTTTCTTAGAATCGTCGTCATAAATTGCACAAGTCTTCCTCCGCTTGTGAATCCTGACCGACGACGTCAGTCCTGTGAGCACAGGGCAGTAATCGTGAACTTTCCCGGGCACGGTACCGGTCAATTAGCTTCGAGAACTTAGGGAGCTGGCCCGACTGGCTCGAAAATATCGTCATACATGCAACCTTCGGTTTCATCCCGATGGCATGGCTTTGGCGCTTCTAGCCCGTACGTACGTAGAGTTATGTAGTCGCGGTCATCTCCATGGTCACTCACCTCGACTCATTCCATTCTCTTCATTTGGTAGGTAGTTCTAAACGCAATTCCAGAAAAGATGCCAAGACATCGTCGGCAGAGCACCATCAATGCCAGGTCTGCTACATAGGACCTAGGCAGATACTAGACACTGACACCACGCGCTCCCGCCACCAATTTTTGAAGTGCCGGACCGAAGGTTGAAAGAAGACAAAAGGAAAGGAGCAAACCAGAATCAGATAAGAGGTGGATTATTGAAGTCGAATGTAAACAAATAAGATGGGGGTCCTTCTTTCGCTCTTTTAATACCTTGTCCTCTTACTTATTCATCATCCCTTGATACCGGGACAGCCAACTCCGTCTGCACTTAGTACCTACTTTTAGTAATACCAAAAAAAGTTTGGGCTCAATGATGTCGTGTCTTTGGATCGTAGAATAGCAGACGCATGTTCGCTCATTTTTGAAAGGGACCACCTTTGTGGAGTATTATCAGTGTGTCCAATCACTATTTACACACCGCATGACGTAGGGAAGTAGGGACGTAGGGACGTAGGGACGTAGGGATGCAGGGATACAGGGATATAGGTATGTGCCAAGAAGTCCCAAGCTAAGGTCCCTCTTAGCTTCATCCTTCCACCAGGGGGGGGGGAAAGGGTTAGGGAGTGGGACAGATGAGAAGCCCGACTGCAAGTACCGTATGTATCCTAACCCTGAAGTATTGTGTGGAAGCTGGACTATTCGAAGACTCCGACTCCTCTTCCAAGTATTTCCCGACTGGTTATAAAGGAGGAAGGCACTGGGTTGTTAATGGGGTTTTGAGGTGTGCTGGAATCGCTAGAGCCGGCAGAAGAAAAATAATAAAGTATAAGGTACGGCAGACAAAAGTACAGCACTGCGAGCATACCACAGAAAAGAAGAAGCAAAATATCTATGATATATGTATCTACAGATATGTATCTACATAGGTATATATACCTGTATATATACCTATATATTGTATCGTTCTGATATTAAAGCAAGCGCTGAGCCGGCTTTGTGCTCCCTTCAGACCCTGCATAACGGCAACCCCCATCCTCTCTTACCCTCCGCATCAGTGGCGTAATATGGGGACTATATAAAGAGCCTTACATATTATCAACTAAATGTACAGTACAGTTGCCTGGTCTTTCTTTATATGTACCTATCTTTGTATGAGAGAGATACATAATGTTATACATTCAATGGATGTTGCGAAGAAAGAAGCACGGTGGTTTCCCAGATGGGGACCCACATCTGTACCGGTACATGCTGTGTGGACTACTACGTACCTAGGTTAGCAGCCATGTCTAGTACCTAGTACGACTACTAGGACTAGGTAGTAAGGTACAAGGCAGTAGAAAAACAACGAACAACGGCGCGCACCCCCCGTGTGCTTAGTGCTACATGTAGAGACCCTTGCCGTTACTTCAGCCATACCCTGCCAATTGGTGTTCTCATTCTCCTTTTGTGTACCTACCTACGTACGGTACCCAGTCGGCACTGCAGTAGCAAGAGTAGACAATTATTAGTTACATACCTAGTTTTTTTTTAATGGCATTTCCCGTCCTCAACTCTTTTTCCTTCGCCTCCCATGCCCTCCCATGCCCTCCCATGCCTCTCCCATTACTACATAGTATTCAATCCCTGTGCCTCTTGTGCCTCCTCTTGTCCCACTCGCCCCATTTTATCAACCATCTAGCTCATGTACCTAGGTAGGTTAGATGGACCCTGATACCTTATGTACCTATTTTCCACTTTCCACTTTCCACTAGCTGGCAACTGGAATCCCCTACTCCCCTTCTTCCCCTACCCTACTGCCGTCTAATGCTGCTAGTTGACGTACTAGCTGGCCACCCCTAAAATACATGGGCAACCTGGAGAAGGAACCATCTACCTATCCTGCCTATGTAAATGTGAAGCCCTGCCATCCTTTCCTTGCCTGTGTCTTTCTTCCGCCTCGTCACTTTGCAACACCCACGACAAAACAAAACATCTCACCTTCTTGACAAGTTTGACCTACCTACACATGTATACATAGAATAACAACCACGATATCAACAATAACCACATTATAGCATCAGCATCAGCATCATCAGCATCAACCTCCACACGCCAATATATCAATATCAACAACTCACAACACTTTCTTTTAAACCCCCCCAATTATACAAGGCACGCGTTATAGCCTTTCCCCGAATATAAGATAGTGGATTCTATACTCAGATCAGCATCCTGCGAGTCCCTGTCTAGTTTTACCTGTAACAAGTACATAGACTCTCTCGACTTATATGTACATCTGACCTCCCGGATATCTGGCCGCTGCTGATCTTGTACGCTTCGGTCTTGAAACGAGCCACCGAACTCCACATTCTCATGATCAGTCAAGACCTAAAACGGCTGCTATCAAATTGGACACCATCTTTTCAAATTTCAGTCCTGGTTCGATCTATTCAATATCCTACCCTACTACAGTGTATCCCAACCCTGCCTCGACCTTGTGTTTAGTACGGGACATTGGACTGTCGATCAATCTGTTCACCGTCGTCACTAGACTCACTGTAGCCTAAGGGTCATTGGTTCCACCTGTTCCAATTGCTGGAGAGCATTAAGCTTCAGACGATTGGGCTGGTCTAAAAAGTACCGGCTGGGCCCTGTGTGTACCTTTATCCAACTATTTCGGGGGTTCCTGGTCGCATACTTTCCTCGAGTTGTCCTGCCAAACACTTAAGGCTCGCTGATCCCCCTCCCCGTAACTCGTGACGGATCTTCTTCACTGGATCTTGAGAGACAAGTCACCGCCTCGGCAAGGTGACACGAATCTGTCCCCCTTCGGGATCCCGCATCTGATCAGCGAACTATCCAAACTTCCTATCACTTTTTTATATTTTTATATACTTTATTTTTTTTTTTTACATACACAAAGGAAAATAGGAGCCCGACTCAAGTGTTGGAAAGCCTCATACTTCCAACCTCTTCTCTTTTATGATATATTGTGTCGAAGATGACTATGACTCTTGATAATCAATCACGACTCGGGGCCCTTAACTTCGAACACATGTCTTCCTACTCCAACCCTCCGCACTTCACCAACCCGTGGGCTGCCGGCTCCTCTAGCCAACATGGTAGCCACGGTATGTACTCGCAAGGGCTCAATGCCAACTTGGGTGGCCTCGACTCCATGGCCAAGCAGCACGCTGCAAGGGCGGGCACCAACAATGCCTCAATGGCATCGTATGGCAGCATCCCGGTGACAGCATCTTCAGCAGGTAGCACTCTCATGGCGGACCTCTATGGACAACAGGACTTACTCAATATGCCGCAAGATCTCTTAAATTTAAACCGAATGCAAACCACGTCGGCCGCATACGGAGAGTCGGTGTACGCGACAGCGACGGCGGCTTCCCCGGTGAACGCGACGTACTCCGCGTCGCCGAGTTCGTATGATAGTGTATCCGGATATGCACCAGCACCTATGCGCTCCACGTTCGCCCTTGCGCCAGAGGCCGATAACCGAAGGTATTCCCAATCGTCAATTTCCTCAATTCCGATGGTCGAGCCCGGCTCAGGCAGCGCATCTCGTTCTCACCGGAGCTCAATTGTTGACATGGATAACAGAGGTCTACAAAACGACGACCGAAGGAGTTTCGCAGATGCTCTAGACGCCGGTCAAGGCATGCTAGCGATGAGTCAAGAGACTCCCCGAGCCATATATCCTCCCAGCCATCGCGGCAGGGGATCGGCTGACTCTTACGGCTTCCCGTCGACGCATTCGACGAGTTCATCTATTTCCTCAGCAAGCAATTATGGTGGTGGTTATTACGCAGGTTCAGTCGACTCGTCGGTCAGCGACTACTCGACGGCAGGCTCTGATATAGAATCGGTTACTTCCCGAACGCTCCCCCGGCCGAATTTAATGACTCAACCTCCTCCTGCCCCTCAATCTATGATGGGCCAATTTAGCTCGAAAGTATCATCCAGCACCCAGAAGAAGCATAAGTGCAAAGTTTGCGACAAGCGGTTTACCCGACCAAGCTCACTACAAACGCACATGTATAGTCACACGGGCGAAAAGCGTAAGTGAAAAGGAAGTGGGCGCAGATGAAAAATGAAGGCCATGCTGACAATAACCTTTTTAGCCTTTTGTTGTGAAGTTGAAGGGTGTGGAAGGCATTTTTCTGTTGTATCAAATCTCCGACGACACCGGAAAGTACACAAAAACGATGCCAAGTCCGATGCTGGATCTGAAGACCACCACGACGATCATTCCGATTAGATGGAAAATCTCACCCCCATGACAAAAAATATGTTCGATTCTGCACAAGATTACGATTTAGAATTCTTCACGACTATCCTGGTTATGCGGATACCTCACGTTGAGTCACGTTTTGTATTGGTCTCTTGGTTTTTAGAGGGGACTAATCGCTAGCATCTTTTATCGGCCTGATGCTACCAAAAAAGGGGATACAAGCGCATGTTTCTTGTACGAAGGCACCATCATCATCATCATCATCATCATCATCGAGATTTGTTTGTGTTGCTGGTAGGAGTGATATCCAAGAGTGTTTGAAGCGCTAGGTGCATGGATGAGCTTATAGATTCGGGTGGGCTCATAGCATTTTTTGTTTTATATTTTTTTTCTTCTTCGCGTCTATCGCTCGTGGCTCCCAATAGGGTTTGGGTCTGGCTACAACACATCCTGGGAGGGGTTTGGAACTGTGATTTTATATTTTCGAGGAGATACCCTCACAGACGGCGTTCAGGATATACGGGGTTTGGGGCTGGATGAAGATCGCACGCATTCGTTTTACCAGAAGTGGCATCGCCGAGTTTCCGCGACGACAGCACAGCTTCACGAAAGAGTCGAAACAAAAAAGACCAAAAGTGGCACGGGAGAGCGAGAGCGAAGAGACGACAAACCTGTATTATTAGCCCACGCTTCGCATATATCATACTCCTAGCAGGCAGAGCAACTTCCTAGCATGGGGATCATCGTATATTGATGTCTCCCGTCGCAGAGGAGGCTCACATTCGCTACTGCCTCTGTAATTTAATTATCGACATATATGGCGTTCATCCGAAGGCCCGAAATCTTTAACTTTTTATATATTTGTGACTCGATCTACATATAATATGTATACACTTATCCTTGACATGGGCGCATATAATGGCCATTCTACGTGCATCACGTGGACTTAAACATGCGACATCTGCCGGATCGTCATAGAAAATGAATCTTATCATTCATCAACCCAGCCAAGTGTACCAGCCCAGTGAGTGGAGCCTGGTCTCTCTCTCGCTCTCTTTCTAAATTTGCCCAGATCCATGGATAGGTTTTAGGTCATATCATCTAACCGGCTGGGCGAAACTGGGGGATACTAGGGTTGGGTTTAGGTACTGCGACCTTTCTTCATCTTCATCCTCATCTTCTTCTTCGTCTTCTTCCTCATCTTCTTTCATCTATGCATATGGTCTGACCGTTTTCGGGATGCCCGAATGGATTTAGAGGATACCATTTTTTTTTCTTCTTCAAGCTCGCAATTTAAATCTATTCGGGGGAGGGAATGGAAGGGAAGGGGGGGGTGGTGCGGCATGGCATCCTTACCTAGGACCTAGGTACTACATATTTTATTACTAGTTAAAGTAGTATTAGAAGAAATATTATCAGATGGATATTACCTACATGAGTTACCCAGGTTATATGTAGATTAGTACATAGTTAGTAATTACACACCTCCAGGGCTTAATTATTCCTTTACTTTTAGACGCGGTCGGTCCACTGTTTCTTTTTTCTTTTTCTTTTTTTTTATCCCGCTATATGGGTGGTAGTTACATACAGTAGTTCATTATTCAACCTCTTGAACAGCCCTGGAGTTTTATAATTGGCTCTTTTACAACATGTATTCCCACTTCATTATCCATCCCATCGGTTACCACCTACATACGTATCATTAATGATATAATAATGGATACATCCATCCCATCACATATAGGTACATACTACATACGTACATATGTAGTCTATTTAATATGTATACTACCTCTTGATTTTAAAGCAACGAAGGAGGCAATTCAACCAATTGGAAACCTCCATACTGCACTTTTACCACTTATATATATCTACGAAAGTAAGTAAGCAGAGAAGGGGAAAATAAGCGAAAGGGAAGAGTAAAAAGGCAAAAAAAGGGGGAGGGGGGGAGGAAAGAGGCTCCTCGGCTTTGGCCAAACAGAAACGGAAGAATTGAGATCCCTATGCTACCTATTTCGTATGTTGTACCACCCACACACTCCCACTTTCACATTCACACTTACATACATACACACTGAACTTGCCGCATCCACCACCCACACACACTTACATAACTACATGTGGGTAGACAAGACAGACACATGGATACGATACGCAGGTGCTTCGCTCCCCATAATGATGTAACTCTAAGAAGGAGTTGTCCTGGTCGGTGAACCGTTGGGAATTTTGCCCTCTATCAAATGCTGGGTAGAGATGTAGGTTAGGTAGGTAGGTAGGTATGCGGAGGAAACAAGCTACGTATGTATGTACGTAAGATATATGCCTACCTACATACCTAGCTATAGTTATGTAGTAAGAGAAAAGAGAACCGAAACCCGGAAACCGAACTGGGTACTGTAACTGCTAACTACCTACAGCGAACTAACACCGTCGTAACCGCAACGAAACCTTTTTAAAAAAGCAAAAAAAAAAAAAAAACATACTCGACCGTTCTAAGGACATCATCTCCGCCGCTATTTTCTTACGGCCCTCGGTTTCCGTACTTTGAACTTCCTTCCGCCGTACCTACATACCTACCGAGGCCACAACCGCTGTCCGCTAAGCTTACCCGGGTTTAGTCCCACGATGCACGCAGAATAGTTATGTAACTAATGACAGCGGCTCTCTCTACCTACCTACCTACATAGGAAAAGGGGACGGAGATTTTATAAAAGGAGAATTGAAAATAAATGACCGAAATAACATATATAAAATAAGAAAAAAAAAAAAACATGAAACACGCTTATGACTGCAACGCAACTCTGATGCAGCAGCCAGCTGCCTTATATATTATACACATGCTATGTTTGTTACTTTATATCCCCTTTTCGCCGCATCTCTTTCCTATGTATACACACTTATTACAGCACCTACCTACTATAGTAGGTATCTACTTCATCGAAACACTGCTACATAACTACCTTATCGATTGAATATACACACGAGAACCCCTAACTATGTAGCCAAAAAAAAAAAGGAGAGGAAGTTATACCTACCCAGGTATTCACATATGTAGATTCTCTATGTATCCGGCATCTCCCACCTCAGGATATGGTTGACTAAACTAGCGTAGGATGAACCCGTCCTGCACCTCCATCTTATCCCATCCCATCCCATCCAATTCATCCATCATTCATCCAAGAAATAATAATAAAAAAATTAAAAAAGAAATAAAAATAATCGTACCATTATGACCGCACAGTTGATAAATAAAAACAGTCCATCACCCACCCCTCCCCCTTTTTCCCCCCCCCTTCTCCAAACCAACAAACACAACAACACATAACTATACCTAACCTTACCTACATACATAACCTGAACCTAATAACCTCGAGACACTACGCTGTTCTTATGTAAGCAAGCCAGCAAGCAAGCAAGCAGGCAAAAGCCAACGTTGTGTTTTCGTCCCACTTTAAACACATGAACCTACCTACCTATGTACAAAACCTTTGTACACACATCTAACTAACTATCTGGCCGCGAAAGAAAGAAAGAAAGAGAAAATAATGAATCAAGGGGGGAAGGAAGGAAGGAAGGAAAGAAGAGAAGAGAAACCCACGATCCGATCCCTACCTAGATCAGAATTATTTGGCGGAGGAGAGTAGAGAGAGAGTAGAGAGAGAGAGCCCCCCCCCCCCCTTTTTTTTTTTTGGTTCCCCCTTCTTCCCCATATTATAACAAACCCTTAGTTACAATAACTAGGAGAATCCGGAGAAAAAAAAAACCAAAACCACACTATTAAGTAACCTACCTGTTACGGACAAACAGAGCGCGCTCTCGCGTTCGCGCGCGCCGCTGGCGCGGTGTCGACCCAACCCGACCCAGCCAGCCAGCCAGCCCAGCCCAGCAGCCGACGAACGATAGTCAGCAGACTAGGAACTGGGATCGTATGCTTTTTTTTTTCTCGCGCTTTTGCGGGTTCCATGTTGTTGGACGAGCGCCTTGTCCACCTACCTACCTAACAATGACAGCAAGTCCCTTCCTCACTGGACCCGTTTCTAGTGTATAAACACAACACGCATTGAAGCTGCAAAAGTAATGTGTTACGAATAATGATAAGAATAGTCTTACTAATGCGGTGACCCCCCTTTTTTGTAACATGAAAGGTCACTTGAGCGTGGTAGCAGTAGAAGGCTGTGTAGTCAGCACGACATTAGATCCCTACACATACCTACTAATAGCACTACAACATAGTACTAGTTACTGGGTACTCAAAATATTATCCTGCACTGCTTTTTCGAGTAGCAGCCAGACAGGGAACCCTGATGGCACCTTTCCACGTGAACGGTGCTTAGATACACCCGGACTCGCTCCGCCCAATGTGGAAGGCTAGGGGCCGGGATTCATTGATAACAAGAAATGCAAGGTGGGTAGCATGTGTGGACCTCTAGGTGTATCGGTTACACGTCTGACGATCAACCAGGACTACGGTTCTGCTTCGTACCGCAGCAATTTATTTGTGGGCGGGACGACTTATTTGCTCCGACTCTCCGATACTGTCGCATTGGACGGAACCTCCTTACTATGGTAAAAAGAGGGAAACAATATTGTCGGCGGAAGACCACTTGACGCGGAACGGACATGTTCCTCAGAGTGACTGTAAAGAGTATTCCGTGCGTAACTTGCCGCTGACGCCAACCGGGATTACCTCGTTCACGTCAATAAACCAGGCACGCCTTTGCTTTTTTTTTCTGCCTCTTGCTTTCCCCCCTTCCTTGCCCGGTTCCCCCCTCTCGGGTACCACTCTAAAGCCAATATGCCGGAAGGGTATAGGCCGGAGCGGAGAGGAACCAAGGGAGGGAGGGAGGGAGGGAGAGACAGGCGAAGAAAGGGAAGAGAGGGGATGGAAGGGGGAAGGCAATATGGCACTTGCCAAAGTGGTATCGCTCATGTATGGCTTCATGGTTGTATGCTTGCTCGCGAGGAGAACAAGACAGCAATAGTGAACAGGTGGTCTCGAAATTCAAGAAGCCGACCCAATGGGCTAAGCTATCTGTAGAAGACTAGAATAAAGTGTTCCGCCCAATGACGACACAGCTGTCAATAGGTTGCCTTATGACGTCGATAGGACACGATGGATTTAGCCAATGAAAGTGGGCCGAAGGAGGAACAAACTGGTTACGGTAAAGAAAAAAGGAGGAGAGACATCTGGATATCTGGGCATCTGAAGCATTGGCCATGCTAAGTTGTCGAATTAGATTGTGTGTATGAACTTGTAGCCTTGTATGTAGTAGTATGTAGACTTGTAGACCCTGTAGAGTCGTAGACCTTCAAGTAGACCTTGTAGACCTTGTAGACATGCATGTTAGTCTTGCATGGAGTCGTGGAATTTCAACAAGCCAAGACTTTCTCATCGTACAGCCACATGTATGTACTTATGTACAGGCTGCTATGATCTTCAGGGTCTCCCTTTGTGCGACAAGCTCGGCGGGGAGGCGGACGGCTGTTAGTGGAGGGAAACGTGTTCGTCCCTCGCATGATTGGTGGTGAAATTGATCGAATTTCTGAATTTCTGGTTTGGCTCACCTTCTCCAGATTCTCCCAACCTATTATGAAAGCTTGAAGTGACACCCCAAAATTCTTCGGAATTGTGAGTGATGCAATTTACCATTCACGGGATTCCTTTCGCCACTTGTACATAGTATTTTCAAGGAAGAAGAGGGGGGAGAAACTGTCGTGCGCATGAGTTGTAGTTCATATAAACCCTATCGTCATGCGAAAGTGCGGCTTAGATGAATCCAATATCATGCTGCGGGACTGGGATTGCTTTCATCTCACGAGCTGACGCGGTGCATATTAGGTGAGATGTGAGATTTTGCCTTCTCGCAATGAAACATCCACGAATGATCATATAAACTGGATCAAACAACAAGAAGTCAGGATGCTTGGATCTTTCTTTTTTTAGGATCTTAACGCTCTTACACTGGTAAAAGACATTACAGACAGTGTGTACATACATAGCATGTAAGAAGTTTAAAAGTTAGAACGACATAGAGTGAGAGTAAGAAAATAGTGTAAGTATTGACGCGTTCGGCGGCGTGGAAGGGCATCCATCACCTAAGTGGCTTGCGGTAGGAAGGATATTTGCCTTAGTGTGTGCGTATCTTGCATGATGAGACCTCCACACAGCTGGCCTTTTTTTTCCTCCGTGCCGCCTCCTTCCCCATGGAGCAACTTGTTTCAAGTTCTTTCACTGCCGAGCTGGATATATTGGATCTGATCCCATGTAAACGACCGTGGGTCTATTGCCGACCTCTTTCGTTCTTCTCTCTCTCAATAGTGTATACTATCTCTCCTTTCTGTATCTCTCACTGTCTCTATCATGGGGGGGTAGGGGGGAGGGGGAAAACTAGAGCGAGGCTCGCACTTGCGCCAACCGGCAAACACAGAAGTCTCCAAATGCCTCAATATCCATTTTATTGAATCCACAATGACTGTCTGGGAGGGAGTTATTATAATGGGTACTGGGGATCTCCATAATCCATAAACCCCCCCCTTCCCATCCCCATTTGACGGTGTCGGATCGACCTATGTAATGGTAGATAGTGTAGAGAGAAAGGGTTAGAGGGGCTGGGTTGGTCTGGGAGGAGTAAAAAAAAAAAAAAAAAAAAAAGATTGCGAATTTTTTGGCGTAATTTTGAAGGGTGGTCGTTGTGAATTTGCCCTTGGGGGGCGGTCAAGGGCAAGCTCATATTATGACATCATACTGCAGGGGAGCCTTTTTGCTTAGATTTGTTGCGCGGGAGTCTTATTTGTTCATACCCCGGTTGTGATCCACAGAGATATGTGCAGGGGAGTTCCATAGCCTGCCTGAATATTGACAGGGACATCTAAAGCCAAGTCTTTGCGTACACGCCCCTACCCCCGTTCTGGGTTCCCTTCCCTGGGTACTTGTTCAGAGGTACTTCCATGTCGTTCCCCACAACGGTATGTGCGTACATGGATGTTTATATGTAGGTATACGTACATACTACTAGTAGTAGTACAGACACACTTTACAGTTGGAACTACACTAACTACATAGTTATATCCCTGTAAAGTTGTATAGTATTATACTACTAGTAGTACCCACAACATTGAAGTACACAGGTGGTATTCTGCGATGGATACTACTAGTAGTACATTACAATGATTACATACATGTGTGTAGTGTGTACAGTAGTATGTACATATGTAGTATACAACATTGAACTACATGTGTACATACCTACACCATTACACCAGTGATCACCTTCGTTTATATGTATGTTGATGTGTTCACATACATGCCTAAGGTTAGATAGGAGGGAGTGTACGAAATATAAATTTCGCTATGTACAGAGTTTAAAGCTACAGATGGGTATTGGTTAAATGCCATGTTCTGGGGTTATGGGAATGCCGTTATTGCGCATCAGAGGTGATCTTCTGTATATGTCCACGATGTATGCTTTATACCTACCTAACACCTACCTAACACCTACCTACTGTACATACCAGAAGAGGCCAGTATACGATGAACATGTATGTATGTATGTATGTGCATACATGCTACATATGTAATCTCTTCTATACAATACAATATACGACGCCACCCGTTCATTCACACATATGCCATATGTTCGCAATCTTCCGAAATATGTACCTATACAACTCAAGACGTGGTCTATATATGTACGTTATGTATTATATTGTATTGTACAATACATACCAAAGGCTCGTGGATAGATATCTCCCAAGTATCTAGCCTATTATGTTTTGTCTCGGAGAATTCCCTTATTGGTATTTGTTTCTTACCTATCATCTTATTGAATCATCTCGTTACATACGAACACACACACACACACACACACACACAAATGTGTATAGGGTATACAACTTACACATATATAATAATATCAAATCCTCATCAGCCAATGATCCCACAATACCCGAATCATCTAATCAGCCATTTTATAAAAACGCTTTCTATAATACATCTTTGATGCGTTACCACAATGGCGTAAGTGTTTGGAGATGGTTCCCTCTGTTTGCTTGTCTCTCTCTCCTCCTTCACCCGTCGATACTACTGGCTCCCGCAGTCTATTATGCAGTCAGTAATCTCACCGCCTCTTGGTGTCAACCTCCATTAAGTGTACGTATGTATGTATCAGCAGCATATGCAACGCAAGAGCCGTAAAGTGTGTTGCTGTCTTTGATTTGAGTGGACGGGACGGGGCTCGTCCCTTTCTTCCCTTCCCTTCACTTCCTTTCCCTCCCCTCCCTTTTCTCTGTCTCTCCTCCACTCAACCCTTTTTCAACATAACTAGTAGAAAATTTAAAAGTTAAGAAGGGCAAATGACGATAGAAAAAAGAGGGCAAAGTTCCCTTTCGAAAGGGAAAGAAAAAAACCCGGGGTCTCCTTGTCCGCTTGAAGCTGACCTTGGCTCATGCACTTCATGCACAACTGCCGATCCCTACCCGACTGTGTGTGCGTGGTCAGAGTCGCAATACACTTGGGGAAGAGCATCCCTCGCCCTTTTGCTGCATGCATTGCATATGTAATCAACCAAAATCCCTTATTATTCGGGTTGTACAATGTGTAATACTACCCGTCTAACGTAGGTAAGGTTGTATGCTAATACGTACTGTGTTCGCCTCCTCCGGAGTTCTGGATTACTTGTCCCAGTATTAGCATACTAAGTAGTAGCAGACTATTACCCTTTTCTTTATGCCTGTATGTAAACTTCGCCTATGTCCGAGGCTCCTTGATAAGGAATAGGAATAGGAATAAGGAGAAAAAAAAAAGGGGGTAAGTTAGAAACAACACCCTTGGCGCTTACTAGCCTTGTCTAAGCCTCGAAGGACTGTCTGCCGTACGACGTAGTCGTAATCGTAAGGAAAGGGGGTTGTCGTGTTCGTGTTGTGGCATATCGTATCGTGTCATGTTGTATGGCTCCTTTGCGCCGCCTGGGTCTTGCGACGTTAAAACGCCAACGAAGGCTAGTTCGTAGATCTTTACAGGTACGCGGCAGTTATATATGTACATATTGTAAGTACCTATCTACATGAGCTGTACATGGAAAAAAGTCCGTCCCAGAGTACTGGATTCGGAGTCCGGCAAAGGCGTCAGCGAACCTGTAAATCATCGTTGAAGGCGCTCTTCCAGATTTCCCCTTGAAGTAGATGATAAACCTGGCACTGGCACTACCCGTTGATCGACAGGACAGGGCCATCTCGCGTGGTTTCTTATCTTTCTTACAGGACCCCTCGAATCTGGGGAAGTTGGTGGAAGATCTCGAAGGGAAGGAGAAGGAAAAGGCTGTCAGGATCGACTTAGGGAAAACGCGCCATGGATTAGGATCATCAGATCAACTGTTCCAGATTTTTTCCCGTGTCTGCTCGCTGCTTGGAAGCAATATCGAACCCCCAAAGTTCTTTCAACACCAAGATACAGAAAAATAGGACATCATTCATTGCACAAGGCATTTACTCGTATTTCAAATACCATCAGAATACAATTATCAACCCGTCGAGGGGATACACTGGCATAGTAATCATCGGCGAGGCTGTGAGGCTTAGCAGTATGTTCATGTCAATGTAGCGATTGGAACTTCAATCATCCATGGGCACGCTCTTTATTGACATTGAACAGTTACGCTACAGAATCTGAATAGTTCCAATGTCAGTTCCAGTGCTTACCAAGCCGTCAGAATCATAGCACTACCTTGTATAGCTGTTATCTGTATCAGACTGAAGCATGTGCGGGAGGACAGTCGCGAGCGCATGTTTGCATCCAACTTCACTCAAATCCTCAACGTATTGCGAAAAAAAATCTCCCAATCATTAATGCGCCTATGTCTTTTTGTATCTACTGTACACGCCGCCACCCAAACCTTTGAACTGAAGTGACCAATAGCAATGCTGTTGTTTCTGCTACTCAAGCTCTTTATAACACAATCGCCAGCTCGGGCCTGTCGATACCCTCTTCGTTCAAATTCGGATAATAAGGAACCATGGCATCGGCTGCCTGTACGTATGCATCGTTGTAGAGTCGCCAGTAAGGCTGTCGAACTTTACGGGCAGGGTGGAATAGACCTGCCCACACGTAGTTAAGCACGAGGCCGGGCCCAACAGCCATGCGAATGGCTTCGATTGCTTCTACGATACGGTCAATAACGTGCGGGCTGGTTTCGAAGAGGTTAGGCCAGAGAAGATTAAGGAGATGCACCATGGCATCTTCACACCCTAGACCAACCACTCCGAGGGCTATATGCTTGACGACTGAGGCAGCTGTCTGTCGATGCACTTGATCACGGTCGATCAGTGCGTCCTCAAGAAGTGGTGTAACTGCATAGACGTAGTCTTTGGCCATCTCCCCGATGTACTCGAAAAGGAATGATAAAGACTTGAGTACACCGTTCTGGACGTTGAGTTCGGGGACTCGGTACTCATTCATTAAAGCAGGCAGCACTGTGAAAGGAGCACATGTCTCGGCGACGATGCCAATGGCGACTGCTGTACACACCCGTGACTGTCGCTCCTGGACTCGTAAGTTATTAAGTAAAGTGGCTAACACATCCTGCGGTCCGATGGCCTTGGCAATGAAGCCGAATGTATTGTTGGCCGCTCTTCGAATCCCCTTTTTGTGCGCCTTCAGCATGTCTAGCAGTTCGAAGCAGATTCGCATCCATTCCCTTGCGTTCACACTTTCCGGGCCACGGTCGGCAATTCGACCGACAAGGTCGATTGTGTTTTCTTGCACCTTTTCGTGACGGTTTCGTAGAATTGGCGTGAGCCGGGGTAGTAGATCCTTGATTGGAGGTTGCATTTGGCTAATACCAACGACAGTGACGATGCTACGAAGCGCGGAGAGAATAGAGCCCAAAACCTCAGGGTACTCCTCTCCGAGGTATTCGTATAAAACAACACCCAGCTTCCCCATGAGTGCATCTTCACCGCATTGCTTCATAACTATCGCAATTCTGCTGATAAGGTCTGCAGCTTGCTGGCGAATAGTTGCAGATTTGTTGTTTAGACGCCATAAGATAGTAGACACTATTTGTGGTAGATACGGCTTGCAACGCGTGCCCAAGGCGTTGACAACCGTGCCGAAGCCGTTCAGCATGATGATGTCCTCAACGCTTTGCTCTTGGAAGGAATGGAGGATGCCGTCAATGAGGCGCTCCTCTAATCTCTCCCCGATGTCTGCAGCCCCTAGACTGGCAACCACCTTTTCGACAGTCTCAACGGTCATTTTGCGATATGCCTCACTTTCATCTTTGAGGTTACCGACAACTCGTTCCAGAATCTCACTGACGCCAACCTTTTGACCGATGTCGACAGTTGTCTCGACCTACAGCATCAGATTAGTATAAAAACTCCTTATTATTTTAGGGTAGGGAAATCGACGTACCACTTGTCGATAGTTGCGCTTGTCCAAAGCCATCCGTCGAACCCAGAAACTCTTGAAAAACTCGTCGAGGACATGTTCCTTGAGATAACCGGCTGTCACACCTTCAGTGCCCGCACACTGAGATACAACCTTCAACACAACCTTCTTCATTTCTTCGTCTGGGGATGAGAACTCTCGGAGCAGAATATCCATCACTTGCGAGGTGTAATAGTTGGCATATTCTTCGTCCATTAGTGGTATGATATAACCAACGGCTTTTAGAAAGCCAGCAAGACCTTTACCGCGCTGCTTTCGAGCACCGGTCCATAAGGGGTTCAAAATATCATCAAAACTTTCAATACCGTAAGGGTTAGACGCCTCAGCAAGAGCAGCAATGGCCAAACTAGTAACGGTCCGCACTTTTGTCTGCTCGTCGTTTAAATTTGGGCCTATGCAGTCCACAAGTCCCTTGAGGTGAGGTAGAACAGCACATCCCATCAGAATAGGAATTTGCTGAACGATTTTGACACCGGTATGACGAGCTTGCCATGACTTCTTGCTTCGGCACACAGCGCGTAGAAAAGGCAGAAGAGCAGGTATACCGAGCGCTGAGGCCACGACTGCGAAGGCTCTCGCGGTTGTGTTCCGCACGTATTCGTCAACGTGATCAATGTCCGGCCTCATTGTGCTGATCATCGTCGCAAGACCAGCAGCCTTGCTAAGATTAGAGATAATCTCGCGACCTTCCACTCTGGCATAATAGTCTTGATCGATAAGAAGGGGCTCAATGACAACTAGAATCTTGTGAACGTAAGGGCGAACGAGGTCGTCAAGTTTCCAGAGGATGCGGTCGATTACTTTGACGAGCAAATGGCGTTCTTGGTCTTCTAACGTTTTCTCCATCAGAAGTGGAAGGATCTGGTTGAAGAGAGGCCCAGCGCCAAACTGCCTTGCATTATCTGTGAGTTGCCTGAGAGCAGTCTTTCGCATGGGAGGAGTACCATTCTTGATCTTCAGGAGAAGCCTCATGATTTTTCGCTCTTTGAGCTCGTCAACGCTTAAGCTGTTTTCGTCTGAGCCGTCTGCAAGCTTTCCGAAGTAAGCCATATCTTCCTGCTTGAAGAACTGTAGTTCACCGACACCGGGGATTTCTTTGGGCATTTGGCTTCCCCCTAGTCGTGTACTCTCAGGATCCTGCATCATGAAGCCACTGTAGCTCGGTGGAAGCGGCGTGGCGGCGGCCCTATGCAAGGGGGCATGCCCAGTAGTATATCCCGCCGGCGGGTCTAAAATCTTGTAGCCTTGCTCCTCGCCAGGAAGTAGTGCGTTTAGCTCTTCGTCCCCAAGAATACCAGGTGCAGATATATCTGACTTGACAGCCCCAGGCCCGACCGAAGATGTGTGCATTGGCGTGACTAAACCGCTGTTGCCAATGGGTGTTGCTGATGGTGCTTGATCCCATCTTGATCTCTTCTTGGCTGCGTCAGCAGTGCCAGCGGCGGGGAGTGATGGTGCCTGGTCCCATCTGGACTTTTTGGACTTTCCTTCAGCTGGCTCTGATGATGGCTCGTCCACAGCCGTGGAAGCAACATCCCACCTCTTCTTACGCTTTCGCGAAGCTGTGACCGCGTCGCTAGATCCGGCCTCCCCATTCTCTTTATCTCCATCCTTTAGTGTTGGCTGATGCTCGTCGTCGGGCTCTTTCCCTTCCCGTCTAGCTTGAATAGCGCGTTTGACTCGTTCTTCCTCCCTTTCGATCTCTCTACGTTCCATAACATCGCGAAACGTATCTCCTTCTTCTGCGGCGCCCCCTTGGCGATTGAAGGCATCTGCTCTCGTCGGGGTAAGGACGCGGTCGAAGCGGCGTTTCTGGTAGTCAGTCTCGCGATCGACAATTCTAGTACTGTTTTCACCTCTCCCTGCAAAGGGATCATCTTCTTCAACGCCATTCCCGTGTGCGAACTCATCGATCTGAGAACGTGTTGCGGTATACTGGCCAACTAAGCGACGCGAGTTATCTACGTCTTCCATCTCTTCATCTTCCCCATCTCCGGCAGGGATTGAAGTAAGATAGCCGGCATATTTGTCATCTCCATCGCGTTCGTAAAGTTGCGTGTCGAAAGATTCGGTTAGCTTTGCCTTGGTCGAGCTCTCAGATCGCTGATTGTTGGGATCTCGGCCGCGAGACCCATTCTTTGCGGCGGCAGCAGCATTTCGCTCAGCTTGAAGCTTTCTAATGGTCTCGAAGTCAGCGTCTGACATGGTGAAACATTCAGCCGGTCGCTGTCTTGACCTTTTCTTAGATGGAAGCAGGAAAAGGGAAGGTCGAATTAGAAAGCGAACGAAATTTCACGCGCTGATCGATGAGGCTTCCTGGTTGAACGATAAGAGAAGGACAATGAAACTTTTTGAAGTTATGTACGATCTCTTTTTTGTATTATGTATGTACCTAGTATCTAATAAGTCAGAGCTAGGACCAGAGCGCGTTTAGGTAAGCTTTTGTGGCAAATCGACGTGGCTGATGTGGGGACAGTATTTTACTATGACCTAGATAACTACTTATTAGGTACATATCATCGATCAATACATACTACTAGGTACTAGGTATGTATCTACCTAGTACTATCAACAACTTTGAAATACATATGTAGTACAGTCGAATTGAGGTTCAAGAAGGCAAATATCATATATCTATCTACACATACCTACCTAGGTAAGCAACAACTACCACCTAGGTAAGCAGTCAAAAAAAAAAAAAGCAACTCCGTACCCAGTCTGTAAATAAAATAATCAACAGACTAATACAAATAGCTACTCGTGCCCAAACCAAACTTCAGTCCATACCATGCCTGATCTTATACCCCTTGATCGACGAGACTACCTATCTATCTCCCTGACCTTCACTCCCCTCCCAATTCAATCAAAGCCCTCCCACTCAATATCCTCCCCAATCAAATGCCACCAAATCATCGATCCTCTGAAACTGCACGAGCAAGTCTAACCTCTTAAAGCAGCCGGGGGGCGAGACTGCAAAGTAACAATGAAATGTACAAACGATGGGCGTAGAGAGCTAATAACACATGTGTTGGTGAAGAAAAATAGACATATAGACATTAAAGTTGGTTTGGCGTTGTCGTAACTCATGAAAACGCCAAAGATTACCAAAATCCACGGCGGGATTTTTTTCTTTTCCCCCTAACCATCCTCTCCTACTTCTTTACTTTGACAGATAAGCCTGTCGGTTGGGTATCTTTAGAATGATGCTAATTTCCTGCCTCTCCGCAGGCGCCGGATCTATTACTCCTTCAGAGAGTTCATATCAGACGTATTTGGGTATTGATTGATGTGGTGTTTAGATATGCTTCTTTATCCTAAACCTAATCCTCGCAGCTTAATGGTAACTCCTCAAACCTGAGGAGCCGTCCGACCCTGGCTTAAAGAATTGAGTAGCTCCTGAGGCGGTATTCGTTGCATGCCGCTGCCGCGATCGAACATGGATGTCGGAGCGGGGACGTAGCCCTCGCGCTTCTTACGATATCGGTCTAGCGCAAGGCCTGCAAGCACAATGAGCACCATCAAGCCCAAGGAAATAGCAAGGCCAATGAGGGCGATGAATACAAGTGGCATACCACCACCTAGCACTAGTTAGTTTCTTGACATGCACAATGTTTAACGAGGAAGCTTACTGGAAGAGGTGAAAAAGTTGTCGTTTTGCACAAAAACTCGGTAGATTGACCCTGTTGTACTTTCTGTATTTGAGGTGAGGGCGTAGGGTTCAAGTGTCGTGCCGTTGAAAATTGCACTTGATGCAGTACCAAATCCCGGTATTCCAATAGAGCCAGTCATCATGAGTACCTGGTTAGAGTCTATGATATCCGATGAATCATGATCCTCAGTTACTGTGAATATCTGCAGGCTGGTAATTGTGGTGTCCGCATCTAGCGTGACCCCAGCTTGCACCCAAGATGAACCGTCATACTTCATCAAGAATGTCGAGCCGTCAGGTTGAGTGCCAGCAACCCAAACTTGACTCCTATCGCTATTTGCGGCAGTCATTGCATCGACGGGGCCTGGAAGATCCTCAGCGCCTGGGAACGTAGTCCAGTGGGAGCCCGAAGTGTCGTAAGATGCTAAAAAGACTGATGTGTCGTTGATTGTGAGATTACCGCCAGCGAGCAGAACTGAATTGCTTGACCACATCATACAATAGACATCGCCGCCTAACTCAAAGCCGGGTCTATTCCACTGGCTGGAGCCAGTGCTAAATAGGCAGACACTTGGGCAGGGAAGCGAGCCGGCTCTGTCGAAAGAACCGCCAACGTAGACGTCACCACTATCTGGTCGGACACTGATAGAAGAAACGACGACGTTGTTGCCGCCTAAAGCTGGAGGTTGAGTATTAAATGATTTTGACGCCAAATTATAGGAGATAAGCCCATTGACAGAAGATCCTTGGGCTGTTCCATTGACTCGTCCGCCAGCGAATACGTTGTCGCCTTGGATCGCCAGAGTCAAGAACACAGATTCCTCGGAAATTTGTGTGTCCAGGCCGGTCACGGAATTGGAATCCGCACCGTCAATGAAAGCTAGGTTATAAATAGAAGAACCATTGGATGCATTCGCAACGAAATGACCACCCAAGACTGTAATGTTCCTCCCATCGCTCTCGTAGAATGCACCAGCCACAACACCAGCAACGGTTTCGGTGTTATTTGCTAGACTCGCGCGTTTCGAGAGGCCATTCGCATTGCTGCTAGACTGACTAACAGGTGACTGGATATTGATAGGGAAGTTGCCAAATCCATTGGACATGGTGGCAACACCGTTCGCGCGGAGGGACTGGGAGGATATCGAGCCAGCGTAGAGAGTCTCATTGTCAGACACCTCAAGAATGGTTGAAAGGACACCGCCCAATAACGGAATTGGCATGTCCAGGTTTTGTAGCCAATTACTCTGCGACTTTACCCAGATGGCGAAGCCCGTCGTCTCAGCAGCCTCATTATCGCCGAAAGCCAGCAACTGAGAGAAATCACCAGTCAATGTGATAACATCTTCTGCCGTGTCACCGCTAAGATTTAATGTCATTGGTACAATGTTCGCGACAATTCCATCTACTCCTGCCCCAAGAGGCGTCCATTGGTCATTCGTACTATCATAAACGGCAACATTGGCCAGTCCTGAATTAGATCCGGCTTGGGTATTGTTGAATCTGCCGCCGACGTACAGTTGCGTCCCGCTCAGATACATGGATAGGATATCCCCATTGAGACCGCCATCGAGAGCCACGGTCTGGCCATCGTTGGTGATGGCGACGATGTTGCGTGTGTTGTTAGAGGTAAAGTTGCCACCAACGTAGGTTCTATCATTACCAACGACAAGCGACGTCACTGCGGAGTTAGGGTCGAAGGAAGATCCGAGCTTGATGAAAGCGGATGCATCAAAGTCGGAGGTATCGATGGTAGGTTGTGTAGGATCGTATTCGAATAAACCATTAAGACCGCCGGTAGAGTTGATAAGCTCAAACCCAACTCGCTGGGCTACCATGACAAAATCGTTGCCAGGTATGGACTGCTCTTGACCGGCTACAGGTGTCATGGTGATGCTGGGTCGGAAAGAATCCGAGCTAGCATCAACAGACCCAATATGGAGCTGATCGTACTTGTCAAACTCGTTGGTCTGGTACAAAATCCTAGTTGGCATGGTCTCGTTGACACCGCTCGACATCAAAGTCCCCGTGACGCTGATTTGCCCGCGGCTCAAGCAAGTGTTATCCTGACGACAGCCAGGTGTGTACAGCTTAATGATGTACTCCCCGGACTCTCTGATATCAGGGTAGAACACGACAGACGCAGCATCGGAGGCGACAGGTTTCGGTAATTGAGCCGAGAGATATTGAGAGCTACTCTGTCCGGATTGCGCAATGGCCCACGGCCCTGTTGATGTCGCAGTAGAGGGCGTCGTAGTATTCGCACAGCTCGGCTCGTTGAAATCATTGACCGCGAAGGAGAAGATATCGTCCTGGTATAATTGAATGCCATCAAGACCGCCACCATTGCCGTACCAAGCAGACACGTCGAACCGGAATGCGTTCATCCCAATCCGATTCACAAAGTGGAAGTCCTGATACTTGATGGAGGGATCATCGCTAAGGGGACATTCACTAGTGCACGAGGCGTTTTGCTTGGTTACAGGATCGATGTAAGTAAAGTTCATGATGCCGTTGAGTGGCTGCGCAGTGAACCTCCAAGTTCGTGTACCTCGGCCATCCTGGTGCGTATTCCAGAGTCGAAGCTTCGTAGGTTCGAATCCATAGTTGAATGCCGCCCTCCATGTCCCTGCTGTGTTGTCTTGCAAGAGCCAAGTGTTGCCAGCACCATCAACCCCATCGGTTTTGCAAACCACGTTCTTCGGATCACTGAAGCCAGCCGATGTTGTACCTTGATCGGCCTCGATGGTCGCGGTGTCAAAGTTGATGACCTGGCTGTCAGGGGTGCTCGGTGTGCTCGTATTTCCTAGGCCAGTAAAACTTCCTCCGAATATTATATGTCCACTAGGCGCCTTCGTGATCGTGTTGACGGGTCCATTAAATCCGGCAAATGGCAAACTTGCCCAACTTTGGGATGCGAGCAACGTTATCGCGTTAGTTGAGTTGGCTGCCCTAAAACTACCCCCTACATATACCATGCCAGCCGAATCATCACATAGCAAGCTATTAACTTGGCCTGACAGATTGGATATAGGGCTGACCTCAGAGGTATCCGGGTTATAAGAGGCAATGCCTGGTGATTGTACTCCGCCTACACTGGTGAAGTTTCCGCCCAGAATAACCTGGCCTTGAAACATACACATCGTTTGAATGGATGCATCCGCTTCTAGAAGATTAAGAAACAGGCCATTTGGAAGACGGGTCATTAACTGCTGGGATCCGTTGGTGCTAGAAGATCGTTCTGTTTGTCCCTGGTATTGATAAAGGGAGATGCCATTGAAATCACCAGCAATTCCAATTCTTCCTAGCTGGCTTGTATCGAGATGCGCGTCGGGTATGGAATTGAAAGTAATCGCTCTCGAAACCGACGCGAGCGATGCGAGAGTAATAAGCCATGTTGGCGACATCGGTAGACGATTGTGCATGGCACAACTTGGGCTCAGTGATAGCTTCATGGCTAATTCTCCTAGTGACCGAGGCAGCAACGATGTGCCCCGGTCTCGAAGATGTCCGGGTTAAACCTACACTACTACCGAAAACCGTCTTCGAACACAACGGTCAATACTCTAGTTTCCAACAGGGTCCATAACCTCGGAGGCTTCGGGATATATTCGTATTAGCGATTGAAGAAGCTAGCAGCTAAGCGCGAAGCAGAACGCTCGAGACGTGTTCTGCGATGCGATGTGCGAGAACGATGGTTTCGAAAATGTGCGAAATCGGTGAGAAAACAAATACTAAACGAATGGATTCGGAGAGAAATTTTTCGAGGTAACGCGTAGTTTCGGCGAGGTTTCGAAATTTTCAAATTAAATCTGCATTCGAAATTATTAATTACTGTCGTGTTAGGCAAGGATGATTGTGTACGTCGTCCGCCACAACTTTCCAATACCTATGCCTAGTAAGTTTGGAAGTTCGGGAAGTTGATGATTCAAGGGAAGCTTCTGTATTCTAGCGGCGATGGGATGGCTGGTATCAGTGGTATGGGCTGTGTGATACCTTAGTACGATGCCCTATGCCTTTAGGTGCTGGCTAGGTGCTGGCTAGGTGCTGGCCCGAAGTGCGTTGTCACTAGGTGGGGTGGTACCTGCACTGGTACCCTATTAGCTTGTTCTATCAAACAACTCATGATTTCCGCCAGTTTTTACCCAAACCAGCCAGGGTTTAGCCAAATTGAAATTGAAATCGAGATGAAGACCATTTGACAGGCCAATGGTTTTTTGAAACAACGATAATGCCATGTACAACAATACGAGGCGGCATGAAAAGGCATGTATGTAGCAAACACAACTTTGTGTTGTACAGGCATTCACTCTTGTTCGCCCAAGAGAAATATTTGAACGACAGACAGTTAAAAAGGATACGGATATCAACTTACCACATACAGTCCTGAATTAATACCTTCAATATTCGTATCACTTTAGAAGTGATATGTGCTGCCAACTGTGATACCTATGTAAGAGCGGATGCGATGCGATGCGATGCGATTGCTTTCCACGTAAGAATCCAATTTCCTGGTTTGTCGATTTGCCTTGGTTTTTTATTTATTTATTTACTAGGTACTTTAAAGCAAGTTACCCAGGGTAGACAGGCTGCCTATTCTATGGTGATTCTTGGGAAACGAACGAAGTGGGAACGTTAAATTAGTTCCCTTTGAGATTTGAGATAAAATGAGCGGATGTCGAAACTGGTGACGACACGATCGTGCTTGGTGTCCCTTGAATTGTCCCAGAACTTGTCGCTGTTAGAGACGTGGCCTGCCGAACAATGCTGTCCTCGGATCAGGGGCTTGGGAATTAGAGATGATTGGATCGTCGGTTAGATCGAACGAGTGACTAGAAACAAGAAAAAGAAAAAGAGAGGAATTGCCGGAAGGGCAGACGATAAGACAATTACAAGATAGTTAGTGCGTTGATGGTTACAACTCTTTACTATGCTTGAATGAATATATCGCCTTAATGGTTTTGATAAGGGGGGGAAAAGGAGTGACAATATTATGGGATGGGTTTTTTTCTTCCTCGTCAAAAGATCCAACGGTGAAGAGGTTACGGCCAGCGTCGTGCCACAAACGATGGAAGAAGAATCTGGGTAAAAGAAGTAAGGCGCCAGAGTTCTGCACTTGCACCTGCAGTAGCGCGGGTTTTGCTGATTTCCCATGCATTGTGCACAGACCATATTGACCATAAGGGGGAGTAACAAGGATGGTACGTAGCACGGTGGCACGCATTTTACACACATGCATTTTACGACCGTACGGAGTACAAGCCCACACAAGGGGGCTGTTCCTGACTCCTGAGAAGCCAGAAGCCTCGGAATTTTCCAATCTGTGACTGGTCTGGTCTCATCATCCGAATTGTAAGTGGTTGACAAATAACTCAGGGCCTTGTGCGAGGGTTCTTTTTCTTCATATTACATACATTGCGAATCCTCTTGATATTCTTTAACCAATCACATTCATAATTCCTTGACGACTTCTTCAACGGGAGGCCAGATCAATGTCCCTAGCCGTTTGGCCATGTACGTAGGCCGCATGCATGTCAAATAGATTACGACAGACCCTGTGGCGCGAACTTGAATATCACATTATGACATTGAACATCAACTTGAAGTCATCTTAGGCTTTGCATGCATATCATAGACATGCATCCTACGCCATATAGTATCAGAGATTCAGAGTTCGTTACGTACATGTAGGTACCCATTACTATTTATCGTTTGCTGCTACATGCATATTAAGTTAAGCTTATATTTCACGTTTCGCCAAAATGCCACCCATGTTCAAGTAAAACATCTAGGTATAGCCCGATCTAAAAAGTCCCAAGTGATCAGTACAAGGACTTTGACGAAATTCAAATGATCTACGATCGATCCAAAGGTTTGGGGACTTAGAGTCTTGGACTAATATACAGGTAGCCATTATCATGTTGAAAAGCTGGACACCCGATAATGTTTATATATTCCCTTCCCTAGGGTAGGTGCAATACCTAATATGCATGTATACCTACTACGTAGGCAGGTTTCTACCTACCAAGCAACCAATATATGTAGGCTGAGATATTCATTCCATTCGTCAATTTGCTCCTTAGTACAACTCCCGGCAATTTCACGACCACTCAGAATAACCCAATTTCCCTACCTTCCTACCTTCCTACCATACCTAATAGCCAACCTGTCACATAATTACTAAGCACTCGAAAGCAAAGTAAGAAGTGATCATGATTTCGTTTTGTTATTTTGTGACTCTGCCAAAGTCATGCGCGTTTTATAATCGCGAGGGCTCTCAAAGAACTGCGGTTTACCACCCCACATCCCTCGTTTCTTAGCTTTCGCTTCACTCTCCGCGGCCTTATACTTCTCCTCGAGGCCACCAAACTCCGCGCCCGTCTTTGCCTCGTAGGTTGTGGCCAACCCGCTCTTAATCATCTCTAAACCAACATCCCGGCGGAACAAAAACCGTCTTACAAATACGGTGGCGACAACACGCTCGTATTGATCACGTCTGTAAATTTTGGCTCGTACCCTTCGTCCAAGTATGTAATTCGATAACCATAATAATGCGTCCATCGAATATGGTTGAGCGGGTCGCCCGAAGTGAGCGCCTTCCGGCGCATCGATACCAGCAATGCGGATAGGAATCTAAAACAATCAAAGTCAGTTACCATAGGAACGAAAAGGGGGGGACAAGAAAACATGGCTTTATAAGGCCCTAGAGTAACTAACGGTCTTGTTCTTCAAGTCAGCTCTCTTGACCGGAATACTTCGTAGCCAACCCCATCCAGCCATTCGGCCACCAGGGGTGTGATATAGATGGAAATTATCTCCATCTCCGACACTCGTCACTTTGCCGAAAACGCTCCTCTTTCTAAAGAAACTTGGCTGGATGTAGACAACTCCTGGGATACGGCGTAGGTACGATCGGTAGATCTGGACTGAAACTAGGATAGTTGTCGTGACAAGCAGAGTCGGAACCCAGTTTCTTGGGTCTTTATAGTGCTGCCAATCGGTTCCATTCAGACTGTCAGACCATGAAACGGACCGCTTCGAGGAGTCATCTTTCCCAGATGCAGAAGTAAAAGGCCATACCATTGTATTTACGGCTCTCGGAAGTCGGGGATCGGGCCTCGAAACCCAAAATACATGAGGAACGATGGGTGACGATGATTTGAATATTTGTAGTATTGGAATTAAACCGACAAGCGATATTCGGTGGTGTTTATTTAGTAGCACTAGCTTAAGGGAGTATGTAGTGGAGTAAAAGATGTTGGTCTTATCGTTATCTATCTGTTGCATCCTTGAAATAATAACATCAATATCAGGTATCATGAATGTTGATTGGAGGTGGCAGGTACGTACTGTAGTACGGTTACACTAATCAGATCCATGGATGTCGATGTTCCAGAACAAGCCCCATCGACGTCAATGTGCTCTCCCAAGCAACGCATCCCAAGCAACACAGGCAACACGTGCATTTCCATGCATGCATCTCGAAACTTAGATACAGTACAAATGTAAGTACCTACCAACCTGCCTACAATTACCCTACATACCTCGGAACATGGAACATGGAAGGGGGCAAATAAATCATGAGCGATTTCTTTTCTTTTCTTTTCTTTTCCCACGAACCGATACTAGAATATTTCCTTCATGAGCAGCTAATCTTATAGTTACAGTAACTACCTACCCAGGGTATTGTATATATGAATGCCAACGTGGGTACATACAGTATTCAGGATATCGTGGTTCAGGTTAAAAACCCCCCGACAGCCTGAGCCATATACATAATAATAACAAGAACTTTCCGGAGTTACGTCAACCCCCTTCGACAGACGATCATTTAATTACCTACCACACTTCACCTAATCGCAATTGGCTGAGAAGCTGTATTCCACGTTGTGTTTACTCATTGGTTAGGACCGCAAAAGAACTTGGGAACGTTCCCCATTTATGTAACAACTTGATGGGTTGAATCCCGGATCGAGGTCGTTGTCTAAATGTTAATTCTGATTCCTTAACAATGTCGAACCCTCGCCGACGAATAGTTCGGGTAGAGGAAACAGAGCGGCAGCCTCTTTTAAATCAGTCGATATTCAACCATGCTACAGATCAGGACCAAGATTCACTGCTCACTTCTAATCCGAATTTTCACGCGCATCTCCCGGTATATACCAACATCCATAGGATTCGGAGGGATGTGATTAGCATAGTTGAGGATTTCCTCACGCTCGATCAACTGACGGATTTGCGGCTTAATATATCAGTTGTCCGGCCCCTAGTAGACAAGCTGTATGAACAAAATGACATCTCTATCGGTATGTATACCACTTAGAAGCTCCACGATATCGATGTCTCGTATTCCATTATCAGCCGCTACTTATTTATCAAGTGCCTAAACATGACTGATGGTGACTTAGTTTATTGCTTGCTTGTGAACCGGTCTCAATTCTTACACGAGCAAGAGCACATGACCAACAAACAAAATGTTTACTTCGCGCGGGCAACACTTTGCGAACTTGTGGCAACTCGAATCCTAAGACGCTTTGGCGACGATAATCCAGGCTCCGAAGGGCTACTTCTCCTGGCTAACATTTTGGTTGCTGGATTTGGCCCCTTTCAGAACGCTCCCGAAGATGTCCGTCAAGAGGCCTTTCTTGGTCCTGCGTGGAGCCAGAATAGAACTTTGCCGGCACTTGAAGTAGCCATTCTGTGTGGGAGTAAATACTTTCTCAGCTCTACCCACTGCCAGAAAGTGTAAGCAAGGATAATTTGTCTACCAGTTTACGACGAAGCTCACATGCTTGACAGGATCAACGCAATTTACATTGGACAAGTCATATATACACCTTCCACTTTTGGTGAGTACAGCAGCCCTCTTCTCCCCAAACTATGTCGCAACTCCGTGTAAAGCTAACACATTAACAGTAGGTAACAGTATACTCCCTTGGCCTCCTTTTCCCTGAAACGGCCTGTGTTTCTTCAAGGCTGTCAAACTAGGTCTCATATGTGATATACTAATGTCAGTAGCTGGATATGATTCCGGACCGATACAAGCTGAAGCCCATCTCACTGTATGAGCCACACGAGGCGCCTTTACTTAACCAATATCGTTTAATAGTACCGCGCACTCGAAACTATCTAGAGATCTGCCAGTTTATTATCTTGCTCACTCTGTACCTTCTTTTTATGCTTGAACGCAAGCCGGAGTATCTAAGCATCTTTGAGATCGCCTTTTCAGTTTATGCATTCGGCTGGGTCTTGGATCAATTTGCGACAATCCTAGCACACGGCTGGTAAGTTCGGTCTTTGGGTTTACTTGCATATGATCACTAACCAAATAAACAGGAATGTATACACACAGAATCTCTGGTCGTTCCTAGATGTTATGTTTGTCATAGTCTACTGGACCTATCTGGTATTAAGAATTTATGGCTGGAAATCAGGCCGTTCGGAACCAGGCCAGCAAGCACTCGATGTGCTTGCAATGGGAGCCCCCGTGCTCGTGCCCCGCCTGGCTTTCAACCTGTTATCAGATAATCTCGTGTTCCTATCACTGAGGTCAATGATGGCAGATTTTACTTTACTTACGGCTTTGGCAGCCTGGTAAGGACTCCCGACACTCAATAAATCTTAGCAAGAGGATGTTGTGAAACTAACAATGGTCAGGTGTTTCTGCGGATTCTTGATGTCCATGGTATGGCTCGCGGAAGGGCGCCATAGCTTTGTGTAAGTGTCCCGTCATTGCAAAAATAAACCTTTGACTAATAATCCGTAGGAATATCAGTAAATGGATGCTGTGGATTTGGTTTGGTTTAGATGGTACTGGTATTTCTCGCTCTGTAAGTGGCATGACATTCAACCTCCATGCCTGCAGGCCTAACCTTTTTCTACACAGACGGAATTTCATTGGATTCTGGGACCAATATTGATGATTACGTTCTCTTTTCTGGGAAACACATTATTCCTGACAATTCTGGTGTCAATGCTCTCGAACACTTTCAGCACCATTGTTTCTAATGCCACCGCCGAGATCCAATTCCGGAAAGCGGTCTTGACGCTCGAAGGAGTGAAGAGTGATGCAATATTCGCTTATCAACCTCCATTCAACATCATTGCTCTTTTCGTCTTGGTTCCCATGAGGTTCCTGGTGAGCCCCCGATGGTTCCATAAGATCCATGTAGCAACCGTCCGAACTATCAACTTGCCGGTCTTGCTTTTCATCGCCGTAGCCGAGAGACGACTCTTATGGTCAGATACGGATTTAGCAGCTTATCCGACGGAGCACACACCAAAGAAGCGTCGAAGCAGAAGCTGGTTTTGGGAGAAGTGGAGAATAACTAGCCATGGCGATATACAAGCCGTCTTCGAAATACCTCCGCCTGATTCAGTTGAAGACGATATCGCCGTTGACGACGAGCTAACCCACCACCTGATCCGGAGGCAGTTTGCAAGGCAACAAAGCTCGGCTATGATAGAGTCGAGCAAGAAGCAGGATAAAAAGCAGGATACTGACGAGGCGAGCCAGCCACCACAGCCCAAGACGCCCAGTCGCAGGGATTCTATAGCGCCATATGGAATGCTGACGGACCAAATCCGTGCTATCATGAGTGAGTCAGCCGAGCTCGAGGATGTGACGAGTCGGTTAGCTGCATTGGAGCGTAGTACCTCGAGGGTTGAAGAAATGTTGAAGAAGATATGTGGCGAGGCAAATGATAACCATACTTGAGGAGCAGAGGACGAGTAAGAAGCAACGATAGAGATTGTACAGGTAACGACACTACGGGGTATGATAACAGATTGGGCATTCCGTGCCGTATATACATACACGAATTCATATTATATTATTTGGGGCAAATGTCTTGCTCAGTACACGATTTCCAGTGTTTACTAGGTAGGCCACCTACGTTAGATATTCGCAGTACACACCTCCTAATGTTTGTAATATAAATATTGATTTCCGTCAGGGGCCACTAGATGACCCTCTTGGGATGTCGCGGCTCTCTGGTCATTTCGAGTAACGAGCACTTAAATTGCAAAGGCGCATGGTGAAAAGGTGCTCGACTCATCCGCTAAGAGGAGATGTTTGCTAATTCCAAGTCAAACATCAAAACAACCTTGAAATAGGCACACTAAATATATTTTTATCCTTTTCTTTTCTTTTCTGTCACAATTCTCCTTTTTTTCATCCCAAGTCTAACGGGAAGGAACTACCCTCGAAGCCTTGACATTTAAACTCAATTTAACACCTACCCGCCATTGCGATTGCCTACATACGTATCTACCTACCTACCTGGGGTAGACACTATACCTATTTGAAAGGGCACAGAGGTAAAAAGCAAGAGCGAATATATGCAGGAACGTGCCTCACAAACGTCTTAAGATCAGATAACAGGGACCCGATATTGCATATTTCCCAACCAGCAAATCGAAATACATATACATATACATTATACTTTGCTTGCTCAGCTACCTAACACACATACCCGGTATCCAAGATACGCGATCCACCCCTTCGCGAGGGTGGGAGAAAAGGGGAAAGGGGTAAGAGGGGGGGCACAATGTGCACTACAACCCGTACGTACACCTACCTGCCCTACCTACCTACCTAATGCATATCACATCACATCACAATCATATCCAATCCCTAATCCTATTATACCCCAACCTAACCAACCACAAGCCCCCCCCCCCCCCCCCCCCCCTCCCCTTCCGTTCACTAACAATACACACAGACTTCCGCAGCCGCACCTGCCGGCACCACTGGCTGCAGATCCGCACGCAGTGCTGGCCGGGCCACGGGTTCAACACGTGCCCCACGTTCGGCGACGGCGTGGCGCGGGAGGCGTCTCCCCTCGTCACGGTGGCGGGCCGCTGCCCGGCCTGCGTCATGCCCGGCCAGTACGACATGCACCTCGTGCGCATGATCGTCGATATCCAGGACCGCGTGCGCTGGGGGTTGGGGCCGAGTAGGGGGGATCCCGGGTGTGAGTGTGGTGTTATGTGATGATGTGATTGCGGTTGAGGTACTGGGAGCTGGGGCAGGGGAGTGGGATGGGATGGGATGGAATGAGCAAGCAGGTTGGGGAGATGGACTAGAGTGAGAAGTGTCTGCCTGTCTTCGTGGTGTTGTGGGCCAACATGAGGTGGATGGCGGAGGGCATAGCATACGTACACCTTAACTTCTACGGTGATACCCAGCACCTGGACAGACTTACCAATTACCTACCTAGATAATCGACCCCCAAAACATGAGCGGGGCATGCGATGACAGACACTCTTAACTGTGGTCGAGTTGAGACAAAACACCTACCATAAGGAAAGGCAATCAGCATAAACTCAGAAATACTATTTTCTCCTATCACCAAAAAAATTCGACATCACGTGCTCAAATTTAGGTGTTTTTTTTTTCCATTCGTCCCAAAAACTTTCAACTACATTCTTTCTACCACACCCACCCACCCACCACCGCCGTCCCGTCTGTTCTGTCCCCAAAACACAGATGCTTCCCACGCCAGATACCTCGCACGTAGCGTACGAGCGCGTCTACGAGCCAGCCGAAGACTCGTTCCTACTCCTCGACACGCTGTCCTCCGCGCCCGAGACCTCGTTCCTGCGGCAGCGTTTCTTCGGCAGCGACTCCTGGGGCGCCCCGCTCGTGCTAGAAGTAGGCCCAGGCTCGGGCGTGGTCGTCGCCTTCGTCCACGCGCACGCCAGGATCCTCTTTGGGTCGCCGGCCGTGCTGACGGCCGCCATCGACATCAACGGGCACGCGTGTCGGGCGACGGGCGAGACGGCCAGGAAAGCAGCGGCAGAGAATGCGGAAACGCACGGTGAATTTCTCGGGGCCCTGCAGGGGGATCTGGTGGCGCCTGTGAGGGATCGGTCAGTGGATGTGCTGGTGTTCAACCCGCCGTACGTGCCCACGTCCGAGTTGCCTCGGCAGCCCACGCAGCAGCAGCAGCAGGCGGATGATCTACTACAAGCTACGAAGCCCACCACCACGTTCGACGAGGACTCGTACATGCTCTCGCTGTCCTACGCGGGGGGCAAAGATGGGATGGAGACGACGGATAGGCTGATCAGCAGCCTGCCACGAGTGCTTTCTAGCAGAGGGTGCGCGTACATCTTACTATGCGCCCAGAACAAGCCCGAGGAGGTCAAGGAGCGGGTTCGAGCCTTCGGGGAAGGTTGGAAGGTCGCTACCGTGGGGTCAAGCGGGAAGCAGGCCGGGTGGGAGAGATTGCAGATCATTAGAATCTGGGTAGAGTAGATAGATACCCAGTTGTTACCCAGCAGGTAGACAAGAGAGGAAGTTTGCGTCAACGAGCTTCAATTGGTTTCTTTGGATGAGCATTTAGCTCCACACGAAATGACATGACGCGGTGTTTGCAAAGGGGCCATACCGGCTTGTTTGCCATTCTTGAATGGTTTCTTTTTCATTTACCCTCCAAACGCCGTAGTAGAAATTCCTAGTGTCTTTCCGTAGGCACTCGGATACATCATGAAGCCCAACTGCAAAGTAGTAGCTATCCCTCCATTGCCATCAAGGAGGCGAGGGACATATTACAATAGAACCAAGGCCCTTAGCCATTTAGATCCCGCGACCACAGCCAGAACCGCCCTATGGCCTGCCCCGTCCCCGGCCGCGGCCACCACCACCGCCGCGGCCTCTACCTCTGCCGCGTCCGACGCCTCGTCCACCTCTATCTGCTACTTCCTTTCGCGCTTTGTTCTTGGGCTTCACCGAGTCGTCGATCAGCAGTGTATCTAGCGGTAGCGAGTCGGGAAGCACGATGTATCGAATAGTAGAGCCGCGAATGTTCATTGTATCGAGAGAAATAGCATCTTGCCCGCGGGGTGTCATCTTGACGGTTCGCAGGGCGGTGTTCATGAGCGGCGAGACGGACGTAATAGTACCATGCACGATTGTTCCTGGTGACCGACCTGGTTAGCTTATCATGCGGTAGGATTTCATTGTGATTGGGATGGGATGTATCGCGGATACCATTTTTTAGCTCAATCGTTACTGTTTCGTTGGCGCATTTCATCAAGAACCTAAAAGACAAAACGATAGGATTAGCATCAGAGCTACAGAGGCCAGCTTTGTAGAGGTTGTCTTGCACAAAAGACAGGTGCTAGCAACGGGGAATGGATTGTAATTACCGAACGAGCTTCATCTTGGCGAGATTTTAATTGTATTTTTAGGACCAAGCGAATGTACAGGTGTAGCAGGTGTTGTTGCGTGGTGGGAAGCTGCAAAGTCGGCGGTCGCGTCAGTCGAGCTTGGATTAGATATGATATGTAACTATGTAAAAGTTGAAAGCAACATCAATAAATTATTAGCGTAGGTAGATTTAACATTGACTCGGATTAAGTCACGTGATGATACAGCTAGCGCCGTTCAACGTTCTACAACTTACTATGTACAATACCTATTACCTAAGTTATGTAGTTAAACTGTTATGTAGTTACAGTAGGTATCTTCAAGTTACACAAGGCTGGTACAATCCAGATTCCAGACAACTTGAACATTCAATGTTAAGCTTCAACTCTATTCCAATTCAATGTTACTAACCTTACAAATGTATGCATGTATTTAGCATCAATATCGTACTTGTCTAATTTCTACAAACTTCGTACCAAACACACGGAATTCCACAACCCCAAATGTTGAAATCACTAGAATTCACATATGTAGGTAAGTAAGGTGCATGTGACTTTTTTAGTATTTACAAGTTCAACGTTGCTATGTAGGCCTGAAGGTATTGAAAAAAAAAAGCTAACCTCGGAAATAACTTGAAATAACCTTGAACTACATAATAACCATCCCCCTACCACTATACCCTAGGTAAATATCAACACTTACGCAAGCTTTCCTCATTTCCAAGGTTATGTTTTGTCTTGACCGCAACATGGCTACTATCTTAATACATACACTTGCAATTCATTTATATGACCCCATAAATACTACACCGTTGTTATCTACCGTTGTTTTCAATGTTGTTGAATGCTTGAGTATTCTAGTATCAACAGTATGTATGTATGTAAGAATGTGTATGTAAGGTATGTAAGTGATCACGTGACACCCCTTACGGAACTCAGTGTCACTCTGAATATGTCTCTGAACTACCAGAAAGAACATGCCTACTTCAACATGCCTACATCAACGTCGTAATTATGGACTGCTTCGATATATTTCAATATGCCCATGTTATACTAGTTAGAAATATTAGTATTAACATTACACATTACGCGTCACGCATGAATGATGGCAGTGATTCCACACATAGAACAGGATAAGTGCCGGTATACCCACTGTGTCTAGACTTTCTCTGAGAGAACTCTACTCATCCCTTAGAGTTACCTTGCTCGTAACTGGATCCTTCCATACACTTCACAAGGAAGTAACCCTGGTAACTTCCTCTCTCATACTCTATAGCCATAGTTGACGTTCGATCATATTGGTTATTGTGGGCTTGCAAGGTTGATCTTACCATGTAAAGTAATGTTGCCCAGGTAGGCGCCGTACAACTGCATAGCAAATGTCTATGCTCTCATCTATAGAGACTCAGAGAAGTGATATTTTGTATGTTGTGGTTGAATATAAATATCACATAGGTTAACCAAGTTCTTCCTTTTCTGTTCTGGCCAGGTCTTCATACATTCCATCCATCACTCGTCCATCTCAGAAACGCACCATCTACCTACATCGTATAATTACTACAACCCCCTTTTCAACCCCCTATCCAACATGCAGTTCAAAAACATCATCTTCTCCCTACTCGCCGTCGGAGTCGTCGCCGAAGTTCCTCCAGCGAAATGCAACAATGACGTGGACCAAAAGAACAGCGACAAGTGCATTTGGGGAGACGGAAAAACCGGAGGAGTGTACGACTGCAAGGGAGATCCGCAATGCGAGTCTCAGCACGCACAGGGTTGTGGTAAGTGTTGCCTATATACCTAGATACCTAGACTTGGATGTTTTTGAGACTAACAATGCTGTTCAGCCGATGCCAACCACTGCACACTGATGCACGGTTGAGTGCATATGAGAGTTGGATCATTATCGAAAGGGGCGTGGGAGAAGTTGAAGGATACCTACAACAATGCCTACATGTGCAGAAGGAAACAAGGCTTGAAAGAGACACCAAAGCTCGCATGGAATTACATAGATCGTTACATTCATCCCACCTATAAACTTAAACTATCACTTTCATCCATAACGATATAATCTCCATATGACTAGTTCAATATGAGCATAATTCAACTCGTAACTCGCATACTGATAATTGTGTTAACTTGATAAATGAGGTCTATTTCCTCCCATGTCAACGCTGCCAGAGACGGAGACGCCGCAGTTGTATAAACTCCAGCACTCTAAAACGCAAAGGTATCTATGCGACTGGCCCAACCTCGCTACAAATGCTTGTGCAAACGCTCTCCTGGTGGTACCTTATATACTATGATGTAAGATGTTCAGTTCCCTTCCAACATGCAATTCATTTATCCTTCTCGTTCTCGTTCTCAGATACCTTTTCCCATTCGTCTTCGGTGCTGACACTAGATTTCGTTCCCGGGGAAGTCTCCAAGCGGAGCTTCAAATCTCCCGCCTGTTCCTTAACCTCCACCTCCGTGCTTCCTGATACGGCTTTTCCTGTTACGGCCTTTCCTGCTACAGCCTTTTTCGTTGAGATGCTTGTTTCTACTTCGGTTCCACTATCATCCGAAGAGTGTACCGCGGCCCGCTGTTCGGAGCGTGCTTTCTCCCTAGCCTCCTTTGCTTGGGCAGTCCTCAGCTCGGTTGCAAACCAGTTGATAGCTAGCCATAGACCTCCGCATAGGAATGAGAGTACTATAAAGTGAACGCTATATGTTGCGACCAACAGAAGGAAGAGGACGAGCTGTAGAGAGGCGAAGGTGACATTCGTAGCGACTAAGAGAGTAGGAGTGGTGCCAGGGGTGAAGATGGACTCCCAAAGTTCCTGCATAAAGCCCGCCATGCTTTACAGTGCAAGACAATCTTCAGGATGCATACGCGACAAGTGCCTTATGAGTCGAATCGATACGCGACAGTGAAGAACTGCTTGGTGTGTAAAGGTCAGTCAGTGAATTGGAATTACAGAGTCATTAAGGTATGAAGAGGCTTGAAGTGCTGAACTGAAATATGGAGGAGACAAATATAGATATATAGATATAGACGTCTACTAACCTACTAAGATAGATATGACTGAGGCAAGAATAATCAAAACTTGACGTAGCCTGGGTACAGATGGACAAGTGAGGCGCACAAGTTGTTGGATTTAGCCAGGACGCAAAACGCGCAACGAAGGGGGCGGGAATAGTTAGTCAAGCGGGGCAATAAAGCCAACCAAGTTGAACCAACTCTACTAGGTGTAGTCAATACCTCCGTACTATGAAATACACAGATACGGCAGATAGAGCTGTACAGTGTAATAGTACAGTAAAACGTAAAGTATTTGAGATATGTAGGCAGACAAGATGTAGGTAGGTAAGTTGGTATCGTATCTCGTAGTTCAACGCGCCCAAAAAAAAAATAGAGAATAAAAAGCAAAATAAGTTATTTTTTTGGTTCAAAGTTATATGTAACCAACACAAGCCACACTTTTAAGCTGAGCAGTCAAGATGTTGATATAAGGGATAGGAAGAGAAGAGGCTGGGAGGGCTCGTGAGGGCTCGTGAGAATAATAAGGAGGAAGGGGAAGGACGGAGAGGAAGCTTTGTTGCAAAGGATAAGGATAATAACCTTGGTAAATCGAGGGTAGGTACAACTTATCTGGGTCAAGTTGGTCAACTGCACATGTGGTACCTACTAATACCGTACTATGTATACATGGATACCCAAGGTACCTACCTAAATAGAGGTGCGGGGCATCACCTGGCATGGAGGGGCTCGGGTTGCAACTTACAATGTGTACTTGTCGAAATAGGCAAGCAGCAATGCCTAATTGCTATACATACGACTAAAGCACGCCGTTGATTTTCGTGCTAATGTGCCAAAGTGGCTCCTTCAATGTTTCTTTGAACATTGAACGGGCATTTTGAAATACATGACATACATATTTCGAGACTATACTACATATGTATATATGTATGTAGTATTCAAGGTAGTGGGCATCAATACATCAATACCTCAAATGTAACATTGAACTCAAAGGGTTGTGTATCTTAGTACCTAACCTACTACCAGGTATGTATAGTATGTTCAGATCCTCGAAGTTTACACGTTTAATTTCGATAGAACATCGAATGTGTCGAGGAACACCATAGGGACATATGTAGGTATGTATGTAGGTCGTATTTTGTATCCATATATACTACATATGCACTACATGTATGTATCCATGATGTATGTGCATATAAAATGTTGAGATGAGTCAACTGTGAAGCTATGTATGTATATACGTAGGTATGTAATGCAATCATACATACCTCCTCCAGGCATCAACGACCTCGCTTCAAGGTTGTCTGCCAGGTATACATGGTAATTGTATTGCACATGCATAGTAGGTACTAGGCAGGCTCACATGCTACGTGCCAACTTCGATAATGATATTGAAGAGGCGATCTTGGATGCTTGAAGCTCATTTATCCTCGACTGAAGTGTTGATATCACGGTCTCGTCTGTATGACCTATGTACATGTAGACTTCCAATTACATGCACGTGTATGTTCAACATTGAATGTTCAACATTGAAGTTATTATAGGTACTTAGTACTGTGTACCTAGGCACTTGAGATTGTCAGGTGGAGATGTTATCGATAATCAAGATTGCGGGTTCTCGTTGTCCCATTTCGAGTTAAGTGCCAAAACCTTAAGTTCTTACTCGCCATATCCCCCGATTTCCCCCATTATCCGCCATGCAACAGACCAATCAAAAGAGTTCATGCCATTCTACCTTTGAACTACCTAGGTAGGTTAGCCTTTCCTCTCCATTGTCAAGAACGATCCTAGGCGGCAACCCTCACCTAGGTTGGATTAACAACTTTAACCTACCAGCCTTTACATCGTAATTACTTTTAATATTTTACTATTTGCGTTAATCACAAATTCATCACGAACCCGCGAGATTACAACATCGACAATTTTCATTACTTTGCGACTACCTAGTAACTACTAGACTCGCATTTAGGATTCTTTCACTTCATTGGAATAATCATCCTCTTTGTTATATTGTCTAGCTCAAGCTGTTAAATCGTTCATCTAGAGCACAGCCCTTGCCGATACTTGTCATAGGTATTGGATAAGTAGGTATCTACGATTACGACAACAACCTACCTACCTAGGTACACTTTTGCCTGTCAGCCATCTGTCACCTTCATATTATCGCCTACATAATTATATGTAGTTGCGAGGCTTTCGCTACTAACTACCTAGGTTAGGTAGGTATCAAGCAGTTGAAGCTATCCGAGTCATCGAACATCCCCGCGCGACGATCAATCTGGCGCCTCGACTTCCTCCCACCCCTCACGTCTAATACACAACACAATACAAATAATATCCTTGACCTACCCGCAGTTGCTATTCTCGACAGCATGCGATTCGGTGACGCACGGCGCCTCTAGCATGACAATATAGTTAGGACAAGTGATCATCCAGAATCAACATGGCTAACAGCGCGGATTCAAGTCACTCCAACCTGAAGGAACTGGCAGTTTCGCATTCGCAAACAAGACAAGAAAATGGCCAACATCTACCAGAATCTTCATCGTCTGATATTGCACGCGAGTCGCCCGTACCTAACTTGACCAGGCTTCTTAGAGGCAAGGGGCGTGAGTGGGAGGCCATAAAAGCCAAACCTAGACCATTGCAGCTTCTTGACCTACCCGTTGATATACTTAGGCTTATCGTGAAGGAGGTTAGCTACTATCTTCTCCTATGAACTCTACAGGCTCTGCTGACCTCTACGCTCTAGGTTACTCATACGAATGACTTGACCTCGTTGGCTTTGACGAACTCTAAGCTCTATTATCTTACAATACCGCATATCTATGCTCGTTTCGACATTGTCTGGCCAGATGACACTGTGCCACAATCTGATAGCAAAAACGTAGATGCGCTGACCTATGGACTAGCTACATTGTGTCTAGGTAGCAAGTTCGCCCAGAGAGCAAGATGGTTGCGAGGCAGTTCTCTAGGAAAACTGAAGCCCTCCGAGAGGCTCATCGACAATCAGTACGCAAAATATACGCGTAAATTCTCGCTTGGAAACGGACCGAAGGATTGGACAGCAGAATACATGGTTAATAAGGAGGCCGGAAAGATGCTAGGAACCTTAGTAGCGATAGCTGTCGGTAAGATGATCAATCTGGAGACCTTTGTTTGGGACATGCCAACTGGAGTCCTGTCCGAAGTCTTCATGGCTCTTGCGTCTCTCCAGGATCATTACTCAGAGGGCGAACACAAATTGGAGAAAATCTGGGTTCGTTGGCATGACAACTCGGAAATCCCAGATGCTTCCTCGTCCGCGTCCAGTCCCATCCAGCCGCCGCCGCCGCCGCCATTACCTCTTCCGCCCATCGGCGACATAGTAACCCTCATAGGGACTACCCTCCCGAACGATTATCAACCACCTGTGATATCGCCGATTAAATACTCCGAGAGTAACGTCGAGTACCCAACATTCAGCGTGCTACCACCTTTAAAGAGCTTGACGGTACTGGACATTGATGAACTTGCATATCTTGATGAGATGTCTGTGCTTATCGAGCGCTCAAAGTCTTGCCTCCGAGAACTTCGGGTCGGGATGTCTCATAAGGTATACCTGTCCGACTTTGCGCATCCCTGGGATAGCTCTATTCTTCAACAAGTCGACCACGAAGCTCAATGGCCCGGGGAAAGTCGCATCGGCGAAAGGCGGCTAGGAGGAGTGCTTGGGGTGCTAGTCGGCCGAATATATGACATCCGACGAAAACCTCTAAAGACGCAAGAGAAGGAGGCAACTGATCCAGCTCCAGATCAGAACGCCGGATCGCAGTTTAGCGGTGGCGAAGAATTTGGCTCATCAAGTGTCAATGGCGTACCACCACCGTTCATGCCTACTACGGCTGTTTCAATGACCGGCCAAACACACCCGCAGAGCCCGCGGCAATCCGATGCAACGAGGATTTCAACGCAGAAAACCAATGCCTTACATGGACAGAGGAAACGCCTTGACGGGAAACTCCAGCTAGAGACCCTCGAGCTTGAAAGGGTCCCGCTTTCGTTGCAGGTCTGTACCAAAGCTATAGACTGGAGTGTCCTCACTAGCCTCACAATCCTAGATTGCCTGCTCGTCGAGCACCTATGGAGAACACTCAGGAGGCAGTTTCACCCTACAGCGCCGACTCATGGCTCGCCTGCTGGCACTCCAACTCAGTATCACTTGGCTCTCAAATATATTCATACGGATAACACTTGTAGTAGCCTCATAAGTTTCGTTAAGGAAACTCTAGCACCGAATAGTCTTGAGGTACTTTTCTTGCAGGACCGACGACGAACGCCTTCTCCGGCTGTCAAGCTCGACCAAATATTCAAAGGCGCGATAAAGCGCCACCGATCAAGTCTTAAGAAACTATTACTTGATAGTTCAGAGGTGTTGGGAGACGGGCGTCGTTGGGCTAGCTGGGTGCTTAGTAGTGATATGGTCTCCTACATCACTAGCGGACGAATGCCCAATTTGAAGGAGCTCTCTGCAGCATTTGATTATAAGGACTGGGTAAGCAATTAAAAAGCAAAGACTGCTCCGAGCTAACCGCAGCCGTGCCCACTATTGAAAGCTGACGAAATATCTCTACAGCATCCATTCCTTCAAAGGCTTCCAAACATTCCCCAGCTTCGCTCCTTACACATCTCCCACTTATCGGAGCACATTTCGGGCAATTTCGAGCCCAAGGAGCTTGCACTTCAGCTTGTCGACATTATCACCCTGCGGCCGGAGATTCAACTTTGTTACGTAGGGATAGGTACGAAATGCTATGAAATATTAGAGACCCGGCCAAACGATATCAGGAACGGGATTTCCGATGCCGGGCTCAACGGGAATCACCATGGAAACGGTGCCATCGTGATCGACATGGACGATGACAATGAGGATGACGGCAGTGAGGCTGACGAAGAGACGGAAGACGATGACGATGTGAACGATGACAATACTAATGCAAGCCCTACAGACGCTGGGGATGATTTCACGGATGTATCTGATGACGCTGAGTCTGAGACGGAGTCGATTCAGGAGGGAGACTCGGCTGGGTCAGCAGCACGGCTTCGTTTACGTGAGATACTGTTTTACGATGACAAAGTGGCCGTATTCAAGGCGAGGCACGGCAGGCTATAAACTTGACTATTATGTTAGGTCTATTCGGTACTCAGGGCTTCAGGGGCGTTGGTTGGGGTTTGTTATGTTGTCCGCGGCTTTACTTACCCAGTAGGTTAGTACGTACAGTATTCTGGACTGGTCGTTTTGAGGGATTCATGATGGTTCTTCAATATCGTTTTTAGGGCATAATGGTTCTAAGAGAGAGAGAGAGAGAAAAACATGGTAAGGGCTAGCTGAGGAGTCATGACTGCCTCAAGACTACATAATCCTACCTACTAGTATGTGGTAGTGGTACAGTATGTATCCATGGATACCACCTACATATGTACTTCACCATGTCATTTCTTTCTTTCTTTTCTTTTCCCTTTGGTGAATACATATTCGTCCTGGTCTAGTTAAGGTCTAATAACAGACAGACATATCGGCAGATGGAAAGATAAACAGGGGGGGTTCAATGGTAATTTGATGGCTTGCAGCTTTGTACCTAGGGGTACTATGTATGTAATACCGTTGAAGAAAGAACGCCACCGCTGTTCAAAGTTGCTGAGCTGTGTTGTGACTGCTGTCCCTTGTCCCGCTAAACTTGAATCGAGTTGGGGGAGGAAGTTGGGGGAGGTAGTAGGTATCTATGTATCTATTGCCCAGGTATTATGACTGTATGTACATAATAGGCAGGGTTGGCCAAGGGTTGACAATTGAACACAACGAATCAGGACCCCCGGGAATGGTACAGTCTGGCGGTGCTAAATAATACAGTTTGCCAAGATATTCTAGACGGTGCAAGTTCCGCCTCTTGAGCAAGGTCTAATGCAGGAACTGAGCAGGAACATTTGAACTTTGACTCTTTGAGCAGGAAGTGAGTACTGACATGAGTACTGACATGAGTAGTAGTAGTATGTATTTAGTGACACAGTTGCTGGGATTATTACATACATATGTATACAATCTTTTTTTTTACAGTTTGCAAGCTCTTTTTCCCCAAGACTTGTCCTTCACCGTACTCAGAATCTGTCATTGTCGTGCAAGGGTGCCTTGGCTTACCGCCATCTCACCTTGCGAAATCCTTTCAGCCCTCGAAGCAGGTTGCTGTTCATGGACCCATATTCACAACGAAACATTTCGATATTATAATCATTATTATTTTTTTAATTTTTTTTTCTTTTTTTAACACTTCTCCTTTCTTACCTTCTAGTTCATGCTGTTGTCCGTCATAATACCATACCTAGTAGTGTAATTAGTACATTGTATATGTGTGTCTCATTCTCACCGATAGTTGGTGCGGTCTTTTCCCTTTGTCCCAGAATCGGAAAGGCTCGTTGCAGAAAGATGCACCAAACATACAACACTCCGCCATTTCGTTGAGTACGGGATACGTCGATTCTCGCTACCTTATTTATCAACCACCCCTTCCAAGTAGAAAAAATTCTTGGGAACGTGTAGGAGATCCTGGATTTTCATTCTTTTAAATCCTCGGCTTCTATCTCGTCTGTTACGGCGTTTTGTTCCTTTTTCAGACTCTCTGAACTGGCGGACTTTGGGCTTCATACGTAAACCTCCTGCTTATATTTACAACTCCATATCATACCATACTCGATTGGTCTTCCTCGTATTCCTGCTGCCACTTACTGCTACTGCTTTTCCTCCTCTTTCCTCTCATATCACCCGTATAGTTTGGCCTGTCCCTCTTGTCCATCTACACATTCTTCTTTATGGATACTCTTCCCGTCGAGCTTTTGAGGCTTGTCTTCTCTCATTGCGACCCAAAGTCGGTCAGGTCTCTTCGACAAGTCACTCGAATCTTGGCCGATGTTGGCTACGAGTACTTGCTCTCTCCCAAGTTCACCGCTGTTGGTTGGAGAAATGATATAGACCGACTACATTCTATTGCACTCAACGACCGTCTGAGAGGAAGTATCACGTCTATTTGCATTTTCCTCGGAGAGCTATCATATTATGATGCTTGGAGTACATCACCGTTAGTTACCCTTTTTAGAATTTATATCGCCGGTTTAAGTCCCACAGCTGCCCCCTAATCACCGATGACTGCCATGAATTACTTATGTGTCGTATATCACACAACAACAATACCTCGTAGATTTCGGAGTGAATAGATCTTTGCTCACTTTTCTTCATAGGTTTCAACACTTCATCACACCCTCAGACCAACGCAATGCGCTTATGGGCTCGGCTAGACAGGAGTTCGACAGGATCGAAAAGGGTCGCAAAGCTATTGGCCCATTGTACCTGAGGGCCGATGACCTTCGAGAGGCATGCTCTGCACTTCCAAATCTCAAGGACCTGGAGATTACATTCACTCGATGCCCGCTTGAAAACGACCTACTAAGGGAAGTTTTCGACTCTCCCAATTGCAGGAAACTAGATCGACCCCAGACATATAGCAATTTAGACGCCATCATATTCGCACTGCATGGCATTCCGTTACTATCTTTCAAGGTCGATCGCATGCCGCTTGAGATCTTCCGCCTGCCTCATCATCGAACACATTGGTATACGCATGCTCAATCTTTCAATGCTCTACACAGTCTCAACTTGACTCTGGACCCATCCGGGCTCCAGGGTCCCGGGTCAGCCTTTAGGGCTGTGAACGGATTAGGCCGTATCCTCCAACTCGCTAAACAGCTACGCAAATTCAAGCTCGCGTTCCATCCCTACACGAGCGAAAACTCCAAGTTTGCCCTATCGTTCCGGGAACTATTTTACGACTTCACATACAAGCAGCTCACCGACCTGACTCTGGAAGGCGTCTCCTGCGAAGAGGACGACCTCAAGGACTTCCTCGCACGGCACGGAGCTACTCTACTCCGACTGCGCCTTGGTGGTCGGGGGCTTGCCAAACCTGTTGAGGTGTCACTTGGGGGGATCCACCTATACGAGGGGACTTTCAAATCACTCTTCACAGGCCTACGCGCAAAATTGCCCAAGCTGGAGCGACTCCATCTCGAGGGTATTTTCGAATGCGAGCACCAGGACCTCCCCTCGCACGAAGCCTACAACTTCTACCCGCTGACTAACGAAAATTGGGAGGAACTCCCTCGCCCCCGATGGGTGCGAAGTTCACGCAGGACCATCAACTGCCAGCCATTTGAGCACTACGTCCTCTTCGGGGGGCCCTATCCCAAGACTGCTCTGGTGGAGCAAGACGATTATTGAAAATATACTCGAGGATGGAGCAAGTATCTCACTTGCTAGTTGAAGGTGGTCGCACGTATGCACTGCTCACCTTGCGTCGTCGGACTGGGAGAAGTGACATGGCGTGAAGGGTGCACAAGATATCTCCACGTTACAGCCATACCGTACTCAAAGAATGGATCTGATGATTCGAGGACAGGAGGAGAGAAAACTGGGATACGCATGTGCGACGACGATGATGACAAACGACAATACTCTTCTTCTTTTTCTTTTTCTCCTCTTCCTCCTATGTTGGTGTTTTCACGGAAATGGAAATGATAGAGGGGTCAACCGGAAGGAAAGAGGAATCATTTTATATAGAAAGGGCCAGCAACATATCATTGTACCGGCGTTCGAGATGACTGGCATGGCTCACCCTCTTCGGTCAAAATTGCTTGCTTTTTCTTCATGGACGGGCGCACCTTTTCGGGGATTTCTGCTCACGGCAATGCTTTCCCGGTTCCTTTTTATTTTCATCCTTTGGTGGGTTTTGGAAGACGGAGGGATAGCCTACCTAGGAACGCACACGCATTAGGGTATAGCGAATATTTGTGGACATTGTTTGTGATTTTTATGCTCATGTTTCGATCCGGATAGCCGAGGATTGCAGATGATGATAATGAGGCTTTTTTTTCTTTCATTAATCTATATATAACGACGACAACGTATGGGTGATGGGATGTATAGGGCAACATCATTCAAGGATATGAAGATAAAACAGGGCGGAATATGCAGATTGTATACAGTTTGTTGGCTGGATAGCATGATGAAGATTATATGAATTTAGACTGCTTTGCACTTGTTTTGACTTTGCAAGTAATAGTTCTAGATGCCGTCGTTATCTTGAATTTTGGCACGCTAACTATGTACTCCGGATTCATTACGTATGCTAGTATCTACTTCACTACGCGTACGTAGCCTACTCCTTTCCTAGGAGATCGTTGGAAAAGGAGGGTTCCATGAGGGGGGGGGGAAACTAGTTCCTAGCTACGGATGTAAAAAAAAAACAGTCGGGGCTTGGTTAGTCGGTAGGCGGCTCAGTGAGTTCGTGTCATGTATGTACATACATACAACGCTGTTCATGTTTCGTTTGAAAAAAAACCAAAAAAAAAGTCCCCTGGCCTGGGCTTGTTGGTATTGAGTGTCACGAAGCAATTCTAGATCGATGGGGTCTTTTCTTTTTTTTAACGGCCGAGAGGAAGGACTTAAAGTTAAAGTAGCACCCGGCCGAGTTTTTCTTTCGGGAAAGGTCGGCTGTTACGCTACATATGTATGTAGCTAAGCATTTGCAGCTGAGTTGGCTGAGCTGTGCAGTGTGTAGTAGGTAGGTATAGCCTCGCCCCGTTGTTCTCTTGGCCCTGGAGGCCGTTGAAGATGCTAAAGTTAGTTGCCCCCCATCCACGCCAGGAACAGTTCCGGTGGCTAGGACGGACGGTAGCCATTGGTTTACTTTACTGCTATTTATTTACATTATGTACTAGGTTAGATAATATAGGTATTGCCTAGTACTAGGCAGTGCTGGCACCACTTTGCAAACTAGAGATGTCCCTTAGTTATTAGTATGCATGAGCCATGTGGTGTTTTATGTATCCGAAACTCTAAGTGCATACTACAAGGAGGGAGTAGCATCTTGGAGGAGAGATTGGATATTATTATCATTAAGTACCATTGTGGCGTTCGGCCGAACAGCACGAGGAAGGGACAGGAAAGAGAGAGGGAAAAAAAAGGGTGGAGGAGATTCACAGGGGTGAGGTTTTGGCGCAGACGCCGTAAACGCCGCAGGTATTTTCCGGCGACTTCAGGGCCTCCTCGAGTTCGTCGTATATTAGGTACCTAGTACCTATTCTTTTCAAACTAATTAACTGTCGTGCCCCCATTCCATGTATGCAAGTTGGAGGCGGGTTGTAACAATTAAGAATAATAATATATAAAATACTCCGCTTACTATGGATGACATACATACATGCATACATACATACATACACACATATATATATATATATTGCTTGTGACAGGGCCAGCCAGCTGAACCCTTGCAAAAGTCCGTTTTCGGTGAATAACTTGGAGGTTTAACAGCTAGTTATGTATGTGCGAGGAGGAGAGAGAGCATGTAATACAGCGCCGTGCTCAGGTCTGTCTGTTTTGTCTGTTCATGATGTTCGGAAGTTTTAAACTCTAACTAGTAGACTCCTATTTTTACTCTCTGAGTAGATTTTCTAGACAAAATTTTTTTGTTTCTCAGATATCGAAAAACCTTTGGCGCCAATGACGGGGAGTATGTAAGATCCATCCATTTGGTGGGTGGACCGGAAAACGGAGCTGGCGGAAACTAAAAAAAAGAGGTCATTTAAAGATCAAATGTTTAAAATACGTAAGTAAGGTAAGGTAAGGTGCCCTACCAAAAGCTACCATACATACATTGTAGTAGGCTGCGTGAACACTGCGAAGAAAAGAAAGATGGCCTCGAGCTCGTATCACGCGAGTGCTGTATATGTGTGTAATATGGTAATATGTACTTAAAGTAGGCATGATTTGATGGGTCATTCCCAGAAAAGAGTCAACCTCGTAAACGACTGATGAAATGGGCACATGACTGTGATCGTCATCGTAATACACTTACCTAGGTAGGCACTCCAATGGGCGTGATGGGCTCAATGTAGCTCAATGGGAAGCTGAAGTCATATGAGGCATCGCTTTCGTTCGATCCCGAATGGGTTCCCCCCGCGAATATATTGGGTTGAGCTCAGCGCACTGCATGCCAAACATCCTTAAGAATCTTATTAAATTAAAAGATATTGGGGGGATCCCTTTGAAATGACACCCACGTACATTATATGTATGTATGTACTAGGTATGTAAATGTGTGTGTGTACGTTGCACTTCCAAGGTTCAGATATATATGTATGTCCATGCATATGGTAACTTCAATGTAAGCACATATATGATATATATGTATATGATATAAATGTATATGTATGCCTTACATGTAATATGTATTTGACAACTTAACCCAACATTGAAAGACTTCAACATACATGTAGTAGTTGAGCATACAGCACAGTATGTATATAGGTCATGGAGACATCTGGGGAGACATCTGGATATCTACATATGTAGAGCTCATGGCTGATCAAACGGTTTGTCTAATAGTAGACCACCAAGTTTCATGTCGTGTCCTCGGGATCAGAGAGCGAGCTGCAACTGCTGCAGGCGCCCATGTGTCAATGGACTTGGAACGGGCTTGGCAGGGACGTTTGTCCCGTGAGCGCGAATGCAAACCAACATCATTTATCCATGATCATCCATCGCATACATAGTAGGTCAGCCTGGTCAGGTATGTATATGCGCCTAAGACATCCGAACCTTTTTAGTAAGGTAACCTAGATCCAAAGTGACCTTTGGGAACTTGGGAATCTTGGGAATCTTGGGATGGACCCGGATGGTTGCTATGTAGTACTATTACTTCTTTAGCATCGATCCCAGCAGTAGCGCAAGATTTGAATACGCGGCTAGCTCTATGCAACTTGTACATATTACCTAGGATAGCAGAACGAAGAACCGTTTAAGAACGAAGAAAGAGGAAACTAATCTGTACTTTAGCAGTTTAGCAGTTCAGCAGTTTATCTTCTTAAGACTAAAACAGCAAGAAAAAAAAAGCAAATCGAGTTTAAGAATGTGGAAAGTATTCCGTATCTTTTTTCTTTCTTTTTTTCTTCTTTTCCTTTTCTCGATTCATCAAACAGGGGTTCCATGTCCATGTCGATCATCAACTCGAGATCCCCGAGTCTCGTCAATAAGAGAAGGGATGGAATTGTTATCAAAAACGAACTTAAAATTGATACTAGTACACTATTAATTATTGCATGATAAAGCACTCCATTTTAATGTCTTTGTTGGGTTAAGATATCCTAATGCCTTAACAACTAAGAAGATTGTTTAAAAGTCCTCTATTAAAAGCTACCTAATTTGGATGAGCATTTCCACTTGTTTCACTCTTGTTTCTGAAAAGTCTAAAGTCTTATTATATGTAGGTATACCTAAAGGCCAAGGTAGGGAAACATACCTGCTATGTACTCTCATTGCTGAAATCTACATACATACATAACTTACATAGGATCAAGATTTCGTCAAACTTTGCTTTTTTGCTTTTTCCTTACATACAATATATATGGTATACACTATACCAGGTACCAGGTAGTTAGATAAGTGTATCGGATCGGATTTGATGTACATTACATAGATGAAAGCGTTTCAATGTTGCAAAGAAAAGTACGGAACGGTACCACAGACAACTGATCCTTTGTGACGCGGCGCCTTGACAATCAATCTTGACAATTGTCAATACATACTACATACCTACCTAGTACCTCGTAGTTCCAAGTTAGTTAGTACATACTAGGTACATGTACACATAGCAGTATGTATTCCATGTAGTACAGTAGTACTTATGTACTAGGTATCTGGCATACATGTACATACATCTCAGTCGTTCCTGAATTTCCAAAAACTCGCCGGCAGAGCGGCGACCCCCGCTCAAAATTAGTTGACTGCCCCAATGAGGTAAAGGTTTCCCAAGATTTCTTTCTTGCCCCTGGCCCTGGCTTGCCGAGGGTGCCAAGTTTAGCCTGCCTAACCCTGTCTAACCCTCTCTAATCCTCTCCAACCCCTGCTCATCTTGGCCTTAGCTCCACTAAACATGCATTTACGCATGCATCTTAAGCCGGCTTGGGGTTGACTTGCCCAGTCAAAACGTCACTTTTGTCTGCAGCCACTTTGCTCCAGCCCGCCTGGCCTAATCGACTGACCCACGGATGGTTTGTTATGTTGTCCTAGTAGTAGGACCTACAGTACATAGGTAGGGTAGGTATGTAGCACCTACTGATCAGTGGTCAGTGAGTCGCAGTAAGATCCAATACAGTGAAAAGAAAAAAAAAAAAAAAAAAAAGAGAGTGGGAAAAGAAAGAAAGAAATGAGAGAGTGTGAAAAAACAACTCTGGTCCTAATCCTATAGCCTACAAGCTGGAAAAGGCACTAAACTGCCTACCATTGCCTGAGTTGTCGTCAGTTCTTCTCAGAAAGCCACACCCCTCTCGTCTCATCATCAGATTTCCCGACCCAAGACTTTGGATCGATCCATCTCTCTTCCTTCCCCCCCCTCCCTCTCCAATGTTGTTGGCCTAGTGCCTGCTTGGAGAGCAGAAGCTTAAACTACATATTCTATCCCTCATTTGACCAGCTTCTTTGTAGTTTTGCTCCTAATACGAAGTGGCTTTCCTCTGGGACGCCCATAGGTATCCGTCGTTCCATCGGAAGGTAAAGATCCGTGCTTCCTAGTAGCAGCGAGTCAGGACAGCCAGCCATAGAAAGATGCAGCGGGTTTCCGCACTCCTCCCGTGGGATCGCAGCAGGTCGAGTGTGAACGTCAGCAGCAGCACCAACACCAACTCCAATAGCCATCATTCTCCTCGAGTAAATAGTGTCGATGTCGTTCGTGGATGGGCCGATAAGATTCCCTCGCCCATCAATCGCTTCAGCACTCCGAGATTAGGCAAAGACGCCTTGTTGCCCCAAACACTAGATAAAGAATGCGACAAGGCCGCCCGCATTTTGAAGTCATTCTGCAGTATGTTCCTACTGTCAACCCTTGCAAACTACATGTGTAGCAGGATACTAATTGCCCGCCACAGACGATGGCTTTGCAGCACCAGACGACCGACCAGGGAGCCCCTCAACCCTGGCAAGCAATCAGTCATCGCATAGGTTTTACAAAAAGATCCCCCCGAGAATCATACAAAATGCAGTCGGGCTAGCGATTTTCACCTCGATGCGATCTGGAATATGGACGACGGGGTCCGGAGGTAGCGGCATCTTGATTGCGCGCAAAACCGACGGAACATGGTCTCCGCCATCCGCACTCATGCTTCATACAGCTAGTTTGCGCTTCGTTTTCGGTGTCGACATCTACGATTGCGTCCTTGTAATTAACAATTTCACCGTCCTCGAGGCTTTTGGTAGGCCACGGTTAACCCTCGGTACCGATGTCAGCCTGACCGCTGGTCCTTTGGTCGCTGTAGGCCTACTCGAAAACGATGTCACGTGGGCCGATCTGAGCGACCGAGCAGTTGTATATGTGAAGGCGAAAGGACAAAGCGCAGAAGTCAAAATGGATGGTATAGTCGTAAACGAGCGTGCTGAGGAGAATGAAAGATTTTATGGAATGAAAATAAGCGTGGCCAAAATTCTCTCGGGCGACATCAACCAGAGCCTACCCCAAACGCGAGCCCTCACCGAAGTTCTGAAGGCTGCCGAAGGAAGAAATGACTACGATTCAGCTCTTATTGAACAACTTTCTTTTCACCCGACGCCTGCGGATGCCTCGCATGAGCCAAACTCAATGGCTCCATCGCCACTTTTCGGAATTCCTGACGTGGAGGATCCGGACCCCTTCGGCGTTTTAGCTTTAGAGATGGCCGGCATGGGTATTCGTGAAGCCGGTACGCGATTGAGACCTGACAGTACCCAGTTCGAATTCAATCCTAGCCCCACGAGTCCCTTCTTCCCTAAAGGCAGTCGTCGAAGTATGGATACATATTTGTCACGAAGCAATAGAGGAAGCTATATGTCTAATAAGACAATGGCGACCGAACGGAGCCAGATGACCGATGCTGGTACACAAACATATTTCGTAACACCCCAGACAACACCAAGCTCGAGCCAAAGCCAAAGTGAAGACGGTAGTCAACCAGAAAAGACCGAGGATGTCCCAGAAGTAAAAGAGCCAATTGAAATTGATTATACTAAGATCGACATAAGTGCTTTGAGAAGTCTGTCAAATTTCCCCGATCTCGACGATAAACCACCAACAACAACGATGGCAATTCAAGAAGAAGACGAAGAAGATGAAGATGATGAAGAAGATGTGGAGGTGGAGGAAGAGGCGGAGGAGGGGGAGGAGGAGAGTGAAAGTGAAATGGAAGACGATATGGGTATCTCTACTGAGGACGCAGAAACCACTACAGGAACATACCCCGAAGCTGTTCACGATGCTACAGAGAATGAAGCATTAGACGAAGACAATGCCGAAGACAATGCCGATGATAGTGAGGGTGAAGTTGAGGGCGAGGCAGAGGAGAATGGAGACGAATCTGATGCCGAGGAGGAAGCTGTTGTGTTCGAAGTCGCCATGGCTAAAGCGCCAGCTCGTCTAACCATTGGGGCCTCCCGAGTTAACATTCCTGCCAGAGTAGCGCCGCCGGTACCAGTCAGGAGCCCGGCTCGTGCGTCTCTCAGAAAAAGCCAGATGAGCGATGTCAACAGCTTGATTAGTAGCCCACTAAGACGGGAATTTGAACTGGATGCCGAACTAGAAGAGGCAACTACGCCAAGAGCCACTGAGAAGGCACTGGCCCGATTGGAATCAACCGATAATAAGCTGGTGGAAGAAGTGGAAGATGATTTGAAAGAGACGGGAGAAGATACCGAGACTACTGAGCGTCCCACAACTCCGACTCCAGAATCGAAGAGCACCAATATGTACTCCCCCAAGATCAGCAATCGATCTTCCCTAAGAGAGACGACCGCGGCCGAGACATCTCCAAAGTCAGATAGGCATGTCAGCCTCAAGGCTGGGCCTGATGTGTCCGTGTCCGTTGCCTAGGGGGTGACAACGTGATATTTAACATTTCCTTGATTCACGATTTGGGACTTTCGGAGTTTTAGGGGAAAGCATAGGGATGATTAAAGGAAGGACGAGATACCACTATGATCAGGGAATGATCGGATTTGAGGTATTGGGGCTATATTACGCACGACATTCAACGCAGGAGCTCATTGTTAGAAGAAGAAAGTGTCTAGGGCGAGATGGGAGTACTCGAGCATAGCCATACCCTTGATATGTATTTTTACGGCTTAATACATTGTACAAATTTGCACCCACAAACCTTGGAAGTGTCCATGGATTGTTCAACGGAAATTCATTCGACGGGATGATGGATGGGCGCCTGGATCCCTTAGGCAGGCAGGCAGGCAGGCAGGTAGGTACCTGCCCTGCTCGGTTGGTGTAGGAGGTTTTGGTTAGGGTTGGTAGGTGGCAATGGGGGGACTAAGGAATGGGAAACGTGGTGCCTGAGGTTTGCACGGTCTTGACCATTGCTGTCGCCGCGCCAGCTCAGGTTAAAACGAGCAGATACGGCGGTACAAGTTCCTTTTAGCTCGCACAATTTATCTCACACATCTACCATAATAATTTATGCCGCATTTCTTCTATTTTTTTCTTCCAAGTCAACAAACGTTTTCTCTAAAATTGCTTCGCCTTTTGAGCGACGAACGATCAATCACGTATTGGAACGTATATTCACATAGAAAAATCACCGCTTTCTAGTGACTCTTTTCTTTTTCAACAGTTGATTACAATGGGTTGCGCAAAGCGCAAGAAAACGAATGGGAATGGGCCTAAAGGTCGTCGACGTCGCCGTCGTCCAAGAGCCTCGCAGGCGGAGTTTCAGCCGTCGGAAACTTCGGAAACTTCGTAAGTTCTTATCTTATCTCATTCCCTTGCCTTACTTAAGCTCCAGCTCCATGGATTAATAGATATTCCAGGGCCAAGTCGATTGAATCGGGACAATCTGGTAGCCCCACTCCACGCGCCACTCCAGCCCCACTAGCCCACCAGCCACTGGCAACTGATGCTAGCCTTAGTCGCGGTACGCGCGATCTTCCTTCACAAGTTGGACAGTGGCTAGAAGCTCTACCGACGGAGTTTGAGGAAAATCAAAGTCAAAGTCCAATTTCTCATCGAGAACGCAGCACTGCTTCTCCACCATACTTTGAACTTCCCAATTCTCCCGAAAAATCAACTGGTGACTTTTCACTTGGCAAGCAATCGCCAACTTCGCGCAAAGAAGGCAAGGGAAAGGAAAGGCAGCAGCAATTGCAACCTGCTGACGCCTCAACCGAAGCTGCTTCCTCATCCCCAAGCAGTACCGACAGTATGGCCAGCCAGCAGGGAAAGTGGCGCGAAGAGCAGGTTCTTGTCATCTGCCCCGGCAGCTTGACTACCATGGCTCAATTGGGCTGCGCCGAGCTTACCCCCCCTACTCATCGCATTCCCACCCGAATGTTTCAAGATCCCCAGACCAAAGAATACACGCCTTATCGCATCTACAAGCGCAAGAAGACCGATGCCCCCGAAGGTGCTAGTGGCGATCAATCAGACGATGAATGGGAGTATGTTGAGGATCGCGACAGCGTCGAGGGCGCAATTTATCCTCTAAAGGCTGGCTGTATCGTGAACATGGACGCCTTTCTGGCATTCATTGACTATGTTCATAGCTTGCTTACGACCACTTATCACAACACCCCCATTGTCCTCATGGGATCGCCGCAATGGAGTCGCGGCTGTTGCGCGACGATTGCACGATACATCTTTGAGAAGACCAAGACTCCGGCTCTTTGCTTGATACACAGTGCAATCGCGGCACAATACGGTCTCAAATGGGCTACTATGACAGTGGTGGATATTGGTTTTGAGAAGGTCGATATTACCTGCATACACGACTACCAAATCGTTGGTGAGAGCTGCTTGGGTTACCCCAACCAGTTCGGAGACAACTATGGCGGAGAAGCCTTTACCCAAAAGCTGATGTCCCTTCTGAAGGACAAAAACTTCACCCACGAGATGGCTGAACAACTCAAGAAGAGCCCCATATGCGAGGTTCTGCCCTATGCGCCCGACGCAGACGAGCTCATGGACCTTCCTACGGAAGACGTGACTCTGCCTACTATCCAGACTACCAGTGCTGATCCAGCCAGCGCGGAAGCTACTAAGGTAGTTGAGCAACCTAACTCTCTAACCTCACTTGGCGGTGACATCGATGACGGTATGGACGAGGGCCTTGAGGCTGATGAAGGTGTTCTTGACGTGGCCAACATTGTTACCAGCGGCAACACACGAGAATTCCTTGCCAAGAAAGAACGTGAGAAGGCTGAGAAAGCCAAGTTGAAGAAGCAAAACAAGGCCTTGGAGGCTGAGTCCGCGGCTGCGAAGCCAATTCGATTGCCTAATTCTAAGAAGAAGGTCAACACATTTTTCTACGAAGAATTAGCACACGAGGACGTAGAGGTCCCGATCTCGAGCGGCGCTCCCCAGGCGCTTCCCGCGGCTACTACCAATGGCGATGCACCCGCCACCAACGCGTCTATAGCCGAACCTGCGACTATCAACCAAGAAGCAAAGCCCGATTCCAAGCTTGAAGGCACTGGTGATGCAGGCGGCGATGCAGCAGAGCCCGCAACCACCGCTACTATCACAGAGCGACGTACGAAGCGCGTACGACGAGAGATTGAGATTGGCTTGGAACGATTCCTCTTCGCAGATCGCACCGATATTGACCGCATCACGGATACCCTGTATCGCACAATCCAGAGTATTGATGAGAGATACCAACGACAGCCATGCTGGGATAACATTGTCTTTGTTGGTAACGGAAGTCGTCTCCGAGGTCTCAAAGAGAACATTATGCAGACCCTTCTCGCCCGTCATCTCATCTCGCCTAGTACGGCTACTATATTCACCTCTGAGCTACCCTCCAACATGGCAACGCCGACTGGCACCGGTTCCCAGACCCCTACTGGCTCCTACACAGGCCAGCTCCCGACCACTAGTTCGGTCAACCCGCTACTCCAAGCAGCGACGACGGCTTCGCTCGGTGTACCCGGCGCCGCGCTTGCTTCCGGTTCCACGTCCGGTGAAGTCGTGTCTGGTCACCATTATCATGGACAAACGCCAATGAGCATCAAGCAGTGTCCTTTGCCCACTTACCTCGCAGAGTGGAACAAGAATGGCTATGAGGAGGCCCAGTTCCTAGGCTCTCTCATCTGCGGCCGTCTGGCTTATTGCATCCATAACGCGGATGTCCAGACCCAGGACGCCCAGCGCCATATGGCCTTAACCCGCGTTGATTACAAGTACGTTTTTCTTTTACTACTTCCCTTTTTCCTTTCTTCTTCTCCCTTCCCATCCACTTGAATATGAAGACTAACCATGCCAAATTTACAGCGAGCTCGGACCCAAGGCCATCAGAAAGTATTGCGTCTTCCCGCATTTGTAAATCCCTTTTTGTCACCTTGATGATGAGGGAGAACGACACGACACGCATATACCCGACCCCCCCTCCATGTCCATTTCATGGATGTAATGTTTCCATTGGGGGGTTTTTTTTCTAATTTCCGGTTGCTATTTCCTCTCTAATGATTTGATATTCCCCCCTTTTTTTGTCTCTGAATTTCCCGGAGTTAGGGGAGGGCATTACGAAGACAAAAGTTTTACCTACTTCGAACGGCGGAGTACGAAAGTCTGCACAAAAAAACTATTGTTTTTTTTTCGCAGACATGGCCTTGACTTTACGATGGAATTTTTTTTTCCGCCTCTTTCCCTAACCTCTTCCCCCCTTTCCTGTTTCTTGCCCATTACAGGCAAGGCAAAAGGAGAGTTTTTCACTTTTACACCGTGATTCATACGGCATTTCGGACGGAATGCGGATAAGGGTGTATACATAGTATAATTGAAGGAGGAAGGGATGGATGAATATTGGAACGGGAACATATGACACGAAGGAAAGGAAGTGATCGAGTGAGAGAGAAAGGTTGAGACGGATGAAGACCTTCCTTCGGGCAACGCACAGAGAAAACTAGGCGATGTAAAATCCTATTGTTCTTCTGTATTTCGGGAGATTTTGCTTGTGTTCATCCGCGTGGCGGTTGGACGTACGTACGTGGTCGTTGATAATGGACGGCTGGATATCCCCCCCGATAGCCTACTCGCCTACCTACCTACCTGTTGTTGGTGTGTTGCGTTGCTATCAGATACTCTGGCATGCATACGCGTAAGATATCTCCCCCTCTGTGCACATATGTACGTGCTAAAGGGGGAATACCTATCTATGTAGGTATGCAAGGGAACAGAAACGCAGACAGGCAAAACAGATTACCACTGAAACCAAATTTCTTTTTTTGACCGGTGGCATTGGTAATGATCATGCGGCGAAGTGAATATACTTAGGCGTTTGTCACCGGGATGCCTTTTTTCTTCTTCTTTATAGTGCTTCGTAGGTTATTAATGTGCTTGCTTGATGCTGATAAAAGTAAACGTAAACGTAAAAGTAAAAGTAAAAGGGCTCACTGTCCATCGTGTATACGATACGATAAGATACGTAGTTTCTGTAAAAATAGGTAGGTGTCTACCCAACACCTTTCCTCTCACTTTATAACCTTAGAAGTCTTTGAACAAGACGATGAATCTAACTTTTATAGTATTTCAGCGGTGCTGCTTCTGGCACTACTACGACCTACGGATGCCTCTAACCTACACCACCCCCCCTTATTTACTAGGATCCAACAACAACTTCCCCGTCGTCTTCCTGCCCTCCAGATCCCCATGCGCCCTCGCCACCTCGCTCAGCGGGTACACACCATAGATTCTCGGGTCCAGCTTCTCGTCGCGGATAAACCCGAACAACTCATCCGCATAATGGACCAGCTCCTCGCGGGTGGATATGTACCCGTTTACAGTAGGACGAAGCAGCCGCACGTTCTTGGGCGCGAGACGGGCGATGGTGAAGGGCGGGACGGCGCCGGAGGCGTTGCCGAAGGAGACGAGGGTGCCCTTTAGCGCGACGCAGGCGAGGCTGCTGTCGAAGGTGGACTTGCCGACGCCGTCGAAGACGGCCACGACGCCGCGGCCGCCGGTTAGCTCCTTGACTTTGCCCTCCACGTCTGGGTCGGAGACGTAGTTGATGACGTGCTCGGCGCCGGCTTGTTGGGCAAGCGCTACTTTCTCCGGGGTAGATGCCGTGCCGATGGTGTGCGCGCCGATGATCTTCAGCAGCGCGCACAGCCACTGCCCGGTGCCGCCCGCCGCCGCCTGCACGAGCACCCAGTCTCCCTTTTCCACGTGGTGCGCCTCGCGGATGAAGGTCAGCGCCGTGAGGCCCTGGAGTAAAGCTGCTGAGGCGACTTTGGGCGCGATGCCGGAGGGGATCTTGATGGCTTTTGATGCGGGCGCGTTGGTGTACTCTGCGTAGGCGCCCTCGGTTAAGCTATGTGGATATGTTAGCTATCATGGACATTCGGAGATTGAGATCATACCTATACCACCCCTACCCCCCTTATGTGTTGGAGCGGACTGGTATAAGATGGGTAAGATAGATAAAATAGATATACGTACCACACGACCCTGTCACCCTCCTTCAGCCCGTACAGCTCTCCGCCGCCCGTCTTGACGATAGTGCCCTCCGTCTCCCGGCCGAGGATATACGGGAATTGTGGCGCTGGGTACAGACCAGTACGGAAATACCTATATTATCGTTAATAAATAGAGAAAAGGGGGGGGGGGTAGGGATAGGGATATATAGGTACTCACGTGTCGATAAAGTTGACGCCGACATAATCATTCTTGACCAAAATCTGCCCGTCCACGAGCGCGGGGACCGGCAAGTCGGTCTTGTGCTTCAGCACCTCAGTACCACCCGTCTTGTCGATGACGATGCCCTTCATGGTACTCGGTATGGAAGCCATAGTGCGGATGTGGGTGATGGGTTTTGGTAGGAGACTATTAGTATTCCTCAAACGTGATGAGATGGTAGTAGTAGTAGTAGTAGTAGTAGAAGTAGTAGTATAAGTAACAAGTTGGCGACTTGAGTTGAAAGCTAGATTTAAATTTAACGCGCGGTATGAAACCGTCTTTATAAAAGGCATGAACGACACGACACAACTAACTTGGACAAACCCCACTTCAGAGGGTTAATTAGCTTTGAGGTAAATTTTATCGTCCAAGGGCGACTACATATATGTACATACATATGTAGTTGGTGTACTACTATAAGGGGAATCATACAAGTATCGCAAAAAGTGACGCCATTGAAGCCGAGCCCCTCTCCGTCTTTCCCCTCCGGCATCTTTAAAACCGAGCCGACATTTACGTACTAGTCAATCAATCCGGAGCCGAGACAAGGGTATTATACCTACATTATCACAAATTCGCATTATCCCCTTAGGCAGCTAACTCCGACTTGTTCTATACTCTCTCGGAGCTATTTTGTAAGTAGTACTCTTCTGGAATCAATATTTGTAAGCTCTTTTGCTTAGTAAAATCACTTTATTAGGTGGTAGATATCGAATCACAGACGATCGTAAATATCGTATCGTATGTCATCCCGTCTTAGCCCTGTGATCTACTGCCCCTGACGTGCTATACATTACCGTGTCAAGGCAATATCGTCGATTCTGAGAATCATCTTGACCGTCTCCGCTGCTAGCTCGATTGCACTCGTACTCACCAGTAGTGGTTGTAGTACATTCTCCTTGGCGATATTCGAGTTGACACCACCACTCTTGATGCTAACTCCTGCATTCTTCTCTCCCATCTCGTGTCGATGTCGTAGATCCGTAACTACCTTGATGCTGTTCAATCCTGCGTTTTCTGCTAGCGTCGTAGGTATGACCTCTAGCGCATCGGCGAATGCCTTCCAGCAGATCGCTTCCGTGCCTGCGAGGGAACGCGCCTGCTTGGTAAGCTGGGCTGCTATCTCAATCTCAGGTGCACCACCACCAGCGATGAGCGCCTTCTTCTTGACTAGGCAGCGAATGACGCAGAGGGCGTCGTGGAGCGAACGCTCAGCCTCGTCCAGAATGAGGCTGTTGGCACCGCGGCAGACCACGGAAATCGTCTTCCCCGCCGATCTCGTGCCAGTGACCTTAACCATCCGAGCACCATTGGACTGCGATTCTTCGACCAGGTCGGCGCTTCCAAGCTTGTCTTCAGTGAAGGAGTCAATGTCCGCAATAGGCTTGCAGCCAGTGGATTTGCAGATGAACTCAACCTCGTCTCGCTCAATGTCCTTGACGGCGAGGATGTTGAGCTTGGCGAGGAAGTGTAGAGAAAGGTCGTTAACAGCATCGCGTAGAATAGACTTTTGTATAAATAGAACATTGCATTTCGCCTTCTTGATCTTCTTGACTAGGTTAAGAAGATATAGTCGCTCCTCCTTGACAATCTTGTCCATCTGGCGGTAGTCGTTTACTTGGATAGTATTCTCCATCTACACAAATAGTTAGATTATGGTAAGTGGATTATAACGATGGCGTTGAACTCACATCTGGCTTGGGCGGGCTTAGCTGAAACTGGATCAAGCCAATCCTCGCCTTTTCCATCCTTAAAGGTCCACCAGCTCCTTTGATGACCTGTTGGTTTAGGACCAGTCCGTCCACCAGCTCGCTATCTTCTATCGTGCCTCCCACCTTCTTGATTATTCTAATATTCTTCAGATCAACATTATCTGCTGTCTTGATATCGATGGTTTTGGTAACGGCATTGACGGCCATAGGACCCAGTAGACCTGAGTATTGGGAGACGATCTTAGAGGACAAGGAAGTGTTGGCTGCTTGGAGAAGAGTGGAGGTGTCGGTGAGGGATACGGGCTGGGACATCTCGTGGAGGATCTGGACTGCCGCCGCTGCTGCCCTCTGGAAAGATTCGGAGATGACCGAAGGATGAATACCCTTGGATAGTAGTCTGTCAGCAGCACCAAGTAAGGCACCGCATATGACTACGACCGACGTTGTGCCATCTCCGGCCTCTACGTCCTGTGCTGCTGAGAGGTTGACAAGCATCTTAGCTGTGGGGTGCAAGACAGACATGCTCTTTAGCATCGTGTTTCCATCGTTGGTGATTATGGTTTCTCCCTTCCCACTCCTAATCATCTTGTCCATTCCTCGAGGTCCTAGGGATGTTCTGATGGCATCGGCAACAGCTATTTCAGGGTTTAGTAGGTATATTAAAATGCATTGAAAGGGTATGAAGGAGAATGTACCTCTGGCAGCAACGATATTTGCGGATCGTACTGCAATAGGCTTCTCCTTGTCCTGTTACTTGTTAGCTAGAGCTCGATGAGTGACAGAGAGGAGAGGAGGGGTTGTCGTTGAGGGCAAGGAGGCGGCATACTCTAAAGGTGGCATTAGAATGAGCGCCAGGGGCGGAATGGGCTGTGGAGGCCATGATGAAATGGAATAAAATAGACTCTATATGACGACTTCTTGTATATTTTGCTTTTACAGTGATGAGATACGATGTCTGTTGTCCTTTAAAAACGAAAGGAGTTCTTTTTTGGAAATGTTATAAACTTGGTTTAGTTTTCTTGACAAAGCTCCCGAAATGGACCCGCGCAGGCTATCGATAACGTTAATTCAGGGCCTAAAGATAAAAACGTCCCCGGGGTAGCTGCGAGGCTGTTGACGTACTAGGCTGAGGTAAGTTTAGCGGGTAGTTACATGTACTACCTAGTACTACGTAGTAGTAACAACCTGGAAGCTGCAACAGTGCAACTGCTCCAGGCAAGAATAGGCTTATGCAATCCATTTGCTTCGTCAGAGAGCAAATCCCAAGCCTGAGCTTCTTCAAGTTCCCACTGTCCAACTTCAATCTTCATTACCTGCATTCAACCATTCACTTATTCCATACACCACAAACGATACCCAAACAATTTACCACTTTTTCATCCTTTTTCCTCTTCTCGCCTTCTTTTGGCTCTTTATTTCATTTCTACTTTTAATACTAATATCAGCTGTCCCGATTAGCCACAGCTTTCTAACGAAATGGTATGCTACCTTAGCACCAAGTTTCTCTTACTTTGAACCTTTTACTAATAACGATTTCAACGCAATAGCCTTCCGCTACGGGATCAAGTTGGGAGAAGTACAAGAAGAATTTTGCCGATGACGAAATAGAAGAGAAGAAGATCACACCACTATCCGACGAGTAAGGCTTCAATCCAAGTTCGTCATCTACCCATGGCACTACTAACAACCTAGCTAGAGATATCCAAGTACTTAAGACCTATGGAGCTGCACCATACGGTACCGCTCTCAAGAACCTCGAGAAGCAGATCAAGGAGAAGCAACAAGCGGTCGATGAGAAGATTGGAGTAAAGGAATCCGACACGGGACTTGCGCCACCTCATTTATGGGATGTCGCTGCGGACCGTCAACGCATGTCCGAGGAGCAGCCGCTTCAGGTAGCGCGGTGCACCAAGATCATTGCGGACGAAAAGGATGAGACGAAGAGCAAATATGTCATCAATGTTAAACAGATCGCCAAGTTTGTCGTTCAGCTCGGCGAGCGCGTCTCCCCCACCGATATCGAAGAAGGCATGCGTGTTGGCGTGGATAGGAATAAATACCAGATCCTTTTACCCCTACCACCCAAGATCGACGCCAGTGTTACCATGATGACGGTTGAGGAGAAGCCCGACGTTACGTACGGCGATGTTGGTGGCTGCAAGGAACAAGTCGAAAAGTTAAGAGAAGTTGTTGAGATGCCCCTACTGTCTCCTGAGCGATTCGTCAACCTCGGTATCGACCCTCCGAAGGGAGCTTTGCTATATGGACCCCCCGGTACCGGAAAGACCCTTTGCGCCCGAGCCGTCGCGAACCGAACGGACGCCACTTTCATCCGGGTTATTGGTAGTGAGTTGGTACAGAAGTATGTTGGTGAAGGAGCTAGGATGGTGCGAGAGCTCTTTGAGATGGCCCGAACGAAGAAGGCTTGCATTATTTTCTTCGACGAAATCGATGCCGTCGGTGGTGCCCGATTTGACGACGGGGCCGGTGGAGACAACGAGGTCCAGCGAACTATGCTAGAACTTATCACGCAACTAGATGGTTTCGACGCCCGAGGCAACATCAAGGTCATGTTCGCCACCAACAGACCTTCCACATTAGACCCTGCCTTGATGAGACCCGGCCGTATCGACCGAAAGATCGAGTTCTCTCTGCCGGATCTCGAGGGAAGGGCAAACATTCTACGAATCCACGCCAAGAGCATGTCAGTGGAGCGCGATATCCGATGGGAGCTCATATCGCGTCTCTGCCCCAACGCCACAGGCGCCGAGCTGCGCAGTGTGTGCACTGAGGCCGGCATGTTCGCCATCCGCGCGCGGAGGAAGGTAGCCTCGGAGAAAGACTTCTTGAGCGCCGTAGACAAGGTTATTAAGGGCAACTTGAAGTTCAACTCCACCGCCACCTACATGCAGTACAACTAGTCTATTATAGGCTGTCCTCCCCTTTTTTTCTTAACGAAATAAAGAAATTAAGGAAGGCCTCGCGTGTACGAATAGATAGATAATGAAGCAGTAGCTACGCGGAAACTAGACTTCATCATTGTGGAGAGAGAATCAATCGGCACGTCACCGAATGATGTTTGTTGAGCATGTGATATGTGATGCGTGGTGCTAACGCCGCGCACTTGTGTATTAAATTTCCCAACCAAGGCTGCTTGTTTGGTACTATGGTATATTTAATTGTAGTTTGTGTGTGTGTGTGTGTGTGAATGTGTGTGTGAATGCCAATGATTCCTATCTACAGATATCCCAAAGTTCCTATACCATGAGATGAGTACATAGGTACGCTCGGTATTTAGGGTATGTAACAACAGCATTAAAGCAAAGCAACGACGCCCTCCCTCCCCATTTTGCCTCCTAATGAGGTACATACAAGCATACAAAACTGTATGTCTGCTCATGCCCATGAACCCCCCCCCTCCCCTCCTTCCCCTTTCCGACAATGGTAGAATAAAATATATGCGGTTTTGCAGCGATGTTGGTTGGTATCTAATGCCTTGCAAGTAAGTTGATTAAAGTGACGATGTGTGGGTTCTCAATGCCAGGCGATGCGATGCAATGCGATGCTAAATCATCATGCTTCGAAAGTATGGTTTCCTCCTCCTCTTATTCTCCTCCCTCGGGCCGGGGTATCGGTGCCATCTAGATGAGGGTCGACGGCGATGCTTCTATCTTCGCGAATTACTAATTAAGGGGGTAAGAAGGGAGGCTCTCGCGCGTAGCGTCAGAAGGCGTGTAGGGGTGATTATCAGGCGTTAGGGGGGTTGTTGATGAAGTGTTTGTGGTGAAGATAACGAGACATTCTATGCTCCTTCCATACCGGCCAAGCACCCCAGACATACAACGTCGCCCTCGGATCCTCGCTCGACGCAGCACCGGCTGCAGACCATTTCACGGTGGCCGCGGCCATTCCAACTTCCGTCCGGACCTCCCCCATTCCGTTGTTTATGATCCAGGTCGGGGTGGGTGTTGTTATTGTCGTCATCGACGTCCTGCATTATGAATGATGTGGATGTGTTCTCATCCTCGTCTGACAAGGGTTGTACCCAGCCTTGGCATGCTCGTATGCATACAAAACAAGCCCGTTGCCCGCATCCCATGCAATCGGCAAAAGAGTCGAGATCGGATTTCTTGGTCGGTTTCCGGTGGCAGATATGGCACGGGTTGAGGAGCGCTGATGGATTAACTGCTCTGGTGTTTGTGCCCGTTCGCGCATGGTGTGGCAAGGCTGACAACGTCGAGAAGTGTTCGGGGTGGGCGTGAGACGGGTTAGGTTCTTGTGGATGCTCCTCGTCCCCGCTGACTAGTCGAAGCCGCTTGCTGCTGGAAGGCAAAGGTATGACTTTTCGTGGTGCGTTGAACAGGGAATTGGCAGGGCCCTTCCCGGAATGGGGGTATAGGAGGCGCTCGTGATTGATGGCAGAGACCAAGTGTTGTGAGTCGTTGTATTGTGCCGTTCTGGGGCCGAGGTCGCTGTTAGTAGAATAGGGCGCGGGGAGAGGCTTTCGCAAGCCGTACAATGACACCTGCGCATCGCTGTGGTCATCGTCTCGCCTCCTCTTCTTGCTTGACGCAAACATGGGTAGTTCGAATGGTGTAACTGAAGGCATATCTTGGTTGTGTATAGTTATGAGACCCCAACAAGGGCTAAAACGAAACGTCAACGATTCAGGCTGAGGTCGTTTAGGATTGACGAACCCAACAATGAGGATAACGAATGCAGGTGCATAAACCAGGGATGGGACTAGAAATGAGTAGAAGAGTGCAAATTCCTGCGTGTTCGACTACCTACCTAACAGGTAGATGCATAGTAGTACGATGTAATGGGTAGTAGGTAGACAGTAAGACAGAAAGAGTTGTTTTGTTTGTTAAGATGAGGTGATATAACCTTGAAGTGATATGCAGTTATCAATAGTAATAGGTACCTAGGTACATGTATGTATATTAAAGTTACTAGGTACTAGGTAACTAACTTCAGGGACTCAGGGGTGACATTAGGTGACCTTCAAGGTTTACATATGTAGTACTGTATTGTACATACGCCGTAATGCTAGCATTTAGGGCATCCCACCAATGGCACATGGCACTGGGCAAGCTCTATTTCTTGATTTAACGCACGATAGCAAATGCTACATTCAAAATGTTGCTACCTAGTACTAGCTGACAATGCCTGACATGCCACACAAAAGTACACGTAGGTACCTCCCTATTGGCCTATCCGACCCTATCGACACTCTGATGTATAATGTTATTACTACTATTGAATTATGCACATTTGTCCAGGAACCTCCCTATTAGTACCTAGTACATAGTAGATATTGAGTATTACTCGGGACACCATTTTGAATCATCTCCCAAGTATTACTAGAGATCCTTTATAACATTCTGAAGCTATACAGAAAAAAAATATAGCAACACATGTTATACCTTTTATCTTTTTTACCATTTTGGCCATACATACAACCTACTAACTACTTAACTATAGATACATATCAGAAAGGAGACCTTTGAATCCGTGCACGCGAGAATACAGACAGATCTATTCCTCACTCCAACCCCACTTAATAAGCCCTCATCTGTCCGAGTCTTTTCTGCTTCAGTGCCTCAGTGTACATGGTGTACGAATCGAACATGCCCGTCTCCTGAAAGTAAGTTTCGTAGTGGCAAAGCATCTCCCTCAGTTTTTCTGCGTGGCTTTCCGCTAGGTCATGGACCTCGCCAAGGTCCTTGGAGAGGTCGTATAATTCCCATTTCCCTGGACCTTTTGGTGGAGGTAGGAATAACGCCTTCCAATCGCCTACCCTCACCGCGGCAATCCCAAGTTGTTCCCAGCCCACAATGTCAGTATCGTTGTATATCTGGATCGTCTGGTCTTCTGGCCTCTCCAAAATTGGCCTCCAGGATCTTCCCCGAACGGGTACGACCTCACGCCCGCGGAAGACAGGGCTTGGGTGTTTCAACCTCGCCAGGTCCAGTATAGTTGGGACGATATCCATCACTGTTGTGAAAGCGTTGTTGACGAGGCCAGTTTGCTTCAACGCGGGAGGGTATCGTACAATACAGGGGCAGTGGATTCCGCCTTCAGTCGAGTGTGACTTGGCTCCCCGTGACGGAGCTGTAGCTGCCCCTGCCCATTGCGGACCATACCATACAAATGAATTATAGTTGCCAATATTGGCCAGCGAGTTATCGTAGTATTTCTTCACAATATCCTCTACTGTGTAGCCGGCTAGTATCGGCAAGGCTTCTAGCAATTGCCCTTCGGCACCATTATCGGATATGAAGACGATGAAGGTGTTGTCGAGCTCGCCAGTTTCCTCCAAATAGGCTCTTACACGGCCAATGTTCACGTCGATGAGGTCTACCATTGCAGCATAGACCTCCATAGCCCTGGAAGACGATTTCCTCTCGTCCTCTGTCAATTCCTCCCAAGGCGTGGTCTTGAGCATATGCAAAGGCGCAGGCTCGATATCAGGGGGCACAAGCCCCTTTTCAATCAAGCGTCGAAGTCTTCGATCGCGTAGTACAGTGGGGCCATCATCATATTTACCACGATACTTGTTGATGACATCTCGTGGTGCTTGTAGAGGCCAGTGAGGTGCCGTGAAGGGAAGATAGCCAAAGAAGGGTTGCGCTCTCTCATCTTCTGTCCTGTCCCGTAAGAAGTCCAAGAAGTAGTCTGTAAATGTGTTAGAGGAGTAGAAGCTCTTAGGTAGATCTGTGCCCCCGTCTATGAACTCTCCATCCTTCATCCATATTCCATCACCCTTAAAAATTGCCGAAGGCTTTTCCTTAAGATCATATAATTGCGGTTCATGGTTGAAGTGGTTCCCAGCTCCCGGTAGAGTAGATAACACCTTGGTGAACCCCCTGGCATGAGGGCCAAGCTCCTTTTTTAAGCCCAAATGCCATTTCCCGCTCATGAGGGTGAAGTACCCGGCATCTTGAAGGATTTCTCCTAGAGCAGCAACCCGGTAGTTAAGATATCCTTCGTATCCAGGCTTGCCCTCGAAAAGTCGAGGAGCCTTTTTCTAAGCCGGAGATGTTAGTCAAGCAGATCAGCTATGATTGGCGGGGCCAGAAAGTGCTTACTATCTTCTCAGCCATCACCCCTAGCCCGGCAATATGAGAATCTGTGCCTGACAATAGCATAGCTCTCGTGGGGGAACATGATGCGGCTGTATGGAAGCCGGTCATGCGGATTCCCTCCTCAGCTAATTTCTGCAGATTTGGTGTGTCGATCTCGCCTCCATACGGGGAGGTATCACTAAACCCCAAGTCATCCGCAACAATAATGAGAAAATTAGGCTTCTTCTCGGCCATGGTCGATCGAAGATAGTGATTGCATATAGAAACTATAGAGGCATTAAGAAGTGAATGCTGGAAGTCACTTTATCCCAAAGTGCCTAGCCATATGTTTGGACAATGGAGCTCGCGTGGCCTTTCCACATATTCCGGCAAAAGTAACTCGAATACCGGAAGAATCTAAGTTACCTAGGTAAGTATTGGATATACCCATGTAACTTACAGGGAACATCGCCATGTTTATCCTCCCTACCTACCACTTGGTGTTTTAGATAATTGTTCAGATGCTTTGCCTATAAGCTACTAGCTTATCTAGGTACGGTACCTACTCATTACTTTGACGAGGTACACTTCTTTCTTGATAGCATCGTGGCTTCAATCACATAGAAGGCTTGGCCGAGCTCGAGCTGGTAGGACAATAGCACCAAGTTGCGTCACTCGATATCTAACATTGCGACAAGGTGCAACACCCGCCGACGACTAGTCCTATTATCAACGGTAGCACTGACACACGCACACGCCAATGGATCATGACAGATAACGGTCAGCCTCATGCCTAACCTAGATGCTACCTTACTTGCATACTAGGTAAGTCTAGGTTAGGTGTTAGGTATGTAACGTACAGAGCGTACTTCGGAGCACAGTTCGGAGGAGAACTTCAATGTTCTTTTAATTGACTGGTGACTTCAATTTCAAGCAAAGCTCAAGGATGAGTAATAATAAGTAGCCAGTTAAATTGTGGCATCATCAAACAACTGGTAAAAAGTAAAAGGTTTGGGTGACGTAATGAAGTTATCTGATTGATGCTGACAACAGGAAGGTACAAACAACATTAGGCACGAGAGCTATTACTACATACATCATGATAAATCTACCGGGTACATATAGTGCCGTACGGTCAGATGTTGGAAAAGGAAAAAGTAAGCGTAATTGGCGTAAATCAAACATCGTTTAACTAGCTACGTTTAACAAAGACGAAGGAAACACACATTCGAGTTGTTCCATAGCAACATTTGAACATTTATACCTCCTATGAATTTAAATATTTAAATACATTTTATTCAACGGCTGCCAAGAACATTGATTGAATGAACTATTAGTTACATAGTTAACTAACCTAGTACCTAGTACAATACCTAAGATAAGGCGTAATCTCAATCACGTGAACTAGCTCGGCCTTTAGCGTGTCCAAATCCGATTCGCTCCGTTCAACAGAGCGAAACTCCCGGACCCCAAGATCCAAAAGCTGCAACACGCCTCTTCGCCAATCCTGACCACCTAAACCCCCCCATCTCTATCACCAACAACCTTGGACTTAACATCCAAATAATTAACTACCGTAATCTCGACAACGACCAAATTATTGCCCTCATCAAGATATGAGTCGCGCCGGAAAGATTGCCCCCGAGCAGCTTCCGTTAGTCAACCCCCCCAATTCCATCTATTTGCCCCAGGAACCTTTTGTCTCAATCGAAACATCTGCTAACTATTTGATCAATCTAGAATTTTGTTCGTAAAGAATCTGAAGTTAGTCACACCACCCAAGTTCTTCCCCTCTTCTTCCCGTCGATATTCTTCTAACCAGAACTGTAGCTACGAAGTATCTTCTGACGCGCTTTGGAAACTCTTTGATCCCGGCGAGGACGGCCTTATCCGGTATGTTCCCACATTCATTCAATACTAATATAGATACCTGCGACTATGATCAGTATAGCTTACCATATGGTTAGTCAAATTCGACAAGGGATTTCCGTCGAGGCAAAGGGAACCGCATATGTTGTCTTCTGGAACGTCATGGATGCGAAGAACGCCCTCGAGAAGCTAAATGGCTACAACTTCCAGAACAGATATCTTGTCGGTAGGTTTCACACTTGGGCACGCGACCATTCATGGATATCTTCTAACATTGCTTATAGTTCTATGGCATCAGCCAGAGAAGACGCTCAAGTCAAAAGATGATCTCCAGGCACGCAAGGACAATTTAGCGCAGCTCAAAATGAAGCATGGGATCGATTGACAATTAGACGGGCCTGCGGACAGGCTTCAGACTTGTACCCGTGCTCCGTCTGCAGTCCCGTCTAATCCAGCTTCTACTACCTCCAGCTCCACCGCTACCACATCCACTACGACGTCGATCCAGAAGAACCCGACATCGGTGGCGAAGAACAGGAAGGGCAGGCCAGATTATGTCACCGGGCACGCACGAAAGCTCGCCTTGAACTTCGTGCGTAGCCTTATTCCACAGAAATCCAACAAACTCTGCGTGACTTGAACGCATCGTGCAGACAGTCCGCGCGGACATATATGGACGTACGAGGATGCCATACAGCATCTTATAAGGGCACAATATTGGGCTCGGCTCGGCTCCTGCTGGCCCCTTTGACAATTGCAAATCGCTCTTTAGGCACGCCTACGAAACGCGAAGGACGTCTGGTCAGATTGATTCACGGTTGATTCTAGTTTTATGGTTTTACGGAATGGCAATTATGCCACATTTCTATCTGGCGTTGTGTTGACTCGGAAGGTATTACATATTCATGATCCTGAGGCTTCGAGACCCCTTATTTCGAGAATGCAGAAGACCTCCTGTTTTCATCTCTTAGGGTATTGTTTTAATTCTACTCTATTCTATGAATGTGCACATTGTGAAAGCCATTGAAGTTGCCATATGGTAGTTTTGTGAGGACAAAGACTAGGTAGGTATGTATACCTAGAATAATACTACTAGTAGTACCTAGGTGAGATACATAGGTGGATATAACACAACATTGTTGGTGTGCGGCATTCGACCGTTTTACTCACAGACAGCTGCCTTTCTAGGTTGGTTACAGATTGGAGCGATGCCATGTGCTAAAAGCGGAGCAGAGACACAATATATGTAGGTTAGGTGGTGCACGACAATGATGCATAAGTCAGGAGTTAAGCATGACATCTCAAAGCGTACATTCTAACTTCGGATGTCCTATCACCTGTCTAATGAATTAATTTTTAAAAATTTCCCCTAATTGTTTTTTTTTCTTATCTTTAAACCTAGGAGGGTAGTTTACTTTTACTCGCTAGGTACTTATCTCTACCTTGTTAAAGAGGTCGAAGTTTATGTACTGGATAGGTACTTACCTACATTAATGATACCTAGTAGTATGATATTCAGATATTTACCTAATGCCCTATGAATGTAGGTGGGGTCCGGCACTGGCTTATTGGAAGGGCGGCTGCCTAGGCCGTCTCATTAGGTTTCGAATACCCCGTATTGACCCCATTTTTGTACCCATTCAGCCCATTTACAGCGCTCATAGCATCATTGGCATAGTTCAATGTCACTATGTCACTACCTAACTACCTACTACTAGTAGTATACATAGTACACATAGTACATACAATACACAATACAAACCCGTGGCACGCGAAAGGATGAAGCTGAGCGGCTCATCTTGTGGCTTGTATAGTCGCAGTCTCATCCATCCTCCATCCATTTTACCACCTTCACCTATCTGATCTACCTGTGTTACTACCACAATAAACGCCTCACATTTTATCCTTTTCTTCTCTTGTCTTTGCAAGAATATTACATCACCTCCAAGAGTGTTTCTTTCCTCTTCCTCTCTTCCTTTGTACAGTAATTAATCATAATTGCTGTTCGTGTAGGCGGGTTTCGATGGTCTATCGAAATTACCAACCATAGTTCGCCCCAGCACAAACCCCGATTCGATCCTGGCTGGAACCTAGGCGTTGATCCTCGCTCCCTTTTCCTCACTCCCTCGCTATTTGGTTGTCTCACTCTTATCCTGTCAAGCCTGTGTCTCGAGCACAGAGCTCATGTCCCTTCCTTTTACAGTCGATTCTCTTATACAAAGTGCCATCTCGACCGTAGCCACAACTACCCTCAATGCAGCGATAGGCGTCGACCTCGTTTCTACACCAACTACTGACCTGTCCTCCTTTTTTGCTACGACGGCGACGGCGACGGCGATAGCAGCTGCCGCAACTACCGCAATGGCCCCTCCCGAAGGCGATCATGGTGGAGAGGGCGAGTGTCGATTACTCGGCCCATTTGCTTTGTTTGTGCAGCTTGCGCTAGGCGGGTTGGCCATGCTATCTCTAGTCTACAAGCGGTGGCGAGAACGACCGCAGCGACCCGTCAAGATCTGGTTCTTCGACGTGTCTAAACAGGTGTTTGGGTCGGTGCTGGTACACATTGCGAACGTCTTCATGTCCATGCTCACTAGCGGTCGGTTTTCTATTAAGTCGGACCCGGTTAGTGTTCATGCGGAAAGGATGATGCGAAGGGAAGACGACCAATATACGCCGAATCCTTGTTCCTTTTATTTATTAAATTTAGGAATTGATGTGAGTCCTTGCGGGTGTCCAAGTACCACGTTGCTATGATACAAAGCCTAACCTTGTAGCAGACTACTCTCGGCATACCTATTCTTATTATCCTCCTTCGCGTCACCACTGGTCTTGTGGCCTATACACCCTGGGGTAAGCCGCCAGAGTCGATCCAATCGGGAAATTACGGCAGCCCACCCAATGCTTGGTGGTGGTTAAAGCAGTCTGTCATCTACTTCTGCGGCTTGTTTGGCATGAAAATCTGCGTCCTCATAATATTCTTGATATTGCCATGGATATCACGCGTGGGAGATTGGGCACTCAGGTGGACCGAGGGCAACGAGCGCGTTCAAATTGTCTTCGTCATGATGCTATTCCCCCTCATCATGAACGCGATACAGTATTACATCATCGATAGTTTTATCAAACTAAAGGAGGACACAGGCCACGAAAGACTACCATCGGATGAGAACAACGACGTGGATCCTTTTGACGATGCGCTTGCGAGCAGTGACGACGAGGGCTCCATCAGTGGAGAGAGCAACGAAAGTATGAAGCTTTCGAAATCTCGGAATTTCAAGAAGACTGGGGGTAAGAATCCAGAAGATGGACTTGAAGAATACGACCCAGATCTGGACGGCCTAACGGTTGTAGGGAGCAGCAGGAGTCAAGGGGATAGAGGCAAATTACTACCCAAAGAACTGGTTCCTCATGAGTAAAATAGGGCTCCGTCTCCCCTTCTCCCCCTTTCCCCCCTTCCCCTCGCCCTCCTCCTTTTCCTTATATCTTGGGATGGACATTGTGTTTGTTGCTTTTGTAATGTTAGATATCATGTGCCGCTATACATACGGCACACCTATTAGCATAGGCGCGGATCTGGGTATCGTACACGTCGAAATATATGATTGGCCTCACATGCAGTGGTGATGGCATCCAGAAACATCATGGATTGGTTCAATATACTGCTTCCCGCTTGTGAGCCCCGTCGGGAATCCGCATGAGTCTTAGCTGCATGTTGCTATTATTTCTTGCCGCTCTTTGTGGGTTATAAGACTACGATGAGTTGTGAGGAAGGAAATGCTACTGGGTTAGCTACTGGGTTAGCTATTACGTACATGCCATAGTTACCATGTACTATATATACCTGCCCTACATATGGTAAAATAGTAGATACATAGTAGGTACTAGGTATGTATGGAACCGTCGAGTAGCTACATGATGCATGCAAATATCTTTGCTCCTCCCTTTTGTATTATGAATACCTAGGTACATACCCTACCTAGGGTAGGCACGTAATAACCAACTAACCAACGTACATATAGACTTTGAATGAGCGTTCTTGCCTCAAGTGCTTACTTCAGTTAAGATTTATCATTTGTGTGAGATGCCCCATGTTTAGATGGCAGATGCAGCTTCTCCAATTGTTTGGATACTTTTACGTTCTTGCCTAGTAAGTTGTTATTATTCGTACCTGCTTTACTGTATAACGTTATTCTTGCTCAATTCCTGCTCAACTCTTGCTCAACTCCTGCTCACGGTTGTAACAGCAACACTCACAAATTTGACACAGAGTAGTAACTTGTGGATGGACTTCCCAAGATTAGATCTCGGAAACTCAGATATTATTCTAAATAATACTTGGGATTATCGCGGTTGTCTTGAAGAGTCACTGCCTCACAGACCATATCTGATCCTCTTCACCTTCTACACCTTCGTCACCTTCGTCACCTTCGTCACCTTCGTCACCTTCGTCATCGTCGTCACCTTCATCATCGTCGTCGTCTTCGCCCAACGTCTAGATTACAGACAATTATATTCCCCATAGCCTACCGAATATGAAGAGTCGTGTGACCCTCCCTTATCTTATCCCGGTCAACCTCAGCCTGAACTTCAACTTCAACAAGGAGCTGCCGCAGCTCATCCCCTCCTTCCCCTTCAGTAGTTTCCAAGATTATTTCTCTATGACCTCTATTCTTTACACGGGAGGGGGTTAACAAACAAGGCGTCTACTAGGAACACAAATACTTTGTTCGTCAAACCTAACTTAGTGTTCACCAAAGCGTGGCAGTGCAAGCCTTGCGAGTACCTGAGTACCTGAGTACCTAATAAGGCACATTGTGGGCGTTATTAGGTGCCTGCTAGGTCGGTGCTCAAGAAGCCCTCAATATATAAGTCCTTTCCCAGCCGCCGGATTAGCCAGGCTTTCTTCGGGGAAATACCGAGTCACCTCGTCAAAGACGCCTGACCAACAGTGAACTAGGATCACTAGCAACCCGCCTTTTCCATCTTTCCTACGCTCTACAAGGCTTCAGATTTCGTGTCCAATAAAACCTTTTCTATCCCTTTCTGGAACGCGGGGACGAGAAGAACAAAAATTCCAAAATGCAAGAGGAAAGCATGGCTTTCTATAACGGATACCAGCTATGCAAATGTGGAAGATCAGACGCTAGCATGCGATTCCAGCTCCCTGGAGGCCCGATGCCACCCTACTATGATAACGCCGCCGTCTGTCGCATGTGCCTAGGGTCCATTCTCCCTCGACAAGAAGCCGTATTGTCCCCCGAACCCCAAGGCCGCTGGCATCAGCGCCCACGAGAAGAAGCACAACCTTACCCATCCTGGCCAAACCCCTTGGGATCCCACTCATCCTGGCCGGGGCCCCCGGGACCCCAAGACTACTATTCTCGAAGTCTAGCATCATACCCATCCTGGCCAGAACCACCCAGACCCCCAGGACCACAAGATCGCTACTCTCGACGTCCAGCATCTTACCCATTCTGGCAAGAACCCCAAGACCGCTACTCTCAGCGCCCGCGAGAAGCGTTATCCTACCCATACTCGCCAGAACCCCAACGGTATCAAGACGTCTACAATCGCTGTGGTGTTGAATCTCGGAGTCCAGAACAACCACCATATCATGGGATGCCACTAAATACTGCTGAGAGCTGTGTCCCTCGCCCTATCACGACACCAACGACTGATAGCCCATACGCCAGCAGCTATTCCACGACCATAAGTGTCGGAAGTTCAGACCATACGCCGCAAGTTGTAGGCAGCCCTGCCATGGCATCTAAAGCTACTTCCGCCCCCACCGTCCCCACAATATACTTTGACAGCTATCGAAGTACTCGAGGTAGTCGAAGGCGTAGACCGATCTCTCTGGAGGTCCACTACGAAAAGGAAGAGCCTGATGAAAATGGTGGATATGACGGCAACGAAGACCACGGCCACGACGACGACATTGATGAGGAAGAAGAGGAGGAAGATCCAGCCCTTGTCTTTGATCCTGACGGGAAAATCAAATTGCTGGGAGATGAATGGGAGGTTCCCGATGAGGCGACGGCGTATTCAGAGGCTGGCCCTATGTGGGGGAATGCGGAGTTGGTCTCATTCTTTGACTGCATTGCCTCGAATGGAGAACCTGACGTTTTGGCTGCCACGGAAAATGTGACCTGCGACCTGACCATGGCTGGCGGCCTTTCATGAATTTCCAAGTCCCCGGGACAAATACGTATTGAATGAATTGGTTTATGATGGTTATCTGACGTTCAGCGAGTAAACGGGGTATGGGCTTGCTTCTTATTTGGCATTTTCTAGGTTGTTATGGCTTCAGCATTCGCGGTGTCGAGCCGCACCGGTGAAGGGAAAGGAAAGCTCCTGACTTTTTTTTTCAGCTAAGCAGAGCTCGTGTGGGAGGATGACTTCAGATAAACCATTTTCGTGACGAGACTGAAGATCAAGGAAAATTTCCGAGAAATCCTAGCCTCTGGATTTCTCCTTTTTCGTCGTCAACGCTAATGGCTAGTTATTAATAAGACGGATGCTTACGTCAATTGCGTAAATATATTTCTTGACTCATTTTATCCCTTTTTCGGTATTGCTCGTGATTTGCTATTATCGACTTTGGTTGATCCCCTATTTACCAGCTAGGTAGATGGTAGGTAGATACCTAGGTAGGTGGCATTCTGTGTAAAATAAATATATATAATGCCGTGCTTCTGTTCACTTCAATGTTGTATGAATGAGTAGGTAGGTAGGCAAGTAGGCAAGTAGGCAGGTACCTAACCACGACCTACATACTAGTATGTGCCGAGCAAGTCTCCTCCAAGCTTTTCTGGTTGAAGCCCCTGAGCCCATCATCGTGGCTAGTCATCCCTTTTAGGGAATGATGCCCATTTACAAGGTAGGTAGCTTGTAGTAGGTATGTATCTCCAACGCACAAATCCACCAGCAGCAGCATAACCAGTACCAGCTGTAGAGGTGGCACACAGAATATAACGAGAACGTGCAAATGAAGCAGATGGAAGAAGCCATGGGATGGGTAAGAAGGTATAATAAACCAAGTTGTCAAAAGGTATAGTACAAGAAGCAAAAGATAAAAAAAGCGATGTGTCTACTTGAATTCTGTTTTCCATCATGCTATGCAGATGATCGTCGTCCCCAAACGCCTGTCATTGACTACAATCAGCTAGTCCAACGGATCGGAAAAAAGATACCGCCCCAGATTAGCTGTATCCTAGATCCCTCCACCCCCTTTTTTCAATATGCATCCCCATGAATTTATGTATTTATTTACGGTCATTACGCTCCATTCCAGTTATCCTGCTGGCTGGTTCCCTGTGGTTTGTAGGGGCGGTAACCTGGATAAGCCTTTCCACCATTGGCCGTCTGCGGTGCCGTCTGCGGTGCCATCTGTGCTCCTGAGACTTCCTCCGTTTGATGAGATGTAGATGGTCGACTGTAGCCGGAGCTGAAGTCGAAACCGCCCGTGTTTTGGATGGGCGACACTGGGCTTGTTGTGTCAGCATAAGGATGGTCGATATTCTGCTGCACCAACGGCTGGTTTGAGGTATTGGAATACTGCCTTTGGGGCGTAGGAGGGTATTGTCGGTTATAGCTGTTAGGCGTTTGCGTTTGTGACCTAGCAGGATATTCGAAGCCTACTTGTGGGCCTGGAGATCGCATACGAGAGGGGTTGCTGTTACCATATCCATAGCCGTTCTGTGGGCCGGGGGAGCCTAATCGGCTGGGATTCTCGTACGGATTACTACCGATAGGCGTAGATCGATAGCTAGGCGGCGGCGCGCCATATGTCCCAGGAGTTACACTGCGCCCGTATTCGTCGTTGTACGGTCTCGGAGTTCGTGACTGTGGATATCCCTGGTCCATAACGCCTCTGCCATAACCATTGTTGTAATCTTGCTGAGGCGTATGGCTTCTAGATGTCCCGACTGCCATGCCATAGCCTTGATTCGAGGTGTCTTGAGTATTTTGTCCATAGCTATCCTGTCTGTAGCCGTTATAATCATATTGGTTTTGGTTGTAGCCCTGTCCATTCGTAGAATACGGGTCTGTATCGGTCCGCCCTGCAGTCATGTACCCGTTGGGCCCGCTGGGTCCTCGTACAGATCCGTAAGGGCTCCGCCCTGCTGCAGGGGCTGGACTTGGCGTCGTTCTGGGTGGCAACCCCAAGGCGATTGCAGAGGCACTCTGGGCATTCTCTGGTTTCTTTAATGGTTCCATCTCGACAGGCTCATCCTCGATGAGCACCTTTTGAGATTTTGCGCCTTCCCAGCTTGGCATAGCAGGCAATGAATCTGCATCCTTCTTGCCATCATCGAACACAGCGTACTGGGGCGCACTAGACGTTGGGGCTATACTTGGGGTCATAGGTGCTTGCGAGCGATAGGCCTGGTTTTCTTCATGGTGTGGAGGAATGAATGGATCGTCAAGATATTTGTGCCTCTTTCCCCGAGGCGGATCGCAGCACCCACAGCACTGACCACAGCACTTGAGGCAGTAACAGCACTCACAACAGCACGAAAGGCCGCAACATAAGCATCTTGAAATACACCAAATGATGGATATGATGATGAGACCACCGATAGCAATTACGGCAATGACTGGCCACCTACGGAATGTTAGACCCACATGATGATATCAGATGGGGAGAGTTAAATCATACTTGCAAAAACTGGCTTGCATACAATTATCCCAGCTGGAAAAGGCCGTTTTCGCGTCCTGAATGCTACCTTGAATACCAGTTGCTCGTTTATCCACCGCGGCGTTAACACTTCGCGCAAGTAAATTTAGAAACGCATCCTTGAGGCTGTGCTCTTGGAGACTCCGCTCCATTAAAGCGCCAATGTGTGGCATTGTGTTTCGGTAATATCAGGGGACAGACCGTGCTGAACTTAATAAAAATCGGTTCGGAAAAGGTCGTGATAATTTGAGTAAGGTGTTTTGAATGATAAGAGTGCTGCCTAAAGGTCCATGACACGAAAAGCAGTAGATAGTGGCTAATGGTAGTATGTTCCCAAACCCGTGGGAGTGACACCTCGTCCAACACAGCAAACGCAGTAGAAATCGCTAATGAATTCCTCCGGTTTTCAAGATCCTAGCTCGTAATTCTCCGTTTTGTGATTCGTTCGTGACTCGTGGTTTCGGTATGGATATGTAAGGGATATAGGATGTAAAGATAGATTGGTGAATTCAATTCAATGCTGCAAGTCAAACCCCGTGACGTAAATGAAAGGAGTAAGGGTTCAAAGAGTAAATTGATTGTTGGAAAAGGAACGTCAGAAATCCTGAATAAGGTATAACGAGAGAAACAAAGAAGTGAGTGGCATGAGAAGCACGCCTCGGGCAGCTAAAAAAATGAGAGAAATGTGCACTGGATGCTGTAAAAGAAGGTTGGAGGCGAAGGAATTGATAGTGTAGTTTAAAAAAATGAATGTTGTACTGATGTAAAAAAGCGACGAACTGGAAGAAGGATGTCCCTGAAATTGTGGGGGCGAAATTGAAGAAGGGCAATCTCAATGACGAGTCGCAATCAGGCACAGCGGTAAATAGGATGCAGCGGGGGAAATTGCCTAAAGCGATCCTTCACCTTTAACGGTTTGGAGGTTGGACTGCACCCTGGCATGTTCGCAGCTTCGCAAAGCACCCGATAACGTGTTGTACGCCCTATTTGGGTTTGGTGCCTGGCCACTTACCTAGGTACCTGACAGGCTGTGACAGCCCAGATTAACACGATAAACACGATAAGCTTAAATGGTAAAATCGGTACATGAAATGCAACGCCATTCGCGATTGACCTCTACATATGTAAGCTGTCATCATAAGTCGATCTCTATTTTAATACATAGTTACAGGTACATAATTGAGTTTTCAATATCTTCGTCTTACCTTACATAGTGTCATAGCCACCCCAACTGCCCCAAGTCAACCCCCAACGATTGGTTTCGCAATTGCAGCGAGGCGTCAAATCACGGGCGTTGGGTTTCCTTCAATCCAATACTTTATATGATTACTACGAAAACATGATGCACGTTGATACTTGTACGGCCACCATCATGCAAGCCTTATGCTCGCACCACATAACATTCTTGCCAGCCTACATGCTAATACTATCCAATGTATCCATGGATGTAACGAACTATCACGAGCCAGTACCTACTTAGTATCAAGCATTATTATAAACCGGTGTGGATATTTGTACTCCTTGGAAGTTGGAGTAGTTCAATGTTTTAAAAAACGGTCCTCAGTCTGAAGCAAACGATGTGGGGGAGTGCCGCGCGAGAAGCATCACCGGTTCACTGGTGCAGTGCTAAGCATGCAGGCTTGCACAATTTGTGGAGTTTTAACGATCCCAAAGGTTCAAACGTTGTGTGGGCTTACGCATACTTAACGCATGCAGCCCCCCCCCCCACAGCGGGATTTACAGAGCTGCCAAAAAGTTAGGACGGCTGAAGCTCCAGCTGTTTTTAGCTTCTCTCGCGTGGGCCATCGCCCTAACCTAGATCGTTTGAGGATCCTCCAGTGGATCCGTTACTGTACCATAGGTCTGTCAGCTTAGGTAGTAGGACCCCAAGTCTCAGATGATGATGCTATCACTCTTTTGGGGTTAAAATCTTTGCATATTAAAGATGTAACATTGGCAGCATGAAAGTATCATGCTATGAAATTAAGCACTCCTTAGCCTTGTCTTCAACTTCATAATAATGTTCATGATGCACTAGGTAGAGTGGTCTAGTTGACAATCTCAAAAGAGAAAAAACCCCGAGGCGCGTAATCTTGTCCATTCATACAAGACAAATAGAGCGTGTTCATCCATCTCATTAAAAACACTTCATTGTTTCCTTTGCCAATAATCTCATCGTAAATGCCGAGTGATTAACTAAGCCTTTTTGCCCAACGCCTAACCTGAGTCAAATAAGGGTATGTTCTGCTTCCCTTCTCATTATCAAACGCCCGCCTCGGTTCTTTGCCAGCTTATCGGTTAGGTGGAGGACCCTCGGGAGGAGCATAGTCGTCAGCCGCACCCTTGGTATGGTTGGGGTTGTTGTAGACATTTTGAGGCGGCTGTACAACGCCTTCGTGCTGACCGTAGTAACCATCGCTAGGCGAGAAGGTGGATCCCGTGTACTGATTTTGCATCGGGTACGATTGTCCGGGTGGTGCTCCATATGCCGGAGGAGGCGGGTTGTTGTTGTTGTTGTTGTTGTTGTAATAGCTAGGGTTGTTATTGGGGCCTGGCTTGCCAGCCATCCAACCAGTGCCATACATTGGCTGCAGTCCCGAGCGGCGACGGCGACGGGAGTTGATGCATCTGACGTAGAGTTAGCTAGAGTTATAAATATCAATATTCAATAATGCACTTACGCCCAAAGAGCAAAGACGAGGATGATCAGTACGATGACTACGGCAGCGAAGATCCAGCGTCCGTATCCATGCCACGCGCCATAGCAGTTGTTGTATCGATCGTAATCATCGCCGTTACAGTATCTTCGCTTTGTCAATTGCGCCCCAACTTGATCCATGAATGGAGCCATCTTTTCCTGATGGTACGCGATAGGGTGAGATGCGATGTAAAGTTTTCGGGTCGTTTTTTTTATTTTTTTCTGGTGTACTAAAGTTGTAATAATAGGTGAAGGAAGCTTTGGCGAATTTGGGGGGCAGAGAAGTCCGCCTGGAATTGTCCGAAAATGGGATGGCTTAAGGTTGTCGGCCAGTGCTGACGCTCAGTGACGTCGGGCAATATTATCGATGTACGAAGTATGCTTGTAGTGTATAACTTTACACTGTAGTTATTCCTAATTATTCTACCTAGGTGTCTTCAGAGTCGAGGGGAATACCGAAAGAATTGATGTTTGGTATAAATCAAAATAATGTAGGTATGGAAGAGGAGAGAGAGAGAGAAGTGCTTATTATGAAGACGGATGTCAAAGAGTCCTTAAACGCATTGAACACGCAATACGATGCATGGCAATGGCTTGGAAGTTGCCGATTACCGATTCACTGCACATAAGTTAGTATGGTGCTTGTCGTGGCACTTCACCTAACCACGGAACTGTGATCCCTGTTTTTACCCATGGTGGCTGTGCACACTGCACACTGCACACTGCACACAACACTGCAACTCACATGATACATTCATTTTCTACTAATTTTCTACTAACTAACTACAGATAAATAAGCCTAGGACTCTGGAATTTGTAAAAGAATTGGATGCGTAATCATCTATTCCAAATATTCCAAATATTCCAAACACATACAAAACAGTCGCAAGTAACTACATAAATGGAATACCGAACTGCAGGTATGTATTTATTTACTACCTACATGTACTAGGTAGTTACGACATGGGTACATAATCTGTACACATGATGTAAGTTTGCTCGTGGCTCAGATATGATGAAAGAATCAATAGCATCAATCGGTACCTAGATACATGTTCAAGTATGTAGCTCCGCAATCAAGGCTGAGCAAATTGGGCAAAGCAAACATTTCTCCCATGGAAGGTGAGTTCCCGAGATAAAGCGAGAGGCCTCGTAAAGTGCTTTCCAGGGCTATCTAGTATCTACATGGTACTACCTCCTACCTCCTACCTACCTACCTAGTAGTATGTAGTAATAATTGTAGGGCACCCCAGGTAGGTAAGTCAGTACCCCAGGTGGTGGAATCATTGATTGAATGACTCGGGAAGAAATAATCACTCATCAGAATGGTCAGATGACTTACCTACAACTATTACTACCTAATGGTATGCAAGGTGCATTTGATATAGTCCAACTTGAAGCGTCATCTTTTCATCTTTATATATACATACATGTACGCGTATGTACGTCTTCAATCTTTAGAGCTGTGTGCGACCAATACGCTCGCAGCGCCTTTCTGTATGTATGTACCTCCTTACATATATAGTCGGGACTACTAATGTGTAATGTTAGGAATATGGAATGCAGTAAGAAGCGATGCTTCGCTATTGAAGGATCTCAACATGATATCCATCATGGTTACATGTAAGCCAACTGGAATGGAGGCTTTTATCAAGTTTCAAGTTGCGTGCGATGTGCTAGTGTGCGGATGTGCGATGTTGTATGGTGGTATGTATATATATGTACATATGTAGAAACGAATTGTTTCGTGGGCCATCTCAGCTAGTCCAGAACCCGCCATTGACGATCAGTTCCAAGTTGTTGCCTTCAAGGGGACGGAGGGCAGCAGGTCCGCCGAGCTAATGACATGCCGCCACGTCAAAAATCTCCGTAGATTCATATCATGGGCCCACGGCATGCCGCCCATCAACACTACACAACACTACGCTACATATATATGTACATCAATACCAATACCAATATCAATACATTCACAGAAAAAAAACCCCCATTTTTGAAATTAAACCCCTCTAAAAGGTACAATAGCAATGAATCAACAAAAAATAGGAAAAAAAGGAAAGAAAAAACATCATGTATAAGACTCACGATTTTAGTATCTGTAGTCTATATTGTCGATCGCCAAACGTAAGCAAGTAACTAGACGAACAGAGAAAAAAAAAAACAACCCCCCCAAAAATCCAAAAAACCCCCTTACCCCCTTGACTACTAGTAGCTGCAAGCAGAAGTTCCTCCCTGTTGAGGTACCTGAAAAGTCCATGTTGCGCTGTCCATATAGTCGCCTTGCGAGCCAATCAATGGCCTCCCATCGCCTCGACACTGGAGGGTTTGCCAACTCATCATCGCATCAAATGTGGTCTGTGTGTAGCCTTCAAGTATCGCCTTTCCTGCACCTCTCCAGGCGCCGACGCTTTCTTCATTTCTCTTCTTCATTCCTTAGCTGTCCTAAGTCAAGCTTGGAATGAGAAATCTCTTTTTTCTCCTTTTCTGTTGTTTTTTGCTCTCCACCTCCAAATTTTGGTCTTGTTCCGGTCAAGCGACAGACGCCATGCCAAACTACATATGTACTCATCTTGTCTTACACCTTACCAAAGACGACTCTGGCCGACTAGGGGTGTGGGTTTCTGGCCTCTAGCCCTCTAGCGCCACCATGGGCGCATTTTCTTTCACAGTCGCGATTTCTTTGCTAATTGATAGTTCATAGGCATTGTTTAGCGTTACGCATATGCTATCGCTAGACATGCCTCGTGGCTTTAAGTAAAGTCGTCAAGTCATGATTGATTTGGTCATAAATGCACTTAACTACACCGATGCTCCCTCCCTGGCCCGCCTTGCTCGCAATATCGTCACAGTAGTCTCGCAATATTGGGATATTCAACAGTCTTCACTGGCTGTCAAACGCCCCCTTTACCACGCTGACGAAAAAAAAAATAACCCAACCAAGAAGAGACGTGTCGGAGGCTATACCGACCGTTCTAGCACTTCAAATTCCGAAACCGTCGACTCCCATCCCCAATGGCTATGCAGTGCTTGGGTCGAGCAGATGAGGTGTATGAAAAGAAAAAGAAACACTGGAAGGTAAGGCCCGAGATGTTAAAAGGTACACTGATGGTACAGCGACCTCCAAAGTTAAGCTCGCGAGAGATGATTTATATATTAGGTCGTCGCCGGCCAGAAGTTTGAACCGTCTTTTACATCCCATGATATCATTAGCGTCGTGAAAATGCATCGAAAGTGTCGTAGGAGTGGCGAGGAGAACCCCCGAAATCAGGCTGGTTGCTCCTGGGTTGGCCGGAGAAATCGAAGAGTCAAAATCAAAAATCAGAAGCCAAAGTGTGGCGCAAAGCAAAGAGCTTATCGGTTGGCCCATTTCATGAGCCATTGAATTACCGCTTCTAGGTTGGTCTCCTCCTTTGCGCTAATGCCGTAGCAGGAAACTTCGCGATGACCTATACTCTTAAGATCTAGAGCATCTATGAGTTCATCAACACTGAGCTTGATGTGGAGGTCCGACTTGTTGCCGAGCACAAGCAAGGGGATGCCCTCGAGACTTGGCTGCGACATCAACGAATGGAGCTCTTCCTTTGCCATAGGGAGAAGGTCTTGATCTGCAATATCGACGATGAACACGATCGCATTCACTCCGCGACAGTATCTCTCCCACATCGGCCGAAAACGAGGTTGACCACCCAGATCCCAGCACTTGAGTGTCACATGGCCTCGTTGCACACGCTTCATGTTGAAACCAACAGTGGGAATGGAGCTACACTACCTGTTAGTCGACCCGTGGACAGCCATATCGAACGTTGGACGGTATAACGAAAGAATCAATATCATTTAAGGGGGGGGTTTATCGTGCTTACTCGATCGTAAATTCTCCACCCTAAAGAAGAATCGGGTCGTTAGCGACAGTCAAAATGATGGGGTAGTGAAAAACGGGCGGGATGCTTACCGATAAGACACGAAGCAAGGAGGTCTTTCCAGCATTCTGCAAGCCTATCATTGTGACGTCCATCTCAGTCGCCCTAATTAGGTCTATCAGTACGGTGCATTAAAAGGAGGGATGACGACGTCGCGATGCAGAATGCGCATGCAGGTACGGCGGTGAGCAGCACCACCTTGCGACCCCGCGCTGAATGTTGGTGCGTGAACTCACCAAAAGGTTCTGAGCAACCAGTCGTACACCTTCCGAAATAGTCCTGCCATCGTATCCCGGTTTAAAAGTAATTGTGTTTGGTCAGTAATAGAGTTATGAGCTTCAGAGTCGTCAGGATCGTCGGAGGCTAGAAAAAAGAGATGGGAAAAAAAAGAGAAGATATTTTGAAGGTCCAGGTAAGGCTGGGGTAAGTAGGAAAACGCGGTGGACAGATATGATTGGGGGGTTTGTCTCAAACAAAACGTTTAAATAGTTTGCGCTTCGGCTTTGCTTGATGAAATTGGGAATAAAATGTCTCGTATGACGATGAACAGCGATGTTCTTTGCTGGCAGCGCTCACAGCGGGTGAGTTAGCCCCAAGGCGCAAATTGCGTTCGGTGAATGCGAACTATCTACCTAGGTAGGTAGCTTCAATATTCTAGCGGTGGTGAATAGGTACATGCAGCATTTGATGAAAAGATACAGTGGAAGCGGGATGGACGGTGACGCCTGGACGGAGGGTCACAATTCCCCACCACGGAAGATCGCACAAAGCTGTTATGAACTTATGATGCCCCGTGCCTTTGAATGGGACGTGACCAAGTGGGAGGGATAGAAGGCCAACCTTGCATCAGAACAGACAGCGGCTAGGAAGACTGGGGTTTCATTCGTCTATTCCGACAAGGCCAGCTAACTTTGAACCACAAATACCTAGACCAAATGGGCTTAAGTAGGTATGTAATAGTGGAAGCAAAAAGTAGTAGCAAGCAGTAGGTAGTATGTATTTGTAGGCCGGACAAGACAAGACGAGACGAGACGAGACGAGACTACACAGAGCAAAAACAAAACAAAAACAAAAAAGAGAAACGAAGGCCAAACCGAAAAGATAACAACAACAACAATAACAACAATAACAATCAAAAAAGGGGAGGGGGGATGGGCAGATAGGTAAGTTGCGGCGGAACAAGAAACGAAACTCGACAAGCGGGAGGCGGTTGAGGAGCGAGCCTTAGGAGCCGCGAGTATGGGGAATTAAGATGGTCGCTATTGAACGGCCCGTCGCGAGCGTTTCGTAGATGCACAGCACAGCCTTGAAGCAAGTATCGCCTAGGTTCCCCAGTCTTCAAGATCCCAAAAGACTAACCAGACTTGTAGGCTTGTGACTTGTGGCTTGGGAGAGAATGAAAATCGATGTGAGATTTGTCTAAAATGCAGGTCTGCAAGTTGAGGTGGGATAAGGTAGGTAACCGTACAGAGAACAGGGACTGTTCTGCTTGAGATTTTGCGACTCGAGGTTTTCCCGAGCTGCTCCTCTGGCCGTTTCGGAGACCCGTCACCTGCTCGGGCGGGTAAGGTATCCAAGTAGCCAGGTATCCAAGTATGTAGTAGTTTGTAGTAGTTTGTAATAGTAGTATCCAGTTATTGCTGTTTCCCCCACACCAAGTAGCAAGCTAAACTTATTGGGCCCTGCCGTACCTACTGTACGTAGGTAGGTAGGTACTAGGTAGTAGGTAGGTATCTTGCTGATGAATGGATGGGTAGGTATTTCGTGATTGCCCCCAACACCGTCTCGCGAAACTTTGCCTTACTTTAGGATTCGGTTATGGAGAGTTTGATAAAGCAGGCCAACGTTATAGATGAATCCGGCTTTCGGCAGGATCGTATGTATGAACGCTCACGGAGAGGAGGAGGGGATGGAGAGAAAATGAGGCGGCGGCGATGGTGACCGGAGAAGCTGACGGAAGCCGATTTGTTTGTAATGCTAGAGTTGAATTCAAAATAATAGGTTGTAATGCAAAGTCTCGTATGTGGCCAGGCCTTGCAATGAATGAGCTCAAGTGAGATCAAGGGTAGTAGCTAAGAGAGGAAGAGGTAGGTAGGTAGGTATGTAAGCTGGGAAAATCCAGGACCAATTTCTCCAGGAAGCTACCGGTTAACTACCAGACTTGGGGCCAAGTGAAGCAGGCAGCCTGCGGGATGCAAGTATGCACGGCAGGCAGCTTAACGTCGGGTTGGGCTGCAAGACTGGTCCAGGATCAATTTGACAACCATATATGTTGCACCTCGTGCTTATTTGTGAGATGAGTGGTTCAATGTTGAGAATCGACAAGAACAAGTAGAATATGTAGGCCTACATAGGTAGGTATTGTCCCTATCTGCACAGGTGCCTACTAGGTACTGTATGTATGCATGTATGTAGGTATGTAGGTATGTAGACTTGGAGTGGCTGTGTTGGTACCAGCTAATCAACTGGACTGTGAGTCTGTGACTTTTATACAGAAAAAGTGAACTAGCACAGCTCTACGCATACACTAGTTAGTATGCATGTTCCTGTGGAGAGGCAATGGAGCTCTGTGGGTCCACTTAAAGGGCATCTGATAAACTTTTATCGATAACTAACTAACTACTGACCATTGAATGATAACCGTCAAAAATATTTCGGAAGATAAGATTGGCTTTTTTTTTTCTTTTTTCTTTGAAAAGCTTCGAGATCGACAAACAGAAAAGAGAAACTTCAGCACACTATTGGACTCCTACGTCTCAAGGAAAAGTCACTGCTGTTTAGTATCATCCTACCATATCATACGAGACGTCATTCCAATCTTCAAAGCTCAATTGAGTACAAGAAACTCATTTTGTCGCCATCATGGCCCCGCCACCAACCAACACAAGTTGGGACCATGAATACAATACTCTGCGCCGAGAGAAGCTCTTCCAAAACCCCCCAACAGATCACTCTGCATACCCCCTATTACAAGAGGCTGTGAACCCACATATCGAGTCCTTCGATGCGCTATTCGGAAACGATGGATTAATTGCACGAGGCCTCGCCGACATAGGCACCCGACTGTACCTAGATGGTGATGATCGCGCTCCTCCAGCTGGAAAGAATAAACTGAGAATCAAGTATAAGGCGATACATCTCCAGAAATCGCAACTTCCTCCGACCAATAAATTCGCTGTTAAAAATCGAGAAATTCTTCCCGCAGAGTGCAGAGAACGACATGTGACGTACCGGGGCAAAATATCTGTCACCATTGAGTACAGAATAAATGACGGCGATCCGAAGGAATTTACTCGAGAAATTGGTCAACTCCCAATAATGGTGAAGGTAAGAAGATATTTTACATAACCCCACGAAATTATAAACACTTGCTAAGCTACAATCTAGTCGAGCTATTGTCATCTCCGAGATAATAGCCCGGCACAGCTAGTCGCGCGCAAGGAAGAGTCGGAAGAACTAGGCGGCTACTTCATCGTCAACGGTATCGAAAAGATAATACGTCTTCTTTTGGTCAACCGAAGAAATTTTCCCTTAGCAATCATTCGTCCGAGCTTCACTGGTCGCGGGCCTGCTTACACCCCTTATGGTATCATTCTAAGATCAGTGCGACCAGATGAAACCTCACAAACAAATGTCCTCCATTACCTAAACGACGGCAATGTCACCTTCCGTTTCTCCTGGCGCAAGAATGAGTATCTTGTCCCAGTTATGATGGTCCTAAAGGCCCTCGTGGAAACAAACGACAGAGAGATATTCGAAGGTCTAATCGGGGCACCTGACTCGAAAGGTATCAAGAATACCTTTCTTACCGATCGTGTTGAGCTCTTGCTTCGCACTTACAAAACCTATGGAATATATACGATGGCACAGACCAGATCATATCTGGGTGAGAAATTCCGACCGGTTTTAGGCGTGCCCGATACCTTGTCGCACTACGAAGCAGGAACCGAATTCTTGCGAAGAATTGTGCTCGTCCACCTTGGGAACATGAACGTTACTGAACAGCAAGATTCAGACAAATTTCGCATGCTTCTATTTATGATTAGGAAGCTATATGCTTTAGTTGCTGGAGATTGCGCTATCGACAACCCTGACGCGGTCCAGAATCAGGAGATCCTCCTCGGCGGATTTCTTTATGGCATGATCATAAAAGAGCGACTGGATGAGCTACTTTCCGTGGGGGTTCGTGGCGCACTGCGGGAGTATTTGAGGAAGTTTCCTGGGAGAACCTTTACTTCTGAGGAGTTTTCGAAGGATTTCCCTATAAAGATATTCCAAAAGACGAACGAAAATGTCGGCAATGCCTTGGAGTACTTCATGTCAACAGGTAATTTATCAAGTCCTTCCGGTCTGGATCTACAGCAGGTATCAGGTTTCACTGTGGTCGCCGAGAAGCTCAACTTTCTCCGTTTCATAAGCCACTTCCGAATGGTTCACCGAGGAAGCTTTTTTGCCCAGCTGAAGACTACCACAGTTCGAAAGTTATTGCCCGAGTCTTGGGGTTTTCTTTGTCCTGTACACACTCCCGATGGTTCTCCCTGTGGCTTGCTAAATCATCTTGCGCACAAGTGCAAGATTATGACTAAGTCCCACAATGTATCGGCAATTCCACAGCTAGCTGCAGAACTCGGTGTCGTTGATACTTCATCTGCCGCCACAGATGAAAGTGTTGTTGTTATGTTGAATGGACGGATCTTGGGTTGGTGCCATCCTTCCCAGTCGCGCAGAATCGCAGACACGTTCCGATACTGGAAAGTTGAGGGGTCTCACGGCATTCCAATACATCTCGAGATCGGCCATGTGCCATCATCCAATGGAGGCTCTTACCCCGGTATATACATGTCTTCTGACCCTGCCAGAATGGTAAGACCAACAAAGTATCTTCCGCTGGAGAAGGAGGACTTCGTTGGCTCCCTCGAGCAGCCGTACATGTCTATTGCCTGTACGGAACAAGAGATTGTCTCGGGAGAGTCGACGCATGTTGAATTCGATCCTACGAACATCCTTTCGATATTAGCAAACATGACTCCGTTTTCGGATTTCAACCAATCTCCAAGAAACATGTATCAATGTCAGATGGGCAAGCAGACTATGGGTACTCCTGGGACATCGCTACCCTACCGAACAGACAACAAGATGTACCGCATCCAGACCGGCCAGACACCTATTGTCCGGTCTCCGCTACATAATGCATACGGGTTCGATAATTTCCCCAACGGTATGAATGCTGTCGTTGCTGTGATATCTTATACGGGATATGATATGGACGACGCCATGATTATAAATAAATCGGCACATGACCGAGGTTTCGGCCATGGAACGATTTATAAGACAAAAAAATACACTCTGAAAGAGGAGAGTCGCACAAGAACTGTGAAGAATGTGACCAAAATGTTCGGCTTTGCACCAGGGAGTGTGGTGAAGGCATGGACCCAAACTATGCTAGATGAGGACGGTCTTCCACACGTCGGACGAATGGTCCAAGAAGGCGATGTCATCTATGCTTATCACACAGTATCTGCAGATTACAGCGGCAACTTGGTCAATCGAGATGGTGTCACTAAATACGAAAAGTATAAGGACTCGGAACAAGGATTCGTCGAAGAAGTACGCCTCATCGGCAGTGAACAAGGCAACGAGCCTGCCCAGACAATCTCTATCAAATTCCGTGTTCCTCGCGCGCCGGTCATCGGCGACAAATTTTCATCCCGTCATGGTCAAAAGGGTGTTTGTTCACAAAAATGGCCGGCTGTCGATATGCCATTTTCAGAGTCAGGCATTCAACCAGACATTATCATCAACCCTCACGCCTTCCCCTCCCGAATGACAATCGGTATGTTTATCGAGTCATTGGCAGGAAAATCAGGGGCGCTTCACGGACTAGCACAAGACTCGACACCTTTTAGGTTTGATGAGGAAAATACTGCAGCGGACTATTTTGGCCATCAGCTCATGAAGGCTGGCTACAATTACCATGGCAATGAACCTATGTATTCTGGAATTACCGGCGAGGAACTGGCCGCCGATATCTACATAGGCGTGGTGTATTACCAACGACTACGACACATGGTCAACGATAAATACCAAGTCCGAACGACAGGGCCGGTGGTTGCCACGACGGGCCAACCCATCAAGGGCAGAAAACGAGGTGGTGGTATTCGTGTGGGTGAAATGGAACGAGATGCCTTATTAGCACATGGTACAGCATTCCTTCTCCAAGACCGTCTTCTCAACTGCTCGGATTACTCTCCATCATGGATCTGTCGTAGATGTGGCTCCTTCTTGTCAGTTCAACCTACGGTATCTCCATTTGTAGGCAGAAAGAAGACGGTGAACAGCGTACGGTGCCGCAATTGTGCAACACGCCTCGATCAGATCAGCGACGTTGATTTAACCAAATTGGTCGGCGAGATATGGGAAGATGGCCAAGGGAACCAGTGGGTCGGAGGTGAAGATACCACCAAAGTAGCAGTTCCCGGTGCTCTGAAGTACCTTGATGTGGAACTGGCAGCCATGGGTGTTAAGCTAAAGTACCGAGTTGACCCTAAGGATGCTCCACGGAAAGGTCCGTTGATACAAACAAATTGGGATAATATCCCTACGGGAAAGAAAGCAAGCACCCTTCCGCCTGCCATTACGGCAGCGTAAGTCCTCAAACATGGACTCCCCCCCAGACAAAAAAACAACGGCTTGGATTGCATTGGATGGAGTTGGCGGGTTCCCGACATTGGGCATGGACAATTACGGCAGTGATAGAAATTAAGAAAGGGTAATTGAATCCTAAACGAAGTTATACCACCCGTCCTTAAGATGTCTTGAAAGTGACAGGCCATTACCATATCTCTAGAGAAACACGACTGCAGGTAGCCGACGCGACGAGCCGGTAGATACTAGGTAGTCTCAGATTGATGATATACTACTACATATGTAGGTAAGCAATAGGTACTAGTATACTAGGTAGCGTCAACTTCGTCACGGCGGTCATATGTAGCCTACACAACATTGAATCATGGAGCCTGTCGCGTTTGTATGAGCGCGGCAGTCGGCAAAAGGGGCAGTCGCGAGGTCGTCCAAAGCTCGCGGTTTCCTAAATTAAGTCCAGACCATAATATGATGTACCTACCTACTAATGCTACATATTTACCTACTAATGTAGGCTGCTGCGACCAACAACTTCAATGTTCCAGTTAATTGTTCAAGAAGTTCAATGTTCCCATATCCACGGTACTTACCCTACCTACATCTACCTACCTACATCTACCTACCTACATCTACCTACCTACATCTACCTACCTACCTATACATAGTACCTTATGTGCCTTAGACATTAATCCTCAATTTCTTCTGAATCTCCGATGGTTTCCGGCTTCCTTTCTTCGCTAATAACCATAATATGTTCCCGATATTCCTCTCTCGTCTTCATATCGCATGAAAAGACTACCTTGCCTACCTAGGTAGCTTCCTTGGATTTTCTTAACTTAACTTACCAACATACGACAAGCACTCGAGCCATTTATATCCCACACCTGGGCTTTTCTTCGCAGGGCTCTTGTCAACGCCCCTATCCCGGCTACCTCTACGTTGTACGGCTTCACTGTACAGCTCTGTGTGTCGTCTAGTAATTACCGGATTCGTACGTCCTCTCTTGCAAGGTATATACTTTTAAAACGGTTCGCCATGCTGTTCATTCACGGTATCTATTTCACAGTTGGCTTCTTATTCTGTATAGTTATTGCCGACCTCATACAACCAGGACAATATGATTATGGATTTAACTTCGACCTCCGCCTCCGAAAACGAGATGGGCCTATTCAGTCTACGATCGTTACTGGCGCTCCCCGAGTCGGTGGAGAGACGCAACTAAGACCAGACATTCGAGACTTACAAAAAGATGAGGACAAGTGGAACCTGTACCTCCTTGCTCTTAGTTGGATGCAGTTTACCGATCAAGAGTCACCGTTCTCGTGGTACCAGATCACAGGTGTGTCAGTAAAGGGCAAAACTAGATCTTCTTCTAACATATGCCAGGAATCCATGGTGCTCCTGCGCTAACATGGGCCGACGTCAACCCAACTCCTGGCAATGAACATAGCGGATACTGTACCCACGTGTCTATACTCTTTCCTACTTGGCATAGACCATACCTTGCTCTATATGAAGTACAGTCACAGTTCCAGACGCCTAAGGCTACGATACTAACTTTCGATTGTGCTAGCAAGTCCTGTACAATGTCGTACAGTTCATCGCTTCTTTATATCCTGCAGACTCGAGGGAACGTATTCAAAGGGCTGCCTCAACGTTTCGAATTCCATACTGGGATTGGGCTGCCTCACCCCCAGATGGAGTTAGTGTCCTCCCTCTCAGCGTTGGCGGTTCATCGACTATTAACGTGACCGGGCCAAGTGGGAATCAAAGTATTTCCAATCCATTGTTTAGCTACGTCTTCAAGCCATTCAACGGATCAATATTCCCTGACTTTCCGGTAAGCTCAGCTCTTTACTGGCCTCTACAATACGAGATACATGGCGTGAACTAATAGTGATTCTCAAAGTACAACACATGGCCCGAGACGAAGCGGGCACCACGCCCTATAAGTAGTCCTAATGCCACCTCGAATAACTCATTCGTAGCGCAGGCATTCGACAATCATCTGCCGAACTTTCAACAGCGTTTATATAATCTGTTCACAAACTACCCAAACTATTCAACTTTCAGCAATGAAGCCTGGGTTCCTAGCGACAACAATGGCACCTACGACTCTATCGAGTCCCTGCACGACGTAATTCATACTATAGGAGGGGGTGTCTATGGGCATTTTGCCATCATCGCTTACTCGGGATTTGACCCTCTCTTCTGGCTACACCACACCAATGTCGACAGGATCTTTACAATGTGGCAAGTCCTTCATAATAATACATATGTAGTTCCTCAACCTTCTGTGTATTCTTCACACACGACATCTCCAGGAGATGTTGAAGACTCTCAAACACCCCTCACCCCGTTCTTCTCTAACGAAACACATTTCTGGACGTCAGACACTGCAAGAGACCACCAAGTTTTTGGCTACACGTACGCTGATGTAGCCAACAAAAGCCGCTCGGATGTTATAACCTCAATAAATAGGCTCTATGGGAAGTCCAGCCCGGCTTCTATGTTCATGAAGATCAGCGAGAGTCAAAGACAAACTAATAAGCATGACGAACGTCTGAGCCACCGAGGATTACATAGAATGGGCGGGTTATCGTGGAACATCCAGACATCGGCTCATCCTTCCATAAGCGCGGTGTTCGATGGCAGCAAGTATCGAGAGTGGATTGCAAACCTACGGGTCAACAAGCACGCAATGGGTGGTTCTTTTAATATATACCTTTTCATAGGAGAGGTTCCGTCTGATCCTTCGTCATGGCCAGTGGCGTCTAGTTTAGTCGGCACGCTGGGAGTATTCGCTCATAAAGGTGCACACGGCCATAGAGGCGTACATAGCCATTCCTCTAGTCGAAAGGTTACGGGGACTATCCCGATGACCTCGGCCTTGATGAACATGGTCACTTCAGGAAATATATCGAGCCTACATACAGGAGATGTCGAGCCCTTTCTAAGATCTAACCTTGAGTTTCGAATTTCTCTAGCTAATGGTACGACGGCCGAGGCCCATGAAGTTGACGGGCTCTGTATTAGCATTGTCAGTTCAATAGTTAAAGCACCGGAATCAGAAGACACACTTTCTCAGTGGGGTGAGATGGAGAACCATTTTGACCTATTTGCATAAGAAACGAGCTACAGGGTGCTTGCAGCTGCCCCATTATGTTAGTACTCAGGAGAAGGGTACGGAAGAGGAACTAGCAAGGTTGTATCTGATCGGCTTCTTATAGCACACTTAACGCAGATTCAGGCAAGAGGTAATTCGAGTAACTATAGCTAATTTGTTGTTGTTAATAACTAATAAATTCGTATGTAGAACAACCTGCCCCTTTAAGCAGGGTACCACCCATGATAAGTCATTAGTAGTGAGACTGGATTCCTATTGCGGCGGCGTGCTGGCTTCTGATAGAGCTACGGCCATGCCTTGACATGTCTTTAAGTTTAGTCGATGAATAGCCCTGTGATATATGTGGACAGTTGCTACATATAGGTATAATGCCTACATAACCACTATCGAGAACAAGCCTGATAGTATACGGATAGGCATGCGTAGAAGCGGCAAGACGTACGTCACTGCTGCCAAGCCACACGAGCTCGCCCTAGCCTATCTGGTCGTACAGGATGAGTATTTGGACGTCAACGAAACGGTGCGAGATTTGCGAACTGCCTTATATGGGTGGATGAGCCGGCATCATCGACTTGAATCACTTGATGGTAGAAGTCAACATTATGCGGCAAAACCGTCCATTTCAGTCTGTAATCCTGCTTATATGTTTCTCTATCAAATATTACATTACATACCTAGTACCTATTTATCAATGTACTTAGTAAGAGTCAAGGTGTACCTAGTATCATGTTCTAAGTGCGCATGGCATGTAAAAAAATGCGGATAATTCCAGGAAGTCATACATCGTGGACGATTGATTACAACTAGAATCACCGACATTTTTAGTCTAATACATTAATCAGATCTGAACACACGTACGTAAGCCTGGAGTACATACTGGAGTCTAGGCATTTCCAAGCTATTTACTAGTATCCAGACCCATTGTTAGCCATAGTAGATGCATACATAGTACATAGTATTAGTAGGTAGGTGGTTAATTGTGCCCCGGAGATTTAAATTAACGTAGATATATTGAGACTTTCTCCTCAATAGAAGCCAGCCTTGCGTCGGATCGACATTTAGGTAGTTTTCGGGATTGGGACTGAGGAGTTCGGTTTCGAGACGATCATCTGTCTACCTACTGTACACTGTACAGTAAAACCCGGTCGTTCATTAATTAAACGACTGCATATCTAGGTACTTAGTTTCTGAGAACGTGCCACGCTAGCTTTGAAGCAGGTGATTGAGACATAATTATCATGGGCGTTTGAGATAGACCGGTTTTTTTCTTTCCTTCCTTCCTTTTTCTTGAACACCCCCGCCTCCCCGTTCTCTCTCTCTCTCTCTCTCTCTCGCTCGCTCGCTCTCTCTTCCGGGGCTACTCAACTCGATCAGGTTTATCAGGCGAGAGTCGAAGTAACACTGATACCTAACATGTAGCAATTATTATCTAGCGAGGAGTTTTTGACACATGCTCGGGATTTCTGTGGCCTTTCCCTAGATACGGCTTGTTATAACTGGGCCAACGGAGTCTGGCGGAGTCTACCGGCTCACGCCAGACTGCTCGGTGAGCTGTATACACAGTAGTACTATTATCTAGGTTAGGTGCTAGGTAGTAAGTAGTAAGTAGTAGGTAGGCTGGTGGGGAGATCGAGATAGTGATCGGTCCATATGGAATCGTACCAAGTATTCGGGATTTGGAGAGAGCTGGTTGGTTGTTCTATAATATGCTATATTATTATTTACTATTTAACTAGTACCTGCTATCCATGGATGCAAGTTGCTAGTCAAAGCACTTGTTGTTCAAGGGTCGATTCAAGGGTCTATCTACTGACTCGTCAGTGTCGTCACCAACGTGATCAATGGGTGAATGGGTGAATGGGTGAATGGATCCAAATCCTTAATGATGCGAGCGCACTTGAACCGAAATGCTGGGAATAATGCCTAGGTTGCATTAGTACTAGGTACCTATTATATGTACCATGTACCTACTCATTAATAACATTGAATACCTAGTAACATTGAATACATATGTAGATACTTACATATAGTTAGTATGTATCATGACGAAGAACCTAAAAAGTCATTCGTTGCTCTTTCCCCCTACTCCTTCAAATCCCGTCTTGGGGTGCAGCAGCGAGGCCATCGGTTCGAGGTTGGGTCACTTGGGTGTGCATTGTATCTCAACCTTATCGTTCCACTTGCCGGGGTGGGAATGTGCCAAGGCCAGCTCCCTGCCGCTCCTACCTTCTCCGATGCCTTGGAACACCCCACGTACCAGCCTTACCCAATGGTAATCCGCTAAAAGATGTGGATCCTCATTGTGCTTATCTTTGCTTGCTTACTCGTTTGACTCGTTTCTGCTATGTAACGTAATCATATTTATTGTACATACTTATCATTTTCACAAGCTTCCTCTTTTGCAGTCTTGCATTTCCTAGTTAGTTTACTTACTAGGTACCTACCTAGGTTAGTCGTTCGACAATTCAATCCAGAAAGAATCTCCTGAACAGTCTCGAGTCTCGACTAGATGACGAAGGCCTCTCTCGCCCCTCGGGGGCAGCACGAAAATATCGAGCGGTGCCGAGACTACATTCAGCTACCAGTCTCTGCTGGTGGTGGCCTTAATATTTGACTAGATATGCTGTGTAAAGGTCGGTTCAGCCTATCGTTGGAGTGGAATATCTTCGGACTGGTCGGAGTAACCCCTGCTTATATCGAAAACCCCGCTACAGCTACCTAGACATACATACCTACCTACCTACCATACTAGGTAATAGGTAGTAGGTAGACATGGTACTAGTTGATTCATCGACATGAGGCGGGCTTGGAAGCCTGCATACTGCAGGTCATTACCCTTGTCTGTAAGTGGCTGTATCTTAATCTCCCGTGTGCGGGTAGGGTAGAAAGTCGTTAGACAAAAAATGTACACATTTGACACTGATCCGCAAGCTCTACATACTAGTGATTAAGGGTACATATCAGTTACCCTAACCAGCTCCAGTAGTTCAATTGTTGATTACAAGACTCTCACCTGTCATATTGAGGCCCGTGGGCTTAATGTTCCTACTTCATCTTCATATGTCTGATAGGCCGAGTCATCAACCTAAATGAGACGATTGGCTGTCTTAGACTTGCTTATTCGTTTCGACTACCGAGAACTCGCAGTTTTGCTCTTCTCTCCTGAGTATTGAATATCGCCTTGCCACATACTGGAATCTGACCTACTTGATCTAACCCTAGTCCGCCTCTTTCTCCTGATCCCTCTCTGGCGACTCTATCCAACTTCTTGACACTCCTTTGAACCTGCTTACTTTTCGTATGTGAGACCGACAGTCTCCTCGACCATCGTATTTTAGTTGTTATCAAGACCGCTCGCTAGAATACGTGACAATATGGTCGTACTTGAGGGCGTCGATCTCGACGCGCTAAGCTATATTATCAAAATCCCCTACAATGGCACAGGCCCTACGGGAGGAGATTCGTTGACGGAAGATCTAAATATATGGTATGAGGTTAGTAGATCACTCCTCCGCGCCTCACTTCAAATCCGTTAATCATGTTCTTAACCAAATGATTATAGAGCGGCGACATTGCGTGGATGATAACGGCGACAGCTCTCGTGCTGCTCATGATTCCTGGAGTGGGGTAAGTAACGATGATATATTACCAACCTCAACCTGTAACAAGTGATCGTCAACTTATCATTTTAAAGCTTCTTTTATTCTGGTCTCGCCCGTCGTAAATCAGCCTTGTCGCTAATATGGCTCTCTGTCATGGCCACGGCCGTCACAACGTTCCAATGGTTTTTCTGGGGTTACTCCTTAACGTTTTCGCATACGGCATCTTCTTACATTGGGGACTTGTCCAACTTTGGGTTTAAGGATGTATTGGGTAGGCCGTCTGTGGGTTCTGCGAGAATCCCAGATCTACTATTCGCCGTTTACCAAGGCATGTTCTCAGCTATCACCGTAGCCCTTGCGACGGGTGCCGTCGCGGAGAGAGGACGTATGCTGCCATGTGTTGTCTTTATGTTTATATGGTCCACGATAATCTACGATCCGATCGCTTGCTGGACTTGGAACCCGGCTGGATGGTCTAACAAGATGGGAGGTCTCGACTTCGCCGGTGGCACGCCAGTCCATATTGCTTCCGGAACAGCTGCACTTGCATGTTAGTTCATCCTCGATCACCATATATGAGATCTTAAAAGACTTCTGGTATTAACCCGCGAACTTGTAGATTCGATGATGCTCGGAAAACGACGAGGCCACGGCACCCACGAGCTGAACTATCGACCGCACAACGTTACGCATATTGTCATTGGAACTGTATTCCTATGGGTCGGTTGGTTTGGTTTCAATGCTGGTAGCGCTCTTTCGGCCAACTTGCGTGCTGTCATGGCTGCTGTCGTGACTAACCTCGCAGCCTGTGTCGGGGGTATCACATGGTGTGTACTTGATTACAGACTAGAGCGTAAATGGTCGACGGTGGGCTTCTGTTCCGGAGTTGTCGCTGGTCTTGTGGCAATCACGCCAGGTTCAGGTAAGTTAATCGTCTTGAAGCTCTAGGGAACACGTCTAATCATTGTTCAAGGTTACGTTCCTGCGTGGGCCGCTGTGATCTATGGCATTCTCGGAGCCGGCTTTGCCAACTACGCTACTAAACTCAAGTTCCTTTTGCGGATTGACGATGCATTGGATATTTTTGCGGTACATGCCGTAGGCGGATTCGTTGGAAATATCTGCACTGCCTTTTTCGCCGCCGACTACATCGCCCACCTCGACGGCTATTCTGAGATACCAGGTGGTTGGGTGAACCACCATTGGATCCAACTCGCATACCAACTAGCCGATTCCATCTGCGGAGGCTGTTATTCATTCTTTGGCACATGCATCATCCTCTTTCTGCTTAACTTGATCCCTGGTCTGCAACTGCGAGCGGCTGAAGAGGCTGAAATTCTGGGAATCGACGATGCGGAAATTGGCGAATTTGCGTACGACTACGTCGAGCTTACCAGGGAAGTGCTCAATGATATTGAGGCCGACGCTGCTAGCCGATATTCAGCAGAGGGAGGACACACATTTGATCCGCGAGAGAAAAACAGCATTCCGCTAATGGATCCTCGAGCATATCCTGGACAGTCCTCACATTCACCTACTCCATAGTGATTGATACCCATGTGTAGGATACGACATGATTTTACCACGCCTCGAAAACGATACACTGGCCAGATCCGGGTAGTGACAGATATTCATCCTGTGTTTCTATGTGATGTGTAGGGAGATACCACGGAGTTCAAAGCATCAATACCTACCTTTGTATGTAGGATAATATCCTTGGTGTCATTTTATCCACCTTTTCCCAATGGGCATCAATTCAGTTTTGAGCAGTTGGGCACTTAATAAGAATGTACGATGCTTTACTATATAAAATATTACCATATAAAATATTAAGAGGAACCGTCAAGTTCCTTTGAAACATTGATGTGTGGAAGTGTGAATAGGGGCGTGAGAATAAGGGATGAGATTAATCATCTCAACCCAATATTCCCATATCTCACATCAAAACAGCTAACGCAGGTACGAAAACGGTACCTAGTCCAAGTAGGGAATCCAATATTAAGGGTGAGTATTTAGCAAGTACTAAACTATTTTAGTGTTGCATCCATAATCGCATCCATGTGCACAAGTGCATGTGAGGGGCTCCTTCAATATTCCTGACAAACTCAAATAGTTAGGCAGGCACACTTTGCTCAACATACTTTGTTCAAGACAGCGCAACAAAGAACAAAGAAGGTTGAAAGCACCTGCGCTAATCGGAATTGTGCATCGCCTAGGAAACCGCCAAACAGTGTCTAGGTACATCAGGCATCTAGCACTGCATCTAGTACTGTATATGTACATACTAATACGTCAATTAACACTACCATCGATGTACATACTAGTACTGTATATACTACCTACACAGTCAGCAGCCAATGTCTGCCTATACATATATACACAACAGTTTTGTCAAGTTATCTTGAGGATACAACTTTCACAAATGTACCTTACGGCATTGAACATCACCACTTTTCTCTTGACACCTAAAATATGGATTCCCGGTTAGAAGATAAGCTTGCGTTTTTTGAGCGCCTCGGAGCATATCGACACATCGATGACGACGATGCTTTAGACTCAGAAGAGGAACGCTCCAGGCAGAAGAGCAGGAGTTTTCATGCTGCTAAATCATCGTCTCGCCCTACAACGAGTTCTCGTGCGACGATAAGCGAGGCCCGTCAGCTTCCAGATGCTACTTCTAAAAGAGCAGCATTGAATCCAGCTTCCAAGAGTCACGATCGCGAGATAGAAATTATTGCTGCAACTCCCGAGAACAGCACACCGAAACGGAAAGGTCCAAAACCCCTACCAAGTGCGTCCGTTGGCCATGATGTTATAGTACCCGACACTGTAGTTGCGGCGGCAAAACAACCGCAACGTCGGATAACTCGTTCGTCGGCTCACGTCAGGCACTTAAGCCCTCAAAGTGATCCCTCCCCCTCAGTCAAGACGGGAAAGCGCAAGAAGGATGCGCCTCTTCAACTGGTACCTGAAGCACGGCAGATCTTCAAGGGTCTCTGTTTTTATTACATACCTAACGACGATATCGATCCAGTGCGCAAGCTGCGCATTACCAAAGCTAGGCAACATGGTACTACGTGAGTATCTGCTGTTTCCTGGTCGCGGAATTCGCTAAAGCAAGCTAACTGGATCATGTAGGTGGGTGAGGAACCTAGTCGACGCGACACACATCATCGTCGACAAGAAGCTTGCTTTTGCTGACATTGAAAGATGTCTGGGAAAGGACCCAAAGTGGTCAGGGAAGGTTCTCGTCCATGAGAACTATCCCATTGATTGCATAAGTCATCGTATAATCGCGAACCCCGACCAAAATCAGTACAAGATTTCGGGAGTGCCCACATTGGAAAACAGCCCGCCTAGCCAAACGTCGTCTTTGCACAACTCCGAGTCCTCGCTGCAGCTGAAGCTGAGGCGCAAGAAGGTCCTGAAAGGGTCCCGTGCCCCTCTACCAAGCACGCAGTCTAGTGGTGGAAGCCCGTCTCAGGAGTGTATTTACGTGATTCCATCTTCTCAACCACAGGAAGCTCAAAGCATACTAGATGATGTTCCGTCATCCGAGGCAAAGAAATCACTGAGGAAGCAGTCTCCAGAAATAATAGACAACGATGAACTCACCCAGTGTATCAATGAAACGAAGGGAATAGATGGTGGTCTCGCCGAGCCGTCATCTATTGCAGATGATTTCGATGCCTTCACAGACCTCGGCAGCTCGGAGGAAGAAAGACCGCAGAAGAGGAGAACTAGGAGTAACCGCAACGACTCTGTACAAAGAAAGCCCTCTTGGCAGGATAATTTTGCCTGTATGAAGGGGGGTACCAAAGACCATGAGGATAATGGCCCGAATGCCGAGACGATCAAAGTCCTTCAGGAGATGCTGGAGGTTCATAATCTTGCTGGCGACAACTTCCGCATCCGGGCTTACAGACTAGCTATCTCTACACTCCGGGAGCAGCCTAAGAAGATATGTACCGCTGAGGAGGCCCGGGCCCTTCCTCACATTGGCCGAATTGCTGACAAGATCGAGGAGATCGTCAATACGAACAGACTGAGACAGCTGGAGTACGCACTCGATGATCCTCGCAGGAAGACAATGGGTATGTTCCTCAAGATCTACGGTGTTGGCCAAACTCAAGCCCAGAAATGGATAGCGCAAGGCTTTCAAACACTAGACGACCTCAGAAATAAGGCCGAGTTGAATGCCAGCCAACGAATTGGCTTAGACCATTTTGACGATATCAATACTCGGATCCCACGACAGGAGGTAGAGGCTCTAGCAGATCACGTTAAAAAGACGGCCGCACTTATTGATCGTCGTATAGAGCTGATCGTTGGAGGAAGCTACCGACGTGGAGCTGACAGCTCTGGCGATATCGACCTGATCATAACCAAGAAGCGCACATCTTCGACAGCCGAGTTGACTCCATTCCTGAACCGGCTTGTTGAGGTTCTTACCCGGGAAGGGTTTCTAACCGCAGCACTTGCTACGCACCACTATAATAGCGATGATATCGAAGGCAGCAGCAAATGGCATGGCTGCTGCGTGCTGCCAAAGAGCGCATTCCCTGGCCCCGAGGCAGAGTATCGACCAACTTGGAGACGTATCGACTTTCTGATCGCGCCTCAGGCCGAACTTGGAGCCGCCTTGTTGTATTTCACGGGAAACGACATATTTAACAGGTCGATGCGGCTGTTGGCGCGGAAGAAGGGGATGCGGTTGAACCAGAGGGGGTTGTTCCGTGATGTCCTACAAGATAGGGGGAGCACTGCCAAGAAGACTGCGGGAACTCTGCTCGAGGGACGGGATGAGAAGAAGATCTTCGAGATCCTGGGCGTTCGCTGGAGAGAGCCTCATGAGAGGTGGTGCGGTTAGGTGGGCGGGCACTTACCGTATTATTTATTTACCTACCTTTTAGATGAGAAGTATGTACATACAATATCATGTTTTGTATACACCTGTAATTCTGAATATGCCCTATGTACCTACTAGCTTTACATAAACAAAATATTTATTAGATGTGCATGCAACGACGTCTCCCCAAAGCCGGAACTAGTGAACAACCCCCCCCCCCCCCACCCCCCCCCTGGCCGTTCTAGCCCACATGCAGCGAAGACGACAAGACCTGCATGACCACGAGGATACCTCAGCCAATGGGAGGATCCCCATTATACACGTTCTCGCTCAAGAATATGAACGAGGGCTGAATTATTATTTTGTTCTTCTTTTTTCTTTTTTTTTCTTCTTTTTTTGGAAGTGCCACACTGCGCGTGCTGTCTATGGGAGATCTTGATTGGATCGGGTGGGTTGGCATTCCTACCTTCCGTTCTTGATGTCGTAGAGGAAGAGGGAGATGTCTGTGACTTGAGCTCACGCTTACGTACATACATAGGTAGGAGGTAAATGTCGACTATGTTCGCAGATTTATGTATACTCAGGCTAGGTACCTAGATGTGATATGCACTCCATACTTATCGTTTGAATGCACCTAGCCATGTGAATGCGGTGAGAATCCATGATGCGTATAAATGAGCATGTGCCTATATATATCTATATTAACTAGATAAAGCTTCGGGGAGGGACATCTTTAAGTAAATAGCCAAATTCTTACGCCCTTTTCTTTCCTCTGATTCTGGGTAGTTCGGCTAAGTATTTTGCCATCCATCATGGCCAAATCTAAAGTAGCGGTAGCAGCACTACTACTGAGCCTCGCATCCGAGATCCTAGCCACCTTCGCGGGGAACATCAACTATCGCAGTCCCTCCACTCGCCACGAGGGTCTCGGTATCGATGTCCCGCGCGTGTCTAGACGGACGCTAAAGCGCAGCGCCGTTCCGTACACCGCGGATGAACTCAGCTTCACGCACGGCGTGGCCTCGGGGGACCCGTACCCGGAGAGCGTGATCCTCTGGACCCGGGTCGCGCCGTCGCTGACTTCGGACACGGGCAACGTCACCGTGGAGGGCCCCGTGCCGCTGTACAGTCACGATACTGAGACGTATATCAAGGCGGACCCGAGCCCGATCTGCGTGCAGTGGACTGTCTTCCAGGAGGGGAATAGCGACGTGGTGGTGGTGAGCGGCGAGGCGTATACGACGAGTGATATCGATTATACCATCAAGGTTAGTTTTGAACCCCTCTAGCCCCTTGTTTTCCTTTCCCCTTTTGGCCTTTTTTGAATTTTCTCTATATGCGTAGATTTCTAGAAGTTTTGCCTAATAGGGGACGGACTTATAGGTCGAGGCCACGGGTTTACAGCCCTTCACGGCGTACAACTACCAGTTTGCTGTATGCGGGTCGAACAACACCAGCCCCATTGGGCGAACGAAGACGGCTCCGCCGGCAGACGCAGATGTCCCAGAGTTGCGTTTTGCCGTTTTTTCATGTAGCAATTATCGTGAGTTGCCTATCTACTAACTTAAGCAGTACTGTGTAATTGGGAAAAGGAAATTAGAGTATCTTACTTACCAGTTTGTAGCAAATGGATACTTCAATGCTTATGGGAACGCCGCACGTAAAGACGAGCAGGACTTCATGGTATAGTAGCCTATAGGCGATGGCTTGTTCGTTGAGGAGAGTGCTGACAAGTGATGATAGATTCACTTGGGGGATTACATCTATGAATCAGGCCCAAAGGGAGAGCGAGCCGCTGACCCGCCGAAGTACTTATTCAGTCTGCATGACTACAGAACTCGTCATGGGCAGGTGGGTAACTTTCCTTAAAGCTACCTACTCGAATTTAGAGAGGAAGGGCTAAGATGGTGTTCAGTATCGAACCGATCTCGATCTTCAGCTTGCTTCCCAAAAATTTGCCTGGATTACAACATGGGATGATCATGGTAGCTAAATAATCCTGAAGATATACCACGTGGTCTGCTGATACTTCGATGTAGAAGTTTCGAATAATGGATATCGAGATGGGTCGAGTGCCTTGAACAATACCGAGGAGTCCTTCTTGAACGATGGGCGGGTTAGTGTGGATCAGCGAAAGATGAACGCCGTGAGGGCCTATTTTGAATGGATGCCTATTCGGTAAGCAGGCAGTGATTCGATTCCGTATCAGCTGGAGTTTTACTAAAATTCCGAAGACAAGTAGATCTCGACGACAACTTGAGAGTTTGGAGATCGTTTCAAATGGGTAATCGTGCGTACTTCCTCAGTTTTCTTGCTGCTTTTTGCGATCTTATTAACTTGGAGTTTTGCAGTCTTGGACTTAATTGTCCTCGACACCCGTAATTATGACCGAAGCATTACCTCGCTCGGTGAGTAGCAGCCCGAAATACTGGAATAGGAGAGTTGCTGACAGAGACAAGACTGGAACGACGATTATATCGACTTAATTCGTAACGATGCTTCTCGAACGCTAATGGGCTCACACCAGGAGAACTGGTTTTACAACCAACTGTCCCAATCTTCTAATCGAGGTGCTACTTGGCGTATAATCGGTAATCAGATAATATTTTCACATATCATAGAATCGTCCAATGGACTCGGTGATGATGACTGGAGTGTAAGTTAATGATCGCCCTTGATGTTAGTATTGACAACAGTGGTATAGAATGACAACTAATCCTTTCAGGGGTACGTGGCAAATAGAAATCGGACACTGAAACACCTATACGACAATCATATCTCCAATACTGTCTTCCTCGCTGGAGATAGCCACCAGAACTGGGTTTGTCCTCCTAGTATACCTACCTAGGTAGGCAATGTAGGCAATGTACACGACTGACAACTATGCAGGTATCTGATCTAGTCTGGCTAGATGAAAAGCCCTACGACCCAGAAACGGGTGAAGGAGCCATTGGGGTCGAGTTCGCCGGGACGGCTGTGAGCTCGACCGGCTTCAACGGCCTCATCGAACCTGCGCGCATCGAAGCAGAGAATCGGGTTGGAAATAACACCATGCTCCAATGGCAGGATGGGTACTATCGAGGCTATTTTATCCTTTCGGTGACCCCTGAGAAACTTGAGGCACAATACTACGGCTCACCGACAGTGGCATCCAGGAACTCATGGGACCTGCCGCTAGCTAACTTCACGGTGGTAGCAGGCGAAAATAAGCTGGCTCGCCCCGTTGCTGGGGGTTCTGTTGAGGCGGGATTCTGTAAGTTTGCTCTGTCCTGTTTTCCGACTAATTGTACACAGACTGACGATTGCTTCAATGTTTGTAGTGAGGGCAGGGAAGACGAACCCTACAAATATCACTCTTAACACTGACAGTTGGGAGTGGGATGTTGTTGGATTTGATCAAATGTATATCGATACCAAGAAATAGTTCTAGATTATGTAACTATAGTTAGGTATATGTACTTCCCGGGGCTTCAAGTTGAAACAAGCTGCCCCTCCGTTATCGATAAATAGAGCTAACCTAGTTAACTAGGTTATATGTATGTAAGTGATATGAGATATGACAGGAGGGGCATGGTACCTGATTAGAGGTACATACCTAACCTACATAGCACCGTATGTAATGGCGTTAACAATTGAGCTTGATTGCAGAATTATGGATACCTTTGTCAAAATCTAGATCGGTCGTAACCTGAATTGTACGGCATATTTTTCTTAGCGTACATATGTACATAACTACTCGCGTACTTACGGCAAAGTTCTTAAGCAAGAGAAAAAAAAAAAAAAAAAGGTAAACTTTTAGGTTACCTAGTACATATAGTATCACTTGAGCCCAATCTTGATTCATCCTTCCTCCCACTTCAACTTCAGACGACCTTGCGCTTTGAACTTGAATATGGCGAGCAATAACACTGAAGTCGAAGCTGCCGAGCAGCAGCTCAAGAGTATGGCACACTCTGAGCAGCATTATTTCAACAGGTGAGTTAATGCCCATTGCACGCCGCCATCTTTTTTCCATTCTATCCTGGACTCACTCAAGATATTTTCACATCTTCACATCTTCACATTTTCACGATTTTGAAATCTTTGACTAACATTTTGTCGCGTAATAGTTACAATCACCATGGTATGTTCCCATACCCATTGGCACCATAAGTGATGACGATATGACACATTTGACTAATCACGTTTTATTTTTAATCGCAATGCAGGAATCCACGAGGAAATGTTGGTATGTGCTGCATCTAAACTCAGACCTAGCTACCTACCTAGGTTAGACCTTTATAATCTCACTTAGCTAACAACCCATTGTCCCTTCATTTAGAAAGATGAGGTTCGAACCAAGTCCTACATGAACGCTATAGTTCAAAACAAGCATCTATTCAAGGATAAGGTCGTTCTCGATGTCGGTTGTGGAACCGCTATCCTCTCCATGTGAGCTATCATAACCTCGTTTCCCACTTTGCGTATTAGCCCATCTAAACTAATATTGCTTTTTCTATCTGTAGGTTCGCTGTCCGCGCAGGAGCCAAGCATGTCATTGGTGTTGACATGTCCACCATCATCTTCAAGGCCCGGGAGATTGTCAAGGTCAATGGAATGGAGGACAAGATTACTCTGATCCAGGGCAAGATGGAGGAGATTGAGCTACCCTTCCCCAAGGTCGATATCATCATCTCGGAGTGGATGGGATACTTCCTTCTCTATGAGAGCATGCTTGACACCGTCCTCTACGCTCGGGACAAGTTCCTCGCCAAAGATGGTCTGATCTTCCCGGACAAGGCCACCATCTTTGTGTGCGGCATTGAGGATGGCGAATACAAGGATGAGAAGATCGGATGTGAGTTTCTGGTTGTGTATCATGACATTGAGAATTAACTAACATGTTGTAGTCTGGAATAACGTTTATGGTTTTGATTACTCGCCCCTCAAAGAGACAGCCCTGTCCGAGCCACTTGTCGATACCGTGGAGGTGAAAGCGGCGGTGACTGATCCTACCGCTGTCTTGACTCTTGACTTGTACACCTGCACCACGGCCGATCTCGCATTCTCTATACCCTTTCAGCTTACCTGCCGACGCGATGATTTCGTTCATGCACTTGTTGCCTGGTTCGATATCGACTTCACAGCATGCCACAAGCCCATACGCTTCTCTACTGGTCCTCACACTAAGTATACCCATTGGAAGCAGACGGTCTTCTACCTGGACCAGGTTTTGACGGTACAGCAAGGGGAGCAGATCTCTTGCAAGTTGGATGTCCGACCTAACGACAAGAACCGCCGCGACCTCGATATCCGGGTTGACTACCTCTTGGACACACAAGATGCCACCCGCTCTGGTGAGGGTCATTGTGAGTACAGAATGTGTTAAGAAGAGAGCACATTTCGGCTGAGAGGCACCCCTTATACTATCTGTTCCTCCATAAGGATCCCATTGGCAAATGCGTACCCAATAGATGGATCCCATCGACATAGTATCAGGCTACGAAGCAGCAAGTTGTCAGTCTTGCATGATAGCATGGCGACCGGGGTCTAAATGGCGTTGGGTGGTAATAATGTCTTCTGCACTCTAGGCTAGGAAGAACGATCAAGATCCTAATTTGATGATGACTGATGAAGATTACGATACAGTAACTCCTACACGTCCCTCAAGATACCACAATACACAAAGTAGTTAGTTGGTCAAGAGGTTGATGGATCAGTCTAGGCTGACATTATTGCCAGTATAAATAAATTTGCTTGGCATACACACATACAATACCTTGACTATGCTGTTACGTGATTTTTCAATGATTGTTTCTGTGCTAATCCCCCCAACTATCGCCATTCCCTTCTGGGCTTATGTGCTACTATCTACAATGATTCTATCCCCTTGACCGTCGCAAGGCAGCAGAGGCAGCAGAGGATTCATTGGGTGCTTCTGAATTTTCAGGGTCCATCTCTTAGCGCGGAACTGGTTCCGATAACGTAGGTACAATACCTTGTAGTGAATACGTAGGCTAGCTAACGTAGGCTAATAAGGTTACATGTGATAGCGGGGTGGAGCATAGGAAGAAAGCTAACCTTAAGAAACAACGTCATTCTTGCGATGCCACTTTCTCCCCCCCAATTCTTAAACAGTAACCAATTTTTTTATAACAGACAGTCAAACTAAAGCAAACATGTTTACCGGACTAGTCGAGGAAATAGGAGGTAAGCGATTCCCTATCCATATATGATATATGCAGCCCGCAACTTTACTTCATAAAAACATCATTGGGGTGTGTAATTTTCATTGGCTTGATTGATCGATATACATATATATCTGGTATTCATTAATCATATTTTTTTTTTCTATTTTAGTGGTCGCCGAGCTGAACCCCCACGATGAGACCGGCGGCACCTCCCTCACCATCAGCCTCCCCGCCTCCTCGAAGCTGCTCGAGGGCGCGCTGCTCGGCGACAGCATATCCGTCAACGGCGTGTGCTTAACCGCTACCGACATCCACTTCGATAACAGCGATACGACGACCGCGCCGCCCAGCTTCAAAGTGGGCATCGCCCCCGAGACCCTGCGCCTAACGAACCTAGGCTCCCTGGCAACAGGCTCGGGCGTGAACCTCGAGCGCGCGGTGCGCGCAGACACGCGGATGGGGGGCCACTTCGTGCAGGGGCACGTGGACACGACGGCCTCGATCGCGCAGATATCCGCCGACGGCAACGCGCTGACGTTCCGCCTCGCGCCGCGCGCCCTCGACGTCCTGCGCTACGTCGTGCACAAGGGGTACGTCGCGCTCGATGGCACCAGCCTCACCGTCACCGCCGTCAACGACGCCGAGGGCTGGTTCGAGGTCATGCTCATCGTGTACACCCAGCAAAAAGTGGTGCTGGCGCGCAAGAAGGTGGGGGAGAGCGTTAATCTCGAGGTTGATGTGCTCGCGAAGTACGCGGAGAAGTCGATGGCGGGGTATCTGGGCGCGCAGGGCGAGATGCTGGTTAAGCCGATTCTGGAGGGCATGGTGGAGAATTTGGTTGCGCAGGCTATGGGGGGGCATGCTTCGTAGAGAGGCAAGGGAATGGTCTCTTTCAGCTCATCTTTCACGATATATAAGCACTTAACCTAGGTATGTGATGTGCATGAGGTAGGTAGGTAGGCAGGTAAAAAAGGAGCTACGCTGGGATGGATAGGAATATTGCACCTGGTAGCCAAAACGTAGGTAGTGTTATACCTGGTATAAACGTCATAGACCGTTCAAGTGATGAAAACTTCCTAGGTGTTATCGCCATGATAAATAAGTCATGATCACCGGGAGTGATGGTTCAAAGTGTCGGGGAGTAGAAGCCTCCGATGCTTCTGACTTTATCTTACTAGATGAGAGAAAACCCGAGATATAGGAGGTAAAAGACTTTTAGCTCATATACAACGTATTATTGACTTTTGGTTTCTTAAACACACTGTTACACCACGTCGTTTGTATAAGATGAGATGGCAGAGTGAACCTCCCCCATGTGGGGTATCAGACACGATACTATCCCTTGAGACCAAGAGCAGCCCAAGGCCTGCTGAAGCTGAAGCAGACAATGGTGAATAAGCATCAGCATATCTGCCACTTCTGATCACGTATCACCCCAGACCTCGGCAATCTTTTGACTGAGTGATTTTGTGATCTTCTTGCGCCCAAACAAGTTTCCCATCTGCGCAAAGACCATGTCTTCTTGCCTCTTCTTGCCATCCACGCCACGACCACATCCCTCAAAGGCCTTGACGAAAAGGTACGGCGTCTTCCACCTCTTCTGGATCTCGAGGGCCTTCTCTCCCGTGAGCTGTCTGGTGGTCATCAGCATCTTCAGATACACATCTCGAAGCGTCATCATGTCGGACTTTGAGGCCAGTGAGGCGAATGCGGGATAGGTAATATGATGGCCAGCACTTGGCTCTTCTTTTCGTAGATGCTCGAGGAGTGGGAGATAGTTCTGAGCAGTAAGGACCTCGGTAGGGATGACTAGTAAAGGCTTGTTTTCGTACTGCCGCTTTAGCAACATCGTCATGCGAGTGAGATATCGAATAGTATCGTCTATCTTCTGCGTCTTTTTGACGAAAAAGCCATCAACCACTTGCGTCGACGCAATGGCGGACTGAACCATCTCCGCACGTTTGTCTAGCACCTCGGAGTCTAACGAGATCTCCTCGATGATGTAGACGATATTTTGGATTCCAGATCGCTTCAAGCGAAACTTTTGTTCGTGGAACCGGCCGTCCTTGACACTGCCAATTAAATCGTCTAGCCGTTTTCTTTCCACAATGTAATCAAGGACGATCTCGTCTCCCTCAGCACCAAGTCGAGAAAGGAAATTCGCATCTTTACATTTGGCAACCCAGAGCGCATCGCCAAGTTCGAGGGCGCGCATTATCGGATTGACGCCCTTCTTTGATAGTTCGTTTTGCACTAAAACGTTAACAATCAGTGAGCCGTCCCTTTAGAGATATCAGAAATTCACTAGAGAGGCTCATATCTCGTGTTAATCTTATAGGGCTGTAGGAGATGCTGCTTACTATAGTCTCTGTCGGTCTTTGCCCGAACTTCGCGAATGTCTAATACCAAATGTACGTCAAAAGTCCCTGGTGCAAGCCGAATAGGCCTAAATTTCGGCAGGACCAAGCTTTCGGACGAAGAATCTCCATCTCCATCGGTAACGACGTCTGCGTAACTTGATATTACTCTAGGCCGATCTTCTACTTCCACCGAAGGTGATCTATTGTTGACAAGGCGAGTTGGGGCAGGTTCGGCACTATCAACATCGACCTCCGGCCTTGCTAGTGGAGCTGGTTGTACTGGTTGATTAGGATCTATAGTCTGTTGAATCCGTCGAGCCACATCCCACCCCTCCTCCGTCAGATTATACTTGCGCGTGGGCCTACCTCGCTCTTCAACGAGGTCCTTGTCTAAGAGGGTTTTCATCGAGTTCCAAGCTGTATAAAATTTGCCCGGGTCCGCAGCAGTAAAGGAGGCGTCACAATGAGGTTGTGCCCTTTCAACCAGTTGGTACCTTGACAATCCACTGCGCGAACCTTCTTCTAGCGTGGCCAAAGCGAGGATCAAAGCATATGGACCAGAACGAAGAGCAGGCACATACGGCTTCGGCTTTCTCTGTCTCTTGGCCGGTCTCTCTTCATCGTCTTGGTCTTGGTCTCCGTCATTCTGGCCTACCAAGCCATGGCCAGCCGACCGCCTAGGGCGCTTAGGCATAGGCAGGCCATTCTCCCGACAGTGCTGCTCCATTCTCTCTGTTAAGCGTTTGCAGATTTTCTCACCAAACCCTTTCAACTGTTGCGCCTGAGAAGGGTGTTGGAAGGTCACTGGACATGCCCTGAGAGCCGCAAAGGCATTTTTATAAGTCAGCAGGCCTCTTGAATTACGGTCTCGTTCTTGTTCAACCCACTCCTGCATCCATTGGAGCAGAAGTGGATTGGCACAAGGCGCGTTAGGGGGCATCCTTATAGTGTTCTGTGAATTGGATATTTCGAATTAGTTTTTGTTTGTTGGATTGACGCGATTTAACCGCGTTGGCGATAAGAAAGTACGGACAGCGCCAATCGCCAGATCAGGTGACCACTTAATAAATGGTGCACACAGTGATGAGATTGATATTTGATTTGTATTTGATTTGATGAGGCAAGGCATGACACAATTGCAAGGGCTGAGGAGCTCTTTCCTCAGCTTCAAAGCTCACGAGCCACTAAGTAGCTCCACACCCCTGCTAGTCACTCTCTAAGTGGCTCTTACTGCAGCCTGAGTAACGTCAGATTCTCCCTTAGCTTGTAAGGTGGAGCTCCTTCCTGATACATCGTTACATACCTAGGTTAGGTACATACATACATTCGCATCGTACAATACCTATGAACCTTGAAGGAGGGGTCGCTGCTTCGTATTAGCCTACCAGCCCTACCTATTCGATATCTTCTTGATAGGTAACTTTTAACTTTTTTTTTCTCTTTTCTTTTCCCTTTTTTTGTCTCGACTCATCTTTTAACGACATTTAATAATATCATGACTGACGAGATTTAAAAACTCCAAATTACCCTGATATTTACTCTACCATCTTATTTGATCTGATCACCATCGTAGGGCCAGTATCAATCAACAAATCCCTACGTACATACCGCACAGTTCGCAACCTCGCATTATACACCTCGATACCGAAAGCACTTCATCAATCATGGACCGAGACGCAATTATTGCCGCTTCTTCGAAGCATGATATAGTCCCTGGGAAGGTGTACACGTATGGTACTGCGGGTTTCCGTATGAATGCCGACCTCCTAGATGGCGTTACCTTTAGGGTTGGACTATTATCAGCTCTCCGAAGCCGCAAACTAAACGGACAGACAATCGGCGTTATGATCACCGCTAGTCACAATCCGGCAGTGGATAATGGTGTCAAGATTGTTGATCCCATGGGAGACATGCTTGAGCAAGAATGGGAAGCCTACGCCACGAATCTCGTCAACGCCCCGAGCCACGAAGAGCTCGTCGATTACTTCTACAAGCTTGCCGATTCTCTCAAGATCGACTTGACATCCTCCGGAAAAGTTATCGCCGGTCGAGATACCCGTCCCTCTGGCAAAACACTTGTCACAGCTCTTGCTGATGCTTTGGCCGCTACGAATACAACCTTCACCGACTTCAAGATCCTCACAACCCCCCAGCTACATTACCTGACCCGTTGCATCAACACCGCCGGTACCCCTGGATCTTACGGAGAGATCAGCGAGGCTGGCTATTACAACAAGCTTGTTGAGGCCTTTTACCGCGCTCTGCATGGACGCAAAATCTCTGGGAAGTTGTTTGTCGATTGTGCCAACGGTGTTGGTGGCCCGAAGCTTAGTGAGCTTCTCAAGCAACACGACTCTTCCAAGACTGGACTAGACGTCAAGGTCTGCAACGACGACGTCTTGCGCCCTGAAGTCTTGAACCTTGACTGTGGTGCGGATTTCGTGAAAACCAGACAACGTGCACCTGCAAACCCCAAGCCTGCCCCCGGCGAGAGATGGTGCTCACTGGACGGTGACGCCGACCGCCTCATGTATTACTGGATCGACCCAGACACTGGATTCTTCATGCTGGATGGCGATCGTATTGCCACCCTGGCCGCATCTTTCATTGCGGATCTTATCCGCACTGCCGGTTTAGAAGGCCGACTTCGCATTGGGCTCATTCAGACTGCTTACGCAAACGGTTCGAGCACCAAATATGTCGAGCAGCACTTGCAGATCCCTGTAGTGTGCACGCCCACAGGTGTCAAGCATCTTCACCATGCCGCGTGTTCGTACGATATTGGTGTATATTTTGAGGCCAACGGCCATGGTACGGTGCTATTCTCCCAAGATGCCCTCCAGACCTTCAAGACTACGGAACCTCAATCACCAGCGCAAAAGGATGCTCTTGACACCCTAAGCGCATTGGGAGACTTGATCAACCAAACTGTTGGAGATGCGATATCAGACATGCTTATGGTTGAGGTCATCCTAGCCCATAAGGGATGGACGCTGAGGGACTGGGCTATGACGTATCAAGACCTCCCTAACCGTCTTGTTCGTGTGGAAGTCGGTAACAAGGATCTGTTCCGGACCACTGACGCTGAACGCAAACTCAGCCACCCGCTACACTGCCAAGACGAGATTGATACAGTCGTGAAGAAGTATACCAACGCTCGTTCCTTTGCTAGGGCCAGTGGAACAGAAAACGCCTGCCGGGTGTATGCAGAAGCAGCTACAAGATCTGAGGCAGACGAGCTGGCGAACAAGGTCGCCGCCATCGTGAAGGCATACGGAGGTTAACATGGTCAGCCGGTTTCTGACAATGTCGATGAAGGTATGGTGTGGTGGATTTACTGTAGACAATTCAGGAGCCTCCATAAAAAGAAGAAAATTGGTGATGGCGTGGTTTGGGAAACGAGTCCCTACGAATTATGAACATAACATAGCTGATGAAAATAGCTGAACACTGAATTCACGATATTTTTTTCTGTGCTAGTCCAGCCCTTGCATGTCTGAACGTAAACTTCCCATCGACGAGATATTGTATACAAACCATAGGACTTAGACATCCATCTCTATGGGTTGTGAAAGTTGGTTGGGGTTTATTCATCATCCCTAGATTTCGCCAAGTTCAGTCTCAATTCTGTCCCGTATCCAACAGGCCGTCCCTTCCTAGGTAGCCCAATCACAAATCCATTACCAAGCTCTTCTTCTCGTCAGCCCTACCATGATAGACACGAACAGCTGGACATCATGGTCCTTTACGGAACACAGGCGATGTGGGAGCCGGACATGGCACATTAGGCAGGGGCTCGTCCGCCGCGATATCGCGGCCCTGGCTCATGGCGATGAAGTGCTTCCTGATGAGCTGGATGCGGCTGTTCTGGTTCGCAGTATTATTCGGGTTGCCGTATTGTAGAGTGAGGCCATCGCTATGGTCTACATAAGTCTGTAAACCACATTTTAGTTTAGAGCTTGTTCCATGACGGGACATGTTCTTTTCAAGGGGGGGAAGGTGAGGGCACGGGAAGGGTTGGGTTGGGTGTGAAGGGGTACCTACAGTGCAATCAGGGGCGTTGTGCCCGAACTGGCTCCAAAAAGAGTCACCCATGACGACGGGGCTCTCCTCGATGACCTGGAACATCGATGCTAGGTTGGCAGTTGTCCCGCCCACCCAGTCGTATTCGCCTACATACAAGGGCTTGTTGACGGCTTCGACAAGTTTGATGTCATCTTGGAGCTTGGTTGTGTTGACTGGATACATGTGATCGGAGAAAATGTCTACCTCTTCGATGTTTAGGTGAGTCTTGTTGACACCGTAAGTTCCGTCAACTACATCATTGTCAGCTTCTGATATGGTGGTCTAAGGTTGCTTATAAACACTCTGGTGGAGATCATATAGATCCAGATAAAAGTTAATGTTTAGGGAGAGGTCGTCGAGCCTAGAGTGCCTCACACATACCTACTAGCTTCTGAGGAGCTAGGCTCTTGATGTATTTCGCAATGTCCTGGACCCAATCTGCAGGCGAATTCATGTCACCCCATATCGGACCCAGAAGCTCATTTCCTGTCTCGTATGCAAAAATGGTGGGATCTTCGGCGTAAGTCAGGTTGTTGTACTGATTTATATGCGTCACTATCGTCTTTATATAATCCTTGAAGGTAGCGACGATAGTTGCGTTGGTGTAGAACTGCTGGATTAATGGATTATTCGAATCCCTTTGTTGATTGAGATCAAAGCCTGCCCAGCGAAGGAAGTTGTACTTTCCTCCATGGTAGTAATCCTATCAAGACATATAAGCTCATGGAATTCTACGCATCATGTGATATATGAGCTGACATAGTTGTCCACCAACGGTATCAACAACCTTATCCCGTACACGCCCGCTTGGTGAATTGCCCAGTCTATCGAATCAAAGGCTCTCTCGTTGACTACTCCTGGTTCTGGTACGGCACTCAGGGGATTGCCAGTACTGATACCCAAGGTGTGGCCGCGGATCATGGTGCCTCCTAATGCTTTCACTGTTGCCATTACTTCAGTGATACGTTCCTTGGTAGGGTAGCTGGCTCTGGTAGGGGCATAGAAAGGTTCCCCCTCAGGAGGCGTAACATTCTCATCGAGGCCTAGCCAGTAGACATTTGGCCCTACCGCTTTCCATGCCTTCCCGTCAACTAGCAAGCTTGTTCCGTTACGAGTGACCGGTGACAGCCTTGCAGCGCCTCGGTGGAAAGGAATAGCTAGCACACCTCCCACATATAGAAGAAAAAGCGACAACTTCGTCATGACTGATCAAATACTCGTATAGGTAGCATACGAGAGAAAATTTGCCGGCTAAGAGTCATTGTGAAAAAGCAGAGCGTGAAAGGGTAGTAGGTCCTTAGATTGATATATCATTTTGGCTTAGTCATTCTACATGGCGTTTTTGATCCTTTGCGGAGGGAGGTCTTCCGAGCGGTGTCAAGATGCCGAATCGGTGCAAATACTGCACCTAGCCAAACTTCGATAGATCCATGGATGATATGTAGGCTACAAGTAGGTGAGTAGGTAGGTACTTATGTGAATCTGTCATGATGATATAATAAGAGAATACCTTAGGTACCTAGGGTAGGGTATATTACTATATTGAAGGAATTAAACTTAAAGCCAAGGCAGGTACGTGCAAGTAGTGCAAAGAACCCTTAAATTTGTTAAGGGGTAGTTAACTAGCTACCTCGGTAGGCACGTTCCACAATTGGGAAAGAACAGGAACACTGAAGGAATAATCTGGGGTACGGGTAACGTCACCGCCGAGCTTTCTAATCTAGCATGCCTACCTAGGGTACTGACTAGGTTAGGTACATAGTAGTTATTAGTTAATTAATTATTCGACAATTTCTCGATGATAATTTCAATTTACAACAAAAAACTTCTATTTTTGATTTATTAGCCTTTAACTTTCTCTCTTTCTGCATCATTTGACTGCGCCATGCTTTGAAAACCTTCAGGGGAACCCTCGCGCCGGATACGAACCCCCCACAATAACCTACTACATAGTAGGTTGACAGGTACCGACACTGGAGCTTCCCCCTTATAAAATACATGCACATAGCTCATCGTAGCTCCGACCTGTAACTTCGCGAAATCGCAACCACCAATCAGGAACACAGTCAGCCAACAGTTTTCTTCGTCGCCAGGACTGACAAGAGAGTTAATATTTCTTTTCCCGGCCAATCCGGGGAGGGGGTAAACCTTTTTTACCTAAGCTTTTCTTATCCTTCTCTTTCCTCTTCCTTCTTTCCTACCCTGAACTACCGAATCCGTACAAGCTTCGCCCGCCAATACCAATGAAGCCGATAAGATGCTACTACGTCCATCGTCATCCTTACTGACTCTCGTCGCCTTCGCCATCTGCTTGTTATGCGGGCCCGCCGAAGCCTCTACCGGCGACAGACTGCCCGAGTTTCGGCAATGTGTTAATGTTCGTACAACATGAGGTGTCCAAAAAAAATACCCGGCGCCTTCTTTCCCTTTTTTCGCGCGTAGGCCGAGACTATTAGACAGGAAAGGAAGCTCGACTAACTTATTCGACATTTATAACTATAGGTTTGCATCCGCGAGAACTGCGATCCGAATAACGACCCAACCCCCATTCGTACGTCGCGCGCATTTCTTCATATATACAGTCACGCGATCATACAACAAACAACATGGACACCCCAGCTAACGAGAACCCCCTTTTCCTTTCCTTCGCGCTTTAGCCCTCCACCACCGCCTTCTCCTCTGGACCTGCCCGCAAGAATGCGACTACACCTGCCAGCACATCGTGACGCAGCGGCGCGTCGCCGCCGGGCTGCCCGTGACGCAGTTCCACGGCAAGTGGCCCTTCAAGCGCTTTCTCGGGATGCAGGAGCCCTTCTCGGTGCTCTTCAGCATCGGCAACCTCGTCGCGCACTCGCGCGGCCTCGCCAAGCTGCGCCAGTCCATCCCCGCTAGCTACCCGCTCCGCCGCTACTACGAGCTGTTCGCCTACCTCAGCATCGCCACCTGGGTCTGCAGCGCCGTCTTCCACACGCGCGACTTCAAGACGACCGAGCAGCTCGACTACTTCGCCGCCGGCGCCGGCGTCCTCTACGGCATGTACTACGCGCCCATCCGCGTCTTCCGCCTCGACCGCCCCACCCCGCGCCGCCGCTCCTTCGTCCGCCTCTGGTCCGTCCTCTGCGCCTCCATGTACGTCGCCCACGTCGCCTACCTCAAGCTCTGGCGCTGGAACTACACCTACAACATGGCCGCCAACGTCGTCGTCGGCCTCGTCCAGAACTCCCTCTGGAGCTACTTCTCCCTCCGCAAGTGGTCCCGCAGCCGCCGCACCTGGACCATCTGGCCCGGCATCGTCGTCGCCTGGCTCATGTCCGCCATGAGCCTCGAGCTGCTCGACTTCCCGCCCCTCTGGGGTGCTATCGACGCCCATAGCCTATGGCACTTGGGCACCATCGGGCCCATCATTTTGTGGTACAAGTAAGTCGTTCTGTTTCTGCTTCTGTTTCTGCTTCTGCTTCTGTTTCTGTATTTGTTTTTCTCGCTCTACCTACGGATAAATATAGCATTATTTATGCTCAAGTTCTATTGCTAACATCTGGCGTTTCCATCAAGTTTCCTGGTTAAGGATGCTCAGGACGATCTAGCGACTATAGCCAAAACAAAGGATTTCAAGGCTTGAAAGGTTCGCTAAAAAAAAAAACCGAAAGGAAAAGTTTGGCTAGGAAGTGAGGCAGCTACATTCGTTGTATATCAAGTGTGGTTATAGCCCAAGGGCGTCAAAATGCATTTCATTGTAATGGGACTCGTCTTCTGGCGGCATAGAAAAAGGATATCATCCATCATAGAGAGGGAGGAGTTGAAAGGCACTGGTTTGATCTTCACTGAGATTCATCATTGACTATCTAATATTGTATATAATTTTATGATAAATGACCGAAGCCCTTCTTCATCGACAAAGTCGATACCGCTGTCCGTCTCTTTCTAAACGAACCCAGGTGGATATGGGCCGATACTCACCGGCGAATGTTAGGGTGGATCTATATGAACGAGTTAGCGTTTATGATTCTTCGTGTCAACTCCAGAACACTATGAAAAAAAAGTATAGCCCAGTCCATAATACAGCGATCAGAAACCAAATAATCTAAGCACAACACATCCCCACCGCGCCACCGTTATCCCGAAACAACGCCCGCCCACCAGCACCGAGCAAGCCGCGGCAGCACATGACGATGCACACACGACACCCATACGGCCAGCAGGCAAAGACGCGGGGACTAGAACGTGTAGCACAGCCAAACTTTTAATAAAAAAAAGCAGAGAGAAGTAGAGAAAGAAAGTCAAGGGGGGAAAAAAGCAGAAAGAAATGGTTATAAAAACCAATTCCATCATTTTTTTTTTAAAAACCCCCCTCTCCTTCCTTCCTTTCCTCCCCCGAAGATGGTCTCATACGGCTCTTCCTAAGTTATTGTAGAGGTAGGTTCGACACTTGCGGTGTCGGGGTCATCATTGCATGTGATATAGGACCAGCTTTCCCCCAGGGCTAGGGGAAAAGGGAAGAGAGAGGAAAGGAATTATTCCTTTCCGTGTTATCAAATCAAACGTACCTTATTCTTTTCTGCTCACCTACTACCTACCTACCCTACCAAAAGATAAGTAGGTAAGTAGATAAGTAGTAGATGACAAAATCCGACCACACATCCCTTTATTTAGAGGAGCGAAGCCCTAAAAATAGTAAAACACCCGATGTCCAGCTGTAGTCTCGAAGGAGGAAGGCTCTCGTAATCCGCGTTGGGGGGGAGGTGAAAGCTGAAAACCATGGATGGATGGATGGGTTGGATGAATAGAGAAGCAAATGAGGGAAGGAAGAGAAATGGAAAAAAAAATTAGTTGGCGTGGATCGATTGATCCGATAAAAGTTGAAAAGTGGGCCATCTGTTAAGTTGCCGCCTAGTACTAGGTTAATTATACTGGTCGGTACAGGATTCCCCTCCCAGTGTCCTAGCGCAGCACCTTGACAACCTTCTCTCCACAGCTCATGCATCAGCCAACCGGCTGTGCAGTCAACTATATTTCAAGTTCTAATTCCGTCCAGCATTTTCAGCAGCAATAATAAGGCACCTGTTTTGACAATGGATAAACCCATCTGATCAAAAAAAACATCATTGGTAGACATCCATGGATCACAATGTTTGACTCCTAGCACCTGTAATGATCATAGATGTTTCTTTAGTTTGATTACTTTGAGTAAATTTTTTGCGAAATAATCGCTAACAATTCCGTTGGCCCCCATAATAAAGCTAAGAAGCTGAGAGGCTGTAGTAAAGTAAACATGAACTTGTACATGGGAATGAGCACGACACACGACATCCCGTGTATATTCCTCAATATTCTACATCCCCATTTTCCCCATCAATAAGTAATCTTGGGTTTAGATCAGACCCCTAAATTCGCTGCGTCTCTAAAAAACCAGTCGTCATATCGTGTGATCATCAAAGTGAATATCAAGGTAACAAGAACAGAAAGACACACATAACACGCTAGCTGTCAAATATGCTCCCTATTGCTCGGCGCGGAAGCTTTCGCTATCCCTCTAGCTAGCTAGAGAAGCTTTGATATTCCGGTGCTGCCCATTCCATAGGTGGACAGTCCATATTGAAATCTTGAGATGATGGTTGGCTATAACCAGCAGCGAGGCTGGGCAGATATAGGCCGCTCCCATATTCGCATCCCTTGTCCATCGTTGATGGGAAAAGGGGAAAGTCATGGCCAAATTGATTAGAACAGGGCTGGAAATCTTCGAACCCCTCATCTACCATAGTAGGCGGTGTTAACATGACGTGATTGCCTTGGCCACCAGCTGAAATATGTGGAATCCCAACATGTCGACAGACTTCTGGCGCATAGTTTGCAAAGGTAGCCATGTCTTTGTTGTAGATCGAGTGTGCTGGTGTAGGCAGTTGTACTGTGGCGCCGTAAATGTCCTCGAACTGACCAGTGAACTCGGGGCTAAGATCTTGGTACGTATTGAATTGGTCAGATTCAGTAGAGGGCGTACTGTTATCGATGGGAGAGAACTCCAGTTGGAGGTCTCCGGCTTCGTATGGACGCTGGTCGTACAAGCTAGCATTAAATTCTTGGTCGGAGGGATACGAAGGGAATTCGTGATCATGATAGTGTCCAAAGAGGGAGTCATCAGGTGGTGTCATCATAGCATCCATCTGTTCACTGTCCGGCGTAGGCAAACTCTTGATCAAAGGAGTAGGCTGGGCCGAGCTACTGCCTTTGCTAGACTTCTTCTGACCATTGGTTTTGGTTCGAACATAAGTCCACCCATGTGCTTTCTCCATATGCTGTTTGCAATTGGACTCCCGCTTCGACTTGTAAGGGCAAGGCTTGAAATGGCACTCATACATCGGTGGAGCAGCCGAATGCTTATCGTTGACATGTCGATCCATTTCTTTCTCGGTGGGCCAACCATAGTCGTGGTATTTACAAGTGGGGATGGGACACTTCCAAGGACGAGAATGAGTCTTCTCGTGCTTGGTTAGATCACAGGGTCGCTTGAATTCCTTGTTGCAACCAGGGTGATGGCACTTCTTGGGTGCAAGCTCCTCAGGAGAAGCGTTCTTCTTTCGTCGAGCCATGGATCGCATGATTTCCTCTTCGTCTTCAGCTTGTTCACTCATCGAACGCTTGAATCGAATAGGTCCCTTCACGTCTTCTTCCAGATCCTCAATAGGCTCTCCAGTAGCGAGAGAGATCGCCTTGCCATTCTTTTTCACACGAACGAGCTCGGCAGGTCGTCCGTTGGTAGTCAAGCCACCCACAAGCTTGACCTCGTCAGTTCTAATCATCGAGTTAGCAGGCTGGAAACAAGAAGGGTAATATTGGATGACGTACGGATCGACATCCATCTCGTCTAGTTCTTCTCCATCAGCTTGTCTCTTACGAGCCTCCTGCATCTGTTGTGCGTGCTGGCGGATTTGTTCGACGAGATCGATAAAATAACCGTTGTTATAAGGTCGATCGTGAGGTCGGGTTTGCTCTCGGTCACTAAGATATTCGACGGTTGCTTGAATACATCGGATCGAAGTAAGGCAAAAGTCACGATATAGTTCCACAGATTTTGCGTTCTCCTTCAAGAGCCAATGATAAGTAACTCCACAAACGCCACCGTCTTTCATAGATTGACTCACCGGTGCCATAAAGATTAGGGTCTTCTCGAGATCCCTGAGACAAACGATCTGGTCCTCCTGGATCCTTCTGGGACAGTCAAGGACAATGGGACGGAAGTCCTTAAGCGATTTGTCATCCAGCAACGGTTTCAGTACATGCTCGTGGATGCGGTTCTTAGACCGATCGCTGAGACGCTGAGTGGTCTCAGAGCCAGGAGGGATAACAGATCGTGTGATGGCTGAAGCGCCCCCAGAAGATCTGGTCTCTTTTCGCTTCTGGTTGGTAGATGCTACGGATGTCCCTAGCCCACTGTCGGATTCGTGGTGCCGCGAAGTGCGACGGTTGCGAGGGCGTAACACACGTCTCTCCGCCTCGATAATAGATGGCTCGTCCGACATCGTGTCTTCAAGGAAGGTGTGGTCTAGGAAGCCTCTAGGAATGGGGAGGCTATCGTCTGAAAAGGGCGTGGATGGTGACGAAGACTCGGCCTTGGTAGCTGATATAGTTACATCAAACTTACCAATGTTCATAGCAGCGCGACGAACATGGGCACCAACAACATCGTCAAGAGTGGTGTGTGATCGATGAGGAAGTGAAGGAACCTTGAATGTCTGCGGGCTTGTCGGTGGGGTGATAGGAGAGTGGAAAGTAGCTCCTTTCCTTAAGGTGACGTTTGTCTTCAGACTTAGACCATGGCTAGATCCAACATCCGGACGAGTCACCGGGGTCCTTCGAGGGTTGGAGAAGGACATGATGACTTTTAGTTAATGAGATGTGGGGTATGAGTATGTACTTGATAGGTAGAAGACGATCGATTATATCGTTCTAGAGAACTGTGTCAAGACGGGGAAGCAGTTAGCACGAGATATGCACCGTAAGGCTGAGCCAGGCCTGTGAGTCACAAGTCCTTCCACACCGAGTCACATGTGGCCTGAGAGATGGAAAGATATAGTTCACAGATGCGAAATTGACATTGGTCAATGGGTTAGTCTCGGAGGAGACGGGGAGACGGGAAGGTAATTATATAAATGGCAGGGCCAGATGGTTTCAAGGGATGAGACAAGGGGTGTCCTTACTTGGATGACCGACTTGTCGGCGAGATGACTTTGTGGGTAAATAAATAGCAATATTCTTGATAGATCTCCCATATGTGGAGGCACGATTTGCGACAATGACGATAGAAACCGAATGACGAAACAGAAACGAGTCGTGCTTATAGACACAATATGACCAGTTTGACTCGGACGATAAGGAAGCGTGTTCGTCTAAACTCGGGAACCAGTGTAACAAGTAGGATAAGAATAAAATAGGATAGAAAGGACACGATACTGGATAGGACAAATACCTATACGACTTGATAGGTAAATGTTGCTGCCTCCGAGAGACAATATAAGACGATATGGGAAGATACAGGATGGTTAATAAGCCGAAGACGTGTCGAGGACGCTTGTTCAAGGGAAAGAACGCGAGTTTAATGACGAAGAATCAAGGACCAAGGAAAGGTGGTGAAAGTGGTGAAAGTGGTGAAAGTGGTGAAAGTGGTGACTTCAAAGTCGAGATGATGGGAGGAAGTTGAAAAGGATGGAGGTTTAGGCAGCAGTGATAAAATTATGGGGAATAGTCATCGATCCCTGTCGGGGTTGCATGCACAGTACTACATATTAGTATGTAGTACTAGCAGCACTTGAGCAGAATAGTACTGCGTATCGTAGTACTATGTAGTACTAGGCCAAGGTTGAAGGTCGAGGCTGATAGTTCTAAAAGTAGGATCCGCTTGTAATCCACCCATAACCCACCTGTAATCGACCGCAACTTTGGACAACTTTGGACCACCCGTCACTTCCGTACTAACATCCAATACCTCCAAATACCTCCAAATACCTCACAAAAGTCCTACAATACAATACCTTTAGGGCAGATGTAACCCAACTGCGCCTTCCATCGCCTCGAACTAAACCAATTGTGTGGACGCGAACCGCTTTTCTATCATCTCCTGGACACTCCTGCATCTCAAACATTCTCACTCCATTCTCACTCCATGCCATGGAATGGATAGACCTTCAAGCACACACAAATGAAATGTAAAAGCGTCCTAGGTTAGAATATTATAATTATGTAGGTACATGTATATCGTATCATTCGCTAAGCATTGAATCTGTTAATACTTTTTTCTTGTACGCATGGTACATAATAATACGTGCGTATCGTATCGTATCGTATCGGATTTGTCCTTTGCCCAAAGAATGTTACGCCACAGACGGCGAAAGAAAAGAAGAAAAAGAAAAAGAAGCAATTAACTAACTACCTCCTAGACTTACACGGTCCAATAGTTCTCCCAATATCCGATCAGCTGTTTCACACTCAACTATCGTTATATTATTTGTTTATGCAGAACATGGTGTTCCCGTCTGATAAGAGATCCAACGGGGCTTAACGGTGATAAAAATATGTATAATGGTACACATGTATAAAGCAAGGTTGAATGCGTTATACACAGTAAGATCGACAAGCTGCGTTGAGTGTTGGCTGTTGGTGGTTGATGGTTGATGGTTGATGGTTGATGGTTGTTGATGGTTATCGCGCTAAGCCTTCAGCCAATTTATTAATAATGAGACCCGTATTTTGATGTCCTGATGACCAGGGCGGCCACTATGACGAAAGCGAACTGTGGCAGCAGAATTCCGTAACAACAAGCGATTCTGATTTGGAAGCTGCGAGAAAGTCTGCTTACAGAGAAATAAGCAAATGTCGGGACCTCCCGGACCCCGGCCCCCTTTGCTAATTTACCCCCCTCCCCCCCCCGATTACTTAGCCGCCCTCTGTCAGCATTTTAGAACTAACCCTTAGCTGCTCGCTTTGGAGTGTTTTACATAGGAAGTGTTCTCATCTAAAGATAGCTATTGGATGTACATACCATAGTATAAATGAAGTTGTCTTATGTGCGCCGTGCTAGCAAGTAGCTAGTCCCTTAGTGGTGGACTACTGGTGGCTACGGTGGCTTACGGTGGTAATTGGGATCACAACTTCCGGCAGACAAGTAACTATTTCGAAGAGGGGTGTCGACACTGTCGAGATGGTTTAGGTCCTCTCCGCGGAAGCACATGGGACAGTAGTATACCATACCAAAGTACCTAAGCATTACCCTTAATATACCAGCCAACCACCTTGAAGGCTTGAACATTTCTTAAACCCTAGGTTTGTATGATAGGGTAACGAGATTCCATAGATTGGTAACGACCTAAGCGTGCCGACTATTTGATTAGGTCGCTTTTAAAGTAGCATTAGGGCATCCGTCGTGGACTCGTGGAGTCGTGGCAGCGTTGAAGGGCTAATTACCCAGCGTTTCTACATACAGGATAGCCTCTAAAGCTCAAGGGCTGGGAGTCTGGGACAGCCTGGGAGAAGAAGGGGTTGCGATTCCGAATGCGAGCGCTAATCATAGACAACACTACTGTACAATACAATGGCACTACAATGGCAATGCCCGTTATTTTTATTATAAAAAAACTTGTTATAATACCTGGGCCCGTCCTACTACGGTCCTAGGGTATTAGTTTTAAGGGGCAGAGGGGCAAGCGCTAGCATACCGTTCCGTTGAGTTTAGCGTTAGTAAGCGGCTACGTCCAGGATAATACTTAGAGATAGTACCTAATACCTGGGTTTATCTGGGTTTAAGAATGTTGTTTCCGGAAATATTTCCATGGTTCCAATTACATATCATCATCTTGAACATCACGGCCTCTTTTTTTCCTTCCTTTTTCCAAAAATAAAATTAGAGTTAAAAAGAAAACAAAAGCAGCCGGCTTCATACCTACTTATCTTTGGAATTTCTATTGCTGAACATTTACACATGAACAAAGATGCCAACAATTCAGCACTTGAGCAGGCCAATTTCGGCTTCGTTTTTTGTGTGTAATCTTTAGGAGTTGGCTCCGCTGCGTCTGTATGTATGTAGATCCTCCACACCAAATCATTTTAACACCCTGACTCCCTGGTTGTCGGTTACGGCACGACCACACACACGCCCCGTGCTTCTAAATCTCCCGGAGCGTTACCCAGATCGTCGCCCATCGACCCACACTCGGCCGGGTTTGGGCTTACCACATGAATCATTCGCCGTCGTTAACGCACTAGCACATTACTCTTGACTTCGCTTGCCCTGACAGCCCTACATGGTACAGGTAATCTATCATACCCAATCCCACTCATCTAGGGGTAACACAAGATATTGTTGAATTAATTCATTAAGTAGTTACATAGTCACATGAAATATGTAAGAGTACTCATATGTAATGCTAAATCACAACGCAAAATCCTTTTCCTCCTTTTCCTCCTCCTCCTCCTCCTCCTAAAAACACCGCATGAATTTCATTACCAGGGGTATCTAATCGAAATGCTCAGGCTCTAAAGTAGCCATCTTCCCTCCTTCTCCTTCTCCTCCTCTCTGGTGTGTACCGGGACCACGTGGCAGGATGGGTAGGTAGGTAGGTAGGGTAGGGTAAGCACCAACCTAGATAGGTAGCCCATCCAGCATTAAAATCTCACCCTCCCAAAAATCTTGTTCAGGTACCTTAGTTGGGTTAACCTAGAACGCCCCCCCTTGGCCGTAACCATAGCCCGTCCGGGCATGCATGTTTGTGCCGTTCCGACCAGACGGCCCAACGGGCGAGACATTGTAGCCCCGCAGCGCGTCACGGTCGAACTCATCGTCGCTGCCGAACTCGCTGACCCCGTTGCTGTCTCGTCTGACCATCCGCGCCGGCCGCTGCGCAAACGGCGTGGCCTGCCGTGCCGGCGCAGGCACCGGCTTGCGCCTGGGCGCGGACTGCTGGTGGTACGCCGGCCTCACCTCCTGGATCACCGGCTTCCGGGCCGGCATCGCCTGGTGGTGCGGGTGGACGAGGTGGTCGCGCACGGCCTGGCGCGCGCCCACGTTCTGGATCACGGGCATGTCGATGCCGGCGACGGGGCGGGAGGAGGACATGTTGTTGTGGCGGTGGGGCTGGTCGACGATGACGCCGCGCGAGCTGACGTGCCGCTGTGCGGCAGGCGTGTAGGTGACCTGCGGCTGCGAGGCCGCTACCCGCTGCTGCTGCTGATGGCTGGGGTGGTAGATCGGGAGGGCGCGCTGGCTCTGCTGCACCCGGCTCGGGCCGTAGTAGTTGAGGAAGTCGCTTCCGGGGAGTCCGACGGCAGCCCGATTGAGTTCGTAGTCATTGCGCGGGCTCCTTCGCGGGGGAACTCGTGGTCCTCGGTGTTGGTCTTGCGCGCCGTACGGGGCCGGCCACCCGTGGGTCCGGTTCGAGTGGGCATCCATCATTCGACGTGGCTGTTGTCGTCTACCTACGCTCTCGGATTCTGGCCAGGGAGCTGCGGACTTATGTTGATGTTGATGTTGCTCGATCTCGGCGTAGTCGTCGAAGTCGCCACAGCAGGACATGGTGCAGAAACTTACCAAGGGGGGGGGAGAAGGTCTATGTTATCTACTACTTCTTCCTTCTAAGCTTGTTCCCGTAAATGGAAGAATGACGAACTGAAAGCTATGCCAGATAGCTGGTCTGTGAATCTGATGCCTTAAAAAAACGAGTGCGTGAGAGCTGCTTCAACAGGTGTGTTCACGAGTGAATAGAATAGTATCTACAGTTAGGCCGGCCTCTTTTTTTCTTTTTCCTCTTTCGTGACAAGCTATCACGGCCGCCGGCGGTGTGTGTATGATTTATATGAGTCAAGAACAGGTCTTGCTTCATTGAAACAAGACTCCTTGTTTCTATAACACTAGCTTTCCTTTGTGACTTTGTGGCTGTTGACTTAACAATGCTATGAATAAGGGACCACGGGCCTGTTCTCTCAAAGAAAGTTTGTCACACTCTTATTTCTCTTCTTTTTTTTTGTAAGAAGCTACTACTACCTAGTTAGAAAACGAACAATGGCATTCTGGGATGGTTGGTGAGTATCGAGAGGGTGTGCTGATGAGCCAATCATGGGGTGTTAAGGCAGCTTGAGGCTATTCGTGGCAAACAAAGCCGGATGAAAAGATATGAAAAATCTACAGCTGTCTTCACAACACTAAGTTTGTATTTGAGCTCTTGATCAAGGGCTCTACCTCGTTGCTTCTAATGACGCGACACGCTAATAAGTCAAGTCCTCTGTTTTCTCTGAGTCAGCTGGTGTAGGTAGGCATTCTGTTGTCGTCCTTTTTGTTATACACGTATATTCAGGCCCTTGCGCTTCAAGAGACCGAGCTCTTGGGGATCTTTGAGCAGCATCCCTCTATTTCGAACTAGGACTACATACCGGTTTAAGCTCATGTGACAGTATTCAGCTTCTCTGGAATTAGTATAAAATATTTCTTGCACTAAGTAGATATCACCTACAAGCGAACACTCTACGCGGACAAAGTGATAGACATCTTGACGGTGTTGTATCTGATTCAGTTAAGCTTGCTATAGCAATTCATCCCCCAGGAAGTCTCAAACTCACAATACATTTTGTTATGAAAAAAATACAGGGACAGCTTTTCTTATATACCATGGTCCGTGAGATTGGAGGAGCCTCCATGAAAGACAAACAAAACAATGCCTTGCAATAGCATTACAATTAGACATTCCCGTACACAGTATGAACAAAAAGCTATTGTCCATTGTTGTTCCATAACAGTCCGTGAGAATGGCTACAATCCATATCATCTGAAAATGCGAGTGTTGGGTTTATAGAAGGGATGGTTCCATCACGCCTATATAGACTGTGAGTCAGTGAAAAAAAAAAAAAAACCACCACCACCGTGGGCCGTATCACGGAAGCCACTGACATGGAAAAGATACAAAGGTTGGTTCATCCTGTTTTCAAAAAGAAGCGCCATAGAACCGACAACTCAGGCTTCACGGGAGACCAGGCCGGGGCGGATTTAGCAACTAGTCAACAGGGGAACGAACTACAACCTACCATGAGAACGGGAGACATCGACATAGCGCCAATGAACTTCACGCCCCAGAGCCAGGGCCGAGACGCAACACTTGCCTTTATGAACTCGGGCTATGCAGATCACCTAATACAGCTTCTAGACGACCAGGATCGCGCCGAAAGACTCCTACACGAAGGGCCACAGACTAAAGGCACGCAGGAAGTCCAGCACATCCTCCGCGAGCCGACCTTGGGATCTCTTGAAAAGTTCAACGATATTCGCCGACAAGCTGAAATCAACAAAAAATACGGCTTCCCCGGGGAAGTAGTGTTCAACTTCAGTAGAACCGTGGGTTGGAACAAGTCTAAAGCCGCTGCAAGTACTCCTCTCCAGCTCAGGGGCCACCGCAATGTCAGGAAGAGAGGGTGTAAGTACGTTCCCCGTACACCCCATACCCCTATCGACTGGCTTGACCTCGGGAGGTCTACAACCCCTGCAAGTAACAACGGCCAGCCCCTGACTCCCGAGATAGAGCCACCATTTAATCCCTGGAGCTCTCACAACAGGTCACTAGACCTCGACTTATACGAGGCATCGTGGGTGGAGGAGGAAGCAAGAATCATGGCAATCACCAAGTTGCCACTTAGAACGGTCCGCATGATCCACACAATCCCTCCCGAAAGGGGTAATTGACATCCTACATTCAAAACATCAAGTTGAGTCTTTCAGTGATACCACCGTTTATATATAATTAAACCAGTTACTGTAATTTTGAGGCTTCTAGCATGCACTATCAGTTATTTTCCAATCAAGAAATTATAAAATATGGGAGCACGTGGGAAGGTTGGTGTGGTAGTATTCGGATAAGGGGGCAATAAGAGTGGGAAACACATCATTTGGAAGATCATATATCATTGATCCGGAAGTTTTATAGACTACCGAGTACCTAGTATCTAGTAGATATAGAGGTCTGTAGGCGGACGCATGCAACGACACGCAAATGCCTTGCCATCAGTGACTGCTTACGGAAGAGCAATGCACTCTATCTCAACATCGACGGCCTTAGGGAGCTGCTTAACAGCCACGCAGCTTCGGGCAGGCTTATGGGTGAACCACTTCTCATACTCCTTGTTCATGTCGGCGAAGAGGGACATGTCAGCCAAGAAGACGTTGACCTTGACGACTCGCTCAATAGAAGAACCGGCGGCAATGAGAACGGCCTTCAAGTTAGAGATGCAGGCCGCCGTCTTCTCACCAATAGTGCCCTCCACAAGGTTGCCACTCGCGTCACAGGGAATCTGGCCGGAGCAGTAGATGGCAGTGGGGGTTTTGATGGCGTGAGACTATGATAGTTAATTAGGTTTTTGATCAAATATGAAATGACAATGATAGGAGAATGAATGTATTGAATACATACGTAAGGTCCAGCTGCTGTATCCTTGAGTTAGCCATAATGTCCAAGTGTTACATATGTAGTTATTCTGTATGTATATAATATAATCACTTACGCGGGGCAGCGTCCTTGGCCAAGACCGTAGTGAGATCGGACATTTTGCGGATAGATTGTGAGGTTAGAGGAAGATATGGAGTTTGTGTGATTCTGGTAGCTGGAATCAAGGCACGACGAACAGTGAATGAAGTAAGTGATCGAGCAGTAAAAAGAGCTCGATGGGCTATGGACATAGCTTTGTATAAATAGTTTTTGTATTGTATTGTATTGTATCGGCTGTTACCTTTCTCTCAAGTCAAAGCTTGCAAGGAAGTGAAGAGAGATGGAGGGGAGTGAAAGGCGTGAAGGGCGGGGGCTGTTGAATTTTGAGCCAATTAGGGTTTGTACATGTACAGCAATATAGTACTACAATGTAACTACACACCCTAGGTAGTACATCCAGTGTCATCCGTGCATTTATAGTTCAACGTTGTTCTTGATGTTCTTCTAAATCGTCTCCGTACTTCGGCCTCATGTATGTACATACATAGGCTGCAATAGTAGGCTTAGACATAACCAATACCTTAATATGTAGGTTAGTAGCTTAAGTCGGTTAGTTAATATACTAGGTATGTACACATGTAGTACCTACCAGTGCCAATCTCCATGTTACTAGGTACAATGGTACATAGTATGCTGCAATAGTAATAGTATTTTGAGGTTACCTAGGTATGTAGGTAGCCAGGTAGAGCTATCATAGGTATATACCAACTTAGGTAGGTAGATAGAATTTTGGTGGCATGTACGTAATGTCAATGAGGTCACAAATATTCCGATGGGTACCTAATAACAGGGTAGATACTTCGTACTGGGTAGTCTCATAGCCCTATTTTGTTTGCTTCCAGGTCAAGGCCCCCGGCATCAGAGAAGTATGGATATATGTGCCGGCTGCATCTTATCAACGGCGTTGACATGTTTGCACCTTTCGGTGTTCCTGAAAAGGTACCGTATTAATAAATAGTATTGTATGCATTCGAATATGCAGCGGATGAGAGTGGGGAATGGGAATGATGATTAGTTATGATTACCTATCTATCTTATCGATAAGATTCGGGTATCAATTGCCCAGTGGCGTCAATCATCAATGGCATCAATAGGCTAACTAGTTACCTAGCACCAAACCTTTTAAACAACATTCAAACAAGGGTATTGAAATTGTTTCGAGGTAAGCTTCAGGGGGTACACCCCTATTTTAAATATGCTCTAAAAGAAAAGGGGGGCTCGTGAGGCTGAGGATTTGCCAAGTGGCCAGAATTAACTTGACAGCCCCTGCACTATACTGCACTCCCACCCTGCTAAGGCACAGTACTGCTGCATAGTACCTCCCGTTACGTAGCACAAAGTGGAACACGACGCTCGCTGTACTGCGCATAGTACAGAGTAACTTGAAGCTTTCTCTCCCTGCGTTAGGTCAACCTGGTCAACCTGGTCAACCTAAGATTTTTTTAAAAAAAGGATCTCGTTTTTAAAAAGAGGTGAACCTTTTTTCTTTCTTTGGCGCCGTTCCACGATATCACCATCTTAAACCTCCTCTCCTTTTTTCTTCGCTAACCATAGACCAACCATATAGTATTAGGCCACATACTGGCCTTATGGTTGGTTAATTTATTTCGATTCGTTTTTCCTTGTTTTTGTAGGTAATCCCATAGTTAATTCTATCCAGCTGCGACATAATCACCAACATCTCACACCTCCGATTCTCTTACTAACTAACTTAACTAACCCGTCTCAAACAGTTTTACTCAATTTCTTCTGCTGAACTGCACTCTTTTTCACGATGATGTCCAGCTCGCAGAGCAGTCTGCGCCAGCGGAGTGTCCCTGGTTCCGCCAAAAAGAAAGGCAATAGCCCTGCTGATACCGACACCGAGCTCGATGACCTTTCCAAATCAAAGACGCTTGTTGCAACGGGAGGCTCTGAGACGGATTACAAGATCGGCTTTGTTGTCATTACCATCCTAGCTTTTATTTCTAGATTCTGGGGTATCAGCCATCCAAACGAGGTCGTCTTCGATGAAGTCCACTTCGGCAAAGTGAGTATAAGGCCAATTTAAAAACCATTGGAAAGAACACGTTGACTTACTTTTATTTCCTCTTCCCATAGTTCGCCTCATACTACCTCGAGAGAACCTACTTCTTCGATGTCCACCCACCGTTCGGAAAGCTTCTCTTCGCCCTTATGGGATGGCTAGTGGGCTACGATGGCCACTTCCACTTCGACAACATCGGCGATTCCTACATAGCGAATAAAATCCCCTACGTGGCTTTCCGCGCCTTACCCGCCATCCTTGGTTCGTTAACGGTCTCGGTGACATACCTTATCATGTGGGAGTCGGGCTATAGTCTGCCAGCTTGCGTTGTCGCCGCCGGTCTTATCCTGCTAGACAATGCCCACATTGGTCAGACCCGACTGATTCTGCTTGATGCAACCCTTGTGTTTGCTATGGCGTGCAGTCTACTCTTTTACATCAAGTTTTATAAGTTGAGGCACGATCCTTTCAGCCGCAAGTGGTGGAAGTGGTTGATTTTGACTGGCTTTGCGCTTTCATGCGACATCTCCACCAAATACGTCGGCCTCTTCGCCTTTGTTACCATTGGCTCTGCGGTCATCATTGACCTTTGGGAATTGCTCGATATCAAACGACCCGGTGGTGCATTGACCTTGCGAGAATTTGCCTACCATTTCGGAGCTCGTGCGCTTGGGTTGATCGTCATTCCGTTCCTATTTTACTTATTCTGGTTCCAGGTTCACTTCGCGATTTTGACGCGCTCTGGCCCCGGTGATGACTTCATGACCCCTGAATTCCAGGAGACGCTATCAGACAATGTAATGCTTGCAAACTCATTGAATATCGATTACTATGATACCATCACCATCCGCCACAAGGAGACCAAGGCGTACCTACACAGCCATGACGTCAAATACCCCCTCCGCTACGATGATGGGCGCGTCTCTAGTCAGGGCCAACAAGTGACTGGATATCCGTATAATGACACTAACAACTACTGGCAAATTCTCCCAGTTACCGAGGACCACCAGATGGGCCGCAACGTTAAGAACCATGAACTCGTCAGGCTACGACATCTGGTGACGGATACCATCTTGTTGTCTCATGATGTCGCTTCTCCCTCGTACCCAACCAACCAAGAGTTTACCACTGTGTCCCTGGCTGATGCATATGGAAGTCGCGCGGCGGACACCCTTTTCGAGATCAGGATCGAACATGGCAAGCAAAACCAGGAGTTCAAGAGTATTTCCAGTCACTTCAAGCTCATCCACAACCCTAGCAAAGTAGCCATGTGGACCCACTCGAAGCCTCTACCTGACTGGGGTCACAAGCAGCAGGAGATCAACGGAAATAAGCAAATCCCCCCCAGCTCTAATGTTTGGTTGGTAGAAGATATTCCGTCAGTCCCGGCAGATTCTCCTCGCCGACAGAGGGAAGAGCGTCAAGTCAAGACGCTTCCTTTCCTCAGAAAATGGTTCGAGCTGCAACGTGCGATGTTCTGGCACAACAACCAGTTGACTAGCAGCCATCCTTATGCCAGCCAGCCCTACCAGTGGCCATTTTTGTTGAGAGGTGTCAGTTTCTGGACCCAGGTTGACACTCGCCAGCAAATCTACTTCGTAGGCAACCCTATTGGTTGGTGGATTGCTAGCAGTTTGATCGCCGTCTACGTTGGTATCGTGGGCGCTGACCAAGTCTCCATACGCCGCGGAATTGATGCGTTAGACCATCGTAAGTCCACCATTATTAATTATACACACTCGTATTCCACAGCTAATCTTAATTGAAAAGGTACCCGTTCTCGCCTCTATAACTCCACCGGATTCTTTTTCCTGGCTTGGGCTACCCACTACTTTCCTTTCTACCTCATGGGACGCCAACTTTTCTTGCACCATTATCTACCTGCTCATCTTGCGTCATGCCTCATCGTCGGTGCTCTACTTGAATTTGTCTTCAACGCCGAGCCATCTATCGAGGAGCCGACCTACCAGGAGGTCAAGTCGGGCAAGAAGCGTGCTCCGGGCCCCAAGCGACACATTACTGCCGGAGAGCGGTTCGCCGGACAGAGTATGGCCCCTGCTTGGATCGCATGTGGTGTTATTCTAGCAGTGGCCGCTGCTGGCTGGTACTTCTTCTTGCCTCTGACTTACGGTTACCCTGGCCTCAGCGTCGACGAGGTTAACCGACGCAAGTGGCTCGGATATGATCTCCACTTTGCCAAATAAGGAGGTGGCTAAGTCTCAGCTTAGAATTTAGTGAAATGATGACTAGGTAATTTTGGTATGTCAGTCATAATTGTAGGAGGGGAGGACGAAGTAGAAGAAGACGACAGGTGTACGATTGAATTCGCAAATCTAAAGAAAGGGACGAAAAATGGATAAAGGGAAGGGCAAGGCTTGCGTGTGATCTACTACGGCAATGGAAAAGAAGAAGAAGACCAAAGAAGAAACAAAAGAGGAAGAGTCAGTAACTATTTTTTTGCAACGCACGCGGCTTCCGAAATACCCATGTTTATTATCCTACCTAGGTACATACCAGGTAAGTACCAACCTAAGGCCGATCCATATCATACCTACACGCCGGTAGGTATATATAATCAGTACTCGCGTTTCTGTAAAACTATTGATCATACCAAAATCAAATCTCATTTCCCATGACATGACAAGACACGTGCTTGCTTGTAGTCCTCGTTAAATATAGTAAATTACCATGAAATCCATCCGCATCCAAGTTTGCAAACTTGGAATATCATAACCCTAGGTACTCCGACACCTTCTATCTATAGTTAGGTAGAAGGGTAGTCAATATCTTTTCCGTCCCTTTTATTTCGTCAAATTCTTGGCAAGTTCCTCAGCAACGATCTTACCCGCGAGCCAGCTCATATCGATCGTACTCGCAATGGCGTGGATAGGGGACGTCCACCACAGGCCATGCTCGGAGAGTTTGAAAGAGGGGAATCGTGTGTTATGATAGACAAGGGGGTAGGCGTGTTCAATCTGTGAGTTTGATATCAATATACTGGTTGATCGTATTACGATAAGTGGGAGGGCTAATAGAGAACTTACCTCAGTCTCGTGTATCCATGTGATCCCTAGATCTAGTGAACGTAGGCGCTCTGTGACAGGGCCGTCTGATATGGCGCGATATAAGTACTTGGGGGCTTTGTTGTCGTCATCGTCGCCGTCGCCGTCGTCCCACCTTCCGACCCGGTAGACTTGCCTTACGAATGCTAGCTCCCGGACACCTTCGAGAGCATTGTCTCCGTGTTGCTCCCTGAGGAGGAGAATCTGGTCAAAGTTACCGAAGATATCGGGGTTCAGACGTGACGGTACGATGAAGAAAGTGACATGAGCAGGTTGGTAGAGCAAAGCTGAGGCGGCCTCGACGTCTTCAACTGAAACGGCCCCAGAGGCGACCTCATACAGACTAAAACTCGGGGCGGCGATAATAACTTGGTCAAATGCATCGTAATGCGGGCCCGGTAAGCCGACCGCGCTAAATTCCATTATCCATGCGAAGTCGTCTTCGGTGATCTGTTGGTATTTCAACCGGGATACCTCTGTGGCCGTTCGAACGGTGATGCCCGTCGAAGCCACAACCTGTTCGAGTCTGTCGATCAAGTTCCCGCCAGTGTAAAAGTTGGCGGTGTCCTCTTGAAAGGCGGCCACCCTCATCCCTAAGGCATTTTGGCTAGTGATTCCTTGGGGGTGGGCGCGCTGAACTTGGGGTTCAAGGATCTCGGTCACGTAGGCGCCGCCTATACCTCGAGCATCGAGGTCAATTAGCGCCTGTTGTTGGACGGGGTCAGTCAGACCGAGAGAGATCATAAGCTGCGAGACCTCCGGGACCAGAGGTGGATCTGCAAACCGATCTTGTAGATTCCCATCTCCGAGTAAAGCCCTTGCCCTGGAAATGGAAAAGCCGTATCGGAAAAGTAGTCCCAACCAGGAACACCACGATGTTTTCTCATAGGGACGAGTGGTCTCAACGACGATGCCTTCGCCAGAAAAACTGGAAGTTTTTAGTACAAAGTACCGAGGACTGTATCATATCCATTGGTGATTAGAGCACGAGAGCAGTTACTTACTAGCCGACTTTGTGGCTAGGTAGCTCAGCAAAGTCAACCTTGTCTCCTAGTATGCCTTCTGATGCCTTTGTGAAGAATGGGTTGCTCCACAGCAGAGCCGAGCCAGTAATGTCTTCGGCGATGATCGGGTCCTGGAGGGGATCGTCATAAGGAAAGACCGGACCGGTGGTAGAACCATTTAGAGCTAGGTTCCCTCCTATTACAGGTGAAGACTCGAATAGGGTTATATTTAGCCGAAAGTTTCGACCTGCTGTTCGGCGCCGCAAATGTTGCGCGGCGGATATACCAGCGGGACCGGCGCCTATGTCCGGGTCAGATACAAATTTCTACGTAGGTGCAAGTCGTACTCATCTGCTAGGTTTCTATACATACCGATAATAGCAACTGAAAAAGTAGGAGTTTGGAGGGCATCAGGTGGGGTACGTACAACTGCACCGGAGAGTACAAATATGGCAAGGATTGTAACAGTAAGAAGGGCTATAACAGAAAATGCAATGAGATATGTTAAGATACCAGGCACATCCGATTCATTTGACGTTGAACTTGGATTTGCCTTGGCGAACAACGGCGTCTGCTCGTCACACCGTGACCAAGATTGCTGGGGTTGGCTCGAATAGGACGGCGGCGGCGACTCACTCCGAGTGGAAGAGCCATCATAAATTGAGTGTTCCCGTGAGGTTTTCTTCATGGCGTTAGGGACCTATTAAACTATACTAATTTCAAGTCGAAGTATTTGTATCTGACAGCGTATTTTGGAAGAGGCAGTTAGGTAGTTTGGCAGTTAGGCAATGAAAGATGGAAGATTGAATAATAAGGATTGAGTGGCTCCAGCCAGCTTCCCCTCTCCAGCCGTGTTACACAACATGATTGACATCCAGCCTGATGATCCAGGATACACATGCATGTATGGTCGTACCACTGAGTATCATTGACTGTTGGCAGTCACGAAAACCCAAAACTAAGAGGAAAGTACACCGTGCTCTAGTGTATTATTATTGTAGGTATATAAAGTACATAAAGTAATCTTATTTTCCCTTCTTTTTTCTTCTTTCTTTTGTTAAAATTAATTGACCTTCGTTTGCTCGCACACGTAATGTATTATCAGCATTGTGGCAATTGGTATGCAACATTCCACTCCGATTGGTTAGGTATATATAAAAGCTACCTACACAGTCTAGATCATATATTGATTTATGAGTAGATGGTTCTGTGATTGAGCCCCGTCCTTGCATTAGAGATCGGGCGTTGCAATGGGCAGAGAACCAACCGCATCGTCGCTGGTTATTAGCCTACCCGTTACCGACCAAAATACTTTTCCCGGATCAATCCCATCTAGATGATCCTACGTCCCGTTGCTTCAGTCAGGTACCCATCTGCCTAAACCCTACTGTTCTTTTTGAGAATGTCCAATAAGCACGTGGTGGTGTTGCGTGTCCTCTCCAGATGAGCTATGCACCTCATAGCTTTTAAAATATATGTTTAGTGCCCCCCCCCCCCCGCGTCACGGTCCGAATACACTCGCTCAACTACTCAGGCTAAAAGCCTGGTATATATCACTCTACTGTAGAATGACTTGCATTCGTGCTCAGGAAACCCGGGTTCTCAGGTGTCCCTATTGGATAATTGCCCCCTTTCCTGCTATAATGACGCGTTCAACGGCCCTAGAAGGCATTTCGATGCATCCACCTAACCCGGTGGAAGGGCTCACGTCAAATCCAGGGCCCCTTACGAGAGTTGAGGAGGTTGAGGGGTGGTAATGATGAGTGGCTCCCGAGTCGTCTTATATATAAGATGAAGGGGCCTATTCTAGACAGATAAGCCAGCTGAGAAGGTATTTTTCTAGTGTCTACTCGCTGGTTCCCTTCGTATATTATTATCGAAATGTGGAGGAATTGTTTGTGGGTTCTCGCCCACTGCTTCTTTTTGGGTTGTGTGTCTGGAATAGTAGAACCTACCGAATGTAAACCTGTCTTCTTGACTACGACGGTGTTTGTGTCCACTACCATATATACATCCGCCCCGTCTAACGTAACAACTGCGCCGTCGAGTTCAAGCGCGCCATGGGGCAATATAACCACGACTGCGGATTCCAGCAGCGTAGGAACTACAACTAGTATTCCATTTGGCAACACTACCACGAGTGGTACAAGCGCGAGTTCTAGCGTAGGAACAACAAGCAGCGCCCCGTTTGTAAATACGACAAGTGCCACAACTGTGAGTTCCACATTGGGAACCACCAGTTTTGGCAATACGACTACAAGCGCTACGACTGTAAGCTCTAGCTTAGGAACTACGAGCAGTATCCCCTTTGGAAATACCACTACGAGTTCTGCCACAAGTGCTCTCCCAACGGCGACACCTAGCAACCCTTCCCCGCCGTGGCCGTCCCCCCAAACACCCCCTAAGCCTTTTAGGGGATTTAAGAATGCCGTATATTTCACGAACTGGTCTGATACTTCCCCCATAAGTCATACAGCTATGTCCTGGAGCTAATGAGTTCGATAGGGGCGTTAACTCGGGGTTTCATCCACAGGAGCTACCGGTTTCCGAGCTTACACATATCCTATATGCCTTTGCCGACATCGACACAGACGGGACAGTGAAGTCTTCAGACCCAGTCATAGATCTTGATAAGCGCTACCCCGGGGACTCGCACCGGAACTTCACCAAAGAAGTCTACGGCGCCGTGAAACAGCTGTACATCCACAAGAAATACAACCGGAACCTCAAGACCATCCTTTCGGTAGGCGGCTGGAATTATTCGCCCAAGTTCGCCGGAGCAGCCGCGACCGATGCTTCCAGGCACACGTTCGCGGCGTCTGCCGTGAAGCTGGTGACGGACTGGGGCTTCGATGGAATCGATCTGGACTGGGAGTATCCTGTTAACGAGGTCGAAACGGCGAATTTCGTCAAGCTCCTGGAGGAGTGCCGGCGTGAGTTCGATAAATACTCCCTCTTAAACAGTGTGCGATATCATTTCTCCATCAGCGTGGCGAGTCCAGCCAGCCCGGTGAACTACGGTAAATTCGACCTGGTTGCTATGGATAGATACGTGGATACCTGGTATGTTCCATATTCTATATGTTGTGTGTGTTGGCAATACGCTAGGCACCTACCATAACAAGGAGACGGCAACGTTGATAATTAAAATGTTCTTTTTAGGAATTTGATGTCGTACGACTACTCGGGAAGCTGGGATACCGTCAGCGGCCACCAAGCGAACGTATTTGCGTACGGCAGCGCGGCTGCCCCCAAGAAACCCAGCACGGACGAAGCGGTACGACACTACCGGGCGCACGGAATCGCATCAGAGAAGATCCTGATGGGCCTACCCGTGTACGGCCGCGCCTTCGAGGGCACCGCCGGTCTCGGGCAGAACTACTCGAGCGTCGGAGAAGGGGGGCCGCAACCGGGCGTCTGGTACTACCGAGACCTACCCAAGCCAGGGGCAGAGCAGCTGTGGGACGACGTCGCGAAGGCCACGTACAGCTACGATCCGAGGACGAGGGAGTTCATCTCCTACGACGACATCCGCAGCACGACGTACAAGGCACACTACCTCCAGAGCCATCGCCTGGGGGGCGCCTTCTTCTGGGAGGCTAGCGGTGACAAGGCGGGTGGCCGGAGCTTGATCAACACCATGTCGAAGAACTTGGATTGGCTGGATGAGAACTGGAACAACCTTTACTACCCGACCAGCCAGTATCGCAATATAAGACGGGGAATGCCAGATGAATGAATGGGCTGACTTGTAATGGTTACCTAGGTCAGGTAGTTACACAGGCCTGCCGACCTAGGTAAGTGTATGCGGTATTTGGGAATGGCGCAGGTCTATCCTTTAGTAGCCTATCTAAAACAGTTGTGGTACTGCTTTTCTTCAAAAGGGGGTTACTCCTGATGGTAGCGTACGTGAGACCTTGTCAGATAAGGTTCGACACGTTTTGAGGCACAAGTATCTTACGAATCAGATTCCAATTCAACTGGTGGGCTCTTGTCTTGGATGTACACCTGGACATATATTTACATTGTACATGTAGATTTCATATTGAAAATACGACATACTTATGTACTTAGGTATATAGAACATATATGAAACCTAGTATTGGAATCAATCGAGGAGGCTTTTTATAGCTGATATATACGATGAATTGGACACTCTCGTCCGCCAAAGATAACCACTCAAGTCTCGGCATAGATGTATGAGCTCGTTGATTCCTCAACGGCGACCTCAATCTTGCTCTCCTCGAGCTCCTTGCCGTCGACCTTGATACCAGCCCGCATGACATCACCTGGTACGACGGGGCCGACACCCTTTGGCGTTCCAGTGATGACGATGTCTCCTTTCTCAAGAGTCATAACCTTGGAGATGTCACTCAGTATCCTGGGGATCTGGAAAAGCATGAGCTCGGTAGAGTCTGCCTGTCGAACCTCGTTATTGACAGTCAGGTAGATTTCTACGGAATGAGGGTTCGGAATTGCCGACTTCGCAATCAGGTTGCTGATTGGAAGGAAGGTGTCGAAGCCCTTGGCAATCGACCAAGGAATGCCCTTCTTCTTGGCCTCATTCTGGATGTTTCTGGCCGTCATATCAATGCTAAGAGCGTAATCTTAAAGGAAGGGATTAGTCAGCTGTAAATATATGAATCATATAGATTTCCAGTAGCTTACGTGCGATAGAATCGAAGGCAGTCTTCTCATCCTCTGCTGCAAGATCTTTCACCTGCTTGCCCAGAATCAAGGCCAACTCAACTTCATAGTGAAGGTCTACCCCCCTGGGGCGAATGACAGGGCCCTCCCCAGGTAAGAGGACAGAGGAAGTGGGCTTTAAAAAGAAGAAAGGCTGCTTTGGCCTGGCGCTGTTTAATTCGGCAATGTGATCACTGTGCGAAGATGGTAACGTTAACACCCTTCATATATATATTCACATACAATGAACAACTCGAACGCCGGAAAACTTACGCATAGTTGCGTCCGATGCAGACGACCTTGCTGGCTTGTTTCAAAGAAGCCACCGACGACATACTGCGACGAAATACATTCATCATCTAATGGATAAGTGGTTAGCAAAGCAATGCAATGCAAGTTCTTGGGGTCAACCACGGCACAGAACATGATCGCCATTTATAGACACACTCACATTTACCTAGTATAGCAAGACTTGACGACGGGGAAACCTTCCGCCTGTCACAACGTAACAACTAGTTATGTGTTATAGACAGCTTCGGCAATGAGCACGGAGATCGAACGGTATGAAACGCCGAAGATTACGACGATGAATGGATTTTAGGATTCCCGATCATCGGCAATGAGTACTACATGTATGTAGTCATGTACAGTACTACCTAGTATGTAGTCATGTACTACTACATGTAGGTATTACATATTAGTAGCATTTTTTGAAAATAACCTGGAAATAAAATAAAATAAACTGTTCAAGAAAAACGCCATCGCACTAAACCAAAAGGATACTAATAGGTATTCTGTATATGTACCTTTACCAGTTAGTTGGGACCTGCCGACCTGGAATAGACCTTGTGTGATATGCACTGAAGCATTGCATATGCGCATGCTAGTAGCTACATGCTAGACGCTGTGTTAGCACGCTATAGTTAGTGGGGTGCGATTCATAGGCGTGGGAGCCTGGGAGGGAGTATGTATAGAATCCTTTGGCCATGACCGGACTGGCCGGGTCTGGGCCTGTTGGCCTGGGGTAATAAGGCAACTCCACTAATAATAACGCCCTAACCTTAGTTTAAATGCGTAAATAATTTATTTCTCCCATCTTCTCCAGCTCCCCTGCCAAAAATGCTAAGCCTATCCTGATATCACTGATATCATCACAAGACCAACTCTGCTTTTACTACTACTACTAAACCTTACTTACCTACAGTACACCCTACCTACAGGAACTTTAGTAATTCTGTCATTCTAACTTTCTAACATTCCAGCAACCTTGAAAACTTAATTCATTCCTCTTAATTTCTAACCTTGACAACTTCGCATCTTGACAGACATTATACCAACCTGACTGACATCTTGATTCTTCTCTTGGGTCCCTATATCATTTGGTATTTGCACGTCTTTGCAAACAATCATTCCCAACCTTTGCGATCCTTAACGGATCTTGGTTGTGTGCACCAAAATGGAAGCTCTACAGATAGCACAGATGCTGGCTGATCTTAACGATCTCCAAACCACTGTATGTGAAAATTATTGTCGCATCCCTATTCTACCTTTACTAATATTATGATTCCTTGTAGCAAGACCAATCTGCCTCGAAAAATCTAGTGAACGCCAACCGGACACTTGGTCGGAAGGACCAACTACGCTTAGAAGAACAGCCCAGGAGCATCAGCACTCCTGAGACCAGAGTGACGTCGCCTGGAGGAGGACGTATGACCGACAAATTCGGTCGTCGCATGCTCACGCCCCCGTTGTCGAGAACCAATTCTGGAACTCCATCAATGCCTGGAACTCCCTCCGGCTTAGAGGTATGTCTCCACTCTAATGAGAGACTGCCCCTTCACATCCTGACATGCAAATACTCATCTATTTATTCTACAGCGACCTGACACCGACATCGATAGAGCCTCTACACTCCTCTCCCTATATGAAATTCGCGCCAAATTGAAGGAGCAGGATAACAGCAGTTTGGTGAGGGCACGTGAGAAGCTCAATGCTCTTGCGTCAAAGCAGCAGGCTCAGGGAGTCAGTGATCAAAAGAAGGAGCGAAAAGAAGTCAACCAACTAAGCTACCCCAAGTGATTACGGGATAGCTCGGTTGAAATCCTCCGGATACTCTACACAGGCAACATAACATCGTGATCATCACTGGCGTTACAAAAAGGATCAAGCGAAGAAAGGAACTCGCTCGGAAGGGTGACGATGATTGAGCATGGGTGCTCCTGGGAACAAACGGCGTATAAACATGATGAATACCTAACACGGTAGAGCGGTGTAATGTGGTTTTATTATTGGGCCAGTTGCTATTTATTAGAAACATGACTACGGATGATCCTTCATGGGAACTTATCGAAACCTTGGAGCTTATATTGATGCTTGAAAAGCGGTATACGAATATATGTATGATTCAATGCTCTACAGTGCTGGCTTGAGACTACTACATCTTCTATGACCTGAATTTAATATTAGCTGAGTGTAAACATTCTACCTACTAAATCGCGCTCTTACACTACGAGAAGAGTCCTATTCGTCTGCGTCATAAGAAGATTGCGCCATTTGGGGAATTATAAATGCCTAGGTTAGGTGAGTAGGTAACTTACCAACATGGTAGTACATGAATGAGTATCACAGGTTGCAATTGTGTTACCCACCACTTCAAAACACCTACTACATACTCATGCCTACCTACCTACATACCTTATGTAGGCACCCAAAAAGGTGTGTATTTGATATCCTAGGGTTTGTTTGGTTCCCATGTTGCGGTAAGGAGGCATCTGCATGATCAGCGGGCTCGTCCTACGTAAATGGACACGACAGTCTCACACATGCTGGTTAATATATAATACTGTAACCAGCTATATGTGAGTACTAGGTCTACAGCCGAGACATACATGAATCTGAAATGAATGATTTATGATATCTATAATGATATCGGATTGACCAATGAACCCAAATGGTCCCCCTGGGGAAAAATGAAGAATTTATTATTTGACAGACACTGACAAGTATTTAGAATTGAAGAAGAACATTGAAGCTTACTAGGTAGTAAATAGCATTTGATCAATGAAATGACATCAAGTGAAAATGACAAGGAATAACTATTGATATACCTTACCTACATACGCTAGTATGTAGGTAGTAATAAGACGACCCTTCATACATGCATATGTACTCTAGTAGGGGTAGAAAGAGTTTTATTATCCACTTATCTCAGTATCGCTTAGAACCTTGGAACTATCGATAGGCGGTAAAGGCCCCGTAATTTTAAGGCATTTAGGCTAGCTAGGTAGTTGTACCCTAGGTAGTTATGTAGGTAGCTCTCCAGGGCTGTTACGGCAGTCTTCAGCGAGGCAAAGGTGAATATACAGGGGTAAGTAGGTCCAAGCTCCAGACTTTTTTCTTTTGACTCCGGCTGAAACGAACGAATGACCAGACCAGATGGCGTTTCTCCAGACGTCATTTTTTTTGTGGTTCTACTCTACATTCAATCCTCCCTCTCCAACTTACCACTTCTAGACACCTGGTAGACAGATAGCGATCGCGATTACCACGGTCACAAGGTCACCCACCAGCAACCCATGATGGCGAGCAGCGTAGATGCAAAGCTCTTGAGAGCGACAAAATTCCCCCCAGAGTTCAATCAGAAGGTTGACATGCAAAAGGTCAACCTTCAGGTCATGAAAAAGTAAGAATTCTGCCACGCGTCCCGCCGCGACTTAGGTACTAATTGGGTCTCTTACAGATGGATTGCGAGCAAAATCTCCGAAATATTAGGATCCGAAGACGATGTCGTCACTGAGCTTTGCTTCAATTTGATTGAAGGCACCCGATTCGTAGGTGCAACTATGGCTACGATAATAACAAAATGAATATTAACGTTTAGTGATGCAGCCCGATATCAAGTCTATGCAGATCCAACTGACTGGCTTCCTCGACAAAGATACCGCCCCGTTCTGCAAAGACCTCTGGAAACTATGTTTGAGCGCCCAGTCAAGTCCGCAAGGTGTTCCTAAGGAGCTTCTAGAAGCTAAGAAATTGGAGTTAATTCAAGAGAAGGTGACTACTACCATTACGATTGCTATCATCGGCTATTTGATGAGAGGCATACACTAACTTGTTTAGATTGATGCGGACAAAGCTGCCGAAGAAACGCGCGTCAGACGAGAAGCACAGGAACGTCGCGATCGCGAATTGGCAGATATCCGAGACCGAGAGCGCCGGGAGCGTGGTTTTCGTGGTGGGCGCGGCGGCGATAACTGGCGTGGTGGAAGACGTGGCGGTGATCGGGCTTTTGGCGGCCGCGGTAGAGGCTTTGGGCGAGGAGGTGACCGATCCCCATCTCCACCAAGGCGAGAACGGGACTCCTACCGTGCCGACCGTGACCGTTATGTCCCCCAAAACCGTCGCGGTAGTCGGCAGGAGCTTAGGCGACGCCGTTCAGCATCTCGCTCTGGAAGCCCTAACTCGAGGGACTCGGCATCTCGATCCCGGTCGCCCAGCGTGACTAGCGACCGTGGTCGACGAGCTAGCCTTCGATCACCTACTCCACCACGCTACCGTTCCCGAGGACGTCGATCGTCCCCCCCTCGCTACAGAAATACAGCAAAGCGGGACCGATCTGTTGGACGAACGAGAGATTATAAACCTGCTAGAGACGGTCCTAAAAGAAAGTCCTCTTCGCCAAGCAGTGCCAGCAGGTCTGACAGTAGTTCACGCTCACGAGCTCCTAAAAGGCGCAGGTATTCGAACTCAGCTAGCCGCTCAAGGCCTCCTCCACGTCGGGATACACGACGACTCAGTCGCTCTCGATCATCATCCTATTCCCGATCACGATCACGATCACGATCACAGTCACGAAGTCGTAGTCCGAGACGAAGACATGTCCGTGAGCTCATCAGCCGGAGCCCTTCTCCTAGCCGGCGTGGGCGACTAAGACGGTCTGTTACACGAAGTCCGAGCTCGGAGAGGTCAAGGAAGGATAATGCGCGGTCACAGCAAAAAGTTCGACGAGTGAACAGAGATGATAGCGAGGCTAGAGATGTCCCTTCGAGAAAGCGGAGATACTCTACTAAGTCCCCTCGTGCCCGTGACAGATCGGCTGATGTTTCGGAAGATGAAAAGAAATCCCAATCCCCCAGGCACCAGGCAGCCTCGACAGCTGATGAGGTTCGTCCCCCCTCTTAGGGAGACTGGTCTCATGCGATGTTCAAATTGAGAACTGACTCCCATGCTCTTTCATCAGACAAAGACCCCGCAGCAGCGGGCAAATGAGCTGCGAGAAAAGCTTTTAAAGGAGCGAATAAAGAAGATGAGAAGCACCTCAAGTAGTGATGATATGAATGGGCGAGGCTAATGTTCCCAGACTCGCAGGACCTTTTTTTTATTTGCAGATCCGGCCATCCTTAAGATATAAGAGTGTATGGGTGCCCTGGTTGACAGCATTTATTGTTTTGGGGTCTCAAGGTCAGTACACAAACAAACATGCTTTGCCTCAGCTTATGAAGCATAGCAATATGCAGATAGATGATCAGACAATAGACTTGGTATAAAAACTCACTTCAGACCCAATGCATGCTGTTGTCTTCCAGGTTCTCAGCTGAGAGTTCAACATTGCAATACCTATGGTTTGATTTTGTAGCAATTATTGCTTACTAACGTGATAAATATGAGATTCAACGATAACTATAGCTGATGCTGATAGTACGAAGTATTAATGACTGCTTAATAGGACTAACTACATATCTAAGAAGGGAGCAAGGCATTAATTACTCTTATGTTACCGAGGCTATAATGAATGTATGGGAGTTGCTGGGTAGTAAGTCCTTAGGTAGGTATAAAGGTGTAGACCTCACAGCTCTTGATGCAACCATACATAGGTATGTATCTCCTTAGCCCCTTTAACCAAATGTTCAATGTTACAGTAACTAGTTACATAACAATGAAACTTAGTAATCGAGTTGATGCCGCGAGAAGTACAAACTGTCTCATACAAATTTGTATGAAATACCAAGTACACTTCGCGTGGTCCGTGTAATACTAAGTTACTAACCTTAGTAACTACCTACCCTTGTAAGGTTTATGTAGTTTAATGCACGGACCAGCAACATTGTTCAAAACACGAACCTTCATTCGGAACGTTGAATTTAAGTACGATCTAACTTACTACTTACCACCTGACTCACTATTCCCAGCAGCAACCCTTCATCATTCCCAACCTTTCCAACTTTCCAATGACCGAGAACACGCAGCCCGGCGCCGGCGCCGGCGCCATTGCCAATGGCGATCGCCAAGCTGCCTTCGCAGAATACAACAAGCAGCGCCAAACTCTTAAGGAACTCCTTGGTAAGCGGAAGCAGCTCGATCGTCAATTGGTAAGCTACCATGATAGTCACTTCACTTTGCCCAAGGCAGGCGGGCTAGAGGTGTATGTTATGATGTTGGGTTGGCCTGTGAAGCTAACATCTTTTTTTAACAATAGTCCCAAATAGAGAACAGCATCGCCGACCTCGAGGTCAAGTACCTTAGCAACACGCGCATCGGCAACATCGTCAAGGGCTTCGATAACTACATCAAGGGCACCAGTACTGCCGCCCATCGTAAACATGGCGAGCTTAAAGAAGACGACTACATATGGTCGCGATCGTCCATCTCTTACAACAGCCTACACGTACGTTCCGCCCCGTCTCGAACATCCCCCCTCAATTTTATTCGTTCATTTCTGTTAACGAATTCTTACTTCTTTCGCACAGCCCGACAACACCGAAGCAGCATCCGCAACCTCGACCCCCGCGGCGCCGACCCCCGTCTCGACCACGTTCGCCAACGCCAGCAAAGACAAGGACAGCGGCTCGAACCAGCCAACACCGACGTCCGCGACAACCGACAAGACATCATCTGGAAAAGTCGGCAAAACCGGCAAGAAGAGGACCGCAGCCCATGCCAAGAAAGAAAGCAAAGCGGACATCGCTGACGCAGCCGACGACAGCGAAACAGACTCCCGCGACGCTAAGAAGGTGCGCACACATTTTGGCGCCTCCAGGAAGCAATAGCCCGCCGCCTTCCTCCTTCCCTTCCATCTACTGAGCTACGCCAGTACAGTTTTGGGAATTTGTTGAATGTAGTACGTGATCGCCACTTTGCGAACCGGAAACAAAATATGATGATACAACATGGTTTTGGCGTTGTTGGCTTTGCTCCTATAAATGCTATGGACCCGGGCCCACCCCCAGCAAAAATTCATACGGATGGCGTTTTAGTGCTTGTATCAAGACACGGGAGTAAAGGGAGTCCGGTTTTTAAAAAGGGTCGCATTGCTTCTATTTCTTCCTCGTTTAGAGGATATAAGAATAGGACGAAAGAAGAAAGGGAAGGCGAGCCTTTCCTTTCCTTTCCTTCTTCATTGTGCTGGTTTGTACTATTTATGTTGTTGAGAGAGATACTCGACGGTCTAGTCTGTAGACAAATTCTTCACCCCAAGCTGAGGGATGAGATTTCCCGCTCCATAATTCTGCGTTCTTCGGAGAAGGGCGTGGCCATGAGGCTATGGCCTCTGCAGCGAAACTCACGGGAGTCTTCCGTCGATTTTACACTTAATAAACTTCTTAGGGAATAGTAAGCAGCCCTAGTTCGAAAAAGCGCCGTCATCACAAGAATAGTACGCGAAGGGGGTAAAGGTTTTGAAACATCTCATGGGTTGCGTAAAGCTATCGCCTCTACTTTTTTTTCTATTACCGGTACTCTACCAATAACTCAACGCCTATACCACGCTTTGATCAGTATGGCTTCTATCTATTGCCAGACATCAAATTTCGGGTCTCTTATCATAAATCATCGACAACCCCTTTTTACCCATTTCATCGATCAGCGGCCATCCCCTATCTATGCTTGAGGTAACTGGGAGACCCTATTCTTGAAGGTCGCCTCCGCCCTTGTCCAGACACCCTCGCTGTCCCGGCGGTCCAGGGTGAGCAGGCTAGGCAGCAACAGACTAGAGAATTCGTCACTGGCTTCGCGAGCTACTAAGGTCGGGAGATGGTCGATGGCGATCACTCGCAGTTCTGGGCCCTCGATTTCGCGCGTGAGACCGGTCGTCGGGTTGTTGAACGAGCTGTAGGTGGAGTATATAGGGATAGGGTTGTTTTCGCTGTTGGGGTCGCAGCTGACGTCGCAAATTACACGAAGACGTCTTGCCGGCGTGGCAAGAGACTCGAAAGTTACGAAAGGGGGGGTACGGTTAGGACCGAGGTAGACACAGTTGATGAAAATGTCGGACTCAGCAACCTCAGGGAAGGGGCCGCCAGGGGCAGTCTCGGCCATGTCCCACTTCAAGATAGACGACTCGGGAATGCCTATGGCGGTGCAGAAGTCCACGGCGCCCTTTCCACATCGTCCAAGGGCACCAATGACGATGACGCGGGGGGGCTTGCCTCCATTGGCGCGTAGCGGAGCCTCAATGGTTGACTTGATGTGCTCGGCCAAAACAGGGGCGGTGTCGAAGACCGGTACGGGACCTTGGGGAGTCCCTGGGCTGGTCAATTGGTGAGCCCAAGCCAAGAGAGCAATGGCGGCGCCAGCGTAACCAGCCCAATAGCCAAACGCAGCGACGCGACGGCCATCTGGGTTGGTCAAGAACTCGAGATCGTATAGCGTACCACCGCCGCGCGCAAAGCGGGCAAGCGAAGCGGCCCAGCCCGTCTGCTTCTTGAAGCAGTGCTGGAAGTGGATGTACGGGTTGGGGAACGGGATGTCGTCCTCGGGGAGCTCCTTCAGGCCGAGGATGATGTCTTCGCGCGGAGCCTTCAACCACGATCCAGCGGGGATCAGCTCTGCGCCAGCGGCCGCGAACTCTTCATCTTTGTAGATGCGGTCGGACGATCGCTCAACGCGAACGACGTAGCCGGCGTCGAGAAGAGCTTTGGCGGACACGGGCGACACTATTATAAAAATGTTAGTTATGTCGTATAGTTAACTGAATATATGAGTTAGTTTGGCAAACGTACATGGAGAACGACGTTCCAATGGCTTGGTCTCGGCCCTTAGGTGAATGACAGTAGGCATTGTGAGAGTTTAGTTGCTGTTGCTGTTGCTTGACTTGTAAATAAGTTTTAGGCAAGACGAAAAAAAAGAATCTTGAAAGGAGTCTTAAATGTTGTAAAGTGAATCAATGGCCGATAGACGGATGGGCCAATAGTTAGAAATGAGTCAAGTGGGATGTTTGTTCCGGTTGGTGGCTTGGTGGGGGAAAATTCTCGCTCGACGATCCTGCCAGCTGTCTGGCACTCACGCAGGTCATCGGTAACTACATCTTAATGTGCCATACATCATCGGTGATATAATGTAACTGGGTAACAGTTAGTTATTAGGTAACGCCACATAACTAGTTACTAGGTACATGGATGTAAGTAGGGTCTGTCTGCCTGCCCCGCACATCCATGGATTTATACCTAGTGTAGTAAACGCGGCAGGAAGGTGTACCCGTGGTTGTGGAGTATCCCTGTTAGTCCTCCAACTGACAACTGCATATAGTGATACTCCAATACTTCGTATGTAAATATGCATACATTCTTCGCTGTGTTCTTTATATATCGAGGTCACATACCTCCTTGGCTGCTAGGTGGTATTTCCTTTGGGGCATCCATCTGTTTGCTTTACACATCACCTAGGTAGATAGGAACGTACTTCAATTCTCTTTCAAGATGACGGTCATGGCCACCAAATTCACCCCGGAGGTGCTCCTCTCCGCCCCCCGCCGTAGTGCCGCCGTGCCCAATTCCGTCGGCACTCTCGCCCTGTTCACCGGTATGTTATGCTATACCACTTCTTGGCCGTCTCTATCTTATGTTTCTATACATTGTATCAGTAGCATAAAGGCTAATGCTTCACCTTAGTCTCCCAGTATTCTTTCGACTCTCACTCCAAAAGCTATGCCATCAAGGTTCTGGATATAAAGACCCGGCAGTCGACCCAGCTGTTCGACGACCCTTCCTATACCGAGCCGACCTGGATATCTGAGAATGAATTCATCTTCCTAAAGAATGGTGATTCCACTACAACTCTCATGTCGGCAGATGCCTCCCAGCCAGGCTCTGAGTAAGTTGGGGAAGCTCTCCATATATATATTCAGTTGGTATTAATAGTCAAACGTAGTGCGTACGAAATCACCACCTTTAACGGTTCGATATCCAATATAAAAACGAGTGATATCGGAAACGGCACTATAGCCTTTGCCTGCACAGCTCCTACCACGCCCTCGGGCAAGTTGTATAACCCGGCGAACGAGAAGAAGCCACTATCCAGCGCCAAAGTCTACACAAGCCTGTTCGTGCGGCACTGGGACTCGTGGGTACCCGAGCAGAAGAGCGGCCTCTTTTACGGCGCCCTGAAAAGGATTGACGGGTCCATTAAGCTGCAGGACAAGCTGCAGGACTCCGGCCTGGTGAACGCCCTAGCCGGAACGAAGCTTGAGTGCCCGGTACCGCCATTCGGGGACGCTGGGGATTACGATATCGGCCCCGAAGGAATTGTGTTCGTTTCCAAAGATCCAGAGCTAAATCCCGCGTTATATACCAAGTCTGATCTTTACTATGTGCCCCTGAAGACCTTTACGGAGGAAAAGCCTCCGCCGCCGCAAATCATCCCCACTGCCGACCTACAGGGCTACACGGGGTCGCCCGTGTTCTCACACAGCGGGAAAGCCGTAGCTTTCAAACGCATGCGGAATCGGCAATATGAATCGGACCGGTCACGACTATTCATAATCCCCGACATCCATAACCTGGCATTGTTGCAGACTTTCTGGGAATCTGGCGAGGGCGGTTGGGTCCTGCAACCCGACGGCATTCTGTGGAGCCATGATGATTCAGAGCTGTACGTTACGGGCGAGAAGTTCGGTCGGCAGGGGGTATACCGGGTTTCCTTGTCGCCCTTATTAGCCAAAGAACTGCCACAGCAAGTAACGACGGGCGGGACCGTAGGCAGCTTCCATAACCTAGCGCGTGGTGATAGGCGCCTCTTCATCACGTCGAGCTCGCTCGTGGACAACTCTTCGTACTCGATCCTCGATCCTAAAACCGAGGACGTAGAACTCACATCATCAAGCTCGAAGGAAGGGAAGTCGTTCGGCCTAGCAAAAAGCCAGGTCGGCGAATTCTGGTTCAAGGGCGCCAACAAGAACAACCGGGAATGCCACGCCCTTGTCATGAAGCCGTCCAACTTCGACCCCGAAAAGAAGTACCCACTGGCTTTCCTCATACACGGCGGCCCTCAGGGCGCGTGGGGGGATAGCTGGAGCACGAGGTGGAATCCTGCGATATTTGCCGAGCAGGGCTATGTGGCGGTGATGCCTAATCCGACAGGTAGCACCGGGTATGGCCAGCAATTTACGGATGATATCGCGAAGGATTGGGGTGGGCTTCCGTACAACGACCGTGAGTGGATTCCACCATGATATTGGCTACACACACCCCCTTCCCTTATTCCTCCTTTTCATGTCATAAGTCCTTCACCCCACAACAATATCTCTCGTACATATACTGGTAAAGAGATACTTTTAAAAGAGCTATTGCTAACTCAGGATGCTTGTAGTGGTCAGCTGCTTCGAGTACATCGCCAATAACATCGCCTACATCGACACAAACAACGCCGTGGCGCTAGGTGCCTCGTACGGAGGCTACATGATCAGTAAGACTGCAAATCCCTTTCCCCTGTCTCCCAATCCAACCACCCATACTAACACCACCCCTCTCTTTTACTTTCACAGACTGGATCCAAGGCCAGCCCCTCGGCCGCAAATTCAAGGCACTCGTCTGCCACGACGGCATCTTCAGCACCATGAGCAACTGGTCCACCGAGGAGCTCTTCTTCCCCGTGCACGACATGGGCGGCACCCTGTGGGAGCACCGCGACGACTACTCCCGCTGGGACCCCGCCCGCTTCGTCGCCCAGTGGGCCACCCCCCAGCTCGTCATCCACAGCGAGCTCGACTACCGGCTGCCCATCTCAGAGGGCCTGGCTGCGTTTAATGGTATGTGATTTACCTACCTACTTATTTGCTTGACTTGCCCGCCTACCTAGGTAGCTATATATATATATATATATATATATATACAACACATGATGACTTCTTTACCTCGATATAATAAAGTAAGACGCTAACAACCCCCACAGCTCTCCAGACACGCGGCGTACCGAGCCGCTTCTTAGCGTTCCCTGATGAGAATCACGTAAGCTTACTTTCTTAGCCTTTTCCTCCCCCCCCCTCAAGTTTCCTCACTGCTGCTGGCTTTTACTAAAAATAAATTTTCTCTTCACTATAGTGGGTACTAAAGCACGAGAACTCGCTGGTTTGGCATAAAGAGGTGTTGGGCTGGATCAACAAGTACACCGGTCTGGACACCACGGGGCTAGCGGGGGGTGCGGAACAGCTTAGTCTTGATTGAACTTCCATCTATTGAGGCAGGCAGACAGGTAGGTAGGTAGGTATATTAGGCATATTAGGTATATATATACTTTGGCTTTTGGAAAGCAGGCAGAGAGAAATGAGATGAGAGCAAATATAGCTAGCTAGGCTAGGCTAGCTACAGGGAGAACGTAGGTATCTTGCAAGTATGATCGGTCAGATGTTAATAAGAACCTATTTTGAAATCAAACACGCCCGTTCCCCATGGTGATAAAGACTAGAGAGTGAGCTAAAGGGGAACAAGGTTAGTTATGGTGCGCCCTTCTAGTGGATCTGCGTGGCAGAGGTTGGGGTTGAGGTAGAGGCTGAGGTAGAGGTAGATGTTGAGGTAGAAATTGAGGTGGCGGTATGTCCGTTTCCGTGTCCGGCCCCTCCTCCGCCTCCAGGAGCTTGAACAGTTGCTTGCCGTCGATCCCACGCATGATGGCCTTGACGTGCTCCCAGCAAAGTCTTTCAAAGCTGATGAAGAAGATCACTTTCCTCTTCCTGCTTATCTCAGCGCCCCCTTCCAGCTGGCACGCTAGGTCGGGGTATTCCTGGTGGAGCTTGATCTGAATCAGCCATGCCGCTCTGTGATCGATTTTCTTGAGAAATGCTCGGATGAACCTGGCTTCGCTCTTGGGACGCTTGAACCGGTAGGAGCTGCTGAAGTGGTTATACTGCTCCAGCATTTGGTGCGCTTTCGGTGGCGGCTGAGGTGTGAATGAGGCAGAGCTTGCTGGGTGGTTAGAGTTGCCCCATAAACTTTCTATTGAAGTCAAGAAGAGGTTAGCCTTCTGATAAGCACCATAGGTAGGTATAGTTCGTAGTAGACAAATCTTACCGCCCAACGCCGCAGAAGAGTTTGCCTCGGGAAGCTTCTCTAGGAAATGGAAGAACTCTTCCTGTCTGGGGACAAAGGAGTCGAGGAACTGGCGGATCCGGGCATGATCGTTCACAGTCTCTCGTAGCGCTTCTTTTTGGTCCATAGTAACTGAAGATATTCCGTCAAGTTTCCCATACATGGATTTCACCATGGGTTCTAATCGAGACAAGGTATCGTTTAGTTTGGTAACCTCTTCCCGCGATTCCGCCACTTTCGCGCAAAAGCCATCGAGGGCCTCTTCAACAACGCCGAGTCGTCCTTGGTGGCAACCAACCTGTCTGTTAAGTGTCTTGATATCTTTGCTGAACCTGGCGTTGTCGGCTGTCAGTTTGAAAAATTCATCGCTAACCTTTTCACGGAGGCTCTCGAGGCCATCTTTCGTATCTTGTGTTGTTGTCTTCGCTTCTGATAGCAGCAGACTGAAACTCGCCTTGTCCTTCCGAACCTCCTCTAGTTGCTTCTCTATGGCTTCGTTGCGAATGCCTTCCACAGCGTGGGCTTCTTGAAGCTTTTCAAATCTGGCCTCGATTAGACCCATCTGAGTTTTAGCATTGTGTATTTCCTTGACTATGAGCACTTGGAGAAGCCTCAATGCGTTCAGTTTATTTTCGGGACGTTGAAGCTTGCCCTCCAGTCTCGCGACCTTAGTGAGCCTTTCCGTTTCCTCTCTTGACCGCATCATAGTGAAATAGGATGAGGAGATGAGACAGAAGCAAAATAGGATGTGACAAAGTATAGGGGGTGTAGGGTATCAGTGTTCACGTCAACACCCCTGAGAAATTTGTAACGAATGCCGACTCAGTTGGTGATGATAAAGACTAACTGATGATTTAATCAACTACGTGATGAGCCTGATTTCCTTTTGTTTGATACGAAAGGGAGAAAGTTTGAGTTGCTACATTAGCTATGCTACATAATACTATGATAATAGAAGTTACGAGCTAGTGTACCAGTGGTGGTTGCCTACCTACCTATACATTCTAATACCCAAGGAAGGCACCTTCTAGATAGATACTGTTGCTACTCTCCAGATTTGATACTACCTAACCTTCCCTTCTCTTGGCCATGAATTCACGTGCAAGTACATTAATCAGTGCTCCCTTGAATATACATAAAATATGTATTGGAGATTCTATGGATGATGGGGTTGTAGGTTACCATGGCTTTTCTAGGTACCTACATATGTAGAGCCCTTCAAGAAAAGTGTTAGACTAAAAGACTCAAGCTTCAAGATTCACATCTGCAATAAAACAAAGCGTATAAGAATTCACAGTGTTGATTTAGGAAAGAATCTCGCGACCTAGTTACAAAGAGACGGGAAAGCAGCATGTAAATAACCTAGCCCGAGATCCCCATCGTCAGGCAATATGCATCACCAGTGAGAATTAGGTGCTAGATAATTAGCCGCAAATGCCCAGATGCTTACTTTTCCACTTATCCGGCCCATATCCGGCCAATGCACGGCCTTAGACGTGCCAACATAAAACATGATAGACGGGAGCATCATCAACCCGTCACTCGACTCTCCGGAATCCCTTAGTCGACCGTCAAGAGATAGACTCTTCTATCCCCTACCAAGACGGGACCACACATAAGTCATAGACTTAAGCACCCCAAAATGGGATGCTTAGATGAGATCCGCAACGTTCATCGGCATCTCCTCGATCTGAGTGCTGTAGAACTGCTCAATCTCACGCATCATGCGAACGTCATCAGCAGTAACAAAGTTGATGGCAACACCCTTTCGGCCGAATCGACCGCCACGACCGATGCGGTGGATGTAGTTCTCGCGGTTGGCGGGAAGGTCATAGTTGATGACCAGAGACACCTGCTGGACATCAATACCACGAGCCAAAAGATCAGTGGCAATTAGGACACGAGAAGATCCAGAGCGGAACTCCTTCATGATAAGGTCACGCTGGGACTGGTCCATATCACCGTGCATGGCCGAGACAGTGAAGTCACGAGCAGTTAGCTTGTCGGTGAGCCAGTCGACCTTTCGGCGCGTGTTGCAGAAGATGACAGCTTGAGTGATGGTGACTGTCTCGTAGAGATCAGAGAGTGTGTCAAGCTTCCACTCTTCTTTTTCGACAGCAATGTAGAATTGCTTGATACCCTCGAGGGTAAGTTCATCCTTCTTAACAAGAATGCGGACAGGCTCTCGCATAAACTTGGTGGTGACTTCGAGGACGTCCTGGGGCATGGTGGCGGAAAGGAGAACGACCTGGGTCGACTGGGGAAGGAGTTGGAAGATATCGTAGATTTGCTCAGTGAACCCGCGCTGGAGGAAAGTAGGTTATTAGCATCAATGGTGGCGAAAATAGGACAAAGGCCTTAATGGATTTTTAATACTTACAGAAAGCATCTCATCAGCCTCATCAAGAACAAACATCTTCATGCCATCCGTCTTTAAGAATCGTCGCTGGATCATGTCATGGACACGGCCAGGAGTACCGACGACAACCTGGGGGCCATCCTGGAGGGCCTTCATGTCATCACGGACACTGGTACCACCGATGCAGGCATGGCACTCGATACTCATGAAATCGCCAATGGCGACGACGACTTTCTGGATCTGTTGAGCCAACTCACGGGTAGGCGCAAGAATGAGTGCCTGGCACTGCTTAAGTGTAGGGTCGATCTTCTGTAGAACGGAGATAGAGAAAGTAGCGGTCTTGCCAGTACCGGATTGGGCCTGCGCGATTACATCGTGGCCTATGGTGGGGTTAATATTTTGCGCAGAAGATATATAGTGGAGAGGAAATATGAAAGTAAACATACCCTTAATAACTGGCATGATAGCACGCTGCTGGATAGCAGACGGACGCTCGAATCCATAAGCGTAAACACCTAAACAACATGATCGTCAGCCAGCGCTCAATTTTTAGTGGACTATTAGGGGGTAGGGGCCCTTACCTCGCAACAACTCAGGTCGCAGGTTCATTTCATCGAAAGAGTCGACAGTCTCGTCATAGTTAGACTCAATCTGAGACTGCTCGATATCCTCGAGCCCTTTATCAGCCATGATTGCGGTTGAAAGATCGATGCGACTTCAAGAATTCCAAGCACGGCTTAGAATTCAAGAAGACTGAAGGCGGCGATCTTGGTGGGGTATTGGGTTAATTGAGCGCACGACTATTGCACTGATGCAAGTCGTACTATGAAGAAATGAGGGAAGGAAAATGAATGGACGTAAAGACTCTCTAGAAGTAGAGAGTAATACGTTCTGGGGATTGTGTGATGTTGGTAGTTGTTGTAGATTAATCTTGATTCAATGATTGGGAAGAATCGAAGGTGGGAAGAAGGCGTCAGGTTGGATGAAGAGATAGAGAGTAGGTAAAAAAAAAATTTGAGTGGGGTAAAATTTCGGCGAAACCCTGATGCGGGGCATAAATACTTCAGGTAGGCACGACGTAACAAGTACAATTCATTGATGCATTGTGGATTATGTAGTACAGTGCCTTAGGAGTCAGGACTCAGGACTACCCTAGGTACCTAACCTACCTAGCTTGAACCTACATAGTACATAAAGTTACAGGTGATTGATGTAGGTTAGAGTACTACTAGGTAAGCTTACTGCGACTGCCTTTTTGCCTCTTGACTTTTTATTATCTTTTTTCCATTGGTATTTACTACTAGTAGTACAAAATTTTCATTTTCAAATCTGATTTGAATGATGGGCCTAACCTTACATATTTGACCCTCTTAACTTATGCTTAACCTTTGAAGGCCCACAGAAAAAACCCCCCCCAAGAAAAAAAAAGGAAGAAGGAAAAGAAAAAAAAAAAGAAAAAGAAGAAAAGCTACACGTCCAAAACTTACACTCAAGAGTCAATACACCATATCCAGTACCAAAAAAAACACAGCACTTGTGACTCATTAAAGCTAGTGTATTTGTGTGGTTTGTGTTTTTTGTGTATCGAAGCATTCCAGTCATTAACCACATGCGACGTGCCTGGTTAGTCATTTGGTCCAAACCATGTTGCTTACAGAGGACATCCCTAGTCGAGGCGGTGCTGGCGGGAGTATAGCTATGAACGGGGGCGAATTGCAGACATCAAGTATCAATATATCGTCTGATTTTATACCAGTTCATCCAATGGGCGTCAAACCACTTGGGAACCAATATTTCGCATCCGGTCCTATAGCTCGGCAGGCCCTTGGATCATTAAGTCGATTTCCAGATGAGATGATCCTACAGATACTTGAATACCTTGACACTTTGTCTTTGAAGGATGTTGGATTTACCTGCCGCTTTCTTTATGCGTTTTGCCATCTAGACGAACTATGGAAGACATTATTTCTTGAGTGAGTCATAAGCCATGAATCCTTGAATCCTGTATTGCTATTACTCACCCCCTTAGCGGTAAACGCTATCTCTCGTACTGCCTAGCTGATATGTCTATAAACCTCAAGGGCTAGCACACAACCAACCGCATGGAAAGGCTCGTGGAAAAGCACACATCTGAATGCCCCAATCGGCCTGCAAAGTAAAATTGACTGCAGTAATGTCTTCTCCGATGTTATACATCGACCATTTGCCTGCACTCATATTGCACTCGAGAAATACTCCTCCAACATCCCTGACGCGAACCAGATTACCCGATTCGAGAGGCTGAGCTATGATGAGTTCGCTCAGGGTTGGAGCGGCAAACCGTTCATACTGACTGATTATATTCAATGTTGGCCAGTATACAGTGACTGGAACATCCAGGTCCTCAAAGGAAGATACCCAAGTGTCGAGTTCCGAGCTGAAGCTGTGGATTGGCCATTTTCCGTTTATCACGAATACATGGTCAACAACGAGGATGAGAGTCCACTATACCTATTTGACAAGGGATTTGCCGAGAAGACCAACATCGAAGTCGGACATGGCAAAGATGCTGTATACTGGCCTCCAGAATGTTTTGGTCCGGACTTGTTTGAGCTGCTTGGTGCTGAAAGGCCTGCTCATCGTTGGCTCATTATAGGTCCTAAGCGTAGCGGCTCGACTTTTCACAAAGACCCAAACGCAACTAGCGCGTGGAATGCCGTACTGGAAGGATCGAAATACTGGATTATGTTTCCCCCAACAGCGCAGGTTCCCGGCGTTTATGTTTCAGAAGATAGTAGTGAAGTCACTAGCCCGCTAAGTATAGCAGAGTGGTTACTCGAGTTTCATGCGGAAGCACGTGCGTTGCCAAATTGCGTGGAGGGCGTTTGCAAAGCTGGCGAGATACTACACGTGCCGAGCGGCTGGTGGCATTTAGTAGTAAATCTTGAAGCTGGAATAGCGCTTACACAGAACTTTGTTCCGAAGTCACACCTAGCAGATGTACTTTCTTTCCTCGGAGACAAACCAGACCAGGTTACCGGCTTCAAAAAGAACATTGAAGACCCATACGAGCTCTTCGTGGGGCGGCTCAAGGCCGATTATTCACATCTTCTCGGCGAAGCTCTTGACGAGCTGGAACGAAAAAGTGTAACTAAAAAGCGAAAATGGGAAGAAGCTGTTGGTAACAAAGATGATGCTGGAAATGGTACGACTGGCTTTAGCTTCGGCTTTAGTTTCGGGGATGAGGATGAGGACGAGATACCTTAGGATGAACACTGAAGTGATGGCCAACAGAGGTTGAAATAAGATAGTTACTACATATAGAAGTCCGAGTTAAGAGAGATTTACATGCACATAGTAAGTACATGGTGCACATGTGTGTAATGATATGTACATATGTAATCTACTACGTGGGTACCTACTAACTACCTAGTATTACATGTTTACGTATGTAGGTATGTACACATGGACCGCATTCAGATCTGTTCGGCGGCTTCAATGTTGTTTCACTGTTGGACGACTGAGCTGCTCTGGTAAGAATTTAGGTGGCTTTAGGACGTGTCTATAATACATGTAGGTTTGATGGTGTTCTACCAACATTGAATATGTGGAATGAAGGTAACAGTAGGTCTAGTACGTACATACATAGTAGATCATCATCGCCTCATTCCCGACATCTGGAGTGTTAAGGAGCTTGGATCCACTCACGGGTAGGTATCAGGCGATAGCCCATCATTCTAGAACCGGCTCAAGGTTAACCAGACATCTGGATGTATGTACTACATTAGTAGGTACGTAAATACATTATAGTATTATTAGTATATTAGTATATTGGTATATCGTACCCAACATTGAATGTATTGATGGTAATAAGATTTGAACCAAGGCCAAATAAAACATGGATCTGGGCGTTTCGGTGTAGAAAGTGCGCAAGTCAGGATAAAGGAGGAACTCGACCATATGTGTGAGACATTCTGCGATACAGGAAATAAATGTAAGTTCCAAGTTGCGTACAATGGCCCTATATTGTGATGTATTCAATGTTACGAACATGGCGGTACCTACCTAATGTACATCAAATATGTAACTCGAACTATGTACAGCTAAAGGTCAAGTGGCACAGGGCATGGGGCGTTTGAGACAAAGCCCGGCCCCCGACTAAGTTTGTAACTTCGTAGTAACTATTAGTATTAGTACCTAGTACCTAGTTCAAAGGTTTAGAACTAAATGTCTGTGCTTACAACCACCTTCTTGTCAGTGTTGTCAGGCTGGCGGGTTGCCCTATTATTTGAGTTCCTTGAGGTTTAGTGTGGTATCTTATAGTGGAGTATATGGCTACTAGTTAAAGTACTTTCTGCCTACAAAAGCATAGATAATAGTACAAACGTCAACTGTGCGGTCGTTAATATTACCTAGCTGGTCCCCCCCACATGATCATTGCATCAACCTATCCAAACCATTCATCCTTGCTAGATTTCCACGTCTCTCTCCTGTGAAAGCCTCCCTGTTTCCGCGACACGCAAAAGTGCAACCTCTTCGAGGCAACCGGGCAGCACTGGGAGCTGAATCCCGACGAGGCTTTCTTTTTCTATTTCTGATTCATCATAACCACCTACATCTTACTTACTTACCTTACATACTTGTCTACAACCCACCCCAAAAAAACCAAGAACTATATATACACCAGACTACAACATTGAACGCTACCCAGTTCATACTACCCCCGTGCTACAGTACACGGATACACATTCGTTCTATCGGCTCGCTTTGTCAGGACATTTTTCTTTAGCAACACGAGTCTCGTCTCACGGCATCTGCATAATGCGAAGAGTCGCTTATTATCTGTGGCACCCATCCTTCAGTTAACATTTTGCTTTTCTCTCGCATATTTGCGCCTATCTTCCCTTCTTTCTCCAATCCCCTTGTACCTATATAGAACTGCGTATACCTAGTTAGGTCAGTACTTACTACTTTCTGATTATTTTATTTTACTTCTTTGGGACTTGGACCGCTTCTCTACCTATTTAGCTTACGCGCACCTCCTTGTCCATATATTATCTCATTATAATTTCCTATAGCCTTTTTTTTTTTTTTACCTCTAGCCCAAAGCTCTACTGACTTTTGTCATCCTATCAGAGTCGCGTAATCATGGTCTCCGACGAGACTTTTGAGATCTGTCTCCCTGTCCTGCAGGATGCGAACCTCGACGACGATGACAAGACGGACAAGCTCGAGGAGTTGCTGAAAAAAGAGACATCTCTAAGTGGCTCGACTTTAGAAAATGCAGTACTCGATGTTCTATGGCGATATCGCGAGGGTGGAGGCAGTGCGACCTCACCACCTCCCATACGACAAACTATCCTTCGTAGGCCGTCTCCTGCCTCATGGCGGGGTTCCTCGACCCCTTTATCGGGCTCTCCTCGACTAGGAGTGAGCCCTTTAGCCCCGCCAGGCTTTGTTCCGACGAATCTTAGCCGAACTAAATCCTCGACTGTATCGCCCTTCTCTTCTCCGCGCCCGTCACCGCGCCTCGCGTTCGCCGCTCCTGTAATACCACATAGCCCGAACTTGAATGCCTACGAGTTTGCCAATGACACAAGCCCCTCCCAAGAGATATTTGGTGATCTTCAGACCGAAAACGTTGACTGGCTCGTGAGTGATGATGCACTCAGCATTTCCTCTTCCGTGGGTACATCCAGCGGCCTCAATGCCGCTGCTCCTGAATACGTTTCTGCTCAGCAGACCGACATGAATCCATTTGATATGTTGCGCTTAATCCTTGGGCAGTCTAAGACCGATGAAGAAATAGAGACTGCCCTTACTATGCACGGCTACGATCTTAGTGCCACCATTGCCTCTATTATGGAATCTCAGGGACCAGAATCCACAAACGCCTCTGGACTTACGCCTGAATCTAAGAGTGTACTGATCGGCAAGTCTATGACACCGGATGGGAGACCTACAACGCCCTCGACTCAGCAGAAGGCTGGCATCATCTGCAAATTCTATCTGTCTACTGGACAATGTTTGCGAGCAGATTGTCGGTTCAGCCATGATCTTAGTAATCATATCTGCAAGTAGGTTTCACATATTATCCATCTGGTTTTTATGCATGCTGATTTATATAATTCTAGATATTGGGTTATGGGGAACTGTTTGGCTGGTGATACTTGTATCTTTTCGCACGATCCAGCTCACCTTATGAACCGGCTCAACGTGGACGGCAGTAGTACCCCGCCGTTAAAAAGCCAAAACCTGCAGGTCCAAGACTTCAGCTCGTTCCCAGCTCTTCGGCCCACCACCCCAGAACTGAATCCTTTTGCTGCTAGTTTTAGTTATCCACCTCCTGGAGTGACCCCACCACCTGGGCTGAAGCCTCTCCATGCGTATGCGGGTAGTGATGGATCTCACTCACGCTCACGACCTGGAAGTCGGCATCAACCAAAGGAAGGCATGAGTGCGCCGTCGATAGATGACAACGACGCCTTCCCTTCTCTTGGATCTGCCTCTGCTAAGCCTAGCAAGAAGCATCATGGTAAGCGTGGTGGACATGGTCATGGCCACAAAGAAAACTTTCCACCAAGCTCTCTAGCCGATATCGTGAAGATGTCACCTTCTCCTGGACCTGGATCCGGACCTAACCGGCCAGAATCGAAGAAGCTTGGCCGTAATGGAAGTGCTACCAATGTGAAGAATGGGGAGAATAGCGCTGCAGCCCAGGCTATTCCTACACCAAAGCACATCCCATGGCTGGAGACCGGGGATAGGGCTAACAAAGCCTATTTGAAGTCTCGCCAGGAGGCCATCAAGCACGGTGGCCTCCGCAACAAGTTCCTTCAAAGGTTTGCCAATCTGAAGCATTCTTCGTGCAGGGTTATAGAGCTGATCTTGTTTATAGCGCGGCCCAAGCATGGAACCGTAACGATGCCCGTGCGGCCAAAGCCCTTAGCCTTCGTGGCCAGAGTGAAAATGATCTCATGCGTAAAGCACATCGTGAGGCAGCGCGCGAATTATATGAGGAAAGAAATAAGCAGCCCTCGCAAAACTCGGAGATCTATGTGGATCTACACGGCCTGCACCCAGACGAAGCTGTCGAATATCTAGAGAGGGTGCTCTTGGACAACAGCAAAGAAATCAGGCCGGTGTATGCCATCACTGGAACTGGTCATCACAGTAAGAATGGGAAAGACAAGGTGGGTAAGGCCATTAGAAACTTTCTCAACGAGTGGAGATACGCCTATCGTGAGTTCTCAGTGCCTGGAGACCGAAACAACATGGGTGGTATCCTCGGGATTGATGCGAGAAGCTGGGACAAGTCACTGGCAAGGGATGATGCGAATAAAGAAGAGTCCAAGGAAGAGGTGGACATTCTTAGCCAGGGAGTTGAGATCGGCGACGGGAAGGTTAGGCTCCTCGTTCGAGATCCTCCTAAAGGACCAAGTGGTAGCAGGGGCCGGTGACTAGTAGAAGATAATTCGATAAATAAAGCAATTTGAAATATTGTTTTCAAACCAACTCGTTCAATTTTTTTATATTAGTATTTGCTATGGTATCGAATTATATGCTCAGCTAGATATACTAGGTAGGTACCTACCTACCATGTAATTGAGGTACATATATTCCTAGGCAATGTACATGGTAATTGAGGCTTTAGGGGTTTATCATACACGGGCCGATGCGGACAGCCCTGGAGGTTTACTACCTATCATGGCCTCTCGGCATTTACCGGAGGTATATTATGATGTAATCCATGTGCATGTTAGTACTACTAGTATGATGCTACGACACTACATCATGGATGTACTATGTATGTACAGGTACGAAGATCTATGGCGTCTCAGATGTATCCCGGATCATGTCTATTCTGTTTCATGCACCTCAGGTCTGTATGCTTTGAACTTGATATCACATATGTATCGAGTACACATACAATCTGAAGATACATATTATGTACATTGTATAAAACATCTCTTTTCTTGCTGTGCCTGCTCATTCCCACGGTGGCGGTGTCTCATGCTAATACAGCTTACGTACATATTTGTGTAAGTACTAGTCGGTAGATATGTACTATTTAGGTACGTAGGATTATAGTATCATTATACCCAAGTAAGCCCAATGCATGGCCCTCTTCCCATTGGCTCTCCCATTTATAGCTCTCAGCCGCTTCAAATCTTACCAAAGGTTAATCTGTGGACACTTGCCATGTAGTTACATACGCTAGTACATTAGTTAGCCTGCATTACCATGATTACCTACATATTACATATTACATATTCGGATTATACGAAGTACAACTTACATACATACAACTTTATCCCTAATAATAACTCCTGGAAAGGAAAGCTGAATAAACAATCTACATCTCTCAAACTCCTTATTCCAAGTTTCAGGGCAGATAGTGTATAATCCCTTCGTGACGGGATATTCTATCATTGTCTTGTCTTGTCTTGTCTTGCTTGTCTTGTGTTCTTCATGGTCAGAGAGTGGTTGACGGAAGAATTAAAGAATTGTCAAGTATTATACCTTTGATTCTGATTATTGCTGCTGAATAACTACACTACGTAATATCTATCCTATCCTTGCTTACTGATACCAACTTGTCAACCCGTGTCTATGACCTATTGGCTTTGACGACCTTCTCGATACGACCGATATCTATCGAGCAACAAGCTCAAGCTTAAGCTCCAGGGCCTCTCACCCCTAGGCGTCCAAGAATGCCACCCGATCCCGAATCACGCGAACCGATGCTCTCAACCTCGCCATCTCACTCCCCCTTACCGTCCCCTTTACCGTCTCCCGGTCCGCCTTCCCCACAAACAGACGTCCCAATCCCCCCATGGATACGTCCGAACCAACAACACCACTCTACACCTGGGGCTAATGCTCGACGGCTCTCGACGCCGTACTCGCGGTCCGCCGCCAACGATGACTCGGAAGCGCCCTTCGGCCGACGTGTGATGCGCGCGAGCATCTCCGTCATGAACAAGATGATCAAGCTCTTCTACAGCCTCTCGCCGCTGCAGCGCGCCCTCGCCATCATTGCCATCATCGTCTTCCACACCTTACTCATCCTCTTCCTCGTGTACTCGCACCGCATCTTCGCCGCCTTCGCCCCCGTTGCGATCGGCTGGCGCGCCCTCCCCGGCGGCTGGCTCATCGTCTTCTTCCTCACCTGCGCCTGCGCCTTCCCGCCCATGGTCGGCTATAGTACTTGCATCACCCTCGCCGGGTTTGTGTATGGCTTCCCAGGCGGCTGGCCCATCGTCGCCGCTGCCACCGTGTTTGGGTCCACGGCCTCCTTCCTCGCCAGTCGTACCATCTTCAGTCGGTACGTTCACGCCCTCGTGGGCGGGGACAAGCGCTTCGTCGCTCTAGGGCAGGTGCTGCGACGGGACGGCCTGCTCGTCCTCGCCGCCATCCGCTTCTGCCCCTTGCCCTTCAGCCTGAGCAACGGCTTCCTAGCCACGATCCCCAGCATCACGCCGGTGCGCTTCGCTCTTGCCACCGCCATGGCCACCCCCAAGCTGCTCGTGCACGTCTTCATCGGCAGCCGCCTAGCGCTGCTCGCCGAAAATGGCGACGAGATGAGCGCCGGCGACCGCGCCATCAACTACCTGAGCATGTTCGTCGGCTCCCTCGTCGGCCTTGCCCTGAGCCTGCTCATCTACCAGCGGACGATGGCGCGCGCGACGGAGCTCTCGCGCGAGGAGGTGGCCGAGAACGGCATCCCGATCGATGGTGGTGATGATGGTAGCGGTGGGCTGGACTACGCGGATCTCGAGGGTGGCATGATGCATCGATTGAGGCCCGGCGAGGCCGACGAGGCCGCGCTCATGAACGACGACGACATCTCCCTCTGGGAGACGGACGGCATTGAGCTCGGGTATAGGGACGAGGAGGATACGCCGACAAGTACTACTGCAGCAACAAACGGTGGTAGGATGGAGAATGGGAATGGGGGGCACGCTAAGGGGAGAGCATAGATTGAATGAGAATGGAAATTTTATTCTTTCTTCCTTTTCTTTTTTCTGCTTCTACTTTTCTTCTCTTCTCTTCTCTTCTCTTTCTTTCCCTAATCCCCCATCATCGCTTTCACGAAATTTACTCATTTATTGCTTTTATTGATATTACAAACTTATCTTCAAGGGGAGTATTCACGGCACATCGAATCAGTTCAGTGGGGAGGGGTCAGTTCAGGCGTTTCAGCGAGCAAGCAAAAGAGAGAGGCGGAATAAAGAATAGCTGGAGTTACTTGGTTTTTTTTTTTTTTTTTTTTTTTTTTTTGCTTTGCTTTGCTTTGCTTTGCATCATTTTGGGAAATCAGGAGGTTTTTTTTGGGATCGGGATTGGGGTTTGGAAGGGGGAATGGAGGGACGGTAAGGAAAGGGGGGGTTGGTGGTATGGTATGGTACGGTATGGATGGGATGGGTGGGTTAGACAGGCACAGGCAAATTCATGGAACAGCAAACTATTTTAGACAAAGCCGGCACGAAAACAACATTAACAGTAACATATAGATGGGAACCGAAATGCGGACAAGCAGACACGCAGACACGCAGACAACCACGAGCAATCTTGACATGAAGAACAGAACAGAAGAAGAAGAATGGAATCGAAGAAATAGGTAGTGATCAATGCAATGCAATTCCAGTCCAATTTTCTTTTCCTTACTATGTAGGTAGGTATGGAAGGGTATCTTCTCGTCTTGCTCCCTCAACGCCTATGCCAATGCAATCTATCGTAACGTAACATAACGAAACGTAACGACGTAAAATCAATACTTGCTTGTAAACCCATTCCTCGAATTTGTCATGCTAACGGTCATAAAAAAACAAAACTCTACTCGTAATTTCGTAATATGCACCCCAATGATGCTACCTACAAGAAGGGGGCCTGGAACAGAGGCCATCCATGCCAGTATTCAAGGAGGCCGTTACTGCTGTCCTTGGAAGCTCTGCATGAATCGGATCGCATCCTCGATGGGATAACCGATGAAGACAGGGCCAGTGAAGAGCATCTGTGGCTTACTGTCTTGCTTACGTTGTTCCAGTCCAGCAGCGCTGATAAAAGTAGGCTGCTGCGGGTTGCTTGCAATACGAGGTGGCTCCAATGCGGGAATAGAATGCTGGCTGCTCAGTGCAGCATCAACAAGTCTCGTAGAACTCTTGTCATCCCGCTTCAGAGGACTCGAGTCGTTCATCATTTGGGTTAGCTTACTATGGTCGAAGGGACATTTCCCTGTCGTGGCCGGCGGTGTCACTTGCGGTGATAGCGATGAGGGAATACGCACAGGTGCTGGTGGAGGGGACTCGGGCCTAACAGAACTACCACCGCTAAGCGGTGTATCGTAGATTGGCACAGAGATACCCCACGGACGACTCGGAGACTCGCCGACTCTGACTTCCTTGAAAGGTCGGTCGAAGTGGCACTGCCTCTCCGGGTCTTCTTCGCCATGATCTAAAGCGGTATGATCCGGATCGTCTGAGGCCTCTGCACTAACCGTTTGGGCCCAGGTCTCGACTCGAGCGTTCGATGACTTTTCCACCTCACTTTGAGGTCGCGTGTCTTGCTCAGGCAGCATCGGCTGATGAATCCGACTAAGGCCCTCGACCATGTTGGCAAGATTGCCGTACTTGGCATCTAGCTTCTTGATATGCTCTTCGTTCTTCTGATACCTCCGTACACAAACCTCGTGACTTCTGGGGAGCTCATGCTTATGTGTCTCTAGATAATGAGCGATCTCTTCTGGAGAGTGCTGGTTCATGTAGCGAATGGGACACTTAGAGGCTGCAGGCTGCGAGTTGGATTCATCCTGCAGGGCCGCACAGATAGGATCTTGAGAATCGTGCGGTGTAGGCTCCGGGGCGTCATGATTTGTATCGTCTGGCTTCTCCCCAGCGGTAGGCTGGGAGAAGGGACAGTCTAGGCTCCCCTTCTTGCCTGCGACGGTAAAGTCCTTTTCAAGAATTGTGGAGAGGGTAGTCATGGTAGTAGGAGGGAGGCTGTCTCGACTAGATCGACTGCTCTTGCTAGTAGCTGTCAGAGAGGAGGCGACACGTCTACCCTCACGAATGATGACGGCAATCTGATGTTTCGAATCTGACGCCCTTCTCCTAGGTAATGGGACGAAGCTTGTATTTGCGAGGGACGGATTGTGCAATTCGGGAGGAATTTGCAAGTTTAATAAAGTCTCCGAGATCTCAGGTGCCGCTGGAGCATGTTTATCGGCCAGATACTGGAACTTTTAGGATTGACAAATGTTAGCCGAGCGCAACTTGAGGGAGAGAAAAGATTGATGGTCTGTTAATAGACGCAAAGAAATTTCCACAATATGTATCAGGATTCATTGGTATAATTATCGGTCAACACTACCGCGAGGGTAGCTCTTGATCTAGAGCTAATGGTATCATCATATAAAGGTGGGAAACATTGAGGTATTAAGGTAAGAAGGATTGCAAAGTGAGAATGGAGGCGTCATCTTACCTGTTCATGAGCATATCGTAGTTTGTGCTCCAAGACTGTCTGTCTGTCGCTCAAGTTTTGGACTTCATCTGCTAAGGCATTAAATGATTCGATTAAAGTCTGAGTAAGGGTTTGAAGGTTTTGATTATTCATCCCAACTGTAAAAATTTGTTGTTATTGTATTTTTGTGTATTTTTTGTGTAGAAATGTTATGTTGAAAGAAATGAATAAGGTGTGGTTGGTGTGGATGGTGTGGATGGTGTGGATGGTGTGGATACAGAAAGCAGAGGCGGCTGAAATAGGAAGAAAAATTGCAAGGCAACTGCAAGGTTTGAAGTGTCCGAGGTTCCAACGATCCAAGGGATGGGAATATTCCGACAGGGCCGAGATCTCTAACCTACTAGGTTAGGTAGTTCTTCTCCGAAGCAGTGGTACACCTCTTTTGCTGCATATTAATACTTTAAAGGGCTTAAAATGCTTTAAACGGGACAGTCTCCGTAATCGCAAATCGCAAGTTGTAGCTGCCCAAGATATGAGTATGTACATATGTAGGTAGGTAGGTACGCATCATCTCGGCATCTCTGAATGGAGGAATGGAGGAATGCACCTTCTACAATGTAGTTACATACACACATGAGTACCTTCTCCAGTCCTGTAGGTAGTTCTTTCTTGCTCACGCGATAAGTTTTCAACCTTATTTAGCGAAATCCAATAAAATCCCAACTCGCAATCTTCTCTCCAATGTCCAACTAAACATTGAAGCAATTTTACTGCATCATCATCCCATCTTCACCAGAGTACATTTAGAGTCGACGGTATCACTCCATATAAATCGTACAAGTATGGCCAAAGTCGTCGCTCGTCTTCTTTCCGAGAGCAAGCCATATCTGGTCCCAGGCAAAATACTGGTGAAAGAGTTCTGGTTCGAAGTCCCATTGGACCATTCAAAACCAGATTCCAACCCAATCAAACTTTTCGCCAGGAGTGCTACCAAATATGAAAAGCCTATTGTCGAACCAGCCTCAGACGTGAATGTGCAGAAGCCTTACTTTTTATTCCTTCAGGGTGGCCCTGGGCTGCCAACACCTACACCACAGAGCTCCCCCTTGTCAAATTATATGCTTGACAGAGGCTACGAGTTGCTCTTTTTGGACCAGCGAGGTACCGGTCTGAGCAGCACCATTTCTGACAGTACACTTGCGCTCATAGGTGATGCCCAAAAGCAAGCCGACTATCTCAAATTCTTTAGAGCAGACACAATTGTCAAAGACAGCGAAGCTGTTCGCCTTCGTCTGACTGAAGACTACCCAGAAAGGAAGAAAAAATGGTCTACCTGGGGCCAATCCTTTGGCGGCATGACCACCCTCACCTATCTCTCTTTTGCGCCTGAAGGCCTTCGAGAATGCTTCATTACCGGAGGGCTTTCTCCATTGGACAAAGGTCCTGAAGAAGTATACCAGGCCACTTATCGGAGATGTATGGAGCGGAACGTTGCTTATTACAAAAAGTTTCCAGGCGACATTGACAGTGTTAAAATGATTGCCACGAAAATCCGTGAGCTCGGTGGCGAAAAGGGGATACCACTACCTACCGGTGGTTTCTTGACCGTCCAACGGCTGATGACTGTCGGCTTGAACTTTGGCGCTCATGGAGGCATTGACAGAGTTCATAACTACATCGTGAGAATGAAAGCAGATCTTGACCAGTTCGGCATCTTCACCCGCGCTACTATGAATGAATTAGAACAAGACAACGCGTGGGATATTGCTCCTATTTACACCCTACTGCATGAACCATGTTGGTGCTTTGGGCCAGGGGTAGCAGGAAACTGGGCAGCCGAACGAATTGGAAAGGAAATGGAGGAGTATCAATGGCTCCACAAGGACTGGGCTGGACCTGCGAGCCTAGGCGAGAAGCCCTTATTCTTTTCCGGCGAGATGACTTACCCCTTTCTCTTGGAGACGTGTGGTGGGCTCATCAACCTCAAGGAGACTGCTCATATTCTTGCCAAGTATGATCAATGGGCTCCCCTATATGACATTGAGCAATTGGCGAAGAACGAGGTCCCCGTTTACGCGGCATGCTACAACGACATGTATGTCGACCCCGATCTGGCTCGGGTCACGGCCTCCAGAATCAAGGGTATCAAGGTATTCGAGACCAATGTCTTGTACCACAATGCTGTCCGTTCGAACCCAGGCGACGTAATCCCGCAGCTGCTGAAACTGCGTGACGACACCATCGACTAGAGCGATTCATGACACGAGAACAAGGAACACGGCACGCTGTATACCACAGAATAGCAAAATGATATCTTTATTAGGTAGAAAATGGAACAGAAGCAATTTGTTGTTGGATATGAAACGCAATGCCGCAAAGCTAGTACTACCTCGACACGAGCCAAGATCTTAATTATGATATCCATCCAGCCGTTACCAGCATACATGTGCAAGCCTATCTAGGTACCCACTCATCGTGTACCTAAATATAAATAAGCCCATTACTCCCTTACGGTATATCGTATCTCGACAACCCCTTCCCTCCTTCACCTTCCTCGCCCCTCTACGTAGACCCTGGAGCGCTAAAAAGAAATCTCGTCACATGCCATTATAATAATCACCTCGCGGAATCCTCCGTCCCGCCATCAAAGCGCGGGGATTTATACCAGGGAAAGTGGGGCGAGGCCCAACAGCGAAAAGGGGCCTCTCCATAGCCGGCAACTCAGTGTGCTCGTCCTCGCGACGCACAAGCGTCTCCTTGAACATAAGCGCCGAGACCTCGGGGTGGGCGTGGAAGAAATCGGAAGTGTCCTCGGGGCTGCGGCGCCAGAGATGCGGGTTCAGGAAGCCGACGCGGGCGAAGACCATGCGCAGCAGGGCGTCGGACTCGGGCAGGCCCTGGTACAGCTTGTGGCAGAGGCGCAGGACCTCGATCTGGGCGGCGTCGGCGCCAGCGGTCTCGAGCATGTCGATGCAGACGCGGGCGATGGCGCGCTTGAAGTCGTCGAGGAGGAACTTGTTGGCGCAGATGTAGACGTCGAGGTTGAACTCGTAGGTCAAGAGCCAGGTGCGCAGGTCTTGGCCGTGGATGCGGTTTTCGTGGTTGATGCCGCTGTTGCGGTCGAGCCCGGTGCCAGCGGCGGGAGGGGGGGGAGTGGGTGGGCGGTGCCGGTTATGCCTGTGTCGCCGGTGGCGCGGGCGCGGGGGCTCGGCGTTGAAGACGACGACGCCGGGGGGCACGTGCACGGGCATGGGGCCCGGGTGAGGCGGGAAGCGCGGGGCGCCGCAGTTCCAGCAGGGGGGCCCGCCGCGCATCAGGCACTGCCGGCACGCGCACCCCGGTCGGTGCGTGCCCGGGTGCTTCCGCCGCTCCCGCTCCCGGTGCCGGTCCTCGCGCCTGCGCCGCCGGTCGCGCTGCCGCTGGCTCCGGGCCGTGGTCGAGTCGCTGATGAGGGAGCTCACGCTCGAGTCGGAGTCGGAGGCGGCGTTTTGCTCTTCTTCTCGCTGTTGCTGTTGTCGGGTTTTTATTTTGTCGTCGGCGACTATATATTTAGGTTAGGTAAGTCTAAGGGTAGGGGGGGGAAACAAGAAGGGAATAAATATTTTTTTTTTGGAAGGGGTCGTACGTACCAAGCACAGTCGCCGCCGCTCTGATGGGCACGTATTTATTCTCGTAGAGGAAGGCCACGACGAAGTGGAATATCGCCGGGTCCTCCTCCGGCAGGTCGATGGCCTGGGCCTCCGACTCCATGAACTCGCCGCATAGCGCTTTCCGGAAGAAGTCTGCTTTTATGAGGACGCTCTTGTGGACCTGGGTAGAGATGAGAATGGTCAGAGGGGCTGCTCTTTGTTCTGGCAAGGTAGGGGTGGGTTGGCTTGACTCACGTAAAATGTCTGACGGTCCGGTGCTGTGCCAACGCGGAGAGGTATGATTGCGGAGTTGTATCTCCTATAGTATATTGAAATTTAGCTACGTTGGCTCTAGCTTTGAGGAGTGGGCGAGAAGGATTAGGTAGTTGTAGATCTCTGTGTGAAATATGAAGTTTTGGCCATGGGTAGACAGGTAGGAAGGCCAACTAACGCGTTCTACACTTGAAGTTCGCTCGTGGTGGAACGCGCTCAACGTTATCTCTTCACAATGACCGGGTTGAAGGTCGTCCGTTGATAAGGAACTTCACGAAGGACGGGGGTTTCAATCCGAGTTTATCCAAGACTTACCCATCGGCCGATGACAACCATAAATCCTCCTTCGGGTCTACCGCTTCCTCGCGATCCCTCTCGAAGTGTAAACTGTCTAGTACGACTACGCCCGGGGGGTTGATAGAGGGAGCTCGCATAGCATCGCCAAGCGTCATTAGCCTCGAGTTCAATCTGCTAGATCCCTCGCCGGCACTCTCCATACGCTCCATGCTTTTTTTTTTATCTTTTTTTTTTCGTTTGTTTGAGACACTTGCGATGCGATCGGCTTTTCACTAGTCGTGGGAGGGAAACATAGGTATGGTATGTAGCGCCGGGGTAGGAGTTTGGTTTTTGGTCAATTTTGATGTCGTAAAACAGTATACCAAGTCAGAACACCGTCTATCGGAGACATGGGACGGAAAGTAAATGAATTCGTTTAAATTAAAGTAGGCAAGTACCCAGGTAGCTGGTCAGTGTAGATATGTAGTAAGTAGGTAGCCAGTAGCCAGCAGCCAGTAGCCAGTAGCCAGCCACTTTTGTGTTCCGCTCTAGGCATGCGAATCGGGTATTACCGATACTTAGGCAACTAGGCGCAGGAGGGCCTGGAACTGTAACGAAAGTAAAAGTATCACACTTCCATCCCACAGCCCCAGCCGTCTCTGGAAACCGGGGAGCAATATCCCACGAGATTTAATGCCATTACCCGCCAGATTTTCTTTTGAAAAAGGCAGGATTGGGTGGGTGGTGGTTGTTCATCCAAGAACAGGGTCAGCCTGCAGCAGTTTGCTGGTGATGGCATGGTTACCCTATCCTCTGAGTGGCCGAATCCAACCAAGGCAACCAACCAACATGGTGGGTTTAAGTAGGCTTGGTTCAATCCTGCAGGTCGCGGCATCGAAGATCTTGGGGAGGGTGCTGTGCTGCATGAGTCACTAGAAAAGCCCCAGAAAGCCGAGAAAGTCGTCCCCAATCTTTTTGTCTCAGGAGGTAGCGCCACAAACGAGGTAGAATGATAGTACATATGTATGTAGGTATGTAGCGCTATGATTATTTCCAGACCCGATTCGGTTGTCGGTTGTTCAATAGCGCACTCAACATCTTCCATTCAAGAAAGGTGAGGTTGCATCCTGCACCACAAAGCACTACCCAAAGGGCCAAGTAGGGCCAGTACGTGCAGGCGACGGGAAAAGGATGTAAGGGATAGTAAATTTGGGGTAGGACAGCGGGAACCACCTATTCTTCTTCGTAGACCTGTTGCATCATCTCCAATTCTACACCACTGTTAGCTGCCGTACTGCAATGAGGCGGGGTTGGGGTCATGTCACCCATGGATGTCATGTGTTATGTGTTGTAGTACGTACGCCAAAGTCGGTTCGCAGATTCTGTGATCACTGTTGCTTTGACTAGAAGCTTTTCTTCATATTTCTGCTCATCCTTCGATTTGAGCCTCAATTTGTTTGGTTGTGCCTTTTGATTCACTTTAGGTTAGTTTGATTTTTATTTCTTACCATACCTAGTATACTACTAGTAGTATACCTCCCTTTTCTTTCTTTTCTTTTCACTTCATACATCAAAAGGGAATTGAAAGGGAAGAGGAAAGGGGGGGGGGATGAATGCTGTCCACCAACATACCTGTATAAGAATCGGTACAAGTTCCTTCGGCTCCGCATTCGCAATTGCCGCCACCGTTTTGAATCCATTTTCGTAGAAAACTCTTGCGGTCCGACTTTTGACGAATGCAATCTTTGATAGCGCCAATAAATCTGACTTGGCTCCCGCGTTTAATCTATCCGAATAGTGATCAAGTATGGCTGCCATGGCCCTGGGTTTAACGGTTAGTGCCACCAGGTACTATATGTAAATTATTATAGATTTCAATATCGAACTTACCCCCAACTCATATGCTCGCAGAATTTAATCACTGCGCCAGGTTAGTCATGACACATACAAAGACTAGGTAAGCAGGTAATCGATGGCTTCAAGATTCACTTACTTCCAGCAGCAAACCCCTGGCAGGTTTGCGCAAGGGTTTGAACAGCACCCCGTGGGACATCGTACTTTTGAGAGACCACATGAATTGGTTTCTCGTTGCAGAGATCCCTCAGTTGAAGGGCAAGGTAGAATCTACGGTAGATCCGAGCCACCTCCTTTTCCTCAGCGGTCCTTTCTCTGAGTACTCCACCTTGTGCCCTATATCGAGTCAGTTTCCGACTATTTGCAGTGATACGTGATCCTTACATTTTGTTGACTTGTGTCGGTTTTAGGCCGAGGAAGGTCATAACGCGGAGCCCACTCTCATCGAGGCGATCCATCTCTGATCTGAAAACCTGCCAATTAACAGTGACAGACATTTCATGCACGGGTGTGAAGGTGTAGAGAATATCTGTGGCAACATTGTAAGTGTTCTGTCTAAATGTTTGAAAGGAAAGAGATATCAGGTAGGGACGACGTTCGGCATATTTCCTCTTACTAGAGCAATGCGAAACAAGGTAGACTCGGTGACTTACGCATTTCTCCATCCATCACAAAGGCTCGTAGTGCTCGCTGCATCTCACGGTGGATGAACGAGCCGTCCTCCGGTTCTAGCGACGAAGAAACAACTGCCCTGCCGAGCTGCGTCGCAGAATATGAACCAGACTCGTCACACTGGATGAAACCCATCTTGGTTAAATCCAGTAGGCTGGATTCAACATGAGATTCTATGATGTCAGGGGTCGTGGAGTGGTTCAGCATAGTCTTATGCATATAATCATCCACGGTATCTCTCGAGTTCGCCAGTCTGATGGCGATGACTTCCAGCAGTGCTCGTTGTATGCGATGCTTGTCCGTTGTTAGACCACTTGAGATTTGGGGCAATTCGGCAGCCATGAGGTCAATAACATCTTTCAGGTCATCTTTACGACAACACAAGTAGGTTTCGCCGACTTCGTCCTTCCCCTTTCTTCCCGCGCGGCCGCGCATTTGACGGAGCATGGATGGGCCGACCAAGTCTCGGCCCATGCGCGCATTATGAAGAATGACTCTCCTGGCTGGAAGATTTATACCCGCAGCGAGACTACACGTCGCCACAAGTATCTTCAAGACACCGCCATCGTAGGCATTGGCGATCAAGTCGCGCTCTTCTGTTGTCAAGCCTGCGTGATGGAACGCAACGCCGGTTGGAATTGTGTCTGCAAAAGTTGGGTCGAGGCCTGTACTGAGACTACGGAGATCTGCCAGGAGATCTAGCCTTTTCTCGATTATAGCAGGTTCAATATATTGTGTATCATATAATGTGCGGCTAATAAGTCGCGCATCGGATTCGCAACCATCTATATAACACGTCAGCATTCATAGGTCTAGATTACTAGATTATAAATATCAAGCTTCCATAATTCTATCCAGGAGGATAATGAGTCGTAAAATCCATTAGTAAAATATTTTGTTACGTACTATGTATGTGTTAGCCTTCGTGTAATTATGAAAAGTGAGTACCAAAAATGGCAATTTGCCGAAGATCATGGCCTCACAACCCTAGGAAGTATGTACTGACCAGCGACTGTTACAAAATACGAGAGCGCCATAGCCCGACTTCGCCGTCTCCACCGCCAACGCAACCACGGCATTTAGCACCGGATCTTTAAATTCCTTGTGTAGGCTTGGCCGAATTTCTCTAACAGGAGGATTCTGAGATTGACTTGGTCCAGAATCTGGTGCAAGCTGACTGGCTGCCTTGAGGAGACCACTTGTCGATGACGCTGGATAGATTTTGCCTTCGTGAACGAGGTACTCTTCGATAGGTACCGGTCGATAAAATGTGCTATAGATATGGGCATCTAACCAACGTGATAATAGATCGATATTCTGAAATGGTAAGCCTGTGATAGTTTATTTTGGATTACGATTGCCTACAGAGAGGGTTGCACTCATGCCAATAATCTGTAATCCATTCTCTAGACTCAGAAGCTTCGTAGCAATAAGCTCCATCAGGTAGCCACGGTGGTCGTCCTCTATCATGTGGAGCTCATCGAGCACGACAGCCCTCAAATTGGTGATGGTGCAATCATCAATGGCAGTATTTATGAGTGTATTTGCCTATATGCCTATTAGATCCTTCCTATGTTGGAGAGAGGTCGTGAAAAACAGACCTTCTCGAACGTGCAAACCCCGATATCAAAGTCCGCCCACGTCGCCCTGACCTTCCCGCCGCCGAAAAAGCCAACAACCCGGATGGCATCTTTATCGGGCCGCCTTTGCCAATGCGAATTTTCTTCCCTTTCGGGGGTTTTCTCGTCAGAAGACCCGCGCTTAATATCCTGGACAACGTTCCGTAGCCATCGAACCTTCTCTTGGACCAGTGCTACATAGGGCAGTATCAGCAAGGCTTTGGCATTGCTATCTTCCAAAACTCTTTTCAGCATCAGAATGTCAGCGACGAGGGATTTTCCGCCCCCGGTTGGGGCCGTGTAGACTAAGTTTTTGGACCCGGCCAAGAGACCCGGCCCCAGCAGGCATTGCTTTTGCCAAGGATAAATATACTTTATGCCGAGAGCTTCCAAATTATTTACTAATGATGGAGGCAGGCCATACCTCGGGAAGGCTAGGGAGAGTGACCGATCGATGGTTGATGTAGGCGTAGCAGAAATTATTCGACGCTGAGAATACTCGGATAGTTGCCCAGCAGTATCAGGGTCTATCGTCTTGATTTCGCTAGCAGCGAGTCCAGGAACTTGCTTGCCCGTAGCCGATACCCTCTCAAATTGAAGCGGCCTTTCGACTGCAACGCCTTTGGTTACAGAGACATGTTGCTCAGTCTTAGGAACATTAGTATATGATCGTTTAGTGCCCGCAAGGGTGGTCGTATGGAAAGTGTTTTGCTGTAAAGTGGTCGAATCAAGAGTTGTTTTATGGAAGATTCCTCGTTGCTGCTCCATGATGTACTGATTAGGTACCTATGTCGGTACCTTACATATGTCCTTTGAGGTATGTAAGCAAGACGGGAAGCCTACTGATTCGATTGGGGCTGTCAAATTACATGGATCATTATTAGTAATTTTTAGCCCGGATTAAGCCAGAAAAAAAGCAAAGCTCAAAAATTAGTTCAAGTTGCTTATGATTTTGCCTTACAAGATAGAAGTGAAGGCGCGGAATTGGAATGGTGACCAGCACGAAAGTAGCACGAAATCACGTGGATATGGAAAGTTCTATTAATGCCCTTGCATACATGTATGTACGCCAAGCTAAGTGGGGCTTCCCACCTGTTTACGACGGGTTTATGTATCTATGTAACTACATGGTAACAGTACCCAGGTACGAAGGCTGGGACCCTCCCGAAGCATCGGGAGAGGCGTCTGAGCTCCGAAAGACCCGCCTACATGACATAATCAGGTACGGAAAGCCCTGGAGGTCACGGGGGGCTACGGGTACCTAGTACCTAATCGCATTATCATTCTCGCCGTCGGCCGTTTCTAAAGGCGAGGAAAATTGAAACACCTCCATACTTAGTAGGTACCAAATAATTACTTACATGTACATGATACATGACACCTACTACCGCATTTACCACTTGACAGCATGTAACATTATGTACTGACCACTAACCTAGGTACCTACTTATATAAACATGCACCAGCATAATCCCGATGCTTTTCATTGGGTCTCGGAATTGTTTTCCAGGTGGCCCGTGCCGGTACCTAGTATGCGAACATTCTACGGTCGGTCATCCATCCTCCAACGTCAAACTTCAGAAGTTCTCTAACACAATTACTCCTAAGGTCAGGTACATGGAGTTACATATAATTGCATGTTAGTGATGTTACCTACCTACTAGGTACATACGTACCTAATTTTTTTCTTTAAACAAAACAGGCACTTGAAGCGCCGGCTCTCCCTGTATCCCAGCGTCGTATCGATTGGCTGATCAATCACCAGGGGCTTTTTTTTTTAAATGTCACCGAGATGGCATCATAGCCTTTGTAGCCCTAGACACTAACTAGACACCTAACCTACCTATTTGCCCAGATATGTATGTAGGTAATATGTAGCACCTCTAGGACTAACTAAGCGGGATTTAATCTGCAAGTACGTATGCATATCTACATAGGTACCAAGGCACACGACTACGAGCGACGGCTTACTTGATATCGGTGGGTTTTCCTCGGATCTTACCTACCTAGGTAGGTAGGAACCTGTAATAGATGACGAAAACATGAGCTGCGCGCATCATACCATAAATTGCTGAGGTTGCTGAGCCGGTGAGAATGAGGAGGTGACTTGAATTATCTTAGATGGGTTGCCAAAATGCTGATGCTGTGAGATACATATGGAGACAGTCCTAGATGCCAAGAACCTCCATATTATTAGGTACTCCTATCCTCACGATTGCGGAGCATGGGCTTTGATCAATGCAGATGAAAGAAAAAGAAGCATTCTATCTTTTGGGTATCAAGCAGCAAACCCTACATTATGGCTACATACACTTTAAAACTTTAGGAAAACACACAAAAGTTCTCCCCCCCCTTACACCTGAGCCAATGAAGCCTATGGATTTTATACCAACGAATTACCTAGCGGCACTACACAGGTTAGTAGACAATAGCATCTGATATGTTAGCGGATGTGGAAAGTTTAATATTCTCTTTCTTCTCCTGAAAATTATGTACTAAGCAAACTTGGTTCTCAGCCCTTAGTTAACCTACACATAGTATGTAGTATGTACTACTATGTAGGCCTCTTCCTTTTCTAGGGATGCAAGGCTACTACTATGCAAGTATACTTCAATAAGCTTGAGAGGTCGTGCATTCCTCCGCGCATGATGATCAGACCCGTCCTCTCAGGGACCCGACCCTTGACGAGAGATTACCAGACCGAGGAAGACTATCCTAGTTCCGGTTATGATTAATCTTGGTGTACGCGGTCTTGCTTGCATAAGACACGAAATGAAAGGGAAGTTGCCTGAGTGGCCATTGATTATGGGATAGACATCTACACTAAATACATAGGACATCCAAATGGAGGAGCGTAAACCTTCACTAGAACATTGAAATAGTTAGATACACTAACTATTAGGTACCGTAGGCTAGGTGATTGTTAATACATACACTACCTAGGTAGTTAATTATATTGACCTTTGCGTGTATTGTATGTATTGTCATAGTATTGTATTTTATTTTATTTGCTTTGCAAATTCATGAGCCCAGTGCAAGTTGTCTTGGGTATGTCTCTAGTATTCATACGGCGGTGACCGGTTGGTATCCTTGCTCCATGTGATCTGGTTGGACCACTAAATCGCGAGGTGGGGGCTGCCCTTGCTCGATACCTGTTGTTTTCGTCCCGGTTCTTAGTGGTGCCCAGGCTTTGCCAGACCTCGCACCTCCGAGCTCAGTACCAATCCGGCTCTGATAATATCAAAGCAGCAGCTGGTCATTGTACTCAAAATGCATCTTATCAAATAGGACGATACTAATAAGGTGATTTTGATGCGGCTTAACTGGGTTGCTACTATACCATCTTGGTGCGAATTAAAAGGGCAGATAGAACAATGAGGCGCTCTTTGGCGTTGCAAATCCTCGAATTGGGCGGCCTTGACTCGCGGGCAATCTTGGGGTCAGATCCCCACCTATAGAAGTGCGACAGGTGATAGGAATGCTGCCTGTCATACTTTGTACACAACACAGCGCAGTTGTCCTGATGAGTGAGCCCGAAGTTTCGGGGCGTGCGGTACCATTCAATGTTGGCAAATGGGTACTATTGAGTACTAACCTGGGTAGATTTGTGTTGGATCTGTAATGAGGCGACAGCGATCTTGGTGTCAAAGACTAAATTTCTAATTTGATGTGTTAAAACTTCATGGACGAAGGCAATATAAACAGAGCAAATAAATCATGAGATTATGGATTAGTAACGAGTAAGTGTGCAAATGAATAATAGACATCAATGTCTACTACATACATACGATACTACTAGGCTAGCTGGCTGCTGGGTAAGTATGTATTGGTAGAATGTAGGTTGGTAGGTTGGTAGGTTGGTAGGTTGGTATATGACTTATTTTATCAACAAAAGGATGCACTGCACATGAGATACAAACGATGATTTCAATTTAAGAAAGCATAATATATAGTGTAAGTACCTAGGCAAAAAAGGGAAAAAAAGGTTGACGTGGAATAGGATCTCATCAATATGGCTATGCAGACGTGTAGGTGATTATATAGATTTCTTTGTTGATGGAAGAAGTACCCGGACCCTTTTGGACCCAGGAATGATGAGATGAAGTCGAATAGAACCTGCAGCCTTTAACAGGAAGCATAAGCTGGTTGGACTTGACAGGGGTGTGAGTAAGTGGTGTGGGCCAGTGGGCTCCAAGGCGAGACTTTTTAACCTCAGTGCCACTCCACTCTGGCCTTGTCTGGTAAGTGTATGTACAACACATGCCGTTGCACACCGTTCAATCCTGCATATTGACTCTGCCGCCTCTATGTACCAGTACCGCAGCATTAGCGCGTCAAGGTGTTAATTCCCAGCTGGTACATTGGGTACCTAGGTACATCTAATATCAGAGTTTGAATGGCTGAAGATCCCAACTCTTCCCCCATTTACTTGGTAGTTAGTCTTGTATGCACACATATCAATTCCCCGTACCTTTTGTTCTTTGTGTGTGCGTGTGTATGGTGTGTCCATCCAAGCTGTCTTCCATTACATATTCCATATTCCATATTCCATATTCCATATTCCATACCTTGTATTCCCATATATTCTACATATACTATAATTTACTTAATCATATCGTGCTAATCTAGATATATATGTACAATACAATACATCCATACGTATGATGGTTATACTGCACTGTACTATCTAGCATACATCCATTAGCAGTAAAATTACCGTTCACTATTGCATCTACCTACCCTTTATTCTATTTCTACTAATTTTTTTTTTCTGATTTTCCCTCTCCCCGTCTCTTGACACTACCCATACATACCCATACCCATTTAACCCTCCTTTGATGCGCACGTATCTATCGCATCTGCTCCCATCTACGTAGTCAATAATATCAGCCCTTGTGAACATACTAAGCTTTGTTAGGGTACCCTAGTAGCCCAGGTAACTAGGTACCTACACTCATCCAACGTTCGTCAAGAAAAAGACCCTTCTATTTTCATTCCTCCATAAGGTAGGTCACCTTTCAAAACCTAGCATCCCAAGTTTCGTTTCCACTTCTGCTTCATCCGAGTTAGAGCATCCGTGTCAACCTTTCTGGTAGGTCCTTTTCCCGAGTCATCAGTACATCAGCATACAATTCCATCAATACCGTCAATACCATAAATTCCATCATTACCATACATCACATATCATCACATACACATGCAATACATACAGGCCTGCCTACACAGTAGGTAATGGGTATCGATAGTCTCGATATCATAGGCCGACCATCGTATGCTCCTGGTGATTATCACCTTGGAATAATACAAATACATACTGTACCTACCTACCTCCTGCCTGGTCTAGTACCATTTATCTATCTACATACGTACGACATTAGACGCCCGATACATTCATTGCCTAGATCCATCTCCAAGTTCATTCGTCCATTTCATACCTTCCTGTCAACTTACCTACCTAGGCATCTACCTAATAGTTAGTACATATCATTCACAGTCACAGTCATTCATTCATTCATTCATTCATCTATTCATCGATCCCATCGATCCTACATACCTACCCAAGGTAGTAAGGTATTTGCCCGGCTAGGTAAGTAGGTTGTGTGGCTAGTGGGCACCGATTTGATGGTCTGTCCCGCCGCCTCAAAGCTCCCCGGTCTATCTTGGCTTGCTTTACATAAACCTTCACTTCTATTCCTACCAACTTGTACATCTTCCCGTCCCACATCACCGTCACGTCTCCCACCTTTTTTTCCCCTACTCACACTCTCTCACACACCCTTCACTTTCATTCTTCATTATCCACTTTCATCCCCGGCGATATATCGCATGTATTTTTGTTTCTTATTGGTCTCATTCTTTTCTCATGCAACTATTTTCCGCATCTGACTCGCCAGCTAGGCATAAGATCATTATTCACTTACCAACTTTTCCACCTCTCTCTCATGATCTCTCTCGACTAGTCCATTGTAGGACATAATTCGGTAAGCCTTCCACGGACCCTGGTTTCCCAGCTTGCCCGTGGTACCACCGGCGAAACGCTCATACGGTATCTAGCAACTGCTCCTTTCTGAAACATTCTTGTCTTGGTGTTCTTCGCGCAAGATTTGCACCTGCATTGGCAATTTCATGGATGCAGTTTTGCACTGTCTGCCTTGATTAGTTCGCCGTCAACTTTTCGGCGTTCCTCCGTGTCACATTGGATGCGCCGCCTTTTAATCGCCCACCATGGCGCAGAAGTCGAGCGACCCCGATGATCAGCCAAATCCTTCGTCATCTGCAAATAAGGACCTCCCAGATTCCGGCATCGTGCAGACTAAGTTTACGTCTCACACGCCCACATCAGCGCCCACAACCCAACCATCAAAACCTACTAACCTTAAGGTTTCTGGAGAAAATGCTGCTGCCACTTCACAGCCCATGACCAAGTCAACTTCGTCGGGATCAAACCCGTCTTCCAAGGAGGCCATGGCTGGCCCATCCCCTTATGGCACGCGTTCTCGCAATCGGGGACAAGCGCGACCAAATTACGCGGAAGACAAAGACGTGGACGTGGAAATGTACGATGCATATCCTGAAAAGAAAGAGGATGAACCAAAGAAATCATCGCGACAGAGTATTGCATCAACTAATGGCTCCGGTGATGTATTGAAAAGTACCACTTCAACCTCCCGCAAAGGTGCAGCACCAGATGATGGCAAGGCTGGTGCTGGATTGCACGCGACAGTGAAGGATCCGCACCCAGCAACCCACACCAATTTGAATATTCCACCCCCTGCAGTGACTACTAGCTCTTCCAAGAAACGGAAAGCGCCAGCGCAATCAACTACAAGCAATGCGAATAGCCATGCTAGCACGCCAGCGCCCAGTAGCACTACGACGACGACAAGACGAAGTATTGCTAATGCAACAGCTACTAACAATACCAATGCCAACACTCACACTGCTGCCACTAATACTTCAACTTCAACTGCTATCGCCGCTACCACTACCCCTGCTGTTATTACTACCAATACCACACAGGTTAGAGCGGGATACAAAGTAACAAACATGCTTTCCTTCGAGAGAACCGGCGCGATACCAAAAGATGGGAAGCTGGTTGCGGATGATGGTACAGTATTACAAGCAAACGGTATGAACTAACTGCATTGCCCAAATTCTGAAATTCGCTCTTAATTCTTTTTTTTTTGGAAGGGGGGTGGGGGAAATATCGCAGCGCAGCACAGCACAGCACAGCACAGGCAGCGGATCCCCCTTCCTTTCTCTCACACACACTTTTCTTCTTCTTCTTTGTTTACTTAATTAAATAATTCAACTAACTATTAATCTGTTCTAGATCATATATATCTTGTCTGCGAACCACCAGGAGAACCATACTATCTAGGACGGATCATGGAATTCCTTCACGTGCAAAATGACGTTACAAAGGCCGTAGAGGCATTGCGACTCAATTGGTACTACCGGCCAAAAGAAGTGGGCAAAAAGGTCAATGACACGAGACTGGTCTTTGCCACCATGCACTCGGACATTAGCCCGCTAACCTCAGTGCGCGGCAAGTGCCAAATCCGCCACAAAGCCGAAATCGATAACATGGAAGCTTATCGGAAAACACCTGATTGTTTCTGGTATGAAAAACTGTATGATCGTTACATACAGAAACATTACGATGTAATTCCATGTTTTCAAATCGTCAATGTGCCAGAAAAGGTGAAGAAAGTATTGGACGAGAGATGGAAGTATATCTTGGTAGAACAAGGTCGAGCCAAGGAATTTACAAGTGCCGTCAAGTTATGTAAAAGATGCAGCGGCTATTGCGCAAGGTATGTAATCCAACAAAACCCCCCTTTTTTTCTTCTTCTTATTATCATCATTTGTTCCAACTAACTTGAAATCCAACAACCCCCTACCAACAGCAATGATTCTGTTGATTGTGCCCATTGCCAACAGACATATCATATGAACTGTGTTAGACCACCACTATTAAAGAAACCATCACGTGGTTTTGCTTGGTCTTGTGCTGCATGCAGTCGCGCTCAGGAGAGAAAGCTTGAAGCTCGTCACACTCCCAGTTTATTGGATCCCCATAGAGAAGAAGAGGAAGAAGCTTGGGAAGATGAAGATGATGTTATTGATACTAACCACACAACTCCTACCAATGGTATTGATGACTCGCACCAACCTGCTACGCCAGAGCAAATGTACCACGCCAGTCTGTGGCCTTATCGATATCTAGGTCAGCACTGCAAACCGGAAGATGCATTGGACTATGACGACCGCATATACCCTCGAGCCGGTTCACGTTTGGGACCCAAGCATCAAGCAAACGTTCTTCCTTGGCCTGGCCGCCCAGTCAAACTAGTGAAACCCCTGGAGATCAAAAAGGTTGGCAAGAAAGATAGCAAGCAAGCGAAGGAGGCCCTTGCCGCTCTTGAAGCAGAAAAAGCCGCCCGAGAGAAACGCCCGAGGTGGATTCAGGATGAGCCTGCAGGATATGTTGCTAGGGGTGAAGATTTCGATAATGATGACCCAAACAATACAGCCCAATTGCTGTGGAAGCCCCTGGATATGGCTGGTGCATCAATCTCAGAACCCCAGCTTGATGACTATATGGCTACCTGCAAAGCCAAACTCGTCCCTGCTTTCAATCTTCCAAAGGAATCTACGAATCTCCGAGATGTAGCCATCAATACTCTGTTCAAAAACGATTACGATATAAGCAAGGCCTCAAAAGCCGTGCTCAAAGTTGACAAGGCTGCCTTCAAAGAACCAGAGCTTACTGCTAACGAGCTTAAGAAATTTGAGGAGGGAATAACCAAATTTGGCTCGGAGCTCTACTTGACTACGAAGCATGTCAAGACCGTCAAGCACTCTACTATTGTCCGTTTCTACTATACTTGGAAGAAATCTGATCGAGGGAAACAAATATGGGGTAACCATTCTGGTCGAAAGGGAAAGAAGGAAGCAAAGAAAGCCGAGATAACGGCCAATAAGCTTCAAGACGACGTTGCTGATGGCCAGGACGATTCGGCATTTGACACCGATAAAGCTCTCAAGTTGAAGCGTCATTTCGTGTGCAAGTTCTGTTCCACCAAAACTTCACGACAGTGGCGACGCGCCCCCAACAGCGCATCCAATCCAATAACTGAGGGAAGTGGCAAGCATTCCAACAAGGACAAAGGGATACAGTATGTAGGAGCATTGTGCAGACGCTGTGCAGAGTTATGGCGACGCTATGCTATACAGTGGGAAGATATCGAGGATCTCGCGAAGAAGGTTGCAGCGGCCGGTGGTCGTTCATGGAAGCGAAGGGTCGACGAAGAATTGCTTAAGGAGCTTCATGCGGCGAATGAGATGATGAATCAGACCAATTACAATGCACCGACCAGATCCACACCAGCAGCTCAAGCTCCTGCAGCGGCATCTTCTGCGCCCTCCAACGGTACCGAACCACCACCGCGCAAGAAGCTCAAGACCATTGCAGATAAAGAGGCAGAGGCTCACGCTTTGGAATCCAGCGCGCCTCCTGCCCCCACTCAGCACAAGAAAAAGGAGAAGGCGGTGGTGGAAAAGCCTGCACCACCCCCGGCACCAGAATTTCCGAAGCCTCGCGTCCTCCCCTGCGCTATATGCAACCAGATGGCCCCTACAGGAGACCAGGCTCATCTATGTTGCAAGGAGTGTCGGCTTACCGTTCACCGAAAGTGCTACGGTGTCATTGAGAACCGCCTACCTGGGAAATGGACTTGTGACATGTGTCTCAATGACAAAAATCCTCAAGTCTCTATCGTAAGTACACAATATTCATTCATTCAATATTCGATAGCTAACCAAGGCCTTTAGGATTACAAATGCGTCCTGTGCCCTGTGGAGTTTACGGAACACGATTTCGTAGAGCCTCCGAAGAATACGCACAAGAAGAAGACGGAGAAGGAAAAAGAAAAAGAACGTCAGGAGCGCGAGCTTGCTCAAAAGGCTGCAGACCATTATCGGAAGAAGCAAGAAGAGATGAACCGGCCAGTGAATCCGAGGGAGCCCTTGAAGAGAACGGCAGACAACAATTGGGTTCATGTTACTTGTGCCGTGTGGATGCCTGAAGTCAAGTTCGGTAATGCCCTTGCTCTAGGTCCTGCAGAAGGTATCCCGTCCGTACCACGGAGCAGATACGACGAGACCTGCAAGGTATGCAAGCGGAAAGACGGTGCATGTGTAAACTGCCTTCACTGCCGTGCCCCTGGTAAGCTTTATCAACCACAATGTGTCTTGTTTGTCTCTAATGCTGACAATAACATAGTTCATGTAGAGTGCGCCCATCAGAATGGTTACCTGCTTGGTTTCGAAATCACCCCCGTCAAAGGTTCTCGACGGGACCAGCATAACATTGTGGCGATTGGAGCGGACAGTGGGATAATGGCTGCTGCTGTCTGGTGCAAGGAACACATACCCCAGAAAGGCGTGGTTCACCGAATGCAAGATCCAGTCCCCCAAACCGACGGTCAAGGCAAAGATGCCCCAGTCCTCAACGCCCTACAACTCTACGTGCAAAACTACAAGCAGGCAGACCTTGCACTCACAGGCAATGTCCGTAAGGCGAATCTAGTCAATATTGCTACGAAGACGACCACGGCAGGCCAAACCAATCTAAACCGAAGGCAGTCGACTGCCGCGGTCGCCAACTCGGCGCCAACAGGTCAGAGACAATCCTCAATCGACAGTGCCACCGATATGCCCTTGGCCACCTATCAATGCGGTGAAAAGGTTTGCATTACCTGTGGGATAGATGTTAGCCCGAGGTGGTGGCCTGCCGGTGAGGAATTAGAGAAAAGGTTCAGCAACTTACCTCCCCATGTGAGCTGCGAGGTATCAAAATTTGTTGCGCAGAGGACTTTTCAGTGCCACAAATGTAAGAAGGCCAAAAAGGAGTTTCCACCTTACACTCCCTCGTCCATGGAGGCACTCGGAACTGGGCCTGAGACCAAGGAACCCTCCAGAACTCCGGCTCCTAACCCTAGCCCGATCACGAATCATGCACCCAACTTGACGCACACGGTGAATAGGATGGCGGATCTAGGAAACCCATGGACACCTCGAGCTCCGGCAGTGCAGCCTGCATCTTCGGCTCCATCTTCCATCGCTCCACCACCGTTGCACCCCCCAACGGTAGGGGCCCCTCCGCCGTTACCACTTACTGCGCCCTTAACGGTAACGAGCCCAATGGCTGCCCCAACCGGAACAGGTGTGCCTCTTCATCACTACCCACCTGCTGCGCCGTCTTATGGAGACTGGCATCGCAGCCCTCCGCCATCTATTCATCAGATGAATGGTGGTTCTGGTGCACCAAGCCCCATCCACCATAATCACCTCCGTGAACTCCGACCTCCGCCGATAGCCCAGATGTCTCACCACCAAGGACCACCACTTCAGCACGGGCTTGGTCAACCTATCCCTAACGGGATTCCCTCTTCCCCACCTCGAAGGAGCCATGCTTCGGTTGGGAATGGCACGTCACCGTACATGCCACCTTACCACTCAGCGCATAACCCACTCCATGGGCTTACGAATGGCAGTAGCCCCCCAGCGCGAGCCTCAGAGCATTCCTTTTCACAAGGCTTACTCGGATCTCGCTCGCCATTCCTCAACACACTCGGAAGTCCCCCTATGTCTCGAGATGGGATCTCGATGAGTCGTGAACCCAGCCTAAATAATAACATGCCTTCACGATCCAGTGACAGTCGGCCTGCAAGTGGCGCCAGCGCTAATGCGTCGCTGCGAAATCTTCTATCGTGAGGTGGTTGATAAGAGTTTCTGTAGTTGGGACTTATTCGCATAGCAACTTGTTTTTTTCTTCGCAGGCTCGGCGTTGCACAGGCTGGAATGTTGTATAAGTAGTGGCATATACCAAAGGCGTAATGGTTAATAGAGATGTTTTTAGCAGGATTTGATTTGGGGAGGAGGAGGAGGAGGAGGAAAGAAGGGAAAACAGGAATGATTGCATTGTCAAGGTTCAAGGATTGTACAATAACTTGTGTCGAATTCAGACAGATAGTCAAGAGGTAATGCTCATCAGGAGGAGGCGAGCAAAGTAAAGGCAAAACTGGCCAGAGGAATCAAGAAACGGCCGGAACAAAATAGTCAGTGAGACGGGTGGAAGAGACAAGAGACATACTTAATTGATAACGATATGTTTTAATTAAAGGGGTTGTTACCCCTTTTCCCTTCAGCTGTGCCTCATTCACTCTTTACTACATACATAGGAGATACTAATACTACAGGTAAACTCCATGGCAGCATGACTCCTAGGTGTGAATAAATACTGTGGTGGTGCTAGGCCTTAGGTGACCTAGTATATGTAGCCAAAAGGGCGGGGACAGTTGCTTATCTTCAAAAATTACTTGGTATCTACAACGGCGTTAGGTAATTGAGTACTACTTTAGATATCGTGTAGTTTTTTTTCCACCGAGGACTATTTATTCTTTTTATTTTATTATAGCTTTGCCAATGCAACTAACCTCCTCCTGTATCGTAACGTATACCTATATCCATACCTTTTAAAGAAAAGAAGAAAAAAAAATATAGAATAAGAAAAGATGGACGACTCCAAGGGTCTCGCGCTCGCTATCGAGGAAGCCACAATAGGCTACCAGGAAGGAGGTGTTCCGGTATGTATTTCTTTTTTTTTCTTTAGTAGAAAACATACCTATCCTACCTACACAACCCCGAATCAAGGAAAAACCCTTGACTGATAACTTGCGCTTTGGTCCGCGTGGCGTGTAGATCGGCGCCGCCCTCGTCGCCGCTGACGGCACGGTCCTCGGTCGCGGACGCAACATGCGGGTTCAGAATGGGAACCCGATTCTTCATGTAAGTCTCTTACGTCTTTTTTTTTTTTTTCTTCTTTTCTTTTTTTTTTTTATATATATATAAATAATAAAACGTCTTGTGTGAGCTAACGAGCGTTTCCTATGTTTGCGGGTTGCGTAGGGCGAGACGTCGTGTCTGCAGAACGCGGGCCGGCTGCCTTCGTCGGCGTATAAGGGCAGCACCATGTACACGACGCTGTCGCCGTGCGATATGTGTAAGTGTTCGCCTCCTTTACCATTTCCCCCCTTTCCCCCTTCCCCCCACCTTCTTTCTCCTCCTCCTACCTAAGAAGGGAGATTATTTATTTATTAATCATGGGAATAGGCACCGGCGCCTGCCTCCTCTACGGCATCGCCCGCGTCGTCATCGGCGAGAACAAGACGTTCGTCGGCGGCGAGGCGTACCTGAAGCGGCGCGGCGTCGAGGTCGTCGTGCTGGAGTCGGCCGAGTGCAAGGAGTTGATGGATAGGTTTATCGCGGAGAAGCCTGAGGTTTGGTGAGTTTGTTGAATTTTATATCAACCCCTTTCTTTCTTTCTCGCTACTCTTTCCTCCCGAATATACATCGGTGTGCGCGATATAGAGAATGCGTGTTTCTACAAGGCTAGTGAGATACATATAGCTAACGAAGAGGGGACAATTAAAGGAACGAGGATATCGGTGTCGAGGAGAGAGTTTATTCTCGGGAGAACATTAAGGTGAATTAGGGGTCTGGTATCATTATTTATAGGTCCTAGGCAGATGTGAACAAGAAGTTATATGCATGCCTTGATCACTTATCACTAAATGGTGCCTGGCTAAAGATCCGAACACGTCTTATAGAACATAATCAACTAAGCAAGGCATAGCGAGTTCGGTACCATAAATTTCGGTGTGATCGTAGTATATTATAGTATCCAGGTATGAATATTTGGATATATTTGCATCGAGCACCAAGACCCTTTCGTAATATGTATATAGGTATAGTATATATGCCAAGTAAAATTATAAGAATGTATTGCAGGAACGGGAGGGTAAGGTAGTCGCAATTCTACCACTCCCCTAATCGTGATCCTCCTCCGTCAAACCCGGACACCCTTCCATAGTCTCATCCGGATAACTACACTTACACCAAAAGCAATAATTATGTTCCTTCCTCAGATACGCCACCAGCCTCCTCAACCTCTCCTCAACCTCCAGCGCGTTGAACTCCTCCAGCTCCGGATCTTCTTCCTCGAGGTCCTCGACGGGCACGTACGCCGTGACCGTCTTCCCCATCGCCTTCTTGTCGTCCTCGTCTTCCAGATCGTCCACGTACGTGGGTAAGCGCGGCAGGCTGCTCTGCTCTAGGTCGTAGCGCATCCGGCGGTCCCGCTCTGCTTCCTCTCGCTTCCGGATCAGCCCCCGCCAAACCACGGGGATGGACACCAGCGGTCGCGTGGACAGCGTCCTCTTATTCTTTTTGGTCGGCACCTCGTCCGTTTTATCATCATCATCATCGTCGTCGTCGTCGTCGTCAGATTCCTTCGCACTATCGCTTCCTCCTCCTCCCCCTTCCTCATCCATCCGCTCACAAACCTTCATCCCCGCCCAAAACTGCCTCTCCAGCCTCGCCAGCTCGCGCTCCCTCCTCACGCGGTCGCGGAACTCGTACTCATCCGCCTTGACCTTCTTCTGCTGCGTCGCCGCCGCCTCATTGAGCTTCCTCTTACGCTCCGAGTCCAGCCCGATCCCGCTCCTGTCCTCCTTCATCTCCGGACGCAAGGGTTCGAGAAGCCCGCCCTCACCACCATCACCGTCGGTAGCAACGCCAGCGCTATTGCTCCCCAGAGCGCCGCCCTTGAAGCCCATCTTCGCCATCATCGCGAACCCCTTGCTCTTCTTCGCCCGCGCCTCGTCGAGCATCGACCGCGAGAGCGCTTCCTCGCGCTCCTGGCGCGCGGCGGCTTCCTGCTCCGCTTTCGAGAGCACGCGCCCCTTGATCTCGCCTTCGCGCCGCAGACGCTGGCGCCGCTGTAGTGAGGTTTCTACGGTTTTGGGCGGCTCCTCGGCGCCGAAGGTCATGTTCATGTAGTCGTCTTCGCCATCTTCTTCCGCCTGCTGTGTGGGTGATGGCGCCATTGTTGGTGGTTTTGCTGATTTTTCTTCCTTGTGGATGAAGAAGTTGCTCAATGGTTGGTTTGTTATATTAACCTCTGGGTCGAGTTAACTTCGTTTATATTTCAAAATGAGATCATATCTCGTTGAATGAATTACATAAGTTTGGTTTTGGTTGTTTTAGATTTAGAACTCTTTAGATTTAGATTTGTTTAGAGTTGTTTTTATTTGTGTTTGTTCACTTTGTTATAGTCGTTGTTAAGCAGGTGCGAATGAATGAATGTTATTAATGAATGAAGCTTGACCGTCTAAAAAAAAAAGAAAAGTGGAGGCCACTTATACTATGTAATACTTCGTACTTCGTATGTATGGATAAAAGACATCATGCACATTTGATTCGTCATATATGAATATCTGCTGTCATCGTGAATTACAGTGAAAAGGTATCAACTACCCAGTACCACAAGGCCCTAATAATACCTAACCTAGTACCTATTTCCTATACCGCGACCAAACAAGCTGTTCAAAGTCTAGGGTATATACGTGAATTTGTTTGCTCCCAGAGCAGTGCCGTCAATGTCATCACAAAATCCATGGCCTGCCTGCCCCTAACCATCCGATACAGAACGATAATATACATTATACACACAATGGGCTTTGCTTCCAGCCCTACCCCTGCTTCTGCCTCTCAACAACCTGGAAAGTAGAGCCTGGAAAGTTGCCTCCGCCTCTTATGCATCATCCTCCGGTAACTCCTCAATCACCTCTTCCACTATGTCTATTAACTCATCAATGTCTGGCCGTTCATTCGGTTCAACTTTCAGACATTTCCTAACCACCTCCTTGATTGGCTCACTAATAACCCCTTCCTCGGGGCCTTTGTTAGGGTCTGCAGGAGCCTTTCCTTTCTTCTGACCCCTAGGAGTCTCATCCGGGAATCGCCAATCCCCTCCTAGCACACACATGCTAAGACTGCCACCCGTCTCATCACTACGCATTTCGAATGGCGACTTGCCTACTAAACAAGCATATAGCGTGCATCCTAGGGACCAGATGTCAACTTTGGTGTCAATGATTGCTCCCGTCTTCACATCGAATAGCTCCGGGGCTCGGTAAGGCATCGTGCTGTGCTCTGCGGCAATGTCTTGCGTAGCAATAGCAAGAGAACGTGTAGTGATGGCAATGGGTGAATCGGCAATAGAGCCCAAGTCCATGATGATGGGCTGTGAACCAGAATCATCAATCATGATGTTACCTATCAGGAATCGCGATTAGTGAATTACGTCCCAATATAAAATGTGATTCAGCCAAGGGGCTTGGGTTTGGCTTACCTGGCTTGATATCTCTGTGCGCATAAGACCTCTGTTCACCGGGCGCCACAACTTCCTCATTTATCATCAAAGGTCGAGCTTGTTCTGTCTCGTCATCTGCGTCTGCTGCCGCGACAGCTTTGTTCCGCTTTCCCCTTCCTTTTCTGCCTTTTACATTTTCCTCGCCGGCTTTTGCATTGCCCATTTCCATGCGCTCCCCACCTGATGGCGCTTTGTAATTGTGCATGTATTTGAGGGCCTTGCAGACGCCGAGGAACAGGTGCATGAGTTCCTTCTCTGGAAAATTAGTGTGGTTTACCAGGTTCGCATTAATGATGTCTTGTAGGTTGCCTCGTCTGTAGTAGGGCAGCAACACATATACAGTCTTGGCATCTGCATCATTTCGCTCGCTCGCTATGGAGTAGTCGACGCTGTGGATGATGCTGGGAGTGTGGGCAAATGTCTTGTAGGCTTCGACCTCTCGCATCGCTTGTTGGACTGACTCGGCGCCGAATGGGCATCGGATCTTCTTGAGAGCAAAGAGCTCTGCGGTAGATGTGTCTTGTACGAGATACACATAACTGAATCCACCTTCACCTAGCAGGCGCAGTATCTTGAAGGATCGGCTGTTGATCTTTAAGGTCGGCGATCCTGGAAAGCAATTCAAGCAATTGCCAAATGAGTAAAATAGGTCGAGTAGAAGTTGCGCCATGATGGGTAGAACTTGAGTTTGTTTATTCTAGGTTGATACGCAGGGCGCTAGATCAGGACAGCTGTTTCTTGTGGTCTGTATCTCCAGCTACTGTGCAGCTACTGTGATAGTATTAATGATCGTGAGATTTACTTCATCAACGTTTCTTAGCTAGTTGGCGGGTTCAAATTTCAAGGTCGAAAACGAAATTCAAATCAAAAAGATAGAGTCGCAAAGACATAGAAAATCAACTGGAGATGTGAAATAGTAATAAGCTGTCAAGTCTATAACATAACTGCAGTACTTGGCATTAATTGAGGTCGACTTGTCTTCAAAAATTGGTAGAAAGAAATGTGTACGACGGATAAGACGGTACAAGTACATACATATGTAAGTTCTACCTAGTACTAGGTAGTAACTAAGTTCAAGTTGCAGGTCTCGCGACTGCTAAGTGGCGTCAGGAATATGTAGCTGCGCCACAATTAACTTAGTAGCTGAAACACATTGAAATTATAGGTTACCAGGGTACTCAGTAGTATACCCCATAAATGCATATTACTTTTTAGAGTTTGTTTTTTAAAAGACTCTTCTTCAATTGTGCAATAAACCATAAATCTGGAATTTTCGACTTAGACATTCGAACTATTTACTCATCAATATACACAACTACTTTGCAAATTTATACACATATATTTTACACATATATTTACTAGGTACTAGGCATATAAGGCTATATCTGTGAAGCTTAAAACGATTCAAAAACAAGAATACCTTATTTGGGTCTGTACAGCGCTGGCAATTGGTCCCTACTCTGCTCACAACAGCTATGGATATCCCGTACCTCTGTCTAAGTAGACTCGGACAGAGCTCCATCTTCTGCGCTGCCAAGGGAACCAGCATTCATACATTTGACCTTAAAGATGATGGATACTCATTTGTCTCATCGTGGACTCATCCTCTTGCGAAGCAGACCGAAAATGGCAAAATAGTAGAAGAAGCTGCTCAAGGTGGTGAACCCCTTGATGAGCAGGAGGAGACAGATCAGCCTCCGTCGAAAAAGCGTAAGCTGGACTCGGATGAGAAGCCCAATGTTAAGAAAGAGGCCAACCAAGATGACACCAGAGTAGCAGAGGGACCAGCAAACGGCAATGAAAAGAAGAAGAAGCCGCAGAGGCCCGAGCTACGTAGTCAGCGGACAGAGCTACCATTCGTGGTTCTTCTTACAGCAACCGAAGATGGGAGTCACGTGGTTGCTGTAACTAGCCAGGACAAGACGCTATGGGTATTCGAGCATGACGGGAAGGGCACGTTGACAAAGTCAAGCCAAAGGTATGTCGACTTTACTGCGACCATTCTGTCACTATCATCTGACCATAGACAGAGTCATGCCAAAGCGTCCAAGCTCCATCAGCATCACCACGGACGGGGCTACAATCCTATCTGCAGACAAATTCGGGGACGTCTATTCTCTCCCCTTGCTTCCGACGAAAATGGAAGAGGAGGCCGCACCAAGTGTTCCAGAAGCCCCTGCTACCCCTGAAACGCCAATGCCAGCACCAGCACCGTCAACTTACAAGCCCTCCGCCAGCCGCTTCACCGTGCACTCGCAGCGCAACCTGCGCGCGCTCGAGGAGCAGGAGCGCATGGTCGCAAAGCGCAGGGAGACACCCAAGGAAGGGCCGACCTTCGAGCACGAGCTGATCCTAGGCCACGTCTCGATGCTCACGGCGTTGGCGCTCGCCACCTCGGACGACGGCAGGCGCTACATCATCACCGCGGACCGCGACGAGCACATCCGCGTGTCACGTGGCATACCCCAGGCCCATATCATCGAGAATTACTGTCTAGGCCACGAGTCCTTCCTCAACGCGCTCTGCGTGCCCCCGTCCCGGCCCGAGGTCCTGGTCTCGGCCGGTGGAGACGACGAGGTGTTTCTTTGGGACTGGAAGGCCGGCCGGCTGCTAGGGAAGACGAATCTGCTCAGTCATGTCCAGACGGTGGTTCCTGGCACGAGTAAGATCGGCGTGTCGCAGTTGTACTCATACGACTTCGACGGGCGTTGCTGCATTGTGGCCATCTGTGAACGGTAAACCCCCCCTTTCCTCCTCTCCTGTCATTAACGATCCGTGCCATCTAACAACGCAACAACGTACAGGGTACCCGCTCTCTTCATCTTCCAGCTCACACCAGACACCACCTTACAGCACGTGCAAACACTAAACCTACCCGGCAACCCCCTAGCCGCCCTCATCACCACCACTCGGCCCCCCAACTCCCTAACCCTAATCGCCGCCATCGACCCCCCTAGCGTCGCCGCCACTACTACTACTACTACCACTACGAAGGCATCACCATCCCTCCTACTATTCGCACAAGACAAGTCAGGTGACTGGGTCCACAGCAAAGGCAGCACCCAGAACAGCAACACCGACGAAGGAAACGTGGATATATCGCGGGAGGAGCTAGACAAGATCCTGTACCCGGTTAGCAATCTGCGGAAGACCGAGTTCGAGGACGACGCGGAGTAAGGAGTTTCTGCAAGGGGGTTTGTGAATCCTCCATCTCCCCCTCATATCTCTCCTGAGGTAAAATTCTACAATTAATATTGGCTGTCTGCTGCTCCCTTACAGTATCTAAATGGCATGTCTGAGATATGTACCTTGTAGGTAGGATGAATCTCTAAATACTTCTTAGTAGGATGGATAATATCACAGATGGTCAGCATCACGCATTACGCATCACGCATCAGTAGAGAGAGACACGCAAAGCAAAACCACAACAGCTTAATCAATTAAGACACGGTTGATTTAATGCAATCAATACCACTTATCAATTGTATAAAACAAATCTGCCCTGATTTCCTCTATGTCCGTCGAACGCCAACTTGCGAGAGTACCATAAGAAGCTGGAAGAAGTAATCGATTACGGGGAAGCTGCAGACTCCCCTCCGCCAACCTCCAATACGGCTTTCCCTCGCTTCACACGTATATCAAGCAGCCTTCTCTTCCCTGATCAGCCCTTGTCATGCAAATCATCACGTCCCGCGACCCATCGAAACGTTACGCCGTAAATGTGTAAACTTTCTACCAACGCAACTAGCAAAGAGAATCCTTGAGAGTATCGGCAAATTATTATGCGAGGTATTGATTCCAACCAACAGTATGGTAGGTGGAATCAATCCTGGTGAATCGGTCGTTTATTGGTTAGCACACTGTACACGTTCAGCGTGTGGGTGGCCGTCTTCATCTTCCTCCTCCATGCCGTGCGAGCCACCAAATGCTCGGGCTTGCCCTTGGTGGTCTAGCTCCTCGAGGTCCACGTTGTCTGTCATGGCATCTGCAGGAGGAATAGTCTCAAGAGCCGGCCCAGGTAGGATTTTCTGAAGGGCCTCGAACGCTGCGGGGTCATCTGTCCAATTACGCTCGGGGAATTTGACAGAGAACTGGATGTACATATTGCCGTGGTCGTGATGCCTAGGCGATGGCATACCTTGTCCTCGCAGCATTTTCACGGTGTCTATAATAGGGGTAATTAGCAAACGATTTAAAAAAAAAAATTTGCCCGCAGTTTTACACGTACCTGGTGCGATTGCCTCGCCGGGTTGAATTTCAACACTTAGCCATCTGTCATCCAGATGCTCGATGTAGATAGTACCACCGGCTAACGCCGTGACGAGGTCGATCTCGGCTCGGTAAAGTAAGTCATCTTCTTTCCGAGTGAATCGAAGGTGCGGCTTCTGTTCAATCTCGAAAACAACATCACCAGCCTGGATACCAGGTGCCTGATCGCCTTCGCCCTTAAATTCGACCTTGGTACCGCTTCGAACACCACGGTCAACGTGTACATGAAGTACTTTCCGGTCGACGACAGTCTTCTTTCCATTGCAACCCTTGCATCGGTCCTTCTCCTTGATGATCTCACCCTCGCCATTGCAGTCGGGACATACCGTCTGGAATCGCTGGATCATGGGACCCATTTGGCGCATCATGGTCTTCATTCCATGTCCATCACAGCCAGAGCAACGACGTACGGCGCCTTCCTTACCACCTCGACCTTCGCACTTAGGGCAGATGACGGAGCGTTGGAGAGCGAGTTTAGAGATCTTACCCCTGTAAATGTCTTCTAGGGATACCTTGTGTGTGTGGTGGATAGTGCGTGCCTTAGGTGGACCACGGGGTGCTCCGCCCATGCCGCTGAACATACCGCCAAGGCCGCCACCGAAAGAGCCGGAGCCGAAGAACTGAGCAAAGAGATCCTCGGCCGCCATACCACCTCCGCCGGCGGCACCCTCGAGACCAGCCTCGCCATACTGGTCATAGACTTGGCGCTTCTGGGGGTCGGAAAGGATTTCGTAAGCGTGTGAAATCTCCTTAAACTTTTCCTCAGCGGCGGGGTTGTGGGCATTCTTATCTGTCAGGCTAGTGTTAGCAAATGAAATATTTGGTATGTGCACAATAGATGTGAGCTAGAGCGTACCAGGGTGCCACTTCAGAGCGCCTGTCTTATATGCCTTCTTGAGTTCTTGTTCTGTTGCAGTTGGCGAGACCTTATCAAATGTCAATATACATTCTCACTATATCAGATTTAGGGATTCAACATACGCCAAGTGCGTCATAGAACTTTGTGTCCTTCACCATCTTGTCTGAATTTTAGTTCAAGGGAATCTTTATCTTGAGGATACGTCGATCGAATGGTATCGAGTAGATGGGTAAGGTAGGATCTTTAAAGTCTGGTAATTTGTGTTAGTCGACAAACAATGATGCAATGGCTCCCAAACACAAAAAAAACGTTCCAACAAAAATATAAGTGATCTAGTGCGCAAAGAGATTGAAAAGTGAAGGGCTTTGCATGTATATGGATGTATGGATGAGGGCAAAAGAAGATCAAATAAGCGCCCCACACATGCGCAGGCTGGTTAATTGATACAAGGCTTCTTGGTGGGAGGTGAAAGCGATAGAAACGAAAAGAACTGATAACAATGATAACAATGGTGAATGAGATTACAACTTACATGGTAGCAATGCGTGTGCCAGTGGGCAGTGGGCAGTGGGGAGAAAAGGGTGATCGTTGTAGTTGGGAAATGGTAGTTGTAGATAGTTGTAGATGTCTTGATGGAACTATTCAGAATGCGTTGCGCAGAAGATTGGTGGACGCCGTATGTGTAGTGCCTGCCCAGGTGATGTAGGTTTCTTTAGATTGGAGTTGCTGGAAGGTTCTGGCTACGTTCCTGCTGGAATTTTTAAAAAAAGAAATAGAAAAAAAACTAAAGGTTAGAAACGTGTTAGTTGGTTACTACTTTTGATTCGAGAAGGCTCCAAGGCTCCAAGCTATAATCACCAACACTGTACTACTACTAATAGTATGAGGGGCTAATGGAGAGAAAACAGTGTGGAAGAATCTTTTCGAATGACGAAAAGGAGCAAGTATTGGAAAATTACCGAGCTCGAAGTTTAAGGATAAGACAACAATTGCAATTCTTACTCTTGTCCTTCCCCTACTGTACCATCAACTCGCAAATTCCCGAGGCTGAGTAGTTTTTCTAAGGGCGCCACTATTCCGTCATGGAATCGAATAGAATCGTGGCTTAAATTGAAAGTACTCGATGGTACCACATAGTAACTTTAACACTGGGAAATAAGTATCGACAGGGGGAAATAGGTGAGGCCCGAAGTACCTCAGCCTCAACTCTACATGCAGCTACCTTGTCCCCGACCCCGTTCTTTTACCCTTTTCGGCACTTAAAGGGTTGATTTGGCCTGTGCTGCATGCAATGGGGGACAGACCCCATTTTGTCCAATGCTGCCTTAGCGCCTACTAGCACGAAAGTATGTAACCGGTACCCAAGTACCCTTAAAAGGTCCAAGCTTTTTTATCAATTCAACATTGAAGTTCAATGTTTTTCCAGTCTTTTTTTCTTATCGTTTCAATGTTAACCATGTATCTTCCTCTATGTTGGACAGGACACTCGCAATTGCAAACAGATTGCTACCTGACATTCCAGTCAAAAAAGAAAACCCCCTTCAGCAGGGGCCTTTCCGTCAAGCCTATTTGTTGTTTCATAATTTCATTGGTTCAAGGCAACTTACGTAGACTTATAACAGATATATATCCATGGACATTGGACATACATAGGTAGAAAAGGTACATACTTCTTAAAGTCTGAGGCCCAACTACCCGGTTCAGGCTGCCTCTCTTCACCGCAACCTCCCAGTCGCCTGCAGCCTCATTGGGCTTGCCGTTGGTTGCCGTCATCTCCGCTGTGTCGTGGTACCTGAGTCATGTCGAGTGGGAGGCAGCGTGTACACATGATACATGTATGTATAGGTAGACATGTACTATTATCGTCGGTACAGCATCCCGTGTCTATAGCAAGGAGTCTTTACAAAACTTTGGGTAGGCATGTATGGAGCAGGATCTTGGAAATGTGCGGTCGTCGGCTTATTTATCTACGATGACGTTTTCAAGGTTACCTAATCCCTAGGGGCCACGGATTTCCTCCTTCAACTTAAACGCCCTTGAATCTACTTATAATACTCTACAGTAAGTTTGAATCTAACGTGTGCCGAGAATATATATTTGCTCAACCTTTCTCTATGTACTCATCTCCTTAGTGGAGGTACCAGAGAGAAAATTTTGCCAAAAAAAAAAAAAGGTCGATGTGGAGAGAGTTCTTTGAAAGCAATAGGGCTGATTTATTTACATAGTACGTATCATATTAACCAAGCCTAAATATAACTTTAAAGCTCAACTATCCCTGAGCTAGTCCCTAAGCTAGTCGGTGTTCCACTTCAACCATTGCTGTCGATTGCAACATTCAAGATGCCATCGTCAGCCGCAAGTGATCTAGCTTGACTGTACCTATGTATAGTATCATCGTTCCCGAACGTACAAAAGCGAATCAAATGCAAGTGACAAATCATTGCCAGGTTTATGTGCTTTTCTTGGGAACTATCGATCCCCAAAGTGCCCACAATAGCATGAATGCTAGGTAGGTATGTATACTAGTAGTGCATAGGTGTGTATAGGTATAGGTGTGTACTATAATACGATAGGTAAGTGGTTAGATCTGTAGTGGCTCTATTATCAGCTCCGACTCTTTCTATGGCGGATAGCACTATATAAAGCAACATGGGAGAGGAGTAGGTAGGGCTGTGGGCTGACGGATCCTAGCGAACTCGTACAGAAACGCTTAAATGGACAACATTCCTGGGTGGATGGATCATGGAGCTCGTTGTGCTATTCTGGTATGGCACTACTATGTATGAATAAGATCAGCACCTTCTTCGCTAGGTAAGGTGCGCATGTGTTTCTTGAGGGGCCATGCTCTGTTTACTCGGCTATTTTTTCGTCTAAGCGATTACTTGTTTCTTGCCCCAGCAACCATGCCCATCGTCGGGATTTGCTCCCCGGAATACCTACGGTACGGTATCGATAGATCTAGTTCCAGACTGAGGGATCCATGTACGGGTATGTAGTGCTAATTTTAGCCCTTCATCCATTTCGATATATTTTTACATACATATCGTACCTCACCTATGCTATTCATAAGTTTAGATACAGAATAAAGCTGTGGTAAGGAAGGAATGGAATAGAAAGTATCATGAGAAGAGAAAGGGTGTTGGGATGGAGATCTTGTGTGTGTATGTATGTACCTACATGTAGTAGTAGATAACCAATGCCTCTACCATGAACATTACGTTATAATAATATCAATAGCCGCAGCAATACAGTAACATTAAGGGGATATGAAATTAATACCATCCATCATTGACCTAAACCCCGAACCTGAGCTGTATTGTTACTATTGTATTGTACATAGTAGCTGCTAAAGAGGGTTGAACACAGTAAAGTTCGAGAAGCCGTCATTTTCATTGGACATGCATGATGCATACTTTAGTACATATGTACCTTACTATAGTTATGTATCTAGGTTAGTAGTATCTACTAACTAGGATGTAGTCAAGACTGTCAACTTTGTCAAGTAGGTGCTGAGGTGAGCACCTGGCAAGGTAGCACCGAATTAGACCGTGCTTGTCCAATCTATTGGATCTATTGGATCATAAGGAGGACCCTGGAATATTTAGATGCTTGGTAACCCGATTACTAAGTGTAGCCAATTATAAGTCGTTATTATCCCTGTATGCAAGGATCATTGGGGCGTGTTCTATTTTCAACCTCCCCGTACCATTTTCCCTTTTCCATCTTTTACACACCAAAAGCGTGGAAAGTCGGGAGTGGGAAGAGGGAGGGAACACGCCAGTCTGAATGAGATTAGCTACATGAGTAAAAGAACATGTACAGTTAAGTAACGCAATGGATCAATAACCAATCACCTGCCATGATCCCTAGCCTTATACCATGTGTAGGTAAGTACATAGTAGCATCGCCAAATATTAACCTCACAGACAACGGACCACTTCGTGATCGTCAACCGTGAGAGAAGCTGTCTCTCTTACACACACCATCAAAACGGGGTTTGATGTTGATACCCCGGACGATGCTACCCGGGAAGATATAATAGCCATGATAGGGCTGTTCGTACCTCACTCAGCTAGACCCTACCTACATATCCTACATATCTCGTGCATATCTCCCAACACCATATTATATATTATATAATAGGCCATCCCTTCATCCTCACTACTTACATTGTTCTTACGCAACCAAGATAGGCTCATCTAGAATCTGTGAAACCGCAAAGGTAAATCAAATATTGTTGTAGGGCTGCATCTTGCTGGCGCCATGGAAAAGAAAGACTCCAACATCTTTGTCCCATTCACCCGAACGAAGACGCCCAAGAAGAGGAACACAGATGTACGCAAAGAGCAAAACAGAATCGCGTCCCGTGCTTATCGTAAGTTCACCCATCCCGCCTTTGTGCGATTCTATAGCACTTGTTCGAAGACGTCGCTGACACCACCTTCTAGGAGAGAAGCGCAAACAAAAGCTAGCACTGCTCGACGAAATCCTCAAATCTGATTCTCAAACAGACTCCATGAGTTCAGTATCTGACGAGCCGGAGGGATATGCTGGATCATGGTCGCTTCAGAGCAGACAAGCATCCAACAGCCCTGCTCCAGCGACACTGCCTCTAGTGTCGCCATGGCCAGTACCGAGTCCAGCTATGTCCTCGGTGATCCCGGCCTACGGCCACGACACCTATGAAGGTTGGATGAGCACTTTCGATCAGCAAGATAACGCGTACCCTACGAGTAACGAATATGTTCATCCATACATCCCCACCGAGACTGGTGATAACGCGCTGGGCACAGCTGCTGCATATAACCTGCAGTCGATCCCGTCGATGGCTTCAGACCCTTCAACGCCGCCTATACAGTCTATACCGCTCGACCCTTCGCTCTCCAATAGCTTTTCATTGCATCATCACCATGTTCCACCACCCCTATTTCAGACCCATGACGACGATGAGATTCAACGGCAATCGTGGGTTGCCTCGCTGGAAGAGGATGCGCTGGTCGCGTTGGACAAATTTGCAGGACTTAGCCACGTTCAACAACAAAAGGCGTTAGTTTTGATACGGAAGAGGAGAGGTTTATCCCAGAATGCGGCTAATTACCAGAACTTTGAATTCGGGTATCCGTCCTGTCAAGCTACGCCTCCTCCATCAGGTAAGAGAAATAACACCTCCCTGTGCCGCAAATGAAACTGGGGAGGCTCGAAGGATCACTAGAGTAGGCGCTAATTTAATTAATAGGCCGCTTCGTCAGTAACGACTTTGGAAAGTACCATGACGTCCAGCAGGCTTCCGGGTCGCCTCTTCCAAGTGGACGCCGCTAGCATCATTTATCAACAAGTGCTACAACAAGGGAAGGCTCCTTCGACCGAATGATACCCTTTGCATGGCTCGGGTCATTGATCCCGACCAGCCGCAGCAGATGCGGCTCATGGTAATCGATGAAGGCAAAAACAGCTGAGTGCCAGCTCAATGGGAGAAGAGCTTTAGATAAAACGGGGGCCTAGTATTGATCACTCACGTGTGTAAACTATGGCAGTATGAGATACATATGAACGGAATACCCACCCGGCCTCGCAAAATGTACCATTACTGAAATGTATGGCACTATAGAAGAGCATGGATTGGAGGAGATACCTAAAATATGTCTCGGGCGAGACATCTACGGCGTTTACGGAAGCTAGAATAACAAGTTTCTAGCCCTGAAAGATGGGTGAAAGAAGATGGGGGATACAACGTTGATACCATGTCTACCAAGATACCATTTACCGCCGGTTTTTCAGTTGAGCTGACGAAATTGAGGATGGTACTTTGGCTCTTGGAAATGTCGAAGTCATATGAGATTGATATGCGAACTCCTACGGGGAGAACGGGAGCAAGGCTTGCGCCAAATGTACATACCTGCATAGATACCTGCTACATACATATACACCACTTACATACTCACCTCTTACGAATTATGAGCATGAGCTTGGATGGCGCAACTATGTTGGTTAACCTAAGATTCTGGCATGTGCAAAATATTGACTTTGGCGTAGGAAACAACAAAGATGTCAGAAGAGATGATGAATATACCACATAGATGTTTTCCTACGAAAATAAATTTATACATAAAAACCTCCAAAACATTACTCGTAGATACTTCTCAGCCTGTGGATATGAAAGATCTATTGACTGATCATGAGGTACCGCTCCAGGGGCTTCATGATAGTTGAATATACGAAGAAGCTGCAGCTTTAGGTAGATGATATGCTTGCTCATGGGTGTTAGATTGATACCTCATAGACTCTAGACCAATATACCAATTTTGACACTTCAATATTGCTCTCACAACTCCCACACTCGCGACTAAACCTACGTAAAGTGTTCACGATGTTTCTCAACACCACAGACACAGCAGCAAATCGCAATACAGTACGCTGTACCCACACGAATCCCCATATTCCCAGGTTACATACCGAGGCAAGATCCAGCGTCGAATCCACCTACGTACATACATACATACATACATACATACATACATACATACATACATACATACATACATACATACATACATACATACATACATACATACCCATGCTTACACGATCCCCCCTCGTGTCGACGTCGGTTCGCAAACGTCACAACAACTTCGCCCCTGTCCAGTTCAGTAATCACAAAAGCCAAAAAAAAACCCCTCCTCCACCCCCACCGAAACAGAAGAGAGATCGATATTAGGTATGTAAGTATGCTAACGTACGACTCGACACCGCTTATCCAATTACCAATTATCCATGCATATCAATAACTACCTGCCAATAACTAGTCCTTAAATTTTGCTATGTACAGTATGTATGTACCAGGCTTGTCTGTCAGACGGGAGATGCTGACACATACCCGTTCTAATAATACGAAGGAACATCTGGACGTCAAGGTACAATACGTATGTACCGACATGTGTGTAGTTACATAGGTAGTTGTTACCTGGGTAGCACGTTCAGACTCAGCATGCACATAAGTTGTTCTATCCGTAAAACCCACCCGGGTTATTTCCAGGTGCATATGTACCTACGCTACTTCGTATTACACCTCCCTGTCAGCCCTGCCTACATATCTGTCTCGTAGATAAGACGAAGTGAAATTCGCCTCAATGGACATACATACCTACCTAGGTATTGATCAAGCAGCGCAATTCATCGCCTTAGCAAGTACCTACTGTATATCACGCCCTCCTCGCACGCGGCTGCTGAAAGGAGGAGAGTGAAACTACCAGGTAGTAAATAGTAAGCAAGCTAGATCCTCTCAAGGTGCAGCGACTCATAGACAGATAAGACAGCATGGCATATCATAAACCCACCCCCCTAGGAGTCAGTGAGTGCGGCCAACTAGGAGTTTTATCGCAAGAGAAAAATTGGTATTCTATACAAGACTTTTATAGAGGTGCTGACTACTAGGTAGCCTATATACCTATGTAGTAGTAGTGGTGGTGGTAGTGGTAGTCTATCTCTTCGCCGCGCGTTTTCTCATCTGCTTCTCGCGCTCGTACGCGTTCGCCTCCCTGCCCTCTTCGCCCTGGATCTCCGCCACTAGCCTCTTGTACTTCTTATCGTAAGCCGCGTCCTTAGCCCTTTTCATCTTCAGCTGTTCGCGGGCCATGAAGCTGGCGTCCTTCCTCAGTTCTCTCATGGCGCCCTTGCGCTCCTTCTTGTGTTCGGCCTTGAGCTTGGACATCTCGGCTCTGTCACGATCAGGGTCGTAGTGCTTATTAGGATCGAACGAGTCCTCGAACTTAGGAACGGCCGTCTTTATGGCAAGAGGCTTATGGTGGTGGAGTTCGAGGGGCCGCCGTGCCATCTGTGCGAGTCCGAGCATCCTGTCTAGTTTGTGCCGTAGTTTCTCGGAACGTTCATTGAAAGCCACCGGGAGACTGGATCTGCATGGTCGGCTGGCTACATGAACAAGGACGTTTTTGACCGGCTCAAATGTTTCGAAGAAGGCGGGCATGCCATTGAAAAGGTCTGCCGCAGCATCCAATAGCTGGATTGCGGTAGACAAGATGGCAATTTTTGTCTCGACGGCCTCGTCTGACACATCGCTCTTGACACAATCCATAGGAGTAAGTTTCCTGACAGTAACCGACTGAGCACCGTCAATGCGAGTCCCTGCCGCGGGCTCATGAAGTGGGAAGTACCCTAGACGCTTCTTGGCTCTCTCTGGCGCAAAAGCACACAAAGTATTAAGACAAAAGTTTAGCACTTCGGGGATATAACGTTTCGAAACCTGCTGGTATTGAAGAGCTAAAGTCGATAGATATGCCCCTTGCGCATAGTCTGCGATATGTTTTGGAACCCTCTCAAGATTTCGTGCGATGAGAAGCGCTGCTGGGGTTGTTACTTGGTGGAAATGATCCGAAGTTGGAAATATAGATCCAATCGCTGTTAACGTAACCAAGTCACCAAGGTTGGGGGAGAGTGGCCTTGACTGGCCAAAGTCCTCCAGTTGAGAACGGAATTCATTGGCAGTCTCAACAGGATGTGACTTGGCGAGGGAGTGAATATGTCGGATGATGCTTTCGAGAACAGAGAACGGTGGCAACTCTGCCCGGTTTGCCAAATATGGCAAATACTGTATGAGAATTGTAGCGAAGATGGCTAACTTTGACTTGTTCTCGCTGTCTAATTTCGGCTGATAAAGCGCTCTGATTCTTTGCACCATGGATGGGACGTGCTCTATCGGAATTCGTAGTGTCGTTTCGACGAATTCGTCCAGTGTGGTCGGGCAGGGAAAAGTGTAAGGGAGCCCGTTTGAATCTTCCCTAGCATCGGTCGTTGTGGTAGAGCCCATGAGCCGACTGCTAAATACTGGATTTTGCGTCTCTTCCTCGTTTAAAAGCCCTTTCGTAAATTCATCGTCATCTTCTTCAACATTTGAACCTTCGTCGTCTGATGATGCCTCGTCTTCAATGGGTTCTAGATCAGAATCACTGGCTATTAAATCATCCTCCACTAGGAAGTCGTCCTCATCGTCGAATCCAAGTTCTGTCGCAGATGGTCGATTTTTCCGGCCTTTCCGAGTCTTGAGTCCCTGGCCTAGTCCAAAGTCATCTTCTTCCGTTTCCGTGAACACTATGGGACCATTGGTTGGCCCCGTTTCCGACGGCGTATCGGCAACATCTTCCTCATCCTCGGAATCGCTAACATCTTCCCCGCGCATCCTCTTTAGCCTTTTCTCTTCAAGTTCTTTGAGTCTTTCAGACTCTTCCTGAGCTCTTTCTTCGTCCGTCTTAGTTCGGTCTGTGGGCTGTGCTCTTCTGTCCTGGGCTAATTGCCTGAGACGTAAGTCGTAATCACGCTCCATCCTTTCCTTGCCGGCCGATGTGGACTCAGGTTCCGCAACTCCTGTAACGTCGGGCGCCTTTTTTCTGTTGAATAGTAAGGCGTGGAGGTCTGGAAGCTCCATATCGAGCTCCTCTCGCAGATCCTCATCAGCATCTTTAGCTGCCTGCCGTTCAGCCTTGTAGAATTTCGACTTTGCGATGACTTCCTTCATGACTTCCTGCTTAGATTTTTTCCTTTCTGGCTCTCCTTCAACCAGATCGCCATCTTCGCCATCTGTATCGAAAGGCCGCACGCGTTTCGAGCTGTGACGCTCGCTATCGGAGAGGTCTGAGTCAGATCCAGCTGAAAGGTCATCTTCCTTGAAGTCGTCTACCAAGCCTGGACCATCGAATGATAAGGACTTTCCAAGATGGGTCAACCCTTCACTAGGCTCATCGTCTTCGAGATCAAACATGGAGCTTTTGTGGTTAAGTTTCTCCTTCAGAAATCTTTCGCGCATTTTATCCTCAGGTGCCATATGCGGGTCATTTTCTCCGAATCGTCGATCGAGTATACCACCTACTTTATGGCGTCGGTTGAGTTCGACGAGAAGGGTTTGGCGTCGCTAACGAATACTATTAGATAGAGAATGCGTGACAGCTATTTGCGAGACTTACCCTCTCTTCGCCAAGCGAGTTCGCTTCGCTAGGCCTTCCTTTGGCAGCATTGCTAGGCGCCGGTTTGTTGGTGGTGACCTGAAATTTGGGACCACGGGCATTGTGCTTTAAGTCAAAAGGATTGAACTCCTCTCGGATGCCCTCTAACTCTGCCGCCTTTTGAAATCTTCGGTTGCTTGCTTTCCCATCTTGCGCATTTCTCTTTTTCTGCTTTTTAGATAATTGTGGTCCTATAACGCCCTTTTCTCTTAAAGAGGCCTTTAACCTTTTGAGTTGAGAACCTGCCATTGTGAACCCTGGATCATAGAAGATCGTGTATTGTAGTGGAAGGGTGTCACGTTAGGCGATAAGTGAGGTGTTGGAGTGAAAGAATGTAACATTGAAATATTCAAATCGATTGATCTCGAATTCAACTTTTAACTTTTTTTTTTTTTCCTTGTCGTACCTAATCCATTCCATTGGTACATATTTGCGACAGCCTTATCTTATCGCACCACTAAGCAGGGGCACTGGTCCATAATGACCCCACATTAAATATTTAAAGAGCCTGCCCCAGTGCAACGTCGAATCGACCTAACCCACCTACCACCCAGAAAGACGTCAGTGAAACTTTAAATCTCTAAACACCAAAATACCTTACAGAGTACCTACTACTAGGTACGTCGTAGTACAGTACACACCATCATCCTTACAACTTCAAGTTCCGAATGCAACACATGCTGCCTCCAAATTCTGCTATGGAGATTCTACACTGAACGTAATTATGGGCTTCCATTCCTTCATCAGAGATGAGCGACTTATTGTCGTCGGCCTTGGCTTGTCTACCATAAGCTTCCTGTTTGCTATGCGAACTATTCTAGAATATTATCGAGACGAAGCTGAGATTAAACCGACGCCACCAAAGACACAATACATAACCCAAGACACTGAGGATTCTCTTAAACTCTGCACCCTCGAAAGTCTCCTCGGTCATTACAATTTCGCAATAAGGGACACAGCAATAAAAATCGCCACCGGACGTGCCTTTAACGACAGCTCTGTCATTCACCATCTTCTATGGGGAATCACCCGCGAGGACTACCACGAACGTATGCAAGCATTGAAAGCTTTGGCTTTTGCTATCGAGGATAGTATGTGTTTACAAACTACCCATTTATTGCAAGCAATGACTGACAAGTCTGTAGAAGAAACGTCACAAGAACCGTTGAACGTATTAAGCACCTCGAGAGCCTGCAGCGCTCTCGTTAGGTCGCTCCAACTATGTCTTACAGACGTGGAACATGAAAAGCTTGACGACCCCCTATATGACGAATATTTTCTTCGAGACATCGGCGAACGACGCTGTCTGACAATCATTTACCACCTACTCCAGAAAATTGATGTCGAAAAATTGATCCAGGCTGGAATTGTTGAGAAGTGGTTGGGCAGGCAACCATGGGGAGACAGTGATGAGGAAAGACAAAATAATTTCGCCATGTATCTGGACCGACGACAGAACCAAATCAGTACACTTTGCTTCCACCTACAAACTTCCAGGGCAGGCCGAAAGGCCTTGATCAAGGAGAAGTTAATGCCTCCAAGGGAAGCGAAGCGTGAGTGCAATATCAATGTTGTTGTACAGATACGCAGGGGGGACGGAGAAGAAGCCGATGAACTTGTTGCAACGTCCGTTGAACTTGTTCCTCGCGTGAGCGGCCAAACCGCCGAAGAGCAACGTCTACGCAGAAGACACCGAGAAGCCATGGTGTTGAACGACGGAACTCATTCACTCGGACGCAGTGATATCATTGAGAGGGAGCATGACTCTAACAGTTGAATGATTCTGCACTTTAGTTATCACTAATCTGCAGCCTCTCGGTCTCGAGAGGTTGTCCATTTTGGGAATGTCTTGTCGAGCTGGACCACATACTCGGTTTCAAATCGAGGTTCCTTTTAGTTCCATGGAACTGTCCTTGCCACCTCCGACATTATTTCCCTGCCACGTAGGGAGATTTGAACGACGGAGAATCAGGGGCCAAGGCTATTACTTCAACGTCTTATGTTACGGTGGCGGACCATGACATTCCGAGCACAACTGATAGTTGCATCGAGCTATCTTCAGATGTATAGCCTATTCGACATACGTTGGCCAATGTACGTACAACTCCCATCAAACTTGCCGAAATGCTCCCTAAATGATGAATAGGCGAGGGACAGGCGTGCTTTTTTCGTCGGCTTGTGCGTCACGAGCATTGCGTCTTGAATCCCTGGGTTGACACTTGTTCTCGCGGTAGTACTTCAACCCAGAAATGGTATCGCCTAACGAATAATATTACTCTACCTAACCATACCCCTATGTGCCGGAGTGGTGTTCTCGGATGTAATGATAGTAGAAGGGAGTTTATTTACATACATATGTACCTATCCATGGGCATCTGTAGTGTATCTCCGTATGAGTGCAAGACGTGCTAGTACCTACTAGGCATAGTAGTAGGCAATATCTAAACGATCATACACTCCGAAGTCTCAAGCCAAATCACTTGGCTGCATGATTTAGAAAATAAACTTCAACCGGGACACGAAACCGTTGAATACCTAGTACCTACCTACCTATGCCGATGGTCAAATGCAGATATATTCATATGCAAGTCAAACGCCATATGTTATAACTGACTGATACTTCTTGGAGGTGCCCACGGTAACATCCGGGCGTTGCCGATGTAAACAAGAGGTTTACTTTACACATGGCAGTAGTTACTAGGTAAACATATTACATAGTACATACATACATACATGTATGAGTATGCATGTACAGGCCCCTCATCCATGTGATTGATCTGCTGGGAAGCCAATAATATTCGATACTTCTTAGAGTTTGTCCTGATGCGGCGTGTAATGTTGCAGTAAAACTTTGGTTAGCCACAGTAGCGTTGTTTAAATTGGAAATGATGGGAATGGATAAAGGAATTAGGGGAATTACATACTACGTAGTAGGAGTTGCTTGCTGCAATCAGAAGCTGCCAAAATAAAAAGTGATAGGTCTCACCGCCTGAGCGTTTGGGCTATGACCTATCATTGGCAACAGTTTTGGTGGTTGTTTATGAGTTTCAAAGTGCTGGATCCCGTACGAGATTCGTCTCGTTGCAGGGTACATACTAACCTTAGCTATTATACCAACATAGTATTAGTTATTACCTAGATCTACATACATATCGTACTAGGTATGGACTATGTCATCTCGTGGAATACAACTTCATGTTTTTTCAACGAAATCCGGCAGAAACCACATCACCATTACCTTCACCCTCACCTTCACCTTCACCTTTACTATTACCCTTACTCTTTCTTATCTTTGTCAACGTCACCTCATCATTACGGAACTACATATGTAGTATTCTGGAAGCTGAACACCGACTAACTAGAGTAGCTGACTTCTAGAGCTACTAGATGTTGCCTGTCTACTAGAATATCCAATATCCAGCTTTGGACCTAATAGTTTGTCACTTGTCGCTTGCGGCCGTTGCTGCTTCTACAATCTTTTCTGGTAATTGCAAATCCCAATGTTATTGCTTTATGGCCTTAATACCTTAGTTAGGTGCTTATTTCTAACATTGAGTCGTCGACACTGAACAGCTTCAAAGTGTTTACTTCATACATCCATACATCGATTACAATCAACAATTATTATTTACAATTAACATTAACATTGCCGGGTTTCTAGCGCACACAACTTGTTGGGCTTCCGCTGTCAAATCATTGGCCAAGAGAGCACCTGGAGTCCTGGACAATTCCCCTTTCCCACTTGACGCTTCCAAGACGGCAACCAGTGTCCACTGTCCAGTACACAAAGCACCGGCCAACATTTGAACGTTTTAGTGGGTTGCAATATACCTAGCACCGCCTTATTAGCAGTCTAATACCCCCCCCTTTCAGTGGACTTACTGGATTGGACAAGAGCTATTGGTCCCCCACTAGCCAAAATCAATAGCGGGTAAGAAAAAGAAAGACAACTTAAAAAGAAAACAGTCACAAGGAAGTACCTCACACACCAAGAAGTGGTGGTATAGGTACATACCTAACCTACCTATATTTATACTAGGTACACTAAACATTAGGGAAGCGACAAATTGCCTATTGACTGTTGCCCATTGCCCGTTGCCCGTTGCCCAGTTGCCCAGTTACTTTGTTACCTACCCGTTACCAATCCACACAGATTCTTGGTTGCCCACCATGACTTCAACGTCAACAACCCTTTCTTTGCCGCAGAGACAAAGCACTCTGTCTCGGACACCAAGGAAATCTGGCATCGCCACCGCTTCCACCCCGAATTTAAACAGTTTATATTCTGCGCATTCACGACTTGCCCCAAGCTCGGGCGGCCTTACGCGCAAAGCTTCATTCGCTACTTTGACCCCTAGCTCGCTTGCTGCCATTCCAGATGACAGCGAAAGCTACGCTATATCTAGTGTTTTGACCGACGACACGCGCAAAATGCCCCCTATAACGCCTGGAAAGGGCGCTTGGGCTGCCGATGATTTCGCATTTGGCGATCCAGTTGAGGTTCCTGGGAATATGACCGGTACCGTTCGCTTTATTGGTTCGGTCGCCGGGAGGAAAGGCACATTTGCTGGTGTCGAGTTACACCCAGAATTTGCTGTGCGCGGCAAGAATAATGGCGATGTTGACGGGTAAATATCATCTTCCCTCATTCTTAATTCATCTACCCGTCTTATCTAACTGCTTTCCCATCTGGTTTTGTTTCACTCGTTCCAACCATTCTGTCTCTTTTTTCATCTAACCCATGGTTCCCATGTTAATTGTTAACCCCTACTAATATCCTCTTCTATCCATAGTGTCTCCTACTTCACCACCACAGCCCCTGGTTCTGGTATCTTCGTACCGATCCACAAGCTTGCTAAACAACGCGACTCGCCCACACCCGCTTCCGGTTCCTATCACCTCACCCCATCGTTGAAAGGCGCGAACCAGAACGCTACAAACCATACCCCCCCAACACCATCTTTATCTGCATTCAGCAAGTCTCTTGGCCCACCCAGAGCCCCAAGCCCTCAAGGGAAAAAAACGAGAACATCTCTATCACGACCAGAGTCCCCTGTTCGCAAATTGCAACTAACGCCAGCTCCACGACCTTCGGCAACGCCAGTTCCCAAGGTGCCCCCACGCTACGGAACCCCATCTATTTCTAGATTTGGATCGAGTGTACGGGGCACTTCTGGTGACCCAAACAAGTCCTCAAGGCTAGATAGGAAACCAAGCATAGTCCCTAGAAGTGCGTCAGCATTGGGGGGAACTAACTCTATCTACGATGAAGATGAGGCTACCCCTGTCGGTGCGCGCACCAAAAATGACGGAAGCATTGGATCGATGTCGTCGGTATCTTTCAAGCGTCCCGCGTCTCGAGCAACCCACATGAATGATGAGGAGATTGAGCGACTGAAAGCCCAGCTCGAAGATCGAGATCGCCAACTGAGAGACCAAGCCTCCGCTCTGGCTGAGATGGAGAGCAGCCTTTCGGAACTCACCATGCTAATAGATCAGTCTGAAAATGGTAGGATGCGAGCGGGTAGCCTGGATGGTAAAGACACCTCGCAGCTTCGAACAATGCTTAGAGAGAAGAATGAGAAGATTGCCATGCTTACCGCCGAATTTGACACACATCGAGCCGACTTCCGCAGTACTATCGACACACTCGAAATGGCAAGCACCGAAACCCAGAGAGTTTACGACGCAAAGATTCGAGAATTGGAACAGGAACTTCACGACGCACAAGAACGGCACGATGATGTCGATAGCGTAGCGCGTCAGCTTAAGCAGCTCGAAGAGCTGGTCCAAGAGCTCGAGGAAGGCTTGGAAGACGCTCGCCGAGGGGAGGCGGAAGCTCGCGGCGAAGTTGAATTTCTGCGAGGGGAGGTCGAGAGAACCAGAACGGAGTTACGACGGGAACGCGAGAAGGCTTCAGCCGCAATGAACGGGGGTGACCATGGAGAAGACAAACTATCCATGTCGAAAGAGTTGGAGCAGAAGGAAGATGAGATTAGAGGTCTCAAGGCCATTATCCACTCCCTTAGTAGAGATTCTATTCCAGGATCGGAGTCTCCTGAGAAAGCGTCTACACAGCCACAACGTAACAACTCGGTCATTAAGTCACGTCCAGACTCGATTGATGGCCGCCTAGCAAGGGAGAAGCTAGAGCGAGAAGTCTACGAACTACGTAGCATAGTCGACAACAAGAACCATCGGGAGGAGGAATTGGAGCGCGAGATTGAGTCTCTTCGCCGTGGAAGTGCGTCGGTTCATCGTATTAGTACTACAACCATCGGCAGCACCAATCGATCATCGTACCGTGACTCGAAAGGGACCGTTGTCCTTGCACGTGAGCCACACTCGCCGGAGTCTACACACAAACGTGCGCACACTCTAGACACGATGCCCGAGAGTGATGCGTACTCGTCGATCACCGAGACTAGCACGCTCTGGTGTGAGATTTGTGAGACTAGCGGGCATGATATTCTTACGTGTACCAACATGTTTGGGCCCCAAAACGAGCAAGGCAAGTCTTTGAATGGCGACCACGCGCTCGACAAGTCAGGCAAGGGTGTCGTCCGAGAAGGCCACAAGAATTTGTCGGTTCCTTCCGATGCCAGCGAAGAGGACACACCCCGTCCTTTATCCCCATTGAAGTCTAGAGCGGTGCCACAGCCTCCGCCCCCTCCACCGGCCACGGTCAAGATTCTTCCTAATCCCCAAGACAACGGGCCGCTAGCAGGCAAGGATAGCGGCGTAGTAGATCCAGCAAAGTGGTGTGCCTTGTGCGAGCGTGATGGGCATGACAGCATAGACTGTCCCCTAGAGGATGCATTCTGAGGGATCCATTAGCAGTACAGCACCAGACACAACTTACCGACCTAGATACCCTAGAAGCATTGGGAGATGACCTAGCAAAACTCGAATATCCGGTGTGGCACGATATAGGACATCGTGCAACATCAACCTTACGTCCCTTTCTTCTATCCATTAATAGGTGTTGCATATTATATTCCTGAGGAACGCACTTTGATTAACGGCCACGTCGGGCCGACCATAACAACAAAACTCTCACCCTTCTACTGCCTACAGTTATATTCCCCCTCTCGACAACTATTACTCGCTTTTTTTTGCGTGTAAATCTGATTGGAGTAGTTTCGGAGGAAGATTAGAGGGTTGGTCTGCCTTTATACTGATAAGCCTCCCTGGTGTGTGGGAGATGAATGCGGCAAGACAGGACGTATAGGCTAACTCCAACCACGTTGGGTACTGAATAGTTATTGCCTACCTACCTAAGTAGATGATGTATTATAATACAACATGAGCTGAGGTGCCTGTCCTATGACAGACAGTTGACTATTTTTAAGATCTCATTAAGAAACATGCAGTGACTTGTATTCCAATCCCAATCTGAAATATTGCGAAGTCGGTTGTTTACATACAACAAGAGATGCACTTTCCAACTTTTGTACTGATATAGATGGTCTCGATCTCTCTAGTTATTGGTTAAGTGCCTCCTTATCATGAAGAGGTATGTAGGCTTCGAATGCTCTAACAACACATATAAGGCTGATAGTTGCTAGCTATAACGGGATAAGTGCAGGCTACCAAGCTGTTACCTACATAGCTAGTAATTAGTACTATCGTAACTTGAAGACATTTGCTTGTTTGACATGGAGAATGCCAAGTTCTGCTCCGCAAACATTCTAAGCAAGTTGCCTACTATGTACGAAGTAGCTAGAAGGATTAGACCCTGGCACTTCTTTAGGTCTAGACATCCATGGATATAGCATGAGGTTCTATATAAGCATTCTTGTTCTTCTTCTATGCATCATAGTCTTCTTGTAGTACATGCATGTGGCTTTGGTTTGAAGTTCATGAATTGCATTCCTTGAAAAGCTTATGTCTCTTGGACAGCGTGGCCGTCATAGCTTGTTTTTCCACAGTGGGCCTTTTGCTGCTCGCTTTGATAAAGAACAACAATGAAAGTGTAAATAATACCTATTGACATAGTATGATAAACATCTCGTGACTTTATTTAGGCCAATGAGGGGCTCTATTCACTGGGGCCAGAATGGTGGAGCGGCCTTGCCACCCCGCGATTCATTGACTTAATTGGTCCTGGTCAGGCTGGTCTTAGCTTATTACGTAGCCAGGTACTTATCAGCTTGCCCTCAATGTTGGGACCTGAGCCTGCCTCAAGCAAACCTAGCATGATACTCCACTTTCCCTCCAAGCGAAAGACTTCACTGGCTCTTATTGGTCTTGGCAGATCTCCCGAAATAGGAAATTCGTAAACTACCCCACTGGCTCTTGTTGGCCCTTGCTTGGCCCTAAACCCCCCTCGGCCCCTACGTACTAGGTAGGTGCATACAAGGTACGTCTCAGGAACCCTCGGCACCTACAAGTTACAACTTTGAAGCAAGCTTCCAAGGTTGTTCTACCTACATACCCTACATACTACCTACCTACCGCCTACAACTTCTAAACTTCAATGTGGCTTTTCTTTTGTGACCTTTTGTAGCTTCCAAAAGGTTCAATTGACAACCTAGGAATAAAATAACTTCAACATCGTCTATTGATATAGTCCATCAATTGTTGTTGCATTGCTGTACTGACTGCACTACCCTCTTCATTCACTGTCTTACGACCTCATCCTTCATTTATATACGTATCACGTACCACCTAGCAGTGTGCCTCTCTATTCGATACCTCATCGTTGCCGGACATCTACTCTTTACTTCTAGAACGATACGATAGCCTGCGTATTTCCATAGTAATCCAACATATCCAACGTATACACTAGCCCTTCTAAATACTTCTACCAAACAATCATCAACCAACAATAATCCCGAATTCTCATAACAGAGGTTACCATGGGTGGCGAAACCACGACGCCAAAGGTCACCTCGACCGAATACCCAGTCCGGGCTCGCGCCCCGGTTGGTAAACGGATAGCCCACATCTACAAGGACCGCATCACGCAATTCTACTCTAAGGGACAATGGGAGAAGCAGAATCTCCTTGCTATGATGTTTGAGGGTGTTGCATCTGGACCTCCGAATGTTCAGCTCTGGACATGGCCTGCTCCCGAACTCTCTAGACCGACCTTTGAGGAGGCTATGGCTGGCAAATACCAACCTACCAGTGTTGGCCAGTCCTTTGGCCCCTCTTGGTCTACTCATTGGTTCAAGGTTGTCCTCCGTGTCCCTGCCGATCTTCGAGATAAAGAGCACCTAGAATTCCAGTGGGACGCCAACAGCGAGGGCATGGTCTGGACAGAGGATGGAAAGCCCTTGCAAGGTCTGACCGGAGGCGGCGAACGTGTGGAGTGGATCCTTCCGGACTCTTTTAGAGACGGCAAGGAGCATACCATCTACATCGAGATGGCCTGCAACAGCATGTTCGGCAACCCCACCGGGGGTGATACCATCCAGCCTCCCGATCCCAATAAGCACTTCCAGCTAGTCAAGGCCGATATCTGTGCTGTTAATTTAGACGCTCGGCAACTCTGGATCGATACCTGGATCATCGGCGATGCCGCCAGGGAATTCCCCGAGGATTCATGGGAACAACATGAGGCGTTGAATGTCGTCACGAATATCATTGATTCCTACGTCCTTGGTGATAAGGAATCACTCAAGAAGTGCCGCAAGATTGCACAGGAATACATCGGGTCGAATGTTGATACCTCCAAGGTCTACGACAGCGAACTTGTTCCCCAAGTCTTTGGTATCGGTCACTGCCATATCGACACATGTTGGCTGTGGCCCTGGGCCGAGACGAAGAGGAAGGTTGCAAGATCTTGGTCGAACCAATGTGACCTGATGGACCGATATCCCGAACTCAATTTTGCTTGCTCCCAAGCGCAGCAGTACAAATGGTTGAAGACCCTATACCCGTATGCCTTCGACCGGGTCAAGCAGAAGGTAAAGGAGCATCGGTTTCACCCAATCGGTGGCAGCTGGGTTGAACACGACACCAACATGCCAAGTGGCGAGTCTCTTGTCCGACAGTTCTTGTATGGACAGAGATTCTTCGAGAGCAACTTTGGAGAACGTTGCCGGACGTTCTGGCTTCCTGATACGTTTGGATATTCGAGTCAACTTCCTCAAATATGCCGGCTGGCTGGCATGGACCGCTTTCTCACACAGAAGCTGAGTTGGAACAATATCAATAACTTCCCCCACACAACCTTCAACTGGGTCTCCCCTGATGGGAGTCAAGTCATATGTCACATGCCGCCAGCTGAAACCTACACATCCGAGGCCGAGTTTGGGGATGTTAAGCGCAGTGTTTCTCAACACAAGTCGATGGACCAGGATCACACCTCCCTGCTGGTTTTCGGTAAGGGGGATGGTGGTGGTGGTCCGACTTGGCAGCATATAGAAAAGCTGCGACGTTGCCGCGGCATTAGCGACCAGATTGGCCGCTTGCCTAGGGTACACTTGGGCAATTCCGTTGACGACTTCTTTGACAAGCTCCAGGAAAAGGGTGAAAGCCTAGTAACCTGGTATGGTGAGCTCTATTTTGAACTTCATCGGGGTACATACACTACCCAAGCAAACAATAAACGTAACAACCGAAAATCGGAGTTCTTGCTACGGGAACTCGAATTATTGGCCACTATTGCATCGTTGAAATTCAAATCTTACCAGTATCCAAAGGCAGAGTTTGACGAGATGTGGGAAGCAACCCTTCTCTGTCAGTTCCACGATTGTCTTCCTGGAAGTTCTATCGAAATGTGTTACGATGACTCAGATGAGGTAGGCTTTACCCAACCATAGTTTGATAGTAAGCTAACAGCGAAAACAGTTATACGCCAAGGTATTTGAGATTGGCAAAAACATATACAAGGATATCTACAAACTCTTTGGAGTCACGCAGGTGGGATCGGCTGATAAAGTTAGCGACACCGTCGCTCTGAACACCCTCCCATGGCACAGGAGAGAGATTGTGGAACTTTCTCCAGGTGTCGTCGGGGTTGCTTGCGGTTCCGAGAACCTCGTCAACGTGAAGCCGTTTAAAACAATGGCCTCCAAACCTGTTACCATCAATGATCTTGGTGAGGGAGTCTTCGTTATGCAGAATGAGCAGCTCACAGTGAAGATTGAAAATGGCTGTGTCACCTCCCTGCTCGATCGTAAGGCAGGACGAGAGATTATACCGAACGGAGAGAAAGCCAATCAGCTTGTCATCTTTGACGACAAGCCACTATATTGGCAGGCGTGGGACGTGGAGGTTTACCATCTTGATACACGCAAAGTGATATCTTACGGAAAAACTAAGATCTACGAAGACGAGGATCATCGTGTTAGTGTCATGACGGAAGCTAAGATCAGCGACAACAGCTCGATCAAGACAGTACTGAGCCTGTCTGCCGCCTTGGAGGGCCAGCAGTCGTACGTCGAGTGCACCGCACACGTGGACTGGCACGAGACTATGAAGTTTTTGAAGGTGGAGTTCCCGGTCGATATCAGAAACACGGAAGCTTCCTACGAGACGCAATATGGCATTGTCAGACGGCCTACACATTACAATACTACCTGGGATATGGCCAAGTTCGAGGTGTGCTGTCACAAGTTTGCTGACTTGTCGGAACATGGGTACGGTGTTTCGATTCTCAACGACAGCAAGTATGGTTTTGCTACTTGCGGAAGTCTCATGCGGCTCTCCCTCTTACGAGCGCCGAAGGCACCTGACGCCCACGCAGATATGGGCAAGCACATTATTCGTTGGGCCATCCTACCGCATCAGGGTGATCTAAGTGCCACGACCGTCCGAGCAGGCTACAATTTCAACCACCCGATGAAGGTTCTCTCGGCACCCAAATCATCCGAGATTGCTGCGCTCGCAACCTATCCAGTCAAGCTGACAGGCAACGACTCGTTGATATTGGATTGTGTGAAGCGTGGCGAAGATGATGAGGACGTTTCTCAAAATAGCGGTATCGCACCTCGCAAGGGTCGCAGTGTCATTCTCCGTATCTACGATAGTCTTGGCGGCCATAGCATCGGCACAATTACGACGATTTGGGCTGTTAAGAAGGTATTCAAGACGAATATCTTGGAGGACGATGGAGAGGAAGTCAGTGTGGATAAGGATGGCTCCTTCAACATTTCCCTTAAGCCTTTTGAGGTTGCCACTTATAGATTACAACTATGAGTGGATTGTTGATCGCGGAGATTGGCAAATAGGGATTCTCGAGACAGTTGTAGGCAGAGAAGGTGATTTGGGTGCAAGGGACTATGAGATTGTCTATGTCTAAATTACTTTCCGGCGTTGATATTTGCGCCAAAGAATAACGGGACACGTTTGATGGGTGATGAGAATGGCAAGACTCTTTGAGTCTTTGTGGTGTAGGGTGCACAGCTATAGCAAATCCTTTTTATAAAAAAAGAAAAACAAGACAAAAATGTGATATATTATATGGTACAGTATGTAAGACTGTGTGGTCTACTCAGGATATAGCGGGTAGTCACTATCAAGCTCACAGTGCGTGTTAGAACGATTTATGACTTTATAGCAACCATGGATCCCTTGCCGGGTATAAGCCAATCAGCCATGTCAACCATGTAAGTGAAATCCACATAACTGAATTGCAAACGACCAAGTTTCAAAAATAAATTGACAATAACTAGTTAACTAACTTGACCATAAAATCCAAAAGGGCATAACTTGAACTTGACTTGACTTTACCCGACTTGGTTAATGATACTATATACTCACATCGGGCAAACAACAAGCAAACACGACTCGCCCTGCTTATTTAGGTGGTTTACTTACAGTAGTATAGGTACATACACCTACATAGGTAGGCAAATATTAGGTTAAGCACATACTAGGCATAGCTCGGGACTTACACGGCACGGCACGGTACGGTACTTACATGGTTACCGGCACACACACGCACATCCATCGACCAGATGAAGGGTCCAGCATGCCGGCGGCTAACCCAGATAGGCCTCCTCCACAATCGGGGGGGCTACTACTACCACCACCACCACCACTACTACCGCACCATCGGCCGGCGGACCGGCGGACACTCGCTTTCTTCATTTTCAACAACAGCAGCAGCAAGTTCACGATGGCTGAGAAGGGGGGTTTTGGTCGGTTCGGGGTCTCCTCCTCCCCTTACTACCAGCGCTAATGCTGCTACCACCACTCCTACTACTGGTAGTATGGGCATATACCATCCTACTCAGCAGCAGGTGCGGGGCAAGAAGACGAAGTCGCGGATGAAGCTGGAGGACCTGCCGCGAGGGGTGCCTCTAATAGACGAGGTAGAGGAAGTAGAGCCAGTAGAAGAAGAAGAAGATGAGCAGGAAGAGCAAGAGGTAGTAGGCGAGGAAGAGATGGAGATGGAGGTAGAGGAGGAAGCAGAGGGGAAGAAGAAGAAGAAGAAGACGGCAAAAGCAAAAGCAAAAACAAGTACCAAGAAACCTCGGACGAAAAAAACGCCGATGAGAGTGGATGAGGTAGAGCCAGTAGAAGAAGAAGAAGTAGAAGATTTAGAAGAGCAGGAGGTAAGTCAGGAAGACATGGAGACGGAGGAGACGAAGCCGAAGAAGCCGAAGAGAAATGCAAAGGCAAAAACAAGCAGCACCAGGAAGCCGAGGACGATGCGAGTAGCGGATCTACCACAAGGGCGGGTCGAGATACCACCATCACTTTTGGGGACAGAGGGGGAAGGGGAAGGAGAGGACGGAGAAGAGCCGGCGTACCCGACGGTGGTGCTTCAGGCGCACCGCAACATGCGGCGGTTCGAGAACTGCGTGCTGCTGACGCGCGTCGGCGGCTTCTACGAGCTGTACTTGCACCAGGCCGAGGAGTACGGCCCCCTGCTGAACCTGAAGGTCGCGCAGAAGAGGACGAGTGCTGGGCCGGTGCCTATGGTATGTATGATTTGGTATTTTTTTCGTATCTTATATTCATGTTCTTCTTTTTGTGTTTTGTTGTTCGATTTGGTTTATTGTACTGTTGTGTATTACATCCCTCTATCCACCTCCCTACCCCTATTTTGAGAATGACTTTTGTTCCATGTAGCAACTTTCTGTATACCCCTATATCAAGGCAATCATCATCACCACTACCATCTCCATCTATAACCCCCAGCCCCCCCCCTTAAAACAAATATGCGTCTAACCTGTCACGAAACACACAGTCCGGCTTCCCCTTTTTCCAACTAGACCGGTTCCTCAAGACGCTCGTAGTAGACCTGAACTGCTACGTGGCCATCGCGGAGGAATTTCCCAACAGCGCCGGCGACAGGATCAAGGCCAACGGGCTCATGCACGACCGCCGCGTCACCCGCGTCATCACCCCGGGCACCTTGATCGACGAAAACTTCATCGACCCTTACGCTAACAACTACGTCATGGCTATCCACGTTAGTCCTCGACAGAAGGACGAGGAGAAGGGAGAGGGGGAGGAGGCGACGGCGAATGATGGTGATAATGAAACTATCAGTACCAACATAGATATCGGACCTCTCGCAACGCTTCAATCCAACGCCGCCGCCGCCACCGCCAGTACTGCTGCCGCCACCCCTATAGGAGTAGCCTGGATCGACGTATCCACAGGGCAGTTCTACACGCAAGCCACGACCGTGACCTCGCTCCAAACCGTGCTCTCGCGCGTCGCGCCGCGGGAAGTCGTCGTGGACAAGATCCTCGAGTCGCAGCGGGACGAGCACAAGCTCTTCTCCGTGCTGGCCGAGGACAAGCACCTGATCACGTTCGCGGCGCCGGGGGAGCACCTGCCGCTGTCGGCGTGGACGCCCATGCTCGAGTCCGAGGTCGCGGCGCCGCAGAGCTTCACGGCCGACGAGGTCGCCGCCGGCAGCCTGCTGCTGCAGTACATCCGGGACCGGCTGCAGGGGCTGAGCATGAGGCTGCAGCCGCCGCTGCGGTACGAGAACATGTCCGTCATGTCCATCGACAAGAGCACCATGCGCGCGCTCGAGATCAAGCAGACCATCCGCGACGCCGGCTTCCGCGGCAGCCTGCTGCATGCGGTTCGGCGGACCGTGACGAAGGGAGGTGCCCGGCTGCTCCACAACTGGCTCAGCGCGCCCTCCACCTCGCTGAAGACCATCACGTCGCGGCAGGACCTCGTGGAGCACTTCATCCAGAGGCCGGACCTGCGCGACGAGATCGTGACGCTGCTGCGGCGGAGCCACGACTCGCAGCGCCTGGTGCAGAAGTTTGCGCTCGGGCGGGGGGACCCGGACGACTTCATCGCGCTCGCCAACACCATCCGGGCGACGCAGCGGATCGTCGCGCGCCTAGAAGAGACCGAAGCCGAGACCGGGGGAGCGGCTGCTGGCTGCTTCGCCCCGCTCCTCTCCCGCATCCAGCTGCAGAGCCCAGTCGAGCTCGCCAACCGGATCAAGTCGTCGATCGACGAGGACGGGCTGGTGCAGCAGCAGCAGAACGAGGACGACGCGGCGAGCCAGCTCATGACGCTCGCCGAGAACGTCGTCGTCTCCGAGGGCGAGGACCCGTCCTCCATGCTGCCCAAGTCCATCAGCAGCAAGAAGAAACGGCAGACGCCGTCCACCAGAGACTACTACACCTCCGACGACAACGCGCCTTTTGTCATGAAGCCCGAGGCGAGCGAGGGCCTGCGCGCACGCCACACCAAGCTCTCCGCGCTGCTGCGCGAGAAGCTCAGCCTCGCCGAGACGCTGCGCGAGCGCTTCGGCGCGGCGAGCCTGACGCTGCGGTGGACGCCGACGCTGGGCCACGTGTGCCACGTCAAGGGGACCAAGGACCTGCGACGGCTGACGGAGATCGAGGTGGCCTCGGTGAGCTCGAGCCGGAGCACACGCACCTTCCACCTGACGGAGTGGACCGCACTGGGGCGGCAGATCCTGCAGACGCGCTACGAGATCGGCGCCGAGGAGCAGCGCATCTTCGCCGACCTCCGCGCCAGCGTCGTCGCGAACCTCGTCAAGCTCCGGCGCAACGCCGCCGTCCTCGACGAGCTCGACGTCGCCGCTTCCTTTGCGCGCCTCGCCGCCGAACAGGGCTGGATCCGGCCTATCCTCCTCGACTCTGCTGCCGCCACGACGTCACCTCCCCCCTCGGACCCTTCTTCCTCCTCTTCTACTACTACCAATACTACTGTTACTACTACATCCACGCCCACCACCGTGATAATCGGCGGCCGCCACCCCACCGTCGAAGCCGGACTCCACGAACAAGGACGGAGTTTCACCAAGAACGACTGCATCCTCGGGAACCACACTAGCAGCGATGCCTCCTCACCCACCCACGGCACCCTCCGCCTCATCACGGGGCCCAACATGGGCGGCAAGAGCACGTACCTGAGGCAAAACGCGCTGATCGCGGTCCTGGCCCAGGCCGGGTCGTACGTGCCAGCCGACTACGCAGCCCTCAGCATCGCCGACGCCGTCTACTCGCGCGTCGGCTCGGCTGACAACCTGTACAGCGACCAGAGCACCTTTATGGTCGAGATGCTCGAGACGGCAGCCATCCTGCGCTCTGCCACCTCGCGATCTCTCGTCATCATGGACGAGATCGGCCGGGGCACGACACCCGAAGATGGCACCGCCGTCGCCTTTGCCGCGCTACACCACCTCGTCACGGTGAACAAGTGCCGCGCGCTCTTTGCCACGCATTTCCATAGCTTGGCGGACCTGGTCGAAGAGCGCAGCATGCTCATTGCGCAAGGGGGCGCCGTCGAGATGTACTGCACCGACGTGGAGGAAGATGGACTGGGGAGCTTTGTCTACGTGCACAGGCTACGAGAGGGAATTAACCGGGAGAGCCACGCACTCAAAGTCGCGCGGCTGGCCAACCTACCTGAAATTGCTATTACAGTTGCGAGGGAGATCCTGGAGAGGAATGGTAAAAGGCATAGTCAAACGTTGTAGTCGGAATACGGCTTTACATCATGATACCCAGAGTCCCAGACAAAAGGGCAAGTAGTCAAGAGGAAGAAGAAGGCTAAGTTGGACGGCATTGTGATTAAGCACGGCTATAGGATTCTGGAAGCAAGTTAGCGCCCAACTCTATGTACGATATATGTAAATAGTAAGTGGTTTGTAAGGAATAGTGTCTCATAAAGTGTTGATGTGTGTCATCAATGAAGATCAGGGTTAAAAAGCTCTTACATCTGAATTATAATCATTGAACACTGGGGGAGTAGGTGCTTTAAAAACAGAAGAAGTTGAACTCACCATTTACAAGGCAACAAAACTTGTTGCATAGATAGGCACTGTAATGTAACCATGTCACGCGATAGAACACATAATTCATCTGCAACGTGCCTTAATTGACCGTTAAGGGATCTATGTATCGACGGGTTTAGTACGTCTAGATCCTGGAATCCCAACCCAAGCCCAGTTTGATGCCAATCCGACAACACCGTGACCATGCTAAGACATTTAGTCGCTGAAAAAAGATTAGATGTTAGCCATGTCAAATCATGAAACTCCCTAGAGGAAAGGGGAACATACAATAGACCACCGAAGCCCTCATCTCCAGACTCCTCCTCCTCTTCTTCCTTCTTCTCCTCCTCGGCGGCGGCAGCAGTCGTAGTCTCGGCAGCGGCAGCAGCGGGGGCAGAGGAGGCGTAGGCGTCAGGGTTGGCGATACGGTCCTTGAGCTGCTCAATCTCAGGCCAGCTGATTTCAGTCTCGATAGCGACAGCCAAGACCTTCTTGTAGCTGTTGACCAACGAGTGAATGACAGATGGGAGAGTAGGGAAGTTCAGAGCGAGCGAAAGGGCCGCAATGGTAGTGATGGCGCTCGTGAAAGTCTTGAGAAGTTGCTCCTCGCCAATGTCCAAGACGTCAGGGGGGAAGGTGTTGCCCTGGTCATAGACTTGAGAGACACCCAAACCGTATGTGAAGGGAGAGATGTTCAACATGTTGAGCAGGGTAGCCTCGGAGGGGCCGACCTTGGTACCAGCCTCGACAAGCTTGAGGTCAGTCGTGATTTCAATGGTACCACGAGCGATCTTGGTGGGGACACCGAGAGCCTGGAAGAAAGAGGTCTTTCCGGGTTCCATACCAGTGTTGCCGGCAGGAATCCAGACATCGGCAGGCGCAACAGCACCGGCACGAGCAGGGGCCGCAACCTTATTGGACAGAATCTTGTCGCGGACGGTCTTGAGCTCGCCGTTGGTGAAGATGAAACCAATGTTACCCTTGACGTGGGGAAGGAGACGCTCGTACTCGGGAGTGTCGGGGATGAAGGTTCTGAGGGCTCGGCGAACCTATCTAGTTATTAGAGGAAATGTTTCATTATTGGGTTTATGAATATTAAACTTACCATGGTATTCTTGCCCATCAGGACAACAGCCTCTCCACGGAGAGACTGTCGGATCTCGTGCATCTGCTGAGAGCTGACATTGTCGACGGTGACGAGGAAAACAGAGCGGTATTCCTCGAGCAGGCCCTTCAGCTTGGGGAACTGTGTGAAGAAAATAAGTTAATAAGTGAATCAAGAATACAAGAATATAAAAGATTCATATGGAAGATACATACATATTCCGCCTTCTTTTGCTTGCTGGCTCCCATATCTTCTTATTTCTGAAGTTAGGATTTTTAAAGCCGGGTGTTGATGATTTTGTTAATTGAGGGTGGATGAATGATGAAAATGACTGAAAATTGAAAAGTTCGCAGGAAGTTTGACGTCCATTTCTGGTGGAAATTCGGCTAATTGTTTTTGTCCCTTCTCAATGTGTGCTAAAAGCCTGTAATCCTAGGGCTTGTTGTGCACGGATCCACCCCTGGTTTTCCACCTAAGCACGCTTTAGGCTTAGCCTCATTGAACTTATTCATCGAGGTACGTACTTGTAACTACATACCTAACCTACATAGTACACTGTACAACTTCAACGTTGAACGCCGTACGGCGTAGACATCATCGTAAATAGTACTGTACTCATACGTACATACTCTCATATACAACTTATATACAGCTGGTATACAACTTCTATACAACTTCTATACAAATTATACACAGTTAATATACAAATGTATGCTATTCACCTATCTCAGGGGTTGCCTTGAAGCGAGGCACACCACCATGGAATCCCATTTCCATAGCAGCTTGCACAAGGCATTGCTCCGTATCCTCGGTCTCGAACATGTAAACTTGATTTTCTAAGAACGTGTCGAGGAAGTTGCTCAACTCTTCGCGTTTCACCTCTTCAGGCAGATCATCCTCTGGGCTGATTTGCCCCGAAGCAATGAGTTCCCCATGCCTTCGCCTCAGATGGCCTTCGATCTGGTTTCCGGTATGCATTAATCGATGTCCATTTTTGCCCTTCCCTGTTTTTTCCAAGTCCATAGACCCTACATGTAGCTCGAGGACGACGATATCTGGAGGGTTGAAGTGGAATATATGTCGCAATGCTCGATATGCCAAGAGTAGTCCAAATTTGTCCTCTAATTTGCGAAATGAATGTAAAACATATCTCGCTACTTGAACGTCCAGACCGGTCGTAGTAAATATGTGAGCAGATTTGACCAAATCCGCAAATAGAGACCGGGTCCTCAAGACTTCCTGAGGAAGCTGTCCTGGTGGTATCTGAACAAGACGGTTGATAGGCAGGGCCTGCCAAAGGGCCAAGAAAGTCCACGAGTCCGGTTCTATCTGATATTTGGCGATTAGGTCTCGGGAGATGGATGCGACGAGTTTGCCCTGCCCGTCCTTGAGGTACGAAAATATCAACTGGTTCAGCATGAATGAATCAGGGTCAATCTCTGCCTCTCGGATCGCCCCCCAGAGCTCTTCCATCTTGTTGTGCATCCCTCGGTCTTTATAATTCTCGGCAAGCAACGAAAATGTTTCCAGGTTTGCCGTTGGCCAACCTTCCCCGAATGGTCGTAGCCTGACCCAATTGGCAAGGCTATGCATATCTTTCCGAATGACAATGAATTGCAAGCGGGAGTTGATCATAGCCCAAGCCACTTCTTCGGCCTTTCTTATATTTTCAGCCATTCCAGTCCTAAGCCATGCGCCAATTAGTCCGTTAACCACGATAGCTTGAGGCCTGACACCTCTTGACTTCATATAGAGCAAAACATCATATGCTCCCCGAAGATCACCAGCCGCTATGAGGCGCTTCAACCACTTGCCGTAGAAAAAGGGGCTGGCAACACTAGCAGGAATTTTAAAGGACCCGTGCACGTTAACCGTGTTGGATGTCATCATCTCGACAAAGATGTTGAACGCATACTCGGTCTCGTTCGAGGTCAAGAAATAAGATATAACCAGGTCGTAGTCATTGATCGTGATCGAGTCGCCTAGAGCAGAACGCAGCCGTTGATATAACTCAAACCCCTTTTCCACTGTCGCAGGATTCTCAGTACACAGTCGGATAAACGGCAACAGAAACCGAGGATCTTTATCATAAGGAGAGTCAATAAGGATGTTGGCAATTCGCTCGGCTCGAGCTAATTCGCCAATCAAACAATACATCCGAAGACCGAGTTGCCAAAAGTCCACGAATGCCTCCGGGTCAGCGCCGAGGGTGGTAACGAGTTTTCTATGGGCGGTGATCGCTTCTTCCTTCGAGACACTTACGAAGATGGACTCGATAGCAAGTAGTTGCTGGTCATGGCGCAAGACAACGCCAGCCTCTTCCATATCCTTGGCTAGAATGTGAACATGAGACATACGATTTGGATTATGCTCACTATCTGCCGCAAGGATTTGCCAAAGGAGATCCCAGATATCGGCATGAACTAATTCCCACTTCTTGGATAAAGCTTTGCGGGCGGCGAAGTAGTATTTCCATAAGCCATTGATCCGCTTCGCGTTGACACTTCCATAATTGACTTTCCAGCCAATTGTCCGTATCATGTTGTTCAGCTGAAATATATGTAAGCGGTCCTGCGGTCTTGGCCAGGCCTCGTTGGGCAATAGCACGGTAGGCTTTATGGAAGATTCGTCTCGATGTGTATCTTGAAGAGCGACTCGTTTTCGCAACTTCTCGGCGCCTTCTTTCCCCCACATATCTTCCACGATTTTTGTGAATTGTGTTGCCTGCTCCAGCTCTTCTTCCAACTGCTTCAAGCGATTTTCAGCTTCACCATCGGGGTCCATAAGCGACTGACCAAACTCATCTTCGCCCTGCAGACGTCGCAGTCTTCCTCCGGTTCCTTGCTCGAAATAGTTGACTGATACCTTGCCATCCTTGCTTTTTTTCAAGAGACCCAAGGCTTCCAAGGTTTTCCGGCGCTCAGCATCTTTTTCGTGGGATAGACGGGATGAGGGCGTTGAGGTTGTAGCTTGCGAAGATTGCGAAGAAGAGTGCCGAATTGCCCACTGCGCGGCAGGTGTTCGTTTTCGTAAAGCCGACAAGCATGACTTGCAAATGAAATTCTCGACCATAAGCGATTTTGGGGGCATGGTATTTGGGTTTCGACTGGGATTGGTATACGTAGTTGCATTCACATGGAAGCGGAAGCGGCGAAACGCTGCTTTAAAAATGGAATCTTTTAATCTTTTTTTTTCTATCTTTCATTCATTTTTTTCATGAGGATGAAAATGAAAATTTGGGGACGATAAGGTGATATCACCGTTGAACAGGCTCAGACCAGCAAGCTTTAGCACGTTCCGGTACCGATACCCCACCAGCTGGCAGCTGCAGGGGTGCATGGATGCAGGGATAAAAGGGCCAGGTTAGGTAACTGGAACCCCTGTCTTTCTGAGTAACCTGTACCTAGTTAGTACATTTTAATTCACGGTCAAGTCCGTTAATAAATGCATGTGTTCTAGACGCGTATCAACATTGAAATTCAACATCTCTCATCTAACTTTATAGTATTCATGAATAAATACTACATGACCAAGAATCTCATCTCATCTCATCTCATCTCATCATGGCGGCCAATGAATTACCAGGAGATATATATGAAGAGAAACAACATCAGGTACTAAATTCTACCTACCCTAATAATATATGCAAATAAAACAATTAGAACTTGTATTAATGACCCCTAGGCCGCCTATATTTTCGATCCTTTAGCAGATCTTGATGGTGCAAGTCGGCCTTCTAAACGAAGAAAAGTGTCTAAGAGACGGGGCCAGACAGAAACCCAAGATTCAGATGCTTCCTTAACTTTTCAACCCCTTTTCGACGGCTCCGAAGATGAACGCTGTGTTCGCCTCCGTCAGCAATTATTTGAGACGTCTTGGTATCAAATCGACAAGAGGATTCAAGTGAGTTATTGGTGCCGTATTATATTATATATCCAAACCTATATACGATATATGATGTGTATGATGATGACTTACGGGATCTATGTGTAGCAAATACTTCGAAAGGCAAATCAGTCTACATTAGACGAAGTGACCTCATTCTTGCAGGCCACGGCAGACCACACTTCCACCGGCAAAATTCCCTCTGCCTTCATTATCACCGGTCCAAACTTGGCCTCCCAGGACCTCTTGTTTGAGCAGTTGTCGGAGACTCTCCAGCTCCAGCTAGACGCAAAGGTGGTGCGGTTGAGATCAGGCGATGCATCTAATTTGAAAGCCGTCCTCAAGAAAATCATACATGATGTCACGGCGAGGGAAACAGATGCTGAAAACGAGATGGAATTAGCCACAGGAAAAGACGTAAGTTAAAGTGCCGATATCAACCATAAACTTACTTGTAACTAAAGATAATAGGGTCGCAAATATCTGAACTACGACCTAGAAGCTCTATATGCCCATCTTAAATCGACCCCCCATCGCCATGTTGTTGTCGCGTTCCAAGACAGTGAAGCTTTCGAGAGCGGTCTGCTGTCAGATCTAATCTCACTTTTCAGGTCAGTATGCTCGCATCTCTCTGCTGAGCTTCTTCTCTGACTTGGCTATTAGCTCCTGGCTTGATCGGATCTCATTCTCCCTACTTTTTGGAGTTGCCACCTCGGTAGAGCTATTTCAAGCACGTCTTTTAAAATCTACCTGTCAATGTCTCTATGGCGAACAGTTCGATGTCGAGCAATCCACATCAATTATCGAGAGGATATTTAAGACGGCCATTGCACACTCGGATGTCCCGTTACGACTAGGCTCGTCTCTTGTATCCAGTCTACTAGAACGCCAACGGGATCAAGTATCGAGTATCCCTGTTTTCGTCAGTTCTATGAAAGTAAGCTGCATTGGGTCTCCAGGACAAGTATGCGTTGCTAATAATTATAGTACGCTTATATGTGCCATTTCTTTGCGAATCCTTTGACCGTCTTCTTATCCGACGACGCAAAGAATGAAATATTTGACGAGTGCCACTTTGAGGCAGTCCGATTTCTACCATCTTTCCGTCGATATATTGAAACCATTGTCGAGAATGGTGAAGTGGAGCAGGCCAAATCGCTTCTGGACGACGATGAACGTCTGAAAACCCATTTACGAGCTTGTCTCCAGGGCTCCCGCCGGTGGTCATCAATTATATTGCGAAAACTGAAATTCTTCCTCACTAGCGAAATTCCATCTATCAATTTTACTGAATTGTATCTTGATGCTATATCGCACGGAATCGGACCCGACCAGATTGCCAACTTTACAGAATCGATAAAGCGGATGCAGCCTGATGACACCAAGTCATTCCTAGTACGAACGTTAGATGCCATCAAGAACGGTGACGTGGAGCTTGGGTTAGATCCATGGGTTGATGAAGCTAAGAAGTCAGTTTCATTATTTACCAACTTATTGGAAGAAATTGAAGTTCTACAAGCAGACGCCGAAGAAAAGGGTAATAGTCTCCGAAGCAAATATAGCAAGCAAACAAAAGTGTTGAGAGCCACCGTTATTGCTCAGAAAGTTCAGCTCAGTCAAGATACGGCGACTCTTACACAGGAAGACAAGGCTTATACAGATATGATGGACAGCCTAGTAGATCACTTAAGTGAGGTACTTGAATGCGACAGCGTGAAAGAACAGTGCTTCTATGAACTGTGGTTTTTCGATTCAAAGGCTCCTTATAAGGATGTTTTCATCCCACGGCCAAGGGGAGTGGTCGAGAGAGCATTGTCACGGCCGCATGACTACCTGAACTGTTCCTGCTGTGAGACAGGCATTGCTCCGACTCTACCAGTCACTGCCATCCTATATCAACTGTATCTCGACACTGGTTCCCTAGTCAACGTTGCTGATCTATGGTCTGCTTACAATGCAATTGTGGGCGATGAAAATGAAGAGGGGCTAGATGAACGGACTGCATTGGTCTTGTTCTATCGCGGGCTAGCCGAAATGAGGGCGATGGGCTTTGTGAAGCAAAGTAGGAAAAAGGCAGATCACATTGCCAAGCTTGCCTGGAAAGGCCTTTGAGGAAGGAAAAAAGGGACACACAAACTATAGTCGCCGAAGAAGACTCAACAAAATAGTGACACGTTTGTTTAACTGTGCTCAGGGGGGAAGTCATTGTGATACACTGACTACTCTGAAGGGATGAAATGAAATAACTTACTCATGAATTAGTCTGTGGAGGGCCTGTGCATTGTGCAAAGCAAAGCTATTAATATGTCTTTGGGTAGTGTTCATGTACATCAAAGACCTCGACATGCCAAACAAAGCAGCATTTCAGTTCATGACAAGCGCTACCGAACAAAGAACCAGCCGACCGGAGTGACGCTTTTCAGAAACGTCGAGCACGCAACAAAGAAGACCATAGCAATCCTCGTAGGTACAAGAAGAAACCCAGCCGCACCTCGAATGGGCGGGTCGTCTCCGACGTCTTCAGCCCAGCAGCAGCGTAGTTTATTATAGATTCCCCAAGTGCTCGTTTCTCTCCTACAGTCACATTACATATAAGTTTTGCCATTCACTTAATTAGCTGCTGGCGGCTTTGACATACCATTGTCGAAAAGCCGATTTTATTTGATTAAATTTTTTACTTGCCAAAAAAGAAGAATCTTAACAAGATCAGAGCAAGAAAAGACTCATTACCTACCTAGGTACCTTTCATTCTTTTATTGATATTATTATTACATTTCTCATTGTTGAAGTCTTATTAGTCCATTGGTATCTTCACCTCCCCATTATCTCTCATAGAGATCACAAAGATTTTCGAACGCCTATCCGAACAGACCGCTCCAGCGATACAAGAACTCAGACTTGGCCGTTCCCATCAACGTCCACCCGTGCACGTACGAAGCAGGACTTACAACAACATCGTCATATCGGTCATATCGCCCGCTCAACGGTCAAAATCTCATCGTCCATCTCACAAATCATCCCCTTCAGCCAAAACTCATCCACCCATTCCCAAAACCAAAAAAAAAAAAAAAAAAATGGAGAACCAAACCCACAACCAACAACAACAACAACAGCCCCCCCAAGAGCCCCCCCAGCCCAGCATGCTCGGCCCCCGTCGCGCCGCGCAAAACTCCGCCTTCCGCGAAAAACTACGGCAAATGGCCTTGCCCCTCGCGCCCCTCGTCCAACTAACGACGGGAGAAATCCACCCGTCCTTCCCGGGGACGCTCTTAAACTTCTGGCTGCTGACGGACGCGGAGCTCGAGGCGCTCGCGCACTTCTACCACCAGCGGACGCCGTGCCGCTGGACGTTCCACTACCCGTGCCCGGTGCCGTGGGCGTCGGGGATGCCGCTGGAGGAGAAGCGGCGGCGCATCGGGAGGTTCATCGGGCTCAGGGGGTGCGAGACGCCGTTGCGGGTGAAGAGCGAGGAGGAGATACTGGAGGAGGCGAGGCTGGCGAGGGTTGCGGAGGAGGAGGCGATCTGGAGGCGGAAGATGCCTTGGTCGAATTAGGGACTTCTGATATCTCTTTTCTTTCTTTCCTTTTTTTTTTTTTTCTTCTTTTCGTCTCTCTCGACGTCTATCCTACTCGCCCAGTTTCTATCAGGTTTCCGACCTTGCTAGGAGTGAGTGATGGAGACAAACCAATGAGTGAACTAGAGAAGAGGAAGAAGAAAAGAGGAGAGCAAGAAAGTCAATTCCTAGAAAATGCCACAAAAAAAAAGGAAGGATTTGGTTGGTTATTAATGAGTTAGCATGGGAAAGGGGGATATGGAGAAAGGGGGTAAAAACTTTGTTTGGAGGCATAGCGGTTCCGTTCTTGACTTTCTCTCGATTAATTTACGGTTTAATAAATATGAGCACTTGCAGATGAAAAAAAAAAAACGTTCCCAACATATTTTAGTGATCGCTTCTTTGATTCGAGGGTTGTAAAATACCTATATGTATAATTATTTCCAGTGAGTGGGAAAGGCAGAAGGAAATAACAAAATCAGGTTATGTAAGTCTTTAAGTCCAAGACATGGTTTTTGTCACTGGTGGAGCGAGGGGTTCATCTGGTACTAACTAGATAGCAATAAGTCACAGTAGAACGAGGCCGAGGCACAATACTACTTACAGGAATCGTAGAGAATAGAGTTCACTAGAGGTAGTCATCGATGAAGATACCACGTAAGGCCTCTCCAAGTGGCCTTTCTAACACTGAAACTTATCAGCTTACCCATATCCTATCTCTCTACTACAAAGCCCGCGTGACTGTCGTCGTTATGCTAAAGGAGGGAGTCCTAAAACAGAACAGGGATGAACAGCTTCAAATACCTGCACTCGTAGCACATATCCACTAATCAAGCGCGTGCAGACACCTCCATAGCCAAGCCCAGTTCATCTACTACCTCTTTGCACGCTCTTCTTAACCCCCTCGACGAAGGCTTCCACGGCATCCCCGCCACCCAGAGGCATTTGGCTGCCCCTCAAGTATCCGCCGTTCTCCACGTCAATAGATAGCGCGTCAGCAATGGTAGGCAAGCCGCCATCTCGAATAGCCATCGTCAGGCTCGCTAGACTCTGGTGGAACTGGGGACTGCGCAACACCTTCTCCAGCAGGGCCTTCTTCTGACCCAGACTCATCGCTTCCTTGGCAGCTTGTATGGCGGCGGCAGTAGGCTCAGCTGCAGTGTCGCTGTTACCCAGGTCGGCTTGCTGGGAAAGCACCAGGATGGAAGGGGGCAAGAAGTTGAGCAGATTATCCACTTGTTCCTCCGTGGCTAGCCGGGCCATGGGTACTGTGACCGGGGGTGTGAGGAGATCCGAAAGAAGTGGATAGAGCTTGCCCTCCCCTTGGTTCCCTTGACTCGTCGCATTTCCTCTTAGCGAGTCTAGGAAATTCCTCACTGCTGTGGCAGCATCGTTGGTTCCAGAGGCAGCACTGATATCACATTAGCACGTGACCTCAGTCGAATAGATTCAAGCGAATGTGACAGAGATGCATCAATTTTTAACTGAGGACTCATCTCTAGTAGTAGTACATGGAAAATGACTGGCTAAACATTTCTGAACGCGTTGTCTGATACTTCTTTTTATTCTTGTTGAATGCATGAAACGTTCTGATTCCCATGCCCTCTTCCAAAACGCCATGAATGAAGAATAAGGAATAACCTACGCTCTAGCACCGTCGGCACCTCCCTCTCGCGCACCCTCGCCCTCTTCTCGGACATCCCCTCCAGTGGCACCCGCGCCTGCGCCTCCGCTACCTCCACGGGGCTCGCTGAAATCTCCACGGCCTTCGACATCTTCCATAGGCTCATCATCGTCATCATCATCTCCACGTCGGTCATCGTTGTCATTGTTGTTGATGGACGCTAGTTCGCGAGCGACGTCGACCTCCTCGCCCTGTAGGAGCTTGTCGACGATTTGACCAATCCGCAAATCACGAGGGCTGAACCAGCGCGGGTCACCATTTCGGCCTTGGGGCTTCGATTGTAGGTAGAACAGGTAGCGCTGGGATGAGGAAAGGAACTTTAGAACGAAGACGCGGCCGTTCGGTTTAGTGGCTTCGTTGGGTTGGGTTTTAGGGTCGTATGGTACAAAGTGGCCATCGGTTGGTACCATAACGAGATCTAGCTCGGGCCGGTCAAGGGAGGCACTGCGTTCTCGCCAGCAGAAGTGGAAGAGATCTTAAATAGGCGTGTTAGCAGCTATATTTATTTTGGGCGCAAAGCAGTAGTCAAACACCCACCATCTTCGGAATAGAGATATATATATCCCGGTCGCGGCGAAGCCTGAATTTTGTAAGGCCTCGATGAGGTCTATGTAGCTGTTAGCATTTGAGTTCGATCGAGGAACACTATGGACTAAGTAGGTAGCTGGTGATTGCATACATCAACGTCGCATATGCCCGCCTTGAACGTTATGGTAGGCGTTATAGACATGATGGGTAATTGTTTCGTCTGTACTGATGAGGGAGGAATTGGATAGAAAGATTTTGTCGTAGAATTGCAAGGCTATCGGGATAGGAATGAGATGAAATGGTGGTTTGTCGAGAAGCTGGAGTTCGTTCACAAGGCTGCAAAGAGCTTCGTCAATAGAGATGCACTACATAGTACCTACTACTAGGTATATGTAGGTAGTAGGTACATTTAATTACATAAGTAACTACTAGGTTATGTAACTACCATCTAACTACCTGACATGATGCAATGTTGTGGCTTTCCAACTTACATATCTCATCAGCCACAAAACCTTATCGATTGCAACTAAAAAGAACTAAAAAGACCCCACTTAGTTTAGATTTGATTTAGAACGGTGGCACTCAGGGCTTCGCCTAAGCCCACAACTGAATTGAATCTTTTCGCGCAAAGTGGAATTTCTGACCTCGCATCAATTCAACAACAACGAGGAACCTGCCAATTTCCTACAACCACCACATACCCTTCCGACAACTTCACAATGTCGCAGCCGACGACCCAGAAGACGTTCGGAAAGTCGACCCGGGAGGTCCCTCACCATTCCCAAAAGGCCCAGAAATGGTATCCCGCTGAGGATGAGCCCAAGCCCAAGACTGTAAGTTGAATCGATCATGATGCATAATATATTTCTGCACCTTGCATCCCTCTCAACCATATCGACTGCCCGACAAGGAATCTGTGTGAGAAGTTCAATTGAAAGAAAAAAAAAATTACAAAATTGCTGTGGCCATACCGAAAACTATTTTGGATTTGGGGCCATCGCAGTCTTGTCTTATATTCATTCTTCAAATTCTCGAAACTTTGGCAGCAGACAAGGATGCATTTCCTGGACGAGTCGCAATGCTGACTATGCTTCCCTACATCATACTTGGAGCTTGTTCGCTAATCATTTACTCTCCTCACAGGTCCGCAAGGCTCTCCGTCCCTGGGCCCCGCGAAAGTCTCTACAGCCCGGTACCGTTCTCATCCTCCTCGCTGGCCGCTTCCGAGGCAAGCGAGTTGTCCTCCTAAAAAACCTCGACCAGGGTGTCCTTCTCGTCACTGGTCCTTTCAAGATCAACGGTGTCCCTCTACGACGAGTCAACTCGCGATACGTCATTGCCACTTCCTACCAGGTAGATCTTGCTGGCATAGATGAGAGCAAGGTCAACGAGGTCGCACAAGCTCAGTACTTCATCCGAGACAAGGCCAAGGACAAGGCCAACGAGGAGGCATTCTTCAAGCAGGGCGAGAAGCCACAGGTATGATAGGAAATACGAAATCGTATCGAGAAGCGCACAGAAAACTAATACATGCAACTACAGAAGAAGGAGATCAGCACCAACCGAGCAGCGGACCAGAAGACCATCGACAAGGCTCTGATTGCCAACATCAAGAAGGTAGAACTTCTTCCCAGCTACCTGGCCAGCTCCTTCAGCCTCCGAAAGGGCGACAAGCCCCACGAGATGCAGTGGTAAATGTACTTGGGGGTCTCAATGGGGGAAGGTTGCTTTAGAGAAAAACACTCAATGACTTTGCGGACGGCGGATCGCGGAACTGGGCTGGATTTGCCAATTGCATCTGGACGTTGAGGCATCGGTCACATGAATTCTGGCGTCTGTAATCGAGGTTCTAGTCAATAAACGACTATAAAGGCAAAAATTACCTAAACCTACCTTTGTGCGTGTGGCATGGCACTTGTGTGTGTGTGTGAATATGATCTTTTGACGTAGTACTGGCACTGTGACATGCTGCAGTGAGGCGACCCGAATTCAAACTTGATACCCACATACCACCTATCTACTACCTATCATTTCCACGATGCACTCATACCTACTTGCATTCATCAGCCTAGCTAAGGTATCTAAAATATGCACTTGGCACGAGCATAAGACAGCAAAGCATTAATTTACTTAGTTCAACTTGTATGTTCATAGGTAGGTATGTAAGTATGTACATCTAACTCTTGTAGACGTCTACTTTCTTTTTCTTCTCTTCCTCTATTTATCTCTTTTGCAGCAGAGCTTGACTATCTACTATGTAGGTCGAATACCCTTAGGTTAGGTATGTAAGATACCAGTCGCTTAACATGTATCTATGTATAACGCACATTCATAAAAGGCTCTTATTCTTCTTCGTCATTGGGGCGCCATGGCGTCCCAGTCAGACGTTTCGGTCGACCCAGCTCTGGATCATGCCCTCAGGGGTAGCATCGTAGTGCTTCAGCGTGACCTCGCCGGTCGCCTCATCGATGAAAGTATTGGCTTGCACGAACACTTTTCGGGGCTGCTTATTTTGCAAAACCACGTCTCTGACCTTCTTCCCCCAAAAGTCATCGACGTTCGTCATGTCTCCAAAGAGCTTGATTCCCCCCTCGGCGTCAGCCGTCGACTTGTGAATGTGGATTTTCAGGAGGTAGTCATCCACGGCTTTCCGGCCTGCTGTCAGGATCTTGGAGCGATCCAGCTTGACGGTCAAGTCAGACAAGTCGTCCTTTTGATAGTCCAGTTTGCAGAAATCATCTTCTGCATTTATGAAGCATTGGAGAATGGAGAACCGTGCTTGCGAGTGAGGCTGGCCCCATTTCCGACTCTTAGGATCCCACATTTCTAGTGACGTAATACCAGCTCGAGCCATGGAGAGGTAAGAAGCATAAAGAACATCTCCAGCTTCGCCGTCCATGTCGACCGATCCATCACCAAATCCGAAGATTTTCAACGCAGCGAATTCACAGCTAAGGGACATAGCCACAAGCTCGGCGCGGCACTCTTCATACGCGCCAGCCCAGCTTCCAAAGACCGAGCCCCAGGTCTCACCTGACTTGTACCAGGTCGTAATAGGCTTTCCGGTCAAAGGGGAAATGGGTGGGTTCGCCTTGTCGAAATTGTATACATTTGGTTCGGTCTCTTGCAGCAGTTTACCGCACCCGTGACCTGTGAGCTCGTGGAGACCAACCTGGATTTCCAGGGCATCATCGCGGTAACGCCTTAAAACATCAAGGTCCTTTTCGGCGATAAATGGAATCTTCTCGTTTGGCGCCTTTGCGTTCATAACATTTCCTAGTGACACATTCTTGAAACCCTCACGCTGTCTAATGTCATCATAGTTCGGGATATTAATACCAATAGGTATACCTGAACCGGCAAATGTCATCACTTCAAGGGATGTAAAATCTGGCGAGAAGGTCTTGTCCTTCTCGAAGTCTTTGCCCCATGGCAAGCATGGGACAAGGGAAGGCTGCGCCTCTACAAGGCCTGCAAATGCTTTTGTTCGTTCCAGGTTGACAACGGCGGCAAACCCCTCCCACTCACCTCGAATACCAGCAGGATCTCGGTATGTCTCGATGAATCCAATGTTGCATTCGACCATCGGTCCCTTGTCGCGAATCCAGAATCTCTGGCTCTCTTTGAAATCCTGTATTGATCCATTCTCAAAGGATCTTGCATAGGCATTGTGCATATTCTTCTGGACTTCGGTGTCGGCATTTTCTGCTGCCCTCTTGATACTTGCTGTTATAGCAGCCATCTCTTTGGAGTAATCCCCATATACTAATGTAATAGTCTTCCCTGCCAATATGCCACTATCAATTTTGAACGTAGTCTCCTTCCCGATATCGCCGCCTTGGGTAGGAATGGTGCGATTTGCGGAAGCGATCCAGATTTCAAAGGAACCATCCTTGTTCTTGACGAGACGAGTATTCTCTGGAAGGAGTCCCTTCCCCTCCATCCACTTAGATACAGCATCAATCTCAACCTTGGTGATATCAGGGGAGTTTGGGTAATAAGTGGTCATATGGCCTTGCTCTGGATAGCCAAGGTGTAGTAGGCTAGGATTGTCAGTGGAGAAGATGGCGCCGGACGTGGCATCGTAAAAAGTCTGAGCCTCCGGTGACGTTCCCGCGAGTGCGGAAAAGGCAGATTCGGGACACCGCGGGATAAATTTGGCGTCTCCAAAGCTTTTGTAATTTCCGCCATTCCCTAAGAATTGGGCGGCATACTGCAAGAAGTGATCCAGATCCTCATCTGATATCCCTGCCTTGGCCTGCAGAGCTTTCCAATCACCGCTGCCACTCTTATGAAGAGCTAGGATGAAGTCGTACTGTATCTAGTTAAAAATAGAAACAGGAAATCGAAGCAATGGTCAACATACTATTGGCTCAGATTCGGGCGAGATTTGCCTCGCCACGATCCTACTACCCTCGAAGCATGCCCTGTGGAGGACTGTCAGTTTTCAAATATTTGTAAAGATTTACACACTCTAGGCTGGCGACATATGCATACCTGCTAATGAAGTGAGCATATTTCTTCTGTTGAGCGTTCAATGCATCAAAATGCTTCTCTATTTCAAGCCTCACGACAGTAGGGGGTGCATCGGCAAGATACTGTTTGAGCTCCTGGGTGTCCATTTTGGAAGCGAATGAACGAATGCTAACTTGATAAAGTGAATTGCCTAGGAGTTTTGAATTGTAGGGCTTCAAAGAGAATCTATGAGTCTGAAGTCGTGATGTTCTGAAAATCGAAGAAAGACTTCGTGTCAAAGGGAGAAGTGAGGGCATCTGTGGAATGAGGAGGAGACACGAATATGCAACTTCAGGCCCATAATCTACCTAACCTAGTAACTTTGGTACCTACTCTATAACGTTAATTCATTGGTCTTTCCAGATTCGAACGGTTTGCTCTCCATGAAAAGACTTAATTTTTTCCCTCTTTTTGGCAACTCACATGGCAAGCTGCATGGAAAGTGGCTGAGCCCGCTTATGTAAATACGTATCCCCCGCACCCGCATCCATAATCAACTTTAAGGTTCAACGCCACAACTTTCCAATGGATGATTAAGTTTAACGTTGAAGTTCCCACCGTGATATGACAGATACATGTGTACTGTTCGAATCTCAGCCTGAAAACCAACCATGATATAATCAGAGGTGGGAAAAACTGAAGATGAGGAAGAAAGAACTTTTCTTAGTATAATAACTTACATGGAAGTGTAATGGATAAACAAGCGTGTATCACGATCCAAGGTTTGTACGCATCGGCAAGCAGCCAAGCTGTCTTGGATAGATCTGAACATGCCTGTCTAGGTACACATGTCTTACTTGACACGCTACACTTGAGAAGCCATACACTTATTCCATACCCTTATTTTCTTGTTTTGGGGAGGGAGAAGCTTTGGTTTCACCGATACATGACGAGTCGCTCACCACGAGTACCACGAGTTTAATACATGTTTGCATGAAGAATAGGATGCTAATATTGTGATACAAGTTCGCTCGGTATTCAAACAACTTAGAGGAGTGGTGATTCCGCAATGTCTATGGGGAAAAGTATTGGCAATCACAATTCTTACCTGCTCCCAGTTAGCTCAAGTACATACTCGGTAGGTAATTCGTAGTATGAGGTCGCGTGTGGTGACGAAAGAGTCATTACCTTGTACTATGTAGTTGGGAGAACTTGAGACATGGGTACGAGTATGTAACCTAGTATGATACATTGATACCTACATGTAGTAGTATTAGTATCGAGTACAGTAGTAAGGTACATATAATTGACCTACTTATAGGTAGTGACACGGCATTAGTCCGAACCATATCCGCCAGCCGCTGTATATGCAGGCAAGGCTTGATCATGTTACACCAGCATGTCTTCCAATCGTGTAGAACGGGCCCCATGACCTTATGCATACCTAGTATTCTTAACTTCGGAAATTTTTACCTATTGTATTTATCACTGACTTGAATATGGCAGCTTTTTCCCTTGACGTCTCAGACCATTCCCGTTTTACGCCGCTAGTTAGCAATTAATCTCCAAGAGGAAAAAACTATGAAATTGACAGTAGCAAATATCCACATCGTTAACCGACCCGATGAGATATAGTTAATAGTTAACTATACTGTACTTCGTACTTGTAGCTAACTACTACATATGTAAGTACTAACCCAGGTAGATTGCTGATGCTTGTACTATAGAGTTTTGAATTTGATATTGCCATCTGAATTAGGTAGTCGGGGAGACTGGTTTGTCACCTGCAGGTTATAAACGCTCTGTATAAAGGATCGTGCAGAATTTTGGACTTGGCATTACCTGGTGTTTTCACCTTGATATATCGATCCAAGCCGTTGAACCACAGCGACTTATGCTACCGCGTGATTGGTGAGATGTGTGCCATTGAGCGGTGAAGGGCGGTATTCAGCTCTGGCCGCGCTGGCCGTCTTCCCCGGGGCCCACCAACACCGACAGTTTGCTCTTCTTAATGGCTGTGGATGCTTTGAACATAGGGCGGCGCCAGAGTGGATTTGCCGGAACTAGCAGCCGAAACGGATAGAGGGGAGATAGCTGGATTTAATATGCAAATAGCAATACGAAGGCCTAACAATCGCCAGTGCCGGTACGGAAGAAATTTTCAATTTAGGGATATGGAATACTACCCCGTCATGTAGGTACGGACAATGCCTAGATACCTACGACGTAGGTAGGACCTAGGTCAACTGGTACTCAAAAAGGCTTACCACATACGGGTAGCTCCTCTCCAGATACCTGCCTAGTACCTATTTCGTAGGCACGTAACCCGACCTTTGATACCTCAAAAGGTAATACTTGTCGTCTATAAATGATTAGCCATTGTTACACCAAGAAAAGACTCATACCTAACACGTATGTGTAGGTAGGTAGGTAGGACCTGGTAGGTAGGTGTTCATTCATGGTAGGTATTCTTGAGGTCTGTGTTGAAAGTCCTGGCAGGAAAGTAATAGATTGCGAAGTAAAGGCATTCACTTTCCCAAATCTTTCCTGGATGTTCTGGGATCAGAGGTCTGCTCTGCAACAGTCCCAAATATAGTGGTGCCAAAGATCCAACCAATGAGATGGTAGATTCATGGCCCTACTTGATGTTGCGTTGACGAGCCCAGGGTCCTGATAGGATACAAGTTTTCGTAGTTCAAATTATCTCGGACTTGAACGACAAAGAATCGCACTTGAGTTGAGGTCTACTCTACTGGTTGGTGATTTGGGTTGATGTTGTCCTGTAGTATTCGAGAATTTCGTCATAGTTCATCATGTTCGGAAGGCTCGCTTGTTGCGCTTGTTGCCCTGTTGTCCGACTTACATAGCTAAGGTATGTAGGTATCACACTTTGCGATCTTGAGAAGCTCGAGGAGCTTGACTAGAGGTCTAACTCGGAAGAGATCACCTCGTGACTCAGACATGTTTCTCCTGCCCGAGCCACGTTTTCCCCCAGACTCGTTGCCCTCAAATTAGGAAGTACTTGGTGTTGGCTAGCTCAGGCTTCGATGCTTTGTTCGATGAAATTTCCATCGGGCTAATGCGAAATAGTGGGATAAGTAGTACACTGCCCACCCCCACGCTAATGATATACCTTCAAGGGCCTGCCTGGCAGTGCCTGTATCGATTCTATCGAACGCTTGTACGCTAAAAATCCACTTAATCTGCTTTAGTTTCGGGTTGGTACCCCAACTGTAGGTAATACTAATTAAGACCTAGTACTGTATACTACTAGCATGTATATGTATACACTGGATATGTACAGTAAATATATGTAGCCTTGGAGGTATGAACGAAACTACATACATTAATAGTAGTAATTAGAGGAAAAGCTGGGAATGAAGGAATAAAGGGGGCAATTAATAGGTACTAGCAGAAAAGGGAGAAGAGAAAAGAGAAAAGAAAAAAGAAAAGCATGAACATAGCCGGAAGGAATATGAATGGAGGAAAAATAGTGTACCTACTTGAGAACCCGGATAGGCACATATTTGAAAATGCGTACCGAGAAGTACGTACTGAGTGACCCAGTACACATTAAATACTAAAATACTATTAACATTGAATATTCATGGTTTAACCAGGCAAGGGGGTTACATGAGGAAAACATGGGACACATTAAAAAAGGATAAAGGAAAAAAAAGAAAAGAAAATCAAACGGGGGATAAATATTCTTAGTGGCTAATCCAGGCATCGCCGGTTGTCGGTGTCGGTGTGTCGTCAACCCTTTCCCCTAAACCCCGAACCCCAAAAATACTTACATACCAGTTGACAATGGACATCAATATGTATTATGTACTAACTCACTAATAAGTACATGACTACCATGTAGGTATATTAATATGTATGTACCTAGTACGTAGTGCGTGCATGCATGCATGCGGTATTGTACATTTTGTTAAAGTTGCCTCCTCCAAGTTCAGCCTGTTTGGTTTTTTGAATGAACACTTTCATCACATTCGTCCAAACATTAATATCATGGATGTCTTTAAAGCTACATATACGTACTATACATACAATACATACAATACATACAATACCTTCTCTTAAGTCTTGCCACTTCACCTTTTCGGCATTATACATTGGTTGGTAGCAACATTGAAGTGTAGTGTTCATCCATGGATCGGATCCTTTACAACTCCTGTTCTCTTGTCTATTGAACCGGTGGGCTGGTGAAGTTGAATCAAAGCAAGCCATGCCTCGTCTGCAACCGTGGGTTGGGTAAGCTCGGGGACGCCAATGCCTTTTTCTAAATCCTTGATGCTGGAAAAGCGTCCACAATCTGCGAGCTCATACCTATGCATGTAGTCCATGTAGTCCATGTAGGCCATCTTGTTCATGTCCCATCCACGCGACACTTTTCGCAGATCCTCAACAACCTCGACCGCGAGCAAGGCTTCTCGGTCTAGTGGGTGCCGTCACTTGTTGGTTTTGCCTTGCAACAACTCCCTACATACACCCAACTCGGCCCTATTTATCGGTTTTTTGCGCTGACGACTTCCTTTCACCCCTCCTCACCCCCAAACTCCACTCCGACTATTTGTTTTATTATTTTATTTTTGATGGAGAAATTATCTGAAAAGTATCCCCAGCCTAGATCGTTTAACTATCCTCTTGGCTTTTACCCGCACCCCTCCCCCCCCCCTTTCTCCTCCCTCCCTGACGTCGAGCAAGTCTGGAGTCCCAAGGAGGTGATAATGCAAGTGTATGATTGGTTAAAAGCCATCAGGAATTACCTTCTTTGACGTTCTCTTGAGCTTCTTTTAGCGTCTAGCCCCAAAACTAATACATGGTCCCCCAGTCACGGAAATCTCAGGTACTGGAACTTGGCTGAATTTTTTTTTTTCCCCTTCACCATGTCAACGGCCACCGGGCTTCGGCACTGTGTCACTTTATTAGATTTATTCTATACATATATGTACCTAGTAAGGTATGTACTTGAATCGTCATTTTACATAGCTATGTACATATACACACCGTACATACATACGTACATACGTACATACGTACATACATACATACATACATAGTAACAAAAGCCTGCTCTGCTACCAAGGTCCAAGGTCGTCAAAGTCAATCCACTTATAAAGTCCATGCTTCGCCAGCGGTTCTCCGGATCCACTGCTATCTGCCCTAGTTCTACTGTATTGCGCTGCTTTAATTACCACCGACTTCCTGTATTTTGCTTGATCTTTTCTGTCTTTCGAAATATTTGTCGCCAACTTCGCTGTTTTCTAAAAAGATACTGTTTTTTACCGAAAAAGGGAAGAAGAATAAATACAAAACTCCTCGCCACAAGTCTTAACGTTGCGTTGCGTTGCTCCTATATTGTACCCCTGGGTCAACTATCACCATACCTAGTGGTTGACTTACTCCTGTCTTGTCGCCAACCGAATTACAGACCACCAATTCTCTCCGGATATCCAGGAAAAGGAAGAAGAGAACTCCTCAAACATGTTAACCTACGATAATCCAATTTCGGTGAATGGGAAGCATGCGTCCTCGGCTGGCATGACTGCCACGACAATGACTAACATGAACCCAAACCCGAAGCCGATTAACGCTACTATGACACCGGTAACTTCGAACAACACTATCGCCAAAACCAACGGTAAAACTGCGCCCAGACACCACCACATTTGGCTAGTCACTGGTCCCGCCGGTTGTGGCAAGACTACTGTTGCTCAGCACTTGTCAAAATCTCTCAACTTACCTTATATCGAGGGCGATGAGGTATGCCCCTGAACTCAAACTTCGCCCAGACGTACCTACACCTACACAACTTATTAACTTTTGCAATTTTTTTTTTAGTTTCACACAAAAGCAAACGTTGAGAAAATGGCCAATGGCATACCACTGACAGACATTGATCGGTGGGACTGGCTTACAGCCTTACGAGAGGAGTCTTTGCGACAACTAGCATCTGGCGCCGAAGGAGTGGTACTCACTTGCTCAGCTCTTAAGCGCAAATATCGCGATGTTATTCGAGTGGCTCCTTACTACTCACACGATGTCGTTCTCCACTTCATTTATCTCCATGCCCCAGAATCTGTTCTACTCGAGCGAGTTGGGGCAAGACAGGGACATTATATGGGTGCCAACATGGTTCATAGCCAGTTCTCCATTTTGGAGCCGCCGACAGCCGAAGAAACCGATGTGATCAGTATCGATGTGAGCAGGTCGATGGACGATATTCTGAGAGAAACCTTGGACAAGGTTCTCCAGAAGGTTGACGAGACTACATCAAGCTGACCGAAGCTGGTAACCTAGGGTTTGGTAGGGCAGGATTAGGCATGACGTGATATGAACATGGAACGACGGATGCAATCATCCAGGGACGAGGTACATGAATGGAATTAGCGATGTTTCTTTCTCATCCATGTGAATTCAGGAGTTGGTTACGTTATTCAGTTTGGCGCAATGAGAAAGGCACAGGGGGGGGGTGATCCAACTACTTTTCCAGTATACAGTACATTACATCACACAGGTAGCATGAGCTGCCATTATAGGAGTTTTTGGGGTTGTTATTCACGCTAGTATTGGATCATAGAAACAATTAGAGAGAAGTTGTCCTATCACCCAATGAGCAACCTGGTAAATGGGATGTAGGGCCGCCAAGGACAAGCAAGCTGTGCTTAGGGGGGGTGAATGGATCGAGGGAAGTGAAAAGCAAGCAAAAAGGCAAAAAAAGCAAAATCCTCATTGGTGACTAATCCTTCTTCTTAATCCTCCCATGAGATCTAAGAGTGCCAAGCTTTTTTACCCCAGGACGAAGATCAAGTTAGTAACCGGGCTCGCTCGCTCAGAGATTGTTGTCTCACGGCCTGAGTTGTCTCTGCATCTCGGTGGTGGCGTCTTAGTTGTTTGTTGTTCTTGTTGTCCTGAGCAGCGGTTAGCCCTGGCCCAGTCTAGAATTATGTCCTTAAAAAAAGACTTATACATATGTAGGTATGTAAGTGTGTGGTTGGTCTATGGGGGGGAGGACCAACGCCTTGCTGACTGAAGCAGCCTACCAGCGAACCCTTCTCCGGGTCCACAGTGGGACGATAGGATCATCCTTACGACGGGCGATTCCCAAAGATTCGTCAGATACGATGCTAGGGGACAGGGCAGGGCAGGGCAGCATCCATTGATCTACGTAGACAGGCACTACTGATCTATATAAGGGTACAGCATTGAAGTAGGTGCATATACATACATACATATACATAGATAGATACCTACATACATGCTATCATACATACATATATCTGTATTGTACATGGATGGATAACTTTACCTGTATACATACCTAGGTAGGTATTGTGCATATATGTAATAAGCGTACATACCTATCTGGGCATCCAAGTCAGCCATCCCTTTCCTTGTCTTTTACCTAATTCGATCTATATTACTTCAACCTGCATATACACCTACCTATCTACCTACATACATGATCTAGAAAAGGAAACAATACATACTTCTACTACACCATAGGAAGAAGGAGGAGAAGGATAACAATACAAAACCATAAGCAAAAAACCGGACATAACAAGGGGACATCACCAAGAAGAGAGAAGAGAAGAAAAAAACCCAATGCATAACTACACCGTACAAACAAAATAACTGCCCTGGTGATCAACAGTTCGCCACCCAACTTTTCCACATCCAGCCCCATGCATCCATAAGGAAAAAGCCAGCAAAAAAAACCGAAAAAAAAAAACCGAACAACGACGACAGCTAGCTTAGCCTAGCCTACCTACCTAGCCTAACTAAACTACCTGGTTAAAGATTTGGCGTTCATCGGGACTTTTCGCTTATCTACATCTAACTACTGTACTGTACTGTATTGTACCTACATACACATACAGTACAGCGCCTACCAGGGGTCTACGTACTAGGTATGTATATATATATCTACACATTGATAGGCACTTACACGCTGACGAGGAACGAACGTCGTGACTTTTCATTTGACGGGAGCAGAGTCCGGTATAGACTTCTATAGGCCCTCTCTCATCTTTTCCTCTTCTGGGACGTGGACAGACGAATGGCCATGAGTAGGTAGGTATCTAACGACGGGTAAGACGGGTATAACATGAATATACCAAGAACCAGGTATGTATGTATGTATAGAGATATGCACATATAATATGTTATATCATGGATTGTCTACCTAGGTCAGGTATCCAGTAGGTATGTAACCTACATACCTAGGTTAGGTTCGTCACTGCTTATATGCATGATGGGTGCAGGACGCAAGAAGGTGAAATGAGGCTGTCCAAGAAACAAGGGGTGTTCGAAGCTCCATAGAATTTTCTCTGCCGATGATACCTAACATCCTAATCTAGTAATGCTTTCTATATTATCATCGCTATACTATGTAATGTTGTGCTACGTCGTTCGGTTAGCCTTGTGACTACCTACATATACTAAAATATGTAGGTAGACACAGGAAATGGGCATGGTACCGATCACCCTAGCATATAAATATGACATATCATCTCTAGCCCGAATCCTCCGTATGTAAGATACCGGCGAGGGTTACGCAAGTGGCGTCTCGGTTCCCCCGCCGGTTCACCCGACCCTAGTTACATCGGTGACTGTCTCTCAACTTGGGCATCAAGAAGGGAAGGGCGGGCATAGTGGATAGGACTATCTACCGCAGATGCAGAACCATCACTTCTGGATCCTCCACGATCTTACGCACCACCTCAGCGGCCCGCGCCATCGTCGCGCCGTCCACGACCCGGTGATCGGCACTCCAGCTGAAGTTGCAAACATATTTCTTAATTACCTGGTCCTGGGCATCAAACGCTGGCACTTTGCGCATGCGACCAATCCCTAGGATGGAAACCTCTCTCTCGACAATCACCGGAGAGACGTAGGTCCCCCCAATATTGCCTATGTTAGACACGGTGATCGTCCCACCGGTCAGATCCTGGGGTGATAGCTTACCAGCTGCAGCTTGCAACTGCAGACGCGATAGGTCTGCCGCTATTGCAAGCACACTTTTGGCACCCACGTTCTTGATTACAGGCACTAGCAAACCTGAGGGTGTGTCCATAGCCACACCGATATTGTGCAGGTTGCGGTGAACAAGTGTAGGCTTCGAAGTCCCGGGATCCACTTCGACGCGCGCGTTAAGTATAGGATATTGATATAGTGCCATGGAAACTGCCTTGACAATAAAAGGTAGATATGACAATTTCGATACTTCCCCTGCTAACCCCTCTCCCTTCCATTGTGAGACCACCTTATTTAGCCGTTGACGTAACTCGTATAATTGGGAGAAATCGATTTCATCTGCGTAGAGGAAGTGTGGTATACTTAAGGATCGAGTCATGGTTTTGAACATTTGGTGTTGCGTATTTGTCAGTTGGGTGACTGTTTCGACCTGTTTATCCGAGTCTAATGGTGGTGTCAAGGGAGAGGGGCTTGTGTGCTGAGTCGGCTGGCTGGGTGTGTCTCTCCTCTCTACAAACTTGTAGATATCTTCCTTTAGAACCCTTCCATCCTTCCCTGTCCCCTGAATTTCCGTTATGTCGACTTTGAATTCTTTAGATAAGTGGCGAACTGCAGGGGTCGCCAACGATGCATATTTGCCCTTTATAGGAATTGACTGGGGCCTTGGCTCTTCAGATACCAGAGAATTGGTTGATTTATCGGTAGAGCCTTGAGTTCGTGGGGGGTTACTAGAGGACTCTTTAGTCGATGACTCAGAGGTCCCTTCCGTAGCCGGCTCAGGGGCGGTGAGAGCATCTAAGTCCTGCTGACTTGCGCTACCTTGTATGTCTATGTCTACGAAGGGCTTGCCCACTTTTGCCATCTCGCCGGCCTCATAATATAACTTTTTTACGACGCCAGAGAACCGACTCGTTATCTCGACGGAGGCTTTGTCGCTCTGGACCTCGCATAAGCGCGAGAACTCCTCGACTCGGGCACCGGGCTCGACGAACCATTGTATGACTTCGCACTCCACGATACCTATAGAAGAGTTAGATACGAGACCAAAGATATCGGTTAGGAAGGTAATTGGTCATGACCTTCGCCAATGTCAGCAAGCAAAACGGGCTTTACTGTCTGGAAGTTCCTCGTCGAATGAAAGCCTCTGATTAGAGCGGCGCGAACCTGAGACTCGGCGACATAATTAAAGTTCCGGGAGAGACGCCATTGGCGCCATATTGCTCGAGAACCACGCTGGAATAACATTGTATAATAATTAGGGGTATATGTATGTATAATCTATTGAACAGATCGGATAGATTGGACCAAGTAGCTATATACCTAGCAGTAGAAGTACATCATTGATGTTAGCTATTCAAAAAAGAAAAAGGCAGTAAAAATTAATTTAACGAGGGAGTCAGATGAATGAAGCAAGGTTAGTAAGAAAGAGAGAAAGAGAGAAAGGAAGAGAGGAGAGAGTGATTGACTTTCTAACTTTCTGACCCGTGGCTTACCATACTCACCCAGTACCAAGGTATGCACTTACCTGAACTCTCCTGCCCTTCTTAGAGGGCGATAAACTGGAGTGACGACTTCTAACAAGAGTTCATTCCCCCACATTAGGCCGTAGCTATCCGAAATCTGGGGAAGCCGATTATGGCCGTTGGCGGGCGGTCAAGCTACTGTACCTAGTTACATACCCATGGATATTTATGGGAACCATCTTTAATTGGCTAACCATGCGATTGGGATCCACGTTGTGTTCCTGCATCTGAGGAATTACATTGACGTTAGTTAGTTACTACTAGTAGTAGAGTTTACCTAAGCAGCTGCTAAGCTAATAACTAGATCTTTTATTTTTATTTTTATGCTCTCATCGTATTTTTGCGACGTAATGCGCGACCCAATCGATTAAACGGCAACACCCGCACAACGTCACTCTAACATCTTGAACATGTCTCTTGCTCGTAGACCTAGGCTTTTATGTCTGCTCTGCCAGACAAGGGCATTTCACCCCTCTTATCGAATTCTAGCTGAACAGCGTAGTTCGGCAACACCGTCACCATCAGCAGCAACAGAAAAAGCAGCCACAGCAATAACAACCGCAAACCCCACACCCAACATACAGTCAGCCAAGCCGACAGACCCCAAAGCACCACAATCGCCGACAGTCGCCCCGACCCTCTCCCCCCTCGAAGATGCGCCGAGATCCTATGGAAAGCGAGTCGAAAAATTCACACCCAAGCCGCTGACCCGGCCGATAGGCATGCGGAATCCACCACAACCGGGCGAAAACACGGGCATAGACCTCCGGACGCTGAAGGAGCGCCGGGACGACTTTGCCAACTACGAGAAGCACCTGAAGAGGCGGCAAGAACTGTAATGCCTCCCCCTCCCCTCCCCCTCCCCTCCCATCCCACCGCAAAAGCAAAACTAGCTAGCTGACCAAGTCTCGTGCTTCCAAACCAGAACAAGCAAATTCTCGCGCCCCTACTTCCGCGACTGGGGCAACCTCAAGTTCCACAAGGGCAAGACCTTCTACCCGCCCCCCCGCCCCTTCAAAAAGGACCTCTCCCTCTTCTTCCCCAACCTCTACGGCCGCACCCTCCTCAAAAGCCACGTCGCCCCGCGCGACACCACCCCGACCCTCCTCAACAAGGTCTCCCTCGTCAGCGTCTTCAGCAGCGTCTGGGCCGAGAACCAGACCCGCACCTTCACCTCCGCCGAAAGCAGCCCCGACCTCGACGCCCTGCTGCGGCAGCACCCGGACGTCCTGCAGCGCGTGTGGATCAACGTCGAGGAGAACACGCTCAAGGCGTGGCTGATCCGCCTGTTCGTCGGCGGCATCCGCCGGCGCATAGGCGAGCCGAACTGGGGGCGGTACTTCGTCGTGCGGAAGGGGATCTCCGACGACATCCGCGAGAGCATCGGCCTCTTGAATAGCAGTGTCGGCTACACGTACCTGCTTGACGGCGAGTGCCGGATCCGCTGGGCCGGCAGCGGGCTGTGCGAGGAGCACGAGAGAGAGGGGCTGGTGAAGGCTGCGCAGAGGCTGGTGGAGGAGCAGCGGAATATTGTTAAGAGAGAGGTTAGTTAAAAGAAGAAGAAGAAGAAGAAGAAGAAGAAGAAGAAGAAAGAAAAAGAAAGTAGACTTGTGGTGCAAAATGGTCATGCGTGATGAATATACAATGATACCCGACTCTCCTAAAAAGCCTCTCTTCATGCGGCGTAGGTACGTAGGCATGCATTCGCTGTTTATATGATTTATTATATTTGCGCATGCTCTAGACACGCTTGTACTAGTCTAAGCTGACTACGATTTATCCCGTGCAGCAGTTTATGTAGTCTTGATAAAAGAGCGGAGCGAGGAAACTCCACGATGCTGACATCTCCCGGATGCTTCTCACTACATACCACCCCCTTACGACACACAAACTACCTAGCTACCTAGGTGGGTAGATAGGTAGTTAGGTAGCCATAATGTCATTTTTCTTCCTCTTCACCCCTTTCATAGACTGCATGCATGGTAACCAACTCTTCGCCGTGCCTTTTCTTTGCTCATATTATACAGCATACCAATAGTGTACCGTACCTCGGAGCCGTTTTCAAAAGTAAAAAAAAAAAAGTAACCACCAGAACGCCTTGCATAGGTAGCAATGCAACTCAAGAAGCCAAGGTATATATATCCCATCCGTGCCCAAACAGAACTTAAACAAACAAAGCCAAAGGGCTTCTGTTTTTGGAGGATTTTCTTCCCCCCATAATTTATTGGTACCGCCTACAAGAAAAGCCAAAAGATGACGAAGCAGAATGCTATGAAGCTGCCCATGAGGATGCTGTCTCGCCGCTTACGTGCTGAGATCTTTCCGATCAGGGTGTTGAGGCCGGGTACCTGGCTCGCAGCCATGGTGATCCTTCTATTGATACTGGCTAGGGTTTCGCGCTGCACGATGAAATTCTCGTTGGTGGCGTACGCTTGGCTGAGGACGCTGTCTACCATATTATGGCTGTTGTCGATGCGGTTCCGCTCGTCCAGCATGTACTCGGCCTCGGCCGCTTCGGGGTTGTTCGCTCGGTAGGTCTGGATGTCATCTCGCACGTTGGAGAGCAGGTTTGCACGGTTCCTCGCTTCTTGGAGGCTGGAACGCAAGCGGCTGAGATCGCGTCTGTGTTCGGCCAGTTTCTCGCGGAGAAGGGAGAGGTTATTTTGCTTGAGAGCGGAGGATGTAAGGCTAGGTTCAGTTTCCAGAAGGCGCGCTAATTGGTTGACGACATTTTCTCTCTTCGGATAGCAGTTAGTAACAAGAGGATGATTCGAGATATAGGTTGATCTGCACAAAGTGGGGCTACCTTTTCGAGTATTTCCTCTAACTTGGTTTCTGTTTCTCGCTCCTCTTTGGTCGGCTTCGCCGGAATATCCGAGACGGTAGAAAATTGAGAGTATGTGTGGAATAAAGCCTCTGCCTATGAATGGGAAAAGAGGTCAGTGCGAGATCCTTAAGCTTTGGGCATCATTGGCTGTCTTTGTTACCTGTGACTCCAAGCTCCGGGCTTGCTGTCGCAACTGAGCCCAGCCTTGATTTCCTGTTGGCGCTGCCATGTCCGAATCCAATAGTCAAACTAGTTATAAAGGCCAATTTCCACAACAACTAATCATCCCTGAAGCGCCTTGGGTCACGATGGTGCTGCGCAACGTTGGGCTGTACAAGGTGTTTCGTATTGAGGGGAGACTTAAGCTAAAGAAAGAAAGGTTAAGCCGGTGGTATGATTCCACCTGATTTGTCGACAGTAGCTTCGTTATGGGCAGAGAAGAAGGGTTGATGTAGATAGATGGTAGAGATCGTCGGATATGTATAAGTAGTACGTTGATGACGAAGAATGTCTTACTTCAAGTTGTGTAGGTGAGTAGGTACGATGTGTGTAGCTGGAGCTGGAGGTATTATCTAAGGTTAAGGATGTAGTATGTAGGTAGGCTGGTACGATTACATGCAGTGGTAAGTTTGTAGCTACAGGTATGTACTGTAACTTGGCCTCTTACGGTTTGGCTCATGTATAATTAGGTAATTGAAGTGAAGTGCCGCTGAAACATTGAATGTGCAGTGGCATGTGTACCTATGTACCTGCTTAGTACTAGGTACCTAGTATTGTACAGTCATTTAAGCACGTGATGTGACCCATTACTTTACAAGTGCATCATTGATGTGGCTGAGTTATGTCATCATGTGGAGACTTTGAACTCGTCTAACGGTTCCCGCCTTAAAAACAAAAAACAAAAAAACAACGGATAACTAATAGATAAATCACCTGACCTAAACTTTTCCGCCCACAACCCTACTTCTCTAGCAATTCAATTCTTTTTAGACGTCTACCAAAAAATTCCTAGGCCGAAATTTCACGACAATCTCCATACACGACCACCGAAGACCGACCTCAATCCCGTCACAAACACCCCGTACCATTCAAGATGGTAAGTCGACTCGTTGTTGAAATTCTGTCAATCCGAATTATCGCGGCTAATCATTAAATGCGCAGTCGACTTCCAAGGTCAAGACCGGAGCGCTATGGAACAAGAACAAGGATGATTTGTTGAAGACCCTGGGTGAGCTCAAGACTGAGCTGGGCCAACTTCGCATCCAGAAGGTTGTTTCTTCCGGCAGCAAACTCAACAGAATGTACGTTGGAATTTGACAATTAAGCCCTCGAATCTTTGAATATATCGAATCCTCGATCCCTCGATCCCTTCTGTGGGCAATCACACGACACTTGCATGCATGAATATTGGGAACGCGATCGCTCATTCGCTTGCTCTTAACTCACTAACCATTTCCTCAATAGCCACGACCTACGAAAGTCCATCGCCCGTGTCCTTACCGTCGTCAACCTTAAGCAACGATCACAGCTACGTCTGTTCTACAAGAACAAGAAGTACCTTCCTCTGGACCTCCGACCCAAGCAGACTCGTGCCATCCGACGACGCCTTTCCCCAGAAGAGAAGTCCAAGACTCTAGAGAAGACGCGCAAACGTGCCTCGCACTTCCCTCAGCGCAAGTACGCTGTTAAGGTACGCCAAGCCTGAAGTTATCCCAGCAGACGATAGCAGTCTACGAATACATTACTATCTAGTCACAATAGCACCTACATATGGATCGTGCAAGCTAACACCATTGGCATGTATAGGCTGCTTAAACGCTTCTCATCGGGAATTTGGTAAAGGGGAAAACGCAGGACGCTTACTGTAGTGGTATACGGGCGTCGTGGTCATTCCAAAAAAGGAAAGGAAACCTTTGATATGTGCATGGCATCACACGGCTTTTTCGGTTCATAGGTGTTTACGCGGTCACACTTTGCAGTCAATGTCGCTGCCCAATGCAAAAAGACTTGCCCTAGGGCACTAAATTAATTTGATGACACGCCTTGCCGGCTCCATGTGATTCTTGTTCTTCCGAGTACGAAACTACAATTGAAGAAATATAGCTGAAAATCCTAGACTGACGATGATATGAGCTACAGTCTGTCTAATATGAGCCTTGTTAACTCAATTCCAACCCTGTATGTAATACCTATAATCGAGGCTTGAAGTCACATCCTCGTCAAGTCGTAGAAGGCCACACAGAAAGAACTACACAACGCCCACCCTGTGAATAGAGACGATAAGTAAACACAGCACACTCGTAAGCTTTCTACACTAGTACTCAGCCAATTAAATTCAAAAAGAGAGCGAAAAGATCTCTTGTATAGTTATGTAATTTGTGAATCAAAACGCTAGGTATCCTGGTATCGCTTTTGTACATTGCCTTGAAAATGTCCATTGTCCATGTTCATGTCCATGTCCATGTCCATGTTCTGTCCCTTTATATATGAACTCCTCCCCCCCCAAACGCTCCCAAAATGCTGTGCCCGCTTTGCAAGATCGTTTCATTCAACGCTTCCCTAGATATTCCCAAGGGCCCTTTTTTTTAAAAAAAAAAAAAATCCGTGTCGCAAATGCTGAATTAGAATTGAAGGGGTTGCTTGTTCCCAGATCAAGCACCCTGGTTTTCGAATCCGTTTGGTTGCACGCCACCCAACCAAGCACCCTGGGTTTCGAGCTGGTTGTGCTGGGTACCCCCTAATAACGAACTTCCCTGGCCTTCCAGTTGGTTATACTGTAGACCGTCTTGCCAAACTCCTTGGTTCGCGTTTTGAGCATATTGGAGACCGCTGTTCCAATTACCCTGGTTGTCGAACCACCCAGTAAACTGCTGGGCTTGTGCTTGCGTCGCGTTCGAGTCAGAACTACCATTCCAAGAATCCTAGACTTGGGTCTCGGTCATCTGCTCCTTCTCTTCCAGGATTTGCGGTGTTGCTGGAGTCTCTGGTGTCACCGGCGTGTCCAATGACACAGACGACGAGACTGACCCTCTCGCTCTTGCGCGGCGGGTGCTCGTCTTCCTCTTTCGTCTGTCCTCGTGGACCAACTGGTGTCGTCGTAGTTGGTCGGCGCGTAGGAATTCTCGCCCACAGCCTGCTACCTCGCATTTGTGCATAAACTCGGCGTTATGCGTCTTGCGGTGCTTTGATAAGTTGGACGACTCGCAGAACCGCTTGCCACATTCTTCACACACCAGCGGCTTCTCGCCTGTGTGTGTACGCTTATGCATAGCTGCCGTCATATTAGCCATACAATCTCTTAAAAGCACCTCAATAAGGTAAATACATACTCAAGGCGCTTTGCTGTTTAAAAGCTTTCCCGCAATCCTCATAATCGCACTTGAACGGTGTCTCACCAGTGTGTGTTCTCACGTGCTGGTCCAGAGCCTGCTGCGCCGAGAAGCTTTGGTGACACGTCTCGCATTCGTATGGCTTATCTGGATAATTATTAGTACAACTCTCTGTTTAGATCGGGATGAGGCAACTTACAACCCGTGTGGGTTAGCATATGACGCGTCAGCTTGTTGCGAGACGGGAAGCTTTGGTCACCACGGCGAGTACAATCCTTCCAAGAGCAGAGGTACTTCGTCTTGCTAGAAAGCAGAGAAACGTGTGCCTCACACAGATGCTCTTGTAGAGAGTTGCTATCGTTGCAAACATGTCCGCATACGTTTCCCTGGATCCCTAGACCCTCTGCGGGCAATATCCACTGGCAGACATGCTTAGACGCAGTCCCAGGCCTCTGACAAGATTCTTCCAAAGAAGGCGGCACCGAATTGATATCCGGGGTGGACGTGACGCTCGGGTGCGTTTGGATAGGCAACGCGAACTGCTGAGGAGTGTACATGGGCGGGACAGGGTTATTGAGGTGACAACCAAGCTGTTGGAACACTTGGTTCTGATGTTGCGAGGGGGCCGCGGCAGCAGGCGCACTCAAGTCCCGCAGAGTAATCGCAACATCGTGTTCCGTGTTCGTGTGATTGCAGGGCTCGTTGTTGTGCAGGATTGAGTTGATATCCTGCTGCATCTGAGCGTGCCAGCCCTGGTGCATGTCCCACAACTGCTCAAAAGACTGCTCGCTTGTCTGTCCGGCAGACTTCTCAGGATGCTGAGAGATGGGTTGCGAGCCATCTTCGAGGCAATGCGTGCTGTCACAAGGCACTCCCTCATCCGCGCACGTTTCCTGTTGGCAGACATCCTCCTTTTCGCATTCCGGGTTCGAGCAACAGTCAGAGCAGGAATATTTGCTCGAACTGACGGAAGCGGTGTCTTCTGGGACAGGCTGCTGCTGTGACGAGGCCCCTAGGTCTGCGACGTTGAACTGGTTACCTGCATAGGCGCCCATGTAAAATTGATTGTCGAATTGCGGCGCTTGTAACTGGAAATGACTGTTTTCCATCTGGTACGCGTAGGCAAGAGACGCTGTGTTATAGCGAGGTCTTGCGGGGAAGGTCGGCCCATATACATTCCGCTGTACACCTTGCGAACCGAAGTTGGGGCACTTGTCGAGGCAGTTGTCGTCGTGGGAGGTGTGAAAGAGATCTAAAGAGGACGGCTCGATGGTATCGAAGAGCGACGGGTTGAATGAGAACGCGTTCTCGAAATTGTGGTCACTAGGCGCAACCGAGTTTGTGTACCTCTCCACCGAAGGTGAAGAGGTGAGTGAAGGTAGGCCATAATTGGCCTCGTTCATGTCGACTGGGTCGTCCATGGTTTGGTATATTGTCATGTCTAGGCGAAATTCTTCGCATAACACGACCTAAGATGGAGAGAGAGAGAGAGAGAGAGAGAGTGAGACAATATTGTAGATGTAAAAGGGTTGATCAAGTTGTTGAAGGCTGAGTTTTTGACTGCTTAATGAATATTGACCAATGCGCCTAGGGCTCGAGGGATCTGGGGTATGGATGGATCGACACCAGGTGCAGAAGATGATGAAATATTTGAGGCTCTTATTCTTTTATGGTGTGCGAAAGGGAAATTTGAGGTGGGAATATGTATGTACTGTGGGTTGAATGGCGTTCCAGGTTACAGGTTCATGAGGACCTTGATGGACTTCCAGTTTGGTATGGGTAGGAGGTACCTTTTTTTTTTTTTTTTTTTTTTTTTTTGCTTTCTTTTTTTCCTTCTTCTCTTCTTTTTATGGTATGTGTACTGATACTATACTGGGTAACAGTGTCACATATAGATCTTTTTTATTGTTGTAAATCCATGGATCCATGGTTCTGTATTCAAGTTGATTGGGTAAATTGGAAATTGAGTATTCTCAAGTTGCTATTGTTACTATGAAGAATACAGAAGTCGTTACTGTACCTTAAAAGCTTATTGTTCAGGCGCAGTAAAGTGTTTTTCTTTTTGCGGGCCAACGGTAATTCTGACCAATGAAAAAACGTGGATTGGCTCACAATGCTAAAGTGGAGGTTTATCCCAGCAGTCAGCAAGGTTATCCATCAAGGTTCTCACATATTTAATATGGACCCTTTCCCGCAACGAGTATAGTAGGCGTTGTACATCTTGAGCTTCTACAGTACCTTATTGTTATTCTAGGTTAGGAGGGTAGACACCGTTGGATTGGGTCGAGGCTCACTATTAATGCAACTAAAGAAGAAGAAGAAAAGGTGTAATGTAGATACATTACCAAATGAAATAGTTTATTCATCTCATCTAGTTATATATCTGTAAATTTGAAATTGAGTAACAACCTAGGGTATCTAGGATATGTACTAATAAGAGAGACAAAAGAGAGACATAAAAAAGACACTAACTAATAAGCTCATAGCTTTGGCTTTGAAGATTTTCATATGAGCATGGTACAAACATCGTGCTATTATATACTACATGTACTAGGTACATATTTGCTCTTCACAATCATTTCATGATATTTCACTAGGCCCTTCAAACTTTAGGATGCAAACGACCTACATAGTAAAACTCTTCAACTAGTACAGCATATACCCAGACCAGCGCGGCGTGTGTCACGTGTTTCATTCTAGAATTCATAGAGAGAGGGAGAGAGAGAGAGCACGGACTGCATTTGAACCAAGAGTCCAAGACAAAAGGCTTGGTACCTAATAACTCGGGCAATGTCATCAATCATACCTAGTAATGATCACAGGCCTATTACAGTACGTAGTAGCATGTACATATTAATGTACATAATAGCAGCTTGAGCCCCGCATCCTTTTCAGGGTCTTCCCTCGGTGTAATTAATATCTGCCTTACGTAACACACCATTAAACATCTTGAGCCTCATTATCATCTGGAACGGCACGTCATAAGGGAGAGAACAGCCAACTCATACCTTCCAGCATCAACACCAAAAAAATCGAAAAAAAAAATCGACTCGAGACACCTTTTCATCAATCCGCTATCTAAGAGTCTACGTCTACCAACAGAACCTCAAAGCAATTATTAGGTGCTGCGCCCGCGATTTCTTCCTCCGAACCGAGAAAGCGCCCCCAAAGAACAACGGACCAATCACCATCACCATCGCCCATACGTCCATACATACATACATACATACATACATACAAAACCAAACCGCCTCACCCACCCAGCTTGAGCCAAACCAGCCAGCAAGCATGGGCAACCTCTGCAGCAAATCCTCCTCCTCCCCCGGCGACAACTTCGCGCAGCCCGGCCGCGTCCTCGGCTCCGCGCCTCCCCAGCCCCAACGCGCAGCCGTCCCGGCCAAAATCATCAGCACTAATAATTACAACAACAACAACAATCATAATAATAATAATAATCCGCCGCGGACCCTAGGCGGTAGTGTTGTTGGAACCGCGCAGCAAGACCACGGCAACAACAGCAACAGCGACGCCGCAGAGGAAGCTAGAAGACGAGCCGCTGAAGCTGCCGAGGTACATACGTTATCATCATCATGGTTTACTATGTATCGTTTTTTTTGTTTTTTTTTTTACTAACACCATCACAGGCACGAGCGCAAGCAGCATCCAAGCCAGCAGGAAAACTAGGCGCGCAGCTAGCGGCGCAGAAGAAGCAGACGCGCAACGAGACGCTGAAGGAGCTTAGCAGTAATGAGCTAAGACAACGAGACGCCGACGAGGCGGCAGCGGCGAGAAGTCACAACTAGAATCAGATCAGATCCAGTAATCTAATGTAAGACCAAGCCCAGGATGCGGGAAACGAAGAGCAATGGGATCTTCATAGATGGAGCTAACTAATATTGGCCCGATCATCGAAATCGTGTCCCCTAACTGTTGTATTATACCTGCTTCAGCATTCCCTTGTTCTGTTCTCATCTGCGTATGGTTTGTCTGTCCGGCTCTCTTCATGCGCCTTTGCTCAACGCCGATATCATTCATGTACTTAGAAAAACACCTGTCCATAAAGCCTTGCCCAGGATATTTGATTTACATTCCATGCTTGTTTCCTACACAAGCTTCCTTCTTTTCTAAGTGACTGTGTATCTGCCACCGATGGGGGCCCTGCTATCCGCATCCGCAGCCGCTAATGTACCTTCCTTGAGTAAACGAGTGAGTTCAGACATGGCATTAGCCACCATCATCTCAGTATCTCCCTCTACCAACACGTAAAGCTTGGGTTCGGCACCAGGCGGCACCTCCTTTCCGAGTGGATAAAAGGTACCCTTGTTGGTGATAGACGTACCGGTAGCTTCCAGAATTTTAGCCACATTGGTCCGATTCGTGACAGCCCAGCGAGCCTTCTGAGGGAAATCATTGATTTCGAGAGTTGCGTGGAATGCACCCGCATCTGGGCCCTTATTATCAATCGGCTGCCCTGGTCTCAACTGACCAGCGCGACCCAGACGAGCATTGATCGCATTAATCGCAGAAGAGACCTTGTCCAAGGGGTTGTTGCCGCTTGAGGATGGCGCCGCCTCCTCCCTTTTATGAATAGTAAATTTCGGTTCCAGGTCAACTTTGGGAGCAGTAGCGGTGTCACGAGATATTATTCCCGAAGCCGCAGTTTGTATGGCCGACAAAGCTTTATCGCCCTTCTTCTCCTCGCCACCCTTCTCCTCCTTCTTCTCCTCCTCTTCATCGCCTTCTGTCCTGTGGGTCTTTCGTTCTCTCACCCGGGCGGCTTCTCGTTCCTGATCAAGGCGCTCGAGTCCTTTGCCGCCAAAGCCCGATTGGTCTTTGGCCTTTCCGGACTTAACCTTATCTCTGAAGGCTTTACGCATATCTTCTAACTGTGGCGGTACTGGCTGTCCACTTTGTTCGAGGGCTCTGGCAATTCCGGGGGCACAGTTCTCCTGCTCCCCTGTTACAAAAGTAACCGCCGTTCCCTTGTTGCCAGCACGTCCGGTACGACCAGCACGATGCACGTAATCTTCAAGATGGTTTGGAGCATCGTAGTTGACAACCAGCTTCAGCTGTTTCACATCGAGGCCACGAGCAGCCACAGACGTAGCGATTAGAATGGGGATGACACCGTGCTTAAAGTCCTCAATTGTAGAATCTCTGTCAATCTGGTCCTTTCCACCGTGAATTGACATGCAGGGGTAGCCTTTCCGCAATAATTCCTTTAGCAAATCATCCGCCTTTTCCTGTCGCTCCACAAACACAAGAGTTCGAGCATCCTCGTCCTTGTCATAGAGCTCACCCAGTAGCTCGAGCAGGCGAATAAACTTGGCATTCTCTTCTCGAATCTCTACAACTTGGGTAATCTCGGGGGCAACAACGCTCCTACCACCGACAGTGATCTCTACGGGACTGTTCAAGACTTTCTTAGCAAGGGCGTCCATGATACGTGGCATGGTGGCCGAGAAAAGAATGGTTTGACGATCCGGTCGCATGTTCGCAAAGATTTTCATCACCTGCGGCTCGAAACCCATATCGAACATTCTGTCTGCTTCGTCGAGGACAACATAGCTGACCCTTTTCAAGTTTGTTACGCGGCCTTGGTTAGCTGCTAGTAGATCGATCATGCGACCTGGAGTGCAGACGACGATTTCCGCACCTCTCTTCAACTCCGCGATGTGATCCTTGATAGGCGCACCGCCATAAGCACAAACCGCCCGAAGGTTCATCGACTTCAAGAACGGCTTGCAGTCTCGGTGTATTTGGGTAGCCAACTCACGCGTAGGAGTCATAATTAAGCTGATGGGACCTTCGTTCTCCCTTAGTGGCCGTTGATCTTTGATGTGCCTGAACATAGGTAGTAGGAAGGCAAGTGTCTTTCCCGAGCCAGTTTTTGCAACACCAATGACATCTCGTCCAGACATGATGGCAGGAAACGCTTGCATTTGAATCGGCGTAGGCTTTTCAAATCCCAAACTATCAACGATGTCAAGAGTTTTGCGGGACAAGGCACATTGAGACCACTTCTGAACTGGCTTCGGCACATCCTTACCGGATACCTTGATTCCATCTAGTTCGATACGGAGATCTGTTAATTCAGCATCGGTCATTTCTGATAGCTCGGCCGGTTCAACCCAGAAGTTCTTCCGAACGGGTTCCAAGTCAATCTTGCTATAGTCAACGGACGGAATGTCTTTCTTCTTGCGGGCTTTTGCTGCGATAGCTAAGAATGAATCAGGGTCCACGTTCTCTTTCCGATAGTCGAACTCGTCATCACTAAAGTACGCTTCAGGTTCTTGTGAATCTTTACTCTGGTTAGCATTTGCTTTAGGACGTTTATCCGCCACCGGCTTCGTTTCAAGATCATTCATGAAAGCATCTAGAGGGTCAACATCGTCCTCGTCGACCTCCATAGCCTCGTTTAGCTGGTTGTTCTGAGCAATACCGATTGTCTCTGAGACTTTGTCCTCTTCAGGTTGATCCACTTGCATTTCTGCTGCTTGTTGAGCATTCTCTTGCGCAATACGCTCTTCTCGTCTCTCTTGGGCTGCTCGAGCCGCGGCAGCCTCTTCCGCCTCATCTCCAGCGAAAGGAACTGTATCTTCATCGTCTTCTTCTTCCTGGTTTTCATAGGGTGTATCATCGACATCGCCAAGGGGAAGGGAGGGCAGCTTAGCAAGTTTTCTGTCAGATGTTTCTTCCTCGTCGAGCATCAGTTTCCGCTTCTGCGATAACCTTTCCGCTTCTGCATTTTGCTTGTGGAAGCCAAAACCACTCGTCTTGGCTCTACTCTGTGGAAGAGCGGATACTTAATGGTCTAGTTAGCAACACAATATAGTAAGGGATACACGAATAGGAATACTGAACGCTTACCACTTGGGGCTTTTGTCGCCGAAGCTACGGCTGCGGACGGTGGGCCGGCAATGACACCCAACTTGGGGGCGGTACTAGGGGAGTGTGTCTTAGGAGCAGACTTCTTAGCTATAGCCTTAGGGTCGAATTTTCCAGCATAGGGAGCTGCTGGTGAAGGAGCGGGTAGGTCTGCAGGTGATGCTGGGGTTGGTATCGGATTGGTTGGCTCTGCATTAGCCTTCTGGTCCATTTCAGCAAGGAGCTTGCGCGTGGCACCCGGGGTCGGCTCCTTCTGCTTCTCCTTCTTCTCCTGTTTCTTTTTCCATGCTGCTAATTTGGCAAGCCGCTCGGCTTTCTTGTCGGCGTCAGGCGGGGCAGCCGCTGGCTTCGATTTTGATTCTGTCTATAATCCAAGTTAATCTCTATCATAGAATAGGACAGGATGATACAACATACATCAGATGCCTTCGTTTTGGACGTCTTAGACGTCTCGCTGGGTGCTGGGCCTTGCTCACGGCTGTCACCTCGCCTACTGCGTGGATGAGAGTCAGTAGTACCTTCGCGTCGTCCTCTTAGTCGGTCACGGGAATCGTCTCGCCTATTTCGATGACCCTTGTCATTGTCACGGTCACGACTCCTACGCCGGCGAAGGTCAGAGGGGCGATCTCCATCCCTTTCTAAGAAGCGATCACGCGATCGCCTACGATCCCTTGGGCCTCGATAGTAATCATCATCTCGGCGATCGGTGGAACGGTTACGTCGGCGAAAGTCTGGGTCTCTATCTCGGTCTCTGTCTCGATCCCGATTTCGACGCTGTTCCCAGGAATGATTAGAAAGGTTGGAGGAGATGAATGGATGGCCGCGTCTTCTTACATCATGTGGGCTCCGAGAGCGACTCCGACGTCTTGCATCTAGGCCAGGGTCTCGACGGTCGCGTTCCCGATATCGATCTCGATCTCTTCTGTCATCATCTTTGCGGTGTCTTCTTGAAGATTGCTGACTTCCTGTTGGAGTTGGTGAGCGTGAGTCTCTGAGCCGAGCCATGATTTTTTTTTCAAAGATAGTACAGCTCGGTCGCACTACAATGGTGAGAGCTACCAAAGGACTCGAGGGAAGCTTCAATTAGACGATCAGACCTAATAGAAAGATCACCTATTATATCTTGGGATTCAGCTATGTCGACGATGTGAGTTTGAACATCAAAGAAGCCTGTATGTACTATGTATTGTATCAAAGGCCGACGGGTTGATGAAATGGGTTGTCGTTCTTGTTACTTGCTTTTGTCTGCTTTAATTCAAGAAATTTCCAAGGATTTAAGTATAGATATGTATTTATACAGTATATGTATTATGGTAGTCATGTCATATTATTAAACGTTGTAATTGAATTTATCGCTTGTGGCTGGTACAATGTAGGTCAAGAATTGTTGATGTTCAATCAAGATGTTGGGCACACTGCATAATGTATGTACTGTATCTACGTAGTACATGCATGTGGGCCGTGACGCTATCATCGATGTTAGTGCAGAATGTAGGTATGTACAATACCTAGGTAATTACCTAGGTTAGGTACGTAGTTACTAGGTAATAATTCTACTGTGCTGGTAGGCGAGGGCAGGTTTGCAATTTAATTGTGGGATGCACTGACCAGCAAATATGGGGTTTTCCTGTTTTCTCAACCTATCAGAGGCCAGTATTGAGCTTGTGCACAACTCGAAGCTCAAGCTTGAACAGGGGAGGTGGTTTGCATTAATGTCGCGTTTGAACATTGAACCTAAACTACCTAGTACTGCGGGTGCCAGGTGGTATGTAGCCCTGCTGAGATATTATGTACCGTACTGTAGGTATTGTACCGTGCCTTAGGTTCTGTTCTTAGCCACAAGGGAAATGTTTGAATAAACATGGGTTTATTGGTCCCGCACTGCGCACTGCGACTCTTTAAGATTTCTTCATCCAACGTCCCACATCTTCCCTCCATCGGTTTTCAATCGGTTTAACAATCCAGTCTTGGGACTCTGGAAAACCTTTCAGTTTTACCAGAGCACTTCAAGATTATCTACTATATTACCAGACACCCAATTTGGTCATCAATTGATCATCATGCTGTCTTCTATTGGACGCGCCGCCATTAGGCGATTGGTCTCATCAGGATCTGCTACCGCACCCCGCCACATTTCAGTATCCCGCATTCCTGTCAATTCCGTGGGACACGGTCGCAGCGTCTTCCGTGCGCTTTCCACTACTCCGGCACAATCCAAGGCTGCTGTCGCCACGGAAATTGAAAAGGCCCCAACCAAGCGAGCCACCAAGAAGCCGGCAGCCACCAAAGCACCAGCTAAAAAGGCAGCAACCAAGACAACTAAGAAGGCTGAGACTACCACCAAAGCAACCAAGACAGCCAAGCCTAAGGTTGCCGCCGCAGCCAAATCGAAGGCTAAGCCTAAGGCGAAGGCGAAGGTGAAGGCGAAGGCTAAGCCTAAGCCTAAGGGCAAGCCTCGTGCAAAGCCGATAGACCCAGAGAAGTTGAAAAAGAAGAAGGAACTTATTGAGAAGAGAGAGCTCAGGAAGGCGGCATTGTTCACCGAGCCGAAACAGCTTCCTACCAATGCCTGGACTTGTTTCATAGTCGAGAAAATCAACGGCAAGGAGGGTAGCCTCGAAGGCAGAATGCGAGTGCTCGCTCCTGAATTCAAGGCCCTTCCAGCCTCCGAGATAGAGGTGAGTACTTGAATTGCAAACATGACTTGGCTATATTACTCCGAGGTTTCTAACCAATTTCTAGCGACTTGAGAAAATTGGCGCGGAGAACAAGATTCTCAACGCGGAAGCCTATAAGGCATGGGTGACGAGTCACACCGTTATTGAAATGCACAATGCCCGAAAGGCTCGCAATTCTCTGAAGCGAAAATACAACATCCCTGCGTCGGGGTCTGTCAAGAATATTCGTGATGATCGTATCCCCAAGATGCCCAGCAATTCCTTCAGTCTTTTCACAAAGTCCAAATGGGCATCTGGAGATATCTCACACATGCCTTTGGTAGAAGGAGTCCGGGCCGTCACCCAGGCGTGGAAGGACTTGCCCGACAATGAGCGTGCTGTAAGAGAGCCCCCTCCTTCCTTTTTCTTTTTTCAAAAAGAAACACCAAAACCACACTGTTATGGAAACTGACTATTTCGTAGCCATTCATCGAGCAGGCGAAGGCCCTTCAGGAAAATTACGCAAAACAGTGTGAAACGGTTCTAAACCGCGGACCCTGGAAGAACACGACGACCAAGCCGTAATCGAGTTATGGCTAGGTACCGTCTCTACCCTCCATTGAAACCGAGGAAACTGGGCGTTGACCCCGGCATTTAGTTCCCCTTTCACGAGATAGGCAGTTGATGATGAGTATGGGGCTAGGCATAAGTAGTTCCATCTAGTTATTATCACTTTGCCCTGAAGATGTTTATGCGAAATCGAAATCTCTCAATCGGTGGTCTTTGGGGCTTAGGTATGGTTCGCCGTTTTTCGGAACGGGCTTGTACTTGTAAAATTCTCGTTTTTTGTCTCCTACACACAAGTTTCATTGATTGTCTCCTAACCTTCCAACCATGAACCGAGTAGAGACTCTTACGTTTGTTAAATGAACATGTTAATGAATGACTACTCCGCTCCGGGTACCTAGGGAGGATAATGTAACTCCCAGACGTTTAAAAAAAAACTTGGTAGTATAACTTATGGCTATCAGGGGAAACGAACAAACAAACAAACATTATGAAAATGGTGAAGATGCTGAATCGTATAAGGGAATTCCCCTGAGTAGGTTAACAGGTATCCAAATAATACTAGGTAGTAACCCAGACCCCTATTCTCTTATGTAAAGTAGGTACTTATGTATGTATGTATGTATGTACGCCAACGCCATGAAAATGCTCGTGTCCCCTATGTCTATCCCCTTTCTTATGCAATTTTCCCACTCGTAACCCAGGTAGATACCTATCTAACCTATATGCAAAAACACGTACATACCTATATATCCCCAATTCCCCTCCCCTTAATCACCCCTAACTCCTCGTCCCCATAACAACAACCACCTCCCCCCCAGCGCCGACCCAAGAGCATCCGGTATACAAGACGCGGCGCTGGCTAGCGAGGTAGAGCAGCAGGTAGATGTGGGGGACGACGACGCCCCAGCAGAAGATGCGGAAGCGGCGGAAGTCGGGGTCGCGGACGCACCAGATGCTCCAGCCGGCGACGCCGGTGCCGACGTAGTTGGCGAGGTAGGCCCAGGCGTCGCGCTTGAGGCGGGGGTCCCAGGCGGTGCAGTCGACGCGCCAGTGGCCGCGCTCGAAGGGCTCGAGGGGCCGCTGCTGCGACGCGGGCTTGTAGCGGCGGGAGATGACGAGGTCTTGGTCCAGGCGGGCGAGGCCGGGGGTGATGAGGTCCGAGGGCTGGATCTCGGCCATGGAGACGGGGGGCTCGGGGGCGTAGAGCTCGAGGGTGTCGTAGGTGTAGCCGTGTTCAGGGAGGAAGGTGACCGTCAGTCCGGCCGGCGTCTGCTCGGCGGCGGCGGAGGTCCTTGGGCCAATGTCACTCGCGGATCTTTGTAGAGCTGTTCGGGGGCTTTCGTCGGCTGTGGTTGGCTGTGGTAGCTTGTCCGGTAGTGGTTCGGAGTCCGCCCGGGCATGGGAGGATAGGTTGGACGAGAATGATTCTATCATGCTTTCCTCTACGATGATGTCACTACTTGGGTCGTGTTGACTTTGTGGGACCTGTAGTTGATTCTCCATATTCTTCCCGTGTTGTGCCGCGGACGTAGAAGAGAGATTACACGGTGGTGTACAAGGAACGATTGGCGGCGTACTGGAAACCAACGGCGCAGTAATTTTGTCCCTTGAACTAGAATTTGCGAGGCTTGGGGAAGGTTCACCGTGAGAAGCGCGGTTGTGACTTGGTTGAGAAGTAGTCTCAGGAGATGTTGACTCAAACTCCTGCAGGTAGTACTCTAATACCCGTGTAGGCGAGGTGAGGTTGGCAATCCTAGTAGCGTACTCTCCTTGGTAAGAATCTTGTACGACGCTAGAGGGTGAGTTCCCTGGGGACTGGGTCAAGAGCATTGTCTCCCCCTCGAAATTGCTGGCCGATTCTTCCTCAGGCGCGTACCTCGTGACAACCCGAGGCGACTCCCCATTGTCCAGAACACTTTGGAATGAGGCCTGAGGGGATTTCAGACTACCAATGAGCTCACTCAATGGTAGACTCGAGGATAATAGGCTTTGTACTGGCACTGGGTCTTGCTGAGAAGCCCGTTGACCCTGAGGCTCGCATGTAGTATCATGGTTGCTGCCTAGACTCGAAGGAAGCTGGGTGAGGAAATCGACGCGACCAGCAGGCTCGAAATTCAGGTATGAATCTGCGAGAGAGCGGTATCTAGTGTCATCGACTGCCCTGCTTGGCGCATCGATGTGAATCAAGATTTCCACCTCCGTCTTTCGTTCCATTTATTCTCGAACATGTCCGTTGAATGCCCAGGAGTGCTGCTTATGGTAAATGTGTAAGATACCTGATGACCTCATGCGCAACGAAGGAATGTGGATTCGGGTGATGCGAAGTGTGATATTGATGTTAGGTACATAGTGAGTGAGTGGGATTTTAGTACGGCGCATTGAGACAAAGGCGTTTATGTCACTGGTTGCTTGTAGGCTTGCTGCATCGCAGCTTACAGGTATGTACTCACAGGTATGTACTCACTAGCGTAGTTCATACTACTAGGTACAGTGCACAATTCAATAATCATCGTTCAAGTTATAAGTTTGTTACATAACTAACTTAACTATTTTAACCTTTGAAGTTTAAAAAGTTAATTGGGCACAGTGCTCTTTTTACCTTTACTGTTGTTCCTACGGTGCACTCATCCAACATCCAACATCCAACATCCAACACCCAACATCCAACGCATTAAAATGTGAAACCACGGAGGTGTTCATCTTAAGCTTCATCGCCAACTTCAAACCATACCAGACCCAAAGATGTACATACCTAGGTACATAGTATCGTTGGTATTGGTAGTGCCAAGACTATAAAAGGTCCTGTAACATCATAACATCATCCTCTCTTATGCCTACCTAGGTACTCTCTACTCCTTTGCTGCCCATCTAATAACAGTGGCAATATACCCTCTTACAGCACTTGGCTAAATAGTATATCCTCCCCATCCACCGGGTACCTAACTAAAATCTGAATATGATGTGATTTTCCTGATATCCCCATGCATTCTCATACATCTTTTCCATTTCCATAGTCTGTGTAAATACTATCTGTCTCCTGGTGAGGCGCAACGAGCCTAAATGAAAGACCTACTTTATCTCATCCCCCTTTTAGCAATACTTACTTCGAGTGTTGTGGCCCTCAACTTTACAGTTGCCGGTGGTCAAATATTTACCCCCGGCTTCGCTGTTCTTGATGCGCCTCAGCCTGGAACCCCTTTAGGTGGGGGTAGGTAACATGTTTCTACCACTTAAACCAGGGAAACTGACCAACACTGACACATAATGTTAACATTCAGACACAATTGAGGTGGCTCTCGATGTAACTGCCAATGGCAAGTTACGCCTTCCTCCATACGGTAATGACAGCCCGAGTCGAATCAACAACATCACCATCTTCCTCTATAGTTATGTCACCGGAAGGAACTTCACCATAACGAATGGGACTGAATCAGCAAATGACGCCACCTTAGGCGACATAATGCAGTCTGAGTCGGGAAGCACCGTGAAGCATGTGAAATGGACCTGGCCACAATGTCTAATTGGTGATGGGAAGCCAACCACCACCGACAGTGATCGTGGGGCCTATAATGTGAGTATATGGATCTTAGAACGGACTACTCATAAGATCACTGGCCATGTGTGGTTTACTCACAAGCCTCGCCAGATATCCATTCGCCAGAACTTCCGTCTCAACGGAGAGGACCACTACACCATCTTCGATGTACCAATCTCTGTCACAAACAAGATAGAATTCACTGGTGGCAACCCGTCTTGCGACTCGGTCAACAACCCTCTGCTCTCGCCGGAAGAGATTGACGCCGAATCTGCTAATAGTGTCGGCGTCTTATTTGCGCCAGGGGATTCGACTGTGATCCAACAGCCTGCATCCACTAGTAGTACTGGTAGTGATGGAGGGGGCAGTGGAATCGGCCCCGACAAGCCGGAAGCAAACCCAAGTGATGGTCTTGGTAGCGGTGCTAGCATGGTTCGATGGACATCGACAGCACGTAGGCTTTCCGTTTTATCTATCGTCTACTTTTTATTCCTATAATTAGTCTCTTCATGAAGCATGAATCAATAACGACGTACCGATATATCGACTGATTCTATCTTGCTTGAAATTCGCCAATCCCCTGGATTGAAGCTCCATATGTAGCACATAAGTTTTACCTCGACTTCATCTAGAGAGGTTAGCAGGGACTTTCTTTATAAGGTCGTGTTCCTAGGCACGTAGTAACATAGGGCCCCTATTTCGAGCTCTTCCCCCCTTTACATGAGAACCATACAATATGAGTCATAACTAAGCCGACGTGGTATTCCTCCACGTGGCTCTTAGTATATTTCTTTCATCTCACCAGGAGTCTTCGCCGGTTTACCTAGCCTTAACATGCGGACGAGGCAACATATGAGGTGAAGTTTGCCAGTGCATATCTTGGGTTCCTAATCTCAGACGGTGTTGCTTGAAGAATGAATGGAATGCCAACTAATGCTGAAGTAGATTATGTTTGGTATGTTAGCCTTCAATGACCTCGTCGAAGATTCTACAATCCTACAAGCAACGGACTTGAACTCGCAGATTCATGACATATATGAACAATCTCTTTCAAATATACAAAGTGATAGTTAGAAATCTTTCTTCAACACCTTTTCATTCTTTTCTATCTAGATCTAGTCTCTCTATACTACAGTACTTTACCCACAACCTCCCTTGTAAATTCAAATCCAAATCAGGGATAAACTTCAGGAAAATCACACGCAAGCCATAGCCAGATCTTTTCGCCAAAAAAAGAAAAATCCCGTCAAAAGGGCTTAATATTTACAAAAAGGGGGTTTCCGGGTTTGTGATCAGTAGAGAGAAAGGCGAGCGGGGACCCCCGGAGCCGGGTCCCCGCCCTTTTCCAAGGCGCGAAGAAAATGCTGTCGGGCGCGGAAACACGGACACTTCGTAACGGTGCCACACACCTCCTGCCACGCCGCGCCACGCAGGCCGCCCCAAGCTAGTGCGGGCGGTATACGCGAACGGTATATAGCTTCATCCTTCCCGGGAAGGATGAAGCTATCTTCGCCGAAGTCGGGGATACAGACGACTTCTCGTTATTCCGTCACGGCGAGCGTGAGCTCGTTTACGGCTCACACTCATGGGACGCTGCTGTCGATGATGACTTAGAAGAAGGGGCCCAAGATGATGATGATATTGATAGTAGTAGTCACAAACGACAACAACCCTCGTAATCTTGCTGCTGCTGCTGCTGCTGCTTACTTGGGCTACTTGTCCTCCTACTCCTCCTGCTCCGAGAAGAACGCCTCCAAACCATGGTGGGCTAGGCAGGAGGAGGAGGAGAGGGGCCAGAAGTACAGTTTCTAGCCCCTTACCTCTCCCTCTTGCCGTCCTTGCCCTACCATCATCAGGCGTTACGTTACCTAGGTAAACATCGTAGATTCTATGGCAGTAGTATCCCTAACCTTGTTAGTTAGGAGAGGAATGGATGCTTACTGGAACCACTAGAATAGCCTGCTCGCTATTGCGAGTTGATTGTCAATTAGTTAGTTAGGTAGCGAGATAGGAAATAATAAACTTGATAGAATATTCCACCGTTTTTATAGGAAATTCCGTGATGTCGGTTGACTAAGACATTACTGCTGGGTATAAAGGCCCTGGTTCGCATCGTTTATTAATTACCTAGGTAGGTACAAACGCGTGGTGATTCCGAGCCCCTTGATAGCCTCTTCTATTCCTCGCGTGTCTAGTAGGTTGTCTATGTGGTAAATGACGCCTGCTTGCTGATTCACGAGTCACTGTCTTACAGCAACGTCGATTGCACCCAAACTCCTATACGAAGGCCATTCATCAACACGAAACCTGCCTCCTCTTATCGTACATCCTTATTGTAGTAGTATTCATAGGCGTTTCTGGAGGTGCGTTGGCATGGGCCTAGGCTCCAAGCTCGCGTTCGAATGCTGTTGCTCAGAGCTTCGACCCTGCCTTTCTCCCACTCTTGACGTGTTTGGAGAATTGGCCCGTTAGTAAGAAGTCAGGGTATTTCATGCCTTCGTCGAGGCCGACAGATAGGGTATTGTTCCTCCAGCCACCGCCGTCTACAACGAGAACCTCTCCTGTTACGTAATTACCGGCATCGCTGAAAAGGTAGACGGTCGCATCTGCTATGTCTCGAATAGTACCCAGTCGACCAATGGGGATGGCGGAGGCAAGAAGTTTCGGATTCGCCTGCTTGCTTGATAGCCTCTCCATCCCCTCAGTTCCTCCGATAGCGCCGGGAGCAATCACGTTGGAAGTTATTCCATAGGGGCTATATTCCAAGGCTACGGATGCCATGATAGAGTCAACCGAGGCCTTGGCAGCCATCACATGAGCCTGCAAAGGCATTCCGGAATAGTGGAAAGTAGCAGATACGTAGATAATCCTTCCTCCTGTCAAACCGTTCGGATAGGTCTTGTTTCTAGCAGCCGATTCGATGAGGTAGGGCATGGTGGCTTTGACGGTGTTATAAGTTCCTAGTACGTCAATATCCATAACAGTTTTGAAGCCGTTGGAGGTAAGGCCAGAAATTGGTGCTACGAAGTTGCCTGCAGCTCCGGCTCTAAAAAGTCATTGTTAGTTTAAGGGGTAAGACTCCAGTTCCGGTTTCGGTTCCGACTCCAAGTGATACTTACATGACAAAATCAATGGCACCGAGCTCTTTCACACATCTTTCAGCAGCCTTTACCAAATGGTCGGGCTATCATGTCGTCAATGCCAATGCGTAAGCGAGGTACAACGGGGTACAATAGAGCACGAGGTCTTACACACATTTCTAACATCGCAACCACCAATTCCAATAATTTTCGCACCCGACCGTGCTGTCGCGATATCCTTAGCGGCAGCCTCTGTCTTTTCCTGATTGCGACCAATGATGCACGCATTGGCGCCCAAATGGACCAAAGCTCTCGTTTGCGCACTGCAAATGGTACCGGCGCCACCAGTTACAAACACCACACGGCCATCTGTGCCGGTGATCATCAGCCGACATGGTCTTCTGAGAGTAACATTGAATTGTAAACCTCTATGAAGATTGTTCATAGGAGATGTAAGGACTTACCAAATATGCCCTGTTTCCAGACATTGCTCACATATTCAGATGGTGGGATCGGCATAATGCCAGCGTTGCGCGTAAGGGAGGAATGCGATAAGCTAGATCAAGTACCTGAACTATTAATAAGCCACCAACTTATATGGAATTGTACTAGGAGAATTATTAGAGAAACAAGCTGTCTATGTAAAATAGAGCCCCAAAAATGACAAGCAAATAGAACAGGGGGAAAAAGAAGATGGGAGGGATAAGGAGGACGGCAAGAGGAGAGAATATGAATAGAATATGAATAGAATATGAATAGACATGAAGACGAGAAGCCTCGGCTTAATTTGAATAATACCCACCTATTCCCAGGTTGGTTTACATAAGCGAAGGAGCTTAACTAACTACTGCCGTCTCCATCTGTGCCGCAGTCATCCCCCACTAACCCCGAGTCACATTAGCGTCAAAAGCTTAGACCAATTACGTATTGTAGATATCTTATTTGCAAGACACTACAAGACACACATGCCTTATGTACTATACGCCGTACATACTAAACGGTTAACGTATTAAACTTGAACTTAAGTGCTCACATTTGAGCCTATTACATGTAGGTAACCTTAAATCCATCGGTCCAAGGTTCTATGTAAGCCCAACCAAACATCATATGTTATGTACCTACATAAGTTACCTACTTACCTACACATCCTTCAACCCAAACATCCAGTCCCAGTCTCTCTCTATGCGACATTTCATATCCGCGTAACTGGGCTTGACATCTCCCCAACCTATATCGATTTATCGATTCATCCAACCATCGGTAATCGGCCATCGGTCCTTTCATACCTACCTCTATAGACCATGGCTTCAAAGAAGGTATCAGTCCTCAAATTTGTAGGGACAATTTCGCTGGGTCTCTTAACGGTAAGTTTCTGAAGGCATTCCAGATTTGCCCCTCCTCCCCCGCCGCATTCCACATCTACATATACACCTACATCTACATCTACATCTGCATCCGCATCAACGACAGACACAAACATCTCGGGATATGTCTCAAACAGCTTTGATTATGGGCCTAAACACTTAATCTTTATTTCGAGTCTAACATGACTTACTCCATATAGGGCACCTCTTTCACCATCTCCACCCTTACCATCCCATCTCTCCTCGAGCTGCCATCTGCGCCAGCCGCCGCCAAGGCCTTCCGGTCTCTCGTATCAACTGCATCAACACATCTCAATGTCCTGACCACCATTTCGGGATCCGCCTTCCTTTTGGCCTTCACCCTGTCTCCCCGAGGCTTCAGACACCCCTACCTGCTCTACAGCTCGCTATTCTGCTTCGGCACCCGCCTAACTGACTATGTAACCCCGTCCATCTTCGGCGAGCCCACATCCAGCTCTTCCGCCGCTGCCCAGCGAAAGGCGCTAGCACAGGCCCGCAGGGAGAAGCGCGCCGCGCGACGCATGGAGGCCAGCTACGAGCTCCTTGGCGATGCGCACAGCGACGAGGGCAGCGCCAGCGGTGAAGAATTCGACGAGGACGTCAACGGCGAGGAGGTCCGCAGCGAAGTCGAGTACTTCGTCCGAAACCAGCTGATACAGACGGCCGTCTCCGGCATCGGTTTCGTCATGGCCGTCATCGGCATCTGGGGCGACGGTTCTCTCCCCGAAGCTGTCTCGCCAACGTGGGCCGTTAACATCTGAGAGTATCTTAGGTGAAAATAAAGCCTAGCCTGGAAAGAACGGACTCGAACTTGAGGAATTCAAGCAATTCCATTCTTCTCGCTCGTTTAGTTGTTTTTGCGGCTGGTGGATACCATCAGGAACATCTACCTAGGGGTGGAGGGAGGGGTTGATGGATCATAAGTTGAGGTCGCAACGGGGAACCCTCGCACTCTATAGAATGGCCTCCTTTTCCTTTTTGGGAAACGACATAAAGTGTTGTGTGTGTGTGTGTGTGTGTGTGTGTTTACTCCGCTCTCTCGCCTCTCACTCTCACTTCGGTCCAAAGAAAAAAAAACATTCCTACATGCATGCATGTACAGTATCTGGCTAGCTAGTAGTAACAGAGATATAAAAGTTAGGGAAAATAAGAAATTAAGCATGGCATGGCATAGGTACTACCTAGGTATTCATACTCATTATATCTAACTTAGATGAAGGGGACCCCAACGCTATAGATTTTGCTGATATGTGTGTAATGTGATAATGATGTGTGCCTACTAAGCAAGCCTCATACCAGTTCTCTCGAAACTCTCGTCAAGGGGGCTAGTGGTAGGGTAGGCACCCAGGGCCGGTCTATTGGAGGACAGTACCTAGGTTAGGGAAGCGTTAATACCTAGGTAAGACAGGTAAATGACATGATATCACCAGTATAAATAAATATACACAAGAGTCTAGTATCTCTAGACTATTCGCTTACATGCCTAGGTAACCACCCAGCACCTACCTACGGTATGTGCTAATTAACGAGTACTCTTTAAGGAGTAGATGGATATATAATGTATCAGTGAGCAAGACAGACCATCGTATTCTCCTGTACCGAAAGTATCTATCTATTAATCCTCTCTCAAGAAAGAGAATAAGGGTCTGTATGATCACGACCTTTTCTGTCTTGTAGATAGAACCATTTATTGATGCTAGACATCATGTATTAAACTACCTAGTACCTGATACTCCATCTGCCTAACCTATGCGCCAGGGAGGGCGTTTGCTCATGACCTTCATTATAATGTAATGCCCAACCTCATCCGTGTATACCTCCTAATCGAGCCGATCAAACCATTTATTATACGCCGAGTGTATCGAGTCGGCATATGTATCATGTCACCACATACAATAGTAGGATGAAACTTTATTACCAGAGAAAGACAGAAACACATCATGATTGGGATGTTGGAAGAAGCAGGATCAAGTACAGCTTCTCCACCCCAAAACTTGGTATTGAGGATACGGAATATAATGCTTGCCAACATTTATGATGACTCGTCTCCTCATGAAATGCAACGCAATAGGGTATCGAGCAGCCTTTGCAGAACGCCTAACTGCCATCCTGACCAAAAAAAAAAAAAATCAAATGTGCTTGCAGACCTGACAGGGCCTGCCTTTCTTCCATGCCGTCGTTCCACGCCGTGCAACGGTAAACATTCACTCCGTATCGTGAGATCCTCAATCTTCCCATATCGTCTCCAAGTCAAGATCACCGCGTCGTTCAGCTCCACACACACTCCAACGCTTGCGTTTGTCTCTCGATCCAATGCCCAACGTTCTTCCGCGAAGAGGCATATCCATACTACCTCTACCCTTGGCTTCCCCCGAATCTCCATCCTCGACAGCATCAGCGGCAGCCTTCAACTGAGCAATTCTATCGGCCTCCAGGGCAGCTTCTTCGGCATCAGGGGAATCGGGAATGGTCTCCAAGCTTGAGATACTGGGGCTGCGCGATCTCATGGAGCTTGGCGTTGATGGAATTGACGATGATGGATAGTAGGAAGGGAAGCTGGTAGTGTTCGATCCATTGTCGAATCTGTACGAAGGCGAGCTTGCGCCTAATGACGGTGTCCCAGGCAAAGAAGAGGTGGAAATTGGGGTTGAGTAGTTGGTAAATCGCAAAGGAGAAGCCGTTCGTATATTGGGTGGGTTGCCCAGTGTTACAACAGTAGAGGTGATAGGATTGTCTACCTCGGCATGTCGCTTGTCTGCATCCAGAACAGAAGACCGAATGGGCGAGGGTGGGGGGTATGATTCGTCAACTGGCTTTCGCGGGGCCCTGTTTCGGTTAGGGGAGCTGGCTGGACTGGCCGGACGAAGAAATGGCGGGTAAACTATACGACCTGAGCCGTCGACGCCAGGCATGGACCGTGTGCGTCCTATAATAGGGGGCGCAAGACTAGCAACAGACTTAGATCGAGCATGACCGCCCGCCAAGGGCGAGGTTGTTCGAGGTCGATACGGGAGAGCATTTGCTGCATTCCAAGATGGAGAGCTCGGTGAGGGTGGTTCTGTAGATCGGCGCACGGCAAGAGGTTTGCGATTAGGATCCAGATCATTTGTAATGATAGCAGCTGGCTGGTGCAGACGCAGCGTGGGTAGGGGAGAGGATCGAAACTCCTCCATTCGCTCAGTCTCGGGAACGGGCTCCATCGTCAACGATCAGAATAGCCGCAGTGGACTATATCGTGTTCTATTGCATAAGAGTCGAGGTGCGACCTGGAAAAGTGTGTAAAATAATAAACCTTTCGTAGTGTTGGAAAACGGGCAGTGAATAATTTGAATGAGAACGGGAAGAGATCTGCCGGTATCCGGTTTGCTATGCAGCTTTGGAATGCAAGTTTCAGCCGTGAATAAGGATGCTCAAGTAATTAAGAACGTCGAACGAAGGGAGAAAGAGAAAAGGCGTAAGTGATAAGTGACCGCAAGTTTGCAGCACTGTGGAACGGTGACAGGGTAGAATAGCAGCCGAGTTGATTCTTATGTGGCACAAATGTCGTACCGAGCCAGTTCGAAGCGTCCGAGCTCCGGTTGTGACCTAACCTCCTAATCTAGCTTCTTGGGGATGTTCGTGCTTGAAGAAGCCTATGTACAAGCGAAGCGTGTTGAGGAGTTGGGGAAGGGAAAAGGAAAAGGAAGCATGGGTTAGTACTGTGTTCGTAGTTCTTCGCCAACAGGAATGCTAGACTAGTAGGTACTGGCGGTGGATGAGCCGTTCATGTTAGATTGGCATTGATATGTGGGCGAACACCTGGCATTTGGATCAAGCCGTATGGCGAGTCCGAGGCCAGGGGAAATAGAGAATAGCGGAGGGGCGGGAGGGGGGGGAATCAGTTCCAATTAATAAACAAGACTGGCCGCCAGGGTCTGGGGGAGAGAGAAAGGGGAGAAGAAGAGACTAAAAGATTGAAGACGAAGAAAGGGTCCAGTTTGGGGTCTTGTTTGCTTGTGGATGACCTCAAAAGTTGCCTTTCTAGGCTTGGGAGAGAGGGGAGAGGTGATGGAAATTGGATTGGATTGTGAAGATGGAAGCGTTTAAAGGGTACAGTATTGTTTAGGGTAAGTTAGGGTAGGTTAGATAGTACTAGATGTGGTACTATTACCGCCCGGGCGTACTAATTAACTAACTGCAAGTTGTAGGTATTGTAGGTGTTGTAGGAAGGCACATGTATTGTACTTGTACAATACTGGAATACAATACATAGTATGTATCAAGTCAAGTTATGGGGAAGATCACCTGCATTTGGTATTTGGCGCGGCGGGCTTGGCTCCCACAGAAAGCCATAAGAAACTAAAGCTGGGCTAACTACAAGTGTACATGCCATGGACCGACCTAGCCTGGCAACTGCCTGGCTGCCTGCCTGAGTTAAGAAAAATGTCTCATACCTGCACAGTTGATTGGTCCGCTACGGAGCCCCACGAGTCCCATCTTACCCCGTTCTAGACTACAATAGTACAATGGTACCATAGTTAATTGATAGCGAGTGCTCCCGTTTGCAACACTGAACTTTCAAATGCTCCAAATTCAAGGTTCCTTTTTCAACGTTGAAGACTTGGACGAATGAATTCATTATTTCCAACTGCCTCGAACTTCAAAGCTGTATGTATGATTGGATAAGGATAGTTGATGGGAATATACAGTAGGACAGTTTCGTACCGAAGGATGAGTTTGTTAATATATCAATGATCGGTGAATACATAGGGGAATATGGGAATACTTACTACACATATGGCATAGTACATTGTGTGTACCATACCTTGATTCCTTTCGGAAGAGTCAGCCCAACCAGATGCATGACACTTGCTTTCGAATATGTCAATGTTCAAATCTACGGTGAATCTTCGAGGCGCTTGCATTACACCGATCTTTACAGTCACACACTTAAATATAAAAATAAAAAGATCTGCACCAATGACTGGTGGAAGTAGTTAAAGGCATTAGATTACATACATACATACCTACAGTAGTAGTAGTATGTAACTACATACCTAGTAACCTAGTATATATACCATGGTATTGTATGCTTCGATGATTTAATAGATGGAGTCTTTCGAAATTTCATGCGCTATGAAGACGTACATATCATCAACATTATTGATACTAGTAACTATGTAGGTAACTACACATCATTGATGCAGCACTTGAGTAGGTACTACCTAGTAGGTACATAAACGAGGTACAAAAGTACCCAGGTAACTACTAGGTAACACTATGCACCTAGTAGGTTACATAAGTGGATCTACGCAGTTAATTTATGTAATGCGCTAAAGTTACCCGTCTCTTGCTCGTGCTTTTCTGGGAAGGAGTTTACTTTAAACGACTTTTGTATTCCCATGTACTTTGAATAGTAAAATAGGTGCTCAAGGTACATTCATGTGCTATGTTAGTACTGTCATAGTACATACCTAGTAGTAGTATTGGTGTTATCTGGCAAAGTGTGCCCATGTCCGTGGCCGCGTGGGAAATTTACATTTTTCCAACTACGACAGCCTCATCATCATCATCACCATCACCATCTTAACCACCAATTCTCGACGACTCATGAATCGTCGCCCTTGGTCGGCGTTCTAATCAATTTGGGGATCTTTTTTCTTCTCCCACCGTGCCCTTAATTTTTTTTCACCTCCAGTACCGAATCCTTCACTCCGTCCCCCCCTTCGATATACACTCCTTCCATGGCCCGTGCCAATTGCTGATTTTATTTCGTTCCATCACTCCTTTTTCCAACGTTCTAACGCCCTAACGCCTTTTTGAACATTCTGTACATCCTGATTTAAGGCGAATATTATATCCATTTACCATGGCGCGCCCTCTGGGGCCGGTCCGCCTGCGAAGGACAAACTATCTAACCTTATTCATCGGCGCCGTCTTGTGTCTATTTATAATTTACTTCTTATCCCACTCTGGGTCGAATACACCACCTGCCAGTGCGAACAGACCCCTTTCCCGTAAACCTACTGCTAAGTCGACTCTTATCGCTGAACGCCCACCTGTGCGCCGCTTCAACCTTAATAATGTCACCATTACCCCCGACCCTATTGGGAATCGGGAGGTTGTCCTGCTTTTGACGCCCATGGCGCGTTTCTATCAGGAGTATTGGGATAATCTTCTGAAGCTACAATACCCCCGCGACTTGATCACGCTCGGTTTCATTCTGCCCAAGAACAAGGATGGCAACGCGGCGACAACCGCGTTGCAGGCTCAGATCACTAAGACGCAAAAGGGCCCCGTTAAGGATCGATTCAGAAGCATAATCATCGAGCGACAGGATTTTGACCCTCCGTTGACATCACAAGACGAGAGCGAGCGACACAAAATGGAGAACCAGAAGGCACGGCGAGCCTCGATGTCTAGGGCGCGGAATTCGTTGCTCTTCACTACTTTGGGAGTCGACACTTCGTGGGTTCTCTGGCTGGATTCCGATATCATCGAAACGCCACCTACCCTGATACAAGATCTCGCCTCACACAACAAGCCCATCATCGTACCAAACTGCTTCCAACGATATATCGAGCCCGAGACCGGGAAACCGGCCGAACGACCGTATGACTTCAACAGTTGGCAGGACAGCCCAACCGCGCAGGAAATTGGCTCCAAAATGGGACCGGACGATATCATACTCGAAGGGTACTCCGAGATGGCAACCTATCGAGCATTGATGGCATACATGTCCGAGAAGGAGTACGAGCGCAACATGGAAGTGCCGTTGGATGGCGTGGGCGGCACTGCGTTACTAGTCAGGGCGGATGTCCACCGTGATGGTGCCATGTTCCCACCATTTCCATTTTATCATCTGATCGAGACGGAGGGTTTCGCGAAGATGGCACGGAGACTAGGCTGGCATGCTACTGGATTACCCAACTATAAAGTATGACTTCCCCTACCCATTACTACCCTACTACCTCGAAACACCCTTACTAACGCGACGATTTAGGTTTATCACTACAACGAATAGTGGAAGGAACTTTTGTTGTTGAAAAAAAAATGCGGTTCGACGCGTGCCCTTTTTCATAACGAACATTGTAATCTGTCACGAGCCTCGGAATAATTGCATTTTGGAGATGAGGAGTTAGAGAGATTAAAGTCGTATTCACACAACCGGGAAGGGGGAAGGAAGGGGGGTGCATACGTTTACTACAAAAAACGTCCACGGACCGCCACGGCCGGAGGTGGAAAAAAAGATCTTTTCCTGTAGATAGGTATTCATTGTAGCATCATCACAGGACTCGGAGATTCATCGTTTTTTTATTATTATTAATTAAAAAACACAAAACATAACTGGCCATACCAGGTGGTGAAGGGCTCGCTCAACGCGTGTGAGAGACGGCCAGTATAGTGATATCAGGGGGTGGGTGGGTGACCGGACTGTTAAGTCTTGGGCAGCAAGCACCGTTCTGAAAGAAAGTCGTAATATAATTAATGGTTTTCGTCATATACCCCTTATATCTTTTCTATCTTGTCGAAGCTGAAGTGTAGGTATGTAGGTAGGTACATGAATGACCCTGGCGTCATAAAATCATTAAGAGGAAAAAAAGGTATCAATCTGATATCGGAACCACGTCGAAAGAGCCAGCGGCGACTCGAGAACTTACTTCGAGAACTCGACAAAACGCCTTGCTCGCCCCTTGGCGAAGTTATATCCATCCCTAATATCGGCCCATCCTATGTCAAGTTACCGCCTATGTATGTATGTAGGCTATCCTCTCTCCCGTATCCATATTGAGACCCTTATTCGATCCATCGATCGAAATGACTTTCCGCTTTCCTCCCCTTCCATGATTATTATATATTTCGAAGTAGAGCTAGCAGCAAGCCGCCTTCTTTAGCCAGCGTGACATGCTTTAGCCGCATCTACTGACCTACTCCATTATTGTCTCGTACACTTTCGTCCATCGTCCATCGTGTTCACCCCCCCCATCCATCACCGCCCCTCATACCTGCCGCCCTCATCCTGGCACCAAAACTCCACCAGCCTCCTCGCGCCCAGCGCATCCCCGCCCCTCAGCAGCGCCGCCACGTCCACGTTCAGCGGGCTGTCGGTCTCGGGGCACGAGAGCAGCATGCGCACGGCGCGCACGCACTCGAGCACGCTGTACGCGGGGGTCCACGCCTCCTTCAGCAGGTCCAAGCAGATGTCGCCGCCGCGCAGCGCGACGTTCGCGTGCACGATGGGCGTGCGGAAGGACATCTTGGGCGGCTGCAGGGGGTAGGTGGGCGGGATCGCGATGTCGAGGAGCCAGCGGCCTTCTGTTTTGTTGGTTGGGTTGTGGTTAGCTATCGTTATGGAATTTGGGGTTGGGTTGGGTTGGGTTGTTGCTTCATTGGGAGGGGTAGTGGGAAGAGGGGGGGAGAAGAAGAGTAGAAGGGAAGCTGGGGAGGGAAAGAGAGAGAGAAGAGAACGAACCATCGTAACCACAGCCTATACCCCGTCCGTTAATCACGGCCTCCCAGTGGAGCATCTCATCATCGCTGACGGGCTCCAGCCGCTCGATCCCCGTCTCCGTCGCCGACTCCTTCTTCCAGACCGCGAGCTCCTTCGACAGCCGCTTGATCGCGTTGTGCGAGGATGCTGCCGAGGCTGACCCCGATCTCGACGGTGTTGACGACATTTTTGGGGGATATATATAGATGTATTAATGGAGTGTTCTTGTGCTTTCCTTTTTTTTTTTCTTAAAACGTAGAGCAAAGGAAAGGTTTATAGAAAGTGGCTCGATTCGTATGTATTATACCAACAAGATATGTAAGTCTGGTCTTGGGATAGTTATTCGGTTTTGGGTTTACGGCGGACGAATGACATATGTACATGTACGCCGTATGTAAATAACAAGATACCTTGGTAAATAACAGGGGTTCCATTCGAGGCGTTATTGGGCTACGGAAGATGCCGAGGCTTCAGGCTATTATACAAGGATGCAATTAAGCGAAACCATTACTTCAAGATACATACATCTAATAGCATCAGATCCATGTAACATTGTAACTACTGTACCTCCGTACAAAGCTATAACTATTGTGACCTAACCTATCATATCACGACATTTGACCTATTGTCCCCTGGCTCCTTTCCTAGATAATACTACAGTAACAAGTAACAACGACAGTAAAATATCATATCAAAATTCAACTTCAAAATATCAACCGAGCTGTAAAGTGGCAATGCTTGATATATTTTTTGGTGCGTAGTAACTTCATGTTCACTATTACTTGTGTATAAACCGGGATGCTTAGATAGCTCGGAATGAGCAAGTTACTGCCTTGCCGGTCATGTAACATTGTTACCAACTTGAAGGTCAAGCTGTATCAGACATCTCCCTCAGATACCTTCCCCCCAGCCCCCTTTCCCCTTCCATCCGTATCATCATCCCCTCCTCATGCTATGTCCAGAGAAATCAATCATCAGCCCTCCTTCCTCTGACGATGACACTTGTGTGTTAATTTTTTTTTTTGCTAGCCTAAATGGCCATTCAGTTTCTTCGCCCCCTAAAGCAACGGAAATAGAATAGGTAGAATCTTTAAAAAGAAAAGAGCCGTTGGTCATGAAATGGCTAGAGGTGCCGTCATGCGATCGTAAAAAAGAAAGAAAAAAATCCAATCAACGATAGTGAGAATATAACCCAGAGTAGTTTGGGTTCTTGTATGCACAATGCAAACGCATGCTGTGCAAATCAAGTCGTGAGTAAGGTTGGCGAAAAAGGACCATAAAAAGGTCGTCCCCTTTAGGTGGGACTTTGTTTCGAGGAGGCAAGGAGAGAAATGCGTAAGAATACATAAACTTCGTCGGATACGTCAGCAGTTGGTCGAAGCGGAAGGCAAGCTATTTTGGCCTTCCTCTATCCACTGGTACCGCCCGGCCTAAGTGTGAATCGTAGCGATCGATAAGATCTAACTAGAGGGAAATATTATAGTAACCGTCAGGATTCGGTAGATCCCTTTGGTTTCCAAAACTGCATCATCCGGCTGAGGCGCTTGGATTTGCTGACCTTAGACTTTTTCTCCGGTTCGGAATCAAGAGAGACCTCCATGCTCAACTTGCTTCGCTCTGCGTGCGCGCTGCTAATTAGACGACTGAGGCTAATCAAGCTCGATCTTCTACGGCCAAAGGGCGTGGAAGTAAACGAAGCCGGTCGTTGGTCATGGAAGGGCATATTTCTAGGCTGAACGCCAGGCATAAATGTGCTGTCTCGGGTCATGGTCGAGTTGCTGCTCGTCAAAGATGGGACCTCCACTGATATTCGTACTAATTCAGGGCCAGGCTCCCCCATCAATAGTGAATGGTAACTGTTCTCATCAGCTATGGATGGGGTAGTTGAAATCCTATGTGCGTCATATGACATCAATGAGCGAGGCGACGGGAATGACGGTGAATAGCTCATGGAATATGGGGTCGTTGGCACGGTGGAGGGGGCTGGTGTAGCAGCATTCATCTCCAGTGGGTCAACGTCATCGCTGTACATCCTCCGGGGAGATGGTGTGTTGGAATCAGAGGCGTCCGAGGAAACCGGGAAATTATATTCACGTCCAGAAATAACGAAATTTGGCTCTTCCGCGATGACCTCTTCGTGAAGACCACTAGCGGAATTCTCGGTTTTCATTTTAGAACCTGGCCGTTGCATCTCCAAACTTGAACCACTGCCTTTACGTTTAACCGAGGGGAAGGTCTGTTGACCGTCTTTGCCGGGTTCGTGTTCTTGGGTGGGTGTCGACGCGGCATCGTCGTCAATAATTGACGCTGAGTCTGATTCATTAAAAGAATCGTCTTGGGCTTCAGAGCTAGATGTTTCCGATGGAGTATTTGTGCTCAAATCCTCCTCGTCTTCTTCATCCTCTTCGAATACATCAGCCATAGTAGAAGAGCTACCAAATCGGTGTATACCGAACCGCGCATTCTCGAAAGGAGCCATTTCAGGAGCACTCTCGGTGCGACGATGATAATGCATTCCTGGGCCACTAAAGCCTCTCAAACCAGCAGCGCTGTGAAGCTGCCGTTTTGGCGCCGCACCAGCTTTCTGTGCTTCTTCCCATTGCATATCACGACTGGAAGGTGTATTGAAAGGGCCTAGAGCTGCATCAAGATCAATCATAGGATAAGACGGATCTTCATCATATGCTTGGCTTAGATGGGTAGTGACCGTATCGGATTCAGTCGGAGCTGGTTCGGTTACCAAGACTGTAGGTGGTGGGAGTGCTATAGAGGTCTGTAATAGACCATCCTCTATACCCTCAATCCCATGTGTCATGTGTAGTGGTGGAGTTTGTGAACGGCGACGTATCGACTTCGATTTGTGAGATCGTGATTTGGATTTTCTGGTCAAAATAGAACCAGCCCATGATTTAACTTTCTTTTGCTTCTTTTTTCTTCCCGACGCCTTTTTGCTGTCTGTACGGGATATAGTGTCATCAGAAACATGCTTGCGTCCAGTCTTACCAGTTAGCTTTGCTAGACTTGAGTCCCTTTCCGTAAATTCTGATAAACTTGAGCCAAGCAGTCGGGCTTTGGTAGGCGAATTAGTACCTGCAAAAGGTTCGAGACCGAAAAATGACCACCTTCTAGGGGTCTTTGTGGGACTCGAGTTTGCGGAAGACCCCGAAATGCCTTGGGGAAGATTGGCCAGTAAGGGAATCGAATTGCGTCGTCGTGGTGATAAGGGGTCTCCATTGAGCACGTGGAGGCTTGGGGTCCTTTCCAGTACCGCACCTGCGGTACTAGGGCGCGAATCATTCATCGTGCGCGAACTAGGTGAGCCCATTCGAATAGCTTGCTCGCGATCTCCGATTGCTAGGTTTGTCGAGACAATAGATGACATACTCCCTGAGACTCTGTGGTTAGGGCGAACCGTCATTGTACTTGACGTATCAGTAGAAACCAAGGAAAGCGGCCGAGGAATGAATTCGAGTGTATCGGAAAACCCGACACGTCCCCGCGCGGCTGTTTTCGGAGATGGGCTGGGTGTTGGGGTGGATTGGCTATGTGTCTCTTGAACCTCCTCCTCCTCTTCTTTTGCTTCCTTGGGGTCCGGCTCGTTTTTAGAAGCTTCAATACTGGGTTCGGGAAGGCTGCGATGTTTGTCATCAAAATCAGCTGGTGTGGGGGGTGCGCTATTGCCTCTTAGCGCAGGCGAGGTATTTGGTTTGAGTATCAAGGTCAGATCGTGGCTGGATATCGCACCAGAGCGACGATGCGCATGCCCCCTTCTTGGATGTGCGTCTGCCGGCGATAACTTAGGTGAGGGCTTAGGTGAATCAAAACCACTTTCGGACCTCGTAGGACTGGTGCTCATCACGGTGATTGACCCTCCTGCCTTCAGTTTACCGCCTACAAACTCACTCCCGCCTCGACGGTGCCCAGTGCGACTTGGAGTCATCATCGGAGATGGTGGAGAAAGCGGTGGGCTAAGTAAAGATTCGTCAGGCCCAAGCGTTGCGCCAGGATTCGCGCCAGGGTTGAACGAGAAATCTGGTAGGGCCGAAGGTCGTCGAGATCGGGTTGCGGCGTCTGGGCTCAGGCTGGCGCCCGGGTTGAAGCTGAATTCTGGTGGGGCAAGTGACAAGTCATCGGTAAGTTGTAGCGTGCGGCCTGGAAATTCTACAGCTGAAAGAGGTCGTCGCCCCTTCGAATACGGCGAGGAAGACGAAGATGTAGAAGGGCGAGCGGGAAACACGAACGGCGGATTCGGCGGTGGTAAACTGATGCGCGGAGTGGATTGAATACTGGAGCAGCCTGATTGAGTCATGCTGCCGCTTCGAAGCGCTGGTACACTAAGCCGGCGTGCCGAGATATCGTTCACTCCTTCACCCAACGTGGTTGTCGCGGCCGAGCGACCAGTAGCGAAGGCGGTTGCCATCTTCCTTCAGGCCGCTCCCGCGCGGCAATAATAAAAGAGCTAGGAACGGAATAATATCATAGAGTATTTAGATGGTGTAATGGCGGATAGAAGAAGTCGAGGTTGGAGAGGCTAGATGAACATGACAAATTGACAATGTAAAGAAACCGGTATCCTAAGAGACACCTGATAAGCCAATATCGCCAGTTCTGGTCGAAACCTCCCCGTTTTCCAAGTCGCTGGTTTATCGGGCTGGTTTGCTGCCCTGTACCTAGTATGACAAAGTCGTGGCTCGTCGCTGATCTGGGTTTGGAAGGTTTTCGCTAATAGTGGAGGGTGTGGAATCAAGTGTTCAATGTTGCTCGCGGATTACTGTCGTTCTGTTTCCTTCCGACAAATTACCTGCAAGACCAAAATAAGACGGATGCAGGATAGTGAAATGGGAAAAAGAATTAATTTCAAAGGAGCGGACGGCCAAGACCAGAGCAAATCGTAGAAAATTCAAGATTTGTCTCTGGAATTGACCCAGTTGTTGTGTTGGCAGTTGAGGGTTTAGGTGAAAGAGTGAGAAGAAGAATTGAGGAGATTACGACAAGTTGGAAGCGATTGTGAGGAAGACAGAATGTGGAAGTCAAAAAAGCCCACTGTTAGGCTATTGGGTCGTGCTCTGCTGGTCCAGTACTGGACCGTGCGGCCAAGATGGGTGTCTTAAACGCTGTACTGTACATAAAATACAGTACGTAACAACATGGGAAGTACTAGGTACTAGTACTAGGTAATAAAGGATCTCGGGCTTGCAGGGGCGAGCGGCGGGGGGTGGATCAAGGTAGGTACTTTAGTACGTACAAAGTTTGATGTGTGCACCTTTCATCAATTTTGTTATTGTTGTTGTTGTTCAATGTTGTACATTACCTAGTAGTATGGTAAGCAGGTACCATCATTTGTTGTACATTCAATGTTTGTAAGTTGTAACACTTATTAGTTAATTGATAGAACATTCAATAAGATGGGTGGCCTGCGAAAGGATTCAGCTAACATTGAAGTAGGTATAGTATGTCTGTAATAATGGCAATAATTGGAGGGAACAGTGATTACAGGTATGGATGTAATTATTTCATGGCTCATTCATGTATGAAGTATGTAAGTGTAATGAAAGGCAAGTAAGCAGGAAAATTATTCAAATGCGTTAAAAGTTGGCAACATCAAAATGATCAAATTGAATTTGAGATTATGTATGTACATACCTAGTGTTGTAACTAAACTGTTAGGCAAGTGCGGTGTTATATTAAAGGTACTTCAAGTAGTGTTGTATCTACATACCTCTCCGAGTCAGCAAAGAAGCCTCATTGACTTCGCCGACTATTAACTAAACGACAGATGAAAGAAGAAAATAAGATTGAAAATATTGAATCAAAAAGACAGCTGGAGTATAATGTTCACTCAAAGGCTACCTAATTATTAAATAGAACATTCATATGGATACTATGTAGTAGTTAGGTATGTATATGCCTAACATTAGTTATAGAGTGTACATTGTGTACATGATCTGCAGTTACACCGAGGGGATGCCTTCTCCTTAGGGACCCTGCAGAAGATTGCGCCTACGTGGAACTACAGTGTACCTAGGAGTCTAGGACCCAGGGGCCTAGGCAGGTACGAGATCCATTTTACTTCACCAACTGTCGCCGAGATAATCTCGCAGGGGCATAATAATTAGTGTATGTATGTAACTACTAGGTACTTACTAGTGTAGGTATCGTGTAGGTATCGTGTAGGCATGTATTTCGTCTATACCGCATCCATACTAACCCAGCACTTTTCAAGTCTTGAAGACTCTGAAAATATCATCCCCAGAGTGGCCCATGACCTCATGATCACAAATACTAGGTATCTGCGCCTGCTCCTCGATTTTATTGAGGCTCGTGCAAGGTATGACGAAGAAACAGGCCGTGGGGGAGGCTGGACAGGTTCAAGGCTGCCTACTTACCATACCAAAGGCTCATTGGGTCTCGTGGACATTGCTGGCTGCATCATTACACTAATTCGGTTCGTTGTCGCCATCAAAGGTTCCATCTATGATTATGGAGGCCATATGTAGCCATATGTAGCCATATGTACAAGCCCATACCGACCAACGCGAATTATTGCGATGCGCAGGTTGTAGAACGAACCTTGGAAATACCACCTACCTAGTCCTATGGTAGTATCCTCGATATGTAGGACTAGCTTAGCATGTAGCAACTAGGTATATTCTCCGTAGTCCCCATTCATCCATCGTTCAATCAGAATCCTTAGAATGGACAGAAACAAAAACAACCCCTGAAAAGAAGTTCGTTCAACTTTTAAGAAACGAGGGACTGCGAGGCAGTTTCCATATTTTTTCCTTTGTGATGTGGCGCACAGCGGAATATGCCAACACGTTTATATGCATCATATTGATAATGATATCAATGATTACTATGAATAACTCGAAACAAATTACCTTCATAAAAGATGTATTATATGTATGAGATGGTGTATGATTATGTATGTAAGTAGTAGTACCCACATACAAGCATATATGTATGGATGACTCAGGATGAGTCGTTTCATCAATCAATGTTCTTCCTATTTATTATTTTATTAATATTTTATTATTATTGATTCCGACAACAATCCATGCAGCTTCCTCTTGGGCTACCGTCAGTTGACAATTAAGTTGATCCTCCATATAAATAAATAACTTGAAATGACTGTAACTTTGCCCTAGGTATAACAAAATACGATCTCCATTTCATCCAGTCTACTTGCCAGTCCTTTGTCAACAGTTTCCAATTCCAGTATATCCTATTGATCAAGAAACGAACCAGAGCTTTGCACTATGATATAATTACTGGGTAGCTAGACTTCCAGAGTAACAAAGCAAAGGTCGAGATATCAGTGACTGCTTCATTTAACATGGTCCTTTGCTGCGGCCCAGTCATAGGTCGACTGTCAACAGTGTCAAGGGCACTTCTCAACTCACAACACTAGCTAGGTAGGTATACATAGTATCTCGTATGCGGAGCCGCAGATCTGGATTCGATTCCTGTGACTACATAGGATCGATTTTCTATTTCTAGAGCTTCACATGAAGCTCTTTGGGAGTCACTTGGCACATCCTCATTTGATTTTGGGAAACTATATATCCCATGCCTCCTAAACTCCTTCCAAGTATACGAGGGTTTTGACTTCGGCGATGATGGTGAGGAATATGAATGAAACCACAGGATACATAGTAGAAGAGCCTGATAATGAGTCTTTAGCGGGTTGGCGATCCTTTCTAGGGATAAGGTTGCAGTCTGATGACAATCAAGATCTACTAGGTAATATCGTACTTAGATTCATATCAAGCTATACTGCGTTGCTCTACTACAGGCCACGTTTAATAATAATGCGTTTATCCAATTTAACGATTCATAGCAAATTAGTGATTCAAGCTTCAGTGTCTAGCTTAAGGCGGCATGGAGTAGTACGATACGTATCTGGGTATAATGCAGGTTAAGAAACTTATCCCAGGGGTCAATACTGGGTATATGTATTGTTGTACTTATCTTCAGCAGACACTCAAGTGGCAAATGGGCACCTTTGCCAGAGACCTTGGAACTTATGCGTCTACAGACTATTACCTACCTACATATGTAACCTTAGTACGTGTACAGTACTAAACTACTTGCATGTAGGTACTGTATGCTACGTACAAATCATGCCTAGTATTGCCTACAAATCATACAGCTCGCGTACATAGTTCATGACCGCTTTCCTGTTTAGGGAGTGTGCTCTGTGTTCTCTCGAGGATTCCCCTGCATTGGGCCATCTCTTTTTGGATATTGCGCAACATAGGCATCCCCTTGGGAAGGCTTGGGTTGCTTGGTTGCAATTGCGGCTGGAGACGCTTCAGAATTAGGACAATCAATCCAACATTGTACAATACATACGTACAGTAACTACATGCGCCCACGTATTAATTACCTGGATTTTCTTGTTATTGTTACGAGCCCCACAAATCTGGCAGTGTTGTCCACGGCTATCAAGATGGTGCTACATACCTACCTATACATATGTAGGTTAGTATGTAATACGTGCTATGGTATATATCGATGATCTTTGTGGGATAGATATATAAACCTGGGTAGGTACAATAGGTACAATACATTTGAAGAATTACATCCCACCTTGGCCGGTTAGCTTAAAGCAAGCCAACAGCTTGTCTTGGTAGGTAGTCATCGGCACGATTTGCATGCCTGGAAAGTTGCAAACTCGGAGGCGGCTACCGGATTCGCTTCTATGTAGGTCAATATGTAGGTATGTAGTGCGTGGCTAACTACCTACTAAGGGCAATGCAACCAGATGTTTAAGTAGATAACTCTGCATGAGTCTGTGGGTATTCTGCCGGATAAAGAAAAGTGGTTAGTTAATCTTGTCATTTGTTGCGGGTACTACTACTATGTACATGTACATGCATGGTGCTGTAGGTATTGTACTTTCAAGGGTTGGGATGTTCTAAGTTGAAATGCTATTACATACTAGCCGCTGATGATACACCTTCCCATGAATCCACGATATCTAACTTTAATGTATGTACTACTCCTCTTAATTAAAGCCGTGAGGCAACCTTCTTACATAGGCACCAGCCGCACCACCTAGGAGTAAAGAAAACAAAACAAAAAAAACATACTCTACGCTACTACAATAGGTAGTTCAGCTGTTACATCGGTGTTAATTGCGGCTATGCTCATCGCTCCTAGCCAGCTAAGGTTAGCTTGGTTCTCCACGTTGTTAAATTCTGAATACGGGCACGGAGCACTGTACAACCGGGATGAGACCTTGCTCCATGGGCTCCATAGGCCCCATTAGATCCCTGGGTCTTAGGGTCAAGTGACGAATCGCACGGCCCAGGTGGAATGACCTTCTAGATCGGAGCGTTTGACCTTGTCTCCACCTTAAACCCTGCTTAAGCCCTGTAAACACCCACTTAGTTAGATTACCCATACAAATTGTGTGCTGATCATATCTTAAAGTATGAGTATCCTAGGTAATTACATATACGGCGTAGTACTGTACCTATTATTGCTATCGGGCCCTAAAACCTTAAATCTAGAGCCTTCTCGGGCCGTAAAACGCCGGTTTCGAATTGATATTTAGATTAATAAGCCGGTTATTTGGATGGCACGTGATCACCCTTAAGGCCAACATACAATCGCTTAACGTCTTAATTATTTAATATCTAACCTAAACGTTTAAAACATATAGCTATAATAATGCAACCGGTATCAATTAAAAGAGAATTTAATTATTAATTAAATGATATAAGTCAAATATGAATGCGATACTTGGTTGCAAAGTTATTTAGATATATATATCGTGAGATATTATGTGACAATTGATCATGTGACATCTTATCATGAGACAACTTATCATGTGACACCCTTAGGCGATCGTGTGCAGGCTCTTAGGGTGGCTTCAAGGGTGATCACGTGCGCCCGCCCTCCCAGCTAGCTTATTTACTTGAATAACTTTACGACCAGATATCTCACCAATTGGAGACCGGTATCAATCGATTCGTAATTCAATGCGCTTTCAATTGATACCGGTTGCACTTATATAGCTATATATTTGAAGAACGTATTTAAGATAAAAGAATTAATTCAAAAGGTTTGATGTACGTAATACAGTGTATATAACCATTCATAATTCATATTTTAAGATATGATCGCCATACAATTTGCTTGGGTAATCTAACTAAGTGGGTTTTTACAGGGTTTAAGATGGAGACAAGGTCAAACGCTCCGATCTAGAAGGTCATTCCACCTGGGCCGGAATCGCAAATGATGACAGACTTGGACAAAGGGATCCACTTTCTAAAAGGTACTTGAATCCTTTGCGGAGAGATCCTTGTATCGTGAGATTGAACCCCGAGGGACTAGATACACTAAAATGCTATGTACATAGATACCTACCCTAGGTATTACACAGATTTACACTCTTTTAGTTGAAATCGTCCATAGCCTTGAGGTACATATCTGTAACGATGCACGTATGTATCATCAAAGTTGATCAAACTACCTACTAATAACCTTGGTACATATGTATGTCATCTGTCTAGGAACTTCGTAGCTTGGCGATGACAGCCTTGTCTTAGGGATGGATATATTTCCTACATGTATGTATTGAGGTTGCGATGGACTATGTACATGTAGTGTATGTAGTGGTATTATGTACATCCCAACATTGAAGCAACTTAAAAGTGACTGACTCCCTTAAGGTGAATGCTTGGCAGGCACGAAAGGCACAACAGCATCCTCTTTAATGCTGTGCCTTCGCACCAGGAACGGGATGAAAAACTATCATTAAAATTACCCGACTCGACGTAGCCTGAAACCTGTTCGCTTTGTTTCAATTGAGCCAATTATCTTCTTTTCAAGGCTACCTCTAGCTCATGTAAGACCCCCACTACCTATTCAGGTATAGGGAGCGATCCATGGATGCTTAGGTGCATCAACTAAGCGCTTGGAAAATCTTTGATCCAGATTAGTCCCATTTTTATGTTTAGATCCATATTGTGGGGCTATGCTATCTTAAGTTTTTTTTATCTCAAAAGATTAACTGAGATGACCCTTGGCAAAAAGGTTGTGAAGCACGGCTCAACCATACCAGCATCAAAGACAGAACCACCCATTTCACAAACGTCATTGCGATAACAACATTCCTTCCACTCAGATCACTCAGATCACTCAGACTCGATTTACTTAAGTCATCACCATGTCAAGTAGTAGCACCGTTGCCGCCGAAAAGGTGCAAGAGCCTCAAGGCATGCGCAAGAATGGTGAGGACATCATCGTTCTTTATTTTAACCTCCTACTTATGCATATCATCTCTAGGCAAACAATGGCATCCACCACGGAAAGCCTTTCGGCCAGGATCTGGTTTAACCTCATATGAGCAACGAGCAAAGACACGCATGGCGACAGTCGCAGTAAAAGCTAGGGAGAAGGAAATGAAGGACGAGAAGGAGACCGAAAGAAAGGTATACCCATCCTCGTCTGAACAAGAGCACATCTCGCCGAATATGAACACGGCTAACATCTAGGGCTCAGCAACGAGTACAAGCCATTAAGGAAAAGCGCGCAGCAAAGGAAGAGAAGGAAAGATACGAGAAGATGGCAGAGAAGATGCACAAGAAACGAGTTGAGCGCTTGAAGAGGAAAGAGAAGCGCAACAAGCTTCTCAAGTCATGAGTCATGAGCGAACGTTCATGAAAGTACCATTTACCTCTTTGTCTGCGAATACCTACCTGCCTGCCTACCTGCCTACATACGAAAGAGAAATGGAGACGACAAGTCAGCCGACTTAGGATTGTCAAGGGCTAAGGCAGTCTGAGAACCGTAGGTTCAACGGCTCTCCACCGGCCGGTTCTGGGGAGTTGGTGGACATAATCTTGATTGGAACACGCCCCGATCTCACCTATGGTCTATAAAAGGGAGGGTCGATGTTCTTTATACGATGCTTCTCTATCAGTTCCAAGTTTGGAACGACAGATACTGGCAGAGTAGTACATGCTTAGGGTGCCTAAACGATAAGACTTGAGCGTCAACCAAGAAACAGCGCGGGCTATTTGTAGCAGGCAACTTACCTAGTACCTCGACAGGATCTACCGATTTGATTCACAGAGCCTAAATGCCTGGTAGATACTTACCTAGTTAATACACAGCAAACAATGAGACATAATTCATAATGGACATCAACATATTCATTGTGTAGTTTGAAAATAGTTTGTTCGCATAATCACCAAAGCGGCGTCGCCCTCTCTTATTCTTTTATGCTTTTATGATGAATATGTATAGAGGGGCATTCAATATTAATAAAGTACATACAGTACATAGTTACTATTTATGTACATATGTAGCCCTGGAGTAGATCAATCATCAATTACATAGTGACATGTGAAAGTACGGAATCTGCCGTGGTGGGGTGCACCTTAAGGGGTGGCTTCCCCGATTAATATTGTCGGTCCAATGAAAGTTGACTCCTTTTAAGTGTTTCTACCATAGTAACCATACATACCGCATCTTTAATCTATATGTACCTAAGGCTAATCGTTACCGCTACCGATACCGCTACCCTACCGTAAAGCCTTCGATACATATGGAGTAAGTATCTCGTCGCAAGCTGGAAAATGACCAAGAATCAGGATTTCGACCTTCTAAAACCCGCATCTCACTCCCCACACCGGCCTCGTCACCAAGTTAAACGATCGATAACAGAGTTATCATCACCAATCAAGCTGCCCCGATATCATCACTTACATCATTTACAACGCAAGGATCGCGATAATGATGACCATACTTCAATGCCTACAAGCCCACTGCTTCAAGTGCCACGAGGCTCACTCGAGTTGCCACGATCCGAAGGCGCAACTCCCTACGCAAACTCCGAGTCCGGCCTTCGCATGACCATGTCGAACCCAACATACGACGGCTCTACATTTAATTTTAGGCCTGCAGCGGTATCTTCATTGGACCATGAAGAACTGCTACGTGAGCAAAATGAGAAAGCGGCCTCGAGGATAGCGTTCGTCACCTCAGGCTCCTCAGAAAACATCAGGGGAGAAATAATCCACGATAGTTTGTAGCTAACGTTGAAATAGGGGGCTAAGGAAATCCCTTTTGGAACTAAGCACTTATTCAACCACAACAACGCAACGCCTAGATGATACGTATTACGCCGTCCTCGAAAAACTCAGCATGCTCCAGAGCACACTAGGAGCTCTCAGGGAACTCGCCGGCATGTCGCAAGAGTTAAACGAGAGCTTCAAAGCAGAATCGGAAGGACTAGTAGCTGAGCTAGAGCAACAGACTAGTTCATTCGATCAACTCGACGACCAACAGCAGCGTATCCAGGAACTGCAAGGACGCATACACACAGGCCGCGACAAGGTTGAAGCCCTCAGCAAACGAGTGGATGTGGTACGAGAACGTATTGAGAATTGGGAACGGGCGGATTTAGATTGGCAAGAGAGAACCAGGAGACGTCTTAAGGTCATTTGGATCATCACGTCCATTGTGGTCTTCTCCATGGTGCTCCTCTTCTTCGGAGCTCAGTACGCTCCTTCATCTGAGGATATATCTACGTTCACGAATCTAGCAACAGGCACCAGTCTTGGAAAGCCAGACTCGAGCTGGGTTGCAAGCAACCAAAGCCAGAGTGTTGCAGATACGGTGGACGATGTGAGAGAAGCGCTGCATAAGAGAGCAGGCGATGGCCCTGCTGAAGATGTTGTGCTTCGAGCTCTTGACGAACTATAAGTCAGTTAAGCAAACATTCAGTATACTACTAACCTTGGGTGCTCAGCAGAGTCGCCCAAGTACTTCTATCTGGACCAAGTCACAATATTGATATGTTCGATAGGCATTCCATTCCTTATGTCACACTATTAGGCGTATCAGGTGTATAGCATAGGCTTTGGACATTAGGTTACAGGCTCCCTTCCTTTCTAATAATATCCGCCGAGGCACTAGATAGTCTCATTAATAGGTCACTTTTATGTTTCCGTTGCATGAAACCCATCCTTACGATATGCATTGAAGAGCTACACGGCTATCTGGTACCTAGTATCTTGGGCATAAACATAGTAATTTTGAGGTCTTTCACTCGATCATTTTGAAAATCTCACATAGCATGTATTATAATACTGTACGTACCTGCATACATACCTATTACCTACAGTGCTAACGCCGAGTCGGGACTCGGAAAGGATAGGATAGGTTAAATATATTTAGATATCGAGGCCAACATTGAAACTCATAAGGCACCTGCATCTTTGATTCTTTGGGTTTGCCGTCTTAACCGCATGAGCATACGGCACATTTCAGCCTAGAACCCTGCGTAGCTGAAGATGTGGAGTTTGTGTGTAATTTTGGTATGTACTGTAATACCGTACTAATACGCACATGCATATATGTGGTACCTAGACTAACTTAACAGGGGGGCACATGATATGTTACCGCTTACGGCGTAGATTTTAGTAGCGTATGTACTTAGTTAGTATGTACTAACTATGTAATATGTATATAGCACGTAGACATTATGTAGGTAGGACCTGTCGACGTCATGGTTAGGCTTCGAAGCTAGGGAGTAAATGCCGTCGCCAATTGGATTAGAGCAGGGCGGTACTACAGTCTACGACAAGCTCAAATCAAGATAACCATCTGTGACTGGTAGCAGGATCTCTAGGTACTTCATTGGAACAAGCACACACATCTTACAGCATTCACTGCCTCACTTCATCCGAACCCAATTTCCCATTGTGTCTTTGTTTTATATTTTCTTTTCCCTTTTCCCCTCCTTTATTATTGTTTATTCTTCTGTCCCAGATAGTTATATTTTAACGAAGTAAGACCACCTACCTAAGTAGATTTACATGTTTATTTCAAGTTGCTCTTTAATTATCAATTTCTTTGGCGCCAGAAATACGTAACCAGTTGTGGCTGACGACATTAAGACCCCTCCAGTTGAGTTTTAGGTTCCCCGCCATAAAATCCGCTTACACATTTTGCGCCGTTCATACCTACCTCGTCTTACACGTTACGCGCCATTGTCGTTGGCGTTGCCGTTTCTACTGCCGGTCTTGAGCTGAGCTCACCGCGCATACCCTACAAAACTAAGAAACAGGAAGAAGAAGAAAATAGGCGGATTAAGCTACGATAGGCTTGTCGCAGAAAAAGAAGAAGAGAGTCAACCCAGATCTGGTTGATACTAACCTAGAGATGTCTACTGTGGATACTGCCCACGATGACTCGCCGCGTGGCTCTATTACGAACACTCCAGGCCAGGCACTAACAGGGAAACAAGAGCATTGTTCGTATACACCCCATCAGTGGACATTCTCATCATGCCATGATACTAACCACTATATTCCTTTAGACCTGAAACGAGAGCTCGTATCTGAGCAAGTTAATTGGGAAATATCCGAACTCAATTCTCCTACCGCCCTCCGCCGTTTCGGCGCACCCTTCAGGTCTGATTTCGGGGAGGTGTCACCCTATGATTCCGAGCTCCCTATCTTACGTTACATATTCGTACACCATGTGCGAGAGTTCCCCTTCCTGGATAAGGCAAGAGAGAAAGAGTTCTGGCAGGACAAACTACAAGTCGTATGTATTCTACCCAGTAGTCAACCTTTGCCTCCTATATTGTGCTAACCCGGCGGTCTTTTGGTGCCTAGTTCCTCGAGTCGTTTGCTAGCAAGAATATCTCATCTTCCGAGGACAGATTAGAAGAGACGAAACGTCGCAAACTAGCTCTAAAATGTCGAAAGCTAGTCGAACTAATGATGGTGTCGGGTGTTCCCACAGCCTCTGGGTTCGAAGAGCGAATAAGATTTGCAGAGATGGAAATTGTTGACCGAGATGCGATCGATACTGGAATGCTAAACACCATTCCAGAAGGAAACTATGTCAACGGATGGGACGTTAACGTTGCTGGAGTGCGCATCACCCACATCAAGAGGAACATCAGACGACATAAGCATGCGGTGCGCTAATATAAACCTGTCTATATCATATCTGGGTACTTGTACTGACTTTTCATAGGAATTCATATTACGCGTCAAGAGAAAGGGCGAGCTTGAACACTACGTAGGCAGACGATATGGAGACTTCGCCAGATTACATAGACAGCTAAGGACTGAACTCCCAGGCAAAGTCCTCCCTCCGTTACCGAGGAAGAACAAGTCGGACACGCCCGCATCGGGCTTACTGTCTCGTATGACCGATGGTGCTGACTCTGATACTTCATCGATTTCATCGATCTCCACCCTTGCTCCTCCGTCCCAGGGCAATGGGCTCACGGAGTCCATGAAAAACCTGACAGTCCGTGATCATCGTCGAAATCAGTCCACAGCCTCAAGCCGTAAGTCGCCACGCCCATCTATGGATGGCGCTTTAAGCCCGGTTCCAAGTCCTAAATCTGAGGTAAGAATTTTCTTTAAAAGCCCCTTTATTATCCTTTCCCCCTGAATATAAAGCGCGTTCTAGTATATTAACTTTCACAGAACGCTACACTCTGGCGCGAGAGTCAGCGCATATCGCTTCGGGCATATTTACGATATCTTTTACATAATCCTCAGATTGCGCAGACCAAAACTCTCCAGCATTTCTTGACTCACGACCCGCTTACGCCAACTGATGAAGATGTTGGTGACATTGTCCGGCGTAAAGCTGTTGATCGAAAGCGTATGGAAGAGCAGAGACAGTTCTATGAAATAGCGAGGAAGAGAGCCGCGGAGTTGGACGTCTACATGGAACAGTTCCGTCAAGATATTGTCGAGCGTAACGGATTAACAGTGCTTCTCCAGGAGATCAAAGACAAGGAAACTATCCAGGATCTGAGCCTTCAGTACCAGAAATTCGCCGAATGGCTTCGTATCGAGGTGGCCGCCACCATTTACCACCTTTTCCTCGCCGAGGACAATTCGCCCGAGTTGTTTGCGCAACTCAAGCGTATTCACTCCCTGATCCCGTACACTATAATGAAGAATGTGATCCGGATTGCGAATCCTGCTGCTGTCATGTCTGGTGTGCTCGATATATTCTTAGCGCAGCCTTTCGGATCACGATCTCTCATGCAACGCATCTTCTCCTTAACTCTCAACGACGGAATTAGAAGCCAGCAGAAGGCCATTGATGCTGTGGCTTCTAAAATTGGAGACAGCGTCTTTGTAGAGAAGCTCGGGCAATTCACAGAAGCCGATGAGCACATCAAAGTCGCAATTCGAGAAGAAGCTGAGTCTGATGACGTGGATATCATTGTTGCCGTATTACGTTCTGAACTTCTCACACCGGCGCTTACTCCCGAGCAAATCGGGAGATTATATAACGCCTATGTCGCTTTCAACAGCGCAGTAGAGAACGTTGATGAGGAGTTAAAACAAGGCGCGCAACTCTTCTCTTATCTCAAGCAGTTGCTGAAACTGCAAACTAGACAGCGCGACAAGGCAATGATGCTTAGCCTGATCGAAGAGCCCGTTACTCTGCAGCTGCTTCGCGATCTCTTCACCATCTTTTACGAACCCCTTGTCAGAGTGTATAAGTCAGCCAATGTGTACAACAGCATTACAGACTTTGCCGTTTTTATCGACGACATGATTCAGGTATGTAACTTACTTAAACAGATACTCAGGGGTATACTAACACTCTAGTAGGTGGTCGAGAAGTGTAGAGAGCAAGATGCATCGGCAGACCCAAATCAAACGGTGCAGGCCTTTATTGACCTATGTCAACGCCACCAGCACAATTTCTACAAATTCATTCATGAGGTTCATACGCACGACAATGGCCTTTTTACGCAGCTTATGGGCTGGATAGAAGGCATTCTAGAATTCTTAAGAAAGGGGCCAACAGGTGGAGCATTGGACATCAACGCTCTGTTCGAAGGAGGCGTTGCAAGCGGCTTGGTGGACAAGGAGAAGGCAATCGAAGAGATCAACAAGCTCATCGCCTGGCAAGAGGCTCGCAAGAAGTGGCATCACGACAAGACTAGACAAAAGATGGCGGCTGAAGGGTCAGCAGGTATGGAGACTGGAATGCCGAGTATGGCTAGTTTCCAAGCCAGTGATTTTGGCCTCAACGACATGGACATTGAAGACATGGCCTACGACGATGGTTCTGATGATGAGGCAGAGGCAGAGGAGGAAGACGAAATGGACCCGATCGAGGCTGAAAGACGAAGGAGAGCAAAGAAGCAAGACCGTCTCAAGGCGCGGGCTGGTGAGCCAAAGAAACCAGAAGTGAGCGAGGTGCATCATTTGAAGGAAAACTTCATCGAGATGTTACGGCAAGTCTTAGCGCCATAGAAGTTCATTCTTAGGAGTTGGGCATCGTATAAGGTTAGGAGTCATGGTAAAGGGCAAGGATACCAACTCGGATTTATTGCATTGGTGAATTGGCATGAAAAGAAATACAGGTCAAAGAGCATTAGGCATCTGATTGCATTCACGGTCCATTCATTGGGACGAACCGGATGAGGGGATGGATACTAGAATTTCTGGAGTGGGCTTCTTCATGATTCTTTTATTGAAGGGACCTTTCGGTATGAGGAGAATGCTCTCTACATGTAACTATAACCTACTAACTTGATACCTAATTCCCTGGGTTAGATGCCTACCCAGGTTAGATGCCTACCTAGGTAGGTTGTGTGGAAGTAATGCTACTACGTATTGTTAAGAGTTATGACTGGTGTGATGAATGTTGAGATGGATGTGTGCAGGTAATAAGTACATACATGTATGTATCATTACTATCATAAGTTGACTTAGTTACATACATGTGTACTACTAGTACTGCATAGTAGCAGCATTCATTAAGGAATATCCTTGCACCGGTGGTGTATTAACACGTGATGATACTTGGTTAGGTACATATCGTGTGTAAACGGCCGACTTTTTATCCCTCGGTAATCAGAATTGACGCTATTGGACCGAGCAGGCGTCAATTGTCTGGAAAGTACATACCTACAGACGTACCTAGGTTAGGTACATACTACGGGTAGCAGTTACCAGACGGTTGAACCTCGCCCAGCATCATCACTTTTTTCGCCTTTTACCTTTTGCCTTTTTGCACTTAGCCATTCCCCGAACTTGCAGGACAAGACAAGTACTTCCTCAACCCTGTTCTTCCCCCTCCTTCACAAATCCCTCTATTCACAATGGCATCGTCAATGGCATTGAAGAGGTTAGCCATAGGCTCTACTGTAAGTATCTCCCTTGCCTACCAACCTTTGATCGCATTGGCCTTCGGCTTAACTTGGGACGAAGAAGAGGCTGACTTTATCGTTTCGTTTTTGACAGTTCCCACGGGCAATAAGGAACCAGGCCAGAACCTTCTCTTCAACGCGCCCAGTTTGTAAGTGCTCCCAATATTGGATTTGTATATTTTATATGTGTGCCGCATTGAATGGACTGTCTAATTCTAATCTGTTTCTCCCGCCCACAGCTCGGATCATCGCGAACAACCCACTACGGGCCAAAGAAGCGCCGATACACCTTAGCAGCAAATACCCTGTCATCGTATGTCACAACTTCCCATTGCTTTTGCTTAGCAACAGACAATGTCCACGTTAGAATCAGCAACGGTTAACACAACCGTAGGATCACGAATACGATGCCATTGTCGTTGGTGCGGGTGGTTCCGGATTGCGGGCGGCATTCGGTCTTGCGGAAGCCGGATTCAACACGGCCTGTATATCGAAGCTCTTCCCCACCCGAAGTCATACAGTCGCTGCGCAAGGTGGCATCAACGCTGCGCTAGGAAACATGCACGAGGATGACTGGAGATGGCACATGTACGACACTGTGAAGGGATCGGATTGGCTTGGTGACCAAGATGCCATCCACTACATGACGAGAGAGGCCCCCGCGTCCATTATCGAGTTAGAGAACTACGGATGTCCGTTCTCGAGAACGGAAGATGGTAAAATGTTGGTTGAGTTCAGGTGGTTCAAATTAGGTACGATGATGGCTAACATCTGGTCGCTAGCTACCAGCGCGCTTTCGGTGGACAGTCGCAGAAGTTTGGAAAAGGTGGCCAGGCATACCGCTGCTGCGCTGCCGCCGATCGAACCGGACACGCCCTTCTACACACCCTCTACGGTCAATCCCTTCGACACAGCACTAACTACTTCATTGAGTTCTTTGCTCTTGATTTGATTATGGAAGATGGAGAATGCCGCGGCGTTTTAGCCTACAACCAGGAGGATGGTACTCTTCACAGATTCCTTGCCCACAACACAGTTTTAGCTACTGGTGGATACGGCCGAGCCTACTTCAGCTGCACATCCGCACACACTTGTACCGGTGACGGTATGGCTATGGTTGCTCGTGCCGGACTTCCCAACCAGGATCTTGAGTTCGTCCAATTTCACCCGACTGGTATCTACGGAGCTGGTTGCCTGATTACCGAAGGCTCGCGAGGAGAGGGTGGATATCTGCTCAACTCCGAGGGAGAGCGGTTCATGGAGCGATATGCGCCTACCGCTAAGGATTTAGCTAGTCGTGACGTCGTTTCCCGTTCCATGACTCTGGAGATTCGTGAGGGACGAGGTGTTGGCCCTGAGAAGGACCATATCTACCTTCAGCTAAGCCACTTGCCTGCCGAAATCCTTGCCGAGCGTCTTCCCGGTATCTCAGAGACCGCTGCCATCTTTTCAGGTGTCGATGTTCGCAAGCAGCCCATTCCAGTCTTACCCACTGTACATTACAACATGGGTGGTATCCCTACGAGGTACACTGGTGAGGTGCTTACGGTTGATGACAAGGGTAACGACAAAGTTGTTCCTGGTCTCTTCGCTTGCGGTGAGGCTGCCTGCGTCTCCGTCCATGGTGCCAACCGACTTGGCGCCAATTCTCTGCTAGATCTTGTTGTCTTTGGACGTGCAGTTTCCCACACCATCCGAGACAACTTTACCCCGGGCACCAAGCCTAAGCCCATCAGTGCCGATGCTGGTGCGGGATCTATCGAAGTCCTCGACCAGGTCCGCAACTCCAATGGCCCCAAGAGCACAGCCGAAATCAGACTTGCTATGCAAAAGGCCATGCAAACAGACGTGAGCGTGTTCCGTACACAGGAAAGTTTAGACGAGGGTGTGAGAAAGGTCACGGAGATCGATGGCACATACTCTCAGGTTGGAATTAAGGACCGCAGCATGATCTGGAACTCGGATCTGGTCGAGACTCTCGAGTTAAGGAATTTACTGACTTGCGCGTAAGTGGCTTAAACCCCTCTCCCGTTGGTGTATTTGAAGGAAAGCAAAACTAACAATATCATCAGGGTCCAAACCGCCACTTCGGCTGCTAACAGAAAGGAATCTCGTGGTGCTCATGCTCGGGAAGACTATCCTGACCGAGACGACGAGAAGTGGATGAAGCACACTCTTTCGTTCCAAAGGGAACCTCACGGCAAGGTCGAACTTGGATACAGAAAGGTCATCGGCACAACCTTGGATGAAAACGAATGCAAGGCTGTCCCGCCATTCAAGAGAACTTACTAAACGAGATAACTACCTACCTAGTAGTAGTCACGAGTACTGTGTAATACCGACCATGTGATGTGAAAAGGAGGTGCATCCAGTTTCTAGCAGTGGGGAAGCTTGAGAGATAAAGAGAGAGCACTGGTGTGTACTGAAATAAGTCGATGGGTTGTGGCTCCAATAAGAGACGTGGATAATGTATGTATCTTATACATGACTTGAACCGAACGACAATTGTGTATACAGGAAATAAAAATAAGCCCCTTTTTTAATATCTTCATACCTACATGCCTAGTTCGTGGCTGCCTAGAACTCCATGTTCCCCTGATCCACGAATCCGGTTTTTTGCGATATTTCTCTCTGGGTATGGATAAGGGGGCTGACTGGCTGGCTGGCTGGCTGGCTAACTGTCGAGTAGATACGTCTGGTTCATCACCGGGCTCGTACATTGTAAGCCTTGCCTCTTTAATTTCCCTCTCTTCCTTCTCACCCCAAAACCCGTTGCTCTCCTTGAAGAAACCCCCCCCCCCCCCCCCCAAAAAAAAACCAAAAAAAACCAACGCGGTAGTTTGATATCGATATAATATTTGATTCATTTCCCCCTCCTTTTGTCATAACTTCCCCTTTCCCAACCCAACCTAACCTAACCCTCCCAGTAACCCTCCCAAACGCAACGGACGAGGCGTTCATCTACGGCGTCAACCCGGCCCATTCGGTCTTGCACGACGGGCCTTGCAGTGTGGGCGAGGCCGTTGGGGTTTGATGTTTTGGGGATGGGAGGGAGAGGTGAATTAGGGAGGAGGAAAGGGGTGTGTTACTCGGGATAAGAAGCCGTGAGAGAGCCATTTCCCTATTTTTTTTTTCTTGGTGAGACGCGACCTTATTCCAGCTTACAATTTTATTATAATACTTATCTACCTATCTATCTATCTCAATAACCCAAAGCACATCACATCATGCATAATGTACCTACCCTACCTACAATAGCAGTTCCACTTAAACTTTGACCAGAGAGGCACGGCGGTATAAGTGCTGCTTACCAATGGCTCCTTGGGAGATATTAGCAAGTTACACGCTATGGATGCGAAAAGTCCGGTAGCTAGCCGGCACTTGATTTATAATAGCATATAATTCGTCAGGTACCCTAGGTAGGTTGTAAGTATCGTACCGCACATCCATCCATAACTGCATACCCCCTAATCCTTACCCGAACCCCTCATTGCTCAAAAACGTATGTATCGGTTGAGTAACTGTGATATGTATGTACATAGGCTCCCTATCTTGAGCGAAAGGGCTCTAGATTAGATTATTTCCGGCAAATGGGCAGAGCAGTTTTAGAAGATATATTTACTGGAAAGGGGTGAAAAGTTTCGGAATTTATATACTTGTTTATTTTGATTCCGACTTTTGAAAAAAAAAAAAAAGGGTTTTACGAAAGGGAAAGAATACATAAACATCACAATGTCCGTAGCACTAATAACAGCGGGGAGTGCCGGGCTCGGCGCTGCGGCCGCTCGGGCTTTTGCCAAAGACGGATACCGGGTCATCGTGAACTACGCCAACAACGAGGAGCGAGCGAACAAGCTCCTGGCAGAGCTCCCGGCTTTGTCCCCTTTGCCGCAGGATAGCGGCGCGAACAATTTCATCGCCATCAAGGCTGATCTGGGTAGCCGGGATGAAATCAACCGGCTTATCCAAGAAAGCGTGGATAGGTTTGGTCGGTTGGATGTCATCTTTTCCAACGGTGGTTGGACCCGTTTGTGAGTTGGTCTCTTTTGCTTTTGGTACAAGCATTGGCATCAAGCCGAAGCGCTTTACTTCCACGTCATCGCCAACTTTGAACGAGGCGGCCTTGTTGTTAGAAAAACTACAGGTACTGACTTCGTTGGTTTGTAGCCGCGGTATGGTTAGCATCGACGAAAACGTCTTTGAGGACGAATGGGACGGAGCTTTCAACATGAATGTCAAATCCCATCTGTGGTTGATGCACGCGGCTAAGAAACACCTCGATGAGACTGAGGGAGCTTTCATCAGCACTGCCTCTGTAGGTGGCGTAATCCCTAGCGGTAGCTCTCTGGTAAGTACCCAACTCAGGCTGGTGGCGATGAACTAGAGCTTATGAGCAACATTGAATAGGCGTACTCCGTTACCAAGGCTGCACAGATACATCTCATGAAAGCGCTAGCGATCATGGCAGCGCCTAAGATTAGAGTCAATACCGTATCTCCTGGATTACTACTCACCGTAAGATTTTCTGTTATCGTTGCTTTGTTATTCCGAGGGGCTAGCAGATTCCCAACGCTCCAAAGGATGAATTCTAACAGTTCTGAATTAATAGGAGTGGGCCAACGTGTTTTCGGACGAGACCAAGGAGAAGCATCGGCAGAATACTAAGCTCAAGCGATTCGTCACGGTCGAGGATGTCGCGGAACAAGTGCTAGTCTTTGCGAAGACTAAGAGCATGACGGGGGTGAACGTGGTGATGGATGCCGGTTTCATCCTATGACGCTTCTATGGTTGAGAAGGGAGATGTAGGTAGTGGTACACTTGTTGAATCGCCTACAAATGATCGTTTTGGTAACGAGGACAGGCCAACATTAACTTAAGTGGTAGTATTAGCTAGTACCTCTAGGTAGTAAATAGGTAGTTATAGTATTTAACTTCTAAGGAGATGACTATCCCTAGTAAACCAACGGTAACTTAGCACGTGCGTTGTTGCAATCGGGTTCTGCCTTCCCGCTCTACCAAAATTACGAATACCATGGGAATGGTTTAAGTTTGAGTCGAAGTATATAAATATGGGGGTATGGATGCCTCCCTAGTACCTAGTGCCTGCCTAAACCTAGGTGCCACGTGAGAATATTGTGTGGCTGTGGAGACATAAGGTACAGTTATGTATCTTTCGAGTTACACACTCTTAACGAAGATCACCTTCTTTACCTAACCTAGTACCTAGCAATGACCAACACGACAACAGCCACAATAAGTTGCCTCTTCACACAATATGATTATAACCATTCGTAAACTAAATAAATCCTATATTCCGCCAGATTCATCGCGATAGAACTCGGGGGCGTTCTTTTACTTTTTAATACATCTCTATCATACACAGAATTCGTAAATCCGTCCAACCGAATCTTAACCAAGTAACTCCTTATCAGAAGTCTCTTTAGTCTCCTAAGAAACAGGACAGGTAGCCTTTATTTCTTAAACATGGAGGCTATCTCCAAATGCCTTGCCGTTCCTAAGGAGTCCGGCTCGACCGCATTAATTGCAACTACAGTTGTGACTACTATTTCTCTCGTCTCATTAGCTCGTTACACACTGTGGCCCAAGAAACACCCGATCATCCCGGGCCCCTTAACGACTACCATCCCCAAGCTGTCCGAAGCCGAGATTGCGCAAATCACATATAGACCGGATTATTTCCCAGGCGCCAGAGATGTAGTAACGCCGGTGAGCACATGTCTTTTTTTGCAGCCGTCTGCAAATTAAACGAGGTTTACATGCCTAGGCACTTAGCTGTAATCTAACGAGGATCCCTTTTTTTTTTCTAGTATGGTAATATTCGTGTGTATGAGTTTGGGCCCGAAGATGGTCGCAAGGTCTTGCTCATCCACGGGATAAGCACATCATGCATGACTCTTAAGGACATCGCGGAACCGCTCGCCAAGAAAGGTTGCCGCGTGATGCTTTTCGTAGGTTGCTTCCAAGAAAACCCCTGGCATCTCTCTCGACCTTACTAATTGGCCTCGCAGGACCTTTTTGGACGAGGCTATAGCGATGCGCCTGGTGACGTACCATACGACACCAGACTATTCGTCACCCAGATTTTGCTCGTCTTAGCATCCTCGCCATTGTCGTGGACCGGCGAGAACGGCCTAAGCATCATAGGCTATTCTCTGGGCGGCGGCATAGCGGCAAATTTCGCGGCCACCTTCCCTCATATGGTCGAGTCGCTAATCCTCCTCGCGCCCGCGGGGCTCATCCGTCCGGAGAACTTCGGGCGCGCAAGCCGGCTCGTGTTCACCACGGGCATCATACCCGAGCGCCTGCTCGCGTGGCTCACGAAGCTTCGCTTGCGACAGCCCATAGCCTCCTCCGTAGCCAAACGGGTCAAGAAGGCCGGCGCCGCCGCAAACGGACTACGGCAAGGCGAGGACGGCAAGGAGAACCTCCTCGACGTCGCGACGCAGGAAGCCGTGGACCCCGTCGACGAGCCTCCGCAAACCGCCTTCGAGCTCGAAGTTATCAGCTTCGTGCACTGGGTGCTCGACTTCCACCACGGCTTCGTGCCGGCCTTCATGTCGACCGTGCGCCACGCGCCGCTCATGGACCAGCAGGGCTACTGGCGCCAGCTCGCCAAGCGGAAGCCGGGGACCACGGCCGTGCTGCTCGGCACCGACGACACTCTCATCCAGCGCGACGACTACGTCGAGGATGCCCTCCCCTTGATCGGGGGCGAGGAGAACGTGTTTTGGCGTGTAGTGCCGGGGTCGCATAATTTCCCGTTCACGCATGCGGCGGATGCGCTGGAGCGGATTTATGAGTTTTGGGCGATGGAGTAGGTGGGGAGGGGGAAGGAATTTGCAAGGCGTTAAGAGAGAGAGAGAGGGGGGGGCTACTTACCTAGGTTAGATTTAAGTCATAGAATGAATACCCAGGTATTGGTGATAGATAGATAGGTACCTAGATTGTATTGTTAGGAAGGTCTATTGATATTCAATCAACACTTATCCCTCGGGGGGCATGGCATGTATGTGGTAAAAGGGGGTTGATTTGTCTTCGGTACTAGATCCACTCCGTCAACGCCAGCTTGCCACTCGCTTGAGTGCTGTAGGAAGGTGTAGTGCATCCTACATACCATGCCCGTGATAGAATATGAGATTATGACGGCCCCTCGGTTTAAAGTGTAATCCATTGCTTTCATTTCTTTGAAAATTAGTAGTACATGGTCCCTAGCATTACCCCTTCCTCCTCCTCCTCCTCCCACTATGTCCCCTTTCATTAGACGAGTAAGATCATTAAGCCATTCGAATCATAGCATTTCCTTCTTCTTCTCCTTTTCCTTCCTCCCCCCTTTCCCCCTTTCCCCATTTTACCTAAGCATCCATAGCATCCCGTCCATTCAGCAAAATGATACAAGTCGACAGCGCCACCACATCGTCCGTCTCATTCCCATTCAGCGCCAGCACCGCATCCTTATCGAACCCGTACCCCGCGACCCGGCCAACCTCAACCCGCTGCTGGTTGAGGCACTTGTACAGGATCGCCACACGGCCCTTTGTCATGTCCCAGAAATACGGGATGCTATGCCGCACAAACGCCTCGTGCTTCCCGGAATTCGCGCCCTCGCTCTGCCGCAGCGCCTCCTCGTCGACGGGGCACAGCTCGATCTCGTGCCTGCAGTGCGGGCTCCCCGCCGGGAACCTCACCTTCGAGGAGTCGAACGAGACGAACGTGATGTTGAGGTCGCACACCTTTTCGCCGGAGCGCGCGTCCGTCATGGTCTTGAGCGTGCGCATCATGTTGCCCGAGGACTTGATCTCGTATTTGGGGCGGGATTCTTGCGTGGAGGCGGCTTGGTCGACCTCGTCGAGGAAGGCGTGGTTGAAGTCGCCGGCGAAGGGCTGCTGGACTAGGCCTGAGAGGTCGAGGATCTGGGCGGTGGTTTTGAAGTGGATGCATCCCTTTAGGTAGAAGATTTGGGTGGGCTGCAGGACGACGTCCTCTTTGATGGGGAAGTCTTCGGGGGAGAAGGGGTGAGGCATGTTTGTTTCTTTTCTTTTCTTGGATTGTGATTTCTGACTTAGATTTAGGTTATATAGTGACGGCGATGGTAATGATGATGGGGATATGAGAAGTCCGTAACGAAATTAGGTATATGCCTAGGTAAGTGCCAATGGCCTAGCTCCTACTTTTTATTCTCTTCCTTTTCCTCGATGGGTATCCTCGTACGTGCGTATGAAATTCACTTCTTATTATATGTGAAAACAAGTGAAGCTGTGTAAATAGTTGAAAAATGCCTACTCTTCCAAGTTTTTGGGGGGATCAACTACTATTTAAGATGATAGATATCAAGAATATATAACAAGTCCATACATTACATACCTTGCTTAATATAATGCCCAAGCTGCCGGCGTCACCGTCGCTGATAACAACGGGTTTCCGTAACACGGGGGCATGTATGTAGGTAGGGGTCGTTTGTTCGTTGCACCGGACGTGTTAGAATGTGACGTCACGGGGAGTCTCATTACCGGGCATTGCCCTGATTTTCGCGGTCATCCTTCTCCAGGACCTGCTCATGCTCACCAAGTCTTGCCCAGTCCAGGGTTTTCTGCACAGAAAAATGTGGCGGCCACTGGCGTCACCGAAGCACAGGTTTACGAAACCCTCTTACGTTCAGGTGTGTAATGGGCATGGGGATCAATCTTGATCTAGGGGTGCTTTTTCTTTTGTCATGCGAATCACAGTGTGGCAGTGTGGCAAGCTTGTGAGGCAGGACGGCAACCAAATGTTCAAGGTTAAGTTCCAGTTCCATGAGAAATTCCATGAGATGAGCCTGATGAAGAGTGATGAACCTAGACAGACTTTTATCTTTTAAGCTTTGAAGTTGGGAATACAGAGAGATTTGTCCGACCCGTGAGGGACCCGAGGGGACTGAAAGTCTAAAGAGTTAAAGGGAATATGAGGGGTACTACTAGTAGTACTAACCCAATAAGAAATGACATCATAGGTGGGGGGGGAGAGAGTACATAAACCCCAGAGATCGTATGCGTTCATTGCATTGTTGACTTCCAGACTTCTTCATAATTACCTAATACTTATACACGATGTATAATATTTCTCATTAATTACTACGTATCTGACCGCTTCGACTTGCTGGCTTCTAATGAAATGCAATGCTGGTCAAAACGAAGCAATGGAATGCATGTATATAAGTGCATACAGAGCTATTACGATAGACGGGTACTTGCTTGTAGATTGGCTCACCGTAACTATCACCCGTAGGCCCCATTCCAGCGTGGATTGGAAGTACTAGCGTAACATCTTACTTAATGGGCTCGCCCCCATAATTCCATATTAGATAACTGTTACTATTTACTTTAGTGAACAGCTAGGTTAGATACATCATCTCTCTAATATCTCACCTTCACTTACACGCGCGACCATGTCCCCTCCTCCCCCATCATTCACCAGCATCTCCAGCGGCGACGCAGCCCTCGTGGCCTCGACCTGCGAGGAGCACGGGCTGACCGAGGCAGAGTTCAGCGAGCTGCACCGGCGGTGCGTGGCGGCCAAGTCCACCGCCTATTGCCCGTACAGCCAGTTCCGGGTCGGCGCGGCCGTGCTCTCCGCCGACGGCGCCTACTACTTCAGCGGCGCCAACGTCGAGAACGCCTCGTACCCGGTCGGCACCTGCGCCGAGCGCGTCGCCCTCGGCAAGGCCGTCACCGAGGGCCACCGCAAGATCAGGGCCGTCGCCGTCGCCACCGACATCGCGCCCCCGGCTAGCCCCTGCGGCATGTGCCGCCAGTTGTGAGTTGTGATTTGATAACCGGTTCCGTCCCGTCCCCGTCCCTCGTTGGCTGTGTATCTATATCAAGTCCTGCATTTGGTTTTGCTTTGCCTCTGATTCGCTTTTTTTTTTGTCTTCTATGCATGGAAAAAACGTTCTAACCAATGAAAAGCATACGGGAATTCTGCGACCTCAAGGCCCCCATCATCATGTTTGATAAGGACGACAACTACAAGGTAGCACGCCTCGAACAGGTAAGTCTGGGATTTGTTTTTCCAAGGTGTCATCGAAGATGCATAGAAGTTAACTAAATACTTTTTTTTTTTAATGATTAGCTTTTGCCCTTGTCCTTTGGACCTGAAGCCCTCCCCCCACCAGGGCCACGCCCTTCCTGAGATGGCAATGGGCTTGCATACCTACCTGCCTGCATGCCTACCTACCTACCTACCTAGGTAGCCACGTTTTTTATGTATGTACAGTAGGTAGGTACTTTGCTTGGGCCATGGTTCTATTTGTTCGATACAGGCTTCTAGCTGCGTCTCGATTTTATTTTATTTTATACCAAGTACCTAACCTAATCACATGTAGATTGTAGCAATCAATTCTTATAAGAGTTTAGCGTGTTGCTATTCACATGTTTATTACCTACCTAGTACCTACCTACCTAGGTACACAGTACTTGTTGTTTTTGATATTCCAGTAATATGGGGCAGCCATGTGCGGGGATGGGGGAGTGAGGAGACGGAGGAGACGGAGGAGGAGAGCTTCATGTAACGTTCTGCAACTGTTAATAAGCCACCGGACATCCACTTGCAGTTCTTTTGTGCATTGTATTGTATGTAAGTTAACTATAAATATGAAAACGAACTCGAACTCGAAGCACTACAAACATAGCACTCAACTATTTATACCCATATCCGCTCCAATCGACCTAACTGCCTATTCCACCTAGTTCACGCTTCTTACTGTACATTAGTTATATCGTGTTTGTGTTTACTATTAATGTAAATTACTTTCTACGGAATAACTAACTACCTGCCCCAGAACAAAACCACATCCCCATCCCCAGACCCCAGGATCTGCTACTGGATACAAGCCAAAGGGGATGGATTCTTCCCCACACCAATAAGAACCCTGCTTTGCACGGTAAGTACATAACTAATAGTATACGATCTCGAGCTCTGTCAGAAGCGCACCAATCACGGTGCCGGAAAGTCGGTCCGACGGTAAGGCTAGCTTCAATTGATCGTTCGTCTAGGCTACTTTCTTTTACCCCAATTTCCAAAACCTCCGCACCCTGTTGTGGACAAGGGCGCTCAACCCCGTATCCATAAGCTACCCAGGCTTGTTGTGGAGGTTTTGCAGTGAAGCAGAGCCTGGTGATTGGTTGGCCTGCCCAAAGTTACCGTTGCGTTGCATCAGGAAGTTCAAAGTTGAAAAGTTGTTGTGGGGGAAGAGCCCTAGCTCGGTTTTTTTTTCCAAGAGGCGGTCCAACGATAGGCTGGCCTGGCGGTTTTAGAAGGATCTTAACATAGTATGTATGTATGTATGTAAGGTTAGTAGAGACCGATATGTAGGCAGGCAGGTAGGTATGTATGTATAGACGGATGTGACGTCGAGCCCAACGATTAGAGCTCACCTAGGGTGAGGAGTTTCTGCACCTATAGCAGCGCGTCCTTTCTCCTGTCAGCGAGTTGGGGTACTGGTAAACTGTGGGTTTCGCTCTCGTGAATGGCTCCTCGTATGGTTATAGTCCGATGCAATAGGCTTGCTCGCTCCTTGCAAATGTCGGGAAAATCCCCGAATGGGTTTAACTCACATATGGTAGGATCATCCATGCTACTGTATATAATGACTATGTATGCACACAAAGTGTACGATGGATGATCGTTGGGTATCATCAGACGCATGCAGCTGAGCTTATTATATGAAGGGGTTCTCTCCACCAAGAGCAATACCCAGATTTGTCGTTCTTACTTCCTCAAGCTACCTACCTTTATAGCTTGAAATTTGCTCTATACCCGTCAATTTGGTTCTCCTCTGTGACAATCCCACCGGGGGAAAGCAATCAAGATGTCGAGGTTTCCAAAGATCAGTACGTTTGTTCATGGAGAGAACAGAAACACTCTTGCGTAGGCGCGATGCTAATCTACCTTCATAGCCAACACCTACTTCATGGCTATTATAGCCACAGTGGGTGGTATGCTCTTTGGTTTCGATATCTCATCCATGTCCGCCATTGTCATTACCAATCAATATATCGAATATTTCAACAATCCGTCTGGTCTTGTTCAAGGTGCCATTGGATCTGCCCTCGCGGCTGGATCTGTGGTTGGTAGTTTGATGGCCGGTCCTATATCTGACAAATGGGGTCGCCGTGATAGGTACGTCGACGGCATCGTGTTCGATCCTATTCGAGTCAATCGAATGTTGAGTCTTATTGATACCTGTTCATAGTATTATGTTTGCTTGTATCTGGTGGCTCGCTGGAACTGCGGTTCAAGTTGCTACTACCGGTGTTGGTTCGTTAATCGCTGGCCGAGTCTTGAATGGCGTCTGTGTCGGCATAACCTCCTCTCAAGTCCCGGTCTATCTAGCTGAGATTGCTCCACGAGTAGGTCACACATCTTGCAGCAAATCTCGAGCCATATTAACAGTATGTAGGACACTCGAGGCCGCATTATCATCATCCAACAGCTTGCCATTGAATGGGGTATCTTGATCATGTACTTCATCGGTTACGGAGTAAGTGGCTTCCTAAAATATGATTCCCCTTACACATCATGCCCTTCCAGTTATAGATTTAAAAAACAAATACTCACATTTCCGTATAGTGCTCCAAGATCGAAGGCACGGCTTCTTTCCGAACTGCTTGGGGAACACAATTCATTCCCTGCGTCTTGCTGATGTGTGGCCTTCCTTTCCTTCCCAGGTCGCCCCGATGGCTGGCTAAAGTCGGTCGTGAGCAAGAAGCCATCCAGACCCTGGCCGACATCCAAGCTGGTGGCAACAAGGATGATCCTCTTGTGATTGCTGAGTGGCAGGAAATCTTCACCGTCCTCGCCGCAGAACGCGAGACGGTTGGAGGATGGAGAGGATTCTTCATGAATGGCATGTGGAAGCGAACCCTAGCGGGAATGAGCGTACAAGCTTGGCAGGTAAGTCTTTGGCCTTATATCACTAGGGCTTTTAGAGGTGGCTTTTTTATATATATGGGATCTTCGAAATGACTGACACTCTTCACTAGCAATTGTCAGGTGCCAACGTTATCGTCTACTATATCGGTTAGTTTTCACCTTTGCCAAGGACACGATTCCTATTTGTTAAAGAATACAACTAATTCTTGATGCAGGATACGTGTTTTTGATGGCGGATCTTGAGGGAGACATCAACCTGATTTCTTCTGGCATCCAGTATGCACTCTTCATCATGTAAGTCGACAAACACGCTGAAATGCATTACAGTGGATGCTCACCATATTTAGTTTCACTACCATCATGTTCTTCTTCATCGATAAGACTGGTCGTCGTACCCTCCTGGTTGCCGGTGCCATAGGTATGGCTGTATGCCACTTTGTCGTCGGTGGCCTTCTTGGCACTTACAGTGTCGATGTCCCGGAAGGTGTCGGTGGCAATCACAACGTTGTCATTAAAGTCTCCGGCTCTCCTGCGCACGGTGTCATCGCTTTCAGTTATCTGCTCATCATCGTCTATGCGTTGACCTTAGCGCCTGTCGCTTGGGTCTACGCAGCAGAGGTTTGGTCGCTCGGAACCCGTGCGACTGGAATGTCTCTGGCTGCTGTAGCCAACTGGGTGTTCAACTTCGCTCTGGGTCTCTTTACCCCTCCAGCGTTCCTCAATATCAAGTACAAGGTGTTCATCATCTTTGGTGTCCTTTGCATAGGAGCTGCTATTCAAGCTTGGTTTACATACCCCGAAACGTGCGGCAAGACCATCGAAGAAATCGAAACGCTTTTCGCCAAGGGCGCTCCGGCCGCATGGAAAACTAAGAAGGGTGGATCTCGTCTTGAAGCTGAAATCGAGGCTGTGCTGAACCGCAAAGAACGAGGCGAGGCCGTTCATGCGGAAGTTCATACAAGCCTAGAAAAGACGGCGACAAGCGAGGTGGCGAAGGAGACGATCTAGAAGGATATTATTATATTATGGAGGGCGGAGTGGTCTACCTCGTATGAAGGTATCTTGGCCTCCGTTACGATGGATACTAAAGAGAGAGAGAGATTGTCAACCTTGAAGCGAATCATTGTCTCTTTGGATATGTTGTTCAATATTCTAGCGACATAAAAGTAGATGATACCCACATCTTATTTGTTAATTTCCTAAACATGGCCTGAATAAATAGTGTAGTGACTAATATACTAAAAGTATATCTAATATCTATGGCGTGAGAATTAGTATCAAGATGTGTCTTAGATTGGATATGAGGGTCAGTGTACCGTGCGCCGAAAATGATTATCGTATGGGGATGAATTGGTGGATGAATGGGGGATAATGGGGGATGATCACGGTCAATATTTGCAATTCTGGTAACGGGTGATAAAAGAAATGTAGTATGTACACAGTAGTATGTACACTAAGGGCAGGGAGTATCCCAGAGAATCCAAGTACTTAAAGTTAGTACCTTACCTGTTACCAATGCGCATGCAGGTGAGACTTCCCACTATCACCAACTTTCCCGTTTTCTGGGCAGTTGCATGCGCAGGTACATATCGCCTAAACCATGTATGGTATAGACACATGCCCCACACCCTGCATCGGCTCCCCTTGCCTGCGTCTCTTTGCGCCGTCCATGCCAAGTTAGTAGGTACCGGTAGTATTATGTACTTCGCTCTAGGGAATTCTCCTGAAATCCATTTTCTTTTCTTGCCTACATCTTCCGCGCCCCCAAGATGCCTTACAGTACCTTACTCATACTTGCCCATACCTCGCCGCTAACCACATACTCATAAGCAGAAACGAAAAAACAAAAAAGTTTCAACTAATAACTAATACGTATGTGATCGCATACCATATCCGACGATTATGCATTTATAGTGTCCTACCAAGCTTGATCAGCGTCCTCCTCAGCCACGTCGCGCCGCTTGACGCCCTCCCCCGCCAATCCCAGTCGCAAACCCTTCCGATTACCATCTACCGACCAAGAATATGGACCAAGCAGACATACCGGCCTTGCTATCGCGGCTGGCGAGCGATGAAGATGCCGCGCGAAAAATGGCTGTTTTCAAGCTACAGTCCTCTATAAACGATCCATCCTTCGCCGATGTCTTTATCTCCTCCGGTGGCTTGATCGTCCTACGGCGTTTAATCATGAGCGCTGGCGGCAACACGCTCGCTTACTCACTACAAAGTCTAAGTCGATTACTGGAGGTGGATATGGGCTGGGATATCTTCGAGGGTCCAACGGCCCCAGACCTTGTCGAGCACGTTGTCGAACTCGTTGTCACGAATCCGCTGGTTAATATCCTTCGAGGTGCTATGTCCATTCTCGTTGCACTAGTCAGCCATTCGCAGTCCACATCTTCGGGAGGTCGCGCACCTGTAACGTTCGGATTTCGCGCATTGAAGCCGGCCGTTGCTGTCTACCCGCAATTTTTCGAACTCGTCATCCAGCAACTCCAGTCAGCAGACCACGCCCTGTGCGCTAACGCCCTCATGCTCATAAACGCACTGATAAGGGATGCTATATCGAGTGAGACTAACAGCGAAAACGGAAAATCAACCGGATCTGGGGAAGAGTGGCCTAAATTTATCCGAAGATTACAAGACCTGGGGTTGATTAAGGCGGTGTACAATCTGATGCAAAGTTCGGCTTTACAAGACCTTGCACACCCCCTGCTGGAGTTTCAGTCTCTTACTAAGGTACTGCTTCAGAGGTGGCGGCAAGTTCAGGTTGATGTTGAGAGACCGGAGCACAGGAGGGCTTTAAAAGGACTTCACCTTGCAAGTGCGCCAAATAGAGATCACGTCAATGGGATTGGGAAAATCGAGGAGCTGCAGCAGGATGCTGCCGGCAAGAGGACTAGTCGACGGCATAATCCTGAAAAATGGAGGAGACTAGGCTTTGAGACTGAGAGTCCAGCAACGGAGTTTGGGGCCGCAGGATTTCTTGGTCTCATGGATCTCGCTGATTTCGTGCGGAAGAATGAAGACGGGTTCCAAAAAATACTCCTCGAGCAGTCTACCAAACCACTCCACGAACGCTGTCCTGTTGCTAGATCTAGTTTAGCGGTCACCCTGATCTTATACGAGCATTTTGACTGCGATAAATCGGAGATGGAAGACCTGAGGGGGTACCAGCTGTCGGAAGCGAAGCATCAAGACAAATTATTTCGCCCGTTGCTCCTCCAGTGGTCTCGACTACATACAGGTGGCCTTAACGCGTTTTTTAAGATTTGGAAGTCTACCGGGGCGGAACAGGATGACTTCGAAAAGGTGTCGGAACTTGTCCGTATACTTGTCGACCAGGTTGTAGGACAGGCCAGTCGATCCAAAGACATAGCGGAGGCCGAGGAGGACCTAGTTGAATACGAATTTGGACGACTTCGTGAGCTACAGATGGAGCTCCTCGAGCTTTCGTTTGAAGACCAATGGGGCCAACATCTCTATAAGGTGCGAGAGAGTCTGAACCAAGAAGCTCTCACATTCATCAAGGAACAACGTGTCAGGTGCTTATTGGAAGGCTCCTGGTTTGCGAAGCCAGCGCCGCGAAAGAATAGTGAAAGTAACAACTTGGCCGCTCGCCGTGCAGCGAACGGCACTCTTTGGAGATATGCAAAGCTATCGCATAACCGCCGTTTTCTGCACTACGCAGATTTTGCGATGCGAACCACCCATGATCCTAGCCTGGAATCTCTTAGCGAGAAAGTGGACCTGCGAGAAGTCAGCTCTGTTGCGTCGAATGTCTCTGCACCGGCTAATGAGGCGACGACCGATGCGAACAACAGCACGAAGATTACGATATATGGTTATGCCGATCCCGAGGAAGCCCAAAAAGCCAAGGACCTTGATAACATCAAGGAAGTACCTTTGCTCACCCTACATCCGTTGAACCATAGTTTGGCATCGGAATGGTTGGACGGCTTCTTGATGCTTCTTGGCCAAGCGCCTATAACAGCGGACACCCAGAAGTTGATCAAGCTGGTTAGGGACTATGGCATGAAGATTCGGCTTCTCAACGTCCGAATGGAGGCTACTTATGCGGGGCCGCCAGAAGGTGCTGGTGCGGTGCCCAGCAGAGAGGAGCTTAATGATGATTATTGGTACGAGATTTAAGACTGACCTTTATAGCAAGAATGCGTGAAAAAAGGGCGACAATCAAAGTATTTAATACGATTGATGGTGGGTCGAGTAGCGAGAGGCGAATCAACAACTTCTCATGTAAATCTACAGTGTAGGAGACATGGACACGGCATTGTTACGATTAGGTATCTCCAAGCCAATGGGAGCTCGGAGAATGGCTCAAGGGGAGAGGCTATGGCGTATCGTACTGTCTGAGGATACCTACCACATTTTGTTTTCGCATACGCATACGCATACAAGATATACCCATGGCTGTGTTTTAGACTCAAGACTCGCTATTTTAACGAAACGAAAGAAATTATATGATTGATTGACGTACTTATCTGCCTATCTATGTACTATTTTGTGTTTTGTTTTTCTCCCTTGATTATTCGCAGTGCACTTTATGTTCATGTTCATGTTCATGTTCATGTTCATGTATATATCCATATGGATATGCCTCTATTCCGATAACTCACTCCAAACTTGAAGCGGGCATTTCCGAGCCCCACACGTCTTTCAGCCCAACAACCCAGCCACCAATAAATTCCACACTAAGCTGTTATTAGGGTTACCTAGTACTAGCTTACTAGGTACATATGTAAGCTACCCTATGCAGGTAACTAGGTAGTACCTTAGTATGTAACGGGCAGCTGAGATTAGAGATCCCCCCTTCAATGTTCTCCATCGTCTTTTAACCCATCCATTCTGTCGTCATTTGTTGCATAGCCAGTCTTAGATTCCAACAAGCTGAAACCTTGAGGTTAGGTCATAGAATGACTTTCCCCTTCTATGAATATATTGACCACAAAAAGCAAAAAGAGGCAAATATATAAATCATCCTTTACGTTATGTCGAGTACCATGCCAAACACACCTTCAAACAAGGTGCCACTAAACGGCCTCTTTCGAAACGGAGTTTGGTTATGTAAGTACTCTAGGGCAGCAGTAGGGCTACATGTAACAAACGGCCCCTTTGAACTCTAAGGTCTTAGCTATAAAGTCTTAGTTATAAAGTCTAAACCACCTAGACAGACACGTGCTAACTACTGTAGAACGACAAAGCTAATCAAGTTGGCAGGCAACTGCATTCCTCGCCTTCCTGCAATACAATTTACAGTCAGGAAGGAATCTCGTAACAAAGGCCGGTCGTTCTACACATGCCAGAAGGACAAGGGCAAGAAGAATCAATGCGAATTTTTCCTCTGGGCTGAGGATGCGCATTTTCGTGAGGTCGGCGCCGTCTTGACCAATTCGCGCAGTGAGTCGCAATGGACTCCCGGCCAGAGCGTCAAGAGACAAAGGACCCTGCATGAGAGCATCACCCCGAGCAAGAACAAAAGAAAGGGAAAGACCCCCGTCACTAGCATAGCCGAACTGGACCGCGTGCTCTCTACTGCTTCCTCCGCTACTGCTCAGAGCTCGACTGTAAAGGCTTCTTCCGGTTCGGCGAAGGAGAACTTTGATAGTTTGGAGGTGCTTTTCACTTCAGACGAGGAAGACAACGACGACGACGACGAAGAGTACAACGGCAAAAGCACCATGTCAAGTGCCAAGCCCACAACACGGCCAAGCGCAACACAGCAGCAGGAGAACACGCACTCGGTAGCAGGCTCTAAGAGAAAGCGATCGGACACCGACGAGTACAGCGACCTATCCTCCGGCGAAGAAGCGGCGCTCGCCTCCCTCGCCGACAGTTCTGCCAAGGCCAAAGGCAAAGCCCCGGACACCAAGCAGCACCACCGCAATGCCTTCGATGAGACGCCCACCACGGGAGGCAGGACGCAGCACGTCGTCGAAGACGGCCTCGCCACACCGCTTACCGACAAGCCCGTCCGCCGCGTCCTCTTCGCCGAGCCCGCAGTCACCACCAACAACCACCCGGACGCCAAACGACCCCGCGCCAACAACAACGACTTCGACCAGCCGCAACCAACCTCCCCCATCCCCTCCACGCTCTCCTTCTCGAAAGCAACCCCAACACCCACCCCCACCTCCTCGCAAGAATACTCCTCCCCCCTCCCCCTCCCCAACATCACCCAAGAAGTGATGTCTCTCCTCCTCGCCGCCGCCCCCCACCCCCGTCTCGACGAAACCCTCCTCCGCACCGTCCGCAGCGCCCTCGAGCGACACGCCGCGCGCGCAAAGGGGCTCGAGCGCGGCCGCGACGCCTCCCGCGACGCGGTTCGCAAGGCGGAGGCGCGTGCTGCCGAGCTCCAGCTAAGAGTCGCGGATCTGGAGAACCAGCGGCGCCTGGACGCCGAGGCGCGCGCGAGGATGCGCGCCGAGCTCGCGAAGCTGTACTGTGATAGCTAGGAGCTTTCGCGGGGTCTGGGCCGCGGGTTTGGGTCGGGAGATGAGGGTGATGAGGGAGATGAGGGAGATGAGGAAGATGAGGGGAACTAACCTGGGTTGGTAGGGAGTTACAAGGTCGGTGGTCCGAGGTTGGGACCACATGCTGCTACGTTGTTGTGTTTGGCTTAGACAGCCAGAGAGCTACCTACCTACCTACCTATCGTTGATACGTCTCATAAACGCTTGACTACTAGGCGCCTACCTACATAGGTGTCTACAGCAGGTTGGGAAGGTATGGGAAGGGAGTTGAGCTAGCTAGCTTGGTTGGTTGGTTCGGATTTTGCAACACAACACAACACAACACAAGGATACCCCCCTTTTGATTTTATTCTAGGCTAGGCACTTTAGGTATCTAGGTAATGGGAATTAGGAATGGTGGCATTGCTGTTACATATGTAGACAGGCAGGCAGGGACAGTAGGAGTTTACAAACTAGATACCATCCTTAATTGATTTTCTATGTCTAATCTTGATAGTCCCGCCAGTTGACTCAGTGTTTGAGTGCTCACTGTACGCGAGTTGATATCCTACTATGAAGTCCCTGTCATTGTGAATATTTTAGCCAATTTTTGCTTTTATTATTTATTTTGTTACCAATCTCCAGAGCCTGGTATATTGGAGCAAACGGGCGTGTTTAATCGAACGGTATGCGGCGTAACGAAGCTCCAGCGCCGTTCTTCCTTGCCGCTTGAGCTGCCGCGATGGCACTGGGAACCTTGATGCCACAGCAGTCACCCCAGCTATTGGCCGCGTGAACATGCTTCATCCCGTCGTGTTCGACGACTACTGCGCCCCCTTCAGCTTCATTCGCCTCGTCTGCCATGCCGATCTCGGCCTCGGTGCTCATGCCTTCCGCGGCAGGCACGAGTGAGCCGAACAAGAAGTGCTGCATTACCGGTAACTTTCGTAAAACTTCTGCTACGAACATCCGCCTCATACCGCCTTCTATCTTGGTCCAACTCTTGGCAGAGGATATATCGTCTAACATGGGACTATGCCACCGCAGGCCTTTAACGGTCTTGGTGCTATTGACGAATATCACCTGCCCAAGATACATAAAGTCGTGACCAAATTCCTCAAGCGTTAATTCCTGGTGGATGGCTAACGGTGTGATGAAGGGGTGGTGTAGAAGTTGGCTAGCACCAAATAAGAACGGGAGGAACTGGTAGTCATCCAAACCCCAGACACCATGTGAGCCGGCTGGTTCAAGATAATATGTCGACTGGATTGTCTGCATGAGCTCAAGGTAACGCACAAATACTTTGAGGACCAATGCTTTAAAGTCGGCCCGTTCTATGATCCGTAGTTGATATAGACATAGTAGCCATATCATGAAGTTCAGCTCGTGGCCTGAGCCGTAGTCTATTCGAGTCCGGTTACCGAATGAGTGGTTAAGATACGTCTCCACCTCAGAGATAGCAGCCTCAGAAGTTAAGCCTAGATTTTTATGCCATGAAGGACTGGCAGCTTGTACCTTGTCGAGAAAGGTGCGGAAGATCTTGTTACCGAACCTTGACCCCTCTGAATCGTCCGGCGGCGTAGCTTGAACTAGTGCTTCTGCTTCGTCTAGAATACGAAGAATAGACTTGACAACAGGACTACAGTCCTCATCTTTGACAGCGGAGATGGGGGTGTCTATCACGGCATCTGATAGGCCAAAGACAAATGCCACGACGAGCGTATGAGTTGGTGAGGAAAGGAAGAGCTCATGATCACGAGTAGATAAGATGCGCCGAGTAGGAACCTGGAATGAAAGGGATGAAGTATCTGGCGGAGGAGGTAGAGTAGGCGTTTCTGGTACTGGAAGAGGATTGGAAGGCTGAGGCCTCTTACGACGAGGCTCTAACTTGGGAATCTTGTCCTTCAGATTCGGTATCGTTGTGGAAGGTGGTTGTGTAGCCATGTCGTCCAAAGTATAAAGTTCGATCTAGGATTGTAGCTCCGTGAATATTGCTGATTGAAATTAGGTATTTTGAGTAAAAGCAATCTTAAGATTCAATGTTGGTTTATGTAAGATGAAGATGGGTTGATATAAAGAGCACTGTTTAGTTGTATGTACTAGGTAGTTAAAGAGTTCGCTGTATCGTATTACCTAGTACTAGGTTACATAACTATGGACATACATACAGGTTAGTTAGTAAGTTGCCCCTCCTCGAATAATGCCGTACATAACTATGTACCTATGTGTTGAACCTCAATAGATATAATTCAAGTAGCGGAGCGATGCAGATATCGATGCTAATAGCGGGGTATGCTCGTAGTGTACCTGACAGTGACAGTTAACTGAAAGCCCCACATGGATCCACTCGATACCTAATTGAGAAAGGAAAAAGTTGGATTCCATCGTCATCTCACCACTCCGAATTTCTTCGTCTACACCGATTACAGTCAAGAATAACTTCCGCAAAGCTTGTCCAAGATGACAATGAATACCGAGCCAGAGGCCCTTCTCTCTCATCTACCGAATTCCGATGGTTCTGCTACATTCTCGTTCGCAGGGTACACCGTGGTCGGGGCTGTAAATGGGCCCATCGAAGCGCAAAGACGAGACGAACTTCCAGAAGAGGCGGTTGTCGACGTGATCGTACGACCAGCTGCAGGGGTTGGAGGTTGGACTTCCTTTCAAAATTTCTCAAGTTTAGGTATTTAAACATTGCTGAACATCTCTTTGTAGGCACAAGGGAAAGGCATCTAGAGTCATTGATTCAATCTACGTTACGTCAAATTATCCTCGTCGACAATTTTCCGAGGACTCTTATCCAGATCGTCCTACAAGTTATTGCTACCCCAGAAAACGAATATGTAAACTCTAAGATTGTTCAGCCTGGTTCAGTGAGTTGCACACTTAGATCCAACACTTGGATTTAAACTTAAGAAGACGTAAATTATACTAATAGCATGTGTCGTTCTTCTAGAACCTACCTATACTACCCGCCCTCGTGCAAACAGCAGTGCTCTCTCTCCTCTCTGCTGCTTTACCGCTGACAACAACCTTGACCTCGACTTCCCTGGCCATTATCGCCGACGGCCAATCGAAGAAGATCGTCCCAAGCCCTTCACCACGTGAGATTCAAGCTTCGGAATCATTCCACGTTCTTTCGTTCACCTCACACGATGAGTTGATACTTGTGGAGAGTGAAGGACACTTCACCATGAAAGAATGGGATGATGTTTATACTGCTGCCCGACGTCAATGTTGTCCTTCGCCCTCCACGAATGATGGTGATACCGATATGGACGATGCTAACGTAGCTGGTGTAAACTGGAAGCAATTTACACGGTCTACCCTAGAAGCAAAGGTAGCTTCGGATTTACATTGGAAATGAGCAACGCCGCATCAAAGCTTGAATCCCATATTGCACATCAACGCGTGCTGCAAGTCGTACTGAGAGGATACACTATTGGCTAGACTCATGTGGTAGAATGCGCCAAGGTTCTGGTCTGGTTTCTGTGACATTTTCTGACTTTACGAGGGATATGTCAGGCCACTTCTCTCCACGTGGTGTTTGATGCTCCCGAACGGGACGCATTGCTTTGACAGCTAGGCATCATGGAAGATAATATTTGGGATCTTCTGCTAGGTATGGTGGATCGTTTTAGCAAATGGGGACCTCGTCTGGAATAAGACCGATCGGATGGGCCCTTTGGTGGACAAACGGGAAAAACGGCATGACTCCTTAACTAGTAAGCGAGCAACTGGATACGCCTTGCCAATAACTGCTTGCCAATGGCTTAACATAAGATGGATTTTGTTGACAATTTTGCTACAGGGCCGCATTTGAGACCCTGCCGAATCTTGAAGGCGACGTTTCATTCCGAGTGCAGCGCCCGCAAACAGCCACTACGCGCTTATATGGCAATATGCCAGTTACAACTTACACGAGATCTTATGGCAAACCTGTTCAAAAATCAAAAATTCGTTATGATCCAATGGAGATGGTCAGCGGTAGAGTGGCGGTTGATGATGATTTCTAGATGTGTGATCTTCGCAGGGGGGGGGCGTTTTGGTCGACAAAGTTCCAGACGCAGGATTATTCCTCAAGTGTCAAATAAGGCCTGGGAGAGCTCAAAACATTTAGGAATTATGCGGTTTCGCTTGCAGGACGCAAGCAGGAGATCAAGGAGATCCAGGAGAGTGTTGAGTCTCCGTCAAAATCCAAATCCAAATCGATTAACCAATCAATTTGGAGAAAGAGGTATTAAACCCCCACATATTTTAGCTAAGACTCTAAGAGCCATGGTGAGCGTTCTCGCTTTGGTGGGAAGGTTAAAAAGATGAGACGAGTCTATTCCCCTTAAGAATCCATCGCCACATCACCCCTGTTCGGGGGCTCCAACGTGAGACTACACCCTACAGATTCTGTTAGGGAAAACAGGAGAAGTTGCTAATAGTGGTGGGTCAAACCAACATCCACGTACTCTCGGTCTTCCTTATTCACGATCTTTTAGATACAGTGTACTATGCAGTACAGAAATCTACGCCGACGGCAATCGATTTCGGTTCCTATTGCCATACCTAGGAAATATTCCCTGCCTATGTAACTTCAACGTTACCATCTACAACATAGTATGTACCTTATTTATTTGTAGGTTTGTGTGTATCCATAGCTCTGGAGGTATGTAGGTACTTACTTGAGGCTTCATTACTACATACATAGTACTATGTAATAGTAAGACCTTCAGCTACTAGGTACCAAGCTCCACCTAGCTGCTACTCTACGGTCCATGCACGGGGTTATTGAGCTCTATGATGTACCTACTAGGACCTACTACGCGCTCAAGCAATCTCCACACTTGGTCCTCGATCTTTACCTCTACCTTAAGGTAAACGATATATTTTATCTCTTAATAAGTAAGTCGGCTGCAGTGAACTTTTCAAGCGTCCCGTCTAACTGGATCTTCAGTCACCCAGACCCAAGCCTTTTCTCCTTCTTCCGGTTGTTTGTGAAAGCAGCAAAGCAGAGCTCTGGAAGTTCTTGCAAAACAGACCTTTATAGTCTTTTGCATCTTTGATTTATCTCCAGCCTGGCTGCTTGTTAACCTTCGTTTCTCCTTACCCATTTAATACACATTGTGGAAAGCTCGAATTCGAGTTCGTATCCATATATCTTAACTTAATAGGCTTGTCGCAAGATCCCGACATCTCGTTGCTCTGTCGACTAATACGAGCGTCTTTAATATCGCCTCGCAACTCTTGAACTGGACACTTCTCACGATCGCTCTTTTCGACAAGTTGACCTGGCCACGGTTACTTAATAGATCCTTCTAAAAATAACTCGAATATTCCATCTAATTATCCAATCGAGCGGGTCCTCACGTTGTCCGGAATTCAATCATCTGCACGACACAAGCCAAGACAGCTTCATAGCCAATTCAAGACCCTCGGGAATTTGCCGTTGTGACGAAATTGTGATTGATTCTCCATCGATCTATATCACGGGACTAGCGTGCCACTTTGGAACAGCATTGTGTAAGTTTCCTCCCATGTGATAATTTGTGATTTGCTTGGAGGTGGGATGGAAGGGGTGGCATTTCTCGGACATGCTTTCAAGTTTCGCGGGCATAGCTTCTAGTTATGTTAAGCGACACTAAACTAAACTTTATGTGGACGGTGTTTTTCTGCTCCATGTGCTTACATGTGTCTGCTATCTGCATCTGCTTATGTTTATTATTTGCTGGCATCATCTAAATTAGAAGTCAAGCTGACAAGCCCTCTAATCTAGGCACCTACGATATTACCTCGATATTACCTAGTAACATAACTTTGGTAATTCGAAGTGATTCGAAGACAAAGCTGAACGGACTTAAGATTCGGAGGTTACCTCTTGTGCATCTCCCGCATCTCCCGCATCTCCCGCATCTTCTGCTGCAAGCAAAAGCAGTTTCGGAAATACCAGATTGGGTGGAATCCGTTGTGGAATCCGCTGTTACCTACAAGCCTAGTCACTTCGGAATCGGGACTCTTTGTTGAACCCGTTTAACTACTTTCGCTTAGTTTAATGCTAGGGTGCCTAGGATTAATTAAGTGGAAATATGTCTAACTTTAGTTTAGTGGGGTCTCCAACAATAGGATCAGTGGGATCAATGGGGGTACATCCAGCGCTCAGCGAAGAAGCAGCACCTAACGGAGGGGGTGTTAATGTCGGCCCAGTTACTAAGACTTCGTCACTTGCATTTCCAGATCAGCAATCCAAATCGCCCACAAACTCCGACCCTGCGCCGCCCTTTTCTTCTTCTTCTTCCAACCATTCCAGCAATTCCAACAACTCCAACAATTCAAATCAGCCTTCCATCTGCAATGCTGACCGTGACGATTCCTACTCAGAGCCACCTGCTCTAGCCCTGAAAAACTCGGAGAACCCGCCCAAGAATCAGTTTCGCACCCATCACAAGAACGCACCCTCGGTCGAATCTATCCCGCGCCAGACTCTTATGAAGGCTCTGGCCTCTGTCGCACGAAATAATAAACCAGAGGCTCTATCACTGAACGGAATGTTATCCGCCAGCTCAGCGGTCGATAAGCGACCTGGCAATCCGGCTTCGTCCCAACAACTCTCCGAAGCCCTTTCTGAACTTGCCGCCCGCAACATGACACCGACTACTGCGTTCCCCTCCCTTCAATCGCCCTGCTTCTACCACAACCGATTTGACGATGCAGTTGACATAGAGAAGGTCCTCGAGGAGATCAAGAATGATGAATGGATGTCTCACTCAAGACTTGTGCAGACCGCTACTGGCGTCCGCGAAGTCTCGAAGCAGTTGCAGCGCCGACCCATCCGCCGGGCTGTGCGCAGCGTCATGATTGTTACCAAGGCCCGTGACAATGAACTGGTTTACCTAACTAGGGAATTGACCATGTGGCTGCTCAGAACCCCTCGATACGGTTCCGACATTGGCGTCAACGTCTACGTAGATGCTAAGTTACGCAACTCGAAACGCTTTGGCGCATCTAGTATCGTGGACGAGGATCCCCGTTTTCAATCCATGCTTCGCTATTGGTCTCCAGACCTTTGCTGGAGTTCACCGGAGAAGTTTGATCTCGTCTTGACACTGGGAGGCGATGGGACGGTTTTGTTCACCTCTTGGCTTTTCCAACGGATCGTCCCTCCTGTCCTGTCTTTCAGCTTGGGCAGCCTTGGCTTTTTGACTACTTTCGAGTTTGAGAAGTACAAGCAGCACCTCAACCGAGTTATGGGCGAGGAAGGCATGCGCGTGAACCTTCGCATGAGGTTTACGTGCACCGTCTTCCGAAACGGCGCCTCTGGCCAAGAAATGGAGGAAGGAGAGCAATTCGAAGTTCTCAACGAACTTGTCATCGACCGCGGCCCGTCCCCTTACGTCTCCAACCTAGAGCTCTATGGCGACAATGAACTGTTGACCGTAGTGCAAGCCGACGGCTGCATTTTCTCCACGCCGACTGGATCTACGGCTTACTCTCTTTCCGCCGGCGGCTCTTTGGTCAGTCCGGAGCTGCCCGCCATTCTCCTTACTCCCATTTGCCCGCATACGTTGTCCTTCCGCCCAATGGTGCTTAGCGATACCATGCTCCTCCGGGTTTCCATCCCACGCAACTCGCGCGCCACAGCCTACTGTGCGTTCGACGGAAAGGGCAGGGTAGAGCTGAAGCAGGGCGATTGTGTGACGATTACCGCATCTCAGTACCCATTCCCCACTGTGATGCGTAATGGAACCGAATGGTTTGACAGCGTCTCGCGCACGCTTCAGTGGAACACGCGAGCTGCTACCCAGAAGGGCTTTGATGGTAAGCCGGCCGGCCCATCGGGCGACGGAGAGGAGGAGCCGGAATGGGATATCGATACCGATTCGGCTTATTACGCAAGCGAGGATGGCAGCACCAGTGCGAGTCCCTTACGAAGACAGATGAGCCTTTTAGGCATGTAGAGCATAGATTTAGAATCAGAGTCCATGGACTGAGATTAGATACCTACGAAGTACATACTTCTGATAGTCCCCTGCGCACGGGACAGGAGGATCCAGGTTATTTCTTGATACACCCCACGAGGAGTTCGTCGGCGTTGAGCTAAGACTTTATTTTTATCTTTTAGAGGGCAACGAGGGCCATCTCTCTTTACGAGTGGCATCACGGTTCATTATATTGGGTATTGTCGACCTGAGACAGCCCCTAGAGTTCGCGAGCACTGTCCTTACATCGCCAGTCCCAACGGTGGCGACTATATAGACTAGTACGAAATTAAGATTCATATGTGGTCTCTAATTATTTGATCAAAGTCATCGTGAACTATGTAGTTTAAGGTGTAGCCAAGCCAATTTTATGCCCAATTCTAGACTACTACCTAAGCATGTATTCTACTGTATGGTGTGAGTGTTGAAGGTGTAGACGGTACATATCTCGGTTCAAGACGTGACGTTGAAATTAAGTCGGAAACTCTTGTGATCCTTATATAATGATGTCTAGTATATTAGACAATAGGCTAAATGTCTGTGCCGTATAGGAAGGATTTATCTAATCTATAGGTACATACAAAGTAGGTAAATGTTTATTTATAGTAGTACTAGGTATAGTACCTATAATTATATGAATGCCTGTCGAGCACCTACTACATATATTTCAAAGTCGTTAATGTTAGCTTCTAGTTACTACCTGGGCACTTATAAAGTAGGTATCTGAGCTGGTATGTAGGTAAGTACCTACATGGCTTAAAGAAGGCTTCATAGTTTTGAGGGCAAAGATGCAGTCACTATCGTATATCATATTTGTTTATCAACAGCTCTTTATACTCCCTTTTCAAGATGATACTACACTTTACTACCATGGTACCACCTAGTAAGTACTTACTACCTCACTACATCTCACCTTCATGACTAAGCCCTCCACCCCCGGACTGAAGTATCCCGCACATATCACACCTAGTACATGCTGGAATGTTTTATCCATGAAGGGGGGGGGACAGACTTGGTCGACCGAGCTTCTCAAGCGCGCCTGAGAGGGGAGGGGGCTTTCGCCGACGACGTCAGGGATATGGAGACCACGGGGGAAGAAAAAGATAGAGACCCTGCCGCCAAGACGTGAATAGTTCGTCGTCGATGTTGAGTTAACCCTGGTCCAGGCCATACGTGGCGGCAGTGCTGTCAAATGGGGCCATGGTTTTTTGGGTGGCCGGGTGGGCGAACATAGTACGTATGCGGCTCAAGATTTGATGAGTGGGGTTGTGTGATAGTTATCTGGAAAGAATTGTAAGTGGTAACTATCTGCATACTACAGTAAAAATGCGTATGTGATTGTGTCCATGAATATGTTATTCATAGCATGTTTTGATTATTTACTACCTAGTACCTACTAGTAGTATATACCTACCTAGTACATATATAGTACTACATAGTAGATTTGTGAATAATATACCCGCACACTTGCTTACATCATTTTCAATGAAGCTTTGTGAATGAACATTGAAGTTTTATTGGGTAGCGTTACCTGTTTTGGTTCTTTTAATGAAGCGTCCCTCCTCAATTGCGTCAAACCAACATTTGAAATGCCAATTAGATTATTTAATTATTATCTTATCATAATTCCAAAGGTTGGTTATATGTACATATGTAATTATGGTATACATACATCAAAAATATCGAAATGTCCAGCCACTCATTTATTTATTTGTTTTTTTTCTTCTTTCTCTTCTTCCTTGTATTGGAAGCTAACATTAGCTTAGATTCCACGTTGAATAGGCGGTGTTTTTGATGTCACGCCTTTAAGTAAATAAGTTACCCTTTTCGGAAAACGGACGACGCGATGGAAGTTATGATTGGACAATTAAGCAAGTGGCCCGAGCTCCTTGCGTTAGATAAGTAATTCAAGACCGCGTCTTGATTGCTAGATTGCCAAATTACCTACAAGGTACTACTAGTAGTACAGAGAACTTGACACGCCAAAAAGAAAGTCCCCACTATGATCTACCCAGGTACTCCAACATCTCAAGAGCTATCTCAACTTCTCTTTTTCCCTCTCTCTCAACTCCAACTCTTCCTTCCAACTAAAAATTCTAGAAATTCAACTACGTCGGGAACCATAAAAAAGTTTGACGACTTTGTCTCTCGTTGTAACTCCTGTCCTTCTTTTTACCCTTACTCTCACTCACTCCTACCAATATCGCGTGTTATATGTGTGTATAGAAATGCATTATTAGCAACCCACTATGTTACCGTCTACCGCGTCACCATCTCCCACCACTATGGCACCCACCCACGATATTCATGAAAGCCGAAGGTCTTTTAGCTCCCAATGCAGCAGCAATCCAGACACATCTGCCATATCCTTCGAGTCTTCTTTCAGATTGGAATCTGGTTATCCAACTCACGACTCTAGCACTGAAAAACATCCTAAGGGCAAGCGGAAGAGAACCACGTGTGTACCCATAGACAGGCCCCCTCAATGCCCCATACTATCCATACTATTGCATTTACTAAATGTATTCCCTTGTCATTTTCGTCTAGAACCCAGGATAAAGCTATCCTCGAGGCCGCGTATAACGCCAACCCGAAACCCGATAAAGCAGCGCGTCTCGATATCGTGAGTCGCGTCTCACTTAACGAGAAGGAAGTTCAGGTCAGTTTAGTCTACTTGTTGGGTCAAGGATGTTCTTAGCTCCTGATTGATGGCCGCGTTTTGTTTGTTCAATTGGGTCTAATGTTCAGTATAGATCTGGTTCCAGAACCGTCGACAAAATGACCGACGGAAATCACGTCCTCTTTCGCCGCAAGAGATTGCGGCACTCAGATATGGTGGTGGCGTGCAGATCCTGTCCTCCGACCCTGTACCTACACCAATAAGTACATCGAATGAAGTCAGTCTGCTAGAGGATACGCGTGCTGCAAGTGAGAAGGCTCCTGGCATGGAGAAACTACCTCTCAGCTTCCAGGACGCGATATCCGAACACTCTTTATCCTCTTCTCCAACGTCGAGTAATGAGGATCATCTCGCAGCCGATAGATCGCCGGTTCCGGAACCTGAGGGTTCTCAGAAGGGCACACCAACATCGTCGCAGAAATCTGATGTCGAAAATCACCCTTTCCCTCTAACCGCGTCAACGCCAGTCGCTTATTTGTCAAATCGACGAAGTCTAGAAAATTCCTTCACAACCCCCTCTACGCTGGGGCGAGCTGGTGATGATTCGTTTAGGTATACACCACCCCTCCCCTTCCATGGCCCAAAAATGAGTACTAATCAATGCCTATAAGATTCGGATCATTCTCATCTTCTTTCAACTCGGCCGCCAGCAGCTCCCCGGCGTCTGTTCTCCCCTTACCTTCATCGGCGTCGTCACAGGTTCGCTTGTCTCTCTCCTTGGATGGAAAAGCCGAGTTAGTTGCTTCGCAGCCATCCCCACCACGCCAGGCGCAGTCACAGATGCAAGGCGACGCAGACACGTTGCCTCCAGTTCGTGCCAACCGGACTCTTCATAGGAGTCGGAGTGCCCTTCCCGGCATCACGCTGCCGCCCATCTCGACTCTTACTGCTCATCTCCCGCCTCAGCTTAGCCGCGGTCGTTCACGGGACGTCCACGCGTGGGAATCGTGCTGCGAGGCAGATTCGCGGGACGAGCTGACGAAACTAGCTGAGAATGAATCCTCTGGATCCGCAGTTGCTGCCATTAGCCTCTTGCGTTCCAGCAGCAGCTCTTCCAGTCTCAGCAACCTATTCCACAACCATAATAGCGCCATAAATGTGCTACAGTCCAACCCCAACAAGCGTAATGCACCGCAAAATAAGGCTTCACATCGTGAGGGAACGACTAAGAAGGCCAAGCTTGGCCGGGCCACTAGCAGCATAGCACGCATGCAGAGCCTACCTCCGGCGCCATTACTGGATACGCGAAAGGAAACACCGGAACCAGAAAAGAAATCGGGAAAGGGTAGTCTGTCCGTTATCTTGAGTCCTACAGGCGGAGACTCGGACAAGGAGAATTGGAGTCCAAAGGAGAACTGGAGTCCAGATGAGGAAGGCAATCAGCAACAACAAAATCCCCGCCGACGACCACTACCATCCCCTAAGATCCCAGCGCAGGTTATACCGAGCAAGAACCCTCGTCGCGTTGGCCGTGTGCTCGGCGAGCAGGATAGCACGACTAAGCGTTCTCTACTCTTCGGAAGCAGGGCAAATACAGCACCCTCTTCACGGCCACGAGATGCTCCATTATCAATATTTGAGGATAAAGAAAACGGTAGTGTGCATGGGAGCACGAAGGGTGATGACCAGGAAGTTGAGCAGTTCATGCAAGGCCATGTCAGTCCCAGTAAGCGTGGGGATATGGATTGCGTTGCTGGATTGCTGTCTCTTAGCCAGGGAAACTGGCGCTGAAGAAAGCGGAATAAAAAGAAGCGAAGGCTTGACAAGTCTTGAATGAAAGGTTTCGTCAGATGGATAACCTACCTAACTACCCTAGGTAGTTTAGATTTTGCAACAAAGTCTAGTCCTCTACCTAGACTACTATACTATTAGTTTTCGCCATGACCTTTGTCGTGGCATCTGCTATCTACCTACCTACCTACCTACCTACCTTTCTCTACCCTACTGTACTTATCCATGGATGCAGGGGACATGTAAAACGGTCCATGCGAACTTACTACTAGGTAGGTTCATCATAACTCTCACGTGGATTCGGACAATTGGCGTTGCTGTTTTTCTCTTTTTTTCTTCTTTTTTATGGAAACAAAAAAGGGAAAGGGTTTTTATTAGGCTTGGTGGCGAAGGGTTTTATTATTTAAGGAGGGGAAAAAGTGTGCTGGACGTTTATTTTATTGTGTTTCTGTTGTTGTTGTTGTTTGTTTGTTTCGTTGTTGTCTGGTTCCCAATCAGCCTGCCAATCCATCTATCCATCTTTCCATCTATCAAACAATGGTAAAAATGGTTAATGGTGGCGAGGTTGGCTGGCTGGCTGACTGGCTAGCGGAATAAGGGGGGAAGCGGGAGAGGAAAGGAAAGGAAGGGAAAGGAGGGTTGGCGTATTTTACGTAACGATTTGATTTGTTTGTTCATATATCAAAAAGCCATCCATCCATCCATCCATCCACCTGATCCATCATGTCATTCTACCTACCCAGGTTATGTAAACTCCCATATCATCTACCATCTACCATCTCCAATCTCCATCCAATCCTTCATGCTTTTCTATCTTCGTAGGTGTTGAATACCTGCCACCTGCCTTACAAAAAATAGGGGGATAGATATGAAGAGCTTCCCGCTGTTTAGTCTACCTGTTGGCAATTCTTCCCTACTGTAGTATATGCATATTTAAACCTCTCTGGTTTCTACCTTGACTTATATTGACCGCGTGGCGTATTCGAGTATACCTATGAGACGGAATGATCGACAATGGACGACCAAGGTTACGTGGGGAAGGGCACTCGTTCTCGTGATGGTATCTCATGTAATTCATAAATGTACAAAATAATGCGGGCGATCCAATTGTCCTAGATGCGCGAACAATATACCGTTGTTACCCTCCGCCGAAATCCCATTCCTGTTTCTATCACCGCCGATAGGATCTGTTCCTTGAGCCTTTATCTCCTACAACCCTGAGAGCACGCTCTGGACGCCTAGGCTCTTCGCATCGTCCCTGCTCTGGATGAAGGCCTTGAAGTCGGCCTTGAGAAGCTTCTTGGTAGAGGAGCCGCCACCTGTAGCCAGGTTACGAGAACGCTCACGGAGCGCCTCGGGACCGATGATGAACAAGTAACCAATCTCGGTGAGTAGCTCGACGGCGGCTTCAACGTCCTTAGATAGGGGCCACTCTTTAAGAGTTGCTACATACTTGGCGATATCCTTCGTCACCATGAGGCCACCTGTAGCGTTGACCTTGAACTTCTTAAAGTGTTCAAACAACAACCGTTGAATTTCGAGCGCTAGCTCGCTACTGAACACCTCCAGGTTCGTGCCGTCCACTGCTTGGCTGATGAGTTTCGTACCTTTGGACAGAAATAGGCAGATCGAAGTACAGGTTGCTGTCTGTAGGGACTCGATAATAGAAAATTCATCCTTTGGCAGGAAATCGAGTTTCTTCTGATTGGCTAGTGACTTGGCAACCCAGTTGACGATAACATCCACCGTGCTCTTCATGATGCTACCAGCTTTTCTCTCGATACTCTCGATTCCCATCTTGGACTGCGCCTCCATACTCCTCCTCACTGTGGTATTGGATTCGGCAAGGCGAATCAGCACAGTGGTTATGAAGCGGTTCATCATGCTACCAATTGTTACAGCTGGTCGAACCGAAGGCAGATAGTTGAGATCTGGTTCTGTCTTCGCATTTTCTTGAGATGTAGCCTTCTCCAGCGCAGCCTCCAATGCGGTCTCGACATAGACTTGGCCCATGTTCGTTAATAAAAGATTGAGAAGTACAGCGACATCCTTGGGGGTTTCGCTCTGGCTTCCCAGTTCTAGCGTTCGCCGAACGCTCTCGGCAAGCCAGGTCAGCATTCTTTTAGCAGTAGCTGTACTCAAAACACCTTCTAATTCTGAAACCTCGATCTCATTCTTGTTTTTGTCCGTTTCCTGGACACCGGCAACTCTCAACATCATGGCTTTCTGCGTTTCTGTAAGATCGGCTGACTCAAGCCGCTCTAGATACGCGTCCTTAGCCGATGCCATGAGCTGGTTGGTCTGTTGGGCTAACGAAGCCATGAATCCGGTCGGTGCCTTTTTCCTTCTGGAATGATAGATGTTGTATTTGAAGAGTAGCGAGTTAAACAACTCTTCTAAGCTCCTCTTCTCACGTTCAATATAAGAATTGCCCATAATGTACGGAATAAACAGTTCCTCCATCTGCTGGTCGAGTGTCTGTGATATCTGGGGTGAACATGGCTCTGGGTGTTCTGTAAGGCCATGAGTCTTCAAATCTTCGATAAGCGCACCAATATAACTTCTTGAAGCGTGGAGGGACCGAAGAAAGGCCAATGATGAAATGGTATTAGCCTTCTCTAGCACCACCTCTAACCGTTGTTGTATTGACTGTTGGAATACCCGCTGTATGAACTTGATCAAAACAGTTTCATAGTACGGGAAAGCCCTCTTGATGATGAAAGACTCTTCCTGCATGATAATCTTGACCTCGTCAACCAGTGATTGAAGACTAGGCTCAACACCTGGTGGCTCAGAGTCGGGGTCGGCTAGCTGGTCCCAGGTCTCTCCATCCATAGTTACTTCATCCGTGATGAGCTGGTCTCTGTCAATGAAAAACTGATGTTGGTTGACGAAGACAGCGACCACGCTGGAACCTCCGTTGAAATCGTATAGAACCTTGGCACATTCTCTCATGTCGTCAAAGTTCTGCTTGCGGTAGCTGTTGTTGAATTGCTGTAGCAGGTCTTTCTCCAGCGTCTCACAGAACTTTTCCAGTATCTCTCGTGTATTGAATCTTCTCTCAACAACCTCCTTATCACCGTTGGTGTTACCATTGCGGTGATACCCGTTAGACTGTCCCCAAGAAATGGGATCCAATCTTTGACTGATGCGCATCAATTGGTGGGCAATACTGGCACATCTGACTTTGTTCTCGGCACCGCCTTGACGCTGGATATCGTCCAAGGATGTGAGCTCGCCCGTTTCACTAACTTGGAGCCAGCATTGTATGAGAAAGTTGGCATCCAGGGCCCGCCTGCGTTTCCTATCCAACTCCTCGAGCTTCTCTCCTATCTGGACGGCTATGTTGCCACCCGCCTCGCCACGACTGCTTCGCTCGCCACCGTTGGAATTTCCGTTAGGGTTATTTAGGGTGAGGTCCAAAGCTTCAAACTGGTCAATGGATTGGTCTAGTTTACGACCGAGAGTATCGATGGTTTGATCATGTTGAATTTCGGCGCGGCGGACCTGTGACGAAAGATCTGACTCCTTGGCTTGTAACTCCTCGGATAGGTTCCCGAGACCTTGTAGTGCGTCTAAATAGGGGGGAACGTTAACATATACGGTTGAGGTTAGCAAAAGGGAGGAAGATGCTAGGCCATACTCTCAAAGGTTCGAATCAAGGGTTTCGGATCGAAAGGTTGCTGAGCAACACCAGAGCGACGATTTAAGGACACGGCATTTTCGGCAAGGTCGTCTACAAAGTCTCGGACTATGAAGTCCTTACTAGAGAAGTCTTCGACAGTAAAGCTGGGACCTTTTGGGAACAAGGCTCGCGAAACGGAGCTCGCCCGGTCCATTGCATCAGGCATCGATAGGGATGTTGTCCTGAGACATGAGGAGTGGGGAGTGGGGAGTTGTTAATATGTAGTTGAGGAAAGCTTCGATCCGCGAAGCAATTGCAACTGCTTGTGAATAAAATAATTTGAGTTGGGATGTAAAAGTAAATGCAAGAATTATACAGTAGTTTTGTTCGTTGATGCTGCTAAGATCAATGATGGATGCGACAGCCGTTACAGAATAGGTACTAGATTGGATTGGAATACAGGGGTGTCAATCACATTTCAAAGTACTACTTACGGCTACGTATCCAGCTACGTATCTACGTATCTAGCTAAGTTAGATTACGTCTTATCGGGTATCAATATTCTACAAAGCAGTAGTTACATAAGTTAACTAACTATTAATCCCAGTCTCCAGCTGATATGCCCTGGCCTGTCGCCGCTTATTTTTATTACATGTAACTAACTACATACTCCATACATCTGAACAGCTACATGTAATCCAAGAAACAAAATCAATCCTAATTCATACCTTCCAAGCCTACTTCATTGCGCGTCACAACGCGAGTTTCGTTTTTAAAAGTCGAGGCTATGCAAACAGTCATCACTTAAATTCACCCTTTTACTTTTGTCCTTTAGTATTCTATTCTATTCTATTCCGATTCCTATTCTTAACTATTTCCTATTCTTTCTTCTTTTCGTTTCTTAGGCTGTTGCGTCCGTTCTGGCAACCGACATCAATTACGTCAACCATGTCCTTCACCTCCAGGGATACCAAGCTATATCGAGAAGATGAGAAGGCCGGGCACAAAACCCTCGACGTGAAAGAACGAGAAAAGCTTGTCCGAGTAAGTACCGTCAAGGCTAGAGGACTATTTAACTTTAACACCGCATCTTTACTATATCCAAGCACTACATGAACACGAGAAGCTTGAAGCTAACAGCTACATATTTGCTCATTTATAGAACTATCTACCAGCTCCACCAAAACGCACCTCAAGTCGCAGTCATAGTCGCAAGAGGAAGCATGAAAAATCCCATTTTGGCATTAGGAAATTCCTTAGATCCCAACTCTACCTTCTCCTGTACATCTTCGTACACGCAATCTTCTCCGTTTATGTCCGAATCCGCATAGCCTATCATGCTGTGTCACTCCGAGTTCTCTCCATACTCAAGTATCACCACAACACTCCAGACTATGTCCGAAGAGACGTCAGCACCCTGAAAAGACTACCTCGACATGTCAGCATAATCTTGACCTTGGAGGATGGTGGGAGAGCAGGAGATGCATTGGAGAAACTCGTCAATGAAGCTTCTGAAGTAGCTGCATGGTGCGCTTCCGCCGGCATTCCTCGATTATCCATATACGAGAGGACAGGTAGGTGGCTATTCAAAGAAAGAGAAATCATGTTTCAAATGCAGAGAAACTAACGTGTACACAGGAGTGCTTAAGCGCTACATGCCTCAGATGCATCGTGCCTTACTACAAAGACTCAAGGCTTGGTTTGGGAAAGGTCAAGCACCACCACTTTCCCTCTCTAGTCGCGGAGCGTCCACTATTCACCCTTCCAACCGAGAATACTTGCCTCACGACTACGTACCGTTGGACGTTGTACTCATCTCGGAAGAAGATGGCCGAGAGGCAATGGTTGACCTTACCAGAGTTTTAGTTCAGATGGTTCAGAAGGAGAAAATATCGGCCAATGACATCACAATAGATGTCCTAGACAATGAACTATCCGAGGCCGTCATGCAGGAGCCGGATCTACTCATCTCGTTCGAGCCCTATGTCGACTTGCAGGGATATCCACCGTGGCCGATCCGCTTAACCGAGATATACTGCGCACCCGACAATGAAGGCGTCGGATACCAGGTATTCCTACGAGGACTACGAAAGTACACGGAAGCAACGTTCAAGCTAGGAAAGTAATCGGCTAGAGAGATGAGCCTACATAATTTCTACAGAGTGCCCCTTAGCTTGCGATTGCTGTAATCAATAGACGCTTGATTGTCACAATTGTAGGTCTTTCCCACTCTTTTCATTGTAGTCCACATTGTCGTGACGTTGATATAGCGGACCATACGTATACTCGGGCATACGGTCATAAAAACAAAAGGATTCAGGTTAATGTTATGGGCTAGGCATATTGCCTAGTGTCTGGGAAGTGTGTAAACAGGGTAATCTAGGGATACATAGTATCTAGGTTTAAAAGGAAGAACTTCATATTATCTACATGTATATTGATACCCATATAGGAGAAGATTTAGATTTCAGGATCCAGGATAGTATAAAAATGATTAATGTGCATTTTAGTTATCAGAGTTAGAATTATGTATGGTTGAAGCTGGGAGTAACTCGGTCCGTACAGATGATAACCCTGGGAAGAGATATTAGAATTGAGTGTCCATTTCATTGCTGAGTAAATTATAGGAAAGACTCAACACCAGATTCATATAGTATCTACATAAGTTATATTCCCCAGGTAAAACCTCAGCCTACCATGAGACATTTCCTTAGTAACCATAGCCCCCCCTTGGTCAATGTTTGGTAACAAGAGAATATATAATATCGCTAGCAACTTGAATTTGACTCCTGATTTCACAAATAACCTTTAGTATTATGTACTTGGATACATACTACATACATACCTGTGTAACCAGTAACAAACCTCTCTCAGCCTTCCGCCTGATATGACGCCATGGAGTGTTAGTGTTACAATCATCTACCTATTACATAGTACTACTATTATTTTTAGCGCAAAGCTAATCCCTGTCACAAATTTTGCAGATCTCTGGATAGGTGCATGAGACTCTTCTAAGTTCTTCCGCACAAACCAGTGAGGGTACGCTTTTAAGGTACTATTAGTTTATTATATGTATGCTACCGGAAAAAAAAATCGGATCACGAACACCGTCGCCGGGTGCTCACTAACAGAAGCTTCATGCCATGTCGGTATGCGAATCCCCAGTCATTTGTTCATGAGTTCTTAACATTAGGTTGTCTGGTATTAGTTTCTTGTATCTTACATAGTAACTTACCTCTTACCATCTGAAGAACCTCGGAGCCGAGGACACCGATAACGATATGAGTGTAATCCGCCCCCCCGTGATCCGCTCGGCGCTCGGCGTGTTGGATCGCTCGCTCTTCTCCAAGTTGATCAATCTCTCCGCTGCCGCCATTGCAGATAAGAAGAACATCTCGGTCTGGAAGCAGAAGCTGCAGAAGGACTGCACGCTCCTGGTCCAGGACAGGATTCCCGGCGTGGTGCCTCACCCGGATGAGGACCTCGCGGCGAAGGGCACGAAATGTCTATTACTCGACCCCAAGATTAAAGCTGGAGGTAATGCTGATGCTGACGCTGAGCGGGACACTCCCGCTGTTGTATTGAATTTCTTTAAGCAAAATAATAAATGTATTAATACTATTCGCAGTGCCCGAAACATGGACTCCGACTATCAACGAGGGCGTAGCTAGTAAGGAGATAGGGGTAATCCCCTATGTCTTGCCACTAACCTACGATTACTGGTCCTACGGTAATTGCTTATGCCACTAGGCTACGATTTAACAGTATATCAATTAACTCATCGTATAGAGGATGTAATGAGATCGCTGCTCCCCCCAGATCTACGTGATGAGCATGACGGTATTCCCACGGGCTTCAACCAGGCGGGACATGTCGCGCACTTGAATCTAAGAGAGAAGTTTTTACCTTATAAGAAGCTAATCGCCAAGGTTTTGCTCGATAAGAACCCATCAGTGAAGACGGTCATTAATAAGATCGCTGACGTGGGCAACGAGTCCGAGTTTCGGACATTCGCCTACGAGGTCCTGGCCGGGCCCGACGATCTAGAAGTCGAGGCTAGAGAGAACGACTGTAGCTTCAAGTTCAACTATGCCAAGGTGTATTGGAATGGAAAACTAGAAGGCGAGCACAGTCGACTGATCAAACTGTTCAAACCAGGTGAGGTTGTGTGCGATGTAATGGCCGGAATTGGGCCGTTCGCGGTGCCGGCCGGTAGGAAGGGCGTGTTTGTCTGGGCCAACGATTACAACCCAGAGAGCTATGCCTCGCTTGCGCAGAACATCACCCGGAACAAAGTAGGTGGAGAGAGAGAGAAGAGAGAGAAAGCTCGAGATTAATTTCCACGTGTCGTCTATTGGGCTAACACGTTCGTTTCTTAGGTTAAGCAATACGTACGACCATTCAATCAGGATGGTCGGATATTCATCACAGAAGCAGCCGATATGGTGTACGCAGCATCCACAAATGGAGAGCATGCCGTATCAAAACTGAATAGACGAGAGAGGCGCAGCCGACACGCCAACTCGAGCGTTATCGAGAAGTCAGCGCACACTGTACCGGATCTCCTGCGCACCCCCATCCCTCCAACCATTTCTCATTTCGTCATGAACCTCCCTGCATCGGCCATCACCTTCCTACCGCACTTCCGCGGCCTGTACGTCGGGCGCGAGCAGCTCTTCGCTCCTCACACAAGCACGAAGCTGCCCATGGTCCACGTCCACTGCTTCGGGCCCAAGGCATCTGACGATGGCAAGTCCCTCGTCGACATCTGCGAGCGAATCTCGGTAGAGATCGGCGTCGGGATGAAACTGGGCGACGCCGAAAACACCCACGAGGTCTCTGTCCTCGAAGTGAGAGATGTGGCACCGAACAAACGCATGTTCTGTGCATCCTTCAGATTGCCTGCCGAGGTCGCATTTGCCGCCCGAAGTTGACCTGATCGGCGGCTCTCTCAAGATATGTATCAGAGCGCGCGCGAGTAGAATAACACATACACGTACATATACATATACATATAGTGTACATACCCTACCTACATACATAGGTACCCTACCATACCTAGTAGCTTTGGCTTCGACGGGTTACCACTTTCGGCGCTAAGGAGGGTGGGAGGAGGAGCCAGCTGGGATATATGCAAACTCTGCACACCCATTTTGCGCCAGAAGCATGTGAAAAAAAAACTTTTTACTTATATAAAAAAAATTACCCACAGTAACACTATAAATTCCACACACACACACACACACGGAGAGTGAGAAGCGAGACAGAGCTTCCAGACCGATGTGACTCGCTTTAGGAACGGGAAAGGCCGCAGACACTGTGGGTCGCTCTAACCTACATAGCACGGCATGGGTATTGTAGGAGGGTTGCTATTATACCATACACCATAGTACCATACCGCACCTCTCAAGGCTACCTACACCACACTACACCACACTGCAAATAAGCATTGTGTATTGCATGTATTGTACACAATGTGGCTTTTTGTGGCACCAGGCCAAAAAACCGAAGATCATGGACACCGTGGAACGTTGCCCATGCATTGGCGGATCTACTCCTCCAAGGGGGGCCGGGCCTGTGTCTACATATGTAGGTATCTATCTGCCTGCGGTAAGATACCTAGCTGTTATTACCCGCCCGCCCGCACGCACGCATTATCAAGCGAGCAAGATAGAAAGGAAGAAAGAAAGAAATTAACAAATAGGTAATAAAAAACAGTCAAGTTGAAGATAACAGAGGGCTGGGAGAAACGAAGGGAGAGATAAAAAAATAAAAAAAGACAATGGATCTGACCGAATTTGACTCGTCACGGCGCGTATTCGTCTGCCCGCCGGAATTGGCCAACCAGAGACAAGCAAAGACCTAACCTACATAGTTACTAGGTAATCAATCAGATCCAGATGCTCTAACTACCTATCTAAACAAAAAATACTACTTACTACCTGGTTACTCTTTTCTTTTCTTTTCTTCTTCTTCTTCTTTACATGCATGCGTAGGCACCTACAGATAAAAGAGTAAGGTGGTTGCGATAACCGAAAACGTTCATGCAGATAAGCTTGCATTGGCTACCACCACTTGACTTGACTTTCAATGAATGCTGTGTTGTAACTATGGATGTGTGTGCCTAAATTTTGCCTCTGTGGCTTTGGATTGGAAATCCAAGTTAGCTTGAGCTTGAGCTTTCCCACCTACACAGGTATCATACATAGGCTATGTATTGTACCACATAGTATATCCATGGACGCGCAGCTGTATAGCTATCGGAGAGCCTCTCGGGGTGCCTTTGTTGTTCAAAGAACGGTTGACGCTAACTCAGGCGTCATGCCTGATAACAAGCCAGCCCCAGGTGTACTAGTAAGGAAGTTACCTAACGACGTGCAGCGTCGCAGCTCATTAGCTTCCTGCGGGCCTTCACGATAGCGCTGTCATGTATACTATCGTATGTATCAGACCCCAGGGTTTTGATATGAAAGGGGGTCTTAGGATATGTAGGTGAGATGGATAGGTGGATCGGTAGGTAGGTAGCTGAAGATAGGTAGGTATGCTTCTAGTTTCTGTTCGGCAAAGACCAATAACAAGCATTAAAGGCCATTCATTCCAAAAGGTAAACCAAACGATGCATCGCTTGAACAACCCCCCCGTCGTTTGTCCAAACGAAAAAGGCCTTCTTCCGTAGTTCGACTCACAAACCGGGGTTGAATACTCTTTTATATAGTCAAAACGGACGATCAGGAACACGGCAGGTTGGCGTGTCTGGCAAAACACCGTTAACCGGAAACCATATACACCCACATACATGCAAGGGGCATTCTAGTGTATCCAGCAACGTCTTGCTTCCAGGAGAGAGAGAGAAAGAGGGAGAGAGAGAAGGAGGGAGCGGAAGACAATGCAACGACTTATCGGTTCGGACATGCATACGGAAAGTGGAGAAGAACAATGCAAACTCGGGTTCGTAATTATACGCCTATGCTGTTGCGTGTTACATTCGACTCATCACAGATATGAGCTCACGGGAAGATAATTGCGCGAGTGCGAGGTTATGGTTCGGTTTCTTGTCTTTTAAAAAAAGAGGAGAGTATAAAATGAAGCAATTAGGACCGTCGGAGATGTCACCGAGAAATTGATTGTCTCTGACCCCTATTCGCAAATATGAGGACTGATACATAGTGTGACGGTACTGTGACGACGCATCGACGTTACGAAAGGCCGGATATGCATGGAGTATCGGCAAGATATCAGGGAAGTTGGGTGAATATGTCTACCGCATGAACTCTCGATTAGTGTAATATTCGTAATATTCACACACAATTGGACCTGCAAGATAATGCTCCGGCCGACGGCAAGAATACATTATAGAGGTCCAGTGATTTGACTTCGAGTTGAAGTTCGAGGCCTTGGCTAGCTCGGAACGGCTCAAGTTCGCGGACCAGCATCGTAGAATTCGAACCGATCCTACCGACGACAAGAACAGGCCCAATGATTATAGCTACCCTAGGTCCATAGGTACTCTTCGCTGTTCTTTGTGCTAAACATAGCACTGCATAGAAGCAAACTTGGACAAGCGGCTAATGATGCGTATCGGATTAGGCACTTTAGCACTCCAGCACTCCGTTGGAGCTCTGGCGTTGTAAGCATGCAATGCTTTCCTCATACCTATCACGATAAGTGGATATAGAGATAGGCACTTAAGAAGACATGATAGATACTGTAATAGGATGGATGATAAGGCCACGCTCAGTTACGGCCGTCTAGTAGAGAACTCGGGTATCGTCTGGCCGGGGCACCTAGTACTAACGTGGTTTAGTAGGTACTTTGGGAAGTGCCGGCAGACCTAACAACATATTACAGCATTAGCTGACGGCTCCGGTGATCGTTGTCTGCTCTCTGCGAATTAGGGCAGGTTGCATAATCGATCGTAGATTGAACTTGCGCAGACGTCATCAATATCAACTCGGTGTGCAGGGAAGTCAGTCGACTGGGTCAAAGCTCGATTTCCGCCATGATCTAACAAGCCTCACTTGACAGCTAACAGCTAACTAGTTCCGTGGTTCCGTACACCAGAGCATGGCAACGGCGCCAAGAGACCCGTGGGAACGGTATTGGACCTCTGATGACTTCTTTATCAATAGATCAACAGTTAACTTGGGAACAAGATGTCGTCTGCAGGGGAGGGTTGGCAGAAACATGGCCCGTTCAGGCTGTATAACTCGAGGATGTGTGCATTGAAACAACATTGAAGTCGTGACACTCGAAACACCTCATGACGTTGCCCGAGGATTGCAGTCGTTGTGTACATATACTGTAGCCTGAAGTAAGTAGTGTATGTAAACTGGTAAATAGGTACCTAGTCCAATATTTATCATTGCCGTTCAATTTTGAGATCATCCATCTCCGACTAAATATGACTTGAATGCATCCTGCAGGGACTGACATGTGGAGAAGATAGGAGAAGATCTGTAGATAGATATGGTACCATCTACAGTAAGTAGGTACCTAATTACTGTTATTAGTTATTAGTTATTAGATCACCCCCAATGACGTCGAATCCCTTATTCATATAACGTAAATTGAGCTCACCAGTTCTGGTTGGTTTTGGTAGTCACTTACTACATACACCTAGGTAGGCAAGAATCCGCAAGATATATGAAGATTAATGGGAAAGGTTTGACGAATTGAAGACTAGAGTTATCCGAAACCACGTCAACGTGGAGAAGTGTTACACAGACCACTGCGGGGGTGGAGATTGGCGGTTCAAGTTGTGGTACAATACAAACATTGCCCAGGTGAACATACATACATACATACAGACATACATAGTAGTACATACATCCTTGGATACATACATAATAGAGCAAGAACGGGTGGGTGGATAGGGGACATACCTAGCATGTACTATGTATGTACTATGTAGTAGGAGGTTGGCATACCTCCTTCCCACCCTCCCCCTTCTAGATCAACTACGTAGCAGCCCTAGTATGTAAATAGAAAAAAAACTAGTATGTAAATAGAAAAAAAATAATATGTTTCGTTGGTTTTATACTTCAACATGTGTTGTGGTAGATATTACCCCAGGAAAGGGGTAAAAATATTGAAGCTTGGGAAGGATGTGGATTAGTAGATAGCGTAACAGACAGTCGGTACTCCAGAAGAGTCTGGAGTTCAGATGTTTAGATCATATCCAGATATCATAATTGATCTCACCCTACTATCCAGCCTGTTAGGTTGGACTACTAGGTTGGACTACTACTGTAGGTAGGATGAACGCAGGCCTTACATTAGGGGGGCTTTTAGGTAAACTCTGACTAACAGACGCTATTATGCATATTACGCAGGTGACTTAAACATTACCCATCAAACTAGTCGAGGAGTTGTCATTTTTGCGAAGGTTCAGCCATAAGGACACTAAAGATGCCTATAGATATGCACTCACGATGATTTCTCGCGTCGTCAAATGAGACTATGTTGTACATATGTAAGTAATATTATATAACAACCTATAAACAACATTGGGGCTACGAAATATTCCGAAGAATGCTTTGCCTAACCGTCCCTTAACCTTTACTATGTATAACACTAGAATACCTATCTATCCAACCTAACATATTTACTTGCTATAGTCTGATAGTTACTTAGAGTGTAACTTTGGATAGTTACCATGTCACCGGCGGCCACCTCCCGTTTCTCGCCCCTGTCACGTTGATGGAAAATAGGCTTTCCTAGCCTATCCGGGGAACATGTCTTACCATCCATCAAGGTGCTAGAAGCCGTTGATCGTTTTTTTACCCTCGTGTGATTTAAAATTTTGACCGTTCTTATGTATAATCAACTATTTGGATTTAGCGCACGGGGAATGTACTCGATGGGCAGTTTTTAAAACGCTCGAGTCCTGGCCCCTGGGAGACAGTTGAACTTTCGTATGTATGTGTCCGGTCGCAACCGACTTATTTCAACATCTCTCCATTATGCATGTATGTACTCTGCCGTGTGTAAATGCTAATAAATCTAAAAGATAATAAGATAATATAAAAAGAGGGACGTTAATAGCTGGAGAACCTTGGAAGTAACAGTTAGAAACTCCATTAGTCTAGTCGCTAGCACACGGTTTATGTTCTAGCCTGTGTTCCACTTAATGAATTTTTTTCTTTTTTTTTCTTTTTTTTTCTTCCTTTTTATTACTAACAATAAGAGCCTACATCGAGACAGTGAAATATTACATGTCTACCAGGACTCTAACAGTCTAACTACCCTAGATAGGTAGGTATGTACTCTATATTCGGCCCACATGCATGCTTCACAAGATTTCACACTTCCGTCGAATTCTTATTTGGTTATTAACCTTCAAACTCGGCCATATTTTCTACAGATGCAGATATGTGAGACAAAGACAAAAGACAAAAGACAAAATCCCACAGCTCGCGCTTTGGCTGGCGGGATAAAGAAATGATATTGGGGCCCGCTTATATGTCGTGACACTGCAATGCTAGGGAAATATCAACTGCATTGCGGCGCATACATAAAGGCTTGCATCCATCATGGATGTGTGATACACACATTTACACCATGGTACTTACGATGAGTGTAAGTGTGTACTATATAGATACATTTACCTAATGCAATGCAAATGTATATATGCATGTACGTATGTACCTACGTGGAAGCACGCGAATGAGTAATGAGTAACGACATACATAATGTTCCAACTCCATATAAGTGTACCCATCTAAGGATGGCAAGTACTTACGCAATGTATGTGAGTTCGGCTATGGCTATGTACTCTTCATTGTGGATGTATGGCCATTGAATGGTATCGACGTATCGTACATGTACCCAGTAACCTTAGACTGAAAGAACACTCTTCCGATTGGAGAGTTGCCATATTAATATCTTGTTCGCATTCTGGCCTCCTTCTCTCCACTTGTTCTTCTATTCTAGTTCCGGCGAAAAAGGTACATAGGTAAGCTCGTCTTGTGGACCTTGGTTGATGTTATCAACTCTCGTAGTTCATACGCAAATCGTGCGCCAAACCTCAGGGAAGGACTGGCTTGGCTCTGCATGTACGTACTGTATAAAATACAATACATACATACCTGTTATGTATGTAGATAGTGTAGATAGGTACCCTCGCACACATGCCCGCAAGCCCGCAAGCTCGCCCATGCTGGTGAGGTATTACTATATGTACATATGTAGGTATGTATGTATGTACGTTCCGGCAAAAGCTCAAACACACTTGGCAGGGCTAGACACAATAGAAACTTCCGAATTTGCAATGGCGATAAATAACTTGATTCTGCAAATGTGTAAGTAGGTGGTGTTATATATTTATAGCAGTGACATGAAATGCATACTATGCTAGGTACATACTGCGTACTTAGAGATATGTTGTATGCATTGTAAATACTTACATGTAATAACTACTATCGTCAATATCAACACCATGTAACTAGGGTTTTATGGATTCTATGGATACATACCTACCTAGCCTATATACATATATACACACATCGGATAGTTAGTATGAAGCAATCCAGGGCTGCCCTTGCATCTATTTACTACATAGGTACGTGGTAAATATGTATGAGTGAATGAAGTACTTATGTATTAGTAGCAAGTTTGAAAATGGAGATGGAAAAATGTAAGTTACTAGGTTAGTAACTAGTAACTAGGAGTATGTATGTACCTATCGTCCATCCCATCAAGAAGTTTCTACACACCCCAGTCGAGTCATCCATGCAAACTTAGCTTTTGCTTTGCTCCCTGACTGGCTGGCCCTGTTGGCTATCAACCCCTCAATCCTCCCTGTGCTTCCCCTGTCTTCCCTCAGTTCCCTGTCTTCCCTGGCCATCCTTGCACCTTCCGATCTCCCGGAACTCCCACTATTCTTGTGGGCATCTTGTGGGCAAGTGCGTTACTTGTCTGCTCCAGCTGCTTGTGCTACACTACAGAGGCTGCACTACAGAGGCTGCTAGTTTAGGTACCTACTTACCACTAGCCTAGGGCAACTTATTACTGTACATACTACCTACATGTAGTACATACATGCAGTTGTATATTGTACCAATACCAATGCCAATAATATTTTGCCGTGGAGGTAGGAAGAGTAAAACAATCCAATCCCAAATCATTTACAGGTCTCAAGCCTCTTCATTACAAGACAAAGTCCTTTTCAACTCCCGCAACCTAAATTCACCAATCCGATTCGTTACTTACGAATCCTTCCCTCAACGTCGCTATCGAGTCGATAATTCCAGTTATCCGTATACTATCCTATCCATACTATCCGTATACTTTATTTAGGTGGTCAATTTCAAACAACTTAAAAAAAATTCCTCCACGCTCAGACCGTCACATGTAGAAAATCGCAGTCCCCATTAAATTCCCCGTATCGGCATCACCGAGATAAGTGCTCAGTCACCCACTACTGACTGTCTATTTCGACCTCGGATAATTCAACAGTCAGACGAGGGCACCTACGTTATCAGGTAATCGGGAGTCAATTCAGAATCTTTGGATACTCTCAACCAAGTTTATCGCGAAGGCCTTTAATCGTCTTGCCGAAGGCGATGATCCAGTGTCCATGAAGGCCGGCGCTGGATCTATATTGGAGTCGTAAACGTTGGAGGACTACCTTCTCTTTCTACGAAGGGAGAAATCCGTTTCGGCATGGCTATGGTTCTGTCCTCAGAGGACAATGACCTCTTTTCATCCTCATCTTTGAGGAGATCCCATTCTCAATCCAAATTTATGTCAAATCCGACACAGGGCTTTCACGGCTCGAGTTCAACATCTAGAATACACGATGCGTCATACGAATCGTACCACGAAGTTTACCATCGTCAAACTACTCACATAGTACCTAACCCTAGCCCATCATCGGCCCCATCATCCCCACGTACGCTTCAGCCTGAATCTAGCAGCCCATCGTATTCTTCTACGCCAGCTACTAGCCTATCCTTAGACGACCAATGCGACGATGACATTCAGATCGGGTCCGATGATGAACATATGGTGATTTCTGAATATGACCACAATCCCTACTTCGGCCCCCTTGAGGATTTGATCGAAGATTTAGAGCCGCCTCCAAGTCCCCGAACGGGCGATTCGTATACCGTATCACCTACGGAAAATGACACTTCAACCACCGCTTCGCACCCAGAGTCCCCAGGCAGTTTGGACCGTGCCGAGGACGACACTGCCGTCGAGCATCATCCTACTCAACATGTCGACTACCTGTCACACGATTGGAGGGAAGAAGACATTTGGTCATCATGGCGTTATATAGTCTCCAAGAGAGGAGAATACACGAACGGAATTCGGCTCGAGAATGCATCATGGAGAACTTGGATGAAAGCCAAGTACAGGTTAAAAACAGTGACCCCGGAGACACTCAATTGGTATGTTTGATCCATTGCTTTGATATTTCGTAAATCTTATCCTTGTTTTCTAGGCTCAAAGATTGCGATGTGACTTGGTTATATGGGCCTCTGCAAAAAAGGCACGGGGAGCTATTCTCCAACGATCTCGACCATGGAAGCTCGACACTATCGAGATGCGACTCATTCGTTAGCAAGAAGCCTATTCTCAAAAAGAGAAGCATGTCAGAGATAATGCTCCAACGGTCACTGTCTTCGTCATCCCTACTAAAACAGGCAACTGCTGTGGTTCAAGCTCAGCAAAAAGATGGTGCCCCTCGCGTTGGTCGACCGATTCTGCATCGTGCCACCACGGACTATGTTACCTTTCCTTTCTCGTCGAGAAGAAAAAGCCACGAGAATACGAGCATACTAGCTTCCAGAAACTCGTCTGGCATTGTATCACCCTCCTCGGAGCGGAAGCATATTCACTTTGACGAGCAGGTCCAACAATGCATCGCAGTTGAGGTCAAAGGTGACGAAGACGAAGACGACCTAGACCCCTATCGCTGGAGGTTTGGTGACGACAGTGACTCGGACGACAGCGCCATAATGATGAAGAAAACTAAGACATCGAAGAAACCTGTTCTTCCACGCAAAAGATCACCGGTAAATACACCCGTCGAGAGTAAGACGATTGCGATGCTACCTTCGACGACCTTGAAGTATAGAGAAGATTCCCCGGCACCCGAGACTGCGATGAAACACAGCACTGGGACTATGAGGAGTCCGGTAATATCACCATCCTCTTCGCAAGAGACGTTACGACCATCTAAATCTTTGGGGACTTATTTTGAAGATACCGAGGTCACAGATACACCAGTCTCCAGTCCGGTGGATGGGGTATCACACTTCAAGCAACCCGGTCTTCAACGATCAGCGGCTACGAATAATCTAAATCCCGAACCCGCTGGTATGCGTCGAACGGAAAGTGGTATGTTTATGCCCTTCGAAGACGGTGATGTTCAACCTAACGAGGGGATTCTTGGGCGGGTAATAGACACAGTCAACACAGCTCGGGACATTGCGCATGTCATTTGGAATGTTGGGTGGAGAAAATAATACAAGATGGCGGGTCTCCTTCAGGATTACGACCTAATGAACTGAACCTATGGTACTAATAGATGGATGGAAGTGCGCTAGTATGAGACATCAACATAAGCAACTCTTATACCACGCTAGTCCATCGAACGAGATCACGATACACAACGTATCCCAGGTACCGTCGGGTTGGTAATAATTCGGGTTTATCAATAATTGAAACTGACTCATCGTTACATGTTGATGAGGGTCTCGAGTATTCATCCCCTCGACGGCTAGAGCACTTAATATCCTTTCTCTTTCACACCACTTTCAAATAAAACAATTTTCGGTCTTGGGGGCTAGGACATAGGAGACTACTACGCGAAATGGACATCACGGCATATATGGGAGTGATTTCGTCCTTTGGCGATTATATGGCGTTATGTGTACGGGTTACTATAGGTATTCAATGGTCGGCGGACTAAAGTACAGCGGGGATTATGCATAGAGGATAAAAGCAATATTAGGAAATACATTATCAGGGTAAACCTCTTAAGGACTTCACTTAGGAGGACCACCCAATTGACCTCTAGTCAAAGTATAGGCATGATAGTGCGTTACGAATTTTACATGTTTTCGCCCTGTGTGAACGCACAGATGATTCCCGTTAGTTGTCATTAGAACCGGTCAGGGGAGGGCTTTAACTTCAGACCGGCTTGACCAAGCATCCATATCTAGACACGCAATAAGCCAACCGCCAAAAAGGGGGCTTGACCATAACAGTACTAAAGATTCACGCTCGCTCGCGACCCCGCGTTTTTTTGTCCTGCTTCTCTTGCCTACCAGTCTGTATACATATGTAGGTTAGTATTCGGTAATAGAATTATTCACCGGGTTGCAGATAGTGAAGGAAAGATTCCGCCGATCTGGATTCTTCCTTTGCATCTTTCTGCATCTTATAACAAAGACATACATATACATAGCTAGAGATTCTAGGTATTGGGCTTAGGTGTGCATACCGAGGTTAGGTACCTACATAGCTAGGCAAGAAAGGCCGAGATAGGTACGAGCTTGTTCGATTGCCTATAGGTATTAGGTAGTAAAGGGATGGATGGATGGATGGATGGATGGCGAGACCCTTCTTCTTTTTTTCTTTTTTTCCTCTCCTCTCTCTCTCTTTGTAAATTATTTTACCAAGTACCTACTGAGACAAAAACAAACTTGATCGGATCGTACTTCCTTCTAACCTAAAGAACTTGGATGAGACAGCGAGTTATGTACCTGTCTGGGGTAGGTAGGCACAGGCAGGTATGTATCTAGGTAGATAGGTTATGTGGCAGACCAAAGGAAAAAAACAAAGGAAGGCTGGGGAGGCAAGAAAAGGCTATCTTACTTACTTGGTGCATATATGCAACATACATGCCTTGGTAGATCGATACGAAGAGCCTCCTACCGACTACTTACCTCGGTAAGTGGGTATATATGTATGCTGACGAGTGAGCAGTTGGCTCATCGAAAGCTTTTCTTGGTCTAAAAGATGATTATATGCATTGAGGTGGCACAAAGGCGTCGGTTCTGAGACCCTTGTTACCAATACCTATTTGCTAATATCTGGTTATGTATCATTGTATCTAGGTAGGTAGGTAGGTAGGTACCAGGTTAGGGATTTAAACGTAGGTAAGTGAGCGTGAGTAATCACAAAATACAAAAAAGGGGCGGATAGGCAAGCGAAGAGAGATAGATTCATAGATAGAGAGAGATACGGAGTAAGGTGGTTCGTATTCTCTATTCGTTACATCGTGGTTTCACACACTTGCATAGCAAGTAGTAGAAACTAGTAAAAGTACACACTGCTATGTTACCTCTAAACGTCTCTCTAGTGCTACAAAGTCGTCCATGAAAGTTGTCAAACTTGCAGCGCCTCCGCCTCCACAATATCGCCTTCTGGAGCAACCGGGATATTGCCCTGGGCCCTTTCGAGAACCTTGACAGCCTCGACGAGGATTCGGTTACTATGTACGTTAACGTCCTTCAGCTTCACCTCGTAAACGTCATTGACCCGTACGTCAGCCATCTTCGCCACGTCATTGAGGGCTTCAGGGCGCAACAGGGCAGTCCGCTCGAACCAGTCTATTTTTCCGAGGATGGAGCGTCGCCCATGAACGTGTACGACATGGAACCGGAAAGTCTCGGGGATTTGGGCCTCGCCAAATCGCCACGCTCGCACGAGGGCTTGGAGGATCCATTGGTCTCCACCGTCACCGCTGGCGAGGGCACGCGCTTGCTTCTCCCGCACCCGGATCATCGGTAGCATTCGATCTAACTGCGAGCGGGTGAAGGCCAAAAAGGAGTCATCCTTGTTACCAACCAGACTCTCACCGCGACGATGTTCCTCAATGAGGCCGGCCTCTATTTGCCAGTGAACGAGTAGATCTGAAAAACGACGTAGTGGTGAGGTCGCTTTAGTGTACATCGGAACGCCGAGGGTGAAATGTGGACCAGCTTTCGTAGTAATCTCGTCGCCGCCTATGAGCGCCTGTAGATGACGCCATTGAGCGTCGTCTGGCCGAATGCCTGCCTTGAGGAGAGGATAAAAGACATCACGTGTATACTGCTCGACGAGAGGGGCATTTTGCATGGCGTAAGGCTGCGAGCGGAATGGAATCGGGATACCTCGGTCGTTACACCATTGAGCAGCGGTCTCACCTGCTAATTTCATAGCATTCTCAACCAAGTCGATGCCAGAGCGCTGAGAATACGCAACACGAATCGATGGATCTCCCATCATAGACAAGAAATTACTCATCTGGCGCTGCGGCAAATGGTCAAAGTAGGCTTGGGCTTCAGGCCGTGGTTGAAAGAAAGGAGTGGCTCCCTTACTGAGTCGCCGGGCTTGGACAGCTCTTCCTAATTTCGTCAGTAATGTCAATTCTTCCTTTTGATCATCCTTTAAATCGCCGGGGCGTGTCATTAGCCTGGGAGCCGGCTTTGGGGTAGGAATAGATCCCAGTTGGATCTCTGTTTCCCCAACGATAGGTTCCGTTCGGTCATCTTCTATGCCTAAAGCAACATCCTCGCCGGTCATGTATACGACATCTTTCAAAATTCCGGGTGTGATTGTGTGGTCCAGAACAACGCCATCTACATCAACCAAGGTACTGAAAGTTAGGCAAGGCCGATTTGGGGCCAGAGAGAATCGGTCTCGACTCAGGCTGTCGGGAAGCATACGTTCAAAATGGCCAGGCAGGTATATCGTTTGCGGGATCAGCTCAGCATATTTAGCGACTGGCGTATCAGAGGGGATAGATGAAGCCGGATCTGCTACGTGAACGTGAATCCAATATTGGCCAGGATCAGATGTCGGCTCGAGCGACACAGCGTCGTCAATGTCCATAGTAGATTCGGAATCAATACAATAAGCAGTGAGGCCTTCCCATGTCTTCCTCATAGGAGCCAAAATGTCTTGCCTCAGTTGACCATCTAGGTCGCCGATGTCAGGCCGGATATAGCCTCCTCCACGCTTAATATCAACTCCCGGGAAGCGTATATTATAGCGAGCGGGAATTTCCCAGGCAGGTATCCAGCCAACTTCTTGTAGAAACGACCAACCAGTTGACGCTGATAAGCTTTCAGCATCCTGGTACCTGTCAAGGGCTCGGAGGATGGCCGAGCCAAGGCACTGAAGGCTTGAGTGGCTTGGAAATTTCTGATAGCTAGCCCATAGTTCCATAAATTTTAGAATATCTTTTTCTACGGGCGACCATTCGTGAGCGATTTTGGGTGCCGTTGTGGTTTTTGCCAATGGTCCGATGATGCCGCTCCCTGTCCACTTCCGACCTTCTCGGCTTTTGTCGATCAATTTGCGAGCTTTTTCGAGGAAGCCTATCACCGGAGAAGGCATTGATGTCTTGTCTTCTAGCAGCTCTCTCTCTAAATAATGTCGTATCATACGTTCTGCTTTCTTTATAATGCGAACCTCAGACAGTGGGCTAACTTCAAAAAGGTAAGATCGCTTGTGACCAGTCTGTCTGAGCGGCCGGAAGAAAACCTCATCCTGTAATAGAGATCTGTGTACCGCATACAAAGCTTGAGGTTCAAACTTTCCATCCTTTTGATAGGACTTGGGCAGTAGTGTTGTGGCGATCTCGTGGAGGGTGAGGTAACGGTGCTCCTCTGGATCGCCTATGAACTTACTGGACGCATCCAGGGTACCGGCATTCGCTTGGTATATAGATTCGGCTTGGTAAGTGAATTCCAGCATCTTACGTAGTAGTGGGGCTCCTATTGCTCTTGAAGGGTTATGGCCAAGGTCTTGCAAGGCATTGAGAGCTTCCAAGGGGGTTTCACTGGACGGCAGTTCATTAATGACAGCCTTAAGCTCTTCTGGCTCGACAAACTTATGGACTACGAAGAGCGTCTTGACACCTAGACCAGTAAACCATTTGCCGCTGTTGGTGTAAAAATGCTCGTAGCCGTTATAACGGCCCAGGCAAATTGCCAACACCGGTCGTCTCGAGCCTTCGGAGCTACAAAGTTATGTTAGGGTTTCCATAGGGGGGAAAGGTTTGGAGAGGGAATAGACGTACCCCAACTCTACCATATCTCCAGGCTTTAGGTTGGCATCATCAGACCGTAGGTCTCCGAGCTCATCACCATCAAACAGTGGTGAGGCAACAGCGAAAGTGGCCATGGTCACATTTTGAGGTCGAGTGAAGCTATTGGACAACTCGCCTGCCTCGGCAGAGTCGTTCAAGATAGATTTTGCTTCATCTAAGTTCTCACTGTCCCATATCCGTAAGCGTTCTCGGATAGGAAGTCTCTTTTCCTTCTCTTCTTCTTGAGGGGCACCCGACTGAGAACCTGAAACATCATCCTTCGATATGGGATGTTGCACAGTCGCCAAAGTCTAAAGCAACATGTAAGTACGGGTGCTCTCAAGAGTTATTATGAGCCAGTCAAGTTAATAACATACTCTTCTCAGTAGGGAGTCATTGGCTCTTGGTAGATATCTCCCATTAGACCTTGAGAGAACTGCGTCTGATGTGATTCGCCGAGAGGCGCACCTCCAACACACAAACGATCTACTTGACGCCTGTAACATCTCTAAAGGATTTCCAAAGTGAAAGAAGTGGTTTTAGAGAATTAGTTACATAGATACCTAAGTAAGCATGATCTCAATTTGTCGTGGCGAAATCTCGAAATCTCAAGAGTTCAAAAATTCAAAATTTTAGTTATCATGAAATTTATTATGGGGCCGGCCTTAGTTACTGATCTACCAGCTGTACTTACTTCCCCTCCGGCTGTTTACCGGTCCGCCTTGAACCTTCAATCATGTGCACGCTCTCAAAATCACATGAGGTCACTTTTGACGTACTTTTTCAAAGTTTTCTTTCTTTCTTTTTTCTCTATTTTTTTCATATCAGGAAGAAAACAAACCGAATACGCAAATAAATAAATATTTCTCACACAGTATCCTTTGCATTTCTTAATCATCTAGTTCGCAAGCTTCTAACCAGCGAACGAGGCTGTAAGTGCATAACAGTCAATTGCCATCTTTCCATTGGTTTAATACGTATGTATGTACCTGAGTTAGTACTTGGGTATAAAGGGGGTATGTAAAAATGGGGAGAAGGGATATAATGATTTAGTACTCATCCCCTTATACTACTATTTCAGATGGAAGTTATTGCTACCTTGTTGCTCTTCTGTTGAATGTCTCACAAGGACGTACATAGTACATACCTAGGAATATATCAATTACGTTTCCTCGTCAACATGTGGAATGTGAAAGGAGCCCCCCTCGACTCGCCCCCGTAGATCGTATATAAAATATGTCATCTTGTCAAAGAATCGTCCTCATCTTTGTCCCCCAGCTACTTCTTATTTTATAAAAAGCTGTTTTTTTCCGATTTGCCGCTGGTGTGTTCCACCTAATCTTTTCTATACACAAGTCTCTCCTACGAACCTTACGTAGAAATCATGGCCGTTAAGCACTTTGCTATTTTTGCCTTGGCCGGTGGCGCTTTGGCGCAGATGTCTAGCATTGAAAGTGCTATTTCATCGCTCGCTAGCGAGGCCACCTCGATGTCACACTCAACCGATACCTCAGTCAGTGGTACCGACCCGACTACAGCAGTTTCAGGCACCGGTTCAGAAACTTCGATGACGAGCGAGATGATGACGACGACGTCGATGCCAGACTCAACCTCGAGCGCCTCAACTAGCCAGGACACTTCGAACATGATCGGATCTTCAATGTCTAGCGACACCATGACAGACATGACATCTGCATCTAGCGGCACTATGACAGATATGTCGTCTATGGTCACTGAAACAGGAACGATGACGGATATGCCCATGAGTACTAGCGGTATGGTAGCGACTGCTACTAGTGTTGTGCAGACAGCTCTGCCAGGAGCCGCAGCAATGAGTGGTGTTTCTGTAAGCTTCTATTATCCCATGCTTGGCCTGCACTTTGAAAGCCGAATATATACTAACTCTTTTCTCAGTTTGGTTTGGTGTTCATCTCAGTGGCGCTTACTGCGTTGACACAGTTCTGAGGGGGCGTCTATGGAGTAGTCATGGTCAGTTAGGCTGTATAATTTCAGGGATGTAATCTGGGGAAATTGAGTACACTCACAGCTGAACTTTTCATTCTATCGATGGGTTTCGCGAAGTCTTTAGGTTTGGTTAGATATAATACAAGATTACGAAAACGAGAATAAGGGTATAATGCATCTATCATTGGCTCATTGGCTATCGTGCTATGTAAACCACCTGACATTAGTTCCAGGATACTAAACTACGAATATACTTAATTTGCACCCCTAAAATACTGGGCTGACTGAGCGGCTATCTCGGCTTTTGTGAGAGAGGTAGACCGCCAGGGCTGTAATAGATACCGACCTAGAGGTGATAGTCAAGAAAGGTGATGGATGAGGCACATTAACACCCATGAAGTCAAGGACAAGTAGGTAGTCATTAACACAGCTCGTCGATCACCAAAGCACTGACTGAAGGTCACAGAGCCTCCGAGTCGACCGGTTATGAGGAACGATTGGATTGACATTCGACATAACCGAAATGATGAATGATTGAAAGCTTGAATAATGGAGACGCGGAGGATTTGCATGATCTCAGTGATCTCGGCCAGTTGATCGATGAGCATTGAAGATTATTGCCTAATTTGCCATAACATGGGACCGCTACGTAAGCTGTCAAGAAACAACATCGTGTACTAATTACCATGGCAGCCATGTCTACAGCGATGAGAGTAAACACTAGTAGCTGCTAATAAATACTATATTACGGATGGCCATGAAAAGCAAAATAAACCTGGTGTTGCCTGGGTAGTGTGCTGGGTACGGCGTAGTAGTATGCTGCCATAATGCTGGATAGTATGCCCCCACGTGTCCATCAACTCCAAGGCACTAAAGGGCAACTAACGTTGAATTACACTAATTCCCCAGTATGTTTGGCATCAATCATCACAGTGTTTACTCGGAGATCAAATTTGACATCTAGACCTGCATTAGTATAAAAGACTAGATTCCAGATTTCAAGCGGCGAGAGCCTAATGCTATGTACATACGGTTGCAGTCAAGTAAATGTTAATTAATCTTGTTCTGGATCCACAGTCCAGCCAACAGTCTATTAAGGGGGGAATTCAAGGCGTAGAGAGATCCAGCATAGTACTGCATGGCTTATGTTATTTCCCGAGCCAATGTGAACACTGACCACTGGTTGGTATATGCGCGATCCCACGGAAGTTTGAACAGATACGCCGTAGAAGCAAGATAGATGGACAGACGATCCGATCAATGATCAACGGGTGTGTGCAGTTCATCAAATGTATGTATGTTGTTAGCGTCTAAGATCTCTCGGCGGCGGCGGACCACCATCAGTGATCTTCTGAATATTAATAGGTAGGTATGTATGTACCTAGTGTAGTAGTATTCAAAATACTAAGATAGTAACTAGTAACTACTAGCATCATCACTGTCAGTCAAGTAGGCCTACAGTCAAGAATCAAGATAGGTAGGATGTGAGTGAGTTACATAGTATTGATAATAAATGCGAAAAGGAAAGTGGTCGAAAATACAAACCAATCAGACTATCAACTAGACATGTAAACCCAAAAAAAGAAAAAGGAGCGTCCTTGCATTACTTTTCTGGCTCCTTCCCCAGCACATAGTAGTATGATAGTACCATAATAATAGTAATTTTAAGTGTACGAGCCCTGAAGGAAACATCGTATATCGGGTTAGTCTTACCCTGCCGTGCATGACTTACTGGAAGTTACTGCAGCTACAAGACGGAATAGGTTTAGTCAGGGACAAATGTAATTTCGCTTGATAGTAGCTAATTTCCCAGACCGACAAAGGATAAACCATGAGGACCATGTGTCTCCACTGCCTAAAAACAGGGCTACTACAGTATTTTCCAAGAACGGTAGACCAAAAAGCCGCTGAGGCCTTGTTTGATTGGCGGCGCGCTCAAACTCTTGATTGATATTATCTCAATCAGGACAAGCTCCCTATCCCCTTCGGCCTTCGGTCCCCCTTTTATCAACATTTGATTCTTTTTGCGCTTTTTGCGCTTTTTTGCCTTGAATCCTCTCTCACTCTCTATCTCTCTCTTACTCACAACTTTGCCAGATCCCGTCGAGTTGGCCACGCCGAGTCTGTACTTCCTGGGTACTTACATCAACTTACAGTACATGGCTATTTATGTACATCCCTGGATGTATTATTTTCAATACATACATGATGTATGAATACCCTTCGGACATCCAGATATCGTTGAATAACTCTATGTCCAATACCTACATGTATGTACAGCATCCATTGAATGTCTATCAATGGATTATATATTCCGCAACATACATATGCCGTACATACTGATAGGTACATGTAGTGTGTTAGGTACACTGACTTATCTGTGCGAATAGATCAACGTACCTTAGTAACTATGTAACTGGGCCATTCAGAATAGACACCCCTGCTAAAACATGCATCCATCGTAGGTACCATTAGCAACGAGAGATGTAGAGAATGGAGATAGACCAAGGAGTAAGGGACATGGGGCAGGGGAACCTGGCAACCCAAGGATCAAGCGGAGCCCGAAGGTGGCAGCGCCAGACATCTCCCATTGCTCCATTGGCAAAATATAGCCATCAGGTTAAGATTGCCGCTGGGCAGGCCCATCACCCCATGAAGCGTTGGTGGCTTAATAAAACTACGAGATCTGCCATCTCTTCATGATACCCTCCTTCCCTTCCCTTTTCCCTTCTCACGAAACGACCTTTTGAATGTCGATGCCGTGACGTTGAAAGCATCTCACCAGCTTTCGTCCTTGTTTTCTGCGTATCCCAATACCGCTTCACTCATTCAGCGGGCACTCGTTCATCACGAAAATCACGAAAATAAACAAATTCGCGCAATCGGCCGAGATTAGTTGGACTTGGTTCTAAAAAGAGTTATTAAAGAAGGCCGACATCATGAAGGCCACTTTTGCCGTTGCCGCTGCTGCGGCTGTCACCGGCGTCAATGCCGCCAGTGTCCACCACAGACACGCTCACGACGCTTTCCGCGCCCTCGCCAAGAAGGACTACGCTACCGACAACAGCACCTGTGGATGTACTACCATCTACAGCACCTACTACGGTGAAGCCACTCGTACGTGACCCGGTGATATCCCAGAATGTTGGCCTCAGGATCATTACTAACGTATATCAGTCTCCTTCCCTCCGGCTCCCCCGGCCACTTCGGCACCTCCTCCGGCGACGATCACGTCCACTGCCGTCGTTGTCCCTACGCCAATTCCCCAGACGTGCTCGACCACTGGTGTCTACACCTTCCCGGCCACCACCGTCACCCTGACGGATTCGACCACAGTCTGTGTTCCCTCCACCACCGCCGTTCCCCCGGGAACTCACACTCTTGGCGGTGTCACGACCGTCGTCACCACGGCGACTACCGTAACCTGCCCGTACGCCACGGTGTCCACGAGCGAAGGTGTCGTCACCAGCATCATTGAGACCACGACTTACGTTTGCCCGTCGGCTGGTACTTACACCATTGCTCCTACCACGGAGACTGCCGAGAAGTCCACCACTTTGACCGTCCCTGTGGTCACCAGCTATCCCCCGGGAACTTACACTCAGCCTGAGGTTGTCACCACCGTCACTGAGACCAACACCGTCATCTACTGCCCATTTGACATCCCCACCCCGACTCCTACCAGCGTCGCCATTACCACACCGGCTGTTCCCGCCACTACCATTGTCCCTACCGTTCCTGCCACCACCCCCGTAGTGTCAGTTCCGGCCAACACCCTTACCCCGGTCCCGTCCGTTCCCTCTTCCACCGTCGCCCCCTCCTCTTCCGCTCCTTCCACCCCCAAGCCCTCCGGTGGCCTCGGTGGCACCCCCGGAAAGCCGTGGGGTATCTCGTACACCCCGTACAAGACTGGGCCCGAAGGTGGCTGCAAGAGCCGCGATGACGTTTTCAGCGACATCAAGAAGATTGCCGGCGCCGGTATGACCGAGGTCCGCGTCTACTCCACTGACTGCGACACTCTCCCCAACGTCGGCGACGCCTGCACCGAGTACGGTGTCCGCATGATCATCGGCATCTACGTCGACTCCCCCGGCTGCGATGCGCGCAACCCGAGCGTCGCCGAGCAGATCAGCGCCATCAAGTCCTGGGGCCAGTGGAACATGGTCGACCTGATCACCGTCGGTAACGAGGCCGTCTTCCACGGCTACTGCCAGCCGTCCGAGCTCGCCTCCCTCGTCACCAAGTGCCGCGGCGAGTTCGCCGGCTACACCGGCCCTTACACCACCGCCGAGACCGTCAACATCTGGCAGCAGAGCGACTTCTCGGCGGCCATGTGCGGCGTCGTCGACTACGCCGGCTGCAACGCGCACGCCTTCTTCAACACTGAGACCGAGGCCTCGCAGGCCGGCACCTTCGTCAAGAGCCAGCTCGACCTCGTCAGCAAGATCTGCAACAAGCCCGGTGTCATCCTCGAGACCGGCTGGCCCTCGGCCGGCAACGCCATGGGCAAGGCCATCCCCGGCGAGGCCCAGCAGCAGCAGGCCATTGACAGCATCGTCAAGGAGGTCGGCGGCATGTCCATCCTCTTCAGTCTGTTCAACGACCTATGGAAGGACGGCTCCACCGCCTGCGGCTGCGAGCAGTTCTTCGGCTGTGACAAGGTTCTCGGCATCCTATAAAAGAAAACTGGCTTTTTTCTCTCTCCAGGAAAACGTGAAATAAGTTATATTTTTTTTATATTAAAGGTGGTTTAAAATACCTACACAAGGTTTGGAGACAAGGTTGGTTTGGGGATATATACATACCTATATATATATATATATAGCCATATATTTTGCTTGTGGGCCTGTATATGTGTGTGAGCGTGTGTATGTACGTGTGTGTGTGAGCGTGTGCCTGTAAAGAGGTTTCCCTTTGTGATCTGGTGGTTTAGGTAGTATGTAACAAGCGAGATGTGTATGTTTCGTTCGTTCGGGAGGAGGTAAATGGGCGGTTGGAGGTGGGCGGCGTACGCAAAGCGAAATCCAATATCTAACTACCAACAACGACTTGAATTGTCTCTAGCCTTCCCATCAGAGAAAACCAAACCCCCTTACTACTTACTAGATACCAGAAATACTTTTTTCCCTGCGTTCTCCCAATGGGGGCGCGTCAGGGTCTCATTCGTAATGTTTTTTATATCGTTATCTTTTTTAATCTTTTTTGCTGGTGCTTAAGTTGAATTATGAATGGTTCCTTTACGTGTCCTGTCTTAATAAGTATGTTTTAAATCGTAGTTAAGGTCAGGCATGTTGTCAAGATATTCGTAGATTTCGACAGTGAACGAATAGTTATAAAGAGACTTTCTGTAACTGTTGTAGTAGATTGACATAAATCTATAATGAGAAATGGCCATGGAAACTACCTCTCTAATGTATTTACTTAGGTATATATCTCTAATAACTATGGGGGTCTGTCTAGCTTACAAGCATTAACATCTTATTCCTCTTCACTTTTCACCATACTTCATACTATGATTGAGGCAAGCAGTTTAAGTACTAGGTATTTTTCTCTATGAACCACTGAAGCTGGGCTTACTCGCTTATCCCATTCTCAAATCCTATCTTGATACCCAGGCAGGCACATAAGCATATAAATACACAAAGATTTCCTCTATCCCATACTTAGACCCTCCCCTCTCATTGGAATATATCAGATCAACACTCATTTCCGATTACACAGAGCCTACATATTTCTTCCCTTCTCAGGCACTTGCGCTGTTTCCCGTTTCTCATTAACCAAGTCATTTCCTTTGTGTGTACATTTATGTGCTTCCACTACATGCCTATAGGTTACATATATATATACAGAACTATGGGGAAACCTTGCTCCGCCTTGTCTGTTCGCACATTTGCACACTTGCCCTGAAGAAAACGGTAAGAAATCCTTACCGAGACCAAAAAAAAAATCCAGCCAACGCCCTCGTCTTCAGTCATAAGTCCTAGAAACCGCCCCAAACATTATGTATCCATCCGAGACCATCCCATTTCCACCGTGACACTAACCATGGTCCGTTTCCCTTCAAGCTTCAAGCCCCGGGGTCTGACTCGGGGATTTCGAGTTGTTCCTCCGGGTTTACCTCGACTGCTAGTTCAATGTCCTTGACCGGATGCAGCAACATCGGCGGTAGACACATCCTTCCTTCGCCGCCACGCATTTCATTGACATTCGTGCCGTTCTTGCTCTCATCTATGGTCAACTCGAACTCCTCGCCCCCGTCGTTGTTAACCTTGAGCCCGAGCCATCTTCGGTACAAATTTGGGGCAAAGCCCGAGTTGTAGAACCATGTGAGTCCGATGAGGTTGTGCTCGCGTTGGCCAAAGACAGAAGTGCGTGAACCTCCCGTGGCACCGTTTCTGCCGTTATTGAGCGTATGTGCGAAAATCTCTGCGGGCCACTCGCGGTCTACGTACAGAGGATGTGGTACAAATACACCCTTGTAACCATGTTGCAGAGCAACCGTGCCTGGCCACATCTCCGGGAAAGCGTGGTGCTTAAAGTAGGCGGTCTCGCGGTGCATTTTCATGAGTAGGCGACGAGACATGCGCGATGCTGTGATGATTTGGGCTCGGCGTGGTGGCATTCCGTTGCCATCACTCGTATTGTAACCAGTGATGTCGTCGGCTAAGCCCCAAGTAGTGCCTTCTGGGTCGAACATAGGGTTGAATGTGATATAATCAGCTTCTTCACCGACTCCCCATACATATTTGTCCTTTTCGTATGTGGTCTCTGGCATGGGATCATCCTCTGGCTCGAACCAGTCGTTGGGGTCTTTAGGTCTTTCGGGTCCCCAGATGGGCTTATCGCCGCGGTTGTTCTGCTGTTGCTTGTTGCCGCCCGGAATACTATCCCATATGTTATCAGCACCTGTGGTACCCATTTCACTTTGCACTCGTGCCATCTGCTTGAAGTCTTCCCACGTCCCGTGAACAGAAGGTAGGTAGAATCGCGAATTTCGTTCCCATAAGCCCTTCCTTGGCTGCTTCTTAGTCCAGTTCTCTACCTTGGTGAGTAGATCGTAGTAGTGTCCAGTATAGCGAATATCCATCTCCCACTGCCAGTAGTAGTCATATTCTGGGTGTTGGTGAGCGAAGTATTGCATAGCCATCTGTAAGCCACGATAAACACCATGTACAGGCAAATCTGGGCCACGAGTGAAGAGATCAAAAATGCCCTGGTAGAGCGATAGCATTTGTGTTTCTGTCCAGAATGTGACGAGACCGCGAAACTCTTCCGGTACCGTCTCATCGATTCGCTTTTGATACGCGGCGGGATCTGCCCAAATTGGGTGCGCGGCATCGTTCTTGACCTGAACTAGTAGATGAATGTCGTACCGAGCACCTGATGCCAACGCTAGCTCGCTGATCAGGGAACGGACGTTCATAACATCTTCCTCTTTCCAGAAATATTCGTCCCAGCATCTAATGACCACGGCAGTTCTTGGAAGCGGTTCCTGAACAGTCTTTGTCTCGGAAACTGGGGCCGAGTTCTTTTCTGGGGCAACTTCATCAACCGAGGACTGAAGCGAACCAAGCGTTGGAGTATCGCGTGCAACAACCTTATTGGAGTCGATTCCTTCGTCGATATAGAAACCATGAGGAGACGGCTTCACCGACGGCAAATCCTTGAAGCGGGCAGCGTTGGCATGATAACAGCGTTTCTGAATATCTGCCCAGTTCATCCCCTTCCAATCAACTTGAGGTACTTTCTCCCAAGTTGACTCCATTCCCTCCTTTTCGCCATGCTCTCCGGTACCTAGGCCGCCAGACCTGACAGAATAACCGAAGCCATAGGGTCCATATCGGCCATATCGTTCGAAACAGATATCCTCAGGAAGGTCAAGGAGCTCGTAGGAGCCTAGCACAGCATCGGGGAAACCATTGGGACGTCCCTCATAGTAGCGAATGGGAGGTACACGCACTGTCTTGGCTTTGTCGAGGTAGCACTCCTGAAATTGCTCAGGTGCATTCTGGAACACACTCTGGGGGTATTGGGTATAGTCTTTGCTGGCAGGTAGGCCTTTCTCTTGTACATCAGGTTTCCAGTTGCTTTCATTGACGTATGACAGTTTGTCTACAGGTGGTTCGCCTCTGAGGCGTGGATACTCGGGGTCATTCTTGGAGAAGGGAACGAGGTTCCTGACACCACCATAGTATCTCATAAGGAAGGGGTAAGACTCCCATGGAGGAGGAGCCACTGCAGGCCTTTCGATTCTACCTTCAGCGAGCCGTCTGTTCTCATTATGGCTTGCGCGGATAAGGGTGAATATCATTAAGAATATGAAAGATGTTAAGCCAAAGCAGAGGTATCGAACTACTTTGTTTGGTAGACGGTAGGCGAACGGTTGACGAGGCCCACGAGGAACAGCAAAATTTCTTTTGGGCATAATAGGAGCCGAGACAGAATTAGAAAGGCTCGTTATTCTAGAGTTATTAGTGCCCGGGGAGGACGAAGTGACGGAATAGTCGTCATCATCGGAATCATCGTAAGAGTCGTTTGAATTTCGGTCCTTACTAGGTGTGTTGAGATTTTCGTAAACGGGTAACTTAGGTTGGCGACCATCGCGAGGCTGTAGAGAGTTCCACGAGAGGATTCCCATCTTTTAGACGGGGCGCAAAAGTACTGTTGATGGTGTCAATATTACCATGTTGTTTGTCAAACTGTATAACTTTCTGAGGGGCCACAAACTTGTGCACCAAACTTGACTTGTTGTTGGGTCTTCCTGTGCACTTGGGTATTTTTTACAAGCGATATTTGGTGGGATGATGTTTATCACTTATCACAAGTTGATATTCAGAAGTTGAAGTTGAAAGTTTGAATCAAGAGCGGATCGTATGGGTATGTTAATCGATTATAGTTTTAGTTATTTGATCATTGATCATTGATAACTAATTGTTAATTGTTAATTGATTGATGATGATTCCAGGTTGTTTTGGTACATATTCCAAGTTTCACTTGCCCCTATCCCTGCTTTTTTTTTACCCCTGTCATAATACGCCGACCTGGCAACCACTTGCAAGGTAGTTACTACTATGTACGCCGTAGTTAGTACCTACATAGGAGTACACATATGTATTATGTACAGAGTACCTAGTACTTCAATGCTTTTTCAGTTCAAATGTCAACATTGAAATTGGAGGGTATGACAGCATACTGTGGTAATCCAACGGCCAATGACCTAATGTAGGACTTACTACTTCGTATGTATGTACTATAATACATATAAGCATCAATTGATGGTTTGACTTATTGCATAAGCTCATCTGGTTGTACATGTGGGATCAAACATCTGCCATGTAGAATTCCACCTTTTTTTATCTGGTTATCACCTACTACAACACTTACAAACTACCTAGTACACCACAAACTACTTCACTCAGAAAGCACATACATGTGAAGCATAACGGCCCCATCCTATCTCAACTTCTCTTGAGTCCCCTCAATCGTGCCATATTGTTGTGTATCTTGACAACAAATCGTCCACGTGGTCACAGGTATTGAGAAATCGCCCAGTTGCCTGTGAGAAATGGACGCTCTGGACCGATATCCCACATAAAATTGATCGAACGAGCAAAGTCATATCTAGCTGGCAACTGCACCAACCGATGTTCATAGGTGTATCGACTTGCGGCTGCAGTCCCATGCGTGTAGCCCGTAGGGTTACTCCCCTTGCGTCCATACCTACATGTACATACCTATCTATCTACCTACCTAGACCTAGGTAGGTAACAGGTGTTTGACCCGACTGGATGAGACCTATGTCTTGGTCACATCTTCGAACAGTGAACACTTCTTCACCTTAGCGATCTCCAAGTGGCACATGCAACATGGTCTCCGACTGCGGGCTGGCATCTGCAGCCGCATCGATACATACCTATATAGGAAGATAAAAAGGAAGAATTACTGTTATGTGTGTTCTATACTACCTACTATATGCATACTATGTAGGTAGGTATGTAGGTAGGTATGTAGGAAGGTAGGTTAGGTAGGTACATATGCATATCTGCAGGTCCGATCACACGAGGCGCATACATCCATGCCTTACAATGTTGAAGCCTCCTCGCAAGAGTTGTCTTGCCCTTGCCCTTGCCCTTGCCATACTTATCTAATAGCAGGTACTACTATTCTTCAATGATGCTCTTGGCCTTGGGTCTTGGATCTTGCTATTGCTGTGTATATGCATCTATCTGCTAGGTACATACATGTATCTATTTGCTTCACTGTATGATACGATACATACCTCATTCTTATTCCCTTTGCAGAGTCCTGGCTCCAGTTATGTCAGATTTTCACTCTTCTGTCTCCCAAACTTGTGGATTAGTTCCTTTCAATGCATGGACGGGGACGCTGGGGACATAATGTGACGTGCGGAAGTCCAAGTGGCTTATACGTGTCTTGGTCACCCCAGGTTATTCAAGCTTTGCATACCGATCCCGCTGCCTACATACATGTAGCAACGCATGGCTTTGTTACCGTGTTGTCACTGGCTCTCACAAAAAACCTGTCTGCCCAAGCTAGGCCTTCAGGGTCTGTCCTTCTTCCTTCGGTAGGTATAAATCTAGGTCATGGGTCTGCTTCTTTTGCTCTCCATTTTGCAAGGACAGACATCTCCTCCCATCTCATACTACTAGTAGTCCCTCCATTGATATATACGAGAACTTCACTGGTGCTATTAGGCTTTCCGTTTAACTCAATTGAATCCTCTCTCCAACTTCTTCTTTACGCAATTGTCCCTCTTTAACAGAGAAGACTCAACTGTACCTGAATGGTCAAAGCTACTTATCCACACTCATCTACTCTGACATCATGTCTGGTACACTCACCAGAACTGAAACATCATCACACGCATCTCCCCTCGACCTCTACACCCACCGTGATGGCGATCCTGTGGCTATCAACGTAACCATCAGACAGGATCCTCTGTCTGTCACTTTGGACGGCCTTGCCATCTTCGTCATCTCTGTCACGCTCGTTCTCGGTATACACATGTTTAAACCATCTTCTGTAGCTCTGCTCATTGGCATTTCAACAAGCGTCTTATTCATTCACAATGACTATCAGAACTATCTAAAACTTGGCCCGGGAGGTACACCGGCAACATTCCCTGGTTATATTCGCATCAACTGGCTCAAACTCTGGGCCTGCCGAGACCCTTTCAACCCTCTCCCCGCGGACCCAGATGTTCAGCCAGCTGCTGGCATCTTCCGCAAGAAGCCTCTACCATATCGTTGTGGACTTCGACCCAAGGTTGTTGGAATAGCCCCGCAACGCCAGGTCAACCAATTCGGATCGCGGGAATGCTATCTCGCTCTTCGGCGCATCCTAGAGAACCACGGAAAGAGAAACCCGGAGGAAGTAGGAATCGGCACCTCCTGCTTCGAAAAGCACGGCCTGGGACTATTTGCTCGGTACCCCTTTAACAAAACCTGCCAGGGAGAGATCTGCCACGTGCACAACTCGGACTACTCGATGCACCTGAACCTGCACCCGGACGACGTGAAGGAGGTCATCGAGAAGGGCTGGGGCGAACGCCATCCACTGACCAGCCAATGTCTCCTAAAGATGCCCGTCCCCAAGCAGTTCACCATGGTGTATGCCCCACGAACACTAGACGAACTGAAGGTTGTGTGTCAAATCATCGAGGCGGCCGGTTGGTGGGTCGGCGCAAAAGAGATGAAGCTAGACGTAACGGCGGAGATATAAAAACCAACCAACCAACCAATCCATTCATCCATCCTATAGTAAAACAAACAACTTCGCCTCTTGCCGACCCCAAACCTTGCGAAAACATGGAAAGCATTTGATGTTGAACGTCCATAGGTACCTGGGCTACTTACATAGTAGTTTAGTTTACCTAGCTACTACCTGTCCAGCTACCTAGTAGTGCCCCCTTCACACGCCTACTTAGGCCATCGGCTTCATGTATCAATTCTGAGAGAATTAAAATCATTAGCAAGAATAGAAAAAAAAAAGCATAATATAACTGTTATAAACTAAACTAGCTAGCTAACTCAAACGTATATCTCTTTCTCGTGACTTTTCTTGAACTGAGAACTAGCTAACCTTGGGGTAGTATGCATGCATGTATGTATGTATGTATGTATGTATGTATGTATGTATGAATCAGCACCGCACTAATAACGAGCTTCCTCAGCTGACTGCCATCTCCACCTGCCTACATAAACCAACTCACCTAACCTAGGCATCTCAGGTACTAGGTAGTTAGGTGGTAGGTACTGTAGGATATCCATGGATAGGAGTTATTGTGTTCGATACCTACTATAGATGCTACCACCCCCAACCTTGGATCCATTCAAGAGCTAGGTGAGTACGTTTAATCCTTGATTTATTTCAGGGATCCTTCAGCGGAGCTGTGGAAACTAGGTAGGTATCTAATCTAGTAGATATCAAGATATTCATGATACGAGGCCTTTCTCTTTTAGCCGACATCCTCAATGTTGTCTTCCACAAGTAGGTAGGTAGGTAGGTAATAATGATACCCATACACATCGTAAACCCCCTTTTCTCCGCAGTACAACAACCAACCGAGCAACCGAGCAAAGCCAGGCTGACTATTTTTCCCGCTGTGTATAATCCACGAGAGAGCTAAGCTACCTAGGTAGGTATGGAGGGGACTCGTGGTTGTATGGCTGATTTGTTTATCCGTTTAATTATACTTATTATTATTCATGAAGGGGTATCCACCCCTTTTTTTCATTGCCGCCCCGTCTCAAGTACTGTCCTCCGCATCGGCTTCCTCGCCCTGCTTCTTCCCCGACTTCCTATACCGCTCCTTGCCCGTCGCAATGGTAGCACGGACGGTGCGGCCATCGAAGGCGCGGCCGTCCATGAGCTCGACGCACGCCTCGGCAGCCTCAGGGGTCTTGAACTTGACGCTGGCGATGCCTTCGTCCTCGAGGTCGTACAGAACGACGTTGGTAACAGGCCCGAGCTTCGAGCACTCCTCGCGGATGTCCTCCTTGATCTCGAGCATGGCCGCCGGGTCCTCGTCGAGCTCCTTGAGCGTGAACATGTGACGCAGGATGACGAGGCGGTCGCGCCGCGCGTTCGTTTCGAGCTGCGCGCCGTACGGGTTGCCGGCGTCGTCGTCGTCCCAGTCCGCGAGCTTGGCGTCGAGCTTCTGTGTCCGTCGGATGATCTTTTGTTTGTCCTGCTCGCGGGTCTTGTCCCGCGGTTTGCCAGCGCCGGTGATAGCGTTACTCTTCTCGCTGTTGCCATCTTCTGCACCACCAGGTGCTCCGCTACTATTTCCATTACTTCCCTTTTCACCCTCACCTTCTCGCTCGTAGTGTGTCTTTTTATAGCTAGAGTCGGCGGCTTGGACGCGCATACGGCCACTCGCGAGCCCTGAGGCTGAAAAGCGGAAGTCGGTATCGTCAAGTAGCATGATGGCCATCTCGACACTCTGGGGCTTGAAGAAGACAATCAGGGCGTCGCCCTTGAAACTGCCCTTCTCATCGGTGTACAACTTAATGCGAGGGCGGCCGCTGTCGATCTCCTCGGCAATGACGCCGCACTTGCGCGAGAACACTTCTTGCACCTCATCCACAGTCACATCAAGCGGCAGGCCGGTGACGTACACGGCAGTATTCTGGCGGGGTTGGGGTGGTTGCTTCTGCTTCTTCTGTCTTCGACCTTGATCCCTAGGACCGTTCGCAGCCTGATCCTTCTTGCGCTTCTTGTTGGGGGGATTGCTATCGTCTTCCGGGGTTGCACCACCGCCGTAGGCTGATTGCTGCTGAGCAAGCAGCTCCTCGTCTAGCACGGGTATCCATCTCTTCAATTGTGAATCCCACTCAAATTCGCTACCATCGTCCTGCACGGCAATGTACTTGTTGTCGAGCTTGGAGAAGGAGATGCGTTCATCCTGCTCGAATTCTTGGGGGTCAGTCGGAAAAGAGAGGCCGGGGGCAGTTTGTGGATCTGCCATCGTTTTTTTCTACGAGTGTTGATTGAATCTAAGTCGAGGGTACATTGGCAAAATATGCGCAAGACTTCTTTGGAGGAAGAGAAGGTCAACTATTGGTGGTATTGATATTAATAGAGAGTGTGAATTTATGTTTGAACTGTTAATAGATGTATCATGAATGGATGCATGTGCACATTGCACATGAACGTAGTACCATGTAGGTAGTTAATAGGTATGTACTATGTAGAATATGTCAATATGTACCTAAGTTAGTTAGTACTACATATGTAGTAATAGGTAACTAATGGCTAGTAGTGTAGTGGGTCCCGATATATATACCTTGTAGCTTGCATATGCCTTTAGACATAACTACATACATACATAGTACATACAGTATTAGCTTAGAAACGCTCTGAGTATCTAATATTTCTTGGCGTTGCCTGGTGACGTGAAGTCTAAGATGTATTCTATCAATAATCTGTTAACAGCACAGGGCCAACTGGTATGGAGAAGTTATACCCAAACATAACTTGGTGCAATATTCTCTAAAGGTACGTACGTAGGCAACTACATACCTGATAATCAAGAAGTACCTAATACAACGACAACATCACAGCCTTCACACCTCAGTGTAATTCAATATATAGACATTATTAGGTGCCAACGCGGTCTTGAATGCAAACCTGCCTAGGCAAATACCCTGGGTAGTCGTCTACTTGCGTGAAAAACAATACATATATATACTCTTGCGCATTATCCTTTTATCCATGCCCCCAAACGCCGGATTCAAAGATGCAAGTATGCCCATGACCAACGGCAACGGCAATGGTAACGGTACAAGCCGAACTAACAAGCAAGCGCACATCTCTCCCTCTCATTCAGGGTTGCTTTTCTGATACTAATATGCTCATTTCTTGCCCTTCTTCTTCTTGGCACTTCCAGGAGTGGCGGCTGGCGTACTCGAGTCCACCAGGACTGCCTCATCATCGCTGCCGCTTTTCAGGGAACTTATAACCGACGTGTCTTCCTCCAGCTCTTTCATGAAATCCTTCTGAATTGCCTCCCGTCGCTTCTCCCACCACTGTTTGTCAGCCTCAGCCCGGCTCTCTATTTCCTCTAATCGGGCGCGGATCATAGTATTAGCCGCGATTTCGTTTGCTGATTGGAAGATAGTCTGGCCCCAACCGGGTGCGAGTGCATTGGCCTAAGTATGAGTTTAGTATGTGCCAGTTCATAGTAATGATATGTTGTTGAGTATATATCGTACCTCCGCGACTACATCTCGGACCTCTTCCTCAATTTCCTTCTCGCCTCTTGAGAATCTCTGGTTCAAATCGTCGCCAACGCTGCCCCGTTGTAACAAAGTATTTAGTGCTTGCTTCGAGGTTCGTATTTGGATGATGCGGCGGATATCCTCGACGGCTCTTCGCAACAGTGCAGCTCGAATAACGCTATCTGGAATTTTCGGTGCCTTCTCCTGACCAGGTTCGGGCTCCATGTGAAGGAGCGTTAGATAGATATTTCGTTGAAGATGCGCCGGAAACCATGGCTCGAGATTGGCACTTTGTGCTGTGAAGTGTGTTAGTTTTGGGCACCATGTCTTTAGGTCTTGGTTGGCAAGGATAAAATCATACAGGCCTTTCGCTTCCGATAAATGGTAGAAAAGGTGTAAAGTGAGCCTCCAAGAACAGAAATATACGCTAATGGGAGCGTAAGGCTCATCCAGTCTATATCGAGAAAACTCATTTTGACGAAGTGGCCGGCCGGCGTAGACTGGAAAGTTGAAAAGTTGACGTAGGAGAAATGACGGACAAGGTCAACAGATGATAATAATATGCTTTTTTAAGAACATTGAACTCCAGTCGGGATCTTGACACTTTTCATGTAGCTCAACCCACCACATGTACTATGTACTGCTGTACCGTTGTACCCACACTACTAGGTACCTAGTACTAGGTACCTAGTACATGCATGCACATACCAAAATATTCAACGCCTACGCTAAGCAGCTAATAAGGCGCTAGATGACCTCGGTAGTACGGTACTATGACACTCACCGCCTTGCCTAATTAGGTACTAGGCTAGTTAGTACTAGCTATTTTTTCTTCCAATTCTATGATACTCGGCAGAATTTCTTTATCGATTCGATAAGTTTTCAATCGGTTTCTTTTTTTTTTTTTGGTAGTAAGGCACCTTACTCGACAATCCAACCTCAAGAAAAACGCAGCCATGTCGACCCCGAGACCAGAATTTCTCAAGTTCACAGGCCACAAGTCGTTCACCAGCCGGCTGATACTTTCGACGCTGACCGGCCGGCCCATCCACATATCCAAGATCCGCGGGAACTCGCCCACGAATCCCGGCCTCGCCCCGCATGAGGTCTCGTTCTTGCGTCTCCTCGAAGCCGTCACCAATGGCAGCTCCATGCAGATCTCCTACACGGGCACCACCATAACCTACCAGCCGGGCCTCATCACCGGCGCCATCCCGGGCTTCGGCGCCGCGGACGACGACGTCGTCGAGCACCACATCCCGGCCACCTGCACGCGGGGCGTCACCTACTTCCTCCTGCCCCTCTGCCTCCTCGCCCCCTTCGCCAAGTCGCACATGAACGTGCGCTTCACCGGCCCCGGCGTCATCACCTCGACCACCGAAACAGGCGACCTCTCCGTCGACTCCTTCCGCACGGCCATCCTCCCCCTCTACAACCTATTCGGCATCCCCGCGGCGCGGATCGAGCTGCGCGTGCTGCAGCGGTCGTGCCCGGGCCCGCACGGCAGCGGCGGCGCCGGCGTCGTCGAGCTGCGCTTCGCGAGCCAGGTGCGCCTGCCCAAGACCCTGCACCTCAACCGCAGCCCCGGCCGCATAAAACGCATCCGCGGCGTCGCCTACTCCACCGGCGTCTCCGCCTCCAACAACGCCCGCATGATCCACGCCGCCCGCGAGATCCTCAACCCCCTGATCTCCGACATCCACGTCGCCGCGCAGTACGACCAGGCGCCGCTGGTCCCCGATGCGGCGGATAAGTCCGGCAGCAAGAAGAGGATGGGCATTGGGTTTGGCCTGAGCCTGGTGGCCGAGTCGAGCGCCGTCGGCGTCATCTACTCGGCGGACGTCGTGGTGCCGCCCAAGGGTGGCGTGGTTCCCGAGGATGTGGGCAAGAGGTGCGCATACCAGCTCCTAGAAACGATAAAAATGGGGGGGTGTGTGAGCGGGCCGGCGACAGGGACGGTGCTCACGCTGATGGCCATGGGGTCCGAGGACGTGGGGCGTTTACGACTGGGAAGGGATGTGGTGGGCACAGAAGAAGTCATAGGGCTCGCACGGGATCTCAAGAAGTTTGGGGCTAGCAGTTGGGGGTTGAGAGATGTAGAGGACGACGACACGGGCGACATCATAATATCGGTGAAGGGGACTGGAGTCGGCAATGTTGGCAGGAAGATCGCCTAGTAACAATGATACCTTTTTAATTTTTTGCTGTATAATGATTATCTGGTGGCTATCTACATACATACAGTATCTCGTCATGGCTGCCTCGGCTGTGCCGCAGCCATCCTCGCTCTCCTTTGCGCAGCCAAGGCCGCGAGAGTCGCATTATATCCAACATTCTGTAAAGTGTACGCGGCCGCGCTCTCGGGCGAGTTTGCGGGGTTATGCCAAGCAGCCTGGAGCGATCGCCGAAGGTTAAAGTTGGCCAGAATAGCATTGCCAGATCTCAACGTGTCACTCAGACCTTCGAGATCACTAGCGGGGGGCGTCGGCCGGCTTAAAAGACCAGCCCTTTCCTCCACGTCTTGCTGGCTACTGCCGCTGCTGCTGCTATTATTACGCCTGAGTGGCTGTAATTCCATGTCGTTGGTTTCGTCCACCATTGCCGCATCTCGTAAAACGCCGCGCTCCTCCGCATCGAGATCTTGAGTAGTAGGGTTCATGGTCTCGGTTGGGTTGTTCCCGGCAGCACCGACTAATCTCACCGGCTTCATCACCCTTCGTATCCTCTCCTTCTCCATGTTCACAGTCAGCATGAAGCACTGTAGGCCAAGTACCACAAGATCCAACAGGAGGAGGCTGAATTTGGACGTCGGTGCTTTCTGGCCGATAAAGTCGAATAGTATGCCACCGTGGAGGTAGCCTCGGGAAGCTTCGCCGGCGCTCGGCAGCGATACGATTAGGTGCATCAATATGCAGAAAACGTTGGGGCCGACGATGGCGGAAACGTGGTAGTTGGGGGTGATTAAGATGGTATCCTCGGGCCTGGGGCTTATGAACATTATTTGGGACATCCATCGTATTATTAGTCGAAAGAAGGAACAGCTAGAAATTAGAAGTATTCATTAGTAAAGATATCCCCATGAAATTCTGTGTTGATCTGATTATACGGAGGAATAGGCGTATGGGAAGGCTCGGACATACTCCATATAGTAAAGCGCACACAGCTCAGCATAGACGACAGTGTCCAGACTGATACTAAGATGCGTCATGAACTGCAACTTCTTGGTAAGGCCCTCCTTGGCGGCGTCTGAAAGTGATGGATTTTGTGCAACGGGGCTGCCATCATCATCATCATGGTCTTGGCTGGAGTCTGAACCGGAGTATGGACTGGACACGGCGGGCCGTGTTAGGCCGTCGGGGTTGTCCTCTTGGAGATCGTGGGAAGTACGATGAGGAGGGTCCGCCGGCGTGTTCGGGGTGGCAACATTGTTCATAGCTCCACCTCAATCGACGTGAGAAGCCACCGGTAACATGTATGTTCACATGCTGTGAGGCCGTCATAAGAGAGGAGGGAAGTTTTTGCTGGTTCCGTTCGGCGTTGACGGGGTGGAAGGGGGAGGGGTGGAGGTAAGCGACAAAAAGCGAACGAAGCCGGGGAAGTGGGTGCGGTGCGCGTGCGATTGATTGACTTTTTTGAGGCTGGATTGTTTCAATTTGGAAGCGACGAGAGTGAAAGCTGACAATTTGAAAGACCCATGAATAAAAATGGACCCCCCAGGAATGTCTGTTGGTACCTAAGTATCACACAGTGGATATCCATGATCTAAACGGTGATTTGTACTGTGGTAGCTAATCCTTGACGGTGTCAGGTACTCGGTACCCTAGCTCCGGAAATCGCAACCAATCTTTTTTAGCGGGATCTCTTTTTTTTTTTCTCAATTCCTTATCAGCTTATCTATGACTAAGTGGGCAGTGGTGGCATGCCCTCAAATTTATATCACTTATACACTGAATCGCATCTTTCAGACTTTGTCAATTGCAAGTTCAGACGGGCTTTAGACTTGAGATAATTAAGGATATTTTTCCTAGGAGGTCAATTGGTTCAATTGGGAAGAGGGAACTCCAAATCTTGGTCTTACAAGACCTTCCCCTCTTGTAAACCTCCCTCATTCTAGCTCCCACCTAGTCTAACGGTCCTGTCCTGTTCCTGTCTACTGTCCTTGACCAGTGACTACTTGTTACATTACATTGGTAGGTAGCTTACTTACTAGCTATCCCACCTATTTCTTCCCACTTTCCAACTTGCCATGGCCCTCTCCACCAAGCTTGCTGGAAGAGCACCTGTCTTGTTGCGACATGGCCGCCGACTACCAATAACTCGCCGACAACTCACAAGCACCAGTTACCGAGGCCCTTCTCAACTTCTCGCTTCTACTCGCAAGCCTACATTCACTCAAGAAAGGAATTTCTCAGTTACAGCCCTCTGCTCTGCTAATAGCGTAGGCAATGTCCAAGAAGCCCCAAACCCGAAGGCTTACTTGGAAAGCGGCGTGATAAAACCCAGAGATATCGTAGATGTCAAGAAGGTCTTGGTAATTGGTAGCGGTGGTTTAGCTATTGGTCAAGCTGGAGAGTTTGACTACTCAGGTTGGTACTGCGCAAGAGTCATCCTCCTGCGAACACAGTAGCTGAGGATGACTCACAACTCCGACCATTCATGCCTGAAGCTAACACCTAGGACTTGCATAGGATCCCAAGCACTCAAAGCCTTGAAGGAGGCAGGTGTAGCCTCTGTACTCATAAACCCAAACATTGCTACCATCCAGACCAACCATTCCCTGGCTGACGAAGTCTACTACCTCCCCGTCACTCCCGAGTATGTAGCCTATGTAATTGAGAGGGAGCGACCCGATGGCATCTTTCTGTCGTTTGGTGGACAGACCGCGCTGAACTTGGGTGTGCAAATGCAGCGCATGGGTCTATTGGAGAGATATGGTGTTAAGGTTCTCGGCACAAGCGTACATACGTTGGAGCTGAGCGAGGATAGAGATCTCTTTGCCAAGGCCCTCAACGAGATTGATATTCCTATCGCTAAATCGATCGCGGTTGGCACTATCGACGATGCTCTGGATGCCGCTAACAAGGTTGGCTACCCCATCATTGTTCGTGCTGCCTACGCGCTGGGAGGTCTCGGTTCTGGCTTCGCGAATAATGAAGAGGAGCTCCGCAATATGGCCGCCCGATCCCTCACCCTCTCGCCGCAAATTTTGGTCGAGAAGTCGCTAAAGGGCTGGAAGGAAGTTGAATACGAGGTGGTTCGGGATGCGAATAATAACTGCATCACCGTCTGCAACATGGAGAATTTCGATCCTTTAGGAACCCACACAGGTGACTCAATTGTCGTCGCACCCAGTCAGACTCTTAGTGATGAGGAATATCACATGCTCCGTTCTGCTGCTATCAAGATCGTCCGTCATCTTGGAGTCGTAGGCGAGTGCAACGTTCAGTACGCCCTCCAGCCGGACGGTCTCGACTACAGAGTAATCGAGGTCAATGCTCGTCTTTCCCGCTCATCAGCCCTTGCCTCTAAAGCTACTGGATATCCTCTAGCATATACTGCGGCGAAGATTGGGCTTGGCCATAGCTTGCCTGAGCTACCAAATGCCATCACCAAAACTACTACCGCCAACTTCGAACCTTCTTTAGACTACATCGTGACGAAGATACCTCGCTGGGACTTGGCCAAGTTCCAGCACGTGAAGCGGGACATTGGTAGTGCTATGAAGTCTGTTGGTGAAGTTATGGCTATTGGCCGTACCTTCGAAGAGTCTTTCCAAAAGGCCATTCGTCAAGTTGACCCCCAGTTTCTTGGATTCCAAGGCGACAAGTTCGACGATCTCGACTATGAGCTCTCTCACCCGACAGATCGCCGATGGCTCGCAGTTGGCCAGGCGATGCTTCATGAGGGCTACACGGTAGATCGAGTTCATGAATTAAGCAAAATTGACAAGTGGTTCTTGTACAAGCTTCAGAATCTTGTTGACTGCACCAAGGAGATGGAGGCTATTGGCAGTCTTAAAGGCCTAAAGCGAGACCTTTTGCTTAGGGCCAAGAAGATGGGTTTCTCCGACAAACAGATTGCAAACGCTGTCAAGAGCAACGAAGACTCAGTCCGTGCTCTTCGATTAAGTATGGACATTCGACCTTGGGTCAAGAAGATCGATACTCTGGCTGCTGAGTTCCCAGCAAACACTAATTACCTATACACCACATACAACGCCAGCTCACATGACGTTACCTTTGAGGACAAGGGAACTGTCGTTCTAGGGAGTGGTGTGTATAGGATTGGTAGCTCGGTCGAATTTGACTGGTGTGCTGTCAGCGCTACCCTTGCCTTGAAGAATATGGGTGAAAAGACTGTCATGATCAATGTAAGTTTTCCTGCTCTCCTTTTCATACATCCGACTGGGCACATTTATGTGCCTACCTTATGGATGGCTCCTTAAGACTTTTTGTCTTCCCTCCACTTTCCACTCTCCATGAGCCTAGAAGGCCTGAAGAACGGCTCGTGGTAAAAGGAGCTTGAAGAAGGTAACCTTTTTGTTTCTTGGAATATTTCCTAACCAATTTTTTTCATAGTATAACCCCGAAACCTACAGCACAGACACCGAAGTGGCTGACAAGCTCTACTTCGAAGAACTCAGCTACGAAAGGGTTATGGACATTTATGAACTTGAGAATGCATCTGGCGTCGTCGTCTCTGTTGGTGGTCAGCTTCCGCAAAACATCGCTTTGCGTCTCCAAGAAGTGGGCAAGGCAAATGTTCTAGGAACCGACCCCAAGGATATTGACAAGGCTGAAGACCGACAGAAATTCTCGGAGATTCTGGACAGTATTGGAGTTGATCAACCTGCCTGGAAAGAGCTCACATCCGTGGCTGAAGCTGAGAAGTTTGCTAACCAGGTTGGCTACCCCGTATTGGTCCGTCCCAGTTACGTTCTCTCAGGTGCTGCCATGACCGTTATTCGAAGCCAAGAAGATCTGAAGGACAAGTTAGAGGCTGCGAGCAACGTCTCCCCTGACCACCCTGTAGTGATCACCAAGTTCATAGAAGGCGCACAGGAGATCGATGTTGACGGTGTTGGCCACCAAGGCAACTTGATTCTCCACGCTGTCAGTGAGCACGTTGAGCACGCTGGTGTTCACTCTGGCGATGCTACACTTGTCCTCCCTCCCGTCAACCTGGACGACAGAACCATGGAACGATTGAAGGAGATCGCTCAGAAGGTTGCGAAGGCCTGGAGCATCACAGGTCCGTTCAACATGCAAATTATTAAGGCAGAAAACCCCGAAGGTGGAGAGCCAGCACTCAAAGTCATCGAATGCAACCTTCGCGCATCACGATCTTTCCCCTTCGTTAGCAAGGTCCTTGGCACCAACTTCATTGATGTTGCCACCAAGGCACTGGTCGGCAAGGATGTTCCCAAACCTACTGATCCCATGGCCGTCAAGAGAGACTATCTGGCTACCAAGGTTCCCCAATTCTCGTGGACTCGTCTGGCTGGTGCTGATCCCTTCTTGGGTGTCGAAATGGCTAGCACGGGTGAGATGGCTTGCTTCGGTAAGGATCTTGTGGAGGCGTATTGGACCTCTGTTCAATCAGCCATGAACTTCCGCCTGCCCGAGCCTGGTGAGGGCATCCTCTTTGGCGGCGAAGTTTCCAAGCCGTGGCTCACCAAGGTCGCCGATTACCTCTCTCCCCTCGGCTACAAATTCTTTGCTGCCGACGAGAAGGTTAAGCAATTCCTCGAGTCCACCACCAAGGACAAGGTCACTGTGGAAGTGATTGAGTTCCCCAAGGAAGACAAGCGAGCGCTCCGAGAGGTCTTCCAAAAGTATGACATCAAAGGTGTATTCAACCTGGCTCTGGCCCGGGGCAAGACAACCATGGATGTTGACTATGTGATGCGACGAAATGCTGTCGACTTCGGTGTTCCCTTATTTATGGAGCCACAGGTAAGCACTTACCCCCTTAAAACACTCACTCGTATTCAGATAATAACCCTTGCTTACCTCATATATAGACCGCGATCCTCTTTGCGCAGTGCATGAATGAGAAGCTACCGAGGAAGGAAGGTATCCCATCCGAAGTTCGTCGGTGGTCCGAGTTCCTCGGCGGCAAGCCGTTGTAAAGTATATGTTACTTATACCCGATTTCTTCTTCATTTCGCCCTTTCCCCCTACCCTACCTACTTAATCTAAACCCCAGAAAAATCTTCACCACAGTTGTGTTCTCAAAACAAAAAGTTCACACTTAGTTTTTTTTCTTCCCCGTACAAAAAAATCTATCATGAGGCGTTTTAGTCGGGATTTAAAAAAACCCCACCCCCTAAAAAATATCTTCGGAGACGGATTCTTTTTTATCTAGGTTAGGTTGGGAGGTTTAGATAGATGGGAGGAGTGTGGCGGAAAGGATGCGGTGAAATCAAATGAATGATGTTCTCTAAATTTTTTTTTATCTAAATCCTCCCTTTCGGCGTGAGAGATGTGAAAAATGAGAACCAACAAAAGGGGGTTAGAGGTCAGAGGGACAATTTGTCTTTTCCGTTAGTGGGCATCTTCAAACTGGTCCGGATGGATACCTAGATAGATACATGGACGGACGAATGGATGGATGCCTACCTACCTAACCTAGGTAGGTAGATGAAAAAGGATCTGGCAGTAGGCACTATGTAGGGTTGATCAGGTAGTTATGTATGTAGGTTAGATACGTAGGTACTTGCTACGTATTTATCTATTTATCTGGGAAATTAAAAATGTTAAAAAAGTAACTACATGAACCTCCCTTCTTGTACTGTACGTTTACGCATCTCTGGAAGAGAAGAAAACCCATCGTCAACTTGTCGAACTCCCCAAAACTAGAATTAGTACCTAGTGAGTAAGTAGTAGTAGTCAAAACAAATTAGTAGTAGGTACACACTTCATTTATTACACTCCATTTAATAGGGTATTCTATGAGCGACACTCTGTGTATGGTGTGACCGACACCGGAACTTCTCGTTCGTCTTCCCATTTATATCCATCAGCGATGAATAATACATAGGTCTACCATAGACAGGCGGCCGAATCTGCAACTACGTGCTGGGTTCCCTCCTGTATATACGAACCAAAACGTCCGTTTGTTCCCTCTACGCCGGCCAAGGACTGACAAAGTTGGGCCTGAGCCATTATCCCTCCAGGTATCTATCACCAGTGAAGAGAATTTCCTACCACCTCACTCATTACTTGCTTGGCCCTTAGCCACTTCATCCGAACGGGGGAGTTACATGTCGTCTGCCGCTTCTCAACGGGGGCAGTTCACGGCGGAAACATCATGGTTTCTCGAACTTGGCACGATCGTAGGCGGGTCGGTTCCCGTTTCGCTCGTTCAGCCTAACGGCAGCAAGACGCTTAGTAAGCGGTTCACCGGATGTTTTGGGGACGGAACCAGCAGCAGCGGACGAGGACGATGTTGAGGAGGAGGCTCCACCGTCCGCTTGACCCACCGCGTCACTTGAACGACGACGGCGCTTAAGTTTAGGGATATTCTCACCAGTCTCCTGTAGAATGGCTTCTAGAGTCTGCCAACCGGGTGTCGAAAAGAGTTGGTATGTGTCAGCGAGGTCGTGTTTCGTCGCTACCCGGCAGAGCAGGGCTTCTTCCTCCTATCGGGCTTGTTAGCTTATTACGACAAAGGGGGAAGAGCAATAGAGGCTACGAGTGAAGGCCGCAAAGGATTACCTTTGATAAAACACCCATTCCATGAATGAAGTTGAGTAGATGGAAATCAGAGAGGGATGCAAGTTTATTGCCCCCGCTGGTGTCGAGAGCTTTGGCGACAAACTTGGGCTGCTGGGTCTCTCCTATAACTTCCCGGTTCTCTATAGGGAAGTTGGAGGTATTGAATAGGGGCTTGGGCGGTGCTGGGAAACCGTGTGTTAATGTCACAAAGAGATATTCAACAGGGAAGGCGGGTTTCGCATTTTCTTGCACGTTTGCGCCGTACTCGTTGATTTTCCGATAAAACACCTCGGGAATATATCGCGTTCTACTCGTCGAGCCGTCGTCATCCTCTTCTTCTCGCACAAGCATGACGTTGGGGTCAGCTGACGGCTCGATGAGATCCGCTCGCACCATTTCCACGGCGTCATTCGAGACTTGGTATGAAGAAATAGCGATTTGACTCGTTTCATCACTGGAAATTATACATGTGACAAAGTTGGATCCGAATCTTCCCGTATCGCTCCATTTGGTAGGCTTGGGGTGTTGGGCTTGCAAGCGCGCCGCAAAGCAAATCTCTAGAGAACTTAGGTAGTATGAGTCGGCATGACGCTTACAGATGACCTTGCCGTCGCCAGTTCCAGCATCGAGCAAATCAGTGAATATGACACCAACCTGCTCAAGCCCACAGAACTTGGCGACTTCATTCACGGCAGCCTCGTTCTCCCAGGGGTTTAAGGAAACTCCATCGACCTCGTCTACCTGTGGCACTTCATAGATAGCCTCGACAATGGCTTTAACGCCGAGGGGGACCTCGGAGTATTCTGCATAGCGACCATAGAGATAGCCGATTCGCTGCGCACCCGTCTTTCGCCACGCATCAATGAAAGTGTTGACAAGCTCAAATGAAGCAAACTCGACGTGATCAACCATACGGAAAGTCTGCGGTTGGAGGGTGATGGCACTCGGCTGGCACTTGGTGCAGATACCCTCGGGCCACTGAGGGTGGCCCGAAGGGCAGTCTCTCTTGACTCTGAAAAACGGCTCTTTCAATGGTGGAATAAATGAGCTTCCTAGTTCGGGTTTGTTGGTTGCCGAGTTGATCTTCCTGAGGTATGAGTGGAAAGACAAGTACTTGATTTTCTTGTCGGCGAGATATTGGAGGTTGAAAGGGTCGAGCGGCATGCAGTAGTCGCACATGCCTTTCGGGCCGTGCTTGCACATTCGGTCTCGACCTCGAGGGATCTTCCCGTCTTGCTTGTCTAATCGATCGTCTAACGTTGATTGCTTCACCACCTCCCAAGGGTTCTTGATGACTTGTGAAGGAGACAGTAGCGGCGGAGGGTCGACTGGTAGATCTTCTGTTGGTAGGATAGGCTTTCCATTAAGTCGGTTGGTAGATGTTATGGTTGTGGAAGCTGCAGGGGTTCCATTCGTGTGGCCGTTGGTGGCATCGAAATATTGGTATTTGATAAAGATCAAGTCCCCATGGCTACACAGCGTGTCAGTACAACTCACAAAGCAACAAAATTGAAACCCGAGTTCCAAGTTCCAAGAGAGGCGTAATACTTCAATCCAATTTGCGACAGCTTATATTTAGCTATGTCTTTCAGATACTTGGAATCTGTAGCTTGGGGATCTGGAGACATAGAAACAGTGTTGGGGTCGACGGCCGGCGGTAACTGCGCCATAAGCTATAACCATAGTTAGAGACGATTACTTGATTGACAGTAGTAGTGAGGATTGCGCATACTTGGCGACCAAGCTCTGCGAAAGTATCATTTTTGTCGACAGTGATCCGGACCATGCCATCCGGGCCCCGAAGTCGCAACAACATGGTGACAGTTCTCAGAAATGGAGGCGACTATACGAGTGAGGATGTTATGATTGATGATCGAAGGGGATTTCGGGGAAGGTATTTCTGTCGTCTTAGAATAAACACAGCAACATAAACTTATAACGGAATCCTAATCCTAATCATAACGGAGGAATTATGAGGGGAGGAGGGGACGGGGACGGGAGGGGTGGTCAGATCTACTGAGGAAAGCAAAGGATGATTGAGGAAGGTGGAGTGTCAGAGAATAGCGCAGAATATATTTGATGATTAAAGATGTGAGTATGTAAAAAAGCGTAAAAAGGTAAAAAGTGTACAAGGAAAGCGGTGGAAATGTTAAAAGTGAAATTTATTCGTGAATGACATGGAGCTTGCTTTCTATTTCTCAAATTACCAGAATGTCAGGCACTGACGGCTGATGACGCGCCTCTAGGAGCTTTGTCAGGCAAGTTAACCGTGGGGGGTGGTCCTTGCTCGGCAATGCTTGTAACAAAGTAGTAACTATGTACATAACTATGTACAAATTATATGTCCAAGTGTACATGGTCTAAGCCTGAAGTTATATGTAAACACTGCATCCGTGTTCATGGATACCATGTACCTGCAATGTACCTAGTAACTACCTGCCAGTCAGTAAAAAACATCGTGATAAATGATAAAGAATGTGGTCGATGGGAGGCATTATAATAGCTACAAGTAAGAATTACATACATTCAAGACACCAATGCCTAACTCCTATGTAACCTAGGCAGATAATAAGTCCAAGAATGAGTAACTAATAGTAGCATTCGTGATTCTGCAATAATGCAACGACTTTTTTTTTATTGCAAAATCCCCAAAAGATCCTCACGACCTTCGTAAACTAGAAACTCAACAAGGAGGAAAAAAACAAAACAAGCCACCACCTATGACCTCCCCATTGTCCATCATCTCCACCAGCCGATGAACTGATTATTGGAGGCGGTCCAAATTCCTAGTCGGAGCCTTGTAAAAACTTTTTCGTTCCCCTCGGCCCCTCATGAGAGGTCCTTTCCTGACCGAATATCGACTGGGAAGCCTCCAGTACTGCGAACTGAGCTGCTCCGAAAATAACAAGTCTTGCCTAGTTTACAATAAAACAGCTACGACCCCGAGCCCAAGTACTCGGGCATCGTAAACCTCGTCCAGCTCCAAGGGCCAACCATTGCGTCACTATAAAGTGAAGTCATCCTTAACAATGCTAGCCTATAGGGCTATCTTATATCCTCAAAACGCCCCCTAGTTCCCTGCATGTCTGCAGACACTTAAGCGTCTTCCTTGTTTCTCGTTGCACCCAACATTTGGTAACTCATGCTGTAGATTCATCGGCATCCGCCGTTGGCACGTCATCTGCCGAAACATTCGCAGCCTGTCAATAGTTAGCATTTCAACTCCCAATAACCTTGGTAGCATGAACTGGAACTGCTACACTCTAAGGACATTGCGGTTGTGTCATCGAGTAATCAATGAACGTACCTCTGCTGCATCGGCTTTCTCCTCACTGGTTGACGTCGTCTTGGTGTCTGCCTTTTCTTGTTGGTCTTCTAAGGCATCGGGCTTGGCATCTTCCTTCTCAAGGTCTGCCTTGACATCGGCCGAAGTCTCCTTCACACCATTAGCGCCCCCCTTCTCGCCCTTCGCAGCTTCGCCAGACGACCCGTTGACACCGTTAGCTCCAGACGTGGCAGCAGCGGCGTCGTCTTCAGCAGCCTGGATCAATTTGGTCCACTTGTCCAGGAGAGTCTGTGATCGTTGCTTGAACTGAAATTCCTCCTCCTTCGGGATAGTATCTATCTTCAGGATGGCTTTGAGGACCTTGTTGATCTTGGTAACCCGAATGATGTTAACTTCCAGGTCAGGAAACGTCTCTAGCTTAGCAAGGAACTCCGACATCGACTTCATCTCCTCTTCCTTAGGCTCCTGATCGCGGACGAGAAGACCCTTCTGGAGTCGGTGGCGCAAGAACAATATCTCCTTCTGTAAAACTAGTAAGTACAGTTCGACGCAATGACAATGAGTGAATTTGACTTCCTTACCTCCTTGCGCATACGCTTCTCCTCAGGGCTGAGCTCGGCTTCCTTAACCACAGGGACAGAGGACTCTTTCTCCTTCTTGGCATCGGCGTTCTCTTTGCCGCCCTTAGCTGGCTTCGCCTTGACCTTAACGGGCTTAGAGTCTTTGGGCGTAGGTGATTGAACACCATTGGCTGTCTTTGGAGTTGATGAGTTTGTCAACTTGATCTTAGGTTTCTTGACAGATTCGGAGCGCTGGGGTGTCTACATTCAAGTCAGTACACAACTACACCTCGGGGAGAGCCTTTCCTTACGCTATTGCTGTCATCATCAGCCTTGCGCTTTTTAGACGACTTGGGCTTCTTTTCAACGGGCTCCGCCTCATCAGTCGCATCGAAATCACCCATTTCAATATCACCGTCTTCGTCAGCTGCGGCAGTGTCCGATGCCTTGGTGCCCTTCTTCGGTGTCTTAGTCGACTTAGCTTTCTTGGCCTCAAGCTTCGCAATGCGTTGCTCCTCAAACTCCCGGAGAACATTCTTGTAATAATCAAGGTCGTTCTGCTCGGCAGCCAATAGGTGAGCGTTTTGCAAATCCTTGCGCATCTTGCTTGTAACCATGCCAGCGACAGTCTCTGGGTCAAGCTCCTTCAGCTCCGTGTTGGGGGTCCATGAACTAGTACATCCGAGTTAGCTTTAGTCTTGCCCACCATGTTGATCGAGATTCTGGAAAAGGCCAATCTTACAATTCATTAGTGTGTAAGTACATGACAGGAAATGTACGATCCGCAATTCTCTTGCCACCATCCGCAAAGTCCTCACGGTATGTTCCGTCAGGGCGAGCAGCGGTGACAGGTCTTGAGCTCAGCATGCTCTGTGGGAGCATATCCTCTTCGGCGATGATGACAGGCCAAGGGGGGAATCCCTTTAGCTTGGCGAAGTAATGCTCGCCGGGCTGTGCATCTACGTGGAGTATCTTGGCCCTGGAGGCTTTCTTGTTCAATTTCTTGCCTTTGTTGTCGGCAGTGGACTTGCGACGCGCCTTTGACTTGTCTCCATGCGTAGCCGACTCATTTTCGGCGGCGACACCTTCACCAGCGCCTTCGGCAACATCCTCAGCAGCTTTGTCATCTTCGATGTTTGCAGGCTCAGCGGTCTTTGCAGTGTCGGCCTTGACATCTGCGTCAGATTTGTCGGCTACATCGGCCATTTCGACGTCCGTGTCAGTGGGCTTCTGTTCGGTCGATTGGGAAGTGGGAACTGCTTCGGTAGCAGAGGATGCAGGGTCTGAAGATGCGGTGTCAGTAGAGGGAAGCGAACAACAATGTTGCAAATGAAGGAAAGAAAAGAAGAACAGAAAAGAATTGTAGAGAGTAAATAATGGTATAGCGATTACCGCGTCAAAGAAGTGGTGAGAGTGGATGCATTCGTTAAAGCAACTTGTGTTTTGGCGCGAAGGGATTTCCTAGCGCGTATAGCTGTTTAGGAGTTACTTACCTTGATTGGATTTAATTGCTGTGGCTTCCTCCTTAACCTCTGTGCTGTCATCTGCAGATGAAGATTCCTTCTCAATTGGCTTTGTATTGATGGTAGGCGCGCCAGAGTCGGATGTAGCTTTATCTGCACCAGCGGCAGCGGCAGCGGCAGTAGCTTCGTTGGTCTGCGCGGCAGCAGGCTGGGTGATTTTGTCGTCAGACATGGCGAATACCACGGTCTTTTACGACGAAATATCGGATATGGGAATAGGTAGGACAATGATCGCGACGTGAATTATGGGTGGGTGATGGTATGGTGAACTGAGAAAGGAAGGGAAATAAAGGTTGGTTGGTTTGTAGTAGAAAATAGAAAGTTGAAAGTTGAAGGTTCAAGGGTTGGTCGTGTGGGTGGTTGCGGCGGCAGAAACTTGTTGACCAACAAGTAATGTATGTATGTATGTAGGTATGTATGTAGGTATTGTACGGTAATTTGTATTGTACCTACTAGGTACTAGGTAGGGTACTATGGATGTATGTAAGGCAAGGTAAGGTAGTGAGTGGATACCTTTTGCAGCTTATGATACTACTACAATCATGTACTACATATGTAGTAGTAAATACCTAGTACTATGATGTAGCCCTGGAGGTAGGTACCTAATACCTTACACCTAATAGTTAAATCGACTTGAACAGAAAAAAAAAAAGAAAAACGCGTCCGTTCAACTTGGCTAGACTTAGGTAGTTCAGACCTGTTTGACGAATCGACAGAATTATCTGGAAATACTAGGTACCTATTAAAGACAGGCTGCCTATTTCTAGTACATATAAGTTATACCTTAGTATCCTATCAACAATGGGAATCAGGTACATAGGCTAATACTATGTATGTACTAGGTCGGTCAACTAGCAGTTGTCGATTGAAGGTGTGCATGCAATTGACAGACGCGATGGGTGTTGAATGGGTAACGTTGTAGTGTAGTTAAGTGGTGTGTCAAACGTAATGTAAGGGAAGGGAAGGGGACGAGAAAAATAAATGATGGAGGCAGAAAGGTTGATGATGAAAATTGAAAGTTGAAAGAGGTGGTCGAGTAAAAAAAATCAAAAAATTAAAAAAAAAAAATCTCCCAGGATCGAGATGGAAATGCCTGTGCTCAGTCAAAGTAGGGGACGTATGCACTTTTACTCTTTGTGCTGATAAGTTCTTAATAGATTACACGTGACCTTGGGATGGCGTCTCGTGTCGTATTGCGGACATAGTAGATACAGTAGATACCTCAGGGGCAAGGACCAAATACATACATATGTATGTATTGAAGGAGTCAAGGTCTGGTACGTCAGGAAAAGTACATGTGTAGCACGGCTACATACTATGTAAGTCTACATATATGTAATGTTAGGTTGTAGGTACCAGCCAATACTTAAACCTGTACTCTTGGTCTTGCTTGGTACGCTGGTTCAGATTACGCCGATACGTGGGTCTTCTTTCTCACTGTTTACATGCCTGCCTACCAATGATCTCCTATGCCACTATGGTCTAGGGGTTATACGTAGTAGGTACTTAGGTAAGGAGGCAGGTAGGTAACGCCAACCCACTATGGCCAACAAGCCCCCATATCTATGCCCATACCTGTTGGCATCCGCTAATATGCCCTCTCTCGCCTATACACCTACCAACCTAGGTACCTAGGCCAGTACCTATTCGCACTTTCTTCCATATTGGCATATTAGACCCTCATGAGGTCTTCCTCAGGGTCGGGCTCCCCTCTCTCCCTCTCCCCCTTGGATGGGCAGAATTCGCGCAACCCAACGTCCACACGATACATGATTCGACAAAGTGGCTGAAAATGTCCACCACGACTAGTTGGCAACACCTAGAATAAGTAATAAATAATTTGGTCCAACCCTCTCTCTTTTTTTTGAAAAAGAAAACCCTAAGTAATTCGCCAGGGCAGCCTGTAAAGTCCTGAATGGCATGCTATATGTACAGTAAGCTTTTCGTACAACAGATGGATCAAATCCCACCTAGAGAGCTAAATCCTGCAAGACTATCTTGCGGGGTTTACTCATCGTCTTCCTCCTCATCCTCGTCCTCATCTACGTCCATACCCTCCGCGACTGTAACCGAGAACGTCGGTTCCTGATCCACACCGACGTAGCTGTCACTCATCAAGAACAGCTTCAGGTCATGCTTGCCGGCTGTAGGGACGGTGTACTCCAATTTAACCTTGAGTTGCCGGCCGATCGTAACCCGCTTGATGGCAAGTAAAGTCTTTGTGCTCTCCTCTCCAACAACCAGCCACCAATTCTCCACCTTCTTGGCGGGGTAGAACGGAGCGTGAACTGTAGTATCGACTTCCCCTTCTTCCTCAACCTCGCGCTCGATCTGGACGTTCATGTACGCTGGCTCCCCAGCACGAATTTCATCTTCATCTAGAAGCTCAAATTCGAGTGAGATGTCAGGATACTTGTTGTTAGTGAACGCTGCTGCTTGCGCCAATTGAGTTTGCGATAAGCCCAGTCGTTTGACGAGAGTCGCGTAGTTGGGATTTTCTTCGGGATTCATGGCTTCCATAAAGTCGAAGATGTCATTGATTCTAGAACACATTAAGTTAGTATCTTCAAAACTGAAAGGTTGATACTGTACATACTCGAACTCATTTGCCACCTTCACCACCTCGGGTGTGAAATGAGGGATCTGCTTCAAAGGACTGTCGCGGTCCCACATGGCTTGGACCACCATCTGCGACATTTCCATGGCATTCATAGCGTTCAGATGCCCATCAGAGGAGAGAACGTCGACTGTCGCACTCAGTAAGCTTAATATTTTTGAGACGATAAGCTCCTGGTCCTTGGCAAGATCAATAGGGAGTTGCATTCTGGAGAAGTGCGCCTGTAACAATACAAATGCCTTGAAATGTGGCGAATCGTACGCTGGCTCAGACATCTTGACAGGGACTCTGTCATAGATGCGTCGGAGCAGGTTGTCTTCGTGGCGTCGTATCTGGATTGACTCAAACTCCGTCGCCGATGTAACGATTTCCAGGATACCCTTGAGCTTCGTCCTGCCACTCAATGACAAGAGGAAGGTTTGCATCGTGATGTATGAGATGTTGTAATAAGCTGCAATCATGGCAGCGTTCTGGGGAGAAACTGAACCATCCTCTTCATCAAAATCAATAATCTTCGATTCAGTCAGTTCTTTTAGAGTCGACTCAACGAGATCAGACAAGTAGTTGCTCAGTCCGTCGTGCGTAGGGCTTGTCAAGCTGTAGTAGCTTGGGTTTGCGAGGAGTCGGCGGTAGAAATAAGTGAACGTAGTCCAATTAATGGCATCGTCTGCAGACTCGATCATCTTGGTGCTGACTTCGGTAACGAAAGCATCGTGCACAAAATTGTGAAGATGCGACTCAACTGGAAGTGCTTCGTTTAGGAACTTCTTGAAGTATTCTCTCTTGACGGCTGGAACCATCAGAACTCCTCGACTACGACCGTCTCGAGATGGGCGTAGTGCTTTCCCGAACATCTGCAACACCTCGCTAAGCTGGTAGTCGATATAACGATGCTCGCGTCCCTCGAAATATTGGGTACCCATCACTACGACTAGATGTGCAGTGCAGTCCAGCTCCCAGCATACGTCACGAGATGCAACCAAGACCTGGATCGCGCCTTGCTTGTACAAGTGAAGAACAATACGCCTGTCGCTCTGGCTGAGAGCTTCGTGGTAGTAGCCGACACCATGGGAGAGCGCCTCAGCCAAGGCCTCTTCGTGAATACGTTCTAGAAGAGGGCGAAGCTGCTCACTGTCTACGTGCAAAAACCTGTCCTCGTCGTCCTCCGCTAGGCAAGCTGCCAGAATATCACGAGCGCTCGATCTCGTTTGCTTCCTACTCGGGACAAAGACCAAAGCTGGCTGGTCAGACGATAGTTCGGTGATTGCGAGGTACGCTGGTTTCGCCATGGCAAGCATAAGAGATGGGAAATGGGGAATAGAGAAGGACTGTATCCGAAGCTCCAGGGGTACGGGGCGGACGTGCGGGCTCAAGTTATATATATCCTTCTTCTTAGCATCAATCCATTCGCCAATGTCTCGCGCATTCGCAAGCGATACGCTCAGTCCGATTATCCTCATCTGTAGGCTAGCGGTCGTGCGAATATAGTGCATTCGAGATACTATGATTTCATAAATGTACCCCATCGGTCCTCCAAGAAGGTGAAGCTCATCAGCAATGAACAACTCGACGGTTAGAATATTCTTGCGCCTTTGCCACTGTCGGGAGAGAACATCCCATTGTGTGGGCGTAGCTAGGATTAGGTCACCCTTCTCGAGCAATTTGAGATCTGTTGCCGTCTCCCCGGTCAGCTTGACAATCTCCTTACCGCCACGTAGATGGCTAAGCCGCTTGCTCCAATCTTGGTACCTAATGTCAACCAGCTCCTGGAAAGGTGCAATGTAAACAGCACGACCAATCTCCGGCTTGGACCAAAGACGCAAGATAGCGAATTCGGCACAAACAGTCTTCCCGCTACCGGTTGGGGCCCCAATCAAGACGTTATCATCTGTCGTGTATAGAGAATTGAAAGTCTGCGTCTGGACCTTGTTAAAAAAGTTCCAGGACTCGTATAGCTTAGAATAGTCCTTGGCTTTCAGGGCAGCAACTGGGAGCGGCTGCAAATCCAGTAGCTGGGTGTGAGGAGGGAACTTCTCCGGAAGGATAAGTTTCTGGAACGATACAGCCAGCTTTGTCTCTGAGTGCATCCATCTATCGGAAATGACCGAGATGAAGTAGTTAGGTGGCATAGGTTCGGTGATGGGGACGGTGAAGTCAACCAGATGCTCATTTGATTCTGATACAGCATAATCCTTGCGTAAGAGGAACTGATCGTAGAATAGAACATCTTCGCCATCGCAGTCTTCGACGATAATCCAGAAACTTTCCGCCAACCCATGTACTTCGTCATCCCACTGGAAATTTGGTGTGATGGATAGTTCGACTCGAAGCATAGAGCGGGTCATCGGCTGCGCCTGGGCTTGAATCTCGACCCTTGGAAACTTCGATACTAGGTCACAGACTACACGTCCTGCTTTCGGCATCCCAAGCAGCTCTCCCATACGAGGGGGATCAAGATCGAAATAACTACTCCACGGGACGTCTAGCTTCTCAGCTTTCACTATGATGTCTCGCGAACAGCGGGGGAACTGTCGTAGGGGCGTCATCGTTAACCACATTCTCTTCTCTGCCATCTTGCACAGATCTAAGGCTGTTTTGGTGACATTAGCCCACCCCTTCTGGAGGGTAATCTCGAAGATAGCACGAAGAATACGACCAGCCGATTGCGTGACGTAGACCATATCGGCCATGAGAGCCAAGCCATCCAGTTTCAGGCGGCTGATATACGCTTGCAGAAGTACGTTTATTTTGCAATGCGGCTCCTCGACGCTCTCCTTCACAGGAATGGGCACTCGAGCTAGAATCTTGGCGAGCTCCAACTTCTCATCTTGACGAACGGGGATGTATTTAAACTCAGCGCTAAGAGCGAACACTCGGAAGAGTTCAATTGTTGTGATAGAAGGCTGAATGAGTTTATTGTAGGTGTCCATAGACCCATGCGTGATGTAGTAGTGAGACGAGATTCTTCCGAGCTCGGTTGCCTTGACCTTCCCTGTCTTTTCATCATATGTGATCAGGTTGGACTTTTTTAGCACAGAAGCTGCGGAGTGTATAAGGTCGACTCGTTTCTGCTCCAAGGCTTCATCATCTTCGTAGTCGGCTCCGACGCTGTAGAGACCGGGTGACCTTAGCATTCGAACGAATAGGTACGTATATCCGAGCCATTCTACTCCTTCGTCTCGACTTCGGACATTGCCTAGAACGATTTCCGCATTGAGGTTATCTACGAGCTTACTAGCAAATTGACTCTCAATTGGCAATTGCTGGTTCAGTAACGATAAATAGTACTTCATCTCACTTTGTGACGTGATGATGATACCCTCACCATAAGTATCGTACTGTGGCCGCCCAGCACGACCTAGCATCTGCAGAACGTCCTGGGGGCTTAATTCTACCCAACTACCCTTCTCTGGGGAGTAGACTTGAGTGCCCTTGATGATCACCGTATGCGCAGGCAAGTTCACACCCCAGGCGAGAGTAGCGGTACACACGAGTACTTGGATGAGACCAGCTGAGAAGAGGCCCTCGACCTCGTCTCGATCGACACGATCCATACCGGCATGATGTATACCGAATCCATAAGGAAGAAGATCCTTCAGGTCGGCATCTTTTATGTCATTAACAATTACATTCAGAGCTTCTCGGGAGCCTGAATCGTGCTTCAGGATTTGGTTAATAGTCTCCATCTCGAGAGCCCTGTCTCGGATATACTTTGCGGTCTTTGCAGTCTCTTTTCGTGAATGAACGAAAATAAGCATCTGGTTTCGGTGAGTGCCCACATGTTCAAGGACTTTGTTGTAGGTGATCTCATTCATCGTCTTGAGTTGCTTGATAGCTTTCTTCTCAGAAATTCCAATAAACTCCTGTCTCAAGGGGCATGGCCTATAAGAGCCATCAAAATGGAAGAGCCCCTTGACGGGGTCTACACGGAGGAAGCTAGCCACGTCTCTATAGTTGGGCAAAGTAGCAGACAGACCAACGAGCCGAACAGGGTCGCCGGTTTGTTCTGTCTTTCGGATAGTCCTGCTGACAATACTCTCGATGACAGGCCCACGTTCGTCGTGTAGCAGATGGATCTCGTCGATGATGACTAGCCGCACGAGGTTCGTGTACGTCAAATCCGTGGCCTTCCGCGTAATGACGTCCCATTTCTCTGGTGTGGTTACAATTATCTGGGTCTCAGATATTTGCTGCTTGGTAAGTTGACGATCACCAGTCAGTTCGGAAACCGTTATTCCGTAAGGTTTTAAACGTGCACCAAAATTGCCGACTTGCTCTTGCACTAGAGCTTTTAAAGGCGCAATGTATACAATTTTGAACGCATCCAGGTCAATATCTCCTGTTCGCGGATCTCTATACTTTCCAAGCTCTCGTAAGATTGTCAGCATAGCAACGTTTGTTTTACCACTGCCTGTCGGAGCACAGATGAGCATATTGCCGTCGTCCTCGAAAGCCGTTGGGTAACACTTTGTCTGAATCTTGTTGAGAGATTTGGCTGAGCTGAAAGGCACGCGTGCCCACTCCGGCATATCAGTGATGGGGATATTGGTGTCTTCCGCTTGGCTGCGCTTCTTCGGTGGGGGAACATGAATTTCTTCATAGCCCTTGAAGGCTCGTTTGGTTGAGCCCTCGGGAAGCCTGACTTGCGGGTTTGTCATGAGATGGTTGCCCTGGTCGAACACGAGGTTCTCAAGATTGATAAATTTCCGTGGTTGGAGGCCACCGACAAGCTGACCCTCTGCCCGCTCAGGCTGCGGTGCTGTGTTAAACGAAGCAGGCACATCAATATCCATCTTGATTTCCATCTTCTTCGGGGCATCAGTCGCCTTCTTGCCCCGAAGTTCGTCCAGGATCCATCGAACACCCTCCGATGCCATTTCCCGTTCAATAACGCCCCTTTCCTCATCGCCTTCCGCCCTGGCTAGACGCGTAAGCCATACGATCTTCTCTCGGTTCTCGATTAGCTTTTGGACGACCTCGTGATGTTCGTAATCAAGGAGTTCCATCAATTCATTCTCGATCTCCCTTAGCTGTTTCTCTTCCCCGCCAGGCTCGTCAGGGTCTCCGGATAGTATATGTAATGCTTGGGCGGTCTTCTCGTGTCGGATGTGGTCGTCGGTATATATATTACCAATCTCTCTTTGCAACCAGTAGGCGTCGATCTGGCGCGCAGGGATATAGTTGGTTTTTTTCGAAGCTCCTCCACGCTTGCTATCCGGCAAACCAGAATCTATCACCAACTCATCCTCATCATCGGCCAAGCCGGCTTGTTCATGGTCCCGATCCTCTCCAGCTCCTCCAGCTGTTGCCCGTTCCTCCATGCCCGTCAGATCCTCTTCATCATTATCCAAGACAGCCTCATCATCGGAAGACTCATCTCGAACCTCATCTACCAAGGCCTCCCCGTCTTCCTCTTCATCGTCAAAGACAACAGCAACACCCTGGCGTTCATCGAGTTCCTGGTCACCTTCAGCCGCCCCCGTTCCTGTGTCCATCTCCTCATCATCGTTTTGGGTATCATAATCTGTAATTTTCTTTCCGAGGTTGACCAACTCGTTGAATTGCTTAGGGTTCAATGTAGCGCCTAGAAGGTCATCGATCTCCTTCTTCTTATCGAAGTCTTTCATATCCTCGTCCTTGAGGTATTCTAAGACAGCATCCGCGGCGCTCAAGACAATCTCGTGGGACACGTCACCGAGGTTCTGTGCTACGACATTCAATATTAGATCGTAGGTGGCACGAGTAGCTGGTATGCGCGGTTGATACCGTAGGCCTTCCACAAGTAAATCTGTCTGTCCAAGGATTCCTGTTGCACGCATCTGCGACGGATCGCCCTTTCGTTTTCTCTGCTCACGGGCTAATATATCTTGGCCCTCTTGCACATCTCCTCTTTTTATATCTAGACCGGTGGCCTTCTTCTGTTTAGGAGCCTCGTCGCGCGCAACCCTAGAGCCCATATCGTTGATCTTTAAACGACCTGCAAGGGATTCGGGGTCGCCAGTAGCCTCGTCAGTTCGCCGCGTGACAAACCGTCTGTCCGCCTGGAGAACCAGGTTGGACATTGCCGAGTACTTGTACTGCGACACATCTCGATGATGGTCCGCCATCTTGGGGTATATTTCGGGTTTGGGATCTTGGTAGTTGACGGCGATATCAAGAGGTGGCGGGAAGACGATTGCCGGCAAAGTCCAATTTGTTGATCAAATGGACGTGGGCGCCGTATTTGCCTGCAGATATAGCATTGAAAGGCGTTAAGTAGGATAATTGTGTTTTTGTAAGAGATTGTTTTCGTTCGAGTATCCCTCTATAAGAGATCGATTTACTACCTAGGAGGTAATGGAGAGTGTTACTGGGTGTTTGTTCCTTTTCGATTGAAGAATTGGAAAGTCAATGTTATGAAGCTAAAGAAGCTAAAGAAATAGTGGATCTCAAGCTCTAAGAACGCTGTTGTAACTTGTAAAAACTTCTAGGCCGTGCTGAGGGACAGTAAACTCTAATTAATTACTGTGCACTAGGCACCAAGCCAGTCAGTTAGCGGGATGATTACCTAGTACTAGGTAGTTATGTGGGTCCTTGCCTTAACAACATTGAAGTATCTCGTACCTGCATCTACAACATCAATTCGATCATGGATATTTGATGTACATAGGTACATACTGAAGTCGGTCTGCCAACTTGGAAACAACATTTGAACTTGGAACTCTTCCTCCTTAAGATTGACCTCGATATACTCATATCAGGTGATTTATACATGATATATATGCCTGTGCCTTTCCTATCACAAACACACAATAATACCATTATACCATTATCGGCAACCAGCCCCCATGGATGCCGTAGACAAGGACCTGCTATGTGAGCGCGCCCGCGATGTCCTCCAGAACCGGGTGCGTCCCCGCGAGGAGGTCACCGCCGTGCGGCGGCACCTAGCGCACGACCTAGCCCAGAGCCTCGGCGTCGAGAAGCTCAGCAGCCCCCTGTCCCTCGTGGACCACCTGGATAGCGTCACCATCACGCCCTCGGACGCTTTGCAGGGGACTTACAGAGAATACGTCGAGGCCGTGCGGCGGAACGTCGAGATCCGCGCCGAGTTCGCCAGGCTGCAGGCGGAGCACGAGGAGGCCACCGCCGCCGCCCTCTCGTCGCCGCAGTCGGAGTCGGACCAGCAAGCGCAGCTGCTGGAGCTGCAGCTCGAGGTGAACGCGCTCGAGCAGGAGCACGAGCGGCTCGGCGTCGTCGACAAGTACCTGCAAGCGCTGCAGCGCCAGCCGGCCGCCGCGCCGGACTTCCTCGACGCGAAGGCCATGTCCAAGGAGTGCTCCTCCTCCTCCTCCCCTCTGCCCCAGCTGCCCAAGGAGTTCATGGACGGCTTCACGCAGGACCGGGACGCGCCGAGCCGCGAGATCCAGGAGCTGCTGTCGCGTCTGCAGAAGGCGGTGCTGCGCAACAAGCTGCTCGCGCAGCGGGAGAAGCAGAACTTCGAGAAGCTGAAGGCCAGGAGCCCCGTCGACCCCGGCACGCTGTCCCCGGAGGCGCAGCTGCACGCGCTCAACGCGGTGAAGGACAGCCTGATCAGCTGGATCGAGACGATGCTCAGCAAAGCCGGCGGCGAAGACGAGGAGCCGAGCTCCGAATCGCCGGTCAAGCCCCGGCAGACGGCCGGGGGTCAACCGGAGGAGAAGTTCGACCGCGACACGCACATCGCCTCGATCCAGCGGGAATACGCGCAGCACATCTCGCTGCGCCAGGAGATCCTCTCCTCCATCGCGCAGCTCAATCACCTCAAACTCGAGTCCCCGCCGAAGCAAGACCCGGGGCCCGAGGAACTGCCCCCCAGCATCATCCCCGCATCCGAAGCCTTCCTCCTAACGCCCTACCTCGAAAAGCTACAGGCGATCTCGCGCGAGCAGAAGGGGCTGATCCAGGAGAAATCGCACATCAACGCCTCGCTCGCGAAGCAGCAGCAGGACTTCAACAAGATGCTCAGCCACCTCGTCGAGGAGAGCCACCTCCTGCAGCAACACCCGTCCTCCAAGAAGCCGCCCACCAACACCAACACCACCACCAGCTTCGGCGAAGCGACAAAGGGGGCAGCGAGCAAGTCCAGCAGCAGCGTCACGGCACAGGTCGAGCCGTGGATCGCGGCCGCGCACTCGGCGCAGATCGCCACGCTCGAGGCCGTCTTCGAGAAGGTCGAGGACGGCCAGGTCGCCGCCGACGACGCCATGCAGGCGCTCGACCAGGTGCGGCGGCTGCTCAACAAGGAGGTCGAGGCGCCGGAAGAGGATGGCCAGGGCCAGGGCCAGGATGCTTCGGAGCAGCAGCGGGACATGTGGCTGGGAGAGGATGAGGGGGGGAACGCCAGGGCACGAGTTGTGAGGAAGAATAGGGAGAAGAAGAAGGTTGAGAAGCAGAAAGGGGAGAGCATTTATGCCAAGTTGGACGGTAATCTTGGGCTGATCAATGAGTAGGGGAGGGGGCGCGTGATGATGGTAGTTAATTTCAATCATTTTTACTAATTTCACCAAGACCAAGATGAAATACTCAGTCTCGCTTTTCAAGTCCGAAGCAGTTCGATAGTAGCTACCTACCTCTCACATCTACCTAGCACACACAGCACATCCAAGTTTTTTTTTACCGACCCCAACACCATGATAAACCCATGATATATTCATTTATTTACTGTATTGCATTCCATTCCTATCGGAATGACTAAAGACCACCTTCAAGGGGTTACAGCTAACTTTTCCCAGCCAATATGTTTGATATCCTCAGCGACAAATCCAATATCGACAGGTGCTCGTCCGCGCCGTCTACTAGTCGCTTATCGATCTCCGAAAAGACCAACGTGATCTTATTCTTCGCCACGTCCGGGATCATCTCGTCTTGGATGACTGCGTGGTATAACTGTGAGGCGTACGTTTGTTAGCCATTGATGCCGCATAAAGGGGTAGTGAGAAAAATAGCAAATAACTCACTTGTGAAAGCACCTGCCCAGCACTCCACCCATCCGCAACCATCTCCTCCACGACCTTTGCGATGGCTTGATACGTCGCACCCGCGGACCTGGGCTGCATTGCCTTTTGCAGTCTCTCGATCGTTTGGTCGGGAATCACACCGGCGATCTCTTCTATGATCTTGACCGTCACGATGTTCGGGTCTCCATCCACGTCCATCTTATCTTCATCGCCTTCCTTCTCAATGGCGCCCACCAATCTCGCTGCACTCTGTAGAAACGTGATGGCTTTTCTCAAATCACCCTCGCTACACTTAATGAGGGCATCCACAGCACCGTCCTCAAGAGTAACACCTTCTTTTTCGGAGATCTCCTCCAGCCGCTTCTTCGCATTGCTCTGGTCTAAGCTCTTGAACCTAAACTTGCTGCATCGACTAGCTAAGGGGTCGATGATTCTGGTAACGTAGTTGCAAATCAGACAGAAGCGGGTGATCTTGCTATACGTTTCCATCGTTCGTCGGAGAGCGCTCTGGGCATCCTGCGTCATGCTGTCGGCTTCGTCGAGGATGATGATCTTGAAAGGAGGGCAGGGGTAACGGCTCCTGTAGCCGGCGGGTGGGTTCGTCAACTGCATACGTGCGAAATCCTTCACTTTCTCTCGTACGATGGATATGCCACGTTCGTCGGAGGCATTGAGTTCGAGCACACGTGATTTAATCATTTCCGGACCGTATAGCTCTTTTGCGAGCGCGAGAATCGTGGAGGTCTTGCCCGTACCGGGTGGGCCATAGAACAGCATATGAGGTAACTAGGTTAGAAAGCTCTGTCAGCATTTCGTACAAAATGAATGTCCCAACTACTAAGTATGAATCCACGGGATTGGCTTACATTAGAGGCTTGGAGAGTCCGTTGTAGGACGTTGACGGTGTGGTCTTGGGCGGTGACATCACTAAGAGTCTTGGGTCGGCTATGCAGTATCTAGGTCAGCTATTTTTGTTGCTTATTTGTTTATTTGTTACTTATTTATCTTATGATTTAACAAGCCCAAAATGGAAAAAAATGAAGCGTACTATTTTTCTACCCATGGCTGTTTTCTGGTATTCTGCTTTGAGTCTTCTTGTTTTAACGCTGATGCGCCGTTTGCTGCCGCTGCTTTGCGCGCCTTGAGATCGAAGAAGCTCGCCATGGTCAGAATCTCGATTGTGCTTATGATGCTGTGCTTATGATGCTCCTGTGCTAGTTATCAATTTGACTTGGAGGACTGCATATATGATGTAGTATCATCTAGTATCATCTAGGTAGTGTCATTGATATTCCTAGGCATAACTAAGTCAATGCATTTCAAATAAAAATGGATTCCCCACTGACTGACGCGTGACGGAACGCGCTTTTGGCTCGCACGTAGGAAGTATTGTCAATTAAAGGTCAAAAGGGGAAGGCGGTGTGTTTAGTTAGGTAACATGTCTCCACTTTAACTATGAATTTAAATATAAATAATATAAATTAGTATAACCACGACAATTTACCTACGCAGCATTTACTAGTTGCTTTAGTCTCTTTTCAATAATATCCCGCCCGTTGCGACTTCTCCAAACTTCATGAGACGCCTCATCGACAATATCCCAATGCTTTAACTTGTGCGTGAGATGACTGATATCCCGTTGTTTATCTTCCCATCCGCTATCCCTCCGGATTTCAACACCGGAGCTGATTAGACTCAGCGGAACATCCGGGTTCTGGATGGCAGAGCTACTGGCCAGGTCACGTTTCGACAACGTGTCGGCCACCAAGTTCTCTTGTAGTTGCATGAACAGGGACTTTCCAGTCTGGTAGGCGCTCTGTCCCCATACTCGATCTTCTTTGGTTCGGCCATTGAAGAGTGCGCCTGGGACGCGATCAAGGCCTAGCGGGGAAATTATACCCCGAATCCAAAGCTTGAAACCTCTTGTTGGTGAGCCTACCCTACTAAGATCATCTTCATGGAGCGGGTCGATAAAAAGGAGCCCCTTGACGTCTCCGCCATGGCGAGCAGAGAAGATTCGAGAATAGATGGACCCTATGCCGGCGCTCACAAGTACTAGTCAACTTGTTAGCAATTTGTGAGGTAAAATCTATAAACACCACACCGAGGGAAAACGTACCCCATGGACCATCTTCACCAGCTCGAGCGAGTGCTTCGCTGACAGCCTCGGCTGCCATGCCCGCGGACAGAGGTGACGGCGCAGTGTCGCTCTATGAATTATTAGCATATCATGTTTGCGTATTAAAAGATTAATTATACGTACCCAAGCGAATCCAGGTCGATCAACAAAACAAAATCGGCTTATCGAACCATTATTCACAGCGTTCTCTGCAAATTGCCATAGACCATCCTCGACAGAATTCTCGCCCCCTTCTATCAGTACTGTGGGTACTTTGGCTCCCTTCGAGTCAGTCTTGTTTCCATGGCAGTAAACGTGCATCATATATTTATCCCCGTCTACCCAGTACATCTCGCCTGGGGGTGCCAATCCAGCATCGAGGGCGCGAAGAATGAGGGTGCAGGTTGTCAGGAACACCACGAGAGAGAGTATAACCATGGAAAAGGTAGACAGTAGAACAGCAGTCCATTCAGCCAGGGTGCGTCGTGTTTCAGCTCGGCCGGTCAGCCTCTCTTCCTCTTCGGTCTTGCCCCATTTGACTAGTCGGTCGGCGAGTAAGGTCCAGATAGCCATCAAAAGTGCCCCTAAAAACGCGCGCATTAGTATTAAGTATACTCTCCTCGGGTCCAGGGTGACATACACGTGATACTGATCATTCCTACCCAGCCTTCCTCATGCCTTGTCTTCTCCACTGCAATCAACAAGATGGTGTCCACCAATAACAATGCCCCCATGACAACGCTCATTATCCGAACCGATTTCGAGGGTATAGCAAAAAATATGAGGGTGAAGAGCAGGTTGGCTAAAGTCAAGCTGGAATAGCTAAAGGCGAAGTACCCTGATCCCCTCGTGTGAAAGCCAGGGGGTGTGACAAATATCGAGACAAGTAGGATAGTCCACCACACAAAGGTGAGTATTGTGAAGATGATAGTCAGGTACCGCACAAGCCGTACGCTCCAGAGGTTATATGGTGAGACCGCTGGATCATCCGGGCTCAGATAACCTTGGTACTGCGTGCTCTCGACTCGGTTTGGCAGCAGTCGAGTATGTTCGTTGGCCCCATCTCCTTCATCTTCTCGTTGGTCTATTGAACGCCGCGGACTATCGTCGCCTCTCTTCGAGCCTCCCCAGAGTTTATTCATCTCGTGACTTTGATTGATCTCTTTGGAAAACCTCGGTAAGTTATATAAGTAATATAAGTTATACAGGTATTAAGATGTAGGGTAGGTAACAGAGAAAAGGTCAAGCTACCAGCGCAAAATAATTTCTGGTGATATTATTTAGGATATTAATTTATTATTTATTAGACGGATGTTCCTGGGTATAAGAAAGAAAACAATAGAACAGGAAACCTTGCTTTGCTCCCGGCCTTGTTGATTGAGTCGTGTGAGTCGAGCCATGTCTACGTCATGACTATTAGCTTAATATGTAGCTCTACCTACCTAGGCTGGCCCCGCACCCCCTGTTGAAAACCGTTTGCCGTACTTACCACCAAGGGTAGGTTACCTAGGTAGGTGTCTCTTTATAGAATACCTAAATACATACATACCAAAGTGTTTAATATCGAATCAGATCATGTCACCTGGACATGAATTTTTTTTTGGACTTGTATCAATTCTTTAGATGTTAGTATCATGAGCTTCAATGTTCGTTCGAGTTTGAGTAAGGTAAGCTGGGATAGGGGTTAGTAGGTAAATCGAAAATCTGAAATCTAAAATCGATTTCTCCAATTGCCATCTCCCCATTAAATCTAAATAATATCGATCCTTCAAGGTTATAATTACATATTACTCATCATCCCAATGTCTTGACTACCTAAACTCCTATTATGTAGTATCACGAAGCTACTAGGTTACGTACTAGGTAGGTATTTAGTTCATTACTTCAGCGTCCATGTAAATATATATGACCAAAGTATCCTCCCACGGATAGACGACGTTAGATACAAATGCCTACCGACCAGTAACTAGGTATGTATACGTTGCGTTCATCTCAAGATCCCTCCCCATTGCAAGTGTCAAGAAAGATTGTCTGTTTAATTTGGTTTTGTCCCCCTTTCTCCCTTTTAAAATGACCCATAGTTTCTCGGAAGAATGATGGGTGCGACAGAGTCATATATGACAATATTAACTGAGCCATTGTGTAGTCCTGCTTAAGCCATCGATAGTGGTGTTTCCTATGCCTGAACAGCACTTGAGCTCTTATCGTGCGGTGTCTTCATTAGCTGCACTGAAGGCCACGCTGCTGGAAGATGAATATTGGCTGGGACTCGACTGTAAACCTCTAGATGCTCCGCCTCCCATATTATCTGACTGTGGTGTCAGCTTTCGCTGTTCCGCCTCCTTTGGAGCTATATCCTCTGGGTCAGGTCCTCGGCCAGCTGGCTTTATGGCATCATGGGGTAATACACCAATTGGCAAGTGAAGCTTTGCTTTTGCTTGAGGATCATCCAATGCAATATGAGCCTTCTTATATGTCTCTCTTTTATACTGCTTCAATGCTTGAGCTGATGGCTCTGATACGGAGATCCAACCCTTGAGCTGAGATAGCCAGCCTTGTTTGCCATATCTCTTGTTCTGAGTAGAGTCCAACCCGGAATCGTTGCGTCTGCTTTTAATGCTATTTCTGAGAGTACTGCTACTGAACCCAGAGGTGCTATGCGAGTCATTTCTATGATGGCCGGATTCCATCTCGAGTACTTTCATCGATGCTGTGGCTTGTGATATGCCTATTTCATCCTCGATGTTTGTCGATGAGCCTCGAACCCATCCGCGCGAGAATGAAAGTGGCGATAGGCCAGCTCTTTCGGCTGGGGTGGGTGGTTTGAGTTTCGTATCAATTAACGGGATTCCCGAGCTTGACGCAGGACGATTCGGACTCGCAGAAGGCAGGGCTATGAGCCGATATGCATCTAACGATACCGTTGTCTTATGTTTACCAACCGAGTTTCGCTTCAGACGGGACGGCACGATGGAATTCTGGGTAAAATAACGATCTCCAAACGACTGACTCTTGGAGAATCTGGCCACACTCTTCTCGGTACTCTTCTAGAGACGCGAAGAACCTTGGGCCTGAGATGAAGACAGTCGCAGTAGAGTTCCTCGACGTTGTTTCTTTCTCGCCTTGGGCTCTTCCAAAGATAATGATTCTCGATCCGAAGGTAAATCCGGCGATATTCCAATGCCAAATTCTTCACGCTGGCTGTTCTCGCCCTCGTCGTCAAGTTGAATATAATCCTCCTCTCCTTCAGATCTAAAGAAGAAGGGATCATCTAGCCCAGAGGTCCTGAACCGGCCCACCCGGGAAATGGTACCAGGAGAGAAGTTGCAAATCTCGCCTAATTGGTCCCAGGGAGTTTGGCCGGCTTCAGGTGACGGATACGACGGCGGTTGCTCAGATCTTCCAACGTTGATTGGATATGAGAAATTTCGTAGGACAGGAGGGGTATGTCGTTGGGGCGTATCTGGTGTTTGCGGCGTGATTAAGGTATCCTCCCGAGAAGGGCTGACAGCAGCAGACAGCTTGGGCTTCCGGAAACGTTCAACGAACCCTACCATTGTACGTTGAAAGGCCAAGCTGTGACCAGGTATAGTGTTAGAAGGTAGAGAACTGACCACGGAAAAGATATCAGTCGAGAAACGATTGAAGCAATTTTGTAGGCAGGTATCTAATAAAGATAAGAGCAAGTAATTGTATAACGCAGTGAAATGATCACCTAACGTAGGTAGTCTTCAACACTACATACTAAGTATGTATTGAAGATTGGGTAAGGTCAAGGAGATGCCAAATGATATGAAAGGTGAAGAGGATGAAACAAGATTGGGTGCAGAAGCGAGAGGAAATCTTACTAGGTACCTGACCTTCCATCATGATTCACCTTGACTCGAAGCTTCCTTGTAAGTTGGGATTTACATGCACATATATAAGTGACTACCCTAAGGTAGGTATGTAGGTAGGCAAGAACGCCCGGCTAGCCTCGTGTTGGCTTGTGAGCTGAGAGTAGTGTAATGCATGATGATTGGCTATGGTTCAAAGAAAGGGGGGAAAGAAAAGGGGCAGCTGCGCACGGACAACATTCATATCACCCCATTCTCCCTTCCTGAATAAAAGAAAAAGTAAAGTTTGGCATTAGCAAGATCTGGCCAGCAGCCACGTATCAGGTGGAAACGCGTGGCTACCTGAATATCAACTACATACTACTACTAGTAGTAGACACTCAGTAATTAACATTTCACGTGAATTTCACGTTACAGCGCAGCGTGGACAATAAGAACGATACTATCGAACTAAAAAAGCTCCTGAAAATAACATGGCCACTGAGTGCATAATAGCGAAATAGGGGTATATATTCTACCTACGAAGCTCGTACGTATCACTCCTATGATAAGGAGGCATAGAGCTAGATCTCAGGTTTTAGCGTCGCACCTTGGATAGGAATGCCTATGCTTTCCTGGCTGTCATGAGATGACTGGTGTGTCCAACAGGAGTTTTCGATGCTAAGAACAGTTTCGTTGTCTGACTCAGAAGCCATAACTCGACGAGCCACATACCTTTCGGGCGGAAGCGAACGGTTGTGTTGCTCTTGTCGGGTGTTCCTCGTGTAGCAGTAAAGGCTGCGAAAGGAGGCTATGCAGGCCACAAATATTGCTGTGCCAATTTGAGAATCCTGTTAGTTACTCTTAATCGTAGAAGAAGGTAGGTAGAAATGGTTGGGGGGATAGGGGTCGTACCGAGAGTCATTTCAACAGAATTCCATACAAGTAGCCAGCTATAATCTGGTCTCTTGCCTAGAGCGTCTGTTACAATGCGAATAATCGCCGCGATCATCATGAATACCGTCAAAGAGCATATGAAACCCAGCATAAGCTTTTTCTTCCACGGTAAACGTGCTCTCCAAACGATATTGGCCGAGACTCCCATAACTAGATACGCAGGTAGTCAACCTTTGTTAGCATCTTCCAAACCCTCTGACAGCTAGCTAGGGACTTGCCAACTTACTTGAAATATCAGTGACAATATCGAATGCAGTGCAAATTTGCGTGGCTGCGTATGCGAGATAGCCATCACTAACAACCTTTTGGGTGGAACATTTGGCTATACCCGCAGGTAGGTACCTACTTATTAGATGAATTTCGAAATAGGATGGTTCTACTTAGGTAAGGTAGGTAATCGTACTCAAGATCTCCAAGCCACTGCTAGTCAAGCATTGGTAGTCATACATGGCAACGCTGACCACGTAACCGACCAGAATAAAGACCAAGACGCACCACCATAGAATCTGCTGGGCTTTGATCTGTCTTCCCAGGCCGTAGAAGAATGACATGAAGGACAGCTTAATCAGCCACAAGCAAGTCCACGTGCAAAAGTAGCTTGCCAGCTTCCCATGCTGCACCGATCCGATTTTCTCCAATTGTAATGCTTCATTCGGTTGGTTGACGCCGCCGAAGCCGTAGTTTAGAGTGAAGTAAAGGTCATTGCCCAAAACAGACCAAATGATGGCCGATGCGAGGTGGAGAAACAGGCCGCCAATAACGAGATAATCGTCTGTTTTGAATCGGCCGAGGAGCTTGGCACGGAATAGCAGTCTTGCAGAGACGACTGCAACCGAGAGCGCTGCTCCCGACCAAAGCACGCCCTATGAACTGTCGATTAGCCACGCTGCCTGGTTACTTAGCATGTACTCATCACCCGAGTTTTGACATACAAGGAGAGTAGTCTGTGAGACGCTGGCAGTTGATGACTGAGGAAGAGTAGACATTTGGGCATTTGACAGCGTTAATATCCGAACCCATCGCTTGAAAGCTTTTGATTGTTTAAAGAATGAATCTAAACACTGAACCGCAGATCTTATTTCATCTTCTGGAATGAGCTATATAAGCCTATCTAGACATACACCTGTCTCACCGTTGTGTGACCTTCGCCTAGCGAGAGAAGGATTCTATGGCTGTATTATGCATGTGGACAATCCGCCAATCGTATTTTTGGGTTGATACCTGATAGTTTGCCCGAGTAAGCAAGTAGTTGCAATGACTACTATTCAGTTATGTCGCTTGTCGACTGCTAACTCGGCGACACTATCAACCGCTTCTTTGCGGAGACTTGGGTGCCTTGTAAGATACAATGCGACGAAATTGCCCACTAAAAATGCAGAGGAGAGTGGCGAGATGTGTCAGGAGTAGTGAGGGATGATATTGAGGGAAAGCAGTTTGGTGTATACCTAGGGTATTTTGCACAGAAGATATGACGCAAACAGCATCCTATGTAGTTGCAACTGCTGCTGAAGTAAAACATAGTTATCGTATGTTGCTTTCGTGTGCCATAAGACATTTGATCTAGTGTATACGAAGGACGAAGGATGCATATCTAACGTATAATGCAAGGGAGGCTGTTACTTGGAAGGGAGTCACGTGATAATACTAAACCCACATGACGCGGCGTATCAGCCTATTAGGTCTAATTTTAGGTGCGGGTTAACTAATGCATCTTAGTCACCGGCTAGCTGCTCAGTGCTGGGTACAGTCCGGCTAGTGTCGCTTTAGATCAACGTTTAAGCTCACCTCGTTTGGTCTTATCTGATTAAAAAGATCCCCTTATTAATCCACCCGGCCATATTCCGAATAAATACCTACCACGCCAAACAACAAGAAGCAACCAACCAACCAACTAACCAACACGATACAATCCGTATAACAGAGCTGGCAACGCCAAGTCGCCGCGATGCCGGGCTCGACCAAGACCAACACGAGCGGCGCCGCAGCCGGCGCGACCGCGCAATCAGCGCAACCACATCCCGCCGCAACATCGAACACCACCGGCCAACCGGCCAACACAGATGCAACAACCACAAATCCCGGCGTCAACACCCCCTCGCGCCCCTCGTCGCCCCAGAGACCCCCCTACAGTCCCATCACCCCCCCGCAAAAGCCCGTCGCCTTCCCGCCGCACCCACACTACACCCACGCCACCCACCAAGACCAGATTGCCATCCCTCCGCCCCAGCCCGAGACCATCGATTTCGAGAACAACCCCGACGCCATCGCCCTCAGATCCGCCATCTCGATCCTGCTGATACAGCGCCGCAAGGCCGAAGCCGACATGGCCGCTCTCCAGCAAGCCAAGAAGGCTGCCTTGGCCGAGCCCGACGCTTTCGTGCAGGACCTGATGGGAGGCCAGATCCATGTCGAGGGCGAGGGATTGTTCATCAGCGGCGCGCGGAGTAGTGATGGACGGGGTAGCGGTGAGCGCGAGGGCTCAGACTCAGATTCGGACTCGTCAGATTCAGACTCGGAACCCGGTGAAGCAACTGTTCAAGATGGTGATGGCACTGCTGCGCCAACCCAAGCGACCTCACAAACCCTAGTAGGAACAGGAATAGGCAGTGCCAACACATCATCTAGTATAGCAACAACAGCCCTACAAACCCAGAATATGCCCGCAGGTCCGGGGTCAGGAGGGGAAGAAGTCGCTACCACTACCGCTACCAATCCGGGCCCCGACACCCCGAACACCCCGAACACCCAGCAGCAACAAGCAAGACGCCGCGAACAAACCACAACCCAACCCAAACCCTGGGCCAATCTCCCCAAGCCCCAAACCGTCGTCCGCTGCCCACCGATCAACTGGTCGCAATACGCCGTCGTCGGCGACTCCCTCGACAAGCTACACGACGAGCAACTGCGGGCGCCCACGCAGGGCACGCCCGCCATCATGACGCGCGGCGGGCGCCCCGAGTTCCGAGGGGGGCTCGGCAAGCGGGAGCGCCTCGTCGGCGTCGGCGCCCCCTACGCGCCCGGCAAGGACAAGATTGACAGGCGCGCTAAGCGGGGGAAGCCTTGATTACCTAACCTAACCTAACCTACCTACCTAACCTTGTTCATCGCTGTGTACCCCACCACCACCACCACCATCACCACCACCACCAACAGCAGCAGCAACACATACAAACCCGTCCAAAGTACTTGAAATATACAATACTTTGTTTTGGAGCTTTGCTTTACCTTTTTATTTATTATTATTATTATTACGATTATTCTTAACGATACCCCGGGAAACCCACGCAAAAAAAAAAAAACCCCTCTCTTGCCGTTACTACTACCTGTCAGTAAGCACTGTTAGGTTACCCACCTACTAATCTTAGTACTAGTACTATGCACTTTATTGAGCTTTGCTGGGGTAGAAATGGCTTTTAGTTGGGGAAGGGACCCAGCAACAGACAGGCACTCTTACCAAGAGTCTAGAAACAACATTTACGGAGTTACGGCTAATGACGACAGGGATGAAGGGATGGATGGATGGATGGATGGATAGATACGTGAAGGGTCAAATTATATACCTAGTGCTACGAACATACATGTAGCAGTGTGCAACAACTCGATGAATACATACCTAGCCAAAGGTGATGTATATAAATAGGCGTGGTTATACGAGAGCATACTTATGTGAAAATCTGTAAACAATCTCAATAACCCAAGCTCCACCGACAACACATAACAACAACGTCCCATATTGATCATGATAAACATAGCTGGATTCATTAACTACCTACTAGGTAAATAATTTGTAGTGGAAGTGAACGCGAGGCAGTCTTGGGAACCTGTAACCAGTCCACGGTGCATTAGACCATCAAACCACGAGTGGGACATACCGGACTGCAAACGTTACTGCTCGTCGAATGTACTGAAACCGCGGTACTTAGGTGTGGATCCATATTATCACATCTTGTGTATAGCCTGCAAAAGCAAGAGGTATCACTCTCCAGTCTAGAAACCATCGATTTGGATGGCATACCGAATCATGTGTTTCGCAAGAGTTGCCGTTGGCTAAATTTCATCTTCCGGGTAGAGAGGTCGAGGAAACACAATACCTAGTAGTCAGCCATACTCGCCTTGCTCGAATGGCCTTCATTTCTCCCTCTACCATTGGGTGTACTGCAAAATTTTGTACTGGCCATTCTAGAGACGGCAACCATGATTGAGGTAACAGATTAGAAGTCCTCTGCACTTCGCTGTACCGATCGGCGCAGTCGTCTGTTATATGTTCTTCTTTCATCTGCACTGCCCCAATACAGCTTGTGCGCCTCTGGATGTATTAACGTTCTTGGATCGTATGGTGGCTGTTCCTCTTCCAGGGCCTCGATGATGGCTTCGATATGTTGCTTAACATCCTCCCGCCGATTGGGCTTGGGAAAGTAACACAGTGTGCCATCTGTTGCGATCCGGTGGTGGAATATTGGCGTCAGGAATTTGACTCTCGGTTGCTCTTCAGGGAAGCTCGGACTGAAGTTGAGCTTGATGCGGAACACTCCCCCGTCCAGGTTCGTCATGGGCCGGCCAAAGTACGTCAAATCCCATACAAACGGATTGTCATCCACCAACTCAATATTACGAGGGACGTCGCTGCCCTTGAAAGACTCCTTGATCTGCTCGAACTGTCGCCTGAGATTGACTGCCATCGTTGTATCTTTCACCCTCGAAGAGACTCCTTCTACTGCCCACCTATCTGACTCAGCATCGAGAGCGGCCTTTATGCGACACAGCCTTTGTTCTAGATCTGTGTAGTTGAACTTTCCATCCATAGTATTAGATGATCCCTCAAAGGGCATGCGCACGAACGGCTGACCATCCTTAACCTCTTCCTTTGCCTTCTTGATCGTCTCTAGGTACGTATCGAAGTACCATAGAAACCGGCGTTTGCAGAGGTCCTTGAATGGCTCCCATGGGACAGTGGCATCGTCCACATCGATGTCGTCATCGAGATCTATTCTATAGTTCTGCTGTTCTGCTGGAGTGGGAGCTGTCAGGCAGGATCCGGTGATGCCTAGGTAATCCTCAAGCCGTTGTATGATAGAAATGCGCAGCGTCTCATGACGAATCTGTAGAATTTCCAGTCAGAATACCTTATCATGGCATGTTCTTGAAGTATATCACCTTCTCAATGTACTCCTTTTGGTTTTTCTTATCATGTAACTCGTTCGCGTCTTCAAATCCGGGTTCGTTCTCGTAGGGGTTTGAAGACATGAGGCTCTGTATCGAGAGGAGTATCGATTCTAGGCCTTGAGCTGCAGACCACTCCTCTCCTCGCTCTCCTCGCCATGTTCTGGGATCAGGTTAGGCTCGAACGTGAATAGGCACGGTAAGGATCATATACCCAAGGATTGATCTATAGGATGCTTAAGTCAGCGACAAGTACAACAATGCTCAGGCTCAGGGCTTGCATAACTCACAAACAGACTTTCCCAGAACCATAGATATTTGGGTTGAATCGGCAGCGACCACTATTGGTTGTGGTTCCGGTGACGGTGGGAGATTTGCGTGGATAATCTTCTCGTTGAAACTTGATTAGCTGTTTACTTGTAGACATCTATTGTGAAAGGTGTAAGGCCAGAGGTTACCTTTGTTAAACTTAACCGAGAACTTGGGAGGATATTAGTATATACGACGACAGATAGTAAGCGAGCTGAAGCGTAAACGAACCTCAAAGAACCCAAATTCGTATGGTGTTTCGTGAGGCCCTATGATTAAGGCCTTGACGTTGCGGACATCACGATCTCGAAAGGCTACGGCAAGAGCTAGGAAGCACGACAAGAGAATATCAGTACTGAATCTACCTAGGTAGAGACTGTATCTATAATATGCAATCGTGGGAGGGAGGGGTATTAATCATACACAAATCTGAGCTCTTCTGAAGCTCCCCGATTTCCTGTGGGAGATGAAAACGATGGTTAGCCTTGGTGCTGGTGGTGGTAATGGTGCTGGTGCTGGTGCCCCTCCAACAACTTAACATATGATAGGCAGTAAGAGTGAACTGTACCGTACCTTGGTGATGCGGATGATAGACTGGTCCGCCATCTCTTGTATAAGCTCCTCTATCAACTCCTCATAGGTCAGCGGGTAGTGTCAGATGGATGGAGTAGTATATGTGTGGAGGTTGGTTAAAAGTTTGTTGAGTAAATAAGTAGATAAAGGTAAGGTAAAGTACTTCAAAGTTGAATATGTTGGACCACCGAAAGATTATGGCGCGTCAGTGTTAATTTAGGTTGCAGGGTTTAAACTACCATGCATGGATGTATGTTCATATGTATGTATGTATGTACCTAGGTAAGTATTGAAGTTCTCAAGGTTCTTGAAGTTACGAAGGCAAGTTTTAGAGTTAAGAGAATACCTAGGGTAGGGTAGGTAGTAGTAAGTAGTGGTAGGTGGTAGGTGGTAGGTGGTAGGTCACACTTGCTTGCAGCAGCTTTGAGTTGCATGTGGGTTAAGGCTAAGGTGGGGAAGCATCTCCAACATTGAAAGGCAGAAAAGGCGGGGGTCAGTTAGTATGGATTATGTACCAGACATTTCAATGTTCAATGATTCAATGTTGATACATACCTACTTATATAGTCGTACTCTGAATCATATTCTAGGTTATGTATATGTTATTATAAGTGATTACGTTGAGTTTCTGCATTGGTACCTAGTAAGTAAGTATGTATATGCCAGACATGCAAATTGTTACATATGTATGTTATATCATATGTACGATGAATATGTAAATTGTAATGTATTGCGCCTTCCATAGATACAGGTAACATGTGACTAATAGTCATTGAAGTGACTGCCTTTAATGTTCTACACTGATACATCAGTAGTTAGTAGTTACTACCTACTACCTAGTTGCATCCATGGATCATTGATGTATCTCTTCCCTCCTTACTACCTATGCCCGAGTTTTCGAGGGTTACTGTACGGTTTTTTTCCCAAGGGGATTTGGATTACTAAGCAAACGCGCTAGGCTCAAATAGGAAACCTTTTCCACTTTAGGAAGGTGGGGATGTTGTTCACGTAAGCTTGTGGGTCTCTAGGGGAGGAATTTTGGACTTTGCAAAAGAGGAAGGTTTGCCAAGACTTCAAATGGTTGCTCACGTAAGCTTGTGGGTCTCTAGGGGAGGAATTTTGGGCTTTGCAAAAGAGGAAGGTTTGCCAAGACTATCAAGCCACGTGGGGAGCCACAAATGCAGCCACACGTATGGAAAAGTGCTTAAGCTTCAAGTCTCATTAAGTGCTTAAGCTTTCAAATAAGGAATATTGAAGGTTTAATATTATTATAAGCCCTGGAGACATTCAGATCCGTCAGCGGCCATTAAGATCTGATTAACCTATTACAGCTGTTATAAGAATGGAAAATATATGTATTCAATTACCTCAATAGCCCGTGCAAGAAAGTCGAGATTGGCTGGAATCACTGGAATTGTGGGTCCCAGAGGCTACTCTCAGGCTAGTGCCACGCAAAAGATTTTCAAGGTTTTGACACGATGATTTGATTGGGTGCAGTATCCATTGGATCACATGACCTGCTTTTTCAAGCTGCAACTCTTTTTTTTGGACTGTAGGAGCCATCAACCCTTCTGATGCAACCTTTCCAATTGAACCCTTCTTATTCAATTCAGCTGATTAAATTGATCGGATTGAATCAATCGGATTGAACTGATTGGATTGATTGATTGATGGATTGATTGATTGATTGGTTGATTGGTTGATTGGTTGATTAATTGATTGATTGATTGATTGATTGATGGACGGATTGATTGAATGCAGCATCTTTCGGATCACGTGACAGCCTGCAACACTGTCTTTTTTGGTATGGCAGGGAACACACCGGCCATCAACCCTTCTAATTCAACCCTTCTTATTCAACCCTTCTTATTCAATTCAACTGATTGAATTGATCGGATTGATTGAATTGATCAGATTGAGTGAATAGCTGATCTGCATATCCTGTTGCAAGCTGGCTGGCTGGCTGGATAGCTGGTTGAATAGCCCGGGCCAGCTCATCCAACGTTGGATCCAAAGCTGGATCTAATAGCTGCTTGAATAGCTGATCAAATACCTGATTAACGATCTGATTTGTTGAGTGATTAAAGACCTAATTGAATAATGAATCAAAGAGACCAAGGGATTAATGCAATCAAGGGGATCTAAGAGCTGATCGAGAAGCTGAGCAAAGATGTTCCGGTCATGTGACTTTAATCAGGTCCTTAATCAGTTCTTAAATCCCTTGATCCCCTTAATCCCCTTGATTCCTTTAATCTAGTATTCAATCAGGTCTTTAATCAATCAATAAATCAAGTTGTTGAGCAGCTATTTGATCAGCTATTCAAACAGCTATTAGATCCAGCTTTGGAACCAGCGTTGGATAAGCTGGCCCGGGCTATTCAGCCAGCTATCCAGCCAGCTTACAATAGGATATGTAAATCAGCTATTCAATTAATCAATCCATTAATCCATTAATTCAATCAATCCAATCAGTCCAATCCGATTAATTCAATCTAAATCGATCAATTCAATCAGTTGAATTGAGTTCAGTTGGAAGGGTTGATGGCCCCTACTATACCAAAAAAGTGTTGCAGGCAGTCGCGTGATCCGAAAGGTGTTGCATTTAATCAGTCAGTCCATCAATCAATCCAATCAGTTCAATCCGATCAGTTCAATCCGATTAATTCAATCAGTTGAATTGAATTGGAAGGGTTAAATCAGAAGGGTTGATGGTTTGTATATTCCATACCATCAAAAAAAAAAGAGTTGCAGCTTGAAAAAGCAGGTCATGTGATCCAGTGAGTGCCACAGCTGCCCACATCAATCCAATCACATAACTTTTCAACAACATGTGGCACCACGATGCATCCGGATTCAATTGAAAGAGCATTCAATTGCCAATTGATTGATCTGGGCCCCAAACTGAGGCGATACATGGTTGCAAAGTTATTCAGGTAAATAGGCTGGCAAGATGGGGGCACGTGATTAGCGTTGGGGACACATTAAGGGCCTTTAGAGCCGCCTAAGAGCCCTAAAGCCGCCTGGGGTCACCCCAAGCAGTGTCACGTGACCCCTCTCAATAGTTACATATACAAAAATAACTTTTCAACTACGTATTGCCTCAATCCAAGAGCGGTATCAATGGATTCGTAATTGAATGCGCTTTCAATTGGATGCGGTTGCACCCTTGCAGCTATATGTTTCAGAAACGTATTCAAGGTTGAAAGGGTTGAATAAGGTTTAGCTCTAAGGGCTCCAAGGGCCCTTTAGAGTGGCTTCAAGGGTGATCACGTGCCTCCCATTCTGCCACCTATTTACTTGAATAACTTCATGACCAGATATCGCATCAATTCGAGACCGGTATCAATCAATCAGCAATTAGAGGCGCTTTCAATTGGGCCCGGGTTCACTATGGTGCAATATCTGATTCAAAAGTTATTTAAAGTAGAAAAAGGGTTGAATGTGGTTTGGGCTGGGGGCGCTCTAAAAGTGCACCTAAGGGCCCCAGCTTATCCAACGCTGGATCCAAAGCTGGAGCTGTTTGAATAGCTGATCAAATACCTGATCAAATACCTGATCAAATACCTGATCAAATACCTGATCAAATACCTGATCTGTTGATTGATTAAAGACCTGATTGAATACTAGATTAAAGGGATCAAAGGGATTAAGGGGATCAAGGGATCTAAGAACTGATCAAGGACCTGATTAAAGATGTTCCGAGACTTTGATCACATGATGTGATTGAAGTCACATGATCGGAACACCTTTGATCAACTCTTAGATCCCTTTGATCCCCTTGATTGCGTTGATCCCTTGATCCCATTGATTCAATATTCAATCAGGTCTTTAATTAATCAACAGATCAGGTATTTGATCAGGTATTTGATCAGGTCGTTAATCAGGCATTTAATCAGCTATTCAAGCAGCTATTAGATCCGGCTTTGGATCCAGCGTTGGATGAGCTGGCCCGGGCTATTCAGCCAGCTATTCAGCCAGCCAGCCAGCCAGCCAGCTTGCAACAGGATATGTATGTAGATCAGCCATTTAATCAATCAATCCATCCATAAATTCAATCAATTTAATCAATTCAATAACTTCAATCAATCCGATCAATTCAATCACTTGAATTGAATAGGAAGGGTTGAATTAGAAGGGTTGATGGCCCAATAGTGTTGCAGGCAGTCACGTGATCCAGAAGGTGCTGCATTCAATCAATCAGTCCAGGAATCAATCAATCAATCAATCCAATTAGTTCAATCCGATCAGTTCAATCCAATTAGCTCAACCCGATCAGTTTAATCCGACCAAGTTAATCAGTTGAATTGAATAAGAAGGGCTGAATTGGAAGGGTTGAATTGGAAGGGTTGAATTGGAAGGGTTGAATTGGAAGGGTTGAATAAGAAGTGTTGATGGCCCGTGTGCTCCCTACCATCTAAAAAAAAAGAGTTACAACTTGAAAAAGCAGGTCATGTGATCTAAAGGGTGCTGCACCCAATCAAATCGTCTTATCAAAACCTTAAATACTTAGCGCTGCGCTAGCCCGAAAGCAGCCTTTAGTAACATTAAAATTGGGTCCGAGAAAACTCGGGCATTTGTGGCGCGCGCGAGCGTGTGCCCTCTAGTGCCGTAAGCTCCATCTTACTTCGTGGGGAGGAACCAGGAACGGGACCCACTTCCCTTTTCTGTTTCCTTTTTTTTTCTTTTCTTATTTCTTAATTTAAGATCTTCAACCACCCGGCTCTTCTAGTGCGCCGTAAAATGGGACCCGGCTTGTTGTTACATGGATACCTACTAAATATACATAGGTATGTATTTCGAACAGGTCTCCAGTTCTACTAGGCTGATACATAGGACATCTGGAATGTTAGGTATCGCTAGGCGGTCAATGTTCTCTCTCTAGCTCTCCCAGATCAGTCCCGTCATCAGTCCTCTAACCTACAAAGTACCATACCATCTTTACCTCAGCAATAAATACCCAGTATACTACCTAGTAGTATAGTATAGCATTATCATCGTCCTTGTTTTCTCATCACCATGTCCGAATCCATAGCACAACCCCTATTAGGCAAAGTCCTCGTTATTGGTGGATGTGGCTTTCTCGGCCACCACGTTGTCGACCTACTCCTACGCGACTGGAAGTGCACCGTTTCTGTAGTCGACCTTACCTGCCAGCGCAATCGAAGACCCGACTCAGACAATGTCCAATACGTCGAAGCAGACATCACCGATCTTGACAACCTAGTCAAGGTTTTCGGAAAGCTGAAGCCCGATGTTGTCATCCACACGGCGTCGCCTCCAGCACAGGGCCTTGGCGCTGTCGCCAACGATGTGTTCAGGAAGGTCAACGTAGAAGGAACTCGAGCCATCATTTCCGCCTGCCAACAAAATGATGTCAAAGCCTTAGTATACACGAGCTCTGCTAGCGTCATGAGTAATAATAAAGATGACCTCGTGAACGCGAATGAAGACTTTCCAGTCATTAGAGGTAAAATGCAGACGGAATACTACTCTGAGACAAAGGTAATATTCCCTAGCCGCTTAGGCTATATACATACAAGCACAAGCACACACACATTTTACTAACGCGATTTTCCCTAGGCGCACGCCGAGAAGCTTGTTTTAGAGGCGAACCGCAACGAGGGCAGCGACTTACTGACTGTAGCTATTCGACCATCCGGCATATTTGGCGAGGGCGACAAGCAACTGGTCTTCCACACTGTCAACATCCTACGCGAAGGGAAGGATAGGATACAAGTTGGCGCGAATGAAAACTTGTTTGACTTTACCTACGTCCAGAATGTAGCGCACGCCCACCTGCTAGCCGCCCGAGCCCTACTTGTAACGCACGCGTCTTCCACCGCGCCCCTCGATCACGAAAAAGTCGACGGCGAAGCCTTCATAATAACGAACGACAGCCCTGTCTACTTCTGGGACTTCATGCGTGCCATATTCCACGCGGCCGGATCACCAAAGGGAACCGACCACGTCTGGGCCATGAGCCGGGAATTTGGCCTTTTCCTAGGGCTTCTAAGCGAGTTCGCCTTCACACTCCTTAGGAAGGAACCCACCTTCAACCGCCAGCGCATCATATACAGCACCATGACGAGGTACTACGACATCTCCAAGGCGAAGCGCCGTCTCGGCTACCGACCCCTAGTGAGCCTTAGTGAAGGTGTAAAGAGGACAGTCAAATGGACTCTGGACCAGGAGAAGAAGAATGCCACCCCTGCAAAATCATGAGGTGGATATACTACATTCTTCAAAGGGGGGGGTGCTCTCAAAATTGGTTGTATTGTATATATATATGGATGTATAAGGTACCCTGGTGTTGCTAATGGGAAAAAAAAACCCCTCTTAATACGGTGAATATTGAGTTGAGGAGTAATTGGATTATTCTCTACCACACAGACAGTAGTAGCAACGAATTAAACATCATGGATCAGGCATATCGTACAGACTGATGATCAGTCATTTTGCTATCCGTGCCACTTGTTTCTCTCGATACTTGCCTAACCTAGGATGTAGGTGTCTATCTACTTACTGTAGGTGCTTTTTGCTTAGACCTCTATAATTCTAGCTCGCCTCGTTTACTTTTTACGAATGAGGTCTGATACCCCGAGGTAGATGCTACCTAGGCACCTACTTAACAGGATGGTATCGAGCCAAGTATTACTGTCACTCTCTACAATATGTAGGTTCCAAGGATATAAACTACCTAGGTAGGTAGGTAGACACACTCACACACTTTGCTGGTTCAATTAGGTACATAGGAAGATAGGTATATTGTGAATTAATGACACCTTGATCGAGACCACGAAAACAAATTACATTACATCGAGCACTCTTGACCGTTACTTCGATAGGATCTTCACATGTAGCAGCTGGCCGGGACTAAGAATATATTAGATGTGTCAACTGAAGAGAGTTGGCCTGGAATCTCTCTGTATTATCTCTCTTTTTGCTTCTCCTTTTGTCTCTCTTGGTAACTGGATGGGCCCAACTCTTTCTGCTGTGCCGGTCTCATCTATCTTGTTCGCCTTCACATGGGTCATCTCATCCCCAAGACTGGCGGACAGTGCTCACAAAAGAAAAGGCTTGGTGCGTAAGCTACCTATCTGGCTGGGATACCTGGGGACCCTTAGGTTCTGCAAGCTGTCTTCTTCCAATCACTTCCACCTATTGCGAATCTTTTATCCCCTTGCAAGCTCCAAGGAATAGTCAAGTGTTCCCCCCTTTAAAGCAAACTGGAGTTATGAATAAAAATTCTCGCCCAGTCGGGCAAGGCCAAAGGAATTAAGAAGGCAAAGAACGAATCCCATACTCCAAGCTGAGATGCCAAACCATGCGGAACTGGCACAGCATTCCCCAAAGCAAAAATGCTTCAAGAACAGAAGATAGACAGACTAGAAGACCGCCTCAGCTAGGTAAGTCCTGTAAAGACCACAAGGCCCGCTTTCAGGATGGGGAAGATGCGCAACGCCGGTCAAAATGCTGTTTAATCTCTGTACACCTGATTCATGCTATGTCCTAGAGAAATTGAAGGCCCGCAAATATGGGCAGGTTTCGTTTTCTCCTTCAAAAAAACGCACAAGTCGAAGACACATGCTGATATGGAAAGTATATACCTGGGGGTTCGATAATTAACCCGTACCAGTTGTAACGGAACTGCTCGGCTTGCCCCAACCCGAGTTGCGCCACTCTCGCCTCTGGCCATTTTCAGGATGTCTTTGCTGGCTATCTGACCGCTCATATTGGCTCCCTTGTGGCTGTCCACCTTCTGGTTTCCGCCAGTTTTGCGGCGGTGTTCCTTGAGGTGTTGTGAAAGGGATTGTCGGCTCTTGCATAGGACGTGCGCTACTTTCCTGCTGCCATGCGGCAGGGTCAGTAGCGACTCGAGTAGCCAATGGTCTCTTGCTCTCCCCCTGCTGTCGAATAAACTCAGTGTTGTCATATTGTCTAGGGTTGGGATTGAGAGCTCGTGTTTCGATACGTTTGAGGATCTCTTTGGTTGTGATCTCGCCGTTGTTCATGAATAGCGTCGAATCACTTAGGATGTCCATAAGCTCGGCGGGAACCTGATCGAATACGTTAGTAAGACCCAGCATAAAGAAGAAGACCAGTATCATAATACATACCATGCACATTTCCTCGTTGAATTGTATTAGTTCCTCAACACAGGCCACTGCGGTCATAGGCTCGTCCGAGAAGCTCGGGCTTTTGTCATTGGTGTATAGAATGTTCGGGGCGATGACACGGGCTAAGTTGTGTACGTCCATCCTCGATCCAGTATCCTCATCAACTTGGTGAAAGGTAGCCACCCATTTTAAGAAATTGAAGAGGACCTCCAACGTATCGCGATGAATCTGTGGAAGCAAGCAGCACGTCAGATGTAGACAATGACGCCTTTTCTCGGCATCTTTGATCTTGGTGGCCGCTATCCAGACCTTGTACAGCTTTTGTGTCATCAATGGATCTGGGAGTTCACGAAGATACCTCTTCAGGAGCGCTGCAAGTTGGTGTGGAGTTTCATCGTTCCATCGGATGGCATCACAGCCATCCCTATCAACAGCTTGGACCTGCTCAGTGAGCTTCTTAATGTTCCCGTTCTTTCGGAAGACACCTTCAACGGAAAGATCCTTATTCTTCAAAGCGGTGATTGTGTCCTCGATTATGGCAGGTATACGTAAAGCACCTGGGCCCACGCCATCTGTAGAGTCGGCGCCATCCCGCTCGACAATTAATTCCAATGGAACTCCGAAAATGCCCTTCTTCTTGCCGACCTTACGGGCTTCATTCTTGCCGAAAGCTTTGCCGAATTTGTTCCAGAATGTTGCCTTTCTCGCCTCGATAAGACTGAGCAACTCCTCGAGCGTGAATTCTGGTCCGAGCATGGGCTGCATCGTCAGAACAGCGACGTGTCGGACAATGAAGTATTCCAGGCCAGAAAGCTCCGAGAAGAACTTTCTCCCATCTCTAAGAGGCAACCGATCATCTAGGAAACCTTGGTCGTCATCAGGGCCAGTAGATAGGCTTCGATCGTTGTTACCATAGGCACCGTCTGTGGCAGATCGGAACAATTCTTGACGGGAAGCCCTATATGAGTTAGGCTGTTGTTCTCGGGCTTGTTCAGCCGCAACGATACGAGGAATATCGTCGAGGGTTAAAGCATCCTGATGCCCGAAATACTGTTCCGTTGAGCCGCCTCCACCTTGCTCGCGATCCTCTTCGATTTGCATCGATCTGTTGCGAGGGCCCATTTCCCCACCAGAAGATCCTGGGCGAACGCTGCGGCCTTCTGGCCCATCCATTATCCTTGAGGTGCGAGCCTTTCTAAGGCTTGATGACAAATGTTTATCGAGACGTGTGCTTCTGAGTCTACGCACATCATTAAGAGTATTTTCATAGGATGATTCTCGTTGGTGTCGCTCTCTTTCTCCGCCAAATGATTTGGATCGGGAGTTGGATCTGAGCACTATGGGATCTCCCTCTGCAGTTACTTGGTGTCCATCAGCAGTGTCGTGCCCATTGACGTTCGGATCTTCTGGAGTGTATGGAAGGGCTCCACTGCTTCGGAGGATTTCTAGCAGCCTAGCCAAGGCGACTTTCAACAGGAATATGTACTGCTGTAGCTTCGTGATATGATCTAGCGGCTGTCCTCGTCCCTCAACTTGGGTCTCGCAATCTGTGCAGAATATGTTTTGATCTCTGTGCACCCGAGCTAAATTTGACTCTTTGCTCAGCTCTCTGCCACACCGTGCGCATTTTATGCAGAATAAGTGCCATCTCTTATCACCACTTATACCACATTCATCCTCGATCGGTTTGCGGCACAAAGTGCATTGGTCGGAGTCATTGGCAGATAGCCTTGACATGCCCAAGGTAATCTGCAAAGATTCATCGTCGGTTTTGATCGACTCAAGCACACTGAGATCTTCAAGAAACTGATACAAGGCATCTGGAGTATGGTGCTCCTTTTCAACCCTGAGTGCTCCCTGGAGACAGATTCTGATAAGCAGCTTTAGGTAATGGGCCAAGCCTGTCACGAGAGACAATAACTCCTGGGTCACACCTAGTTTTCGCACACCAGTTTCCTGGGTCTTGGATAATAGCGAAAAGAAGGCCACAATTTTCTTGCACAGAAGTTTCGACTCTCGGGCGTACGACAAATCTAAAATTACGTTTAGCAGGTCAATAAAATAATGGATAAGGTGTCATACCGTTCATCTCAAGCCTCTTTGTCGTCTTATCAAGTCGGTCCGCGGATCGGAAGAGAATGTCCACATGAATAATGAATTTCTTGGCGACGAAAACTCCATCCAAATATGCGCCATTACTAACGTGAAGAAGCATATCTGAAATGCACGCCGCTGATGACTCTTCGAATGTTGACAAGACGCTCCAAATTCGATAAACCTTGTTCTCCATATCTTCTTCCTCTTGTCGTACTAGTTCCCGGCCCTCAGCGTCTACGGGTTCTGGACGAGTCTCTTTTGCTTCGTGGGGCGGTGTCAAGCGGACATTCCAAAACTTGTGTATCATATAACACTCAGGGTGCCAATGCTGATTCTGCCCATTACGGAATATCTCAACGAATTGCTTCAGTATAGCAGTCTGGCAGCCATTACATCGTTGAGCGAACTGTGTCGAATAATGATAGTGGCAATAGACGTTTCCATCATGCTCATAGTAACTGTCCTGAGCCCCGAAAACGGTCGAGCATAGCGAACATGTGAAGTGGTCAATATGGTACTTGCGGTCGAGAGCTGTGATGTAGGATCCACGCAAAGCACCACCACATTGGTAACATAAAAGACCTAGTCGTCGAAAATAATCCGTCTCGCAAAGTGGATATTGGCCGCCGTTCTCTTCATCGTCCGCAGGAAAGAATTTGGAGGCTACAATCTCACCACAATCCTGTTGTTTGGTCAGATAAATGAAGAATGTAGGTTAATTATCAATATGGTAGAATCACTTACCCGACACTTAAAGCAGTCGAGATGGTAGGTCCCCTCTAGTGCCCGCACAAACTGCCCGGTTAGAGATTCGCCGCACTTGGCGCAAACGCGAAGCTGTCCACTTGCTGTTCTTCCGCTCCGGCCTCGAGATCGGTTACGCTCTACGCTTTGCCTCGGATCACCTTGCCTCGGATCACCCTGCCTTGGATCACCCTGCCTTGGATCACCCTGCCTCGGATCACCCTGTCTTAGATCACCGTGAGCACTAAGGGAAGGCGAACCAGGAGCTCGATTCGGCGGTGGGTAATTTCCATTCAATAGAGATGGACTCGGAGTCATGTTAAGTCGTTCGTGATCGAGCTGATAGCTGCCATCGTTGGGCAGCGGCGGTGGATGCCCATGAATGCGGTCACCAGCTAGACCGCCTTCATAATCGGGGCCCATCATGGCGACCAAAATGAGGTCTTACCTCAATTCGGCTGATTGAAAATGACGAGTACCCCTAATAGAGTTCGCCGTTAAATTGATTGAAGGACAAAATGGAGCGACTATTATGAGTACGGCAGAATTGTCCAACGTCAGACATGAGCATCTAACGGCAAGCTTGATTGTTAAAGCGTGTGCGACTATGTGCGGATGCAGGAACCGGAAATGGTGTCGAGGACTGCAATGGTGCGATGGTGCAATGGTGCAGTGGTGCAGTGGTGCGGCAGAGACGCAACGGTTCGGCAGCGCTTGGAAGTATCAAGACACCAGATAATGCGGATAGTAAACGAGTGTGGCAGTGAAGGTGCTACAGCTGACGGTTGGTGAAGGCAAGTGGCGGATATGTCTCGAGGTTGCGACGAGAAGCGGGACAGAATTGGGGTTTGCGCCGAATTATGGTAGACGGGCGAATTTGATTAGTTGGAGAGGTTGGCAATTGATTTTTTGGGCGTTCGATCGGGTACGATGACTGACTGGGCTCTGGGTTTATGGACGTATGGGTTATGGGTAATAATATAGGTGAGTTGAAGGGATTAGGTAGGTTGGGATTATGTATGGGTTATGGGGTTCAGGGTTAGTCCTGATTTTGATTCTGATTCTGAATTTGGGCTAGGCTGCGTCTGATTGTCGAGTCCACGGTATTTGTCGAGGGTAGGGTAGGTTAGGTAGGTACCTAGAGGGTAGGTAATTACTAGGTATCGAGGGTAATTATCGAGGATAGTTTTATCAAGGGTATCGAGGGTATCGAGGGTATCGAGAATATCGAGAATATCGAGAATATGTCAAGAATATCGAGAGCGCCGATGGTATTGAACAAAAACATGTAAAGGGAATTGAAAGTTGAACGATCGTGGACGATATGATAACACGGCATGAAGTATGGTAACGCCCGTAATCAGATTTTAGTGGAAGGGTAAGGAGAGACGAGAGGACGGTTCGTTGCCGACGAGGTGCAACCTTCGAAGACGGAGAGCTAGTGCAAAGTGGGAGCTGCAACAGAAGGGGGGATGAAGACCAGGGGGTGTATTGGTGTGGGAAGGGAATTGAATGGATGCAAGGACAAAGGGATCAAATCAATCTCTACAATGTCTACATGCTAATAAGGGACATACCCTACTAGTTGAGAGAGTTAAGGCAGTAGAACGCCCAAGACTCCCCAAGTAGCCCTGATTCCCTGAATGTAACAGAGGCACCCACTGTAAGTGCCTACGAATTGATCTAATTAAAGTGCCTACATGATAACTAATGTAAGTACTATGTGTACCTACCCAGGGGAATATGTCACGGTATTATATTGGTATGGACGTGTGTAGTTAATAACTATGTACAACATTAAATGCATTGAATATTGCATTGAATATTACATTGAATGAATACAGTAAGAACTGAAGGATACAATTCATAACTAACAGTACCTAATAGGTGACTAACCTAAACCTACATAGTACTACATACCTACGTAGCGCGTTACATAAGGTTAGTGCATACATACATAGTGCTAGTTCATACACACAGGTATTATTTGATAGGTCCAGTCAGTTAGCGGAGAAGAAAAAGGGACTACACTATTTTTGTGCGCTACTAGAAATTGAAGTTAATTCAGGCTGGTGACATGTAGTTACATAACTACCTAACCTAGGGTAGTTATACATATATTATATGGGGTTCGTTTATTTATGTAACGTGCACGTTCGAAAGGGCGTGCAAGGCGTAAATAGCACATGCATGCATATGTACATATACAGTACTTTATTAAATTATATATAACATTGAACGTCCTTTCGGTACATACCGTCTTCCGCTTCACTCTGCCCTTTGGGAATTTGATGTAGCTACTATTTTCTATCTATCAGGTACCATGGGACTATTATGTCGACAAGGTCTCTTAGTGAGAAGCTGTCATAAGCATATCAGCCGACGAATAATCCCATTAACCTCTGTTTGCCAAAGACCATTTTCTATATCAGGGAAATTAAATCAAACTTCAACTCCAAGTCACCTCGCTGCCTTGAAAGATATCCTGAAAGTGTCCGAGGAAGTAACTGATGCTTTAGCTTCAAATAAACCCGTCGTCGCACTTGAGTCGACTATCTACACTCATGGAGCTCTAGGCAATGATCTGGACTTGGAGGGTATCGTCCGACGTGGTGGTGGTGTACCTGCTGTGGTTGGGATTCTGGGGGGTGTACCCACCATTGGTCTCCTGCCAGAGGAAGTGACTTGTATGATAGAAAACTCACCAAAGAAAGTGTCTCGACGAGACATCGCTTACTTGGTTGGCATGGTACGTCTTGACTTCTAAGCCCTGGTCGTTTGCCATCTTATCATATATTATATGATTCTATTTGCTAGCATTCTTATACTTATATACCTACCCATGCTTAAATCTAATCATGTCTTTCAGGGCATGGCGGGAACTAAGATTCATGGAGGGACAACTATCGCTGGCACCATGGTTCTAGCAAGACTTGCCGGTATTCGAGTTTTCGGAACGGGTGGCCTTGGTGGCGTACACCGTGGCGGGCATGAATCATTCGATATCTCTGCTGACCTCACCGAACTTGGAAGAACGAGGATGGGGGTTATATGTTCCGGCTGCAAAGGATTTCTCGATATTCCTAGGACCCTCGAGTACCTAGAAACCCAGGGCGTTCATGTATCAACTTTTTCTGACGGCCGTACTGGTGATATTGACTTCCCGGCGTTCTGGGCGAGAGATAGTGGTGTTAGGAGCCCTTCTGTCGTTCACGACGAAGAACAGGCAGCTGCCATGATCTGGGCTCAGGAAAGATTAGGTATTGAGTCAGGACTGATGTTTGCCAACCCAATACCCGAGAAGTTTTCTATCCCTCGAGAAGAAATGAAGGTCATCATCGAACAGGCTATCAGTGAATCGGCACAGCAAGGCGCACAGGGAAATGAAAATACGCCGTTTATCTTGGGGAGGATTAGGGAGCTCACTGATGGTAGGAGTGTGCCGGCGAATAAGGCTTTGGTCCAGGCAAATGTAGAACGAGCCACCAAGATAGCAGTTGCGCTTTCGCGGCTTGTCGCGCGCGGATCGACAGAGTCTAGTAAACCGTGAGCTTTAAGCTCCTCCTAAGTCGCAATAACTATCTCTGACGCATATCGTACAGGGTGATTCGGCAGAGCAGTCTTTCTTCACGCCTTGAAAGTAGCAATGCCCGGATAGATGAAAAGCCAATTAAGGCCGAGGTAAGAAATTGACTGCGTCGTAGCAAAAACTACAGCCAACCCCTGGCACCTTGATTCAAAAAAAAATCTTCACGATTTATCTTTCAGGGCTGGACTAACGAGTATAGGTCACATCTCGAGCCGACATTCTAGTGGCCGGCTCTATAGCTCTTGACCTAAGTTGTAATTACGCAGGCGAAGATTCTACTGGGCGCCCAGGTCCTCACCTTCACACATCAAATTTAGCTCAAATTGGCCAATCTATCGGAGGTGTTGGCCGCAACGTAGCCCTGGCGGCTCAGAGAGTCATGCAAAATTCGCAAGTACGACTTTGTAGCATGATTGGTGATGATATGTACGTATGAAGCATAACATCCTAAAGCACTGGTGCTGATAAACGCAGAGCGGGCTCAACAGTACTGTCATCCATGCAAGCAAGTGGCATGGACACATCATGCATCAGACAACTGAGTCGGAAACACTACCCAACTAGTCGAACTGCCCAGTATGTTGCAGTTAACGATTCTAACAAGAACCTTGTACTTGGCATGGCGGACATGGATATATTCACTAGTCATCCGTTCTCGGAACATTGGATACCTACGATTGAAGCATCGAAACCAAAGTGGCTTGTGGTTGATGGGAATTGGGCAGACCGCGATATTCGGGCTTGGATACAGGCTGGCAAACAAAACGGAGCCCGTGTGGCATTTGAACCAGTTTCCAATGAGAAGTCTACTCGTTTGTTTTGCAATGAAAGGAGTCTCGAAACTCTGGGAGTATATCCGCAACCTAGCGTTGATTTAACGACACCGAACCAGTATGAACTATCGGCCATGCATACGGCTGCGCAAAGATATGAATATCTAGATGATCCCCGATGGTGGGAGATCATTGATGCCTTTGGAATGAGAGGAGCCAGGGACCGTTTTGTCAAGCTTACGTCTACCAGCATGACCGATTCTGGGATTCCGCAGCGAGCCATCCAGCTTCTCCCGTATATACCAACTATCATCACAAAGATGGGGGGCAATGGTGCTTTACTGACGACCATTTTGAGAAAGGACGACCCTCGCCTTTTCGACCCAGCATATGAGAAGTTCATCTTAACTAGAAGCTGCAACGACCACCCAGAAGTTGGAGGCGTCTATATGCGACTGTTCCCAGCGGTGGAACAAGTAGAGAATGCCGTGTCGGTGAATGGAGTTGGAGATACCTTCCTGGGCGTTATGGTTGCGGGCTTAGCGCAAGGTGGTAGGGTCGAAAAACTCGTCGATGTTGCTCAGAAAGGGGCAGTCTTAACCCTTCGTAGTCCCCAGTCTGTAAGTGAGGATTTGAGCACACTCAGGAGCGAACTACTTTCTGCTGCTTCCTCTTAAATAAGGAAATCTGGCCTACGGTTCTATTTTCTTTTCCCCATACTAGCTTACCTAGGTATAGATGTCGTTATATAGGAGGATTATGGTGGCAAACATCATCAAAGAATAGGGGGGCACTTGTACCTACATATGTATACGGTAAAAGAATAGAACTGGATATAGAAATACAAAAGGGGGATCAATATGAGTATAAGCAAATATATGTACTTATACTATGTGCACTACCTACGATAAGCCTAAATAGTGGATCTTCCTGCAAGACTATCGGAAGATAAAAAAAAAATAATCAAAAAAAAAAAAAAAAGGAAAAAAAGTGCAGTAAGCGGAATTCTATTCCACTCAACGTTCGACCAGCCAAAACCGAGTTTTCGATAGCAATACCTCGGAGTCGCCCAATTGACAAGATGGAGGAAGACAATAATCTGACATCGTCTAGTTCAGATGATTCTGACTTCTCTGGCGACGAGGAAATAGCGTCACAAACCCGCCCGACACAGACGAACGATAAAGACTCGGACGAGGAAGAACTCGAGCGATTCGTGTTAGGGGATACGGCTAATTTCCGCGAAAATCTATTCCGAGACGATTCAAAATTTGACGATGAAGATACCAGACTTGGTGGCCATGACAGTGAACGAGACAATGAACTCGGGACTGGTTTAGAGGATGTGGACGATGCAGATCTCTTTACTTTTGACTTGGGTGGTGCTGGGACCAGCGACAATAAGGAACTTTTGGTAACACCAGCTACAAAGACGCAAGGTGTTGCTGAAAAAGACGCGCCAGCTTGGGAAGATAGCGATGACGAACGGCTGACTATATCGCTTGCGGACGTACAGCAATTGCGAAAGCTACGGATCAGCGAAACGGAGGACGTTGTGACAGGAACCGAGTATACCAGAAGGCTGCGCCAACAATATCTGCGGCTCAATCCTCTTCCTGCATGGGCACGGGAGGCTGAAGAGGGACGTCCGGCTAAGCGCCGAAGACGATCATCTGCAGTAGCAAGCGACTCGGACTTATCCGATGACGAGGTAGACGGCGAAGGAGATATTGAAGCATCTGCACTTCCATTAGACAAGTTCCTTAGGGATGCCAATGCTTTAAAGGGCCTTAAAACGCAGAAGACGAAGAAGCTTCGTCCGGAAGTCATTGATATCCAAAGATCTCGCGATATACCAGATTCTCATAAAGACGAAGTTACATCTCTGGCCTTCCATCCAGAGTATCCTGTTCTGTTATCTTCCAGCACCTCATCTATACTACATCTACATCACATCAACCCAACAGCTCATCCGACGCCAAATCCTCTTTTGACATCGGTGCAAATCAAGCAGGTGCCTGTCCGGAGAGCCGAATTCCTGTACCCTACTGGTGACAAAATCTTCTTTGCGGGGCGGCGTCGTTATATCCACTCGTGGGACTTGTTAACTGGTACGGTACAGAAGACCAATAAAATCCAAGGCCATCGGTTAGAGCAGAAAACATGGGAGCGCTTCAAGCTCAGCCCCTGTGGGCAGTATCTAGGGCTGATTGCTTCTACAAGAAAGGGTGGTGGCATCATAAATATTCTAAACGTCAACACAATGCAATGGATCGCCGCAACTAGGCTTGATAGCAGGGGTGGCATCGCAGATTTCTCCTGGTGGAACAATAGCAACGGTCTTACAGTCCTAGGCAAGGGAGGTCAGGTTGGTGAATGGAGTATGGCTACTAGGCGCTTTTTGTCAATTTGGAATGACGAAGGCTCCAATGGCGCTACGGTGATGGCATTGGGAGGCCGCAACGGGCCTGCGGTTCTTGGTGGAGATCGGTGGATAGCAATTGGTTCAAACAGTGGAGTGACGAACATATACGATCGACAAGCCCTCATATTGCCTTCATCGGGCGAGGAGCTTGAAATCAAAGAACGCCCTGAACCAACCCGAAGGCTGATGCAGCTTACCACGCCTGTTACGATCCTCACTTTTAGCCCCGATGGCCAATTGTTGGCATTTGCTAGCAAGCACAAGAAAGATGCTTTACGGTTAGCACATTTGCCAAGCTGTACAGTCTACAGAAACTGGCCTACGGAGCAAACACCGCTTGGTAGAATCTCAGATGTTGCATTCGGGAGAAAAAGCGATATGCTAGCTGTTGGTAACGATTCTGGGAAGATCAGGCTATGGGAAATACGAAGTTAGACAGTTCATACAGTACTGCATTCCCATTCGCAAAGTCGCAAATAACTACAAATAAATAATATCCATCTTCCTTCAACCTATTGTAGCTCTTGAATCCCTTCCTCCCCTGACCAGGGAAACAGGCCTCTTATCAATGTACCCCGTCTATTTGCCATACCGTTTACTCGGAGACATAATGTAAGCTAGTAGACTTTCGAGTGGGCTGCCTTTCTGTATCGCACTCTTTGGATATATCTTTTTCGTCGCGCGTGTGTACTTGGCCAGCTGCTGTTCGTTTTCAAATTTATATGGGGGATTGCCCATTTCGACAGCCTCGAGAAAATCGACGATGTTCACCCAAACATTTTTGAGTGCCTAGAGGGGAAGGGTGGTGATCGTGTTAAGCATGTACATTACCAGGTGAATTATTAGGCTAGGTAGCTAGAGGCATATTTACATACCTTCCGGCATTGGGTTTTACTCTTGAAATACTCGGTGTATCCCAGGTCGACCATCAGACGCTGCCAGTCGCTGAGGTCGCCTGGTCCGAAGTAGTCGTTCCAGTCTAGCACAACCTTTTTCACTTTTTGATACTGCTGCCGAGGGATGTTTGCCGGGGGGCCGGTGCCACCATGGCGTTTGTTCTTTGTGGTGACCATGGCTGTTTACGAGGTCGGTAGACCTGTACGGAGCTCAAGATTTTGCCTCCGTTGTACGTCGGTCGGCTATCTCAACGCGCGTTTCTAGGTGGATGCTCCTCGTTGATGAGACTGCTGACCATCGCCATCCATATCAAAGACACCACGACTGACCAAGAGCTTCTGGCTGGGAGAGCTTGCTTGTGTTTGCAAAGATATAAAGCCATCTCGACTACGAAAAGATGGCGAACGTGTTGCCTTAGGTGTTGACTATTTTCTTTTTACTCTGTTTGTCTGCGTGTCTCCATGCGTGTCTCCAGTCAACCCCTTTATTAGACACAGGCTCTATCTGCAGGAACCCCTAAAGGAGAAGCAAAGGTTACGAATGGTATTAGCCAGCAGGCTTTTGGTCTAAGTAAACAAACGACAATAAGTCACGCTAGGATGCCGTGTTTTACAAAAGGGGCAAGTTATATCGCCATGCCGTGAGGTGTTAATAAGGCTAGGTCGAAAGCAAGGCCGACATGGGCGTACATGTCTTGGTGAGACAGCAGCAGGCTTGTTGTTGTTGTTGTTAGCTGTTGCTGTTAGCTGCACTGCACATGTAGGCGTGAGGGCTGACCGTTAAAAGACCTCAGCTCTGCAAGGCAGCCTGATGGTCTCTCACATTTCACATTGGGTGCTACTGACACAATATAAACTTCCCAGATTTCCCAGCTTTCCCAGCTCGCTTCCTACTCTTAAAGGTGTATTGACACATGGAGGCTTTAGAATGGAGGGTGGGGCCTCACCTTCATGCAACCTCTGGCTTTTCTCCCTCTCCTGATTCGTGGTGGTATAGATTAAAAGTTAAGAGGGAGGTAAATAACTAGTAGGCTAGCGATGAACTCCGAGAGTAACCCTCTTATGATAATATGATATTATCATATTACCGATATATGTGTGTGAGTATGTACATAGGTATGTTACCGTATGTATGTCTGAAATTGAATGTCTAACATTTAAAATATTGAGGTGACCCAAGCAGACACCACATTGATGTACATGTACCCCGTATTACCATGTACAGTAGTACTACATGTGTACATAATGTAGCACTTACCCAGATAATTATTGTGGATTATCAATTTCAAAAGCAAGTATGTACTGTATGGAATCTACATATGTATTGTACTATGGATGGCCCGTCCCGTGGTTTTGGTACATACATACCCGAGTTGGCGGTACCTGCCGAAAAGAACGAATGATGTTTTAAATTGATGGAATATACTCCGCAGATGTCGCAGATGTTGCAGATGTACCCCGACTCGATACCCTGACTAGACTTAACCTTGGACTTAACCTTGGACTTAACCTTGGACTTAACCTTGGACTTACATATCCCTCTTAATAACTCGACATGCATACTATACTGTTCACTCCTCCTCTGAAGATAATCCCGAATGACATAGTCCATGGATACCTCGATCATCACACAACCCAATGATATTTGCTGGTTTTGACAGTGACGAAACATGAGATTCGTTGGCACGAACGCAACAAGAGCCGAAGCTACCAGCTGCAACTAGGGAAAGACGCAAATCATCGGAATCGGACGAATGGGAATCATACCACTCATAATACTTGCGCTTTTTTGTGCTCCTTGTCCTTCCTTTTACTCCACGCTCGCCTTCGTGCCATGGTCGTATGGATACCCAACCGGTCCAACCCGCAACCACCGCCTTATTTTGGAAAAAACAAAAATTGTCTGTCTAGTCACTTCCAGTGTTGTGTTGTCAGGTTATCTCTGGTCTAAATTCGTCCAATTCTCTGATTGGATCCTTACTATCTGCCGCCCCTTTCCCGACTCTGTCCGGCTTGGACCCAGAACCCGTCCGCCATTACAGTATCTGTGCTTACTTTCAATCTAATAGCAACCCGTATAGTATCCGGGAAGAAGAACAGTGCCCACTAAAAGGAATCTTCTATCGCACCATAGGTATCACTGCGCCTGGCGGAGCTGCGACATGCGTGGTACAAGATATGTGGCATGTTAAGCCGTGTTATGATGTAGCCGTCCCCAGGTAAGGGTACCTACTTAGATAGGTAGACTGACAGCCGCCTGAACCGATAGTTCGGGCAGCTGGAACTTTTAAGACTATTTCTTTGCCAGCTATATACGTCGTACAAAAATATTGGTTTCTTTTCCTTTTTTTTTTTCCGATTTTTTTTCTATATATTTACTATACTTGATAGATTCTAATGCTTGTTTGTTCTTCGTTGCTCCGTCCAAGGTGACTTATATAGTGCAATGGCGTCGATTACGTCAAAACGTAGGACAAAGTCGGGGGTCCTCCCCGACAAGTTCAGACACTTAGTCAACGACATGAAAAGATTCAAAATTCACCGTCATGGAAGGAAAAAAGACGAGGAGACCATGATGGATTCGGCTTCCATGTCTGAGGAGCTCCCCCAGGTCTCCCAAGACCCCGAATCTACCGAAGTCTCCGAAGTTGTCCAAGTTATCGAGATTCCCGAAACCCCTGCAACACCTGAACGGGCCGAAGCCCCTCCTCCAGTGGCTGAAGTCACTGAGGTCATCCAAACCCCCGAAATTCCTGAAGGCTCCAATGGCCCTGGTGGCCCTGGTGGCCCTAGAGATATTCATAGTGCTGACGGTGACGATGATCCTGAAGGTCTTGATAGTACTAACAGCCCCAATTACCCTGAAATCGCTGAAGCCCCTGAATCCCCTGAAGCCCATGAAATCTCTAAAACCCCTCAATTCATCGAGCTTCCTGCGTCGAGGCCTGCCTCCTCTCATACCTCTCCACTGATGCCCAACCTTGCCGTTCAGGTTACCATCACTTTCGATGAGCCCCTAAATTATACCTATAGTCGCAATTATGAGACTTCCTCGTCACTACAGGCCACCGAGGACCTGTATGAAGGTCTTCTCCGACGCGTCGATCATTGCTGTCATGAATTGATTACTCGCAAGGATACGACAGCCATGGAGTACGCAGCCGCAAGTGGCCCAGACAAGCCCCTGAGATACGAGATTCAAATCGATATCCTCCGAGACTGGACGGAAATTTGGGCTTCGAGAACCTTCAAATCATACCAAAAACAACCTCTTTCAGCAGAGGCTGCAAAGGAGATCATCATGTCGACTCAATACATAATAGGATTGTTCCTGAGGCATCATGACGAAGGATTTGTTTGGAAGGATGACGCGGTAAGAGACGACCCCTTAGATGAACAAGGGAAATTCTCGCACCGTGCAGGTCGTGTCGAGCCTATGTCGTGTGTGCCACGCTCCTTTTTCCTCGAGAAGACGCAATCCTTCGAGTCGGTACCCGGCTATACTATAAATTTCTCTTTCACCAGTCGATGTCAACGCCGGAAACCATCCGAGTGGTATACGACCGTGGAGGTCAATAGTAACCAGACGACACCCTTAAATTCTCTAGGAGCAGAAGCCTTATTTTTCGAGGCCTCTTATGCGGTGGAGGGTGTCTTGAGGTCAGAGAGGCAAGCATTCGAAGTCACTCATCGCCAATGCGCCAATTTAGATGGATGCAAGGACTGTCGACATCACGAAAGCGATGGTCTGGAATTGAAATTTGCCATCGCAAACAACCTCGGTCCCCAGTTCCCTCGTTTGGAACGAACCATACATTGCAACAGCAACCTCTCATTTTACTCTGATATCCGGGAATGTCTTTCCTTTGTTAACAAAGTTGAAAATGCTCTTTCTTCAGTTCGAGACGACACCGATGATATTATCGATCGAATGGACGATCTCGAATTCAAAATAACCGAACTACGTGGCCATGGCTGGTCCCTGGACGAACCACTTGTTTTCACCTTAGACTCTTCCAAGTCTTATTCTCGGAGGAATATTGAGGCGATACTAGATCGAATCCAAGCTGGTGTTGCCGACACACTCCGAGGAAACGCTATCTCCGTTCGAATGACCGCTCACAAGCGAGGCCATTTCATTTTGGACAAGACGTTTGTAGCTCGAGAGCCTATTGAGCTTTCGGACAGCCAAAAGATGAAGAAGTCGTCTAAGAAGCCTAAGGCGTATGTCCTGGACCGACTACGGCGACGCGTTGAGTGTGATATCGACATGATCTGCAAAGATACTCTAACGCTCGATAACATAGGAGATGAGGCTGCGAATGCCCAGAAGGGACCTCATGTGCTGGAACGTACCCGGTCTAATGAGAGTGTAGGCGCTAGAACTTTCGTGACCAGGCCTAAGACAGCAGAGTCCGCCTCAAGATATACCACAGAAGGATCAAGATACCCGAGTCCCCGTCCAAAGACCAGCGCCGGGACTTCTGTCTCGAGAATCACGGTAGAGAGCAAGAGACCAGCAACCGCCGATGCTAAGACTACTGAAAACGAGGTTCGTCTATATTCACCCACCTCACGCCCGCCTATACCAGTTCGGCGATCTTCGCTATCGCTGGCCATAGTCTACCCAGATGGTACCCGGGCTTTCCCATTGGTACCAGGGTTTGACCATCACGCAGAATCCGAAAGCCCCAGCCTAGACAAAGACTTCTACAAGGGGAGCTCACTGCAAGATCCATTTATATCCGACCAGCCAACTAGTGAAATCCCGTTGCAGCCTCGTCAGAACAGTTGTGTTAACACCAATGAGTCCCTAGAAAATGTGCCCGCTACGACGAACCTGGAGGAGGAATTAGGATCACAGCGAGTCTATGAGGCTTCGATTGCTTCGACCCCCAGTCTCGTGTCCGGTGATGGTTCCTCCCCCAGTAGTAGTTTCTGTAAGTGTTCACTGTTCTATTTTTTCTTGCTCTCCTCGAGACAAAATCTGATTCTCAATCTTGTAGTAATAACTCCAAAGCCTCATCATTTAAATCAGGATGTGGACTACTCTACCAGTGCTATCGTCGACAGTGACGATGAGGATGCTCATCACATGGAGACTGATTTGGCAAAAATCTCATCTACCTTCCCTTCGCCAAAGCTACGACATGCCGCGAAGCCCCTCACTTCGTCACCTCTCCGTATGAGCCAAAGTACGCAGGAACAGAGTAGTGTTGATTCTCTGGAGACTAGCAACCCCCCAACTACGAACGGTATCGTCGAGCTTACCATTTCAACATTTAGCTCGAAAGAGCAAACCCCCGCTATCCCAGCGATAGAAATCCACCTCTTGGACGATTCTACCCTGGTTCCGCCTAAGGTAAATGTTGACTTGAACACCAACGAAGGTGCTATTATAATCCAAAGTTCCGAGGAGATTATTACGCCTTCCCCCAAGGACAAAGTCGCAGTCACCAGTGAAGACGACTACCCGCTTGCCGACGACTTCGCGCAGTCCAAGCCCGACATCACATTTTCCCCCACCACCTCCGGCAGCTCCGAGGCAGAGGACACCTGCTCTGCCCCCGTCTCCCCCTCCCCTCAACAGCAAAAGCAGCTAATCCTTGCTACCCCTGTTTCCCCCGACCCCTCCGATACCGAGGACAACAACGACTACGACGACGACGCGGGAACCACATACACGCTCTCCCCGCCGCTACTGCCACAGCGACCCCAGCAACAGCGCGGCTCCTTCGGCAGCGCCGGTGTCCTGGGCTTTCACGAGCAGATGTTCGGGTCTCTGAGCTTGCGGTCCGCGCTCATGCGCTCGCGGACACATGCGGATTTCAAGAATGTCAAGAATGTCAAGCAAGAGGAGAAGAGACCCGGGACTGCTGTGTAAAAAATATTCTCTTTTTTCTTTCATCAGCAAAAGAAATCACTTTCAAATTGTTCTTTTCTCCTCTTTTTTTTTGTAACTTACATATATGCACCTACCACGCACGAGTTAACAACTTCGCCTCGACGCGTCGGATTCATTCATACACACACATATATATATATACACGATTATTTCTTCTTCTTCTTTTGCTTTGTACGGGTGGGATAGTCCGGTTGTACTGGATTGGATTGGCTTGGATCGGCTAGGTTTGGGTTTAGGTTACCAACCAACATACCTAGGGGATGGATTAGGCTATCGGTATATAGAGAGTATATACCCAGGAGAAACTCTTTATTTTTCACCATCACAATTACACGGGTTGGAAGGGCATCAGCAGCCCAAAGGGATATACATTACAAAGGGAGGAGGATGAGGAGGGTTATAGCACGTAGGCCTTCAGTGGGCTTAGGAGAGGAGAGAGAAAGAAAGCAATGGGGGGGAGGGGGAGGAGGGGAGGCTTTTATATGTACATGGATTTTCGACCAAAGGGAAATCGTAGGTAAAAAAGTAATAAATGTATGATGATTATGATGATTATTGCGTTATATATATTAGGTATAACTATTAGGTACCTATCTATATACATAGTCGTAGTAAGAGTGCGTTCGTGTCTGGGTAAGTATGTCTTTGTACATGGCTTTGTTTGGGTGCCTGGTAAATCCTAGATGAAGTGGAATAACAAGTCACTTAAGCAAACTATCGAGGGGAATATCTACGTAGACACGGGTACAGCAAGTAACACATATGCATAGGTAGCGTTAACTATGTAAAATCATTATAATACAATTTGAGGCGAGAGCTCATGGCATAAATAGGAGGTAGGTAGGTATCTTATCTTTTTTCTCATCGTACAATTACAATTTTCATAAACGCGTGATATCGGGGGTTCCACCTCCCCCTTTCTTGACCGCCCAAGAGGTATTTTTCTTTTTGGTTCATAACTTCATAAGCCATTTTCCTACTACTTACTCCATTTGTCAAATAAAATCTCAAAACCGACGAACGCCATGGTGATGGATGGGTGGGTGGATACCTAGATAGTTAGGTACCTACAACTTATTTACGAAGGATTCTCCGCCGGGATTGGGGAAACCACTAAACCCGTGTTATCCTCCTTGACAGCAACGGTAGCTCTGTCGCCCCTCTTGAGCTCTCCGCGGATGATCTTGTCAGCAAGGCCGTTGCTGATCTCGGTGGTGATGAGACGGTTGAGTGGTCTGGCGCCGAACTTGGGATCATAACCGCGTTCGGCGAGCCAGTTTCTAACTGTGTCGTCCACCTGTAAAGTGATACGCCTGTCGTCGAGTCGTTCCTGTAACTCCCGCAGCCGGATATCAACGATATCCCTTAGGGCGTCGATCGTAAGACGCTTGAAGATGATGAATGAGTCGATACGGTTAAGGAACTCGGGTGGGTAACTACTAGCGACTACGTCGAGGACAGCCTTGCGTACATCGGGGCTGATCTCACCGTCTGCAGTCTCACTATATGGATGGTGTGCGTCAGCGCCGACAAGGATATTGGCACCAAGGTTAGACGTCAGGACAATTATCGTGTTCCGGAAGTCTACTTTGTGGCCCTGAGCATCCGTCAGGTAACCTTCATCCAGAACTTGGAGGAGCAGAGCGGAAATATCGCGATGTGCCTTTTCGAACTCATCAAATAGCAGGACAGCATACGGCTTTCTCCGCACTGCTTCCGTGAGTTGGCCGGCATCATCGTAGCCAACGTAGCCTGACGGGGCACCAATAAGTCTCGATATCGTGTGCTTCTCCTGGAACTCGCTCATGTCGAATCTTACGACTGCAGATTCGGTCGAGAATAAGAAATTGGCTAACTTCTTGCACAGTTCCGTCTTACCAACACCGGTAGGACCGAGGAAGAAGAATGATGCCAGAGGGCGGTTATCCCCACTTAAGCCAGCTCTTTGCATGCGTACGGCGTCCGCAACTGCTTTGAGAGCTTCATCTTGCCCACGAACGGATTCCCGGAGCGTATCTTCCATATGTATGAGCTTTTCGACATGCCCAGAGGTCAGTTTAGTCACGGGGATTCCCGTAATCCTCGATACGACATTTGCGATATCGTCAGCTGTTACCGAGTCGTGAATCAAGGTGTCAGGGCCTTCAGCGTTAGGGGTTTGTTCGTCCTTTGGAAGCTTCTGTTCCAGGTTCGGGATAATTCCAAAGCGCAATTCGGAGGCACGGGCAAAGTTTCCAGTCCTCTGTGCCTGATCCAGTTCAACGCGAGCTTTGTCTAGCTCTCCTTGAACTTTCTTGAGGGCATCGATCTCTCCTCGTTCCTTTTCCCATCTCTTGGTTAACGTTTGCTCTTCTTCCTGTAATCTCTTCAGGTCCTCTTCAAGTTTCTCTCGTCGTTCACGGCTCGCTACATCCTTCTCTTTCCGCAGACTTTCCAGCTCGATCTGTATAGTCATTATTTTCTGGTCCAGTCGCATTATGTCCTCGGGTTTGCTTTCTTGTTGTAGACGTAATGAACTTGCTGCCTCGTCCATTAGATCGATTGCCTTATCAGGGAGAAAGCGGTCGGTGATGTAACGATTTGAGTATGTCGCGGCCGCAACGAGGGCCCCATCCGTAATTCTCACACCGTGATGCACTTCATACTTCTCTTTGATTCCTCGAAGTATACTTATTGTGTCTTCAACGGTGGGTTCATTCACTAGGATAGGCTGGAAACGTCTGGCTAGTGCGACATCTTTCTCGATCAAACGATACTCGGCCAGGGTGGTAGCACCACAGCATTGCAGTTCTCCTCTCGAAAGAGCGGGTTTGAGTAGATTTGAGGCATCGATGGAGCCCTCGGCCTTTCCAAGACCAAGAAGGGTGTGAAGTTCGTCAATGAATAAGATGACTTCCCCATGTGCTTGCTGAACCTCAGTCAGGACCTTCTTTAGCCGCTCTTCGAAATCACCACGAAACTTAGCACCCGCGATGAGCGAACCCAAGTCCAGCGATATGACCCGCTTGTTTTTTATACTCTCTGGCACGTCACCTCGCACTATGCGCAATGCTAACCCTTCCAAGATAGCTGTCTTTCCCGTACCAGCGCTTCCAATCAGGACCGGGTTGTTCTTGGTCCGCCGAGACAAAACTTGAATGGTACGTTGGATCTCAGCATCCCTACCAATAACGGGATCAAGTTTCCCATCTTTTGCCCTGGCAGTAAGATCGATTCCAAATTGCTCGAGGGCAGGCTTCTCAGGCTCGCCGCCCAAGTCCATTCGGTGGGTACCACCAGGTGGATGAGGTCGGCCATTTGCATAAGTGCGATATATGGGAGTTGGTAGGGTAACATTAGACAAATGTTTTGCAGTACTTATAAGTGCAGCTCTGGAAATTGGTGAGGGTGTTGCATTTAGTCGTGCTAGGCCCCTCGACGAGGCTTCAGCAACTCGTCGAGAAGATTTAAGAAGTTCCCTTCTTGCTAGCATCATGAGAAGAAGTGGAGGAGGATGATGAAGATAAAGGTGAATGTGAAGATGAGGTAGGTATAAGATAGACAATATTGGGTAAAGAGAGTAAATTAGGGGACTTGTCTTATGTTTAGAAACATCTGATCGATGAAAAGAAAATAATGAAATCAAAGAGAAAGAAAAGGAAATATCCAAAACTCGGATAGTAATAGAAATTAAATATATCACGAGAGCTTCAAACTATAAATTTGGTGGCCAACTCTGGACCATTCTCGAAATATCGAAAGACCCGTTTTAGGATTGGACGTTACTGATTATGTACTAAGCCCACTTAATAATTATATACATATTTGCTACTAATGTAGTAACATGTAACTAGCTAAACCTTGTAATAGTTATAGTTAACTAAACCGTTGACACATGCATTCAATGATCAATGTTCTAAAGTAACTACTATGTACCTAGGTACTATGTACTGTGTGGCTTGATCCCGGTTGATTTGCCCGACCCTGCCCCTCGAAAAATTTCAAAGTAATAGATTTCCATCTCGTAACCCCACCTTGCCCGCCTTCGACACCTTCTTATTTTCTTCACAAGCTATCATTTTTCTTCCAAAGATACCCCTCCAGATTTATTCGTCAGATCCATCTTCTTCTTTCCTTATTTTAATTCCATTCGATTTCCAGTCAATTTAAACCAAATCAAATCGACAATATGGGTTTCACCGATCTTCTCAGTGATGCCGGTCTGACCGGTAAGTAATTCCCATGTGCTACGTACCATCTTTGATGGCGGGGGATCACGATGCGTCAGAATCTTCAAAATCCATTGATTTGACATCTCCATCGCTTCGATCACGGCTAACAATGAGACAGTGCTCAACAGCTTCCTAACCACCCGATCTTACATCACTGGGTAAGTCTTATAACAAACCCCCCAAACCAAAGCGCTACTTTTCAGTGCCAAGTCTTGCTCGTTATCATATTGCGCCCTACTTCAAACATGCCCTTCGAGCCCAATTACCCCCCTATCATGATGAGAAAATTGGTCCGTGTTTCTGAGCAGACTCAAGACCTGTCATTGAGGACAAATACAATAGCACTCTGTGCATCTCTGATTTCTATCAACCTTACTAGCCTACTCTTGGTCTTCCTTTTTTTTTTCGCACTTGCGCCGAACTTCTACTATCTTCCATGAGACCCGTGACTGACTCATAACAGTTACTCTCCATCCCAAGCCGACATTGCTGTCTTCAAGGCCATCACGTCCGCGCCAGCAGCCGACAAGTACCCCCACGCCGCAAGATGGTACAAGCACATTGCCTCTTTCGAGGATGAGTTCCCGACCCTGCCAGGCGATGCCTCCAAGCCTTACACCGTATACGGCCCCGAAGAGGTTGCCGTTGCCCTGAACCCTGCCAAGGCCCCTGCCGCCGAGGAGGAGGATGACGTCGACTTGTTCGCCAGCGACGATGAGGAGGAAGATGCCGAGGCTGCTCGCGTCCGTGAGGAGCGTCTAGCTGCTTACAAGGCTAAGAAGGATGCCAAGCCCAAGACTACTGCCAAGTCTGTTGTTACAATGGAGGTCAAGCCCTGGGGTATGATTACGCAGTCAAAACTTAGGCATAATTTCTGAAGCTAACGAATACTATAGATGATGAAACTGATATGGCAGCCCTTGAGGCGGCCGTACGTGGAATTGAGAAGGACGGTCTAGTATGGGGTGCTTCCAAATTGGTAGCAGTTGGTTTCGGTATCAAGAAGCTTCAGATCAACTTGGTTGTTGAAGACGAGAAGATCTCCATCTCCGACCTACAGGAGGAGATTGAAGGCTTTGAGGACTACGTCCAGTCTTCCGATGTTGTAAGTTTCCAAAGTATTCCCGAATCTTTAGATATACATACTTACCCAGTAAACAGGCTGCTATGCAGAAATTGTAAACTGCCTATGTGGCAAAAACAAGCAACAATACCACCAACGCTCAGAACGTCAATACATAGTGCATGACATGAGAGCCACGAAGCATGGTTGATGATGTTAATGAGGTTGGTTGGACGACATGACGTTGGGAAAAAAACTCTCTTCAGAGGCAAAGTTCTATAGAAGCCACAGGGTTAGAGTAACTACGCAAAAATACTAATGAGAGGATTCCCCCGTATTCCCACATCCCTTGGGCAGGTACTTCTTCTTCGGCCCCTTTTACTATACATAATATGTATATACGTGCCGTGTTTAGTTACCTGGGGTTGGATTCTACTGCTATTGCTCGAGTATTAGTGGGTTATGTATTCCAGTATAGTCTGCTTTGCTAGGTATACTTGGACTAGAGAATATCATTGTCATTCGTCATCCGTCTTTTTCACTTGACTCCTAAGGGCATTGTCGCATACAAACGTAGAACTCTCGACTTAATTTTTTTTTATATAATTGTTCCTTTTTTTTTCTTTTTGGTTGCCAGACGGGCAGCAGCTTGTCCGAGAAGCCATACATATTCTGCCCACCTTATCCCCTCATCAGCTATCGGGTATCTACATATCTTTCACTTTGTGGCGAGAACTTTGTTGAAATTCTCTTCTCCCCCCCTTTTTTTGTCTATTCCAGCCACGGCCAATCCTCCCTTCCCGTTTTGAATTGCGATATACCCACAACTTGGCCACTATTTTATTAATGGTGGAAGAGGCGAATGCTCTGCTCCACGAAGACCATGCCCAGCTTTTCGGCCGTCTCGTACACGGCGGAGTCGTTCTGACTACCACTGGGCGCCGCGATGTACTTGACACCGGACCGGTGGGCGCGGTAGATGTTGTCGATGAAGGGGAACTGGTAGTACGGATTAGGAGGTTATGACCAATTTGACAGAAGGCGATGATGAACAACTTACAAAGGCATCACTGGAGACGGCAACTTCGCCTAGCTTGCTGAGCCAGTCATTGCGCTCTTCCTCGGTAAAGGCAGCCGGCACCTCTTCGAAGACGGACTCGAAAGCTTCTCGCTCGGGACCATCCTTCGGCAACTCGCCGCTGACCAACAGGTCGATCGCATTGCTTTTATCGGGTCGCTTGGTGCCCTTCTTCCACTTGATGCCCAATACACGAGGATTGAAGCGTAGCCACCAGTTGTCAGCCTTATCACCTGCAAGTCGAGTGCAGTGGATACGGGATTGCTGGCCGGCTCCAAGACCAATGATTTGTCCGTTCTTGGCGTAGCACACAGAGTTGCTCTGTGTGTACTTCAAGGCAATTGTTGCAACGGCCAAATCCCTAGTAGCAGCTTCCGGGAGGGCAAAATCCTTAGGTGTGATAGTACGGTTGAAAGAAGCGGGTGAGATTTCGACGTCGTTGCGGTGTTGGCTAAGAGTAACACCATATACCGTGCGGACCTCCGTTGGATCAGGTCGATATTCAGGATCCATCTGAAGCACGAGGTACTTGCCACCCTTCTTCTTCTTGAGGATCTGCAACGCGGCATCCTCGTACCCAGGGGCAATGACACCGTCAGATACCTCCTTAGAAATGATGCTGGCAGTAGGAACATCTACAATGTCACTTAGAGCAATTATGTCACCAAAACTGCTCATTCGGTCGGCTCCTCTTGCGCGGGCATAAGCTTGAGCGAGTCCCGAGGTCTCAATTCCCGGAATATCATCGACGAAGTATACTTTGCGCTCCTCGGCACTTAGAGGAACGCCAATGGCAGCACCTGCGGGAGAGACATGTTTGAAACTAGCGGCGGCGGGTTTTCCGAGAGCTGCTTTCAGCTCCTTAACCAGCGGCCAGCTGTTTAGCGCATCGAGCAAGTTTATGTAGCCCGGAGCTCCGCAAAGAACCTTGAAGGGCAAGTTGGCGGATTTGGTGTACGCAGCCGCCGGCTTTTGGTGTGGGTTGGCGCCATATCGGAGAGCCAAATGTTGCTGGCCGTCGCCAGCGTACCGGGCGCGGAAGAAACCGGAGATGTGAGCATCGTAGTCAGCGGTATGTTCGAAAGCCTTCAGAGCGTACCGGTTACGGCTCTCTTCTTTGATATCGCCGGTCTGTAGTTCCTTGAGGAACTCTGGGTAATCATTCGGGTCGCTGAGGATGGTGACGCGCGCGTGGTTTTTGGCAGCGGCTCGGATGAGTGTAACACCTCCTATGTCGATCTCCTCTACAGCTTCGGTGACGGTCACATTGGGCTTAGAGATGGTGTCTTTAAATGGATATAAATTGCAGATGACATAATCAACCTTGTCAATGCTCTGCTCAGCCAGATCCTTCTCGTCGGCGGCTAAGTTTCGTGCCAGAATACCAGCGTGGACAGCTGGGTGGAGTGTCTTGACGCGGCCGGAAAGCATCTCTGGAGCTTTGGTGATAGCTGAGATGTCCCTGATGAAAGTCAACTAACTAGGTACATATACAGTTATATAAATCATTCATCTCAAGTCGTTCTTACTCGACTGGGAATCCCGACTCGCGGATCATCTTAGCAGTGCCACCGGATGCTAAAATGCGCACATTTTGTTGCACAAGGCCTTTAGCTAAGTCCAATAGACCAGTCTTGTCAAAGACGGACAGGATAGCGATTCTCTGCGTTGCCGACATGGCGACTTTCAGTCTTGGGTGATTTGTGATGCGCCTATTTCGGTAGCAAGGGAAGATATAAGGTATCTATGGTAGACCGAGATATATTGGAAACGTAGCTTGAAATGCGACTCATATACTAACTACCCTACTTAGATGAGGTTGTCAAACATATGGTCATTGAATCTGGATGAAATGGAGGGGTAGGTTTTTTTTTCTCTTTTTTTGAGCTACGAAGTACATATTGGACTATGTAAGTGAATGGCGTCTATCGATAACATTACTACTAGTAGTAAATGCAATTAGCTTCTGTTAATCGGGGTATCTTCGGTAATACATTGCTTATTAGGATAGTTATTTCTAAGTGCGACATTTTCAAAACTTTGACGAAAAAAATGTCTTCCATCGCGCCGTAAATAGCTGAGAAATTTCTTTCTTCGCTTTTTTTTCTCGAAGCTTCATAGTAGATAGCGGGGTAGCCGTTATCAGCCCCGCTACTAAGAAGCGACCTAACCTAGTGTAAAAATGTAAATAACTAACTAATTCTCATTGGTATAATTCGACACAGGAACGTGATCCGGTTTTGTAACGCGTTCTCACTAGGTCTCACAGCTTCCCGGCACTTAATATCTTCATGTACCTACTTACTACATAGCAGTCACCTCACTCCACTTCTTTCTAAATTTCCGTTGTTTATTTATATGCATTAACAATTTCTTAACCCCTATAAAGATGCATGGGGATTTGGGGAATAAGCTCGTAAGACAAAAGATGCCCATTGTTATGAGAATGGCTTGGCATGTGAGCTACAACTAAATACTACTGTTAGGTCCAACATGCAAAAAGAACTCAGAATTTGACGCATCTTCCGCCATATCAAACTGAGTTAGTCCGAGCTGTAGCAAGGGAGGTTCGCGATCTGGATAAAGATGTTGCAGATGCCTTGGAACCCTTCCAGGGGTCTTTCAACCCAAGTGAGGATTCAGCTACAGCATGTACACTTCTTGTAAACCACTTATCGATGCGGAGGAACAAGCGTTGTCTGCTGGCCTATCACCGAACACGGACCGACAGACTAGAAGAGCTTGTCTGGAAGGGCTACGACGTAGTCGATCTTGCGGGACAGCAGGTTGGGGACGGCCCGGGTGGACAAGCCAATGTGCGAGGTATGGGAGCCGGCGACGGTGGCACGAGCAGCTTAAGCCCACAAGAGGAAGACTACGTGCGGCAGTACAGCGATCTATTGGCTGCCTACAAGGGACAATGGACGGATATTGACCTCACGGGAAGTCTCGAGCCCCCTCGTGATTTATTCATTGACGTACGGGTGCTAAAGGACGCCGGTGAGATCCAGACTGAATACGGGTAAGATTTCCACTCCGAAGGATAATAACAATAAGTAAGAAAATCTGCTCATGCATCTTCGCAGCGCCATTACACTCACCAAGAACAGCCAGTTTTATGTTAGGCAGGGTGACGTTGAACGGCTAGTCGCCCAAGGCTATCTTCAAAAACTTAGTTGAGGGGGTTTCCCTCAAGGAGCCATGGCTGACTGTCAGCTTTCCCCTCTGGCTAGATGATGAGTCCAAGGGGTATCACATCCTTTTGGGTATCTCGGATGGGGTAATCTTTGATTATGGCTAGACCGAAGCACATCACGGCAGCACAAAGCAATTCCCCGGAAGCTTGTCTGTGTGCTATATAAGATGAGCGGCATATGTGTTCGTTGCCCATACGACCTAGGCCAATTTTCCGGTATGACATATCAAAATTTGCAATTATGACGAAATCAGTCGCAACGGGAACCACCTATAGCAAATAAGTATGGGCGGTGAGAGGATGCTTGGCCTCAGTGGAAGGGCCAACCATTACGCCAAACTTAACCCACATGAACGGCATGGGGGATTTATGTGGCGGAGTAGAATGAGTTCAACTTGAAGTCCTCGATCCGAGGCGAACAAACAACTTGACAAAGAAATATTACTCATTGTCGTACAAATATGAACACAACCCGTGAGAAACAATTTACCAGACACGTTTTCTGATTGGTGAATTCGACATCTCGGCGCATGGTGCAAGGGCGATTGAACCAAACGGAATATAAGGTCGGGCGTGGACGCGTTGGTCATCGAAGTGGGAGGCTTGACGATTGCGGGGAGCGAATAGGGAGGTTGGAAGTGGAGAAGAATTGGAGGCTCCTCGAAATATTCGACTTCACACCTGACGACAAAAGCTTTCTAAGAATAACGCCCCCATGGACAAGCAGACAGGTTACATGTAGCTATAAACCGCGTCCTATGTACTATGTAAAAAGGCCCGTCCCGTCAAAAAGGTACCGCATGGAGGACCGACGAATACCAGAGGTTTACAGTACGTAATTGACTGCATGGTATGTATATACCTACATACTTATATGTATGCTACTGTGATTCGAGTGCGATCGAAGGTGGAAACATAGGGAGAGATGCAGACGCATGTCCATCCCGGAAGCACTGTATGTAAGTGTTGCTCGAAATATCAATGATCATGTACGGCGTATGATCGATCAGGAGATGTTTGTGGAATTCATCGAATTCTCGACTGTCAGCTACATACCGTAGCAGTCGCCTAAGTTAATCGTTTAAAGCGCTTCAAGCTCTCCAGGGCTGTATATTGTTTGCGACGAGCAACATTGAATGTCAACGAACATTGAAGGTATTCGAGTATGTCAATAGTCAGGATGTAAAAAAATAACATTGAACCCAAGCTGGGGCATAAATATTGTAGGTAGGCAGTACGTAGGTACCTAAGGGTTTGAGGTAATGTGACTGCATGATGCGGGCAGAAGATTTTCAAAGTCAAAGCACATCCAACAATTAGTTATATGTATTCGTATCCCTTAAGACCCGTTAAGTGAGGGGGCCGTACGGCGTTATGTCTGTCCGAATACACAATTTGAGTTTTTGTTGGAAATTGGAATATGTTTGGTATATGTATAAGGGCATGTATATGAGTATATGTAGTAGTTGACAGCATTATTTTGGTCATGTTGAAAGTTATAGGCAGTTATGGGCAGTTATGGGCACAAGTTGTTACGGTGACATTGTGGATTTCGTACATGTCGAAAGCTTATCCAATAACATAGAATAATTCACAGCCCTGGATAGCCCTGGAAGTACAATACATAGTCAGTATCCATAAGATCAGAGTTTGCCACCAATAATCGTTCAACGCCTTTCTAGAATCGGAGATGCCCCTCCTATATCCCAAATATCCCTGTCAGTTAAGCGCGGACCACATGCTAAAGTTTGTACTAGGATAATCTGTACTACCGTACTACTACGTAACTACTCCTTGGTAATTACCCCTTAAGGTTAGCTCTATCAACAGATACGATTCAGTTCCTTGGTATGTAGTTTGGTTACTGCCTACTATCGTGCAGATTTGTGCTAGACAATAGACCTAGACTGCTAGCTTTGTAGGTATCTGCTAACCTAGGTACCTTTCTAATACCATGGCATCCATCTCGTGAGGTCTAGATTTTGAGATCCTCTCGTTATCGTTCAAACAATTCTTTTCCAAGTTCTTAAACTACCTCCTTTTATTTTCTTAATTGTATTCCTTTGGTCTTCTTGTTCGGTCTTCTCCGATATAACAAGTCCAATGTTATTTTTTCACAATATCTTTTTGCTACCTACACTCAACCGAGCAAGCCATATAATTCCTTGCTAGGTAGGTATACATGCCATACATGCCATACATATCATACATGCCATACACGTTATACATATAGTCTTTATACATCTTTGTATATGCACAACCAATTACGTTTCGGCTCCAGCACCCCGTCCCCACGAATAACACCTTGCTGGCTGACTTATATGCGCACTGTAATCGGCTTTTGATGTATATATCTACCGTAGAGAGCTAACAAGCAGCTCCCATCACACGATATGGCTACTCCGTCCTTTGGCTTCTCTTCTTGGAGAAGACGATCCTCATCTGTCGCCTCTCGTTCAGATCCGGTAGATGTACCTGACCAAATAGACAACCCGGACCAAACTTCACTATTAGCAGTAGGAGATTCGCGACCGCTATCGTCTTCTTTAACATCCCACAGCTATAGAGAACCTACCAGGTCTTTTGTGCCTGGTTCTGTTAGAGACCATCTCTGTGAGCATTGTAGTGTCGATGTCGTTACTGTGTCTGCAGGGCTAATATATCTTCCAGCCCCTTTAGACAGTGCTAGTTTTGCTCGAAGTGTCCGTGAGGATACGGCCGAGCTCGCATCCTACGTTCTATCGGACAAGAAAGATAGGCGCAGCACGTCATTCCTCAATCGAATATCGTCTACCACCTCCCAACAAAGTCGGGACCAGTTAAATCCCAACCATGAGTCGCTATCTATGGGAGAGTCGCAGACGACCGGCACAGACACTATAGATGAGGTCTCCGAACCTTCCTCGCCGCCAGCTGGAACAGAGGACACTGACTCCGGCCCTTCGGCACTCACAACCATGCTCAAGCGCTCCCCACCTCAGTCGTTGAATGAACCAGGCCTCTCCGGTGATAGTTTGCCATCCAAGAATACATCCTCCATGGGGCTTCCACAGACCCAATTGGAGGATGGCTCATCCGAAACGACCCCACTACTTGGAGCTATCTCGCGTAGGCCCGAGTCTCCAGACACCATCACAGACATTGACGACCTCGAGAGCCAGAAACCCAATATAGCACCTTGGGGTCCATCGACGATGATACTTAATGGGGGTATTCGGGGTACATTGCACAGTATCAAAGGTTTAGCAAACCCGAAGACTTGGGATAGGAAGGTCGTGTGGCAGAGAGCCGTGGTAGATCCAGTGCGCTGTTTGCCAGCAGTGGTTGTTGGGCTCTTGTTAAACATTTTAGATGCCCTTTCCTATGGTATGTCATTCCTGTAGAGCATTTGTTTTATCCATGAATACCTTGGCAAAACTTACCATCACGTAGGAATGATTCTGTTTCCTCTAGGGAACCCGATATTCGCAGATCTTGGGCCGGCTGGGATATCTATATTCTACGTCAGCACAATTATCTCGCAATTGACTTTCTCATTCGGTAGTCTTTTTAGAGGTGGCATTGGTTCAGAGCTTGTAAGATCCCGTTTACATCCCGAGAATATGGATAAATACTTACGTTCCCAGATCGAGGTTGTTCCGTTCTTTCATAACATGGCGACTACTATCACTGCGACAGTAGGAGAAGACCAACCAGACGCGGTCATTGCCACGACAATCACTTCCTTCGCAATTAGTTCCATGCTCACTGGTGTTGTGTTCTACCTCATGGGAAGGTTCAAACTAGGCTATATTGTTGGCTTCATTCCTCGTCATATTCTGATCGGATGTATCGGTGGCGTCGGCTGGTTTCTCATTGCCACAGGCCTCGAGGTTTCTGCCCGTCTGGAGGAATTCAACTACGATCTCGACACCGGCCGAAGACTCATTCAAACGGATACTTTGCCTCTTTGGCTCATTCCGCTTTCCCTGGCTATTATCCTCTTCGGCCTCCAGAGGAAGATCACCTCAAAATACTTCCTACCCATCTACATTCTATGCGTGCCAGTGTTCTTCTACTTCTTTGTCTTTACAATAGACAGCCTCGATACCGAGAGCCTAAGAGAAGGTGGATGGATCTTCAAAGCACCAGAAGCTGGGCAACCGTGGTGGTACTTCTGGACGCTCTATAGTAAGTTCAACCTGTCAAGTTTACAAATCGATACTTCATTGCTGACTATCACTCACAGAGTTCAACTTGGTTCATTGGGGGGCAGTTTTGGAAACTTCTGGAGCCATGTTCGCCCTAACATTCTTCAGCGTGCTTCATGTCCCCATTAATGTACCTGCTTTGGCCCAAATCTCGGGAGAAGACAATCTTGACTTAGATCACGAGCTCAAGTTACACGGATATTCGAATTTCATATCTGGACTCGCGGGTAGCATTCAAAACTACCTGGTCTTTGCAAATACGTTATTCTTCATGAGATCTGGTGGCGATAGCCGCCTTGCTGGTATATTATTGGCCGCCCTTACATTCGTGGTCATGACGATAGGGCCGGTAACCATAGGTTATATACCAGTCATGGTCGTTGGCACTTTGATATTCGTCCTTGGATTTGAGTTATTGCTAGACGCTTTGATATCCCCAAGACGAAAGCTGAAGTTGCTTGAATATCTAACGGTACGTTTTCACCAATTCATTCTAGTCACGCTTTCACCACTAACTGAAGATTCGTTATAGATTGTTGTCATAGTCCTTACCATGGGCATATATGACTTCGTTGTTGGTATATTTGTTGGCATAATCCTTGCTTTCGTCTCCGCTATCTTCCACGCGTCTCAAGTCTCTGCTATCCGTGCAACTTACACGGGAGATCAAGTCGGTTCAATGGTTAGACGGAACCCATCACAGCATCATTTCTTACAAGATGTTGGCAGCCAGACCTATGTCATCAAGCTGTCTGGTTTCCTGTTCTTCGGCACCATCGTTGGCGTCGAAGAAAAGATCCGTAGCCTGATCTCCGACAATATCTTCAGAGAGCATCCAATCAAGTACCTGATTCTCGACCTGTGGCATGTTACGGGTATTGACTATTCAGCGGCTGAAGCATTTAAGACCATAAGCAGGCTCTTAAATGGGAAAGGGGTCCACCTTCTCTTAAGCGGAAAGGATGCAGAAAGTAGAATAGGCCGAGATCTCAGGGCTGTCGGTCTAGGGGCTGACGAACTCGACGTTATGTTTATGCCCGACTTGAACTCGGCATTAGAGAGTTGCGAGAACGAGCAGCTTAAGACTTTCTATGCTCGGCAAGAAGCCTTGAGGATTTCGCGTCCGACAGCGTCTAGCAATCTCGACGTGCCTAATAAGGGGCAATTTAGCCAGTCGCTGGAGTTCTTATCTCAATCTCCAAGGAGGAACCATCTCGACCAGGCAGCTAGGACCGTATTGAACCAGCAAGAGTTTAAACGGTCGACAAGATGGCAAAACATCAAGGAACCGTTGCGGCTTATGCTTCAAGTCTTTTACGGCTTAAGCAACGGTAACGAAGATTTTTGGTTCCGAGCAAAGCCTTACTTCATTCGGAAAGAATTCAGTGCTGGGACGGTGCTATATCAGCGTGGCGAATCAGCTCGTGGCTTCTATCTACTAGAAAGGGGTGAGCTACGAGCTGACTACGAAACGCCTCAAGGTCGCCTGTCCGAACCGATTGTACAGGGAACAACGTGTGGCGAGCTTCCGTTCTTCTCCGAGACAAACCGGACTGCAACGGTGGTCGCGGTTAAGGACTGCGTTGCTTGGGTCATGGACACGGAAAATTGGGAGAAGTTACAAAAAGAGGAAGGCGAGGTAGCGCAGGAATTATTGAGGATTTCTCTCAAGCTTACGAGCGAACGAATGGATGCTATGACTAAATATATATCAGCGGTTGGAAACTAGGCCAGGGAGGTACGTACCTAGTAGTTTGAATAAAGGAACAGGGAAAAAAGAAAGGGGGGCTTCTTGGTAGAGAGTCAAAAGGGAGATGTCTCTACTATCGTATTCTGCTTCAACTTGGATATACCCTTTTTAAACATTCAGCGCTTCCAACATAAGTATAGTAGTATCTATACTGCAACCTCTACTAGCATGTGCCTACACGTAATCAATGGGAGTTCCAACTCCCTACTTCTTGGTGATGAAGCTGCTGGAGGAGTTGGGAATGGGCTGGCCGGGTGATGATACCAAGTGCGTTCTTTTTCGTCCTTTCCCTCCCCTCTTTTGAATAAGGAGGGCATGTAACTAAGTCTTTCACACAAACCTTGGTATATGTTTGCTCTCTAGGTACCTAGGCAAATGAGTGACTTGTCTTCGTTGATTCTACATTAAGCTTGCTTGTCAAAAGTTCACGACACACATGCCTCGGGTTCAAATATGACACACTCAAGTCGCGAACCACGATTAAGGTGTTCAACGTTGTTTCTTTTCATCATTAGGTATTGATTGCCACAAATGCACCGACGTACAAAACGTTTCTCACATCATGAATTCCCTCCTATTCCCTCCCCCCCAAACCCCCCCTTTTTGAATTCTAACCGTCTCAATGCCAGCCAGCCCAAAGATATACGCCGGACTACCTAGAAACAAGAATAAAATGGGATATCGAACGAAAAACCTGATGTTGTTGTTCTTTCGACACGCACGCACGCACGGTCTTATACCACCCGCTTGACTTCGAAGAATCTTCGCAGCCACCAGACCTGGAAGAGAGACTCGCCGACGACGACGCCGATGACGAACAAGTTCCACCACTTGACTCGGCTGTTGGTGCTTTCGGCGGTGTTGCGGTGGGTGCGTTCGCGGACGACGATGTACGACTGCTCATCTCGGACCTGTTCGACTAATTCGGAGAGTTGCTTGACTGGAAGCTTGGTCAGTATACGTACGCTGTTAGGAGGAAGAGGATACGGTAAGGGGTAGAGGAAACATACTCTCTTTTTCCAAGGGGTCCTGGGGAGCTTCGTCTTCGGAAACGTAGACTATGCCGTGGACGTTGAATGAAACTTCCTTGCTGTTGGAGCCCCAGTGCTCGTTGCCGAAGCAGTAGATAAACTTGCCGTCGTGCTTGGCAGTGAAGGAGAAGTCGCCGTTCGAGATGGCTCGCTGATAGGTCTCATGCTGGCCCATTGGATTCGTGATCTGTTTTTATTTTTGCAGGTAGAGTCAGTCATAGGACAACATGTAAAGCCACCACAACCGACCGCGCTGTCATACCCAAAAATCAACATCGAGGTTTCCGGCTCCGCCAAATTCTCGGTCACCGGCCTGGAAAGTGACGGTCATGACATCGTCCTTGTGGAGCTCCTCGTGGAAGCATTCGCGACCGTGGGCTGGTAGTTGGATATTATGGGCAAGCGCAGCATTTAGGAAGCTGGTTGCCAGCAATAAGGCGGTAGTCGAGAAGAGCATCGTGATGATGTTGTTGGTTTTTTCCGACAGACAAGAAAAGGAAAGAAAAAAACAAATGGACTCGGCGACTCGGAATGTGTTCGTGTTCGATTTGAGTTGAGTAAGGTAAGTTGGTTAGTCAGGCACTCTAACTATTACCCTGTACTTGAAGATGTATACAGTAACATTGAAGTCTGGACACTTTGGCGATTGCCAAGGAATTGAAATCGAAAAAGCTTTGGGTCGGCTTTGGCGCGCTTTTTTTCTTTTCAGGCCCTGAGGCCCTGAGGGATCATTGATGTGACCTGAAACGAAGGGTACCAGTAATTACATAGTACATGTAATACTTGTGGAGTACTTGGCGTGTCACGACATGCTACGATTAGCTTTCGTACAGACACTGAACAATTACGGGGCTGTGCTAAGTAGAGCTCGAGTATCTACTGCACACTGAGTGCACCTAGGTAGGTAGTAACTACTAGGATGTGATTAGTACTTGCAAGTACAGTGCTCTGTCAGTTTCATTCAAAATTCCTTATCGAGAACCACTAAAATTTCAAGATTACAAGGAACCTTGGAAAAATGAACAGGGAGCACATGTGCAGTTCAAGGCCTAAACAAGTCCTAAGCAAGTCCTGGCATTCCTTGTAGACGATGCAATTACGTTCTTCCCCCTAGTTAATCTAGGTAGTATATGTACATTGTATGTATGTACTGCTATGTACACGTGCTGCCTCTTTTTAAACTCTTTGTCTCTCCAGCCACATTGCATTTTTCTTAATAGCCCTTGGAGTGAGTACATAGATTATTAGTAGTAATCGACCAGGAGACTTTTTCTTGAAAAAAACATCCATCTCTCTTCACCGATCTCCAACCACAATCCACCGCATCACCCCCTTTTGATAATCCCATCACCACGAGATCTCTCCTTCGCCGAGCAGGTCTCATTGTTGCAACATAGTAAGTTATGCCCCTCTAAACATGCCATTGAAAAAATAAAAAATACAAAAATCATAAAAAAATGAAAAATTATATACACAAAGAGGACAATTATTCTTTGGTAGTCAGTCAGGCTTGACTGACTGACTGACTCGCCTTATGTACCCATCACCAAATCTACATACCTATCTCTACCCTATCTACTTTTACACTTACCTTACCTACCCATCCATCCCGTCTTCCTTTACCTCCTGACTCCATACATCTATACCCAAGCCTGATTCACTTGACTTTCGTCATACGTCGGGCCTTACCTGTTCTTTTTTTCCCTACTCTCCTATCGCGGCAGCCTAGGAAACAACAACGGTATATTACAACCAACCAAGATCGATTCACTTAAAGTCTCATTGCGCTGCCTTACCAAACTAGTCGATCTGTCCTCACGACATTCAATTCCCATATATCCCAACCATCTTTCAATCTTCGTCAATCATCAATCATATTACCAAATTCTTTTGGGTCATCACAACTAACAATTTATCTCTTGTCTCGCCAGATATCGCGACGTCGCCTCTATAATACTTTCTTACCGCCCCTTACTTCCAAGTCGCAATCATGGGTCTTACATTCTCTAAGTTGTTCGACAAGCTCTGGGGAAAGAAGGAGATGAGAATTCTTATGGTCGGTCTCGATGCTGCCGGAAAGACCACCATTCTATACAAGCTTAAGTTGGGTGAAATTGTCACAACTATCCCTACCATCGGTATGATTCCCCCCCCCTCTCCGACCTGGCCTCAGCGGCATTGTTAGATTTTGTTGTTAATACGCGTCGCGTTTTGCAGGTTTCAACGTTGAGACGGTCGAGTACAAGAACATCCAATTCACTGTGTGGGATGTGGGTGGTCAAGACAAGATTCGACCCCTTTGGCGACATTATTTCCAGAACACCCAGGGTATTATCTTCGTCGTCGACAGCAATGACAGAGACCGTATCGTTGAGGCTCGAGAGGAATTGCAGCGCATGCTGAACGAAGATGAGCTCCGAGATGCCATCCTACTAGTATTCGCCAACAAACAGGATCTACCTGTACGCACCCCCTCATCTTACCCATGAGATCCACTCAGATGCGCTAACATCCACTACAGAACGCCATGAATGCCGCCGAGATTACCGACAAGCTCGGCCTCCACAGCTTGAGGCAGCGTGCTTGGGTATGTGTTTTCTTCTTTTCTTCTTTTACATGTTACTATTTTGATACTAATACAAAGTATAGTATATTCAATCAACCTGCGCTACGTCAGGAGATGGTCTGTACGAGGGTCTCGAGTGGCTTGCCACCACTCTCCGAAAGGCGGGTCACCAGTAGATGGGGAGGAGGAGGCGCAGTGTCATTTCTTCTCCCTCGAATCATACGGGTCGGTTGTAATTCGCGAGGTCATATTCCCGGAGCAATCGATATAGTGCATAAACCACGTTTATCTCGGTACCCTCTCTTTCACATTCTTCTCGGTTGCGGTGGTTCTGCACAGTGAAGAGGCAAAGTTTGGTTTCGGAAGCATAAGGAGGGGGAGTGGCGTATCGGGATGAAATCTGTACGAATTGATGTCACGGCAACGTAAAAGAGAAACTCGATGCGTTTGGTTCACGCTTGCTGGGGGCCAGGAGAGCCTCGCTCCTAGTCTTGTTTTCTTTTTTTTTTCTACCGTTCTCATGACATTTTCCGTCTACTGTTTCCCCCCTTTAATAAGAATGACGATCAATACTGCGTCTATGAAAATTGACGATGGTTTCTACGGAGAAGCTACATGGTGCGGGTATGTGCGAAATATTAGGTATGAAGTATATCATGCTCCTTTTTTATTTTCCCCTTTTGTGCTGGCATTACGAGATAGAACGAGATTGGAACTGGAGGCTTCGTAGTTTTACAGCAGCAGCAGTAGCAGCAGCAGCAGTAGTAGTTACGTTACGGCAACATTGAGATTCGTTATACTACTAGTAGTAGAAAGATAGTATTCATGTATGTGAAATACATAGTTGACCTCATCTTTGTATAAAGGAGGAATACTCCACACACACATGCAAACCTAGGACCTAACCTAGGTAACTACAAACTACTAGGTACTGCACATGTAAGTGGATACTATCATACAATACAGATAAAAGTCACGTGTCTGATTTATGTTCCACATACTTATGAATTTCCAATGTTCAAATGTTGAAGTCTGGGGTTCTCCAGGAATTAAGCTTATCAATGAGTTATCAATGAGTTATCAATGAGTTATCAATGAATAGTCCCCGCTCAAATGCCGCAATCGGCGGAAGGTGCCGTGATGATTTTGATTGTTTAATAGATGGATATTCGTAGCTCCGATGTGAAGTTACTACCTACCTACCTACCTACCTACCCACCTACTTAAGTGCTTACATATAATACAACATTGTACTTGCATGTAGTAAATACAGCACATCTACTTGTCAACTCTCTTCAATTGCACATAATGAAGACCTTGAGAGTCCTCGCCAGAGCTAGGAATGGCGTACCTACACTTCGAGTTCCTACACAGCAGAATCGACTATTCACTCGCATAGCTTCCTCAGCTTCAGCTGCCACACGTAGTTCTTCGGCTACTTCTTCGGCACCGATAATATCCCCACAAACATACCCTTCCCGACTGAGATTGCAAGGCCGTAGAAGCTATGCTTCGAACTCGGAAGCCGAGCCTCAAACCCTCGGCAAGACGTCACTCTACGACCTTCATGTCGCCCGCGGCGCCAAGATGGTCCCATTCGGTGGCTACTATATGCCGGTGCAATACGCCAACCAGAGCGTCATTACTGAGCATACCTTCACACGAACCCACGCCTCGCTCTTTGACGTCGGCCACATGGTCCAACACCGCTTCAACGGACCCGGCGCCCTCGCCTTCCTCCAGCGCATCACCCCCGCCAGCCTCGAGCCCCTCCCTTCCAACTCCAGTACCTTGAGCACGCTGATGTGGCCTCAATCGGGCGGCATTGTCGACGACACTATCATCACGAAGCTAGGTCCCGAGTCCTTTTACGTCGTCACCAATGCCGGCTGCAGGGACAAGGACCTCGCGTACCTCAAGGAGCAGCTTGAGCTGTGGAACAAGGACGGAAAGGGGCTTCCGGTAGAGCACACGGTGCTTGAGGGCCAGGGCCTTGTCGCGCTGCAGGGACCTGCCGCAGCCGCGTACCTCACGCCGATTCTAGCGAACCCCCAGGAAGCCGATCTATCCACTCTATTCTTCGGGCAGTGCCGCTCCGTCAGCGTCAAAGTCGATGGCGGGAACCGGGTGGTGCCCGACGTGCTGGTCAGCCGCGGCGGCTACACCGGCGAGGACGGCTTCGAGATCTCGATCCCGGCCGCCGACACCGTCGCCGTGACCGAGGCCCTGCTACAGGTATCCTCGCTGCCCGAGAAGCTGCGGCTCGCCGGCCTAGGCGCACGCGACAGTCTGCGCCTCGAGGCGGGCATGTGCCTGTACGGCCACGACCTAGACGACAGCACGACGCCCGTCGAGGGCGCGCTGAGCTGGATCATCGGCAAGGACCGCCGGTCCGAGACGGACGTCGCCAAGGGCGCCTTCTACGGCGCCCACGTCGTGCTCCCGCAGCTCAAGACGCGCAAGAACGGCGGCACGGGCGTCGAGCGCCGGCGCGTGGGACTCGTTGTTGAAAAAGGCCCACCAGCGCGCGAGAGCGCCGAGATCGTCGACGCGGAGGGGAACAAGGTCGGCGTGGTGACGAGCGGGTGTCCTTCCCCGACGCTCGGGGAGAACATCGCCATGGGCTACGTCAAGGATGGCTTGCACAAGGCTGGCACGGAGCTAGAGGTCCTGGTCCGTGGCCGCAAGCGCAAGGCTACGGTCACGAAGATGCCGTTTGTGCCGTCGAAGTACTATAAGGGTGCGAAATAGGGGATACGGGATGCGTGACTTTGACTTGGGAGGGAAGAGTGGGGAGGGAGCGCATGAACACCCTCTCCCCCTTTATTTCTAGGAAAAAGGATGAAAATCGTGATATGATATGGTGGTATAAGTACCTGGGTGGGTAGGCACCTAGGCATATTTGGGATGGGAATGACATCTTTTTTTCTGGGACACTTCAACACAAAAACATTGCCTGGCGTCGGGGGAATCTTATTATTTGGCGGTGCCGATGAGTCGAGACGAGACAGGATGGGACGAGATGGAAGTAAATAAAGGCAGAGAGAGAGAAGATAAGTGGATGAAATACCTAAGATGTATAGATAGATAGATTACTTAGATACCTTCAACGATGATCTAATGTAGACTTTATCACCTTGTATAGCTGACTCGTTTTCTGTGTGTATGTGTGTATGTGTGTCTCTGTATGTGTGTGTATGTGTGTATGTGTGTGTGTGTGTGTGTGTGTGTGTGTGTGTGTGTGTGTGTGTGTGACAGAGATAGGGGTTCGTGAATAAATGATGTTTGAGGGATAGTTACAGGTACTTTACCAACCTAGATGGGACTGCTGACTACCTACCTACCTACCTACCTAACCTAGAACAGCACGACCAACTTCTATCCCCATCCCATATCTTACCCAAGTGCCCTGTCTAGGTAGGTATATGGGGTATCTTCTCAGGCTGCCCTTTCTCCTACCGCTTTTCCCAACCCCTCATGCTTATTTATCTCACTCTTTCGATCTTGGATACCTCCATCTCTGCTGCCCCCCCCCCCCCCCCCCCCCTCCCTACCTACTTGCTATTATTTCAGTGTTTTGAATATATATTCAAATCATCATCATCAACGTCGCCATCATCAACGTCGTCAAAAGTTGAATACTCCCACCCCTCCCACCCCTCCCCCCCTCGGAGATATTCATTCATATCTAATATATAGGTACCTGTATAGGTCCATAGGTATTTCGTTTTGTACACGTGAGTGTATGAGATGTTTAAATAGTGTACCAAGTATCACCTCTACAATAATAATAACATGATTTACCCCCTTTGCTTAATATCATAGTCAGCGAATCCGACCAACCCGAGTGAGTTGAGAATCCCCTTCTCCCCTAGATAGGCACATACCTACCTACATACACTATGTGGCCTATGTGCGTGCTAGGCTATGTTAACAATAACGGTAAGCCTACACGATAGTAATAAAAAGAGTTATGTGTTTAAAAGCTCCACCAAAGGATGGTACCTAGTGTATATACTGATATAACCCGGCTATGTCTACTGCCCTTGCCTGGCTTCAAAGCGTTTGCTATGTATTCCTCCAGACTACTTGCGTCGAAATGCCCATTTCCACAATAAGGTATGTCCATGTCCATGTCCAAGGCCCCCTCCCGCCTGGACATTTGAATTTGAAGGGGAAATAAAAGCAAAATTTCGTCAGGGGAATAATGATAATGATAATGATGAACCGAGTGAACGATAAGTAAAAGAGGAAGCAATGAACCCATGCCGTCGCTTGCTGCCCTATTTAAATGCTCAGAACTCCCGTAAAACGCCTTTCCATCGAGCCATTCTTGTTGTGCCCCTTATGTACCTGCACTACTCAATACGTCAAACGATGAAATGGTTAAAAGGTCCAGTCTTCCAGCATCGCCGCCCGTCTTCTCTTTTGCGTAAGAGTCGCCTGTGACGTCGGCGCTGCCACCACCTGCTCTGGACTTTGCATCCAGTCGTACCCAGATGTCCGCCACCATTTACTAGATTCTGAATATTCCCTTTGTGCGTAGTTATGGGTATCCTCGGTGCCGGCATCGCACCGCTCCAAGCGAATCACCCCACCCCGAGAAAGGTCGCAAGACAAGGCAACAAGATCATTCCCACCATTCGCAAACTCGACACCGCCGAGCTCGCCAAATATATCGATTGTCTGTTTAGTGTTGAATGTTTGAGCATCGATTATATTGATGTAATCAGCCTCCTCGGCAGCAACCAATACCCTTTTGCCAGATCCGAGAGGGGAGAAACGCAAGCTGCGGGCGCCAGCCATCTCAGTCCGGACTACGGAAACAGCATTGCTCTCGCCCTTGCTGTTTCTCCACTTACGAGCATCCCATATCCTGATACTCCTATCTTGGTTTCCTGTGGCCACGGTCCAGCCATCCGGCGCCCAGTCGCATGCAAAGCCATAGTCTCTGTGGCCTTCTAGGTTTTGAAGGATCTCGCCCGTTCCTGCATCGGTGATAAGTACATTCTGATGATCTCCGACCATCACCCGAAGCCTCATATCGGGACTGAGCGCAGAGCAATTCATGGCGAAATCGTACATCATTTCCGATGTTATTGTATTGGTAGACAAGTCGACTACCCGGAAACCGAAATCGTTCGAGGCAAAAGCAGCCAACGGTGTGGGTGAATACCGAGAGGAATGTAGTTGTACGTGGTTGGTGATGCCACTAAGATTGTTGGTTAATCGTCCTTCGTGAGTTTCTATGCCACCGAAAGAGTCTAAGTGACGGTAGCGGTAAGTTCCATAAAAGCCACCAGCGATCATGATGTCGTTGTTGGCAGTCAGGGTAGAGATATGGGCATCGGTCTGACTGTCGAAGCGCATTGCTGCTCTGTCCCGTCCCGTAGTTGGATCGTGCTCTCGGATGGATGTGAAGCTGGGGTAGAATATCCTGGACCGTGATGCGACGCCCAAGATGTTGCGAAGCTGGAAATGTAGCAAGCGCACGTCGCGCCTGATGTCCATACTCTTGTATCGAAAGTGGTTATCCACTGGGCGTAGTAACTTGTCGCAAGACGCATTATACCACGAATCCGAGTTTGGCCTGTTGACATAGTTGCGGAAAGTTGCCATACGGCGGCGTCGCGCAAAACCCCTCGTGATTCCGAGTTCCTTCCAATTAATCCCCTGAAAGTCGTACTCATTTCCTCTCAACTCGCCGCACTCGACTCGGCGCGGACACTCCCTAGCGAGACGGCGTATTTGTGAATAGGATGGCACAGGACCATGAACCCTAAGTTGGGTATCTGCAGTGCCCTGCCATCCCCAGAGTTCAAGAAACTGTATGACATGCGGGTTCTCCGGTCCTAGCGACATGGGATTCGCATTGCTTAGGGCCATAGGGTGAAGGCCAGTAATTTCAGGATCGGCGTCATCTTCAAAATCTGGGACTTCTGGGGGCGGCGGCGGCGGAGGCGCATCTAAAGGTTGAGGCGCGGCTACTAAGTTGGCTAGAGGTTCGAGTGGTGGAGGTTCAACAGCGACAATGGGAGGCGAATGTTGGACGAAGATTTGAAGAGGGTCGAGGGGAACAAAGGTCGATTGATAGAGGGGTTCGAAGGGATCGAGAGGTTCGTGGGGTGGCATGGCGTAATTGAAATCGGTTTGATTGTCTACATCCATATCATTTAATAGCACGCCACCTTCTTCCACATCAGTGCTAACATCAGGGCTCAACATATTGTGGCTAGTAGCGGCGCTACTGTCCTTGTCGTCATCCCCGTGCTGGACTCCGTGGTCGTGGTCGTGGTCGACATGCGCAGTAGTGGGAGCGTTCTCTGATGGCTGCCACTGGTGGTCATTCATAGAACTATCGAGGTCAGGAGTGTCGTGTTCGGGAGCTGTAGGCAGAGTAAGTAGAGGGGATGAGGCATCATAGTCGGTTTGAGGACGGCCCGGAGTGAGTAATGGAGAAGTGGGTGGAGAATTAGCAGGGCGCATCGCTGTTGGAGGTGTTCAAGTCATTTGCTAAGATTTGAGCCTAACCGCCTTAGTTGGGGGTTCACTTTTTTAAGGACGAGCCGTGTTGCCCGTCTCGTGCTATTATGCAGCCTGTTCCAAATCCTATTGGCTCGCGAGATAGTGAGGTAACGAGGTATCCAAGCAGATATGTATGTACGTAGGTACTAACTACATGTAAGTATACACATATGAGGACCGGGTAGGTAGGCAAGGAGGGATGGGTGATGGGGGGGGAGAGGATAGAGTGGGCGGAAAGGATGATGGGTGGCTGATCTTCAACAACCTGGAAGACGCCAAGATGGTTCAAAGGCAGCGATTCCCTTTGCTAGCGTTGCGGCTATCGAGATATGGTGTACCCTAGCAGTTTAGTTGCTTCTGGGAGCCTTATAAGTGCAGTCAAAGAGGTATATATAATTGTATATATGTGTTTGTTATAAACTAGGTACCTACCTGCTGCGTAGATCCTACATATAAATACAACATCAATGATTGAACATCGAATGCCATACATATAAGTTGATATAACACAATGTAGGTACTAACTACTGGTACTAGTTGTAGTACGTCGTAGACAGCAATTTGGGTATCTTATGTTTCCCCCCTATATCCGAGGAAGTTCAATGGAGAAATAAAGGATGAACCACATGCATCGATCGATATAAGATAAGAAGATGGGTCAGGGCTGACATGAGATGCGCATGTACATGCCATGTACCTACGCTATTGGTAATCCACGGTATAAATTGGCTGGATTGACCGGATTGATGAGGGGAGGGGGTGGGAAAGAAATGCATGTACAGTAGGGTCTAATGTACAGAGAAGAGGAGAGAGGGATAGAGAGAGATAGAGAGAGGCGAGTGGCAAAAGGATGCAAATACTACTAGTAGTACTAGGTACCTAGGTTAAGTTAGTACGAATATGACGAACTTACCACACTTTTTGGTTTATGACAATTGGAAGTCACAACATTTGAACTTACGTGGGTTGTAATCCGCCTACCCTTCCCTTGTCTTTCCCTATCTTCCCCCTGTTTTTCTTAGTACCTTACCCACTGAATCCCATAAGTGACATGTTTGATACGCAGTGGGGGGGGCGTTTTTGGAGAAACGACGACCTCAACTCAGGCTCACTTGTTGCAAGAGCCATTTTTGGACTTGCATACATAAAAGTTAAATACGAGTACGTACATACGCACATACGTACATACGTACATACCATACGTATTGTACATATCGTACATATCGTACATATCCATGAGCAACAACTCAACTCACATGTGTCCAACTGGCAACAACAGCAACAACATACATGACAACTGGAACCCAGAAACCAGAAACCAGAAACCAGAACAGCTTGAGAAGATAGATACCTTTCCCCTTCATTTTCCCTCCTTTTTTTTTTTTCTTTCTCTTTCACTATCACCCCTCCTCGCCTTCTTTTTCCCTTGCCTCTCAAAATTGAAGTATGATATGTCACATTAATCCCAGCACCCGAATTTTACGAACCATCTGCCGAGTACAATGTGAATATCTCTTTTCTTTCGAAGACCGGCGAAGCTGTTGCTGTCTCAGTGATGAGTCAAAATGAGTAAATACCTATATACCGAGTAAATATATCTATATATACACGCACATACTACTAGTAGTATACACATACATATATTATGATTCAAGATCTGATGTCTCGCCTAATGTGAGACAGTCAAAATAACCCACGAACCGCCCCCCAAGTTCTCCCAAGGATACCTACCTACGGATATGGGGGTGGATGAATGAATAATAAGATGGCCCCCAAGCAACATCCACCATCCACCTATTCTCTCCCGTTTCGAGACTCACCGCCGGACACAGGTTTCGATTAGCAACATAAGGTCGGTTCCAAAGATACGGCACTAGGGTAAGTGAAGGGAAGGCAAGGGAGAGGACTCAGAGGAGAAGAACATGCTTCAAGCCACGGCCCGGTAAGGCCCCCCGCACCCGAACTTTGGAGTTTACGTACGTGCAACCAACAACGTCGCGATGTCAAAGCTTGCACATGTGGATAGCAGAAGAGGCATGTATTAGTTAGTATCAGCCCAAGAAATGCAAAGGTGCAGGCGCCGAGCGCTGATCTACGAGGATTAGAGAATCCACTAACTAACACATACATGGTACTGTACCAGTGTACCTTACCTAGCTACTAACCTAAGGTTAGGTAGCATACATCGATGTCCCCATGTATCAATATGCTACCTACCCTCCTCAAGTGCTAACCTAGATAACATGGAATTGAATAATATCGCGACGGCAGCAAGCCGCCAGGCCAGCATCTTCCCGACTTCCATCATCCGTACCTACGTACCTACCTACATATAGTACCTAACTGTGGATGGTAATACAGCATGATCGGGGTCACGCCGCCGACAGAAAACACTACGCCGGCCATGTCAATCGTCATCTTGACTTTCCCCCCTTCTTTTCGCTTTCGCCTCTCCGTGAGTTCCACCCTAGTCGTACTTGGGGCGGATACGGATAGCTGCAGTGTAGCGTTAGCTATTTCGATCTCACACGCAGACCGATGATTACTTCCTAATCCATGCGCTCGCATTTATACGCGGCCTTGGTTCTCCTCTTGCGCTTCTCCATAGCTCACAATGCTTGGAGCCGCAACGCTAAGATGACTGCTGGGCGCTTCAAGGATTCCAACGATTCCAACGATTCCAAGACCTCGGAATTTTCACTTCACCCCGTCGGAACAACCTTCATTCCGTTTAGGAGATGGATGCTGAAACCTCCATTAGTAGTAGGTAATGTTTAAAGAAATATCGCCGCCATAGGGTAAGTCGGCATCTTCTGTTCTTTGCTAAAATGACAGGTCATCAGTCTGTGCCTGTGACCGAGATAGGAGCCATGTCGGATAATGAATGATTGATCAAAAGTAGGTAACCTAGGTTATTGTCACCCTCAAACTTGCGCATTAGCGATAATCAGCCCATCATGAATCCATCCGTCTCTTGATACATAGCATTTCAACAACAATATCCTACTATGTAATGATCACCTGCTGGGTTGAAAGAATCCTCGCAAAATACCCCGTCCCTTCAACCGGAAACAAGCGGTTCTACTATGTATGGTTCTCGGCATTCAAGGTTGTCAATCAAATAGCTGTACATTGATCGCCTAGGCCAAGGCTCTTATCCTAGCATTATAATAACGGCAGACGTTATTGCCTATCCGTCCGTACATTGCTTCCGACCTATGTAATACTAGTCAATGCCTACCTAGGTATAATAGGTACACACATTGTGTGTGCATACCTAGTTAGTAGAATCCATACTAAACATGCTCATACATAGATGGATTATACAGATAACTATCTCCATACAAAAAACATGCATACCTATAATAATACAGCACCCCTAAATCCTATCCCAACCTGATCCTGTGCTCCGTTACAAAAGTTCTTTATTTTTTTTATGTCCGCCGCGTCTTACATATCATACATACATACATGTCTCCTAGACCCTTCAGCCCGGTGGGTGTTTCCATGCCGTAATACTTTACCCACCGAGCGCGCGCCAGATCTCGTCACACACATATAACTACTTATACCTACCTACCTACCTACCTAGGCACACATATCATACACACACATACACATACACATACACACATCGAAACCCCAGGAGTGTCGGAGAAAACTCCGTAGTTCAAGCCTCCTGCCTTAGCAGCAGCAGCAGCAAGCACTACATGCATACTAGGTATGTATGTACATGTGTACTTTACCCAGGTAGGTAGGTACACGAGGCAGGCAGGCAGGCAGGCACTAAAAAAAGGGAGGCGTCTCAGCCCTCCTCCCTCCTCCCGCCTCCTGGTTCCGTGGGAAAAGGGGGTGGGTGACTCACATATATATATGTACATACTGTAATGTAATGTAGTTAGTGGCGCCCACGCCTCAAGAAGGAATTCTTAAATGAAAATGAAAAATGAAAATAAATAATAAAAAAGTGGGAATCAAGAGGGGCATTTATAGAATAAAAAAAAAAGCGACGACGCCCATGATGATGATGATGATGATGATGATGATGATGATGCTGACGACGACTCATAACGACGCTGTGCACACAGAAACCCACGCGACCAAGGGTTTGCGCAAGTGTTACACGTACCGTACGGTAGGTTAGGTACCTACATATGAGTAAATATGTTGTGTCACGACTCACGAGAATATGTATGTATGGATGGGGGAACCACTGTATGTAGGTCAATGGTAGGTACATACCTAGGCACCTTGTGGGAATTGTGGGGAACAGTCACGTGACCCACATGGCCCGTGCCCATCTTTGTAGCTTACTTCAATTGGGAAAGGATCTTCGATCCTTTCCATCCTACTTAACAACTTCAACTACATTCATGATTCTGACCTTTTATTTGCAACCCACCGTGATCACGGAACCACCTTATCTGTTCCAACACACCTAGACATGTAGGGTAGGTATGTACACAAGGATAAGCAGAGCTGACACTCCTGGACCAGAATTGAATCCTTCAACCAGACCTCTTGTAAAGAATGCATTGTATGTACATAACTGTACCTACATAATATCAATTATCTATACTATGTATAATCGTGTAATTAATTCTAGGTATGATAACCCTAACCCTAACGACCTATGTAGGTACATTGGCAAACGTTATAAAAGCGCCAAATATCCCCCTCCCCCCCCCTTGGTTTCTTCTACACATTAGCTTCAATGTTATTGAATCATCAGAATTGGAGGATTGGAGTTTGGAAGAATCAGACGACCGCCGTGGACCAAACCTCCCCCTCGTGACAGCACCGTTATCTATATATATATAGTAAATGAATACACTTCGTAATACTTAACCCCCGAATCTTATAATCATGCATCTGAATAGTACTGATCGTCGTAGGCGTGGTGATACGGTGTAGCATTTGGACCAGGGCCAGCCCAGCTACTTCTCATCACACTCTCCCTCGATCCCCAGTAGTTGTCCCTGATGCGCCGTTCTCGTTCGAACTCGGCCCATCGTTTCATAGTGATCTTGCTACTGTCAAACTCGCCTTCATACTCGATGCCGGCCTTCTTGGTCTTCTCTCCCGCCGTCTTTCGAGTATCACCCCACGAAAAGTCATCAAACTTCCAAAAAGCGTAACTTGGGAGGACGAAGTTCCAGACTGGGAGTGACACGAGATAGATCAACATCCATACAACGTACGTCCACGAATGGGCTGTGACGATGATGAGGACAGCGGGTAGACCAAGAATCAAAGCAAGGAGAACTAGCGGTATGACCTGGGGTTCTGGACCAACGATAGAGGAGATAACTGCAACTCATGTTAGACTGATGCCCCCTAAATGATTTGAAGGCTAACACAAAACTTACCGACGTAAAACGTGAACGCAATGGCCGCGGGGAGTACCAGAGTACCGATTAATTCAATGAAAACTACAAATTGCATACTGAAGCAAAAGGTGCCGCACAGATCCTTGACAAGAACTAGTTCCATGAGGTTGTGGATTGTAGAGTTGATCCATCTTCGTCTCTGGGAGAGCAGCACACTGAACTCGTCGGGAACGGTAGTCTTGCACACTGCCTGAGGAACAAAAACTTGCTTACGCTTGGGGAAGGTTCGAAGCATGAGAGTAGTCAGGTAACGATCCTCTCCAAGGAGCAAGAGATTCTTCTTGTGCAGCGTATCAACAACATTCTCAGAATAATGCTCGACAACGTCCGGATTGGCCAATATAGGAACCCAGTAGTTTTGTGCGCCCTTGGGTGCCTTGATGCGGTACATGCAGAAACAACCGGGGAGACAAGTAACACCACCGAAAACAGATTCGAAAGATTTCGACAGATGATGGGATATGAAGTACTCGAAAACTTGAATGGCCGAGACCCAACTCTGTCGCTTGTTGGCAATCTTGGTCTCGCCGCAGAGCCCCATGATGTCGGGGTCTCGAACCATGGCACAGAGCATGTGGGTCAAGCTGTCGGGAAAGACTTTGGTATCGGCATCGACCATGAGTACAGCTTCGTAGTAGTCGGGAGATATACCGGTCACCTTCCAGAGACCGTTAAACATCTCAAACTCCAGTTCCGTCATGCGCTCGTCAAACATAACCTTTTGCAAGAACGACATCAGAATGATTTGACTGTCACGTTTGCCTCGGTTGCCCGGCTTAGATTTGGTGGATTCATCGGGTGTGCCGCATTTCACCACTAGCATCATGGGGACTCTTTGCTGCTTTTCAACCGGAATGGCAGACTTAGCGCCATAGTCGTAGAAACCAGCATATACCTTGGCCATGTTGTGCCGTTTCGAACCACTAGCCACGGCCACATACGAGAAACCTTGAACATCTTCAGGCGCGACAGTGTGATCCTTCATCATACCAAGCACGAAGTCAGGTGTTGTCCTCGACTCGCCCTTGCCCTTGATCATACCGTCGCAAATAACGAGGATGACCTTGTGGCTGTTAGGGTAGTCTGTCATGGCAATCGAGTCTAACGTGGTTCGGATACCCATCTCTCCCTCGGAATAGGCTGTCACAAGGCAGATCGAATGGATTAAGGGGAACCCAAAGGGTTGGTAATCAGATGGCGGTTGTGGAACCACAGCCTCATGGATAAAGCCAGCAGGGCCATACCCATCAATCGGACTGGCTGTGTTTGTATACGGGTCGGTACGGAGCATGCTCGACCGGCTATCGTTTCCTTGCTTGTACATCGAGTTGGGGTGAAGCAGGGGCCCAGTTGACGCTTGGCTCGCCATGGTCGTCGGTTGAGGCCGACGGGGGTTTCTATCAGTGCCATAGACCGCCGAAAAGCGAGATGTCGTAGGCAGGAAAGTACTAGCACGCTTACTAGTCCTATCAGACCCCATGTAGCTGCTGCCAATATCCCCAGGCATCCGCGGGGGAGCTCGGTAGATGTCCTCGGTCCAGTCCTCGATCTGTCGGTTCCGCTTCTTCTTGTCAGCTGTTTGCGAGGTCTTCATAGCAGCGTATTTGCGACTGATGAACCACTGGAATACCAGCGCTAACCCAAACCTCGCGACGACAACCGATAGAATCAGAATCAGCGACACATAAAGGACCACCTGAGACGCAATACATCCAACAGTATCCGTATCCACCGTCCCAACTTTAATAGTCTCTTCAAAACACTCAGCAAGTTGCTTGTCTGCAGGCTTCTGGAATGCTCGAGTAATATCGCGTCCACGAACGGCCCGGTTAGCAGCTGAGTTCGTATCTCTCAATTGTTTAAAGCGGTCTGGAATTTTGACCTCGTCTTCGTTGAACCAGTTGAGTAGATCTAAATCGAGAACGTTACCAGAGTAAACAACTAAGTTGCGCGAGCTATTCTTGATATCATCCCAAGTATAGAATACATCACCGGTGCCATGAAGCTGGAGATAGAAAGTGTCCCTAGCTTCCTGGGTAGTGTGGCATGCATAACCGGTGTAGTACGGCCACGTGAAATTGGGTGACGACGACCCATCTTGGTTGAATGCTGTACATGGGAAATACCAAGCAAGGTCGTCCCTATCATTCGCATCGTGAGGGACATCCGAGTTATCCGCAAGGGTGATGAGTCCCTTGCATTTGCCATTGACGTTCTGGAATAGAAAACTGCCATCCATGCCACCATACCTAGTTGGGATGTCATATATAATGTTAGGGTATGATCCGTCTTGTTTGAGTGGGATACCATCGGCGGGAGGGTGACTGGATTTCGTGAGGTCATAAGCGATACCGTGGAATATCATGTAGCTTGAAGAAACCTCGTTGACATGAAGCCGGACATCGGCTGCGGCGCAGACGGTTTGTTGGAAACCGAATGTTAGGAAACCGACGAAGGCCATGATGTAAAGAATGATGCTAATCAAACCCATCTTCTCCCTCCAAGCTCTTCTCTGTGCCTTCGAACGGAAGCCGCAGCAGTTCAAAATGAAGTCAGGGCACCAAAACGTTATAATAGCGCAGTATACATTCCACACGCTCGGGGGGCTAATTGTCTCCTTGGGCTTCCGGCGCTTAGTTTCCCTTGCGGATTTTGATATCTTGACACCCCCCGATTGCCGTCTCCGCTGTGAAGTCCTCGACTTGTGCTTCTCACTATCCCCGCTGTGGTGTCTTCGAGGTGGTGAGCTATCCGAAGTAGCATCGATAGTCCGTTCTCCGGACAAGTCTGTCCTCCCCTCGAGGTCTTCGTATATAGGATCGTTACCGGTAGAGGAGGGAAGCGTTTCCATGTTGGCGGCATGTTGCCGATAATAATAATTCGGGTGGTCCTTGTCGATCCGGTTTCTTTCCGGCCTTATAAGACTCCTCTTTCGCGAGGGCACACCAGCAGGAGTCTCTGCGGGGGAAGTAGGAGAAAGAGGGGATTTATCTGTCGTCCCATTAGGATTGCGAATCGTCTCGGCAAAGGAGTTTCCGGATGGCGCACGCTGATGTGAGGACATTCTCCGTCCTGGTACGGGATAGTAACCAGTTTCGATGTCAGCAGGACGACTTCTTCTTGAAGTCGTCGATTGTCGGTACGAAGTTCGACGTTCGTAAGCAGGGCTTGCAACCCCGGGTCGCTCAGGGAGCGACATGATGCCGGTCAGAGAATCTCACGAAACCCAAGAATACCCAATATACTCAAAGGCGTAAATATAAAGTGGCTATGTATGATAAATGTTGGCCGGTCAAGACTGTGTCGAGCGGGACACGGATGCTGTAAAAGCACAGACGGATGGCCTTGGTCAAGGCCGACCCTTCAGTTCGAAGGACGCGGAGTGGCCTGTGAGCGCAGATGGCTAGGGTTACTAATGAATGAACATGGTAAGAAGAGGATCTGCAAGGAATATATGGAGGAAGTGAGATTGAGCTGGGGATGATGGATCGCAGATTGTTGTTTTCCCCCTTCTACTCAATAGGTAAGAATGGATGGTTTTGTTGTGATGAGCAAACTTTGGCCGAGTTGTCCAAGTTACATAGTGAGAAAAGAAAGGGAGGAGGAAGATCCCTGCTCTATTACCTAGTATGCGACGGTCTAAAAGCTTAAAAAAGCTAAAGGGCTAATTAAAGCAATAAAAAGGAGAAGGAGAGAGGGAAAAAACACCCCAAAAAAATGAGAACATGAAATAATAGTGCAGAGTTGAGAGTGAGAGTGAGAAGGCTACACAAAACTAATAGAGTATAGTAACTGCGACACAATTTGTCTATAAAATTCTCCTTTTCAGCCGCGTTCCTAACCCGGCAAAATGAATGATGAATGGATCTCTCTCAAGAGTGCGCGCGCATCAACAGGATAAACACAAATGATGTCCATAAACTTGGATGTCGCCAATGGTGCAGTAAGCATGCGATGAGATTGGGTCACCTACAAACTAGCGGGTCGCAATGGGTAACCGCTGGGTGCCGGGCGCCACAAGCCAACTATTTCAAAGAGCTTAGGTAATTGACCAATTTGACCTTTCTTGCCCTGGCAACCAGGTAGAGATAGTCGACCGATTTGCGCCAATCGTTGTTTCAAGTAAAATAGGATCTTTAGGTAGTTGCTGGCAATAATATTTTTGGAGAGAATGTTTACGATATATTATTTAATATCCAAAGCGAATGCATTAACAGGAAAACGAGAGTATCGGGCTAAAGTATGTAAGTTTGAAAAACAGATTAACTATAGCGAAGGCAGGAACATCCAAGTTTAACTCAGAGGCCAAAGAGAGCACTGAGACAACCAAGTCAATAAAGGCGGAGCGGCAGAGCGGTAGGTGAGAAAAGACAGTGATAGAGCCCTGGAGAGGAGCAAAACTGGAGTAATACCTACAATAGGTAGCCACGGGAAATAATTCAATGGATGTTTAGCGGGGGAAGGGGTAGGTCAGGCCAGGCAGTGGCAGGCACAGTATCTACATAACTAAGTTAGGTACCAGACAATAGCGCTTATTACATAGATTGTTACCTGGTATGTGCATACATATTACAGTCTAACCAAGTTTATTTCCATTTCCTAATTGTACCTGATCAATCATGATGGCAAGGATAATTTACGTCATCAATGTTAGTACCTATAAAACAAAAGTATTATTACTGACATCTGGATTTACAAGTAACACTATGATACCACATAATAGTTACATCTGTGTATTCGTATTCAAAGTGTGTACATATGTAACAAGCCCTTCAAATACCCAAAGTGGTTGGTGTTTACCCAGGTTTCAGCCAATCTAGGAAATCTGATGCTGGACTTGAGAACAAACCTCAACCAACCCTTGGATGGAATTGAATACGAACACTAAACCCTGAAGTCGATCTCTCTTCTTTGCAGCTACTGCTGTGCCTAATGCCCATGCTAGGCACTTTGAGATCGTATCATAAAACGGAAAGAAAAAAAATCCGAAAACGATGTCGTCGATACTACAATAACTTAGATATTTCTGATATTGCACATCGGGAGCGACGATAACAATTACACATTTTATTTATTTAAGTTTCAAGCGTAATTTCAGCTTGACAGACTAGTTCGCTTGAGCTTCGCAATTACTAACCCTTATTACATGCAGTACATAACTATTACCTAGGTATGTAATAGTAGGTTAGAGTACTTCAACAGAGCCAAGCGATAGGTACAGAAAACGACAGCGCTGCGCCAGAGCACGCCCAATGTTCCAAGGTTACGATCCGCCAAATCTTCCTAAAGCGAAATCTTGAATTAGTCCAACACTGTCCAAGTGACCTAGAATAGCGCCAAAATGGGAAGTTCCAAGGTTGTGGCGGGAAAGAATACCCCGCTCTAGCGCTGAAATCGATAAAACCCTTGAAGATAAAAACAACCACGATCTAGATTCCTCTTAGATTCCTCCTTGATTCCTTACATTAGTACCAACCCCTAAAGAGCACGCTTTGGAATAAGTATAAAAATATAACAAGCCAACAATGAGGTCTACTATGCTAAGACAAATGACGAGAGCCACGTGACAAATGTGGTCATCGTACCTTTAAATGTCCATCCTACCATGTACACACCTACTCTAGGTAGGGTACATATGTATGGCATTGTATGCACTCAACATTCATTCAGTCTGGTCTTAGTCTCAAGGTGGGCTCATCCACTTCAGATCATCCACATGTGCCCTTGAAATGTTGCATCTAACTAACTACCAGTTGACCTATTTATATGTACGGTACCTACATAGGTACATGTATGCATCTACATAGCATCAGATTCACACGTGGTCTCCCTTGGAGCGAATATGAAAGTTGGTTTGTTTCGAGAAACGAGCGAACAGGCCTTTCTGTGGGCTTCCGAATAGTCCGACCAAATCCGTTTTCCCTTTCTCTCCTCTCCCCGCGTGTCTCTCTCTCTAGTTACCTGTCTGCCTTGTCTAATTCTCCTCTTCTAGCAATTTGTCCCCTCCTAGCTGAAAAAAGGAAATGAAACAAAACGGTAGGGAGAGAGAGAGCTCGGGCTCGGTGCCAAGCCTCTGAATATAATGACACCATACGATTTGAGGTTGGTGACAGAGACCGGTTACACTTCTGGTGCCGCTTTGGAGGACTATTAACTGCACCTAATTATTCATCCACAATAGTTGGTGGAGGCCTAAATTTTCTAAAAATTTGCTTAATATTTCGAATGGAAATAGATACATATACTGACCTACGATGTTGAATGCAGCATGTATATATGCGAGAACTAGCTGATATTGAAGCCTGAAGCTTAACGATAAGAGGGCTTGGGTGGTCGCTTGGTATTATACTATATGTAGGTACAATACCTACTGCAGCCTCAGTCTGTAGGTTGTTAAGCATAGCTGGCGGTGCCTACACATGTAGGTATATATTTAGATGTAGTAGTACCTTGAACTAGTACCTGTACTATCATGAACATAGCCGTGCTGCCGAGACTTGGGAACACGAACAGGCCCTTTAAGCTTCTCGCCCGACTATACTACACTATGTACGGAAATCATGTAGGGACAGAATAGGTAGCCTAAGACATACATATGTATTCGCCCAAGGATGCCTTGTGTAATACGTAGTGGGTAAGCAGCCCTACGTGTACTATGGTGATGAAATACATAAACGGCGAATAATGCGGGCAACCTACCCTACTAACCTAGGTACCTAAGGTAGGCTGCAGAATAAAATCTTAGTTGTCCCCGGGATGCGATGGCTCCGTTTTTTTCCCTTTGTGCAGATATAAGTTCGTATTATACACAGATGTGGTGTTATCAGCCTCAGCAATTACGAGAGGGATTTTTTTTTTTTTTATCTTTGATACTGGTCCTGCTTTGACATTCGTCGAGGTGGGTGAGTTTTGTACGAAGTATTCGTAATTGCTGACACCAGACAATTGAAGAGAACGAGAAAAATGAAGAGAATGAGAAAAAGAATAAAAAGATGGAACGATGCTAACAACACCGGACTGCTTCATAGTTATTAGTAATTTACATTGGGCTCCAGGTCTTGGCATATAACGATCGGTCCTGTAACTCCTGTTCAATGTTATTTGTATGTGTATATCATCCAACCGTCGTTAATGAGCTTTCGCTTTGATATGGCAGTTCAGGCTGCCGAGGAGGCGGAGACCACAGCTGAAGACTCTAAGTCTGATGGACAAGACTTCGCACCAACCGCATTTGGCTTGTGGTAGCGAATTCATTGGCGTAGTCTTGTCTTGTCTTACCTAGGTAGGTATTGGTTGCATAGATGATCCTCTTATGGGGCTTGCAAATCGGATACTACATGAGTCTACATCATGTCTACATGTACTATGTATGTAACCTTGAAGATGGATATGTATCAATTGAGTCACAACTGACTAAAGTGTGCATATGCATAAACAGAATATTTAAACCTACATACATATGTATGAAGAACATTAAAACCAGCCATTCTATTTACAACAAAAAGTATAACGCCGATACTTAAGTAATTATATCAAAAAGTAAGTGGCTGTTGCCCAGGTATCTAGTGTAAATAATAACATTGTTTACCATCTAACTAAATCTTTTATACTTTATTGTGAAAAGAAGAGAAACCAGATACATATGTCGAAACCAAATACTGAATAAGCACATATGCATATTAATGATAGAAGTGAGGCCCGTATTTAGTAGGATCCATCTATGTTGGTGGAGCATATGCAAATAGATGGAGGCTTGTCAGCTTCAACATCGAAGTACTACTAGCAGTAAAGGACCTAAAAGAGACCTGACCTGATTCTGAAAGACGTAAAAGCATACGAAGTCACCATACACGGCCGCTATACATAGCACATTCAAGTACCCTAACCGAACCAACCTACCTTGTCAGTTACCTAGGTTAGTGAATTTGCATACCTCCAGCTACATACATAATTGCCTACATAGATGTAGTAGTACTTTCCTGCCTGCTACTTACCAGCTTAAGTGCTACCAATATGTAATTACAATAATTACAATGCAATACCAAGTGTACCAGGTGTACTTGTATTGTACATACCTACATAGGCCTAACCCCCCTAAAACACTTCCGACAAGACTACCCATTCGAATTTAGGTTGCTCGCTTTGTTTCGTCAAGCCTGCAACGTCCATCTCACTGTCATTTTCCAAACACTATACTACACCCTACACTACACTACCAGCGGTTGTAGCCTCAGCCCTTTTTTTTTTTTTTACTTACTAACTACACAGGCAACCTCCTCCTTCATCTTCCCCCCCTCTCGTCCCTCTCCCCCGACAGAAGCTCCCTTTTCTCTCTCTCTCCTGTCTTTCTTGTTTCTATTCCTTTCTTGTCTAGAATTTGCATCAATAATTAGACTTATTGTCTGAGATACCCCCCACCTCATAAAATAAATAGCATTTTGCAGTTTTTCTGTTGGCGACCTGATCGAACCGCTGAAAATCCCCCGAGGCCTGTACCCAGCACGTACTTCGCACAGCCGGCATCCCCCCGGTGTCCGTTCGTTGCCTCGCCTGCCATACCATTGGGTTCGATTGCTATTAGAGTTATAACTGTGGAACAACGGCCAAAGCAAATTAGGGGTCCATGTATGTCATGGTGGTAGATTCATAATAGGAAAATTGAGGTTACCGCGAATCAATGTTGGTACAGAACCGGTTACGCTTCTAACGACTACCTGGCCCTATCTCTCTCCCTTCTCTCCTCGGGGTTGATTTGGTGCTATTGTCGCGGTAGCGACCATTGCGACCGACCCCCTTCAAACAAACAATGGCTACAGTTACGAGTAATCCTCCAACGCCGCCTCCTCCAGTCGCCTCGTCGCCCGCTAGGTCTATTCACCGGAAACCCGTGCCTCTAGCGAAACTGCCGCTCGGGCAACATGAGCGTACTGACTCTCAAGAAAGCTTTTCCGGAAGCAACTTACCCATCAATACCATGGTCGAGTCGGCGACAATGAAAGCTTCTCCGGTTTCTCCGGTTAGGGTCAACTTTCAGCCAGACCACTGGGCGCAGCCGTCGAATGCGAGTATCGAGGGGAACTACCAACATTTACAACACTCTCTAGATGCGCCCATACTTCCTCCTCATAGTCAAATGTACGACCCGGCATACGACCACGCTGGAAATTTGACACCGAAACAGACATACGCTAGCGACCACTTTTATAGGCCTGGGCAGGAGAGGCTATTGCATACTACAGAAACGGGTTATGTGGATACTTCGGCTGCGCGAGACCATGACAGTCAAAGCTTCAGCGACAGTTCTCGCAGCGATGATCCGAACCGCCATAGTCGTGAATCGGATGCGACTGCGAGCACACAACAGCAGACTTCGACTGAATCTTCAGTCGAGACGAGCGCAAGCTCAGTTTCTGGTGGCCTGAATGATATTTGCGAGGGTCAGGTTATGCCTTATGAGGCATCTCCAGAAGAATCTATTATCGAAGACTCCATAGCAGAAAGTCAATCGGTCCCCCAATTACAATATCATCACCAGCCTCTCCTTCCGCGCGTTGCTAGCATGCCCATTGAGGCGAACTCGAGGCATTCCTCCAGGTCAGATCTTGCAGAATCAGGCATAGCTATAAATCGGCACTTAACCCCGAACTCTTACATGAGGAGGAGTTCTCTCCCTCGACCGCAGTCGGCATATTCGGTGTATTCTGAGTTGGGACCGCGCGGACGATCTCCGAACTACGGGGGCGGTAACCCCCGTACACCATCGGCGCAGTCTCGAAGGTCACCGGAAACCAGGCCGGTTTCCTACGCAGAGTTGCTCAATGTTCCGTATCCCCAGCAGGCACCGGCTCCCATCACGTTCGATAATTCCTATTTGCGTAATAATGTGGGGAGCAACGCTTCGTTGCTCAGTGCACAAAAGACGCTGGAGATGTATAGGCAGAATGTGAAGAAGACAAACGACTTCTCGATCCAATATTCGTTTGCCGTCTTCTTGATTTCGACTGCACAAGAACAAGGTTTAAATCTGGAAGAACCTTCACGGAAAAAGAGTACTCCGAAGGGAAGTCCGCTTAATGATAACACGGAATCTCCACCGACTGAGTTGATTCGTGAAGCTAAAAGTATATTGACAAGGTTGGCCAATGGCGGCTATCCTTTTGCACAGTATTATCTAGCAGATGGGTTCGCCTCGGGCTTATTCAACAAGGGCAAGGAAGATTACAACTCAGCTTTTCCCCTCTTTGTTCTGGCTGCGAAGCACGGTCACGCTGAGTCTGCATATCGCGCTGGTTTATGCTACGAATTTGGATGGGGTTGTAGAAAAGATCCTGCCAAAGCAGTACAGTTTTTACGAACAGCAGCATCCAAAAACCATCCAGGCGCCATGACTAGACTTGGGAAGGCTTGTCTCTCCGGAGATTTGGGCGAGAACCGATATCGAGAGGGGGTAAAATGGCTGAAACGCGCCACAGAATCGGCCGACGCCATGTACAACGCCGCCCCATACCATCTTGCCACACTCTATGAAACCGGATATGGCGATGATATCTTCAAAGATGAGAGCTATGCCGCTGAACTGTTCACTCAAGCCGCCGAGCTTGGGCACGCTGAGGCGAGCTTTCGTATGGGAGATGCATACGAACATGGAAAGTTGAACTGCCCACGAGATCCAGCCTTGAGCGTCCACTTCTATACCGGGGCAGCAGAAGGTGGCCACGCTGGAGCTATGATGGGGCTATGTGCGTGGTACATGGTTGGCGCCGAACCTATTCTAGAGAAGGATGAAGAAGAAGCTTATGAATGGGCTCGTCGGTCAGCGGACCTTGGTAAGTCTTCATGGTTATATACGTTTCTGATGTTTTTTTTGGGGGGCTTTGCTAATGAGTTCACCCCAAGCAGGCTACGTCAAGGCCCAATATGCTGTCGGTTACTTTACTGAAATGGGCATAGGTTGTCGTCGTGACATCCTAGAAGCTAACGTTTGGTATGTCAAAGCAGCTGATGCTGGCGACGATCGAGCGAAGCAAAGGCTCGCAGCTATCCGAGCAGCTGTGAGCGGTGGTGGAACACCAATGGAGGTTGCCCCGCCTCGAAGCACAAAAATGAAGAAAAACCCGCCAACTAAAGACGATAAGGAGTGCGTTGTAATGTAAAATGGCCAACTTGATGGCAGTTGGCGCTTCATAGGTGGTGAAAGGACATTGGAAAGGGTCAAACGTTGCCTTCGACAAAAGCATGTGTCTATCTTGGAAAACTTTCAGAGTACTCATGAAGCGGCACGGCCCTTTTCTAGAATATCCAACGTCCCAATTATCATTTCCTACGCCTTTATTCAAGGGTGGAAACTGATTTCAAACAAACCCAATCGGGGCACTTTTCCCGGCGAAGCATCGTGATTGTAAGGTGTGGGAAGCAAGGAGTTTCCTTTCCTTTCCTTTCCTTTTCTTCTCTTTTCTTTTTCTACAAACCTAGACCGAAAAATTACCCATCTCGTTAAAGGGGGTCATATGTGGTTCGACTCTTGCATTCTGCTGGCACAGCTCAAAATCATTTGCATTTGCATTTGCATACGTGATACGAAGCACGAGGAACGATGCGAAAGAGCATAGGCTATTATTCAGACACGCGAGTGGGCCTAGACAGTCTCCCATCCTTTCCGTTCGTATCATAAACAAGGCGTTTATTGTTCATTTTCTTTCCTTCTCTCTACCATGTTTCCTCACTACTTACTGTCTACGGGTTGTTAATACAAAAAAGGAGACGAGTCGAAGCGGAGGATGGTTTTGGTTTTTGGTAGTCCTCGGGAACCATTTTCGAATATGGAGGTTTGGGAAGGCCAGGGAAGAAAGAAAGAAAGAAAAGGCGGCTTGAAGTCGGAACGGGAAACCATCTAATCTCTCTCCCATTTCCTCTCTCCGCGTGGCCCCATGTTGCCCTGGCGTTGTTGTATATATCAAAGGGTGCCCGATTAATAATATTAAAACACGCTACTTCCCCGGTGTGGGTTGAGAGAGAGAAACCTTGAATCCATCTAATCCATCTTTCCATGCAATGATTATTGGGTACCTACCTAGGTTAGGTATATACATATGTTGATGATCGTGAAGTAATATTATTATACCTTCATAATCCGTATATTAGTTGTAAACAACGACGATAACCAGAATCAGCTTTCACTAACCCTACCTTGGCCATCTCAACTTGCCCACTACCAAAATGCCATCCACGTACGTAAAGTGGTGATGATCATCGACACAAACAACTCTACCTGCCTCCTCCGTTCCTCCCCCCTCTCCACGCTCCACGCTCCACTCCTTTTACCCATCTATCCATCCACCGCAGCCGATCCCATCACCCAGGTCCTCGAATCGAAGCACAACACATACATGCCTAACTAGGTCCATACTACCTCCGTTACCCTACATACCTAGTTACGTATCTCTTTTCTTCCCACCTACTCTGCACACGGTACCTACATACTATACTATGATACCTTAGTACGTACTATATTGTTGGTACACTACCTAGTCGACCGCCTACCAACATACCTACATTTGCATATAACTAGCTCCTTATGCACCACAGCCTTTCCCCCCCTACACGTCACCCTTTTTTTTGGGGGGGGGAGGGATGTTGGAAGGCGGGGGAGAAGAAAAGGGGGAGGGGGCGGGGTGTGTGTGTTAGAAAAGCTTATTTGTACCGGACATGATGGGGATTCATTACATATCGATATTCCCAAATACATACACAGTATGTACTTGCCTATATATATATAGGTAGGTACACGTATTAGGTAGTCTAGCAGTGAGGCATATATCGGTCTCAGCTTCGAGTAACCAACCAGCCGATAACCTTACCATGAAAGGGCTCTTATCCATCATCATGTATAACAATCACCTACATATAATACAAGAAAATCAGCATAAACGTCACGTTTGGCAAAATCAAGTAGAATTATCATGAATTGAGTTCTCAATAAAGGTATATTAACCACCGTACACTGCCTGCCTATACGCCATGCGATGAATCTGGGGCTATAATAAATAAAATAAGGACGAATGCAAACGCCCCTGTGTCATCAACTCGTGGCTTCAAAAATAGCCCTGCAACCCTTTCGCCCTCACTTATTAAATTTCGTCGTTCGACATTGAACGTTATCGTGACTCAGTCATCTTACGACGAGCTTGATGATGACGATGATGATGATTTCGGCTCGACTTCGTCGCCTAACTCTCTAGGCTTCTTAGGATCGACGACAGCCGAATATCTCTCATCGCCCCATCGCGCTCCGATCGTCACCCAGACGTGCTTGCTGGGTCCGCTGTGGACCGTCTCGCGAGAGCCGGTCCACTGCTGACGATGCTCGCGATCCATATAACTATTACCTAAACCACCATTGACGACCCACTCTTTAATCATGTTCTTTATGAATTCAATCTTTCGACGGAAGTCATTAGCTGCGGGTATACCTTGTATCATGGGGTTAATTTCCGGACGCTTGCGCGTAACATTGCGCGTCGGTCGAATAGCCGGTTTGGTAGCAAAGTTGAGCAATGTTTGTAGAGGATAAGACAGAACCGCTCGTTCATCCAGGGCACTCTCATCTAGCTCACCACTAGATGCTAGCTTTTCTGCCGCCTCCTGTGGAAGATGCCAGAAATGACACCAAGTACCAGTCGCATCCAGCACGATCTTAGTGTGATCGGGGAAGTTGAACTGAAGGTGTCCATCAGCAAAGACCCAGCAGCCAACGTCGCCAATTCGTTGATAAAAGGTGACTACATCGCTCGGGGGCATGGTTTGCTTAGTAGACGTGGGGGGCTGCACAAGTCCAGCGTCATCCGTAGAGGCGTCTTGGTCCCGGCCGTAAGCCATCATGTAGTTGGCAAACTTCTTCCATAGAACAAGGTGTTCCCTCTTACGATAATCGAATATGTCCCGACCTATCGGTATCTTTCCTGGCGTGCCATCTGGGCCCACGGTAATTTTGAATTGGGAAGGATGGACAAATACGGTAGACAGGCCAGTCTCGCCATTGTTTTCGTAAAATTGTATTGCCTGTGTCATAGGCACAATCTGATGACGATCGGGATATCCGGGATCGTGGCGTCGTGAGCAATGTTGTTCAGCCTCCCGAACTAGAATGCAACTCGGGGGGAGGGTAACCGTCTTGCCTCCCTTAGCACTGCCTGGTATGCTCTTGAGGACACAACCCACGCTTCCATCATTTAGGATATAGCCAAGACCAAATTTGTTAGAGTAATCTACCCACTTCACGACTATGTGAGGTGGGGAAGGCGTTGGCGTCTTGCCCATAATTGCCATCGATCTCGAATTCAGAGCACGCTCAAGCTCGGTCTGGAGGCGTTGGAGCCTGTCCAAGACAAAATCCGGGTGTGTTTCCGCTACTGCCATCTTGCGTTCCGTTGGCCCAAAAAGGCTTCCCGATGGTGGTCCCGTTGAGCTCGACTTCGTTGTCATCGTCGTTTGTTCACTTGGCTTTCGCTGAGTTTCCGTTCTCTTAACTTCCACTATTGGGGTGGGCGCAGGCGCAGGCGCAGGCGCGGGAGCGGGTACTGGCACTGTAGTCTCAATCGTTCTAGTCTCAGCCGTTCTAGTCCGTTGAATTGTAGTGGTGGAAGATCCCGTGGTTGCTCTCGATGAGAGATTGGCCTGTGTGGAGCTTTGGGGGAGTTCTCGCCTTGAACGTGATCGCATAGTACCACTAGCACTAGGCGCGGGCATTTCATCTAACGTACGGGATCGTGGCATAGCAGCTGTTCTTGTTGGTCGGCCTTGTGCCCGTTGCTGCGCAGCGAAACTTTGAGGAGGTGCGCGTAAAAGGCCATTTACACCTCCTTGGGATCCTGATCCCTCATCCTCTTTGCTCATGGCTGGCTGAGGAGGCAATCGAGAGGGTACCTGGGCAAGATTCTGTTCCTTGCTAACCTCTTCATATGGTCTATACACAATACCCTCAACAAGAGGGATAATAGGGGTTAATCCAGCCTTTTCTTCAAGAGCAACCTCTCGCCAGGTGCTCTTGTGTACTGACTGAGCGTTGCTCCACGGTCCAACCTCGCAACTCCTGCACATCTCTTTCAAGTTGCGCAGATTTTGTGAGGCCATTCGGGGCGTCAAATCTACAGCATAAAAATGATCCGCGTCAGGTGGGAAGTCTCGCAACTTTGTTGTTATCTCCGATGCTGTCGGAACATAGCCCGAGAGGAAGAAATCATGTTGAACAATAGTGTCCGGGTCTGGCCGGCGGTCTGCCTCTTCCAGCATAGTAGCGACAACGTCCTTGGCTTCCTGTGAGATATATTTGTTAGATGTCTCAGGCTTAGGCCATTCGTAGTCTCGATTCTTGGCACGACGATAGATCTCATCCGTCGTCGATGATTGGAACGGTGGCTTAGAAGTAAGCATTGCAAACCTAATGCATTTGTCAGTTTCGCTTCATAGACAACACGATACGGCAACCTCACATAATAATGCCTAAGCTCCATATATCAACCATATGATCGTGACCCTTCTTTCCCTTCTCCAAAATCTCGGGTGCAATATAGTTCGGCGTGCCACACAAGGTTGTGCGCCGAATTGTCTGCATATCTTTACCTGTGACTAGCAACGCTGCCAAGCCGAAATCACCAATTTTGGCGTTCATATTCTTGTCGAGAAAGATATTGCCCATCTTTAAGTCTCGGTGGATGATGCCTTTGGCGTGCATATACTTGATAGCGCCGGCAATTTGCACCGAGTAGAATCGTACTTCGGGCTCTGTTAGACCCCTCCTTCGCTTGACCATATCCATCAACGAGCCATTGGGGCACAGTTCGAGGATGAGATAGGTACAATTCTCAAAGGAAAAAGCTCTTAGAAACTGGACAATATTCTGCTGCTTCATCTTCGAGTGGATTTGCAATTCAGTTTGGAACTGCCCAAGTAGTTAGTATCAACTCTGAGTGGACTTTGTCTGGTGGTGTGGCTGGGCTGACCTTTTGCTCCATCTTGGGCGGCATCTTGCTCCTTACAATCTTCAAGGCGTACTTCCTCTTACTTCCATCATCTCGGGTAAGATATCCCTCGTAACATACGGCGAATCCACCCTTTCCCAGCATCTTTCCAACTTGGTATGTAGCGCCATTTTTACGGTCGAAACTTGGCGGTTCGGGGATGATGGAAGGAGGCTGGGGGGGCAGCTCTTTTTCCTTCTGGAGAGCTTTGGTAGCCGGTGCTTTATTCTTAGCATTCTCTACTACGCGATGTGGGAGCTGAACATTTGCATCCCTTGGTAGCAAAGCATCGGCGTCAATAGGCTGTTTGGTTGACATGATTCGGTCCGTCATGGGGATCCCAAGCTGGCGATACTAGGGCGAGCTAAAGCAATTGGAAAATGGCTCGACGGGCCTTGTCGTATCACTGAAACGTTTGAAATCCTAAGCATACCATTAGTGTCAAGATTCTGTACCGGACCTTTATATGGTTGGTGGTGTTTAAGTTTTGGCGGTCAATGGCGATAAATGGAAGGTTTTGAGCAAAATATTCTGAAGATAGAAGCAAACAATTGATTCCCTCTAGTGTTTTGATTAAGCACTCATGAACCTTAAAAATGATCAAAAGAAAACATCAAGCTTCGGGTGGCTTCGATGGTAACGATGAATATTTTTAAGAAGGAGGGTGCAATTGCGAATTGTGAAAGAAAACATAGAAGAAAGTCGGTAGGCTTACTTACGCAAATGTATTGAAGCACATTAGGGTTGGATATCGAGCAAGAAAGCAAAGGGACCAAAAATCGTCACGAGTTGTGTCCAATTTCTTTGCTGCGACTGTTGTCTAAATGAAAGCGAGAGAGTGTGTACCGGTATATGCGTCCAGTGAATTGAATTAATTACATGCTGGTTGGTGACAGAAGCTGAACAAGGAAACGTGCAACGTGCACGGAGAAAAAGCGGTCCACTCATTTGCAACTGAGAAAGTAAACTAAACTTTAAGCTACCGTTGGGGAGGCAACCGCCAGGGACGAACCACTTTAGGCCACTAGCATTTCTTTTACTATGCCGTAGCTTTCAAGGCTGTTATCGATAACCCAGTGCTAGTTACGTAGTTATCGATTACAATTTAGGTATCCAAGATTGGTTCCAAGATCTCCAGCTAAATATTATCTACAGTTATTATTCGACCGTCATCTTTCTTGCGACAGATAAACCCCTCTACGTAAGAAAAAAGGAAAAAGAATAAAATTCAGTTATGTTTTAGATGATTATGGAATCTGCATAACGTAGCCTTAGCGACCATGCTTTCTATAGCTTAAGCATCCATTCATCTCTGCCAACCGAGGATATCCGCGCCTTTCAACATTATCCTCCAAGTTATCCCGTTATCCCGTCATCCCGTTATCCCGTAGTGCCGATCCGGAATCTGTTTTTCGAGCCGGCAAGACGAAATGGTGGCACTACCACTATTCAAACTAGCCTCTCTATTCTTGAGACATGTTTCGAAGTATGGCGCTGTACGATTATGATCTATTCCGGCTACAGAAAGTTCATGTATCTAATAGATGGCTGACGGCGATCCTTAGAACCAAATCAAAGTACAAGCTCACGACCATCCGCGCTTCCGAACCTTCGCTGCTAAGTATGGCCAACATATTCACCAGTTGAACATGCGCCTGTCGGTTGCGCTTATAAGAAATGTGGATGCCGAGATCAGGGCAAAAGAGAAAGCCGAGGCACCCACTGTGAAGACAAAGGAGCAGATAGAGAGGGAGGCAGAGGTCCGAGCTAAGCATGGAATCACGAACCAGGAAAGCCGGTCCAGGAAGCCCCTGCCCATAATAAGTGTATGGAAAAGAAAGTTTAGGCCTCTCCCGGAAGCCAAGGCCGTTGATCTATTCGCAGACGTGATTGGCGATGCCTTCATCCTTCTTGTGGCGACTGTCTTGATATTGTATGAATACCATAGATCATCACAGAAGCCAGACACCAACCTCGAGAAGATCAAGGAACTCAATGCACGCTTTGATGAGCTTGATAGAAGGGAGAAGGAGCTCGAGGAGGCCGAGAAACGTCAGCTTAGTCGGGTAATGATGCTTGAAGACGCTCTCCGGGGGGTCAAGGACCCAAAGACTCAGAAGCCACTATTATCTCCGACACCCACGACATCACCTCCAGCCTAGCTGTAGTCAATCAGCTTTACCTACCTATATATAAGCACATGTGTGCAAAAATGCGGCGTCTATAGAGTTCATCTAGGAGGCGGAGTATTGTAACGAAGGATTCTGCGATACTCAAATTCTGCATAGTCGAAGCCATCTCCATTATGTCCAGATAGTATGGGTACTTACTTCAGCCAGGAACCAACCATTTGTATATAAACAGGTATATAAATTCTATTTGGTTCCTAGATGAGGTTATAACTCACGCGATTGCTTATATAGACAAGCTCTCTATGCATATGCAGAGGCAATGATTCAGGGGTACTTCATAGATTAGATCTCCTATCAAACATCAACTTACCAACTGTAAGAAGGAGCTTACGGGGGTGATACTCATGTTCAACACTAGATTTACCTATAGACGGAAAGAACAAAGGACTCGCCTCAAGGTAATACCTAAGTAACCACTACGCAGAGCTTCTGTCATTACTGGATACCTAGTTAACCTAAGGTATTCGCCAATCTCGGATATGCTGATAAAACTTTAACTGATCTAACTTGAACGTTTTAAAACAGATCCCATGATTGTTTTCTTCTTCTACATAACTGGAATCAAGTTACGATTGCGCCATCTAGTTTCAAATATCCATTGCATACAATATCTACAAGGTATAAAGTAAGGGAACTATAATGTCAGGTCCTCTGGTTTGTTGCTCCTTACGCAAACGCCCTGAATGGGCCTCTCTTACCTCGATACTTCTACAACAGGGCGATAGTGTCAAATGGAAAGGTATTGTGGGATGGTGCCTGAATTAATCGTAATTTAATGGGGCAGCCCTAATTTTAGAAATAGAGACGAATCTCGATACCCATGATGTGGCTCTTCCCCTACCGAGCCCCGGCGGCAAACGTCAGAGGGTGCTGCGTGTCATCCTGCTGTCACCGTCGAATGTTGGCACCGATGAATGTCGAGGTCGAACCGAAAGGCTGTATCATCTGAATGGAGGGGAAGACGTTGCCGTCGTGTTCCTACTCAAGCAGGAAAAGGATCAAACGAGCCCTGTAGTAGCAATGATGACGCTTCAACTAGAGTAAGCCATGGCTTTCCTCCAGTACATACTTGACCATATCACATTGGGATGTCTAGACTAACACGATAAAAGTCTTGGCAATTTTGTGATGCCTATTGTACCTATCAACTCCCCTGAGGCCGTACCATCAACTTTAATGGCCCTTCACCGTCAACTCAGCACAAGCGGTGGGTCACGGAGGGTGGCCAACCCAGCTCAAACGCTTATTCCATACTGCTCTGATAGGCCACCTCTCTCTGAACACGCAGTCAATGTTCTAACCGACATTACATCTAACATTAGAGATTTGCTGGATATGATGTCGACACCCACCGGGCGGGAAAAAGCAATTGAGTTCCTGGGGAACGACTCGGAGAACGCTATGTCTTTCTGGACAAAGGAGTATCTAATCGAATAACGAGGCTTATATAGTGGACGCTACATAACGACAGGACGACGTTATGGCGGCTAAAGGGGGGCTAGATTACACAGCCTTTACCAATGTTCCTCCACCTATCTCGCGGGTGGGTTGATTGGCTGAGAAAAGGCATAGACAATGCTATGTAATCATACACATGACTCGTACTATGTATGGGGTTGGGCGTTGTTTAGAGGCACAGCCTTGGTCGAGTGGCCATTTCCAAGTGCAAAGAAGGTGTTGCTTATATCTGCGAATGAGTCCAGGACGAGTTGGTATGTAGGTAGGTACCTAACCTAAAGGGATTGAGGGGAAAATGGTGTTGGTACGGGCAAACTCGAAGCTCGAGGGATTATGCAAGTCACCCGTTATCTGCAGCGCGTAGGCGGTGCTTATCTGACTTGATATCCAGGATTTATGTACGCCAGGGCCCGAGTATTCAAGGAATTTCCAATTCCAATTGGCTTAACATCACGGACTACAAGAATGCAAGCCCAATGAGAAGGCGGCAGCAACCGCTGAAGTAGGGAAGCTTGCCAATTAAGAATAAACTCGCACCAATAGCATGGCACACCACATCATGCACCTGCTTCCCGACTGCTAGTTACCGGCCACTTTACTTTTTAGCGTTGTACATACATAAACACTACCTACCTTAGTACCTTAGGCTACCTACTAGGTAGTGTGTAGGTACATACATGTAATGCCTAGAACTTTGAATGCTTGGGAAGTTGGGATTATACATACATGCCAAATACATGTAACTACATTATAACGCAATGAACCTACGTTATTTTAGAATCATCGATGACTCGTACGATGCAATGTAGGACGCATGCTGTGCTTCGACTGGAATAATTCTGCAAGACGTTCTCGCACAGGATATAATTATCGGGACCAGGAGAGTAGAACGATACCTTATATATAATTCGTAGCACGGAATGTAGATGTATTGATAACAATTATCGGTACTCTCCAATAATCAATTAGGTTTAAAGCCTTAGATCAAGCAGTTAAATTTTGTCAACGACTTTTTAAACCCTGGTCTATATTACCTTGGCGTCTTTCCTTGCGAAACTTGGCCAGTGTTTGGGCTAAACCTATTAAGAGGCCTGGGCGGTCTACTATGTACTTTCACTTCCCATCGTACTGCTGCCAGGCAGTGCCAGCACTCAATGTTATTACACACAACATTGAAAGTACCTATGAGGCTTTCAAGTTGTTTTTAACTATAATTAGTTCTATTACTATGCAGGAAAGAAGAAAGAAGGCTTAGAGAAGAGTGCAGCTGTACAGTAACTGCATTTTGAAGTTGTTGAGATCTGGAGTGGCAGGTACCAACAGGGGTAGTTACAGGCGGAAGGAGTTGGGACCGGTTAAGAATACACATGGATACAATTACCCGTTCTGCCCCTTACCCCTTGAATCCTTGCTAAGCCCCCTGTCGGATCCCCCTGCACGTATGCTAATCTATGGGGTCGAAAACCAGCTAAGGTGGAGATGTCGAGCTTGTCGTGCAGCAGAGGCACCTGGGATGAGGCTCCTCATTGGTTGTGCGAGCCATTGTAGCCGCCCGCTAGAAGGCCAATCACTTCAATCACTTTAATCACTTTTAGCTTGAGATCGCTTCTGAATAGTTATCGACACTTTTTATTTCCATTGCTATGTATCTACATCTACACACTAGCTACTACACACATGCTACTAGGTACCTATCCTACGTACATACATACTACATCCTACATTGTTAGTATGTAGGTATGTACCATGTAGGCTTCTCCCAGCAGATATGTATTGTACTTAACATCTGGAGAGATCTTGGCCCTGCAGGTATTGGCTCTTAAGAACGGCCGTCTCGGGGCTGGGCTGGTGAGACTGTATGTGTTTCCTGCAGGACCCACACTCTCCGTCTTCTCTTATACTCTGCATGTCGCCTCATGTCTGAGCATCTCGGGATCTACCCTTTCCTTACATTTAGAAACTCGGGAACACCTCCTACCAGTATTACCGTATCACTGCCTTGTATCATCCGCCTTTTTCTCTTATGCGATGAGCTAGAATCTCATTATCCTCAGCACTAAACGATTTGGATGAGCTATGACATTGATGTCCCACTAGAGCATCAAAGGACGGACATCTAGAGGGACGACTGTGACAATAAGGTCACTTTACGATCTCATTGACACCCTCCTCCTCCTCCTCCTCCTCTCCCCACATACTCTAATAAGGTTGTGGGCTTCATATTAGTATATCTCATCTTCCCGGACAGGGCTTAGACAAGACTCGGGTGGATGATTTCGATGCCGTTCGGATGCCTGCTGTCGTTATAGACAAGATCGCAAGAACGTGGATCTCGGAAGAACCTTGAACAGATTAGCATCGTCGGCCCACCAACATCAGATACACCCAAAACACCCCCGGCTCACATCAGTCGGTTCCTGACACGAGCCCCTCAAACGGGAGCATAGCTCCCTACAGGGGATCAGAGCCCAGGCCACCACTCTTCCAATATAGTTTCTAAGGAACCCCGTCAGGCCTTAGTAGTTCCTAATTGGATCTTCGTCTCTTCTTTTTTTCTCTTCCTTTCTTCTTCTTGGTTGTCAGCGCTGTGCACTCGCCGTTGTCGATATTAATTCTTTTATTCTTTTATTTTCTAATATCGACAATTCTATTCTACACTACGCAGGTCCGGCTACCTAGCAATTTCATTCGTTTCACTTTGCCAACGCTCTTCGCCGGTCGACCTTCGTTTTTCGTAACCCGAGTTCGTTTTTCTGTCTGGATTCTTTGAGAGGGTCTAGCGCTTTGGATCATTTGGGGCTTCAGGAAGAAGAGAAACGAGAAGACGAGAAAGAGAATCTGAGAATTCCAAGAGAAGAACAGGTTGATATTTGTCTGGGACATTTAAGAAAAGGAAACCGTCAAAATGGGAAGACTTATCAAGAACCACTGGGCCAGACTCATCTCCCTCTCGGCGGCAGTCTGTACGTGATCATCTTCATCACCATGGCTCATTTGGGCTTTACTAACGAGTTGCCAGATCAAATTGCTGCTGCATTGGAGAGTTTCTTTTGGCCTAAGATATTCTGGGACTTCTTGACGAAATCGTTGGACCCGGCAATCAAGCCCGTACCGGCGCTACAAATCATCAATCTATTGTTCGGAATAGGGATATTAGCGTGGGAATGGCCATTGAATCTAATTGCTGGCTCGGCGATTCACCGTAGCCTCGAGGCTCGTCTCGCTACCTACCCGTTGGCGGCGCTCGCTGCCCTTCTAATCTACCAAGGCACCAATGCGGGCATCTACTACGTTGTGGCAATGGTCGTCTACTTCTGGGCATACAGCGAAGGCGAGGTATGTTTGACCACCATCGTCGCATATATCACGAAATGAAGCTAACAAATTTTCTAGATCATTTGTCCCAAGCCTTGGTCATTACCGCAACGAGGAGGTCGTGGTGGGTCGAAGGCATAAGGGGATATTATGATCCTACATGAGCGCCCATTCGAACGAAGTGCACCCGGATCGTGTATATCTCATCCTTGCCTCTCACCTCGCCCTCTTACGATACAAATTACTCCTGGACACGAGGAGTATGATGGGGAGGAGACCACTCGTATATGCACAGGAAGAATCCTCATTTCTGCTTCTGAGGAATGAAATAACTCCGATGTGTCTGGACGTTAAAATATATATAATCACCCGCATTTGTTTATTCCGAAGAATACGGGAGGAACGGTTACAATGCGTTATGTAGTAGGAAAGGAAATGATCAAAAAAAAAAACAAAACAATTCCTCCGACTTTTATGAAACTCCTACGGCCGACATTTTTACTATACAACAACAACAACAACTCGGCAAGCACCGGCGTTTGAAGTAGTACTGCTTTTTATTTATTTATCCTTTATACCACGATTTTTTTTCGATTTCTTTTAATGAAGGGAGAAGGAAGAAGAAGAAGAAAGAGGAGGAAATATCATGATACACTTTTTTTTTTGGCATATTGTATACCTACAAACGTATGTACATGTATGTATATACGTCGAATTGCAGTTCATACACGATACCACCCCCCGTCTATGTTTAGGAGGAGAAGAAGAAGAAGAAGAAGAAGGACATCAACCAGAACAAGGGTTGAAGAGTTTATGGTGGCGGCGATGTCCTGGAATCTACATATGTACCTACCTACATAGGAATGAGTTTTGCAATGCAATAATAATGCTTATTCCATGATACTTTCTTGCTTGCTTCCTTGGTACCTAGAGTAACTCAATAAGTAACCACAGTCAATCAGGTCATCATAGCGGTAGTTAGTGGGTAGTTATTAGTTAGTAGTAATCCGTCAATCTGGCAGTCAGGGTAAATAGTGTGGATTAGCCGTGTGTCGTTTCAGATGCTGGTTGGGATAAGACTGTTGTTGTGGGTAACATGACCGGGCTACGAAACAATAGTACAGCAGTGAGGCTCGGGTCGGCTGATGACAACCGAATGACAATTTGAATTGGATACTTTACGTACCAACATCTCCAATAACATATAACTTATTATCAACACATAACTAATATAACACTTATCTGGGTAGCATTAATCACACGCAATCCTGAAACTATGAGAATTCACGAGATGAGACTGGATGAGATAAAGTCAGTTCTATTATCATATTTGCTTCATATTGACTTTGTGTATGGGCCACGAATTATGAATCTTGAATTCATATGTCGCTAGCTACAGCTGTTTTATAAATCTCGTCGTCAAGACATTTCCGTGCTAACTAGCAGGAGGTAGCTAACCCATGATTATCGCTTGCGATACTCATCGTGGCTCATAATCTGAAGGGACAATCTGCTATGACGCCCCAACACACTTCCTATTGAGTCTGGACTTTGATTTTTCAACTGCCTATTTGCGTTTAAACCCCCCGAAGGTTTCCCTCCTAAAGGTATCCCTCCTCCTCCTCATTTTACACCGATAAGGAAATATACGATTCTATCTCGCTACCTGGCCGGTGACTATAGAACCTTGTTGGGCATCGTTCTTGGGTCCCGAATGAGCAGGGAACTGCACAAATTATCGTTAGCAACCATTCAGTGCTTTGTTTCGTCATTGGGCAAAGGACCCGTCTTACCTCAGCCTCCTGGATACTACCACCCTCTAGTATCTTCTTAATGACTTCTTCCTCTTTGGAAACGCCAAACTCATTCTCAAGAGTTGCCTTGGAGGCGCCGTCCATCTGACCTTGAGCTCCTTGCCTGTTGGGCATGTTATGTTAGCCACTGGTCATATTCTTTGGTCAAAAGCTAGGCACTTCGCGATATGTGGGGGGTTTGGCAGGTATCTGGCGTCTGGCATTAAGCAATTGGCTAATAATTCACCCCGTACCACGGCCCGGTCCATGATTGGGGGTCGGTCGTTTTAGATTAAAGATGGTAACACCACCAATAGCCCGTGGGCGCCTGGGCGGCTACCGACTGGCATATATAGGTGATTGAATACATGTCTTCATCGTAGCCTACTCTCACATTGCCTAGGTAGTGATAGGGTATGATTGATGTGGAGGCCTCGAGCAGGCCGCGTTGGCGTTTGAAAAAGGGTGCGCAGGGAATGGGGGGGGCGGAAGGAAGACACGTGCTTATATAAGACTTACTTGTGCGTTACGAAGATCTGGAAGGTGGAGATGAAATGAGCCATGGGAGTCGACTTATCGGTCTTCCATTTCTTATAGGTCTCGATGTCGTCAACAAAGATGATGAAGTCTTCGTCCTTACCCTTGAAGTGGACTTTGACTTGAGTGGCTTCTCCCTTGGTCATGTTGGGCTATTCGTACAGAGATTGAGTACTGAAGTGAGTGTCTTGAGTATCTGTTGGGTGAAATATATTGATGGTACGCTGGGTAGGTATGTGATATTAGATTGGGGTTGTTGAGAAGATATTTGTTCGTTGAGGAATGGGTGGAAGAGGTAAGTGGTAAGTGGTAAGTGAAAAGGTTGAAGATGTTTATTGTAGATTGGTAGAATGGATTAGGGAGATGAAGAAGAGTAAAGGAAATAATAGTGTGAAGATTTTAGGCTCTAAAGCTTCATATAAGCTACCAAAGAAGCTGCTGTTTCCCTGTCTAGCTGCTCGATTCGGTCATCATGTGGCATGCTCTTGCTAAACGGCAGTCCCTACGTCATCATCTACATACAAACTATACCCTGCCCCTCTAACTTTGGCGTTGTTTGTTCCTGCGCGAGCTCCCCCTCCAGAATGACTTACGTCACTAGCGGAGCTTATGACAGGGATCACCATCGGAATCTAGGTACACTGACACCTCTCAAGCTTCATTTTAGTCACTCAGACTCACTCTCCCCTCTTCTAACTTCAATGTTATTAACTTCAATGTTATTAACTACACCCTTCAGTCCACATACTGTATCTATTGTCCCGAAAGCTCTGGAATAGAATAGAATCAAATACAGTGCATATGTATACATACATGTATGCCTTGGTTCTACAGAAGTAAAGCTTCCAAGGCTGCAATTGGTTACCTATCGATATCTCTTATACACTATCGTACTACTACTAATCTACTAGTAGTACCTACATATGCACCTCACCTGATATATCTAAGAACACGATACATGATACATACATGTACATACATGTAATATCTCATGGCGCCAAGTTGTAATATGAAGACTTCCAGTGTTCTAACTAGCTACATTGCTCCCAGGGTATAATCGTACTTTTCCAAGTCTGAAAAGCCCAATGAATAATCGGGCGTGAAAAAACAAAAGGCATCATGACACAATCCGGTGCCGTTCCAGTGTCGTAGCAGAAAACAAAACAAACAAAGAATAAAAGAATGGTATAATCCCTATGCCAGAGGCAGTCCAAACCCTATTTCTATACCCAACCGTGTGCTCTAATGTTGAAGTTGCCTTCCCCTCATCTAAAGAAACTGCGAATGCTAGACGCCATCAACCCTCTGTTGATAGCCCCCATTCTTGGCCACTTACTCGTAGGCCTAATATTAGTTAACGTTTCATGTAGCCGATGCTTGGTTCCAAACCCATGGTACATGTTCTCTTCATCCTCTGCAGATGATAACGATGATATGGCTGATAATGACATTTGCCGACTCCGACGGATGCTACTCGGGGCTGACGTTTGTAAAGACGGAGTTGTTGCTTCGCCTTCTTCTAGCCACTCAAGGTCTAGCTTCGAAGGGTCCAGCTTCTTCACCGTTCCGGATCGCGAGCGAGTATCATTAGTGGAGGCAATGCTCGGGCTATTGCTGCCGGTGTGTTCTGTCTCGTCTTTAATCATAGGAAGCCTTCGCTTGACATCTCCTTCAGCCGTGCTAATGCCGGCCGATCTAGGTTTGTCACCATTTAAGTGAGCACTATCACCAAAGCCATTGGTGTTTGCTGTTTCGTCTTCATTTGCCTTTGCCACGCTAGTGTTGCTCGTAGAGTGCTTGGCAAAGGAATTAGTGATACTTGCAACACTAAGCTTTCGCATAACCGTGGATGCTGAACTACGAACGAGGCGCTCGCTTCTCGATCGGCTCGTTATGCCGGGAAAGGGTAGCACTTTACGGCTCCACACCGCAGCGAGCTGCGCCTCAAGACGTGCTCGATCTCCTCGAGATGGCGCGAGCACCGGTATACGTGCATTGGTTGTCAAAAGCGACTGCGAACGGTTGATTTGTGTGTTGGAATTTGCTGAAGTATCCTTCACCGTGGTCGTATTCTTGAGAATCACTTGGCACAATGGTGATTTTGGCCCAACCGTCGTGGCCCTATGAATGGAAAGACGACGTGCAACGGTGCCTACACATGAAATTAGACCACTTGCACGAAGATTCAAGAATGGAGGTATTAGGCTTACCCGGCTTTCCAAAAATTGTTCCCAGGCTCTTGATGTTTAGGTAGATTGAGCTATAGAATGTAGGTTCTGATAATTCGTATGATTGATCTGAACCATCCCGCGACAGACGATTGCGCCATTCCATTTCCTCCTTTGGAGAACAAGCTGTCATAACAATTTCGTAGAGTTGATGGTCGCATTCGAAGACGAGCTTCCACGAGAAGGGAGCCGTGTGACATTGAAGGCCTCCAATTTGTTAGTTTACCAGGAGAACGATATATACTTATAGTAAACTTACCGCGGCCGTTATCGACCTCTTCGACTTTGATGTCATTGAGACCTATACAAGCCTGGATAGTATATACCTGGTCTGCCCTGCTGGCCGTGGCAAGACACAGGCAGTCTTTATATAGAATCGTGACCATATATGCACCCTCTACGCCGTCTTTGGTCTGCCAACACACATGGAGTGCACCACAGAGACGAACTTGGCCAAAAGAGCGTATCGTGGTTTTCGAAGCCGCATCTAGCTTCTGCTAGGTGTTTAGTTATAGTAGCAACTGAAAGTGTCAACAAAGACCTACTTGGTTTAGGAACACAAGCCGATCTTGAAGTAGCCAGGTCTGTTCCATCGTGTTTTTCATTCGTGGATCATCCGTAGCACGATTGATCTCTGCAGTAGCTTCGCGTAGCCGGATGAGCACACTCTCAATCTCCATATGCGAGCTTGGGCAGTCACACACGGGGGTATATTTGAGAAGCTCGGCGAATAATAGAGGATATCGGCAGATTCGTTGGATAGGCTCCTTGATATTAGCAAAGCTCATTTGATCGTGATATAGCGACTCACCTTGACTAGAAGGTCACCAATTGTTAAAGATTTCCTAGAATGATCTATATGCTGATTCACGGTTCCTAATGAAGCAGCCAGCGCTTCCAACCCCTTTTGGTATGACTCCCATTGAGGTAGCGTTCGATGAGCGGACGCAACGTCCTTGATCATCATCTCATATTTTGCACCGTACTCCTCATAGATGAAGAATCGATTCATCTGTTGTGGTATTAGAAGAGTTGTGATGTTTACCATTCAAGGTGGTGTAGACATTGAGCTATCATGGAGCTGGAGCTTCAACATAAGTTAGATACGTACCCGTTTCCCAAACACATGAGCTACCTCAGCTGCAACGCTTGGCTCAGCTATCACACTAGGAATATTTAGCAAGTTCCAAGCTGCCCCTCCTTTATTCTCTGGAACAGAATCTAGGCTACGCCAACGATGATGTTTTCTACTCGGGGGCGGATTGGGGGTGACAGGGATACGTTCGGGTTGCGTATATTCGGAATTAGGTACGACTCGATGTAGCTCGCCAAGAATCTCCTCATGCAACTCAACTATATCCGTTAGATTCCGGTTGATAGAGGAACGGAGGCCAATGTGTGCTGACGGCAAAGACGCTAGGATGGTAACATAAACCTAAAAGCTAAGTCAGAAATAATGTCCAAGTAAGTAGTAGGTTAATCAGACTAGGTGCATACATTCATGAGGAATTTGACATCCCCAATATAACTTTCTTCGGTGTTAATAATTTCTTCCAAAATACGGCGCCTATGAAGTAACCGTTCCATCACTCCAGGATCATTTGATATCGTTCGCTCCATGCACGTGCTTTCTTCAGAAAAACGCGGGCCAGATGTAGACCCTCTGCTACTGAGATCTGACCTGCCATGGAGTGACGATCGTCCGGTATGTCTTCTGGGTCGTGTAATTACGCTGGCGCTTGCGAGACTCACACTCGCACTTCTGACAGCCGCAACGAACCCAAAAGATGAGCCGGACGAAGACTTCCTGTAATGGTCTGGAGACAAGGTATAATCTTCGAGGTAGTGATCTGAATACTCGGGAAATGGTTCGAATTGATCGGGATTACGGCGGACGCTCGGACGGTGTGCCCGTTTATGTAGATTCTTCATCCACTTGTGAAATGGTCCGACAGGTGGTGCAGTTTCTAGATACTCGGTGTCGGCCTCGTCGTCCTGGATAGATATCCTAGGGAGTACAGCGGAATGGGTTTGTTCATCCTCGTTATTTTCTAAAGTCAAACCAAGGGCAGCTATATTATCCAACGTTTTCCATGCCTCCTCGCCGTCATTACGAAATAGATCGGTCGCCTCGAAGCTCAGGCCGAGATTAGGGTCGGTTCGATTTAACTTGAGCGCTGAGGCCCAACCGGCATTGCCCGCTACGCGTACAGAACTGCTTTGAGAACAAGGTCGAGGAGCATTGTCCTTGAGGAGGGCAAGAGACATGCTGTGATGAATGGAGAGGCCAAGAAATGCTGACCAAGAAAAAAAAAGAAAAAGAAAAAGGTGAAGATGCAATATGTCACCCAAGACACCAAAAGCAACCAGTCAACAAGACTGGATTCAAATCATAATGACCAAAGAACAAGGGAACGATGTAAATGAGGTGGAGGACGGGCCGTCTCCTCTTCGGAGCATGGTTGATGCAGGTGATACTGCAAAAGTTGGGCCATGCAATACCCTAAGTATTGTGCCGATAGCTCGAGGGAGATGGGGATAAGAGGGAGTAAGAGTGAAAGGGACTCGAAACGAGCGACTGCTGGTTGGCTTCGAGGAATTGAACCTGCAAAGGAAAGAAGCGAATGGCGTGTGGTGATGATAGTGGAGAACACCTAATGAACGATTGAGATTGGGAAAAGGGAATAACCAGGTGCTATTGGAAAGGGAAGAACAAGGGGAAAGAGAAAGGGGAGATGAGAAATAGGGAATAGAAAATATGAATTAGGAATTAGATATGAAATGGTGAAATGGTGAAATGGAATGAGAACCTTGAATTGGGATATTGCAACAAAAAGCAGCAATTGCTATAAGGTTAGCAGCTAATAGGTAGCAGCAACAGGACGGGAAGCAATAGAAGCAATAGCAGCAAATAGTATCAGTAGTTAGCTACCGTAGCTCTTTCTTGCTACATATAATCATATAATAATCTCCTACCTACCTTATCTATACCCTCTCCTCCTTACCTTCCTACTACTAGCTACTACTCATGTACCTGCTGCTTAGTACATGGATAGCATGGATGGCGTGGATAGCATGGATAGAGGAGATAGATAGCACCTACCTGCGTTCCGGACGACATGCGATATGGAGGTTTCGTAGATATTTGATCGGGTGCCTTCCTAATCTTCTCGATGTTTACGAAGTGACACAACCAAATCTACCAATACCAAACCTTGCCGTGCGAAGGTAAGCGTGGTGCTCATTAAGCTACCACCTACCTCAGACTGCAGTACACAGTACCTAGCACCACGACACCATTGGAAATTCGAACATACATAATCCGTCCAAGCCCAGGTGACACCAAATGGGAGCTGCGTCATATCGCCAACCCTGGTAACAAGGGACATTCCGATGTGCAAAATAACGATCCACATATTCACATTTTCGTGCAGACGGAATAGACCATGTATGTTGTCATAGATCTTAGATCATAATGCACGGTGTCTTCGTGGACGGGATATCATGGGAAGTAAAGATAAATGAAGTGATTATGTATATGATATGTTGTTGTTGTTGTTGTTGAAAAAAAAGAGAACAGGAAGGAATGTCAACATGCGAGTCCGGTTCTAATGCATGTATGCAGCTCACCTTGGGGAATTGATTAATACGAGTCGGTGAGTTCATTTGAAGTTGGTGGGCAGCATAGGCTGGTAAGTTAGGTGTTCCTTCTAGCTGCTTAGCGTATTTGATATAATATGTGTAGCATTCAATTCCAAAGACATGCATTTGATGTGCAATTAGTTAAGTTGCATGTATTTAAGTATCGTGCCTATCGATATACTACTACGTACTAGGTAGGCCCACATACTACCTAGTACAATAGTAGTTACACACTATGCACATTATGGACTAGGTGCTAAGATTTAAGCATCGATTAATTGACCTCGGACGGGCTACCCCGATTGGCTAGGTCCACTTTACTTATCTGAAGCCTTGCGTAACGGGCAAACAATAAGGCTAGCCAATCAAGCCAGTCACCTGAAATTTTCGCTTAATTCTTACTTTGCCCCACAACACAAATCCACTCGACCAATTGCAAAATCTCTCCAAGTTCACAACTGCTAAAATTCCACCCACCATCTATTCTACTCTTCTTCCTTTTTTTTTCTTACATCTTCCCATCGCGAATTTACTAACCACCACAGCCATCTTTCTTCAGTCGACAACCACCGACTAAGATGGCAAAGGAAGCACCCGCCCGTACTGGGCTGACCATCGGTCTCAACCATGGCTATGTAAGATGATACCAATCAATACCTTTTCCACTCCCTCCCTCGAAGAGAAGAATCGAAAAGAAAAAAAAAAGGAAGACAAAAACAGAAGAAAAAGATGGGAAATAAACCAAGAGTCGTTTATGCCCGTCTCACCTCATGGAGGATCTCTGCTCTTGATTCTCAATTCTCTTTTCGAATCAACGTTGCATCATAGCAGACGATGGACAATGGGCTGACTTTTGGATCCTTCTTCGGAATTATACAGAAAACCACCGCTCGCGTCGTCAAGCCCCGTGTCTCGCGCACCAAGGGTCACCTAAGCAAGCGTACCGCTTTCGTCCGCGACATCGTCAAGGAGGTTGCTGGGTGAGTTAATCCATTCCTTCCAACTCCATGCATGAATGGCGCGCGGAAGTTCAACTCCTGCGCCATGTCATCGAATATGTCCAGTCGCTAATATTCTACTTCCTACTCTAGCCTCGCCCCCTATGAACGCCGAGTTATCGAACTGCTGCGCAACAGCAAGGATAAGCGAGCACGTAAGCTAGCCAAGAAGAGAGTACGTGTTTCAAACCAACTATATACCAATTCCTCGTTGAACATGACATACTAATACAATCTCTCAGCTTGGTACCTTCGGCCGTGCCAAGAAGAAGGTTGACGAGCTTCAACGCGTCATCGCCGAGTCTCGCAGAGCCGGTCACTAAACGAATCGATCTCGAGATCATGGTGATGGATAATGGAGGCACGAAAGAAAGAAAAAGCCAAAACACACTTGGCATGAGGTCCGGCGTCCGTCTTTCGGCATTGCATTTTACGGAGGATAGGTTCGGTCAGATAGCATTGTGCTAGCTTTCTACTACAATGCCAAATGAAACAAATGAAACAACGTGGTTCTTTCTCATGACATACTAAAGTGTCTTCTTCGTTTGGTGATTTGATTTGATTTGATGCTTTACGACACTTGATACTTGCTGGTGCATAGTACTAAGGTTTTCCTAAGTACTCTATGTTACTACCTAAACGCCAGGCACATGCCAGTTCCGTATAATTCTAGTGTAGTCCGATACATTCAACCTCGCCGCCGGTTTGGATCATCGTTTACTTTTTGCTCAATCCCTTTAGCCACTTAGGCTTTTTGAACCCACCAGAACCGTCCCCTTCGTTCCTCGGCTTGGACGTTATCGATGACGACGATGGCAAGTTACCACCACCCGCCGCTGTATCTTCGACTTCCACCTCCTTCACCTCGGGAACAACCACCTTCTGGGCCTGGCCCGCGAGGCTGCTCTTCAGAAAAGGCTGCTTCCGGACCTCGGGGGGCACCCTGTCGTCCCACATGAAGTTCACGAGGGTGTTGGAGCTCAGGCGGTACCCGCCGATGAGCTTGCTGGAGGGGCCGCTGCTGTCGTCGTCCTTGATGACGACTTTGCCGGGGGGCAGGGCGAGCTTGAAGGGGGCGGATTCGTTGGCCATGAGTTTCCGGATCTCGGCGTAGAGGGTTGCGCCGGTGTCGTCGGGGCCGAAGGGCCACTCTGCCGAGTAGTTGTCCGGGAAGCGCACTTTGATCCGGATGGTTTTGACGGCTGCGACCCTGGCTTGTTCGGCCGCGGCCCTTTCGGCGAGTTCCTTGTCGGAGAGGAGGCGCTTGTTCTCGCCGGCGGTCTTGAGGAGCCGCTGGTGGGCCTGTGCGTGCTCGATGCGTGGCGCGAATGCCTCGTCAGCATCTGCTCGCAAGGCGGCTACTGGGGTACCGGAAGCGGGCGCAGCGTATATAGCGACGGGGCGATGGTCGGAGGATATAGGCTCATCGATATCCATAGCGTCTGTTGAGACTGTTTGCGCCGTAGCATTCTCTTGAACGGCGCTAGTCGTCGCACCTGTCTCGGGTGTTTCTGAAGTGGCCTGTAGTGCTGCTTCACTCGAGCCAGTATTCGAAGGCGGGGTATCAGCCGAGGCACTCGCGTCATGGCCTGCCGGAGGGGCAGCAGTGGATGATGGTATTTTCCGGCTATCCTCTTCTGTCTGGAAGAACTGGCTCATCTCTGTCATAGCATCGACCAAGGTCTTGTCTGTCTTCTGAAAGGAGAGGCGTACTAGAACACCCCCTGAGTTGTACCCCAGTTGCGACAGCGTTTTCTGGAAATCGGCAAACGTCGACAACGTTCTGTTCTCTATCGTGAGGACCGGGGTCTCGTAGTACAACTGGCCACTACCCATAGCCGCACCATTCGCTGTTTGTGCGGTGCCTCTTCCCGTTATGTTCAAGTTCTTCCCCTGGCTCGCCCTGCCGCTCTCGAACTGGCGTAAGGATTGCCATATCGTGAAGTCGCTCGGTAACTTCTCTGTGATTCTGCCGGACGGTGGGAATAGACTCGACTCGGGGGGCGGGAGCTGCAAGGCGACGTTGATGACGGTAGGGGTTGTGGAGCGTACGATGAGCTCGAGCTTGGCGCCAGGCACCAGACCCGAGGTCCGCCATGTCTGCGACAGGTCCAGCTGCTTTTGCTTGTACTTTAATAGGTACTTGTTAGAGGGGACTTTGAGCTTCTCACAAGCCTGCTCCAAGATATCCGTCAGGTAGGTGCCGGGGTTGACCTTTACAGTTACCTGCTTAAGGTCTGTCCCCACGACCTTGACGTTGGTCGCCATATGTTGTGAGACCTATGAGACCTTGGCGGTGATGTGGCTAGAAAGATGAGACGGGATGAAGTTGTATAATTAAATATTTATTGAATTTGAATTTGATCAAGGGGTTTTATATGTTTGTGTTCTAAGTAATCATTAATAGAAAAATTAAGAAAATGGGACAAGTGATGATCAAGTTGGATTTATGTACAATACATCAACTACTGTTGTTCTGTTAATAAGGAGAAGCGCAGACAGGCAGGCAGCTCTTATTATTATTACATAGTACATGTATGTATACGTAGTTAGTACCTATGTATGCTGATAAATTTAGTTGATTCTAGGTACATACTGTGTAATCATGGAGGGGTAGTTTAGGTCACGTCAGGACCCAGGCCAGGTAGCTAGCTGCCATGATAAGCCCCAAGTTTTCCAAGGTTCCCAAGCCAGTCGTGGCTGGTGCCGGCCGATAGTAGGTACTTGGTACAATACAACTACCTATCAAGTGCCTACATGTACTAGGTACTACTAGGTAGAGCTAAGCTGCCGCGCCAGACGTGTTTGCCTTGACGACGCTAACAGTTCAGTTACAGTGGCAGTCGCAGCAGTAACCTACTCAAGTTTACAAGTTTACAACGATTAACCATTTGAACAACAGTGAATCTTCAGCCTCGCCCAAGCCATTGAAGTAAAAACGGCCCTCTCGAACCGACGACCACACATAATCGGCAATCACTTTTGGTTTTCTTCTTCTTTCTAACCACAAGTCTATTAATCTTGACGCCATGGTAAGTTCCATCCATACATCCCACATATATCCCAATATTCGAGCTCCCAAGCTTCAAAGCTTCGAAACCAACTTTGCGGAGTTACATAGCTAACATTAAGAGGAATAGTCGTCACCTTTCTCTATAAGTGCGAACCCTCCCCCTCTCTCATACAGCTTACCAAGCTCCTCCTCCCCCTCCTCCTCCTCCTAGGCCCGGACAGCCAGCCAATACAGCTCAAGATTTAACTGACCTTCGTATCACCAACTAAACAGACGGCGGTGCCTGCGTGGCCATGGTGGGCAAGGACTGCGTCGCCATAGCCTGCGACCTGCGGCTGGGCCTGCAGTCGCTGACCGTGTCGAACAACTTCCCCAAGATCTTCCAGTACGGCGACGTCTTCCTCGGGCTCACGGGCCTGGCCACCGACGTCTCCACCGTCTCGGACCTGTTCCGCTACAAGGTGAACATGTACCGCCTGCGCGAGGAGCGCAACATCGCCCCCACCACCTTCGCCAACCTCGTCTCCTCCTCCCTCTACGAGCGCCGCTTCGGCCCCTACTTCGTCAGCCCCGTCGTCGCCGGCCTCCAGCCCAAGACCGGCCTCCCCTTCATCTGCGGCTTCGACTCCATCGGCTGCATCGACTTCGCCAAGGACTTCATCGTCAGCGGCACCGCCTCCGAACAGCTCTTCGGCATGTGCGAGAGTTTGTGGGAGCCCGACTTGGTAAGCCATCCCATCTAGAGCCGCTTATCAACTGCACCTTCTCCTTGCTCCTTGATTTTATGATCCCGAGAAGAAACATACAGCTAATACTTGACCTTCAACCCAACCAGGGCCCCGAGGACCTATTCGAGACCATCTCGCAGGCCCTGCTGAGCGCCGTGGACAGAGACGCCTTGTCAGGCTGGGGTGCGCACGTGTACATTATCGAGAAGGACAAGGTCACGAAGAGGTTACTAAAGGGCCGACAAGATTAAGGGCTTTCTATGATTATTTTTTGGGTGCAGAAATCCAATCCAGTAACCAAGTTATGAAGAAGTCACGTTTTGGGGGGGGGGGGGGGGGGGGGGTGTGGTTTCCGTATTGTGCTTAACTTAACATCCATCACCTAGGATCGACTTGCGATTCAAAAGATACCTAGGGGGAACTGTCATGCTACTACGTACTACATTCATGTCACATCCGCTCTCTCTTAAGATGGACTAAATGGATGTGGGTTGTTGAGTGAGAATACACACACCGGTTAAGGTTGACGATACTTACGCCGCGAATTAATGTGACTTGCGATTGGCAAATAGCCATTAACTAGTGAGAGTGTGTGTGTGTGTACCAATACTAAACTGAAGCAAGCAAGTAGTCGTAGATGTCTTTTGTTGGCAGGATAAATATCCCACATGGAAGAAGACAAAACATTCATCAAGAACAAGTCGTTGTATTTACTTCTCTCATATGCTACATGAACAGTGTGCGTCGTCTAGTCTAGTCTATTTAACTATTAAATCTACGTCCACTCAAGCTTCCTTCTTAGTCTTTGCGACATCGTTGTTGATGTTCTGGATGAAGAAATGCCTCTCAGCGGCCTTGAGAATCTCATCAATGACACTAGAAAATGTTAGCGTGCTGCCTTAAAATATCTGAGTGTATGGGGTGTGACTTACATGACTGGGGCGCTGATGATGAGCACCGCCTTCCACTCATTCCAATTCAGAGGTAGGATGGAGAACAGACCCTGAAGGAAAGGAGTGTACAGGAGTGCGAAGTGGAGTGCCATTGACAACGCGATGGCATAGACTAGCATCATGTTCTCCCAGAGCGGTAGAGTTAGTAGGGACTCACTGGATGATAAAGCGTTCATGGCATTCAGCATCTCAATGACGACAAGGATGGAGAGGGATACAGTGGAGGCCGCCTTCGACATGTCGTTGCCGAACATCTCACAGCCAATTCCAGAAAACTCAGTAGAGCATCGGTGGAAATGTGAAAGCTGGTAGAAGCTGATCTGGGGTCCCTCGGGGTTGTACATGAACCACCAAGCATATCCGGCAACAGTAGCCAGACCAACGTAGGCACCAATGACCAGATAGCGGAAGAATAGCCAACCACCAATGAGTGGTTCATCACGCTTTCGTGGCTGTCTCTTCATAATATCGTGATCAGGTGGGTTGAAGGACAGGGCGGTTGCAGGTAGGCCATCCGTAACGAGGTTAACCCATAGTAGCTGGACAGGAATCAATGCTTCTGGCATGCCCAGGGCAGCAGTAAGGAAGATTGAGACAACCTCTCCAATGTTTGAAGAGATGAGATAGCGGATAAACTGTTGTGTGTTGTTGTAGATGGATCGGCCTTCCTCAATAGCAACCTCAATGGTAGCGAAATTGTCGTCAGCGAGTACCATATCGGCAGCCAGTTTGGAAACATCAGTGCCAGAGCCCATTGCTACGCCAATATCTGCCTTCTTTAAAGCCGGAGCATCATTGACGCCATCACCAGTCATAGCAACAACTTCGTTGAGAGATTGGAGGAGATCAACGAGTTTCGACTTGTGGCTTGGCTCTACACGGGAGAACAGGGACGCATTCTTCGCTGCTTCCAATTGTTCGCTAGGGCTCAAGTTGTCAAACTCTCGACCGGTATAGCTTTTGCCCTTGATATCTTCGTATTCACCAAAGACTCCGATTTGACGGCAGATGCTTTCCGCGGTATTGCGATTATCACCAGTGATGACAATGACCCTGATTCCTGCAGCCTTGCACTTCTGAATAGCACCAGAAACTTCTGGTCGAGGAGGATCTAACATGCCGACGAGGCCTAACAAGGTAAGGTTTTGTTCCAGTTGGGTGTATTGGGCGGTTGACTTGGCATTTTGAATTAGGGGGTTTGATCCAACATCGTCTAGGCTAGCGAGGGCAATAACTCTTAGACCACGGTTGCCGTATTCCACTACCTCCTTCGTGAGAAGGTTACGGAGTTTGTCGTTGAGGCCAACACGTTTACCATTGGCTCCAACCAGAGTATGTGTGCAACGGTCGATGATGGACTCGGGTGCGCCCTTGACAAGAAGCTTCTTTTGTTCACCTGCTTGGATGAGGACAGACATGCTTTTACGGTCTCGGGAGAACTCATACGTAGCAAGACGAGGGAACTTGGACTCATACCAGGCACTAGCGTAGTGTACACAGTCCTCGGGGTTCGAATTCGCCGGCGCACATGGTCCAATCTTCTCGACTAGAACCCGCAGAGCTGCTTCCGTAGGCTCTCCTACATTGGAAAAGGCACTAGTTCGGGGATCATACATCAGCCGGGCATCATTGCAGAGCGCCGCCACCTCGCTCATTTGACAGATAGTACTTGAAGTTTGCGAAAGATCCTTTACAACCTTGCCATTGCGTGTGATTTCTCCCTTCGGCGCAAACGTGGTTCCTTCGACATTAAGTTCTTCTAGATCGGTACCATCTTCGTTTATGTAGACGACTTTGTTCACGCTCATTTGGTTCGTGGTGAGAGTACCAGTCTTATCTGAGCAAATGACGCTGCAACTGCCAAGGGTCTCCACAGATGGGAGGCTTCGGACGACAGCATTTTTTGCGGCCATCTTGCGTGTTCCTAAAGCTAGACATGTTGTGATAACAACGGCAAGGCCCTCGGGAATTGCTGCAACACCAAGTGAAACGGCAATCTTGAGGTAGTAGATGGCGCCTTTGGTCCAGTTTCCATGACTTGGGTCCGCAAAGTTTGGAATGTTGATGAGCCATACGAGAATGCAAATTACGGTAATAACCTTGGCTAAAGAATCGCCAAAGTCGTTCAGCTTCTGCTTTAGAGGGGTCGGCTCGGATATCTGAGCCGTAATGCTCTCGTGAATGTCACCAATCGCAGTATTAGATCCAGTCAGAACAACAATTGCCTTAGCACGCCCAGTGACAACGGTTGTTCCCGAGAAAAGCATGTTGACTTGATCCTGGAGCACCGCCTTCTGGTCGTCCACAACAGCATCATGATCCTTCCCAACACTTTCGCTCTCTCCGGTAAGGACGGCCTGGTCGATGGCAAAACTGTTGCTTTCGATCGAAATAACTCGGCAGTCGGCGGGCACCCTATCTCCAACGGAGACTGAGATGATGTCGCCAGGAACTAGCTCCTCCGCCTTGATCTTTAAGACATGCCCATTGTTCCTGACTACATTGGCTATGTTCGCCGAGTATTCTTGAAGCGCAGCAATCGCCTTCTCAGCGCTGCTCTCCTGGGACACACCGACGACCGCATTGAGTATAAGGATGGTTAGGATCTAACAATTTGTGAAGTTAGCTTCTGAAAGCCACACCTTGAAGTTATACGAGGGGGGATCTTACAACAAGAGGGTCGACAAATGCGCTCCAACCGCCTTCTTCATCTTCGAAAAGAGCTAAGACGAACGATACGGCTGCGGAACCCAAAAGTATTATGACAAGTTGGTCTTTAAACTGCTCGAGAATAAGCTCCCATAAGGGCGTTGGCGGTTCTTCTGGGATAGCTATGTAAGTTAGCAGATGTCTTGACTTATACATTTGATCACCATGACATGGGGCGCAACATACAATTCTTCCCATTCTTAGTCCGTGATTCAATGACCTGTTGGTCTGTGAGGCCAGATTTTGCGTCCACGTTGAAGTTGGCTAGGACCTCGCGTATAGGTTTCGCGAAGGCGCTCTCCATGACGACTGGTGAATGGAGAGGAATGCGGTCGTAGTTGACTTTTTTCTGATAGAACCGAGTTCAATACAGGCAGTCTAGGTGGATTGTATTGTTCAATACCTTGCGACAAACATGTAGGGTGAACAAAACAAGCACAGCTAAAATGTTGGGAACGATGGAGGGGTTGGTGATATGGCAGATGTATACGAAGAAATATTTGCGACGATTCAAAGATGCCACATATCGTTTAGTGAAACTGCCTAGTCTAACTCTAAGGTAACTACTCCCAAGTTTGCCACCGTAAAGAAATGGTAATAATAGAAATTGAGAAAGTGAAACTGGCAATGTACAGACGAAGAATGTGAAAAATATTAACGTGACGAACAGTATGTAGATTCTCGTGGAAAGAGATCGTTGCTTATGAGGTCGGAAGTGGATCTTTTAAACAGCCAGGCCGATTAACGTTTTGTAACACCGCAACGTGTTCTCTCAGACTGTCAGTTGATCCTTCCAATTCCAAGGTTGATTTTTAGTAACATTTTAAACAAACTTTAGGGCGGCTTGCCACTTCCGTAGAGGACTGACCGGTGACTTGTTGCCCTGCTGTAGGTAGGTGCCAGGGACGTGCCAGCTGGAAAGCATTGAAAATCTCAACTAAACTACCAAAGGCAGCGCTAGTAGAATTCACTAATCCCTGCAGATGCACTAACTTAAGATCCAGATAACCAATTCAATTGGATAAGCAATCATGACTTGCAGGTACGCACTTACTTAAACCTGCGAAACCTGAAGCTTAATATGTTGTTACCGTCGTAGATACGAGTAAATGCATGTACTATATGTAGCTACCCTAGGTAGTATAGTAAACATTACTAATCCTACATACATACCTAGGTTACGTAGGTTAATTAGATTTTCATTTTCTCGGCTAGGTGGTTATTTGCGTAGTGCATGAAGCTGGAAAGTTAAGTTTTATCTGGACTTTTTTATCTTTTTTGTGTAGCTACTAGCTCTCAACTTCAACGTTCAACGTTGTTTAGATTACCTACCGAGGGTATCTAGGTAGATAGAAAAGTCAACCTAAACCTTAGGAATTATACACCTATGTAGATACGTTGTAGATACGCTGCAAAAGTTAAAAGTATAAAAGCATAGTGCATTTGTTCCTCTCATAAAGGTCTATTTGGGGGGATGTTGCTATCTAGAAGCCGTGAAAGCGGCCATGCATTAGAAAATCAACGGCCATCATGCTATCTACCCCAATCCCGAGCGTGCGTAACTCATCCGCAGCAGCTCACCTAACTGGCCATTTATCCTTCCCGCATGTACGGTATTACCCTGGCCAACCCTGTACGTAGAACCTATCATCCTGCAACGACTGCTTTACAAATCGTCATCGTCATCCTCACCAGGAAGAGGCATGGTAGCAGCCTCGTCCATCTCCTTCTTGTACTGTTCAAGGAGCTTCTCGTCAACTTGAGCAGTAGGGGGAGCAAGAGCGGGGGCGGCAACGAATTCCTTTCTAGGGTTAGTCAAATCCACGTCAACAAGCAAACGTCAACTTACCAGAGCAGGGTTGCCAACAAGCTTGCGGGCAAGCCAGAGGAATGGCTTCTCGAAGTTGTAGTTTGACTTTGCAGAAATATCATAGTATTGTAGGTTCTTCTTGCGATGGAACGTGATAGTCTTAGCCTTGACCTTACGCTCCTTTACATCGACCTTGTTGCCACACAGAACGATGGGGATGTTCTCGCAAACACGGACGAGGTCACCTAGAATGCAGGTGTTAGCAGAGAAGGATTGGATGGCAGATATATAAGTTCACTTACGGTGCCAGTTGGGGACGTTCTTGTAGGTGATGCGAGAAGTGACGTCGAACATGATGATACCGCATTGGCCGTTGATGTAGTAACCGTCACGGAGACCACCAAACTTCTCTTGGCCAGCAGTATCCCAGACATCGAAGGTGATGTTACCGAAGTTCTGGTCATGGTTAGAGGATTTGCGCCAGGCAAGGCGTGTGTAGATGCGAAAGCGCAAGGCAGGGAACGATCCGACTTACGGTAGTGAAACCTAGAGGGTGGACTTCGACACCTAGAGTTGCCATGTATTTCTTCTCAAATTCACCAGTAAGATGACGCTTGACAAAGGTGGTCTGTATTCATGATGGTTAATGATATGATCTTCAATAGATACCTAGGTATGTAAAGTAGGCAGGGCAAAGGCGGGGCAAATCAGTCGCAGGGCAATGCCGATAAGCAGAGCGCAACAAGTAGAGGACAATGGAATGAGAGGATAATGGAGATGAAATATGATGAAGCTATTTACCTTTCCAGTACCACCATCGCCAACGAGGACGAGCTTAAAGGTGGGCGTCTCAGTCGCCATTGTGAACGCTGGGATTATTGTATGTGGTAAACAGAGGATGGAGACTAAAGTCGGACGTTAGTGGGGGGTGTTGCCTAGAAAAAAATATATATCGGAAGATGTTGGGAATTTGGTTTGTAATCTCGATGCAAGGAGCCTCGAAATATATCGATTGGGGAGTACGGACGTACTTGAATATTCTGGTGAGTGCGAAGAGGTGAATGCAGTTATGTCGCAAAATTCGGTGTTGGTAGAAGTGATGCGGACTAATGTTTTCTGAGAGTTTGGAGAGGCGGGACCTGGCAAGAAGATCTATTAAGGTTGGGTTGCCCTCCAGGAAAAAAAAAATCGGGCGCACGGTTGCGGGGCAGCACGTGATTCCTGGGCATTAATCAATTACTGTTTAGTTATGTTTGAATGGAATGGGTGACAATGACGCACATTTGAGGTGGCAGGGTCAACCAGCTACCTAGGGCACCTTCCAAGATAGCATACATACTAGGTACCCTACATGTAGGTACTAGGTACTGTATATAATACATCTATGGATAGTTACATGGTAACATTTCAACTTCGGAATTCTAGGTAACAACCAATTATTTAACCAGATTGCAGGCACAATGCTAATACATACTATATATAGGACATGCTATGTATTGTATTGCCCATTTAGGCGGCTACTCATACACATCTAGGTTAACCTACTTATAACTACACAGTACAGTACTATACCTACTACCTGCAGTTTTATTAATAAACCAACAGCATTAGTAGGAACACCTGCCTTCCAAGACCGCCTTAAAATATCAGCTCCTGATATTTCACCAATGAGTGGTAAGCATCGTGGTCACCTATGTACAATACATATATGTGCCTGCTATACATTATCAGGCAATCATTGTCTGCTTGTTTTGCTTGTGTTTCCATGTCTTTCCCATAATCCAAACCCCATGTACATACTATACTAGGTATACATGTGTGGAATTTCGGATGGTTGGTGATTCTGCTGGAATGTTTCACTGTATTTCAGCTTCTATTATGTACCTAGCACTTTCCATACATTCGCATTCTCTCTTATCATCTAGAAATATGTTCAGTACATACCCCACGTAGCATAAGTAGAGATATGTGCCTAAAAACCCCAAGGTTACTAGAAGATATTTTGCTAACACTGATTAACATCCGTATACATACTGGTATGTAATATTGACCAGACTACCAGTAAGTATATGTACGTCTAGACTTCACGCCTCAGTCGAGACCAAGTACCTGCCTACATAGGTATGTAGTACTAGGTAGGTAGGAGCCTAATCGTTGATGTGAGTACTGGGTATCCATATTAGTCAGTCCTTGGGTATCAGCAAACCTGAAGTAGGCTCAAACCAACATCGTCAGATTTCTTTTTAGGTTTCTCTCCTTACATACAACCAACCCAACCATTGCTAGGCATGTTAGATAACTTGGCTACTAAACATACGCTAACCATTGATTGGGCAAGCTACAATAAAAACGAAACCACAGCACGTGTACGCTGTCATGATAGGTTCTAAGCTTGATTCTTGGAAAGCTGTTTAGCAATGCCGAATGGATAAACATAAACGACTGCCTGGCTTCTCGCGGAAGTACAAAAGGGACTTATATGTGGATCGTGATCAATAAATCATCGATTCCATCAACTCATCTAGATGGCACCTTAGTTCTACCCGAAGTGACTAAAGAAGTCAACCCCTTTACATGGGCTTGAACATAAACACCTGCGTCAAGGATCAGGTGTTCCTGCGTCCTCGGATGACTGAGTGATATTCCGCTAGAGTGGGAGGATATGGCATCCTAATAATCCTCTGCCTCCCCAATTCCTGCGTGGGGTCAAGTTCAACTGGAGCTCTTGTCTTTGACTCGACTCGGTTCTGCGAGATATTTTGACGAGGATTCGTTGCTATGTTGGCAATTAGATATTGAAATAAGGTGATGTCCTCGCTGAAGCCCAAGCAGACTTTGACTTACACCTTCGTTCCCCTGAACACACTCTGCAACTTTTTTGAGCCCATCGTGATTACTCTTGTTCACGTATCCAAAATTGCGGATTTCATCACCAGGCTTCAAACCTGCAGACTCCGCCGGACTACCTGGGACGATGCTGTTGACCTTGGCAAAAGATTCTTCCAAGGTCGCTGGAATCGAATCGCCAAATATGGCAGGGTTGCTTGTTGATGTAGGGCCAACATCATCAGCTTCTTGTATGCTTAAAAAATGCTCGTGGAGGTGTTTCTCTATGATGTTCATGAGGTCTTTATAGTCGTTCTTAAGATGAATAATCCGCGACCGGGTAGTACGTACTGTAGGCAGAAAGTTAGCCCAAGTTGGAGAGGGTCTATGGATACGAAGGCATCCATGGATCTGTCAATGAGCACGCCTACTTTGCGCAACATCAATATCTGCTCGAGGGAACCCATCCGGAGTAGTCAGAGGCGTTTCCATATTAACTCCATGCTATGCATAGACTTAGCAGCAGCATTGAGAAGGATGGTACAGAGTACCTTAACTGTTGGCTACCTACCGAGTCGAGAACGCCGCCTAGGGCCTTCAGCTCAGCCTCCAAATTCTCTTTCTTGGACTGAAGTTCAGCAAAGGAGAGATGCTTCGCATTCCCATTTGTAAGGGGTCGGGAAGAGGGACCCGCCGGAACGGTAGGTGCGTGGATGTTATCCATTCTTAATGGAAGGCCCATTATAAGCACAAATAGATCAAGACATCATAGGGCGATCATATGGTGAGGGGAGAACATGCCTTTTCATGCTCTAGAAAAAGGTTCGCTTGTTAGAAAGGCTGGAGTTGAAGTGAGGTAAAGTAAAGTAAAGTGAAGAGAATAAAGAGTCAAGTTTAGGCTTGCGCAGATAACGCGTCCCCGAAAAGATGGAGGGGTTAACCAATGATTGCAGATGGTTCCCCGCTATGAGGTATGTAACAGTTAACTTGCTTATGTAACTTACTGTATGTACATATGTCTCCGGGCTTGCTTGCCCATGCACCTTTATGTAAGATCCACATTTTAATCTTTGCGAAACCTAGCAAACTTGTTAAGCATTCAATGTTCAAATGTTTGAAGTCTTTAAAGAGCTACCGTCACCTACGTATGTAGCAGGGCCTAGTGCAGGTTTAAGGTTTAGGCATGCTGATCTCAATCTCAATAGATACTGAACATGGAATATTCTTACAGCATTGAAGCCACTTTCTTACCTGTTACTAACCTAGTAACTTTACTAGGAACTAGTCACCACTGTCACCTACATAGGTATGTAGATGAACTACGTCGTATGTATGCTAGTATAATGCTACAGCGGTAGATAATTACACAAAGTCCTACATATGTAGGTAGTTCTTCATTGTGTTCTTGCTCACTCGACTCAAATTTGGTTGGATAGAGATACGAATATAACTTCCGGTTGTGTTATCTTATAGGTAGTAGTATCATCATCTATTAGGTATGTATAACATTGAATGGATTCCGTCTCGTATTCTCAGTTGCATCTAGAGCCATTTGAATCTACATATGTAGCTAAGCTAAGCGGCTGTACATAGGTTTTCCTAATAGCGATCCCCTGCAGGTCCAACCTTTCGGCTACGCGCAGGGAACAGATGGTACCTACCTGCTTACCAAATGCTATGTACCTACTACCCAGTAGGTGTTGCGTAACAGGCGCACATCTTTTAACGAATCATTCCTCTGATCAAGGAGAGATCTGCAACAACGGTCTAAATTGGGCTTACCCTGTACGTTTGTACTCGTTAAGTTTACAGAAGGAGTTTTCCCTGGATCTCATAAACAGATGTCGATGTCTTGGCAGGGGAAACACCGACCTGGTGCATTTTCTTTTATTAGACTGCTAGGTTAGACTGTTATATCCAGCCGCCGTTAGTGAACAAGGCAGTACCGTTCCAAGTTCTTCTTTCACATCTTCCTTCTTTGTCTCAAACATAAACATAATTCAAGATTTTAATACCTACCTATTCTAGAATCTAGATATCTACCTAATAGGTACCTTACAATCCTCGTTTAAGAAGGACCATTGTTATCACTCAGGTATCTCATCAACACTTACGGCACCTGGAAAATGTATGCCGCTACATTACTTGGCTTGTTGGCTGGAGCAGCGACCTCCGAGGCCTTGAAGTACGATGTCCCCACAAGCATCAAGGCCACGAACTGCCCATTGCCAGCCAATTATACAGTCTCCGACTTCACCATCTATACGGATACAGCCAACAATACCAAAAGTGCTACTACCTTTAGTTTCTCTGACCCGAGCACGGGCATTGAGACTTTCTGTAGCCGAAATTCAACCTCGAAGCCCAGTGCCACAGGCACCAACCGATGGCCCTGCGATAATTCCATGGTTGCATTTATCTGGCAAACGACCGGAATCGCTGGTTTGACCATGATTGAGCAAGCGTGTCCTGGAAGGTCTGTGCCATACTTACCTCTACCTCCCTTTTACCCAATATCTCCAATAGTAGCGATGCCGTATCTAACAACGACCACAGTGTTCCCCAGTTTGAAGCCTCGGGCCTGATCGCACCAGAGCTGGCATGCACGAATTCCACTTCAGGGTCGACCTGCGTTGCTAAGCAGTCCCCAATCTTTGGAGACTTTGATAGCTTCGAGCCTGCTCCTCCTTCCTGAGGTTGCCAAGAATGATCAACCAATTACTTCAAGAAAGCTTCATTATCATATGCCGTACGAAGTTTGTAAACCGGGAGAAACTCCGTACAAGAAGAAACGAAGAAACGAAGAAACGGATGGTGGAAGCATGAATATCTAATTGTACGTTCCGGACGTGTTCAACATTGTTATGTAGACTCTAGATAATAGATGAAGAGCAATCAAGTTGCCTGTATGTACATACCTGTAAAAGGTATGCACCTGGGACCTGGGTATTTATAATGAATTGAGGTTCAATCAAGATTCACACCATGCATTAATATGTCATGCCTCTAAGCGACAACGGGCATAGTGGCGCTTCTTGATCGGATAACATCCAATGCTTAATCTAGCAGGTACTGTATGTATTTATTGTATTGTACCTTCTACGTACCTACTATTCAAGGTTGGATCATTGATGCAAATGCTAAATGCCCTGTAAGATACCCCGCGTTCCCAAATTTCTAGGGTAGTGTCAGCTTCTCATTGGTTATGGTATTCTTTCACTTCGTCATTTGTTAAACATACGTAGTACGTCGTAGTAAAGTTAAATTACATGTATGGTACCTGTGGCAGGCCAAAGACGGGTTTTGGATTTGTTATTATCCGTTATTAGGTACCTACCTGCCTCGGTATATAATAGACACCTCAATATCTACTACACATATATGTAGTTATTAGGTTTCAATGCTTTATGTCTCTGGGTCTTCAAGTGCATCACGCGAACAAGACCCTCTCAACCCTGAGAATCCACTGGCGCGATGCTTAATGCGCAAATACCTACAACGTCAACATTGAATCGTGCACTTAAGCTTTTCACCCTTCCTCTCTCCAATAATTCTTAATCAATAAATCAAATTTTACTTCTTCTCCATCTCCATCTCCATCTCCCTCTCCCTCTCCCTCTCCGTCTCTCCCTCGCCTTCTCTGCTTTACTAGTTGCCCCATCAAAGGCCTATGACCTATGGCCTCCTGTTCATGGGACATGGCTATTCTATACCTTAATATCTCGAGTCGTGGTTCCTAATATCAGACCTAAAAGCCCATCACAACCATTGTATACCATGCTACATACGATGTTGACATTTGCTTTGCTACTATCGTGCCTGGTAGTTGCCTTCGCGTTGGGATCCCCTGTAGGCAGTCAATACCCTCTCCGAAAACAGGATGATACTACGACTCCTGATCATATTTCGCCCGACCTCTTCGCATCCCTCGAGCGCTTCTCCCGACTGGTCGACATAGCTTACTGCGTTGGCACCACCGGAGTTAACCCACCCTTTTCCTGCGCATCACGATGCAAAGACTTCCCATCACTAGACCTCGTCACCACATGGAATACAGGTGTTTTGATGAGCGATAGTTGTGGTTACATTGCAGTTGACCATGGAACATCACCGGTACCTAATACGAGCGTGGATGTAGGTAGAGCTAATGGTGAGGGTTTGGATATGGGGAACAAGAGTCAGGGGGCAATCATTGTGGCGTTTCGCGGTACATACAGCATTACCAATACCGTCGTCGACCTCAGTACAATACCTCAAGAATACGTCCCCTATCCCTCACCAGATGAGGGATCCGAACCACCCAAGGAGCCGAATCATACCTGTTATAACTGCACAGTGCATATGGGTTTCCTGACATCGTGGCGAATAGCTAAAACTGTTGTGCTACCAGCACTCAAGCCACTACACCAGCAATATCCGAATTATCCAATTTATCTTGTCGGTCACAGTCTCGGTGGCGCTGTAGCTGCTCTTGCTGCTTTGGAACTCAAAGTTACATTGGGCTGGAACAATCTCGTGGTGACCACCTTCGGCGAGCCCCGTATTGGAAACGATGGGTTTGTCGAATACCTAAACTCAGTCTTCGAACTAGGCAACGCTGGGAGACAATCCGAGGTGCATACGTATCGGCGCGTAACGCATATAGATGACCCTGTGCCGCTGCTCCCTCTGACAGAGTGGGGATACAGGTCTCATGCTGGCGAACTGTTTATATCCAAACCCGATCTGCCTCCCGAGCTATCAGATATTCGGTCGTGTATAGGAAACTACGATTCCCAGTGTATCGCGGGCTCGGCGGGAGAGAGTTTTGCGAAAACCGGGAAGATCATGGCCGAAGAGCGGGCACAAGACACGTCGGTTTGGACACGGGGGCTTTGGGATTTCCCAACTCGGTTCAAGCTATGGCAATTCTTGTTCGCGCATCGAGACTATTTCTGGAGGTTGGGCTTATGTGTGCCTGGAGGTGACCCTGTCGACTGGGGCAGGGAGAAATATCCTAATTTTACGTATAACGATGAGCTATGAGCCACAAGTAATTACACATAATATTATGTACTAGTGTGTTGTCGGTATCATAGGCGTCTCTTTTGGTATTTGGCATCGTATGGAAAATTAATTATGTAGGAATGATCTAAATTGACGACAGAGAACGAAATATATATTCAGTATGCCTCAACATGTAGGGCTATATCTACTATCGTATCTATCGCATGTACATCTCTGTATGCATGGTGAAAATGGCATAATAGCTGCATGATTCATACATGCCTATGGCCCTATGTACGTACCTACACAATCTCTCTAACCAGTTGACGTTTTGATCTGAGATCAACACCATTTCGCATAAATATAGTTATGTACATAGTACCTACATCCCATGTGAACTACATACATACACTACATGTACGATTGGATCTACAGTACTTGCACAACTATTAAATGCTCGGGATTCCGGGTGTTCATGGTGTCCGGTTTACATACAGTATGTGCATGCTCGGTAGTACTGCTGCTACTAGGCAGCCCAACACTAGCCCATTTTCATACGATAGGTAAGAGTGATTGGGAGGCTAATGACTGCCTTATGTACAAGTGTGAGAGAAGTAGAGCCAATGGATTGGGCTGAGAAGTCATGATAGTTACATACTATGTATGTGTAACTATGTATCGGTTGACCTTGGGGAGGGGTAGCTCTTAACTATGTACCTACACTATATGTATGTACTATGTAGTCTAGGTTAGTTATTACTAGGTAGTGTGATAAGAAACTCATAAAGAGCACTTGAGCATACATAGTGTAGAGAGATTAGTAGAAAGAGGAAGGGGAACTCGTGACTGGAAGAAAAGGGTGCCAGCTCAGCCAGGACTCCTGACCTTTGGGAAAGTGGTGACAACGCATGGACCGGGAATGGACCACACGATGATAAGACCCTGCAGGCCGTGGATAGGGCAGTGGGGTTCTGGATCCTCATGGAAGCGTTTTGTATTTCTTCTAACATTGTCTAGCGCCGTCTGATACTTTTTCCCTTTTTTTATTTTTTTAAAAAAAAGGGTGTATGCTGCCCGAGAAGGTGATAGTTAGTTGAGGTAGACTTCAATCCCTCATGTTAATTCACGTCACGCGTTGCTATTTTTTTTTCTTCTTTCCATCCTTTTTTTTTCTGGGGTTTTTTTTTTACTCTTGGGAGGGGGAGGGGAAAAGGGAAAGGGGGAAGGGGGAAGGGGGGAGTCTCCTTTTCGAGTCCTTTGTGCTGACTGATACTGATACTTACTGACTGATAACGATAATGGCTTGTGACTGTTTTATGATGATTGTTTAGTGGTTAATACTCGTAGTATACCTACCTAATGTATCTAGGTTAGGTAGGTAGGTAATATCATAGATGGCTTGAAGCTCCCATATCTTGTTTTCTTGTTTCTTTAAGAGTCGCATATACCACAGGCTACAACCGACTTGCGCGACGGTACTGCAGCGGACATGCGAGTCACTGTATGTATGTTTCATGCAAGCTGGTCGGGGTTATCCCTAAATATGAATTAATTGTGTTATGGGTATTGATATTGGTAGTGGTATCGGTATCGTGATCTTTGAATACCATCAAATTCATTGATATGTGTATGTATGCCTACCTAGGTAGGTATCAATGTAAATCCAAATATCTGGTAAGCATAAAAAGGTAAGTTAAAGTATTCCTATCCGTAGGACTGTTGTTAAGCATTTACCATTGTCTCGTGCCCAGATAGTTATATGGATCAATAAGGCTCAAGTGTGAGATTGAGGCGGACGACAGTGGGGAAAGGGGGATTATTGGGCAATGAGAAGGGGACAGTCATATGTAGGTATCAATCACATCAATTGATGTTTACATGCAATTGAAGGAGAGAGAGAGAGATAGATAGATAGATAGATAAATAGATAAATACATCATTAGATGCTCTCTATTGGGTAGTACTGTACATTCAAATGTTGATATCAATAAACATTCGGGAAGATCAAGATGTAAATGATGTAAATGTAAATGTCAGGACTCAGTACTAGGGAGCATGTACCCTCGTATCATATTGGATGTGGGAATAACGTGCTATCGGTTTACTGGTTTCGTCATTGCTGTTGATATTGCTTAATGTTATTTTATATGTACATATGTAATTAATATGTACGTACCGTGTTGGTAGTACTACATAGTACATACACCAAAAAACTATTCGATAACCGTTGAGTGCATGTGGTGAGTACATAGTAGGGTGAGAGAAGATTCCAGGCCGAAGACGGCAATGAGGGGCAAGCAAGCCCTGGAAAAGAGGGAAAAGAGGGAAAAAGAAACATTGAGCATTGCGGCAAGCTTCAGTCTCAAGGTTTCAATGTTACCTACATATGTACCTAGTACTGGTCCAAATGCCTGAAGATACGTAAGTACTCTTGTATCTTTCTTCCTTTCCGCACAAGCCAAGTGCCAAAGTTGGAGACTCAGGCGCAATTTTGGACCTGACAGGCCTGGCACTTCCTGGCAGACCTGGTAAGACCTGGTTAAGACCTGGTAGCCCTGGCCGCAACTACCACTACCGCTGCCTACTGATTTCTCCTCCCGCACCTGAACCTCGTCGAATTTCAACACCCTTCAACTCGACGTACATACCTTGTAAACAATCTCCCTTTTCTCATTCAACCTCGCGACACCTGCAAAACTCCAAATCTGCAAAACAAACAACTCATTATTGATCTCTAATCCCACTTGTTCATCTTCATCCACTTCTATCCCCATAATCCTTCACCAGAATCAACCAAGATGACCACTGAAGTAAGTTTTCACTATTTCGACTCCCCTTTCCATCATCCCAGGGCTCGGCTTGTCTGCCTTGTCTCGCTCATGCTTCTTCCTCTACTCCAACCACTACACTCGCTCTCCAACACGACACTACATTACATACACTATCTTGATAGTCATGTGTCTGATCCAGCATTCTGTTTTTATTTCCCCCCTTTTTTGGAAAAGGGACTCTGCTAACGTTATTTCCTCATCATTTAGCGTGAAAGGTTCGTTAACCGTCAACTCCTACACCGCGCATGACCGCCGGCGTGTTATTACTTCCATGGTTCCCCCGCCATGCAATACAAGAAAAAATAAAGCAGAGAGAATAAGAACTGATTAGTGTCCCGTATTAGCAAGACTTTCTTAGCTCGCCTTTGCGAGCAGGCTGAGCGCTACGATGAGATGGTTACCTACATGAAGGAGGTTGCCAAGCTCGGTGGAGAACTCTCTGTTGACGAGCGCAACCTTCTCTCCGTTGCCTACAAGAACGTTGTCGGTACCCGACGTGCCTCGTGGCGAATTATCTCCTCGATCGAGCAAAAGGAGGAGTCCAAGGGTTCTGACAAGCACGTCACCACCATCCGTGATTACCGCAACAAGATTGAGACCGAGCTTGAGAAGGTCTGCCAAGATGTTCTGGATGTTCTAGACGAGAGCCTGATCCCCAACGCCGCCACCGGTGAATCTAAGGTCTTTTACCACAAGATGTAAGTTGCCTTTCCCCGAAATATTACATCTTTTCCGAGGTAATCATCATATGCTAATGTTCGTACTCCCCTATCATAGGAAGGGTGATTACCACCGTTACTTGGCCGAGTTCGCCTCTGGTGAGAAGCGCAAGGTTGCTGCTACTGCTGCCCACGAGGCTTACAAGGTAGGATCTACAAGTCACAGATTTATGCTTTTTTTCAATCTAACTCTTTTTCCCGCAGAGCGCCACCGACGTTGCCCAGACTGAGCTCACGCCGACTCACCCCATCCGTCTTGGGCTTGCGTTGAACTTCTCCGTCTTCTACTACGAGATCCTCAACTCGCCCGACCGAGCTTGCCATCTTGCCAAGCAGGCCTTCGATGATGCCATTGCAGAACTTGACTCGCTCTCTGAGGAGTCTTACCGCGATAGCACTCTCATCATGCAGCTGCTCCGTGACAACCTGACTCTGTGGACTTCATCAGAGAGCGCCGAGGGCGATGCTGCTGCCCAAGAGGGTGCTAAGGATGAGAAGCCAGCCGAGGAAGCTGAGAAGCCGAAGGAGGATGCCCCGGCTGCCGCTCCCGCCGAGTCGTAGACCATCCTTGGTTCGATACCTCCTTGCCTCAGCTGAATATGCATACTCCATTGAAGAAAGAAAAACTTTGTAAAGGGCCGGGGTTCCGTTGATACCCAGCTGGCGAAGGATTTATAGCATCGGTTGGGAGGGATGGTACAGGAGTTGGTTTGACGCAGGGCTGGAAAATGCGGGCAGGTTTCCCTTGTCGCGTTTCGCTCGAGGATTCGTCAGTACAGGCATACACTATAGTATGCCCTCTACGTGACAATACGATACGTATCTCCTCAACTACGGCTGTTTTCTTTAAAACTACCTCTGCATTGTTCAGGGGCGGCGAGGGCTTGTTGACGGTAGTGCGGACAGTTTCATACACGTTTCCCCCTCTTTGTTTTTGTGGTTTTTGAGAAGAGATATCTCACTTTTCCTTTGATCAGCACATTGCGCATCCTCCTAGGACAGTGCCTTGTATGCTAAACCTTACGTATCACGCAAGATAGTGTACGGGACCGCTTGAGGTGGAATTGCAAATGATCCATGCCTTGTTTTTACCAGTCGGACAGAGAAATTTCGATGGTTGGCCTCCAGCAGACTGTAACACGTAAGGCTGGTCTTCTGTCTTGATTTGTGGTTCATTCCACTCGTCAAGTGTTGTTGATCCGCACGTCCGTAATGCGTACCCCTTTAATCAGAAATAAAACAAAACTCAACACCCGCTTTTCTAGTTCTTTTGAGACTTGAGTTTGCATCCACATAAATAGTAGTAGTAATGGTGCTCGTAACTCTTACAACTTCCATGTCTAGGTACCTACCTAGGCATCTACACGTTGTACTCATCAGGATATACCATCATAGCCATAACACTTTTAGTATTTTAGCAATGCCATCTGCAATGAACATTATCAGTCTACCAGTATACCTAACTAGGCATTTATGAGTGATGTAACCCCTTTTATATGCTCAGCAAGGGTGTTGGTGATCCGTAATTTTTTTTTTTCGTGTGATGATAATAATGGCTGGTTATATAGGTTATATAGGTTAATGTATCTAGGTTAGGCTAGTTACTCATTCACTGCTCTGTAAACAATTAAGCATATTAATGCAATACAATGATAATCTGTTTTGAACTTTATATACTTAGGTGTGTACATCATTGATACTACCTACAATTGACTGTTCAGTGTTACACTTTTAGCCTCCAGGGCTCCTTGTGGGAAGGTACTAGGTTAGGTAGGTACATACCTAAAATGTCACAGGTGACCAAGATGCTGGGTACAATAGTACCTTGGATGGGATTCCCGTTTTAGTCTCCGCTTCAGCCTCATTGGTACCTAGGATGTACCGCGGGCCCCGCCAAGCCGGTCTTCTTTTTAGTGCACTCCAGAAGCTCCAATCCTCCCCCTTCTCTCTTCCTCTCCACAGTGCCCAGTTCAGATTTCAGCCAATTTGGACCGTCAATTCGCAGGGCTGACCAGTTGGAAAGCCAGAACTACAGACCAAAAAAAATAAAGGTGCAACGTCACAGGCCACAACTTGGGACATGTGCCTGCGACTGCAACCAGCACTGAGAATTTGTATGTAGATACCTCGCATACCTACACAGACACAAACACATACGTATACGCATACACTTACACATACACACATACAGACATATACACGTACACTCATTCACTCACATGAATAGATGCCACCTTGGTGGTTGGCTTTCAATTCTCTTTTGTTTTTATCTCGGGCTTACTGATTAACCCCCCCCCCCCCCCCCCCCCAGTAGCTTACCTATGCTATGTGCTGTTCTTTGAATCATTCCGAATTGAACCTCGACTGTCCCTTGACTGTCCTGCTAGTTCAGCATGGATCAGTTTCAGTCTCCCCAGTCGACTCGAAATGTTACCACTGCACCACTATCTGCCGATAAATCTAGCCAGCTACTCCTCCGCGAATATCCTCACCGAGCAATCGCTATTGCGACACCGACTCATGCCTTGATTTTCCGATACTCCTCTACCACGAGCGAAGCAATTGGCAATGGATCGCTCACGCCCGTCTCGTCAGGGAGACCTCGCGCCACTTCTGATAGCCCTGTTTCCAAATGCATGGTCGAATTCTCGCCTGTTTCCAAGCAGCTTCTTAGCGACTTCAGGCCTCTAACTCCCCGACCAATATACGGAACACTTGGCCTCATATCGATAAACCAGGACGTATTCCTATGCGTAGTCACGCAGGCATTGCGAGTAGCAACAGTACGGCCGGGCGAGACGGTTGAGAGAATCGCTAGCGTCGACTTCTTTTGCCTGAACAGTGCCGAGTATGATAATATAGTGCCGCTGAACCCTTACGATAGCGACCTCTCCGATTCCGCATCTACGTATGGCCAGAGCCTAAGTCGAAGAGAAGGGGAAATCGAATATCCATACCAGGAGCTACAGAAGCTATTAAGCAATGGTAGCTTCTACTACAGTACAGACTTCGACGTAACAAATAGACTGCAAGATAGGTGAGCTTAGCTCTTTCTTTTCCTTTCTGTCAAGTCGAGAGAGCGAGAGAGAGAGAGAGGTTAATATTGTCCATATAGGCCAATAGATTCCGACACATTTGACATTGACAATTTTGACGAATCATTCCTATGGAATTATTTCATGATAAGTCCCTTAGTTCAATTTAGATCTAGGCTCTTAGCACATGAGCGTGAAGCTCTTGATGCGTCAAGAATTCTGACCTCTGCTATACGAGGATTTTGTTTAACCATAACAATTCCCCAGAATGCAGCACCATTACGGGATGGTCGATCCGGTCTTCCGTCTTTTCTCACGGTTATTTCTCGTTTATCCTGCAAGAGAGCTGGAACCCGTTTCAACAGCCGAGGAATCGATGATGATGGGCACGTTGCGAACTTTGTTGAAACAGAAACGATATATTGGAGCCCTTCAGGAGTCCTATTCTCATACGCCCAAGTTCGTGGCTCAGTGCCAGTATTCTGGGAGCAAACCCCAGGTCTCATCCCAGGCCAGCAAAAGATTGCCATTACACGTTCAGCTGATGGGACCCAGCCAGCCTTCGATAAACATTTTGAGGAACTAGAACAATCTTACGGCGCAGTACACATCGTCAATCTACTCAGTGCTACAAAGCCGGGTGAGGCAGAGCTCACGAATTTGTTTCACTATGGATTACAACACTGCTCGTTGGGCCGCATTGGCGAAAAGCAGTCATCGGACCACGCACTTCTGCGAGAAACGGACTATGATTTCCACGCAGAAACTAAAGCTGCAGGATATGAAGCTGCTCGAGAAATACGACGATATATTGAGCATTCGGCTGATGGTTTTGCGTATTATCTTGCTGAGCTAACAGATGATATGGTGGAAACTAATGAGCCGCCCAGCCACCAGCGCATGGTTGTCGTGCTTCAGCAAGAGGGAGTTTTCCGAACAAATTGCCTAGACTGCTTAGACAGAACCAATCTTATTCAAACAATTATCTCGCAAATGGCCGTCGAGGCTTTCCTCAACCACCGTGGGGAAATTGCCGCACCGGATTTCTGGGTGCGGCATTCTACTCTTTGGGCTGACAACGGCGATGCTTTGTCAAGGATTTACGCAGGAACTGGCGCTCTTAAGTCATCTTTTACTAGACATGGGAAAATGTCCCTCGCTGGTGCTTTCGCAGATGCCCGGAAAAGTGCAACGCGGCTCTACATCAACAACTTTGCTGACAAGGCAAGACAAAATACGATTGATGTACTCCTGGGGAGGTTGGTTGGACAGACTCCTGTTCTGCTTTTCGACCCAATTAGCGATTATGTATCTGGTGAACTCAGTAAACGTAGTGCTGAGTATTCGTCAACGGAAAACATCTCAATGTGAGTCCCAAGATGTGTTAGTATGTCCCTGCAGGAATGCTAACTTGATACAGATGGGTCGGAACTTTTAATCTAAACGGCCGTACAAACGGCATCGACGATGACCTAACTCCCTGGCTTTGCCCTCAAGAGCTTGGTGACACGCAGCCAGAGATAGTGGCCGTCGGTTTTCAGGAGATTGTGGAGTTAAGCGCCCAACAGATTATGAACAGCGACCCTTCGAGGAAACAGCTGTGGGAGAAAGCCATTAAACGGACACTTAATACCCGTGCCAAACAAGTAGGCGGCGAGAAATATGTCCTGCTTCGGAGCGGACAGCTCGTCGGTGCTGCTTTGTGCATCTTCGTAAGGGCATCATCGCTTCCAAAAATAAAGAATGTCGAAGGAAGTGTCAAAAAGACTGGCATGTCTGGCATAGCTGGCAACAAGGGCGCTGTCGCTATCAGAATGGAGTATGCGCATACACAGATATGTTTCGTGACAGCACATCTAGCTGCTGGGTTTGCCAATTATGACGAAAGAAACAAGGATTACGCAACTATTCATCACGGATTGAGATTTCAGAGGAATAGGGGTATCGATGATCATGGTACGAAGCTCACTTTGAATGACGAGGACGAATGCTTGCTAATAATCTATAGATACGGTCATCTGGCTTGGAGATTTCAATTACCGTATTGGATTATCTCACGAAAAGGTCATGGATCTCATCCAGAAAAAAGATCTGGAGAAGATGTATGAAAATGACCAAGTACGTCTACAAAATTCCTTTCCAACAGCCAAACAACTACTAACGCTCACCAGTTAAACCTACAAATGGTAGCTGGTTTATCCTTTCCTTATTACTCAGAAGCTCGAATAACCTTCATGCCAACCTACAAATTTGATGTTGGTGTCGATAGATATGATACCTCGTGAGTCTTGCCGTCAGTGTTTTGAGGCTTTAACTAAATGAGTGACAGCGAGAAAGCACGTATTCCGGCATGGACGGATCGTATCTTGCGTAAAGGCACGAACATACGGCAATTTTCGTATAATTCTGCTCCCTTGCGTTTCTCGGACCACCGCCCAATATTTGCCACATTCCAGTGTGCAGTCAATATCATAGACGAGGCACATCGGGAACGGATCAGTAGAGAATTATATGATCGTCGCAAACGTGAAGTCGGTCACACAACGGCAAGTCTAGCCAGTGACGACTCAGAAGATGACGAAGATCTTATTGGGTATGAGCCAATCGAGCCAGGCTTACCTCCAGCAAGCTCAGACCGGCAGAGGTGGTGGCTTGAGAATGGCAAGATGGCAAAGTCTACGGTTGGTCCACCAAAAACTACCGGTGGACATCGTGATAATTCCACTATGGTGCTCAATCCTAACCGTCCCTCGAATCCATTCACTCCAACCGAAGAACCGGATTGGGTCGCTATACCTAGATCCAATTCAAGACTCTCGTCCTTTTCCAGCATCTCTAGCTCCCCATACGAGTATATCAACCATTCTACCCTTCTTTCCACCTCCGCCGCATCCAATTCATCGCCTAGGAAGCCACCACCACCACATGATGCGGCAGCAACATTACCCTCCAAAGTCGGCCAGATCAGTTTGCTTGACGAGCAGACGCCCATGCAGAGGAGCGAGGCCCCACCGCCTCCTCCGCCTAGAAGGCAGACGGCCACGAGTCTCGCTCAATCCTCACAGTCTTCAGTTCCCTTAAGTGCACAGCCCGCTATGCGAACTTCAAATCCCGGCGCACCGCAGCAGCAGTTGAGGAACGTATCACCCTCATCTCATAATTCGAATAACTCCAAGGCACCACCTCCTATAGCTAGAAAACCAGTCCATCTCATGTCTGCTTCGCCAACCAATAGCCCTCCTCTCCCCGAAGCTAGCCATTTTGGTTCACTTACAGATCACCAAACACCAAAACCACTTATCCCACGTAAAACCTCGAAAAACGTCTCCAATTTAACCGCGAAGCTCCAAGCTAGTAGGGCTGGCACATTATCAGGTGGGATGTCCAAAGCAGCGCCTCCTCCAGTTCGTCCAGATTCTGGTGCGTCCCATGACCTTCTCACTGGCACGTCAAATTCGACTACAGCCTCGGGCCGAGTTGGTCTCCCCGGTCTTGCAAACGTAGAGCGGAAGCCAGCGTTACCAGCGCGGCCACAGCAACAGCAACAGCAACACGCGCACCCAGGGCTGAACAAAGCTAACGTTGACCTTCTCTGCGGTGATGAGGTTGTTGAATTGAACGGATGGGAGAGTCTAACTCCAAGCTAGACGTGTCTTTTTGCGGTAGAATTGCATTTAGAGGAACGTGAGGCGTCAATACAGCATGGCGTTTGCGGCGGTGTGGTTACGTTCTCGAGCATACACTTATATACATAAATATGCGCTACTCTCACGATACCTGGATAAAAAAAGCCTGTCGTTTTCGGGGTATAGGATTAGGGAAAAGTACTAGGTACGTAGTATACGAAATGATAAACTGGGCTAGATAGGTAGTCCTTGGCCGAGATATAAAGGCAAGATCTCAGGAGACTGGGGCGGACAGTGCCTGCTTCATACCGAATTGCCATAGTTTAAATTGACGTCACACTTTGATAAGATAAAAAGCCAATAGTTAAAAGCTTCAGACCGTGTTGGGATATCGCGTCCCAAGTGCCAGTCACTCTTTCGATAGTTTCAATGTTCTCCACAAACTCGCCTGGGCAAGATGCCTCGTCTTGATAATTATCATACTAATCGAACTACCACAGACTTCTCAATAAGTCAACTATTTGATTATAATACTATAGGATCTTCTATACATAACTCTACTCTACAAATCACCTTATTTTACACCTGTACTCTGTTTATAGTCTGGTCCTGGGCAATACATAATAATTATCCCTGTTACACAATTCTCAAACTTCAACTCTCTATATCCTAAGAGCCGAGACAGCACGTATTTCATATAGAGCAAAAGTAAAATCGTACGATCGTACGTCCCTTCCTTTGGCAGGCAAAAACATGCCAGAGGCACCAGATAGCCAACAGCACAACAAAATGTCTGTCTTCACAACGGTATCGAATAGCAGGATGGAGCGGATCGTGATCTGGAGAGATGAGGTAAAAGAAGCTCGGACCTTTTGTTCGTGTTCGGCGCCAACCAACTCGGCGGCCGTGAGCCAAGAAGTCAGCAGAGATGCATTGCCAACCTCTGCAGCAAGCACCGCGGTCAACTCGGACAGTCGCCCGGAGCCATCACCGCGAACCCCTCTACTCTTGCCCGATCCAGGACCATCCACATCGGTCGCCATTGAGTTGGAAACTTCAAGCGATGAACCGAAATGCTCCATTTGCTCGCTGCCCGTGGAGGCAGGCCTGTCGTTCGTAAAGCTTAGAAATCATGGGGACGAGGGACTTGTACGCGGGCAAACGAGTCCTCGGTCTTCGGCCAGCCTTGATAAGATAGCGGCCGTTGTTGAGTCTAGGGAGTACAGGACGCCGACAAGAATGTTCATCAAAAGGAAGACACCCAGTTTTTCCTCGCTGAAGAAGAAACTTAGCCCAAAGGGAACCAAGTTTGACATGAAAAGGTTCCGCAAGGGAGTGCAAAGCTTCTTTGGACGGAAGGTGAAACTAGTCTCTACAGCTGACGAGCCCAAGATTCGTCCTCGAGCAACGGAGATGTACCGAGCATATCGGTTCAACACGGGTCCTCTCGTGCTTGCAGCAGAAGCGTCGGTTGATACCCAAAATGGGATCTCTGACGATGGGCGCGGGAAGCCCAAGGTGGCTATCGAACAATCCTCGGAGCGGATATACAGAGCTCATAAACTACTAGAAAAGGAGAAGAAAAGAATGCTAGAGCGGCAGAGGAGAGAGGCATTCGTGCAAGAGGCCATGAATAAAGTAAGAGCCCGAACGCCATTACCCCTTCCCTGAGGCGTACAGCTGCTGTACTGTTAGAGTATGAGAAGTGTGGTCATTCTTTTCGGAAGAGATGGGCCCCATATATATCTAATTCATGTATGCATAATAAGGTTGTCAGGACTCAGAAGCATGGTTCTATTCGGGACATGGATACAGCGGCATTCGGGCTCGGACACGATAAATATACCCATAGCCTATAGGTGCTAGCGAGTCGGTTTCTAATTTTTAATTTTACAGAGCGTGTCCTGGACGTCTAGACAAGAGCCAGGTAGAACAAAACAGGAGTTGTTACAGCTTAATTCCTATTCAAGACAATATGATCTTTGTTTAGCGAGGGAAAAACTACTTACACATAGACGTGTTTAAGTAGGTATTGAGTCTTGATGTTACGCTCTACTACCTACTTATTCTACAGGCTTAATAATCTTGGACCACATCACTTTCCTTGTAATACTTATAGGTACCTTACTTGGTTCCGGTATTTGTACGAAAGCGTGAAAGTTTGATATATAATAAGAATAGAGCTATGAATAAGAAAATTTTAAAGGATGGACAGACAAAGAAAACAAAGAATGGTGAAGTGGTGAATAGCAGGCCTCAGATTTAACAGTTATGATCATTTCCAAAAAAAAATATGGATATCCCTCTTCCTATCATTGAAAATATTGATTTTTGGGGTATCATCACGGGCCTGCTATTATTGTATGTTTGTACCAGAAGAACAACTTCCTGATTGGAAACGTGAAGGGGTGTATGAGAATGGTAGCCAGTCGGCTTGAATGCTGACGATGTATGTAACCCTCACCTAAGTACATATGGGTACGTATTGCCAATAACGGATCGCACTTGCCGGTATGTATGTAGCAATGAAAGAATCTCGAGGCAGTTCTTTGTTGCGTTTAAACGATGCTTGCGATACTGATACTGTACGTATTGACGTCGCTGTCGTTAACTGAACTGAACGACATCATGGGGGGGTTTTTTTTTTGTGACGGATGGTTGTGGGGAAGAATCAAAATGGGAAAAAAAAATCCCAATTTTCTTTTAAAAATGCTTGAAGGGTGATAAAAACTCTGTGCGACTTCTAGTGGATTTTTAGGCCTAGATTACCTTGGTGGGTTAGTTAGTTGCTTGTCTTCCTTTTTGTTTTTTAGTTAAATGGTTCCTGTTTGGTAAAGACGTAGCACAGTTTTATACTTGTGGCCTGCATGATTAACGTGTTTGACAACATTGAAGGTAAAAAATTCAAGTTAGTAACTACAAACGTACAGTACAATATTATGTAAGCGCCCGCCGCGGAAAGCATACGCACGGGCCACATGGTATTGTACACTGTGCAGTATGTAGCTACAGTACTACTAGTAGCTAAATTCAAGGTTAGAAGTTAGAACACATCAATGCTCCCCAGCCTCATTTTAGCTTACAACTTGCATGTGCTTTTTCCCTTTCTACCAACCAATTTTCTCTCGCGACCATCATTGTCCGTCGATCTCGAGAGTCCATTGTCATCCGTTCATTCATCCCACGTATTCCTTTTTTCCCCCAATTAATTCATGGAAACAATCGCCTAGTGGAATCACAAATATTTATAGAGATTATCCCTTAAGAATCAAAACATACAACAGAGGTCCTCTTTTGCGACTTCAATTCATTCGACTTCCTTTTAATTCCCTTTCATTCCTCCAGCCTTGCGCCGACTCGGCTCCCGCTTCTTCATTTGTCATCCACCTCATCACCCGATCTTTTCAATAAACTTGCCCAGTACGCTGCGGCTATGTCTGACTTTAATCAATTCGGCACCTCTGATGAGGAGAACGCCGAGATCAAGAAGCTGACTACTGAAGTTGTGCGTATCAGACACCCTCCATCCAACTCCTACTACTTCTTGTTATTGAGCAAAGCTAATACAATAAACAGGAAGCTGATACCGACAACTTCGAATCCTGGGAAAAGCTTATTCGTGCCTGCGAGGCTCAGGAGGGTGGACTCAACCGCAACTCCAGCCCACAGGCCCTCGCCACTCTTCGCGATGTTTACGATCGCTTTCTCCTCAAGTTCCCGCTACTTTTTGGCTATTGGAAGAAATATGCCGACCTCGAGTTCAATATCTCTGGACCCGAATCCGCCGAAATGGTACTGTTGCCTCCTTTGATGTTTTGCTACGATGGATTTTATGTGAGCTAACGCGTGTTAGATTTACGAACGTGGATGCGCAAGCATAACGAACTGCGTCGATCTTTGGGCTTCCTACTGCTCCTTCAAGATGGAGACCACTCACACCCCCCATTTAGTCAGAGAGTAAGTATAGCAGGATGTTTTCTACCCCATAACATTTACCACACGACAGAGCAAGAGTACATACATACCTACATATCGGTCCCTAACATCAAGGAAAACGTATAACGCGACTGCTCAGTCGTTGACGGTGAGAGATGCCAACAGAATCCATGACATGTTGCATGCTTTCTCACAGATTCTGCCAGGCCATGGTTTCCTACAAAGTCATCTGTTTGACATTGAACATCTTCGTCGCCCTCTCAGCCCAGCGCCTCAGTCGGATTGATTTGGAATTGGAATAGTTGCTTGCACAATCCCTCTTCTTCTGTATTTGCCCTCCTACCCACCCTCACTCCCGAATCCCCCCCCTGGTTGATATCTGTATTAGCTGACCTTGATTTTCAGACTCTTCGAGCGAGCCGCCAACTGCGTGGGTCTCGACTTCCTTGCCCACCCCTTCTGGGACAAGTACATCGAGTATGAAGAGCGACAGGAGGCACACGACAAGATATTCGTAATCTTGCAACGAGTGATCCACATCCCGATGCATCAGTATGCTCGTTACTTCGAACGATTCCGTCAACTTGCCCACACGCGTCCTATCAAGGAGCTAGTACCTGCCGATACTCTTGCGCGTCTTCGAGCAGAAGTGGAGGCCGAGAGTGCTGCACTCGGCTCGATGCCGCGGGCCGAACTTGAAGTTGAGCGAGACATACGTGCCAAGGTCGACACGATGTTCTACGAGATCTTCCAGAAAACACAGGACGAGACGAACAAGCGGTGGACGTATGAATCGGAGGTCAAGAGACCTTATTTCCATGTCACAGAGTTGGAGAACTCACAACTCGCAAACTGGCGAAAGTATCTCGATTTTGAAGAGAGCGAGGGTGATTTTGCCAGAACCACATTCCTATACGAGCGCTGTGTCGTTACCTGCGCTCTGTATGATGAGTTTTGGTTAAGATACGCTAGATGGATGTCAGCCCAGCCCGGCAAGGAGGAAGAGGTACGCCACATCTACATGAGAGCTGCCACTCTCTTCGTCCCCATTAGCAGGCCAGGCGTCCGACTACAGTTCGCCTATTTCGAGGAGTCGTGTGGCCGTACTGGTGTCGCCCGTGACATTTACGAGGCTGTACTCATGCAACTGCCCGATTGCGTAGAGGCTATCGTATCTTGGGCCAACCACGAGAGGCGCCAGAATGGGCTCGACGCGGCCATCCAGGTTTACAAAGAGCAAATCGACGCGCCTCACGTTGACATTTTTACGAAAGCCGTCCTCGTCACTCGATGGGCGTACTTGCTGTGGAAGATCAAGGGATCAGTCGACGAGGCCAGAACTGTGTTCCTAAAAAATGTCCAGTGGTACGCCGACAGCCGCCACTTCTGGGAGAAGTGGATTGCATTTGAGTTGGAGCAGCCCACGAGCTCGGAGCTGGAACCACAGCATGCCGAGCGAGTGAAGCAAGTTTTCGATGAATTGTTGGCGAAGAGCAGAATATCATCGGCCGCTAAGCAGGACCTATTCCTGACATACCTAACCTATCTCCAAGAACGGGGCGGCTCGGATGCCATGAAGCAGTTCCTTGCTATCGATCGTGAGATTTACGGGTACGTGCCTCTCCCCTTATTAGCTTTGGTTTACTTCCCTGCTAACTTCATGCGTAGTCCTCCTTCGTTGGCAGTTCTTGACAAGCCTACGATCAAGGAAAACGGAGCAGTGAAGAGCCCGATGGACCCGGCGACGCGTGCTAGAGCTGAGAGTAACTATCCAGCATACTACGAGTATTATATGGAGCCCGACTCTAGCGCGCAAGGCACTGCGTCTTTCCAGTAGGATTGAAGATTCTAGATAACCCGGGGGGTTCTAGACGTATAACGAGCACGACACTGAGGCAATGGGACGAAACGAGGCAACAGACCGTGTATCATATTGAAAAATTTCTGCTCCAGCTAGAGGATCAAACTAGGGTATAATAGGGGCACGCGAGATATCAGACCACTGGAGATTCAATGTTTAGGAGTGGGTGGTATGTGTGAGGGCTTGATTTATGTGTATACTGGGCATGATGTAGCTCAAGCTGTGCCAGTCGAAGAAGAGAAGCTGACGACAGTTAAAAAAGTATAAGGCGGTAGTTTGCTGCGCATACTTGACGATCAATTGCAAATGAAATTAATTTCCCCAGAAATCCAGGAATCCAGGAATCCAGGAATCTAGAATGTTTATTAATAGTGTTAATGAATCGTGTTAATGCTGTGAATAATTACTAACTACCTACCTAGTAGGCAACCTAGGGTAGGTTAAGTAGGTTAGTAGGTTAGTTACTCGTACCTATGGCAGCAAATGCCGTAGGGAATCCGAGACGAAACCGAGGGGATTTGGCCGGTAATCGGAGATAAGACAAGTTGAAATGGTATACTATGCCGTATTTATGCCACGGCTTCCAAGTGTGCAGACTGGAACATCTTATTCGCTGAAAGACGTTGGGATTAGGGATGTTGCCATAGCAGATTACAATTACTCCGCAGGAAAGGCTAAACTAGTGATCAGTTTGGGGTGAGTTGTGGGCCCACTTACAGAAGCCGAGAGAAGATTAATAGGGGTAGCAACCAATCAGAAGAGAGAGATATTTTCTTACTAACCACTCGGCTTCTTGCGACGGATTTCTTGTTAAGGTACCCTCCTCGAATGACTTTTTTTTTTTTTTATTCTTCTTTGCCCAATAACTATCTCAGATCATTTCGGCATCTTACGTTTTAGATTTTTCCTCTTTTTTCTTTTCCTTTTTTTCTTTTCCCTGTTCACCTCAAACCTATACCAGTTTGTGCATAAGGAAATCCAAGAGTAAGACATACACACATCTACTTACATCTTAACCAACTTACCTATTCATATCACACATTCTTGGCCCTTGACTGACAACTCACCGTCTGAAACAGAAGATGTCTGCGTCAACAGTTTCCCGCCAGTTCGCCCGTGCGACTCTACGCACCACGGCTAGAAACACCTTTGCCACGTCTGCAAGACAGGCTTTCCGACAAAACGGCCGCCGATTCTACTCGTCCGAGCCCCCCAAGACTTCGAGCACATCGCCTCTCATCTACCTGGCGGGTGCCGCCGTCGCGGGTGGTGCTGGCTACTATCTCTACTCGCAGGGTGGCTCCATTGCACCCAAGGTGTTCACCCCCACCCCGGAGGACTACCAGAAGGTGTACAACGAGATCGCCAACCGTCTCGAGGAGAACGATGAGTACGATGATGGCAGCTTTGGCCCCGTACTTGTCCGTCTCGCATGGCACGCCAGTGGCACTTACGACAAGGAGACTGGCACAGGTGGCAGCAACGGTGCTACCATGCGATTCTCCCCCGAGGGTGACCATGGTGCAAATGCTGGCTTGAAGCATGCTCGGGACTTCCTTGAGCCCGTAAAAGGTAATTACCTACTCATTCCTTTCTAACATTATTGGTGGCAAAACATAGTTTGAAGAAAAGAAGCAAGGCTAACATGCTACCAATAGCCAAATTCCCATGGATCACTTACTCTGATCTTTGGATCCTTGGTGGTGTTACTGCCATTCAGGAGATGCAAGGTCCCACGATCCCTTACCGACCTGGTCGTCAAGACCGTGATGCGGCTGCCTGCACGCCTGATGGCCGACTTCCCGACGGTGCCAAGGGCTCCAGCCATCTTCGAGACATTTTCTACCGAATGGGCTTCAACGACCAGGAGATTGTTGCTCTCTCTGGTGCTCACGCCCTTGGCCGTTGCCACACCGACCGAAGTGGCTTCGAGGGCCCATGGACGTTCTCTCCCACAGTCCTGACCAACGACTACTACCGCCTCCTCTTAGAAGAGAAGTGGAACTGGCGCAAGTGGAACGGCCCCAAGCAGCTCCAGGACAACGGCACCAAGACGCTCATGATGCTGCCAGCAGACTACGCCCTTATTCAGGACAAGGCCTTGAAGCCTTGGGTGGAGAAGTATGCCAAGGACAACGATCTGTTCTTCAAGGACTTCGCCGCCGTTATCACCAAGCTGTTCGAGCTTGGTGTTCCGTTCAAGCCAGACACCCCGACCATCACCTTCAAGCGCGTCAACGGTTAAACATAAAGTATAGAAAAGACAGCTAGAAAGAAGGACATGATACCAATTAATAGACTTCAGACATGAGTATAAGGAGAAGAGGGAAGGATAAAGCTAGACATAAAGTATAGCTAGAAAAGGAAGCCTTAGATCTAGAACAAAGACCTAAATTGCGATTCTCATCGCAGATTAGAGGTAGAGGGAGAAAGTGTGGAGGTCTGAATGGTTCAACATAATTCCGCGTAGAGGAATGAAGGGTAAAGAGTAAAGAGTAAAGAGCCAGATGAAACGAGACGATACGATATTTGTTCGCTTAGTTGTCAGATTATTTCGAAAGCTCAGAAGAAGTCAAATATTGAAATCTCTTCTTTTTCACATATTACCCCTAGGTGTACATAACTATGTATCATTGATGTGTGTAATATGTATAAATATTATTGATGTGTGTAATATGTATAAATATTACTATATAAAATCGTGTATGCACAAGTGTGTGAATTGACTTTCCCTCGTACCCCACTACGCACATGGGTTCCAAGGTGTGGTACATGTAGTAGCCACTTTATTGCCCCACGTTTTTAAGGTACCGGTCGTCATACCTGTACCGAGTTGAGGCTGCTTAGGAAGTAAACTAAGGTTAGGTTACTATTATTTGTAAAACTTTGAAACCATCTCGCCCATTTCTCCAATTCCCTCCAATTCAACAATCAGGTACCTACCTATGTAGTGCTGACTGGTTCGGGGAGGTTGTAGCGGAAACATAACTACCTGCCTACCTAGGTATACAAACCATATATCTATTACCTTCTCTTTCACTCTTTTCAATTTCCTCTTTCCAATGGCAACAGCGCGCCTCCCAGCCCTGCGGAACCTCATAGGGCGGCGGCTGCAGCAGCAGCCCTCCTTCCGGCTGCCGAACCCGCAGCGCCGCTGGGCCCAGGTCCACGACGTGCGCTTCCTCGCCACCACCCAGGCTTCCCGCAGCGTGCTCGAAAAGTACCGCGAGAAGCTCGACCGCAAGGCGCGCGAGGAAGGGCTGAAGGATATCGGCGAGCTCAAGGAGGCGTACAAGGACCGCATACAGGAAGTGAAAAGGAAGGATAGCGTTTCGATACCCGGGTTGGATGCGCTGCTCGCTGATGCGGCCGCGCCTACGCCTACGCCTACGCCTACAACGCAGACGACGAGTCCCGACGGAATAACCCAGAAACCACCACCACCACCACCATCCAGCAAACCAACCACAACCATCAAACCCCTCTCCTCCATCCTCGACCTCCCCAAAGCCCGCCTCCTCCCCGAAAAGGAACTAACCGCCATCTGGCGCCTCCACCACGCCACCTCCTCCCCCCGCTCCCTCTGCGCCTCCATCCCCCTCCCCACCTACACCACCCTCGCGGCCACCGCGCGGCAACACCCCACCTTCGTCCTCCCCGTCCCCCGCGGCCCCTCCGTCGGCGCCGAGATCCACTTCCTGCAGTGGGTCTTCGACGCCGAGACCCAGACGGCGACGGTGCTGTTCACGCAGCTGGCGGAGTACAAGGCGCGCGGCGAGTGGGCGTGCCCGCACACGAGCGTGACGCACTACTTCGACGAGGAGCTCGCGAGGAGGCAGGGCGTGGTGCTGATGGCGGGGGCCGTGGTGGAGGGGAGAGGTGCGAGCGTGGAGGATGCGCGGTGGCTTGTTTTGCTGCTGCAGGGGTTTTACGGGGCTGGGGCTGTTGGGGAGGGGGAGGGGAAGGGGAAGGGGAGTGAGAAAAAGAGGCTGTTGGAGGAGTTTACGAGGGGGGGTGGGGGGTTTACCGTTGAGAGGTTGTTGGAGGAGAGTGAGAAGTTGCCTTGAGGTTGCAGGTTGCAGGTTGAAGTGTGTTGGGCGTTGGGCGTTTTGAGAGAGAGAGAGTGTGTATATATATATATATATATATAGGGGTACGAATTTGTTGTAGTAGATGATGATGAAAATAGAGATGAAGATGGAGAAAAGAAGGAGGATAGGGGACAGGGACATGTACTACTATAAGTGCTGTATACTACGTACTACTACTACTACTACCACCACCACCACTACTACTATAGAGGTAGTAAAATAGTTGGTACGCAGGTATCTATTCCAACTTACCTATGTAGACGAGTCTCTAAACTAGGCATAGATCTAGATCTATATACTTTAGATATCTAGATATTTACCAAATACCATCTAATTCTACACAGTAAGTTAGGTACCTAACCTAGGTTAGTAGGTATGTAGCTCCTTGAGTTGTACACCTACCTACCCATCCACGGCCAAGCCCATTCCTCCAAAAGCCTAGCCGGAGCTAGGGTAGGCTAATATGATATGATATGATATGATATGATATGATATGATATGATAAGCATCCCTTTGCTTTCGAGGAAATCTCCAAATCATAACTTAGGCCCCTCGGCCCGCGCATCCTCCTTCCTCGCCGCATCCTTCAGAACCCTACGCAACAGCTTCCCGCTAGCGTTCTTGGGCACCTCCTCGATGAAGCGGACGCCGCCGCGGAGGCGCTTGTGCTGGGCGACTTTCCCATCGATCCAGGCGACGATCTCGGCCGCCTTGTCCTCGGACCGCGCGACGCCGGCGCGCACCACCACGTACGCGCGGGGCACCTCGGTTTCCCGGGCGCCGTCGTGGGCAGGTACCACGCAGGCGTCTGTGATCTCGTCGTGGCCGAGGAGCAGGCCCTCGAGTTCGGCGGGGGCGACCTGGAAGCCTTCTGTTGGGTAGGAAAGGGGCGTGGGTTAGTAGATGTATAGTGTGGGTGTATAGGTATAGATATGTGCGTTCCTTTACTAGGGAGGGATAGAAAAGGGGGGAAGAACTTACTATACTTGATCAACTCCTTCAACCGATCGGTGATGTAGAAGTTGCCCTTGGTATCGACGTACCCGATATCTCCGGTTTTGAAGAAGCCATCCTCGCTAAAGGTGTCATTCTGCAGTTCGGGCCGGTTGAGATAGCCGGGGAAGACATTGGGGCCGCTGAACCAGAGCTCACCCTCACCCTCGCCGGGGGCAAGCTCGCGGCCCGTATCGACGTCGACAACCTTGGCGGAAATGTTGGGTAATAGCTTCCCGCATGACCCGTTATACCGCGCCCAGTCGGCGATGTTCATCTTGGTCAGCACCGGCGACGTCTCCGAGAGCCCGTATCCCTGCATGACGGGGATCAGCAGTCGCTTCCACACCTGCTCGACCAGATCCCTGCCTAATGGTGCCGCCCCAGAGTTCAACCACTTGACGCTGGACAGATCATATTTGGCCACCGACGGGTGCTTCGCAAGTGCCAGGATAATCGGCGGTGGGAGCGACGCGTATGTGATCTGGTACTCCTGGATAAGCCCGCAGAACCGGTCGAGGTCGAACTTGGGTAGCACGACTGCTGGAATCCCCATGTAGATGCTCTGCAGTGCGATGCAGGTTAAGCCCTGTGTAACTTTGGTCAATGCGAGTTCTTATGCTGTGTTCACCACCAAATCATGTGCCCTCTTTTCTCTCTATCATTCCGGCATAGAGAAAAATAACAAAAAAAAAAAAAAGAGAGTAAGAGGGTGGGAAATTCTACGTCTATGTGCGAGCAAAAACGAGTTGACTCACGTATACGTGGAAGAATGGCAGCACAGCCAACTGTTTGTCGCCGTTGCCGTCAGGTCCGCCTGAGTGGTACACGCCGTTGAGTATTTCGACATGGGCCATCTGTACGAGGTTGGAGACAATGTTGCGGTGCGTGAGCATGACGCCCTTAGGCAAGCCCGTCGTCCCGGAGCTGTAGACGAGAAAGGCGATGTCAGTGCTGGGGTCGAGCCGCGGGCGCCGCGACGATAGTGGTGCCAACAGCCCCGGAGCCACGTGGATCTCGGTGAAGTGCTTCACCTTACCCGTAGGGTCCCGCGCGTCGCCGAGTAAGATGATGCGGTCCGTGGGCAAGCCAATGGACTTGGCCGCCTCCAGGACTATGGGCAGCATCGCCATTTGGGTCACGATGCCGCGGACCCGCGAATCCTTCATTTGGAAGGCGAGCTCCTCGGCAGTGTACGTCGGGTTAGCAGTCGAGGCGGAACCACCGGCCCATTGCACACCGAAGAAGACGGGCGCATAATCGATGTTATTAGGCGAGAAGAAGCCCAGCGTGTCTCCCTTCTTGAACCCCCATTGTGACTTGAGCCCCTTGCCGAATTCTAGCGCCGTGTCTCGCGTCTGCGCCCATGTGTACGACCGCTTGGTGTCCGGGTCGATATAGATCTCTACCGGTCCGTTGTTAAAACCCAACTTTGACTTTGTTTACTCGCTTTCTTATTCATATACAAGGAAACTAGATGAATGAAGTGAAGAAAGGACTCATACATACTCTTGTCTTCCGGGAAAGGTCTGTCCTTTCTCTCGAACACGTGCTGCCACAAGTCGATGTTCGGAATCTGTAAGGGCGCGTGGAAGGATTTGACCACCATGATGACGACGGTTTTTATTTCACGGCAATTGGTATATATAGGTATTTGTTATGAATTATATATAAAAGATGGCAAGAAGAACAAAGCAGAGTGCTTGGAAGCTCAACGTTCAATTTGTGGACTTCCCGAGGTTCCTCGCAGATCCATGGATCCCTGGGGTGGATACTGTATGAATCTGGGGAATACTAAGCATTAAAGCCGAGACTAACAGTTATGGAGGTTAGCGTATGCAATAACTAGTCCCCAGTAGGTAATTGACTACCTAGGTACCTGGGGACCTGGGGTACATAGGTCATGGCACATGGCAATGATGCCATATATTTCCAACATTCTATATCCTTCCTATCGTCTATTCGTCTTCTTAAAAAAAAAAGTATTCTAACCCGGGTATCATGTTCCATTACATAATTAAGGATTAACTAAGTCGAGTCACTGCTTGACTGCTCATCGTCTTCATCATCATCCTTGGCCTCCTCGGCTACCCAGGCCTCCACATGATCACAGCCTTTTGGTACCCTGCACTTTTCTCGGGCGTTGCACGTCTTCCATAACACCTCCCGAATCTCGCTGAAGACTTGGTCCACTGCGTCCATCGCCCAGATGACGTCGAGGTGCTCATATTCCGGAATAATCTTGCTGTGAACAATCCTGGCGTGTGGCTCTCTTCCCTTCTCAAAACGCCGAAGTAACCTTCTTCCATCCACGAGGTTATCATTCCCTGCAACCCACAACGCAAATGGACAAACACGCTTATCATACCAGGCCTTCATCCCTTTGGGCTTTCGGTTCTGATCCTTAGTCTTGGTATTGTTTGTAAGATCCGTACCTTTCTCTTGGCCCGTCGTTTCTGCAAGAGGCCCGCCCGTCACATCCTCCTGCTCCTCATTGTGCCATTCCTCTTTAGTAGAAAGGATGCACTTATGTTTGGCGAAGCATTCCCGACCTAGCCACCAGCGCATCGACTCGGCGCTCACATATACCGGAGCAAACTGAAACATGCGGTTTCTCAAGCCACGGTCCCAACGAATGTCCGTCCAGTCGAACAGAAACGAGAATACCGTGTAGCCGAGCCATCCATAGAGGCCAGGTGGCATTATGGAATGCATGGTCATCATCAAAGGTATGAACGCGTGAATGCCGAACATGACTCTGAAGAGATCGGGCGATATGATACGCATGAACTTGAAGTACATCTTGCCAATCAAGGATCCTGCGTACGCTGCCGGCGCGAGGGCGCAAAATACTGTGAGCTTTTCTCCAAGCTCGGGCCGTTGTTCCTTGGCGAGAGCCACGAAGGTTTCTGTCGTGCCTTGAGAATGACAGACAAGTCCGATCTTCTCGAACCCGGTCTCGAACAGGACCCGCGATACCAATGCAGCCAAATCAAACACCCCCATCTGCCTAATATTCCAGCACCACATGCGCGGGTCCGAATATTTCAACAAGGTATGCTTGGGCTTGAATCCGCACCGGTTGTTCCCAAGCCAGACGTCATAGCCTGATTTGCAAAGGTAGAATGCCAACGAGTCGTCGTCATTAACACAATAAGCTCCCGAACTTTGAAGTAGACCGTGCATCAAGAGGACGGGGAACTTCTTCTTTTGACTCGAGTCTCTTAGGCGTTTGTTGCTTTGGCTGCCTTTGACATCACCTGTGAATAATTCCGGGCCGCGGTCTGCTCGTTCTTGGTCATCTAATCTCGTATATTCATGGGGATCGTAAACATGCCATAGATCAATGATAAATCCATCCTCGGTTTGTACCTGAAATTCTTCGATGTCAAGGCCTACCCGCCTCGCATAGTAGCTAACGTCGCAAATAACGGGGTCAGGACCCCCTTCGGCCGGGACGTAACGCTCGTCTCCTTGGACATTTTCTTGGTCAGGATTCTCTCGATCTAGAGATCCTCGCCTCTTCCAGGACTCTTCCAGTTCTTTCCGCAACTTCCCTCTTCGGATTTCCTCTTCGTAGAACGGTCTGGAGGCAGCGGGGTCTCGAAATGTTAGGCGTTTCCAAACTGTACCACACATCTTTGGTATATTTGTGAATAAGGCACCGAGAACAATCACCCCCAGGAAGCCTGCGCTGAGGAAAAACGATGTTGCTCGGAAGGTCCAACAATGTATGTTTCGGAGTAAAGATGGCGGGCCATACAAGGGAAGCGGAGGGAACAACGGGTGAGTGTTTGTTGGTGGCATTGACCTCCGCAACGAACCCTCGGATAACTTGTGAGCTGTTTTGGTACCAGCAGACTCTGGGGTGGCATTTCCGACGGCTCCCGCGGGTGTCCGGGTGCTCTTTTCGGCTTGGATGATGGCTTCCTTCGGAGAATCGCCTGCCAATTCTTCTTTCAGGATATTTAATTTGTGGGCTTGCTCGAGTGGAACAGTAGGTAGACGGTTTCCATCAGCAGTGATAATGACCGGATCTTGAGGTGTTATGAATTGGGCTTCGACTGCAATGGTATCTGTATGTTGATTATTCTGAATTGGCTGAAGGGAGAGTTTTTCAGCTTGTTCAGCATATTCAACAGCGGCCTGAACGGTATCGACGCCTGAGGGCTGTGATCCAGCTTGACGATGGTCGATGCTAAGACCCATTGTAGTGTTGTCCTGTTTATATGCTAATCGTGGTATCTTGAACAAACCAAGCCGAGTTGTCTGGTTTTCTCGGACTCGAATCTTTGAAGAGAGATTGGCGAGTAAGAGCGGCTTGGGAATGTAAAGTTGCTCAGGGCGATTGTGCAAGAGTAAATCTAAATCTAATAGATCTACTATATGTAATCTAGCACTCAAACCTACCTAAGGCTCTTAAAATTAGACACTGTAAAGATCCCCGTAAATTTGCGTTAGCAGTGACGCCGCGTCATGACCTGAATAGAGGTTGATTAAGCGCCGAAGTCACCGAAATTCCAAGGTACCTAGTTGGCCACCGACAAAAGGAGAATGTTCTCCTATTCGTACAGTATGTATATGAAGTTATGAACTAATAGGCATATACCTAGGTTAAGTAAGTAAGAAAGACATATTGAAGGGCCACTAATAACATAGTAGACTCCAGCAAATGGGTTTAGGATCTTTAGGATCAGATTCCTATGATAAAAAAGGAAACGTCTCTCCATATTACAGGGATAAAAGGAGATATAATCTTGCCAAGGCACTCCCGGAGATCGAGGATACTACGTCAGCGCGCAGATTCATGCCTCGAATTCCTAGAGCCGGTTTAGTTTCTTGAACTACCTGTAAGGTCTGTTCAGCCTCTTAGGATGATTTAGTGGGTTTTACAACAAAGGCATGTGAATGAGAAGTTGGGGAAAAAAAGTGTGGTGACATCTTGGATCGCCACTATCGATAGAAATACTTGGAAAGAATTGAACTGGCATATGCCATATGGTCACTGGTTAGTAGTTACCGACCCTGGTAGGTAGACATGCCTGCCAGCTTTAAGCATGCAAAATTGGATGACTGCCATCCCATGTTTAACGTTCAAAGTTTTAAATAAGACCTAACATGTACTACATATACTATGCCATATGTATTATTAACATGTGTCAAAAAAAAGTATGAATCTCCAAATAGTTATCTGAGGAGTTAGTTAATATCGATAAGGCCTGTACATAAACAATGTACAAATAATGCATCATTTACCCCTGTAATTTTGGCCTGTGCTCAAGTCTCCAACCAACCACTATGCAGGTGGGCATGACAATGCCTCGGCCAAATCATGGGAATGTGTAGCTAGTTAGTAGGTAGCAATAAAAAAAAAGAACACCAAGTAAATTCTTCTACTTGGATGTTGCTGTTCATAGGAAGTGAATAAAATCTCGACAACTTCATGAATTAAGAGTTTCGTGTTATACTTTTACATTGTCCCGTCTCTTGTTGAATATTCCAGGTTGTCTTCCATATAAACCGTAAACCTGAGCCGCTGAGCGTGTCGTGCCGTATCGTATCGCCTCGCCTCGCGATTTGCGGGGCCTTAGATTGACCTACCCAATGGTGCTCGTCAACCTCCACCGCTTCCTACAACACTAGAATAGCTACACATAGCTACACATAGCTACACATCGCCATCATGGCTGTCCCAAATAACGATCAGGTTGCCCATCGCAAACGAAGACGGAGAAGAAGACAGGACAAGCCGGCCATCTCAGCAAGACTGGTGTTGGATAATCATGTGAAAGGAGACGTCGGTATTCTATCCGACGACTTATTCGCTGATCTATTCCCTCACTTACAAGACGGTAAGTCTAGTGAAGAAGTCCAATAACAATACCAGCAGTATATTAAACGTGAAGCAGAGCCCGACGAAGATGAAACCAATCAATATCCCGATATTCATCATGTCGCCATTGCGCCATGGACACCAGCTTCGAACATCCAGCGAACAAATTGGACCATAGTCCCAATTGTGAAATCTACCGCCCTTGCTCATTCGACCGTCCAATTCTCGCCCTCTGCCCTCGCGCTTCAAAGTTTTGCGACGACCCTGCAACAAATCGCGCCCTCGAAGCTCTCTAGCCATAGCAGGAGTGGTATTGAAATATTAGTACTGGATGTGGTAGCTCTACCCCTAGATACTGTCTTCGTAAACCTCGAAAGTGACCTTGTGAAAAGACTTGAGAATGGAGAAGGAACCTTCTTCTTCGATCATCCTTCGGCTAAGAACAGAGCAGCCGTGGGACGTGATACTCCAACAGAACGGCTTGCCGCTGCATTGCGCGCTGCTTTGGGAACCTTGAAGGTCGTCCATAACGGTGACCTATTCCCCTTACCACTTCCACCTCATGCCATCACACACGTCCCTCCTTCGCCTGGTAGGGTAACACTGTGTGAACCCGTAGCACAGGGTATTCTGGTGCCAAGTACCAAGATCATCCTCACAAGGGGCCACGGTCAGTCAAAGCAGGGCCGGAGACACATTACTTCACGACAAGCATTAAGTAGAGTTGACCCAGATGAGGAGGATGCAGCAACCGACCAATTCTACTCTGCTACTGAAGGGGGAGATAAGGCCGACTCACGAAACGATACTCCAGATTTTGTCACAGAGACTGAAACAGAGGTCTCCGAAGATGAAAATGAAGACGAATTATCGGACGACTCAATGGAAGATATGATCTCCCTTCAGGTCCCAACACTGCCAGCTACCAGCGCTAGTGGTGTCTCTACGAGGCAGTCTGGAACTCCGATGACAATGGGGCGCGGCAGGAAAACAAACGGCATACACACTCCAATTTCAGTCTTTTCTAGTTTCACTGCAACTACTGCTCGCCCGGATCGTCCTAAAGGCCGCCTCTTCAAAGCCCACGGTTTGATGAGCCCGATTCCGTCAGAGCTACTTCATCCTAAGCCAGCTACCGAGGATGATGAAGAAGCACGGGTATACGTAGACATAAACTCTTTGACTAGAATTGGTTGTTTCTCAGGGGACTGGGTCCGACTTGAGGCTTCAGATGAGCCTCCCACCAACGGCGTTGGTCTTTTCGGCCTAGGAAGTTTTGGGCAGTCAGGGGCGGAGGAGCCAGCATGGCGGCCAGCCAAAGTTTACGGACTCCCTGAAGGCTACTCCCACCGACCCATGACAAGAATTCCAAGCTCGAAGCATGATCCTCACAATCGAAGGCAGTCGTTTTTTGATTCTCAGGTCCCAACACCGACAGGGCCTGGCGCATATATGTCGCCTCTCCTTCTTGCGAACCTAGAGAGTACGCCCTTCGTCCGGCTGTCTCCCCTGAAACGAATGGCACATCCAAGACCTGGGCAGTCAAAGATCACTGGATCATTGCGTCCCCCCTGTGCACGAGATGTCACTCTTCAACAAATACGGACACCCGTTTCTTCCGAGAAGGCCCTTCAAACAGCCATATTTGGCGGACTGAAGGGTCATTTCGCGCGAAGCATACGTGTAGTGAAATCCGGCGACTTGATCGGAATCCCGATCGACACACAGCTTGGGAGGACCCTTCAAGAAGCAACTAATTCCAACGATGGTATTGGCCTCGATGACGTTGTAGCTCTTGCGGCCTCGAACAAGACTAGCTTTGGGGGCACTTCCAAGCCTGACGCTGTGGCGTGGTTCAAAATTGCCCACATAGAACGGCAGAAATCGGAACCCATCGACGAGGAAGACGAAGAAGATATATGGGGTGGTGTAGCATGTGTCGACAGTTCTATCACGCAAATTGCCCAATCTGGTGGTAGCACAAGCTCTCTTCCCGGAACGAAAGATAGCAATTGGCCATACTACTTGGGTATTGATGAAGCTCCTCGGCCTGTGTTGAGTACCCTGTCCTCTTCAGTAGCCCAACCCCAAGCACGGTTTACCTCACCCCTGAGACGTCGGCTTAGGGAACTCATGGCGGCAGCAACGAGTAAGCGAGCTGTCTATCTCAAGATGCCACCGATAGCTGTTCTCCTTGTGTCAACGCAGCGCAATATCGGCAAGGCTACGGTGGCCACTGGCGCCTGCTCTGATATTGGCCTACACACTTTTGCCATCGACGCTTACGACATTGTTAATGAGAGTGGTGCTGGCGGCAGCGATGTCAAAACAGAAGGCCTTTTGAAGGCTCGAGCGGATCGTGCCATGAGTTGCGGATCAGAGTATTGTGCTCTACTCATCCAGCATATCGAAGCTCTCACGGCGGATAGGATGGTAGCCGCAATGAAGGAAGTCCTTGCCGATGCCAGGGTATTGATTGCGACGACAACTGAAGTTGACAAAGTGCCAGATGGAATCAGAGGGCTATTCACGCATGAGCTTGAGATGGGCGCCCCTGACGAGGGCGAGCGTGAAGGCATTCTACAGTCTATCATACAAAACCGAGGAGTATCATTAGCACCTGAGGTCGAGCTTAGTGGAGTTGCCATCAAAACCGCAGCTCTGGTCGCTGGTGATCTAGTGGACGTAGTTGAGCGTGCAATTGTTGCACGAGACTCACGTCTCGAAGGATTGTCAGTGAAAGCTTCAAACGCTAACTCGACGGTCACCACTCGCGACATACAAGTGGCGGGTGGCTCATCGGCGCGATGCTTAACCAAGGCGGATTTCGACATTGCCGTTGACGCGGCACGCAAGAACTTCGCCGATGCCATCGGTGCACCCAAGATTCCAAATGTCACGTGGGACGATGTTGGTGGTCTAAGCAACGTGAAAGAAGCAGTCATGGAAACGATCCAATTGCCATTGGAAAGGCCCGAGTTATTCGCTAAGGGAATGAAGAAACGATCCGGTATCTTGTTCTACGGCCCGCCTGGTACTGGCAAGACATTGCTTGCCAAAGCAATTGCCACCGAATACAGTCTGAATTTCTTCAGTGTCAAAGGACCCGAACTGCTTAACATGTATATTGGCGAGTCCGAAGCCAACGTCCGTAGGGTGTTTCAACGGGCTCGTGATGCCAGACCTTGCGTCGTCTTTTTCGACGAACTCGATTCAGTTGCCCCGAAGCGAGGAAACCAGGGAGACAGTGGTGGTGTCATGGACCGAATTGTGTCACAATTACTAGCAGAATTAGATGGAATGTCTGGAGGAGATGACGGAGGCGGTGGCGTGTTCGTCATCGGCGCGACAAATCGACCAGATCTGTTGGATCAAGCTTTACTACGCCCTGGCAGATTTGACAAGATGCTTTACCTGGGTGTATCTGACACACACGACAAGCAGCTCACCATCATGGAAGCACTCACGAGAAAGTAAGTTGATAGTCAAATTACCTTTTCAGTTTACAGATATACTAACTCGGAGACTGTAGATTTACTCTTCATCCGACGGTCTCGCTAGCAAATGTCGCCGAGCACTTGCCCTTTACATACACGGGTGCAGACTTCTACGCCCTGTGCAGTGATGCCATGCTGAAGGCAGTTACCCGACAGGCAACTCTGGTGGATACCAAAGTCCGAGCCATCAACGCCGATCGTGAGAGGAATGGACACCCGCCCATCTCCACCGCCAACTTCTTCGACCACCACGCAACACCTAGTGATGTCTCCGTCATGGTAACCGAGCAAGACTTCCTCGAGGCAAACAGGGAGCTAGTCCCCAGCGTCAGCGCCGGCGAGCTCGCCCACTACGAGACCGTTCGTGCCACGTTCGAAAACCACGGCTCCAAAGAGCAGCAGCAGCAGAGTTCCGACGTTGATGGCATCGGGAAGGGCAAGGCGAAAGCTCTACCGATCCTTGGCAGCAACGGCAAGGGGAAGGGGAAGGCATCGTCAGCTGACGGCGATGACGATGGTGGTGGCGAGGGCAGCGGTGATGAGGGCGGAGCCTTTGATAGTAGTTACGGGAGCGGGAGGTCCAAGGGGAAGGGGAAGGGGGTCGCTAGTAGATTCCAGGATGGCACTGCGAGCGATGATGATAATTTATACTGAGAGAGGAGAGAGAGGAGAAGGGAAGGGAAGGGAAGAAGAAAAAGTAATAGGTAACTCAAACTACCATGAACAAAACAAATACATAAATAGAATGTCCGGTTTAGAGGCGAGGAGAGCAGAGGAGAAGCAGGTAGAAGAAGAGATGGCTGAACGAAAGTACTATACTGTAGTTGGTAGCTTGAACGCGATGGTATAAAATGAGTTGGTAGTTGGTAGTATATATATACACATATACATATACATAAGTATACATACAACATATCTAGCATATAAATTAGGTAGGTATATTATTTATCTATCTGGGGTACCTATTGAATTAATTGATAGATAGATAGATGGATGGATGGATGGATGGATTGACTTTGCTACTACGGAAGGAAGTTGATGGAGTGGAATTGATGTTCTCCTAAAATCTCCCCCTTTCTCTTTCTCTTTCTCTCTCTGTTCCTCTCCCTTCTCTTCTCGCCTCTCCCCTTACTCCCCCTCCCCTTTTCTCTAAACTGTCTCCTTACTTCTTTTGCTATTACAACGACAGATTTTCCTCACTTCTCCTCCTATTCCCCGCCTCTCTCTCCTATTCCCCGCCTCTACTCTCCCCTACTCCTACTCCCCCTACTCTACTTTCCCCTTGCTTCTTTCATTCTTTCGTTCTTTCTCTCCCTCTAATCTTGACTTGATCTCTACTCTGATCTTCGCAACTTTGGCATCTAAATCTAATAATAGCAGACCGCCGCCGCCGCCTCCTTCTCCCCCTTTATTTCTGCATCATTACACCTTCTCTTCTTCTTCTGCTTCATCTTCCTCTCTTTCTTTCGTCCCCCATCGTATCTACCTACCTACCTACCTATTTAAGTAGATAGGTAGGTAGATGCGACAGAAAAGTCAAGAAAGAGGCATGCCTATTCTACCCCCTAGGTTGTAGGCAGGAGAATAGGTACCACACGAATCACTTTTTCTTTGCCGCACTCTGCTCCCCTTTCTCCTCGGAAGCAGGAGACTCCTCCTCCTCCTCCTCCTCCTCTTCGTCCTCCTCTTCCTCGTCATCGTCATCATCATCGTCGTCGTCATCATCTTCTTCCTTCTCATCATCTTTCTCATCTTCCTCGTCGTCCTCGTCGTCTTCATCATCATCGTCCTCGGAGCTCGATGCCTCAGGGTTAACTTCCGCTTTCTCGGTGGTCGCAGTTTCCTCGGGGGACGCGCTCTTGAGGGGGCTAGGTTTAGCGTCGCCGGCCTTGGGGGTGCTGCTCCTCGAGCTCTGCAACACGGCACGCGTAGCGGCGGTGCGCGGCGGTTCTCTGGACGGGGTGCGGATGCGCGACGTTCCGGGCTTCGACGACTGCAGGCCCGATCTGCATGGTTTCTGCGCCGGCGCCGCTACTGCCGGTGATTTGCTCCCTGATATCGAGAGAGAACCCAGACCCTTGGTGGTTGACTTGACGGTTGACTTGACGGTTGACTTGGCAGCTGGCTTGGCGGTAGACTTGGTGGTTGACTTGGCGGTAGACGATGAGGCTGTAGTCTTGGGTTTAACCGTAACCTTCGCTTTTGGTACTTCCTTGGATTTGGATGTGGCTGTAGGCCTGGTCAGGTCTCTAGTCCTCGAAGCATCTCTAGGCCTAGACAAGTCTCTAGTCCTTGAAACATCTCTAGGCCTAGATAGGTCTCTGGTCCTCGAAACATCTCTAGGTTTGGACAGGTCTCTAGCCCTCGAAACATCTCTGGGTTTAGCCACCTCCTTGGCTTTAACTGGTTCCCTAGCTCTAGACGTATCCCTTGGCTTAGCCACCTCCTTAGGTTTAGCTATCTCTTTAGATTTTGCTACATCCTTAGGTTTTGATACTTCCTTCGCTTTAGTTGTAGTCTTGACGGGGATTGTCTTCTTGGTAGCGGAACTGCTAACACTACTCTTGCTGCTACTAGCAGCGGTATTGGCGGTGCTGGTGCTGGCGGTGCTAGTGGTTCTGGTGAGGGGGGTGATGGTAGATTTGGTAGACTTGGTATCTTCGTCCTTCTTCTTCTCCTTCTCCTTTTCCTTGTCATCCTTCCTCCCGTGGACCTTAGCTCGCAGGCTGTCTAGATGCACCTGCTTCGCTTTCTGCGCGGCCTCCTCGGCAATGCTGCGGGGTTTGGGGGCAGCACTTGCCGCCGTGGCTGCTGTTGTGGGGGCCTTTTTGACGATGGACGGCTCGGCTGCTTTTGGTTTATCGTCTGTCGGCAATGGAGGCGCTGGGGGCGGTGCAGGTGCCGCAGGTGCTTCAGGTGCTGGGGGCGCGGGAGTGCTCGCAGCAGTGCTTGCGGCGGCAGCGGCGGCAGTAGCGGCGCTCGGTGCTAATACTGACTGGATACCTTTGGGTGCGGCGGAAGGGCCTGCCGGTGGTGCTTGGCTTATGGGCGGGATGGTGAAGTCGTCGTAATAGATTGTGACATGCTGCTTTAGTTCGCCATATTCGTTCCATTCCTCGATCTCTACCAAGTCCTGTGTGGGTGCGTTTTAGTATGTGCCAAGGTTGTCTCCTGATAGAAATGATGCAACTTACACCAAGAACCAAGCCCATCTGCACTAGACCGGGCATCTTGCGTAGTCGTCCAGATTCATCCTTGCCTGCCCTACGGCCCCAAAACATACGCGCTTTTTCATCGGTAGCTATATCTATAGCTTTGAAGGGAACCTTGTTGGCGCGTAGGATAGTCTCTAGTCGCGAGGTAGCTGTGACGATATGGGACGATCCAGCAGTTAAGGAAGTGTACATGTAGAGGGCGGGGTCAGTTGAGTATGCCGAGGCCTTGGAGTCTGCCATTGTGAAGTAAGTAGTATTCTTTTTTTTTTTTTTTTCTTGGGAGAGAGGAGAGGAGAGTATTATTATGGTCAACAGTGTGATGTTGAGTATGAGAAGTAGGAATAGAGTCAATAGAAAGAGGACTAGGATGAAAGAAAGAAAAAGGAAAGTAAAGCAAAGCAGATATTGTCTTCCAGACTGGAATCTATATCTTGGTGCCTTTATTATCTTGTGGTTCGGAAAGAATGCAAATCGAAGAAATGGACTTCCAAGGTTGCTTCCCCTTACAAGGTATAGCTTTAGTAGGTAGCTTGGATCTCCTCCGATAAGGATGCACTAGGCCACGATAGGTATATGCCTAATCGATAGGCCGTTTCACCTACTGCTCTTACCGGTCATTTGGCAACCGGGCGTTCAACTAACCCTCATTGGCGCAAAACTCTAAACTCTAATTGGTGTTTGTTCCTGACTATTTCTATTATTTCTATTTACTATTTCTATTTGCTATTATCCTTGTCTCTCATAATATACCCGTGGACCCCTTAAAATGAATAAAATTGATAATTCATCTAGCACAATAATGACCCCCTTTTTCTCCGTAGCACTACTACAGTACTACTACTACTACTAATATATCAACGAACAATCAAGGAATAACGAACAATCAAGGAATAATCTACAAAGAGAACATTTCCCTCTTGCTTCCTTCGGTAAATTTGATTTGCCTCCAACTTCATCTCATTGTGTTACCGCAGGTAGCGAGCTATACAGAACCTCAGATGAAGGCTAAGGTCATGTGTTCAAGATAGCTCCCAAATCTCATCCCTTTCAATGGCGGGAGATGATGCTCACGATTTATCGGTAAGTTGCCATGTCCACAGTCACGTACATAGCTAGGTAGCATATGTCGCTGTTGATTAGGTACGCAGCTATTTATGTCTATGTAAGTAGGGTTATAATACTTACCCAGCAGCAAAAGATTGATATACGCGTATAAGATATTCAATGTTACCATCAACATATTATGTAACCCAGTGAGACAATTTATACCTGGGTACTTGGGTAATTCGTTATACATATGCTTTATCAAGATACTACCCACTGCTGCCACCACTGCCTGACGTAATAGGAACATAATAGGAACATAATAGGCACAATTACTCGCAAATTTTCTGCAAAAGTCCATAAGAAGACATCCTCCTATAACTAGTTCCTTGCAAGGGTATCGAGCCACTGGAAGAGCTGGCTGTTGGTGTTTTTGTCGTTGGTAGTACAGTCCCATCAACCACTCTCCATGGAGTGTGTAGGCATTAATTATTATACGAACGTATACATAAGGTTACCTACATACATACCTAAAATCACCCCATTTTTCCCCTTTTCAACGTCTTCTGGATAGTTTGGGGGCGAGGGGGGAGGAGGGGCCTTTTGTTGGTTCGGAACCCGAATCCTTTGCATAGCTCGTCCCGAACGGAGAGAGAGAGAGAGAGAGAGAGAGAGAGAGAGAACAAGGAGGACGAAGAAGATGTGACGAGAGTTGCAGCTTCTGGAAATGCATGCCTACTAATAATACCTGTACCCTGGTAAAGCAAGCTCGCCCGCGTCCCCGAAAGCCTGTTGGTTTTGAATCGATTTTTTTTCCCTCGTGCTCTTATTGTTACTCCCGCAGCAAGGGTGCATAAGAGATCCCTGCTCTTGCTTCCTTTGGGTTGCAACATTGAAAATGTATGTCAGAATATGTACCTAGTAGGCAAAGTGTCCGATCACTAGCCGGCAGTTTAGAGGCATGCCAAAAGAGGGAATGTGTAGGTAACTATCTTACATCGTACTCTTCGGGAGGTTTGTGGTATATCTGGTCCCCGGGGCCGAACCCCGATGATACGAAGTCGATCGCAAACTACTTCCTTCTAAAAACGATAAGATATACGGCCAGTTTCTGTGAATGACTGAAGTTGATCTCTTCCAGCGTTATTCCTTCTATAAGTACGCTCGGTTTCGTATAGTTAATGTAACATTTTGCCTAAAAAGACCCTTTTGTTTGTAACACGAATTTTATGTGTGCTTATAAAGTATGTATACGAGTCCAAATATGTACCGTTGGCTCGATAGTCGAAGTAGACATGTAGGTATGTATTAGGTAACTACATAATAAGTGAATACCACGGCATCTACATATCCATGCGAACCAAGTCCCTTAGTCATTTCCTCCATCTAGAAGTTTCTATCAAAATTCCCGTTGGTCTCCCCTTTTTCGCTAAAAATAGCAGAGCTGATTTTTAGCTATTCCACGCCAATGACTATTCATATCCCCATCGATCGATTCAAAGGTCTGCCGTACATTCCCGGACTGATACATACCTACACAGGTACATACATATCTAGGTATATCCAAGGACCGGATTTTATTCTCAACACCGCACTCCGCGAGTGAAAACCTTCGCGTTACCTACCTAACTCCGAAAATCAAGTTCCGTCAGCCCCGGAGGTTCTTAGCATAAGCGGTCGTATATTCACACAACCTCGCCCAAAGAAGCTAGTAACAATGACCAATCAACGGACATATGTTGATAATCCCTCCCTTTCCTTCCCCGCCAAGGTTGTGGTTGTGGTTGTGGTTGTACTATGTATGACCTGACTGGGAGGGCAGATCCGATGTCCCGGGAGCTCGGGTAGATCCTGATTCGGCCGCCGATGTCGCGTCCCATCTCTTGAAAAAAGGAAATTTGGTCAAAGGGCGGAACATGGCAATGATGGTGGTAGTGACGTTAGTCGTAATTTCTATGGTTAAGGTCCTGCATGGGATAACTCGTACACGTATGCATGTATTGCACGCCTGTGATACCAAGTCCTACCAGCTTCACCTCACTCAAGAGGGCTGGGATCCGGGGACTAGGACCGACATAGAGAGTAAAGCTTACTTGATGCCGGGAAAGGATAACCGGTGTAGATTCTACCAACACCTATTATCGAAGCATACGAAGTATCTCGATAGCTTTGCCGTGGTGGGGGCGGCTAAGATACCCTAGCAAAGACACATCGAAGGAGCCGCCCAGCAAGCTACTGTCAACCGTCATTCAAACGAACGATGAATCTCCTTTTTGATGACTGCAGACTGCAACCATCGACAGGGCTGCGATCCCTACATAATTGATGACCGGCATGGTATATCATAAGGACAGACAGGGGTCGTCCATCCAAACGGGTATTTCTTTCCGATACTGCGACACACCTGGGCTCATGTTGTGTTGCAGATCCAAGCCCTTGGGTCTGAAAACTTTTGTGATTGTGATAACGTCCCTTCTATTCTCCTTCGGCATCATCGTTCTCGTTTTGAATGCCGATTCCCTTACCGCCATACACAACTCCTCAAAGGCCAAGGTTGACGTAAGGATAGGTAGGTAGTAGAAGTTATTAGGGTCGAACCTGGTTCTCGAGACGTAACGATAGAACCGGGAGCGAAGAGGGCGGGCAGGGAGCTCTTCGTTTGAATAGGACCACGCATCCGTATGCGGAACATTATGTGTCTACGGCTGCGGTATTTGGTAGCGAGGCGAAGTGACGGGATGCCACCGACCCATGGAAAAACGAGTTCCGGTCCAGACGACTACTCAAATAGGGGAATCAAGCCTTCGAAAATAATCCATGTAGCAACCGATAATCGAAGGGGATCGAAGAGTTGTTCCTAGCATGGTCAGGCCCCTGGGTAGGTAGGCAAATAGGTAAGTAGATACCCAGGATAGCTAGGAAGGATGGTAGGATAGATAGCTAGAGGTTTTGGTTATAAAAGGGCTGCGGAATTCTCGTCTGACAAGTAGCACCTACGCAAGCCACATTTGTCCAGCTCTCTTCTTGAACTGCGTACCCAACAGAGATACGTAGTACGTAAGCCGTGCATACGAAAAACGCTAGCTTATATGTCAGTCCCCCATCCCCAGAGATCTCAGATATGACAACTCATAAACTAACCATAGACCGCAGCCCGCAATAAAAACCTATAATAGACCTGTCCATCCCGCCCATCCCGTATATTCCATCCATACCTACCTATTCATATCGATCAACATGGATGCCACCCGTCACAGCAACGATGAATCCATCGCCTGGATGCTGAACTTCACCTACGATAACGGTGTCACACATTGTGACCAGGAACGGTACGATACTCGTCGTGGCACATTTTCCTCTTTAGCACACCATCCGGGATTTGGAGGGACCAACTTCGCAAAGCAGCCGTGTCTACACCAGGACAGAGGCTGTACTGAACTTGCCGTGTCGAATTTACAGGGGCTTTGCAAACTGTGTGCTGAGGATAAATGTTATCAACTTCACGATTAGACAGGCTATGCTCCGTTCACACCCCCGGGAAAGCTATGACTTAAGAGAGGGCGAGAAGGAAGGGAAAGAAGGGGTGGGTATTGTTTGGCAATGATGGCTGGGTACATTTGGGGACACTGAATAATGTGTAATTACCTGCCTAGGTACCTACCCAGATATCGGTTTGGAGGTCGATGATAGAGACTCCCAACATCTGCTCAGGTACCGGGCAAAGGATAGACGGGCAAACGAATTGGCCACATACCCAGGCAACCGACAGAATAGCTTCCCTACTAATGTAGCTCATTATCGACCTCCTGAAACCGTTATTGTCCCTGCCGTAAACACAACAGAAGAAAGTTCGTTCGAAGAGTTCTCATATCATGGGTAGGTATTTTCGGCGAAGCAGCTGGGGCTCGGTACCGTACCCGAGAGGAAGCAATCTGTGCTCCAAAGTCTCAGACTCTCAGTAACGTTCGGTAGTCTGGTCCGTGTATGCCCAAGTAGATACATGACAGTTTCCTACATGGGGAATCACTTAATAATACGAGAGGTATGTCCATTGTCCATACGTTAGGTGCCTAGGGTAGAATGACGCGGGGGAAATTAATAACCTAGTAAGTTTGGAAGATTGAATAGGGTAGGTATAAATTGATACCGTGCTGCCGGGTTAACATTAATCATATCACATAGGTACAGTAGATCTCCGAAGCTTTCCCGAAGGACGTGCGTGTCACCAAGACGATCACTCAAGGAAATTGAAGGAATGCTTAAGTACATGTAGGTAGGCACTTATATGTAACTATGTATCATTGATATACATAGTAATAGTTTACCTAAACAACAGCTTCAAGTTATACAACTACGAATCTTAATTCCCACCATATTAAAAGCTTCTTACATCGACAATTAGAATTAGAAGGGCAACTCACAACAACTCACACATACTACGGCCTTTCATCGATTTCACACAAGAGTACACAGGTGAAGATAATGGAAACATATGTCATTGGTCGTGTCGTTGCCGATACATCAACACGAGTCCCTTTCCAGCATGGTGACATCAAACTCTCCAACTCCTCCGCATGCCTCCAAATAACAGACGCAACACCCCCGTCCGAAATCACACATAGAGAAAGAGCTGTCGTTGCTCGGTACCCAGTTGGCTAACCTAACTTAACCAGACTCCTTGAATTCCGTTAAAACCGCCTTAAAAAATTGCCTCAAACGTCCTTCCCCCGGAGAATCAATATTGTATTAGAATCGAAGTGAATCAGATTTCTCTGTGGGTATATTCCCTTGTCGCCGTCGTATGCTGACAAGATAAGCTGCGATTAAAAATGAAGGAGTAGTCCTGGTGTAGCATGCCAGCCAGCCAGATTGATCCCCTCATCATCCAAGTCGCAAGCTTGGACGGTTCCTTTCTAGGCTTACGCCAGGAGAGCGGCACCCATACCCAGAACACCCATCAGGAGACCTGAGCTGATGGACACCATGCCGGCACCATTGGCAGGAACAGTGGGCACTGCCGTGGAGGGGGCAGGAGCCTCGCCCGTTGGGTATCCCGAAGTCTTGGTAGCAGACGTGGTAGGCACGAAGCTAGAAGAGAATGAGGGATAGGCAGTTGGGCCAGCGTGGGTTGTGGTGTTCGAGACTGGGTACCAGGCCGAAGAAGTGCTGTTCAGCGTGACCGGAATGCTGGTGGACAGTGTGGGGTATACGACTGAGGTGGTGTTGAAAGCCGAAGTCGTCGCAATGGACGAAGTTGGGTAGGCTGGAGGAGTAGTCACTGGCGTGGAGCTGGTCGACGGCGTGTACAATGGGCACGCGGTGTTGGTCGGGTTGCACTTGGTGATAGTGACAGTCGCAGTCAGGTAAGATGTGGCTGTGGTGGTCTGCGCAACAGCGGACATGGCGCTGGCAGCCAGTACGATCATCGATGAGATCTGCATCTTCAATTGTGTTGTTGATCGAAAAATGGGTATCGGGCTTGTAAGAATTTCCAATTCCTCCACTAGATCGTCAAAGCTGAGCAGCCTCGATTACTTGCGTTTTGGGATAGTAGGAGTAAGATCACGACGTGCTGATCTTTTTTTGATATGCGAAATGCGAAACCGCGAAGGCTCAGGACTGAATGATAGACAAGTAACTGTGTTTATGGGTGAGAGATAAATGAGTGTGGGTTGCAAAAATGCAAATATTCACAGTTACAGAAGAGAACGAACGAAGGTCCTTAAACTGACGGTGCCTGGAAAGGAGTAGGGAGGGTAAAAAGGAAGAAGGAGACGGGCGGTGGAGGTGGACGATGCCTTATTTTATTGCGACATGGGGGGGGATTGTTCGATTTTTTCGATTTCTTTTCGCAATTCTCCCCAATAGCAGCTCACGACTGGGTGCCAGTGGGTGGGCTCGGGCCAAACCAAGGCACAAACGCAGACAAACAACCCCAAATGCGACTAGGTACTAGGGATAGATGTGGATCGGCAAACGTTTACAAGGACTAGACAAGGATTATCCAACATGGCCCCCCCTGGTTTACTATACCATTCAACACGCGGACTAGCCACCTGCGTGTCCAGTAGGTTACATGTACCTTAATTGTTTGATCACGACTGAAAGAGAAACAGGCCAGGGTACAAAGAGAAAAGGAGTCAAGTTGGGCTTCAAGTTGTGAGCATCAATATCGCGAGTCGTAAGTTATAAGTCGTTAACTATTCAACGAAGCCCATGGGAACCCGTGAGGAATCAACTTTTTTTCTTTTTACATTTTATCTGTTACCATGTAGTGAATAGAATTGATGAACATCACGCGTCTAATATTATATATGTAAGGAATATCGTGACAACCTGGCAAGCGCTGTTGTTCCTAGTTGTTCCTACATAAGCGTGCAGCAAGGTCACTTTTTCGTTGTTGTTCCTGCAGGAACAAAAAAGCGGAAAGAAATCTCACAGTCCGTTTAGAGCAGGTACTTGTGGAGCACTCTCTTTATAGAATCAGATCAGCCAAGCTAGCTAAAATAGGGTTCGCCAAGTGAGTATTTAATCCACTCAAACCCAATCGCTTCCAGCCACTATCGGTCCCCAGATAAGAAAGAGGAACTTCAATGTTAGGAAGTAACATGTATTTTAGTGCGGTAGGTAGGGAGTACGTAGGTACCTATTAGGGCACGTACCATAATTTTATTTTTTGGTTTTGACACTAGGCCAGGATAATGCGATATCCCCAGCCATTGCATCTGAAAATGCCGCCTCGTCTTCTCTTGTCTTTTCGTATTTGCCTTCAATTCTCAAAGTGATCCAAAATGATTATCATGAAGCTTTCCTAAATCTCAGTAGCCGACTACAAGCATGGTGATACTGCTAGATAATTACTGCAAGGCCAGATTTGGTCTAGGATACTTACTACTATGCCGTATGTAACATTTTCTCATTCAATATCTTCCATCGGTCCCTGCTAACCTACCACCACTACTTATAACTAGTAGCCTACCTAGTACCTACTACCTACTACCTACCAGTTTACCTAGCATCTAGGGAGTATGTAACCGTCCTTTATTTCCGGAGATTACGAGCATGATATGATTACGCCGTATGTTGTGACATGCAGCCTGCAGGTCCTAGACATTTCAATGTTCCAATTACTAGCTACCTAGGTACTGTGGTACTAGGCCAGACTAGTACTGGGCCTACACTAGGACTTCTTCGAAATCTTACACTACTCGATTCAACTATCGTGAGAACCTAAAGCAACATATTATTGGAACTTGATACTACAAGAAATCTCGAACCATCTCTATCTCCACCAAAACCAAACACCCAGACAACACTTTCTATGGTAACTGGGCAATGAGATGACCCTTCCCCACCGTCCTTGCCACCCTGAGACGAAAAGGAGAGCCGGTGCCTTTAACTGAACAGGCGAGACCAGATCAATTCTGCTGACCTTGGCGTCGCAATGTTTAATGGAAATCTGGACTTTGCAAATCTTTCAGGATCTACGCTTTCAGGATCTGCGCAGATCGACTACACTATCTAGTAGATGGAATCAAGCTTTATTCCAATCTATCATTTCGATATTGCGCTCGACAGTAACCAGAGATTAGCGATGAAATGCTCCGGGCCTAGTATGGGAGGCCGGTAACGATTTATGTACAACTTGCACATAATTTCAAAACCTTGGGCCTCGTCTGTGACCGTGACGCCCAGCTGGCGATACTTGGTGCATGAACGGATTGTCCTGACGTTGGGGAGGAATATGGACCCTAAAACCATCGTCAACGCTGCCATCATGGAACCGATGATGTCGTCGGAATGGCGGGAAGGGATCTTGCCAGTCATCGTGAATGCCTTCGTCAAACCGGCCACCCCATGATGGAGATGGCGGCAGATATGTGTAAAAATGGTTATGGTTATCACGATTTCCCTCGACGTGACGGGCTTGTGGGGTTGCTTCACCAAAGAACTCTTTCAAATGATTCCATACCGCACGCTTGAGCTCCTCGTCCTGGTGCTGTCGTTTTTCGGATTCGGCTGGATCATCGGATGAAGGTGCTTGTCGCCTGCGCGATGGTTTGCTGCTGCTACTCGACTGTGTCCGAATGCTGCTCCCTGAAGACTTCCTCGGCTCTGCGTCGCGTTCCGCCTGCCGGAACCATTGATAATAGTTCCACGCTTCCTGCATATTCTGTTGTTTTTGATGCGCCTCCTCCCGCCTTGCCGCCTCCTCTTCCATCATCTTTCGGACCTTGCTGATCTCGGCAGCACATCGATCTTGCTTTCTGGCATGCTCGCCATGGTTCTTCTTGATCGCATCATACGTTGCCTTCACGGTAGCGTGAACGTCTTCTACCGCCATGTGTGTGCCCTTGGCGACATCGATGGCCGCATTGATCGCGTCCTGGGTATGCTTGGCTGTATTCCGGGCCTCCGCGATTCCACCGGAGACGGAGGCGTTGACTGCGTCTATCTTCTGCCCATTCTCGTTCACCGTGGCGGAAGTTGCCTTGACTGTATTGTGGTGAGAAGCCCACTGGTTCCTTGTGATGTTGCAAGGCTCGTTATCTCGGAGCCATTGTTCCATGCTCCATGGCGCGTAACTCCCGTATGGATAATGCATTGTGGGGTTTCCAAAGGAAGTTGGTGAGAATCCCTGGTTTATTGCTTCGTCTCCTGCCAGGTGTTCGAATTCTTCGATTCCTGGTTCCTTAGTTGTTGTCGTCCTCGCCTTCTTATTCTTCTTGGGCTTTGGTGTTGTATGATGGAAAAGACACATCGCTGATCAGCAAGGACCTTTTAGCCCAGGCCAGTCGTTCTGGTGATTTATGATACCTCCTTTTATACACACAGAACAGTTTCGCGTATCTGCAGGCTTACGGGCCTACTTGTAAAGGAGGAAACCATTCAATTTACTGACAGGTAAACCATTCTTTCCAGCTCGTTCTACTCTCGGCCGAAATGGAAGGCCTATCCTAAACATCTGCCACCGCCATTTGTGGCCGGCGCATTGTTAGATGCAAAGTTCCGAACCACACACACGTCTACAGAGTGTTTTAGATATGCGCCTGCAAGTCTTGCACCCTACCACCATCCACTTTCTTTCCAGACCCAAGAGCGCTCTCTATACCCTACTCAAGTTTATGATGAATCAATCGTGATGACCATTTCTCTCCTTCCCCGTCTTTCTTACACAAGACAGACATACCTACAGAAAGCCAGATGTCGTCATCTTTTCCATCCTCTCCTGCTTAATATGACGAGTCAAAAGATATCACATCTATACATCCATCCATCCATCTAGGTTAGAACCTTGAGACGAGCAGGCGCCCCCACCTTACCATGCGGTGTTGAAACGAAAAAAAAAAAAAAAAAAAACCCTGTTGACCGCCCTTCGGCTGTATGCGCAATTTCTCCTAGAAATCATCGAAGACTTCTGCTACTGCGTACGTACGGATAGCCCGAGACCCTGGAGACGCTTCTGCAGGCCTAGCTCCCAGCAGATTGTCAACGATGACATCTCACGGGGGAAAAAAATGGGAACATACATAGTAACTCTAGGTGCCTACTCACCTAAGTACCCGGGTAGGTATGAAAGCTGGAGCGACGATTCGACACAGAAGTAGATTCACGAAGCCAGGTCTGTTATCTGTAGGTATTGGTACACCTAGTATACCTAGGTAGGCAGGTGATAATTCAACGTCACTATTCACATAATCACAATAGCCACTTGGGTAAGTAGGGAAAGAACACCACACGGAATCATAAATACATCGATCGTTTTGTTTTATTCATGCCTCCCCACGACCACGCCCCTCAACAACTGTGTAGGTGAGAGGAAACGAAGCATGTAACTAGCAGAATATGTACATCTTTGAAGAATAGTAGTAAAGAAAAGGGGAAATTCAATAATGCCAGGTATCAGTATCCAGCAAGCAAAGGTACTTAGACGGAGACGCCGCGCCATCTTTCATTTATACGACAGTTTCTCCTGCCTTCCATCCCCACCCCCACCCCCACCCCCCCTTCCAAACTCCGTGTTTTTTCCTTTGTTCGAGAGAGAAGAGTTGAAAATGGCAAATAGATGAAAAAAAAGAAAACGAAAAAAAGAGAAACGCTATGCTAACACCCCGGGGTATGCACACATTTTCTTTTGCCCCATAACCAACCAACAACGCCGATAATCGTAAACCCTGCGTCAAAAGACAGATATCCTCGGAAGATTCGGAGCCAGCCCCCCTCTTCGGCGATCTACGCGCGGCGTGGGCTATTATCTATCATGCGTTGAATCGTCTCGCGATACCCGTGTTCCGTTTTGCCGCGGGAGAGGAATCGTCGGAGTACACCTTGACGGAGTTGATGAGCCAGTACGAATCCTTGAAGGCGGAGGGGTTGTTCTTGACGTACTCCTGGCACGTCGCCGCCTTGGTACCGCAGACGGGGTCCTCGCTGAACACCTTGCCGGCCCAGTCGCCGCAGAGCGTGGTGTCGAAGACAATCTGGTGGTTCTTGAAATGGCTCGAGATATCACAACCTGAGCCGGTAAAAGAGGTAGAAGGGGAGCCCCATTTGCTGGGGTCCGGAGTTCCGGCCGTGATGTCTGCTGGAATCGCGCCCGTTCGCGGGAAGAAGAAGATGTTGATCGCTGACGAGGTCCACTCCAGCGCGTACACGCCCCCTCCAATCTCGTTAAATCCATCAGCCAGCGTCTGGGTATCGTGGCTCGGGGTTCCACAACCGGTGTTGCCGGTTCCTGGCGCATTGCAGTCTCCTTGCGTGAAGGTACAGCCGGGGCCCGTGTGAAGAGTGTACGTAGTGTTCGTAGCGAGGTTCACTCCTTCGATTATATCGATCTCTCCGTCGTAAGGCCAGTGTGGTCCGACGGTCCAGAAAGCGGGCCAAGTACCGCATTGGGCAGCGGGTTGGTGGGCGATATCGGCGATAATGAGACCTTCGTTGTACGTCTTCTTGGAGTTCACTCGGACGGATCCGCGGCCAGCAGAGGTGTCCATCGTCTTATAATCGACACCGAGATAGACGCCTTCGTTGGCGTAGCCGGCAAGCGACATCGAGTTAGCCTCTACGGCGGACTGGTACTTGACGAACCCATTTGTGGGATCCGGGTAGTTGAAGAACTCGAAACCCTCGAAGAAGTTGGTCTGGTCGTACGAGTCTTGGACCGTGTAGGCCGCTTGTGCCGCGACTACGATGGCTAGAAGGCCACCGAGTCGTGAAGGTAGCTTGTTGAAGATCATCTTCCTGAAGTATGATGGCGTATGCGAATAGAAATATTCAACTCGGTATAGATGGTATGCACAGCAAGAGGTAGGTTGTTGGGGTGTAAAGAATAGAAGAAAAAAGAGAACACTTGCGCCTGGCAAGAGCACGTTGATATGGTATAAAATGATTGTTCACTTATTGAAAAGTGAGGTTTGATTGATTGTTTGGGCTTGGGTGGGTGACGTTTTCTTTGAGATGTAAATAGATGACAATGGAAAACGCGCGCCTGGAAGAGAAAGGGTTTCCAGACTCGGAGTGAATTGCTATTGTATTTGGGAACAACAGGAATCCGTTGTTGGGTAGAAACGATAAATGGTTATAACAAAGGCAGTGGGTGAATTGGACAATGGGAAGGCCCTGGGCACACCTCTATTTTATTTGCACAGTCGAAAGAAAGAAAGAAAGAAGAATAAAAAAAAGAGTGACGGGGGGCTGAATCACGAGATTCGAGACGGTTGGGCTCGTTTTCGTGGACGGGGGGAATTTGAATTCTACCTAGCTAGACCATGCTACATATGCTGAACTGCGAGGAAACTACGATGTGTGTAGGTTAGCAGATTCCAAAGCTCTAGGTTAGAGAAGGTTGGAAGGTGCTATGTAGGTACCTACATATAGGTCTAAGTAATATAAGGAGGTAGGCGCATTGCTTCGGGTGTGAACTTGAAATAATCATCCATGGCGGACGAGGTGATAGGATCTGATGCATTGTAACCAGCGGAGGTCAAGAGGGGAAAGCGCCCTTTCTCCTGGGAAGCACGAGCTAGATTAGATGAAACCGACATGGTGTACGATGACTTTTGTTAAATAAAGTATTGTATTGTATTGTATTGTGCTATTTAAAAAAATGAATGGCTTTCCGCGGCAGCTGCGCGGGTAGCACCGTCGAAAAAAGTGAGCCTCTCTCGGCCAATCGATGGCATGGGGTCGATCGAAACTGGGAATTCTGGCCGCCACATAAATATCTTGGCGAGATCTATCTAACTATGCCCCCACTTTACTTAGATGTACCGAATCTCCCATTTGCAAGTACCCGTTCCTAGTGATTATGGGGTAAGTGTTACCTCGCAAGCGAGCACAAGTGACAAATGGAGTTTGATGGTTTTACGCGCCACAAGGCCTTATTTGACGTCGCTGGGGGGGTTTTTTTTTTTTTGAAACGATGAAAAGTTGAAACTATGTAGGTATCTATGACTCCTGCCTCTTTTGGCCTTTTTCATTCATTTCATCTTATTACGAAGTACTTATTATTTTTTATTTTTTATCAACTTTTTTTTTTATTGGATAGCGTTGAACGTGGGAACTTTGATCCGACAACAGCTTTTGCCTCGGAACTGAACTTAACTTACCGCAAGGACCTTACGACTTATATAGGTAAGTAACTTGCAAAAGAATCGTGTGGCCGAGAAGACCAAGTTGCGAGGGTTGAGGTATTACCTACATACCGTTGCAGCACATTTGTTTAACATGGAACCCCCATCATCTTATTAAAACGTGACCACCATGACTGTAGTACATAGATGGCCTTCGTTATGGAATCTGCCTTGTGGCTGTTAGCATGCCGGATACAGCGTTACAGTATGTCACAGCATGAAATGGGTTGTCATAGTCATATGCTTCCCAGCCTAGGTACCTAACTAGGCCATTTCTAATGTATATAAGCTGCTTGTCACAGGTGGCTGAGCTCCTCTCGAATACATTCTTCTACCACCTAGTCATTCCAGCCGTCTTACGTGACTAAGCTCTTATAATAGGTAGTAGCAATTTTCATTTATTCATGCTCTCTTTGTTGGCTTGCACATGTGCTTTGTAGCTGACTTCCAAGGCAGTGTCTTATCTCTAAGATATACACCCACATGATTCTAGGAAGTAGTAAGTAGGATCATGCTTCATAAGATTCTTATGGGACTAGATAATCTTCCTATATGTAGGTAGCATCTTTAAGGCTATTGATGTACCTACTATCTACCAGTATGAAGAGATTGCAGATACCCGGGTAGCTTACTAGGTTAGCAAGCTCCTTAAAGCTGTGTCGTGAAACTTCTCTTGATGCTCAGCAATATGTTTGGAAATCAACCGCATTATACGCTACCCTTGAGCCTACCCTGCCGAGTATTCGTGAAGGAGTTGGAGGCTTTGACCATACAAGGGTTACTCCACTTTGAGAGGGTAATCTGGGACCTTATGAATATTTTTCAGGGTAGGAGCTGGCTGTGATTATTTATGAGCTTTGAGTCAGACGGGTTGTAATAATATTGCGACTTACGCAGGTGCGAACACTAGGTCGGCGTTGACAAATCATTCTATGAACTGACCAGTCTACACGTTGGCAGATGGAATTACAGTAACGGGCCATCTTACATTTTGCGCAGCGACGAAGGTTGGGGCCCTTCTCCCCACAGTTTAGACAAGCCTTGCTAATCATCTCGGAGGTAGGGTCTTCGTCACTGGAGTGCCTATCAAGAAGAGCTGTTTAATAATTTTCTAGCCAAATAGGAGATGTAGCCACAGCAGGCGTGCCAAGGTCAGATTGTAAACAATCACTACTATGAGAGGAGAATGGAGATGCTGACTGAGAACTGTTACTTACCCTAAACCACTGAACCAAAATTCGTCGCCAAGGTCGTACTCGGTCTTTCCGACGAATCTCGAAGCATCCGTGGTCCTACTATCCTTGCTGCCCAACATCCAGGGAGTTCCATCGTTTTTATACTCCTGAAGGGCGGTTGCTAGCTGTAGTTGCTGCTCTAAGTTGTGAAGCCAGGGACGAAGAACTCGAAGTGCAGTCAGGTGACGGCTCTCAATCTTAGCACCGAGTTGCATGGCGAGCATACCAAGGATGACGACTATACGCTCTCGCTTGTGGTAACTGGTGGCTGGTTTGAAGTTGGCAGAGAGGATTTTGTCAAACTTTTGGGATAGCAGACCATCATTGAGGCGTTGCACTATTTCAGCTACTTCTTCCTTCTGCACATAGAGGAGCTTGCAGCCTAACATGTCAGCGAGGTCTGCGGCAATGGCATCATCATCTTCTGACTGCAAGAGACCTCGACCCCAGGAACTCATTTTGATTTTTCTTGTTCTTGTTCTTGTTCTTGTTCTTGCTCTTGTTCTTGTTCTTGTTCTTGTTTCTGTTCTTGTTCTTGGAGACGGCGGGGAGAGTACAATGCAGTAATGCTGAAATAGAAAAGGATGGTAGGGATGACGAGGAAAATGATGTAGAGGATGAAGAAGTTAACGAAGTTGAGAAAACCGGGAGTAGTGAGAATACTGGTAGCAGTATAGTCCATCGTTGATAGTATGTATGTATGTAGTAACTATTTTGTAAGAAACAGGAAGGATAGGTATGTAATGTTGAAGTGGGCACCTATAAAGTATTGCACATAGATGTACTTGTTTGTTGAGTGGCTCGTACTCACCTTCCTGGAAACACTTGCTGCTCAAACATTTGGCAAGAGCTATCCAGTTTATGCCGATTGCTTTAAAGGCAAGTGCTTTCTACTTCTCATATTGACTACCCTAGGTTAGTAGGTAAAGGAGTATTTGCGCTTACATAACTCTCCCATGACCATACATTGATTTGAGATGTACGTAGTAGTCGCCTGAATACTAGGTACTACTAGGGAGATAGTACTAACCTATGTACATCATGATAGTATGCAATGCTCATGGAAGAGTTGTACATCGGAACTTTACATCGCCATTCATTAAACCATCAACATAGGTACTACCGTTGCCCTTAGAGAAATAGCTGTGCCAAGTTTTAGAGTCGATAGACTATTCGCGAGAGTCCATTGAAACTACACGAATGCCCATTTCTAATATCATTAAATCCTCTCGTCAACGTCAAGGGACGACATATTTTACATAACATTACAGATACACATGAGCCGTTACCATCTTCCTCCTTACTCCGGGTCGTTTCATAATCTCAATATAACTCAACTAGATCATTTCTATGAATGAGCTAAGTCCACAATGAAGAGTTGAAGGCAGATGATTGCCAACCAGATAAGCCTAGAAGATACCAACATGCGCTTTCCGGTTGCAATGCAAAATGGGTATATTGTGCGACAAAAAAGCCGTTATTTGTGTCGCCGGAGGGATTTACGTAACGTCTTAACTAGAACTTCTTTGTGGCCGAGCACAAATAATTCAAGATTCGAATCGAAGTAAACAGAAGAGATTATGCCATCTGAGCTGTACATCTCGCCTGGATTAAGGCAGCACTGACTTGACTAGAGCAAGTTATCCTATACTGTATCGTTCAAAGTTAGCAATTATCGTGGATAAGTATTGGGTGGGAAAGGGGAGGAAGAGGGGGGGGGAGGGGGGGAGATGGATATACGCACACTTGACTTTCTGACCAGTCAGCTTGAACCATATAACGGCAATGAGATCCTCCTTGAATCGTTCCCACGGATTCCGGTTTAGGTAGTAGCTGAGTTCGCGGAAGTTGTACATTTCCCCCCAACAGTCACGACCCCATTCACAACCTGCCATATTCACTACAAAATCTCGATCATCCTGATTGTAGTGTATCCGGGAATCGTTTCCATTGGCGGAGCATGCGCCGACGGGGAAGCTATTGATGAGACGTTGTGGCAGGAAAGCAGTATGGCTCCGAATCCACGGCTGAGTCGTATATAGTTGCTCTAGCGCATCTTGTTCCTTGTGCTCCCACTCCATATGCTTTTGCTCATATGCTACTGGGTCCCACCATATATCTAGCATGCGATCGGTCCAGTCGCTACGTCTGACGAAAAAGGAGCCGAGGTTGAAACCCGAACAGTCCTGAGAGAGGATGAGGTTAACGGAATCGACATTGCCGTCTCCTACAGGGCTTGTCGAGTCTGGATCTAGATAGTCGGCTTGTAGCGGATGTGTGATGTTGAGAGGGTTGAATTCGTTGATATCACGATAGATGCGCTGGTCCAAGTTGTCGAACAAATGTTTCTGGAGCGAATAGGATGGCTCCATAACAAATGTATTAAGGTCCAACCACCAAATCCTACGACGTGTTAGTGCAACTGACATAACTGACCCTCGCAATCTTTTTTGCATGCTTACCACTCGGCTTTGGGGTATTTCCTGAAGGTGTTCCTAATGCTGTCTACCTTCTCCCAGCTTTCTCGCCATTCATGCGCATATCGCTTCTTGGTGCTCATGTCGACGATCTCGAGATCGTAACCCCAATTCGCGACATACTTCCGCTTGTTCCTCACGCTATCCCTTTCAATGGCCCACTCTCGCGCACCTTTCCACTCCATCACACCGCCCCCAATGTTTGCGGCTAGTATGATGACGAATTTCTCTCCGCCGCCTAGCCAGGCCGTTCTTCTCCAATAGTACCACAGGGCTGCTGGATGATTAGCCATCGACGCGCCATAATCTGGGGTTAATACTCACGAGTGATCCAGAATAATAGGTAGAGAAAAAGTAGTACCATGGCTACAAATGCTCTTATTTTCCATTTCCTACCCATTCGCGCCATCACGGCCTTGATTCTCCCGAGAAGTGGCACGTTCCATCTGCCCCGCCCAAGCTTTTCCTTTTCTGCATATCTATCATCTGCAGCCATATTGAATACAGGGAGACTGCTCGAGATGCGGCGCATATGCCTAGTGAAGAAGCCCTGATTTTGCGTTGAAAAGGAGGGATAGCCGGTTACACCCTGGCTTTTTAGCCTTGCGGATTCCCACGTTACGGTACCCCCATTGGGGCCTGTGAAAGATGACTTCGCCGGGCTGGATCGGCCGCTGGAGCTGATGTTGAGGCCTGGGGAGGACCACCCTCCTCCCCCGGGGGCGGGAGACGGGCTTCGGCTAAGGGACATTGGAGTGCTAGGTGTGCCTGTGACATGGATAATGTTAGAGGTAGTCGCGTTGACAAAAGGCACATATGAGATGTCCAGATCGCTAACATACCGGGTATAGGGCTGAGTGTAGGCTGCAAGTACTGGGCCGTGTGGCCCAGACGCAGAGGAGAGACGCGATTGGAGGGTGCTGGAGACGAATTGCTCGTAGATGATCGTCTTCGATGGTGACCGAACGCGGGGCGATCACTAATAGACGAAGAAGCGACGTCGTTGTCGCGATCGATGAGCGCCAGATTTGTTGTCCCTTCTGCCGCAGTCCTCAAATGCAGAGGCTGTGGACAGTCGAAGACTAGAAGGTTAGGTAGAGGGCCAAGGTGGCTGAAGCCACGTTCAAGGATGGAAAGGCAATAAAGGCAAATGTCTCAGGGGTTGTAGCGATACGACAGAACAATTGATATCCAGATGTCGTGTTAATTCCAGCTGGAGTTTTGTTCCTTGTTTCTCGTTGGAGGATTAAATAAAACGAATAACGAAACCGCGTACCCTAGGTACCTTAGGTAGGTAGTGAAGAATAAAAGAATGAAAAATAATTAATAGATAGATTTAACTAAGGAAACAACTGTGTTCAATGTTGTCGTTGCATTACAATAATTCTTGTCGTATGTGCAGGGATACCGAAGAGGTTACAGTAAATGTATGTATCTGATAGCTATCTGGTAGTTATCTGGTAGGTAGTAGGTACAGACCGTACAGTAACTTTTGAATGGCGTATTTTTTTTCTTTCCTTTTTCTCCCTTCTGCGCGACATGGCTTAGCCAAGATGAACATTAAATTTGTTTGAGTGGGAACAAGTGGGCCCACCCCACGAGGGACCGTTTGAGATTTGATATTTGATAGGACCCTAAGCATTGAAGCTAGCAGTAGTAGATCTTTAGTACCTACCTAAAACTACCTAGTACATAACTTCTTATGTAGGTAAAAGTTGGAGGATCAATTGTAAGGAATTGAGTTACATAGCTCTCAAGATGTTTAATGTTAGATACCAGTATACGGCGTAGAGAACTCGACGATGCACATGAGTAAGAGTCAATGCTTTTGATGCTTGAATTTTGAAGTTTAGAAATATTTAATAATTTCAATGTAGGCAACTTTGGAAATTAATCATAGTGGTGCGATAATTGAAAGCACATGCAGAGGAACATCTGGATATGATTATAGCACTATCTAATATTAGTATCTGGGCCGTAGATGGATCTAATCTGACTCGCCAAAAAAAACCAACATTGAACTTATGAGGTACCTAGGGTACTTATCTAACCTATCTATGCAGAAACATAACATCTAGTTAATACATGACCATCAAAATTCCTATACATGATAATGCATATATGACATTATACATATGTATTAATAGTTATTTGATACATGGAGAACTTTGGACAGTTTGCACAAACCACAAAAGATCCTCTTTCTTGCAGCATTCACACTATAACTAGGTACAATACATAAGGTAAGCAGGCTAGCAGCTGAAAGATTACTTGCCGTCCTATCTTTCAGATTGTTGTTGATAATTAGCGAGCGCCTACTACATATGTAGCTAGATACTCGAACTTTAGTGGAAGCGTGATACAAGATCCTGTGCTCCGAACTCAATCTGACATTCATGGATAGCACCTAACCTAGTAAATAATAGGAATACCAGGGGAGTCCAAAACTGCCTTAAAACTCTGTTTGGATTCACATGTGCATGCTCTCAGGGTCCAGACTCCAAAGCAATTCCAGATTTACCTACTGCACTAAGTACCCTACCCTAGGGCAGCTCAATGGAAACTTTAAACATTCAAGTTGAGATCTGACGAATTGATCTACATTCATCTTCTTAAACTAAACATTGTCCGAAGAGGCTCAATTAGCTCTTGATATAGGCACACAGTATGTAGGTATTTAATAAATAAATAAATAAATAAAAAGTAGTAGTCACTTTACCTCCAACTTTCTTCAATCATTTGTCCTATCTATGTTGGTACATGGGATGGCAAATGAAACTATGTATGTACCAAGGAATGTAAGTACATGGTAAGCGAGTATATACCTACATGTACATACATAGCTTATCCCATGCCTAGGTATTGATGGTAATACGGTAATACTTCAACAACATCTTGAGTGGTGTTATGCAACTAAAGGCCTTCTAAGCTGGCTATCATCACTATTACTCGTATTAGCTGCTTCTTACCTGTGCTCGTGATCTGAATATAAGCGTTCGTGATTCTCGAATTACATAACGCTAATGCAGTTAGTGGCCATTATGTCCCCCTATAGGGAAAAGAAGATCAAGCTAAGACTATTCCTCTCACCATCGTAGGCTGGCATAATGGTCTTCAGGTATGACTGAACATGAACACTAATCTCGAATTGAAAAGCGCAGCTCAGAGGCCTCTTGTGTGATTTTACCTAGCAGCGTATCAGTGCATGCGTCGGCACATATGTAGGTAGGTTGGTCAGTTGGTAAGTTGGTAAGTTGGCAAGTTGGCAAGTTGGTAGGTATGAGTGTTGCAATGTCGCCACTTGCCACGGCTTTACTTAACATCCATCCACGACGAAGATATTTAGGCCTCCGAGACATGTGTATTGTTACTCAAGTCTCTCGTTTACAATCCGAATGGAAACACACCGACTGAAAAGTAAAATCATTCAACCTAGTGTCGTGGCCGAGGTCTGCGTGTCACCAATCCAGCATCTGTCTTGGTCTGGTTGATTTGGTACGGGTTGATTTGGACAGACGAATTCTCTCGAGACACACGACAGCAAGTCGGGTACTACACGGGTAGGAAGTCAAGTCAACTGCTAGTAGCGGGAGTTAGCGATTAGGCTATGCTGTAGGATGTTGTGAAGTGCTTTTAGGGTGTGGGAACATTGAAGATAAGACTGCCCACCAGTGCCCAGGTGGCTAGTTGTATACCCAGTAGGTACCTACCTACTATGTACGCAGCACATTGACGTGGCAGTCCATATTAACCCCCCCCAAAGATCGATTTGATAATAAAGGATGACAACTGGATCAAGGACAGCCAGTAGCAAGACAGTATTTCCCATGTAACACACGTGATAAATTTTATCGCCGAATCCCCGCTTGAGCAAGCAGAGCTGAAGCACTCTTGCCAACTTTTTAAATTACCTGCGACCATTGCGACAGGAAAAGGAAAAAGAAGCGGCAAGATCAGCCCAGCCACCCATTCATCTAGTCCAAACGTACCAGCGTACTTGCTTTTCCAGCTTTCTCAAGCTACTTCTCAAGCTACATAGTATTGCACCTGCCTGCCTAGTAAATAGTAGGTATCAATTTCAGCATACATATAACATTTAAGTTCTGAAGCGTAGCCGCTCCATATGTGGAGCATAGCCAGCCAGTCCAAGGAGGGAGCGAGCGAACGAGCGACACAAGCGAAACAAGCACCTACATAGTCGCAGTAGCACCCGGCAGCTTGACCCTCTAGTCGTTTGTTTTAATAAAAATAACATTTGAAGTCTCCACACACCTGAGAGTTGAAAGTTGGGGGGACCAATTTGCATCTTTTGGATCTAAACAAAAACAACGTTATACCCGACTTTCGAACCGTTGCGACGGTATACAACCTTAATTTTTATAATATACTCTCTCCCCAGGATTTACTAAACAAAGAGTACTTCTGGATGGACTCGACTATACGTACTGAGTCTAACCTTTCAAGATGATGACTCGAGATCGTCATCGCCGGCGGAGTCCCGAGTCGACTCGCCGCCGGCGCAAGGAACGGCGTGATTCTCGAGAACAGCTTCAAAACCAACAGATTTCGGCTCCTATCCCACATTTCGAAGAAAGAGTCGAGTCTATAGAGCAGCAATCGCGTGCGCTCTCACCTCTGTCTTCCTCATCCTCTACCTCATCCTCCTTAGTAAACATATCTCAACCCTCTACGAGATTCGGACTAGGCGCGTTTTTCTCGCGGAAGAAACAACACCGCGTAAAGAAGAGGCGTAGCCGCATCCTTCGATTTGGGAATTCGTCTTCGTCGTCCGTAAATTCGGATCTTGCATACGGGAAGGGGTACGTGGACCGGCGTAGAAGCCGAGAATTCAGTCCTCCGGGTAGCACTGGGAGGCCTCCACGAGCGCGACGTCAGACAGATGAAGAAATACTTGAGTTGGGAAGAAAGTTCGCAGAAATTGCTAGGCAGCAGAATGCCGAGGACCTCAAAGCTGCTGGGAGATCCCGGCCATCTGGATTACTTGGTGCCGCCTCGGCCCTGACTCAGTTCCGCCGAACGCCTAGCGGGAACTCGAATAGAGGGATTGGGAGCTCCAAAGTCCGTCGCGATTCCTCTCCAGATGATTCGGAATGGGAATCTGCCTCGGATGATGAGTCGTCGAGCTCTGAATTCGACTCTGGGCTTGCATATGGCTCAGGGCTTAGCCTACAAAGCACTGTTGCTAGAGACTTCCATCCTCAGAGTACACTTTCTCCTCGTCCCGTCCGAGCGTCAAATTACGACCCGCCTCTCCACCGAAAACGTTCGGTTGTAGATCCAAATCTCTTCGGACCTGTAAATTCGCTTCGTGGTTATGTTGAGACTCCGTGTGGATTTGAGAACGTCGATCGATCTACACTTAGTGACTCTCGACAATTTGAATCTTCAGTTCTTCCTAGTGAAAACGTATCTGAAAATCATTCTCTACAACAGGTATATCCAGTTCCTACGTCAGATCCGCGCCGTTTTGAGGCTGCTCGGGATCCTGTCGTACCTGATGTACGGGAGCAAACGATCTTATCTCGACCGGCGCCGGTGCCCCTACAGCAACCGAAGCCGATAGCACCGGTGGCCACGAAAGTGCTTGATTCAGTGGAAAGAGATTCCAAATACTCGGGACGCGCATCGCCCAAAACAGGCATCACGGGTAATATCATTGCTAGTGTGGCTGGAGCTGCTATTGGCGCAGCACTGGGCTCTGGTCGTAGGGAAGATCGCGACAAGCAAGAGGACCGACGTGATCGTAAGACTCAGTCCAAGCGCTCGGACAAGAGGGATGCAAAACGCAAAAGCCGGGAAGCACTCCGTGAAGAACCCCGCGAGCCACCCCGCGAAGCACCTCGTGAAGCACCCCGCGAGGCACGTCGAGAAGCACTCCGTGAGGTACCCCGTGATGTACCCTTTGACTTACCCCGCGAAGTATCCCGCGAAACACCCCGAGAAGCACCCCGTGAGCTACCCCGCGAAGTACCCCGCAAGGCACCCCGCGAAGCCGAAGCACCCCATGAGTCGCCTCGTAAAGTTAATGACAATCGCCCCGAACGACCTCGGGGCCAACGGACTGAGCACGCTGAAGACTTTGAAAAACGACTTCGCTGGGAAAAAGTCGTCTCTGAAATTGAACGTGAAACTGAAAAGGAGAAGCATCGTGATAGAAACCTTGGCAATAATTATGATTATGACCAGGGGCGTGGCGAACGCGGAGATGACCGAAAAGACGATCGAAGTACGGACCATGGAAATAATCGTCCTGAAGATCCAGAATACACCCCGGGACATGACTCGATCGACCCTTTTCAGTTTCAAGTAACTGATGATGCCTTCCATACCCCCCTCAGTACGACACCGAAACGACCATTGACACCGAACGTGATCACCGTAGACCGAGAGCCCGACTTCTCCCGGTTTGAGCCGTCCGAATATGATGTGCACCCCCCCGAAAGAATTAGCCGAAGAGATTCCTATGAGCGTGAACTCCGTAATGCACGCGACATATACCAAGTTAGCGAACACGCAACGGCGCCTATAAGTGGGGTTGCGTTTGCTGCGGCTGCGGCGGCGGTTATAGCTGAGGATCAACGTGGACGTAGTCGTAGTCAAGGAAGCGATGCGAGCTCTAGGAACAGATCGCGGCGGAGCGACACCCCACCTGGCGGAAGAGACGCTATTATAGAAGACGCCAACCGCTATTACCGGGAGGCGGAACTTGCGCGCAAACTAAAGGAAGAAGAGAGTCGATCTCGTAGCGACGCTGAGCGCTCTGTTGTTGAGAAATGGAAGCAGGATAAGAAGCCGGCCATTGTTGAGATTGTGTCGCCACCTGAGATTGATCACCCAAAAAAGAAGAGCCCCTACGACGGACCTGATGCCGATGTTCGCATCGACAATGTCCTGGAGAATCCCAGTGAACTTTCCCGTTTTAGAACTATGGATAGTAAAAGCCTTTTTGACGGACAAGCATTCAGAGCCAGGGATCCTTCTGCTGAGCGTGAGCGTCCAATGCTCAACCTTGTGCGGCCTACACCCGTCCCCACACCCATACCAGAACAGCAACGACCTCCAGAAGAATTCCCTTTGGAGTCTGCTGATACGGCGGATATTATTGTTTCCAAACGGACGCCTGATATAGTTACCGAATCTCGGGATGAAAAGGTCACAGCGCCTCCGCCTCCGCCCCCGCCCCCGCCTCCCAAAGCCGTCAGTTGGGGCGAAAACCAGACAAAACACTATGTGGTTGAGAGCCCAGAGAGAGAGGATGACCTATACTCAGGACCTAGGGTTGTGACGCCTGCCAAGACACCAAAGTCACGGTCTGGGAAGAAGAGTCCCTGGGGAATGATCACGGCAGCTGTTAGTAGTGCTGACAATGGTTCACCATCCTCCAGCATCCCAGACTCTACTACCGTAGGCGGTGCCAGTGCTAGCAAATGGCCAACATCCTCTAGCGGCCCAGATTCCAACATAGATACTGAAGCGAAAAGGAGCAGGCCAGGCTCAAGGGACTCGGATAAGTCAATGAATAGCAGACCTACATATCAATTCGACAGCATGTATGACAGCCCGCCCGTCCCGGGCCCTAAACCACCAAGCCCGAGAAGTACTCAGATGCCAGGCACTTTCTCAGAGGACCCGGTTTTTACAGCGAATATAGCCGCTGCGCTTGAAGGAAGTGGCTTTGACCCTAATATCATCATCAACGACGCGAGCTTCCACAGGCGAGACTCGCCTCCTGGTACGACTGATTCAGGCGTGTACCAATCGCCATTCGTAGAATCAGTGACGGACTTGGGCATTGTAGAGCCTACGGTCTCAAGAAATAGCCAAGAGCATGGCTTCGTTATAGGCGAAGTTCCTGAGACGCCCTCCGATGAGAAGCACATTTCGGCTGACAAATCTGACCATCTCTCCAAATTTAATGGCAAGGAACGTCGTAAGCAAGAAACAGTCATTGAACGGGACGATGTAAAGAAGCCTGAGGTAATCGCCGACGACAATAAATTTGTAGAATCTCGTCGGTCTATCGGGGAAGGGAATTGGGATGTACCCTCGAGCCAAGCCAATAAAAAGGAGAGAAAGAGACGTGACAAGGCCGCGAGAACCCAAATACTGGGAGGTGACATAGATGTCGACGACATGTCCCAAAAAGAGCAAGATTTGGAAGCGGAGTTCATGGGAGCCGGTACTGCTGACGAAGGGGAAGATGCAAAGAAGAAAAAGAAGAAATCTAAGAAGGCCATCGTTGTTCAAGGAGACTCAAAACAGCCAAGTATTGCGGAGGGCTCTGACACCATATTTCCAGCCGACACTTCACACGGCACGGAAGATACCAAACCGGCATGGGCAGAAGATAGATGGGGTTTCCCCGAGAGGAGGATGTCTGAGCGTGGACCGAACACATACAACTCATTTTCACGAGAAGGGTCTAGGCAAACTGTTGAGCCCGATACATTCTCCACTTCTGAGAGAAGAAGCCGACGGTCTCGATCCGATGCCGAATCGTACAGATCTCCTCGGCCTGCCCCTATATCAGAACTTTCAAAGGAAAGTTCTTTTGGGATAATCAATACTGACGGTATCCCTGCGTCTGAAGAAGAACGCGGCACACCAATGAGTCGCGGTAAAAGGTCGAGACGTGCTACTGGAACATTCGACTTTACCCCAGCTTCGGAGGCATCTTTAGAGCTAGCTCGGAGAGCTATTGATCTCGGCGGCGAACAAGACGTGCTAACGAAGAATAGAAAGATTAAGCGCAGCTCTATTGATGATGAATTTGCCTCCACAGCTATTCCTAGCACCCATGATCGGGATATACCCAAGATATTAAGGAGGAAGTCTAAACGAGACTCAGAGGGTTACCACTTTCAGCGTATAGATTCTCCTGCTAGGGATATCATTGACAGCTCCCAAGAAGTAGGCGAGCCCTCTAGCAACTTGCGGAGCGAAACCGCAGCTCCCCTGGATGAGAACGACAGTGTGCCAACAAAGCCGAAAAGGAGCTCTCAATTAGACTCAACCACTCATAAGGAGACTCCTTCAACCCCTGTAGCTCAGCCTACAGCTCCACGCGAAAGTCCAGAGACCAGCTCCAAAAAAATGAAACAGGAATTCTATCTTGATTCGCCATCACGGCCTGATAGCCCTCGGATGAAGAATAAAGAAAAGAAGCGCTGGAGTACCCCTGGCGATTTCCCCGAGGAGGGTGATATTCCTGACGAAAGCGACCCCCCCGATAGAGCAAAAGGGCGTCTGGAAGATCTAAATCGTGATGTTGGCTCTGTGTTGTCAGGTCCTAATCAGCAAGAGGAACATCCGTCACCTAAAAGCAAAGCTGTGGATAACGTCGGCGATATAGTACCATCTATAGTACCAGCTACAGTACCAGCTACAGTACCATCTACTGCTGGTAGCAGTGATCGACTAGGTCGAAAGGGTTCCAAGTCAGAAAAGGACAAAAGGGGTAGCGGGAACTCAAGTTTTTTTGACCGGTTCAAATATTCGATTGGCATAGTAGAGGAAAGAGAACGCCCGCGCAAACTGGAAGAAGACAAGAAGAATTCTTTTTTAGATAATGCCGGCACTCAGATTGGCGCGGGTGTCGGCTCGACGGGCATTCCTGTCGCTCCTACATCCCAGGAGTCCCGGTCAAATGCCACCAATGTTCCTTCGGAAGAGGAAGCCCAAACTGTCCCCTTCACTCCCGAGAGACAATCATCACAACCACAAGATATTATTGACCCCGAGATTGTCCCAAGGGAAATTCGACCAGCCATCGATCCCAAGTATGGCGACCTTTTACCCTTACCTCCAAGCCGCCCTGGGTCCCCTGTTCCCGAGCTTGGTGACAACCTGCCGCCTCTGCCGGATAGCCGTCCTGAAACACCTGATCATGATCGAGCTTTACGCGAGATGCCTCCTCATTCACGCCGTCGCAGTACCCTCGACACTCCCACAAGACCAAAGACACCTAGTCAAAGTGCAGTACCCATTCAGTTCCGGCTAGGACACAAACGCACACCTTCATCTTCAAGCCATGCCAGGTCACCTTCGACCGTGTCACCAATTACCGGAAGCATGGACTTCGGAAGCGAACTTAGAACTCGTTCTCGTCCAATCTCCTGGGAAGGCTCTCGGTGGGAAGGTTCTCGGGAATTCAAACCTCTTCTCCTTCTCCAAAGGTTAGCGCGGGGATCAATTGACTCAACAACGTCACCCGAAAGAGAGCTTTCTAACGAGCGGCTGCAAGATATGTCGCCTAAAACTGAGGCACGTATAGACTACTCGCGACTTCCGAGCCTTTCTCCCACAGAATCCCGTCACCCGAGCTCCTTATTGCATGAGGATTTATTTCCTAGGCCAATACAAGAAAAAGAAAGTGAGTCTGGTGAAGTATCAGAACTCGTTCACGCAACTGAGATAACTGCTCAATCCCTGGATAATGGCTCGCCCGTTCGATCTTTTGATGAGGTTATACATCATCGGAGCCCTATAGGGGACCATTCCCAACTAGAATCTCTCCCCGAACAGCCAGCCCTGGAGTATGTTGAGGATAATACGACTGCAGCCGAGTCGGTAGTATCAAGGCCTAGTATTCCAAGCCTGGATCTTCGTTCACTTTCACTTTCAACTGAGGAACCTAGTGACGCAGTTTCGCCAACTCTCGTATCCGGCCAGGAGAATATAAACTCTCATGTACCGGTGGAGGAGGCTACTCATTATTCAAGCCACAAGATTGAAGCTGTAGAGCCTCCTGCAACCCTAAGCAAGGAAACCTTCCCCTCAGACGTCTCCCCTAAAAGTGAAATTCCTCGGTGGACAGATCCTATAAACGTTCCTGAGGGTAGCATTGAGGATAGTGGCCCTAACAACCCTGGTTCTTCAAAGTGGTTTCACGATGCTAGCAAAACATCAGGGAAAGGTTTAGACGAAGTTGAAGACCTGCCGCAAGTTCCAACAGACGTCGAGGCCCATCTAGTACACCACGAACCCCCTCGAACTTTGACGAGCTTCTTACCAAGTCTCATTGCAAACTTTAGGTCTCGAAATGGAACTGCTGAGAATCCTCTCACTATTAAGCGAACGGAAGAGTCTATAGTGGACATGAGCCGTAAGAATAGCATGCGGCGGGGCTCGGAGCAGGACATTGACGGCAGCACACTTGTCGAAGAGCCATCATCTAGACCATCTACCTCGTTCATGAGCGAGAAATCGTTTTTGAAGGAAACACCAGAAACAAATACTGTTGCATCTGAGCCTATGCCTGAACCGTTAAACGTCCAGCAGAGCATTGGTACAAGTTCGAGGAAGAGCAAGAAAAAGAGAAAAAACCGCAAGTCTCAAGTTGTGGAAGATATCCCAGACAATCAATCTGTTATAGCAGATACTGGGATAGACAGCTCAGATGAAGCCCACATTCGACCATTCGGAGAAAGTGCTACAGCTGACAGCACCCTAACTCTGCAAGAGCCTTTTGCCATCGAAAGAGAAGAGGTTTCTGTGCCAAAACCTGCTGATATCAAACATGAGCCAACCCTTGCAGAAGAGTCTCGTGTAGCCCAACAGGATGTCCCTACAATTAAGCAAGAGCTTCATAATGAGCCAAAGCTCACTGGTGGAAAAGACATCTCCATTACTGGTGCCGAGACTGCTTTTAACTCACGTGTTTCTACTGCCGAACCAGAAATCTCTAATCTTGAACCAAAATCTGCAAGCTTCAGATCGGAGTCCCCTATTTCTGCGCCAAAATCAAGCTTCAGCAACCCCATTGCTACAACTATTGAGACAGAGCCTTTGACAGAAGGTTTAAAAGCCCAGGACACGCCAGCTACCGAGCATGATTCAACTACTATCGATGTTTCTGCTACTGAAACAGAGCCGCCTTTCGAACCACGAGAAACTCATATCGATCCGTTGATATCTGCTGTCGAATCGAAGTTAAAAACGCCTGATACAGAACTACCTGTTACTGACAAAGAAATGGGATCAATTGAGGCAGAGCCGGTTGTTGACCAAGAACTGGCCTCTGACTTTACCGAGAACGAGAAACTTGATCAACCGACACTAACAACGGTCCTGGACAACTCTGCGAGTGTCTCGGGGAACGAAAAAGAGAGACAGAAGGGTAAACAGAAAGCATTATCAGATATAGAGCAGACAGAGGCCATTGTTTCAGAGGCACCAGCGATACCAACTAGACAGTTGACACAGGGGAGCGACATAGAAACTGAGGCAGCGCTCGCCAAGTTTCAAGCATCTAGTCAAGACGAACCGGAAGATTTCATTCCAAAGGACTTGAGTGTAACTCAATCAATGATGCCTGAAGAAACCCCAGCTACGCCTAAGAAGTCTAAGAAGAAGAAGAAGAAGGGCCAGAAGACGCCAGCATTGGTGTCTGAACATGAATCTGAGACATGTAGTGAGCAAGTTACTACGCAGGAAAAAGATAATCAACCTCTTCATGAAGAAGCGCCATCTCTTTCAGAAGTGCAAGAAGCAGAAACAGTGATGCAGCTTGATAGCCAAGGGCTTGATAGTCTCCCAGAAGGCCCAGTAGAAACATCGGTTATTCACAATGAGATTGATTTACATTTAAATCTACCAATCGACGATAAAGCGATAAATGGGGAAATACTCTCAGCAGAGCCTTTGGAACCTAGCGAAAGTGTGTATGGTGACTGGGTAACAGCTCAAGAAGCTGCCTCTCCTAGCGGAGAGCTTGAACCGTTGTTGTCTGATCTGAAGATCGAAGGTCCTAGTGGAATTCATTCCGGCCCCTCATCTGATCATGGACGGGATGAGCCGTCATATCTGGCATTGGAACCAATCGTGGGAGAAAGACAGATATCTGGGGAAACGGTAAACTTGGAGGATTCTACAGAAATAAATACGTCGCAAGCGGATCTAAACGCCAAACAGGAACAACAACACGATGAGCAGCCCACTTTGGTAGACACTAGTATATTGAGCCCTGTCAAGCGGGAATCAAGCGACTTAAGTTCATTGGAACATACACACGTGGATGAATCATCGATGCAGCCCAACTTACTTGGCGGTGAAGACAGCAAAGAACAGCCGCACCTTGCATCACACACTCCACCTGATGCTCCACTTTCCGGCACCAGCACAATGGAAGACTTGCAAGACCGATCAGCTGAACAAATCGAGGCGGTGGAAGAGACTGTAGTTGTACATGCCCCAGAGGAAGACGTCCAGCCATCCAGTATTTCCGATATTTCCAGCGAATCTATTGCTCCAAAGTCACAGGAAATGTTGGAGTTCCAAGAGCCTACCAGTAAGGAAGCGAAAAATAATAATGAGAAGCGCCAAGACATTTCGGAAGCTGTGGAAGCTCCGATAGGGTCTGCGATCATTGAACAAGTTGTTTCCCAAACGGCACCCTCGGAAGCCAATATTAATGAACCCCCGGTCATTGGTGGCATTCCAGAAAAGCCCACCCAGGAGTCGATCGAGCCAGTCACCGGCGACCCGTCGAAATCAATAGAACCACAGCCCAATGTGGAGCCTGTGCGTGAACTAGTATCAGAGCACATTGACGTAACTGAAAATATTCAATCTGAGGTTGATCGCTCTAACACAAGTTTCGAAAAGAGCGAGAAAACCCAGCAGGCTGTTGATGCACTGTCATTGGCAGCACATGAACCTGAGTCTTCAGAACCAGTGCAGCAGCTTACAACTATAGAGACGGACATCGATTCTAGCCTAGACAAGGTCAAGGTGGATGAGCGAAAGGATCCTGAGCTTGTACAAAGTGAGCCTACCATCGGCCTGACTCCTCAAGAAACAACAGGTGATACAGCAACAAACCCAACGGACCGTATTACTGATTCCACAAGTAACACTACTACAACTATTGGTAACGACAAGGAAGTAGATCAATTACAAGTAAAGACAGATGACTTATTGTTTGCATCAGAGGAATTAAGGAAGGACAAAAATGCTCAGGATTATTCACATGATGAGACTGAGAAAATTGTAACATCTCCTATCACTAATCCAAAGGTTTCAATTGAGCCAACTTCTGTTTCCGAAGAACTCGCACAGGAAGAAAACGGCGTATCTAAATCTATCCCTCCAATAGACACCAGAGAATCTAAAAAGGATGAGGAGCAGAAGGACCGTCAGGATGTTGAGCCTACCGGGCCAAAGCAATCTGAGAACAACCCAATGGAGGCCCCGGTAGAGCCGACTATTGGATTTCCTGCATCTGACGAAGTCTTCAAACCCGACTGGACAGAATCGGCTGAGATAGCACCCCCACATGACTTTTTGTCGAATCCGGAGCCAACTGGTCATGATGGTCCATTAAGATCTGATTGGGAGCTCTCTCAGGACCAATCAACATACTCGTTAGATCGGCACATTCAACATGTCGAGACTCATGATCAACTACACATTCTCGTCGACGAGGAACCCAAACAGGAGTCTAAGGATGTTGTTGTCAATACAGTGCCATATACATCAATTGACCCAGAGAGCACAACGGACTCTGCAGATACTCGCGTCAATAAAACCAACCTCGGTTTACAAACAGAGAGATTGCCACTGCAAGAATCTAACAATGCAGAACAATATTCAAATAGGGTGTTGCAGCCTGAACAGCCAGGCGCCATTGACCAGGATTCCACAGAGACTGCTATCAAGCAGGAGCCCATTGCTTTTGATGAATCAGCAGTTGAAGATGTTCTGCCCACAGAAAATGAGACAACAGAAGTATCCAAACCAATGGCTAAAACGGGTGATCAAAACCAAACAGAGGGTAATGCCATGGCGCCATCGCAAGTTGACGAGTCAATATTAGCTGCGCCTACCAGTGCCGCGGATGGCCAATCGAGAGATTCTGCAGAACAGCTCAACCTGAATGAGCCGCAAGTTGAGCCTAGTCTTGTGATTCAAGAGCCCGCCCCTATTGCTCTAGAAGAACCCCCAACGCCTTCAAAGAAGAGTAAGAAAAAGAAGCGTAAAAGCAAGGGGCAAAACATACTTGACTCTGCCACTGAAGCCACAGCATCTGCTCAAGAACTGAGCATCAAGGAGTCCCCATCAGACCAGGACAAGCTTCCCTCAACCGTCTCACAAGATCAGATAGATCCTGAGCAGGCTGCGGTATATGACCCAATGACCTCTGAGCTGGGAGCCCACCCGCATGATACCGAAGCTGGGACGAGTAAAAAGGGCGAGGTAAAGGACAAGGAAAGCAGTCATTTACAAGACTCTGAGCCACCCTTTCCTCCACCAGCAGAAGTCATCCAGACAGAGATTCCTGCAATCGAGCAACCACAATTGTCTGCTCGTGAAAGCAATCAACTACAAGATGCTGGTCCTTCGGAGTCATCACCGACGCAGGAAATTGAGACGCAACAACCCTCTACTGGGAAGACATTGCCAGACGAAGCTAGCTTACCTGTCAGTGAAATAAGCGAGGCAGCGATAGTGGCATCCGATGCCCCGGTCACAACAGAACAAGATCCTGAATCGCAAGTATCTGATCTTATGGGCGCGGCTGTTCAACTGCAAAGTACTGAGCAAGAACGAGCTAGTCCGACTGAATTCACAGGCAACGATGTACCGGCAGTAGAGACTATATCCGAAGCTGTTCTAAGTGCGGATATGGCCAAGTCACATGACCAGAGGGAAGTTCTACAAGCCGGCAATCTTACTGATAGCACGATACTTGAGCAAGAGCCGATTACTGAGACATCTGTGGCCAACGACGCCCTAGACAACGTAATCTCCTCACCAGTCCCTGAAATATCCGAATCTGTTGATGAGCAACAACAGTCTGTCCACGAAGCAACAACTTCTGCTGAGGACTCTTCTTCCATAACCCGAGAAGATGATTTCACAATTCTTGACAAACCGAAGGAACTAATTAGAAGTGCAAGTCCTCCAATCGGAGAAGAGCCACTTGGCCCAAATGCTGAGACCCAGCCCACTGTTGATACAGAAGGCTCAACAGAGTCACCGCTAGACCTCGCCGGATCTCCTGAGAATCTATCTGGTTTGCCAGCGAAAGTTGAGGAGGCAGAATCTCAAGATTCTGTCAAGGTCTCCACCGAAGGGAACGAGGAAGCTCATGATACGCAGTCAAGCCTTCAGTCTGATCAGACACAGCAGGACCCCGAGCAGCAAACTGAAGAAAGTCAAGTTGCACCTAGCACTTTTGAACAGACCAGCGTAGACAACTCAACTCCTGTAGAAGTGCTAAGTAATGGGGAGTCCACCGACGTCGCCCGGGAAGAGGGTGAAAAGACTGAACTGAGCAGGACACAGGATGATAGTGATACTCAGCTCAAAGCTAATCAGGTACCTCTGGACATCACTAGCGCCATGGATCAGCCGGAAACTCCTACTCATCAGCAGTGTCATAGCAATAATGACCTCAATGATGCTGGATCTCCTAGTGTGGCCAAGACCGAGGAACAAAGTCGAGTGGATACCGCGACTACATCCAGCGACTCTGCTGGAAATGGAATCTTATCAGCTGAAAGCTCAAAAAGTGCAGATGTTAAAGAACCCGTTTCACCTAAAAAGAGTAAGAAAAACAAGAAGAAGAAACGAGCAAGCATTCAAGAGCCTGGTCCAGAGCCCGAAGTGCCAATTCAGTCAGAACCAGGTATCACGCTTCAGCCAGCAGAATTGCGCACCGAAATCAACGCCCCTGACGCACTTCCCATAAGTACGAAAGTAATGCTTACCAAAGATGGTACTTTGACTGGCTCATCTGAGATGCCACACAAATCTACAAACAGTGACGAAGTACTTTTCGTAAACGCACAGGATATTGCCACTCTTGCCGAGGAAAGTGTATCAGAGATGCAACCAACTGATACTCTTACAAACGTCGCTGTATCTGCATCCATTGCGAACACCCCTAGCGGTGAAGGTGACGCTCAACAAGAGCCCATCAATCTACAGCACGATGAGCAAGTTGAGAAAAGCCCCCTTTTCACATCTCCCCGGGGACAGGAATCTAGTGATTCTAGCGAGAAGGCCAGTAACTCTATTCAAGCCGTTGTCTCCGGCGAGCGACAATATGAGCCCCTTCAGCTGAAAGAACCGGAAAAACTAGAGACTGTACCACCAACAGAGGAGTCCTCGAGGACAGATGAACTTGTACAGGCACAGGAACCCGCGAAGTTGAACGAACAAAGCCTTCTAGAAGAGCAAGCGAAGCCAGAAGAACCCTTCGAACCACTTGATCCTGTAAGTGTTGGAGAGCCTGCACAAATCGAAGAGCCTTCAAAATTAGAGGAAAAGATCCAACCAGCAGAGGCTCTGAAGGCAGAACTATCTAAGGTTGAAGAGCCCGTGCAGCCTGAAGATTCTGAGCCACAAGAGCCTTCAAGAACAGAGGGATCTACGCAAGTGGAAGAGTTCAGTCATTTTGAGGAAGTTCCTATACCTCAGGAGGCTGCACAGCCGGAAACCCCCGATCAAATGGTAGATAATCCCTCTACCGCTGCCGGCGAACCTGGGCCCTCTCCAGTGAGGAAGTCTAAGAAGGACAAGAAGAAAAAGAAGAAGGCTAACCAAGCCAAGGTTGACCACACCCCTGATATCGCACAGCCAGCTGCAGGGTCACAAACACAAGTAGTGTCAGCAGAACAATCTTCGGGGAATGAGACTTTGAACCCATCTGAGGCTGTACCTGACATGGAGGACCCGACAACAAGCTTGAAAGACATTCAGAACATAGATGATGGTGTCCCCGGGGCAGTCACAGTCGAACAAGTTGGCCAACTCGAAACAGAGTATAACATTGAGAACGTGCCTTCGTCAACACGTCCCGAACAACTAATGCTACCGAAAGAACCTCAAGAACCCCAACAGCCCGACGTCCAGCCTACTGTTGATGACACGCCAGCAACCGTTGTAGACGTCGCGAGTACAGAGGATATTCCGCCTGAGATCCCTGCAAGCCCGGAATCCCAAAAAGAGCGTGTAAGCCAAATCAGTCATGAACTTACACCAGGTGACATTACATCGTCAGAACCCCAGGTGCAGCTTCCACTACCTAGAGACGCTCCGGCTGAAGAGTTGGCGGAGCGCTTTGAAAGTCAGCCCAAGGTTGAGGAGCCAGTGGTCGCGGATGAAGAGGAAAGGGCCCCAGAACAAGACCTCCAGGAGCTTACTCCTACCAAGATGTCCAAGAAGGAGAGGCGACGAGCGAAAAAGTTGTCTACCTCAGTTACTGAGCCTGAGCCTGAGCCTGAGCCTGAACGTGACTTGAAAATTGAGGACGCAGCAAATACTGGTAACGGTATGTCAAGCCACGCAGGACAACACGCAAAGCCAGTTGATCCTGTTTCTGAGGTGGGAATTACTTCCATAACAGAAACTATACCAACGGACCTTCCAGAAGAGAGCCTACAGCTGTCACTAGCAGAAAAATCATCTTCTCCTCATGATCAAGATGATATTTCCGAGACTATCGATGAGGGTAAAGGAGGAGCTAGCGAGTCTATTACTCAAGAGCAGGTACCGTCAACTAACTCTGCCCAAGATGCAAACTTCTCCCCTCCAGCAGAAAATGTGATGAAGGATATCCCCTCAGAGGCGGTTGTTGGGGACGTTATCGAGACTCCACAAGGGTCAGCAGAGGAATCGTCGGAACTTATGAACGACCTTGCGAAGAACGAAGAGGATGGCAAAGCTCTTAGCAGCCAAGGCCCAGAGACTGAGGCCTTGAATATCGACTCGCCATCTCTAGAATCTACAAGCATTAAGAAGCGCGATAGTATAGTAACTGGAAAAGAGCCTGACGTAGTAGAGGAGGCGTTAGCGGTGGCGCCAAACGATACCTCGGAGTCTAGTAAGACACCCGAGATGAGCAGCACCGAGCTAAAAGAACAGCCCCTAGCCGATCAACAAACTAATGCCGACTCATCGCTAGCAAAGGAGCTAGAATCCGAGCCTTCTTCCCCTGTCAGCCGCAAGAACAAGAAAAAGAACAAGAAAAAGAAAGGGTCAAGTGCTCAAATCGAATTAGAATCATCTTCAGGAATACAAACGCCGACAAATCAAAAAGTGGACCCAAGTGGTAGCATGAGTGAGACTATCGCAACGGAGCATGCGACTCAGGATATGGAAGGGACTATAGGGAACGAGGGTGAGTGGCTAGAATCCCCGACGAGAAACCCCAGTGAAGACAAAAAACGCCGCAAAGCGTCGGGCGCTTCTACTCCTATGGAGTCCATGGAAGATGTACCCCTAAACGCTCCTTCGGAGACAGTGACAGAAGAGAATATCCCTAGACAGCCGACTCTGGAAGAGGTCTCAGAAGTCGAAGGGCATAGCTCTAAAGCAAAGGAAATCCTGAAAGATGAAGCCCTCTCCATTTTAAAAGATGAAGATCAAAATGCTAAGGATATTAATATCAGTCACCCTACTAAAGAGAGCGTAGCAGTTTTACAGGACATAGAGCTAGCCTTACTCCCTGAAGAGCGTCCCACTCGTTCCAATAAAGCCCCTATCGATGGGCCACGAGACATATCAGAAGACGTTGCGTTGTCGGTACCAATCTCTCGTCCCCGAACTCCCCCGACTGCTATGACACCCGCGATCAACGTTGATCTGTCGCCAGCCCAATTGAGTAGCCATGTGGAACATGACCGTCCCTTCGATCAATCACCGCAACCAGGCAAGAAGGCTAGGATTCGACAGTCCACTGATGACACAATGATTCCGAGGCCCAATTCGGCTCTAGCCGACCTCCCCCCTCAAATCATCCCGAGCTCGCATCACGAAACGTCCGGATTACTACCATCGACAAACTACAGGGTCACGCAGGCGGAGGACAGCGCTAATATCACTCCAGCCCGTGAGATTGCTGCTTCATATTTAGAATCTCAGCCAAGTTTGGCAGGTGATAGGAACACCGCCGTTGAAGATGACAGGAACACCAGATGGATGGATACTTCAGGTCTACTGCCAATGATTACGCCGCGGCGAGAGATTGCTGCCTCGTATTTTGAAGGACATTCTACTGATGACTACAAAGGAGAGGGCCTTGCTCCCGAATCCAGCAGCCTCGAGCCAGGCCAGCCGTCTGGAGATACTACAACATCGTATGCCGAGTCACAGTCTGACCATCATGATAATGGACATTTAGAAGGCGAAACTTTACCAGCTCAAACAGACGATGTCAAACAGTCAAGCCCTCTCCAGGATGCATCTCCGTCCGCCCGTGAGATCGCAGCAACGTATATGGAATCCCATCTTCATTCCCCTAAAAAATCGGCGGAGGTAGACGAACAAGTTAAGGCGCCATCCCCCGATACGATGAAGGCAGTGCCCCTAGCCAATCAGCCAATACAGCTTCTACCTTTATCATCTCAAAAAAGCGTGGTAGAGGCTGCCGAGGTAGAGAGTCCGATAGTAGGAAGACAATCACAGCAAGACCTACCCAGGCCAGGCACGGCCAGTGGTGACAATCTCATGTCGAGAGAAGTGTCAGGTTCCGATATCATGGAAAGGCTAGACAAGCTGGACACATCAGAGCATTTTAATGAGTCGGGGGGGTCAGTCGAAGAAAGCAAGGCTGACAGCAAATCGTTACAATCACCACCTCCTCGGCCGTCAGTGCTAGACCTGTTGAGCGCCGGGCGTGCTTCCCCTCGTGTTTTACCTCCGGTTAGAGAAGAGACGCACGAAGATTTAAATGAGCAGCAAAGTCAAGAGGAAGATGGAAAGAGAAAGACTTTATTTGCTAAGGAAGCAGACCGAGATAGTGGGTTCGTGGGGGATTCACCACATCCAATGAGGCGTAGCGTTGTGGGTGACCTAGGCCAGCGCGATAGCGGTGTGCATCTGCGGGATTGGCAGGAGAGCACAGCAGCGAAGAAAGAGGAAGATGTGACAGAATCTTCTCAGGCCAACGAGAGACGCAGCAAAAAAGTTGGACTGGCGAATGATGCACCTAAGTTGGGCACACCAATTTCACTAATTCGGAGCAATGGAAAAGTGGAAAAGGAAGTTGATGAAAAAGAAGAAGGAAAAGGAAGAGTACAAGCACAAGCACAAGCACAAACGCAAAGAAGTGTATCGGACAATGTGAATAACACGACAACAATTCCAGAGTCAGAAAAAGAGAAGCATCAGGTACATCGCTCAGCGTCGAACACAGGGATCTCGCGGTACAGGACACCAGAGCCAATCCAGTTAAGGTCTCAAGGACCAGGGGCATTTATTAGTCGGTCAGGCAATAATACCCCACCACTTTCTCTTAGGCGCATGGGTAAGCGAATGGGCGGTGACCTGCGATCTCTCAGTTCCAACATCTCGAACCCCAACATTTCCAACCTCTCCACTTCCACAACCCATACCGATACCCATACCGATACCCATACCAATACCCATACCAGTACCAATAGCACCGACAAGGAAAAGAAGAAGGAAAATCAAAATCCCCACCAGCAGAGCAACACCCCCATAGCAAATGAAGGCCGTGTCCGAGCCAAGGACATGACCGATGTATATGTGAGTATATTATTTTCTCTTTCTTTTTTTCCAAAGTCCTTCCACTTTTTTTTTTTTTTTTTATGTGTGATTCACCTTATTGTTGTTGTTGTTTTTTTTGACCATTCATCATTGATGAAGTGATTGATTGATTGATTGACTTGATTGATTGATTGAATAAAACATCCCGATCATATCAAATCAATAATAATGACAACCAGTATTCTATATGCTAATCATCCACACTTGCAGGATGGCTACGGCGAAGGCCGCATTGGCTCCCCGCGGTCCCCAACGAGACCACAGAGCATGCGTCGTCGGCAAAGTATGCAGGTATTAGAGCTCGAATCCAAAGTAGAACAATTGATGGCCGAGAATCGCGCGCTTGCCGATGCAAAAGCCCATGTCGAACTAGATCTGAACCATCAAACCATATCCGCTGTGACGGAGCGGGACGCCGAAATCGAAAGTCTAAAGGCCTCGCTTGAGTGGCTCCGCAAAGAAGTTACCCGATTGACCGAGGTCAACGAAGGTCTCCACAGCGCCAATAACGTCCTTGCGCTCCAGCATAGTGAAAAGTATGGTCACTTGGAATCTCAACACAGTTCTGCTGCCAAAGAACTTGACGAGCATCGTTCTGCTAGAAATCAATACACCAAAACACTACATCAAAAAGACGCGGAGATTCAAGAGCTTCGTGCCCAGCTCGAGGCTACCAAGGAGCAAGTCAGACAGATGCAACAACAGATTCTCGCTACGAAGCCTCCCGATGTCGAATTCCTCCGCCTTCGAGACGAGGATTACTTTGATCATCGTTGCCAACAATTGTGTTCGCACGTGCAGCAATGGGTCCTTCGCTTCTCCAAATTTTCCGACATGCGGGCCTGTCGCTTAACAAACGAAATCAATGACGAGAAGATCATCGACCGATTAGATAACTGCGTTCTAGATGGATCTGATGTTGATGATTACCTGAGGGACAGGGTGAAGCGACGGGACATCTTCATGTCCATGACCATGAACATGATCTGGGAGTTCGTCTTCACCCGTTACCTCTTCGGCATGGACCGAGAACAACGCCAGAAGCTCAAGTCTCTGGAAAAGCTTCTATTGGAAGTCGGGCCGCAGCAGGCAGTCCGCCAGTGGCGTGCGGTGACACTGACGCTACTGTCCAAGAGGCCAGCCTTTGGCGACCAACGAAACCAGGACACGGAAGCGGTCGTGCAGGCCATCTTTCAGACGCTATGCCTAATTCTCCCACCTCCCTCCAACCTGGAAGCGCAAATCCAATCGCAGCTCCGCCGCGTCATGCGTGAGGCGGTTGACTTGTCGATTGAGATGCGCACGCAACGAGCCGAGTATACAATGCTGCCACCGTTGCAGCCCGAGTACGACGCCAGCGGCGACCTGGCACGCACCGTCGTTTTCAATGCAGCCATGATGAACGAGCGATCCGGCGGGTCCATCTCCAACGACGAATACGAGGCCCAAAACACCATTGTCCGCACCGTGCTCTTCCCACTCGTGGTCAAGAAGGGCGATGATAATGGTGTCGGCGAAGAAGAGATTGTTGTCTGCCCCGCACAAGTACTTGTCGCAAAGCCACCGCGACAGCCCACGGCACGTATAGTAACACCGTCTTCCGACGCAGGTGGCGTACCACTATCTAGGGGCGCTACACCATCAGTTTCGGGTCAGGCCCCGAGCGTCGTCAGCCTGCAGATGCAGGACGCTCCTCTTCCCATCCCGACCCCCCCATATGAGGCAGAATACATGGAAGGCGGCATTTAGAAAGGCGGCGCCTCTATACACGGAAAGGGGCACAGAATTTAATAATGGGATTGCATACCTAGGTTACGAAGAGGAATAATGAAAGGGTGCATATGGGGATAAGCATATGACCGGGCCGATAAGTAACGAATGCATTTAATGGAGGAGGGAAACGGACGGCCACATATGAAGATATGTCACACACACAAAAAGAGAGACACATACGGGGTGTTGGTACGATACGATCACGATACGATACCTGGCCGGCGTTTACTCCGCTTTCCTGTTTTGCTTTTTTTTTTTTTTTTTTTTTTTTTATATGTTTTGGTCATGACGGTTGGATCTAAGGCGTGTTGGTGTATGGTGGTTTTTTCTGCCTCTAATATCCCATCTCCACACCAAGAGTTTTTTTGCTTTTTGCCTTTTTTTGCATCTCTCCCATCTCTCTCACATCCTGGATTTAAAAAGTTGAGAAAGGTGTGTTTTATTTAAAGAAAGGGATGAAACTGATTCTGAATTTTTGGGGGGGGGGGGGATTGATCGATAAATGAAATGAAGTCATGACCTACGAATTTCCTTTTTCTTTTTTAAAAAAAAAATCTCATTCTATTTAACTATTCATTGTTCTTCTTCGTGGAAGAATTAAAACGAAGAAGATTTGATTTGATATCTCTTTATTTATCATTGTACTTTTATAACGAAATCAAGATATCTTTTGATGATGTTTGCATATCTATTTATTTACCTGGGTATCTACATACTACATACCACATACTACATATACTACATAGGTTTATCTAGCCTAGGTATGAATGAATGAATGAATAAATGAACTGGTACTCAAATATCATATGTCTGTCTGCCTGCCTGGCTGTGTGTCTATGTGTCTATGTGAATGAATAGTATGAAATGAATAAGTTGCCGAGCACGTAGGTACTAGGTAGTAAATCGATCAATGAAATATCAAGATACTTCATCATAAAAACAAGCGAACGCTAGATTTCTATATGATATGTACCTAAGGTAGGTACGTCAAGGTATCTTCTTCTTTGTGTTTCGCATGTCTCATTAGTTTAGTTATGGGTGTCGTCGGACGCCTTAAAACACACACCTGCACACACACATTTACACCCAAATCCTCTCATCACCGAATTGCTTCATGCCGTTTGTCGCTCTAAACATATAAGAAAAGACAAGATTAAAGCTTCCCTCCCTCCCTCCCTCCCGCCCTCCAAACCCCCTGCCTTTCAATGACAAGAAAAGAAAGAACCCCCCCCCCCCCCCCCCCCCCCTTTTTTTTTCTTGTTTCTTCTCTTTTTTTGGTTTCTTTTGGGGGGAGTTTTCAATTACTCCAGTTCGCGACGCCAAAATTAGGATCATGAAATCCATGCATACTCAGTCCGCCCGTGTGAGGGTCATTAGGGAATAGAGCATTAATCGTATCCTGAAGTAATATGTACCTGATTAGTATGTATTTCCTATTCTTACCATATTTTCAAGCATTGTACTGTAATGGGAAAGGAGTGAGTGAGTGAGTTGAGTAGTAATGAAAGGCTCTTGAGACGGACCCAATCGATAGTATCCATGATACTGCCCTGAGGTACACTACTGGTGGCCCCTCCCACCATTCTGGGTGCCGGGATCTGATGTCCTTGGTCTATACTCGACCCATCGCTTTCGGGGCTCGTGTGGTTAGGTGGCAGACTCCATAATGCCTGCCCGTCAGCGACACCGGCGAACACCATTTGCGGCTGTTGTGGCACTGGGCGCCCAGCCGGCATTGGAGGTGTGTATCCCGGTTCTATCTTGGGGATCTCTGGTGGTATCCCCGAAGCGGGTTGCTGCAATTGGTTATGCTGCACATCCTGCGAGTGCATTGCCGTTCCCGCCACTACGTTCTGTCCGGGAATGGCCCGGGCAAGACTCGTGGGCCCACGCATCTTGCGCATTTGCATGTATATCGCCGTCTTACCTTGTATCTCAGAGAGGATTTGTAAAGCCTTGGTTTCAGGTGGAAGCCTCGGGTCTATGGTGAAGGCGTAGTCCAGGCATGACCATATTCGATCCGCTTCGCGAGACTGTGGTCGAAAGTAGACTTCAGTTGCCAAGAGTAGAGCGATCTGATACTGGAAGTAGGCACCCAAGTACCACGCCCACTCCCGAAAACTAGGGTTTGTCTCGAGCAAGATGGCATGCTCGACGATCATGATACCAGACGCGATAAGAATCTGGTTTAGCCGGGGAGGCATGGGGTTGGCAGCATTGGAGTGGTAAGGGTGAAGGATCATCACGTGTAAACGGCATGTAAGTAGATACATGACGCTTTTGGCATACCTTTGCTTGGGCTGTGCAACGTCCAAGAGGTGGTCGTACTTTTCACACATTCGCCGGCGGAAGTTCTCGATCTTGGCGAGCACAGCTGTTAGTGTGGTCCGGCGGGTCTCGAGTCTCCGCCTATCGATCCATATGATGCGCATCATCTCATTAATCTCGAATCGGATCAAAGCAAGGGTGTTGGTGGTCCAAACGTCTGCCGGCTCGGGTGGTGTCACCGCATGTGTAAGGTCCTCCTCGTTACAATTTATGGGTAACTTGGTGTCATAATCATCTCGTCTGATGATTGGTTTGGGCCCCTGTGCTTCACATGTCCGGATATCGAGGAAGCATAGCTGGTGCCAGATTAGGCGGCGAACATGAGTCTCTAATGGTGAAAGCCCGTATGCCTCTCCATCACGATGCAACCCCATACACTCTGCCATTCGGAACGCCGCCGCAACGAGCACCGAATGAGCTCTGGATACTTCTGCCCTGCATAGGGGAATCTTCCGTAGAGTTAGCACCACAGTCTATACTATTCCCCTATTCCACTTTCCAAGGTAAGACAGGTGAAAAGTAAGTGAACTAAACCCACCATATACATAATGAAAGCCTGCATCGTTTCCACTTTAGTAGTCCTCAGCAAGTTTGCTTTACTCAAAGCACTCTCAGTACCCATCTTGAGACTGGCGACCCAGTTTGCTTTAGAAAATCCGCCGAGCTCAGGTGGCACGACAGCCTCATCCATACTGATAGCTCCGCTAAACATAGCCCCAAAGATGAGTGCCTGCATCGAAGGCCGGGGCTCGAATCCTGCGTTAATTTCTTCCCAAAATGAAGCGTAAGTAGCCTCCAGCGTGGGACGGTGGGCGCACGGAGCTATCGGGTGTACAGAAATGAAGTACTGGTTCATCAACTGATCTGCGGCAGCCTTGTATGGCAAGAATTGGAGAATAGACGGTGGCTCTCCTATCTGGCCGAAAAAGAAACCGCTGTTAGGTACTAAATATTGATCACCTGGCTTTAGAAAGTCGGGCATATCTTCGATGGTGGGTTTCTGTCCTCCGAGTTGTGGTGGTTGTGAGGCCGAGAGGCCGGCTGATATCTAGAGTGCAGCTTGTGAGAGGACAACTCCTAACTTAACATGCACAGCTCTTACCTACCTCTTCAGATATCCTAGGCCGCGAGAGGCCGCCTATTCTTTCCGTGATGCGCATTTTGCCAATTTGGATCCCTAGATCGATCATATCACTCGCCTCATCGGCATCGTCCTCGTATGTTACGTCTAACGCCGCGAGTGGCGTGGCCTCCAAGTCGTGGTCCTCGTCATAATCACCTCCAATATCGTCTGCTAGAATGCGCTGTTGTAGTGCACTTTTGGTTGTCGTGGATTTCGCAACGTCTCGTTCGAGTTCTCGCTCAAGCGTCCCTTGTTTCTCCTTGATCTCAGCTAGACGTATTTGACTAGCTTCGTCTAACCGGGGGCCTATGTATAAACAATCCCGGTTGGTCTTGACGCAGTTCGTACACGACGGGCTTGTCTTGGAGCATTTTAACTTTCTTCTTCGGCATTCTAGGCAGCTTTATAACGAGCGGAGCGCAAGAGACAAAACTTTGATTTCCTAGTACATAGGTCTAGGTCTAGGTCCAGGTCCAAGCCTAGGCCTACATACATCCAGGGGATCATAGTTTTGTTCCTGGGATGCTCCGTGCTCGGGAGTTAGCATTCATATTTTGGTTATCGTCCGAAGGGATATGAATAAGAAGGGAGGGAAGATATAATAAGACATAGATAGACATGGATACGTAGCTAATTCTCTTCGTCTTCTTTAAAACTGTTTTCTTCTCTCTCCCTTCTCTCCCTCCTCATCAACTAGCGGCAAAAAAACATATCTCACCTATTTATCATGCGATTGCGCCGACGAATAGGCTTGGCCTGCCAAGAGGTCCGTGAGTGAGCATCCGGATCCAAGCCGGCCACGTGGTCTATCGGTTCCATGGTAATGGTCCGGTAGTTATGTTTTGCCTGAAGAACGGCCGGAGGCGAGGATGTGTCGGTTGTTGAGTATATGCGCCAACGCCGTTGTGGATCGCCCTGATCTCATAGGCCCATCTAGTCCCCCCGGTTTTCATGTCAGATCGTACCCAGATTCCGGGGAGGGTGGTATCCAGTAGTATTCGCTAATTGGGCACCAACGTCCAATTTATTTATTTGTTCTTGGCTCAAGGTACGCGGTATACGAAGGTAACTTCCTTTGCGATCACTATAAGCACGTGAATTAGTCAATTAATCTTAGTTGAGGTGTGGTGAGCTTGCTCTATTATATCAATTAGAGGCTAATCAACATCGACGTCGGCGCCTATGCCTGAGGGTTATTGGAAAACGCTAGATGGGTTTCGTACGTTGGGGGATGGGTTAATATACCGAGACCGTGGATTCCCTTGCATGCAATTAATGTCCATCGATGGAAATCGCAGGATAGGGTTTCCTTTGACGCTGGCGCTGACACACTTGTCGCCGCTGCTGCATGGCGGGAATACCCACGAATAGCCGTAGAGAGCGAAGCGAAGGGAGGGAGGGAGGGAGGGGGGCTCAGAAATGGAGAATATGCTGTGAAAAGAGGAGTAAAGAGACAAGGCTGTCCACCATCACCGACAGATAGAAGAAAAGAGGAATAAATGACTTGAAGAATTGATTAAAGAAAGTAAAATCAAATAAAATCAAATGCCTACCAGGTAGTAGGTACCTAGTAGTAGTATGTACACAACATACCTAGTACCCATGTAATGGCATGTATCCATGGATGTAGCACATACATACATACCTCATGCCATGTACCATACTGGTCCATACCTACATACATACCTAATACCTACCCTAGGTACCCTACATATCATATGTACATACATCCATTGCCTACATACATCACACGGGAACACACACACACACACACACACACACGCAGTGGGGCCAAATTGCAAGTACAGGGGCTATTTGGATGTTCAAATGTTCCTGCCTGCCTCCTAACATTGAAGTTCAAGGCTGTTCTCTAATGTTGTGCTTTCCCTGCTCCAAAATACGTACATACATACTTCAAGTTGAGAATCTCAAGGCTGGCTAGTACGTACCGTTCATTGTATCACTGCGTACATAACATGATGTATTTGATACTCTAACTGGCTAGTACTATAGAGCCTTATAATGCAAATAGCAGCATACACAGTACCCACCTAGGGCACTCAAGAACATTACTAGCCTTTGAGGTATGTTCGGATGTTACACCTACATGTATGTAAGCACTGAGACACTTAGTGATTAGGTAGGCATATGATATATACCTACCAGTTACGGTCGCAGTTGCAGTTGCAGTTTCTGGGGGGCATTGAATAAATGTAATAATAGTATTATGTATTTTTTTTGTTATCTTTAGCAGTTGACGAACATATACACCTACATATGTACATATCGGCTGATGGTGGCTTACCCAGCTCCCCGGGTAATGTACCCGGGTGTACGGTAAGCCACTTACATGTACAATACCGGCAGTAGGTATGTACAAGTACTGTATATAATAATATACAGCAATGTTTGGTAGTATGTACCTGGCTTGTATGGTCAGAAGCCAGCACACTCTTTAATGTTTGTGTCTGCCCAATCAAGAGACCGCCCAGGATATCATCTGTTTCCATCTTCATCTGCCTACATACATACATACATACATACATACATACATACATACATAGTACACACCTAGTATGTATATGTAGCATCGAGTTCACTCGGCATGCCTTGGATACGTGTGTCCCTAGCCTAGATCATCTCAACTCTAATAGATATGATCTAATGCTTCCCAGTCGGCCCCTCCGATCTACCCCCAAACTTATCTCAACAGGCGAAACATGCCAAAATAGAGCCGAGCAGGATCAGGCTCTAATTAGCTTGATCGCCCCATCCACAACAACCGCTGGGGATCCTTTGCCGGATCGAGAGAGTATCGCTAGCCTGCATCAGTCTCCAAACATTTGAGAGGCTACCGCTAAGTCTGCCTCTGCCGTCTCTAGACATCCAACTGTTGTGTAACTCGTAGCAATGTAATAATAAGCTCAACCTCTCTCCAGCAGAAGTTCGAGGGAAACTGTGGATACCACTCGCGGCCCTTTTGCTCCCCGGTCCTGGAACGGTCTAAGCGAGGTCGGTGAGATCGTTCGACCTTATACGCCGCAACTCTGTGATACCACCGAGCTTATATTGCTTTGCCTGAGTACCTACGTACTGAGGGGGTACCTATTCTTGCTCAGGCTGACAGGCTCCCATTCTATCCTCTGATGTCCTTGGTCTGTACGCCGTCATCACTCAAGCACATGACAGGAGCTAGCAAAATGCTAATATCGTGATCATTAGGTACCTATGTAAAAGTCGATTTTCATCATATGTGTGAACTTTGGTTAGTGCGTTCTTTAACACGTTCGAGGTGACGCCGATAATTCATCTCCCGCCACCTTTTGAGGCCTAATCCTATCTTCATCATTTGGTCACCATTGGTCTGTTTGCGCAACAGGTATAGAAACCACTTTAGTCGTCTAAGTCGGCCTGGTTTCCCTTCTGCAAGGTCCCTTGTGATATTGTGGAGTAGTGCGATCAAGGCTTCGGTTGGCGCCCAGTTTCTGCGAGCCCATGTAATGTAACGGATACATTTCGTAATTAATTCCAAGGCCGTCCTGTTCGAGATATTTGGCGACTTTGCAAATGCCATGGCTGCTCGGGCCGCCTTCATGAGTTGGCGCCTTTTGACCTTGGATCTTGGCCTTTGTCTTACTATCATCGTCCGCGAACACACCACGCCCAAAGCGAGTAGAATCTTGCCATGATGCAACACTCGCGACCTGGTCATCAAGTGTAAGATTTTGTATGAAAATCGAGTCTTCCAGAAGCAAGTAGGAATCTGTGTGCTTTTTTCGTAGAGATGATAGATTTCCAAGGCCATAATAGGGTCACCTATTCCGATGGCAAGATTTGCCAGGGGCGTTGCTTCATTCTTCACAAGGATCCGAAACCCTTTCACGAGGCGCATGATATCTTGTCCTCGGCCGAGATTATTGAGAAATTCGCAAAGACCCAGCATGTGCTGATATTGGTCTGTCCGCCACAACATCAGGCTGAAGGAGCCATAGCACTCCCAGTCATTTTCTATAAGATTGTCTTGGATCGAATTGCTCAAGCTTGTGAGAGCCCTCAACGAGTTTTGATGCTTAGCCAGATACATCTCGCAAATTTCTTTGTTAGAAAGTGGAACGACGTCTTTGCCAGCTTCAAGGGTGCAACAAACATTCGTCAAATAGTCTTCATCTAGGCCCGGTAATCTGGCTAGGACTTGTAGCCACACCAGGCGCATTCGAGGGAAATCCACGGCTTTGGACTCCCTATGCGCCGATAAACACTGATTAATATCCTCTAGTATATATAAATGATCAACCGGGTCCAATTTCTTAAGGATCACGGCCATCTTATTGACCTGCCGCATCAACTTCGAACGTATCTCTGCATTTTCTGAGGCGATCAAATAGGTACGCAAGTTTGCTCCTATTCCACCAGACACATCATCCAAGTAGCACTCCGGTATTTTAGCCATAGCATGGGCAAAAACACGAAGATTGTTCATTTGTAACTTGGAAATCCCGTGGAATAAAGCCGCCCAAGCCAGCCGGTTTGGATGGAATTTCCCCTGCACCGTTAGACACGACAAGCCCGCCGTGGTGGCTTCAAGCAGAATCAGTCTAAACTTATCGACCAACTTTTGTTCCACAGACACATTAGTACCCAACTGCAGTATGCTTAGCCCATCTTGGATGGCATCTAGTACGAGGCCAACTGCGTTGCCGGAGCGGAGACCGCAGGCTATATGGTCCTTCCAACCATTACAAAACCGGGTGAAGTTTGATCTTGTTGACATTGTTATTTCCGATGATAAGTCTTCATACAGAAGCTTGAGCCCAATGCCGATAATATCTGACGGGGTGCTATGGGGGTCTATGATGACTGTATCCGATAGCGTACTCACGGCATCTATAATGATTTCGGGCGATGATTTCGGAACAGTATCAAGAGCGGTATCGGGAGCGGTATCGTGGATGGTATCGTGGACGGGATCGGGCACATGCGTTGAATTCGCCTCCTCTCTCCCCCAAAGCCATCTTATTGCAAAATCGGCCAGAGTCCGCCCTCTTGTGACGCCATCTCGGGGCTGTCCAAGCTGTGAAGTCGGTGATGGCGACTTCCATTTCCATTGCGTCAGGTCTGCCAGGTTGTCGAACTGCCACAGCGGCTCACCAGGTGGCTGGCCAAGGCCGAGTCCTGCCATACGTCGTTTCCCTAAGCGCCTTCTATTTTCCAAGGGGCCCGGAACAGAGGAGCTATATCGAGCAACGGTTCTTGATATTGTCCAATAGCGCTCAAATATTGTAGCAAGAAGAGCATCGGATACCCATACATAATCGTCTTGGGGGCGTATACGATGGCGAATAGCTTGACGACATGGCGAGATTAGGGCGGGAGGCATGGGCCGAGGAAATGAGTAGAAGGCGATAGGTTGCGCAAATCCTCCTCTTTATTCATGGGCACTTTGATGGCTTAGTCAAACCATTTCGAGTCAATTGGGTGGATCAATATAATCATTTGATTAGTTCGGCGACTAGTTGCATGAGTCGAATGTAGTCGACCATGAGGCTATGGATTTTCTCGGGTATCGGTCTAGGTGGATTTGAATTTGAAGCTTCGAGGTTGAGAGGTTGAGAGGTTGAGAGGTTGAGAGGTTGAGAGAAAGGGAGAAAGAGAGAAATACGAATACAGAGATATTAGGATTTTGATATTTTGGAGGTTCCAGGGTTTAAACGATTCGTAACAAGAAATTCCAGGTTAACGAGAAGTTTAAAAGATTAGGGACATTCTCATTGGTTCAGACTCAGCTCCCCACTGCTATGTTGTTAGGTAGGTACTAACTATGTAGGTACTTTGCCCGATGATGCGCCTCAGCGGCCTCACAATGGCTCACATATCACATTAGAATCCTGACAGGGGTTCATCCCACCAAAGCTTAGCCGGAACAGCGGGGTTCAATGATAATGTTTCAGAGTCTAATAACATAGTATGTACCTACATAGTACAGTAACGTTGTTCATCTCTGGAAACATTAAACATTGAACATTAAACATTGAACATTGAACCTTTCTTTCTTTCACACCAATTATACCAATTATAAAAACGACTTGTCCTTGTGTCTTTCTTTAATCATGGCTCACCAATTTGAGCCTCTGGCCAATGATTTGATTCTCAGGACAGCAAGGGGTACGCTTTTCTTCTTTGTGCTATCATATCAATCTCAACATTATACTAATACATAACCCCCCACGATATAGGCGAAGATGTAGAGCGCGCCCCAATATGGATCATGCGGCAAGGTATATACAACATGCGCCCATATCTATATTTATACCTAATGTACAGATACTCATTTCATGTATATAGCTGGTCGATATTTACCGGAGTATCATCAAGCCAAAGGCGGCCATGACTTCTTTGAATGCTGCCGAGATCCCGAGATCGCCTCGACCCTGACCCTACAGCCAATTGAACGGTTCGCTGGCTTGCTAGATGCCTCCATCATCTTCTCCGATATCCTTGTCGTACCCCAAGCCCTAGGAATGGTCGTTGAGATGGTAGATAAGAAGGGTCCGCACTTCCCGGACCCGCTCAGGTCTCCCGATGACGGCCAATATTCCAAAGTCCTCGAAAAGAAAGTCGACGTAGCTGCCGAGTTAGACTACGTGTACAAGGCCATAACATTGACAAGGAAGAAGTTAAAGGGCCGTGTGCCGTTGATTGGCTTCTGCGGCGCTCCTTGGACACTCTTTTGCTATATGGTCGAAGGTGGAGGGACGAAACTCTTCATCGAGAGTAAGAAGTGGATATACCGCTTTCCCGAGGAATCTAAGGCCCTGCTGCAAAAGATAGCAGAGGTCTGCGTGGAATACCTAGCGCTTCAAGTGCAAGCAGGAGCTCAATTGATCCAGGTCTTCGACTCGTGGGCAGGAGAGCTATCGCCTACGACCTTCAAAAAGTTCAGCGAACCTTACCTGGCTTATATATCCACCAACCTTCCCAAGAGACTAGCGGAATTGGGGTTGGAGCGAGTGCCTATGATTGTCTTCCCTAAAGGAGCCAACTATGCACTTGACTCGGTTTGCAATTTAGGCTACGACGTCGTAGGATTAGACTGGCAAATCGAGGCCGCGGAAGCCGTGAAGATTAGAGGGGATAGGAAAATTGTGTTCCAGGGAAATGCGGATCCTGGCGTATTATACGGCACAAAGGAGGCTATATCAGAAACAGTGAGGGAAATGGTGCAGGGCTTCGGGGGCGGGAAGAAAGGTTGGATTGCCAACCTCGGCCACGGCATCACGCCACTGGTGAAGCCGGAAGATCTAAAGTTCTACCTTGAAGAAGTTCAACGCTTAACTAGTCGCTGATCAAGTCTTAAACCTTTACCAAACAGTCAACTAGATGGCCTAGATTTTGTAGAGTTAAAAGTTAGAAATTTCAATGTTACTCGTCCGGAAAGCTCTTGTCCAAGTCTATCCTACTCCTATGCATAGTTAGTTCATACCACACCAGATGAAAATATATTGGTAAAAGAGGGACCCTTCTCTCCTTTTTTCCCTTTTTCTTTCTTTTTTTTTTACTGTACGGAATAATACATACCACGATATCGACCAAGCCACCCTCCCCCCCAAACTCCTACACACGTTCTGGCTGCCGAGGTTATCCGGCGCCACGTCGGCCCAGCAGTACGGCGAGTCGTCGTACTCGCTCAGCCGCTCGCGCAGCAGCCGCACGGCTACCGCTTTCGCGAGCCCTTTCCGCCGGTACCCTTCCTCGCAGTGCAGGTTGCTCAGCGCGGAGTCGGGCCCGAGGATCGCCCACGCGATGGGCGTGTCGGGGGAGCGGTAGATGGCCATGGTTGGGACGAGGATCAGCGTTCGTCTGGGATGGAGGTTAGTATACTGTATATATATATATTAGATACCTACCACCACTTTGAAGTTCGGGATATCATAGATAGATAGATAGATAGGGAGGGAGGGAGGTGGGGAGGGAGGTAGATTTCTAGTTAGAAGCACACGACCAACATACTCCGTCCGCGCAATGCTCGTCCGCGACAGCAGCAGCGGTATGTCCTCCCTGCGAAACCGGTCCCACCGCATGTCCCCCGCCAGCGGGCCCGGCGCCGCCGGGAGCCGGTCCGCGCGGAACAGCCACTTGTCGTAGATGCCCACGCCCGTGAACACCACGCCCCGCCGCAGCAGGGCCACGCGCGTCGCCTCGCTGAGCGTGCCGGCGAGCACGGGGCCCGCGAAGCTGCGGGAGGAGGCTAGGAGTTTGACTGAGCGGAGGATGGCGAGCGCGCAGGCTGTTGCTGTTGCTTCTGCTTCTGGTTCGGCTTCGGCTTCTGGTTCGGCTTCTTCTTGCCCCGACGACAGCCCGGGAAAAGGCGAAGCGGGAGCGTGCGCGGGATGCCGCTCCAGCGAGCAGTAGAGCCACACCTGGGTCTCGGGGTCGCGCGATAGATCGACGTAGGCAGCCGCGCAGGGCGTGTTGTTGTTGTTGTTGTTGTTGTTGTTGTTGTTGTTGTTGTTCTCCGCAGCTGACGACAACGACGCCGCGGAAGCGAAGAGGATCCGGGCGTGCTCCGTGATGCCCCCCGGAAACCGCGTGAACCGCAGGCGCCGCAGCAGGGGCAGCGCGTGCGGCATGTGGTGCGTGCCGAGGAGGGCGACGAGGTCGTCCGGGGGCGAGCGATATGTGGTTACGTTTACTGACATCTCGGGGGGTTTTTTTCTTCTTCTTCTTCTTTCCTCACCTTTCCCTTCCTATCTATTTTCCCAATTTCTTATAATGTTTTTTCTTCTTATCAACCAGGAAAGGTAAGGAATAGCCGGAAGCACGTTACACAAAAAATTGCCGGGTGAAAATAAATAGTCACGTGGGCACCCCCGAGCCCGCACATATGATAAAAGCGTTTGATACCAAACTAACTAACTATCTTTCTTATAAATCACATCTTCTAAAACACGCCACAGTACGCATATATAGACACGCACTGTATAGGTCCACTGTACCAGGCACCCCTTTTGAGCAGCTTGCACGCACACCACCGTCAGAAGCGTTTGTAATCCGGAACGGAGTTACCCGGAACGGAGGACAAACTCGATGTGGGTGTGACATGCCGTTCCTACAAGGGTACATATGATATATAGTAATATAAACGCTGACTGTTGGCTCCATGTGACATCCACACTACAACGCTAGATCTGCGAAGCGGTCCAACTTTCCGTCCGGGACCTTACGGCGGCCTTTGTAGGTAAGTAGGACATATCTTACATACGCGCGCGCGCGCACTAACATGCATATGGCATATGACATCCATTATAAAAAGGAAGCCGAGAATCCGGTGTGATGACACGACTGACTTGACGACCTGAACTTGGTAGCTATAAAATCAGATCCTGAACCTTGGAAACTTTTGTATATAACTACGCGGTAAAGTAAATATCTCACATAGGTAAAAACATCATGGCGCAACCAGCACCCGAACTCAACATCCCGGCCTCGACGGCGACGGTCGACGTCTCCATCATCAACACCAGCAGCATCCTCTACGGGCTCGACACCACGCGGTTCTTCGGGCCCCAAGTCCCGGGCCACGAGTACCTAGCGGGGCCGTGCTACTCCTTTCTCATCCAGCACCCGGTGCTGAAGCGGTCGCTGGTGTTCGACCTGGGCGTCAGGAAAGACGTCGAGAACACGCCGCGCCCGCTGCTAGAGGCGGCCAAGGCGGGGGGCGTCGGCATCTCGGTGTCGAAGGACGTGCGCGAGATCCTGGACGAGAACGGGGTCGACGCCAAAACCATCGAGGCCGTCATATGGTCGCACGCGCACTTTGACCACACGGGAAACCCGGCCAGGTTCGACCCCAACACGGCGCTGATCGTCGGCCCCGGCGTTAAGGAACACTTATTCCCGGGCTACCCCGCCAACCAACACGTCATGTTCCTCGAGGCCGACTACGCCGACCGGGAGGTGAAGCAGCTGGACTTCACCGCGGGCACGCCGTTTAAGATCGGCCAGCTGCCCGCCATCGACTACTTCGGCGACGGCTCTTTCTACTTCCTCGACACGCCCGGCCACTGCATCGGGCACGTGTGTGGCTTCGCGCGCGTGACCAGCAACCCGGATAGCTTCGTGCTCATGGGCGGCGACGTCGTGCACCACGAAGGGGAGCTACGCCCGAGCCGGTTCCACCCGCTGCCAGACTCCATCTCGCCTCATCCATTCGACCCGAACGGCGACAGCGCGCCGTGTCCGGGGCACCTGTTCGAGAAGCTCCTGCACGACGGGAAGAAGGACGAGCCGTTCTACCGTGCCACCACCGTCGACCAGCACGGCTACCCCAGCGTGCACCACGACGCCGCTCTGCGTGTCGAGACTGTCTTCAAGGTGCAGGAGCATGACGCCCACAACAACATCCTCTTCGTCCCCGCCCACAGCCACTACATGCTGAACGTTGTGGACTTCTTCCCCGCGAAAGCCAATGACTTCGTCAAGAAAGGCTGGGTCGGCAAGACGAGGTGGAGTTTCTTGGCCAACTTCGCCAAAGCGGTGGGCCATGAAGGCAAGGTAGAGGCTGCTGGTGACTACAATACGCCGCATACGAGTTAGGTACCTAAGGTTGGCACCAGGAAATGAACCGCTCGCTAGGTAGGCAGAGGGAGGGTTCGGCGTTTAGGAACGGGAAACATCCCATTATGAAAAATCTCCTCTTGATGATAAGTGTCATTTTTGGGCGTTGCATGGTGAAGCGAGGTAGGTAGGGAGGTACCTAATAAGTGCCTGTTTATGTTGCACGACAGTTTGCTGTTGTACAACTCCAGCCCCTGAAGATGGTGAGTAGATAGATACCTAAATAAATAGATGCTTGTAGCATACATACCTGGGTACCTAGGTATCATCTATCCATATCATACGCTGACTCCAGCCCTTCGTAAATGAACCAAGTTACGCAACAAGGCGCGAATCTAGGTACTTAGTTGGTAGGTTGGTCATCGGTAAATACCACCGTGTGCATTTATGTTAGTTAGATGAGGAGGCATCTCAGTCCAGGTGGGTTGGTATTGGCTCATGCGCGGCGGTGATTGTTCTGAATGGGTCCCAACTAGGGTTGTTGTCGCTGGATCTCCGTCTATGCCAAACGAAGGCGGCGCTGTTGCATTGCCCGACATCGTGTTAACCATGTACGAGAAGTCGGCTCCTACCCGTGATGCCCATTGACCGTCAATGCTTGCAAGTCCTTCTTGGACGTTGGGGTCGATGTGAACGGGGTTGCGCGGCTGATGCTTGCCCTGCGCTATTATGTTCAAGATCGCCGACTTTACGCGCTCAAATACATCACGATACTTTCTAGCCGATGGATAGCGCTCAGCCACAATGTATAAGAGAATTTGACAATCCGTTAGCGGCCCGTCTATGCTGATGGAGTTTTGAGGAGTTAGCCATGCGCAGTATATCAGAGTAAGGCCTGCTATATGTTAGTAAACTAGTCCAAGAATGGGGGAAGACCGGTGAGTCCACCGTGATATGCTTACCTGCTAGGAATACAGATTGTATCGACAGTGCCGAGAAACCTATTGGGAATAGATGGTGTAGTTTTCGATAATCGGAAATAATACCAATACAAGCGTCAGCACATATATTCAGGTAATGCATGTTTACAGGAGTCTCGGCAAGTTGTGGGTATAGCAAGAAGCGAACGCAGCGATAGTAATGAAGCGTATATAGCTCGATGCCCTCAAAAGCATTGTCGTGCCGATGAACGTAGTGGGCCGCTTCATGGGGAATAGCATCTTTCCATGCGTGCAGTCGATCAATAAACGAGTTTATAATGGTTTTGGAGACCTCCTTAGGTTGATCAACCCTATAAACGTCGTGCTGGATTTCCGACTCGATTTGCTTCAGTCGCACCCGGTGAATAAAAGATGTTAATGTGTTGGGAGGATTAACCGGAATATTGCTAACACGCGTAGATGCTAGGCGGATGACCTCATCGTCAATCGTGTCTTCGTTGATATCATAGGGTAGTTCTACATCGATATCGCGGTCTGATATAGATGGAGGTCGTCCGATAGCAATCGAAATATCTCGATCAAGTAAGTATGCGGTCCAGAACAGTCTTTTATCCATCTCGCCTTCCATGTTTAGTTGTGGTCTCCGTGGTTGTCGGTGTAAACCGAGTTCTATACACAGCCTCATGGCTTCCCCAACGAAGGTCCAGGCGCCTGGATCCCTGGGAGCCCGTGTGCAATAGAGGGCCATGAGCAATAAATAGTTAATTGTGCGGCAATCCCGAAGACGAAGCATTGAATCCAACTCATCAAATGCTAGATTATAATGTTGGTCGCTGAAATAATGCCCCATTTCGCCAGCTGACTCTAGCCAGCGCCCACTTACCGCATATATAAGATGTAATATGGCTCGTTCATATTCGTCAGTGAGGACATCTCGGTTATTATGAAGCCTCACCACTTGTGATGAGTGTATGATAGGGTATCGTGTCGCTATGTGCCTGAACCATCCGTGTAAGAGTCTTGTAGCGACCTGGGGACTCAAAAAGGGGACCCCTATCATATCGCCTTCGTTGGTTGAATAGATAGATTTTGGTGCTGGATCATCGTCGCTTTGACTAGAGAACTCTTCATAGGGACTGGAAATCGAGGATCTCTGACTGTGTACAAATGAACCTAGTACTCGCCCCATGGTAATATTTGAAGATGCACCAATGTAGTGTCCAGATGCCGAAAGTGACAAGTCCCTGACGGCAAGTAAAATATCGTTTGAACATTCTTCCTTATCTTGCTGGACTTGCGATCGTGTTACCTGACGAGACTGACTCGTCGGCTCTCCAGCTATATGTGCTGATGAGGTTGGCTGTCTTAAATGCCCTAGATGATCAACGCCACCTCTAGGGTTATGTCCAATTGAATTAAGATATAATTCTAGCTCGGCGATTCGCTTTTCAAGAGCCCTGATATATATCTTCTTCTCCCCTGCAGCAGGAACAAGGGGAACGATGTAGACTACATGGCGATATGTTATCAGACACATAAAGGTAGGCTCGCCAACGATACGAGTGACATACCGCATTTCAATGACAGACGGGCACATGAACCGCAAGCGGGTCTTTGGCCATCACACTATAACAGGCACAAGTTAGACAGTGCTTTTCAACAGGTGGTGGTGAGGTTCAACACACCTTTTGCTTTCTTGTCTTACACCTTTCCGTCAAGACTTATTAGCTGATACGTTTTCACGTGAAGGATATATATAACTTACCTCTGACATGCTAAAGCAACACGTTCGCGTTTGGCTACTTTATGATGTCCAGCAGACTTCTCCAAAGTTGGCGCATTCGGTGATGCCTCATGGCTATCACCTGTCTCTGGTGAAGACCCAGAAGCATCTAAGTGAGACATCGGCAATGATGCATATAAAGTCCGTCTTTAACGTCTTAACTAAGCCAAGCTATGATATAGTGGCGGCACTGGCGGGAAGCAAGCGGGCCAAGTGGGCAATACGGAGTGTGCGCGTTAGGGCTCCCGTACGAATTGGCCTACAGGGATATCCCAAGCTCAACTCGATCTATTCTGTCGATTTGAATAGTTACTTTCCACCCAAATTCTCGTAAGCTTTAAAAGAAGATAAACGGAAGTTATCACACGTGAGCTCCAAAGAGTATGGTAACCTTAACAGGATACTGGTTCCCAGTTCGATGTCTTCCTGACTACCTACTAACTGGATTCATAAACCTGTGATCCCCTATTGCTAGGTACTCAGTACGGTAACAGCTACTGGATAACCTAGGTACATCTATATGGATCCCTATGTCCGTGGTTAGGTAAGCAACACACCTAAATGCCACTACTTATAGGTACCGTAGATCCGGGATCATTGACCCGATATGGCCCAAAGAGTCGGGAATTAGGGGGAATACCCCGGCGCCGAACTTTCGGGGGAGATGTTAGGTCTCAATAAGTTCGGCTAGAGGGCGGAGATAACAGATTCGAGGGAGGTCAAGATGCAAATGATCTTGAATACCAGTTGCATATAGTAGTGATAGGTAGTTGGCGGTGTATTTGGTGTATACGAAGTAATGGATCATGAATTGCTGAGAGTTGAGTCGTCTTGCTGTTTTTCTTATCATAGACTAGTTATACCCCTAGACCTAGGTAATAAGTAGGTATACTCAGAAGGGTATGTAGATAGGTAGATGTCTATAGTTAATGATGAGAACATAAAACCGTAATCGAATGATTATATAATTATATATTATCTACATGACCTGAAAGTAAGAAAAAAAACAGTTTAGGGTTGACAAGGGAACTTCATTAATATCCTTGAGTTCCGTTATGTTCAGGTAACTTAGGTAAGAGCCAACGAGTGGATTCATGAACTTCAGGGCCATGAACTAATAAACTACTACCGCCCGGGCGGCTACAGGGCTCTTCCCTGTTGCTTACCTCTGGGGCTAGATAGCCCTGGGGATGCAGACTATTCCTAGGTAGGCAAGTAGGTACTATTGATTGTAGGTCGTGCGGAATGTTCTTATTGGATTGTCGGAATAGTACCGCTTTAGTTATGCGCCAATTGAAAAATGGATAACCGGGCTATACCCATGTAAGTCTAGGGTGTTTCGTTTACAGTTACATTTTATGTACATAAGTCACGATAAGTGCCTACCTACATGTAGTACCTAGTAGGCTACATATAATGTCATATATGTAGTACCCATAATAGTTCAAAGTTACGTCTTCTCATGTCTGATATTGATATGATATTGGTATGATATTGATTGTGAATCTCTTTCTCAACTAACTACATCATAACTATTCTTTCTCTCGGACCCCAAATAGACATCTCAGCCACCAAACTCATATGATCTTCTACCGATACTAATATCTGGTAGTTCCACACTCTTTCGATCTCTAAGTATGACAATATCAATACACCCGTCACTATCTAGGGACTCGGGGAACAAAGTCTGAAGGTCGCGTATCAGGGGCCTTTTGCATAGACGACACTCTCCTTTTCTGACCAGTTTATTGTACCATTGCGCACAGAAGCCTATCCAATTCCAATCCCCAGTCAGACACTCCGACGACATCGGGTACTCTTCTGCCCTTGTATCCGCTAGATGATGCAGAATCATAGAATAGATCCAAAATATGTAGAACGGCGGACAGTGTAAAGGGTGGTTAGCCTCCGGCCGCCTCACTTTCAGCCCTAACTCAGGCCCCCACCACATCATCTCTCTGAGCATCGTCAAATGATCGGTATTCCATCCTTCCGTTACCTTCGTAAGGCTCAAGCGGCGGCCAAATATGCAACGTTCTATGTCAGATAGACGTGCAGCTACATGAGTATGTTTGCCAGGGCGGAAGTCATGATCAAAGCGAGGTCGACGCATGGGCTCAGAGCCGTGAGGCGCGGTTACGTACGCAAAGCATGGCCTCCCGCCGCGCTGGTCCTTGAAAACGTTGCCGAGAACGAACCCGTTTGGTACGGGGTACATCCGTTGATCATCGATATCTAGAACATCCTTGCATTGTAAGAATTGTTCCGTGTCTCCGATAACGTGCCTCATAGCTTGTGCGCGGCTGGTACGGCATACCGAGAAGCATGCCAATTGTGTGTCACTTTTGTCGACAATGTTCGCTGCTGTGCTTGAAAGATACGTATTGCCGTTGCTAATATTGAACCTGGCTCTTGACATGGTATGTTGAGAAAGGTAAAAGAGTCTTTCCTTGTAAGCATGCCAATCGGGATACTCTGATGCTTGCGGGTCCGGATACCCCCACGGTGGAGGGAAGGATGCCAATGTTGCGGGCAACTCTTCTTGGATCCATCCAGTATAAGGGATTAGCCCAGCAGGGTCAGTCTCTTGCAACTGAGGGATCGGAACAAATGGCCATATAGTGGCTACCCGCGCACTCCATTCGGTTCGTATGTATTCCGAATCTCCCAATACCAGCTCCCAGATGTATAATTGAATCTCGACGGGAAGTTCCGTGAACTGATAGAAAGTAGGGGTAGAAGCGGTAATTGTGGATGCTTGCTGGGGGTCCATCTTTCTGGACTCCTTGATCTCCTTGCGATTGTTAAACTTCAAACTATGTACTATGCCGTACACCGAACGACCAGGAATTTATGGAGGGTAGTCTGGCAGTTCTAGGTGGTGCTAGGATTCATAGTCATATTTATGTTGATGATCGTATTACGGTCAAGACTGTGTTGGTCGCCAAAATTCAAGTCCTAGATCCACCATGTCTGCGGCGCAGCCACAAAGTTGATGGGATGTCAATCTTACATACCTAAGGGGCATGTATGCAGGTAGTTAAGTAAGTGCCAGCAAGATACCTAAGTGCTTACCGGTCATGCTCTTCCCTATGTCGGCGTTCACTGTATTGTTGTATTTGGTAATGTTAGTTACCTTATTCAATGGCCAACTCAGTATCAGATAACTATGGGTACACGTGCATTACGCCAAGAGCATCACGTGATCTTTAAAACTCTTTAATCTTTAATTGGCTAAGTTAACCTAACTAGTTCCTCATTGACTCCTTTCCTTCTTACATGCCTACAATCAGCCTTGGAAAAGTTAGCATGATTCCCGCTTTGGAACAATTACACGATACCCAAGTGGGTTCCAATCAAATGTCGAATATGACATCACTGGTAACCTAGTGTATTCGTTTCATTGTGTCAGTGATACCTACTAAGGAGAATACCTATCAGGTACTATGTAGGTAAGAAGAGGTACCGGCTAGCTGACTGGGTAGGTACCTTATACCTCTAGGGCTATGCACAAGACAGCTTGGGCATCTTTGTTTGCAAAGATCGTTTCTGAAGTCCTTGCCCAAAGGTGATGGGAGAGTTAATTCCGCACTCCAATTTCGCTTTCTGGGGTTCTTGAGTGGGCCTAGCTTGGCACCTATGCTCTAGAGCGAGCCTAGTAAATACGCAGTAGTGACAATTCTCTAGGTTACATCTTATATTAACATCGTTTGGTGATGGTTACACTATCACTCAGCCTTAGACCCCCAACCGGCCAATTCGGTGTCACCTCCGCCTTTCTTCTAACCACTAACTATTGCAACTTGAATCTCTTCCGGGCATCAATACGGAAACCTTCCGGTAGCTCCGCCTAACGCCAACCATTCGACTGACCTGACCCACTAACCTAAGCAAACATCAGATGACTAATAGCCTAACAAGTTACAACTCCTTGCTAGAACACGTAAAACTAACTACAGGGCTGCGGCTCTTGATATTCTATTCTAACGAGTATAGTTGCTGATCTACTAGGTACGGAGTTCCCAAGATGTACTAGGTATCTACGGAGTACCTGGTCTCCATTCACATCGCTCACTCATAATGTGGGACCCACACATCCAAAAGTCTGGAACAGCTATCAGATTGGTAGTGGCTGCTATCTGTTCCGCTGTGGTGGCAGAGTGGCTGTCGTCAAGGCAATCAGAACTTATTTCTGAACTCCTGGCTTGGCTGCTGTTACCAGTCATCGTTGAGGTCTTCAAGCGAGTCGCCGGCAGCAACATTTCATGGCAAGCCCCTATTGTCGGTATAGAGTCCTCAAGTCCTACATCACCATGTCTACTCTGGATTATTGCCGCAAGTGTCACAACATCCTCATACTGTAGGGCAGATAATAATATTGGTGGATCTCTGGTGAGTACATGGTCACGAATCAACATGGAGCTTTGGAAACTAAGAACTAGCAGTCGGCATTGATCCCGTTTCTCCTAATATGTCGGGATAACTCGCAACCCAAGTACTCGGGATCAAAACTGTCTATTTCACAGATTCGACACCCCGATAACTCGATATGGAGGACAATTTTGCCTACTGCTATTCCTATTCTGACCCTAACAGATTGGAGTATGCGGGGGATTGCTTTGTCTCTATCCCCAGGTGTTCTATTGTGCGTCTTATATGCCGCCATCGTATACTCGACTCCTACAGAGAGCCACCAGTCTAATCAGCTGGTAAACATTGATGCCATAGCTGACTCCCTTTCACGGCGTGTTGCCGCCATCTTATTCATTGCTCTAGGGGTGCAAGCTATCGTATTCAGCTCTTACTCCTACAACCCTACCCATGTGTTATTACTAGCTCTTTTTAAGGGGCTTTCTTGGTATTTTTTGCTGCTTCTGGTATTGGCCACTTCCTATAACGATAGCTCAAGAGACATACTTACCTGTCTCCTAGATTCAACATGCCCCGTGGGGCATTGTTACCGCTATAAGAACTTTTACTATTATATCCACTCGTGACCCGGCGATAGAATCTTCAGGGGCACAAGCGTTGTCTCATGCCATCGCGTCTCTTTTCCCCCTCGGTCAGACCATTCAAATTATTCCCAAGAATTTGAAAGCTAGGTCGGGCCTTTGGGTACTTTTACTTATCCCTCTCATCCCGTACTTGGCCAACATCATCACAATCACGGCCGCGAGCTCTGGAGCGGAGAATTTCAGCAACTTATATGAGCATCCCGTTGAAGACTTGGTCCGAGACGCTAAGATAGACTTTGAAAACTTATTGCACAAACAGTCCAAGACCTACGCGGCCGCCCGTGAAGAATATCAACGGAGATATGGAAGACCGCCACCGCCCGGCTTCGAAGCCTGGTACGAGTTTGCAATTTCTCACCAGTCGCCTATTATCGACGACTTCGACATCATCAACGACGCGCTCTCGCCGTTCTGGAAGCTTGGCGGTAAACAGGTCCAGCAAATCATGAGAAATGTCCAGAATGTGCCGAACAATGAGCTTTGGTCTTGTAAAATTTCTCGTACTGCCGCTAATACCGAATGTACTCATCCTTACCGCTCGTACGATAGACATTTTGGTCTACTATTTGATACTCTGTTGGGTAGTGTGCGTGGTAAACTACCCGATGTGGAATTCCTCGTGAACCACCTTGACGAACCGAGGGTGCTGATTCCGCCAACACCAAACGGTGTTCTTCCCCACAGCAAAAGGCCTTTCGAATTCACACAGCTATCAAAGCAGCCGGTCTGGGATGTAGTCACCAAGTACTGTGAAGCCCAACGAAGCCAAACAGATACGGGATTCACGAATATAGAGAAGGCCCACGGTCTTCCATTCGTCACCCGCCCCTCTTCTGCTAAGGATCTATGTATACACCCTGAGCACAGCGTTATGCATGGCCTTACCACCAGCCCCTTTTCCTTCCGCCTCATCGAAGGCCTGGTTCCCGTTCTCACGACAGGCTCACTTTCAACGATGGGTGACATCCTTTTGCCCAGCCCCGCCTACATCGAGGACGAGTTCAAGTACGACGAGCAGCACGACGTCGACTGGGACAAGAAGCGGAACAACCTCTACTGGGCCGGTTCCACCACCGGCGGTTTCGCAATGGATGACAACTGGCGATCTTTCCAACGACAGCGATTCGTCACGCTGGCAGAGAACCTAGAAAAGCAGCAGTATACCTACCTTCGCGAGTCAAACGGCGCGGCGGGCCGTGTGCTCTCGTCCTTCCTCAACGGCCGCCTCTTCGACGTGGCGTTCACCAAGATCTTCCAATGCGAGAGCAAACACTGCCGGGAGCAGAGCCTGTACTTCAACACCAAGGGCTGGGCAGGCAAAGACGAGGCGCTGAAGTCGCGCCTCGTGTTCGACCTCGACGGCAACGGCATCAGCGGCCGCTACTACAAGCTGCTGGCGTCCAGGTCGACGCCGCTCAAGCAGACGCTGCTGCGCGAGTGGCACGACGAGAGACTGGTGCCCTGGGTCCACTACGTGCCCGTGAGTCAGAGCTTGGAGGAGCTTCCGGAGCTGGTCGTGTATCTCACATCGACGGATAGGGGGCGGCGGACGGCGAGGGAGATTGCGGAGCAGGGCAGGGAGTGGTATTACCAAGCCCTCCGAGAGGCTGATCTGAGTGTTTATGTTTATCGGCTGGTGTTGGAGCTGGCGAGGTTGCAGGATCCTGGTAGGGAGGCAAGTTGAGAAATGAAACTGTATAGTTATGATCTGTATAAATAGATCTCTAGACCCAGCTAGAGCTCGGGGCGTTTTTAGTACATACCTACTTACCTAGGTTAGGTACTCTTACATGTAGGTATACAGAAACCCTCATATTTCCACTACAGAGCACGCAAATTACAACGAAACCCAAGTGAGACACTGGCTCGCCCGGAGCCGCCGGACTATGACATCGCAGTCGGGCTTGCGACCCCTACCCTGCCCTGCCCTACCGGGGACGTCCGTCTCGTCAATATCGCAGTAGCTTTATATTCTTCTAGGTTAGGTTAGTCGAATTAAACACCTATGTACCTAATACGCAAGGGATACAAACGTCACCTTTACATGTGTAGACCACAACCCCCTCCCCCTCTCTCAGATCTCGGCACCTACAGTACCTACCTAGGTTAACCTAGTTTAGGTAGGTACATAGATTGGGTAGTGTGATATATCACATCTCACGGAACACAAGAAAGCTGAAAACCGGGACTAAAGAAAAAAAAGAGGGCTGAAAAGTAACTATCTAACTAACTAACTAAAAAAAAAAAATTTCCTAATCACAACACACTAATCGGGTAGTTATAAAAAAAGAAAGTTTTTCGGAAACATGGATAAATGGATGGCTTTTAGGAGAATTAATTAATTAATTAATAACCTTGGAAGAAGCAGCCTTATGTAAGGCGATCGGGAATATTAAGATGATGATATTGATGATGATGACTAGGCTAAGTACATACATACATGTATTAGGTTAGTTAGTTATGGCAAAGCTTGCTTTTTCGTGTATGACATTGCTGTAACCTAGTAGGTACCGACGTCAAAGAACGGATGTCCATTTAAAACCAACCCGATAACTAACCTACAGTACCTACTCTTTAACTATATAAATAACTGCCCTTCGGTACCTGTCTCTACTAGGTACCTAATATATACCTACCTAGGTACCTATACCCTAACCATAAAACACATGTCTCCAAACCTCCAACTTAAGCTTAACAACTAATTAGTTAACCGTTGCGGTCCGAAAAAAAAAAAACTTAATCAATCAATCAATCAATTAATCAATTCACCGTATCCGGCCCTAAAAATAGCCAAGTGGATTGCCAGGCTAAGCAGGCGGTGAGACGACCGCGGTCCAATGATGGGCGAGACAGTGGGCAGGGGTTAGGCTTGCAATTGAGGATTGTCTGGGGTTTTCAAACGGCAGTAAAAATGCTTACCTATGTATGTACAGTATGTCCATGGGCTGCTTTTCCATTTATGTAGTTAGTTACCAGCCATTTGGAAGTTTTAAAACATGAAAATATGAAAAAATAGTAAAAATTTCAAAATAGGTATTCAAATACTAAACACTCAAAGACAAAGAAGAAGAACAGTTATATTATAAAAAATACACTTCTAGATTTCATAGTTATTAACATTCAATGTTACTTTAGGCACTTATCAGTATCTACCTACCTAGAGTACGGACTTGCCTACTTGCCAGGTAGGTAGGTATGTATACGATCGGTCATCCTCAGCATAGACGACTTCGAATTCGGTTGAGCTAGGTAGGATAGGATATAATAACTGAGTATGTCCAAGCACTATGGCGTCGTTCAAGACACCTCACAACCTCTCCGCAAGATTCGACTTCGAAATTCCTCCTCTACCTCCACCTCCACTTCCATTTCATCTACCACCACTGCCACTACCAACACCACCACCAGCAGTTCATCCTCTTCTTCTTCTCTAGTCTCTTCTGTGCTAGAAATCCAAAGACATGCCAACACTAGGGAGAATTGGCTCAAATCCCTCGCCTGTCTCTACCTAGCCGACGACAACGAAGAGCCCAGCGGTAAACGAAGGCGTGTCACCAATGGCAGCATAGAGACGGGCGAGACCGAACTACTACGGAGAAGATTCCTCTACCCCGTCGAGGACGAAGAGGACGGAAGGGACTACATCGCCGTATCGTATACATGGCAGACATCCGAAGATGAAGGAGACATTGAGGAGGAGGCCGTGGGAAGATACCTTGTCGAGTCTCGTAGGGCGGGCGAGCCCGCACTCGCCAGCGAGGTGAGGAACACGGTCTGGGACCGTGTACTCAACTACGCCGACCATGTCGACTGCGAGAACATCTGGATCGACCGAGAGTGCATTGACCAGGAAGATGAGGCCGAGCAGGAGGCCGCCATCCAAAGCATGCACTTGGTGTACAGTCTGAGCCGGAGGCCAATTGCTCTTCTTACCCGACCAATCGAGACGATCGAAGAGCTTGATCTCCTGACCGACCTCATGTGCGGCGAAGTCAGCCCAGACAAAGAAGCCGCCGTGCTAAACCTCTTGAATGGCATCACTTCCAACCTGTGGTGGAAGCGGGCATGGACTTTCCAGGAAGAATACAGGGCCTCCACCCGCATGACCCTGCTCATACCCCATCACTGGAGTCTAGAAGGCCGCAAGCAAGCAGCAAGAGACTACATGGACCGTCCCATTTTGGGCACCATCGAGGGCGAAATATGCATAAAATCCGTGGATTTCCGAAGACAGGCCACCAAGTTCTGTCTCGCGTATCGAGAGAAGTCAGAGAAGAAGGACATCTGCGACAAGATACTGAAGACGGCAGCACGGTATAACGTGCTCCTCAAAGAAGAGTCGTATCCGTTGTTGTCCGGCACCGGTGGCCCCTCTTCCGTGTCTCGCTCCATGTCCCCCACTATCCTCTCTGACATCAACAAGCGCGGCATCACGCTGGAATCCGATCGTCTCGCCATCGCAGCCAACTGTTCCGGCTACAGCACACGCCTGGATACGAACTCCCTCAACCACGACGGCAGCAGCCTCAGCCTGTCCATCCTGACCTTATACCTCCTCAACGGCGAGATCATCGAGAACGACCCAAAACGGTCCAACCACCACCGCGGCGGCACCCTCGACGACACCATCTTCGACTTCCTCTCCAAACAAAGCCTGCGCACCTTCCGCCCCCCGCTCGACGAAGGCGGCCTAACCTTCATCAAGAACTGCCGCTTCATCCAACCCCAGCTAACGCCTTCCGGCACCCTGACGCGCGGCTTCCTCTGGAAGCTGGGCAAGATAATCCGCCACCGGCCGATGAAGTACGACAAGTACAGTACCATCTCGCCCCTCAGCACCTTCGCCACGAACCTCAGCTACGGCAAGTACGGCGGCGTCAGCTACAAGGACCTCGCCGTCCGCATCCTCCCCTACGGCCCCGTAAAGAAATACCGAGCCCGTCGCTGGGGCCTCATGGGCTGCATGGCCGACGAGATCGAGAACGCGCTGCTCGAGGGGAAGCCGCTTCGTCTGGCCTCCCTCGTGCACCCCAAGTATGGGGCCGAGGGGAGCCCGTACCGCGCTGTGTTTGTGGGCGGTGGTGATACGGAAGCCGAAAAGGACGATAACGACTGGAACGAGGACGTAGAAAGCTACGCTTTCACGGCTGCCCACTTCGGTAGAAGCTCTCTTGGCGATGTCACACGCCACGTCTCCCTCGAGGTTAGGGCTGAGTGGCCTAAATGCGATACACCAGCTACGGCGGCTTCGGTGGCCATGGCGCCCAGGCTCTATATCAAGCGCTGGCTTAACGGGCTGTGCTTTTATGATGGGGTGCCGGCAAGGCAGGTCTTGTTTCCGTGGCCGGCTGCTATGCTGGAGGAACGAGAACAAGAGCAAGAACAAGAACGAGAACAAGCAAGAGAGGAAAATGAAGAGGGGAAAGGAGAAGAAGTGAAGCAGGTAGCTACCTAGGTAGGGTATTCGCTTCTCAACAACACAACAACGCTTATACGAATTTGAAACGTGGAACGAGAGACGTCCGACAACAGGTAGCATTTCTCCAGGGGATGAATGAAGGGGCGATATTTTCCTTTTTTTTTTAAAAAAAAAAGAAAAAAAGAAAAGATTCTAAAAAAACAAACGATCTACATGAAAGTATGCATGGCATCATCGGAACAAACAGGGGAAGAAGGGGGAAATGGGGGGGGGGGGAGAGGGGATGAGTGTTCATTGTGCTCGCCCTAGCCTACCTTATTAGGTAATTGGGTATCGACGATGAACGTGTAAATAGTTACGGATGGGAATGGGATGGGAATGGGAATGGAAATGGAAATGGAATATAAAGACTTAAAGTAAATAACGACTACATACATACATACCTAATATACCTGAATAGGCACTTACTTACCTGCCTCCTTACCTACATTTGCTGTAGAGTAGGTAGTTTATATACTTCAAGATTGCGTAAAATTGAGAGCTGTGAATTGAAAAGGAAGATCAAAAGATCAGACCTTGACTAGGTAGGTGCCTAGGTAGGTACCTAGGTAGAAATGCTCTTAAATACAAGACCACGGTGCGTCGCGCTTTCCTCTCTGGTGTGCCTGCCACCATCATCTGGGAGGTGACCAAATGTAAGAGTTGACTAGGTCAAGTTAGTTAGGTACCTAGGTTAAGCCACAACCTTAGAGGCCTCTCCTTATCTACCTACCCAGGGCAGGTACCCGACTGTTTGTAGAGGTCCGAGGACGTACTAGAGGTACCTACATACCTAGCTCAAGGTATACTACTATACTGACCTACATACCTCACACACCCCTTAACAACTACGAATCATTTCACTCACTCAAGTCGCAATTAAAGCATATTCCAGTCTGCGAATTTTTGTATTCGTCCTTGGCCTTTTCAGATACCTATCCTTCACAACGAAGCAAGTTATACCTACTAGAAAGTATTTTTTTTGTTTTCTTGTTTTGCTTTGGCTTCGGGCTTGTTTTTTGTTCTCTCTCAAAGTGTGACCCCCAAATCGGTTTGACACCTACGGAACAGCAATTCCTCAAAACACCTTGCTACAAAAATCGTCGTAGAGAGGAATAACCCCTCTCATGGAAGGCAAGTAAAAAAATTTGCAGAATTAGAAATCCGAGGTCAAATCCTTCTTCTGAATTTTCCATAATGGTCGTCCTTACATTCGCGACGTTATCCCTCTCCCTTTTTTACCAAACATACTCGTACATCAATAGGAGTGAGTGCTCTCGGTGGGATAAAACGACACCCCTCTGGAAAGGTGAACGAAGGGAATTGGGGTTTGGGTGAGATGGTATGATTTGTTGAAGGAGAAAAAGAGATGGCCATGACAGTAGAACTCGTCCAGCGGTGAGCATAATGACAATACAAAGACGCGGTAGAAAACTCAAACGGTGTAAATGCGACAACTGGTCCACCCTATCTCTGTCTGGAGCATCTTTTTGCCTCCTTCGAGTTCCATTTCCCTCAAACAAATCCCAAACTCCACGGCTATCTGGTAACCCTCACAAAGGAAATAAATTGCATTCACTGCACGCCAGTCCGATAAGAAACGCCATGCTGTGTATAACACTGATAAAAACGATTGTAATGCGGTAAACACGCCGAACAGTGCAAGTAACCGTCATGCCCAATTTGGGACTTCTCAACTTTCACTCATCCGAAAAACAGTCTCGGAATACTTCATAGATGGTCTGGGGATTGGGATTTGGATCCCTTCGCTTTGAATAGACGCCGCCGGTCGCGGCGTCTTATCAGAGCTTTCGTCATTGCTTACATCGGACTTGGGAGATGATTCGGGCGGGGTTTGTATCGCCTTAGGCGGTGGTGGAGCACCTGAAAGTGGTGAGACGTCATTCTCTCTAGCTGGCGTGACTACCTGTGTGATAGGTTCTGGAGTAGTGTCAGATGAAAAAGCAACACTGTCGTGACTATTTGCTCTCATCATTTCAATGCCAAGTTTCGAACTAGGAGGTGGTGGTTTGGCACGTAAAGTGCGATCTCGGTGGACGCCAAGTTCGTCATCTTCATCGTCAGCTGAGTCGTTGCCTTCTGTGCGCCGCTTCTCAAGGTGTTCACGCCTAGAACGCAACTTCTCCAGAGACCGTCGAGGAGCAGGCATTCTCGGTTGCTCCATTTGGGCCGGCGCCGACTGTTGAGAAATAAGCGGGATAGGCATCTTTGATGCTCCTCCAGAGCTTGCCACTGCCTCTTCGTTACTAATTCCAAGCCCGGAATCATCTGCCCATTCACCTGTGACTTTTCGACTAGTGACCACAGGTATCTCATCAGTAGTCGCGGATTCAGAATCCCCAAATAAGCTAGAACTGATCGAGTCCTCCCTGCTTGAGCCCCTGAAGCTACTGCCTGCCGCGGGAGCAAATACAGAAGATCCAGAGGTAGGACTGTATTCCAAACGCGCGCTATGCAGTTTGATACTAGTTATTGGGTTGGGAATGGACAGCGACTGGACTTGGCTAGGCGAGGGTGGCTTCCATTGGCAGAGATTAGACAACACCTCGGTCAGCTTGGAAGAGCTGATAGGCTTCTCAATAAGAGAGTCAAAGTAATGGGGGGCCTGGAGCTCTTTCAAGTAAGCTGTTATTGCAACGATTGGTGTGTGAGCGTTCACATTCTTGACTTCACGAACCATGCGAGCAACATCTGTTCCACTGATTTCAGGCAATTTGAACTCAGTGAAGATAATATCAAACTTGATCTCACCTACGGCATATCGGACAGCGTCCGAGCCAGTTGATGCAGAGATGGTCCGACACCGAAGCTTTTCGAGCAGTTTCTCCATAACCATCCGGGAAACTGGGTGGTCTTCGCAAATAAGAACGTCCAAGGAACGAAACGTTGGACTATCAAGCATGATAGCCGACATTCGACGGGAAGATTGACGACGCCGTTGAACCTTGAGAAGCGCGTTTGCCCGATCACCTTCGTTATCCGATGACGAGGGAGACATGTCGAAAACTTGGCTCCGGCGGTTACGATGATGCGCGAGCAGATCGGCCGCAACGGGACTACCTTCTTGCGAGCCTACGGTCAAAGATCGCGATCGTGTCGAAGAACCACTCGCTTGCCTTGACGTCCCTATTGTCTTCTGTGGGGAAAGGGGAAGAGGAAGAGGAGGCGGCGCTCCCTTTCCCTTCATGGGAGGTGCGGTAGCGGCGGCAGTAACAGCGCTGACTGACTTTTGGAGACTCGCGGGGGGGCGAGGTTGCTCACCAGGGCCCGAGGATTGTAAGAAGTTGGGCCCAGACTGCTGCGAGAGGCTAGAGGAGTTGCTTGAAGCTTTTCTGCGACCCTCTAGGCCCTGGCCGGCGTGGAATGACACAAGCAACGGCGAAGATGGCTGCGAGGCGCGACTAGGAGACGAATTGGCGTGACTATTTGCGGATGGCGATGCGGGACGATGCGAGGCAGAAGCTTTGGCGTTCGACAAAGTACGCTGCACCGGGATAGACATGACCGGGCTTCCTTCGAGCGCAGAAGCTGGAGAGGTAGGGTTATTACCTCCTGGACTCATCGCGGATCTATTCTGCGCTGCCATTGCTTGAGCTTTTAGTTGCTGAATGACATCTTTATTTGCCTTGTCAAGAACTGTGAGGTTCTTGAAAGCAAACGTCCCAAAATCATCTGCAGCCACTGGCTCACTAAGCCGTCGACTCTTTAGATCCCGGATATGAGGAGGTATGTGCAATGGCATCAAGCCTCGTTTGATTTGATTGACCTGAACTTGGGAACGGACGCGTGAGAGTGCGTCATGTGGGCGATCAGGATAATCCGGAGTTGGGGCGGATGGGGGCGACGCTTGGTCTTCTATCTCTTCGGTGAAGGATTGCAGAGTAGCGCCCCTGGCATCAAAATACTCAGTATCCTCGGGATTTTCTGGCTGAGGAATGAACTCGGCATCGTCCTGAAGCAAGGTGTCCCAGTTCAGGCCTGAAAACCAAGGATGGTGTCTAATCTCTTCCCCGCCAGAGGCATAACTGTCATCGCGGTTGGAACCTAGTCTCTGTTGGGGATCAATGCATAGCAATTTGTTAATGAGATCCTTCGCCTCGGGAGATATATCGTCTGGATCTTCAGGCCACATGATCTTTCGAGCAAGTATGTTCTCAAAAACTTGGTCGGCCTCATTAGCATGGAAAGGAGGGTATCCATACAGAAACTCAAACAAGATGCAACCGACTGACCACCAATCACTGGTCTCGTCTTGTCTAGCACCCTTGATAGTCTCAGGGGCGAGGTAGTCCGGTGTTCCCACAAACCTACGGTTGGTATCATCAGGGTCAAAGAGGGCCATCGGAGGAGGCATCATATTTGACTGAGGGGGTGTATTTCTATGCATGTCACCGCTCTGGCTGACATTAGGGTGGAGAAAGGAGACGTCAGGAGAAGCGTGGCCACCATCACTGCCGTCGTCGTGTGGAGATCGCAGGCTGGACTGGCTTGGTTGGGTGTCGTTCAAAGAGAAATTCCCCATCATATGTGTCAGCGTTTCGCTACCACCGCTATCACTACGTTGACCAGAGATACGACGTGGATCTGAGGCTTGTGAGAGATTAAAATACGACGGCTGTCCAACTCCAGTATCCGGCGTAATTTGTGGGGTTGTGGAAGGGGAATGATTGCCATGGAAATCAAGTGAAGTTGATCGCGATGATGCGACAGACGTTGACCGGACAAAAGGGCCCGTCTTGAGCAAGTCCGGAGTTGGTTCACCGCTTCCACTATTCAGCGCTCTCTTCTGACGACCAATCAATCCCATTCGTGATAGACCGAAATCGGTCAGTTTAAGATGGCCTTTTTGGTCAATGAGCAAGTTATCTGGCTTTAGGTCACGATGGATAATGCCTCGATCATGAAGATGCTCTACCCCGAGGATGACTTCTCCAAGATACTTCTTTACCCACTCCTCAGGCAAGCCTCCGAGGACTTTAATGAGCGAAGCGCAGTCGCCGCCATTCAGATATTCCATAACAAGGTAGAGGTAGTCCTTGCTAGAGAAGGTCCAATATAGTTTTGCCACAAACTCGCTTTCTCCCTGCCACATCATAATTGCTCTTTCGGCTTTGACGTTGGTGACTTGATTTTTGGCAACCATGTCAGCCTTCTTCAACACCTTGATGGCGAAATATTCGCCGGTGGATTTCTTTTTAGACAAATAGACACTGCCAAAGGCACCTTTGCTAATTGGCTTAATAATCTCGAAATCTTTGATGGAAGGCGGAACGGCGCGTGCCATGGGAGGATGATTAGCGGCGCTCAGGCGTGGAGATGCGGGCTGGCGACTTGGCAACTCTGATAAGGCTGCTGAAGATGTTCGACGATGGTGTGGAACTATGGCCGGTGAGCTGAATTCACTGCTAGGGAGCATAGGAGATGCCTCCGGGGAAGCGACGCCTTCCTGGGGAAACTGAAGGTTACGAGGCTTATGCATCCGCAGTGGCGACGATGGTTGCGCTCCTCTGGAAGGGGATTCTTGGCGATGAGGTGACGATGTCCCAGTCAGGATGAGGCTTCTCCTTTGATGTTGTCGCGAGCTGGTAGCGCGTCGCAAACCACCAAATTCAGACATGGAAGAGTCGGTACGGAATGGTTGGCGTGCTATGGAGCCAGACCTGGCGCTACCGTCACTATCTCCTGCCTCACTTTCGAACAGCGCAGAACTTCGACGAGATCCTCGAGGCTGGCTAGTGGGGGCCAAAACTTCACGATGGGATTTTGGCGTGGGGCATTCTCTAGGACTGCTCGACCGTGTAGATTCGATGACGGAAGACGGCCGTCTTCTATCGTCTGCATCGCTCGACGCCACGTTCCCTAAAGCAATCGCTAGCGAAGAAGGCGGGTCGAAGGATCCGGCAAAGACTGCTTCCTCTTCCACCTCTACTACCGGGGTTTCTTCCACATCTTCTTCCTCCTCCTCCTCCTCTTCTTCGCCCTCTTCATCCTCAGTTGAGTCACTCAGACGGCCTGCAGCGATCCGAGCTGCCTTGTGCATTGCGTCTTCAATGCAATTATCAACTATGACAGTGAATTCGATCCGGATGCGTTCTGCGTACTCAATTATCCTTCTATGCCGAAACACAGCCTCAACCTTCTCCTTGGAGACCTTTTCAGTATCGGAGCATAGCAAAGCCAGCCCTTGCTCTTGCTCAAGTGTGTTCGAACCAGGCGATTGCCATTGAAGCACCTGGGATATTCGAGACTCGGATTGTGGCGATTGGGTACGAAACTCGCCGGCAGGTTGTGACGAGTCTTTTATCGCGGGTGTGCTGATCTCAATAGCTGTATCGCAGAGATCTAGAAGTAGCTCGACAATACGAGCTTGGGGACGTCGCACCGCAAATGATCTAGAGCGAGAGTGACCAAATCCCGTTGAACGGTCCCTCGATGATGGGGTAGGCGATGCTGTTCCTGGTGATGATGTACTAGAAGATGGCCCTATTGGCAAACCTTTATATTCAGCAATAGGGATTGTTACCGAATCTCCTGAGATAGCACGACTCTTGCGGGCTTCTAGCGCATCCAGCACTCTGACGATGGCATGTCGATGCTCGGTTAGGTTCTCCTGGGCCATTTGCACGTCCATTTCGGCTCGGTGCTCTTGGAGACATAAATCCGTATGTTTTTCGAACCACCAAGGAGGGATATGTCGTTCGCAAATACGGCAGAGGACAGGTAAAGGCGGAGGATGGTTGGCGGGGTCGTCGGTCCCAGATTCAGCCAGTTGAGTGAGATAACTAGCAAGAACCTCGGCACCTGATCCGAGGGAATCTACCAGCAACGGTGCCAGATCGATCTTGATTTCGCGAGGGGCAATCCATGGTCGTATCATCCACATAGTCTAAGTCAAGGTCAGCTTTCCAAGTCCTATCGAAAATACCTATACAAGTCTCTTACATGACTTTCGCCGCCAGTGGTACGATCATAGACCATGATCCCTTGGGCCTCAAGCTCAACTGTAGCAGCACCATTCTCGATATCTTCAGGTTCCTTGCCAACATCGGCAGGATATAATTTTGACGAGGGTCCTAGATAAACGGTAAACCGAATATACTGACTTCGGGAATCATCCTTTTTCATCGAATCAATAGCCTCGGCAAACGCAGCCTTATCCTCGCTTACGATCAAATCGGCAATCGGGGTTCCCTCGACAGTCTCTGGCGTGGTTCCAATCACTTCAAGCCATGACGGGCTAACCCAACGAATAGTGCCATCGAGGTTTAGATCCACAATAACATTCAGGGTCTGTTCGGCAGCCTCGCGAAGTTCCTCGCGTTCTTCCCTTATATCTGCGCTCAAAGATCTTTCCATTGAACGGCCGATAGCTTGGGCGCGGAGGGAGCTAACGGCCGGAGGGGCCAATCTACTAGTATCCTCATCCATTGTTCAAAAGAGACGGGCACGATACTCAATTGCAACAGTAGCATCGGGCAAGGTATCTGTCGGATGGAAAACAAAAGTATCGGTAGTCTTAACGTCTTAACGAGGGCACAAACGCGTACGACGTACGAGTGAATCGAGACAAAGTCGGCGTCTAGTCGGAAAATCGGTTCTCGGTCGAAATAGACCTCATGCAAAGCCAAGTTGTCTGGCAGAGAGCCAGAGTCAGAAGCCCGCGAGAACCCGAGACATGACGGTGGGTGACGTGCAAAGGTTTGGTCAAGTCACTCAGTTGAAAGCGAGAGGATCGATCCGGGTTCACGGTTGAGGACGAGCCTCCCAGTTCACACAAGGAAGCTACCAGTAGACTGTAGTATATTGTCGCGAAGCAGTCGTATTATTGGTAAAGGGCGGTATTGACGAGGGGAATGTGCTGCTTACGGAAGGCTAAGGGAAGGTAGGTACTGTAAGTTGGTGGTTGGTGGGTTGGAGTGCTGGAGTGTTGGAGGGTTGAAAGAAGAACGAGTCCGAGGCCAGTAAGGGAAAAAAAAGACACCAAAAAAAAAAAAAAAAAAAACCAATTTGAAGACTCAGGCGTTTTTTTTTCTTCTGTTCTGTTCTCTAAAACAAAAAGGTAAACCGGCCTGCAGGGTCTCTCCGTTTAGGGAGGATAAAAGAGAGTTGTACCTAAGCAGGAAGGTAAAGATCAAAAAGTAGAGTGTACTGCTGATGTACTGCTGATTTTTGAATCGGAGTGCATGTGGATATAACAATGTTGAACTAACCACATCATATTACAGCACTTGAGATATTACAGCGCGGGTCGTCTATTTTACCTTGAACTCTCTACCCATTTTGGGGCGTTTGGGGGGCTAGGCGCGTAGATAGAGGGTCAGAACTTTTAGAAGAAAAAAATAAAGAGTCCATTAACGTTAGAGTCATTCAAGCTTGGAAGATCGAAAAGACCCTAGGCTACTAAGGTACTAGCCTATCTAATACCCTACATGATAACTACTATGCCGGATGTATTGTACATTTGCACTAAAAGGCACTAAGGAATAATAAACAGTATGTTTCTACTGCTACAAGGTTGCAGCTAACACTGTATCCATACATTTGGGATGTATGTAGACTCAAAGCGGGGGAAGTGGCATGGGCAGTAAACGTTCTACCTATGTACATATGTAGGTACATACATACTACACACTACATATAACTTACATATGTAGTTACTTGCGCAATACATATTGTCAATAAACATGCACTGATCTATCACTCTACAAGGGCTTGATGAAAGGCTGGTATGCAGATAAAGCGGCGTTAGTCATTTATCCTAGTCATCTATTTAACTAACCAAGTAACCAAAGAGTTCAAGGTACCTAGGGTACCTAGGTAGGTACTAACTTGAAAACATGGTGCGGTCATAGGTCGACATTTATTGGCTCTACTGGCTTAATTACTCATGTGCAGCATACATAGTTACCTATGTAGTAATGCCAGCATTCTGTATTGTACTTGGGTAGGTACTACTAACCTGTATTGTACAATACAAAACATCCATGGATGTTTTGCAAACAGATTGATCCATGAATTCCTTCCTTCCATCGGGTTTCTGTCTCCTTTTCTATTTCACTTCTTTACTTGTTCTAAAGGCCGCGTCAGACACCCCCTGTGACACGGTATACGTATTTAAATGTCTACCTCGTACCTCTAACTAACTAGTCGTGCCTCGTGCTCACTGCTTAGTACTTACATGCCTGGGCTACCTACATGTACATATCTGCGCACTTGATCAGCATACATACATGCCTACATATCAGAATAATCTACAGTACCTGCACCGTTAGCAGTTTTCTATTCAAATCTCCAGATGTCCGTTTCAATGTTGGCATTTCCAGATATTCTATCGTACATACATACTGTACATGCATACTACCTACACACTGTCACTATGTAGGACCATTGTAGGTTATGTATCCTACCAATTCACGATACGACATAGATCCTTGGGGCTTTGTAATGCCAGGTATTCCATGCAGCGGAGCAACTAATCTACTCCGGTAGCATGTCTTGTTTAGCTGGTTGGCCCATTGGTGCTGTCAGCAAATGAACGGCAATAGGCATGGGTCCAGTGATCCTTTGCAGACAACCAAGTTGGACCAAGCCAATCCATATGCTGTTTGCTGATGAGCCGTGCAAACCGAATCCAATGGCCATTGAGAAACATTTCTACGTCAATCATGCGTCTTAACAATACGATGGCTTCGTCTTGATTACATTATGCTCATGCAGTCATCTTATCTTGGACTACAGAACCGACAGAACCGACTTACCAATACAACTTCCACCCATATTGACCTACATACACATACAACCTCACATATGTACTGTATGTAGGTAGGTACAGCACCTAATATATCTAACAAGCATCTCCAGCTCCTTTAGTACAATAACAAGACAGTTAGTCGATACTACATACATATGTAATGCTATGTATGTATCTAGGTATGTACAGTAGTCTTTCTTCCAGTTCCCCAGGCTTCTTTCCGATTGAAGGCTGAAGTTAGGCAGAGAATCTCTAGGTCCCTTCACCTTGGAGTTCACATGAGAGCGGAGTTTCCGTTGTGTGTTATACCAATCGGGGAATTTTCCTATTCCTCCAAACATCATTTTCGTATGCTAGGGTACCCATCCCAAAATACCTCCAGATGTCCCCAACGAAGAGGTACTCAACTTAACTAGGTTACTTGTTTACTTACCTACATACAGCTCCTACCTACATACATACTACTAGGTACGCTACATCTGTATGGATATGGAAGAAGAGGTGGGACGACCGGATGGTTATCGGGCGATCTCAAGCGCCACTGAAACCGTCGGCATTCCACCACATCGTCTACATCGTCACAACCCATCACCCAGTCACCCCACCGCCCACCATCGCACACTATATGTATTAACTAGTTCTCCAAGTCTACCTACCGTAACCTACGTACTATGTATGTACCAGGCATACTCGCCAATGCAACAGCTCCAGCCAGCAATGCAGTAGGTACGCTTGCATATCAGGGGATACCCAACCAATCCTCATCCGCAACAGGTCTTGTATCCACCCGCACCCGCTCACTTCAGCATGGTTCTGCCAACCTCTGGTTATGATTAGTTAGCTCGTTCCGCGATCTACGACAGCAATTTATATGGTATACTGCCCCAGGCTGTCCAGTGCCAGGTCTTCTACAGCACCCGGTCGTATCGTCCTTTTCCCGTAACGAGTCGTCATAAGTTCGATCAATATGTAAAGATCCTCAAGAGGATTCGATGCGTACCAGTCTATGGGTACCATTGGTGTTGCACACCCACACATTGCTACGCAAACTTCACTATATGCGAATGATGTCAACCCTATCGCCATTATTCTACACTGCCAGGGCTGCTAGAGAAGGGCTTCAGTGCCTACCTAGGTACCTAATAGCAATCTATTAAGGTCTTCTACACCATGTTATCATACACATGGCCAGAAACGATCGTACACGCCGGGACCATCCCGTCTAGATACTACCTACCTACTAGTACCTAAGGCAATCCTCACTTGAGAGACCCAAAGTTGAAAATGGGTAACCCCCCCTAGTCTCGATAATTACCCCATATTATGACACAAAATAGAGGGGGGATCTCATGGTCTAGACTCTAGATCCAGTGGCTGCATCTGTCCATGATTATTGGTGCAGCTGCAGTGTGTTCCTTGAAACGAGTATCCCTAGGAATGCACGATAACTCCTTGCAGCGAGACAGCATGCAACACCATCTAACACACTCGTGATGCACGCAATCAAGAAGACTTTAGGCAAAACGCCTCGCAGTCATGAAAGCACATTACCTAGTATACAACGGGTAATTGATGAAAGGTGCCGAGGCTTGGTCCAAGGCTACGAGCACCTATAGTGAGCCTCCTTCTAGTACTATTTTATTTGAAGAACACTGATCTATCTAAAAATCGACTAGCGATCGCCGCACAAATATACAAGACTACCACGCAAACCATCATCAGAAATTAACTACCTATATACCTTCATATTGCCTACCCAGGTTGGCGTTACTGTAGGTTAGGTAGGTAGGTCATGTTGTGGCCCATTCTGTTTTCATGGCGTCAAGCCATTCTCCCTTCTCAACCCATAGCTGCTCTAACCACTTTGCCAGTTCCTCGTCCGTGTAAGGGAGATCCTCTAAGGGGAAGCGCCGCACGTGGATATGGAACCGGTATCCTTGGGCGCTACTAAGGTTTGGTAGCCTCAAAGTCTCCCACATATCGGGAGCCACGTGAAAGTTACTTCTGTGTTGATACGCAATTGTGAAGTCATACACAGCTTTCACGTGAGGCGCTTTTCTTAACTGCTGCACGGTAGTGACGAACCCCTTAGTACGAGGGTAGAGCAAATGTAAGGGTTGAGGACGGCCATTCTGCTTGCACCAGATCCTTGACTCCTCAGACTTCTCTGGCGTAAAGCGTGTAGCCTCGCTAAAACTTATCAGCCCTGTAGATGGGACAGGTTAGATTGGTGACGCAATTTATAGATATTGGTGCAGCACAGACTGCTTCGAGCCGTTACTCACACATCGGCCATCTCCTGTTCACTATTCCACCAAAGACACGCTGCAACTCGCGCTGGTCTCGCATCCAGTTCCTCGTGACCATGGGCATGCCCATTGCCCACAGGCCCCAACCGAGGAAGGGGACCCAGCGTAGCTGGATCTTCGCAAACCATCGGCATTGCCCCAACATGCCCGATCGCATAGCCAAGGCCTGAATCAGATAAAAGTCGGCCCACGTAACGTGATTTGAGACGACAACAGCCGACTCCTTAATCGGCAGGCGGTCGCCTGAGATCGTAATCCGAGCTCCATTGCAGGACTCAAAGATGCACTGGATCCACTTCCAGACGGAGTATGCAATGCGGGATGACACGCCGTAGACGAGGTCCGGCGCGAATATCTTCACGAGTAACAAGAGGGACAGTACCACGTCGCACACCGCTAAGTAGATGAGCCAGGGTGTTACCAGCACGGTGCCCCGAACATGGGAAGGGACTTTCGCTAATAAAGCCATGGATCCGGACCGTACCGTACAGTATAGAATTCTGTGCGAGCCTGGAAATATGTAACAAAGGTACGGTAACGCTTTATGATTGACCTCGAAACACCTTGAGCAAGATAACCTCGGAATGAATGAGTGAATGAATGAATCAATCAATAATTCAGTCAATCAATCAATGAATCGACTCTTCGTCGACGTTAAGCCTTGCAAATGTCGTCAGTGGCAATGTCGACCGCGCACACCGCGCACACCGCAAGTCGGTAGAGCTTGAGGAGTTGAGGCTGCTTCTCAACAGTGACGGCCCTCCCGTCGTTTCAAATTCGAAACCCCGCCTAGCGCCCGGACTCCCTAGTACGATGACGATGACGATTCTACCTATTCTGAGTGGTCTCTAGTGTACTTCGACTTACAGAGAGATAAGCCGTCTATGATACGACACTATAGCAACCTGACTGTCAGTACTAAGTAGGTAGGATAGATATATGTGTCTAGGTATGTACTACTAGTAGTAAGTATCAATACAAAGTAGATGGCTAATAAATCGCTAACCTACATCGTAGGTATTGTATTGTATTCAATGTGTACAGAGATAGATTGACGCTAAACGGCCCATACCGGAGGGCGCGTTTATTAGGTACAATACTAATGTGAATACTACAGTATTAACGCGAATACTAATGTGTATGCTAAGGTGAAGTGAGTTACGTCAATGATTGTTTGAGTTCGGTTTTTGTACATGCTCTGCCTGGGTCAGTTATCGTCAGTATTTACATAAAACTATTTCCAAGACACCAGCATTCTGGTTGTTGGTCGATCATTTAACGCCGTAAGACAATCCTTTCAGGGTATGGTGGCCCAATACACATCTTATCCGCATGTGGACAGGCCCCCTCTCGCGTGGCTTATTTTACCCCTTAGTACCCCGAAGTCAACTTGGTTACTTGGTACAGTTCAAGTTCAAGGTTACTTCCAGCTTGTCAGCCCGGTACTGATGACTGATAACCGATGACTGATGGCTATGGCTGATCGTGGCTGTGGGCTCGACATGGGCAAGAGGCACAGAAATACCATCACTCAGGATGATCATCTCGTTTTTTTTTTTGTTTTTTTTTTTAAAAAAAAAAAACAACTAACTATTCCTTCATAGTACTTTTTTTCAAAGTGGCTCTGGAATAGGCGAATAGGCTATCATGAGAAATAGCTAGCCGAAGCTGTGTGAACATGCAAAGACGAAAATGGAAAAGTCGTCATCAACCCTATGACAATGAATACGGTCTCGCATGTCAAACAGAAAAAACAGCCAAAACACTCTCGTGTAAGCGCGCCCAAAACCAGAACAGGCTGCATCACTTGCAAGAGGCGCCACATAAAATGCGATGAGGCCAAACCCCATTGTAGCAACTGTCTCAAAGCTCGACGGCATTGTGAAGGCTACCCAGAGCCAAGGAGTGCAGCAGACGCCCCTGGCTTTGTGCAGTTCTGTTGGGACTCCAGGCCCACGACGACGATAACGCGTCGCGCGCGCCCGAGACTGTTGCTGTCCCCGCCACTAAACACGGAATCCCTCGCTTTTCGGGATGGCGTCGCGGCGCTCTACTTCCAGGAGTTTGTGGCCTTGGTCCGCGGACCTTGGATCACGGCGGCGTCGAACGGCGACTTGTGGGGGGTGACGCTGCCGCAGCTCGCGCGCAACAACGATACCCTCCGCCAGGCCGCCATCGCCATCGGCGCGCTCGGCGTGTGGCATAGCAAATCCAAGCACGAGTCGCTCCGCGCAGTTTCCGTGCCGACTCGTCTGGTAGCGGAGCGAGATTCTCATTATTTCCATGCCGTCTCGTACTACTGCCATTCTCTCAAGCTGCAGAGCCAGAAGTCTTCTGTGCAGGATGCGGTTTTCTTGTCAATACTGCTCTTGTTCTTCGAATCGCTGCGCGGTAACAAGAAAGCCGCCTTGTCCCACGTGAACCATGCCCTGGCTATGCTGCTGGCGCTCCTGACGGACGCTGATGCAGATCGTCATAAGGCCGAGCTGGGACCCAATCCCGAGCCCCTGCTTGCCTCGGTAGCAGACATCTACACACACCTGGCTTCGCAGGCTCGAACTGTTCTGCACGGTAGGATCGGCCATGGGCCGCCCCTCCCCAGCCTCGCGAAGGGGTTGAAGAGTAGGAAGCAGACGATGGAATCTTTTATCGTACTGCTAAGCCAGCTACCTCGCTCCACCGTGGCCATCGACCGCATCCCCTCCGTGTTCAACAGCCTAGACGAGTACGAGGAATACTGGCTCGCGGTCCAGCGCGCCCAAACCGCCATGACTCCAATCATGGTAGAAACCATGCGCGCCTCCGGCGTCTTCGGCTCCCAAGACGCGAACCGGCTCGACGCCTTCTACGCCGACATCCTCGACAACCCGCGCATCCAGAAATTCTGCGGCGACACCAGAAAAGCAATGCACGCCCTCGACGCCGCCTTCCTCCCGCTCTTCAATAAAATCATCACCACCACGGACTCCGCATCCCCCGCGCGCCTCCGCGCCATCCACCTGCGCCTCCAATTCCTCGGCGTCTACATCTTCGACGACACCCCCTCCTACCGCTCCCCCGCCGCCATGTCATCGCGCACCCCGCTCTTCCAATCCTACCTCTCCCTCGCCGCCGCCGCCCTGCACACCGCCAGGCACGAGGTCGCGGGCAAGCGGAACCCCGCGCTCTCGCTCGCCCTGCAGTGCGGGCTGTCCTGGCGGCTGCTCGTCGTCGCGCTCTTCTGCCGCGACGCACGGACCCGCGACGAGGCGGTGCGGATGCTGGGGGAGTACCCCGGGCAGGATGGGCTGTGGGATACGAGGGCGCTGTATGTGCTTGCGCGGAGGAATAGGGAGGTGGTGGAGAGAGGGGAGGGGGAGGGGACGCGGGAGGAGCAGTGGGGGAGGCTGTTGAGGAGGGAGTTTGTGTTTGAGGAGGGGGGGGAGAGGGTTGTGTTGAGATATTTGGATAGGGATGGGGATGGGGGGTGGAGGTTGGTGGAGGAGGTGGCGGAGATGGGGGGAGGGGGAGAGGGAGAGGGAGAGGGAGAGGTAAAGTGGACACGAAGGCCGCTTACGGGGTCTGGGGGGCCGCTTGTGGTGGACTTGTATGCTGCGCAGGATGGGTGAGTCGGAGTTGTTAGAGGCGTTAAAGCCTGTCTAGGTAGGTAGATATCTAGCCTGGGTTCTTAGGTTTGGCGATTTTGACGATCAAAGCCGTATATCGATGGGGATATAATATTTGGGTAAGCTACCTGATGGGCTATCTTACGAGGAAGTCTATATATACGAATTCAACTACCATTAAATAATAGGTACGGTATATACTAAGTACTAAGCTCGGCTCTAATCTCTTCCCTCCTCATTCAGGCCACACCTTCCCCACCAACGTAAACGTCCTCGGATCCGCCTCATCAACCGCGTACTCCCAGATCTGCCCGTCCGCTATCCCGTAGAACATGGCGTCCGTCGTCATCGCGATCGCCGAGAAGTTCGTCGACTGCTGCTCCCCCCCGGCAAAGGTGATATCGGTTATCTCGCTCGACGACGTGTTGTTTCCGCCGTCTGTTCGAGCGGCGCGCAGGCTGCCGTCGCGCAGGAGAGAGACGTACAGCGCCGAGGACCACTCGTTCATGGTGGTCGCGGCGAATTGGACGGTTTGGGCGGGGTCGAGGTTTTCGAGGAGGGTGCCGTCTGTGTTGGGGTTTGTGGTTAGGTACTGTGGTCTATTAGGCTAAGGGGGTTAGGTATAAATCTCACCATACTCCTTCCACCGCGCATCGCCCTCGAACGCCGAAATCTCCATGCTGCCCGGCCTCCGCTGCGACGCCAGCGTCAGCCCATCGAACAGCGTCTCGTTCCGGGACCCCGGCAGCAGCGCCAGGCTCGCGCCCGCGGAGACCGCGTTTCCCCTGACCACGGGATCGGTCGCGTTCATCCAGCCGCTCGAGTTCGCGAACCTGATGAAGCCCGAGGGGCCCTGATACGCGACCGTGAACGTGCCCGGGCACTCGTCGCGCGCGCAGCGCTGCCACGCCGCCGCCAGCTGCGTGTTGTTCCACGTCGTGAGCCCGGACGGCTCGTACACCCAGAAGTCCGGGTCCGTGGTCGGGCTGTTGGAGATGACCCAGCTGATGCGGTCGGTGGCGTTGAACGTCTCGGAGAACCACAGGTGCACCTCGTACTTGGACGCCTGCCGCCGGTCGCACGACGCGCTGGCCAGCGAGGTCCCCGGGATTGGGGCGATGGGCCCCCGCGTCGACGTCGATAGCAGCGCGCTGATGTTCCGCGTCGTCCAGGTCCGGTTCTGCGACTCCCATTGCCGCGCGATGATGGCGTTGGCGGGGTCTTGGAAGAAGACGCTCCGGTGGGAGACGCCCTGCGGGTCTGTCCAGTTCGAGGCTGCGAGCTTGGATGTGCTGAGGATGGTTGTGTTTTCCTCGCCTGTTGCTGGGTCTTGCGATGAGGATGACGAATCAGAGCTCTGGCCTTTCTTGCTCCGACTCCCGACGACGCCGCCCACGATAGCTCCGATGATGACGAGGATCGCGATACCCAGTATCAGGAAAAACAAGCGTGGCGATAGCCCGCATATTCTCCGCCCTTTATTCGTCGTCGCAGCAGCAGCAGCAGCAATACCAACTTCTTTGTCGTCATTATTCCCGGTCCCGGTCCCGGTCCCTATCCCCCCTGTGTTGCTGTTGTTATTGTCGACGACCTCTGGTTTCGTGCTATCATATTTACTAGCCTCTCGCGGGTCGGCCACCTGCGGATACTGGGACTCCGGGTGCGGGACGAATTCCTTGTGCGCGTCTTGGCGAGCCGAGGCGTTCATGTCGTAGACTTCGAGCGTGCTGTACGGCTCGTGGCCGGGGTGGTGATGATCGGCTGCCGCCATCGACACATTGCTTTCCCAGAACACAAGATCTTACAATATTGAGGGGACGAAAAAAAAAGGGGAATTAGGGAAGACAATACTCCCTACGTACGTCCATTCAGGTTCAGAAAAGTCCCAGTAAGAATCTCAAACCCAAAAAAAACTACCCATTTAAACGGTTTCTCTCTTGTAAAATAAACTACCTACAAACCCCCCCCAGCCAACGCGTTTCCTCTTTTTTTTTCTCCATCTTGCCAGGATTTTCGACCGACGATCTTCTTCTAGTGAGATTTTGGAACCTCCTTGGCGATCCGCGCCGCACATAGTTTCTTGTTCTTTATTCATGTAGTTAACTATTGGCAAGTTGGCAACCACTATCCCATCCCCCCTTGAAATATACTGTATATATATAAATATCGGTGGAGCACGCCTTACTGCTTCCGCCTTCTCATGTGTAGGATCGTCTAGTATCGGCGCTTGCGAAGAGAAATGGCCAATGTTATTGGCTGGCGAGCCCACTGCGATGACTACTTGGGAAGCGACTATGTAATATCAACTTAAGTAATACTACATACAAGAAAGAAAAAAGGTCACTGCATATTATAATAGAGTGTAAGGCGAACCGCTACGGCAATCCTACCGGTTGATCGCTTACATAGTATTGTACAATGACGGGCACGAAGCATCGGGCCTACTTGAGTGTCCGCTAGAAAGGCTTGGTCCTCGTTTGAATAAAAGGCCAACAAGATAAATATCTACATATGACCACCTCCCTATGTTCCCTATGTCCAAGTGAAAAGAACTGTTTCGCATAGTTACAGTACATACGATTTGTAATGCATGATCTTTTCCCAGTTTTTCTGGCCATATCAGGAGATGATATTCATCTTACCTAGTAGTACCTTTGCAGGACTTTTTATATCCTTACTAATACCGCACCGCCGTCCTACTACTGCCGTCTCAGCGTATGTATGTGATGTTATGTAAATCCCTACTCGTTGCCCAGACTTGCACGTTACTTCGGCCGCTTACTTAATTTGCGATATGCCTGGCTAGGTATTATTAATGCCCCCCTTTTCAGGTCTCCGTGTAAATGGCCTGTTTGATCAATTCCTGGAACTCCAATGTTATTGGGTATTTAAGGTTGCTAGTGCTATGCCATTATTTAGTATATATTAATACCTAAATATGATTCCTGTCTAGCATCGATAGCTCTCCTTCCGATGTGCGAAGCTCACGGGGAATCATGAAACAATGATTATCAAATTCGCTACCTAGGTGTCTATAAATTTTCACTATTACCACGGTTCCTAAGTTGCTACCAAGGTCCTTATAAGCCGGCCGACATACAACTCTAAAATAAAGAACTGATACCAGATTAAGAGTTTTGGGTAAAATAAAGTACTAGTGCAACTAATATGTTGGAAGAGATCTGACCATCCCAGTACCTATGATACTCACCTATGTCTAAGCTACATCGGCAGGTAGACACCTAACCTAGTAGCTTACGGAAACACGAGACGTAAGTATATCCACCGCCAAGTCCAACTCAAAAGCCTCTTTCTGTCCATCAAAACTACCGAGGCTGCTAGATAATCACTCGTTCGTCCAATTCCTTTCGGGGATCCCGACTCTGGGGAGAAGAGACGGAGGGGAGGGGAGGGGAGGGGGGGCCGAGCTTCCTCACCATCCCTGAACTCCGCTGCACGGGATGCCTGTCATCAGACTTGGAGTTATTTAGTCGTATGGAGCCCATTATAAAAGCCGTCGTGGAAAGCGATCGCCTACGTGTGGGCAAAAGAACGTATCGTACATGCATTCTCCGTGCCTAGCTACAGTATTTACCTATAAATCGGCCCCGTAATGATTGCTTGTTTGCTTCCCAATCCACACTCATCCTAACGTGGATAAGCAAGCTGACCACCTACCTACCTACCTACCTACCTACCTTAAATAGGCAAAAACGTAATTACCTAGTACCCAGCCTATCTTAATGTACATCATAGTTCCCAACTCGTCATTCGCCATCACATAATCCCGGCACGCCATGGGAATGGAGTCAGAAAAGGTTCCGGGCCGGGCCGGGCGAGAGTGGGGCTTCCCCAGGCGCATGCCCGAGGACGGATCATGAACATGACATGACATGACATGACATGCGGGTGGGTTCCGTGTCCCTTAACCTACCCAAGTATGTCTAAGCACCTAGTTAAGGTAGATATACCCAATGACTTTTGACTGAGCTGAGCTTAGGTTACAAGCAAACTTCCACGAAAAGGGGGTAGGTATAAGCTGATTATTCTTTTTGTGAACAAAAAAAAAGGTGGTGATTCTTGGTTTTGTGTATACTACCTAATGTACAATTTCTGATTAGAAAGAAGATCGAGTGGTATAGTAGGTATGTAAGAGAAAACGTAAGCAGGGGGAATTTTTCGTAAAGTCTCGTTTTTTTTTATATGCACCCACCCCCCCTATGCATTCAATGTTGGTAAAAGACTTATGAGCAATGCAGTGCTTTCAACTCCCGGCTAGCAAAACTAACTCCCATCATGAATAATCGACTTTTTATCGCACCAATTATGTGATTTTTCTCCTTGCTGCCGACAAGATGTCTGTCTGTGGGCAACCCCCTTATTTTCTTCCTTCCCTATTCCTACATTTTCCTCATGGTCGGTCCGCACCACCCCCTTCCCCCCCCACACACTTCATACCTAGGTACTTAGGTATCCCATATCCATCCAGTCCAGTCCACTTTGCTTTATTTGTTTTTTCTTTCCGTAGCGTCCATTCTCTGTTCTAGCTGCTGAACATAGTTGTTCAGTCGTTGGCAAGCCGCCTGTAAAGCCTGTTTTCCAAAAACACAAAAGTCAGTTTAGACACTGCTGGTCCTCCCCGAAAGCAGCAAAGGCGCGAAGGCAAGGAATCAATCAAATGCAGAAACGCACATAGATGTCCTCCGTTAATAGCTCGTTCGAGGCCTTATACTCTCGTCTGTCGAAAGCTTTCAGTCAGCGGGGGCAAAAAAAGCAGTGCGCCATTGGCAGGCACCCCAGTGGGTAGGTATTAGAACTAACAAGACGTAGCTGTAGACACCAGCACCGGCGAGCGTCGAACCGAGAAGGAAGCCGAAGAGTCTATATAACCAAGCGAGAGTTTTATTAGCTTCTCGACTCTACCTTAGGTAAGTATGGTATGGAGCATAGTAGCAAGCACTATGCGCCATGATATTATAGATAATATATATAACATCATCAAACTCACCCGCCGCGGAAAGCGCCAACGGGCTTGCGGATTGGCAAAGGCGTTGCTGTCGCGTCGGCCATCGTTCGCGCGGTGGCGTGGAAGCCGCGGGAGGAGGAGGCAACGAAGGCGCTTCGAGCCCCGCCGAAGAGGACTCTAGAAGCCATCATTGCGATTTTCGGTGATAAAAGAGTTATTTGTTGTAGTTGAGTGTGGGTTGTTTTCGCGAGAACTTCGTTTAAGAGGTTTTTAATTCTTGTATGTTTAATTTCTTCGTCGTTGAAGGATATTGGTCAAGGTTGGGTGGGCAAAGGATTTCGAGACAAACGTCGATCAGTCAATCAGTCAATCAATCAATCAATCAATCACAATCAATTAAAATAAACTCGGCTTGAACTCCAAATTTGGCTTGCTAGTAAGTTGGAATGGGGGGTCCCAGGCCCTCCTGGTCTTCTGGCCCCCTGTAGAGTAGCGTCTTTTAAAAGCCAATAAAAGTGCGCGGTTCAACAGAGGTTCCGCTTTTTAATTTATATATTCATGTACTTCCACCATTACATTTTTAATTGTTTTTTCTTTTTTATTCAGCCAATCAAATCTCATCACCTCATCAGCTGACCAATCATATTATTTAATTTTTGTAAAAATACCTTGCAACACCAGCTACATACGAAGCACCATATAAGGACAAATCAACGGCTGCTTTAGCTAATCCAAATCGAGCCTTTTGATTGGACTCAAACCCCTTGTAAGTCACGTGACATATTTGAAGCGGCTCAAATGGTTTTTCCGATTGAAGCTAACAATCTAATCAGAAAGCTACTTTTCGGAAAAGTAGGTAAAGCAGTGGATCAACTCCCGATCCGATTGGCTATTTAAAGCTAGATGTATTAGCCTAAAACGGCTAGTGGAAAGGCTTAAGCCTTTTAAGCGAGCCAAGGTTTATCCGGATCTAAATGAGACGTTTGTCCGAATTAAGCATATGATTTGCACTAGGACCGAAATCAGAAAAAGGCTAACCCTAAGGGGGAACAGTGGGATGGTTTAATTGGCTGGATTTGAGGAGCTATGCTTAGAATGGCAGTTGGAGCTTTTTTAACCAATTATATTGTAGAAATTTATCTCTTTCTTTCCAATGTACCGCGCTATCTTAAAAGCGGCTAGACTAGATCCATTAATAGACAGGGGGCCAGAAGACCAGGAGTGCCTGGGACCCCCTATTCCAACTTACCTAAGTTTTAGTATGGAACATTTGGAGAAGCCTGTACTATGTACCTCAGGCCTAGTCCGGGTATTCCTCGGCACAGCGAACTTCTACTTCAAGTTTGATACTAACTACTAGGTAGTTACTAGGTAAGTATTACTAACAGGATATAATAGCCGTGATTGGCTGATTGCATATGGGTACTCTACGACATAGTACCTTACGTCAACTTTCAAGGTCAACGGTATTACACCAATTTACAAAAACCTCCCTTACGACATAGTACTATTCTTTGCATTTTCACCTCACTACCAAGTAAGAAGGGCTCATTTAAAATAATTTCATAAATCTTATGCTGAACTACCCCATGTCAACAATGTATCCCAGTCCCAGTGTGACCCAGTGCACAGGCTGATTAACTTGCCCCGTTCGCGTAACTGAAAGAATCTGTACAGTAATTTTTATTGCTTCATTCTCATATTATTGAGCTCAAAGTTCATCATGCTTAGTTGCCTCAGCTGCCTCGCTGCTGCTAGATTCACTTGCAGCAGGAGCAACGGGAGTCTCATCTTCCTTCTTCTCCTCTACGAACGCCTTATACTTGCCGTTCTCCTGAACGAACTTGATCAGGTCCTCAACAGTTCGCGCTCCGCTGTACGTAGCCGGCTCGCTCTTCTTGCCAGCGGGGTACAGCTTGATGGTGGGGAATCCTCCAATCTCATCAGGCACATCGTTGGCCGTAGCATCAACCTTGGCAATCACCACCTTGTCCTTGAACTCGCTGTTGGCGTACATGGAAGCAAGATCCTCGTACTTGGGAGCGAGAGCCTTGCAGTGGCCGCACCATGGGGCGTAGAACTCGATCAAGACATCCTTGGAGTCGTCTAGGACAATCTCTTCGTATGTCTTACCCACGACAACGGTCACCGGGCCTTCCTGCTTCTCCGGGATCTCCTCGGACTTAAGGCTGGGCTCAATCTTTCCGGCAACGAAGTCGTCAACGAAGGCGGTGACGGCCTCGGCAGTGAGCTCCTTCTCCTGGTCGAAGGGGAATTTCTGGTTCTTGACAGTCTCCTGGATAGCGAAAGACGGGAACTTGTCCGTCTTGAGGTTGAGGTTGCCAGCGTGAGCACCGAAGGACGAGGCATCAATAGTAGCGAAGTTGATCTTGCCACGGTACTTCTCCGCCAGAGGCTTCAAAGTCTCGCCAAGTTCCTTTCGCTCCTCGGCAGTCTCGGAGAAGATATAGGCAAGGGGGAGACCGGCAGACATGTAGCCGGAGTAGGTGTCAGGACCGACTTCGCCGATCAGAGGGGTCGAGGCAACCTTTGCGAAAGTGTCAATAGCCTTTTCCTCGAACTTGTCGGTGAAGGTAGCTTTGCCCTCATCGAACTGCTTGTACAGAACGATAGCGGGGGCCTTGACGCCCTCGGCCTCGGCCAAAGCAGCGTCGTTGGTAGCACCGAAGAGATAAGAATCCCTATACTGCTCAGCGACCTTGGTGTAAGTCTCGTTAGAGGCCTTATCGGAGGCGTCGATATAGGCGACAAGAACGACCTTGTCAGCGGTCTTGAAATCCTCGAGGGTATCCGACGTCAAAAGTGAAACGGCGGGGAGGGACTGCTTGATCATGTAGGAGGTAATCCTGTGAGAACTTATTAGTATGGTGATTGCTGCATAGTGTGTTTCGAGCAAAGTACTTACGCAGCAGCTTTCCTTTGGCCGGAGTAGGGAGTGATGTTTTCTGGGCCACGGAAAATCTTCAGTGTCGGGTAGCCCTCGACACCGAATGATTGGCAGAGCTCGCTCTCCTCTGTGCAGTCAACCTTGGCTAGTTTGATTGACTTCTCCTTCAGTGTTGTAGCAGCCTCCTCATACTCGGGGGCGAGGGCTTTGCAGTGACCACACCATGGTGCGAAGACTAGATATTATGAGGTTAGAAGACGTCTTTGGAGTGGCATTCGCATTAGAAATGGAAGGCCTAACATACATTCTGCTAGGACGAGATCATTGGTCTTAACGAAATCGTTGAATGTGTCCTTGGTTAGCTGGGTGACATCTGAGCCATCTGCAGCAGAAACACCTGCGGCGGCGAGCAGGCCGAAAAGAACGTTCCGAGCCGAATGCATGGTGAGGGGCCGATACGATAAAAAGCTCCTAGATTATAGCACTGGCTAGGTTGGGGGTATATAAAAGAATAATTTCAAAGTAAAGAAAGCAAATAAGTGCTAGCAGCAGGATGTAGGAAGAGGTTATGTATTCCGATATCTCCTACAATTGGTATATCTGTCCCTTTTAGCAGGAAGGGAATGTGAATTGGAGAAGATTGAACAAGTTTACTTTTTGTTTGGCTAAAAGGCTGAAATGGTACATATGTAGGTATGTACCTAGTACTGTATGTACTTCAAGTACCAGGTACATATGCATCTGTACACTGTACAATACCGAATATCTGGCCACTCAGCCGCCACTGGCAACTGCTACAATAAGCTACATGAGCTGCTAGTGACTGGTAAAGTGATGTCAGTTGCTTGTGGCTTACGCAGGGCAATTATAAATCCAATGACGGGGCATAGTTCCGACGCCCACCGCTCCTTCCCAACTCCCGCATCCCAATATAGTACTACCTAAGGGTGACTAAAGTTAATGGACAATTCAATGATTCCAATGGACAGGTGTTCTCTTTCTTTTTTGACCCCCCACCAAGGCACTCATGCTACATCATGGATAGTACCAAGTACATACCCATGGCTCGCACCGCCACAATTGATCCTTTTGGATCCATTTAATACCTCCAGGCTTCAAGTTTTATTATAGGCACCCCTCATCCTTAGCCTCTATCTAATTAATACTACTTTATCCATTCAAGATGCGAATTAATGATTCTAATCATAGATCAGATCAGCAAACGCGGAGGCACACATTCGAAGGATTTGGACGAATATGGTGAAGAATGACATGCGGTTACTCGTACTCGGCCTAGGTACCTACTATTCAGCTAACTGTCTAACTACTTGTCTACTTATCGAACCGCTTGATTGTCTCAACTCAATTCAAGGGATTGTCATCCGACATGGCATTCAACATGATGTTCTACAATACATTCCAAGGTTTGTATCGATCAATGACTAGTACATTACGGTAGGTAAGTACAATAAATACATGAGCACCCCCTGGCTAGGGGCATCTGGATTTCAATAATGCAAGCTGCCAGATTAATTAGAGTCCCTGCAGTGAGGCTCAAAATTGGAGGACCCTCAGCGTTACAATGTCTTAACGATGGTTGAAACCCTACCACGCCATCGTTACAATATACTATCTTACATGCAAGCCTGAAGAAGTCAAGGTAGCTAATGTCTATAGGTCTGCCAATCTCAAGTTTGTAAGAATGGGAAATAGAGGCAGGTACATAAGGACCATCAGCAATACATACCCAAAGAAAGCGCATCAAAATGCACACACACCTATATGTATGTGACTTCAGATATCGTCAAAAATCATTACATAAGCCTATACGACTATAAACTTAGTAGGTGCTTGCGGGTGAGAGATTGAGAAGGTGGGCACGTATCTCGATATAAGAATGATATCAGGTATGTAGGCGGAAGGAGGTGGATACTTGACCAGTACCTACTATGTACATACCCTACCTAGGGTAGGTAGGCAGTAGGTACTACCAGTGACACATGTAGTCAGTAATCTTCTGGAAGGAGGCACTCACGATAAAATGATATGAAGAGAAAGAATGACTGCAGATTTTCATCTGGTGGAACTTGAAGAGAGGGATCCAGGAACATCCTCTCTGCCTACCTAATATCTTCTCCCCTATTTCTTCAATGTTTGTCACAAGCATCTGACCTTCCCCTCGGCTCAAATTACCTCGCGACAACCAACATCAGCCAACCTTGTTTACTTCTGGTCCATCCAATACCTTTTATATAGAATTTGAAATACTAGGCATCTTCCCTAATCTGCCCAGCTTCAGCATTCAGTCTGGTTTGGCGACTTTCCAGACCGTCGAGGCCTCTAACACTACGAGCAGGCTCGGCGTTGTTCTAGGAGAAGTCAACCAGACTTTGTTAATCCAATTCTCAACCCAATTACTTTTATTTAATTATCTAATCATTTCCCCCTTTGCTCTTGGTGTCGAGTTCTAGACCGTCTCTGTCCCGATGGACCATCATCGTGTGCCTAGGCACAGCTCTAGCCATGGCACTTTGCGTAGTAGCTATTCATCTCAGGGACGACCAAGTCATGGCCCATCCCCTATTCGTCCGCTGCACAAACCTCTTCGGAGTGTGAACGAGAACTCTGTCTTACTACCCTCACCAGGTGCTTTAGAGAGTATGCTGAAAACCACAACCGAGACAGGAGACATCGGCATTTTCAGTATCAAGCCAATACCCCCATCACCACAACGTAGGGATACACTCTCAGAAATAGGGCATATCCGTCGAGATAACAACAAGAAGGGGACTTCTTGCAGAGACACTGCCTCCGAGATAATCTCCATGTACGGTTCTGAGAGTCATAGATCAGCCACCAGCACTTTGACCCCGACATCTTCAGAGGATATCGGGCAACGCTCATACTCAATGACTACCTGTGGGTCTCGTCACCTCTCTCATCACAGGTCTACTACGACGTTACAGAGTCAGAATAGCAACGGCCCACTCCAACGCCCCAGATCACCCTTCCCCTATCCAACTCGCCTGAAAAGACCAGGAATTCGCCCAGCATCGCCAGCGCTTACGGAAAGCGGCCGCGTTGACTACAGCCGCATGGTGGAGATTGATAGGACTTCCTACGTAAAGTGCCCCTTAGCTCCATATAGGTTCCATGCCTATTCACTAACAGAAATCAGAGGACAATTCATGGTCCTTTTAAACCAGCGTATCCCCATATGCTACGGAGGCCCCCGCCGTTAGGCCTTCGAGCGGATGCCAACCAATCTACGACCTCGTTACCTTCACATTACCCTCCTCCTAGTCGTCATGGACCACCGGGACTTCCATATGCTCGGACTCATTCTGCGGCCTCGATAGCATCTTGGGGCACTCCGCGCCGTGAAAGACTGGACAGTTTCTCCTCAAGAACGTCGAGTCTTACCTCGATTGTAAACATGTATCAACGAATACCGCCAACGTATAGGACTGTCCAAAGCGGCTTATCTGCTCCTATTCCACGCTATTACGACTATACCGAAGATTTCGAATATAGACAGCCGCGAACGATCACTCCTATTCAGCCATTCGCCCCTGTTCCCACACGGGCGCCCTCTTTTCAGCGGCCACTAGTACTTCAAGAGTCGGACGATCACTTAGAGGTTGCTTTCCGAGAGCGAGATTCGGCATTCTACGAGTCTGAGAGCCAGAATGCCGATGAAACAGAAATTACTCCGCTCACACGAGGTAGCACTCCTCGATTTGAGAACTACAGAGCCCCATCACGTTGTCGCACTGGGTCTATACGTTCTGAAAATACATCCATAGTACTTGATGGCTCAGAAACTGGTAGCAGACTCATGAGAGGGAGTGATGTTGACCTATTACCATCACAGGCTGGTAGGGAGTCTGTGGATACGTTCAATCCGAGTCTCGATCTCGAGTCAAAGGATGCACCAACGTATAGGTACACAGATTATCGCACAACAGTAACACCAAAGACTAAGGCGAATTCTCCAGAGAAGCACGTGCAGGTCCAAAGGGGTAGGACTCCCACGGTTCATAGTGAGCAAGGCGTGATAATGAGAGACGATACACGAGATGAAACTTTGCAAGATACAAGTAAAAACGATGAGGAACACCTAATCGAAGGACAGCCTATGGTTGGACAAGAGGATGATGTTTTAAATCGACGCTCGTGCTCTGAACCTGCCCAGGATATATTGGCCAAATCCATTCATCATGAAGCCCTACTTCATAACCAACACGCGTTCGCCACGATGAATCACGGTGCTTCTCGGCATAATGAAGCTGGCGTACTTCGTGATAGAACGTCGACAGTGACGCTTACCACGGCTCATGGACCGGGTCACAGCATAGGCGACGGCGAGATGTCCAGGACCGAAAACCTGGATAAGAACTGCAGTGATGCAGAAGAGGGCGATTTGATGCCGATTTCAATGAACCAGGTGACACCAAGACATAGGTTCCAGCGTCACAAGAGGAACCAAGCCATTCCCAGAATCAGCACCAGCAGCCTCCCCAAGGAAGATAATGAAAGCTTTCGGTATATTTCTCCATCCTGTTCCACCACACCTATCGTCTCGCCGAAACCAATCTCCCCCGCACGTCAATTGAAGCTGAAGAATAGCGTACCTCAACTTATGAAAGCACTGCCGCCTGTACCCGGAGATCCTGACTACGTTCCATCTCCAACACTTAGCATGCGCAGTTTATCGAGCAACGAAGGCGACTTCGCCGAGGTTCTCACACCATTCCGGTTCTCACAGCCTTCTATTTCTCAAATGTTCAAGGCGGTAGACGCCAGAAATCATGAAGTACCCCTAAATGATGATCGACTCCCAAGTTTACAGAAAAATGTCCCAAAGTTGAAGTTGAGAAAGAGAATGTCCAATAGCTCAGGGGCTACGTTCTCTTCAGATACAAGACTGTGTGACAAGACAACCGACCGGCGCTGCTCTACAGAAAGCCCGGACACAAGACTTGATTCTAAAGGGGGTGAGCTACATACTAAGGTACCTACTCGGAATAGACTGAAGCTTAGGTCTTCAAGAAGTACGACTATCAGTACCACGCCGCCTGTCGCCGTTCATCGAAACGCAGACACGAAGGGTTCAGACTTAACTACGGATATCGCGCACCAGAAACCACAGGAATCTTCTAACTTCCCGGTTAGCGTGGGATCTCCCCTACATCGAGTCAGTAGAAACCCATCACAATCTATACAGGATGACCGCTCCGCTGTCGGTAGGCCATTCGAAGCCGTGGCTCATACTGTAGCACCGTCTCAACGCGAAAGAAGGAGGATACCCGCAAATGCATACCGCCAAAATAAATTTCCTTACAAGGCGAAATCAATGGAAGCCCTTCGAAGCACAGAGCATCATGGCCTAAGGAGACATTTTTCAAACCTTCGTTCCTTGTTGGCACGTCCCTATAGTCCAGCCCCAGTCACATCAGTTGCAGATGGTACTCATGGCGAAAAGGAAAACAAGGTGCCCCAAGATGCTAATCCAACAAATGCAAATCTCAATAACAAGATTCCCACTGTCAATGGGGAGCGCTTACATGAGGGTCACAACCATCGGACTACTTTTGGTCGACGAGTACGGTCGAGAGTGGTCAAGTGGATCAAAGATGCCAAGACAGCAGTGCGAGTATGCTCCAAGAAGACCCATGGAGATTGAGAGAGGAGAACTCAGCGATAGTCTCTTGTTGCTCTTGTTGAAGGACCTCTCATAGTCCGTATTTTCAGATCCCGTCGTTTTCAGCATTTATTGGATTCCACTGGAAGCAACCTTGAAGTCTTAGTAGACTGAATTTTGGACCAAAATTTTGGACCCGCCGGCTGTTAGGTTTGGACGGAAGCCCTTTTTTGTGCCTGTTTGCTGTAGTCAAGTCGGTAGTAATAATGTGGCGATCAACTTGGTATAAATCATGGGTGGATTGGGATGACCCCCTTGAAGTAGGGTAAGTCAAATTTGGCCAAAGAATGGGAAACACGCATGTACGTACCTAGGTACTTAATGTAGCCCCTTTAGCATGCAACTCTAAATGCATGATAGTCTCGAGATGTGTAGATGTGATGTGACTTGCTTAGTGTGAAATAGGGGAAAGGGTTAATATTCTGGACTATGAATACTAGGTATTGGCTTGAACCTACCTAGGTTCCTTTATGGCTATTTGATTTTGAGGCTGAAGTCAAAATATCTTAGCCCACTAAGCCAAGTCTTTAATATAGCATCAATACGAGGGTATGAGGGTTAAGAGATGGGGATAAACTTTGTATAGCATACGATAGTTGTCAGATAGTAATAAAAGTGAAAAGGCACCAAAGTCAGCTAACCTATACCTACTTTATTCTCACTCTCTCCCTAACACCAACTTGAAGCTTTTAGTATGTGAAGACCTGGTAGTTTATGCGTATAGATATGCTTCCGCCGCCGAGGGTAGTGACATTTAGTTTCCTCGAGAGCTCGGCGTGCCATTGGATGACTGCCACATCGTCTCATCTCTCTCCCTCTCCCTCTTGTGGGTGGGTTTGAGACGGAGGAGTTTAAGCTTGACTACCTATCTACCTAGCCAGGTACTAGATCATTAGATCATTATATTATTAGATCATCTAGGTAACTTAAGAGAAGCTTACTTTCCATGGTTTGCTTATTAGGGGCCCAGGTGCTCTTCTTCTCTTCTCTTTCCTTGAACTCCGGTTTATCTCTCTTCTCTTCCTTCGCCACTTTCATCTTTCACGGGCAGATATTTTTTTCCACTTCTACCCTTATCACCATTAATTTTCATATTTGGGCCTTTTTTACTTGGGTATAATCGATCTCATACCTATATCTAGACCTGGAACGAGACCTAGACAGGCAGATAGATATCCAAGACCCCCAAGCGAAACTTCAGCCATCAACATCAACAACAGCCGCAACAGGCACAGACACGGGAACAGGAACAGCAACACGTGGAGTCAGAGCCTCAGAAACCTTCCGATATCAAAGTGGTGGTCAGCTTATTATACCATACTTTCCATACTACACTAGGCTGCCCTACCACCACTTCTACCATTCTTACTTCTACTACCCCTGCCACCGTCTCTCCCAACAACAGGAAGAAACCTAGTATCTGAAATCCTCGCACGGCCATCATCAGCCAATAAACAACACCTATATAAACTTCCCAAGCCCCAGCCAGACTCAACCATCAGACACGCACACAATTCAGAACTTCTGGCCAAAGCAGAAGAGCAGAGCATACTCTCCCCCCCAAAAGCATAGAACCTGCCACGGTTTCTCTTTTGCGCAGGTTCCTACTCTTCTTCTCAGGGCAGTCTTCCAAGTTCTACTCTACTCAGTTTCCTTCCGGAACCATACACCACATTCCCATCCCCCTTTTGAATCATCAACTGTAGGTATGTAGCATCAACCAACCCCAACCTCAACCCCAACCCCAGCAACAACAACAGCAGTAATACTAACAGCAACAACAAGACAATAATTATTGGTAAATCCAGCAACCTTACAATGGAGAACCGCCGCCACTCCACCTTCTTGCACAGCTACGGCCGGATCACCAGCCTGGACGACCCCTTCGGCGACAGGCCCGCGCGGCCCATGTCCTGGGACCCATTGCTCCGGCCACCACCTATCGGCGGCGCGCTTCTCGAGGACCCCACGTTCACGCCCCCGCCCTCGCCTCCTCGGCCACGGCCAGCAGGGCCAAAGCAGGGACCACCAACAGGACTGGCGCTTTCCATCTCGGATCGGCCGCGTCGTCGCTCGCAGGCGGGGTCCAGGGTCCGGTTCAGCGGGCTGTTCGAGGTCAGCGCGAGCGACATCGGGGAGGTGGATGAGGGATGCTGTGCTGACGAGGACGGCAAGAACACCAGTGACGATGAGGGAACCCTGGCGGACGACGAGGCGGATACCGCGCCGCTGGTCCCGAAGACAGCACCGCGCCGCAACTCGTCGCGTGCTATGAATCCGTGTCCTCTGTCAGAGAAGGAGAAGGAAACTGCGAAGGCACCGGAGGCGGCAGCACCCGCATCTGAGGAGGATATTCCGCGACAGCCGACGCCGTACAACTTCGAGGACGAGTTCAAGAACTGGGGCACGCCTTACACAACCCCGGTGTCCCGATTTGCCGCCGCCGCCACCGCCATCGCTGTTGCTCCTGCTCCAACGCAGAAGGGCCACGACGAGGATGCGAAGTTCGACTACCACGACGATCTGGCGAGAAAGCGGTACGGGGTCCGGAGCATCGACGAGATATACGCGCGCACCACCCCATCGCCGGAATCAGCTGAAGTGGCCGAGGCCGTTGCAGCAGCGCAGCAGCATGAGCTCGCGCTGGATGGAAGAATCCGGGAATTTGCCCTGCGCGGCGGATATAACAACAACAATACCCACACCCACACCCTTCATCCCACCACAATCGCCGCCGAGGCTAGGAGAAAGCACCCGAGACGCACCGCTTGGCAGAAGCTGAAGAGGTTCCTGGGCGTGAAGAGCTCCTTTCCCAAGAAGCAGCAGAAGTCCACTGCTACCGCCTCTATTACCACCACCATCACCGATGACCAGAGCGGCATTGAGCTGGACGACATCAACGTCGAGGGAAAGAGACGCAATGCGTGCGAGATCGACATGCCGATGCCCAGACTAAGCGGCACAGGCCACTGGAACGGGGATGCGGCCGAGTCGTCCTACGGCGGGGAGTCGCTTCGATCGTTTCACGCCGGGCCGGGTGGCCGCGATGCCGGCGCAACGGCAGCCCCTGGATCAGTGCGCGTGCCCTCGCACAACAAGGACGGGGGGAGATTGGAAAGAAAGTGGGCCAACAATAAGGCAAAGGGCTCTTCTTCTCGAAACCACTACCTGGCAGACAGCACTTGGTTTTTTTAAAGTATCGATCGACATCATTGCAGATATCTCAGATGATGCTGTATGTTTTATTTTATTGAAAGCGGGCATCGGCTGGGAGTCACGGAGACACCTTTCGGTGTAGGCGAGCATAATCGGTTGGGTCATTGTCATTTTTCATTGTCATTGTCATTGTATGGTATTATAATAGTTAGGGAGAAGAAGAAGAAGAAGAAGAAGAGCTCAAAATACGCCGCCACCTATAATAAAAAGTCGTTCTTCTTCACGTTTTGCCCACTGTATGATCTTGTTGGCTCCTTGTGTCATGGTAGCTCTTGAGGCATTTGGCCCCGCCACGCAGTAAAATTCGAAGATGGGTGTGATCCATGCGAGTGAAGTGGTGTCCTCCCCAACACAATGTAGCACTTTTACATGGGTATGCTTGGCATGGAGAGTCGCATGTAGGTTGTGATAAAGCGACATCAGTCGCCGGTGAGAAATGAGGTTCCCAAATCTAGGTAGGAGGGACGGCATGCAGAACTGGACGTTAGCCCTCGACTTGAATAAGAAGTGGCTGACGTGTGTACTAGGGGCAATATCGTTCAACTTTGGACGTCCTTGCTGTGCTGCAGCTTTGATAATGTCAAGATGTCCTTTCTTTTTCAACTCAGCCACGACGTCGTCTCGCATATGCTGTAGGTCGAAGAAACTCTCTTTATCCGGACTTATCAAGATGATTGCGATCTCTTCACCAGCGGCACTCAGATTTCTCTCGGATTCTGGCTCAACATCCAAGAAACTGACATACATGTAAAGATAGCCTCGATTGTTGAAAGCTGGCAAGCATAGTGGGATCCAATTCTCGCCACCGCCGGCTTTAACACTTCCGGATGCGAAGAGCATATTGAAAATAAGCTGTAGATCGCTTGGGTGGAGTGAGTGGCGACGAGGTCTGATCACACTCACAAGCTTTCCGCCTGCAACTATTAGACCATAGAGTAAATTATCGGTCTTTGTCTTTAAGAATGAATTATTAATTGCATGTCGATGTGACTTCCTGAGCCTCAAGCATTCTAAAGCTCCTAGAAGGGCGGATGGAGATCCTCTCGTAAAGCTGTCGGCCAAGGAGGATAGCAAAGTCTCTGTGCCCTGGAGAGGCTTTCGGAGATCGGTAGAGGGTCGATTGGCGAAGATGTTGGTCAAGGCCGGTAGTGTTAACGTAGATAATATTTGCATGTACAGCGCATCAAGTTGGGCCCTTAGTTGAGAATCGCTTTCCCCGAGCCTGCTTATCGCTACCAAATATAGGGGGCCCTCGGTAGCGATGACAAAACGCGTATTTCCGGCAGTGAATCCTAACAGAGGGTTCTTCGCGCCCTCATAGAATGAGATGATGGTCTGTACGACCCCCATTGAAGAGCTGACCAAATCCAGACCTCCATGTCTACTATAGATTGGCTTGCCCGCAGATGATAGAATCATGTAATGTTTCAACTTGGATTTCCAGATCTTGAGTCGGTCCTCATCGCTCCAGTCTGTCTCTGAATCATCCGGTATATCATCAAATTCGCGAGAGAAATCAGAAAGGACCGCATCATCCTCAATCCTGACGGTTTCAAATGGTTGCACTGCTGAAGATTGTGCACGTAAAAGGTTCCAGGCGGGACTTCTCTTGCTCATATCCCCGATGAGTAAGCTCTCCAGGTCTCCCGGAGGCCGCAAAGTCGGTGCAAGACTCATGATGCTCATGGATTCGTCTATATCGTTTCCAATGGTGTTGAACCCTAAGCTCGACATGCCAACATTCGCCGGCGTAGAGCTTTGCTCCGTGGCATCAGCATTGTTCTCACTAGTTGTTGAGAAGGTACCACGTGAGCCATCTGGAAACGACAATGTCTGTATATTCATAGATGAAAGTGCAGTCGTAGGCTTGGATGACAAGTTGGGCCGTTCCATCACCGCCCCCGCCCCCATCGCCGCAGATTCAATAATTACAGGTGCTTGTGCGGGCCTGGGAGGCAAAGGGGGCGGCAAATCCGTGTCTTGGGCAGCGGCACCGGCAGCGGCTGACGAGCCAGCATTTTCGGTGCCCATCGTCAAGGCACTACAATTTTCACAATGCTCAGCTATATCATCGCATTGTTCAAACTGTCAGTCCATGGACTTGGTCGATTTTGGTTAGATTTTAATATATTTTGGTTTGCACCACGCCATAGCATCACATCAGCCAGTGAGCACCATGTCGTGAACCCTTTAACGGTATTACCTAGACACGCTAGGTAGGGTATGTATGTATGTATGTTATGTATGTATGTCTAAGATGTATCATGTAAGGGCAAGTTCAGGTTCTCGAAGATGTGTACTGCGTAGTAGGTTAGTGCTTTGTTTGGGTGCTCTCAATCTTATCGTTATCGTTTGAGACGTCATGTACCTATTTACCAGCTAAGCAGGTGCATCCATGGATTCTTTAGCCAGGACCTGGGTGCCTGGGGAAGAATGGAGAACTACGGCGTACATGTAGTACCTAACCTTGGAACCCTTGAAATTACAAGGGTTATAGCCAATAGGGTGCCTCCGGGTGTTGCGTTAGGTACTAACTACTAGGTAGGATAACTATTGTCTGGCGACTCTGGCCGTTTTATTTAATTGTAACCGATTTTTAGCGGAGACCTGCAACGTAATTCGCAAAGAATCAAACTCAATCAATGCGCTGCTGCGTATAATGCGTACCTGTGCGTACCTGTGCGTACCTGAGTAACCTAGTCTTTTCTTAAAGAAAAGAAATAATCATGATATTCGCAAACAAATGCGCCTAGGCAAAAGATATGCGCCTCGGTCCATCTACTTCTGAACTTGACCCTATGGTCCTGCGACCAGTACCTCCATAGTATCAACTACGCTAATTATGGCCCTCGAACCCGGCCCTCGTCGTTCCCTCTCTCCAGATAGCTCTGGTCCGAATACTCCAACTATAAGACAATGGAGAAACCAGTTAGGCGCAGAGGATACCCCGATAAAAGACAAGCACTATCGAAAGTATGCGTCAGGAGTCGAGCGAGCCCTGTCGCTGTTCGACACCGCTTTGGAAGAATGGGCAGATTATATATCTTTCCTGAGTAGACTATTAAAGGTAAGCTTCATTACCTTCCTTTATGTGGGATATGATATGATGTGATATTGCCTGTGACCCTCCCGAGAGACTGTTGAACTAAAGAATTTCACTATCTACTTTAGGCATTACAAGCACGTCAAGCGAACACAAATACCATCCCCTCCAAAACGTTGGTCGCGAAGCGCCTATCCCAATGCTTGAATCCTTCTCTTCCCTCCGGCGTACATCAGAAAGCGCTAGAGGTATACAGTCACGTATTTTCGATCATAGGGAGAGATGGCCTATCCAGGGATCTTCCTCTATACTTCCCCGGACTATCACCGGCCTTGTCGTTTGCCTCCTTGTCTGCCAGAGCTCCGTTCCTCGATCTCCTCGAAAACCATGTTCTTCGTGTTGACCCTAGGTCGTTAAGGCCTGCGATGAAAAGTGTCATCTTAGCCCTCTTGCCTGGGTTGGAAGAGGAGACGAGCGAGGATTTTGACCGAACCTTGAAAATCCTAGAGAAATTCAAAGCCGCCATACGGCCACCAGATTGCGACGATCTCACGGTCACAGACTCGTCTGGGGATGATTTCTTTTGGCAGTGTTTCTTCTTAGCCACCATCACTGGTCAAAGTCGACGGCCTGGCGCCCTCACATATCTTAATCGTAGACTACCGAAATTGGGACATCCTCTCACACAGGATATTCACCCAAGTGAGACCGAAACACTCTCGTCCGAGCTTTCGAAACTTGTAACCTCTCCCGAACCGGGTTTGCTTCTCAGGTGTTTTGCAGCTGGGTTAGGGGATGAGCAACTCCTCATACAACGGGGCTTTCTGGACCTTCTGGTTACACATCTCCCCTTACATTCCCAGGTATTGCAGAAAAGAGTGAAGGATGAGGACCTAGAACTCTTGCTTCGTGCTGCTGCCGGCGTTGTCACCCGGAGGGAAATGAGTCTCAATCGTCGACTTTGGGCTTGGTTTTTAGGGCCTGATCCTCCGAGTCAAGAACCGGAAAGTGGCCTAGAGTCACCTATTTCGCCCTCTGATCATCATGGGTTTTATAGTTCCAAAACGAGTTACTTTGAGGAATACGGCTTACGTCCATTGACTCGAGCATTGTTATCAATGATCAATTCTGCACCTAGCAACAACCCCACAGAAAGAGCCCGACCTTACCGAATATGTTTGTCTCTCATGGATCGATGGGAAATAGGCGGCCTTGTAGTGCCCGAAATATTCCTTCCGGTCATAATCAGCGTCAAAAAATTCAAATCCAGCTCTTCGAGTAAAGCCGAGTTCAGCGAAGTGTTGCGTAGCGCCAGTGTTTTCTTTGATGGCGTCGAGAGTGGGCTCATATATGGCGAGATGGTAGGACTTATGGCTCAGGCGCTTGGCCTCAGCCCCGGAGACACAACAGGTATAGAGCAGGATGAGAAACTCGCACTCGTTCAGTTCATCATGACTCATTTTAGTATCCGAGAAGAGGAAATGATTACACTTCATGCTCCACTAGCTGCTCTCTCCGTTTTGACGATGCTGGAAGATGTAAGGGAGAGTAAGAGTCAATCGAAGGCCCCCAACGAAGGCGGAAACAGTACTCTTTCATCTCGGGCACTCGAAATTGCCCGAGATTTGATTGAACTCATCCCAGAACGCGCATTTCCAACTGGATCAGGAGAGAGAAATTCGGTTGGATCCATAGAAGGCCCAGTGGTGGCATCTATGTCCAACGGTGAAATACTCAAAAAGATCAAACACTTCTATGTCTCGGACCAAGGAAATATCGAGGCTACGCCAATGCCGTTTGCACCGCGGACTATTGGAGCCCTCCTATCTCAGAAAGCGTGTAACTTAACCTGCGATACACTCTCCGGCGCTGATCACGAGATCCCAATGTCTATTAGAAGTCGAGTCATGGGGCTTCTCCTATCAAAGATACCCCAGGAGTATCCTGTAGATACCGAGAGGCTTCTAGCAGCCATGCAGGTGCGACTATCTATACCCAATATAACATTCGTCTCGTTCAAATCTATTCTCTCCCTCTCGACACAACTGTATGCATGTGATCGGATACCGACAACTAATCTTTCGGACCTGGTCGAGCCATTGGTGCGCCACGCATGGAGTTTCTTGTCCTTGTCAGAACCAAAATACCATGTTGAAACCGTGAGATGTCTCTGGCAGCTGCAAACGGCTTTGGGTATTTCAAGTCGCGATATTGAAGCGGTCATCACCGATCTCATGCTTAAAGACGGCATAACAGGCACGTTTGCTCTACGGTCAGCAGATCCAGGCCGGAGTTTTACTATTCTTTGGTCACATACTTTGCAAGACAATTCTTTACATGCCGATAGGAGAAGCCCGAAAACTCCTACTGAATCCAGAATCACGCACCGGCTGTCTGGGATGGATCACTATGATGTGATGCTTACCCGACCTCTTTTTCTAATGCTTGATTCACTATTAGATGAGCGTACTCAACTGTTTATGATGGTCAAAAACTGGCTTAACACCATGGTCGGTATAGATAAGTGAGTGTAATCGACGTAGAGTGAGAGTATTGCGATACTGACAGACATGCCCAGGCTTTTCCTAGTATTTGTTACGAACATCTCGCAACTTAAGTTCCTTCGAGCTTTCCCGCAGACGGCGAATGCTGTTACGTCAAGCCAGTCGGTGCAATTCTCAACGGAAGATGATCTTGACCTAGTACTTTATTATCTTCGAACATTATCCAACATATTTCGATGGGCACCTGATGCGTTCTGGGGAGTCCTCGCAACGAGGATAATTGAAGAGCCCGACCAACATATAAGAGAGATAGGTGAGCAGATACAGGCATTCGATATCCCTTAGTATAATTTCTAACCGATCTTAAGCTGGTACGGATGGGGGGTTTTCCCTCCAAGAATTCTTCTTACGTGTCTGTATGCGATGTATTGCTGGCAACCAGTTTCCGGACGATAGCCAGATACAGCTTCGTACAGCTCAGCTTCATCGTTGTGCCTTGACCTTCCTTCACCAAATACTTCTCAACCCGTACGCAGAAGCATTGGCAAGACTAAAATTAGAAGATGTCTTAATCGAGCGGCTCGCCCAGTCCCTTAAAGGGCCCGATCCGTACGTTCAAGTTCTTCTACTGGACGTTACGTTTGCCTCCCTTAGACTCCGAGATATGTTGCCCACCGAAGTCCCATCCTCCCCGGTTGGAGAGAAAAGGACTCTAGGTCATCCGTCCGGTAGCGCCCGTCTGTCTGCTACTTCTCTTGACCGCATTCCTGAAGTCTCGCTGCCACCCTCATCTTTGCTCAAGTGTATACAAGCAGGTCTCAGTTCTCCCAGCAGCCGACCTGTGTTGGACAGCTGGGTGGGTTTCCTCACGGAGTGCTTACCCCTATATTCGGACTCTATTTTCCAAGTCCTCATACCCCTAGTAGAAACTCTCTGCGACCAAGTCTCCAGTACATTTAGCAACTTGCAAATGACATTCAGGGAAAATGGGAAGCCGTCTGAGAGCATCAATGCGCCAGAAACAACATTGATATCATTGCTCAATGCACTCGAGCAAGTCCTTGCCAAGGCACATGATCAGTTGATAGCTGCGGAGGCTAGGGCCCAAATCACAAAGAGTCCTGATCAACCCCAAGGATTCTTCGGGAACATGGTGTCTGGGGTATTCAACTCAGATACTCCACAATCTCGCAGCGCGACAGCGAATGATAGGTTGACGGTATTACTTGCCTTCCAAGATGCAGTCCGTATGTGTTTTAGGATATGGTCCTGGGGACAAGGAAGCCAGGCCGGTAATCTGGACATGAACTCAGCTTCCTCGTTCAGCTTTACATCGTTGCGTATGCGAAACAGGGCTAGACGCCTTCTAGAACATGTATTTGCTGCCGAAGCGCTGGAATGTCTAGAGACGGCGGTTGATATCTGGCGCAGCTCCTTGACTGACCCTGACCCAACCAAGCACACAGAAGTGTTCAACTTGCTCCCTGCTTTGGACGGATCTCGACCAAGACATACCATTCCCGCCATATTCAATGCGATTTATAGCCGCACTAACCCTAGTGCGCTCGACCCGTCTAGAAAATCAACCCTGACGATCGAGCTGCAAGATACGGATCTCGTGATATTCTTAGTTGATTATGCCAGGTCTCTCGAAGACGACGCGATGGATGAAATATGGCAGGATTGTATGATGTTCTTAAGAGACCTACTCGGAAACCCATTCCCGCATAGACAGACACTCCCGAGCCTCTTAGAATTTGCGGCGATCTTGGGTGAAAAAGTTGACAATACCAACTTTGGGGAGCAGAGAAAGATGCGAAGGGAACTCGGGGTATGATCGCACTGTTACTTAATGCTCATAAACACATTGCTAACCTACTAGTAGGATCTATTTTTGCGATTACTCACGGCTCTCTTCACTACGAGGCCTACGTCTTTTACAGACGGAGTATCCGCCTCACAGTCGGATAAGTCCAAACCCAGTGAACATCGATTTATGTCCCCAACGGAAAGGGCAGATGATGTAGTTGGCGTATTGTCTAACATCGTTCCCAACCTGCCCAAGATTCTAGTGGAATCTGATCGTGTCTTGACCGCTGCGGGAGCCATCTCGACAAACGTTATCGGACCCTCTATCCGCTCGAAAGCCTTTCCCGATACTATTTCAAAGACGACATTGACTCTTCTCCAGGAACTTACAAGGCTCTCCGGTAACCAGAAGACCTGGAAGAAGGATATTGGCGATGCCTTTAACGATTCAAGGTTCTTCGGGTCATCAGTCTCTTTAGTGCAAAGTGACTGGTTACCCCTATTGAAGCTGTGGACAATCACGGACAAGGACCGAATGACAGAGATACTGAGTCGAATAACACCACCTACGACGGCTGGCATAGTCTTTGGAGTGGGCGCGACTTCGGCAAGATTGGAAGCAGACCGCAAGACCCAGCTCAACCTTCGCCGGATCGCTGTGCTGATTCTCGCTTGCGGCACGGATACCTTCGTCACGGACCTCCCAACCATCCTCGAGCGTATCATCGAGCTCCTCGCCGCAACATCTACATCCTCGCCCTCCTCAACGACGCGAGCTGACATATACATGGTCTTCCGCGCCCTCGTCCTCCGCACCTCCGCCATCCACCTCGCCGTCCTCTGGCCCACCGTCAACGCCGAGCTCCACGCCGCCATCTCCTCCATCGCCGCCCCCGACAACAGCGGCCCCTCGGACACCTTCAACAACCAGTCCGTACTGCAGGCCTGCAAGCTCCTCGACGTCCTCATCGCCGCCGCCCCCGACGACTTCCAGCTGCACGAGTGGCTCTTCGTCACCGACACCATCGACGCCATCTACCGCTCCCCCACCTACCAGCCCATCGCCCTCGTCGACGAGCTCTCCGAGGACCTCGGGAACGCCATCAATAACCACAACACCAATAACAGCACTACCAATAACAACGCCCCCGGCTCAGCGACCCTCCAAACCGAATCCGCCATCACAGCCGCCACCACCGCCGCCGCCGCCTCCGGGACCCGCCGCCCCTTACTCGGCCGACACCCGGGCGGCATCGACGATGAGCTGGTAGCGGACCGGCGCGACGAGCTCATGGGCAAGATTCTAAGGCCGTTCTTCGCGCAGCTCAGTATTTATGCGTTTGAATCGACGTATGCGATGGGCGCGTTGGATGTCGAGGCGTGTGTGGGCGGTTTGTTGCGGGATTTGTTTGATGAGAGGACTGTTGTTAAGGCTTTGTAGGGTGTTTAGGGGGGTATCCAGATAGGAGGTGTGCACGTAGACACCTACATGTTTGGGGTGTCAAGAGTGTTGAGAGAAATCTGTGATAGTGGAAGGGAATGGACTGGACTGGAAAGGAAAGGAAAGGAGAGGAGAGGAAAGTAATAGGAAATGGGGGGGGGAACAGGGGAAGAGGAGCTGGAAGGCGGCGTATCTTGATGAGCTTGATGAGCTAAGGGGTTAAGGAGCTAAGAGCAAAGGAGCAAAAGAGAGTAAAGTAAAAGAGAGAAGAAAGGAGAGGATAGGTGGAAGGGACATGGGATGGTTTAATCAACCTAACCTAACCTAGCATAGTAGCATAGTAGGTATTCATTCGCCTTAGGAGGGAGATCAGAGATTACCTAGTAGAGAGCTGGAACATGGATTTATTTAGGTACCTGCCACATACCTAGGTAGTATACAAGCAAACTTCGAATTATCATACGCGCGCAACATCCCTATTACCCCTTTTAGTCTCAGATGCCTACGAAGTAAGTATCATCCCGTACATACTAGTAATCCTATGCTTCATCCATATCCCACCGTACCTATGTATACCAATTACCAACATCCCAATATCATTATCGTTTACCCAGATACCTACGTTTCCTAAAGCGTAGGTACCTAATTAACCAAATTCACCATACCCCTTTCCCTTTCCCTTTCCCATTCCTTTATAGAAAAAAAGAAAAAAAGAAAAAAAAAAAAAAACTTTGCCTTTTTGATGAATAAACGTAAAACACCCACCTACCCACCTAGGTAGGTACCCAAATATACCATCCATCCATCCCATCCCTCCCATCCCATCCCATCCATCCATCCATTAGAACCAATGCCCTCATTACCGCGTATATATATCATCACCATCGTCATCATCATCAATCCCAATGAACTGCGAAGCAAAAAAAAAAAAAGGCAATCAACCAACCTACCAACCTACCTGCCTACCCTAACACCCCAGCAACCCCCCCACCACCCCCTCGAAAACTTCCCTGCGCACCACGGCGCCAAACCCAAAACACCTCGCCTCCCTCGCCAGCGCCTCCCGCGCGCGGTCCAGGCGCCTCGGGTCCACGGCGCCGCCGCAGCGCGAGACGATCTCGAACCACGCTTGCACGGGCGGCAGCTCCGCGGGCGGGGTGAGGGCGGAGGAGGAGGAGGAGGAGGAGGAGGCGAGGGCGCGCAGGCTCGCGAGGGTGAGGTTGGGGCCGGCGCCGCCGAGGTGGGGGGGCGGGGTTTCCCAGGAGGCGAGGGGGGGCCCGTGGTGGGGGCTGTTGGGTGGGGAGTGTTGGTATAGGGGGAGGGGGGGCAGGGGTTTGGAGGAGGAGGAGGAGGAGGATGCGAAGGAGGAGGAGGAGGAGGGTTGATGGTGGTGGTGGTGGTGGTGCTGATGAGAGGATCGTCGGGCCTTGGCGGCGCTGAGCTGCTCCCATACGCCGGGCGGCGCGGTCTGCAGCGCGATGCTGGTTGCCGTGAGAGCGTGGCCGTGCTCGGCTGCTTCTGGGTTGTAGGCTTGGTGGGCGTAGTGGTGCTGGTCAAAGTGATCCCAGCAGACGTGTTCTAGCCTGTATGTATGTTACCTGATTAGCAGCTTGCTTACATACTAGGACCCTCTAATCTTGCTTGAAGCGAGTGGGGGTTATAAGAGTTCTTTGATGATGAGAGAGAAAGGAAATGGTTTCATACGCTAAGATGAAGTTCACGGCATAGTCGTTCTGTGCCTCCGAGAGCTTCGCCGGGTCTGTGTGATGAGAAGAGTTTGCTCTTGGGAAAGGAGAAATGGTGGTAGAGGACTCTCGCATACTCAGGTCCCCGCTATGCCGTGAAAACGAGGTTGGAGTTGGAGTCCGTCGTACCTGGAAGCTAGGGGTATCCAGCATCTCAGATGAGCCGAAAAGACTGATCGTGTATCCAGGAGCCGGCCTCAGCGACGTGAGAGAGTTAGACGCAGTGGATGACGAAGGAAACATGGAGCTTGTGGGTAGTGAATCAGCCCTTATGAGGAAGCGGCGCCGGATAGCTTCATTCTCACTCTTGAGCGCCAGTCTCTCACGCTCAGTCCGATCGATCATATCCCGCAACTTGGTGACATCCATCTCAAGCTGCCTGGTGTAGTTTGTCTTGCGTTGCCGATGCTGGATATGGGCCTTCCGTACTTGTCCCCTCCTGACTTGAGCCTTGGCCTGGGTGGTAGAGTCTGGTTGTTGTGGGCCATTTTCCCTATTGCTAGGCCCTGCATGGAACGACTGGCAGTTAGTTACCAGTATCAAAACAAGCTGAGACACGTCTTTGATAAGGTCGAGCTATAAGGTTGAGCTAGGGATTATTGTGTTCTTCTTTTCCTTTTTTGACTTGAGTTGACTTCAACCTCAAAAGTTGCTTGATATACCACAATATATTCATTCCACAATGAGATGAGATTGCTCTTAGCTAACCAATACTATGATATATCCCATAATATATCCCCCTAATGTTAGGTAGGTATGTACATACCTGTCAATTGCTCGAGATTGTTGGCCACAAACGTAATACGTTTCGTTGCCGCCTCTTTGGTTCGTCTCCAGTAATCAGTAAAGGATGGTCGTGAGCTTCTACTATTTTTATCTGTTTGAGGTTTCGTAGAGGTTGAGGATTGACTTTGGCTCTCCTCTTCCTCCAATGAAGGATAAACCATTATTTTCTCCTTTTCCTTTTTTGTCTTTTCCTCTTTCTCCTCTTGCGGAAATATATATTTTTTTAAAAAAAAGTCAACTATTGTGACTATGTGAGACAAATGGTAAGAGGGTGTGATGATTGTTTTCTTTTTCAATGTTTACAACTTACAAACGAACAAAGGTATTACAAGGTATTGTACCTAGGTTAGTAAAGTTGTAAGCTGCATGTAACTATAGTGGGGCTAGATACGGATATCCTGTAGATTATGATACATACATAGTACTGTAACATACATGTAGAGGCTGCATAGTAGGCCTGTGTAGGTGCGGAGATGATGTTTAGGGGCATATGAGGTCAGCTCTACATAGTATGTGGAATCAAGAAGATCGACAAGAAATTCATTAAATCAATATACCTAACTAGTACCATATACCTATTATAGGTAGGTAGGTGCCTAGCTTGTTGCTTTTCGTCAAAGACGCCGTCCGTAAATACACATGAACAGGTATCTGCCTGTTTCTTTTTAATTGTCCAGCCCTCGTCCCATACCAACGCCGATCCAATGCAGCCGTAGGCTGATACCCATTCATCAGTCCATTAATTACTTATTTACTTCACCTCCTCAGCCTCATCATCCGTCGCCGTATCCTCCTCCACTCCTTCTTCTTCCTCTTCTTCCTCACCCGGCCTTTCGTCCTCACTCTCATCCTCTCCCTCGTCCGGCTTGAGACCCGGGATGTGTTGCCAGTGTATGTAGTCCTGCTCCACCCATCGTTTACTCACCGGGAGCTGGTATGGGTCGAATGGGAAGAACGACCCCAATTGTTGCCAACTCTCGTCGTTCATGTCGAATGATAAGTCCCGTAGCGCCCCTCCGGTAGAGTATGCTCCAGCCGAGAATTGGGATAGACGAAGTCGTTTATTTGACTCGAGGAGCGGGTAGACATACATGAAGCGAAATCGGTGGGCTAGCATGGCAAACTCTTCCACAATCTCCGGCGCGCATATCTTCAACGGGTTGAGCTTCGAATATATGTTGCGCCTCATAATGTCCTTAATCTCCACCTCCCATTCAATTTCTTGATCCAGGTACGACGATAGGTCGTCTGGGTCAACCTCGTCAGGTACTGACCGAATCAAGTCCTTCCATCGGAAACAGAATATATATATTAACGCTTGCATGAGTGAGTAAAACGGTGCATATCGACGGACGTCAGGTCCACGGCATGAGGTTTCGTAGAGGGTACGCATCTGATCCAAGTGGGACCCGAGCACTTCGAACACATTGACCACGATGTGACCTGGCACGTGCGCTCCACGCGCGACAAAGCTGGCCAGATACGCAGACGCTGCTTGCTGGAGGATGAGTGGACGCTGTGACTCAAAGGCGATGTTGATGCAGGTACCGCAGAACGCATCCATCAGTCTTTCCGACTTCTGTCCAAAATGGAAAATCAGGAACTGAGTGTGTCGTGACTTGATCGTAGGCAAGATCGTGTTCGAGAATTCGGATAGTAAGTCCTCGAATACCTCCAGAGCCTCGTCAGACTGCGGGTTGGCGAAGCTTGGCGTGTATATCTCAAATAGTGTATCTAGAACCGTATCCATCTTCTCAATGTTTTCCTTGGCCTTTTTCACACGTGTGTACTCGTCATCTTCTGATTCATCGCTGGCTACCGACTCCGCATCGCTCTCGTCCTCATCCTCGCCATCCTGGTTGCCGTTGTCGCGAGAAGACTTGAGAGCCATAGCTACCATGGCGGCAAGCCTATCATCCATATCATCGAGGTCCATTTGCATTTCCACGTCGATCGTAACCAGTCGGCTGATAATGAGGTCCATGATATCCATACCGAGCTCGGGACAATACCGTCGCAGTTTAAGAAGGTTGTCGACATAGGCTAGGTGCATGCGCTTGGGTTCGTCATGAAATGGATATTTGGTGCTAAGAACATGCTCTAAAGCGGCTTTGGCAGAAGGGAAGAGTTGTAACAGATATCGCACTCCCACATGAAGTCTCTCTTGTGCAGCTTCTCGATCAACGGTGGGGTAATTCGGTACAGCCCAGTCGGAAGGCCTCGAGTCGGTAAATCTTTCTATTATGGATGAGAGGACCTGTGTCAGACGCGTGCCTTGGGCGCTCACGAGGGCCGCAAGAAACTGGACGTAAATCTTGGCAAACTGTTCATCGCGGCCAAGCCATTGGCACTGCAGGACGCTCTTCACAAGCCCATCGCATGACCTTCCCATCCGAGGCGAAAAGCTAGCGAGAGAGACTAGATAGATCTTGAGTTCCTGGCGTCGCTTAGCTGGCAGGGCTGGATCCACCTCGTCCTCGTCGTCCTCGTCGTATGACGCTATTTGCTTCCCAGAAAGGGTCTCTTTTAACATGTCGTAGTCTTCATCGTCTCCTTGGTCATGGGAATCCAAGGCTTTTCTAATCTCTTGCTTGATCACCTCAACCGACCGTGCTCCGATCTCGTGAATCTCAATGTTATTCAGGTCAAACTCAACCTTCTGGCGCTTCCGGGGATTCTGTAGGCTGTCTATGTCGTCTTCATCCAGACCGGCGTCATCGCTAGACCTTCTAGAGCCAAGTATTGATGACGATGGCTTTAGAATAGGTTTGAGGGTGGTGGTGGTGGTCTTCACAGGAGCCCTCACAGATAGTGGGGTGGCGCTCGTCATAGTGGATAGCATAGAAGTTGGAATGCTGTCTGGTAGAGGTTATTTACAAGTCTATCGTATGCCGAATCCAGGTCGCGGTAGATTCTTTAATGCAGTACTCGGGCATACTGGTCTAATGCTGTTGGTAGGGTCAAGATCGCAAAATCTGGTGCGCTTGGACAAGGCTGTACTATTGTATGTAATGAAAAGAAAAAATGAGGAAAAAAAAAGAAAATCCATAATTAAATTTCGATCGTAACGCAACTAAACGCAACCCATAGTTATTGTTAATAGTTACTAGGTACCTACTAACTACTAGTACGACGTAGTATTGTACCTAATCTACCAGGTATAGCCTGTAAGGCTGCGCAGAAAAGAGGAAAAAAAGGGAAAAATCCACAGGGGTCCAAACGGTGGAGGGGCACCAGGGTCCATTAATATAACTAGTGGTCCGTGCAAATGACTGTAGGTACTACATGTAGGTAACTATTCTGTAGGTATTCAACATTCATAAGATTCAATGTTGAGATACTACATACTACTAGGTAGTAGTACACTTTCTACATGCATAGTTACCTAACACATTTGTGTGCATGAATACATTTACGGATATCAATCATAGTATTATGTTGCTTCGGATCCATGATAAATAAATATTGACTAAATCACTTATCTCCGATGAGCAAATACATGCACCGCAGCAGGGTGCTTTAACTGGGCAGACTCTTCAATGTTGGCATCCAGATGTCCATCTACCTATTGGATACCTAACCCAGTACGTATGTAGCTGGCTGGTACCTAGTACTATCGCGCCGACATGTTTATGACTGTATTAGATGGTTTCTTGACTCAATGAAAATGTGCTATATAGCTCGTAATGCTTCAGGCATCGGCCTGTTCTCCGTTGCTGGTGAAGCTAGAATAACTGCCCGACTAAGTCTGGCGCGGAATCTCAAGACTGATCCGGAGAAACGCAAGAGAACCGAAGAAAAGGGGGGAAGAACGCCGGGGGGGAATCTATCGAATATAAGTGTGGAAACCAGTACCTTTTTGCTCTCGGCCCCTTCCACTACCATCCCATGACGAAGTCCATCATATACAGGTGCAAAAGACGCGTATTCATCCCTGATCCTAAATGACCAATCCATTGCGGGATCAATCTACTAAATCCTCGCAATCCCAATATTTATACACACTTGAAGATATAGACCGTTTCATAACAACCCGGCATTAGAACAGGTTGAGGCCATATTTACTTCAGCCTATCCACCCAATTGTCCATCGGGCACTAAGCGCAAGACTTAATAGGACTCGCCAGCCGCGCCGTTGTGACTAGGTTGAGTGTAGATGTAGCCTTCGCCGGATTCGCCGATGCCAGTGGCTCCGTCGCCTCCTTGGAAGGCCGCCGTCCCGGCAGCACCGGATCCACCAGGTGCACCTGCCCCGTAACCTTGGCTACTCGGCCTATTCTGTTGGGCCTCACCTCGGTTCGACTGGGACTGCTACTTATTGGTTAGCCCTGCCTGTAAGCGAGGTTTGGCACACACGCGGTGCAAGCCTCAAAGCAAGGGATGGGGAAAGATTGGAGGGGAAGGAAGGAGGGGAAACGTACTTCTCGGTATTTGGACAAGTATATCTTGAGTGCCTCTGCATAATTCTCAAACCCCAGGGATGTCATTGCGAATAGGATGTCTTCGCCATTGACGGTCTTCCTCTTCTCCTGGTGGCATTTCTCCGATGCTGTGGACGGTGTCAGTCTTCGCTTACATTAGGGGACCAGTAGAAATTAGTTCGCTAGATGAAATAGAGGGGGGTGCGGCTTACCTTCGCTCGTGATGAAGGAGATGAATTCGCTAACACATTCTTGCATGCACTCCTTCGCTTCTTTTGCGATCTTAGCATTCTCAGGTAAGGCGGTTTTCATAATCCGGGCAACTGGAGCGAAGTTGCGTATGTTAGCATCGTGATAATCATATTTGTCTGCTTTGGAAGCGCGAGGCGCTTCTGGAGACTTGGGGGACGAATCGTGAGACATGGACGCCTTCTACTGATGCGCGGCTGTCTCGAGCTAATAGGGCCATAAAGCACCAATTGACGGACGCGCCGCGGGCAGAGCTCCGCAGAAGCAATGCTCTTTCACTCAGCTTGCAGACGGACTTGTGCGCGCCAAATCAGAAACAAGAGTCATTGGGGAGGATCTCAACTCACCATTGGCTATGGGCAACCACCTGTCCTGCTCTTTTACCTCAAACTCATAGGCGAGGCCAGAGCCGTGTGGGTCCTGAGGGTCGTTCATTTGTGCTTCATCGTCGGGTGATTGTACACCTTGCTCGACGTCCTTGGGAGGAGATTGGGGGGAATCCGACATATTTGGCTACCTGCAGCGGGTGGTAGCTTCTTGTAAAAAATTTTCTTGGACTGCCAGCTCGCACAGCTGGTTACAAGGTAGAGGTGATGTGTCCCTGCCTCTGACACGTTGCAAGTGGTAGGGCTTGCAACTGAAGCGCGGCTTAGCTGCAGACGAATGCGTCAATCCTGCCCTGACGCGGGTCCCAGAATTACGACCTAGAGCTATTTACTTGTCCCGTTGGTAAGCCCTGTCGCGAACTTCAGGCAATGACAGAATCTGCAGTGACGGGATGCGTGTATGCAGCAAGCCTGTGGTTGGTATAGTGTAAAGGGTAAAGTGTTAAGTGTTTAAGTGTATAGTGTATAGTGTCAATATACCCAGGTAGTATACTGTAGGTAGCGTGGTGTATGTAGTGCGTGTAGTAGACAAGTAGCGTGATAGGTAGTGAGTAAGTAGTAGCATGTATGTATGGATGTGTATGTATGTATGTAGGTGTTAGGTGTAGCGTGTAGCGTGTAATGCGTAGTACGTAGTGAGAGTGTAGTGTGTAGTGTGTAGTGTGTATAGTGAGTATTGTTGGTTCAAATGTTTAGTGTTGTAGTATGTATGGATGTATCAATACTAATGCTAGTATCGACACTGATGAATGTGTGTATGTATGTGTGTATGTCAGAAGGTAGTGTGTGTATGTATGTGGTGTGTTATTGGTATGTGTTATTGTGTGTGTAGTGTGTGTAGTGTGTGTAGTGTGTATTGTGTATTGATTGTGAATGGTTACGGTACAAGGCGGACGTGACTTTTGTGTGGATGAACTTTGACTTGATGGAGATCATTGATGTGAATTGTGGATGTGGAAGAACTTTGATTGAATGGGACAGGATGTGATCTGGGCACGGTACGAAGGTACATAAAATTTACTATGTATGGGTCTGCGAAGCGGGGGTTTTTCTGTGGATTCTTTCCTTCCTCCAAAGACGCCGAGGGTTGCGTTACTTCCATGTGTGCATAGTACCTACTATGTCCATCGTAGCTGCCGCTATTTCCTCTACGTACCTAATACCTATTTCCATCAAAGTATTACAAAGTACTAGGTATTATTAGATTATACATCAATATGTATTCAACGTTGACATCAAAACATTAAAAGTTTTTATTTTTCTTAGCACTTCATGGTCAGCTACATCATTGATGCCAGCATGTATGTATTCATAATGTATTATGTATGTACCATGTAGGTAGCTACTTAGGTAGTATGTGAGGTATACGAGTATGTACATACCTAGTAGCACTTGAGTCTTGAGATATGTATCTAGTTGGTAGGTACATATGTAATAGCTTACCCAACGGCAACTTGAAGATCACCTTACTGCATCTGCAGATGTACTTGCTCCCCGGTACGTGGGGTTGATTTAAGTGATTCCAGATTTCTGTCCACCTGAGGTTGGGATGGCAAAAATAAAAGGCATTTACAATTTCACAGTCAGTAATTTGGAACACTATATAAAGTAGGTACATATATAGATGTGTCATTGTAACTGTCATTGTTAACTTGATTACATAGTATTATGTAGGGATCTACAGCAGTCTCCTATACTGACCTCAAGTATGTACTAGGTAAGCTGGAGTTGATACCATTTACACAGTAACTACATGCTACGATAAATAATCAAATATAAGGCAGAAATCAACAACAGCAGTTCTGAGAGAAACTGGGGGCCGTTTTCTGGAAAACTCCAGCTCAAGGCTTGAATGCACAAGAGTGGATTTTTACTGGCAAGCTGCATAAAGCGTTATCAGCATGCACATGCAACAGTTTAAAGTCGCTCTATGACATGTAATTCTACACACATAAATGTACTATGTAGTTGTGATTACGTACCAAGGGAGCACAAGTACTCAAGACGAGAACGGCATCAATGTCCGGTGCAGGATTTGCTATGTACCTAATTGTTTTTACTCTATATGTTGATACCTATAATTCTATGATATATATAGAGTCTGGATAGTATGTGCTAGCAGATGTCCAATATAATACTACATACTACTAGGTACATAGGTATGGTGGAGGGTACTATGTATGTAGATAAATGTCGACCAAATACCTACCTATATATGTAAATTGATAACATCATAACGTGAAATCACATTAGAATCCGCGTACATACATGTACATATGTCTTCCTAGATGCAGGGTCTGCGCGATTAAGTCAGGTTGCAAGTCAAAGACGCAACGCACGCAATAAGTGACCACGAATCGAACAAACGAGGTATGTAGGGCAGGTCACATACTACCTAGTACATACTACATACTACATACCATAGTACGTGTGCTACTGCTACGCATCCAACTTGAAAGTAGCAGTGGTTAGGTATTATGTACGTGGGGTAAGTAGGTAAGTATACAAAAGGCGATCGACGATTGGACACCAATGATAGATTAATCAAGAAGGTGAAATAACAATGTATGTATCAATCTGCATTGATGGATACTATAATGTTACTGCATATGTGTTATGTAGAGGCGAGGCGAGGCGTAAAGGGAAATATCAAAAGTCAATGGGATTGGTTAACATTTGAAGTTCAAAGTTGATATTTTTCTATATCGATAAATAACATCACGTCAATTAGCATCAAGCACTACAAGCACTATTTATTATGTATGTAGTACAATACATAAGTTAGCACCTGCCTGCATATGTAGGCAGTATACAAATAAAGTTGACCGTTTCAAATATGCACATGTGTAAGCCTGCACTTTAAAGATTAAAACTTAAATACTAGGTACTGTACAGTAGGTTATTTACTACTCAGCCTGCTAAATGTACTCCTTCAACTACATGCATCTATCTATCTATCTATCTACCTCTTTAATCAGCCCAAGAACTTTGAAGCTCCTCATTCTACAGATCTGATCCTCCAGAATCCTAAAGAAACGTCTATGCATAATAGCACCTGAAGGGTCTTCCGATGGCTCAAATATCACCCATTTCTCATTGGATGCAGTGCTCATCTTCTCCGGCACGTACGCCATCCCATCGTATCCTCCGGAGTACCCAAGACATTCGTTTAAAGACCACGCCCATCCATGCATTTCATACATGAGGCGGTGAAGACGAGTTGCCGGAAGTGAGCTGAACACATGATGCTCATAATTATGGATTACCATGCTCCTCACTCATTCTCGGCCTCTTAGCCCTCCATCCCCAGGCATGCCCAGGCATCTTTTGTTGCTTATGCCATGTGTGGAGGGGGGAGCATGTCGCTGATTTGGCAATTTTCTAGATAACCTACCTGGTAGGCAGGCGGTTGTCCGGCATGTGCGCTTACCCGACAGGAACAGGAAATGCAGCCCGGCTTGTGGCTTTTCGATCTTGGGGGCCAGGTCATATGTTTGGGCAACGGTTTTGACCATGAAGGAGAACATTAACCTAACCTTAGATGACTGGCTCCGAAATACCTCTCTGGTTCGTATTAATATGCCGTTTCGGCCAATTACAATATTCGACAATTAGTTGTACTTCTGATTGGAAGTAATTTTTGAATCCTAATTCAAGAGGTCTTCCTCTCCCGGAATGTGGAGAAGGAAATGATAGGGTCTGAAAGCCTCTACCTATGGTGATATTGATATTACCGTCACCAGTCACTCAACCCCGGTAACCCATCAAATTGGACGACTCCTTTCTTGGCCTGCCAGCCCTGCAAAGCTTAGTGCAACATACGACCGCTTTTACAGACGCATACATCCATATGGATACCTACATCTTACCTAGTAAGTATACTTGAGCTCCCGTCTCTTTGGCAAAAACCTGCATCGGTACCTACATGGTACTGATATATGCACGTTGTATGCGGCCTTACTGTGTCCCACGAACCTACATACATTCGATCCCGTGGATGCCCAATCGTCGGAAAGCAAAAATATAGCCTTGTAGAAGTCTCCTCTACTATCGACATTCAAATTATTCACTTTGAAGCTCCAGCTTACCTACCTACCTACTATCTATACTGCCTACTACTAGTCTACTGCGTACTAGGAAAACGGTGATATAAGAAACACTAAAAAGAGAGTTACCGATGTACTGGGAAAGCTACCCATTGGCGACCTTGACGTACCGTAACATGGAAACGACCAATAGCTCCACAGCTCCTCCCGTCTGGCCCGGAAATGGGACGTGGGATATGTTTTCCCCCTCTTCCCCTCCGGATCAACACCCTGCTGACACCTTAGGCAGAGGTGCAGCCGTGTGAGGCTCGGAAGTACATACATACACTTGTGTGTATCTTTCTATTCCATCCCATTTAGGAGTCATCTCCATTCGATCGAATATCCTACAGCAACATTGTGTACTATGTATGGCCTCGTATATTTCGTATTTTGTCTTTTATTCTTTATTCTTTTTTTCTTCTAATTTAGGCGGCTTGCCCGGGTTCCGTATTCAGTTGAGTGCATCCTAGCACTTGCAGACTATAAGAAGTTGGGCCGAGTTGGTAACTGAAATTGAAATCTATCGTCACTCCCCTCCATGGATTTGTTACATGCAAGTCTAATCTGGGTGGGCTGTGATTTACTTGTTTACACGGTACTTGGTCAAGCAGGATGGTTGACGCTCCTGTTTCAGGCAGGCAGATCATTCTCAAGTACGACACGTTGGCAGTCAAGTTGTCAGCCCCGAGCATCACCGGTACTCCATGAAGTTCAATGTTGTCATGTGGCACGTGGAGCTCAAAAATGCATATTGGAGACCCCGCCCTCGGAACATCTGCCGGTAAACGAGGCAGGTAGGCAGTAGTTCACGATCCTTTTTCACTTTCCTCCATTTCCAACACGGTGTAATAAAAGTGCTGTGTTGATGACGGACGGACTATATCTGTCTAGCAAAGTTCCTTTTTAGATGCAGGGTCAGGGCAAGCCGCCCTACCTGAGCGGATCATTTACGGCCAGTCAGAGCAACCATTTCCTTCCGCGGACTACCCTCCAATCATTACTGCTTGCAAGACGTTGATCATGACAGCCTTGACAGAAGCCTGTCGTTGGGCACTGAGACGCCTTTGGCGCTAGGCTCCACTCCCTGCAGCTGCAAATTGTACAACGCATCGACACCATCTTTTTGATATCGCGGTAGCTTTGCTCATGCGTGAAAGTGAGGCCTATATGGTTATATGGTACCATTCCATCTACCTCAACGTCGTACAACATATCAGTCGAGCTTGATCGCGATCGCGCGTCTCATGAGAACCATGACGTCCAAACACACGAGGTCCTATAGATCAGCCTCATTCAGATGCCTGCTGGCTTGGAGTCTTCATCAAATAACCTACCCCCCCGGGAGGCGCCTATCGAGAACTTCAAAAAGGCCATTTCCAGCTGTACTGTGCCCATGACGTCCACTTCTGCAGTACCTGCTCCACGTCGATCGCGGAAGAGATGATTACCTCATGACTGGACGACCTGAATATTATTCTTCTTCTGTAAAAAGCAACCATGTAAGCGCACAAGCCCATATTCCAAATGAGTGGAGATGATCCAACTGGTTCCCCGGTTAGCAAATGTGACGTACCTTCCACTTCTCAAGATCTTCCTGCTTGATCTTGTATTGCTTGACTAAATCGTCAAGGACCTTCTTTAATCCTTCGGCATTCGTTCTTAATGCGGGGATTACATCTTGAACTGTTCGCTCCACCAGCACGCCGTTGATCATACGGAAACACTTGCGATCTCCGGGAAGCGGCTCCAAGGTATCAAGGACAAGCCTAGAATGACGAAGTATTAGTACCAGTAGATGAGCGGTGTGTCGAAGTATATGAAGCGGTGAAAGTTCACGAAAAGGCCTAGTTTAGACGCTAGAGATGAGAAACCCAGCAAGGCTGAGGCGATGGATGTGATGCCATTTTCGTGCCAAGGGGCTCATGAATCCCGAGAGTTTGTAGTGAAGAAGAGGATGCGGAGAGGAGAGAAGAGAGAAGAGAAAAGAGAAAAGAGAAAAGGTGTGACGAACTTGTGTTCTTCGGCCTCCTGCTCGACATCACCGATTTTCTGAGCTAGTTGCTGCAGCGTGTTCTTATAGTTTGAATACGTTGTTTGCAGCTCTATATGAGATTGAGTGTAATCAGTAAAAAGCACTTTAACTTTGATGAGAATTGGTATTCCCTTAAGGCGTACCTTGCTGCTTCTTAGCTGTTATACCCTTGGTAGCCATGATGGTAAAGTGATTATGAGGATTATGGGCTAGAGACTAGAGATAATAGATAGATATTATTAATATGAGGTTGGCATGAGACCACACGCTATCGTAAGATGACTCTTTTGTTCAACTTTTGTGTCGTTTCTCTTTTTATCGATGCAGCAAAACTTGGGATGCTTTTTGAAATCAATGGACGTTGTAGCTTGTAGCGAACCAGCGCGAGTTAGTTCATTGGAGGGGAATGGAGGGGTGATTGTGGGGCCTCTTTGAATGCTGAATGGCCCATGCTTTGCCCTAAATCTTATTCCGCAGAGTGGGCTTTTTCAAGTTGCGGCGAGTGGCCAATCGACTCTTACAGTCATATGTACTTACCATCAGACCACTTGCGACAAACATTGAACTTCATCTCGACAACGATCCCTACAAAGTCTGGAAATTATCCAAGATGCACCCACACTTGCATACAAAAGACAACATTGGTACGTCTTTTTGTTTCTTCTCTTCCCTTTTTGCTAATACCTAGACGGCTTTGCGATCAATGAAATTACTATGCATACATCTACTAACCATCATCTCTTACAGCCTGCGAGGAGATCATGACGGCCCTCGAACAATGCCACGCCAAAGGCTTTCTTTGGAAGGCAATGGGTATGTGCAGCTCCACCAAAGACCAGGTCACCCTATGCCTACGAGCCGAGCGACTCAAGCGCACCGCGAATAACCGTAAAATCGCCAAGGTCAAGCGCGACAAGCTCAAGGCGGCCTGGGCCGATATCGACGAGAATTCGTAGCGAGCGCAAACTACATCATACTGAGAAAATCAACGAGAAAATCAATAATCGTCCTTTCCAAACCCCCCCGGTTAGGGAGATTAAAAAAAAGGAATTGAGAGTTTTGTCGTGGCATAGCATGGCGTTATGAAAGGCACTTGGAAGTCTTAATTTGCTTAACAGTGGCAAACAACTTGCAGAAAATATTTCTGATTTGATACTCTTGATACTCCTCTCACAGTACAATACATCAAGTCCACGAAAGCCGTCCAATCGATAGCCGGTTACACTGTAGAATAGGAGTTCATTGCGCCATAAAGGATAACATATATTTTGGAATATATTCACGTCCGCCCTTTCCGGTCGTTCAATCTCCTACAGAGTCTGTCTATAGGCATTGCCGAAAGTGAATAGACCGAAGAGAGAAACAAAACTCAGCACAGTCGGAACCGGCTTTCCACTCCGCAGAGCCCGAGGGATGGAGGAGCCGCCAAGCACGACGGAGGCAAGGAGAGTGAGTTCGAGTCCATAAGGTTCGTGAGACTGTAGACGATATCCTCCAAGGCCGTCTTATGGTAATATTGTGTTAGTCTACTAGATATCATACCGCCAACTTTACCTAGGTACTCAAGTACTTTTGTCAAAACAAAAGCAGTTGTTGACTTACATAATAAACCAACTGTCAGACCAGCTGCAATTGAGGGCACAGAGCCTGTCTTAACGAAGCCCATCGTGCCTCCACCGGCAGTCAGAGCCCCCAAGACAAATGCGATGGTTTCAAGCGCCTAGTATTCCCAGATGTGAATTAGCCTTCTTCCTTGAACTTGTAGATGAGCCGAACTGACCATATTGTTTTTGATTCTCAATTATATGGAAACGTTGGAAATGTACAATGGCGGAAATAATTTTGTTACTATATATTAGGCAGCGTCGTAAAGGGTGGAAATATGTACGTAGTGGAGAGTTGATAAAGCGTAGGAGATGTAGGCTTCATGAAGCTCGGAGCCCCGGTGGTGTCTAAACGCCGAGGGGGAAAGACTCGTTGATCATTGAATGACGCCAGCCATCTGATGCAACCTCTTCAACCCCGATTTGGGTAGACTGTGGCTGAAGCTCTACCTTATTTAGCCACATTTACCCCAAGATTATGTGCGTGTACGCTTTTCTGATTGGTTCATGGCTAACTGTGTTCCTTAAGCCAAACGTTTTAGTTCAAACTTGAAGTTGTGACCCTGGTAACCTTTTTTTTTTGAAGCTTTCGTGTCCCTTTACACGCAATCTGGGGGATCCATTAATCTGCATTACTTGCGCCGATTTTACAACTGAATTCAACAACTTTCTCGACGACAAACTTTCCACACCAATTTTGAAACCATTCTTGACTTACGAATTCACAGCACTTCCATTTTTAAAATTAACGTATTACCAAAAATGGCGCCAAAGAAATCCGCTGCTGCCGCTGCTGCTGCTGCCGCCGCCGCCAGCACTACGCCTGCGACAACAGCACCAACAACTACTACTACAAGCTCAACTAGCAGCACGATTGCCACCAAGCCGACGACATCCAACACCCCTCAATCGATCGACACCGTCACCCTGAACATCGTCGAGCACTACCAGAAGACGACGCCGCAGCGCACGAAGCTGATCGACGCATTCATGGCCTTCCTGGTCGTCGTAGGTGTCCTGCAGTTTGCGTACTGCGTCTTGGCGGGCAATTACGTATGTGATGTTCTGCAACTTTTCTATGCTTTTATGCTCTTTGTCCAGCAGCCCAGCATCTATAAGGATACGAGGATATAAGAATACTTTCCGGGATTAGGGAAGGGGCATCACCGCGTGTCGTTCATTGGCTAACTAGAATTCTTATATCACTATATATAGCCTTTCAATGCTTTCCTCTCGGGCTTCTCTGCCACCGTCGGCCAATTCGTTCTTACCGGTACGTTTTCCCCTCCTCCCTTCTTCCACTCAACGATGAATATCCCACTGGCGCGCGCACACACGCACACTCTCAATCACTCACACGGGGAGGGGGGCGGTAGAACAACTACCCAAGTAACCAACTTAACTAACAACAATCCCAGCATCCCTACGCATCCAGACCACAGAAGCGAACAAGGCAGAATTCCCTTCCGTGTCACCAGAAAGGTATGCTTCTTCTCTACCTACCTACCTATCTAACTTAGCGCCTAAGCTCCAAGCTCCTTTTCATCACCCATCTATATGACCTATAGCATAACCCCAACTAATACCTGCAATGTATATATATAGGGCTTTTGCAGATTACGTGGTCGGCAGTCTCATCCTGCACTTCTTCTGCGTCAACTTCATAAACTAGGTCACGAGATATGTTTGTATGCGTGTGTAGGTACAGTACACAACCTAGGGTAGGTAGGTACCTAGGCGGGAATTATATCAGGGGCTTGCTCGCTGGCTTGCTTGCTTGCTTAGCCGCTAGGAATCTCCATGTAATGAATGAGAGGAACTTGAAAAAAAAACCAGAAACGAAAAAAGGTCACATAAAAATAGAGTAAATAAAAGACAAATTGGCTGTCTCTTGGGAGCATCGGTGTTGTATTTTGCGTTGCATTCGTGCTTGCTTGAAATCTACCTTTGATGTAAAAACAGTGAATTCAATGTTGCTAAGGTTTAGTCCACACCATCATCACCCTCGCCCTCACCCTCACCCTCACCTTCCCCTCCACCACTACCTGTACTCGTCGTCGTCTTCTTCTTCTCCTCCTCTGCAGCCTTAGGAGGAGGAGGCGGCGCCACTGCTGCTGCTCTCGGCGGCCCCCCGGCCCCACCACCAACCTTGGGCGGCGGCGGCGGCGGCGTCTTGCTCGCCGCAATATTCCCATCCAGCTCCTTGCTCCTCCTCTCCTCCTCGGCAAAGTAGTCGTCCATCAGCCGCAGCTTCGGCGCATTGCCACCGTGCGCGCTCTTCTTCTTGCCGCGGGGCGGCGGCGCGGCGCCGACTAATGGTGGTGGTGGGGGTGGGGTGGAGGTTGAGTTGACGAGCTGCGCGGGCACGAGGAAGTCGGGGGAGGCGGCGGGGATGAAGAGGGGGGCGGGGTCGCTGTTGTTGTTGGTGTTGGTGTTGGGAGGGAAGGGAGCGGTGAGTTGGTTGGTGAAGTGCTGGTCTGCGCCATCGCCGTCGAACAGCGTCTCCCCCGGCGCATGCACCGGCTCGCTCAGGGGCGCGGGCAGCCGGTGCAGAGCCCCGTACCCCAAGACGCACCCCAGCGCGCCCTCGCCGCCCCAGTCGCGGCTCGGCACGATCTCCAGCTCGCGCGTGACGTCGTACTCGTGGTTGTAGACCCACAGCTTCAGCGGGCGCCCGATGTAGTCGTCGACGAGCTCGCCCAGCCCGCTCTCCCCGTGCAGCACGCCGTCGGGGGTGCCCAGTACGTAGTCGCTGTAGGGGAGGAGGCCGGCGTGGTCGGCGGGGGAGTTCGCGGGGACGTCGAGGACGTGCCACACGTTGGACGCAACGGCGAGAGGCGTCCATTGGAGGGAGAGGCCGAGAGAGCGCGTGTCGGCGGGCACGGGGACGTGCAGCACGCGGGTGCGTTGGCCCTTGGCGCTCCAGAGCCCGAGGGCGACGCTGCTGCCGGCGCAGTTGCGGACTTCTTGGGCGAAGAGGCGCGGGTCGGGGTTGTCCTGTTTTTGGTGTGCGCGCTCGGCGCTTTGGTTAGTTTTGCGCAGGTAGTTTCCTTGGTTTAGGGTTTGGGAGAGATAGAGAGAGGGTGGGGGGGGGGGGGGGGCATACAATTACGCGGCCGTTGATGCCGACGATAAAGTCGAACCAGGGCTCGACGGGGAACTCGAGGTTCGTGTTGCGCAGGATCTGAAAGCCGAAGCCATGGGTCTCCTGCGACTGCTGCGGCCGGGACTCGCCGTCGAGGCGCGAGAGGTAGCGGTTTAGTGCGTTGAACATGGTTGGTTTGATTTGTGGTGGATGGATGGATGGTCGTATGGTTTTTGGTTTTTGGTTTGTTTTTGGAGGTTGGAGTTTAGGGAGTTTTACATTTTATTTGATGATTTTAAACTTATAGAGGCATGGCTGCCTTCTCATGCGCCTTGTGAGTATACATTGTATTTCAAGGTTATCTACTGTTGTAGTTTGAACCTAATAGCTCTGCAACATTTGAGTGAAAGCTGTCATTTCCCTGCTCAGCCTTACGCCGCTATGCAACTAAATACCAAACGCGAACGAATCAACATTAGTGGTCAGAGCTTCTTTTTCAGGTACCTAATGGTCCTAGTCTGGTACATATGTACCTATATTCGTACCTACTAGGTAGAGATCCACCCCTATCATTAGCTTCGATGCATCAAACAACTTCAACTTCCAATCTTCAATATTTCTTCCGCCATAATTACTTTTTTTATTAGACACGCCAGAAACACAACATCTACTTTTGGATTTCATTTCTAGCTTTCAAAATTTAAGAGCCTGTTTGTCTCATACCCTTTGAGACTCATAAGCAACTCATGTATGCTGTTCCATCTCTTGCAGGATGAAACAAGTTAACAAACTCCCCTTGACAAGCCAATGCCATCACTGGACTCGTCTAAATGAGGTGCCCTGGGATCTTCAAAAGTAAGTTGTTATTCTATTCTATTAGGATCTATACCATGAAACCAAACACGTTTGCTTACTCATTCTTAACCCAAAAGGTACTGGCAGCAAAGATACACCATCTTCCCTTACTACGATGAGGGCATTCACATGACTGAGAATGCCTGGTTTGGCGTCACTCCTGAACCAGTTGCCATGTGAGTATAGCATCCCCTGCCTTCATGTAGGTACCCTTGCCGTTTCAACACATGCTAACAAGGCTTGGTAGTCAAATCGCCAAAGATCTTGACGCTATTGTTGACCCATCAAAGAAAACGGTCATTGATGTATTTGCTGGCGTAGGGGCAAACGCCATTAGCCTTGCTCTCGCTACCACTGAAGATGGGACAACTCCTCGTTGGGATACAGTGATTGCCATCGAGCTAGATGCTCCAACACTAGCTTGTGCGCAGCACAATGCATCCATATATGGTGTCGCTGACGACATCATCTGGATTCTGGGTGATAACTTCAAGTATCTCGACGCACTTTTGAACTCGCCAGAGCAACTTGAACCCGACCTGCGGGTGGATGTGGCGTCCACCGTCTTGTTTGCATCACCACCCTGGGGCGGGCCAGGATATAGGACTGATGAAATCTTCGATCTAAACACCATGGAACCCTATAACTTGGCCCAATTGCACGGCGCGTATAGAAACATGGATCATGCTCTTTACCTGCCACGCACAAGCGATTTGAGACAGATTGCCAAGCTGGTTCCTGATGGGGATAAGATCGAGGTGGTTCAGTATTGCGTCGAAGGAGCGAGCAAAGCAATGGTGGCCTATATGCCTGCGGCCGAGGACGAGGATGAAGACTCTGAAGATTTCGAGGATTCCCAAGATTCCCAAGATTCCCAAGATTCCCAAGATTCCCAAGATTCCCAAGATTCCCAAGATTCCCAAGATTCCCAAGGTTCCCAGGATTCCCAGGATTCCCACATGGAAACATAGTATTCAAACATCATCGAACTGCCTTTCTCGTCACTTAAGCGGCTCATCAGCTTAGCTACTCGAGTCGATGAGCACGTAGACATGGACACGATGGTTTCCATTCGGTAATATTGTTCAATTAACGCCTTAAACGAAATTTGCAGCACTACTCTGTTGGGTGCTAGCTACTCCATGGGGCAAGGTCCCGCCGAACCGGGCGAACCACACCGAACTGGCTTGCCCTATTTCCCTCGATCATTGGAGTTGCGCTTCCACTGCGCTGTCTTTTTTCTATCCCGTCCCGTAGAAATCTTACGGGGTGTGCAATTACTAAACCGACGACTGCTTCCGCAACAAGGAGGCCGTCGAGTCCCGCGAAGAGGGCCTGATTCTTCGCATTCCAGCTATCCAACCCTTCCGCCAGTATCGTTACCTGATATAGATCTCGTCCTATTAAGCACATAGTTGAAACTAACACCATCGCCACGAAAAACTTGAATCGATGCGCCATTGGTACGAAGCCGTGCTGTGGATGGAAAGTCGTGTATCCAAACTGGCTGTGCGCCATGGCGGCGTGAAATAATACAACGCTGAAGAGAAATAGGAAAATGAGGAGGGAGATAGCTTGTAATGCGACGCCGACTGCGATAATTGGGCTACCGGTCTTAACATGCGGCCCAAGACCTGTGTTAACGGAAAGGTCTGAGAAGGAGATGACGATTCCGACAAGTTGAAGGATGAACCCGACTATGTCCATCCAAATTAGACGAGGATATCTCGCGACGTCTATAGGCGAATGTTCTACGCCCAAGACCTTAATCGCTTCGGGTATAGTGAGATAGAGGCTTTGAATAAATCAGTCAGCTTGATACCCCAAAATTTGAGTCCTGAAAAGGATATATCTCTTACCCTGCGGACATGAACGCTGGGGCCAGTATGATGAATGTTGTTGAGGTGGCATATAAGTTCACGTTCCAAGGATCAGACGAGCTTCCGATTCGAACCCCATATCCAACAATCTCAAGGACGCATGTGAAGGAGACCGGAATAGTGAACGCTAGCCATTTTCTCGTGTCGGCTAGATAAAATGTGTGGATTAGAGAGGCAATCAAAGCCCCCGTGTGGATGATTAAGAAGATAGTATCGGCTATCGAACTTGGTGGGTATCCGTACGGAGATTCGGTGACGGAGCACGTTTCGAAGCTACACGAAGCAATGGACCTCATTGTGAGCTGTTATGAACTATATCGAAGATCCCTATAGTACATCTCAAGCCTTCGATAATAAAAAGATGGGGGACACAACGAGGAAGAGTAAAGGTCAAAGCTGTCAACTGACGACGAAGCGGGTCTACTTATTTAATGTGTAGGTAGATACGCTTCACCTCCGTCGCTGTTAGCTGCCCAGGTTGGATTCGAAAATCTTGAAGCCTGTTCAACCCCAAACCGTTGAATTTGTGTAAAAGAGAAAGGGGGTGTGTGCTACGAAACTCGTCAGAAGACCAAGGTTGCAGTCATAGCCAAGTGTAAGAAGTTGTTAAAACGCAACAGTTTTATTCGAAACAGTCTAGACAGAAGCCCGGAAATATAATCCTACGACGAACTTCCAAACGGTAGGAAGAAACAACAGCTGTATCGGGCCACTTGTACATATAGAAACACTCGCGATAAACCCGACAACTCTGGATAGCCAGTATGGCACCTATCAGCTGTGCGAAATTCGCTCCTAAACGGGGCTATGAGGTCTCATCCACAGACCACCCAAAGGCAATACGATGCGCTCTCCACTGCGTTGCATGGGGTGGCAGTGTTGATTCTAAAGTTAGATACAATTTACAATCCATGGGATCCATCTACCTGCCCATCGAGGTCCATCGAGTAACACTTTTTGTATGGTAACTCATCAGCCACTCGGGGCTAATACCGATTTTCTGCATGGGTAAGTCGGTTACCCTTCCCACGAAGCATTGGTCGTGAATACGGCCAAAATCTGTCAACCACCTAACTAAGCCAAGAAGACCCCCAAAATCGTGCCGTTTCTCGCGTTTACTTTCTGTCTGCATCGTAACACCAAGCGTACCTAATAACTAACGGCTGACAAAGACTGCCGAGGTAGTTACCTAGTTATGTGAATAACTTCTTGTATGTAAAGTAACTAGGCACTCAAATATCCAAGAGTTTCCTCTCGTCAGCTAGCCCTACCTACCTACCACACCTGAGACAAGTTCTCACCTACCTAGGTAATATTTCGCTTACGGTTTCGAACGCCCAATTGTCCAGTAGGATTTTGTATCGGAAAGGGGAAAAAAAATATTACTACACTGCTTTGCTTCCTCCTTTTTTTAGTCCCCCAGATTTATCGGAATGAAACAATTCTAGGTTGATGTTTCGGGAATTACTCACAGCTCACTTGGTTGTTGCTGTTGAAAGTACAATAATTCACGTGCAGTTTTTCTTCTTACCACCCCTTTGCGGAGAAAATCCTCTAGGTTAGGTAGGTTAGGTAGGTTATGTATTAGGTGTGCAGCGAGAAAAGGAAAAAGAAATATAATTCAGGCACCAGGCCAGATATGTCAGCTCACCACAAGCACCTTGGCTTCGGGGAAAGCTGATCCGGTGACCTCTAGCTATTCTCGTCTTTCTACCATCGTTATGTTACCTATGTGCATACACACATACATGTGTCATGTATATACCTACCTACCTACCTATGCACGGCGAAGGGGACGAAAATGCCAACGGTAGTATATTGTAGCAGTAGTGGTAGTAGTTGTAGTATATAGTATATAGTAGTATGCAGTAGCCAGTTTAGCGCAGACAGACCTGAAGCAGGCCGGCGACCATCTGACCTACCTACCTACCTACCTACCTACCTACCTACCTACAGTGCCTAACATAATTGCTTGCCTACCTAGGTAGTATCCAGGCACTATCTAGGTTATGTAGGTATGTACTGTAGTTTACCGATGAAAAGATTATCACCTACCTAACTACTACCCACCTATCGCTTCGCATGAGGCGAACGGCGTGCTGTTACATACATAACTAGGTGCTGCAACAGCTTTGATTGCCTAAGTAGAGCTCGCGCCTTCGGGTTAGACGCGAGCGCCACCGCAATTAATAGTTATAGGTATTCCTTCCTATACCTACCTACCTACGAGAAAGTCGCATGCCCCGCGCGCGCTTCTCTGATGGAGGGGGGGCACGTGGTTTGGTTGTCTCAGGTATACTTAGGGCACCTACTTGTTTCGATGTCGTGTGGGTAGGTAGGTAGATTGGTGAGTATGTAGGTACGGGTGTGAGGTTGTATATACGGTTCCTGATTCTTTGAGGGGGCGGAAGTGCGATGATGGTGGCGTTCGCTGTGGAGGGCAGGCCAGATAATAGATCACGTACATCTAACTATCTATGTGTGTAGGTAGGTAGGTAGGTATGATCCCGAGTATGGGAAAAATTCGTCCCCCACTTCCCCCCTATTTCGTACATACCTACCCCCATACATAGGTATGTACCATGAGAACCGGGTATGTAGGTATGTAGACCCGGGGATCACAAGATGACGCCACTCGGCGACAGGAAAACACGGAAAAGGGTAAGCAAGAAGGGAAAGAAAAAGAAAAAGAATTGAAACTTTTTATCCGTTCCGCTTTTCGCCGTCTTGTTGCCGTCCTCGGGATAGGATCGGATCGGGGTTGGTTGTTTTCTTCACCTATTTATTTATTTATTATTGTCTTTCCCCGAGCAACGTGATATTTAATGAGTCGAATTATTAATATCTGCATACCCAGGTACATACATACATACGTACCTATATTTGACCCGAATTCGCCTAGGCGGGGTAGCAAGTGCCCGGGCTGATGACGTGAGGAAATCTTCAACCTACCATTCTCTGTCCGGTTCTGGGTGTCTGGTCTCCGCTTGGGCAGGGTGGCAAGGTGCAAGGGGTAAGAGGGGGCCGGAATCAAGCGATCGGCATCTCGCAGTGCGGCGTAGATATGATATGACAGGCCTACGGGGAGAGGGGTACTGGAGATGGGATGATTACATACCTAGGGACGGTGGTCTAACATAAAGGTCATGACCACCCACCCGCCTCTTTTGATTTCTTTACATATTGTAGATGTGAGGTAGGTGTGTAGGTCGTATCGTCGAACTGGGAGCTGAGAATATGAGCTGTACCTAGGGTCATTTCATTTCGTGCAGGATGTTGGCGCACCTATGACGTGGTTATAGATTTATGCGCGTGAGGGTATGTTGCGGAAACGAAGGGCCCATGGCACTGGGCCTCTACGTAGGTAAATGAATACTTGGGCACATATTGTACATGAGACGAATGGCCGTTGGCCGTTCAGCTCGAGTAGTTATCTAACCTACACACCTCTCTCGGGGGGTTGCCGAGAATAGGGGCATACCAAGGTAACGTAGATGACGAAAACTGTCAACCTAGGACTCATGTTGGCCATATTGAATGCTTTAGTACCTAGGTCTTTCTGTGCCTCAAGAACACTCATCACCACACCCTCAACCCATAGCTTACGTCTCACATATACACATATCCATACATACCGAGGTACCAACCGAACCACCTCTACTACCCCTATTCCAAGAAAGAAACAAGTGAGCCACCCCTTCCCTACGATTAAGTTTCCCCTCTCCAAGATACCAGGCAATCACGCCGCAAGTAAGCAAGCTCGGTGTTATCAACCACTTACACATATATATGTTGTAACTAACTTAATTGCTTACCATCCGCACATAAGCACTTGTTCCTAGATCGTATGATACGGGGGCCAAAAAGAAAGGGGGAAAAGAAGCTCCAAAAACTCCAAGGCACGGATATAAAATCCCAAAAAAAGGATTGCATGTAGGTAGGGAAGCAAGTCATGTCTGACGTGATGTTAAAATCTACCTAGGTGTAGCTGGGCACCTCCTATCCATCTCACCAACTGGATCCGGTTCCCAGGCTTCAACAAGAATAACACGCCAAGGAGGAGAGAATACGTAGGCAGCCAGAAACAATACCCCTTTATTGCCAAGAATCATAAAAAGTAAATTCATGAAGCCACGCTCAACAACAACAGCAAAAAGACCCAATCCCATTCCCCCCTTTTCCAAGCAACGTAACTGACTACTCACTAGGCACCTATCTATCTATCTATATAGATGTCTAGTGGGTATGAATAATAAGAAATAAATATTAAATGCGTATATGAGAAATATCAGATAGAAAAATTAGTTAGGTAATTGCAGCCGTGCCATCCATCAATCTGACCTAGATGCCAGGCCGCGTGAAGTCGTCTCCCGGAGGCCAGTTGCCCAGCTCGCCCGGGTCGCCTCCGATGCGCACGTAAGTGCCCATGGCCGGGATGCCGTCTTCGAGCACGAATATCTGATACCACCCTGGCGGAGCGATGTAGACTCCGGGGGGCGACATTACACTGCACACGGTACCCATGCACGACACGTCCGGGAATAAGGTACGCGCGCCCATGGAGTTACCGTGGGTGCTAGATACAGCGCCGAGAAGTGACACTTGTATCTGCCCAATAGGCTCCTCGCCCAGTTCAAGTTGGACTGATTCATCGTAGGCCCAGTCCTTGTTCTGTATGGTGAAAGACGGGCGTCTCTTATTACTATAGAGGTATGGAGGTGTGAAAACCTCGACGCGGATCTCCTGAGGGTGTTTGCCATCTTCGGGATCGGAACCCGTAATGAGAACACGGCCATCGAGGAGGGTGATAGCTTCGCTGTGGTAAAGGCGTGCGACGGTGGTGTTGGCCATGACGGAAATACGCGAGCCGACAGGCTTGAATGGGTCATAGAGAAGGGCGTTATAGTTGGGATCGTCCGCAAGACCGAAGCCAGCTACACCCTCATGGGCTCCATTGGCTATGAGGTAAGTGCCATCTGGTAGAGGGGCCATGCAACTCATAACACGCTTAGAGGGCATGCGCTCGAGTGTCCAGGTTGGGTTGTTGGATTCGGGGTATATGGACACGCAGTTATCGAGAGCAGAGTGAGCAGTGCTGGAACCACCGCAAAGGAGTATGCCGAGAGGGTCTGTGTAAGGGGCAAATTGAGGTAGCAGAACGGCAGCACCTTCAAGGGGATATGTACGGCCGCCCAAATCATCGTTGACGGCACCGGGCATATTAGGAAGTGTCTTTATCGTATCAAAGGTAACTTCGTCCAGGATTCTCGCCTCATTCCAGTACGCAACGAAGATGCCGCGACCAGGTAGTACTGCTAGGAACGGATACAAGTTGTTTGGGTCCGTACGCTGAAGCCAGTCCATGGTAAGGACGGGTCCCACCTGAGGGAGAATCTCAAGGGTGGGTTCAGGTCTATCGTTTGAGCCGATCTCGCCGCCTACGACTAGGATCGATCCGTTCGTCATGACCATGGCCGACGGATACCAGCGCCCTCTCTGAAGTTTGAGCTCATTAACGTTTTCTTCCCAGTCGTTAGTTCCCTTCACACCGTCTGACCCATCAGGCATGTATAAACGGATACCGTACGTCGAGTCTAGAGACCACCCGCCCACAGTAAGTTGTCGCCCGGCCTTGTCGGGAAGGATAAGGCCAGCGGAGCAGAAAATGTCAGTCTTCACATGCATAGGCCTCCAGGCGGCGTCGAAGTTGTCAAGTTGAGTGAGATCCAGTTCATAAGCGCCTGTGCTGTTTGCTGCACCAGTTCCCCATTTCTCCAAGAAAGTGACTTTCCCGGTAATCGACTGCATCGTCATCAAGGGCGTGACAACGCCGCCAACCAAGTTGGAGTATGTGCCCGCTTCGTTGCCTTCAGGGTACTGAAAGACATAAAGCGGAGTATTTCCAGTCCAGTAGTACATTGAAAGTCGAGCACCACCTCCACATATAGAGCCAGGATCTCCGGCACATGCGACGTTGCACTCACTCTCTGGTCTCTGTGTGGAACCCGAGGTATCAACATCTATCGGATCGCCGCAGTAGCATTCATCGCCATACTCTAGACCACCAGCAGCGTAACCGAAGGAAGAGCATTTGCCCAAGCACTGCTCGGGTGTCATAGTTCCAGGGAACTGAAGTGCCCAGAAGAGAGTACGCGCGTTATTGACATTGTCTTCGTAGCAACCCTGATACGTCCATGTATCATTTACGTCCCTCTTGGGGGTAGGGGCCTTGAAAGTCTCTGGTGTGCCCTTCGAGTATATAGATAGATACCCAGCGCCACCGCACATTACTTCGCTATTGCCTCCACAAGGGGTCGAGCATTGCGTCGTATCATTTCCCTGAACACCACCATTGTAGATGAGATTGCTGCAGAAGCACTGGGTGTAGTACTCGGTGCCCGAAATTGTGTAGTTATTACTGGAGCAGACCTGTGCACATGTCTGCGGCGTCAACTCGGGGTCGTCGGGGGCTTGGAAGGTCGGCATGATACGACCATTAGGGCCATCCTGCCAGCAACCTTGATCGGTCCATCCGTCAGGGAATCCCGTGACTACGGGTGTGCCTGGGGCGCTGCTCGTCGGGCCTGATGTACTACTCGCGGTAGACGTCGAAACCTCAGTGCCATTTTTGATATATACAGACAGACGGTTGCCGCTTCCGCAATATTCATTCTGGTCTCCAGCGCAAAGCATGTTACAATCGCCTGGTGGTGCACTGACAGACCCAGTCTCGAACTTGTTACCACAGTAGCACTCACGAGCGTACTCAACGCCGAAGTACGTCGTGCCCTTGTCGCTGCAGTATGCTTCGCAACTACTTAACGTCATCGCATCATCGGCGTAGGTAAATAGGCTTAGTGCGCGGGAGTTAGTAGCTTCGGTCTGGCAGCCATACCAGTTGTAGTTTTCTACAACCAAAGGTTGCGATGGAGAGGTAGGAGATGATGATGCGGAGGAGACTGTGCTAGTGTCGGTAGCGGTTGGCTCTTGAGCAACCCTTTTGGAAATCACGGGGCTGGAGACGATTGAAGAGCTGATAGCGACTGCTAAATTAATACTGGGAGAAAGTACTGCCGTGATGGAATTGGAACCAAACTTCATCTTGAAATCATACACGTTCAGGTGGCCAGAACCACCGCACGCCTCGGAATCGTTCGCCTATGGCATTCTGGGTTAGAAGTTGCAAATCGCAAATCGCAAGGGAAGCATCTTCTGGGTCGCCAAATCCAACCGGTAAGCTTAGAGCTTAAGGAAAGACCTGGGGGCGCCGACCCATCTACGAAATAAAGGTAAGAGGATGTGAAAAGGACATATGTAACATACCTCACAGGCTGTATTGCAACCGTCTTCAACTGGAGCAGCGCCAGTTCTAATAGTGTTACCACAGTCTAGGTATCACAAGTAAGTTGATAATGTCTGACTAAGTACATAACTAAACTAAGAAGGTCAGCAACTCACAACATTCACTACCATACTTGGTGCCTGCTAGAATGTAGCCAGCAGCTTGGCATGCAGCCGTGCAACTCGCAGCGTCCACGAATTTGCTGGGAACGGGGGCAGAAAATGACAAGCCTTGACCGACTGCTGATTCACTATGAAAATGTTAACTATGATTCTATTTCACTTGCTGTTGATAAAATCTGGTAGCATTGTATCGATACAGGCAACAGGCCACGGGTTGACTTACGAGTAGCAACCAATGTGTGTCCAGCTCGGTATCTTGACGTTTGGTTGAAGCTCTTTGTTAGATGGATTAAAGAATAATGTTAACCGGTTCCTTCCTCCGCATGTTTCTGTAGTATTTCCCAAGCAACTCGTTGAGCATTCTATCGAATCGGCCTTGCTGGCGTTTATAGCAAGCTTGCTCCCGCAATCTAGCCATCGTAAGTATCGTTTGTATAACATCTGACGAGACAGAAATAAATACACTTACAGCACTCGTTATGGTATTCAGCTCCCGCATAAGCAAAACCTTTATCGTTACAAAACTCCATACATTTGTTTAGAGTCATGGCGCTAGAAGTGGTCGTAGCACCGTCGATTGTCCGGCCAACATCGCTTGAAGACACTCAGAACTTGTGCTCAAAGTCTAAGGAATGGTTCTCACTTACACATAGCACCCGCTGTATTGCCATGCCCCATAAACTAAGGAACTATAGGCCAAGGCCAGTGCTGGAAGGAATGCAAGAACTGAGCCGTCCTGAGTAGCCCACATGGCGACAAGCTTCGTCCCTTAGGGAGCCTCAGAACTCTATTCACAAACTCAAAGGATAGGCTGTCCAGCTAAAACTTAAGAAACTAAGCTGATGGAAACACCAAAGTAAGTTTCCAAATATATGTGGGAGGGTAAATATCTTAGGTATATATGTATATATATGTTTACATATCTTACCTGTCTATCTTGAACACGCGATGCTAGGGCGTATTCTGCCCAGATATGATAGATATGGCTGGCCTCATTGTATACAGCATGGGTTGGTCCAATCAAGGCGAATGAAAGAATTCTGCAGCCGCATAGAAATATCACTTGATAGCTTTTCCCACACCAACTTTGCTAACGGGTAATGCTTTTTGACACCTTCAAAAAAGGCTAGATAGCTACCTAGGCCTAGAACCCTTGGTGAATAGATTGCATATGCAGGTAGGAACAGGGTGAATATGCAAAGGACCTTGGGGGATATCGTGCCGACTATTACAGGCGAGCATTCACTAGAACAGTATGATTGGCGTTGTGGGGGTTCGAGTTTTGACTTCGTCCCCGGCGCGAATCTGCTGACGAGGAGTTCGAATCTAGAAAGTGACATCGAGCTCGGAATAGCAGCTAATCATTAGCGGCCGCTCGCCTAGCCACTTGGCGAGATACATAGTATGTAGAGCTTAAGCCCAGTCCAACAATTTTGCGGGATCTAGCTGATAGCGGGGAGGGTAGTAGTGTAGAGAGGGTGCTCGATACGAAGCTCAGGGGTAAGGATGAGAAAAGCATGGGACCACGAATGGTAAACAGGGGTAAAGAAACAATTATCACAACTTTGGGATATATATATGGATGAATTTAGGTACATACGGCTTGTACGTCGCAGCTTCGGAAACACATACATATGTATGTAGGTATGTAGGTATATATTGTATGCATTTCCTACTATGTAGTAGATCGGCATTGACGCCGCATGGTTAAATGAGATGGTTGTCTGTGCAGCTGTGCAGCTGTGCCAAACTCAACCTTGAAGACGTCAAAGTACCAGCCCGGCGGTAACTTAAATGATAAGGCTTTTGGTAGCAGATCAGTGTATCACCTACTAAGTTAACCTAGATAGTTTGCTTCGGCGCGAACCGCTGATACCATGTAAGTTTTTCAAGGGCCACACAAAGCTACCGGTACTAGGTATTATAGCCACTTTAGATAGGTTTAGCATTTACTCTCATGTGGAAATGACACATGCATAAGTATCATGCATGATAAAAACCGCGTGGCTTATTACCTGGACCAACACAGAGTAGCTAGCCATTTCGGAAAGAGATAGCGAATACTGGCGCTCTCGCGGCGTTGAAGAGAAAAACAATGCTTCTGTGCTTATCTCGGGCTCGGTTTATTGTGTAACGCAGACGAATCCGCTACCACCCGAGAGCCATCAGCTCGGAGCGTGATGGAGCTTGGTATGGATGTGTTGCCACGGTAGAGGTCAGGCTATGTTGCAGGTCGTGCAAACATACAGTAGATGGTAAGCGTAATGGAGGAGCGTGAACGCCTCCAATCTTTGGTTGGCTCGTTGAATTCAACCTTGTGGTTATACGAGGTCGGCTGCATGTATGTATGTATCTCGATTTTGGACCTTCCCGTCTTGAGTAAGCCAATCAAAGGACAACCTAAGAGCTGTATTGTTCGAACAAATCTGTCCTGTGGGTTTGTAGATGATGCTCGAGCTACCGCCGAGAATTTATGGATTATCAGCTTGCATCATGTTGGGGAATGGCTGCTCGCTATGTTGCCCTTTGACTTTTCAACATGTTGTCGCTCTCATTTGGGGTCTTACCTAGTAAAATGCATTTTGCGAGAGCACTGAGACCCTTGAAATTCGAGAAAGAAACTTAGTCAAGCCAATGCCGCATTGAACACATGATAAGTCAATGATGTTTGAAGCCGTGATGCATGTTAGAAACCATTTATCACCACAGCACATGCAGCTGTGCGAAGGCTGAAGTTCTCGCTTGTTCGGAAGTTCGGAAACTACAGGGCTATCATTTGTGCTATCATTTGTGCCATCATTTAGATGGATTGCTTATGTAATCTGGGGATGCCCTAAAACTCTGCGATCTACAGGGTCTTGACCCTCCGAGCCGCATCAATTGGAAGGTGCTTGCAGGCTTTTGATTAGCGCTTAATTATGACATCGTTCGTACTTCAAATCTTCAAATGTTCTTAACTTCTTCTTGAGTTGAGTCACATAACGTTACCAGTCACATACCGTCTTTTTGGCTTAAGGGCATTCCTGTAAGGGCAACAATCACTTTCAAGACAACCATTCCTTTTAGATCCATGCTTCCAGGTATACAATCAACACTTCCAGATAGTTATAGACTAATAATTAATTTAAGCTGCAAATATCCAAAATCAACGGATAGGTAGTATACAAGTCAATTCAAATGTAACCCATCAGTTATCATCACAGTGGGTTGTAAACGATAAACCTTGTATTGTAGTGAAATTATAAACCGTGTAGTTAATTCCTATGATCCGTAATATATCATCTTTCAGGATAAATCAGCAGCAATATACACCCCACTTATTACAAGTTTGACCCAATCAGAGCTCTTCTTTTCAAATGAAGGTTAAAATCGTTGCTTTTTAAACAATCAAATGGTTTATGAAACAAACGTTTCTAAGTACATAGCATGACAGAAGAGTTAGGAAAAGAACAACCGTCTTTTAACGGATTAATCATCTTGTTCAAGTACGCATTGACAGTTGCGGTATTGTACCTACTATTACTAATACTTAGACGAACTACTACTAGTAGTACCTCTACCTATCAACATCTATCATACTACCTACGCCTAATCAGAGTGACTATTGTCGCCACCAAAAACAACATCACGCCGCGTGACTAATTTTCAGTCATTTTTGACAAACCTAAGGGGTTTATCCGTGAGCTTCCAAGTTGCTTCAATCATTCGCAATTTTACGGACACCATTTTCCTTCATTTACCTATCTCCAATTTTGCCACTCAAGGGGTGTGTGGCTCGCCAATATTTGTGGACTATCGTGGCTTCATTCGGTCTGCGATCTTGGATTTATTTTGGTCATCCCCCCTTCGCCACAATCTCTAGATTAGAGTAGCTATGGGGGACTCCCAGGCGTCTGGAACGCCTTCGGGATCGGCAACAAGAGCTCGTGGCCGTCAGCCCCGCGGAGGAAGGTCTTACAGAGGCCGCGGAAGTCGTGGAAACCAGCCCCCACGTGACCATCAAGTTGCTGAGGGAAGCCAAGTGCCAGGCGGAAATGCGTCAAATTCCACCCCCCCCTCTCCGGCAGGGCCAGCCCCCAATGCCAATAGAGGTGGCAGAGGGCGAAGAGGTGCTAGAGGTTCAAGACGTGGAGGCAATGAAAATAGTCAGAGAACAACAGGTGGGCTACGAGCCTTTGGAGGTCATCTTACAACGAACGGCGAGACTGAAGAACCCGTCCCGGTTCCTACGAACTCAACAGGTCTAAATGTCACAGCACCGAATTTTACGCCTGGTCAGCCAATAGTCGTATCCAATAGCAACCCTCCCACAAAACAGCAAGCCAAAAGCAATGCCCGTCGGAAACCCTCCAAGTCTACTGCCGAGGACATCTCAACCAGAATTCATGAAGACATCAACAATGCACAGTACGAATGTGTGATTTGCACAAACGAAGTGCTACGAAATTCAAAAATCTGGTCTTGTTCTATTTGCTGGACCGTAACTCACACCACCTGTGTTAAGAAGTGGTACTCTACCCGGATAGATAATGCAGAGCAGCTGCCAACTAACTGGCGATGCCCAGGATGTAACTCTCCGCTGACGGACGAGCCTACTACCTATCATTGCTGGTGTGGGAAGGAAATCAATCCCAGGTCAATACCTGGGCTTGACCCTCATAGTTGCGGCCAAACGTGTTCAAAACCAAGAGGAACATGTCCGCATCCTTGTCCTCTCCAATGCCATGCTGGACCCTGCCCACCATGCCTGCAGATGGGACCAACCCAGCACTGCTTCTGCGGTAAACACACATCTACTAAGCGATGCGGCGAGACTGATTATACCCACGGATGGAGCTGCCATGACCCGTGTGGAGATATCTTACCATGCGGAGAACATGAATGCCAGAAGGAATGTCACTCGGGCCTCTGTGGGAGCTGTGAGATTCCGGTTCTTTCTATTTGCTACTGCGGTCGACAATTCAAAGAAATTCCTTGCGAGCAACGTGGTGATAAGTTTATATCTCATAACTACGGCCAAGTCAAGGTGGAAGGTGATATTCTCCAGAGCGATGACTTATCAGAGCGCGAATACTGGGGCTCTTTTGAGTGTAACTCTATCTGCGGTAGACTATTTGATTGTGGGAAGCACCGTTGTGAAAAGAGCTGTCACCCTCAAGATGAAAATGAGGCCCATTGCCCATTCTCTCCTGATGCGGTACCCTTTTGCCCCTGTGGGAAAACACCACTGGAAGAAATCATCACCCAACCGAGACAGAGCTGCGAGGACCCCATTCCAAATTGCAAGAAAATATGCAACAAGCCATTTCCGTGCGGGCATTTTTGCCAGGACACCTGCCATTCGGGTTCATGTTCACCGTGCACCCAGAAGATGGAAATCAGCTGCAGATGTGGCCGGACAAAGACGAATTCGGTCTGCCATCAAGGCATAATTCACGTACCTGAATGCATGAAGATTTGCCGTGCCCAGCTTAACTGTGGGAGGCATGAGCATGGCGAACGTTGCTGCTCAGGGGAAAAGAAAGCGATGGAGCGAGTGGCGGCAAAGCGGAAGAATAGAAATTCTAGCTACGCGAACGACGAGATAGAGGCAGAACATATTTGCACTCGCACATGTGGGCGGGATCTAAAATGCAAAAGACATCAATGTCAGCAGCTTTGCCATAAGGGACCCTGTCGTTCTTGTCCTGAAGCCATATTCGAGGAAATCAGTTGTAACTGTGGTCGAACAATCCTTCAACCGCCGCAACCCTGCGGTACTCGACCTCCGGAATGTCGCTCCAACTGCACGAGGCCTCGACCATGCGGTCATTCTCAAGTATTGCACAATTGCCATCTAGACGAAGAACCGTGCCCAAAGTGCCCATTTTTAGTCGAGAAGCAGTGTGTCTGCGGTAAGAAGATGCTTAAAAACCAGCCTTGCTGGTTCGAAACACCACACTGTGGATTGCCTTGCGGCCGGAAGCTCAAGTGCGGTACCCACACGTGTGGAAAAACTTGTCACCCACGAGGTGAATGTGAAGATGCTGGAATGGCGGGCTCTAGATGCAAGCAGCGCTGTGGCAAGATCAGGGCTTGTGGTCATGCAGATGTCGAACAGTGTCATGCCCCATATCCTTGCAAAGAGGATAAGCCTTGCCAGGCAAAGGCAATAGTTACTTGCGAGTGTCAACGCAAGAAACAGGAGGTACGATGTATGTTTACCTCGGCTAACCCGTCACCGCAGCGGAAAACGCTGAAATGTGACGATGAATGTCTCCGTCTACAGCGGAATGCTCGTTTAGCTGAAGCGCTCAACATTGACCCGCAAGCCCACACGAATGACCAGATACCCTACTCCAGCACGACTCTCGAACTCTACAGGGATAATCCTGAATTCGCGCAACAACGTGAACGAGAGTGCCGGCTCTTCGCCGCAGACCCAACACAAAAGTTGTTGAGATTTAAGCCAATGAGGTCTCATCAACGGGCGTTTCTTCATTCGTTAGCCGAGGACTATGGATTTGATAGCGAAAGTGCCGATCCAGAACCTCACCGTCACGTCTGCTTCTTCAAAACCCCACGCTTCATATCAGCACCAACGAAGACCCTCTCCCAGTGCATAAGCACCAGGGCGCAGGCACAACCAACCCAATCTATGCAATCAGTACCGTCAAGCGGCGATGGCGCTTTAGTGAAGCCTTATAACGCGTTGCTTTTGACAACGCCACTTTTTGGATTAACCGTTGACGAATTGGATTCCCATTTCGCGCAGGAGTATGCTGCGTATCCTGACGTAAAATTCCAAACCAGCTTTTTGCCTTCGGATGAAGTGGTCATCAAGGGGATTGGCACGTGGCGGGTGCAAACATTGGAAGCCAATCTGACATCCCTAAAGCCCGCCATATCGCAAAAGGTTCAAAAGTTGGGCCTGGCTGCCAGTGTTTCCCTATGCCACGTCGACGAGTCATTGAATGTGCTGCGGAGAGAAACCACCCAAAGCGACGGGGGTTGGAATGCAGTGGTTGGACGATCGGCTGCTCGACCGAAGCCGTCTGGGACATCGACAGGGCAGCAGTCAGCGCCACTACGTAGCAAGTTCGTTGCTCTGAGAAAAGAACCGAAGAAAGTGGTAAAACTTGTTTCGGAAGATGTCGCGGACGATTGGGAGGCAGCTGCGGAGGAATTAGATGAAGTGGAAAAGAAGCCTGATGAGTAATTTGGAACAAAGACATCGATTTGCATTTGCGTCGAGCCTAACAGTGGCATTTGTGATTTAGGTGTTAAGCATAGCTGGGATAACTATTAGATTATCAGATGATATTTGTTATAGAAGTAGGTACATAACTAGTAGGTACTGTACAGTCTGTACCCTAGGTATGTAATTATTTACATGCCTGTAAGTTGTAACTATCCAGGAGGTAGATGAACCCAAGTGCCCCCCTGTAGATCACCTCAAACTCCCCCCATTTTAGGCCTAGTGTCCCGCTATAAAGCCCACGTAGAATGGGGCTCGGTCACACGAAAATCCGGAATTTAGCGGGCTGTAATTGGCCACATGCTTTACAGGGGCCCACCTGATTATTTGAACTTTCGAGTCTTATTTTTTTGAGTTTTGCCTTTGCACCCAGGTACAAAGAAAACGGGCTGCAAAAAGCCCAAGCTTCAAACCTTCAATCAGCCCAAGCTGCCGCTTTAGTGCATCCTATATCATTGGAATCGCCTCAATTAGAGCTTCCAAACAATATATGTTTCAGATTAATGCGATATCTGAATCTGAAGTTATTTGAATTTAAAGATTAAGAAGCACCTGAAAAAAAATACATCTGTAATCGGTACCTTGATCACGTGATGGCCCTCGGCTAGCGTTAAAAGTGCTTACTTCATTCAACCCCGAATAACTTCGCAACCACCCGTCGCATTTCTTTGAAACATATATCATTTGGAAGTGCTAATTGAGGCGGTTCTAATGATACCGGTTGCATCAAGATGCATCCATTGAAAGAAAAGTTATTAAGGATAGTATGTTAGAGGCTAGCTGGAGAGCCCGGACCAGCGCTATGTACTAGGGTGCGGATAAGCCTCCGATAGCAATTGATTTTTAATTAATTAATAATTAAATAAGAATTGATTAAGAATTGATTAATAATCGATTAAAAATTAATTAATAGTTAATTAATTTAAAATTAAAATATATAAAATATTAAACTTAATAATAATTATGAGATTATTTTTTAAAGTTATGTTTATAATTAATTAATAATTAATTATGAATTTTTCGTTTTTGAAAAAATAAACCTTAAGAGATAAAAAGTTGAACCCAAGTGCCTAAAAAAGCAGTTGAGCCCAAGTGCCTGTCCGAATGAGGTATAGTCGTCGGCCCAAAATGGGGGGAGTTTGAGGTGATCAACAGGGGGGCACTTGGGTTCATGTACATCCTCGTAACTATCGTGATCGTTCTTTGGTTCAATGGTTCTAACTAGTAACTAGTTAGTGTACGAAGGTTGTGGCCAAAAGTTTAGACCAAGATATACCTCAGCCCCACAGTGCGCCACTCTTTTTCGGGCTTCTACCAATAATAGGTATACATTTAACGTCAAGTCCCCCACAACCCTTAAAAATATAGCACCTTATAGCACACTTAAACGCTATAGTGTGTTATAAACTTAAAGCCTTCAGTCCTAAACAATTGACAGACGAGCCTGTCAACAACCTTAGATTATTATATAAATACTTACATTAATTTAATAAAGAAAAAAATTACAAAAATTTCTATTATTAAATAAACTAATTAAATAACGTAATGATGTATTTAATATTTATTAGATAAACTTATAAGGCTTTATAGGTAGGTAGGTATGTTGGCGATGATATTTCCTACAGTGGTAGAAAAGTGGAGGAACTGTGGGGCTGAGGTATATCTTGGTCTAAACTTTTGGCCACAGCCTTCGTAGACTGGTCGGTACATGTAGTACAACCCTGCAAGATGAACCCATGTCAGCTAGGGTTGCGCAGAGTTTAATTCAACTTGAATTATACGGGTATAATTCAAGTTTTATTCCGCACTTTAAAGTAAAATGCGGTGGGTCCGAAATTGAAAAGTGGGGATATACTTAAGTAGAAAAAAATATGCACCAAAATTTGGTGAGATTACATAATTTTACAGGTATCTCGTCATTCCTTAACGGTTGCGAATAACGTTTTTCTTTAATGGCGTATATAATGGATTGAGTAGTTAAACCGCTTTAATAAAAGCGGTAAATCCGTAAGAATTAAATGGAAGACCACTTATTAAAATGGCTTTGGCATTGGGCCTTAAGAGATTGACGATATGCCTTTTGAGAGATCTAGCTGAATTGTGTATATCCATAGAACAGTGTTTGCGAGTGAGTTTGGAAGAGTGCTATATACTAAGTGTATTAGGTTAGGGTGGTCACGTGCCCCACCTTGAGTATAATACTGAATTAAACGCATTTTACAGGGGTTATGAATTAAACGCGCACTTTACTTTATAATGCGCATTTTACGCAACCCTAATGTCAGCACGTGTTTTAGGTTTCTCTGCTACGCTACGTTTGGCCCAGAGGTTCGGGAAATGGAAGCATCCAGGGGTCTCCCAGCTGTCAACGGTGTGTACTTAGCTACTTCTATCTACAATACATGCATATATGTACATGCCTCCATCGGAGTCCAGTTAGTAGTGGAACATCGAGAGGCTAAATCAACGTTTCCTTTCCACATTTGCTCTCCCTTAACCTTAGACACATGCATCTGGGCTTGTTACGTTATCAACATCGAAACATTTGAAGTTATAATAACCGCCCGACTCACTATGTAGAGACGACATAGCTGCTACATACATACGAACATTCATACCTGCCTGGCTGCCTGGGTGAAATCTTCAAGTTGGGAATATGAAATTCATCTCGATCGAAAGAAAAGAAAATAGATACAATAAAAAGCAAAAGGTCGTGTTGGGCTTTTAAATTCACGCGTAGGATTACACACCTACTACATACATAGGTACCTACTCGGTCTAGGTTCTCGTATAAAAATAGATGTAGGTATACCAACTGTGAACAAACGGACAGCTTCCAAAGTTAGGACACCTATAACTACTTCTTCAAATCCTTTTGAGCCTCACTTCACGTCTTCCCCTAGAGAACACCATATATTATTATACGGGTCTTCACCCATGTCATGAAAAGTATTCATGTGCTTGGCTCTCTCAGTTTCAATTTCGTCAATGCGCCTTTTTACTAACTGCGTTTGTAGGTGCTTATCCAGCTAGACAACTTCTTACTTACGTAGTGCATAGTGCGTTACTAGGTAGTTTAGAATGCAACTATCGCAAGCCATAACTACCTACAGCATGGCAATCGAGTTCCTATTATATCCCACATTTACCTAAATACCTATCTAAGTTGATAGGCATGCCAGTATGTATGGATCAATAGCTTTGAGATTATCGAGTTCACTTTGATCATACTATTTACTTCATACTATTTACTTACCTTCAGTAGGTTACCCGTGACTTCCACGTTGGACCACCCACTATTTGCAAGTTCTGTCGCCGCACGGTGCCTCACTTTTCCAAGTCAGTCTGAGTTGGTTCGTACGACGGCACCGAAGTATCCAGGATACCCCAAACCCAAAGGATATCAAGCACATCAAGACTATTTAAAACAAGTAAGACTTCACACTGTGAGTGCTTGACGGGCTGTTTGCACGGCCTTTTTTTTTTCTTACCTGCTTCACCTTAGATAAGTAATTTATACTCATACATAGTATAGAGTCAGCGGGAAGGAATGCCTTATATTGTAGGCAGATATTCTTGCCGCCTGGCGCCTCAGGCGACAAACACGTTATATAGGTACTTAGTCTAATATTGCTGTTATTTAGAAATGAATGGGCAGCGACCTTTATGAATAGAACTTAGATTTTTCAATTACCCAAGAGGGAATTTATTCTTTTCAACCGCCATCAATCATTATTCATTGCTGACTTTCTACTTCGACTTGGAAACCCTCAGCTTTATTTTCACCTCGACAATCTTCTGGTTGTCATCTAGCTAGCATCGCTTTCCGAGCTGTACATATCTTCAGTACATTTTCGATAAGTCGAAACCAGATCAAAGCACCAGGTACGTTACTTACGCGGACTTGGGTCCCAACATACCTTTTTAGACATTCTAGAGGCACTTTGTTTTTCGATTCCTCAGTGCTGTTCATTCATCCGGTACTAGTATACGGTCCGAGGCCATGGAGCTGCACTTACACAGTACTTCCTAGCATACATGTATTTGCAGCAGCCATTACTATGTACTGGTTCCCCCGCCTTCCTCCTACATGTATATGCACCTGCATGTACTAAGTGGTACATACTCCCTACCTGATATCTCCTTCCTTCCCTTTCTTTTCCGTTTTTTAAGTTATAAACTGCCTCGCCTGGCAGCTGATCCAGCTGATCCAGCTTTTATTTTTATTTTTATTTTTATTTTTATTTTTATTTCTGTTTTTATTTTTGTTTTTGTTTTTCGTCCTACATACATACATGCCCTGCCAGTAGTACTGTATTCCTTACATAAGGGTTCCTTCTACGTTAACGGGCATTATCCTCAACTTCTACAATATCCTCAATCTTCCCCAACTTGCACTTGCGTTTGTCTTTAATATTTCACATTCCATCCTCTTCCGCTTCCTTTAAAAGCTAATCCACATGGGTCAAGCATCCTCAAAGGCCTTTCTCTGCGGCCATTTAAAGTTGGGATCTCTTCGTCGCAGATCTAAGCCGCACAGTGCTCTTGATAAGAAACCCCTTGTGCAACATCTCGCACAGCCTTTTACACAGCCTCTGCTGTCACGAAAGTCACAAGATTTACAAAAGTCAAAAAGGCCACCCGGCCCTATTTACGCAGCTATGGGAGCCTCGAAAAATCAGGATCCCTTCCCACAGCATGACGACGATTTAGACAACCCAGATGCAATCGCAATCGAGGACGGTGGGCATGAAGAAGATGATGAGGGTGACACTTCCAGTACTAAAGGACATATGCTTGTGCCGCAAATTGCCCAAAACCTATGCAAAGATGGTGTCAAGGCCGTATTTCCCGATATATGTCTTGATTATCTCGAAGAGATCTCTGCTAGGTTTTGTTACGACACCGATGCTACTATTCGCGAGATTCTTGATCTTCAAGACAATGGTCAACCCTACCCTGTTCAACCACAAGACAACCCCCTGAAACGTAAGAGGGCAGCAAGTGAAGATAGCGATGACGAGAATTGTGATGCCGACGTTGACAATGACTTTGAAAATAAGGTCAAGAGAGACGAGAGGAGCCTAAAAGAAACCGAAGAGAAGTTTAGAAAGAAGGTCAACGAGCCTAACTATTTCAAAACAACAGCCAGCACCCGAGGGTATATCAAGATAGCGGAAGCCTGTCTGTCTTCAGAGGTACGTACTCAGCATCACGTCGTCTAAGCGCAACATGCTCCCATCCCCTCATCCCCTCATCCCCTTAGCACCATACCAGTTCTCCTTGTCTTTGCTGAAGCTAACATTATCACAGTGCGTTGCGATATTCCCCTTACCCCCCTTTTTATGTGGTTAGTTGGTATTGATATTTATTAGTTTCCCCTACGTGCCGATAGCGACAGTTCGTCGGCTGCTCAAAGGTAATAGAGGTTCTCTTTTCGAGACCTATGTGGCTATCGACGAAGCAATTCGTAATTGGGATGACAGCAATCCCCCGTGGCAAAAGAAAAAATATGCGTCAACATTCCGCGATGAAATCGCCCACTATAGATGGCATACAATTGACATGGCGCAATACAGTGCAGAAGAACAAGCCGCTTTGCTCGAGTGTGAAGCCGCGAGGAACGTGGCGAGTATCCACAAGAGTACTCTTAAGGACAAAGCCAAAAAGGAAGCCGAAGAAGCGAAGAACTTCTCTCACGCGAAGTCAATCGGTCAGACGGAAGAATGCGGGTGCTGCTTCGAAGAATTCGCGCTCAATCGAATGATTCAGTGCAATGGTGATACCATTCATTGGTTCTGTCGTGGCTGCATGCGCTTGCAGGCAGAAACGAACATCGGCATGTCTAAGCATGTATTGACCTGTATGTCTGTGGATGGATGCTCGGCCGGGTTTTCTCCAGATCAGAAAAGGCTATTCCTCCACAAGAAATTACGTATAGCCTTGGATCGGATTGAGCAACAATACGTATTACGAGAGGCTGGTATCGCAAACCTCGTTGCCTGTCCATTCTGCCCTTTCGCGGCTGAGTGCCCGCCTGTCGAGGAGGATAGAGAGTTCCGCTGTGTCAGGAAGGGCTGTGAGAAAGTTAGTTGCCGCCTTTGCCAAAAGGAGACTCATATACCGAAGAGCTGTGAAGAAGCAGCGGCTGATCGTGGTATCCATGCTCGGCATGCCCTTGAGGAGGCGATGACTAATGCATTGATTCGCAAATGCAACAACTGTAAGTGATTAGAACGTGTAGCTCTAGAATTTATTGTTAACATCGAGTACAGGCCGACAGCCGTATCTGAAGATGGACGGCTGTAACAAGATCTACTGTGGTGTTTGTGGCACCTTGCAATGCTACGTCTGCCGTAAGACTATCAACAGCTACGATCACTTTAACGATCTCAGACGAGGTGGCAGGGTTGGCAGGTGCCCCCTATTTGATAGCACTGAAAAGCGGCACCAAGAAGAGGTGGAACTCGCCGAAAAAGAAGCACTGGAAAAGGCGGCAAAGGAGCATCCAGATCTAGTAAGTTGTCTCTTCTACATCTTTCCTACCCACCCCCCAAAACTGCCTTCAACGGCAATTTCTACTATTCGCTCCAAAAGAGTCACTGGCCAATAAAAACTAATGTCCGATACCTGTAACACAGACAAAGGATGCCCTAAAGATCAAAGTGTCAGAGGGCGTTGAGCAAGATGAGCGTGCACGTAAGGAGAAGGAACTGCGACGTCGACCTTTTCACCCCGATGCTCAAGAGGCTCGTAGACAGGCTGAAGAGAGAGAGGCTGAAGCTAGAGAACTTGAGGCTATGCGAAATGCTGAGGCCAACCCTCCTCCCCATAATCTCGACAATGATCAGGTTGGTATCCCTCAAATAGAATTTTTGCCGAGAGACGTTCATATACCAGCGCATTACATGCAAGCGCTTGGAGGGGGAAACGTGCGTCCTCTACAAATAGAAGCAGTACCTAGGCCCCCTCCTGCAGTAGAGTGGCAAGGATTTGTGGCCAGGAACGCTGACATACCTCCATTAGCAGCTGCCATGAATGCTAGGGTGCGATTACAAGCCCTAGCCGAATTGCAGGAACGACAACGACCTTTGATCGATATGGATTGGGAGGACGACATGGCGCGCTATAGGGAGGAATATCTGGCGCGCCGTAGGGAGGAAGTAATGGTGCCCCAAGGGGCGGGCGATGGGGCATACAACCAAGCAGGTGACCAGGCAGGCGGCCAGGCAGGCGGCCAGGCAGGCGATCAGCTCCCACCGCTGGTTGATATGTTCTACCGTCGTATGGGGCTAGATGTAAGGCCTAACGTGGCGCCGGAACCTCTCGCCAGGGGTCCCTTTCCCTTGGGACCGAACCAACAGGCTCCAATGCCACCTAATCAACAGGTTCCGATGCCGCCGAACCACGAGGCACCGATGCTATTTCCACGAAACTACCTCGCAAACCCACACCAGCACCCGAATGCTAATAATGGCGAAGGCGCACTTTCACCTCGCCCTCGATGAACTAATTAATGGCCGGATACGATTAGATACGCGATACCCTATCTCGTCCTATCCTATCCTATCCTATCCTATGTCTCACAGGGCTCAGCCCTGCCCTTGTGCGGCGGCCATTTTACCCCTCGATCAACTTCCCTCTTTGTAATTTTTTTCCTTCCTAAATAATGCATAATTCTCATACGTGGATGGGGAGGCGGGGACGGGGACTAGATATTTGCTGTCACGTGGCGTTGCGATGTAATAATGAGGAGTACGGTGTTTCTGATGGTCAGACTCCCGGCGGGGCTCTGATTTAATGCATCTATGGAAGGAAAATACGTGTACATTAGGAGGGACTACAGGGAGAGGGGGGATATCTCAAAAGGGAAAGGATGTGAAGTGGTTTGAGGAGTTCACTTGCATAATGAATGCTGTGGTTATGGGAGATACTACATGGCTGTAAATATCTGATCTGCCTACCTACTTGGTAGCTACAAGGTAGGCTATGCTATGCTACTACTATGTAGTACTGTGCCATAGTAGTAGTAAATTAGGAGGTACTAGGTATGTAGCTTCGCTGTGTTACCCTCTTGCTGAAACGATTTCCATAATCTGGACCAAGTTGCCCCCCTCCCCCCCCCCTTTTTTTTTTCTGCTTTCAACAGGTAGTTTTATATGGAAAAGGGGAAGGGAAAAAATTACTCATAGGTACCTACCTACCTACCTAATGAATATCATAACTAGGCACTTCTTCAGTAACTACATGTCGAGGGTCTTAATCAACAAGCCCCTATTTACCTACCTACCTACCTACCTACCTAGGCAAGCAAGCAACGATATTTCCAAGTCCTGTCTTCTTAGGTAGTTGGTATGGATGCCATGTAAGGTACCTATGTTATGTACCCGACATACCTAACCTAACCTAACCTAACCTAACCTAACCTAACCTAACCTACATAGTATATAGGTAGGGAGGCTAGTTATGATCGATCCAGCGATGAGTCCCGAATGCTGGTAGGTACTTGGTAAGTAGTTAAGTAGGTAAGTAAGTAATAAGTGATACCTATTCAATGTTCTTTCTGTGGAGCTATCTAAACTACCTACCTACCTAGGGTGAGCGCCTAGATTATAGGTGCGAGGTTACCTAGGTACTAAGGTAGGTATGGAGATGTAGGTATAAGTATAATAAACATGAGGTAGGTAGGTATAGGTAATACTAACCGTCAGAAGACGAGGGCAAACAGCCAGTCAGCCAGTTGTTGCTTGCTTACCTACCCCACCTATCTTCCCGTGTGCCAACTCGAGCAACGCAATGTAGGCCTGGGGATAATGCAAACAGACTGAGTAGGTAGGTAGGTAGGTAGGTATCAGGTATATAGGTATACAACAATGATCGCTATACGGTAAACATCCAATGCTCCCCCCCCTTCTTTTCTCCCTCTCCCCTTCTCGCGTATAACGATATAGGTAACCAGGTCACTCAAAGTACTTTGCTCCGCTCAGCACCAGCAATACTTCTCATTAGCGACCCACTCAATATCCTGACCATCCTCCTTCTTCTCCTTATCACCACCACCACCACCACCACCATACCACATCATGCTCGGGATGCTGTCAACATCCCTATGGACCCAGCGGTGCGTGAGCCCGCAGCTTTCGATCAGCTTCGCGACCGCGGGCGACGGGTTCCACAGGTCGATCTTGCCGAGGTGCCAGGCGGCGGCCTCGCGCTGCGCCGTGTGCATGACGGCCGTGAAGGCGGCGAGGATATCGTCTTCGTGGGAGATTTTCTCGGCGTCATCGCTGTCGGATCCGGTTGCTTCGGGCTCGATGACGAGGCGGAGGATGTACAGCGTGTTCTTGTCGACGGTGTCGGCGGGGGCGCCGCTGGCGCCGGAGTAGTTCCGGGACCAGAGGGCCCAGACGCGCCGGCCGTTTTTGGTCCCGGCGATGGCGCCCTTGATCGTGGGGATTAGCTTCCCGTCCGGTGTCGGCGCAGGCGATTTTTTAAGGAGCCTGGAAGCGATGAATTCGTCCCTATACAGATGCCACCGCAGGGTGTCGTGGTCTGGCGCGAAGGCGATGGTCGTCCGACCCGTCTTGCGTGCCGTGCGCACTACTTGCGCACATACGAGTTTTTCATCGTCTTTGCATAGCTGTTCCAGGTTATCGTATGTGATTGGTGTTATTTTTTCGTCGGCTTCTCCACCCCCTCGCATTTGGTCGGCTGGTGGGATAGGGAATTCGACGTGTGAGCTTGGAAAGGCGGCCCACCCCTTCTTGGCGTAGTAAGTCTTACCAATGTCCGACCACAGCGCTGAGCACACGACGTCTCGGTTGTCTGGCTCCTTGCTTTGCCATGATCGAAGAACTGGCCCGAGCTCGTTTAGCATGCGGCCCGCGTAACGGTAGCCTCGGTGCTTTGGGTAGGTGAAGACGGAGCCGACGCCATGACCTATGCCGCTACGCGCCTCGGTATCGCCTGGAGACGCGACTAAGACGCGCTTGCGGATTGACTCGCAGGATGCAAGAACGGGTCGGGTTTCCTTCTCGTTCGCAGGTACCCATGAGGAATCTGTCAAGACCCAGTATGACATGCCACCGTGGCCGGATAAGGGAATCGTCGTCAGGAAATTCTCACGGTCGAGGTATTCCTGCAAGCTCAGGCCACCACCCCATTCCTTGTGATTCAAGGTCCAGGTTTGACGCTTCTCATCATCGGTAGGATGCGCGAGGACAAGTGAAGGGGCCGTTGCCTCGGGGAGCACGTAATCGTCGCTTTTCTCGTAGAGCGAGCCCATATTGCCAGTTATTTATGCCGTTTTCTTTTCTGCGGATACCGTGCTTGTCCGTGCTGTATGAAATGGAGAGAGAGTGTTTCCCCCAGAAACCCCAAGCCTTCTGAACCCCTTTTCTAAGTTGGAGAAGAGAGAGTTAGGGTTTGAGGTTAATAAGAGGTTAATAATATAGTTTAAGATTCAATATAGCGTGGCTTATTCAAATAACTTTATTCTTATTTTCCCCAGAGCTAGGTACTATGTACGGCGTAGTAGGTACTTTAATAGCATGCAATCATGTCTTAGAAGCATGCCAATGCGTAGAGCTAGCTACCCAGGAACCGGGAAAGAGGACAAAGAAAGCAATACAGGGGTTTTCATAGGTTTATGTATTCAAACTTGGATTCCACAGCAGAACTAAACAGATACAGAATATAACACTGAAGCTACACATGTAAGGAAAAACTGACGTATGAGCCTGTAAGAAAGTGGCACCCAGATGAACCCTGTGATCAGTCGGTATGCATCTATCCCCACGAGGCATGGCTTCCTGGTAACCTAACCCAGTCGCATCGTTGGATAAGGGATAAAGGATAAGGGGAAGGGGGCAACCCAGGTACATTACTAGGTAGGTATGTAAATGTAAATACTAGTAGTACTATGTAGGTAATGACGGTGAGGGTGTGTGACAGGCTATTATGGTACATGGTCCAATTCTTATGTACGTTATGTAATAGGAAAGTGTATAAAGGGTGGGAGGGCCGGAAGGAGGCCGGCTTTCCTCGCATGAGCCGCCTCGGCGCCCAGATTTCGGGTTCGGACCACTTGGCTTTAACATAGATAGGTACTTGATAAGTCAAGATGACCAAAAACAACACGAATTAATTCTGCTTGAAAAGGAGAAGTTGAGAGATGATCGTACCTTTGATAGAACATTGGCGATTCCTCTAGTTAGTACTCTGTTGCGATCATCAGAATCTAGAGTATGTACTGTAGTATGAATGAATGCTCAAACGAGTAGTATTATAGTATACCTAGTACTTGAGTAAGCATGTACAACATTGAAGGTCATTGTAACACATGCATCTCAAGATAGATAAAGTTATAAATGACGGCGGAATTAAAGCAGAAAACGCGGATGGGACCCGATCGGCTGGATTTCGGTTGTCTCTTGAGGGTGGGCTCCTTTCCTTGCCGACGCAACCCGCTTTGAATCCACGGTCCCCTGGTAACCTACCACGATACATCCATTTGGCTGACCAAGGTCCAAAAGCCTATTTTAGTCTTTGGATCGATTGGATAACTACACCTCAACTCACTTGCCACAGCATACATAGATTCATAGATATACACCTAAAGTTAGGTAGGTATGGAATGACGGGAAACTGCATTATGCATTATTGGCCATTGCAATCAACACTTGTGTCTTCAACAAGAACCATTTTCCGATCGGGAACGCCTGTCAAGTTCTCCTTTATTTTGCTATCAGTGCCCGTGGCCGTCATCTGGCTCCCCCCTCTCTTCCGGATCCAGCTTGATCAACGTATCGATACGCATTATGCTGATACACGCCTCCACTGCACTCTTCAGCTGCCGAATCTTGCTTATGCTGGGTTCTAATACTCCAGCCTTGACCTCGTCCACCACCTTGCCCTTCATCAAGTCAAGACCGTAGTTCTTGTAGTTCTTCTTCTTCGCTACCGTCTTCTCATCCTCGTTCGCCTCGCCATCTTGCGTCCTCTGCGAAAGTGCGTGTCGAGATCGTAGTTGTGCTACAAGCTCGCTTGCATCTTTGGCTGCGTTGACGGCTAGGGTCTTGGGAATGATAAGAAGCGCCTGCGCGAATTCTCCAATTGCCAGCTGCTCTCTTGAGCCTACCGTGCCCGCGAACTCCTCCAAATAAATATGTAGAGCCGTCTCCACCGCTCCACCACCGGGAACAATGCTACCACTCTCTAGAGTTCGCTTAACCGCACAGAGAGAGTCGTGCACAGACCTCTCCATTTCGTCTAGTTGGAAGTCGTTAGGTCCACGAAGAATTATCGACGCAGATGAATGTATCTTGGTTCCCTTAACTAAGATGCACTCATCGTCGGAAATGCGTTCTTGGACAACTTCTTCGGCAGATCCCAGGTATGAAGGCTCGAAACGCTCGTCACCGTTCAAGTCAGATAGGGTGCTAAGCAGAGTGGCGCCGGTAGCCTTCGCAATCCGTCGTAGATCTTCCTTCTTACACCGCCTCACGGCCATGGCACCATGCTCAATGAAAAGCTTCAAGCACATATCGTCGATGCCTTTGGTTGTTAGAACAACGTTCGCTCCGGCCTTGAGGATCATTTCCACTCTGTCAATCACCATCCCTGACTCCCGCTGGCGAATCTGTTCGAGCTGCTGGGGGTCGTCGACCGTGATTTGCACGCCAAGCTTCATCCTCTCCTTCTGTAGGTTCATATCAAGTACTGCGATTTTGGCATCCTGTACCCGAGTCTTCATAGCCTGCGACGCCACAGTGCAGTTTAGAGCATAACCCTTTACTAGGATGGATTCCAGTGCACCCTTTCCGTGGGCCTTTAGGATATTAACCGCTTTGACGGGATATTTCACTTCGCTGCGGTTGTTGGTGGTCTTGACTGCTTGTATAGCATCAACAACCATGTTGGCGAAGAAGTCGGAGTCGGACCCAATGATCTTGCTAGACATAGACGTCTTGGCAATGCTGATTAGCGAGTCGCGACCAAGGTTCTCCACCTTGGTGCTGACATTCTCGCTCATGTACTTGATAGCCTCTCTCAGGGCAAGTCTGTAGCCAGTGATGATGGTAGTAGGATGTATTCGGTTCTTCATCAGCTCGTTCGCTCGTCGTAGAAGTTCGGCGGCGATGAGCACGACTGAGGTGGTACCGTCACCAACCTCCTTATCTTGTTGGTGTGCTAAGTCGACGAGGATCTTTCCAGCGGGGTGTTCAACGTCTAACAAGCTTAGGATAGTAGCACCGTCATTTGTAACTGTGACATCCTATAAAGGTCAGTCAAGAAGTTTGAAGGCTGGGAAGGGGATAGTTGGCATACTCCAATGTCGTCCACCATCATCTTATCCAGACCGCTAGGACCAAATGAGCTCTTGACGACGTTCGCAATAGCTTGGGTAGCGGAAACTAAATAGTTGGTCAGTCATATATAGAACATTTCCAAGTAAACAGAGAGCGACCTACCATTCTGATCCCTAATATCAGCACCAGAGATCTTTTGGCCGCCGAGGAACAGAGTCCCATTTTCGGACTGCTCAAACATGGAAGCCATTCTTGCAAATGACTCGCTGTCCTATTCTCTCTATTTGTCTCTTTTTGTCTTCGTAGCAACTCAACACGTCCTAACTGATAAAGAGAGGAAGGAAGAGTAAAGTGGAAAGGAAGAAGGAGGAAAGGATGTTCCTGTTTTAGGTAGCTGGCTGTTCTACCTGGCAGGTCCCTCTTTCTTGATATTTTGTTTTTAAGCTAAGCTTCTTAGCGCTTGCCCTGTCCCTCATTGAATTTGCAAGGAGCCGTAACTTTTTGGCGGAAGCAACAGTTATTCCTGATCCGATATGTCCTTTTAAGTGGCTCTTTCCTCTTATCAACTCCTGGCTATGTACTTATGTAAGTATAACCCCTCCATTGGCAGTACGAGTATGTACCTTTGTACCTTAGCACCTAGCAAGCAAATCGCGGGGCACCATTGAAGTTCCAGCCCGAGCTATTACTTGGTACGGGTACCACTGCAGTAGATTATTTTATTGTTTTATTGAATTTCATTTTATTTTACCCAAGTAGCCAAGTCACCGCCGACGTGACTCAATCCCAAGGTTCTTGAGGTTTACCTTCTTTTCTCAGTTCATGATACCTATTGATTGACCCTTTCTTTTTTTAATTCTCTGGTCAAATTATTTTATTTATTTCCTCAAGCCACTTGAAGCTCTTAAGGTACTTCAAAGTAGCTATCAGAGCCCTTTTCCTACAATAAACACTCTGAAGTACATAAATACTTTGCAAGAACCGCAACCATGGAGGAGAATAAGCCAGCTGAGCCTTCCAAGAGCGCCTTGAAGAAGGCCGAGAAGGAGGCCAAGAAGGCCGCTGAGAAAGCTGCAAAGGCGGCCAAGCAAACTACTCTCCCAGTAGTTGGCGGTGGAAAGAAGGCCGATGACATTATAGGTATCACCGTCTCAAAGGCCGATAACTTTCCGCAATGGTACCAAGAAGTCGTACTCAAGGCCGAGATGGTTGAGTACTATACCGAAATCTCGGGATTCTTCATCATGCGTCCGGCCACTATGTACATCTGGAATGTCATTCGCAAATGGTTCACCGAGCGCATTGAGGAAATGGGTGTTGACGAGACAAACTTTCCCATGTTCTTGTCCCAAAAGTCACTAGAGAAAGAGAAGGACCACGTCGAGGGCTTTGCTCCCGAATTGGCCTGGGTTACGAAGGCGTGAGTAAAAGTTTCCGATGGCATCTCCCCCTAATATATGATCCCCTATCTTGGCTTATGGGCTAACTCGATTTCCTTTGATAGAGGTGACAAGAACCTCGAAGTCCCCGTTGCGGTCCGCCCTACCTCGGAAGCCGTCATGTACCCCTACTACGCGAAGTGGATTCGAAGCCACAGAGATCTTCCCTTCAGACTCAACCAGTGGAACTCGGTCGTTAGATGGGAAGCAAAGCAAACTACCCCCTTCTTGAGAGCAAGAGAGTTCTTGTGGCAAGAAGGTCACACCGCACATCTTACCGAAGAGCTTGCTGGAGAAGAGGTCTTGCAAATCCTGGAGCTTTACGCTGGCATCTACGAACAGCTACTCGCTGTCCCAGTCGTGCGAGGTAAGAAGACGGAGAATGAGAAGTTCGCTGGTGGATACTATACAACTACAGTCGAAGGTTACATTCCTTCCAACGGACGAGGTATTCAAGGTGGTACCTCGCACTGTCTTGGACAAAACTTTAGTAAAATGTTCGACATCACCGTCGAAGACCCCAATGAGAAGGGCAAGCACATCAATGTCTGGCAAAACTCGTGGGGTCTGTCGACTCGTGTTATTGGTGTCATGGTCATGATTCACGGCGATGACAAGGGATTGGTTCTCCCTCCACGGATCGCCAAGGTACAAACAATCCTAATCCCGGTTGGCATCACCAAGAGCACTACCCCTGAGGATAAGACGAAGCACTATGAGAAGCTGGCCGATATCAAGAGTACCCTCAAGAAGGCGGGTATTCGCGTGGAGGACGATCTGAGAGATGGCTACACCCCGGCCTGGAAGTTCAACGACTGGGAATTGAAGGGTGTCCCACTTCGTCTAGAGTTTGGACCCAAGGATGCGGCCAAGGACGTCGTCAGTTTCGCGCGCCGGGATACTGGTGAGAAGGGAACTATTGCTCTAGCTGAACTGGCCACGAAGGTCCCTGAGCTTCTCGAGACTATCCAGGCCGATATGTACAGCAAGGCCGAGAAGTCCTACCGAGAACACCGCATTGTCATCAAGAAATGGGAGGATGTTATCCCTGCCCTCGATGCCAAGAACGTTGTTATCATTCCCTTCTGCCTTGACGGCAAATGCGAGGACAAGATCAAGGAGTTGACCACGGGACGCACAGACGAGGATCCTGATACCCCCGAAGCACAAAAGGCCCCGTCTATGGGTATGAAGAGTTTGTGTATTCCCTTTGAACAGCCGGAAGAACTAGCCAAGGGCTCCACCAAGTGCTTGAACCCGGAATGTCAACGATTAGCTGAGACGTTTGTTATGTTTGGTCGTAGTTATTAAGCTAGGCCTTCGTATTTGAAGTCAGGAATCTTTACGCAGAAACTGGGCAAATGGATGTAGGAAGATATCGGGTGCGGGAGTGAGATTTCAGATGCGGGAGTGACATGGTTCTGAAATGGCGGGCTATAGTGGATTTGCTTACAAGAATTCTAAGAAGTGACTGTCTTCACATTTCATGGCTCATTGGTGTAACTATAAAACCGGACTTGGTGATGCCGAATGTAGCAGGTAAGGGTAAAAACGGCGCGATCGTGAGATGCTACTCCAGATCCATAATCATTTATAAGTGTATGCATATGATCGCATTCAGCTACCTAAAGTTAAGCCCGTTCAAACCGTCTCAGGTGGTTCATTTATCCGACGATGAAAGAAAAGGGGGGCGATTATCAATACTACATTTATCAAATATTTACGCAAGTCAGCGTAATATTTCCATCAGATGGTTTTTCTCTGCCGGGTATAGGGGTTTAGAGTTGCATACTTCCTTCGTTATGAGGGAAATGGACATTACACGCGCCGGAGATATTTCAACTACCAAGACTTAACACCTGCTTGATGATACTTACCCCTTATATCAGCTTATACATACATGTAGGTACCACGTAGAAATATGTAGGTGCGTATATCCCCGTGTAGACTCGGCAAGTAGCGTAGAAACTAGTTCACCCGAACACACCAAAGGAAACTACCTGCCTCGATCTCTCTCCCATTTCTGGTCGTCCAATATTGTTGTACATTCCTGAAGCTGCGCAATGTAATCCCCTAGAAAAGAAGCGGATAGGTTTATTCGCTCACGTATAACCACCTTTCCATCACGGGGATTTATAATCATGGATATAACCTGCCAGCTGACGCTTGTCTCTTACCGAAAATAACAGCAGATGACACACAGGTATACCCTGAGATAGATGGATACAAGGCGGACTATGTTGAGAGTTACATAGAGAATGGGACGACAGGGTGATTCGTAGGCCAGTGCTGCTGTGCTGCTGTGCGACGCAGATTCATCATGACACTAAATCACTCTGGGCGAGATTATACCCCCCCAAAAGCAGGATCATAAGGTGATCCTATAAGTCAACTGGTATTTAATTTCAAGCCCCCTCCACCATATTATCCTCGTCATACATTACCCCAATCCTCATACCTACCCCTCTCAAGAATCTAAGGAGTAATCTCTATCCCCTATTCTAGGATAAATCCTCCAGTAACACTCCCACCAACACTTCCCCTCTCCCCCCCCTTCCCCTTAACCTGAACAAACATGGCACCAGACACGCTCTCCCTCGCCGGCAAGGTCGCCATCGTGACCGGCAGCGGCCGCGAGAACGGGATCGGGGCCTCGATCGCCAAGACGCTGGCGCGCAACGGCGCCGCGGTCACCATCAACTATGTCTCCGAGAGCAGCGCGGTCAAGGCGGAGAAGGTGGCGCAGTCGATCCGCGACGAGTTCGGCGTCGGCGTTGCACTCGTTCGGGCCAACGTGGCGACACCTGAAGGGTGTGATAAGATCGTTTCTGAGACGCTGAGCCAGCTGGGCGTGGATCATGTGGATATTCTGGGTACGTGTACCTGTGACTTGTGGCCTTTGTATACCTAGCTACCTACCTAAGGTTCCTACATGATAGTATGGAACAAACATAGTGTAGTGTAGTGTAGTGTGATGGACGTCTTATAGCCTTCTTTCAAACCCGCAAAGCTAACCACCTCCCCCTTTCCCCCTATACAGTCAACAACGCAGGGGTCGTCGAAGCCTGCACGCTAGCGCAAGCGGACCGCGCCCTGCTCGAGCGCATCTTCGGCGTCAACGTGTACGGGACCATCTTCATGACGCAGGCGGCCCTGGGCCTCGGCAAGATGCCCCGCGGCGGCCGCGTCATCCACATCGGCAGCGTGGGGTCCAAGATCGAGGCCCCCGGGATAGACGTGTATGGCGCGAGCAAGGCGGCGCAGGATTTCTTGACGTCGTCGTGGGCGAGGGAGGTGAGTGTTTTTTTGTTCTTTGGGGACTTGACGGCGTGCCTACCACCATCTCTATCCATCTTACCTAACCCACACCCCCTCCCCCTCCCCCCTTTTCTTCCACCCCATCTTCCACCTACTCACCAACCCCCAGCTCGGCCGCAGCCGCGGCATCACCGTGAACACAGTCGCCCCGGGCGTGATCGTCTCGGACATGAGCGAGGATGTCATCGACATCGTCGGGCCGTTCGTCGCGCTGCAGCGAGGGGAGAACCGCGCGGGGAAGCCCGAGGAGGTCGCGGATGTGGTGCTGTTCCTGGCGTCGGAGAAGAGCGGCTGGATGACGGCGCAGTATGTGGCGGTGGATGCGGGGTTGACTACTACTGCTATTTGATGATGGGGAGGAGGAGGAGGAGGCTGTAAGGGCGGAGAGAGTAAAAAATAGTACGAGTGTGTGGGTGTGGGTGGGTGGGTGTATGGAATAGTCCAAGATGTCTCTCCTCACTTCATATGATATGAGTAGTGTAAGCATACCTATACATTACTACATCAGTCGTATCCCATCTCTTCGTTTTACGTGACACGCAAATCTTTGACTCTTTCGCGGTAAAATCATCGCTTGCTCCTTTCTCAAGCCTCAATACCTATTACCTACCCCTAGGGCCAGGCCACGGACATCCATCCACGCCCCTCTCCCCCTTTCACCCCGCCGCAGCACCTCTCGCCGCCAAATACCCATCAATCTCCCAACACAGCCTCTCCGCCCTTCCCCCCTCCCCCTCCCCATCTCCATCCCCATCCACAGCATCAACCCACACAACCCCCCTCGCAACCTCAACCGCCTCCCTCCCTCCCCCCCTCAACCCAAGCGTCTCCATCAATCCCACAATCATCAGCACATGCCACGCTCTCCTCGGCCCATCCTCCTGCATCGCCGTCGTCACACACGCCCAGAGACTCAGCTCGTTTAGCTCTCTCCCGGGGGTTCTAGCATTGGCGTTGGCGTTAGCGTTAGCGTTGCAGGCAGTGCTCGCAAAAACCAGCGGCAGCTGCGCGATCTGCCTAAACGCCTCCAGGTGTCCCCTCATCTCGTAGCAGCTCGACCCCAAGCGCCGCTTCACCGCCGCCAGCAGCACCAGCGCCGCGCGCCTGTACGCTTCTCTCGCCGCGACGCCCGCGTACGCCGGGTCTGCGGGGTCGTTGGGGAGCGGGATCCCGCGCAGCGAGAGGAGCGCGTGGAGCGCCGGGCTCAGGACGCGCGCGGCGGTGGAGTCGTCGCGCCAGAAGGCGGCGGGGCGGCGGGCGGAGTGCAGGTTTAGGTAGGCGGCGGCGGAGGCGGTGGTGCGGAGGGCGGCGGTGATGTCGGTTAGGGTTGGGAAGCGGGCGTCCCAGGCGAGGAGGAGGCGGGAGAGGGGGGAATGGGGGTTGGTGGAGTCGATGCCACGGAGGGTACTTCGTAGGACTTGGAAGCGGGGGTGGCTGTTTGAGTAGGTTGCGCCGGCGAGATCGAGCCTAGGTGGGTTGGTAACGGTTCCCCTAGTATTAGTAGAATATTCCCGGATTTTCTGGTTAAGGGGGTAAGGGATGATGAGACGGCCGGCCTAACCTACCAGGATATCATCAATTGTAGGAACGGACTGCTCAGGGTTTCCAAGCCGCCTCTTTTCTCGAGGATTCGTTCGAGGCCGTCCATGTGGATTCTCAGGCGGTCGAAGTTGCCGACTGTAGACTATTTGCTGATTCTCAGTATTTATATAGGCACCCAAAGAGCAAAAGAAACACGCACATACATCATGGCACAAGAACCCCGTCACCGCAATCACCAGTCCCTCACTCACACTCATCACCGGATCGACCAGCCGACTCTTTATCGACCGCAGCGAAAGCGTGTACCACTTCATCGCCTCGACATTCGAGCTGTGCTCGGGGAACCCAGACGTTGTTCCCGGCGCGAGGCCGCGAAACAGCACTGCGTTGGCCAGCGTGATGTACCACGCCGCCGCGTCCGACAACCCCATGGATAGCCAGGGGAAGCGGAACGGCTTGTAGGTTGAGCGCGCTTCGTCGATCACTGTTTGGCGAGCGCCACGCGCGCGGTTAGTTAGGATATTGAGGCTCTTTATAATTAGGGGGCTTGACGGGACGGGACAGGACAGGAAGGGGGGCGTTTACTGGACCGGACTAAGCCCATGCGCTCTGCATCCATGTTGATCGGGTACACCGTCGCATGCAAGCTGCCGTCGGCCATGGGATCCGGCAGCGCCAGGGCTTGCGATGATGCGCCACCAGTACTTCTTCCACCTGCAACCCCAACCCCCTCTCCTTCTCTATTCTCTTCGCCTACAGCTGCTGAGCCACTACCTTCTCCGAGGACAATCTCCTCCTCTCCCCGCCGCTTCGCGCGTGGCTTCCGACGCGCCCTGCCAATGTCCTTCATGACGTGCCGCCGGATCCTGGTCGACTGGGCTTTCTCGTCGCCGGGGCGGACGACGTTTACGAATTCGAATTCCGGCATGTTCCGTTCTGTTCTGTTCTGACTTTTCAACCCAACAACAATAAAGAGAATATATTTTTATTACCGTAGGATTCTCTGCTACTTTATACATCTACTGAACAATCACCCTGGCAGGAAGGAAAAGGAAAAAGCCGAACTAGGTACCCAAGAATGAATACCGTAGAACTTCCCCGGGCTCTTACTGAGATACTTGGCATTCTCTTGCATGCAAGTATGTTGTCTTATGTAAGACGTGATATTTATTTTAGGTGGTAGGTGGCGAAATACAGTAGGTTAGGCTATTCCAGGGCAAGACCGACAAACGAAACCCCGGCATAGATATATTTAAATATCATTGTGGTGATTGCTCTGACTGCATCGTCAGCCAGAAAGTCCGGAGACTACATTAGGTACCTAGTTACGAAGGTTGGTAGACCATGGAGAGAATATTTGGGAGCACACACCCGCGAAGATGCTTATGCCAGCGAATCTTATTGAAGACCGGCGCTTATAAATAGCATGGAGGCAGACGGGAATTTCACTCATTCATTCACCACGCACGCAAAAGAGCCAAAGCCGAAAAAGAAAAAAAATCTTCATCACGACGCCAAACATCAAAATTGAACTTTAAAAAATATATAACTCTTTATAATCCGTACAAGAAACTATTCATCAAACCCCCCTGCCACCCCTGAAGCACCAGGTACGTAGGCGGGGGAGTCGGGGACAAAACACACACACACACTACTAACACAAACACAGCTGCTATCCAATCCTCTCAACTCAACTCCTTAAACACCCAGCGCAGCGTTGAAAGCATCAGCAGCCGCCTGCCCCTGGAGCGAGTTCGCCGCCTCGGCGCCCTCCTCGCACTGCGACACCGTCGCGGCGTCGGCCTTGCACTTGCTCGCGAGCTGCGAGCAGATGAAGTCGGTGATGACCGCCGGCTTGAGCGCGGAGCCGTGGTTGAAGTCGGCGGTGTTGACGGGCGCGAACGCCTGCTCGCTGGCGCGGTCCTTCTGGGTGCCGAACGAGATGGCCGGGGAGCCGCAGGAGCCGGTGTCGGCGGCGCGGAGGCGGAGCTTCTTGGCGGCCGTGTTCTGGGCGGCGCACTGCTTCTGCTGGGCGTCGCAGTCGCTGACGCTGATGGAGGCGTCGGCGCCGGAGTTGGCCGCGTTGGCGCACTGGTTCTTCTGCACGTCGCAGGCGCGCTGGATGGCGGCGCCGATGTTGAGGAATTCGGCGCCGTTGACGGAGAAGGGCTTCGCGGCGTTGGAGCTGATCACGGGGACGGGGGGCGCGCCGACGCTGCCGGTGAAGGTGTTCACGTTGTTGCCGCTGGCGGTGGGGGTGGCGCCGGCGTTGGCGTTGTTGTTGGCGTTTCCGGCATTGTTGTTGTTGTTGTTGTTGTTGCTCGCGTTGCCAGTGCTGTTGCTAGCGTTACCGGCGTTGGCGTTGTTGTTAGAGTTGTTGTTGTTGTTGGAGTTAGCAGCATCGTTGGCAGCATCATCGGCTCCATCTTCTACGCATGCTAGTCAAGTTAGCATGGATAGAACACTCGTATGTTTTGCATATTGACTCACCATCATCCTCTTCAGCATCGTCGGCGGCGTTGTTAGCGTTGCCAGCGTTAGCATTGTTGTTGTTGTTGTTGGCATTACCACCAGCATTGGCGTTACCGCCTCCTGCAGCTACGGCAGCGTCAATCTCATCTGCCGTGGCATCCTCGACAAGGAGGTTTTGGGTGAAAATGCAGCCCTCCGGATCATCAGCTTCGTCGCAAGTGTTGCCAGCGCCGGTTGCATCACCGATCTATAATATAACTATGGTAAGCTTCGCTGATATTACTAAGATCTGTTGTTGGGATATTGACTTACCTCGCCGGGGGCGAAGGTGCCGGACTGGAGGGCGAGCTGAGGATCAGCACCGATCGACGCTAGCTGGACAGCCAGGTCAAGGGTGATTTGCTTGTTCAGGGCGGCAGCACCGTCCGAAGCAGGGTCCTGGTGCTGCTGGAGGGCGGCGATCTCGGGGTTCTTTGCGGTTTCAGACGTGCAAAGAACGGAAGCCTGGCCAACTGCGCCCGTGTTTCTTTCCTATTGCATTTGTTAGTTGCCGTAATGAATGGTTGTTGCGTACAGATGACATACCAGAGCACGGAAGATCAGCGCATTGGTCATGCCCTCGACATCGTTGGCCGCCTTGGCGTTGGTGAAAGCTTGGTCGGCAACTCGCTGTTGAAGACAGTCGAGATCCGTAACTTGGCCGGCACCTTGAGCGGCAGCAGCGTTTCCTAGTAAAGCGAAAACCGGGTCCGATACTTGATCAACATTGTTCAAGTTCAGGGCCGCTCCAACACCAGTAAGGAACTTTTCGTGCGAGTGCTCCTCTATTATACTATTAGCCAATCTCATCCTTTCCGCTTATGTATACCTCTATATCGGGTAAGACTTACGAGGAACCTCGCGTCTGAACTTGGCCGAAGCACCAACAACCTGTCGACCTTTCCTGAACAGCTTAATGGCATCAGGGCGGGCAGCAGCCACGCTCAATAGAGCCAAGAAAGCAGCACTAGTTTCAACCTTCATATTGTCTGATTTCGGAGTTTTAAACGACCGTTCGTGATATAGAATACAGATATCGTAAAAGAGTTATATAATGATAAAGTCCCAAAAGGTCCTGCCTAGTAAAAAATGCTGAATAGCTACGTAATGAGCGTGAGAAGAATTAAAGAGATAGTTCACAGAACTAGAAAGAATGTAACGGGTGGAGAAAGATGTGCTGTCGTCGGATGAAGAGAATGGGAATAGGAACATGTAGTCCCGTCCAGGGCAGCCATCTCTCTCTATATATATGGCATTGACCTTGAGAATCTTATGGACGCCAAGCATAGAGGCCCTTGGTAGAGGAGTACACCTTAATGAGGCTTTAGCGTAGCAACGGGCGGCTTTTCTCTCTTGTTCGCCAAGAACGGTCTAAGCTAGCCGTCTCACTACACTGGAAGAGGCCATTTCGGCCCCGTTTTTTCCTTCTTTAGATCCTGGCTCCGTAGATCTAATCGTCCCAAGATGAGATGTTAGGTCAGAAAAGAAACACCATCAACCAAATCTAGAATATGCAACCTGGGGTGCTTGACATCGGCTCGACTGGGAGCCGGAGAAGAGTGTCTAGCCTAAGGGTCGAGTCGAGTCGAGTTACCCTGCATGCGACTTTTGGACGAAAGAGATCGGACCAAGGATGGAATCATCGCTGGTTCGGGGTCAGGGCCGTTGAGCCGCACACGATGCAAAGTTATTGATGGGGATGGGCGCCTATCGAAAAGCCAAAGGATTGAAGATCAATGGCCTCGCCGTCAGCTTTGCTGGGTCCTAGAATGAATAACTAAAAATTCCCCATATTAGACCGTCAATAAAATATTTTTTGGGAGGGAGAGTGGATTCTACACTCCGTGTAATAGTGCTCATTTCTTTGTTTTGAGACGAATGAAGTTGGGATGAGACTGACTATCTGACCCCAAGTGTCTCATAGTGGTCGAGCCTCGTCTGGGGGTTTCAGGGGTGGTTCTAGGGCCAATAATCGCCGCCAATTGACACGAGAGAGAGAGAGAGAGTAACCCCTGAATACTACAAAGTACCTACAACTCCACTACAATATCAACCTACACTAGGCTACCGAATAAAATGATCGTAGGAAACCTTGTGGTCCTCATATTCTAGTCAAATTCTTAAATATATCTTATCCAGAAACCCGGAAATCTCGTGGTTTTCAAGGTCCTTCCAAATGATTTTCCAATTCGTGCTTACAGTAATTATCCTCTTTCAGAACTTGCCCATTACAAATTGTATGCACTTTCTAATTTCCGACGGCTAGCTAGCATGTATCATAACCGTGAGTAGCAAAGATGGAATTATAAACACCCTTTCTACTGTAAAATAATCTACTTGACCTATTCTTTGGCTCTTGGTAAGAGTTTCCAACTCACCTGTGACGATGCCAAGTCCACGACACGCAGATTGCCGCCCGGCACTGATGTCTTGCCGGGTTCGGAGAATCTTATGATGTTGAGTATGGTTCCATTCGTAGGGTTCTTTTCACGCATGGGGTCAGCGAGTAATAGTGTTACATCTTACTTCGGTCTCGCGGTTAAGCTTTCCTTGACTTTTATAATAACTACACTTGGTTATACATAAGTAATTAGATAGAATACGATTACGCTAGGTCAGTTCTTGAGGCCAGTTACAACGCATATAGACAGCACACGAAGCGCTCGTCTGACCATCCTTCAGAACTGACTGATCGCCGCATGAAGTCTCATCCGAGCAGGCGTCGCTCGTCATAGCATGGATGTCAATATACATACAAGGCCACCATCTGTAGATGATCGCCATTGGAAGTAAATCCGCCCTCCTCCACGTCTGGGCTGACATAACGGAGAGCGTTGGGCTTAAGCCGTGGACAGCATGAATTTGACATCAACGATGTTTCTGATTCTCACTAGGTACTACTTACTCTTTGCAGCCTACACTTGCGAAGCGTGAAAATAGGAGCAAATGGTGGCGTATGGATCCGCATCGCCAACTCGGGATCCCACAAGTAAAAGCTTGAAAGGATTAAGGCGACCCTTCCATATTATGGTCATTGCTTCCAATGCGGGCCATCATCACACAAAGATTTATGGTCCATATTAGAACGGGTGTTGCCGCTCGTCCAAGCTTCAGTGGCCCAGCACATGGAACGAGCAAATCTTGGAACTAGCAATGCTTTTCTTTTATAATAAACATGGTTGACAAGGTGTAGTTATTCTGTTTTGTACAGTTTTAAGGACGCCAAAAAGGGGGAAGGGGGAAACTTTGTCTCTCTAAGGGGAAAAATGTTCATGAATTTCAAAACGATCTTTGCCATTACACGTCTAATCCTGTTCCCCCCCCCAACTCCACGACGATGAGAGAAGTGAGGCAAAGACCCGCCAGTCTAGCAGTGGGGTTTGGTTGTATTTCGTTTTCTTAATTGTACAGCACACACAAGCAGATATAATGCGCTAGCTATTTAACCGATGACTAACTTGCCTTCCTCGGGGAATTCGTATGAGGGAATCTCGAGGTTGAGGGGGGCGGGTCCTTTTCTTATACGTCCAGAAATATCGTAATGCGAGCCGTGGCAAGGGCAGAACCAACCGCCGAATTCTCCTGCCTCGCCGATAGGAACACAACCCAGATGCGTGCAAACACCTACGCCCAGCAATGTTAGTATATGAGTGTTATTTGGGTTAGTGTTGGGAAATAAGAATATCATACCCAACATGACTAGCCATTCGGGCTTCTGGACACGGTCATCGTCGGCCTGGGGATCTCTTAACGAAGCTACATTGACCGAGTTCGCCTCGTTGATCTCTTCCCCAGTGCGGTGTCGAATGAACACGGGCTTTCCTCTCCACTTGATGATGACGTTCTTGCCTTCGGGGATAGCGGCAAGGTCGACCTCAACCTTGGCCATGGCCAGGACGTCGGCAGACGCGGACATGTTCTTGAGGAATTCTAGATTTGAAATAGGGCATTAGAATATTTGACCATATATATTTCGGCAATAATTATGACGAGCAGCGACAGATTGAAAGTTCCGAAAACAATCGCTTCCAATATAGCTGTGTCGCAAAACCAACATACCTTGGACAGTAGACTTGGCACCGGCGGCGGTAATGGCGCCCATGGTTCCGACCATGAAGTATTGGAAGAGCAAGTTCGTGTTGGCGCTGTTCTTGTTCATGTAGTGGCTGAAGTCGGGGATCCTGGTGGATTTGGATTCGCCCTTGAAGGGACTCGAGTAGGATCCGGCATCGTTGAGTTGGGCAGTCGTGGCGATGGCGCGGGCGGCATTTACACGGCCACAGGATTTCGCTACTCCTCGCGCCAAAGCACGGGAAGCAATGGTAAGAGGTGCCATAACTATATGGAGAGAGGATCAATTGGGTCGTCGTGGGAGAGTGGAGAGGAGATTCCGAGGTCGTGATGTTGAGGTCTTTTTTTTTTCCGAAATCGAAATCGAAATCGAAATCGAAAGACTTCGGTAATGTTTCTGAGCTAAAAAGTTGCGTTAAGCCGTCTGTGACTCTGTGCAAGGACCTTATTGAAATTGCTGTACAATGATTGGCTAAATTCTTTTTCGGCTGAGCCCGACAATCAATTCGTTCATATGTAAATCATGTGACTTTGGTATTTATACTGCATAGTATTTAATAGTTACTGGGGTACATAACTAGTTATTAGCATGTACATATTACATGTACTACTAATAGGAGGCAGTCCAGATGCTGGTGATGGCATCCTATTCTTCAACTTCTTAGCTGAGGTTTACTTCCTTTCTTATTTGGTACGTTTAGCTACCTAAGTACTAGTAGTAGGTACCTAGACATATTCATCCATAAAATCATGTCGTCGTCGAATCCGCCTCATGGCCAAATCCACCGACATCTGATAATCCTAGGATTACATAGGTTACTCCTTATTCATGCCCATCGAACATCTCCATTGGGATACATTCATTCCCCTTAATGCGCCTTAATGCATACGTTTCAACTCCTCCACCAGCGTTCTCATCGCCTCCACGTCCGGACCTAATCCCGCACATATTTCTTTTTGCGTCGATTCGTCCATGTCGAGGAATCTTTCTATAAACTCTCCATCTATGAAACGGAATAGTCCGTCCGACTCGCGTTCCTCGTTTCTGAAAGATCGATACCGGGAAAAGAGAATGTTACCCAGCGTCTCTATCACCTCGGCGAGCTTGGCTTGGAATCGAAGTAAAAGGTCTTGGTATTCTGGTGCGATTGTTGCGAATAGATAGACCCCGCCTGCTGTCTGTAGTCCTCATTGTCAGTTGTAATCATCACATCCATGTCAATAGGGTTAAGCTTACCGTCCCCATGAATGCTCGTGGCACGATGATAGCACTCTCACTAGCATCAACGGTGATCTTGCGAATTTTATTCACCGTTTCGCCCAGGCTGAACTCGCCTGTAACCTCCATGCGATGCGTGTCGGACTGCGTAACTCCCTTCACGTTTCTCCTTAACACCAATAAATTACCCAGCGCGTCGGATTCCAGCCACGATTCCTCGTCCACGTGGCTTATCGCAGTAGTCCAAACAGACTCATAATGTCTTCCAATCTCTTTTAACTTCGCGCCTTCGCCGTCAGCAGGTGGGACATATTTGACTAGAGTCATGGATTTTGTCAAATCCGCGACTGCGATGACGTCCCCCTCAATGGCTAGATCAACAGGGTAGGTGGATGGCCGGTAGGAAGTGATTCTCCTCATTATGGCAGAAGTTGAGGTTGTTTCGATGTACGTGTATAGAGCAACTGCTTTTGCCAGAGCCGCAACAATCATGCCGTTCATGACTCCCAGGCATCTGCAGGCGCCTTTCAGTTTTCGGCTACTAACCAGATAAGGGGACCTCTCGCTATCCACCCCGAGGATCAAAATTCGCCCTCTGATTTCATCCTGCGATCCGTTCTGGGCATCATCGACATAGCTGGTTCCGACCAAGAATCTCTCCACCGGGTTTCCCCATGAATCCAAAAACTCGGCACGAATCACAGTTTCAACCATTTCAATCCTTGGCGATGTATCCAGGAGAAACTCTTCTCCGAGCTGCTTGAATATCACCTCGTCCACGAGTTTAAATGAACTCGTTACGATTTCTTCGTTGTTCTTAACTTCTCTCTTAAAACAGCCCAATCCAAAGGCCCGCTCGCTGAGAGAATATGCTACCCGCCGAATCGTTTCGCCCATGGGAAGGGTCTGCACGTGGGTTCGACGTTCTGTGTCTATCGCGCATATCTTGACCTCCTTCTCGGTTGCAACCACAATAGAATCCGGAAAGGCCTCACTATCGAACGGACAAACACATGATGCATCGTCAGCCGTTACAGCTGAGTAGACTATTCTGTTCTCGCCCGCATAAATTAAGCTAGGGTGCTCGCTCATCGCGAACACGTTAAAGAGTTTGTCTGAGCGAGGAAGCAATCCTAGTTGAGCCTGTCGTGTTCCCAAAACAACACTCTTCCGCCCGGATAGAGAAAAGTCCGATTTGGAGACATTAAAGCTGACAACGAAGCCATCTTCCATGCCCACGAATAATGTAGGTCCGCTAAGATCTCGAGGGAGAACTTGGGCAAGCGCGAGAGTTCGAGGAATGGAGGCATTGTTGTCTTTTCGTCGTAGGCTTTCTCCATGGATAGACTGCAGGGTTTTGACATCAATGATGGAAATGCTGCCCGACTTCCAAAATCCAACCACGCCTATATGAGGGAATTCCGGAGGCGAATGAAGGCATGCGACCTGATCATTCTCTTCCAGGTCATTATACCCGACACGGGCCAGATCCTGTTGTATTTTTATCGAAAGAAGAATTTTTCCATCAACAGAGATGAGAACCCATTGATCGTTGGCTGATGCGTTAGTGATTTGTCCTTGAGCGGGCTTCCATGTTGATACAACAATGCCACTTTCCGTGTCGATGAGTAATGCACTAGTTGTAGTAACTTGAAGAAGTCGGCCGTTTGGTAGACTCCGGGCCAAAAGTGTCTGCTCGTTGAATATCATCCCAGAAAACGCCTCGACCTCTTCCACTTCGCCGCTGGGAGAAAACGTGAATATCCTAGTTTCGGTCAAGAATGAGACAACCAAATTATCAGTCTTGGAGGCTCCGTGCGATTGAAGTGAAAATAACGCCCGAACATTGTCCATGTCAGCGAGGACTCCAATATCTTCCAAGCCAACACCACTCCGCACGCTGCGTAAACTTCCATCTTTGTAGACACCACTACCGGTAACCAGTCGTGCCTGGCCTGAAGAGTATTCATTGGTGGTTTGGGCCTCCCCATCACGATTGCCCATATCCATTATATTCAGATCCAATATTGGTGCAATGCTATCAAGAGTTTGAACCAAATGCAGTGATTTCGTCTCAAGGTCAACCTGAAAAAGTTGCGAATCGCCATAATGCGACCCGACGAATAGGGTGTTGCTTCCCATGTACACGAGACGATTAGCTCGCGAGGTTGTTCCAATCTTACTCATTTGTAGCCCAGTCACCACAGCACCGTCGAGGAGAATCTCGAGCAGCCACATAGTTCCGTAATCGTCCCCAATGAAGTAGTGAGAGACATCATACTCAGCCCACGCTACAAACACGGAAGATTGCTCTAACCCCTCTTCTACTTTGGTCTTGGCGGCATCGTCGTAGTACAGCAGTCGTGTCTCACCGACGACAATCAAACCACCTAGTTGAGCTCGGGCGGTGGAAGCGTTTCGTATTATATAGCGCTTCTGATCTTCCTCGCCTTTGCCAACCGGTATCAGCAGAGAAGCACCAGGGTCTTCAATATGCATACGGTCGACCTGATCTCTAATCTCAAACCGGGAGACCTCTGTGTTCTTATCGTCAACGGTCAGCCGGTAGGTAACGAGCTGTGAGTCGGGGATATCATTTCGGGATTGGTAGAGGAAAGCGATCTTGGGGTGACCGGTTTCGACATGGAGGAAGGTTGCGGATTTGATGTAGAGTTCCGAGACTCGTACTTGATCCATCCAATGTAGATTTTGTCTCTTGCTCTTTACGGTGTGCATGCGCAGCACGTTGATAACACCCTCCCAAAGAAGGACCACCATGAACCGTCCAGTGGGGTCCACCACACACATATCCTGGCTCTGAGCATCTCGCATGTGCTTCTCGTGGATATCGAAGAAGGAATCCTTCGTCTCAAGCTTCTTGTCTGTAGAACTCCACCCAAATGTGAAATAATGGAATCTATCGGTTCCAACAAAGACCAACTGTGTATCGGCATCTCGAGGCTGTAACTTTTGTAATATTGTGATCGTGCCATGAATGACCTTGCTGTCGGTTTGCACCAAGGCACCGGATTCCTGAAGTTTCCATATCTCTAGGCGATTCGACTTTCTATTCACAATGGTCAGTCAGCCTTTACCTTGTCTATAGTTCCGTAGTTCTGCATTTTGCATTTTGCAGTTTGGTAGTACGTACGCAACAATCAAGCATTCATCTTCATTAGGGAACAAGTTGACGCGCAGAGCATGCCGAACACTGTTGGGCCGGTGGATGGGCGCTACGTAAGCCATCTGGTAAGCTTCACATACTTTGCAGAAGTACGAGGCTCGCAAGTTGTGAATTTAAAATGTGACAATGTGACAATTGGTGCATGGAATGGACGGAGCTTTGAAGTTCAAGGTTCAAGGTGCGATGATGCAAAAGGACGGAGTTAAGGGCACCCACCGCGGGGATTAGTGATAAACGATAAAATACAATGAATTGTACCCACTAGCGTAGGTCCTTAGGGAGCATGGGTAGTAACTATTAACGTTGATACCTAGTACCTACTACTAGTAGTAGATAAGAGTGGTGACGGGCATGTAGGTATTAAACTCTATCTGGCATACCTGCCCAGCTGGCCCCAGCATCTACGTTGACGCTAATGATTAGCATCAGGTACCCGCACTGCACTGTAGCAGTGTAACACTTATCAATTGTAGGTATTCATAAGGCTGTACGGAGTACACTGTGCTTTATTCCAATTTCCAAACCACGTACATACAAGTACAAGTAAACCCCATTAGAAATAATGATATCACGAGAGAATACATAAATTCATTAGATTAGCAGTGACACACGCCCTCACTCGTCGTCCAGTAAATAATCAATCGGCTGGTGATCTCTGGAGTCCCAAAACCAAAAGGGATCATTTGTCTTGTAGTTGAATCATCCACAGTCGCTGCTTAGCACCAATGAAGAGTTCCCTATTCTCGCCAAAGCATAATGTCGTACAGCCTCCTGCTTGGACATTAGTAGTCATCTGGTAGAGATGCTTGCTTGCTCGGGTATATTGTATGATGATGTATAAATATACTGGTAAGTAAATAATGAACCAACTTACCGGGAACCTCGATTACCCCTAGCGCCACACCTCCTGGACTCCATACTTCAACGCCGTCACCACACGCGGCGTATACGATTCCAAGGTCATCGCACATTACTGCCCTTGGAACGCCTTCCTTCGCAAAAGCGAACGTGCGCCTGTTCGTCAGGAACTGGGACCCGAATCTTCGTGTGACGTCGAAGGCATAGATGGTTGCAGCGCTATAGATGCATTAGCAGTCGCAAATCTCCCCAGAAATGCATGGTAAATATCAGAGGTACGCTACGCACCGTGTACGGTCCGTAGTGCCATCGGGACGTGCCGCGTCAATATCAGTAATGTACAAAGTATCGTTGTTCGGGCTTATGGCAATTCCTGCGGGCTTTTTGAACCCATCGGCAACGACACGCAAATCGTTAGTCTTGGGGTCGAACCGATAGACTTGATTTGGCAATTGCGGCTTAGGCCTGATTGATCGCTCGAACCCCATATCGCTGTCTGTGAACCATAAACCACCGTCTAGATCCTCGATCACATTTTGGATCGAGTTGAAGGGAGTTCCAAAGTAGCCGTATAGAATGGAGGTAGGAGGTCTTCCTAAACGCATATAGGAGAGTCCGCCAAGTTCCGGGCAAAGGTTGCCCTGTGAACAATATAGAATGCCACTCTTATACCGGCATGCGCCAGCTGGCATAACCATATTTTCTGGTGATCGTAGTTTCAGCCAGTCAACCGCAGTGATGGAATCGTCAGGAGCACGATGGAGGATTACTCTGGATATCAAGATCACCGGCAACTGGGAGCTGTTGCTAGGCTGCAGTGGGTCTGACATGATATACAGCTGGTCTCCATCCGAAACCCACACACATCCATTCTGAAAGAATGGATTCATCGACGTGTCTTCCGAGGAAAGCAATAGTGAGTGGCGTGGCGTTGTGCCGACGACCTTGCCGAAGTCCGAATGATATTGCTTTACAGCCAGGATTTTTGCAGTAGGGTCTAGTTTACTTTCACAAATATCTTAGCACGTTCGAAATGACTCGTCATCGAAAGTGGTGACCAACGGACAAACACCAGATCCCGAGCGAAAGTCTACAATCTTTGATAGCTTGTTAGAGCAGGCAGTGTTCAAACACACATCGAGGACTCACTTGGATAGGTGCATCAAGTAGGTGAAGGCCTGTCTCCTTCGTAGAAGTCATCTTGTTGGGTATTCTACCAAATACTCAAATGCCACCCAAGTGATACGAGTTTGACCCTTTAACGATGAACATACATAAAAGAGAATGGTACCCTCTATAATTATAAAGTGCTTTAAGTGCTTTAATACACTATGCATGTTAGCGTGGTCTAGACGACCAATAGTAACACGCGAAAGCAGGTGCTTCTTATATTATATAACATCAGGCTACAGTATATGTATGTATACTTACAAGCTATTATGTCAATACTACATAGTGTACATATGAACTTCGCATGAGTATAGATGCATAAATGTTTAGATCAGGGGCTTAGAGGTCATGGTAGACATTTTATGCCTGGCAGTCAGTTTCCTGAATACCTATCGCTAGTTTTAGGTGGGATGTTTTATGGGAGACATTCAATGGCAAGAAAGATCCTATCATTGCTTGTAGTAGAGTAGTAGACATAATGTACCTGGTAATGTCGGGTATAATACAATGCGTAGACTTGTAAAGGAATGATCCAGGCTTGGGGTAGATGGTATAATAGGGCCTGAAATGAAAAGGCCTCAGCTTAGTATCTGAAGTCCCAACCATACAGACCTCTGAATGTATACATATGCATATAGAACAGATGGAGTACGGGCCCTGATATAGAGTTATCTATTCACTTCACGGGACGCCAGCGATCGGCTTGTCAAGATAAATAGAAGGCTGCTGAAGCCTAGAGTTTGAGTAGTATTATGAGATAATATATTCAGAGGTAGTGAGGAATTTCTTAGCATATCCCCTGTCGAGTCAGGTCGGAATGCACTTTGTTCATCTGCAGACACCAGGTCTGAAGGAACTATCACATACAGCGTTCCCAAAAGTAGTGGAGGAGAGTCATGGGTAATTTTCATTGCCTCGTCGTAGGTTGGCTATTTCTCATTGTGACCGTATCTATTTTGTCTACTCGGCCAATATCTCAGGCCGAATTTGATATATAAACACATTTAATGCTTCGACTTTTTCTCGTCCTCGTCGGCCTGCTTCAAGAAGTTCCTGCGACTTGTTAGCATTCACTTCGTTGCGGGGAGATCTAAAGGCTTGCGCACTGGATGAAGTCGGACTCGTCGGGGCTCGATGCGTTGATGGGTGGGGCTTGGGTGGTCTTCTTGCTTGGGCCCTTGAGACCTAGGTAGGCGCCACCGAATATGGCACTGAGGACACCCATTGCAAGCTAGAGAATGGAGGTCAACACACATTCCAGGTTCAGCCGGCACAAAGGCAGATATATTCATTGGGGCCACCCACGTAGTGAGAGCCGACCTGACGGCCGAAAACCGTGTACATAGCAACCATCTTGGCGGTATTGGCGAATTGACCTCAAACGAATGAGTTTGGGGATATGCGATTGACGATATAGACGATAGTAAATGGTCGCAAAGGGAATTGACGCTGGTGCTAGAACAATGCTCAGTGCTCAGAATTAAAAGCTGAGAGCTTTCCGAGATGAAATCCCCAATAACCAATCTAGCTTGACAAAGTTAATCATTGTGGATCTTGAGGCACATTCTTTAATTCGTTGATTCTGTGTTAACTACAGTACTGTAAAACCGAGGTTTGTCCGTCGGCAACAAGTACGTACCTATTACTACTAGGTACTAGGTACTGTATTGTACCTAGTAGGAATGCCGGTTAGCGACGTCACTTCATTGAATCCAGTCGCAAACTTTGGCATGCAGATGCAGTAAGATAAGATCTTTAAACCCGCCAAGCCCCGCTTGTCCGGATACCTACCTATGTATTACTGGCACCTACGGGTTTACCATTTACAACCTGTTGCTTAATTTCTTATTTCATTCATTTCTAGTACGTAAATTCTATCATTTAATTTCAAGATGTGGTGGGACAAAGGCCCAGATAAAAAACCCGAAGCCTCGAAAGACAAGCCCTCGGGAACACCCGACGCAACCAAGATCGACCCGAGTCGCGATGCCACCCAGTTCGACCCCGACAAACTTCCTGCCCGGCGCGAACTGCCCAAGACTTTACAGAGTATCGTGGACAAGTCGGACAGAGATGAGAACTTCTTCGATGAACTGGTAGACGGGTAGTATGTTAAACCTCCTAATTAGGTACAAATTTTGGGTCACGTTGCTAATGGACCACTATGCGACAGCGCTGCCGACTCTACCGAATCCAATGTCCGATATGCCGCCTACGCCAACAGGTTGCGCACGATTATGCTCTCGGCCCACCGATATGTGGCATACACCTCAGACATAGGAGAGTCATTCAGGCCTGTCGCGCATCCATGGATAGTACGGGGTGCATACGGTGTTTCGTGGGCCTATATTCTCGGCGATCTGTCGTACGAAGGCTACAAGGCGTACTGGAGCAACCAGAGAATCCTAAACCCGCAAATAGTCCTATCGGAAAAGCAACAGAAACTTACCGGGCTATCGACGGTCGCGCCCCCAAATGCCGAGCCCGGCGTTGTGTCTCCCCTGGAAGACTACAGAACGGTGATGGTACAGCGAGGTATCTTCCAGAGTCTTGCCTCGATGGGACTTCCCGCCTTCACGATCCACAGCGTAGTCAAATACTCCGGAAAGGCCATGAAGGACGTCAAGAACAAGACGCTGAGAGTGTGGGGTCCCATAGGGCTTGGCCTTTCCGTCGTTCCGTTCCTACCGATGCTATTTGACGAACCCGTTGAAAACGCAGTGGAGTGGATGTTCCACACGGGCTTCGCGCTATACGGAGGCAAGGAATACATCGGCAACTCTCCGTCTACAGGGCGAGAAGCAGCTTTGAAACAGAGACCTGGAACGCAAGCCAAGGAGAAGGAATTGTAAAATTATTAAAACAGGAGACGTATAAAGGAATGCTTTAGATTTTATCGTGGTGTGGAGAGACATGGACCACCTCCCCTTTTAATCAAGAGTCGCACACCTCACCTCGCTACAAAGCGCACGGTGTATTAAATCAAAAGAAAAAGAAGAAAAAAAGTGAAGTATTTATGGTCTGAACCGTATAAATTGTACATACGCACGCAGTTCATTTCTATATCGAAATAACTGACCACGCATCAACTCCCGATCCATCTGTTGGATCTCTACAGAGATATTATCTCCGCTTCGCAATGCAAATGCCATCTATATAACGCCTTTCAATATGCAGTCCCTTCGTAGCTCGTAACGTCCCCATTCTTACAGTTCGATCAAATCGGGTGGTGGCCCAATGCCTCGCAGCAGTACTATAGTATTGCCGCTCACCAGCGCCGTGCCGACCTTTTCGTTGAATTCCAAGACCCTTCCGCCTTCCACGTGGAATACACGGAGCTTGTCCCTCTCTTGCGAAGACTGATTATTGATGTTCTCGACCTGCAAGCTCTTCGCGGCCGCGTCCAGCACCCGACCAATAACCCAGTCCTTCGAGTAGAAAAACTCGCCCTTGTAGTTCTTGGCTGTCGTGGTTTCGGTTTCCGCTTCCACGTATAGGTATACTCGCTTCTCTGGCGGTAGCTTCGCGTCCCCCTTGGCAGTCTTCTTCAGGTTGTTGACGGCGACGAGGCGCGCGGACGCGGACGTGGGTTTCGGCTTGGGCAGCGCCCGCCCGGCTGACTCTTTCTTAGCGGCGCCCCACGCCTTCAGCTTTGCGAATGCGGACTTCGTTTGCTCGGCGACGTCGAACTGCGCCACGCGCGCCCCGATCGGCACCTTGTTCTTGCAATCGTGCTCCTCTTTTAGTCGGTGCTTGAGGCAGTAGTCGCGGTTGCAGCTGGGGCAGTGGACGCCGGGGACCAGCGACGTGCCGACGACGGTCTTGCAGTCGGCGGCAGCGCAGGGCTTCTCCGAGATGAAGTCGCGCATGCGCTTCCCCTCGCCGGCGGAGTGTGTCGCTTGCTGGGCTTTTCGGCGGCGCTCGGCCCAGGCGCCGGCGTTGGCGCATTTGTGGGAGGTCTCGCTGCGGTGGTCGAGGCAGAAGGTCTTCTTGCAGCTCTGGCAGAAGAAGGGGAGGAAATCGAGTTGGTTGCAGTATTCGAGTTGGCAATGCTTGCCGATGAGTGTCGCGTCGGCGCCCTTGTCCATTTCGACGTAGCTCGTGTCTGGAGCTTCGGCTGTTGATGAGGACGCCATAGTTGCTGTGGTAGGTATGCGTCGACAGATTTTTATAGTATTGCTCAATGCAAAGGAAGTAAAGAAGGTCACAAGGAAAAGCAATAGGCAGGTGGGAGACTCGTAAGCCCCGTCGGGATGGCGAGGCTGATGATTAAGATGTTAAGGAATAGTCTGGAAGACGCTGGTAGGCGGAGCTTAGGGGTTGCTGAAAGCCGATGAGTGGGGCTTCAGACGTAACTGCGGCTGAATCAGGTGCACGTAATATTGATAGGATCCACTCACTAATCCTAATTCAGAGGGCTTAATTGAATTTAAGAAGTAAGGATACCTTAGGTAGTCACGGGGTTTCGCGTTATCAATGACGACAGGCAGTCTTACATTCAATGTTCCTACTATGTATGTACATATGTCATTGATGCCAGGTGCAGCATGTATACGGTACTATGTACTCACTATGTACTTTTTAAACTACTAGGTACATAGGGATCATGGCGTTTTGCTTAACATTCGACATCTAAAACTTGGGACGGTGCATACTGGTCATTCATTCTATTCGTTACTTACTTAATGTTACTACAACTATCATAATGCCTCCGTACGTACCGCGCAAACGATTGCGCACCCCATCACCACTTGACAATGGCAGAACAACGACTAAGTCAAGCACGAGCAAGGGCAATGAGAAAGGAAAGGAAAAAGGCAAAGGTAAAGGAATAGTTACCCCGGTAGCATCTTTGCCCTCTCGCAAGGCTACCTTGTTTGAGGATCTAGACTCCGACTTTAAAAGAGGTTCGGCTGAGAAGACGAAATTCGCTATACAACAAATGCAACAAGATGGCGACGACAGCGATGATAGTTCTCTGAGTTCGCTTTCGGATGCTGATTTTGAAGATGTACCAGCTGCCAAGCGGCAGAAAGTGTCTCATGATTCAGATGAATCTGACGAAGAAGACTTTGAGTTTGAGGATGTTCCCCCTCACGAACTTCAGCATCAGCCGGACCCGGAAATCGAGGGTGATCTTGAGTTGACGTTGTACCAAAATCATGGAGTTTCATTGGCCAGTGAATTGGGAAAGAAAGGACCCTCGAAGAAGGAGAAGGCTGTTCGAATCTCCATCCATTGCATGCATGTCCAGCTTTTACTCTGGCACAATGCAGTCCGGAATTCTTGGCTATGTGATCAGGAGGTCCAGGCTATCATGATCTCGCACCTGCCACCCCGACTATGGGAAGAGGTAGATCGCTGGAGACGAAACAGCGGCTTAGATGTCCCCGAGGAGGCCCCAAAGAAGCCCGCGAGGTCCGCAAGGGGTAAATCGGTAGCAAAAGGCAAGGGAAAGCAACGTGCCTCAGGGCCGACCAACAAGGATTGGGGCGATGCAGCCGACCGACTCGAAAAGGGGATCCCTGACATGAGCCACGGCGATCCTTTGCTTAGGCTTATGAAAAGTCTCACGTCATGGTGGAAACAAAGATTCCGAGTTACTGCTCCTGGGCTTCGCAAATGGGGGTACATGAACATCAGGAGGCTAGGCAAATTACGGTCGAGTTTTGAAACAGAAGATCATGACCCAGAGCGTTTCGGAGAACGAATCAACAATCTGGAGGAGTTTAGACAACGCGCCCAAGATTGTACTGGGAGCCGTGACGTGGGATCCCACCTCTTCACTGCGTTATTACGCGGTCTTGGGTTAGAAGCGCGAATGGTAGCCAATCTCCAGCCACTCGGCTTTGGTTGGAGCAAAATAGAGGAGGCGGAAGACGAAAACAACCATCAAACAGCACAAATAGATACCAAGAAATCCATTCAATCTACTTCGAAAAAGGCGAATAAGAAAATTACAGTCAAACCAGCAACCCGTCGGGCGAAGAAGAATGATAACGACTCCCTAAAGATGGACTTAGATGAATCTGATGAATATGCAGAGCCTCGAACAGATGAGAGCAATGATGATGATTCATCAGTAATCGATGTCACAGATACAGTTCGCCCAAAGCGAGCAGAAGCGAAAGCTTATGACAAGGACCTTGAATTTCCTCACTATTGGACCGAGGTTCTATCACCAATTACGAAAAAATACCTGCCAGTAGACCCAATCGTCAAATCGGTCATAGCCAGCAGTAGAGATCTCATCGAATCCTTGGAGCCACGAGGTGGTAAGGCTGACAAGGCAAAGCAAGTGATGGCTTACTGCGTGGGTTTCTCCGAAGATGGCACAGCTAAAGACATAACTGTGCGTTATCTCAAAAAGAATATCTTCCCCGGCAAAACAAAAGGGTTCAGGATGCCCGTCGAGAAAATACCAGTTTACAATAAGCATGGGAAAATAAAAAGATACGACCAATTCAATTGGATCAAGTCGGTTATGAGAGGATATATTCGAGGCGATAAAAAGCATCCTATCACGGAAGTGGACGAGGTCGAGGATACTACCGATCTCAAACCAGCAGTTCCAGAGAAGAAAGAAGTCAAGGCTGGGGAAGAAACACTTCAATACTATAAGACCTCAAAGGAGTATGTCCTTGAACGTCACCTCAAGCGCGAAGAAGCCTTACTTCCTGAGGCCGTTCCTGTAAGGACGTTTCGGAACAAGGGCAAAGGTTCCAAAGTCGAGGAAGAGAACGTATATCTACGGAAGGACGTTGTGGCGGTAAAGAGCGCAGAGACATGGCATAAGCAGGGCCGCGCTCCAGTAAAAGGGGTTCAACCTCTCAAGCACGCCCCTTATCGAGCGGCGACAACTAATCGACGGAGAGAGATTGCCGAGGCCGAAGCAGCAACGGGTCAAAAGGTTATGCAACCACTGTACAGTCTCGAGCAAACGGATTGGATTATTCCTCCTCCTATTGAAAACGGGATCATCCCGAAGAACGAATATGGGTAAGTCGGCATCAGCTCATAAAGAGATGTTAAAAGCTAATACAAATGTAGCAACATCGATATGTTCGCAGAACACATGTGCCCGGAAGGTGAGTTACGTTACTGTTATACCTCAACCCCTATTCTGTTCTAATTGGCAATAATGCAGGTGCTATCCACGTCCCATATCGTGGTGTTGTCCGGGTATGCAAACGACTTGAGATCGATTACGCAGAGGCTGTTGTCGGGTTCGAGTTTGGCCATCGAATGGCTGTTCCCGTCATTCAAGGTGTTGTTATCGCCGAAGAAAACTACGAGCATGTAATGGAGGAGCTCGAGAAGGACGAAGCTGAACGAGCAAGGAAGGAAAATGAAAAACGACGCAAAGAGGTATTCACCATGTGGCGCAAATTTCTGATGGGTCTGCGGATTGCAGACAGATTCAAACAAGACTATGCGCACCTCGACGATTCGGCCAAGGATTTTGGTCATAATGATGGTGTCGATGAAGATTTCGATGCCATGCGTGAGAGAGATGAAGACATGGCCGGTGGGTTCCTACCTGAAGGATACGAGGAGGAGGAAGTGGTTGAACCAAGCAAGAACTCTCACCAATCTTCAAAATTCCTTGAAGACGAGGATTTAGATGATGAGAATGACCCCTTCGAAGTCGAGTACGGCGAACAAGAAGAGGTTAGCCTACCTGCTACCGAGAAGTCCCCTGCACCTGAAGCTCTGGCAAAGGCAGTGCCCAAGAAAGCAGCACCGAAGCCGAAAGCCAAACCAAGGCAGTCTACGCGAAGACGAACTCGAAGAACACAAGTTGTATCTTCTGATGAGGAGAGTGGTAATGGTAATGGTGATGATTTTATACCTTCTGATAGCAACTGATAGTAACTAATTCAGCATCATTGATGTGTCCCCTCCCCCTTTCTTTTGCCCCTTAATTTGATGGTAGCATTCGCGACCTCGATGTGTTTAAAAGATTGCTTATCTCTGTAGTCTAAGGCCAGAAACTTAACGTTCATATTGACAAGCTTTAGGTGGCTTTAGGGGTAGATATGGCTTCTTCATTTGAACTATTATTTGTTGGGCTACATACCCTAAACTCAGCTGTATCTCCTTCCTGTAGTAAACTCGCCAGTGTTCATCAAATACGGGCATGGTATAAACTATGTATCGTCGAAGACAGATGCGAAGAGCTAAACTCTCTTAACTATTTCCTGTCTCGATGAAGTAACCCTGGGAGCCATAAGTTCAACTGGCAATCGAGAGTCACCTTCGTCAATATAACTTATGCTCATCCTGGAAATATGTTTTGGATTTCACCGGCCCAATAATTCGGTACTTTACTGCTGGAAAGTCCATACTATTTGAGACTTGCAACAAAGTGTCAACAACAGGTTCATCTTACTACCTGAGCTTCCAAAACAGGTTGCAGCTTCTACTATGTGGATATCCCCGTTTTCATTCATCGTGTATTATTTACCTGGATGTGTGGAAAGAAAATCTGGCTCGGACGCGGTAGTTACGATTTGATCGTGGGGAAGTGGAGTAACGCGAAATGCATCTATTTAATCTCCACCACATAACGTCGAACATATATGTATGTACGATGCACGTATAATTCGACGATTCCACGGTCATTTACATTACATCTGAGAGCCACTTCTTAGCCATCGCTTAACCATTCTTATGAAGATCAATTTAGACGATCGTGGAGTTTAATCAGATGCTACACTATGATAAATTCCTAGATATGATTAGTGAGGCATTATATCGCTTCTTATGCAGAACATCGCTCTTACAGTGATGCCTTTATCTCAGTAGTAGCTCGTTGACGTGTTTTTTTTTTTCATCTCGCGTCTTCTCAATGTCAATAGTGTTCCTGATTCAGGTTTAAACATAGTCCTAGGGCATGAGATTCGCGCTTAGTCTATTATGGTAAGTATATCGTGTTAACCCAGACGGCTAAGTCTGTAAGAAGATCTAGCTAGCAAGGAAGTTCTCAACCAAGTCTTGATATATCTTGATATGCCTTGCCAATCATAGAAACAATACAGTTTCACCTATATAGGCTTCAGCGTATCCGAAGCCCCGGATGGCGTAGCGCAAGGGAAAATCATACCACGAGGGCTATGTATTATGTGCTGCTGCGCACGCAAAGTACGAAGTACGTAGTATGCAAGATCTGGCCATTGGCCAACCCCGCCGACAAGCATTTATACCTCCCGCATAAAGAGTAAAGAGCACATGCTACCGTGACTAGCGTGACGAGGAGCGTATCCAATCAAGCTGTATAACGGCCTTGGAGCTTCCAAAGGATTTTCTGATCTTACTGATAAAGCGTTCGGTCTAGCCATTCGAATCAATTGATCAGAGCTGGCCTTGCCAATGATGGTTAAAACTTCCCCTCTCTTGGCTCATCGTCGTGGGCCCCACCCCATAATAAGACGCAAGCCGCAGCCGCAGTGTGTCCCTGATGATACGAATGCTGATTGCATCATCTTAGAGGGAACCGGCGCCGCAGATATTCGGGCCTGGCCGCCGCGTTCGGAACATACGGACTAAACAATGTATTATTCATTATAAAGATGCCGTAGACAAAACTTGAGGCTTAAGCATAAAAAGTGTATATCATATGCATTCGTTCTGTCAGTTTGGAAGAGCTACCAAGCAGGATTTATTCCCCGATGATCTAAGATCCTTTTACAGGGACTCGTTTCAGACGTCGTGCCAGTCGGCGCTGCGATCAGGTGAGTTCGGTTGCCTGTATGTATGTGAACTGAGGTCCGATTACGACAGGCCAATCGGCGATGGAAGACCAGGACCTGACATCAGTAGCCTACCTCGACCCAGGCGCTACTGGGCTAGGAGGAGGGGAGAATGGGCAAAGAAAAAGTCGATCGTGTCGCCTCTGGCTCGATACACAAGTAGTTAGCTGCAAGCAAGCAAGCAAGCAAGCAAAGGTTGTACAGGCTTTCGAAAATGCAACACCGGATATCCGAGCTCCCCTCCTCCAAGTTTCCCAAGCTGTCAAGCTACCAAGCTCCCCCCTGCCAACTTGCGACTCTAGCAGAGCTTCTTGCAGCTTAGCCGCATAACCGCTCTCGTGATATCGTGATGAACAAGGGGGGATGTTTACTGTAACACGCGGAGAATCGCGATTTTTGGTTGTTTACTTTCTGTATCTATCAGTTACATTTATTACTTGCTTCAACAACCCCTCTTTCTGCCAATATGACTCCTGAGTCCTTACCTTCTTCTAGCTCTCCCAAGCTTCCCAAGCTGCTATCGTTCCCAGCTCCCACTTCCCAACTCCGCATCTCGGCAACCCGCTTACGGAGAACTTACGGAGACCAATTTTTGTTAATTTTTTTTTACCCTTGTTCGACATCAAACAATCCCGTGTAGGCAAGTCATCTGAATCACACGCAACTATTTGAATCACTGTCGCACTGAGCCAATGGAAGGGCGCCGTTGGATAAATGGCATCATGTATTGGTTCCCTTTAGAAATAGCCGCTTACGTTTGGAGGGCTTCCAAAGAAATCGCTAGTGGCTTTGCGGCGTCCTAATGGTTTTCCCCAGGGATTACCGAGTCTGGATGTTGAGGTGCGATTTTGCTTTTTCCTTGTTCTTTGCGATAGTTAATACTTTGCGATCATACATGATACATAGTATAGCTGATAGTAACTATAGCTGATAATAGCTGATAGTATAGCTGGAGTTCGATCGATAGGCGCCCTGAGCTCGGCAATAGTTAACGCGGGATAAAATTGATGAAAAGCTTCACCCGTAGTTAATCCCATTGGTGCTTTAACGGGACCTCTCCCTTTCGTTGCCCAGTCGCTTGTGACTCGCCTTTTTTTCATGCAGGTCATCCTAGGCGGTCAAGCACCCACCACAACCCCCCACCTGAATAGTGACAATATGTAAACAATCAACAATCCCAGCTTTTTTTTATATTTTTATTTTCAGATCTGTTTTGCAGCGATGAAAACCCAACTTCTTGTCTCCAAGCGTGCGCACGCATGCATGCATGATATCGCTCTGGGGAAGGAAGATTCATCGACCTGAGTTGCATTTGATATGAAGGAAACCATGTAAATATAGTAAATACTACCTATGACGAAGGTCGGTTCTGTTGCGTATTCATTTGGTAGTAAAGAGATCTGAGCACTTGCATAGCAACGTGCAAATGACGTCGGCCATAAGCTAGAACCTGGAGAATCAGGGCTTTCCATGTACAGTTCAAGATAGTCCACATACTATTGACTTGAATTGACACTTGACCCCCTCCCTCTCTACCCGTCCCTTTGTCAAACGTGTCGCTTAACGGGCTTCCGTTAGACAGAAATCCGGATTAGTTATCAGTTGAGCAAAACCGGCCTATGGTTTGAGGGAGGAAGGGTTTTGGAAACTTGTTGGAGCCATTGCTTCAATTTATTACCTTCTGATGATACATCAAGTCTTGGAACCAAAACCGCCGTTGTTGACAAGGGAAATGCTGGGTGACTTGAGGTTTCATTGCCTCGACTTACTATGTAACTGTGTAGTCAGGGGTTGATTACTTCGTACCCGTATGGAAGAAGAAGAAGAAGAAGAACAAGAAAAAGAAAGAAAAGTAATGACTCGTAAAAGGACATCGAGGCTCAAGTAGAAAAGCCATCGTGAGAGGCTTGTAGAGGGCTAAGGCTACGCAAGTACCTAAGGTTAACCTAGTCCCTCCACATCGTCGTGTGTACAGTATGTAGGTTTGCTCGCTCGCTCGCTTGCGCAAGCGTCGGTGAGGTTCAATTTTTCCTTCTTGAAATTTGATAGATGGGGCTGGCGCTTGTCAACTCCAATCATGGTAGGACACGCCGCTGATTCCGGGATTGATGATGAATGTCATTTCGATATTTCGAGCCTGAAAGGGGGGACACTACCAGGTACATATAGGTAACAGGAGGATTCATCCGCGGCACTGTATGGGCAACGTCTACTTTTATCGGCGCGGACCGGCTGGGAAGAGTTTGTCTAGGTTGCTTTTTGGTGGCATTTCCTCTGCCTCAAATCTCAACAAGTCCCAACGCCTAGGAACAAACAAAGGCCCATCCATGCCTATATCAGTTACGGGGGGTGGTGCTTATTTCTGCACCACAGCAACCGCAGATTACCACCTGGGAACGAAGTAGTAGGGCGAGAGAATCCTTCAGCGCACTGTACCCCATGAGGCCCTAGCACCCCGTCCAAGACGCCGACACCACACCACATATGCTTGCAGCAACTTGCAGCTTTTGCACATGCTTGTACGCTAGGTTAGAGAGTACGACATTAAATATTCACTATATTCGACGCAAATACCCGTCCAAGATGGGTCCCAATTTGTCACGATGGCTTGTTTCTTCGAGGACCAATATCGTCTGGGGTAAGCAAATTGTGCTGTTATAAGTTTAACTACTGTTGGTTAATAGTGGAAACTCTGGAGAGTCGGGTCCAACTACCGGTGAAAAGCCGTCGTGGCCGACGATGCTAGGGTAGGTAATAGGTAATATGTAGTACGCCTGAAGATTTTAGCCCTGTGAGCTATGTACAAATCTGCCCACTTCAAGTTCCTTGTCGTTAACTCGTTGTGGGATACCAGGTACTACCATTGTATGCTGTTGAAACAAAAACTCATCGGTATTTATTAGTAACTTGATCGTATTCTTTAAACTCCCCTACCTTTTTTTTTTTTTTTTTTACCAGGGATTTAACTATCTCGCAATCGCGATTAGACTGAAACATTTGCCAAATAATAAGACATGAATACACGTGGGGGTGAGTCAAGCAATCTAGGCCAAGACGAACCATTCCCTTCACTCGGCCATTCGTTCTAGACAAGCATAGCTATGTTATCATTCACAGCGCGCTTGGAAGACTGAAGCAACAAGATTGCACCAAGAAAGGTACTGTTACTACTGTAACTGTAGGTTATTTACATACATATGTAGGCATTGACGTAGGTAAGGTAACTAGACAAGGTGACTCGCAGGAAGGCTGATTATATTAGACCATGATTGATAGGTAAACTTGACCGAACCTGGTAGACTTTCGAAACTTCCGGGTCGAATAAGTCGTCTCAGCCTTCCGGAACCTTGCACCTAATCGCACCGGGGCTGACGGACGACCAAACAGTGCACAGTGAACACGGATTAAAGGCGGGCCCCCTTTACCAGACAAGGCCACCCACCCACCCAGGCCACCCAGCAACTGGGTACCTGCTGGGCCAGGGCATTTCCTAAAACGGATGACGAACATGTTCCTCGGCGTTTTAATATGAGTTTGTAACAACGGATATGTATGCGATGTATCTGCAACTGCAAGATGATGCTAGATTGATTCATGCTACATATAATATGCGCAACAATCATTCAATGCCAACAAATAAATATACGATGTTTGGTAACTGACATGGTGGATGAGGGAGAGTTTAATAAAGTTGGCTTATCCTTGATATCATCGAATATCCATATGTTTATGATACATAGGAGAAGAATGGCGATGACGGCTCTCTACCTACGCCGTACTAGTACATAGTTAGTAGTTATTTAAGTAATTATATAAAATACCTACCTACCTACTAGTAGTAGTAGTAGTAGTACATATGTAGTTGCTGCCGAGGTTATGAATAGGAAGATACTGGGTAGGCAGGTAGGATTACTCCTAATTCCAGATTTGACCACTCACTTGGGTTGAATATTAATGATGTCTCTGATGATGGATGATCTGATTGCCCGAGAGGGAAGAAAGTGTCTCAGTCTGGTGACTCTGGTCAGTTAAGCTCGATCCGGCGAGTTGCAGTAGGATTTCTAGCCATGTATACATTGTATAGTACTAACATGTAGGTAGTATTGTAGGTATTGTACATATAGTGTATTCACTGTATTGGTGATATTGTACCATGTATCGCCAGCATACATACCTGAACCCTACTAGGTCCAAGAAGGCAATAAGCTTGCCTTGCTTTGCTTCTTTGAACACTGTAGAAAGGTACTACTAGTTAGGTACAATGTTCAGAAGCTTCAAAACTCTGAACTCAGCTCGTATAGGTACTGTACTGTACAACACACGTAGGGCAATCCAAGTTTTTCTTCTTCATGGTCCCAAAGTAAAGGTGTAGTAGATAGTGTATGTAGGTTATTAAATATAGATGGGTTAGGTACTAACTATGTAGGTATGTTAGGTATCGTGCATGGCACTACATGCCCTATAAAAAATATTAAAAAAAACCAAAAAAAAACCAAGGTGTGCACTAAAGAAATACAGGTGTACACCGCTTTGGCTTCCAAAAAGTTACTGAGTATGATGTAACCAACATGCAGGTTTCCCGCTATAAGGCGCTACAAATGCACTACAATGCACTACAATGCAACTGCAAGAGTACTGCTTAGCGCAATATTAGAGCCCCGCTGTCCCACCTAACCCACCAATCTCACCTGGGTCCCTAGCTATTCTGGCGGCTTGGCAACTGATACAGTGAGGGACCACGCTAGAATTTGTGGTAGCTGGTACTAGCTGCCCTTTTCAGCTGCAAGGCAACCTGGCCAACCAGCTGCACCCACCTGCAATTGCCCTGACGACGGGTAGCTAGTGGACACTCAATAGGCCTGTTCAGTGCTTGGATTGGACAACGTTTGCTTAGCACGGGCAAGCACAGGCAGGTACAGGCAGGTACAGGCTCTGTTACCTCTCGCAACGGTGGTGGTGCTATCGACTTTGTTAATAAACTTTTGTCACTCAAGTCACTTCAGTGCTTATTGTAACTGTTTTCGTAACCTTTTTGTAACGGGGTCACTCCACACACTTTGACTTCTGCCGCAGAACAAAAAGCTTCAAAACCCCTTCACACTTTCTTGATTTCTCTCTTTCTTCCTTACAGCACGCCGACCTCTGCCCCTCGACATCCCTTCTAACCTTCTAACCACATACAGGTGCCGCTTCCTTGGACCATCAGGGCCCTTCATCAACAACACTACAACGTCTTTTCAGAGGTAAGACGTCGTCGTGCAAAAACATAATCCAAGTGTCCCATATTGTGTGGTGTTACCTACTCGACTGGTGAAGCTTTCCAGTCTGTAGTGGCGGATAGATCCGACGATCATTCAACGACACCAACAGTACATAATTGGCCTTCGCATGTTCCTAAGGAAAGCGGTACATCTCTCCCAACGTACATATCTACTACCTAAGCATATTCAATTGAATTCCTACAACCCTCCATGCTTGCTTTGTAGAATCCTTACGATTCTATCCGACCTTCCTTCCTGAACTGGGTACACAGCTCTAGCTTGTCCATAGCTTCTTCTTCACAAGGTACGTACGAACACAGAAGCACGCAGACGCAAGTCAAATGTGAATGCAAATGCACACATACCTAAGCTCAATTCAAGCTGGAGGAAAGTCAATTCCTCCAAAATGCTTTTTTTTGGTTTGGTTTTAACCTACAATCACTACCTTCCATTATTTTACTTATGCTGGGAGAACTGGGAACTGGGAACTGGGAACTGAGTACTAAATAAAAATTGGAACGTCTAGTGCCTTTGCTTGCTGTAAATACTTAGATCTAGCATCTACGTCGAAGTCGACTAATACCAGTCACTCTCTTCAACCCCGCGACCAAAACGATAACCCAACACGAACATCGAATTAATACGCCTATCTCTCTACCCACCCACTCATCATCCAATCCCTTAGCACTGCTATACTTGCGCCTGCATTTACTTGAACGATTAACGAAGAAAGGACCTTATAAGTACATACATGAAGTTGGTTTCCGGAACACAGGACAATCCTTTTTTAAACAAGAGCTTGGAAAACATTCATTAAACGTGACGTTATCCTACAATTCTTGAAATACCCATTTGGTTGTATTTACAAGTCGGCGCCAAGGAGTAGGGTTATTATCATACATCCTCTCAGATTTGTCATTTCTAGTGAACATGCAGTCGTCATCGCCATTGGCTGCTATGCGCCCTGCCCCAACTCCATCTTGGGGACAGTCATCTCACCAGTACATGTCTTCGCGAAACCCTTTTGGGTCGGGTAACTTTGATATTCGAGACCATATACAGCGGGCCAAGCCAGACTACTTCAGCCTGAAGACTATTCGCGGCTCTTCTCCAGCTGCGAGTCTTGCCGCTGATCTGTCGCAGAACTTCCGAATCGACAACGAAGAAAGGTATGTTACCAAAGTAGAATAATGGGAGCTGAGACTGCTTGCTAACATGATTAACCAGCCCGCGTTTCCCAACGCCCCGCCGGGCTCTCTTTACATCTAACATGATGGATTCCATGCAGAATCGTGGTATGTTCGTGACACTGTGAAGCGAAATACATGAGCACTGATACTGTAATAGGATATGTAACGACACCGCCTATGCCCGCGACGTCTTCGCCTGCGCCTATGGGCGACGCCATGGATATTTCTCCGTTACCCCAGAAACAACAATTCCTCAGCGCATTTGAGGCCCATGCGGCTACTCCCCTAGGATCGCCCGGAGACGATTTTGGTGACGATGTCATGATGGAGTCTCCCATCGTAATGGCGCGTCAGTCTTCTACGGGGCTTGAACCAGCTAAGACAATTTTTGAGTAAGTCTTCTACCCCAATTCCATTTGGTACTGGGAATCTTGGGGAGTTAATAAACTGGAGTAGTAGCCGCAAGCGAGGAGGTATGCGCCGGCCGTCTTTATCACGAGCAAAGGGTCACTCTACTACTGCCCTCTTATCCACTCGATTGCATGCAGAAAATCAGGTGTCAACATTCCATTTTGGACCGACGTCTGGGGCAATGTCGCCTGGTGATTGCTTCGATGATTCCCCCTCGCAGGACAAACGCCCGCAGACGGCAAATAGTCCCACGCCGAGCAATTCCGGCTCTGTACGGCCGAAGCTTCAGTTTGCAAGCCTCACTGGAACTCGAGATATCCGCACCGGCTCTGGTTCTCCACTGCCTAGTCATGTTCGCCGTCTTTCGAACCCGTTCGCCCGCCCTCGGCGCCAATACCGCCGATCCCTGAGCATGTTCGACAACGCGGACGATGTCGTGAAGGCTAGTGGCGAGGACGATATGCCTCACCATGTGTTACAATCCGTGATGGATGTAGAAGAATCACAGGACCCTGTCTTGCCTCACTTTTTTCCTGATGGTGAAAATGACAATATCCCCCGAATCTCGAAGGACACCTTTCTCGATGTGCTGGACGGTAAATTCAACGAATTGTATACTCAGAAAATGGTGATCGATTGCCGGTTTGAATATGAGTATGAAGGTGGTCATATTATGACCGCCGTCAACCATAATGATAAGGAGCTTCTTTCCAAGCAACTCTTCGAGAACCCCATGGAAGGCCGAACGCTATTGATTTTCCACTGCGAGTATTCTGCTTGTCGCGCGCCCATGATGGCTCGCCACATTCGCGCATCGGATCGTATGTTCAACGCGGAGTGTTACCCAAGATTGACCTATCCAGAAGTATATATTCTGGATGGCGGATATAGCGAATTTTTTACCGAACATCGTGATCGATGCCATCCTCAAGCCTATGTTGAGATGGGTGCTCAAGAGCATGCTAACACTTGTGAGCGCGAGTTGGGAAAGCTCCAACAGAAGCGCAAAGGATTAGGTCGAGCCAAGACTTTTGCTTTTGGACATCGGGATTCTATGGTTGATGCTTCCCCTACTGCACCTATGAGACGCCATGAACATGAATCGCCCATAATGATGATCGGAAACTCCCCCATCTTGGGAAATAATCGGTCGCCTGCTCGCCGCATGGCTTCCTACTAAACATTCAACCGTCCTCCAAGGACTCTCACACTCGGAGATGACCATCTCCATCTAACACCAACTATCATACTACTTACTCTATTTCCTTCACACTCCCATATTAGGGCTACTACGTTCTTTGCCGTTTCCTTTTTTTGGCCCCGCCGGCCATGTTCACTATACCCATACTATTGCTTCTTTTCACTTCAGCATTAGACAGGCATTTGCATACCATACCGGTTGATTACATTGCTCCTTGCTTTGTTGGATCGGGCATCTCATTTGCTGCACTGGTTCTGCTAACATTCTCACTGTTTTACAAAAGCATGGCGTTGGGACGGGGAGTTTTTGTTTTGCGGACTCTCTCACTTGTTTCTTTTCTACCTCTGCTTCTTAGATGAACCGGACTTGCCCTATTGCGGCAAGCAAGGAAGCTCAAGCTTTCGGTCCTCTCGACGCTGAGACATCCCAATTCGGCACTCTCGTGCTTTGGGCCGTCGATTTACGAATACTACTTGCTTACGAGACCAACTACACCTTTTCTACGAGTTCGACACTCTCGTGGCTATTCGAGAAGTGCTACGCCTGATACGATCGTGATCTATTACGATCCGAAAAAACCATCACTACGAAATTTTCTTAATATGTTTTACGCACACCACATTGTCCCTACTCGGACTCCACATTAATCTCTTATCAAATGAGGGAATGACGATGTTTGCATTCCGATGAAAGGGGCCGACACGTGTCATGGATGGGATGCGATGAGGATGAAGTGGAATAAAGTTTGGCGAAGAATGAAGCGTCGCATAGCAGACGTTGAAGAAGACCAGATTGAATGCAGATATTGAGGGATTTGCTGTGGGACTAGGTTCCAAGCTGTTGTTGCTTGCCAGGCATCAAGAGGATGACCTGGGAAGTATTGACTAATGGGGCTGTTATGTTTCTTGCACAACTGTAAACCCTCCTCGCACTATTGTTGTGGGCACTGGACTCATTTAGTTGATTATCCCGTTGCTCATATGTACATTAGTTCTCTTTTCTGTCACTTCGGGCATACGGCCGTCTGGTTTTGCGAACGCATACATGTATTTGCGCTCTAGAGGAGGATGGATGGCATGATACCCACCAGAGTACTCTAGGCTAGGTTAGCTATGTGATAATGTAGCTACTTAGTAAAATGAAGTGCAATTCACAAATGCCTCGGAAGTCTTATTTGAGTGCCTGTATGCTAGTGACATGGGGAAAGTCTGTATTATGCTCGCTATGTTACTTATAGTGTAAACAGTCGAGGAATCCGCGCCTACATATTATGGGAGGATGGACTAGTAAGTTTTTGTACGATCTCGATCTTGTCCGTCATTCCAAACAGAAGCCTCCAGCTCAAAAGACGACGGTTCGGTGTTAATTAGATTAATTAGACCTTTCTAATGTTTCCAACGTCATTCCTTAACATGTCTAAATATAGGGGAGTTATGGCAACTATGTTACAACATTGAACTTCTACCTCTACCTAGTACCTACATTGTATGTGGTATAGGAGGTAGGAAGGACTACGTGCTAATTGCTAACCTACCCTGAATAACTTCATTCTTGAAGATTGACTTTTACTTACATCTAACATAGTAACTATTGTAACTATGTAACTTGTAAGTCAGAGAGCTAAGAGTGGGAGTGGACCCGGTGTAACGGCGCCGGCTGTACCCGCAAACTCTTTTCGCCACAGCTTTTTAAGCTTCCGCCAGCCAATGAGAGGCTCTCCAGAATCCCCTTATGGCAAGTCAGGCAAGCACGGGCGGTCAATTGAGTTTTGAAACTTTGGGCAACTACCTAGTTACATGGTACAATACAAAAACTAAGGTACCGTTGGTAGTGAGGTATTCTTTTACACTTTACACTTTCAAGTACTACCTAACTACATAACTACTAGTTACCCCCGTTGGCCGACGAACCTGACGAACCCTCGGGTTCTGGGCTAACAGAAAACGTTCGTTGGTTAGGTATGTGCGCTATGGATATGGTTCGGTTCGGTGTGGTTTTGGTTTGGTTTTACGGCGAACAGCATGCGAAAATATGCGAACTGGTGGGTGAAGTGGATGTTGCGAGGTACTTGTCGGTACATACCTAACTAAGTGGGCTCGCGATATAGGTGCCTAGTAGGTAGGTAGGTGCGCATGTGCATACATAAATACATACATACGCATGCCTGCATGATGCAGATTTTTTTCTTTTCTGGGTACATCTATACCTATTTACCAACTACATGTAACAAACCCCAGTGCTATGTATGCTTGAAGGTTGGTTCTATCCTCGTGGCAAAAGGTTAGTTACAGAGTTTGAGGCTCAAGGTTTTGTGGCAGGTACTGTAGGCCCCGGGGCTTGGCGCGGCTCCGGAACATTTTGTGGGCGGGAGTGACGACTTCGTTTATGCGGATTATGGTGAAAGTCGTTCTAAATGTGGAGGTTTAGTTGTAGTTTGATTTTATATTCAGCAACATTGAACTCTTATGTATTGATAGTGAGGTGACTGTAGGAAACCCCCCAGAAGAAACGAATTTTCAATGTTTGCCCAAGGCGCCAATTCATCTCCTTGTACTTCCGTATCTCTTCTACCCAGAACAACCTCAAATGGGAAAGGCGATTCTAGTACTAGGATATTCTACCTAGCAAAATCGCGACTGCCTCTTTCAATACTACATAGTCTACTTCTGCACTTGCATTTTCGTACATACAATGCAGATGCCAGCTGGATGGACAAGGGATAGTGAGGATGACTGGATTGAGCTGATGCTTAACATATAACGCAACTTCCTCAACGCGCATCATACTAGTCTAGCAGGAGCTCAAGGTAGGCACGACATTAAATGTGCACGAGGATGAACATGTGTGCAATGGACGAATAAAGGCCTGCTACGAACATTTTGAGCCGCACTTACCCCCCTGACCCTAACAAACTACCTGTGCTGTCTTTTGAGGGGCAACAAGCACGAATAAGGCAAGGCGCCAACTTTATCATAAGGCTGCAGAGGAACTTCCCCCCTTTTTGCGGCTCTTTAGGAGAGGATGAAAGATCGTGCCTGCTACCTATATATCATTATGGAATCTGGGGATTGCCCCATATTGTGACTACTAGGTACTGTGTACAGTCCCAGATGTGCAGGTCACAGGCTGGGGAAAGAACGAAGACAATATGCTATTTCGTACTTTCAAGAACTACCAAGTATATATCCACATTCATGGAAGCTTAAAGGATACTTCCTCAACCCCTTTCTACTTGCTTGCCTTATTCCTGATCATGGTCACGATATTCTCCTGAGCAACTCATCGCCTACCTTCCTTTCTCATATATTTATTAGCGACTATTACTTACACATTCGGCGTCTCTCTTTAATGGTTGTCCAACTTATAACTAAGTTGTGCAACCTTATTTGATTTCCATTTCATATTTCCTATATCTGTCTCCTGTCTCTTACAAGCGCATTTGCTTTCATGAGATCTACCTCCCTACACCCCCTGATATCTGCTGTCCAGACATTCGTTACCATATAGGCAGCTTATTTTCACGACTCTCATTTGCCTGTGTTAACAGACAGACGCTCATTCGTATACTACACTACAGATTTTCAACTCTCTCAGCGTTCATTCACATCTCCTGCCACCTGCTCACACGTGGTATCCCGTCATATTAAACAGTTACCCTGCGCCCAACCCCTTGCCACCTTCAAGCACAGCGACTATACCTAACGATAAAAGATGCCCGGCCTCCCCAGATATTCAGACCTGGAGTCGCATTGTGTGTGTGAGAGTTGTTCTTATGGACTCACGCAAGAATGCATATTCAAGCAAGTGGCCTTTGACCATTCACAGGTAGTCGCGTCGCTGTAAGCACCCTCTTTTCTTTTTTTCAATGAAGCACTGAGTAAAAAGTTAACAAGGAATCATCAGCTTGGCAATCGGGGGCCATGAAATGCTTCAAATCGGCTACGGCGTAGACGCGCAGCCCAACTACGTCACAGTGCACGCGAGCCTGCTGTGCTACTGGTCGGCGACGATCCGACGCACCGTCTACCAGCAAGACAAGCCCATCGTGACGCTGTGGATCGACTTCTACGAGAACCGGGACCGGTCGATCGTGATCTGGCGCAACATCGTCCAGTGGTGCTACACGGGCACGCTACAAGACGGTTGGAACCACAGCGACGCGACGATGGGCCGCAAGGACGAGATCGAGGTGCTGTGGAACGCCGCCGTCAGCCTCGAGATGTACGAGCTCGCCAACCACTGCATGCGCCTCGTCTTCCTCAAGTACACCTGGGGCGTCGCCGCCCGCGCCGACCCCGCCGCCAAGTGCGGCCCCCGCGACTGCCCCGTCGAGGCCACGGGCCCCTACCAGGTCTTTCGGAACAACTCCAAGGGCGTCAACCTGCACCGCCTGCTCTGGTTCATGGAGGACTTCCTGTTCGCCCGCGGCCCGCTGACGGAGAAGGCGAGCCAGAAGGCGAGCAGGGAGACCGTCCAGAGCTGGGAGCACCTCATGAAGTACGACGAGAGCTTCCGCGACTGGATCAACAACTTCGGCGGCAAGGCGCACGACCGCCAGCTAGCGGTTCTGCCCACGCACTTTAACCAGTGGCGCCGGTACCTGTTTCCCGCGTCGCTCATGTATCCGCCGGACCTGTCCGTCTGGGTCACCGAGCACAACTACCGCGTTCAGAAGCAGGGGGAGGCGATAGAGTTGGTGGGACGATGGTATGATGGAGAGGGCATCGCCGGGGTAGGGGAGTGGCTGTTCCACCAGCCGCATGAGTTCGTTCTAGGAATATGAGGTTATATGCACAGGCACCTGGGCGTGATATCGCTCCGGGGTGGGAACTGGTATGAGGCAGACTAGGGAAGGGAGGGAAGGGAGGGAGGGAAGGGAGCGCCATATGCCGGCATATGATGCATTTGCGATGCTTTTTTATTAGCCAAGTTACTTTGTCTTTCTACTACTACTACTACTACTGCGTTGATTTATTCACGAATGCATACAATGATTTCATATCACCAAGCCCCTTTTATAAGTCCTACCTAGTAACCCCTTCGGTGCTGCCCACGTCCTTATGAAACCTGATACTTGCTCTGGATTAACACGATTGCTCTTTTGGTGGAAGTAGGTACCTAGATATAGACGGGAGGTAATTACGTACTAACCTAATAAATTACTTCTCTTGAAATGGCTTCATATACCTCTTCTAACTAATCAAAGGTCTGAGAGAAAGGGAAAGGGGAATTCGCCTGTCTAGGTGAGAGTTGTCGATGTGGGTGTGGATTCATGCTGTGCTGAGTGGTAAGTAAGTTGGCTTTTGGAGTGTGGTCAGGAACGTAGAGCCAAACGGCGATCGAATCTACATTTTTTCCAACAGGGCTAGGGTTATTCGACACATTTCCCATGACTCAAGACCCCGAGGGGTTATAGGACTACGAGTAGTAATATTCACCTCACAAATAGGGGCTTAGAAGGTGATGACTGGTCATAGTAATTTGCTTGCTTGCTCGCGAGTCTTGGCTAGATATCATGGCTCTGATGATGATGGAATTACGTCTATGACCCCGTCTCGTCCTAATCCGAGAGCTTCCGCCATGCCGGTAGTTTGTTGTACAAGTACAAACCTAGGTAGCCTTCATCCTCGCTCATCAACGAGCAAGGCTTGCCCAAAGGTGTCATAATTGTTTCCCCACCCCTCCACCTTGACCGTTTATTTTTACTTTTCTGTTTTATTCCTGCATCTTGTTCTCCTCTTCCTCCTCATCGTCGTCTTCGGAGATGGCCTTCTTCGCTAACCGCTCAGCCTCCTCGACTAGCTCCTTGGGCACCTCTTGGTGACGGCCCTTGGTGGGGCCGTCAGCGGTGCTGATCCAGCTCATCTCGAGCTCGAACTCCTTGTCTTTGTTGTCCTGCTGTGCGACGTAGATGATGCGCGCGGCCTCCTTGACGGCCTTCTTCAGGTCTAGCGTACCTTCGGCCAAGTTTAGCTTTTCGAGCTCTGCCTTGGCCGCTTGCCGGCCTTTGCCCGTTGCCGCTCCGTAGTACCCCCAGTACATGCCACTAGGCTCGATCATGTACAGGCCCGGACCACCATGCGTCTTGCCTTCCACTTTGCCTCCCGCTCCGATAGTTGGGCCCGATCCGACTTGGCCGTCCACGGGTAACTCGAGCTCCGAGTCGAAACCGCCTATGATAGCGGTGATGCCGAAGGGGCGGACGGATTGATACAGGGTGTAGGCTTGTAGGTATCCGCCCATGCGACTTGCCAGGTCGGACGTTGAAATGGGCGTCTTGAAAGTGTCACGCCAGGCGCGGGCCTCGTCTCGAGCTCGGTCGACAAAGTGGTTACCATCGGGTACCATACCGGAGTAAACCTAGGGAGATGGACCAGTTAGGCTAGTAATTATTGCGGCTGACGGAAAGGGAAAGGGAAAGGGAAGGAATAGATAATATTGGAGAGGGGGAAGAAAGGCGGCATACCACTCCCAGATGTCTGTCAATGGTCGCGATTCGCTTGTTGGCACCGGGCTTTAGCAGCTTCGAGGTGACAACCTTCTCAACTGCTAGAACCACGCCGTCCTTGCATCGGATACCGATGGAGGTCCCACCGTTCTCTACCGCCTTGACTGCATATTCGACTTGAAAATTTCGTCCATCGGGAGAGAAAATAGAGTTGGCGAGATCGTAGCCGGTTCCTATCGACGTCTATATTCATTTTCGTGTGAGCCTTGGATGAGATATGACATAATGTAATACCAATTTTTGGAAAATGAGGGAGCTTACCATGGTGAATTATATGTGCCGGCAACAATAGAAATGTGTGATGTGAGGTTTTGTGTGGGTTTGGACGGGAATGGTGGGTAAAGTTGAGCTCGGCGGGATATTTGGTGATGTTTGAAGTCGGGAGCTTCAACGTTCCAGATTAGAAACCTCACACAGTAAAGTAAAGTTAAGCAGGCAACCTGAAGCTGCGCGTTGCCAGTTGGAGCTTGTGCATCGAGCTTTAGTGGTGGAAGCCCCACCTGATTAGATTAGGTTAGGTTAGGCTAGGCTAGGCCACTGTGGCTGGGAAGTCACGGCACCAGCCACATAACTATGTTATTTAAGTTACTATGGCTGACCATGACACGCTTCAACGCTTCAACCCCAACATCATTTCAAGTTGATTAACCTAAAACATTCAACTTGAACATGCATTCCTAGAGAAAATAATAAAAATGGAAGCAACAACAACTTTTATTATACTCCGGGAAGCCTTGTTCGGATCGTCATCTCATACAACTCTATAAGTCTCTAACCTTGATATCTAGGCACTTATGTTTTCCCTTGCTGATAAGGTGGCTAATTATATCCTAGCTACGAAGTACTCACATATATTTAACTAGTTAGTGCTTATAAACCCGTGGTCTTTAGAAAGTACAGTACATGAACATGCTCTGACATGCTTATCACTGGCACAGATGGAGCTGATTTGACTCAGGCACAAAGTCAGCTCCACGCCCCATAGAGACCCTGACAGTATACTGACCCTACGAACTACATACATTGACTCCGGTTTCATGCTGGATCGTTTCTTGCCCAAGGTCCTCTGGTCTGGCGGATTTCTTTCTTCTTAAAATAGGTAACTATAGATAATGGATTATTCAGCTATAATTAGACATCGACACAAGTCTCAAAAGAGGTCCTTACAAAGGCAATGCTTATTCCCGTAAGTGCTTGAAAGACCCAGTAACTACTTTCGAACCGATTTAACTTGGATCACAAACAAAAGACAGATACTCGAGCACACGATCTTACTAAAAATTGCTCGGGTTAAAATGAGCAGATCCTGCACGACTTGGACTGATTTCATGGCCTGGCATTTCTCAAAGTCCAGCCATGACAGCGGAGATGAGCTTTTCGTTTCCGTGAGAACAGACCGCTACCAGCACTTGAAGATATGAGGTGGATATGAGGTAGTTATTGCCAACATTCCTACCTATATATCTAATATATCCCCGTTAGTTCACTATAGGATGTGATGTGGATACTGTAGCAAACTTCAAGGCCTGTAACCTGGGGTAAATTATCCGAACCAACATGCAAATTTCGAGGTGTCATTCCTAACTAGGTATTCCATCTAATGTGGATTATGTAGCAAACTTTTTTTCGAAGCAATGTCACGCCAATAGTCGTGGGTTCAAAGGCAACAGAATATCCCAAAAACAAAGGTTCGCATTGCCTCTTTCGTTGGGATACGGGGAAGACCGCCTAATCTTTGTTCTCCCTTTTCGTAGGCACATACAAGATTAGATCCGTTTTCGGTAAATCTACAGTACCAACACACGCTGCAAGGCAAATCGCTTAACTGAATCATGAATGAACGGTTGTATAGGTGATAAAGAATGTGGCAAGCAGTGGCACGTGCCATACCACCAACTCGGGAAATGGACTTTGAACAACATGCTCACTGATCTACACCTCCATGCCTATGTGCCTCCCCTGAGTGGCGTGATATGAAGAAAAGATCCGATAGCTTGACCGCCCTAGACGCTTGGATCTCTTTGTCCTGGTTACCGAGCCCAAAGAGTTCATGGATACGGCTTCCCCTAGACCCCGAGTTGGTAACTAACTGTCGAGGGACAATGCAAACTCATTTCCTCCAGATAGACCTTTCTCTGTAAGCCATGTATATAAACACTCCCTCTTCGGCCTATACCTGAGGCCGAAGGTAACGTAGGAACACGCACGCACTGCCAAGTTCTTTGTCGAAGTGGTTCTTCTCAGATCTAGTCAAGTGATCAATTTGGATATATCGTCTATCCGTAGTCGTGAAGAGGTGAGTTATTACTCCTATTAGCACTCCTTGGATTATCCTGATGTTGATAGCAGAATAAGTCAAGCCGAAAATGGGTTCTATCGAAGTAACCGGTCCGGAGGCAACTCATGTCGAGGAGTTGGACGCCCTAGTCATCGGCGGAGGTTTCAGCGGCGTGTATCAGCTCAAGAAGCTTCGTGAGGAAGGCTACAAGGTCAAATTGGTGGAAGCCGGTTCTGGATATGGAGGCATCTGGTACTGGAACAGGTACCCGGGTGCTCGTGTCGACAGCCACGCCCCTCACTACCAGTTCTCGGACCCCAACCTCTGGAAGAACTGGCACTGGAAGCAAAGATACCCTGACCACAACGAGCTACGGGCGTATTTCGAATTCGTGGGTGAGAAGTGGGACCTGAAGAAGGATACCTACTTCGAAACCTACGTGACGTCTGCCACGTGGGACGAGAAGCAGTACAAGTGGATCATCAAGACCAAGGACGGCCGCACATTCAAGTCCAAGTTCTTCTTGCCGCATACCGGAATTGCTGCTAGTCGATCGTTCCCTGACTGGAAAGGAATCGGCACGTTCAAGGGTCTCATGGTTCACTCTTCGTACTGGCCCCACGAGCAGCCGGACCTGAAGGGGAAGAAGATTGCCGTCGTAGGCACTGGCTCCACCGGCGTCCAGCTATCTCAGACCGTTGCCGACATAGCTGGCGAGCTCGTCGTCTTCCAGCGCACGCCTGCCCTACCCTTGCACATGAGGCAAGTCAACTACGGCCCGGGCGAGCAGCCCAAGCCGCAGTCGGCGCTGGGAGACTTCTTCCAGACCTGCTTCAAGGGGCGCTGGGGCTTCGACTTTGACTTCGTGCCGAAGCAGACCTTCGAGGACAACGAGGCGCAGCGCCGGGCCGTGTACGAGACCCTCTGGGAGGCGGGCGACTTCACCTACTGGCTCGGCTCGTACACGGACATGCTGCTGAGCGAGGAGGCCAACAACGAGGCCTACAAGTTCTGGCGCGAGAAGACGCGCGCGCGCATCAACGACCCCCGCGTCAAGGAGCTGCTGGCGCCCGAGAAGCCGCCGTACCCCTTCGGCTCGAAGCGCGTGCCGCTTGAGGTGTCGTACATTGATATGTTCAACAGACCTAATGTGCACCTTGTGGATGTCAATGAGACTCCTGTGGTGGAGGTGACGGAGGGCGGGATTCGAACGACGGAGAAGCTGTGGGATTTCGACGTGATCAGTAAGATATTCTCTTTGTCCGGGTGTATTTTAATGAAGCTTACTAACCCTGAATCTCTACAGTCCTCGCTACAGGTTTCGACGCCGTCACCGGAGGGTTGACGACGATCGACATCCGCGGAATCGATGGCCAGAGCTTGAAGACCAAGTTCGACAAGCGTGGGCCAACTACGTACTGCGGCATCACCGTCGCCGGCTTCCCCAACATGTTCTTCTCGTCCGGGCCCCAGGCGCCGACTGCCTTCTGCAACGGACCCACGTGCTCCGAGCTGCAGGGCGACTGGATCGCCAACACCATGAACCACATCCGCGATGCGAAGCTGAGCAGCATCGTGGCTGACGAGAAGAGCGAGAACGAGTGGATTGACCATGTGGAAGCCGTGGCTAGTATGACGCTCGTGCCCAAGGGCAGATCCGTAAGTGACTTATCTCCATTCCTCTCTTATGACTGGAGAAAACAAGAAGGGGGAGTATCAGTTAGCTAACAGTGCCGGCTTCGACAGTGGTATATGGGTGACAACATCCCAGGCAAGCAAAGACGATCCCAGATGTACTTGGGAGGCGTGCCAAACTATACCGCGAAGCTTAAGGATTGCACAGAGAACGGGTACAAGGGTTTCCACTTTGAAGGCTTGAAGGTATGATTGACGACTATTGCGTTGGGATCAGATCAAGAAAGTAAGAGCCGGTGGCACCCCTGTGCCTGACCACGCTGGTCTTCTTGCTATTTTTATTGTGGCTAGTTTCAATTCTATAGATCTATATAGTTGAGCTAAATCTCTACATCTCTTATCGCGGCGCTCATCGAATTGATGCATTTAACTCGCTGATCGTGCGTACGTGTTTTGAATTCGTTGTCTTCAAATTAGTGGTGAGATCGGCCTTGGGGGTAACCGGAGTGTGTTAGATATTACGTTTGGGGAATTCATGGATGATATCAGCTAAGAGTGACATGTTCCAATAGAATCTTTGCCGCGGCACAGGCCATTGAGCCCCGAGAAGTCTCGTGTTTTGTAGGTCGAGCATGTTTTATCCGAAGGATCATGAGCGTAAAGTCTGTTCAGCACCCAGGAAACAGTCGTATTCGTGACTCCGTCTGCAAGTTGTAGCCAGTGTTGATTCGTGACATCGGTGCTATTCACCCATGCATTGGAGCCATCAGTCGCCGACACTGTGTTATATCCATTCTTGTTCGCATACGCAAATAGTTTCTGACCGCAGAGCTCTTTGGACCCCTCGAGGCCTAATATCCCGTAAAGTGTGGTGACCGGATCCCACGACTCTCTGATTGTGCTACAGCGACCCACATACCACTGATATGCCGCAAGAACAGGCGAATCGGCAGGCGCAAGGTCTTTAAGTTGCTGGCCGGAGAAGATATCATCGCCCAGCTCGAAACCGGAATACGTGATAGGCACATCGCGCGGCCAGCTCTCGACGACTTGACGGGCCGACACAGGATCGGAGCCCCCAAAGTTGAACTCCCAGCCGGAGGGGTACTTGCCACCCATGACTACCAGCTCCTTTACCTTGGCGGACACGAGACTAGAGCCCGTGAGAGGTGATATATCATCAGCAGGGCTGTTCAATAGCTCGGCGAGATTAGTCAAGAAGCCAATTGAGATGATTGTGACATTTTTATCTTCTGACGAAGACAATATTGAGCGGTATAGCTCTACGGGGGTCGGTGTTGCCGACGAGTCGTTTAGTGATCGAGGCCAGTTGTAGGCTACCTTGGAGACATATTCACTCAGACTATATAATATGCACGATTAGAATATGGTGACTGATAATTAATAGAAACATCTGACTTACACATATTCTCGAGAGTCAAAGAAAGTCTCGTTGGTGAACGGACGGATGGCCGCAATCGGAACGTCCGCGTTGCCGAAGTAGGTGTTGATAGCACTCACGGCTAATGCGCCGTAACTCGAATGTGTGTTGATGGTAACTCCAAGGAGGTTTGCTAACCCGCAATTGTGCAACACATTCGCGACGGCCAATGACCCAACATCATCGACGTCGGAGAGGATGTCGGTATCGATTATGATTGGCTTCCCATGGCGCTTGGAGGAGTTGCTGTTGGAGGCGCTGATAGGTAGAAAAAGAGCGGATATTATGAGAAGAGCTTGGGTGATATACATGGTCAAAGTGCTAAACATATGACAAAGATTAATTCAGCCCTCTTGTACAAATAGTGTAAGTATTTACAATGGTGCAAAGAGTCACAATGATGTGAATGGTGTAAGTGTAGATAGCTATCTACCAGAACGGGAAGCTGAACTCAAATATCGGCAGACCCGACCCCGCTGACCGGACGGGCCGAAACCTTGACAATACCACACCTACCAAATTGAGTTTGGTAATCGGCTGGATAGGGGTTTATATCAATCCCGTTGTCCCGTTGTCCCGTTGTCCTGTAACTTATAATGTCTTTCTGAGGTTGTTGATAAAGCGTAAATATGGAAAAATCACCTTGAAATAGCTAACATACCCCACGAGTCTATGTTCGATGTTGACTCTCTCTGTGTGCTTGGTGTCGGATATCTCAAGCGCTTGGACTTTTATTTTTCGGTATGATCAAGCCTACCGAGGAAATACTCTAGGGTCAACACCATGGTTTACCACAGTTATCATGGCCTGGGGATGCCAACTTCACATTAATTCTCAACTAGAGAGGTTGCCTTAGGTTGGGAGGGAGAGGGGTATATGCTAATCCGTCCATGGCACGTAGTCCAATTTGGTCTCTCGCTAGATATATCTCTTGCTGCACATATATCCCCCTTAGGCCTCCAGGCGCGTAATTTGGTTATTAGCGCAAAGTAGACAATACATATATACCCGTGGACATGTACGCGTAGCATATCAACCCAGTCCGATACCCAGGCTGTTCCCTAGCAATGCCGTGCATCGCTCTAGTACGCGACATTATATAAGAATACTCTTGCGGAGCCGGTCGCTACATCGATATCCAGGTAATCTGTAGCAGTAAGGCTAATATAAGTAATATCGAGGTTGGATTCCCTAAAGGTACCTAGGTAAGTACTAGGTAAGATATCGTAAAGCGTCGCCAGGCATCGCATAGTATACCAAACACCACCCCAGTTTATAGATAAATACATTATGGAAGAGGGAGGGAAAGGGGGACTTGGGCTTGGGAATGGGGCATATTTGGTGATTTCTTTCCTGCCTAGTATATTGCAGTCAAGTGAGCAAGTATAATCTTTGATACCAGTGCCCTAATTAGGGCTGAGGCTTAGAAAGAGAAACGAACTTCGGACGCCAACCTACTACAGTCCTGCGTCACTACCACTAGCATATTTCCATGGTGGTTGATACCTGACTAAGGCTCAAAATGTAAATGGAATCATGCCTGGCAACAAGACAACAACAGAGGGGCTGGTGGTACTGGACACTGTCACTGTCACTTTGTTTACCTTATTTCCACAGTAGAATTTTGTTCCACCATCTTGACATCCATTCTTCTACTTGCAAAAATTATTATTCCACCTTTCCTACACCATAAAATCACACAATTGCTTGATTCAATCCTCCCTTTGCTGTGCCTATAAACACTTCATATTGACATTCACATTCATACTTTGCATTTATATTTTACATTAATATTTCACCTTGACACTCTACACTAATATCCTCCTCTAATACTTCATTCATCATTATTTCACACCATCACTTGCTAGCAGCACATAGCCCTGCCTATCTGCACTTCAGAGCAGCACCACAGCTGCCCTTCAAATCATTCGGTACATTACCAATACCAAATCATTACAAAATTGCTCGACCCTGGATCAATCATGCAGGGTATCACTCATCAACAGAAGTTGGACTTGCTCCGCGCATGCCGAGGTGGAGATGAGGACCAGTTCTTCACCCTGCTCTACGAAATGGCTGCTTTTCTGCGATGTTCCACCGGCGACATCCTCCCTCAGATCATTGATGGACTGGGACGAGGCATTGTCCATTATGCAGCCCAGGGATGGAGCCCCGCTGTCAAGAGTACGCAACCTGTTGTCCTTTCCATTTTGATCTGGGTATCGTTGCTGACTTATTGTATCTGCACAGAGATTATTATGCGCAGCATCGGCTGCTTTGAGCCATTCCAAACTGGAAAGCTGAAGCTCTTCCTCAACGGAAAGGACCGTCGCGGCAACACCCCGTTCCTGGAGGCCTGTGAGCGCGACGCCCACGAACTTGTCCGCATATTGCTGATCACCCGCACCCCGATCACCCAGAAGAACAACTTCTGCGAGACGGGCCTACATCTTGCTGTGCGCAAAGGTCACCTATTGACTATCAAGCTCCTGCTTGAACGTGGGGCTCTTCTAAACTCTCAAAACAACAACGGAGAGACCCCACTACATGTTGGTGTACGTGAGGGTATGATGTACCCTGTCGACGACCTCCTAGCCCACGGCGCATCGATCGGAATTTGCAACCACTAGAACCGGACAGCAATCGATCTTGCCATGGAGTGCAACGATTTCGAAATAGTAGCTCTTATCGAATACTATGAATGGCTTAGCTACCGAGCTGTCCTTGCCAGACAGTACGGAAATTGAATGGTAATGAGAATCATATTTAATGAAAAAAAAAAAAGAAGTTGGTATCATGGTTGGGGTTGCGTTTATATCAGGTATGTCTATCAGTTGTTGACAAAAAGGACAGGCAGCTAACGCTACTCTAGTATCTTGGTATCCCCTCTCGACGCTTAGCCCCTAATAACTTAATATGGGCCACAAGAGTAGGACCCCAAAGTTACACATACTTAGCACTTATATGTGCGAAGAGGCGGCAAATTGCCAAAGCCTTGAACAACAAAAACTGCTTAGCAGATTGATGGAAATGTTGTATACAGGATAGAGAGAGAGATTAATTGTGTTTGATGGTGTTTTGGGCTGAAGTATGTTTGTTTGGTTGATTGCTTGCAAGAAGGAAGAGGAAAAGACAAAAAGAAAAGGGGGCGGTGGACTTGAAGTTATATTTATTACTTTTCCTATTATTGTTTCCACTGTACTGATTCTTAATGTTAATGTTTATATGTTATTGTTACCAGTACTATGAAGATTCCACTGAAGGGATTCTATTGAAGGTGCGAAGTGAAGGGGTGGTTGGGTGATGTGTGCTGTGACGTGATCAGAATGTCAACTAGGCTTACGCGTGGCATTGAATTAGATTAATCCATTGCTTAACACATCTTCTACTTCAGGGAGTCAGGCGAAGCTACTATCACTTCTTTTAATACCTAGCCTAGGTAAGTAATAACTGCCTATAGTACGATTTAAACCCAATCAGATCATGGTTGCTCTCTGTAGAAGCCTCTATACCAGCGCCCTACCCATAGCATCGTATTCGCTAAGCTCTACCGCTGCTTTTATTCTTCCCATCATTGCTTTCCAGCTGCATTATCCTCAATTTTTAGATTTTTTAGTTCTTCTGATGGGGCCTTTGAAGCACTCCCTTGCAACCCAGCAAGCCCTAGTTTCTTCAACCGCTTCCTCTCCTTCTCCTTCTCTTTTGCCACCTTCTTAGCAGCAGCCTTCTCCATTTCGATTGCTTTCTGCTTCCGAAGTTCTTCCCCACCAAATGCTTCGCGCCATTCGTCGGCCTTTTCTGAGGGAATAATAGAGAAAAGAAGCTTGGCTTCCCCAAGGGTTTGGCCAGGTGGTATGATGTCAGTCTTCCATGTGTCTGGAATGTTGATATCCCTAGTGTGAGAGTCGCTAATGCCAAGTTGGGCGAGAATCTCAAAGGTTGTTCCTGGCATATACGGAAAAATGAGGTTTGCGAGAAGGTGTAGTTGATTGAGCGCCAAACCAACGACTGCTGCACAGCGATCCGGATCTTCAGATAGAAGCTGGTTGCTAAGCTTGTTGTCTTGCAGGAGCTTGTTACCCAAACCCGAAATGCTAGAGAGATAACTCCGCGTTAGACTCCCAAACTAAAGTACATGAAAGTTTGAGACTCATACCTGAGAACTGTTGAAAGGCCAGCCCGTAGCTTAGTGGCCTTGAGGTTTGAAATATAGGTCTGGAGAAGGGTGTTGACCTCTTCTTTGTACTGCTTCAGTAGATCGCCAGAGTCCTTGTAGGTACTATAGTCAGGTACAACGCCGTTCAACTTGGCATGGCAAAACTTGACAACACGATTGCAGAAGTTTCCGAGGTTCTTCAATAGGTCGTTGTTGTTGGCGTCGACAAATTCTCTGAATACGCCCAGCGATTAGCTTCAATGAAAGCTTGAAAGAGGCCGAATTGGCAAATACTTACCGCCAACTGAACTCCGAATCGCTAGTCTCCGGACGCCTCGACAGCAGATAGTATCTCCACACATCTACTGGAACGCCAGTATCTTTCGCACTGTTTCCGAACACGCCAACGCTTTTTGACTTGCTGAACTTGCCACCCTCGTAGTTTAGATACTCAGTAGTAGACAGTTTTGTGACTTGTGTCCATTTTTCTCTGGTGCCAAGCTGAGATCCTGGGAAGATAATACTGTGGAATCTATTATATACGGTTAGCCAATGCAATGCCATATTATGGAAAGTTGAATTGCATACGGAACATTGTCCTTGCCCATAAACTGATAAAGTGATACATTGTCGGGATTCTTCCACCACTGCTCCCAATTCTTGCCGGATAGGTCATCTCCATCGGTATAGCATTTGGTAATGGATGGATAACCAACTGTTCTGATTAGCATAAGGCTATTCAAGTTTAATGAATAGGCGGGTCTTGCTACATACTGCAGGCATCAAACCAAACGTAGAAGACTTTGTTTTGGTAGTCATCCTTGGACAAATCTGGAATATTCGTGGGAACTACGCCGAGCATAGAGTTAGCCGTTTTCCTCACGGTGAGAAGACGGTACACGTACCTGGTACACCCCACTTGAGATCTCTCGTGATGCTCCGCGGCTTGAGTCCGTCAGTGAGCCACGACTGAGTGATTGCAATCGCATTAGAGCTCCATTCCTTGCTGTTACTAGCAGTTTCGATCCAGGATTTGATCTCGGGTTGCAATGCATCTAGACGAAGATAAAGGTGCTTTGTTCTCCGTCGTTCTGGCGTTGTGCCGTCAAGTTTGCAACGAGGGTTTAACAACCAGCCTGTCGCTTTTCTATCTTCTCCGGATTCAGCCTTCGTGTCCTCGACAGGCTCTAAGGGGTCAAGAAGGTTTCCACAGGCATCGCACTATTTGAATCGAAAACATTGGCATTAGGCAAGAGACAAAAGTACGTCAAGGGAGGTATTCAAGAGCATACCTGATCTCCACGTGCACCCGGGGCATGACATAGACTGCACTCGCCCTCTACAAAGCGATCAGCCAAGAAGGATGAATGGGTAGGGCAGTAAGCCTGTTCAGTCTCTCGCTGCTCAATGAAGCCATTCTCCCAAAGCTTGGTAAACATGGCTTGGACAATTTCGGTGTGTTGTGGGGTTGGGGTTCGGCTGAAGATGTCGAATTCGATATTGAACCATGCGTATATTTCTCGATGAATGGCATTGTATTTTGCGCATAAGGTGGCAGGGTCTACGCCTTCGGCCAGAGCTTGGGTCTCGGTAGCAGTGCCATATTCATCTGTACCGCAGACAAATAGGGTTGGGATATCTCGGGCTCTGCAGAAACGAGCGAACACATCTGCAGACTATGGGACCAGTGAATTAGTTATGTAGAATTTCAACTTTCAGCCGACTCGAATCAACGTACAAGAACGCTACCAATGATATTTCCGAGATGAGGAACATTGTTTGCATAAGGGAGAGCACTAGTAATTAGGATATTCTGCTTGCCAGGCTGAGGGAGTAGCGGTGGTTTTGGTTGCGACTCGGCCATGGTTTCCGATCTGCAGCTGCAGCTCCAGAGCTAGTTTCGTTTTTTATACAGATTGTCTACTACGATTGCCTACTACGATCGCGTTGTTGTCTTGGAAGCTTTCAGAAGCTTTTAACGGGGATGATGATATGAGAGAATGGTGAATGGCGGGGGAGGGGCACTTTGAACTTTTTTTTGAGTCACAAAAATGACATAAGCAAGAATGCTTTACTAGGTAGTAACTAGTTAAATATGGCAGAAATTTAAAATAGGAACTTGAAGACGTTGAAATGCTACCGGAAGCGGAAGGCGGTAACTACTGGGTACTAGTAAGCATTTGAACGTTCAAAACGCTGAATTCTAAAGGCTCAATGTTTATATTTAAGTATCAGGTACCGTTATTGAAGCATCATATTACTATGTAGTAGTACCTAGTAATTTGCTACTACATAATAAAGTATGTACCTAAGTTTCAAGTTAATTACGAACTCAGGCTACTAATTATCTACATGTAGTAATTACCAAGTACATACTTAGGGTAGTACATGTAAACTTCAACGATCAATGGTCAATCTTCATATGTTAACCTTGAACATTGAAGTAATGCGACAAAGAAAAAGAAGAAGGAAAGAGAAGATTGAACCCCTATTAGAATTCCACGAAATTCACATTAGCTTAATCCCAAACAAGACTACCTAGGTACGCTGCTTGCGTCACAAATGCTTCATGGTCTTCATACTACTCTAGTACAGTAGGTATTCCTTGAGCAGCAGCCCAGCCCAGCCCAGCTACCCGCGACAAGATACTGTTCCTAGCGGGAACACCTCCAGCGCATCCTCATGACGAAAGAGTCGGCCTCACCGTCGCGAATCCAAATATCTTTACCCTTCAAGCCTCCACCATATAGACGTGGCAGTGGCCCTCCGCTGGCGCCTATTGGAATATTACCCGAGCATGACTCGGACGCGTTCATATTCGACAAGCGCGTCGTGTACGACAAAACCTCCAAAGGCGAACTAAAGATGCAGGTGTACTACGACATTGGATGGCCAGACCTACCAGCAGCACGCGCGTCTGTTGTTGCGACCAAAATACACGAGTATGTTTCGCCTCGAGCTTTGGAGGACTTCGAATACAAGGCGTCGCTCGAGAGAGACGAGGAGGCTGAAAGGGAGGAGGCAAGGAAAAAGCGCAAGCTAGAGATCGCAGCAGAGAAAAGAAGGCTGAAATACAGGGCTGCAACGAATGCGACGAATATGAGGAATACAACGAATGCAGTGAATTCTTCCTATACGCCAACAGTTTCGAGTAAAAAACGACGTGGTCGACCAAGCAAAGCAGAGCTACAGGCACGTCAACTTACGCAACAGGCCAAATTTGATAAATCCCAGAATATTGAGGCCATATTACCTCCCGCCAGTACCTCTGGCCTATCTTTATCCACACCACAAAAGAAGCCTACTAGAGAGATACCGACTGATATGGAGGAGGATGTTGAGGAGGCTGACGAATGTATGCCACCAGATGATGTCCCCGAGACTATCACTTCAGGCTCCAAAGTCAGGTCGTATGCCAGGACACTATGGCTCAACAAGGACTCGACACTATTTAGGCGTACTAACGGCAAGCTTGCCCTTAAGTCCTCTACGAGCTATGTTCCGATACCCAATGTCCTCCAATCTAATAAGCAACTTTCTTCGCCGCCCATAGAGTTGTCACTCTCTAAAAAGCCACCCCCGCCGCTATCGAAGCAAATAGACGCGCAGCACCCCTTGAAAACGCCCGTTCCAGTACCTACACCGCTCAGGCCCATTAAGGACACCCGGCCCAAGGCTTCTGATGTGCCATCCGAGACGCCAGTCCCTGTTCCAGAACGGCCGCACCAAACGAGCAAAATAGTTGAGCCGCCGCCTTTGCTCACATCGCCCTCAGAGTTACCAAAAGGTGCATCACCACAGCATGACTTTACCCCCACGGGTCAAGGCTCCAACAAGCGGCGCTCTGAGATATTCAGCTCAATACGCGATATGCCAGCCAAATCTCCGCTCGATGTTCAGGGGCAGCACTCAGTCCGCGAAGGATCTTGCAAATTAAAGAAACGCAAGGCGCAAAAACTGGAACCGGACCCGGAACTGAAAGAACGGAAACCAAAGAGGCGTGTAATAGACGAAATAATAAGTGACGCAACAATACGACGTGGCGGCAGAAACATACGGTATTTCTGGGTGCGCTGGACGGACGATTGGCCAGGATACCCGTACAAATGGATGCGCGAGGACAAGATGCCGCCAGATTCCGTGCAGATTTATCTTTCAACAAAGACAGATGAGCCGAAGGTAGACAAGCCAAAGCCAGATAAGCTTATCGAAGCGAGTAAACACCAGCCTCCACCCAATAAAGTGATAAGGAAAGGTCTATCGGCTATGGACAAGGAGCGTCCAGGCTCGATAGAGGCACCCGGGGCTGGTACAGCAGGGCCTGAAGAACGGAGACAGCAGACTAAAAGTCTGCCTACCAAGAGCAACAAGCACGCGTACACTCCTTTGGAAGACGGCAGCGATAGTAAAGATATCCTAGCCATTGCTTCCGAGGAAGGAACAAACTTGGCCAGCAAGCGAGCTGCGTCGAAGGCAAAACCAGCCCCGAAGCCTAAGGCTAAGAGAGAGCCAGGACTGCCTTCATGAGGAACTTAGCTGCGGCTATCAATCCCATAAGGAGTAATAGTGATAGAAATGAGAGGGGGGGTTGGGCGATGATGGCTTGAATAAGCTGAGCCGAGCTGAGTTCGGGAGTGAAGAATGACTACTAGGGACCTACCTACCTACCTAACCTAGGTACTTAGGTAGCCCCCTACGATGGGCAGAGGAGAGCTGAATACCTCGCAGTGCAAAGGTGCAAGTTATACCCCTAACTCACCTATGTTGCTATGTTAGTTGGTTAGTGCATATGGAGTCAGAGTATGGCTACAATACTCGACTGGGTCTGGCACTACTTGGCCATGTCTCAGTCATGAAGAAGCAAGATGATTAAGTTACGTTACGAATTACCTTTACCGTGAATGAATTACCATCATGCAGTCTCACCATATCACTTACTAATTACTCGTGTCTATATTTACGAGGAACAACTACGAGATTATAGGAGGTCATGGACACATGAAGCATGTGTCTCAAGTAATCGTAGCACGATGAATAGTGGAATTGAGAAGCTAGTAACTATCGTTAATGCGAAGTTAGCTAGGTACATTCCACTCTCGTGTCTAGATTGCTTCATAATTGAAACCCAGGCGCCTGGATAACAGCACCCAGCAATTCCATCTGGAAGTCTCGAGTCCTTCTTCCTTGCTCATCCTGTTTTGCTTGTCGATATGACGGCCGAGACCCAAGTACTGCTCATTGCAAATGCAATTGAATTTGTTCGAAGTGTACGCGTGTCTGCTTCCATTCCTTGCCTTATATTCTTTCTTCCTCTTTCTTTGCCCCCCCTCCCCCCTCCTTTTTTCACCTCCGCCTTCTACCCCTTTCCCCTGACCTTGATAGGAGCGCAATCGGAGTAGGCATCACGAGCCACGACCTAAGGAAGTAAAACGCAAGGAGAACATTTTTGAGAAAGAGTGAAAATCCGAGGACGTCTTCAAGTTGTCGTAGATGGCAACGGCTTGGGATGAATGGTGAAGCTGAAACACAAATACAGTCTCGGTAAATTTGCAAAAGCAATTGGAGCGCGATATCGTGCGCAAATATCTTTTCAAGGGTTGGTAAGGCGTTTTATGGGCTCGGAACGGTGGTATCAAGTCGATGTAGGTAGTCGGGGAAAATGTAAGGTATCGTAAACCCTTCCGATGGAGCTGGAGGAGAGGGTCCCTCACCAGTAGTCATCATTATACTCTTCTTCATAGAGGTATGGGAATGTATAGTCGCTGTCTCTGGATTTCATCCAGAGTTGAAGCTGGCTATCATGGTTATCTCTAGCTGGCCAGGTAGGCTCGTCAAGCTCTGTCACTGGCCCATCGCAAGGGTCCCAGGTGAAGAAATGCTGGTCATCGATGACAGCTTGCTCTCCCTGAATCAGCTTCCTGCTGATTATATCCTTGTAGTATCTACCGGCGTCTTCAATATCAATGAAGAGCAAGAACAATGTCTTGTCCTCGTCGATCCATGCGTCCTCAAGAACCTCCAATGGGTCCATATGATTCTCACGGAAGTCATTAAAGAAGCTCATGGGTTCAAAGTCATGAGCGTTGAACCGCACCAAGAGACGAGTAATGCCGTAATTCAAGTTACGGTTGTCGTGAATCCTGATCGGGATAACCGAGTTTGATAAAAACACTTGCACCCCGACACCCAACAGGCGCACAGCGTTTTGTCTCATGTAGGTATAATATTCCATGGCCACACTATGTTTTGCAAATTCCACAGTGGCAGTATTGTCCCTTGGGCCAGGTCCGTGGTCCATCTCAACGCGGATAACCTGCCCGCCGCGAATGAAGGGTGTGAGGTTACTGGTGTCTAGCAGGGCATCTGGGAGTCCTTCTATTATCACCCTTCTTGCTCTGATATGCATCATACTCTCGGGCGTTAATGGTAATAAGGAGCCTTCACTGAAGTATAGTGGTACATAGGATATCAGCATTTCCTCACTTTCTAGTTCGCTTAGTCGCTGAACCGGCCTATTTTCCACGGGAGAGATAAACTGGCCGAGCACTGGCGCTGGCCCATTGACTTGCCCGGGTTCCGTTGTATTCGTTATGTAGCCTAGGCTCGGTCTAACGAAGTTCCAGTCAGGCGGTGGACGCTCCTCGTGGTGGACAGACTCCTACAGTCAGATTCAGACAGTCGCCAAAGTTAGTCAGGGGTATGGACAAACTTACATCACTATTAGTACCCACTCTTGGTTGTTCGATCTGCGGTGTGATACTGCGCCCATTGCTTTGGCAACTCGATGATTCTGCCGTATCATTTCTCGATGGTCCGGCGGCAGAGCTAGAACCATGGCTTTCGGGTGGCGTTGGTGTCATGGCGCGCAACCGGCTCGGCAACTCATTTGGCGTGTCCAATAAGTCTGTCATCTGTGCCGAAGGAGTGGACACTGGGACGTTTGCCATTATTTCAAGATATTTCCAGTCAATAGCTGGTAGGAATAATATAGAAGGCAGATGTCCTTAAATAGGATGACTTCAAAGAGGATATATCCGTGGGAATTGTGGCGAGTTATGTCTGGAATATGAACGGTCTTGACGGTAATGGTCTTGACTATGATTGTGAGATGAGTGTTATTGGTGTAGAAAGATTGTAGAGGAGCGGTTCAGGAAGAGATATCAGTCTAGGTGAATACTGAATCAGGCTTGAACGCAAGAAGTGTTATGCGACTGAAATGGCCGAATAATGAGAAGGTTGTCGGTAAGATGATGAGGAGTATAAATGAAGATAGTGAGGTTTTTCAATGCCTACCCTACCTAATAGGTGCCTGGGTAGGTATTGGTATAACTTATGATACGGTATTGAAGACGCCTCATAAGGAAGTTTATAATAATAGTGACTGGATCAGTTGGAGGAGTTGAGACGATGATAAGTTTATGGGAGGGGGGAGTAGGGTTCAGGTATCATGAGATTTTTTATTCTGGAAAAGGCACCTTGGGTATTAATTTACGTTTTCTTTTTTTTTTTTTAGATAAAATTCTATCCATCGCGACTTCCTCTTCATTTATTAGTATAGCCTTTGTTTTAAAGAAATACAGAAACAACGCCCAGACTGCCCAGTGCATATCAGAGCAATTGCGCAAGTGAGGAAATACCGGTTACAGCTTTTATCACTATAGCCGTTTTTTTTTCTCATGAACGCCCATGGGACAACATTGAACACCTTGTCACTGGTGTTAATTACATATACATCACACTCTTTAACTGCCTAACCAAAAAGCTATCAACTTACTCCCTTCAATGTTGCCTTGAGAAAAGAGGTTTGTTTTGCTACATCCTCAGCTCGTAATTTTCATTTCAGGGAATAAATCAGCACATGAAAATACCTGTATACTGGAGTGTGAATATATATATTAATGAAGACAATAATCAAGTACCGCTATCCAAGCCATTTAAGGCTTTCCATCTCATGCCAGAGGCGTCTTTATATGATTATCTAACACAAACACGGCTATAACTTTGGTAGCCTCAATAATTAGGCTCTAAATACTTGAGCTGCATATGTACATTGAATATCTACGTACCTGTAATATGTATGTACCCACACTTGCCCAACAAACATGAGAACGAAGGAAGGGTCATATCACAAAGAAGGAACGACTAGATGGTTCGCCCCTTCTGGATGAGTTTCTAGATTGCATTAAATTACAGTGCGGCTTCCAAAGGTCACGGTGTCTAACCCCCCTGGGTACCTTAGGTAGTATGTTTAGCATTGTTTGCAGGGGCCCGATTTACGAATTAAAAGGAAGTCTCGTTCCTGATATCTTAGGTACCTGCCTAAGTAAAAAAAAAAAGGGGGGGGGGGACACGTCTTGCTGGCCTTTTTGTTCAATATCTGGGTTTTTCGATAGGATGCCTTCATGACTTTGTCTTCTTTACCAATGATACTGTTGGTCTAACTGGATCTTCTAGTGGCCTAAACCCTCGACACCCCTCTATGGCTCCTGTGTATGAGGCTCTACTAGGGTCTCCCAAAGGAACTAGCTAGGAAGAATGGCATCAGCTATCTCACGAATCCAAACCAAAAAGGCATCAAGTCAACTCCATAATGGCTAAGAAGGTATGTAAACCCACTGGTGGGGGTATCAAGGGTTATGTGTCCGTGTTTGGAGACCAGCTACCTACTAGGTAGGTATTCAGTGCCAGTAATTCGATATCGGCTCGCTTTTACATAGCCAGTAGTTAGATTTTAACATATAGTTGGGGTAAACGACTATTTTGACGCCCGATTCTCAACTTGGTAGTATCTAACCTAGGTAATTAGCTGCTACCACCTCGACGGCCTTGATATGTGAGACTTATGGTTACACGTGCAAGCTATTTCTCGTCGATGTATGTGAGAGGGAATGGCAACCGACAGTAATTCCGATGATAACCTCGTTACATACCCTAAGTAGGTGGTTAATATAAAGTATACCCAGTTCGGGGCAGTACAGTAAAAACAGAGATTAACACACAATTCAGAAGATTTTAACAAGTACGTAATCAGAATATATAGCCCTGGGATCGATCAATACAGCCTGATTAAACCATTTCAGCAGAGTGGAGAGGTTAGAAAAGGAAGAAAATACATATTAGGGGGTAGAGTTTGAGATGAATCAGGTCTAGGCAGTTGAGTGACGTCGAGGGGGCGGATGGCATATGCTCCTTAGTGGATATACTATACTAGGTTAAGTAGGTATACGGATAAAACTAACATAAAACTATCCAATTGCCCTAATAGTTCTTTAGACTGTTGTACACCTGAGCACGCGTGTTTACAACTCCATTAACTTAGACACCACTCAGCTTCTACCTCGTTTTGTTGGGAACGTGGCTAGGAACCAAATTTTCTTGAACTGCGGTCGTCTGTATTGTACATTTCCTGGTCGCTGTCCCTGGTTTCTGCATACCTTTTGACCCCTTTTGCCCCTGGCACCTCTATAGGTATTTGACGATATCGGAAGTCTAGACACTTGATACCTATGTGATCCGACTCCTTACTATGTACTATATATGGGGCTTTCCCCGGTCGTTCCGGCGTGCGCTAGAGCCTCCCGGCATACATACTAGGTGCTTACTCGATACGTACACCAAGCGGCAAGGACCGATACAATTCATATCGGCTAGGCATGTATGTGCTAGGCAATGTAGGCATGCACTAGGTCACATAGTTATAGATAGTGTGTAAGTATGGGGATGACACTACGCTTGCTAGGCTACCCTAATAAAACCTGGGGTTGACAACAGACCGATAGATAGATTTACTAGGTACTGTAGGTATGCGTTGTCTCGCAATTGATCCTTTCAATGTCTCGTTTTACCTTATAATCTGCATGTCTCCATCGAGGATCCATCCATACACGCACCTTCTAGGTAGCTATCCTGTCAGGTGGAATCAGTAGTACATCGCCGCTATAAGTCGACGTACCAGGTACCTAGGAAGAAGTATTCGCATTCAGCGGGGAAGGGGGTTTTTTTTTTTAGGGGGGGTGGCTCAAAATTCAAGATGCCCCGAAGTTACGAGACAATTGAACCAATTATCACCCTCTTCCGAGGGAAAGGCTCCCGGGAATAAACGATTCCTCCCCTGCGTCGATCGTACCGATACAGGCCCCCTGACCCCCACGCAGCGGGTTCTCACGTGAGAATTGTCTTCTGGGAATTTCATAGGCAAGTTATCATGGCACTGAAACTAGGATGTTTAATGCTGACTCGTCATTGTCTGGCTGAATGGTGTGAGCAATTTGGCGTGTTGAATAGGGGCATTCGATGGACCCGAAAATACTTACCTACTAGGTACCAACCTATCTATGTAGCGGGAAGGTACCTAGGTATTGCACATACAAAGTGACGAATAGATGGTTGGTATTAATTGATGGGTAGCACACGCTCACGCCCTCCTCAGTCGATACGCTGAGCCAGAGCGCCGGGATTTCAATCTCAACTCGGTGGCTGATAAGACCAACCAACCTAATAAAACGCTGCGTAAAGAGTTTCCTAGACAATAACCTACCTACTTACCTAGGTAGTCATCATACCCAAGCCCTATACCAAAACTCACTTGCTAAATACCATACTAGGTAGAGTATTGAATGATGGAATCGGGGCATTGGAAAAGCCGAACACAACCATCTAATATTTCTTTTTAGAGCTGATAACGGATCTGGGCTTTCCAGATGCTTCAGATGCTCTAGATGCGGTGCTGGCCGACCTAGTCTGCATGGCCTCGTGTACCATGCAGTTTAGACATGCGCATTACCCCATGGTTGGTGAGATAGGTGGCGTCGTGTTTGCTGCGGTTGATGCTGAATGGGGGTACGAGGGCACGAGGCGTATCACGCAGGGTTTGCCCCCTCTTCCTGTCGCTCAAATGGATCGCGGTGCAAGCTATCGACTAGGGCGTTGGGCGTTAGTGATTATTGATATGTTGTCCGGGATATGGGGAATAGGATCGTAGCTTGGCAAAGAAAGGATGGGGGAGAGGGGGGGGAAGGGGAAAAGGGGGGGAAGGGCTTCAGTTCATGTCCGGGTTGCCTCAATGATTTATGATTTCAAGACTCAAGTTGGTACTAAGTATAGGTACTTACATACACTAGGTTAGTGGTATGTAGTGTCACTGGTATGAACATTGAAAGCCAAGGCGGCCGGAATAAAAATGGAGCCGGTCCGGGGGAATTGCTAGGGTTGGTTTTAGTTACTCCTAACCTAGACTGTTAGGTAGGCAGGTACTCTAACTAGCAGTAGGTGATATGTATCAAATCGTGGGGGTGGATTTCCCCTGTGGCCTGTGCTACACTAATAGACAGCCCTAGAAGAACATCAGATTCCCAGACTAATACAGGTTAGTACCTAGTGTAGTGGTACAGGGCTATGATGTCCCACAGGGCTCCCAGGTGCCACTAAATACACACCGAACTTAAACTAAGGCACCTGGCCAATTTTAAGTTATGTCAAACTCCCCCCACGTTTACTACGGTATATTAGCTCCTACAAGATAGAGTACCTAGTAGTACTTACTTAGTAGGCAATCCGACTCGGTGTCCTACTACTAGAGCCCGAGAGAGAGAGAAAAAAAAAAAAAAAAAAAAAAAAAAAGGCCCCTCACTTCTATTTTCTCTTTCTACTCTAACCCTCGTACCTAGTTCTCGCCTTTTTTTTTCAAGCTCGGAAAAGCTTCACCGCATTTCATCGACATGGATCACGTATTCGCCCCGTAGTCTGTCCAATCGATATGCTATACGATACCTAGGGTAGGCTCCCAGCTCCAGGTTGGTCACCAGCAACCTTGGTAAAAGGACCTAGGGCTGCTAGGTTCGAAGCTGTTAGGCCTACACCATGGACATGCCAGTTCCTATCGACCTACTTCCTTCATGTCTGCATGCCTAAATCGTACTTAAAGAACCAATCATGTCCATGTCAGCAACATAATGCAATGCGGTGCAAAGTTGTCAAACTGGGGTTTCCCGTGTGTAGAAAGAAAGGACACCATCCACGAGTTTCTAATGGTACAGTCAATCATAGTCGATCATAGTCAATCATACCTCATCTATGGATCTTTAGCTTTGCAGCATCGTCCAACCTGGTTCTCCTGACCAGGGGGGATTTTTCAACCAGCTGACACCCCCACGAATGATCTAAGGTTAGTTACGTTGGTCGTACCGGCAGCATCTTACGGTCTTACATGTGCTTCAGAGGCTCAATCTTCGGGCTTTGGGATTACGACTAGGTACCCTGGTGCTGGAAAGATAACACTCAAGGTACCATATGTAGGTGTGCAGAGTCCAGACATGCATGTAGGTATGTATGTATGTATGTATGTATGCTTTCCCAGGTTGTCACTGCATGTAGGACCTAGGTAGGCTGGCAGGTAGAGCAATTCACCTTGTGCCTCGTCTCATCGGTTCAACTGAAGCAAACACACCTAATCATACATCTGCTGGCCAACAAAGAAAAATCACCATTGTATTTAAGTCGTCATTGTCCCCCCATGACTCTGGAGGTTTCACAGGTACTCCCATTGTCATCCTCTTATTCAGTCTCACATCCATTGTAACTATCTACATAGTAGTAGTTCTCCCTTCTCCACCTCTCTCCATCCTCACTTCCACTAATATTCCGTTCTATAAATTCACCTATTCTAGTACGCAACGTCACGTTGGTTTAGTAGCCCATACCTACTTTGCTTAAGTCACATCCACGTAGCTTACTTGTCATAATTGTCTCTATACTACTAGTCTGCTACTTTATTTCAACCATCTACACTGTCATTTTCATTCGTATACATAACGATATACCTTTACAGATATCTATCTAGGTATACACTATACATACTCAAAAAGAAACCCAATTACTCCCTCGTGACACCCAATCACCTCGATGACGGACTCTCCAAGCCAACCATGCCCTCTTCCCGATGGGGTCTATGTTCCCACCGTGGCTTTCTTCAAGGAAAATGATGAGATTGACCTAGAAGCCACTCAACGTCATGCTATCCGTCTTGCTGACGCCGGCGTTGCGGGCCTGGTTGTGCATGGCTCGAACGGAGAAGCTGTTCACTTGAGCAGAGAAGAGCGTACCCTCGTTATCAAGACTACACGATCTGCTCTAGACCAGTCGGATCACCATCTCATGCCGCTCATCGCCGGCTGTGGGACACAATCTACCCGCGAGACCATCCAGCTCTGCCGGGATGCCGCTAGCGCGGGTGCTAACTATGCTATCATACTACCCCCGGCGTACTATGGCGGTCTCCTCAACACATCCAAGATCGTCCAGCATTTCTATGATGTTGCCGACTCTAGTCCGATACCGGTTGTGATCTACAACTACCCCGGAGCATGCTCTGGTCTAGATCTTTCCTCCGACACAATTCTCCAAATCGCTAAACACTCCAATGTTCAAGGCGTCAAGCTCACCTGTGGAAACACGGGGAAGCTGGCTCGCATCGTTGACGGGGCCAAGCCCGGCTTCTTTGTGGCCGGAGGCAGCGCAGACTTCATTCTCCAGGGCCTTGTCGTAGGTGGGCACGGTACCATCGCTGGAACTGCCAATCTAATACCCCGAGCCTGTGTTCGTATCTGTGAGCTATTCCACGCCGGTGAGCTCAAGGAAGCCAGAAGACTACAGGCGGTTGTTGCTAAGGCCGATTGGATCGCGATCCAGACGGGCTTTGCGGGTGTCAAGGCTGCCTTGCAGCACTTCGAGGGATTTGGTGGGGAACCGAGGAAGCCATGTGGGCTGCCAAGCGACGAGCAGATGAAAATGATTACAAATGGATTTGACGAGGTGATAGCTTTGGAGCGGAGCTTGGCTTAGAGGGAAATCCGGGGTTTGGGACTCCTCCCCGAAAATCATAAGGCTCAATGGGACACCAATATGAAGTGAACCCGGGGCTTGGCGTTACGAAATAAAACGGCGTTACTTGGCAGCTTGGATGGAATAGTTCAAAATTATCGAAATAGATAAGACTTCTAAAGACTTCTAAAAACGGACGTTCGTATCGCTGTTAACCTAATACAGATAAGCATTCGTTTTCTTCTCGCTTGTTTATACGATATAGTGTCATGATACTCTACATAGTATACCGGTACCTAGGGAACGTTGCAAGCTAGCCTAGAAGCTACCGGCAACTGCGGCAGGTAATGGAAATTATGGAATAGTTTTTCACATCGCCTGACCTAGGACAGCGGCAAACATACATCCAGGTACTAGGTAGGTACAAGACTTACCTAGTATCGAGCATAGCTACCACCCATGGATAGCACATAGAATCTCGGCTATCGTTTTGCGCCCTTATCCTCGACTAGCGACAGCGCCACTAACTTTTATATGCCAGCCTACATGCCATAGCATTCACGCATGATCTAGCCTACGCTACTACATTACCCCAACCCAGCTCGCCATCCATGACGGCACATCGCATACTGCGTACTACATAAACGATCTTCTTGACTCCCATCCATTGGAAACACGTCCACCACCCGAGACAGTTGCCAGGCAGGACAGGAACACAAGACCCCTTTGCATCATGTATCGAGTTAATCCTCAAGTCGATCATACATCACTCGTCATTAAAATGCAAGTCTTCCGCAGATCCCCCATCTTATTTATGGTAGCCCAATAAGACATCTGTGCCAAAATCAAAAATTAAGATTGACTATTCCGAATTTAGAAATTAAGAACAGTGCTACGAGTACGTGAAAAGAGTGGATTGTACTTAGAGAGGCTTATGGATAAGTAAATATTGTCATATACGTGTACAGCTTGCATAAAAAGTACTTAAGCTACCATACTACTTTATATAGTAAGCTAAGTACTGGTTATATCCCCTTTTCCTACATACCTAATAACTTGCATGTACGATGCATTTATGATTTAAACGTGACTTTTATTAATAAGCGTAAAAGGCACTAAGCTAGTTACCTACTTGTTACACACACTTCTTAGCCACATATACTCTAGCCACATATACCCTAGCCACATATCCCTTACCTATACCTACCACATTTCATATTAATCAAAGGTCTAGCCTCTTATGTTGAATAATTTTCTGATACATATAGCTACATATATGCAACCAAATCCAATTGAAAGTGCATTCAATTACGAATTGATTGATATAGGTCTCGAATTGAGGCGATACGTGGTTGCAAAGTTAATCAACTATGTAGGTGGCAGGCCGGAAGGCACGTGATCACCCCTAGAGCCATAGTAAGAGCCCTTGGAGCCTTTGGAGCCGCCTGGAGGTCACGCTAAGGGGTATCACGTGATGGCCCACGATATATCTACCTGAATAACCTTTCAACCAGATATCGCACCAGTATGCAACCTACATCATTCAATCCGTAATGAAATGATCTTTTTATTGATACCGGTTGCATATATGTAGCTATATGTTTCAGAAAACTATCCATGTGGGAATAGTTATTACATAACCTTATATAGCCATATCACATGACTAAGTCACATGACCATACGGGTAAAAATATGATATTTTTAAGAAAATACTATTCAATTATCCAGTATAACTAGCTAAAGTACCGATATACATGCCTTTCTTTCTTAAAAAGTGGGACTGCATACTAAAATCAGACTAGCTCAATCATTATTTTCATTTTGGCACAGCTGTCTTATTGGGCCACCGTATTATTCTCTCCTAACCCTGTACCCCGCAGTCTGGACCTGCAGGCTCATAACACACTAGTCCTGTAAGTCGCCATCCTTGGACCGTGGGTTGAAGTCTAGGGGGGTGTGCTGGTGCGAGAGAACGATGCAAAGAATAACGCACGGTACGATCCTCCTTCTCTCCCCCCTCCCTCTCTCTTCCCCCTCTCTTACCCAGAAGCTCCCCAAGGCCTCTGCTAGCGCTTGCCGTACTATCAAGCTACTGGGTATATCCATACCTACCTAGGCAATCACAATATCTACCCAATCTACAGTCTCGTACGTACCTAATTTTTACCCAAGGCATGCGAATGCCATGCAGCAAGCAGTGATATCCTCTGCAACTGTACCTACAGTGTCTAGTACCTCGGGTATGTATGTAATGCTGAATTGCTACATACTACCTACTTACCTACCTCGGTAGGTACCCATTATTTGTATGGATTCTCTCAATATCGGCACCACCGCACTGCTACGACGAGCAGAACCACCGCCACCCCTAATGCGGGTAGAGCATCCTTCCCGGGAGCTATTGTCCGCAACCTGGTTTTCCGACCCGTCTCAGGCTCTCTAGTCTGGTAGAAGGACAGCCTGCACCGGATTGGTTTTGATCCTTCATCTTGCGAACTTGCCACGGACTGCAACGTAATCTGGTAATAAGACGCGCTTCTAAGGGTCAGATTCCAGGCAATCTGCGTGCATGTATTGCGATCGCGGAGGAACTATTTCGAAAAGAGAGAGTGGCAACTTATGATAAGGTAAGGAAATCCAACGTTGGGCGTATTCCCCCTCTTCTACTTCTAACTCTAGCCATATGACTTCAATCTTACCTCCAATGGCTCCGAACGGGCATAAGTCGCCGTAATTTTATGGCACAGATTATGTGATAAACAAGGGAAAGGGTATACTAGGACGTAATATAGAACGCACGCGCACGCACAAATACACACCTATACGAGTCTCAGACTATTTGCGTAATGTTGCTACCTAGAGGAGAGGGGAGGGGAGTTAAAGGGATCTGAATTGGGAAACTGTAAGAGCTAGGGCTTATGGCAATATGCCAATAATGTCGATGGGTCAAGTAATGGAAAAGACCTCGGCGGATTTATTTAACGATGTATTCTTTGCGGTTATGATGGTCAGATAATCGTGCAGAAGATCGCTGGGAGATCATTCCCCGAACCCGAATACACGGACAGGATTCGACAACCCCCACGATGAGAAATTTAGAAATACAGACGTTATTTGTCTGGGTCGTATTGGAGGGTTAACTACCCCTTCCTTCCCACGTGCTTCCAAAAAGCTGAGTATCATTCTTACTTATCTCTAATTTATCTATGATAGATTGTACCTAAGAAGGTAGGTAATTAAAATATGGCAAAAGGACCTTGCTGTAAGCTTTGGTCTTGCTCGATTGCCAGCCAGTTCCTCTCACCGCTCTGCAATCAAGATGGTCGCATACCACACATCCAGTACCTACCACTTGGGTTTTCGAACACGCCCTCCAGCCGTTTGGCAAAGAGCTGATGCTACGCAAGAATGTCGGCACCCGGCAGACGAACGAGTCAAATGTGGCTGGGATAGTACAGGGTTGGGCGACGGGCTCAGGCTGCGTGGGCAAGAGGGATGGAAGGACGCAATCCATTCCATCAATATGCGGTCAGCACTGAAATAGGGGAACCTTTGGGTTGCATATCCACGAGGGCGACTGCGGTTAGGTAATAAATTTGTATGGCCCAGATTTATTTGCAGCGTAACTCCTTTTCTTAGCGAAAGGTGATGTATCAACTTTTCGGCTCGCCAACGGACTGAAGGAATACCCGGGATCAGCCTTCCGCCTCCTTTCTTACTAATGTCTGACGAGACTGAGTTCGAGCTTTTTTTAAAGGCTGCGCGTCAATGGTAGGTAGGCACCTAGGTAGGTATGTGTTTAAAAAGTTTTGGGGAGGTTTTACGTCTCCTTTTTCTATGTTGGATATTAAACCTAGGGCCACACAATCATCCCGCACGAATCCGCTATCACTTGAGATATGGCACCTAACAAGAGACGGGATAATAAAAAGAAAAACGTCAGAATCCCGGCACGGCACATGACATGAGCCACATAACCTACCACAGCATTCGGCTATAGCGGCATGAGAGTATACTTTTGTGTCTCGTACCGCACCATCGGTGCCGACCTGGATTGGTGGAGATGTAGGATTGACATGGCATGAGTGTTACTAAATCAGGTATCGTGCGGTTGATGACGACCGGGTTCCTGTGAGCGAGAGACCGGGTACTCCCGTCGTATATGTCGCTGCCTACATAACCCCCATATTACTTTTGGGCCGCAAGCTTCTACCTAGGTCTAGCTAGGCCATAACGAAGGGTCTATTAGCCCTATCAATGACTATAGAACATCGGCAGGGAGGGAAAAAAAGCAAAGGCAGGATATAAGTAATAAAGGAGGTAGAACGCTCGTAGCCGTGAGATTATCGCGTTAGCCGCCCTCTCCTCGTTAACCCCCCAGTTCGTCAATTCAATACTTCTTTCTATACTTGAGCGTGGCTTGTGTTCAGGTCTCCCATGTGTGGACCCCCACGTCCGGCTTCTATTTAGTCTCACGGGGATGTGCCATGACAGGCACATTGGCCCTTGGATTGCATAGGCCGACGCCACAACGCTGAGCCCGATGCTGTGCGTATATGCTGGATGGGGTAGGGTGTGGGATGTGCTATATTAAGCGAGTGTGTAGTACCTTGAGATACCTACTGACCCAAGGCTCGCTTGTATTATGCTGAATACACACGCTGACTACTGTTGTAAGTATGACCAAGAGTGAATACCAAGAATGCATTTGGTAGGTAGGTACTGATAGAAAGAGCTCGGCAATTCGTCACCCAACTCACAGAGCACATTTTGCTTTTTTCTTTCTTGTCCCTCCTCTTGAACGCTCGTATGTATTGTACAAATAATATTCCATCGCGGCAAAGATGAAAAGGGGGAGGTTACGTGGAAGCTGTTAGATCTCGCAAGTGCCTCATGTCTGGCAACATCCTTGAGGATACGATATGCAGCCTTATCAGGACATAATCTAGGACACTTCCTCTCAAACTGCATATCAGATCTCGACCAAGCCCCTGTGCGATGCTAGTAACTGCCTATGTGCCTAGGCAATCGATCCAATAGGTGTGGCCCTATATATTCAGCTTATCAAGAGCCTTGATTTACATCTCTACCTGACCGGTTCGTGTGTATGCATCATGGATCCAATAGGGTTCGAGGGAATAAACTCCGGTTTGACAAGCTCGATGACCTCCCACCAGACTTGTCTCATATGCGATTGGAGATCACGTCTCCAAATTCCATCTACCCCTTTTATACTTAGGAGGTCAGTGTGTATCATATCATGTTGAAACTAGGGAACAAGAAGAGTCAAACTTCTTTGGTCGAAAGGGGGGGCCCGAGCATAGAAGCTCTATTACCCGTATTCGTACATATAGTACCTATCAATGAATATTTACTACGCAGACTAAATAGAGAAGCCATTGATAATATCATTAAGTACATTATTTCCTCCTTTGTTACCTATTTTATCTAGGTAACTACCGATACTATCAGCCTGAACACAACACAATCACAAGAAAAACTAAAGGACCCGTCACAAGCATTGCGAGTAGTAATCGTTCTGGAAGCGGCAAGTTGTTCCAGCTGCGCAAGCAGTACATCCAGTCCAGCTCTTGCCAGCGCATTGCCCCCATTTCGCTGAAGTACAGGCTCCGGGAGCACCGGGTGCTTGGCCACCACCACCTATTAGTTAAGAGAATGATCACGTTAGTAAAGTTCTTGGTGAGATACTAATGATACGAAACAGCAACATAGGTACGAGCACAAATTCCTTACCTTGAGGGCCTGATATTAAAACTGGAGTGCCGAGCTTGGAAGTCAAGTCAATGCTGCAGGTATTCACACACGATCTTCCAGCACCGGGGTTCGTTATTGGGGTTCCGGGTGTCGAGTCTGTGCTATTATAGACAATATCAATCCACTGGATTTGCATCTCAGCCGAAGAGCCCACGGTCATGTTACCACTCCACGTGCCACCGTCACTCCAACTGTTGAACATGATCCTACTCGCGTCCCGAGGTGCTTGAAACTGGATGGAGGACATGAGGTTTCCGTCAACGAACCAGCTGGTAGACCCTGGTGTCCAGTCCATCCGATGATATTGCCAGTTAGACCAGTCCACGCGGCCGGGAAGAGAGACGTTACGCGTAGCCTGAGGAACATCGCCGTCCTCGTTCCAAGAAGGCTGGTTCGTGTACTGAATCGAGTGCTTCGGGTCGACTGTTCTAACCTCCAAGTCGGCTTCTTGCACTTGAGCGAGCTGCGGAGCTTCACGGAAGGTGAACATGGCCGTTATAGCCCCGGGTGCCCCCCTAGTCCGTGCATACATCCGAATAGAGATATACCGGTAGCCAAGTGAAAGCGATTCGATCTCCGCGGCCGATTGGAAGTTGGTGTGGCGCATGGTCCTCATCACGAGATACGTTTGAGAACTAGAACGCTGGTCTGTGTTTCTATCGAAATATATGTTGTTGGGTGAGTTCACCATGAGTACGGTGGCATCACTTCCAGTTACATCTGAACTCCCGTTCATAAGGGCGCTATTGTTCCAGTTCTGAATGGACCACACGCTTGTCCAGGCGGGATCTGAGAAATAACTGTCCGTCACCGGCGCGTCGGCACTACCTTGGGGATCATCGATGGCTGGTGGCACCCTAACATGTTGCGACTTGTCTCTGAAGTCAAAGAATCGATGATGAGTGAAGTAGTTAGCAGTCGTCGTGTTTGTTCTGTAGCAGTTGCACCTCGAATCAGTAACCAGGGGGTAATTCTGCGCCTCTACCACAGACAGCATAGAGGTGATGACTGTCAACGTAATCGCAAGCCCCCAGTGTCTAACCATCTTTGAAGACTGGGAGTCCACTAGGACTGTTACTTAGATGCTCGGTCTTTTCGAGTGAGGCTTTTGCGAGCGTTAACCAGCTTCTTAGGGTTGCTTAAAAAACTTGAGAGGCCCATCAAAGGCCGTAGGCAGAGGAGAAGTCCTGGGGGCAGCAAAATTCGATCGCAAGGTATATGATGCAATAACTGTATGTACGATACAAGAGCTATTCATATTATAAAGCACGTATAAACCCTACCTATATCTTGCCTAGAAGCTAAACATTCGACCTGAGGCCGGTAGCCAGAAATCACAGCTCGGAAGAAGCTCAGCTTGGTCAAACCTCTCTCCGGCCATATAATATTGCGCGGCTATAGGTCACTACCAATGTAACTTTCATTTATCGATGAAGTACGCGTTTTCTTTTTCGGGGGACAACTTGCGGGGATAATCCAGATCGGGATCATCGTCAAGGGGGAAAAGGTAGAGCTTGAGTGAGCCGGATAAATGCGTTACTTGGCCAAGATCATTGATCATTGTATGCTCGATTCTTTATATTATCCTCCGGGGTAGCTGTCTGGACGGCATTTCTCCCTACTCTAAGAAGAGTATTTTCCCTACACGACCCGTAATGCGACAGTAGCATGCATAGCACATATCAAAGTTTTCCTCACAGCAAGCCCATCGACATCTAGGTACATATATATGACAGGTATTAAATGCTACTGCTCAGCACGATTTTGGCACTTCGCGGGAAATAGCATCTTGAATGTTACCACCCTAAGGCCACGGCTTCGGATGTTGGTGGTGTGCTTGCTACTTGGCGTGCCATTCAATGCCACAGCCGACTCAAGAACCTTCAAGGCTATGCTCGCTGTCTTTATCTACCGATACTAATATAAATAGTATCAATTACGTAAATTACGACGACCAATATATACTATGCGCTCTATTGGAAGAGTCCTACGATTCAAAGATATGACCTAGAAGCCGTTTAGGGATTTAGAAGAATGTGAATGGTACTAACATGGAGTCATCACCCTAACTAAAGGCTCGAAATATCATTAAAGGGTGGGATTACATATAGGGGAGAGGTTAATAATATTCAGCAAAATTTCAAGGTTTGTACACAGGTTCAACTTACTAGATTACTCATTGTACGATATGAAAGCTGCCCATCGATGAGTTTATTACTTACAATCCATAATGCTGGGGGAGATGTTAGCGATCCCCACGCAACAACGATGTTGTTCTGTGTCTTCTAGTAGGGCCCATCAAAAGTCTAGTACCTACTATGTACAGGTTTATGTTTTATTTTAAAAGAGTCTGCCAGATCTGCCAGGTCATATATGGTCTAGACTTTTGCCACCATTTGACGGCCATAGTGAAAGACCACTCTCAGACTCGGCACCACAACATATACCGTGGAGGTGCTAACGTACCTTCATACCTACCTTCCCAGGTAGGATTTACCAAGAAAGGGGCAACATCAAGGTGTGCTAGTAAGTTGAAGAACCGGACAGAAGAATAGGTAATTATAACTACCCATGTAGACATCACAATAGGTAAGACCTTTGAGTGAAAAGACTGTTTTTTTTTATAATTTACGCTACGTACCTAAACCAGAAACCAGAATGGCCCTATCCTGCGACGCCAAATAACTTTCCACCCCTGACCACCTATCTACCTAGTAACCACCACATCCAGAAGAGTCCTATATCAAAATGAATAGTCTGATCATATTTATCCATTCTCAGGGTCAAAGCAATAATCGCACTCACATACGCTGGTATCTAATCTCAGCTCCTACCAAGCCTATACCTGACACTACCAACTTTTTCATTAAATAAAGTGTTCCGTGGTTCGTAAAAGTCTAGATTTGCCCACTGACTACCTGCCTATAGTCTTCGTGTCACATCTGTCTCTGTTGTCCTGGGTGACACTGAGAACGAAGAATTACTCCTCTCGAGAGGATCCTTGGCGGGCTCCATCTCCATCGCATCTCCCTCCACAGTCCCCCTATATACGGGTGGACCGCCATATAGGACACCGGGGGTGTAAGGAGGGCTCGGGTCGTCCGGGCTCGAGTTGTGGTGGCGGAAAACGCCGCCCCGTGGGCCGGTAGGAGGAGGAGCAAGGCTAGGAGAAGTGAAACCCGAGCGAGTTTCGGTGTCTCGGTTCGGAATATTCTGACGACGTCTTACCTCCCCATATATAGCACTAGCTAGCCAGACTAGCCACGCAACGGCAGCAATGACGGAATACGCTATGATAACATCTTGCGAGGCGTTAGCTAATTGTAGGCCGAGCCCTCCGTTGATTATGCCTAGAGTAATAGCGGCACGGCCGAGCCATATATGGACGTAGGAGGGCGTAGTTCGTCGCTGAAGGCGCTTGAACCATGAGTGATGGATGTAACCAAGCACTGGTTGTATGAACATTACGACGAGAAGGACAAGGCCGATAATTGGATGCGCGTTAGCGGAGGATATCTGTAACTACATTTTTCCAGTGTCAGCAATAACTAGGCATACGCTTTTGCAGATGCGAGTACTTTAAAGCCCAAGATCGCTGCTTTTTCTCCCTTTCCACTCCTATAAAAGGAGAGGGGGGGTAAAGGGGGTAAAGGGGTTTGATTTCATATAGAAGGGCAACTCACTAGGCTGGAACTGTTAGGGGGGATATCCACAATGTCTACCATCCGAATGCCCAGTGCCGCTGCTACAATGAAAAGAATGAAGGCCACGCTTTGGGTTACAGCGTGGATTACCCAGGATAGCCGGCTAGGGACAATGCGAACGAGGACTGCCCCTACCGGGAATAGGATCACGAAGCACAACGCGGCGATCACTCCATGAGCAGTACGATCCCGCATCACCTCCTGGATATCGAATCCCGCAAACGAGTCATATGTGTTGGGCGCGTATCCGCTTGAAGAGCTACCCCCGTAGATATACCCCTCACCATTACCTCCGTTGTCATCTGGACCATCCCATAAGGAGCCATCAAAGTCATGATCGTAGTATGGATCCCGGGCGTATGCGCTCCTCGCTTTAAAAAAGATGTCAGCCACGTCTTCGAACCATTTTATCTTTCTCATTAAAATTTAAGTAGGGTGGGCATTAGGATAATATCTCCAGGGTCCGGGCCGTCGGGATATACGTGTATATAAGTAGTAGTAACTTACCCAACAGAGCGATGTTAACTCCGAGAATGATTGCCAACTTCATGGTGACAGTCTGAATAAAGCCAGCCTCCCCTGATATGCCGAATGCTTTGCTGATATACGTGGATGTCGATGCCACATGAAGCTATAGCGAACTAGGAGTCTTGCCGTGTGCGGGAAGCAAGTCAAAAAGGTAAGAAAAGTAGGATAGACGGGAAATGCATCGCTTACATACCCGCCCATCCATAGCCATTCACCCCCGCGATCCCAACGGCCCCGGTACTAGAAAACAAGAATTAGGTACCAAACGTTGAATCCCCGTTACACACCCTATTGGCGCCTCATTGTCTCGGATCTTGGCCTTGGGGATCTGCGCCTACGCACCGACCTCCTAAAGCGTCCAACCGGAACCCAAGGAATGAACAAGAAAAGGTTCGGGACCGAGAGCACACAGATCGCTTTTTGCGTAACCCAACACGGGCGTTTCGTTATCAATGGATTACGTAGGTAGCTTTAGAGGTGACTGCGCATGGATAAACTTACCTAACCTAGAGAGAATACATATCTGTACGTAGTAGGCTGGCAATATTTCCTACAAATCTTGCATACATAGTTCTCTAGGTTTGATTAAAGGCCAATGCGAAGTAGTTCAACTACTTAACAATGGTATAGTTATAGAGCGATGTTAAGCCTTCCGTTACCTTCTGACTTACGCGTACGTGGGGGCGCTCCTAAGTTCATCAAATCACCTACCAGTAACGACATTGGCACAATGAGCGTAAAGAATCCATACAGCCAGAATCCTGCCGCTAGGGAATTCATAAGTTACGAAGATGGAAAACAAGTTACTGAAACACACCAGAATGTACGGGAACTCAATGAATTAACTAAAAGGAAAATTGACCGGCTATGAAACTAGTGTATGGTGCGTAAACCGTAAACAGACGCCACGATGGTAAGCCCAAGTAGACATCCGTCTACTCCACCACATCCGAAATTGAATGGAACTGAGGAGTGAAATCTTATCAGTGCGCGCAATGAGTCTCAGTTGAACGGCTTTGGTTGTTGCCCTCCATCCACCGTCATGTTCGTAGTCCAAAGACCCCTATCGGAGAAGACTGCTATTCAGCTGACTGTATTACCACGTAATGTGTCAATTGACCTGTTTCTAAGGCAGTGTGAGTGGGCTTGACCTTTTGCTTCATGATCCACGGGTAGAATAGAAATCAGATTGATGGTGGGGGAGGTGGATTTGCAATGATGATAGTGTTCTGCTCCTCGTGTGTTAAAACGCCGCTTTTATCGCCTTTTCCACCACGGGAATTCTCGCAGATTGAGAGACTCGATAAGATTACCTTTCAAAGACGAAGACTTAAGGAATAGGGGTATCTTGCGAGTGAACACATGCCAAGGTGAAACGAGGTTGACTTGGCAGTTAACAATTAGGTCGTAAATGCGAATACCCAGGTAAAAGCTCAGGAAGCAGTGACGCTCTCAAAGTTGAAGACGTGCTGGAAATATATGCCTTGATATCGTGACGAGAGAGCTAGGTAGGATATGTTATGGGCCAGGTCAGGCAGTGGTGAAAAGTACGAAAATCGTGAAAAGAAATCAACGTCGTAGCAAATGATGCAAATCGTACACAACATGGTTCTCCTCGTTGATGCACCCACATTAGGCAGGTGTCGTAAAGTCAATGCATGACAAGGGAACCAATCGTGTAGCGATCCTAAGGCTTTGCGTGCACCACGCATTCGCTGTACCGGGTTCGCCAACGCCAGCCGTATCATAACGCGGGGAGGGGTCATTGAAGAACTAAGAATAGATGGTGATACACGCGTAGGGGCAGCGAATCAAGAGGGGAAAACCGAATAGCCGCAACCAGGGCGTGATGCAGAAGACGGAGAAGCATGCCGAAACGCCAGAAACGCAGGACGCCGGTTATGCTAAAATATTGGATGTCCCAATTTTACTAGAACAGAATCAGTCATTTAGATCAATGATATAAGTATAGTTGTAGTTCTTACCTGTGGACCCAAGCCACCAGGAGGGGGGCCTTGATGACCATTGCCGCCAAAACCAGGACCACCAAAAGGACCAGGGCCGGGCGGTCCAGGAGGACCGGGAGGGAAATAATGAGGCGGGGGTGGCGCAGGACGGTAGGGGGTTCCAACGCCTGAGTTATTCTGGGAACGACCCCAAGAGAGACGAACGCGCGAGTTGCCAATGGGATAGCCCTGCATCTGATTGATCGCCATTTCAGCCGCATGACGATGAACAAACTGCACAAAGCCGCAACCTTTTCCAGGAGGAATCTTGACGTAGGTGATTTCGCCGAAACCCTGGAAGAAGGATCGAAGCTCGTCTTCGGTGACATAGCCAGATAGACCTCCAACGAAGACCGTTGTGTTGTTGGGGTCAGTGAACTGGTTCATAGTTAAGGGGTTGAAGGTGCCTGGTTGCTGCTGCTGCTGCTGCTGTTGGTAGCCATAGTTGGGCGGCTGTTGCTGCTGCATCCATTGCGGACCCATACCCCCATGATGGGCTGCAACCTGTGGTGGCTGCATCATCTGGTGGCCATACTGATTGAATTGGGCATTCTGGTGGTTGCTGCTAACCAGTTTAGCAACCCCGTATAGATGGTCTGCATGAGAGAAAACTGGACTTACCGATTCTTAGGCGTAGCGGGTGAAACTCGCATGGGTCTGTTACCACAATACACGCCCTGCATCTCTACCAAGGCACGTTGCTGATCCTGCTCATCGGAAAATCGAACGAAACCATAACCGCGCGATTGTCCAGTTTGCTGGTCCGTCATGATCTTAGCTGACTTGCAGCTAGGGAAGCGCGCCTGAAACAGGGCGACCAATACAAACTCATTGACTTCGTGACCAAGGTCTCCTACGAAGATCGAGTACTCGGGGGTCCTGTCGTCGCGACGGTCAATAAGACCGCCACCAGAAGCCCAGTTGAGGCGAAACATGCGATCGGTGTTCGGAATAGGTGTGCCATGCAACTGAAGAGCTTTCTGGGCAGCATCAGGGCTGGTAAACTCGACGAAACAGTATCCGGCACTTCTAGGCTTGTATCAGTAACGACGAAGTATGTCTCTTAGGGTGTAAGTTAAAAGGCGTGGAGGTTTCATACCCAGAGTGACGATCGCGAATTATCTTGACCTGAACGTTCTCGTTCAAGGATGACTGGAAGAGGGTACGAATAAATCCTTCATCCATCCAGCCTGCAAGCTCACCCATCCTAGTTTCCTTGAGTTAGTTGTTTCCAGGCTGAGAGGAAGAAATCAGGCTTAGCGTACCAGAGGGTTTGGCGAGCAGAATCTGAAGTGAAGTTCTGTCCCATGTCGCCATTGCCTTGGCCATTAGTCGGAGCCATGGGAAGGCCGGACTGGGGGACGGCACCGCCCGCTCCTTGGGAACCAGCATCTCCTTGGGAGCCGGAACCATTGGATGGGGGCTTTCCGTTGTAAGGGTTAAATCCGTCCATGACGAAGTCTATCAATTGCGTCAGATTAGAAAGGTGTTACAACATGGGTTGAGGAAGTTGGAGATGAGATATGAGTAACAGAATAGTAGAATAGTAGAATAGTGAATAGTAGAACAACGAAGCATAAGTGTACAATTGAAAATAATACTCTATTGAAAGAAAAGGGAAGGTGCGAAATAGAGATGATGAGTGCACTTACCAATTCAGGTGTCTGTCAGTCAGTTGTGGTTGAGATCTCGAAGTTGATAGGCTGGTTGAAGGTTAGACTGATGATAATGAGGCAAGACCGTAATTCATAAAATAGAACATGCAGCACAATGAAAATAAATTTATATGGGGTGGCAAGATTTGTGAAGTATGCAAAGGACTCGTAGAAAGTAATATCGAAGGTGAAAAGATGGGATATGAAATTGATACTTGTGGAGAAGAAAAGTTTGTGTGCCTTGAATTGGTATGTGGGGCCAGAAGAATTGAACGTACTATGTATGTACTGTGTGTGTGTGGTGTGTGGCTAATGCTAATGAATGCTAATAATGGAAAGTGGAAAGTATGGATTTAGAGAACAGAGAATGACTCACTAGTAAACTTGATTGCGAATACTGGAAACTGCGAGCAACCCAGTGTGAAATTCCCTAATATTCAAGTTAGAAGAAAACCTTGGCCATAATAGCTCCATCTGAGTTTGAGGCGCAGTGGGTGTAGGGTTGTGGGATGATGAATAGATAGCTGATGGATGCTTAACCATAAATAAAATCTGTATGAGGACATACCAGCTTGCTCTAGATTATACTGAGTATTGATGTCAAAGGTAAGTTGATATGGGAGACGGTAGAGAAGAACTGGGTGAGAGGTATGGGAAGTATGTAGTTGTAGTAAACGGAGTAGGTGTTTGTGGTCTGGTAGTAAAAAGAAATCATAGGCTAGACCACTCTGGTCGGTTTATCAGTTATCGTTGATATCGACACATGGATAAAAATGCATCATCACAGTGTATACTGTTAACGACACAAACTTGCTCAAGATTAAGGCACCTGCCAAAAAGCTGGTCTTGCCCATCAAGAATCAATTGTAAGGGAAGGAACGTCACAGTGTGGGCAGCAGAATGGATTTGGGGGGGGGGGGGGGGGGGGAAGGTACGGAGAATAGGGACATGTGGCAGGTAGCTCCAAGTGAAGACAGCACTAGCTGAAGAATTATGGTATGTGAGGTAAATTCATCTCACCGAAATGAGAAGTTGCTGCTGATCATTGAGAGGGTGCTAGAGGTGTCCAATCGCTCGCCAGAATAATATAAGTTGTAACTCACCGATTGAAAACACCAGACTTGTATCTAGATCGCCCAAGTCAGAGACCAGGAACCGAACGCCAACGCCGGAGATGGAAGTTAAGTACCTAAAACTCCTGCCGACAGTGGTATTAAATTGCTTGATCAATCAGCAAGATGGATTCAAGCTCGTTGTGTCTTGTGACAGGGTCTAATGATGTACGGTCAAGATACTTGAAAAACCTATACTTTATTAGTTTCATCAGACAGAAAATTGAATGTTGCCCAGTAGCAAGTCAGCATCCTCAGCATCCAAACTCCAAATTGGCATGATATCCCTTCGTATGGCAACCGACATGCCCATGTATGTGCCAAATTATGGAAAATAACGGAACAGTATTGATGAGCAGCATTCAAATAAGAGAAGTGGCTCTAAACAGTGCAAGCCATCGTCAGGATTCCCTGTAAAACAGTAAGATTGCAGAACAACATAAATGGTGGATAGGAAGGGAGGATAATGTGAAGGGATTACAATAAATCTTTCAGCTGCGGTTGAATGGGCAAGTGATAGAAGTCAAGGTAGCTATAAGTGTAGGGAAACAACTGCCGTCATTATAACTTAATATTGTATGAGCAACACTTACTGGGACTATTTCGTTCAATATCGGCTGCATCAGCTCTAAGAGCTTATGAAGACAGGCAAGTAATTTGTACCCTTTCAAAGACCCGTGGGCCTGCCTTTCCGCGGCTTCTTGGGCAAAATCATATATGCGTTCGATGAGATATATAATGATAATTGCCCTTGCAGAATGTGTTGTAATAAGAGCTCGTTGGAGTTCATGATGGTAATCAGTGTGAACGATAGTCATCGAACGATGGCCATCGAAGCGCTACGCATGGGGGTTTTGTTCCTGAATTCTATAGTCGCCATACTCTGCAGTACGGCCCCTCAAATGGATATATAGAACTTTCAAGTACGCATCCTAGAGTTGGAAGTTGAACCTGAGAAAAGACCAATGTGTGCAGATATGGCCAGAGATTCGGGCTCTGACACCACAGGAAACCCATTGACAAAGGCTTCTGCCATCCATGACGAGAGCATCTCTTATAGTAACTCATTATGATGAAATAAGTAACCATTTCGACCACTCGTGTTCATCTCCATTTGCTGTAAAATGGTAAAAATGCAATATTGTATATTGGTAGAGCGAATACGAAGACATGGATATACGACGAGGTGGCTGGTGATAGATGAGTAGTTCCTTGATAGAGATGGATACAACTTCAGGCCCAGAAGTAAGAGTACTAAGATGTGTTTGCGTAGCCGTGAAGCGCGTGGGAGTAGGTTGGCATTCGATGGTAGATGCTCCAGTTGCGTCAGGCCAATATTCTCGAGCATGCGTAATCGTGTGTAAGTCTTGTCACAAGACAATGATAACCCCTATGTCCTGTATAGTGTTTGCTGCACAGAGACGTGGATACATGACAGGAGAGATTTGGTTGTCGTTGAAGTTGACCCGGCAAGAAAGATGTGGGGCTGATCGCCGAAGATTTTCTAGAGCTTGGTCGATCGAGGTTTTGCGCGCAACTAATTAAAATATTGTGCAATGCGGGGCATCAGGCACTTAAGAGTCGTGCCATAATTTTCTGTTCTGTTCACCAAACTCCCAAACAGACACTGCTATGTTCCTAGTGTCATGATAACCTAATTTGGTGTTTCTGTGGTTTGTCTGACGGGAGACTCAAAGCTAGGCAATGGAGTTTTGGTTCGGGATGTGAGATCCGAAGGACAATCTGGTCACGACAGTAAAAGTGTGCAGTCGGTCCCATTCACCCATTCTCACAGGCTAGGTAGTCTCCATAGCAGGACGGTCCTATGGTGGCAAGCCTAGCATTCTTGATGGCACATGGGTATCCAGAAGGTCAAGGGGAGTTTAAATGCTGAGGAACACCGACGTGCAGACAAATATTCATTGTGAAAGGAAATGCGACTTACTTTTAGACACCGAACGACACTTTTTGGATTCCGAGCAAAGCAGCAGAAATATAGCGCCTTCACACGAAACTCCAGTAAGATCCGAGGGTACCAAGGGGAAAGTCTTTTTCTCGTTAGAATGACAAGATCAATCCTTTTAGACTCCTAGAGCTCTAATTGCGCCGCAATGAAAATCGGGGGAATCGAGATAATTGGGAAATAAAACCCGCAGTGGACCGTCGCGACGATGCGATGGCCGAAGACGTATGGGAATACTGAGCAGGCCGCGCACACACAGAAAACGCTCTTTTTTTTGCAAAACGTACGCAACCAACAAATTCGCGTAGCGGGCGAAAAGAAGGATTGGGGCTCAGACCGATAATTAGGGTTGAGGAGAAGGGAGGAAGAGAAGGAAAAATGAATGTGAGGGTGGAGAGTAAGAGTAGAGCGAGAGAAGGAGAATTAAAACAGCAAGCAAGAAACACAAAAGCAGAACAACGATAGTGCTGGTTTGGGTTTGCGTGTAGTGTGGATGTGTGTGAGTGGGAAAAAAGGTGGAATTGGAACTGGGCTGGGGCCCTCTGGGGTGGAGGAGAATTCAGTCTCCAACGGGGTGCCATGGGCCCAAGGGCCGCCAGAGCGCCCCCCATCAGTTGCCAAGGTGGATCTGCCAGACCAAAGCCGCACCTACTACTCCAAACTTTAAAAAGGAAAGAAGAACAGGCCTGGCCGAGTTAAGAAAAGAAAAAAAGCTCACCATGCTTGTCAAGCTCCTCTCCCTGCTCTGTATACATATTTTAGTCCCATGAAAAAAATATGAACTACTGCATGTAATAGATTTGACTAAATAAAGACGGCGTATTTTGGTAATTGGGTACATACATATGTAGGGTTGCCTCTTGAAAAGATTCATGGTTTATAATCTACGCATGCATGCATGTTCAGTGTATACTAGGTACCTACCTACCTACTTGAATGTACAATACATATAAGTATGCACTACATACTAGACACTATAACATTGAATAGAACAGAACATTCAGCGTTGAGCCATCGATTGAAATACCAATACATACGTACATGTATGTAGATGTCTTCTTCAATCTTACATGTACATATGTATTTACCTGACTCTCAAGAGATACATGTACTGTGTAGGTATTTAATGTAAGTAAGTACATAAGCCACTAAAATAGTAGTACGTAGCTCCATCAATTCTCGCAACATGACATACAACATGCAGCTCGGCTTTCTAATTCATATAAGAGTTATCATGATATGCAAGTAACGTAACAGAATTATTGCCAGGAAATTTTGATAAATTCACCTGGATCAAAGATGAGAGACAATGAATGTCTTGCTAACAAAGGCATGGGGGAGAAGAAAGTCACAAAGGCATTTTATATGCATGCTATCAATTGATGTAAAAAGAAGTTACCTTCAGATTGTGTTCAACCCTGCCTTCAAGTTGTATATAAGGGGAGCCAGCTACACTGCATACAATGGTACATGCTGGTAGTAGCTGGTATATGCATGTACCTAGTGCAGTACCAATTCCTACATGTATGTAGGTGCATATGTATGTACATATAGAGCATACTATGTATAGGCACGCTAGTAGATAGGTCCATGTAGAACATGGATGCTTAATCAATTGATGTTCATTGACGAGGAATGCACGTACATATTAAGCTAACCTTACATAGATGTAGGTGAAGTCAGTGCCCCACCTTACCAAGGTAAAATCAGTCCTACGTAATAATACCAAATCAATTACTATGCCGTATGATACCACGGAGTACGTAGTACTTTGCACCTGTGTGCAGCACGATTAGTGCAGATTAGTGCAGATACCGCTCCAGTATGTATGACTCCTGTATCTCACCATATCCAAGACAGCTACTCCGACAGCTACCTATGTATGTACTCCTACAATGTATGTAGGTTAGGTTAGTGATGTCTACATATAATAGGTATGTATATATATGTGGATGTTGCCTCAACTCAAATCGCATTAGATGCTCACCATAATACCTATCATAATACATACTTCTTCAGCACACTAAACACGCAGCCATACATACGTACTAAGTAGTTGCCGAAGGTCGTATCCGTTCCGGGGAAAGGGGGGGGGAGGGGACGAATATTTTCAATAGACGGAAGCCTAGGACAAGGTTAGACATCGCAAAATCGCAATAAACTTGGAACTTGATCTTGAAATTGTAGGCTTTCTGTGTACTCGTCCACAGAAACCATTTGCGAATTTTCATGTTGAATAAAATATGCAGCAAACGACCGATATTTATTACATGTAGACTATAGATAGTCATTACATTAGCAGATGTATAAGTCTCTTTTGAAGTTTTGATGCTGTCCTTCGTACTGAACAATAGGGTACCTAACATTGCAAGGGGTATGCAAACGTCGTAGGACAAAGATAATTCTAGCTTCAAATACATAAATACACATGTCTTCCTTTAAGCAAAGCTCTCATAATATTATCATGCAGATTGGTTGCACTCCATCCATTTTGTTTTTCGGAGAGGGGCTTTAGCCTTCTGGTACCTAGAATGTAGGTTAGAAACTTCTATTAAATGGCTACTCCAAAGAAAGCATGCTATGACCAGCCTCAGCGCTGTTTGTTAAGATCCGATGATTTGCCACTCTGCAGGTCTTGCTTTGAAACACGTTTTTTACGTTGAAATACACTCTAATTTCTCTTAGGTATCGTAACTTGTGGAGTGTCTTAATCCGGGAATAGTTTGTTTGTCGGTTTGTACCCGACAATATATTTCATGAGCTGTAATAAGGCTATCTACTGATTGGATGTTTTCTAGTAATGAATACATATATATCTATGTATATATTTATACCTATACAATACATGTAGCGAGACATCAGGGCATCTAGAAAAGAAAGGGAAGCAAAAACCTCTACCGGCATCGAGCTGGCTGAAGTCGGGCTAGCCTTTGTCTGGCATGCACCATAGTAGGTGGTAATGATCGGGCATTACCGCAAACGAGTTGAGATTGGTTGTGTGACGGCGCAATAGCACGTGTGTACGAGGGGGAGGACTATAAAATCTGGGACTTAGATCTCGAATCACGAAATAGCTCTCACCCCGGGAAATGCGACGATCTGCAAGACCCCTGTCTGGTTGGCAGCCTAGCAAGCCTACCTAACCTAGGTACATAAAGATGCAGATTGCGGATTGCCAGATGGTGAGCATCGATGTACTTACTCATAGTACCTCCGGGAGAACACGACTTGAAATAGAGTTATTTCTAGAATAAGAGTACATATATTTTATGTAAATATATTTACATGCAGCAATGAATTTACGTATGAAGAAATTTCTATGTTGAACATGTCCATATTTTTTTATGGCTGGCGCAGAACATCAAGCGGCCGGACGAGTCTTAGCGTAGCAGGATCCGCAAGTAGTTACTTTGCAATAACTACATCCTGCCTAACTATGTAACCTACATACTATGGTAATATCTCGGGCCATGAACCTACATATCTGTCCGTGCCATTTTATTTCAGACCAGCAAACTTTTTGTCTATCCCCATTAATTACTTGGCTTCCAAGCAATTACGCGCATGCGACTAACCATTAGACTAGGCCCGCCATCTGGGTCCAATGCCCTCTCTTGATCCGTCAAGATGATATCTGTCCTAGCCAGCCTATGTATCAGTACGCGTACATATTGCAGGATACATGCAATGTATATCTGCAAGGCACGAGATCTGGCTTTTCTTAATCCATATTCTACTATGTACCAGACATATCTACAGCCCAAATTTTCTACCTTCATCGTTACATATGTGCATATAGTTACCTTTACCCCCTTTTTAATACCGGTCCGAAAACGACGTGCTTGTTGTTGGGAAAATCTCGCAGGGCTAATACTAGTAGGTACTGCATAATAATACATATACATATGTAGGCAACTCACAGTCTTACACGTATACGTATATACATACTGACCTACATACATGTCCCTATCTACTATGTAGTACAGACTCGTTTGCAAAACCTTGAAATACATCAATTGAACTTTTCAGGTGCCAATACATAGGCCCAAGGGCCAATACACTATTCAAGGAGTATGCCACCATGCTTTCCACGCCATCTGATTGGCTCCGAAAAATGTGGTTGCGCTAAGATCAATCAGGCGGGGCCCGGCTCCGTTTGTGTTTGACGGCACTTCCGGCCTTCCGAACTTTTTTTCTTTTTTTTTTCTTTTTACCTGCTCCCTCCTGGCACCTGCTAATACATATGTACCTTTTCTACACTCCTTCATCGCCAAGAAATGAAGTCATTGAGTCGTGCCAATGACTAGCTCCATAGGCCTAAGCTCGTTCAACAAATGTACATAGTACCTACCTACTACTACTAGGTACCTAGTAGTACTAGGTACCCAGTAGGCTAGCAGACGTTACATAGTTCCATAACGCCATAACAGGCCCACACTTGGGATAACTAACCATGGAATTATTATATCTTGTAAGAACACGTTCAGTTATCTTCCCAATTATCGTCGGCACATGTACGTAACAATTCCAACCCTGTCAAGTGTCAACTACATATATGTACATACAGTACCTAGCCCTGGAGGTTACATGTAGTCCTCCATTGCAGTTGTGACATGTTAGGCACGCATATGCATTTCATGTTAACTAATATCGGGTCCAAGTTTTCCCAATAGGATCGGTTAAGAGTACACATCCTACTACATATGACATGTGTACATAGATGCTAGTGGTGCATAGTACCTACATGTGACATGTGTAGTAGGTACATGTAGGTGCCATTCAAGTTGAAGGTATGTAGGTACCTGTACATATGTATTCTAAGTTTTGTCAGCGACTCAGCGTGCCACCGTCACCCTGGGCGTACATATGTAACTATTCAAAGGGGCGGCGCTTGAAATGAGGTTCAAGCCGTTCAGGTTGGTTAGCTGCAGATGGATCCAAGGACTGCTGTAGGTGCGATAATACTATATTCAGGCGGCCCTACTACGACATCTGGGGTTTTACTCGTAATATTGAGGCCACATACATACACATGACCTTACATGTAGGTCTATTAAGGTTTGCGCCTATGAGGTCGGATACGGTCCTTGGATTCTTGCGGATAGCAGCAGTCATTTTCAACATGAAGCATTTTTCCATGCTCCTCTCTAATTTTGCAATGCCTTATGACGTTATATTATTCGTATAATATCGAATTTTGCCCAGGGTCAATGTCTTGAGAGAATTAGTGAGATACTATCACCATTGTCGTGATGGCGGCTCAAAAAAATGCGAACAGGAGTGGTGGGCTACGCCGAAGGGCCGACATTAGCCAAGGGACGTTAAGGACATGGATAGTTGATGAGAATCAAGTTGGCCCGCGATCCAACTTACTTAATACTAGATAGCCGAATGCACACCTACATTTTATACTACACATGCATACTATATGGGCTATATATAGGTAGGCATGTATGATATGTTCCTCTCAGAGATCAGATCAACATTTGAACATCTAGAATCTGGAAGTCTTCAAGCTACTATGTACATCAATTATGTATATGTACATACTAAGTTACTAACTAGTGTCACTGGTAACTACATACATAGTACATACTCGAGTGCTTATGTAATCAAATTTGTCGGCGAAGCCAGCCACACATGGCTGTGCTAAGACAGCATCAATGATTAATCCGTGGCCCGTGGCCCGTGATCCGTGATTACATAACTACCTAGGTACATAGTATCTTGAACTGCCACATTCAATTGATGATCTTCTCGCTTCTACTCCGTACATCCATATTCGTTGCCATTGTGTGCCTAACTTAGTACTTAGTACCTATTGGTCTGTTGACTTGCGCATCTTGCTGGCTACCTAATAACAGTCGCCCGAGTAAGGGCCAGATAAAAAGGTTGCAAAATCGCCAACCACAGCACATCTCGAATGTACTACCTAAGTAAATCGATTGAATATAATCATAAATCACCAAAAAACCAGGCTAGCGGCATGATTCGAGATTCGCTGTGTGACTTTCTACCTGATAACCCGTCGTTTAGATTTCCAGGTCACGCACAGCATTGATTTCACTTGCAGCATAACAGCATATAGCATACAGCCTTCAGCATTTTCATACTAAACACTCTTCTACACATCTCCCCCCACTCCCCACCCCCGTCTCTGGCGGGTTAGCAGATGATGTCTTCATCCAGCGAGGGAGCAGAGCTTAAGCTCGTGTCCTCAATACGCTATAAATTTGCCAGTGTATCCGGCGACGAGAAGAAGCTTAGCGACGTTCTGCACACCCACCTTGTGCCCCTTCTTGATAAAGCCGGTAGCCAAAACAAAGCTGTCCGGGATGCTGTATGAAACCAATCCTCGCGCACCATCATATAAACAACGCTAAATTATCAGGACAGGCTTTTCAAGCGTTCATCAGTGTCAACAACTTTGTCAAGCCCGTGGGGTATGTACCATTCTTGACACCCGATACGATGTAGAAACCTACGCTGACCTGGACACAAGCGTGGTTCTGCCTGTCGCCGCTCTTATAGGCCAGTATAAGAGGAACAGTTCGCCTATGGTAAAACAGCTGGACCTTAACCTCATCAAGCAGGGAATCCTTAGACTGAGCCAGCCGGAACGCCGAAGCCTGCTTCCCGTAGTCCTTCGAGGAATCTCGAAGGAGACTAGCTCGAGCGGCGCGGCTGGTTTCTTCAACATCTTCCTTCGCCTACTACTAGATATTCAAATACCTTCACGGGGTAGCAATGAAGATCTTGCGTTTCGAGAAAACTCTGGTCTCTCTGACCCAGCGGATGCCAAATACTTGTCTCAGTGGCTGGGAAAACTCTTCCTTTTCAGACAAGACCTAGCCTTGGCAACTGAAGAGGAGCTCGATGCGAAGCTCCTAGCTTTACCATCCGGCCTTTCTCGTGAGGATGTCGCATTTCTAAGAAATAACAATCCCCTTACCTGGAACCCACGTAGTCCAAACAGCCTCAGCTTACCGGAATGTAAAACCAAGGTCGTCAATTTCTTAGCCAGTGGGGCCTTCACAGATAGCGAGCGTCATATACCTGCCATATGTGCCTCTGGATCTTCAGACTCACGAATCACCTTGATAGCTGAAGACGTTATAAAACGCTCGAATATTGAGCTCGAAAACAAGGAGGTGGTTCAATCGCTATATAATGCACATAAGAGGTTCCCCGCCGCTCATCGGATACAGATCCTCAAGCTACTTTCTAAGTCCGTTGTCGCTTGCAGCTTCAAAAGCGAGATTGTAGAAGCTGTGAAAGAGGACTTCGACCTTGCTTCTGGGGAAAATGCTTCCGTCCTTGGCCTCGAGGGCCTGCGATTAAACAAGGCGCTATTGGCATTTTTGGGCTGGATTGCTCGGAATGGTTCTACAATCGACGACACTGGCCATGACATAGGCCCTATCCTCGTTCTTATTTTGAAGGATTACATCCTAAGCCAAGGGTGGCCAGAGCCAGCACCTCGAGGGAACCAATCACAAACTCAAGATGAACAGAGATTGCGAGCCAATGCGTACGAAACGATTGGTATTCTAGCTAGGGGGTCTCGTTTTGAGCATAAAGCGAAGGACTCACTCCTCAAGTGGCTATTCGACTCTCTAGTCTCCGATCCAAGCCCAGAAATTGTCGTCTATATCGAGAGCGCTTTGTCAAGTATGATGGGCCTCTTCAAGCCGACCACCTTGGCAGAAAACAGGGACCTGGAAATACTTCTCCTAGAGTATATGACCTTGCCCGAGGTGCAAGGCAGGAGGACGGCACGGCATGTGGCAGCACGTTTTGCAAACAATTCTCTCCCTTACAGTAACATACAGGCTCGATGGATCAACATGCTTGCCTTGGGGGGTGGGACTTCTCAACGACGCGACGTATTAGAAGAAGGACAACGAGGACTCGATCCTTGGTGGGGAAGCAAATTGCATCCTGACACTCGACTAACTCTACCAGACTGGACAAAGTTGGCAAGGAAACTTTTCGATACCGGTTACGAGGAACCTGATGAGGATCAAATGGTTATTGACCATAAGTCCAGATACATATTGTTCCGCAATGGTCATCTTCAAGCTTTCCCAATTGCGATACGTTATGTAAAGCAGATTTTGTTTCTGACTGCATTGAACGAAGATCAATTTGAAGTGGACTGGGAGTCGCAACTGGAAAGAAACCTTCAGAACAGTCTACAGACCCGAAACAGCATTAGAAAATACCTTTCCACCGCTGATAAGGAAGCCCTCTCGGCAATACTCAACGCAGCTTTCGATGGCCTGCGGGATCATCCTGACCTTGGCGCTGAAGAGTACGTTAGCTGCCTCGCGGGAATTCTCCCATTCGCTCCATCAGTTGATATTATATCACCCCTATCCGCGAGGACGTCAGAATTGCTTGCCGTGATAAAATCAAACAATCAGAACGTAAGGCAACTAGCGTCAAAGGTCTTCGGAATACTTGCTCCATGGAACAACCAATCTCCCACCATGATTTCCCAACTACGAAATTTCGTCGAGTCCTGTCAAGAGCCTTCAGCATCTCAGTCTGCGGAGTATCAGGGCTCTCTTCTTTGCCTAGGAAGCTACTTTTCTCGGGCCGCCTATTATGGTAAAGTTAAACCCGATGATGTAACCGACCATGTTCATTTTATCTATGAAAGCTTCACTGCTGCTTTACAAAGGGGGAGTGATGATATCACGTCTGCTGCTTTAGACTCCATGGCTGAAATCTGGACTGCAAATATTCACTTTCCCCAGAATGATGAAGATCTAGTGAGAACCGTCGATTCTCTCGCTAAGCTCGCAATTTCAGGGAACGAAAAAGCGATAAGTACGTTGGGGAGGCTGTCAATACCGTCTCCAGCTAGCTTGTCGGATAGTGAGGCAGATCCCCTGACAAATATCATGAGAAAACTATTTGAATTGTCTGAAATCAGGAGGACGGAAGTTCATTTTGCTACCGGAGAGGCAATTGCATGTGCGATAGCACGTTGGGATTCCGAGGCTCTACAACTCAGCCTAGACGTCGAACCCTCCGGAACTGGTAGATCAGGAATCATTGATGTGCTCACGAAACGGCCTTCCACCATTAGTAAAACAGTCGATAAGCTCATCACCGATTGTAAAACTACGAAGCCATCGTTGTTGAAAGCCTCGGGGATATGGCTCTTCTGTATAATTCAGTACTGCTCTAACCTCCCCGAGATACAATCCCGGTTGCGCGAGTGCCAGGTTGCATTCATGCGACTGTTAACTGCTCGTGATGAGCTCGTACAAGAAACCGCGTCTCGTGGTCTTGCATTAGTTTATGAGAAGGGGGACCAGTCTCTCAAGGGTGACCTTGTGAAGGACCTAGTAGCAAGCTTTACGGGGAACAAAACACAGCTAAAAGTTGATGAAGACACGGAGCTTTTTGATGCAGGTGCCCTACCGACAGGCGAAGGCAAGTCGATCACGTCATACAAAGATATCATCAGTCTTGCCAACGAAGTGGGCGATCAAAGTCTTATATATAAGTTTATGGCTCTCGCTACAAATGCTGCAACATGGACTGCTCGTTCAGCCTTTGGCCGGTTCGGGTTAAGTAATATCTTGTCCGATGCGGAATTGGATCCCAAGATATATCCAAAGTTATATCGGTACCGGTTCGATCCAAACTCCAACGTGCGAAGGTCAATGGATGACATCTGGAAAGCAGTTGTCAAAGACCAAACAGCCATCATCGATACACATTTTGATTCCATCATGAACGACCTCCTGAGAAGTATCCTAGATGGTAAGGAATGGCGTGTGCGGGAGGCGAGCTGTGCAGCAATAGCGGAACTTGTCTACGGAAAGCCATTTCCTAAGTATAAAATGTACTACACAGATATCTGGAAGGTGACACTGAGAGTCCTTGATGATCAGAAAGGTTCTGTTAGGGCTGCCGCGTACAAGCTTTGCATGAGTTTGTCAAAGACACTTATCACGCAACTCCAGGAGAACAACTCTTCAGCTTCTGCCAGAGCAATGATTGCCGAAGTCCTCCCATTCCTACTGTCCGATAAGGGCATTGAAAATTCGGTTCAAGATGTGAAACTAATGTCGATCAGCACAGTCCTAGACGTTGTCAAGAACGGGGGTGATGCGCTGAAGTCCTTCATCTCCACCATCATTACACATTTCCTGGGACTACTCAGCACCGTGGAGCCAGAAGTGGTTAATTACTATTATCAACGAGTTAACGAAGAAGATCGCGAAGGTCTTGACAAATTACGAAGCAGTGCTGTCACGCGATCACCCATGTTCGAGTGTATAATGGACTGTTTGCGATATGTCGATGAGGATATTATGAAAGGACTAGCACCCCAACTAGTGTCGACTATTAAGTCGGCTATCGGAATGCAAACGAAGATTGGATGTGGTGAGGTTCTGAGCACTCTTGCTCTTCGACATAGCGTTTTTTTGCCGCCATACAACGCACTGTTCCTGAAGACTATGGAAACGCAAATTCTCGATCGAAACCACGAAACAAGCAAGGCCTATGCGAGAAGCTCGGCGTATTTGTTGCGGTCGGCAAACCTAGAAGCACGAGATCGGTTCACAACCAGAATCCTAGATTTATATTTTGCAGCCGATGATGATACGAGACGACAGAAAGTTGCCGACGTGGTCTTAGCTATAGCGAAGGTGTCCCCAGACGTGTTTACCGACCTAGAAGCTCGTCTCTTACCTTTCGCGTACTTTGGAAAGCATGACACCGACGAATACGTATCTGAGGAATTTGAAGCAGTTTGGGGTCAACATGCTGGAGGAAGTCATACTGTTAAGCGTTTCATTGATGAAATCACACGATTCGCTATCAAAGGGTTGGCCACCTCAAAATGGGCACTTCAGCATGGTGCTGCATTAACTATTGCGTCTATGGTTACGGCTCTCAGCAGCGCTATCGGAAATGATGGACAGCTTGCTGAGTCAGATTTGCGGAATATATGGCCAGTGCTGGACAAGGCGCTGTCGCTAAAGACGTTCAAGGGCAAAGAAAAGCTAGTGACGGCATACCCTCTCTTCGTTCTCCACGGCAAGAGTCTATGGGCGGCAGACTCAGTCCTCGCGGCACAAATGAAGAAGATAGCGATACGTGAAGCGAAACGAAACAACGACGAATACCGGCCTCATGCTCTTCAAGCACTTGCTGAATTCGCCAAAGCTCGTGATGACCTAGACATGTATGCGGAGGTAGTTAGTTTGGCGTCACAGTACCTTGAGCCTGACGATGAAGCTCATAAGATCACGGAACTAGAGCGGAAGACTACCGACGCGGCACTGAGAGTTGCTTTGACATCGTACAATCGGCACAAATTGCAATCAACCCCCATTGCCGTACTTGGAGATGTGGCTACTACGGCGGAGGGGGCGAAGCAAGCTATCTCTCTCGCGAAGGACACCTGGTTCACTAGCGTAACTGAGATTATGGATGAGGTGGCAGTCTTGGGGGGCTCTACGGATACGGGGGCGGGTGTAATTGCTACTCGGTGGTTCAGATTACTAGTAGCGAACGAGGGCGAAGTAATCCTCGAGAATCAACGGTCCAGTAGAGCTAAAGCGCTTGGTGCGTTTGTAAAGGCATGGAACAAGGGCGTGTTTGGGTCCGTTGGCGAGCAGGGGGTACTGCGCGAGGAGATATCAGAGAAGTTGAAGGTGATGGTGGAGGCGGAGCGGTCGATAGATGTACAGAAGCTCCTGGATCAGGTTGCGAAACAACTCGAAGTTGTCTAAGGATGGATGAGTGGAGGTGATTTGGTGTAGGTAGGTACCTAGATATACCAAGGTATATATTCCTTAGTGCCTATTCATAGATAGATGATAACTTGAAGTTCCATTGGCTCTCTATAAGTAGACTTAAAGTAGTACATACACTATGATACACAGTACCTAGTAGTACTAGGTAATGCATGAGGTTCAACATTAGGTACATGTACTACACAGTCTACACTATGTAATACAGTGATAGGTAATAGTAGGGGTATATTCGTAGTACCTAAGGTAAGCAACGGGGAATCATCGGAGAAAAAGATAAGGCTGCCTTTTTCTCCACTAATAATTTATACCTTGGCGCTCGGCCCCATAAGATGTCCTAGGTAGGGTAGGTTGCGTCACAATAGCCGCCTCTGATGCCCTGATGCCCATAACATTTTCAAAACATCCATGGATCAAACCGTAATATTACAACTTCCTTCCGCGTTTGTCTTCAAAGGCTGGTTGTGGTTTCTTTCAGTTCCTTCTTGGTGAAACTAAACCACCTGCGCTGGCGTTTTAAGCAAGGAAACAACAACAAATCACCTAATCCTAGAGTTCCTAAGGTTCCTCAGGTTCCGTACTAGGTATTTTATGACTTATCGTCTTCCACTTCCACCACTTCCACTTCTTCCACTCCCACTTCTTCCACTCCCACTTCTTCCACTTCTTCCACTTCCACTTCTTCTATTTACCTCCCACTACGGCGAATCCCAACTACACGGGTCCATAAACTTCGACAATACCTTACTACAGCGGCCAAATTATTTGAATAGATAAAAAGGGAAGGGAGGGGAAAAAATCAATCACCTCGCCGAACTCACGACTCTTACCTCGAATATTCTCCGATCCGACACTTTTTATCCATAGACAAATCACACCCTTTCGCATTTCCCTTCTTGGAAAACACGGGACAGTCCTGTTTTCGCGAAGATGGATGAAGACGTAGAACAGTTCATGAGCATAACTGGCGTCGCTTCTGAGCACGTTGCTCGCGGTTACCTCGAGATCTCAGGTGGCGACCCTATGCAGGCCATTCAGCTCTTTTTCGAGAATCCCGAGTTGCAAGCAAGTTTCAATGCGCCTACCACATCGTCTTCTACTTCTGCGCAGCAACCTGCACCACACTCCGCCGCAAGACCAAGCCAAGCTTTCACCGGTCGCCAGGACGCCCGTGGTGTCATCCACATAGACTCTGATGACGACGACAACGATGGAGACTTACAAATGGCCGATAATCCATATGTTGTACCCGACGATGATGACGATGACGTCGCTGCCATAGCAAGAAGCGCGCAAGAGGAAGAGGATGCGGCCATGGCAAGACGGCTACAAGAAGAGATGTACTCGGAGAACCACGCAGGAGCAGATGGAGTAAGAGCTCCTATAGCACAAACTACCGAGACACTAGCGGCACCTGACCCATCGTGGGGGTTGGAGGACGACCGAGAAGCTGCTGTCATGGAGCAACTACATCGACGACGTAGAGTCCAGGGTTAGTACCGCAAAATTAGCACGTTCAATTTTGTCTGTCTTGCTAATGTTCATACTTAGCTACCAGTGCTAACCCCTTTAGCCAGTCCTCAGTAGATTGGTTCGACATGGGAGAGGGCGCGAGGCCACAAAACCCACAAGGTGGCTCAGATGCTACTACACGAAGGCTTAGAGACCTCTTCTCCCCCCCAACAGGTTTGATGACTCGTCTACCTTTGGACAGTGCGAGGGATGTCGGAAAGGAGGAGAAGAAGTGGATTCTCGTCAATCTCCAGAAGTTGGAAGATTTCCGATGCCAGGTCCTCAACAGAGATCACTGGAAGAACGAGAATATCGTGAGTTTAGTGCGTGAGCATTTCATTTTCCTACAATACACACTTGACGACCCATTTGCTTCGTCATACACGACGTTTTACTTCGCCAATCAGGCGCACGAGGACGAAAACAATTATCCTCATGTTTCTATCATTGACCCCCGCACTGGAGAGCAAGTCAAAGTGTGGTCAGGGGAGTCTTTTCCCTCCCCGGCAGAGTTCCACTCCGATCTCGTGGAGTTTTTAGACCGATATAGCTTGGAGGCCAACAGCAAGAATCCGGTGGTCAAGACGAAACCGAAAACAAAACCAAAAGACATTAGCCGAATGACGGATGAGGAGATGCTTGAGATGGCTTTGCAAAATAGCCTCAATGAAGATGGCACATCCTCGGGACCTAGTGTCCAAGACCCGGATGCACTCACGAAGTCAAACCCTGATATTGGAAAAGGAAAAGGCAAAGCAGTTGAGGAACCAACTCAAGCGCCTCTTTCTCCCCAAGCAGCGGCCGGGTCGATCTTCTCCCAAATATCAGGGACTAATCCCCACGTAGAGCCGGAGAACAACCCGGCTACTACAACTAGGATACAATTTCGGCATGCGGGTGGTCGCATCATCCGACGATTCTCTGTCACAGATCCAGTACGTCGCATATACGAGTGGCTCAAAGCCGAACCTCTCGAGTCCAAGCAGGGCGTTCATTTCGAGCTCAAGGCGATGCCCGCGGGTAGAGATCTCATCGAGGACCTCGAGAAAACCATTGAGGAGGCCAGTCTAAAGCAAGGCACGGTCATGATCGAGTTTATTGAGGACTCGTAAGTAGTTTGCACGTTCTCGGCAATGAAATCACTCGCCAGGGTCACTACAATACGGGGGGGTAACGGGTTAACAGGAGGGTTTTCTACGTGCATCACGACGAGACATCGTCTATGACCAGGGGTGGCGAGAGAATAGTGCCATGTTATTTATAGATTTAGCTGCCCACGACTAACTTTTGCTTCAGCTAGCTTGTTGCATACATCCGTATTCGGTTTTATTAGAGAACCAGGACCTCATTGAATGTCCCCTCTGCATCTACTGCTTGACTTAGCACTCCCTTCGTAATAAGCTGTTGTGCGTGATACAGATACAGATACACTCGCTTAAATTACGGTCAACATGTGCTATTACGAGTTTGCGGAAATATTATTATCGAACTATGCGTCGAATAGACTGATATCCCATGATTGTAATACATTCCTTTTTCGTGCCACCTAGCCCATATGACACTCGAATTTAGAATTAAGGGAGTGTCCTGAGCAATAATAGACTCGTAAGAAAAGAATGAGTCGATGTGAGATGAATGGGCAAGTTGATAACGAATATTATAGAATCGACATAGCCAACGTCATAGAAGATCTCATGACTCTTTGTGGTGGTCAGTGGTGAATATAATGGATTGATGGGGTGTAGGATAAATAGAGAGAAGCATGATTGAAAAGTAAACTTAGGAAATGGTGATTCCAGAGCTCTGCCTGGCTTGCGAGAAACGAGATGTGCAATGACAAACTCAAGGGCACGAGGGAGTAGATATGAAGTTAGCAAACGGTACTCTTCCGATCCTTCTCGCTATAGTTTCGACATGGCTAACCTCAAATCAAAGCAAATATTAGGTATCTACTTATTGATCCTTGCTTCTTGACTACACTCGTCAGGTTATCTTGGTTACAGTGTTGTAGGTTAGAAGATACTCCTACGATTTAAGTTGTTAACCTCGACTCATATGTAGGACACACAAGAACCTCGAGTATCACGTTCAAAGGGCATAGAAAGCAACCAATCATGTTTATGGATGTAAGTGAGAAACTTTCCAAAGGCTAAGGTAAAATGCTGATGATATTAAAGTATACTCTAGTCTACCTATACTCAATTATGGGTATCACGTCGTCTAATCATCTATCTAAGGTATGTATATGTATGTGTATAAAAAGAACAGGCGGGGTATTAGTTCTTGACTCTATCGCGGTCAAGGTCCACCTCAGATACGTTGATAAACTTGGTCCGGAATACAAGCTTGTGTCCCACGTAAAGGACGAGGAATAGGATCAGGCTGACATACGACACAAAGAAGTCGCTAGTGCTCCACTCAATGAAGACCGTGAATCCATTCGTTAAGAGGATTAGCACAGCAAAGAAGAGTCCAAACCACGTCAGGTATGGTTGTAAGGGTGCCGCGTATGGTAACACTGTTCGAGAAATTCCCTTGGCCTTTAGGACCTTCATGAATCGCAAGTGGCAGATGCTTATACAGGACCAGGTAATGAAGCCAGCTATCGCGGTAATGTTTAATAACCAACTGAAGACATTTCCTCCACTCTCCGATAGGTTGAGGAAAGCAAGAAGGCCGACTGCTGAAGTGGCACCAACCGCGAAGTATGGGGTTCCGTGCTGATTTGTTCGGCTTAGGAGTGCGGGAGCATTGTTTTCTGTGGCCAAGCCAACCAAGATTCGACTTCCAGAATAAACGTTCGAATTCGCGGCGGAGAGTACAGCGGTTAAAAGAACAGCGTTGATGATGTGAGGAAGGACGGCAACTCCAGCTAGATTGGCTGCGATGACAAGTGGTGATGCTGAGGCATTGGTAGTGCCGATCAAGAGATCCTCAGTGTCAGATGGCACTAACAAACCCACAAAGAAGATGGTTGCCACAAATAATGAGAATATGCCCCAGAACGTCCACCGGATGGCCTTTGGCACATTCTTGGCTGGGTCGTGGGTCTCTCCTGCACCTATACCAACAAGTTCGGCACCTTGATAACTGAACCCGGCAGTGACCAGAACTGACCAGAACCCAATGAATTTGCCTGTGTTGCCAGTTGTGATGTATTCAGCAAAGGGGCCAGGGGTAGACCAAGCATGGAACCCAAGGTAACCATTTCTTCCCGCCCCAGCGTCGATGCAAATGGCGAAGATGATGAAGCCAATAATGGTGACAACCTTGATCATGGAGAACCACATTTCGAAGGCTCCAAACCATCGGATGGGTAAGAAGTTCATAGCTGTAAAGACTGCCCAAAAGATGGCAATGAAGATTCCGATGCTGAGATCCGCATCCCAATACTGGATAATGACGCCAGCCGCCACAAGTTCGAGAGCAAAAGTTATCGACCAACTAAACCAATAGATCCATCCCATTGCAAATCCGAGAGAGCGGTCGACGAATCGAGAAGCGTACACGGTGAAGGATCCGGCCACAGGTATAAACGCTGCCATCTCGCCAAGACTAGTCATAATAGAAAACACAATCGAACCGACAAAGATGAAGGCGATGAGACAGCCGACGGGGCCAGCTGTTGCCAGAGCCTCTCCGCTACCAAGGAACAAGCCAGTACCGACAGTGCCTCCAATGGCAATGAACTGTAAGTGGTAGCTCTGGAGGCCACGATGAAGCTGATCCTCGCCAGTTTCGACATCTTTGTGGTCGTTGGCGGATGGCGAGGATTCCTTTGGGCTCTTCTCCCCTTCGCTCATAGATGAGTCCACCCCGACAACTGGGGATATTTGACGGTGAAGGCCCATGGATGCGTTGGAGGCTTGAAGCACTAGGGCAGGATGAAATTTTTATGTAATTAGTTGCTTGATGAAAGATGGGGTTTGGGGGGGAAGTTCAGTAGTGTGGCCTCTGGAAGGGCAAGATTCATATATATGTTTATTGAGACATTACTATCAACTTTTCAACTACCTACTTCCCAGGAAGAAAGGAAAGAAAAGAAGAAGAAAAAGTTTTTACCCGACCCATTCGCGAGTCTTAGCACGGCGTTACCGAAACGGTCTCATGATCCGGACGGGCCCATTTACTATTACGCAGTCTACAATGACAGCTCGGTGGAAGATCTAGTGATTTTAGTCAGTGGCGGATCGTGAGAGTTGAGGTCCACTGAAATAATTTTTGCTCTCCTTCCCCTATATGGATTGACGAATGAGACTCTAAGGCCGGCTGCTGTAACCCTTGACAGGGTTAGTGAATGCTAGTGGGCCGAGTCCCGCGCAATCCCGAGACGACTCTGTCGGAATCACGTTCACGTAGGATGTACTTACTTACCTTGGTAAGTGACTTTTCCGCCATCATAGCATGATATCATCTTCGTACTAAGTTCGTAGTAAGTATGTGCATACAGTACCTACCTATTCAGTTCCCTTTTGACAGGATATCTTGTTTTCGAATAGAAAGCATTCCCGATAGCCGAATCTTCGGCATGGGTAGATCGCTTCACAAACTGACAAGCTACAGTATGTCAAACATCCCCTAATTTGAGCAGTACCTAAGTAGGGTTTTTTTTCTAAAAGCTAGGCAATGGTTATGAGTGGATGCGAAAACAATCAAGCTCTAAAACTAAAATAACGTCGTGGGTCGAGGTGCTTAAGGCTGGTGAGTTAGCTCGTTAGATCGTTAGATCCAGCTAATCTCTGCCTGATTTAGTTTGGAATACATAGCCGCAAACAAGATATTTGTAGGTTCCAAAGTATCATAACGTTAGCAGTTGCTAAGCGTAAAAGTTCTTATTCCCTCATACTATCCATCGCGTCTCAGGAAGAGACGATGTGGTTGATTTTAAAGATATTTCACATGTCTGTCTTAGGGTTGCGTAAAATGCGCATTATAAAATAAAATGCGCGTATTATTCATAACCCCTGTAAAATGCGTATTATACCGTATTATTCAAAAGTGGGTCACGTGACCACCCTAGCCTAATACACTTAATATATACTTACATGTAAACAAACTTTCAACACTTAAAATAATATGGGAAAAATATTTCGAATTGAATTTCAATATATGGGAAATTTTACCATTTTCCCTATGCAATGAGGCGCCCATTTGATCATGCTCTTCGAGCACATTATAATCAAAGTCCAACGCAATTTTCAAAGCTTAGTTCAGCCGGATCACTTAAACGACATATCGAGATTTGCGCGCCTTAGATAAGTTACCTGTAAAATTAGGTAATATCACCAAATTTTGGTGCAAAATTTACTCCACTTATGTACCGATCCACTTTTCCATTTCGGACCCACTGCATTTTATAATAAAATGCAATATTATATTTGAATAATACGCGAATAATACGTTTGAATAATACATTCCGCAACCCTAGTCTGTCTGCCTGTCTACCTAGCGTTGGTCTCCCGAGCTACTATAAGGGTCTCGTGCCTCCTAGCCTTATCAGTAGACTCCGAATATGACCCCATTATACTACAGGTCTATAGATAGGAACACCACTAACAACGAAAAAATCAAACAACTGCATAACTCTATTGACAAATTCTTTACAAGGTCGGTGACACAGCTTCACCAAATCCAGTGATTTTGCGCGGAACCCCGTCCGAATATATCGGGCGTGACCGCTTCTATCCATTAAGCTGGCACTGATAGCAATCCCTCGTCCTTCTTTACACCGTATATAGTCGAGTGCATCTTACACGCATCAGCAAAAGGCCAAAAGTGCCAAGTCGAGTAATCATCGATGACAATAATTAAGCAATGGTGGCATTTTGCGACCTTGCGGTCGTGGAACCTACTAAATGGCTGCTCGCAAATCGTGTTCGGAACCAATGAATATTGAGATATAGATTATGTCGCACTGCGGCGTGAAGGATTATATCGTCACGTGTTAGATACTGGATGTTACGGAAATTTTCAGCGAGAGTAATAAGGAGCTTATATACCCTCTATTTCTGTTGAAAAAAGTGAAGAGAGAATGACTTCTTAAGCACCGTGTTATAACACAAATACCTTGAGTTGGCATGAACTCGCCATTAGGATTTCGAATGGCGACGCAAGAGGGGGCTCAATGGCCTCTAGGCTCCATACAATTCTCATCATCCATTTCCATCGTCTGCGGAATAGTTGCCATAATCCTTTATGTGTGGATACCATCGCGCAACAGTCTCAAAGAGCTGCCTTGTATAAACCCTGCGAAGGGGTTCTTAGGCTTTGAATCGAAGGTTGGTTCGAAGGTTGGTGAACTTCGCGCTAAAGCATCAAGCCGATCAAGCAAATAATAGGTGGTAACATTTCCTAGAGAAAGTTCCAAGAATCCGGGGAAAGCATGCTGGTCCAAGCTAGAGAGCGATATCCCACCCAGCCGTATCGAATCAATGTGGAGATGGGAGAGAGAATTGTCTTACCCCCCGAATTTATTGAAGAGATCCGCAATGAGCCCAATTTGGTCTTTGAGGGATCTTTCGTAGAGGTCGGTGTTGACAAACAAGTCGATGGGGTTTTGGATTGTATCTAATACCTACTCTTTTACAGGACTATCATACTCATCTACCCGGGTTTGAGCCACTCGCGATGTTTCATCACGATGGGATAATGCAGGCCGTAGTCAAGAAACACCTGACCAAGGTCTCTGGTATGTCGAAGGGCACTCATAATAACCGATTCACTCCTGGAAGATGAGAGAATAGGAGAGTTAACTGAAAATCTTTTAGCTAGCATAATAAAAGCGTTGTCGAAAGAAGCCGAATTCGTTCTCTCCAGAGACATAGGCAACGATCCAGGTTAGCCCCGCAAGTCTTATGAATCGGAACAAGAAAAAACAAATAACTGACAAAAGTAAGAATGGCGTGAGATGAGAGTGTTACCCCTTATCCTCGGAATCGTCTCGTCTCTAATGGTACGCACCTTCCTTGGCGAAGAACTATGCCGGAGTCAAGAATGGATGACGGTCACTCAGCAATACGTACATAATTGGTATACCGTGACACCAAAGCTGCATATGTACCCACGGCCACTTCGAAAGATTGTACATTGGGCCTTTCCCGAATGTAGAAGGCTCCGGGCCCTAGCTAAAGAAGCACCACGACTATTAGCACCGACAATTGCGAAACGTCGTGAGATCAAGCAAGCTGCCGCTGACGCCGGCCACGAAATTCCTAGGTTCGATGATGCCTTTGAATGGCTAGAGGAAGAAGCGGCAGCAAAAGGGTTGGTTTATGACGAAAGTTTAGTCGCGTACTTCCAGATAGCCATGACCCTAGGCGCGGTTCACACAACTACTGATTTGTTGGAACAATTCATGATCGACCTCGGACGGCACCCCGATGCTACCCAGCTCATTCGTAATGAGGTCATCCACCATCTTCAAGTTGAGGGGATGTCAAACTCGTCATTTTACAAGATGAAACTGCTGGATAGTGCACTCAAGGAGACGCAGCGTCTTAAGCCCGTTGAAATGTGTAAGTACTTGTAATGATATAGCTAGCTCACAATGCTGTCAACTTGAAACCACTAACATGATATCTTTCTTTTTCTAGTAATGTTGCGCCGCCGGGCGGAGGGAGATGTGCGTTTATCGAACGGCCTTGTACTAAAGAAAGGTGTGCAGACTGTTGTGGATCCGTGCCGGATGAGAGATCCAACCGTGTACGAGAACCCGAACGAGTGGGACCCGGCCCGTTTCGCCAAGTTACGCTCGCAGACCGGTGGAGCGAAGACGGCGCAGCTGGTAAGCCCAAACCGTAACCATCTTGGATTCGGTTATGGCAACCACGTCTGTCCTGGTAGATTCTTCGCTGTGACCGACCTTAAAGTAACTCTCTGTCATTTGCTGGTAAAATACGAATGGACTATTTCTCCAGAAACAAACCCAGATCCTAGGGCGGTAGGAGTGTTACTCATCCCGAATCCTAAAGCCAAAATCTTGATTCGTAAACGAGAAAAGCCAGAGATCGATTTTGCATTGATCTAAGTTACATAAGTGTGTTAGTTTTCTTTTTCTTCTTCTTTTTTTTTCGGGGGGGTTTTTTATTTCGGGATCCGACAGTTTGTTTTATCAATCCTTGTCCGGGATGATGTGGCTTTATATTCATTCGTACATCATCTCTATGAGTCACCTTGAAGTCTTGGATCTGTGGATACATAGTAGTACATGACTACTATGTATGCATATATATTATCAATGATGTAGTTACTAATTGATGTAAATATTTACCTTTTATTTTGCGACAGCCAGTTAAATTTAATGGTTACATAGTAGAGTCTTGAAATCAGGGGGCGTTCAGGGATTACGGCTCTCTTAACCCTTGACCCTTGACCCTTGAGCTCTTAGCGACATGACATAGCGACGTAGCGACGTAACGTGGTGACCGCGTAACAAAAGCAAATCAACTAGGGTCTAACGTTATGTAACTAATTACTGGGTTACTAACTTCAAAGTTACATACCTAGGTAACTATTTGTGTAGGTACATGGAGGTACCTATCTGGGGATAATAAACTCACCGTACTTATCAATTCTCATCCAATCGACTGCATACTATGCGCCGTACCTAGTATTAGTTAGTACCAAGTACACTAAACTTGAACCATCCCTCTTCAACCCCACGGTTTGGCAGGGCGGGCAACCTGGTAAATCCAGCCCTGTCAAGCTTTGTGTTGCAGCTCTACCATTCTCTCATCCTCCCATCTCCCCATCTCCCACATCAACAAATCTTTCTTTTGCATCTTCTCCCACTCAATAACCCTTTTCTGGTGTTTCTGGCTGTTCTGACTTTTCTGATTTTTCTGGGCAATGCATTGATTGCCATTTCCACTGCTTGTTTGTCATCGGTCATCGGTGGCACACATTCACATTTACCAAGTCGCGGGTGGTCTCGGTAGCTTCGCTATCCTTCGTCTTTCCTTCAAGCTTTTACTTGGATTTCTAATTAGATTTCTAGTTAGACTTCTAGTTAGATTTTCATTCTTTGGAATTACGCGACCGTACTGCACCCCTACATTCATTCCTTTTCCCACCAAACAGTGTAGCTGTTTCATGGTTACTGTGGCTTTTGATCCTTAGGAAAAGCCCGGTATTTGGCCTTTTGTTATGTGAGACCGTAATAGTGGCAATCATCACATTCTTCACCTCCTTTCTAAAACCCACCAATCGCGTCCCACTACCGCTTGTTCTCGAACTTCAACCCTTTAGGAACTTAAATGCAGACGTCACACTGTCACGATTCACGAAACTATCTATCACGACTAACGAGAACTACGTATCAACATGGCCGAACGAGATTACGATGAGAGCAATGAGGCTCTAGACCCCGAAGTTTTATATACCAAAGAATTCTGCATTGGTTAGCCTCCTATAGGAATACCAGTTGGCGATCTATACTGACTCATCGCACTCTAGGCGGAGGCAGCTTCGGAAAAGTTTACAAGGGGTTTGTGTTAGCCACATAAGCGCTACTGGAATATAAATAGCTAATATTGGGGCAAGTGTTGAGAAGCGAAGCGGGCAAGCCGTAGCGATCAAGGTCATCGACATCGAAAGCGCCGAGGACGAGGTCGAAGACATCATACAGGAGATTGCTATTCTTTCAGAGCTTCAGTCGCCCTATGTTACCAAATACTACGGTTCATATGCAAAAGGCGCCGAGCTATGGATTGTAATGGAGTTCTGCTCTGGTGGAAGTTGTGCCGACCTCATGAAGCCCGGTATGATTGGAGAGGACTACATAGCAATTATCATGAGAGAATTGCTCCTAGGTTTAGACTATCTGCATGCGGACAAGAAGCTACACCGTGACATCAAGGGTATATCATCCATATCCGAGTACGCGCTACGGTCAATAAGGTTACTAACAAGGTAATACTGTAGCGGCGAACATCCTGTTAAGTTCCAATGGCCAGGTGAAGTTGGCCGACTTTGGCGTCTCCGGACAGCTCTCGGCGACTATGACGAAGAAAAATACCTTCGTTGGTACTCCATTTTGGATGGCCCCCGAGGTCATCAAGCAATCTGGATACGACCACAAGGCAGATATCTGGTCGCTGGGAATTACAGCCTTGGAGCTTGCCAATGGAGAGCCGCCGTACGCCGACATACATCCAATGAAGGTCCTCTTCTTAATTCCAAAGAATCCCCCCCCAAGATTAGAAGGGAATTTTACCAAGGCATTCAAAGACTTCATCGAGCTTTGTCTACAAAGAGACCCCAAGGAACGGCCAGTAGCTAGAGATTTACTCAAGCACCCTTTTATCAGGAAAGCGAAGAAGACAACCTACTTGACGGAGCTGATTGAACGTTTTAGCCGATGGAGCGCAACACATAAAACGGACGACGACGACAATGCAGATGAAGGGGATATTCGAGTTGCACCAGAGCGCGTCAATGAAGATATGTGGGATTTCGGTACCGTCCGGCTCGTTGGAGACAGAGGGGGGGTAATCAGCCGGCCTGGTCTAAACGCAATGGACGATTCCGCTAGAAACACGAGGGCATCTAGGCCTTTGGAAGCAGACTACGGCGAGAGCCCTAGGGGATCATCACCAACTAAGGTCCAGATTCAAGATTTTGGAAACTCCTCCGTCTCTAGCACCCTGAAAGCAGCCAACCCTCCAGGATTCGGAACCCCCCGACAGTCGTCGCCTCAGCGAAAGCCGGTGCCAGCTGTAGCACCTTTATCACCTTCTAAAGTTCCCTTGCCACCCTCGCCACCCAAGCACTCGCAGGATCCGAATACACCACGAGCTCTGTCCAAGCAGATGCCTATTATTCCTACCATGACATCGGCAGACTACGACCGCGCATTGAAGGAACAAATGCATCAGGATATGAAATCTCTCAGTATTGCTCCTCCGCAGCAACTTGTGCATCCGCAGCAATCCTCATCCTCGAAGAGTCCCCAGGCACAGCTTCAACAATCACGAGGAATTCCTAGACCAACTCCATTCAAGCTACCGGAAATCCCTCCGTATCGCGGGCCCAGTTCACAGCATCAGCCCGTGCAAAAAGCCACTAATCAACAGTCCAGTTCTAGCTCCCAAGCTTTCCCATCCAAGGCACAGCCCAAACAAATACACCTCGCCCCGGACTCATTTCCGCCACCCGGTCCTGTAAACCCGAATGGCGAGCTTGATGCCCTGAATGATGTCATCTTCCCTGCGCTCGAGGAGGCTCTCAAGAGACGGCAAATCCGACTGCAGCAAATTTATCGCCACGAAAAAGTCATCACGCCACAAAGACAGCGCGCCGAAGCTGCACACGATAGAATCCGCAAACACGTCTACAAACTGGCCAACGTATGCAAGGAGATCGACCGCCTAGACAAGAGCGAGCCTGTCGGCATGGGCAAGGAAGTTGGCACGTTCCTAGAGGGTCTACTCGAGGAAATCCTGGTCCGAGTGGAGCCTCTGGATGAGGAAGACGCCTGAATAGGCCGGCTTCCTAATATTTGATTGATATGGGTGAGTTGGCAGGATTACACGATAGTAACACTTGTTCATTACTGGAGACTTGCATTCGGAAGGGGGATCGCTACTAGCCGTGTAAGTATATATTTAATAAGGGGCTTTTAAGGATTGGGCTATGGTCCACGTTGCTTGTATCAATAATGATTCCCGCCGCATTCGACAATAGAGCTAAGAGCTATTCATTAATTCTTTGCTCTTTTTAATGTTCTTAGGGGTTCTTCTTGTTTTTCTTTTTCCTAGAAATTCCATGCCACCCCATTTTCGTCCATTGGAAATGGATAGTCAGAGTTCCACCTCTTAATAACCTGAGGGTGGGCCTATTCATATATGGTACTGCTTAAACAAAGATAATAATAAAAAAGAAGAGGAAGAAACTACGTCAGCCGACTTTCCGAATCCGCAGCTGACTCCCCTTCGCCTGATAAGCCCTCCTGTGCCTCGCAATTCACCCCGTCATTTTCTCTTCCCTCCTTAATTATCATGGTAGAAACATTACCCTGTGCGACGACCTCATCGTCATCCCCGGTACCGTCCATATGGCTAGTATTTCTACGCCGTCTACGACCGTGCGAGACGGCTTGGGAGGAGGGAAGTAAATCCTCGCGCTCTGGCTGTGCCCAGCATAGGTAGTCCTGGCCGAAGAGACGACGATGGTCGCGACGGTGCTCTTCAAAAACTTCGCGCACGCGCGAGACGTAATAGGCATATAGCCTGCTCAGCTCTTCGTGCTTTTCATTGGGGGGCTTCCTTGGCTGTCTCCCATGCATGCGCGACAGGTCCCGCAAGTTTGCTACATATGTTTGGCGTAGCGCGAGGCGGGATTCGTTGTATCTCTGTATCGAGTCGGTGAGCTGCGAGTGTGCTGTCAGCAAGTACTTTCACCCACAGCCAAGTCAAGTTGGCAATGGCGAGTACAGGAGGGAAGTAACTAAAAAGGGGGTTGTCTCACAAAGGCCCGATAATGGCATTGCGATCCTGGGCACTCGGCATGGTGTACGTAGTGCTCGTGTAAGCCAGGAGGGTAGTACAGTGGCTGGCCATAGTAGCCATAGTTGTGTCTGGGGCGAGAACTTGCAAACGGGGGCCGTTCACGCTGTCGTTGCTGTTGAAGCCAAGATGGAGAGTTCTCGTCCGAAATGCAAGCCCGGTATATTCGTTCTTGGTGCCAGTCTACCTCGGAGTTGCTTGCGATGGCGGCGGCTGCCGTCATAGCTGTAAAGGTTGCCATCGCGTAGTCGGCCATGATTACTTCGCTGTGCTTTACGGACGTCCTAGTAGGTGATCTGGATATCATAACAGGAGAACGGGTAGCATGTCGTCTGAGAGCAAGTCAATGATGGCAAAACTCAGTTAATGTCTATCTTATACCTCGTCCTCTGCCCTCTTCCTGTCGAGACACTTAATTTGTGATGTATACTGATAGGTTGTGTATTCGGAATTCCTGCTGGTTCTTATAGGAGGTTGTAAAGGATGATGGTTGATGTGTGATAACCACCTATGAGCCAGAGGACTGATGTGAAACGTGTGAATAATAACGAAGGGAAGATGCCGATTGACTCGATTATTTGACGGAGATCTTACATGAATTATGTAGGTTCCATAGCATTGGCTCTTGCCCATTCAAGGTTCTTAGTAGGTAGTTTTCAAGGTGGTCATCTGGGTAGAGTCAAAATAATGCATATCTCGAAGTAAGCACTTTGAACACCTACTAGGTAGTAGGTACATATAGTAGGTAATTATTGTGTATGAAGTAAATAATACCACTGAGTACTACATATTACCTATAGTAGTTGTAAAAATACAGATATCCGGATACCTATGTAAGGTGAGAAAGAAGAGTAAGAGGGAAGTTAGACCAAAGTTTTGGGAGACGTTAGACATCAATATCCCATCTTTATCTTTGAGCTTGCCTAGAGTGTGTAAGTAACTACACAGCACCTACCTAGGTCCTATCCAAATGTGCATAGTAGGAACAAGGAATTACCTCAAAAAGGGGGAAGTTGTATGGTATGATTACCTAACCAACTTACTTACTACCCCAGTGTAAAGAAAGTGGATACAACTTTAGAACATCCATGCAGCTTTGATCGATCAGATAAGATAACTTGAATAAACCTTGAATGTTGTACATGACGCCACATTTTTCACGTCGTGGCTGAAGCGGCATGTAGTTACAAGACATACGAAGTAGTTACTATGTAACACAATGTAAGACTAACAGCGACTAAGCCAAATAAGGTCTAGCGAGAAACATAACCTCGCACTTTCACTCGCCCGTTCAACCGATCACCCGATCGGAATGTCACGGCTAGCAAGCCAATCCAATCCAATCCGTCCCTCACTTCTGAAATTCAATGTTCCCTCCCACCTAAACCAGGCCAGTATATGTAACAAATTTGTACAGTAGCTGCTGTATCTCCTAGAGACTCCTACATACCTACCCATAGTCTACCTACGTAGTACTAACCTAACTAACTAAATCCACCGAGGTTTTTATTTTTTTTACCTTTTTCCCTGTTTGCGCCATTTGCCAGCCCTTTTCATCGCCGATTCTTTGCTCCTCGAACATCCTTTTGAACGCAAGCATTCTTTCCTAGCACGGCATACAGACAGCACTTCAACTACCATGCTGTCGCGAAACTGCACCAGAGCGGCCCAGGTAATATATTTGCATTTTATGTCTTTCATTCTACTGAGCTCAATCGCTGAGTTACCCTTGATCACATGCTTTTCTCTCTCGACTGGATACAAGGAGCAATGTTGGCTAACCCTTCCTTCTACTACAGCGCCTGGCGCGAACCGCTGCGAGACAACAATCGCACATCCAAAATGCCTCCCGATCCTTTGCAACTATTCAGTCTGATATATTCAAGCCTACAAAGTATGGTGGCAAATATACCGTCACTCTCATTCCTGGTGACGGTATCGGAGCAGAGGTAGCTGAGAGTGTCAAGACTGTCTTCAAAGCCGACAGTGTCCCCATCGATTGGGAACAGGTTGATGTCTCGGGTGTGGAAAGCGGCTCACCTGGTAGTCTCGAGGACATGTTCCGAGAATCTGTCGCCTCGCTCAAGAGGAACAAGCTCGCACTAAAGGGCATCCTGCACACGCCTATTAGCCGATCAGGACACCAGAGCTTCAACGTTGCCATGCGACAAGAGCTTGACATATACGCCTCCATTTCCCTCATCAAGAACATCCCTGGTTACAACACCCGCCACAAAGATGTCGATCTGTGCATCATTCGAGAAAACACCGAAGGAGAATATAGCGGCCTGGAGCACCAGAGTGTCCCAGGCGTTGTCGAGTCCCTCAAGATCATCACTCGGGCCAAGTCAGAGCGTATCGCCAAGTTCGCCTTCTCATTTGCGCTAGCAAACAACCGTAAGAAGGTCACTTGTATCCACAAGGCCAACATCATGAAGCTGGCCGACGGTCTGTTCCGAAGCACTTTCCAGAAGACAGCACTAGAGTATCCTACTTTGGAGACTAACGACATGATTGTCGACAATGCCAGCATGCAATGTGTATCCAGGCCCCAGCAATTTGACGTCATGGTCATGCCCAACTTGTATGGTGGAATCCTTTCCAACATCGGCGCGGCTCTCGTTGGTGGCCCTGGTATCGTCCCGGGTTGCAACATGGGTCGTGACGTTGCCGTATTCGAGCCCGGCTGCCGACACGTTGGTCTTGATATCAAGGGCAAAGATCAGGCCAACCCCACAGCTCTTCTTCTTTCTGGAACTATGCTGCTCCGCCATCTTGGCCTAGATGACCATGCCAACCGTATATCTCAGGCCCTCTACGGCGTCATCGCTGAAGGGTATGTCTCCCCCCTTTTCTCGTTTTTTTTTTGTGCCTTTTTATTTGATTTCACATCACTGCTTGTGTTTTTATAGCTAACGATGATTATAGCAAGTACCGAACTCGGGATATGGGTGGTGATTCCACCACGCACGAATTCACCCGTGCGATTTTGAAGAAGATGGAGACATTGTAAATCAACCAACCCTCTCATAACCTTTAATTCGACCCTAAGACTATGGCCCACTTCCGATGTGTCGCTCTGATAGATACCTAGAGGATAGGAGGAACGAAACGATCGCATGACTGTTACATTGGAGTCACGGGAGGTGAAGTTTAGGAGACATCCTAGACCTAGATAAATGTACTGTACGTAGAATAGGATATGATTGCCATGCATAAAATTCATTATTTCTCCCGCCAAACCTCAACCAGCCAGTCAAGTATTTTAGTCAGAATTTGTACCAATGTGATATTGATGGGGAATCCTTTAGTCGGGACCTTGAGATATTCCTTGACACGGCTAGTTTCGGTCATTACGAATCTACTACTATGCTTGTACTGCATAGTATTGAGTAAATCACGTGAATTTCACAACGTCTAACCTAGAGGAGTCTCAAGTATACTAACCTGTTACCTGCTACATAGGACTTCTCAGGAGTCTAGAACCAGAATTCTGTGCCTAACAACTTTAGGTCCATACATGTAATAGGGGGTTTTTAAACATCAACAAGAGTGTGCTTACAGAATAATTTCAGGTTACCAGTTTGCATGAGACATTAACCGAAGATGTGTACTTAAATCAGATGAATCAGATGAACCAGATGAGCCAGTGAATTACCGACATTTCCGATTATGGTGGTTCTCAAGTTATTACTACCTTAGTCTGTCCGCTGCTATTTCAGCAATCTCTTCATATTACGGCTAAATTATCGTGGCTAGGCACAATAATCTCTGCGGAGAAAGGTCCAGCCCAAAATTTTCCTGTATGGTTTATACTCTCCTGTGATGATGAGTGGCAGAGTAGAAAGATCATTATTATAGGTAGTGCGGTTATCAAGTGGAAGCCGGTGCCTATTGGGATGATAATAATAATAATAGCGACATGTTCCCTCGAGGCTCGATGAGTGTAAAGAGAACCATACCCCCTTCCTCAACTGCCATAATTCTTTTGAGCCGGGTATATAAGCCAAAATGAAGCGTGCTGGGGGGTTACCTCGGAGCCCCTCCTTTTCGGCTTCTGTGGAATACAAAATGAAGCAAGAACCTCAGTGTTATCAGGGCGGTGCTCCAGGAAACACGAATCGTCTAAACATTTGAGGGATTACAGCTCAAGTGAGTAGAAGAAGCCATGGTTTATTCAATTATATTGGCCTGTGCCGCCCTGGTCGCGAAAGCCTCCGCAGAATGCAGTCGCGAATTTCTTCAGGGAGCCACAGCGGCTTACGTTCAAGCGCAAGCTGCCGGAGATCATAGCCTGCCCGCCTTAGCCAGTAACATCAGCTACCTAGAGAACGACGCGGTCAAGGATGTCAAGGAGGGTATTCTGTCGCAGGCGATCACAATCGACTTCAACCGTAGTCTTCATGACACAACCCAATGTGCTACCTTCACCGAAATATCGGCGGCCACGAACAAAGTGCCATATGTCATCCACACACGGATGCTCTTCACCGATGAGAAGCTCACCACTCTCCAATCCGTTGTCGCACACGACGGCGACTGGGCATTCAACGCAACAGGGCAGCTTTACTGGACTAAACAAGAGAAATGGGATCCTATTCCAGAGGCCAATCGAGACGCTCGCGACGTGATTCAGGCGGCCGGCGACTCATACCTGGACAGCTGGAGCGACGGTACTGTCAAGGTCCCATACGGCACGCCCTGCGCACGACTTGAGGGTGGCATGTACACGGGGGCCAGCAACCCAGCGACTAACACGTGCTTCATGCCCCAATTCCCAGAAAAGTTCGAGATCAAGAATCGCCGTTACATCATAGACGAGGAGGTGGGCGGGCTTGATATCTTCAACGACTTCCCTTTCATTGATACCAAGAAGCCCGAAGGTACACCCAGCACCAATTTCATAAGGGTCGAAGGGGGGAAGATTCGTTACATCCACGAAGTCACTGTGTGTACAACCCGAAACTGTGGAAGATGAGCGTTGAACTTTTTGGGAGGGGGGTGGATAGTCAGATTCTCCCAGGACGTCTTCCAGGTCAGAATGCTATCTAAAACCCTAAAATGGTTTATAGGGGTTTGTCTCCAGTTGCTAGCATATTACACGCATGATCTTGCAAAGCTTGACGAGATAACGTTGGCGAACATTTCTTTTCATAAGGGCCTACTAAGAATGTACTCGAAAGTAGATACCCTAAACTATGAGAAGAAAGCATGTGATTTATGTTCTGGGAGGCGCCATGGTAGATTGCTATATATGGCTAAGGACTCCTTCGGTCTCGGATCTCTCACGTACCTTTCTGATTTCATATAAGCTTAGCTCGGCAAATTCATAGTCAATGAAGAATATATATGTGTTAAGCAGTTAAAGGCTCAGAGGAAGTCACAAGTAGTTATTATTGTGTAAACCCTCTAGATTGATACGTATATCATCAGTAAGGATCGTTACTGGCTGCCTTTGGTAATGATGTCAACTAGTGGCTCTATCGCCTTTTTAACAAGAAAGGGGCTGTGACCAGACTCCAGCTCCACCACAGTTGCGCCTGCTATTTCAGCCAGCTTATGTTGTGACTCTAGCTCCACGATTTTGTCGTTTGTACACACGATGTACGTTTTAGGGACCCGGATCTCAGAGGCTGAGTACGTATTGTCAGGGTCGCAGCTAGCTAAACTTTGCCAGACTAGCAGACGCAGAGCCTCGTCCAGCCATGGCTCCTCTACATCATTGTAGAGTATTGAACGGGCGAAATCAGCAGGTAAGGAATGCTTGTTTTGCTATGAGAAGAAATTAGCCACATCAATTGATACATTGAAACTATGTACCAGTCGGGGGAAGTTTTAGGCACGACATGACCTAAGTTGCTTGATCCCAAGAGTGGGATAACGAGTATAAAAGGGGAGATCAGTCTTACATCTATCCATTCGAAGAACGGTGGTGCGTTGCCGGGTTTGAAGCGTAGGTTCTCTGGTGAAAGCTGTGCCGCAATGTATACAATACTCGTAACGCCGCCTTTCAACCCCTGAGCCGAGCGCTCCTCCAACGACAGGCCCGCCACAATGTGCGCAGTAACAATTCCACCGAAGCTGTGTGCGACTATGACTACTTTGCGGTCCTGATCCAGATACGGGACCAAAAGCCCCCGAACCTGGGAAGCAGCATCGAGGAATGTTTTGCCATCTATGGAGTCATCGTGTCCTGTCGTGGGCAGAACAGGTGCTAGAACGGGATGTCCCCGGGCTCGGAGCGCATCGATTAGGTGACGATAATGTAGTGGGGTGTGCCATGATCCATGGATGAGAAGGATGGTTGGCTTTTCTTCTGTTGTCATCTTGCTGATGTTGAACTATATACATAAATGAGAATATTACCTGCTTATAACTGTGTAGGAGATGAGCTGGTTTAATAGAACACGTGGATCCACCTCCAAAAATGGTTGCCTAATCTCCTAATTGGAACACAAGCCCTTCTCGTTGCCTATTAAGATCACTGGGGGTTGATCTCGGCCATGTAAATCACCACCAACACCCGGGTTTAGTCTCGACCAGGACCCCAAAACCCACAAATAGAGGTGTAACTACTCACGGTACCAGGCTGCCTGGTAGGATTCGAGGGTCCAACTTTCATACCCAATACTTACTAGCTTCATGTATTGATGGGGAGGGGCTTGATACCAATGACAAACAGCCGCGAGGAATGTGTCCGAAGCTGGAAGAAAGATATATCCTTGGAGTTTGGCTATAGATAATGGCAAGTTCATGAGTTAGATGTGTCACGAGGCGAGACCTAGAAGACGCAGGTTCTAGTTAGCCCATAGACACACCCTTCACTATTTCCAGACCCAAAGTCCGACTGAACACTTGTTACTGACCTGTATGATATAGGCATTTCAGGGGCTCGTTCTATAGTGAGCTTCACCAAGAGGCATGCACTTGGACGGGTCGGGGCTCGTATCCTTTAGCAAGGTAGTCAAAGTGGAAATGATGCTGGCAAGTCATTAACAATGAATCAAGATTGATCATAATATAGATATTGAGAAGTGGGATTTCCCTTCTCGACCAACCACAAAACCTAGAACTCCGAGAACGCCGCGCGATGCAGAGAAGACATGGTCGATAACCTAGAAATTAACCCGTCTCTTCCGCCCCGTGTATTTAGATGTCGCCTTAACAACCTTTCCTTTTCGTTCCATCTGCTCCTTCTTCTTGACGATCCATGCCTTGCTTCCCTTCTTGATCTCGCCCTTGCCGTTTCGATTGTTGCGCCTTGAGTCCAGCACGTCTACATCTTCCATGCCCTTTATTACCCCTGTGATATCACCGCTGCCGTTAATGTTACCACCACCAACCGTGAGAACTAAATACACCTTGACGTTTTTGGTTTCGGGATCGTCTTCGAGTAGACCAGCTCCAAACCCTGCCTTTACTGCTGCAGTTGTAATCATTTTCTTCTGCTCGTCATTCTTGGGATAGAACTGGCAGACAGCCCGTCCGCCCCTTTTCAGACTTGAGTATAGGCCATTGAAGAATCTCGACAGTCGCCCCGCGGGTGACACATCGCTGCTCTCTGCATTGCAGAGCCATTGTATGGCACTGATACTGATTGCGGCATCAAACGTTCCCGGTCGAAAGGGCACTCCTTGTCCAATATCTGCCAACAACAGGTCGCCTTCCACGTCTCGTTGTAGAGCGACGTCAAGCATGGAAGCCGACACGTCCATACCCACCCATACATGTGGGCCACCTTCGTTAGGGGGTATCGAGGAGAGTATTTCACCCGACAAGCCGCTTCCACAGCCAACATCTAGAATAAAAGAAGGCGACGAGAGATCGAGGAGTTCCAGAGCCCGATGTGTCATAGAAGCTTGAATGTTCTGTATACGAGAAGAGGTGGTATATTTGCGTGCTTCGGAGTCATTGTAGTGAACATCGGCGGATCTTTTGGGCAGAAAGTAGGTTAGATTTGACGATATATCCGTGTTTTGGTGGTGATGGTGATGGTGATGGTGATGGTGATGGTGGGGGCAGAGAGAAGAGGGGCAAGAGGGGGGAGCTGAGAGATGAGAATACTTACAGAGTATCCTCTGGTCGCGACATGTTTTGTTATAAGTCAATTCTATTTTTTGTTCTTTTGATTTATTTGGACCTTACTACATCGAACTCGTATGCTTGGTCAGAGATTCAGGATATACTATGGTATAACTTTTCTGTGGAGCAACAGACTTGGGAACCAATCGTTATCGTTATCTCGTCAATGAAAGGCCAGTGGATGCACACTAACTATGTTTATATACATATCATGACATAATACGTTTATGGAAAATCTTCGGCACTTTGATAGGGCTCAATTCTTCTAAGGTTAGTCGCGTTCCTGACAGTTCCAACTATGAAGTTCCAACTCTAAAGATCCAACATTGAACATTGAAGCTGCAACTTTCATATACGTACATACCTTCACAGTAGTACCACCTAAAGGTTAGCATATATCAGGAACGTTGCAAGTTGCACAATTGCACATTGCACGGTCTTTTATAAGAACCTCCGTCATGCTCGCTGGTTCCAATACCTCAATTATTTATAAACACCGTTTTTATACTATGAGATCGTCATAGTTGTCCCGTAAACATGTGGATTTTACCTCTTGTCGGCTATCTAGGCTCTATCGTCGGCTTCTGTTTCTTAACCCTTGCCATCGGTAGGCATCAATCCCGACAATTCTTACCTATATATCGATGCTGAACTACTAAACAGCTTCCGGTCTTTATTATCTCTCTGAACTTGTCGAGGAGCATACTGTCATCGCAAAACGATTTCTCACCAAGCTTATATATTCTATAATTGGCCTTCAGTTACTACTATGCCTAGTCGATGGATTTCCCCTTCTCTTGACACTCATGGGTGTGACTTCTCACGTTGTGTACCTCGGCAATATGCGACGCTTCCCTTTCGTCAAGTTGTCTGACCCGTTATTCATCGCCTCATGTGGTACGTTGCACTCAACCGCGCACTACCAAATATTATACAGTAAACAGTCTGTGGGTTTTAGCTAACGGTGACGTAGTGTTGGTTCTTGTTAATCACTATTTCTGGTTCCAACACTTCTCCGAGGCCCAGCAGCGCTCATACTCGCGTATGACCTCGATGTACGATCAGCCGGACGTTCCAAGTTTTACCGAAATCGCCTCCTATTTTGGCTTATGCGTGTGGCTCATCCCTTTCGCTCTATTTGTCAGCCTGTCCGCCAGCGATAATGTCCTGCCTACGATTGGCACCGAACAGCCCTCGCGCGATGCCGATGGGAAGAATAAACGGCAGGGCATGGTCAAACTAATCGTGGAGAATATACTCTCGGTTATTGGAGAGGTTACGCGCCTAGCAGGGTGGAAGAAGCCCGAGGATCGCTTCTGAGTCCGCTGTGGATTAGTGTTGTAATAAGATAATGAATGATGTTGTATATATGAACGCTATGTACGTTAGAAGTTGACGAAATGAGCTTAGCGAGTCGTAAGTTACCTCCCATCAAAAACCCCGTGGATTAAAACTGATCCTTGTAAGGTATGTCCACATCCGAATATACGTGAATGCCATATAGATTGGGCAGTTCATGATTTAACTTTGGATGATATATCACTAAGCAAGTTCTCGAAGAGCAGCGCATGAGTCCTAATAATTAGTACGTGAGTCTTCTTTTTCCTCCTTCTTCTTTAGCCCCTTCACTATCAATAAAATACGGTGGCAATTGTTATGATGACATCTCCAATTCTTATGCTAGATTGTATTTGAGTCTTTAGACTTTGATGTCAACGATTGGGTTTATCTGAACAAAATCCCCGTATATATGCATCGGTCGCTACATTGTTTAATAAGGTTAATTACTAACGCATCTGCTTTTATCAGCAAGCTTAGACTAGATGTAAGAGTGGGATCAGGTAGAGTCAGTATGCTGATAGGAGTGTATTTAATCTAAAGCTTAAGGAGTGAAAGAGAAGCTATTCCCGTTTGCCAATGCCTGGCAATCTTATATCCTATAAAGGGGGATTACGTAACATCTGAGACATTAGGGTTCATGAGGCCCACGAGGCCTGTTGGAACAGATAAGGTGGTTCCGTGATCACGGGTAGTTGCAAATAAAGGTTAAAATCATGAATATTATGCCTAAGTTTTCGAGGGTTATTATATTGATGGGACTTAAGAGGTCAATCAGTCAATGAAGTATATAGAAGAGAAGAAGAGAGCTGAGCTCCTAACGTTTGAAACTAGCTATATATACACCGATAAGGTTCAGCAAGCTGTGGCAGCGGCAGCCATGGAGATGCCCATATAGCAGTAGCCATGGATAGCCACGGGAGTGGCTATCCACGTCCATGGTTATGTCTTAACATATATGGTTTTTTTTAAAAAGATTTAACTTATTAAGCAAACATATTAAGCTTAAATAAGAAGTTTTTTCTATTTTAAAAAAATAAAAATGTTATTTTAATAAAGTTATTTATTATATGCCTTTAAACGTTTTTTTTGTTAAAATTAATTAAATATAAAGTTTTATTATTCGCACCTTATAAAATTATTATTAAAAGCTTATTCGCACTTTAATATATTTAAAATTAGCGTTTAAATGCCGTTAGTTTAAGTTTTCCACCTAGCTTTAATTAAAAGATTTAATATAATTTTTAATTTAAAACTTAAATTAAAATATATTATATATTATTTAAATTAAATGTTAATTTTAATATAAGTATTATAAGATTAAATTAAAAAAGCTTATATTAGAAAAGTTAATTAAAATCTAAAAATCTTAATTATTTACTTATATATTTAGCTACTTTTAATAAAAGAAACGTTCGAAGGTATATAATAAATAGCATTATTATTACCCCCGCGCCTTTTTTTTTTTTTTTTTTTTTTTTTTTTTTTTTTTGTATATGTCCGCAACTAAGAATTATTACGATCCGACTAAAACTATCGATCTAAGCATTTATTTAATTTATTTAGCCTTTTTTAACCTCCCTTGTTTTTTTTTAATAACATAAACTATTTTTTAATTAGCTTATTAACTGTTTGGAAAGATTATAATAAAGGTATTAATATTATATATAAGGGTTAATTCGTTAATTAAATTTAATTCCTTAATTAGTTTTAACTTATTAAGAATAAATTGATAATTTTTATTAAATTTTTCGATAAGTTATATAACGTTTTACATTAGGAATAATCTTAAATATCACTTGTTAAATTCCAAATTATAACTTTTTTAAAACATTAAATACTTTAATATAAGACGCTTTTTAACACGGTTAATTCGACGTTTTTTAAATCTTTTAATTTTATATAAAATTAAATTATTATCGTTTTTATTAATAAAAACTTAACTTAACTTTAATTAACACTTTAATTAAAGATTTGCATTAATAAATATAAAAGTAAGGTGAATAATTAAAACGATGTAATAAATCCGCTAATATCGTAAAAAATTTAATTTATAAGTTAAATTTTTAATCTTTTTTATAACCGTAAAAAAACTTATACGTTATTTAAACCACTTTTGTTTTAATTTTTTAAATAAATAATAACCTTTATAAAGCTTAAGAAAAACCTCCTTCCTAACGTTAAATTATTAGAGATTTTATTTAATATTATAGTAAATTTTAACATTAATCGTAACGTAATTAATAACGGCTTAAACTTCTTATTAATATATATTTTTTTAAATTTTAAAGTTTACTACGCCGGTATTTATTTTTAAGATAAATAATAAGATATAAAGTTTAAAGTTTAATATAACCTTATTTAATAACCTTTTAAATATTAAGTAATAAAAGTTATTAAAATTATATTAAAAAACATTTAATATCTTATTTTAAAAAATGTTAAAAAAGATTTTATATTAAAATCTTATTATAATTTTAATATCCTAATTATGCCTTTTATTTATATTATTTATTTAAGCATAATAGCCCGTTATTATAACGGTTTTAATATTATTATAACGTTAAAATGTTTGCTATATTTTATTAATAAACTTTTAATCCTTATTTATAATTATTTTTGCTAAAAAGCCTTAATTTGCCACGATAAATATCTTATAAAATATTTTAGCCTAATCCTTAATAATATACATTAAATATTTAAAAATTAATAAAATCTTTTTATTAAATTTGTTAATAATTATTATAAAAGAATTATAATAATCGTAGCTTAATATATGTTATATAATCCCTTTAATATTAATTTTAAATAAGTTAATTATAAAGTTTATATAAATCGTATAATAAAAAATACTAAGCTTTATAATTAATTTTAATTTCTTTAAAGCCTTTTAATAATTTATTTAATTAAATTAATAATGCAAATAATAAATAAAATATTAACGTAATTTCTTTATTAAATATTAAACGTTAAAATTATTTAAGTTATATGTTATATAATATAGTTTAAAATAATGGTTTTTATTATAAACTGCCTTAAAAAGTGTTTATATTTAATTTTTAAGAATATATAATCTTTAATAATTGTTTCGTTTTTTTATTTAAAAAAAGCTATTATTTTTAAGTATATATATAAAATTCTAAGCTAAACGTTACGCTTATTTCCAAGCTTTTAACTTAACGATAATCTTAATAAAATAAAAATCGTTAATATACTCGGCCATTATAATTTACTTTTCAACGTTATTTATTTAAACGTATATTTTTATCGTATAACTAAAATTTAATAATAAAAGTAAGGAATATTTTGTGGGAATTGTGGGGAACAGTCACGTGACCCACATGGTCCGTACCCATCTTTATAATTTATTTTAAATTGGGAAAGAATCTTCAATCCTTTTTATCTTATTTAACAACTTTAATTATATTTATGATTTTAATCTTTTATTTATAATTTATTATAATTATGGAATTATCTTATTTATTCTAATATTGATTAGTGGTTGATAAAATAAATTAATTATAAATAATAAGGAGATTTATATCGAATAATATTATTGATAGTATTAGGATAAGAAGAAATAAAGATTTGTAATTTTAGATTTAATTGGAAATTTTTAGATAAGAAATTTTATTTGGAATTTCTGGATTAAAACTTTTTGAAATTTATAATTATTATAAATACAAGAATTTTATATTAATTTAAAAACTTCGAGGCGTCGTATTATGTTTGCGTTTATAAGTTTACGTCTATTATATATGAAGAGATTAGACCGAGATTTATTGGTAAATATTCGAGGCGCCGCATATGTTTGTGCTAATAATACCTGAGAATATCACGAGAAAGCTTTTTATATAAACAATCCAACTAACAATCCCTTTACTAAGCTATAAGACGATATTTGCTTTAATAAAATTTAGCCGATTCTTTTATCTAAGCTAAAAACCTATTTAAACCAAAAAGCTTATCCAAGTTAATACTTATTTGGACCGATTTGTTTAGAAAATATAATTAGGAATAGACTTTTAAGATAATTATGTTATATTTTGATAGTTAAGTATTTATATGCTATTTATTTTATAGACTTTAGCTTTGCGTTATCTTACGTTAGTGTGCGATTATATTATTAAAAAATTTTTTTTTAACTTACAACTACATTTTTTATGTTTGGATTTATTATTTTAGGTTATATTTTTTTTTTATTATTTATAAAGTTTTTTTCTGTAAGAAGTTTTTTTTAAAAATTTAAACTTATAAATATAAATTTAATTATATTAATGTTTATTTATTTTTTTATAATATTTATATTTAATTTTTTATTATTATTATATTTGATATTTATTTATTATAATAAGCTTTATACGTTTATTATTTTATATTTATATAAGTAACCATTAAAATGGCGGGCCTTTTTAAGAAAGGAAAGGGATTAATTATTATTTTAACTTTAAAGTTAGATTTTAAACGAAAATATGGCTATCTGATATGGGATATGTATATTAAAAACGAATATAGCGGTAAGGAGGTAAATTTAGAAAATATCGATGAGTTAAATGCTTTGGTGTTAGATATATATTATGTGGAGATATTTTTAATGTACGATGATGATTTTTGTGATAAAGATTTTTAGGAGAAATACCAAGTTAATTTTAACGGTTGGGAAGTAAGATATTTTGACAAATTAAATCGAATATTAAAGTCGAAGATAATTAATTATTTTTTTAAGCATGGTATATGAATTTTTGGTTGTGTTTTTATTAAGAAACTTAAGAAAGTTATTAATGTAAAAGAATTTTTTATATTATTAGAAGATGAGGTTGCAAATGTAAGTACGAAGTATTTTATAATATTTGTTTTTATAAAAAACCTTAATTACCGGAGGAAACTATAATAAGATGCGAAGAATATAAATGGTATCAACTTAAAACGATCTTTTAAAAAAGATAATTAAAATAAAGTTTTAGAAACTTATAAATGATAACTTATGGGATTAAATTAAGGCATTTTAAAAGTTAAGGTGATCGTTACCACTCCAACCCCTAATACGAATAAACGGGTTGGCTTGAATAAACCAGGTAATTTGTTTGCCCTAAATAATTAAATTAGATAAAATCCAGCTCCAACTTTAGCTTTAGGTTCGGGACTAGGTTTAAGTTTAAGCCGAGGCTAAAAACCTATTATATTTGGCTGATTCTTCGGTTATAATGATAATTACCTTTTATTTAATAATATAATTGCTTTTTAATAAAGATTAATTATAGGCTTTTTGATTTTATAACATAACTTATAACCCCTTAACCTTTTAAATATAAACTTAAACTTCCGGTTAAGAATAGTTAACCAAGCTTAAGATAATTAGGACGATTAAGGATGGGATAATTAAAGGAATTGAGGTAATAACTAATCAATAACCCCTTTTAAATAAAGACTGTTATATGAACCACGACTGTCGTACGAACCATAATACTCGTGGGCGATTACCGACCTTGTTAAGATGTATAATAACGATAAAATTAAATTCAATGGTAATAAGTATAATATCCTTAACGAGAAGATAAAGATCTTTAAAAATATATGTGGTAAAGCTGGGGTTTTATTTTTAGGTTACGTTATTATTTATTTAATTATGTTAAAGGATTACGTTTTATAATATTATTATAATTAAATTGCTTAGAAAGGAC